AATTAATCATAGAAATTAATCAGATCATCATGACCAGATTCGCAGACCAGGGACGAGGACAATGGCTTATTGTGGTCGGAACAGTACGGCTGCTGATTTTCCCCCTTTTACGGCGGCGCTAGGCCCCATTGGGAACCCAGCGGACGCGCCGGACGCAAAAAGTAACTTGTTCTCCTGTTTTTGTCTTTTCTTTCCTACAACGTCGGTCCTTTCCATTTCTTTTTTGTTGACTGCTTGCGGGAAAAGGATCACCATCTCCTGGACTCGGCCTCGTCTTTAATACTTTTTTAATTTTCTTTTTTCCCCTTCGGCCTCATCGTCCATCGGACCCCCGTTCACCATGGCAGCCGAATTCCTCCAGAATGTGCCCCTCCCATCCATTGATCGGCCATTTGGCGTGCATCTATGGCCTCTTTTCGACAAGGCCTTCGAACAGGTCAAGGGATACCCTGCCAGCGAGTTCAAGTTCCAGGAGGGCGTGACTCCCATGTCCACCCTTAAGGAGACCGTGATGATGCTCGTGACCTACTACGTGGTTATTTTCGGTGGCCGTGAGGTCATGAAGAACTTCTCCGCTTTCAAGCTGAACACTCTCTTCATGATTCACAACCTGGTCCTGACCATCATCAGTGGTGTCTTGCTGGTCCTGTTCCTGGAACAGCTGATCCCCACCCTCTGGCACCACGGCGTTTTCTACGCTATCTGTGACCACCGCGGTGGTTGGACACAGCCTCTCATTGTTCTCTACTACGTGAGTATCAAATCGCGCATATATGAGAAAGCGATGTCACTAACCTCAATTCTTCAATAGCTGAACTACCTCAACAAGTACTGGGAGTTCATCGACACCGTTTTCCTTGTCCTCAAGAAGAAGCCCCTGACCTTCCTCCACACCTACCACCACGGTGCCACTGCTCTTCTGTGCTACACTCAGCTCATTGGCCTGACTGCTGTGTCATGGGTTCCCATCACCATCAACCTGCTAGTCCACGTTGTGATGTACTGGTACTACTTCCAGAGTGCCCGTGGTGTCCGTATCTGGTGGAAGAAGTACATCACCATGCTGCAGATCCTCCAGTTCGTCATTGACGTTGGTAAGTACACCTGATCTTGATTTTCATTCGCTGTCCTCCAATGCTAATGACTGCGCATAGGCTTCATCTACTTCGCCTCCTACAGCTACTTCTCTTCCACCTACTTCCCCTGGGCTCCCAACGCGGGCAGCTGCGCTGGTGAGGAGTTCGCCGCTTTCGCCGGTATTGCCATTATCACCTCGTACCTGTTCCTGTTCATCGGTTTCTACATCGCCACCTATAAGAAGGAGGTTAAGGTCGGCCGCCCCCGTCGCAACACCGGCAAGAAGTCCCTGATCGACATGAAGAATTTCGAGATCCCCTCCCCCGTTGCCGCCGATGCCAAGTCGAACGGCTCTGCTTCCTCCACCGGCCGTTCCAACGGCCCAGTCACTCGCTCCCGCAAGGCATAAGTGACTTGCTGAAATTCCTATTTGATGCGTATCGGTCGCGCATGTGGAGTGGTGAGATGAGCATCGTCGTGTGAATACGGCAATGCATTGAACCATCCAAAAAAATAGGGCAGAAAGTTATTCGAACATTTCCGTACCTCGAACATGCGAGCAGAAGCTGATCGACGCGGTTCCTGCTCCATGATGATTCACTTTCTAATTGTTTTTAATGAACGACCTTTCACGATGCTAGGCTCGACAGTCTGGCGGTCTATGCGACATGGGCTCTGTGAGGAATGGGTATGTCGGGGGGATTGGTGTCCGACGTCGGAAGAGGGAAATCAACCCCTAGGACTAGGCATTTTCTTTCTTCGTTTTTCTTTCACTCGGGTGGGCTGTCGGACAGTCTCGGCTCGGTTGTATTTTATAATGTCATCTTCTGTTCATGTTTGTCGTTGTTACCCCTTAGCCTGCTGGCGGCAGGCCTTTTGACTGCCCTTTGTTAGCAATATAGATATTAAGCCACATATGCTAAATATAATTCATGCGAAACTTGATCGGATCATTAGTAATTCGGTGGTTGGGATCGAAAGCAACGCAAGGAATACCAGCATGGCATTTGCATGGCTCCAGTCCCTATTGCAATGGACCCGTGTACACCTGCAGCTCATTGCGTCTCGCATGCAGACCACGGATCCGAAGAATCCATATGATAGAACGAAAGGAAAGGAGTCCCTTCACCTTCCATAATCCCTCAAAGCTCCATATTGACAAAAGCAAAACAAATATACCACGTTGATGGGGAAACGACAGTCGAAGCTCAATGTGCTACATCACATCGACGGTCCCACAAAATGCAGGAACTGACTCGGGGTGTAGATCCATGCATAAGGAGGCGTGTGTAACGGGGGACAAATAAACGCCACGAAGTGACAGATCCAGCATGGCATGGCAAGCATGGCAGGTCGGGGAAAGTAGAGATCATCCTCCCAATTCGATTCGAAATCATGCCCGCCTTTTCTTCCAGCCATCCTTGTAGAAGGTAAACTTCAGTATTGGAGGCCGATCAGATCCATCTGGCGCACGGCGTGGTCAATCATTGAAGATTTTCAACTCTCCTGAACTTTCTTCCAGCCTTCGTCATCCAGCCACACCGCATGGGAGGATGATTGTGGTGTGCAGCGTGCAGTGACAGATCGTTCAGCCATCCAGCAGCGTGGCCGGGAGATATTCAATAGTCTGTAGATCCGAAGCTAGAGATACGTTCAGACCTCGGGTAACTCGGACAGTTAGACAATGCAATACAGAGTGCCTTGCTTGGAACCCCGTGAGCCAGGATGCGTGGAATGACAATGACAAAATTGACCGGAAGCATGAGGCCTATGATGCAGGGCCCACGTAACCGGAGCATGGCCAAGGCGTCAGCACAGAGCACCAGCAAAAGCTTACAAGTTGCCATGTCGACGGGGCATGGCGAGTCGCCAGAGTTATGGTTCTGCAGTTCTAGGACCGACCGATTCCAAAGTTGAGGGGCATGTCGGCAGATGGATAAGTCAGACAACACGAAACAGTGGAGGTCGGGGCCGGCGGTTATACCGGCATGCAATCCAGGTCTACTAAAGCGGAGGATCAATACTTCAAGTGGACCGCCGCTGTCAGATAGAAGCGTGGATCCTTGAAGGTGTTCCTGTCGATCAGGTTGGGAAAGGTCAAAGGTCTGAAGTATTAGCTCCGGAGGTTCCTTGCCTGATGTGGGTGGAACGGAAGAATAAGCTGGTCATAGGTTGTGGATGGCGTGGTATTTTTATTGGTGAATGATGTCAGTTGGCTTTTTAGGCTATAAATAATCGAAACGATAGCGCGACAGTGCGTACTATAACCCGGAGAAAATTCGCCGATACACTTGACTCCACGCAAGGAGCGAGTCGCTGCTCCAGTTTTTTTATTGCTTTTTATTGCTTTGTACGGATTTGGAGTACTCTTATGGAATCGATCTGATTTCTTTTTCCTAATAGCGGGACTAGAGAATTACGTGCAGCTTGGCGAATATATACTGGACTTTTTTTTTTCGCATTGCTATCCAATTGGCGTTAGGCCCCCTGTGGCCCTTAACAGTAAAGAATGGACCTGGGTGTATCTTGTGCCTGTCTAGATCCCTGAGAATTCTCCTGTGAACACTTGACGACCTAGATCCTTTAACGTAATGTGTAGTTGGGCACATTTACATAGGCCACCTGGTCGGGCCCCCCTGAGGCCCTTCAGCATAGCACAGGCCCTTAGACCCTTTAGGGTTAAAGGGCGGGGCTCCTATCTGTACCTGACTAGATGGAAAAGCGTGGATAAACCCCCTGGCATAGGACGCGTTCTGAAAAAAAAAAATCAATGAAAAGAAAAAAAGAAAAAGGCCAAAACTCGGTAGGAAGATACCGGACTCCACCGACGAAGTTACGTCCCCAAGGAGTTCGTCGTAGCGTGTTTGAGTTATACATGCCCCACTGTTCTGGAGCGGCGGCTAACTTGGCAACTGTTTAGAGGTTCCATCTTGATTCCCGAGCGCTTCCACGGATTGCCTTTCGGAGCTCCTATAAGCCGTGGTATGATTTGAACTCATTCTCGAGGCGATGATCTTTTCTATTTTGAATTGTCCGTTGATTGCTTTCTTCACTGTGCAGCTGCAATCTAATTGCTGCCGCCATCTGCTAGTGATGTTGAAAGCCAATGATACCGCACAGTCCTGACTTGCGGCAAGCCCCAGCGTTGGGCGCATGGACCAAGTAACCAACGACAGCTCACGTTGATCTATCAGATTTTTCTCCGGCGTTACAGCTGTAAAGTTTGGTCCCAGCCTCGCCACGATGTGCGTAATGGTGAAACGGCCCAATCCTTAGCATCCTTAGGGGTAGCGCCCCCCTCCATCCCAGGTCTCAGCTGCAAGGGTGCTGCGCTCCCACCCTGCGCCAATCACATCATGCGTGGATATCCTCCGCCAATAGGCGACTTCACTAGCTGGGGGCACATTCAACCAATCCAGGATGCGCACTCCTTCTGCAGGAGATAGTGAAAAGCCAAAAACAAAACCAAGAAAGCCACTCGGCCAGGGACGTACAATACAGGATTCCGACTTCGACTACACGTGGACAGGGATTGAAAATGATTGTCCCCTCTTTCATGCAGGCGCTTGGTCTAAAAAAGCCCATCCCCTCCCTGTGGATCAATTCCTGACGGGTGGGACTCTTTTCTTCATACTTGAACCTTGGATGGCATCGAGGGCTTTAATCCTGGTTCCACTAGCTTTAAAGTCCTTCTTTTCCCTTGGCCCCGTTTTGCAGGATCGGATCTCCTAGATCAGTCTGTGACATATTCTTAACCCGGGGACCTGCCGACCTCTCTGGGCTTTTGCATTGCAAGTCTCGGGGTGGAATCCTCGTCTTATCTTCTCTACATCACCGCGGGCTGGTCTCCTGTCTCTCCCCTGTCTGGAACAGTTATCGTTTTGGATGAACCATACGTTGCGTGCTGGATCTGACTTGCAAAGATGTACGAGCCCACTACCTCGTTGAATCTTCACCGGCTGAGCCGACAAAGCCTTCAGAAACGATACGAGTCAGACGAGGAAGATGTATCCGAGTCAGATGCCGGACCAGACTTGGTTCCCTCGCTGGTAGGTTCGAACCGAGCCGGAACTATCGACTCAGACCTGAGTGCCGATGAAAACTCGCACATGGATCCTGATTCAGACCGGGAAGAGCATCTCCTGGCTCCATTCCCGGTGGTGAAACGGCCACGACCTGTCTCGATGGACACAGTAAAGCGAAGCAGCGATGCGACCTTTGCGGAAAACACTAGAGTGTTTGACCCCGAAGAAGACATGGTTCTTGAGATTCCACTGCCAGAGACTCCTCCTGAAATAGATCCGAATTTCTACCTACAGCCGGCCATCTATGTCTCGCCAAATACACCACCGACCCACAACAGAAGGTCTCGCTCTTCGTCGCCGTCTTCTATCTTTTCCGTGGAGAACGCCGAGATCCAGGTTGCTAAGAAGATCACCTTGATGGAGCCACCTACTCGCCCAACCCTAGTCTTCATCAACTCTTTAGGGTCACGATCCAAGGGTTCCAGGGCACGACCCAGCCATTCCCGAACACGGGGTAACGCGCGAAACAGAGAATCTCGCATTTTCGATGGAAAGCTCGAAGGCAGTCTTCAAGTCCCACATCTGGCAGACGTTAAACCCAAATCGCCTCGTCCAGAACACTCAACAGACCATGGCTCAACCAACACAACCCCAGACCTATCCACTCTCCACGAGGACTCCCTCGCCGTTCGACGTGGTACAGGCACTGGCGCAAGCGCAACCATAAACAGAGTCTCAGAAATCCCAGTCCTGCCCTACTTCCCCCCATCACCCCACGAGCCCGAGCGACCGGTCTCGCTCCGCTCAAGACCACGCACATCCGGCTCTGAAAAACCATTCCGGTCATCCCGCCGACCAACAGAACCAGGTCTCCGCCCTCCAGCACTCCGCACAGACAGCAACAGCAGCATGCCCTCCTTCTCACCACGCCCCGCCTCACCGTACGATGATCCAAGAACCTACTTCGTTCCGGACCACCGCAGTGAAGGTGCATCACTTTCTTCTCGAGCATGCAGTCCTACTTCAACATCCTCTTCTCCACCACAGCAATACATCCACACATCTAAGCGTGGTCCCATCGCTCCACTGACACCCAGCAACCCAAATATCTTCTCGCAGCGCTCCCCGATGATGCGGCGGATGACACGGAAACACTCTGCCGCGTCGAGTATTCACTCTATCAGTAGTATGCGCTCGGAGGTGGACATGAATATCGCGTATGCGGGTGCCAGCCAGACGGCTGTTAATACGAATTATGATTCGAGACTCGTGCGGAAAGGGAGTCAGAGACGCCATGCTAGACATGCTAGTTCTGCGACTGGTAGTTCTGGTAGCTCGCGCGGATTCATGGGGTTGAAGCTTGGGAAAAGAGCGTTTAATAAGGTTTAATTAATTAGTAATGTTTGATTTTGGGGCCAAGTGAGCTCCTGGCGTTGGATGGATTTTTGTTTTTGGTTTTCGTTGGATCTTGTTTATTGTTCGGTTCTTTTATACATGGCACCGGTTTCCTGTTGGTCATGGGCGTTTTTGATTGATATTGGATGGGCTTATCAACCGCCGAGACTGATTACAAGCGATTCCGTTGGATAATGTCTACTTGCTTTGCAAGCCGTTTCTGGGTGGCTTTTTCTGGTTTATTCTTTTGGTTTATTGTCGCAAAACTGGAGTGAAATTGATATTGCCAGTTGGAGACGGAAGCAATCAGGATGCTAGTTGAATCTTGAGGGCTTGACTAGCTTCTCACCTGGCCAATTTCTAGAGAATATGAAATTTAAACAATTGAATGATATTCTTATGTGAATGACTAGCCCTTGTGTGGACCGTTTTAACGTAGATAATCGAGAACTGAGCAATGGAATGATATATTGCAATGCATCACAAGCAGGAGGATCAAGTACGTGGAGAAAAAAGAAAGCGAGTAAGCCATGTATATGCCGTGGCAAGGCTATGAATACGATCAATAAGGGAAACCAGCAAAACGCAGCGGTTATGCTACGAATATACTCATTTGCGTGCCTCCAGGGCCGCTTTAATAGCTATAAGGGAAATGTAAGTACCATATTGTGTATGTAACAGAGAAATGAACATACCATCACACGAAGTCTTTGCGTCTCCGAAGAGCATTCTTGTTCCCGGCATGAAGAACATGGGATTCGGCACATCGGCTGTGGACTACTTAGCAATGTATAGCATCTAAGGTGAAAGTTGGAGAACCTACCATATCCACTGGACATTCCACGCTTCATCACGATGACTTCCTTACTCTTCCATGCGTGCAAGACAGGCATACCGGAGATAGCGGAGTCCGGCTCCATAGCAATAGGGTTAACCGTATCGTTGGCACCAATGACGAGGGTAACATCGGTATCCTTGAAATCTTCGTTGATCTCATCCATTTCCAGAACGACTGCAAGATGTTAGCTTGTCTCTTTGATTGGTAGGTGGAGAACTTACTGTCATATGGCACAGATGCTTCAGCAAGAAGTACATTGCACTGGCCAGGCATACGTCCTGCCACGGGGTGAATAGCAAACCGAACATTGACGCCTCGAGCACGCAGAATACTGACAATCTCCGCTAGTGCATACTGTGCCTTTGCAACGGCCATACCATAACCAACGATAATGATGACATTCTCAGCGCCGGAGAGTGCTTCCACAGTGTCGTCGATGCTTGTCTGGGTTACTTCACCCTCGATCTTCTTCTGGCTTTGTGGCTGGGTACCAAGCCCGCCGAAGAGAACATTTGTAAGAGACCGGTTCATTGCGACGCACATAATATACGAAAGGATTGAACCGCTTACTCCGATAAGCGAGCCCACACTTGTAAGAAGAGGGTTGTTGAGCATCAGACCCTCAGCGACAAGCGCGAAGCCAGAGTAGGCGTTAAGTACTGTGATAACGACAGGCATATCGGCACCGCCGATCGCCGCGGTCGTCGTGTATCCTTTCAGGAAACTGAGGACAGTACTCGTGCCCAAGCAAGCCGCGGCAATACCAGGATTTGCGGGGGCCATTGTAATGAATGCTCCCATGGTCGCCATGTTACTTCCCAGCAGCGTCGAGTTAATCAAATGTCGACCAGGGAGAATCATCGGCTTTGAAGACATGCGGCCCGCGAGTTTAAGGAAAGCAACAATTGAACCGGTAAATGTAACACCTCCTATGAGCACACCCATATAGGCAGTGACCATGTGCAGTGTTGAGATTTCGCCAATATCAACCATCACGCTACCAATACTGGTCAAAACAGCAGCCAGACCCACAACTGAGTGCAGAGCTGCAACTGTCTGAGGAAGCCCAGTTGGGGTAATGCGACGACCAATAAGTCCACCGACTAAGGCACCGGTTCCAGCCACAACGGCGAATTGAGTCAGCGTTTCAGTGGAGAACCCCACTGCAACCAGTGAGGCAAGAATACCAGAGGCCACACCCAGGATTCCTAGGATATTTCCACGGCGCGCAGTTGTTTGAGAAGCAAGGCTGGAAATAGAGCTCATACAGAGGATCGTACTGACGAGGTACCCGGCTTGCACTATACCAGACATTCCAGTGCTAGCAGCAGCCACCAAGCCACCGCCGAATACGACCGCTGGAATGACATACAGCCATGGGTACTCTGGGGGATCGGTTGGACGTTTGAACATGTCAAGCATACGCTTTGTCACCACAAAGCCACCCGACACATTCACGAAGGCAAGAAGCACAGAAACAGCACCAAGATATTCTGGAAGAGTGGTCGGGACATAACCCCCGCCCATGACGAACAAGCCACCAATACCAACCATTCCTGAGATAGCGTTGGTGACACTCATCAGCGGCGAGTGAAGAGCAGGCGCCACTCCCCATACTGCGCGGTAACCGACCAAGCCCGCAAGTCCGAATGTCATCATATTGCCCATGAAAATGGGGCCAGTGGCCTTTCCAAGAGCGAGAGTGGCGCCGATTGCGCCTGTGACGGTTGTTACGTCTCGAGTTGCCTGTTGCCATGGTGTAAGAGCGAGTTCTGCTTCTTTCTTTGCTGCAATGGCTTCAGTATCAGGCTTTGGAGTAGGAGGAGGAGCAGATGGTGCGGCAGGTGGAATAATCTCGCCGTTGAGAGTGACAATTGATCCACGAACAACTTCATCATTGAAATCAATTCCAAAGGACTTGTCCTTGGGGGCCATAGAGAGCAGGTATTTGATGATGTTGTTAGAGTAAAGCGTCGAGGATTGAGTCGGCAGACGGGACGGAAGGTCGGTATAGCCAATGATAGTAACACCCTCGTAGGTAGATAGCTCACCAGGTACAGTTGCTTCGCAATTTCCACCTGCTTCAGATGCAAGATCTACGATGACGGAGCCAGGCTTCATAGCAGCGACCATTTCCTTGGTAATCAGCTTCGGGGCTGGTTTTCCTGGAATGAGAGCAGTTGTGATGATAATATCAACCTCGCGAGCTTGTTCCATGAACAATTTCATTTCGGCTTCAATGAACTCCTTGGACATTTCCTTGGCGTAGCCACCTTGTCCAGAACCATCTTCTTGGAAATCAACCTCGATGAATTCGGCACCCAAAGATTGAACCTGTTCACGGACGGCAGGGCGGGTATCGAAACCACGAACAATGGCACCCATACGGCGAGCCGAGACAATTGCACTCAGACCAGCTACACCGGCACCAATGACCAGTACTTTACTGGGAGGAATCTTTCCAGCAGCCGTCACCTGGCCAGTCAAGAAGCGACCGAAGTGGTTTGAAGCCTCTAAAACCGCCTTGTATCCAGCAATATTGGCCATAGAACTCAGGGCATCAAAGGTTTGCGCACGTGAGATACGTGGAATACGATCCATGGCAAACGCAGTCACTCCGCGGGCAGCTAGCGCATCCACAATGGGTTTGTTTTGGAAAGGGTATAGAAAAGAGATAATAGTCGAGCCTTTACGAAGAGCTTGGATCTCGTTGAATGGCCCTTCTGCCTGCGGGTTTCGGACTTTCAGAACGATATCACTCTCTGCCCATATAGCGTCACGTTCCACCACCGTGGCACCGGCTTTCTGGTAGGCATCATCTAGAAGCTGTGCTCCTGTACCCGCCCCACGCTCGATCAGCACACGTGAGAAGCCTTTTTTAAGAAGCAAAGCCACATTTTGTGGCGTAATTGCTACACGGCGCTCATTTTGGTGTGTTTCGCGGGGAACTCCAACGGTCAACTCAGTGTAAGGGGTGGTTGGGACAAGGTCCTCAGTCGGAGTGGTGGTCGCTGCGGTTCGCTTAGACACGGAAGGCCATTGAGGTGTTCGGAATGAGTGATTTTTCTGCGACGAGGCAAGGAGAGTGATTTGACGAGTCTGGGAGACTGGTTGCACGTGTTAGAGCTTCATTCTCAACTCATGGGTGTTTTATCTGGACTGTGAAGCTTACCCGCGTGAGTCACTGACAGCAACAATTTCCCCGTTCGAGCACTGGGGGCACGACACGGCCTTAGAACCGACCACAAGGGGAGTGGAGCACTCATTATTGGGGCGCGAAAGGACACAGATCACAGATGGCGAAGGCACATCTGAAGCAGGGTGTCCAAGAGGAGAAGAAGGGAGGGAAGGAAGAGAAGGGAGGACAGGGAAGAAAGGACCGAAAAAGAGGAGTCATAAGAGGAGAAGCTCTCGGACTCCTACCTTGCGCTGAAACGGTACGCGCCCCCGTTTGACACAGTTCTCCCGGTAAATCAAGAAGCCGCAGCCTTAATTGTACGATCCCCGCGGGGTTGGTGGAGTCGTGGGGAAGGCGGTTCGGGCACCTTTCTCCACATCGAGACCTGGGCGGTTTTGGAAGCGAACATGCCTCGACAATGTGATTTGTGGCATCTTCAGATCCACCCAAATCTTGCAAGGATTCTTTGCGCAATGTAGTATCACAGCCCTCGTCCCCCGCAATGACATAGGATCCAATGTTTTCCAATGCCAATTTGCCGATAGTCGGAGCGCGTAGGTCATGGCGTGCGGAGTATATCGGTCATGCCGGCTTTCGGCACTAATGCAGATCCTACATGGCTTTTATACAATTACACTGGGATCTTCATTGGTCTATTCCTTGGATTGCTATTATGAAATTAAAAATGAGTCTTTTTGATTGGCCGAAACCAATGGGAACTGTTGAAAACTGTACGGTAGCAGGCGAAGCGTAGTATTCAAATTGAACATTTCAAGTACATCAGGTACCTACTTATATACAACAGCAGCGACCGCTTCCGCCTCCCATGTCAAATCCATGGAGAAGCGGTCTCACACCCTGATCAGGTGATCCGCTAATCTAGATATAGCATGTATTTAATCCGGTTTTAGCTAACCAGATGTGTAGTGCGGTAAAGAAAACCTTGCTCATACGGTAGCGACCCCGCCCTTAATTTCTTTTAGTTCATCCTACAGTTTCATTCGTAGCACTCTATGGCCGCCGTTGGTGTATAATCTCGTCGTATATCGCACCTATCCCACTATGTCGCGATCCCTGCCGAAGAAGAATAACCCACTGATCCTCGCCGACGCGGCTCCCGCCTGTAAGTCTCAAGCAGTCCCGTGAGCTCTCCCTACTCCACCATATCGTGCCCATGAGGCCTTGTCGTCGTCCGTCTGTAACCTTTTGCTGTTCGTGATCGTAGATGAGGATCTCCTTGCGCTTCGCCGCCTTGGCAGGACCAAACTTTCCGTCAAGCCAGAACTACTTTGCAATGCGAGTAGGCCCGAGAATCTAGAGTTGTTTGAGTATGCCCACCTCCGGGCTCCGCTCCCCGAGGATCTGAAAGGCTCCGAGATCTTCCCATTTGATATTTCCCGTCCGCCCCGAACCACTTGCTTCTTGATGGTAAGGATTATCTCGGTCACCCGCGCGAAGACGTATTATACTCGATAACTAACCCGCGTCTGCTAATAGCGGAGAAGCAAGGATGGTTTTGTAAGCGCAACGATCATGTTCAAGATCGCGTTTCCCTGGGCCAAGGCCGAGGAGGAGAAGAATGAGAGGGAGTATCTGAGATCTCGGGAATACGCAAGTCAGGAGGAGACCGCTCAGAATATATGGGTATCTCCCAATTTTGGTAGGTTCTCGTCGTACAGGGTAGTTTTCATAGCCTGACGATTGTCCTTAGCGTTGGAGCTCGCGAAGGAATACAAGATGTACGATTGGGTCCGTGCATTACTAGATCCTGTCGACATTGTGCAGCACCGCCCTTTGAACGATAGCCCTATTACTCCGCCACCGAAATTTGAGCTGCCGATGGATGAACCTAGGAGCCTCCAAAAGACTCTCGAAATCACCGCTTTAATGGAGGCCACGAAAATCACCCCTTCTTCCTACGAAGACCAATGAATTAGAAGTGAAGGCCAACCAGGAGGAGATATGCCATAGATAACCCCCTTCGATTGTCCGCTCCCAGAGAAAAACTATACATACTCGACGTCAAAACTCAAGAGTCTCGTCGCGACAGCAGGCACACGGTCCCAGGGCAGAGGTACCGAATATCAGTTGACTAATTAGCTAGTGCGTTTAAAAGGGGAGGCCGCAGCTAATAATGAGAGTTATTGGGTGCCAGCTCTGCTTTCCGCTGGCTATAGCCCCCTAGAGGTTGCTGATCTTCTGTCAGAAAAGACATATGACTCCCCATGATTAATTTTCACACCATCAGATATTCCAAGATCGGAGACACAAATAGCCACCACATTCCTCGCTGCTCTTACCATTGTTGTTAATCTAACAAATCCTGTATGCATCAAGTAAAGATGAGTCGTAGAACGTTACATACTAACTTGTATATAAGCTCTCTTTTCATGTAGTATGGTGAGGATATTGCCAGACTGTACCATACGAAGACTTGGTGGGCCTGGTATTTTAAAGCTGTGAGAGCACACGTAGAAATATGTAGATACATGAGTCGGATTCTTAATTGCTTTCGAGTTATACGATTAACGCTTGAAACGTATTCTTAGATACGCAAAGTGGTGATAAAATGACATCTGAATTGTAGGAAGCATGAGGCTATTAGATACACCATCGTGTCACGTCACCTATCCGTCGTGCGTGCCATATATGCGATAGAGCTGTTTGATTGATAGCCTCCCAGTACATCATTACTTAGCAGGTGGTCCTTGGTGAAAGATGAAACAGTTGCAAAGAAAAACACAAGTTAATCGACATAATGCAATTGTATTGGAGTCCAATCGGATCATCTCAATCCGAGGTCAGAACCAGTGACGTATTTAGTCTCCACAGGCCTGTAAATATTCACCAGCATGAAAACCACCCCTATATTGAAAGGCGATTTAATTTTAGACAGGTGTATTAAGTAAATTTGGAAGCCCAAGTATCGAATTTCTAGCTCCTCAATTCTAATTGCCATAAGGCCCAGAAACAGTCTTGCCAGCTTTCTGCGTGAAAATCTCCATCTCTTTAGACAAAGACGAGGAAAGAGCTCCCACATCAGTAATCACATTAACGAAATCATACCCAACATCCACGTATTTCTTTGCCTGGGCACCACTGCTACAGAAAATACCCGCCTTCTTACCGGCCGCGTGGGCCGAAGTAAGAATCTTCTGAATAGCCTGTTCAAGCTGCGGGGCAAAAGCACCCTCAACGGGGTACCCGATGTTGTTGCCGAGATCGAAAGGACCGACAAACAACAAATCGAGTCCGTCAATGGCTGCGATCTCATCAACTGCCTCCAGTGCCTCGCGTGTCTCAATTTGGACGGAAAGAAGAATGTTCTCGTTTGCTTCCTTTAGATACTGAGTGGCTGTCACGTTCGGACCGAATCGGTCCATTGGGAATGGGGAGCCGAAGCCTCGGCGTCCTTGTGGTGGGAAGCGGGATGCTTCAACGAAAGATTTGGCATCTTCGACTGTTCGCACTAGTGGTGCGAGGACGCCGTGGGCACCGGCATCAAGGGCTCCTGTGCATGGTTAGAGATAGATGGGTAGTTGCGGAGCGGGGTAGTGTACGTTTGATCATCCAGGACTGGAAATCTGGCACCCGCACAATGGGGCTGCTTCCATATGAGGTTATAGCTGGGATAGCTTCGTGCATTGCGGCATCTGAAGATGTCAGTATTTTTGGATTGGTTCAACGGGTGGGACTTTCTGACCGTCAATGTTGCCGTGTTCACAATCAACCAGGACCCAGTCGTATCCAGCTCGGGCTAAGGCGCGAGATAGATTGCTACCAGGTAGCATCTGCCAAACTCCCAAGGCAGGTCGTTCGCCCTGGTTGAGGACAGTCTTGACGCGGTTGGTCCCTTGCATGGTGGTGTCGCGGATTACAAGGATGTAAACTCGGAGGAACAAAGTTCTGAGTAGGAGTGTAAAAACGGTTGGAAATTTGATGCAGTTCTAATTATCAGAAAGTTCAGGTGTTGGATTGAAGCAGTACCTAAATGCCCCGCGCCTTTATATCTGGGACTGGTGGGTCTATCCATATCCGAATCGGATCGTCATGTTCCGGGTAATTGACTTCATAGCTCACATCTGTTCAATAATCACTTCAGATAAAATTGGAGAAAATCCAAGGCAGATATTATGTATCTAAATATTGGAAGCCCTCTTCACTGGCTCTTGCTTTGAATTCTTCAGGCACTGGTCAATCTGCTTCGCCATCTGCAAGCATTCCTCATCCCGCAGGGTGGTGGTAAAAAGTTGAATGGAACACGGTGTACCTTGGAGCTGATCGTAGCTATCTATATAGTGAAAAAAAAATTAAAAGATCCTCTCCGGGCAGTTTGGGAAAGGAGAGACTCACAGTCAGCTGCTATTTGATCCTCCTTGAGCTCAAACGTCTTCCCGGCATCTTGCTCGCCCACTTCTCCAAATGGCAGGATGCATGATGGGTACTAGATGATATATTAGCAACGTTCAATATGATAGAACGGAAAGACCTACATCCAAGCAGTTCAAGAAAGTGGTGTAAGGAGCGATGCCAAACATATCGTGCGGTACGGCAGTATTCTGAGCCGGAGGCGCAATGCATATATCAAGATCATGCTGTACCCACAGCTTGCGATAAGCCTCGCGCAGCTCCGCTCGTCGTACGTTGAGTAAAGCTAGCTTCTCCATTCGATCAAGGGTGCTCATATCGGGTAGGGATGGCTTCATAATTTTGCCAAGTCTCTCAAATGTCTTCACAATGTGGCCAATAGCCGGGACAACAGGCTCACCGGCTGATGCGATGAGCTTCCTGGCATTCTGATCGAGATTGAATATGCCCCACGCAATCTCGTTTGCCTCTACAACTCGGCAATCCTTTTCATCTAGATGGACTATTTGGTGGCCTTGGGATTCCAGCAAATCGACTGCTTCGGCCAGCACTCTCTTGATAGGTGGATGGAGAGGAAATATTGATGATTCGGGAACAACACCAATCTTGAGAACTGGTTTAGGATTGACCTGTCTCCACGGAACATCGTGGACACTGGAATCGTAGTTGGCAGGGCGAGCGTTGAAAAGCGACTGGAAAAGTATTTCAATCCCATTCAGATCCAATGAAAGCGGACCGATGCAGGATAGAACAAACTTCATGCCCGGTGTTGTGCAAACGCGCATTCCACCATTGGGGACTCTGGAAGCGCTGGGCCTGAAACCGTATGTCCCACAGCAGTGAGCGGGAATTCGGACGGACCCTATGATTGTGAGCACAGGTGTGAGGGATTACTGTATAGATTGACGTACCACCAATATCTGTCCCCAGTCCAAGAGGCGATCCACGAAGAGCGATCAGAGCGCCTTCTCCACCACTCGAGCCACCAGGTCCCAGCGTGGTATTCCAGGGGTTCAGAGTGCGCCCGAAAACGTTGTTGTGAGAATCGGCTGTCTAGCATAAAATCAGTACTGGGGCCCTGGGATCATTGGAGAAAGGGTTGAGTAAATACCATCATTGTCTGTGGCACGTTTGTCTTCACGTAGAGGACAGCCCCGAGATCCAGAAGAATATTCACAAGGGCTGAGTTTTCGGCAGACACATCATCCAGAAAGGAGACCATCCCAATACTCGCATCTCGTCCCTTGAAGTGAAAGTTATCCTTGATACTGATGGGAAGGCCGTGGAGTGGACCTGCTAGTTTCCCTTGAGCTCGAAGATCATCCAGATATTGAGCTCGCTCCTGAGCCTCCTCAAACATAGTCTCGGCGAGGCAAGAGACCTTCAAGGTGTTAGATAAAATTCCAGAAAAGGTGTCATATGATACCACATACCAACTGTTGGGCAACGGCAGCACGTTTGCAATAGGCCAAAGTCACCTCAACCGCGGTCAAGCTACCAGTAGCCAAAGCAGAGATCAGGCCAGAGACCGTATATCTTTCGGTAATATCTAGCTCGCGGGCTGTCAGAATTCCCGAGTCACGAATCACTTTGTTTCGAATGAGGTCGTTTTTATGATCAGATAAGGGTATATCGAAATTGGCCATGAATAGGCCCGACACTCTCCACTCAGATGGTATTCTGTTGGCGCAATCTTCTCGCTTTCTTGCGACTCTTGCCTGCCAAGAATCCGGTTGATTTATGGGGTCCATTTTGATATGCAGAATGTCCGATTGTCCAATTAGTCTTATAAATCTTCAGTTGCAAATTTTCGGGGGCGCTGAGCATTCGGAAGCTTGTCTTTCATGAGAAAGAGACATGGGGGTATATAAGTTCTCGGACTACTGGGCAGGGGCCCAAGAGAAAAATACGACATTGTGCCCGCAGAAGACGTGCGGCAAGCTCCGAGCAATGTTACTAAATTGCGTGGAAGATACGCGAAATGGATAGGATGCCTCGGCTGAAAGTGGGGTTACGATGCGGGGGTTGGTAGACATTTGAAGCATGGACTGAAGATTGGTGACACAGTTTACATCTGCTATCGCGCTAACGGTTCTCATTCGTTCGCCTAAGTCGGCTTTTATCTGCCGACCTTGAAAGCCAAAGACCATGCTCCTCACCATCTCGGCAATTTCGTGCGCTATGGCTAGACGAGCTCGTATTCTAGAATAGCGGCCATTTGCCATCGATTTCCACTAGCACCAGTGCCTGGAAGCCTCGCAGTAGAACGGAATAGGGTTCACGGTCACACTCAAAACCATTTCAAGGATTACTGTGTCAGGAAGAACACACCAGCTATGGTAAAATTTGAAAAGAATGCAGTGGCATCCTTGGCTGTCATTACTTTCTCTAACATCGTATCATTAATGCGTCTCCCTGCTACGCAGCGACTTTATCTTTCAGATAGCTATAAGAAAGTCAAGGCTCTACTGTTCTACATGATACTGAGAAGGCTACAATGGCCTGTGTCCACAAACATATTCAGAGATGCCTCGAAAATACGAAGAGAAAAGATAGAAAGATCATTCATTGTTCAAACGTTCACTATGCAAGGACGGGAAAATCAAACCGAGCAGAAATCAGTCAAAGAACATACGTGTGGAAGCAGCTCGGGAACATTGCATCTGAAAAGAATAAAGTAAACCGAGTCTCTGATATGTCAGATTACTAAATATTGCACAAGCAGCCGGGGCCCCTATCCTCACGACGGGAGGTCATATGGAAGTCCCGCCAGTGTTCATAAGTGCCTTGAGGAATAAGGTTCAAAAGCTGCAGTCTATAAATCATGTAAGACGACCAGCATTGGCAGCTCTGCGCTGGCACAGAGTATGCTTGGTCCTCGACGATAGCACCCGCGGAGGCAGGAATGCGAGCCAGAAAGTTTGTGCTTTCGAAGCTCCAGCTGTCAAATCTCTTGTTGGGCTCAATAGCAAGCTCGTAAGTACCGGGTGTACCAACAGAATGGAAGTATGTACATAGTGCTGCACCTGGGTGGTGCAGAAGAAGAATCCAATGAGTTGGATATCTAGGTTGCGCCTTGCATATTGCAATGTAGATATCATAGTGCGCGTGATCAATTCGTGGCATATTGACCTATATTTAGTGCTAGCTCGTAATTCAAAAGAAGGAACCGAATCGAAAAATGGAATGGGTAGACTTAGGCTGTTTTGCTTTCTGATTGTTGGTTGTGATGATGGGATTTGACTTCGGTGAGGATTTAATCCTTCTTATACCCATCTCTTGAAGACTTGACCTTGGAGCCATAAATAGTGAAACAAGCCTTTGTTGGAATAACAATAGAATATGTCTCGATGAGACCTGTTGATCATAAAAAGCCTTAGTGGCCACATTTGTGCATACTGTCTTTGAGCCTTGTTGGGATCGCTGTTATAGCCAATATAGATACAAAGAGACAAGGGAACAAAGGCGCAAAGTGGCAAATGGTCTTTTAGTCTTTGTAGGGAAAAAAGCATTTGTTTCATCTTGTTGAGCTCTTTGAAATAGTCCCACTCGACTCGAGTGGTATGGTATAGCGATTTCCAAGTATAGATATGAATAGGCGAACTTGAAACCGAGAGTTCACTGAAAATGTCAGAAGATAGATCCAGTGATATAGAGATACTGGCTTAGTCAAGCGGATGATAAATACAGAGACCAGAAGCCTCTGAAAACGCTCTTCCAACGCCTTCCTACCTAGATTAAGTTGGGCGTAATGTGCAATCACTGGGCTCCCATTGGACAACAGCGAGTCAGCGACCATATGTACACAAATCCATGGCAGAGTCAATGTAGACATTTATACATCAATCAACGAGTCAATCAATTCATTACCATCCAGAGCTGAGATCTAGACTGTTAATATGTAGGCCGGGTGTGTCATCTTTGAGCCTTGGCGATGATTTGACAAGGAATCAATCCATATTAACTTTCGAAGACAAGGATGGCCTACCTCCTCTAGAATTTTGCGATGATACAAAGAAATCCAGCCTATCATAGTTGAGGTATTTGCATGAATGCAGGTCCGATCGAGTCAAGCCTGATGAACTTTGCAGTAAGCGGATTTGGGGTCAAAACCGCGGAAGCCGCCACGCACAGTGATCTGCACGGAATTTATCCGGTACCCGTGCCAGTCGCAGCTGAAACAGGTTAAGAAAAACGTAGCCCTGCACCTCAATCAATAATTTCAATCTGATTTGATCGCAGCTGTAAAAAGGCAAAAGGTCTGAGAGCTAGCGACGTGGCTGAGTGGGGAGAGTTTGGATGATTAACCACTAGAGATGATCGACCCCAACACCCACGGCACCAAATAATGTTCCGCATGCCTGCCCTTGGCGCAGTTGGAGTCCTCAGCCTTGTGGCTATTTGATTTTCAAGTTATTCCTTTCACCATGCTACCTTGAAAAGGGTTTCCTATGTCTGAATCCCACGCAGCGCGCTCCCGAGTCGCCCTCCCCGATGGAGATTCGCCCCGTGGGCGCGCCAGTGATGTCCGGGTCGTCTGAGTCGCCTGATTCCCACCAGCCCGCCCCGCCCCGTAAACGAGTACGCCGCTGGCACCACCGAGGATTCACAGGCTGTTCTACCTGTCGTCGCCGTCATGTTCGCTGCGACGAAGCTTCCCCCTCCTGCAAAAACTGTACGAGGCTGGGACTCGAGTGTGATGGGACGCAGGGCCGAATGACCTTTAAGGTCTATGGCCCCACACAAACCCAGGAACCACCGCCAACAAAAGCACCCAAGAAGCGGAAGAAGAAAGAGTCGAATCCAAGCCAGCCGATTCCGGGTACGGGAACCCTCATTATAAAGAAGGAGGAAGTGCATGAGCCATGGGAAGCTGTTGTGGTTTCGCCGACTACTTTACCGCAACAATCGCAGGTCAAATTTTGTTACCACGAACCGATGCCGGCAAACCGCGTGCCCGCGTGTGTTCAAACCACGGATGATCGCTACTTCACCCATTTTATCGACCAGGTGTCCACCCTCCTTATTATTTACGATAATTCTATCAACACCAATCCTTATCGAAGGCACTTTCCTGATTTCGCGCGCTCGTCCCCTTCCATGGTGGGTGCCATGGAAGCTTTGGGCGCGTTACATTTGGCCAATACTTCTGCTGGGCGGCAGCGCATTTCGCATATCCAGCAGGCGATGAGTAAATATGGTGAAGTCGTACAAATTTTCCGGAGCCGGTATGCTCGGCCGAGCCAACAACTAGGAATGACCGACTTTGCTACTTGTTTATTGCTCTGTCTTTTCGAGGTTTGTCGATCAATCGAGAAAGCTAGTCAAATGGGATCATTTTATTGACAAACTAATAGATGATGGACTCCCAAAACCATAACTGGGCCGTGCATCTTAAGGGTGCCCGTGAGATCTATAACCTTCTTTTCTACCCCCACACTGGCGGTACCTCCACTCGCGAAGATCAGAGGATTGCTGAGTCCAATCATCCTCTGCGATCATTCCTTGTGTCTTTGCTGTCCTACCTCGATGTGGCTGGTGCATGTGCTACCCCCGGTGGTACCGTTGTCGAAGGGAATTATTGGAAGACCCTTGGAGGCGGATGGGAATACAACCTAGGGACACCTAGCTTATCATCATCCACAATGCCCGACAATCCGCGCTTAGTTGAATTGCGACACGCATGGTCAGGAATGATGGAGGTTCAGACATCGATTAGTCTTCTCGCTCGTGATAAACAATGGATGCCCCCCGACCAGCAAGACATGGTTTATAAAGATATTTTCAACCGATTGGTGGTGTGGCGGGCTAGCACGCCAATTAGCCTCCAGCTCCTGGGTGATATGGAACTCGACGATGAAAGTCTGCGCCAATTTCCTTTCCCCGATATGTTGGAGTATGTTGGATGCGTTGAGGCTTATGAGAAGGCGACCTTCGTGCATCTACATCAAATTGCTGGTACGGGTCGACCGAATTGGATCACTGATCGAACTTACTTGGATATGCTCATCACCCGCATTCTCACCTTGATCCGCAAGTTATCCAAGGGCGTTGGCCAATTAGCCGTTCTATGGCCCCTCTTCATCGCTGGACAGGAAACGCGCAAAAAAGACGAACAACAATACGTTCGCCAAACAATGGAGGAGTTGAAGCGTTTTGGCTTCAAAAATGTCGACAAGGGCTTAGAACTACTAGAGGGAGTGTGGTTCAAACGACGGGCTTTCCCTGAAGGTTGGACCGAGACATTGGATGAAATTCAGTCGAATATTCTCCTACCCTGATCTATGAGTTACCCACCAAACTTGAACGGGCAGGCCCCTTCGGACGACCTCTGAATCTCGAGCACACATTACTTGCATCACGTACGATAGCGCATTGGAGAGCCTCCAACCATGCACATAGTTTTTGCATATACCTTCATACTCATGCCATGAATACCAATTTACGAATTTTATGATATGATCAGCCTTCTCTTTTCATGTTCGAATAGTCTCAGTCTCAGAAATATCAGCCCGTGCAATGCACGGTTCGCTCCAGGAAAGCTCACGCGGGTCCCAAGTGGGGCCCGTATTCAACCGGTTTTTGGTGGGCTTCATGACCACGAATCAGCAACGAGCTCTAACTTGCTTTTTCCCTTGGGGAAATGTTGCGCCATCCTCCTCTCCACTCTGATGCGTCCCCGCTGAAATCATGGAACCTTTCCCAGGCCGCGAACCACGGGTTAGCATTCAGATCCTCCGGCTCCTCTCATCCACCGTCTAAGTTTCCACCAAGCAGGCTAGACGCGGTCGGCGCCTTAAAAAAATCAAGAAAAAAAAGACATAGCTTTGGACGGACCAGACAGCTCCGGGATTCCAACACATTGCTTCGGAAATCGGAACGCAGTGAACGCTTATTTCTTATTCCCAGCTCTTGTAACCATCATCTTGACTGATCTCCAGGTAACGTGGGATCTAATCGAAGCTCGAAACTGGGCTTACTGCAGGGAAACAAGCTCAAACTCAGCAGCAAAGACCTGCGGGTGATAACTCCCCCTGAGCTTTTCCAAGATAGGCTACTGCAGTGGGCTCCCTAATCTTCCCGTTCGGTGGGGTTGTTCCTGACCGGGGCGCGAAACGGAACCATACTCTGGGCCGATGTCAATCGGGGAAATTTTCATCTTTGACTTTTGATTCTGTATTCGATCTGCAACGCAAGGATAACCTTGTTAAACCAACATTATCCCGATTTTCAGCCTTGCGAGTTTTTTCCTTCGTAATTAGGTCATCAGGAAACTCCTTTATTCGCGGGTATGGCGCAAGAGAACCTTGTGGTCGACGGTCGCGAAGACTTGCATGTCGCTGGTGAGGGCGATCTGAACGAAAATGGGGCCAAAGATGATGCGGCTTTGCTGGTAAGTAGCTGCAATTGCACATATGCCTAGCTCACTATCTTTCGGAGTTATAGACTAACTTTATTGCAGCAAACCATGGGATATAAGCCGGTAGGGATCAAGCCTATCTGATACACGATTTCTATGATCGGCAATTGATAACTGTTTCGGCTCAGGTGCTTCATCGGACTTATACGCTCTTTGAGAACTTTGCAACTACCTTTGGTGAGCAATAGCATGAAGATTTCTTGATGCGGAGTTTTGCTAATTTTTGTAGCTGCGCTTTACTTCGTCGGTGGTGTGCGCGTCACTTATAGTACCGGTATTGCGGCAGGTGGAAACCTAGCTTACTGGACTAGTTACCTGGTCACTCTGGTCTTCACTTTTATCACGGCCGCTGTCATTGCCGAGGTGTGCTCGGCTTCTCCCTCTGCAGGTTCGATTTACCTGTGGGCGGCGGAAGCCGGTGGCCCTCGTTATGGCCGTCTGCTGGGATTCATTGTTGCATGGTGGAGTACCACAGCATGGACCACCTTCTGCGCCAGTAACACCCAAGCTGCCGCGAACTACATGCTTGCTGTATGTCTCAAATGATCCGATCAGTGATTAGCTAATATTGACATTTCCTAGGAACTCACCGTGTTTAACGTTGACTTCCCCAAAGACACCGACAGTGTTAAGTTCCGTGCTGTGCAATGGATTTGCACTGAACTCCTGCTTGCCCTAGCTGCCCTTCTGAACTTCATGCCTCGTAAGCTCGGCTTTTTCTGGTATCATCTATCATCTTTACTGACGCAAATCCTTCAGCTCGCTACTTCAGATATGTCTTCTGGGTGTCCGCTGGGTTTGTCATGTTGGACTTCTTCCTCAACCTCATCTGGTTGCCTATTGGTGCCGCCAACACTTGGGGTTTCCGCTCAGCCCACGAGGCTTTCATGACAACCTACAACGGCACCGGCGCTCCCGAAGGCTGGAACTGGTGTCTGTCCTACCTGGCCACGGCCGGTATCCTGATCGGTTTCGATGCCTCTGGTCACGTTGCCGAAGAGACTAAGAATGCCTCGGTCACTGCGGCCCGCGGTATCTTCTGGAGTACCGTCGCTAGTGGTATTGGTGGCTTGGCTACCATCATCCTGTTCTTGTTCTGTTCGGTGAGTACCAAGCCCATCATTAGCAATAATACTCGGACTCTACTAATTCTCATCTAGCCTACCGCCGATGTCCTCATGAGCTTCGGCTCCCCACAACCTTTTGTGCCACTGTACGCGGTTGTCTTGGGCAAGGGCGGTCACGTCTTCATGAACGTTGTCTGCATCGTCGCGCTCTGGCTGGTAAGATCCGAGATGCCTTCGAGAATGTCTATATTTTAACTATTTTCAGAACACTGCGATTGCCATAATTGCCGCCTCTCGTCTCGTTTTCGCCGTCGCTCGTGATGGTGTCCTCCCATTCTCGGGCTGGGTTTCCAAAATTCACGACGGCCAGCCGCGCAATGCCGTCATCGTAGTCTGGGGCGTCGCAGCCCTTGTTACTTGCACCATCTTGCCCTCAAACGTGGCTTTCACTTCTCTCGTTTCGGCGGCCGGTGTTCCCAGCGCCGCTGCCTACGGACTCATCTGCCTCGGTCGCCTATTCTGTACCCCCACGCGCTTCCCCAAGCCCAAATGGAGCCTTGGTCGGTGGAGCAAGCCCTTCCAGTTCATCGGTGTGTTCTGGAATGGATGGGTCGTGGCCGTCCTATTCTCGCCATATGAGTGGCCCGTCACCGGGGCTAACCTAAACTGTTCGTATTCCATATCACCGTATTTGTGTTCCTCGAACTAACTTATTTCAGATGCCCCTATCATCATGGGAGGTGTCACCATCATTGCATTGGTCTGCTACTTCATCATGCCAGAAAGCGCCTGGCTCCCGAATGAGCGGATCACGCATTTCATCGACTCGAAGGGTGCGAACGAAACAGTCGAGGAAATCGAATCCTCGACTCAGGGCGAACCAAATGCCGACCGGACGTGATACGAGCATATCACCCGGTCCACCCTTCTCGTCCATGCCTCCCTCGCTTTTGGCGCGTGTTTTAGTTTCCTCGCCGCGCCTGCGGAAAATTACTTTGGCTAATCGTCTTAATTGACAACATCGTTGCAGTTTGCCATTTTTTGATCATTTGATCATTGTTCGGAGACCATGGGTACCTGTGCTTCTCCGAGGGCATTGCAGCACGATTGACGGGTGTTCGGGGCTTTACTCAAGCCTCGTTCTGAGACCTTACCGTTAGAACTTGATCTGGATAATACCAGCGAAAGGACATCAACTTAGCTAGAATCAGACTGTGATCCTTGCTCTTACTAGTTTCAGTGAATCAATTTGGAATTCTTTTGTTGGACTTGATTTATACATGTATCTGATAGCCGAGATCGTGAGTATAGTAGATGGGATGTATCGTAGTTTGCGACCTCGGGCTAGTACCTAGTACACTAGTTGAGCCAGTCTTTAAATTGAAATACTCATAGCTTGTGGAGCTAAAATTAGTCTCAGGGGTTTATAGTTTCCCGAGCATAACGGCTGTATCAGCAAAGCGGCCAATGCGGGGAAACAACGGGATTCACGCCGACATATTGACTACCGAGCCCCCTCACCTGGGCATCTCTGCAGAACCATCTTAACATTTAAATTCCTTCCAGCTTCCCAAAGCACTTCTTTCGTCCACAGCATTCAAAAATTACACCACAAGATTCGTACAATTCTCCCAAAATGTCCCAAGGCTCAAGACTTCAAGGCAAAGTTGCCATCGTCACCGGTAAGGTCTCGCATCTACCTTAGCTCTGCGCTGCATGTACCCAATGCTCATAAAACCACCATATAGGAGGTGGCTCCGGATTTGGCGCCGCAATTGCCCGTCGCTTCGGCGAAGAAGGCGCCAAAGTAATCGTCGCCGATATCAACACCGAAGGAGGCGAGAAAGTAGCCTCGCTGAACCCCGCAAACCTGATCTTCCAACGCGTGGACGTGACACAGGCGGATGACTGGAAGACAGTTGTTGACATTGCGTTTTCCAAATTTGGACGATTGGACATTTTGGTTAACAATGCTGGCACTACATACCGGAACAAGGTGGGTTCGAAGTTGCTTGAGTATGAGATAAGAGAGTGTTGTTGCTAATCGTTATACAAGCCCACGATTGAGGTGACCGATGACGAATTCGAGCGTGTGTTCAGTGTCAATGTGAAGAGTATTTATTTGGCTGGAAAGATCGTTCTTCCTCGTTTTATCGAACAGGGGTCTGGGGGGTCGATGATCAACATCTCTTCTACGGGTGCGAGTCGGCCGCGGCCGGGGCTGGTGTGGTATAATGCATCCAAGGGAGCAGTCACAAATGTGAGTTTGCTTTCCTCTTCAATTGGCCGGTGGAGCAGTGTTGATTTTCTATATAGGCTACCAAGGGTCTTGCAGCGGAATATGGTCCGCACAATATTCGTGTGAACTCTGTTGCGCCTTTGCTGTCTGGAACTGGACTCTTTTCTATGTTTACGGGCATGGAAGATACGCCTGAGAATCGGACGAAGTTCATTGGTAATGTGCCCCTAGGACGTCTTACCGAGGCAGATGATATTGCCAATATGTGCTTGTATCTTGCCAGTGATGAGGGTAGCTTTATCAATGGTACGGAGATGGTTGTTGATGGTGGAAAGTGCATTTGATTTCGTGTTGCTTCTTGTTATAGGCGAATATGGCATTTGGAATTTTTGAAGATCATAACCCATTAGCAAAACATATGGGGAGAATGAGGTAGCCGGCATCTATTCGGGATATGTTCAAGGCTTTAAAGCATAAGACTCGATATAACTTTTCATCCAGCAGGTAATCACCTCCATTATATATTCTCCCATGTTCAAGGCTTTCACTTGTTAGAATCGGCGCTTCTCCTCAGCCGGTTGGTTGTCAACTGCTTTCTCAATTTTCTCCAACACCTCGGGTGTCAACTTATCAACAAAGGCCAAAGCACGCACGTTATCCCGCACCTGCTCTGGCCGCGAAGCACCGGTTATCATGGAAGAGATGTTGGGATTCTTCAAAATCCACGCCAGAGACAGCTGAGCAGTGGTAATGCCCAGACCATCAGCAATAGGTTTCAAAGCAGCCGTCTGCTCCAACTGCTTGGTCCACGCATCGTCACCAACAGTCTTGCGCAGACCCTTCACATATCCATCTTCAGACTCTGCTAGCCGAGAACCCGGTGGTGGCGCCGTAGTCCCATTGTACTTGCCTGTCAAGACACCCCCCTTAAGCGGCGAGAAGGTAGTAAGGCCCAGTCCGTGGGCATCGTAGAGCCAGCGATATTCCTTTTCCACGCGCTCGCGTGCAAGAAGGTTATATTGTGGCTGCTCAACGACGGGGCCCACGAGACCCAATCTATCAGCGATGCGCCAGGCATCTGAGATCTCGCTTGCGGACCACTCTGATGTTCCCCAGTAGAAGGCCTTGCCGTTGTCGATGAGATAGTTGAAGCCGCGGACGACCTCCTCCATTGGAGTGTCGCGGTCTGGGCGGTGGGCGTAAACAATGTCTACGTATGGCAGGTCCAGTCGCTTGAGGGATTGGTTCATGCCCTCGACAATGTGCTTTCTTGAGAGGCCGTTGTTATTGAGTGGCTTGGCAGGGTTGGCGGCGTTGGCGCGGCCCCAGTAGATCTAGTTAAGGATCAGAATTGAATGGTGTGGATATAAGCACGGGTTGATTAATACCTTGGTTGAGATCACAAGATCATTCTGCTTCCAGCCAAATTTCTTAATTGCCTCTCCGAGGACAATCTCGGATTGGCCACCAGAGTAAACCTCGGCGGTATCAAAGAAGTTGATGCCAGCATCATACGCAGCCTTCATGCAGTCGAACGCAATTTCTATTCCTGTATTAGATGGGAAGCATTCATATCATTGCGTTACTCACCGTTGCCGACATGGCCACCGTAAGTGAGCCAGCTACCCAGGGAAATGACAGAAACCTTCAGTCCTGTCCGGCCAAGGTGGCGGTACTCCATCTCAGGAAGAGCGTCAGACATTTTGATGGGATTTAGAAGTAAGATTGAAGGTAAGATAGGTGAGACAGATGAGAAAAGGGAGATTGAAGAGAAAAAGCCAGAGAGAAAATACAATGAGGTGAGGGGAGTAATTAGAGCGGATTCGGTCTCTTAAATGCGTTATATCCGGGCCGATGCGGGGGTCATGCACGGGCCACATGGCACTGGACCCTCATTTCCCTCATTGAGACGCCGAAGCAACTCCACCTATCGTATGCAGAACTCTGTTCCATTAGATTTTGCCTAATTTCCTTTGCTTTGAAATCCATTCCTTTCATTTCGTCATTGCGGCGTAATGTTGGGATTGTTCCTGGACTTTGATATCTTCTTTGATAGCCTATCTGTAAATCTGCATCAGCATTTATAGGAGACATCAATTGAAACAATCAGATCCCTTACTCTACAGAATTTAACGAGATAGATTCTCATAAAGTACGAAGCTACAACTACTTATAACGCTGCGTAGCTTCATGACTTCCTGGGGTTGTGGAGTATGCCGGATGGGTCAAGGATAGTTAACGTGTCCACGGTTGACTACTGGGTACTATTCGGCCACTTCTCCCCAAAACTTAAGTAATGTACAAGATACCACGTACTTTCCATTGCTAAGTTCGTTATTGGTATTCTCCTAGCTCGATATCTGCAATGTTAGTGTCTCCCAGAGCAACGTATAAATCTCGATCCGAGACTATTCCACCTTAGATGTCCTTGCTTAGTTTCTCTTGTTGATCAATTGAGCCTTATGGCATGCTTCTCCACAATAATAACACCAAGCTACACCACACCCGTGCACGGTGTAGTGTAGATAGCCAAGTTGGAATGGTCGTTGAGTGAGAATGCCGCAATTGTGGCAGGGTGTGACCATAAGGGAGCAATTGTAGGTATAATAATGACGAAAGATATGATATGAAAGACAAAAAGGCTCTAAATATATAGATATCTAAGGCTGGGAATGATGCGCCAAAACAAAAGGACTTGATTCGGATTATTTCGTTCTCAATTGACTTGAACTGACAGAGTTAATGTTCCTACGCCTTCCAAAGTATTAGTGTAACAGCCGAGAACATATCAGAGGAGACAAAACCAGAAATGGAAAAGACGGGAAAGCACATGAGTAACCACATATGAGATGTACGTATACCAGGAACAAGTGAAACAGATAATAATGCACTGTGGGATGTCAAAGAGGAAGAAAGAACAGGAGCCAAAAGCAGTATGATTGACCTATCAGGAGTATGGAATCATAAGACTCCAACAGCTGCCTAACTACATGATAGCCCGACTCCAAAATATCTCTGCATTGGCTTCCAAAACTTGTGAAGTAAGAATAATGAGATTCAAGGAGAGTAAGCCACTGGTAAATTAATGATTGTCATCGCTTATTACCAACATGATTGCTTGAAACATACGAGATGCCTGGAAACTTTAAAGATTATTTTCCTCTGTTTCGAAACATGATATCCCCATCTGTGGACCCTTCATAACTACCACAAAGCCACCTTCCAAATACAAGCCACCTTATTTACATCCAATAGCCGCCGCACCAGCCTGGTCAGGATAAACAGGAGTCTCAGTCGGGTCAGCGCACTGACAGTAAGACGTCTTAGCAGGGACGTCACGGCAAACATCCGCCGTGGCCGTGGCGCAGTACTCATTAATACTAATGGAAGTAGTCATACCAGGCGGGCAAGACTGATAGGGCATACAGAAAGTATTGATTGTCGAGGATCCGGCCAGCATGGTCGTACTGTACCATTGATCGGCTGCGCAGGAGCAAGAAACGGCTAGATAATACAATCAACACAAGAAGAGAAAGAGCCAAAGTCAGCCAAAGTCAGTACTTACCACTAACAACAGTTGAAGAACCTCCAGCGAGCATTCCATCGTAAAGCGTCTTCGTCGTGTACGGAATCGCCCCATTCGAACACTCCGTCGTGATCCACGCAGCGTCGAGTGCATAGCAAGTCGATAGCTCCATGCAATGATCCGGATGCCAGACTGACGGGAAGAAGCCTTTATCGCACTTCATTGGGGGCTCTTTCTTGAAGCAGTAGGATACCGGAGTACCCATCGTGCAGTCCGTCGTGTGCAAGACTGTCGAGCCGTCAGTGCAATGAAGGCTTGGAGCTACAGTCGGTTCTGGAGCAGCTGCTTCCGTGATTGCTGCCATTTGCCGCACTGGGTCGACTATCGCGGTCTCGCGGGGAATCGCCATTACAGCGACGTAGAACAAGAAAGTGACAAAAATCTGACGGAAACCCATTTTTGCGATTGAAAGCTGTTGAAAGACAGGTTACTTAGACTCGGAAGATGAATGAAGTTTTGTTGAATAGGAGCTTTTTATGATCCGGTTCTTTCTCTCGAGATTATGATGTGCTTTTATACCGCATTGTTAGCTTCGTATATCACTAAGATGCCGGTCCATTGCAACCTTCTAGACCTGGTTCGAAAATCTCATCAGAAACATCGTAGCTGTAGCTCTGCATGACAGCATCATCAGAGACACTGAAACTACGACGAAGTAAGATATCACCATGTAACCCATCGAGCAGATAGTGGAAATTCCAAGATGGTGTGGTAAAAATCTCCATAAAAATAGCAATGGCGACGCAATAGCGGGATCATTCACCTAAGCTTAGTGTTTGAGGTCGAGAGCTTTCTTCAACTTAAAGGCTCTAGATTCCCGCGTTATCCCTGTTCTGCTGTGACAGTCTGATGGACAAACAGCTTCAGCTATGGATTTATTGGTGGAAGATAAGTTCGCTGCAGCTTATACGATCTCATGTACTACCTACACTCGTAGTTTTTTCTGCAGAAGATGAAGCACTTTACGACACTAAAATTTGGTTTGGTTCGTTGCCGGATGATATCAGCACATGGAATGGGTTGACCAAGACGGGTACGTACGCTTCAAATTCGAGTTGAGATGAGCTTCTTCCACTTTTAGGGGGCCTCGACGGTGATTCTTACACTGTGTGGAGTCATTTCTGTGTTTCCTTTTCCCTTGCACAGTGTGTCGTACAGGAGAAAAAAAATTATGCATGACCAGCATCGAAAGTGAGACTGGCGCTCTGAGACAGCAGCTGAGATGGTCTGAGGTTAATGCACGTTTGGTTCCATCAAATGTGGCCCAGAACGATAGTCACAGTGCTTTAGAATAGATTCTAGACTTGTATCATGTTGATTTTAAGACAATGTGCTGTCGTTCAACCTTACATTTTTATGCCTCTTGTCGATCTGCCTCCCGGAGCATACTTGTAGCCTGGACGATCAAAGATTACACCGCGTCACTAATGGTTTATTGGTTGCTATCAATGATTATCAGGAACGCCATCCTTGGTCCATGCTCTCGGGGCGCTCTTTGCTACCATACCTTTGAGGAAAAGACCAAGAGTGCTGTCGTGCCCTGGCAGGTTTCATTGAACGTCTTTCCAGCCGGGCTTGAAATCCTTGGCCTGAATCCGCTCTCTCTGAAAAGGTAAAATGGACTTCTGCCAAGAAAGATGACATAGCCCAACATGTTGCTTTGGCCGATACCTCTATTAACCTCAGTCGAGTTCAGAAGATTCAACCTGGACCGTACCTGGGGTATCAGTACGCAGACACCAATACCCCATCCGATCTCATCATCTGAAGAATTCTTTTCGGAAATTCCATAGTTTCAAGACTGTACAGAAGGTGACCGATGGTGGAGATATATTCATGATTTGCTTATGCAGCCATCGCTGTCCTCGACTAGTCTGTATACGAATGCGCTAGTTTCCATGGGCATCGCTACCTGGGCAGGGTCAAGATTATGATGTTGTTATCGCAGATGAATTCCAGCGTAATTCGAAGCGACCGGAGACAAAAGGCCCGGCGCACGCCTGATAAGCTATCGGTGCTATCCGGTGGCGGCGAGGACGGGAACGCCCCTTACGTGTGACCATCGATCTATCCGCAAACGATGCGGACCTGGAGGCTATCTGGGGTTATCATCGCCACCATCCGCCTTCAGTCCAGGCCAAAATTCAGAAAAAAAGAAAAACAAAAAAAAAATCGCCGACGGCACTTGAGTTGCTATTCAAGGCATCGGTGATTGGCTGAACGGTTACTTTGGATGAGAATAGCTTTGTCACGATTTTTAGAGGGGGTCTCATGGATATAAGGCTTATCGATGACGGTGAGAAAGGTCCCGCGCCGTCGAGTATAGCCCCGCTCGGTCTAGAGTGTATCAAGTGAATGAGGAGCGATCACTGTACATCTTACTGTTTCTAACTAGGAAAAGAACACCCCAGCTTACGAATACTCTAGGTGCGATCCGAATCGCCAATTATATGGGGTTCCTGGATCCATGCGGATAAGCCACAAAACCCGGGGGACCAGGGACCATGGAAGTGGGGCGGGTGGGACTAGCCAGCCCATGGGAATTCCTCTGGGAGATTGTCAATAATGACACATGTGTGGTATTCTAGACATAAGGTACATTAGTTGTATGAATTACACATGTATAATAGGAGGAAAAACTTGCTTGCCTTAGAAATCCATTTGAGGCGATGTGAATGTCCATCTACCCGCACGGGTAAAGTGGGGTGACGTCACCGAAATCTGGGTCACTGGATCGGCAAGCCGCTACGCGTTCCCCCATTCCGCCCAAATCTTTCAACCAACATTCATCATTTTTTTTATTTTTCCTCCCCTCTCCCCAAACAACGGCTCTCCACACATCTAGCCTTCGAGGTCGATCAAGCCACATGGGCCTCTTTCAACCATGGATGATTCAACAGAGCAGATTCTGTGTGACCATGAAGCAGACCGTCAAACTCGCGAAGTCTATCGGTACTTCCAACCTGCAAACCCCGCAGCGCTAAATGCAACATGGCCCCCTGAAGACGATTTGACCACTACAATTGGCCTGTCCACAGCTACAGTCTCCGTTGATTCTGTTCTAGATGACGAGATCTTCGAGACACACTCAATCGAAGCTGGTCGTCTGTACAGCCCGAATACGACTTTGACATCATTTGCACAGCTAGCAGCTCTGCGCCTGAATGCACAACGTGCTTTCATAACGTAAGTTTACCTTTTGCCTTGTGAGAACTTTAGTCTAACCTATTCCTCTTAGAATCTTGAACCGCGACTCACAGTTCATATTAGCGGAAGCCACGAAAACGACCAACGTGGGAAGCTCGACATTATTCAGTGAAAAGGGTGACAACCTTTTTGCCGGAACGTCCACGCTATCAAACACTTGGAACATCTGTCATGTAATATCTGACCTATCTATCAACGTTACGATGTACCCAACATGTCTCTGATACTGATTTGTTTCTTCAAACAGGAAACAGTCAATATCCAGTCGGACCAACAGCAGGATGGCACATATCCTTTTCTCATCGTCAACGACCTTGAACAAGATGAACGTTTTAGACAGCTCCCCTTCGTACAAAGTGAGCCACATTCCCGTTTCTATGCCGGAACGCCCTTAACGAGCGACAGCAACATCAATCTGGGATGCTTGTTTATATTGGATAGCGAACCGCGTGAAGGGCTGAATGACGTTGAGAAGGATATACTTGGGACGGTCGCAGCTATGGTAATGGACTACTTACAGGTCAGCCGCCAAGCTGTTGAAGGACGCCGTGCCTCGCGGTTATCACGAGGTCTCCGTCTTTTTGTGGACGGTAAATCCAGCTTCGCGGATCATGTTCCCTCTACTCGCTCGCACAGTCTAAGTCACAGCTCAAAGTCGTATACATCGCCTTATCGCAAGGCGAGCCGATCCGCAAACTCTCAAAATAGCGGTTCCAACATTCGCGTGGCACAGTCCGAGATCGACGATATGCCCATTCAATATGACGAAGTTCGAGCTCCGAGTCCAAGCTTAACCGAGGACTTGAGGGTTGGCATGTCAGCTAGTCCTGCGCCATCATCGCAAAGCTCGAAACAGACCGATAGTGGCTCGATGGTCTCGAGTAACACCGATTGGTTATTTCAACGAGCGGCGAACCTCCTACGGCAAAGCCTGGACCTGGACGGTGCTGGAGGTGTGATGCTTTTGGAGACTGCGGATGACCTGTCAGATCTCGGCGCCCGTAGCTATTCGTCTTCTGGGGATACGTCGTCCGTTGATAGCAAGACTTCAAGCTCTGTTCTTGCGCTGTCCACCAGAGAGGATCCGTTCTCATATCAGACGGGTCCTGATATATCACATCCAGCAGCCAAACTCGAGAATGCCTTTTTAGCCCAATTATCTCGCCGCTATCCCAAAGGTAGGCTCTGGTCATTCCATCGTGACGGGAGTTTATCAACTTCGGATGAAGAGCAGTCCGTTGGCGCCTCGCGAAAATACAATCAATCATCCAGGGCCTTGGAGGCCAGCAAATTGAAAGCCTACTTCCCTGATGCGACTCAGGTCATGTTTGTTCCATTGTGGAACGCCACTAATGCGCAGTGGTTTGCAGGGTGTTTCTCTTGGACTTCTCAGCCTACACGCGTCTTTAGTCGGGCAGTCGATTTGACCTCGATGTTTGGCTTCGCTTCTTCCATGATGACTGAATATGGCCGTGTTGAATCAGTTGTTTCGGACCGTCAAAAGGGAGATTTCATAAGTACTATATCTCATGAATTGCGTAGCCCATTACATGGTGTCTTAGCGGCCACCGAATTCTTGGGTGGGACTCAATTGGACGACTTTCAAGAGTCTCTTCTCGATACCGTAAATGCATGCGGCCGGACCCTCTTGGATACGATGAACCAAGTTTTGGATTTCAGCAAGATATTGTCCTTGGAGAGACAAAAAAATAGGTCCAAACGCAAAAAAGATCCATGGAGACCAAAACCCCCAGACGAAATTCAAGCGCGAATGGATCCCCATGTCTCAACGAACGTTGCCATTTTAGCAGAGGAAGTTGTGGATAGCGTGTGCTTGGGGCATCCCCATGTCCGAAAATCAGCCACGCCAATCAATCAACCCCTAGGGAAGTCACCGGATTTGTCACCCAAGTCATCCCGAGAGAACAACCAAGTTAGCACGAATCCAGATGTGGAGGTTATTGTTAATGTTAGTGACAATGACTGGTGTTACAATGTTCAACCCGGCTCACTGAGGCGTCTTATAATGAACCTTCTCGGCAATTCCCTGAAATATACAGAAAAAGGCCAGGTCTCTGTCTCAATCCAGGCAACTGAGAATTCAAAGGGTCGTACTCGTCGTCAGGGTCTTGAGGACATTGTGACGTTGACTGTTTCAGATACCGGTAAAGGTATCTCAAATGAGTTTCTTCAGACACGTCTATATACCCCATTCGCACAAGAAGATACTCTTTCGGTGGGTACTGGCCTTGGTCTATCAATCGTTCGAGGCATTGTGAGAACACTCAATGGAAACATCAGAATCCAAAGCCGAGTAGGCCAAGGCACCACTGTTAAGGTGACTTTTCCCCTCGAACGTCCAGTGGGAGAGAAGAGCCTTTCATCAATACCTCGCGCCAAGAACTCGGAGCAGGAAAAGTTTCCTGAGCCCTCCCAACTGCTTCAACTGAACTTTACCGGAAAACGTGTCGCGATATGGGGGATGAATCCCTCTCATATTGATGGCCATCACTTCTGGTCTTCAATTGCTCGGTATATCACAGACTGGTATGGCTTGAAGCTGGTGTCTTGGTCCGCCGATGAACACATCGATGTTCTACTTGCAAATGAGAGCGACTTGTCTGCTGAAGAACTTCAGCATTTGCACGCCGCGTTGCCAAGCATCCTCATTTTCGGCACCGAAATGGACTGCTTGAGTAGATCTAGGAAGCGATGGTCGCATCTCGCTAACTCCGTGGAGACCATTCGTCGACCATGTGGTCCACAGAAGCTCGCTAGAGGAATCTTGAGCTGCCTTGACCCAAAACCGGCATCTCCTGCGCCGTGCTTAGACCCTTCTGAGCCGAAATTTGTTTTATCTGAGCGACCAAAGTTCTCAGTTCCGAGGCCATCAACTGAGAATTTCAGATCAACGTCATTTGAAAGTATAAGACCTCCTGGTGTTGGATTATCCAATCCTATGTCAGGTTCCGCTGGCCGGGTTATGTCTCCTGCGAAACGTAATCTTTCTGGCCAGACTTCAGATACAGACGGCTCTACTCGCCTCACATCTGGAAGTACATCTTCCAGCCCTCACGCACCCTCCTCCGCTTCCTCCATTTCTCCCCCCATCGGCTCAGCTCCTGTTGACTCCTCGCCTGGAAACGAAAGCAAACCCCGAATATTGCTGGTCGATGACAATGACATCAACCTCCGGCTTATAGGAACTTTGATGAAAAAACGGAACATCATCGCTGACACGGCACAGAATGGTAGGGAAGCCGTCAACCTGGTTGCGCAGAAGTTACCGGGGTATGACCTCATTTTTATGGACATGTCTATGCCCGTCATGAACGGGTTTGAAGCGACTCGTGCAATACGTGCGATTGAAAGAGAACGGGATGGCTGCGTTCCGGCCAAGGTTATCGCATTAACTGGCCTTAGTAGTCTGCGTGACGAGTTACAAGCAGTGGAGTGCGGAGTGGATGTCTTCCTCACGAAACCTGTTTCGTTCAAGAAGATATCGCGGTTGCTGGATGATTGGGAAATTGGATTGTCAAAATAATTTACGACGATATGATTCACGTCTAACATGCAGATTTTGCGCAGATATATGGGAAGGCTAAGTAAGACCTCACTCTTGTCTCGACAGCTTGGGATAAGCAAGAGACAATATCAGTTGCCCGGGGCGCAACAATGAATATGAATTCGGCAGACTTTGTCAGGAAACAAACAGAGTCCTCTCTCGTACTCTGAAAACAACACGCGTTCGAATGTGACGCTAGCCTTATTAGCTTCATATTGGCAGTGTCACAGGGCTTGGCTTTCGCACGTACTTCAGTTACTAACCCCTAAATACAGGCTTCAAATTCGGGGGGTAAGCTCCGAGAAGACAATCTGTCGCAAAGGTTGGAAGAATCCTTCGGTCTTTCAACTCTGGAATATTTGTGGTGACCAGCAACAAGACGAAGTAGTAGACCGGGCAAGTCGTCCCGCGACCTAGACTTCGGTACGTACAGCAACATGCCCAAACTAACGAACACGCAGAATAGGAAAGGGTTTGATCAGGTAGTGTTGAATTTTTTTAAATAACAAGAATGATGATATATCACCGACAAGATCACAGTTACCAGTAGACCATCCGATATAGGCGGAATAAAGCATGTACACGAATAAAAATCCTGGCCACAGTCCAATAAGCCAGCAGGACAGTAGAAAACGTAGTACGCCCAGAGTAGACTCGATCTGCTAGTGCTTGAGACGGTCTAGTATCCTCTCTTGTGCAAGTGGCCATGGTGGTGGACATGTCTGCGCGCATGTCCCAGGTTGTAATCGATCGCTTCAGAATCCTCCGGGATACTGTCTCTTGCGACATATGAAACAACGGTAGAAGTCTCAGTAGCTGTAGTCGTGCCCGTCGAAACAACACGCGCAGCGCCCGTGCTAGTGGCATAAGGTATCCCATCCTCATCAATCATAACAACGACCTCCTGTTGCAGATAGATCACTTCTTCAGTAAATGGATTAAACTCAATCGAAGTGGTAGGCGTCGGAGTCGGCGTCGAACTAGTGGTGGAACTAGTGAAGGCAGTAGTAGCAGCATCATTCGCTGCAGTATCCGCAGACTCAACTTTAACATTGGCCCCAAACCCGAAACCAAGTGATAGAGACGGGATAACCAATGTAGGAACAATATCCGACAAATAACCCGGTCGAGTAGTCGTCGGAACAACCGTAGAACTCATCACCATAGGCGAAGCATATGCCGGACCCCACGCAATAGGAACATTTCCAGGCAGTCCATCAGCATGCATATGAGTATTTTCACCCTGAAGCTGAGCCGGTTCCTCAAAAAAGCACTGGCGCTGATCGGTCTCACTCTGCACATCGAAGACTTCACAATCATTAACAATCCCCGTCGCACTAGTGCAGGTATCGACAGCTTGCTGCAGGATCCCATCTTCCCACCCGTACATGAAATCACCATGATACCCGAATCCAGTCGGATCACCATTCGCCAACGCGAAATATCCGTCCACGTCTTTAAACGCGTATGTGTTCCAGATCGTCTCGTAGAATAGTGAGACTAGTTGCGTCTCGTATCCCTCCGGACATGTTCCCGTCATCACCAGATCGGGATACGCAACGTGGGATTTGTGGTCTGGGGAATCGACGTCCTTGCCATTCCAGCATGAGGGGAACATAAGTTCCAGGCGCAGGCCGTCAGTGCAGTGCTCATCGAGGTAAGTTTTGTTCGGCATGAAATGGCGGGTGAGAGAGCCTTCGGCGGCGGTATTATAGTTTAAGCAGTTGAAGCCTAGGGCCTTTTGGCGAAGCGCTTTTTGGGATACTTGGGCACCGGTCCATGAGGACTTGGGTGGGTCAGGGATTGGCCAGGTGAAGTTTCGTTGGAATGGGTCTCCGGCAAGCATGCGGAAATTGTCTGGGAAGGCAGTGATATTCTCCCCGTATAGAAGATAGTAACTGTAGAGGGTTAGAATGGTATCAGCCATATACGGGGCTGGAATTTACTTACCTTAGCATGCCTCCAACCTCTGGGACAATTTGTGCAGAGCCATTTGTATGCATAAAGTACAGTGCGGGAGTCCAATACGCGGACAAATCCTGCGTTACGGCACAGGAAGTGCAGTTCGACTCTCGCAGAGTCGTACTATCCGAGCTCATGCCGAAGTCTGTCATCGATGATCAGTAAGGGCACACTATAAACACTATATAGCGATTCCAATCTTAGGGCTCACTCACTTCCTCCGCCATGAATAGAGTGCACATGCGACGAGATCACTCCTGGGTCCACAATCGGGTCCAGCCGTGCAAGGCCAGTTCGCCCACGGCAGGGCAGGCGCCAGAATGCATCAGTAACGCCTGAGAAGATAGCAAGGCAGGCTACAAAGGCCGCCTTAAATTGAATGCCCTGCATCAGGAAAGAAAGTCGAGCCACGTCAACGCGCTCAATGGTTCAAAGGAATGACTTGAAGAGAATGTACGGTCACGACTCGCCGGACCGAATCGACCGGTATGGCGTCGCGAAAATCGAAAGGTGTAGATGTTTTAGTTGTGAAGTTGTCGAAAGCTGTCATTGCATGAGTTAGTATCGAAAGGGAGAAGATTCAAAGACCCCACGCGCTGTTTTGTACAACGCGACGTAGGCGAGGGGCATGTTGTAGAATGGGATTCCGATCAAGCGCCATCGAAAGTATCTTATTCGAGCGATTGGGATATCAAAGTGGAGACTCCCAGGGCAGCATTGAACCCTTGCTTCCGATCCGCCCTTGTTAAGGGTCGGCAGTAGGCATATAGGGATATATTTGGCATAAACGAGGTATGCAGCTTACCGTCAAACGCGTTCTCAATGACGTAAACAAATAACACGGGCTTGATGAGGCTTGGTCGAGATCTACATCTCTACATCAGTTATACTGTAGATGATCATACCACGGCGTCGATAAACTCACCTGTGAGATTCTCACTGCGGAGGCTCAACAACTCCTTTCAGAGGAGAAAATGCAATATTCAAACGAAGGACAGAAAGCCACAATGGCAAGGAGCGAAAGGATATCCGGGGATATCAAGGGAACCAAACGAAGGAAGAACGAAGGAAAGATCTCAAGGGCCAAGCCACAAGATAAAGAAAGTGCATTTAGGCCCAAACGGCCACTAGTCACTCCATCTAACAAACAGGCAGTCCTTCAATGATAAAAGACCTGACCAATCCCTTGATGACGGGATATTAAGTGCCCCCTCAAACCCCTCCACCAGGTCCGAGCAGGTGGATTCCAAGCGGAAGAACGACGACGATTGGGTTCATCTGGTTCAATGGAAATGAGCAGTCCACCGCGCGGGACGATGAGCGGATCTCGCGCGCAATGTTCTATCTCGTTTGAATTGGTGGTGCCGCAGGTTCCTGATCGAAGTTAGTCCGTCTCGGGTGCCCCCACGCTGTGGACTCGGATTGGACCTTCGGGCGCATGCTGAAACGCCCAGAGGACGGAACGTGCTTCACTATGGGGAATTGCACACGAGGATTAGTGTATCTAATTTTAAAGTCATTTTAAAGATTCCACGATGCGATAAAGGACTATCTCGCTTAAAGGTCCCGGAGATTGTTAATATATATTCTACTGGTGGGAGGAATGTGCCATAGCACACTACCCGCTACATTGGGTTACAGAGCATACAGTATAGTTGCTGCATCCACAGTTTGACGTAAATCTCCGTGACACTGACAGTTCATCAACCATGAATTACCAAAAATAAGGAGCTGAAAGGATCACGCAGCCATCGTTTGATGTTCCCGGGCTATCGTCAAAGCTGGGGGAATCTTACGAAGCTCGATCTACCCTATCACAGATTAGGACTTCTCCGAGCATGAGACTGAAACACGGTGGAGCTGGAAAGCTTGTTCCCCATTCTTGCGCGAGGTTGAAGCGAGCTATCTAGGTATTCGTCTTACTTCCAAGGTTTCTTACACTTTCCAAGATTATCCTTCAGGGGCCCTTAGTATCCGAGTGGTGCATGGCAGAGTAGATTGTACATCTAGAGAAAGGTCTATTCAAAGTCATGGTACATATACAAGATATCAAGGATCAAGCTTTCATCTCAGCTAAAGCCCTCTTAGCCCGATCAACCGCCTCCCGTGCACGGTGATCCGTCAGATCTTCAATATCCTTCCCACCCTCACGCACAATTTTCCGCATTAGATCCTCAGTCTCACGCAGAGAAGCCCGCCCCTCCTCACGGACCTCATCTTCCCAGAAGTCACGGGCAGCAACCCACTTCTTCTGCTGGCGACGCAGAGAGTAGATAAGACCGACTGCGGCAAGGGTACATGATTCGTACACGGAAGCGGAGGGAATAGACAGGTAGGTGAGAGCAGAGAGGGCGGATGTGAGGGTCGTGGTGGAGACGCTAAAGAGCACCAGGCTCTGAGCAAGGGCTTGAAGAGAGGGGACAGTAGTAGTGAGTAGCTTGGTGCGTATATCAGGGATCTGAGTTGGCCATGGCGTAGATTGCACAGGGGTGGAGTCAGGAGCGGGTTTGGGGTCGTTTAGCAGGCCAGCCTGCTCGTATTGGCCCGAGGACCAGATGGCTTCCCGCTCTGCACGATGCAGGAATCGCTTTTCGAGAATCTCGGACGTGATCATGCCCACGTCGTCGACGCGCCAGAATAGTTTCCACCATGCTAGACCGCGCCATCGGGGACTGGCGAAACCTGCCTCAAGGGAGCTGCGGAGTTCTGAGTGTGCACGCTCTGCCCAGGTAACGACCCCTCGGTCAAGCTCGAGTCGGACGTTCTCTGAGGGGACTCCGACTTCTTGACATTCAAGTGCTTTAGTATCCCGGGCGAGGACACCCTCATCCGCAGCATTGACCAAAGACTCGATTAATGGGACTAGGACGGGATTCAATGTGCCTTCCTTGTTTACCTGAGAGGTAGAAGCGAGCCAATCAATCGTAGGCTGCACACCACTTCCAGTCCAGCCACGCTCATACTCAGTGGCATTTTGCACGGACTCACGAATGCGATCCAGGGCGTTTGTCGCACGCTCAATATCCACAAAGGAGACTCGGCTATCAGGGTTCTTGTTCTCCACAGAGAGCTCGATAGCACCACGCACAGATTCAACCTCATTCTTCAGGTCTGCCTGGCCCATGAGGGAGCTGAAAGCCAGCAACCCATCCACACCATTCCCGCATACAATACTTCGGTGGACAGGATACCGCACAATGTTATTTCGGCCCGGGTGTGGTGTTTCAATAGTGACGGTGGGAACGAGGAAAGTGTCGGCATCAAGTGTTGCCCGAGTAGAATTTGACTCCGAGGCGATCGAACTAACAAGAATCTCCAGATTACCTTTCTTCAGAAGTGATGATCGGACCGCGATTGTAGGTAGCAAGTCATTCGGAATAGACTCAGAAATCTCGCCATATCTGTAATTTCTATCAGTGCACATGCTCCTGTATCCATTGGGATATGTGATCAGTCCTACCGAATCAGCAATCCTTGAGAAGGATCAGACTCATAAGTCTCCAAAGTATCTTCCCAGTCCTCGCGCGGACCCAGAGGATCAGCAAGAAGTAATCGGACGAGTTTCCGAGCAGAATCCGCATTGTCGAGACCGAGGACTAAAGTAACACCCAAAGGATTAGCCATGTCTCCCAAAGCCAACGACAAAGCAATTGAATGGAGGAAACTCACCCGCAATGCGAATCAAAGGTGTTTCTGATTCCAATCCCCGCAGAGCAAGCTGCAACCGACTCACGCTAACCTGCTCAATGGTCGCATCCTTGATTCCGCTCAAAGCATCATGCAGCTCCTTGAACTGCGGCGGAACAGTAGATATCGCCGTTGAAGTAGTGATGGATCGAGAGGAGGTGGTTATCGAGGAGACAAGTCGATCATTTCGGCGCGTGGGCGCAATCTTGTTAATACTGGCACGCGTTGAGAGTGCTCGCCGCCATGTTGTGCAAGATTGACAGTAGAAGATACCAGCACTGTCCAGGGGGCGCGCAATGCTCCTTTGGAGCGTGCCGCGCAGTCTGGCTGGCATTTCGAGTGCTGTGGACAAGGACGGGGGCGCGTGTCCTCGGCGTGACCGGGTGGTGGACGAAGGGACTTGGTTTTGAAGTGAGGGCGGGCAAATCGGGCTTGGCAATGGATCCACAGACATTCCGCGGGTCAAATATACAGCTCTACGGTCTATACATTTTACTTTTGTAATCTATTTTTTTTTTTCGCTTGAGATGAGAATGAATTGTGATAGAATTAAGCCATCATTACATGATATTCTTTTTCTCGCCTTGAAACCCCCTATGCCGGCATCCAGTCCGGCTATAGCAAGCCCCTTGAGGAGCGACGAACAGTGAACTGGAGCCATCCTGCAGACTTTCATCTATGTGTAAATCACAAATTTAGAGTCGGGCAAAGGTAGAATCAAGCCGATAGGTAGGGTATCGTATCGATCATGTCGTGGCAGAAGGGCGTGTGCGCTGGAGGGCAGGAAGAGGAAATGCATAGATCGTTTCATAATATCAATTCGGCCAAATCCACGGCCATCCTAGGCCTCCCGAGACTGTGTTTCACGCTGGCGTTGACGATTGCGGCCAGATCCAGCAGACCTGAGAAGAAAAAAAAAAAAAAAATTAGAACTATGGTTGATATCATCGATCGACAAACTTACATGCTGATTCGTCGGGCGACAGTCGCCAGCCCGGTATCGTTGGCAGCCTCCTTCTCTGCGCGCTCCATGGCAGCGCGGTGGTTTTCTTCGTTGGTCTTGATGACCTCCTCCTGGCTAGGAGGCAGACGCTCGTTTTGCAGATCAACCTTCCGGGCATCCTCAAAGTTGTGGATGGCCTGCTTGATACCCTCAGCACCCAGCATGAGAGTACCGGCCGGAAGACGGCCGCCAGCCGCTGTCTTCAATTCACTGACACTCTCGGACTGTTCTCGAAGCACCTGGAAGACACGAGAGAGACGGCCAATAGCAAGAATCTTGTTCTTGATAGCTCGTCGCTTGAACTCGCTAGACTCGGTATCGATAGGCATAGGAGGGGAGACGGGGCCTTCGGGCACCGCTCCTTCGGGAATGGTCTCAGAGACAGGAGTTTCCTCCTCTTCCTCTTCCAGTTCTTCCTTCGAGCAGGTGTTAAGAATGGCGATCAACATGTCGGTAATCTTCTCACCAACGAAAGGCAGAGACCAGGTGAAAACATCCATGAAGTTCGGCAACCAGTAAGGGTGCGGGGTGCAGTTAAACTGGCGGATGTTCATGACGTTGTTCTCGTACTTGAGCACAGCGGCCTTGTTGTTGTAAACATCGAGGTAGTTAGGAGCGCTGAAAATGGTCATCACACTGGGGAAACCGGTTGTCCGCGTCTTTCTGTACATGCGGTATCCGGCGTCCTGAGCCTCATGTGCTCGAATAATGGAAAGCAAGTTGTTCTTCTCCAAAAATGCGCACGCAGCGGGATAGGAGAAGAAATAAGAGCAACCGCGAACGCTGTTATGAATGAAGAAATCGCCGGTCTTTTCTTGACCAAATTCTTCCAGAGGGTCGGCCCAAAGGATGTCGCACATCAGACCGTGGGTAGGGGGCTCTCGGAAACGATCAATCTGTTGTGAATTAGCGATCGCGATTCCAAAAAAAAAAAAAAAAAAATGAAGTGAAATAACATACAGCCTTGATATCCTCGAGGGTGTGCAGCTCCGGGCTGAGACCACCGTGAATACAGAGGAACTGCTTGTTCATAACCGCCGCCAGCGGCAGAGAACAGAACGACTCGATACAGGCCTCGTAGATCCGTTCGCTATATTTGTGTTTACACTCCAGCTTGAAGGTAAAGTAATCGGTCAAGTGGCGACATTCGTGGTTTCCGCGCAACAACCAGAGCGAATCTGGATACCAGATCTTCAACGCCCAAAGATACAGCACACACTGTCCAGCCCGTTAGCATCGCGCAATCAAAAATCTCTAGTGCAAATGTGATGTTACGAAAACCCACCTCGATGCTGAAGTAACCACGGTCGACATAATCACCCAAGAACAAGTATCTCGTCTCCGAGGGATCACCGCCAACCTCGAACAGCTTCATCAAATCGTAGTATTGTCCGTGGACGTCACCGCAAACAGTAATAGGAGCATCCATCTCCAACAAGTTGGGCTCCTGGCGCAGGACCTCTGTACCGGCGTGGATAATCCATAGCGCTTGTTCCTCGGTCAAACGGCCTTCGCGATACAGGTGCTGCTTCAGGTAGGCAAGGTTGGGCTTGGATGGATCGTCGGGGGACCAAAACATGTCATCGGGAGGGGTGCTCAGGGCCGGCGCTTGGACCTCTGTTTTCTCATACCAAATGTCAGTTATCAGATTGTCGGCAGCAGCGACCGCGGATGAGGGTTGTTTGTCAACATACCCTTGACCACCCGTTCCAGTGTGGAGACTTGGGAGCCATCCTCCATCTGGTGCAGGGAGAAGTCGATTTCGGGGACCGGCCTCTTCTCCCTCACGGCACGCGCAATATTCCGGTCCATTTTGACTCTGATTGAGGGGTTTGTGGGAAAGCGGAAGATCAGAGTAAGGGGCGGGAGAGGGGGAGGGGAGATGACCGCGCGGAGACGGTGGCGGGGTGTGGGATTTCAGGCGGACGTCGGGATGGAAGTCCCACAGAGGGCGAGAGAGACAGGATGGGAAGATTCTCCCTTATATGACCCCAAGTGTTATTTGCTCAAAAAGATCCAATCGTGGGGGAATGGAAAAGGGTCGCGTGTGGAAAGAAGTTGCAGGGAAAAAGAGAAACAATTTGAATAAGCGGGCTGGGCCTCCTAGCTCTCTCTAGTTCAGCCCGCCCATGAGTGGAATGTCACCTATAAAAACCTCCGCTACACATATACAAATCAGGTCCAAGGATCAGCTTCTTTGCCACCTTCATATTACATATCGTAATAACAGGCATCAGCCTCATCAACCAAGTTGCACAGACACCTCAGGCAGCGAACGTACCCTGAAATCCCCCAGCCACTTGACCTCCACTGATTTCAAACCTTGGGACCGGGTTCTGCCCCGGATTCTTGTTTGATCACAACAAAATCATGATAATTATTAACAATACTTCACTTGTAACATGTTCTGATCATAATCACTCTAGCTGCCCAATGTGCGTGCATTCATGCAGTCATGCAGCTCGCGATGGCTTGTGTCTGAATCTAACCCGATTGGCCCTAGGGCCAGATTCCACGATCTGCCAGCAATCTAGGCATTCGGTCTCCAGAGCGCAGGGGCGATTTCATTACGGGCCAGGGTACGTCGAAAGAATTTACTAATCGTAGAAATAGCAATACTCCAAGAAATCAAAAAAGCTGGTCGGTATAATCCGCCAATGAAGTGCCTAACTCCAGATTTGAGTCAGAATATGAGTGTTCGGCAATGATGGCGACGTAATTTTGTTCGACCAGTTGAACAGTGGAGCCTTGCGACTGCCTATACATTCTCTCGTTCCCTATACTCGTGATAGCCAAGAACTGGCCCGAGGGCCTTGCCGGTATATAGTCCGATTCATGAGTGGGACAAGCTCAGAAGCCCCGGTTCATCCGGGGAAAGGCTACTGTGGTATGGCACCTTTAGATACCAAAGGCGTTGCTCTTAGATCGGTCTCCCTGCATACCCATGCAGGTACGGTCAAATATTATACGGACGTAACCGACCCCGGAATCTAGCCGACGTCCAACGTCCGGGGTTGCAATGACACCATGGTCGAATCAAATCTCGAGGGTTGCATCTCCTCAGCGACCTCGTCTCAGAAGCTTGAGAGCGACACTATATACTGGCTTATTCAAGTGTTCTGCATACCTACAAGACCAAAATCGAGGGTCATTTTCAACTACAAGGGAAAAAATGTTTTTCTCACGCCTTTCTGCGATCCCCTTGTGGTCCATCTCTCTCATCGGAGCCCAGGCATTCGTCAAACCGTGCATCTACCAGGCCGATAAATGTGGCTTTACATTGATCTCAACCTATGGTAAGAGTATCAGATTGGATTTGACATATATGAGCCAAGAACTAACTTGAGCTAGGCTATAACTTGAGCGAACTTATTCACGCAGTCAACCAAACGCCTTCGATCCCACCACTTACCGCAGACCAGCTTCCCCAGGTCGTATTCCATTGCGAAGATATCTTCGGAAGCCTTGTCGGAAATTCATTTTGCGTTAACGGATGTCTCGCTTCTCTGAGCCTGACTCGGGACGATGAGTGCCGCTTAATGCCGGGAGAAACCTGTCCCCCGACAACAAGCACAGTGACAGTCACGGTTACTCCTGCTCCTAGTCCTACGTGCTTTAAATATTGCCAGACCTGGTGTCTTGGGACATCATTCTCGGGGATGAACACAATTCTACACCCCGTTCCTACGCCAACGTGGATTTGAGAGGTGAAATTGGTTGAACGGAACAATGAGTCCGCAGGGGTCATGGTCATGCTTGAGAATAATCATCGTATTGGTATAGAGATAGGCGTAGTGGGTATACTAGTCAATCAGTAATGTCATGTATAATGAAGCTACCAATTATAGATGATTGAATAATCAGAGAGGACCTGCACCTAAGTAATTATACTGATGTATTTCTCAGATGAGGATCGTGGTAACTACATGGGCATTAACTGGACCGAAGTGACATCTTCAACAACCAATCGATAGAATATGATCAGCTTGGCAATAACCAAGAAGGTTGCGTATCGCTTTTTCGTACTCTGGTCCAAGATACATCGGAGAAAATAGGAGTAATGCTAGCAATGAATGAATTCCTCTTTCCTGCTTGACCGAAATCAAACTATGCGGCTAATATCTGCTAGAAAGTGCTAAGAGGAGGTGCCTGCTTGATCCACTGAACTGGAAAAACCAAAAATTCCATATCTGCTCCACAGGCAATTGTGCAATCGGACTTGATGATCTAGCCACAAATGGCCCATCTTAAAGATGCTAGTGCGGAGACTTGGGTGGTAGGATACCTACAGGATACATTGGTCATTGCGGACACCGGGCTTGGTATCACAACCAGCGAAGCAGTAGGCGTTTCCAGTGATTGCGCCGAGGATGTCTGTGCAGTGGAACAGGGTCTGGGAGATCTCAGCAGTTGAAAGGGCCGGGATGGAGATGGTGTCATTGACAGCAGCGACGAGCTGAGCCGGGGTGTAGACTAGATCAGTTCAAAGTTAGTACTTGTTTATGATGCAAACTTGATCCTAGCCAATATCAAGAGATGATTCGTCCTACCGTAAGGAGCACCGAGGAGCACGGAACCGCACTTCAATGACTGATAGTCGCAGTTCACAGCTTGCTGAGCCTGGACTCCAGCAAGGAGCAGGCCGACGGAGAGAATGAGCTTGTTGAACATTTTCGTAGTTGATGTCACGAAAGTGATGAGATATCTTTGTCTTTTTCAGAGACAAGCTTGACTGAACATTCTGGTTACGGGAAGGCTAGACATGTATTTATATTCTCGTTGATGCTGGATATAGTCTATAGAGTTTTCCAATGTCTCCTGATGTGTGGGTATTTGGCTCATGAATATAACATCCGTGCTCCGTGGGGATCTTGGAGTTGGATGATGCTCAGTACTAGGTGTGGGACAGCCCTAACGCTACAATGCTAAAGGCATACCAAGGTTAGTGGCGGTGGTCAGGCGTACAGTTCAATGCTACCATTGACATTCGACCTTGAACATGTACCAGTAAAGTAGGGATATGCGTGACCCCCTCTGGACTACTGCTCTGCAAAATGCCAATTCACAAGGTGCGAGGGAAATACCTGAGGAAGCTTCCTGATACCTTCGGATGTTCGAGTCCAGGCTTCAGCTCCTAAGACTCTCATGTACGGACCATTCAAGAAGGGCCAGTAGGTTTGACAGAACTCAAAGAGAACGTTGTTAGAGAAGAGAACGGTTGAATTGCGCAACCATTAAATTCTATCCATAAACAGCCTTTATACCCCGATGTACCGGAGGTTGTCAAAGTGGTATTATGACCTACTTGTACTCCGATCGCACATTAAGTGTGTAATATTGTTGACGGTAAGGCTTCCGGTTCGGGTAGAGATCGGCTCCAGGAGCACAGCCTGAGTTAGTCCGGGTGCCGCCCTGAGCGCTCCCTGAGCCACCCGGAGCACACCCTGAGCACAACCTGAGCACACCCTGACTCCCCGAGCACACTTTGAGCACGCCCTGAGTGTCTATCCCGAGCCAACCCTTACGGTCTGTCATCTTACTTCTAGATTCTTACCTGCTCCAATGCTAACTAGGCTACACTTAGTGTTCCTAGGAGTAGGCTATGCCATAACCCGCAAATGGGTAGGCTAAGTCAACCCGCAACCCTTTTGATTTTTGAGCAAATAGATTCAATGATCAATCAATCCGGTGGCATATTTGGCCACATTGATGAATAGGATTCTAAGTAAACGCTACCATGGACTTCTGCGCATCGGTCATTCGCGTGATGAAAACTAAAACTTGCTGGAGAAGAAGCACAAGCTCATTTTGAAGCTTTCCCAGGATAAATTCCGGTTTTTGACGGCGATGACAGTCTCGGAGAGTAATTTCATTGACTGGCAGGCGCCCGCAACTATGTACTTCACCCTCCCGTGTCTACATAAGATCCTGCTCACATTTCTAGGCATACCTCTAAAATATACCGAGTCGATCGAGAACACGGCATACATCATGAAGAAAAGATTGATGACAAATTGGGCGGAGTTGCCATCAACGATTCAGATGCATCGCTTACGAACATCGACCTGAACTTTCAGAAGGAAACAGCCCCACAATACCTGAGAGTTTGTTAGGATGCAAGATCATATGTCAAATCTCTGGCAGATCGGATAGCAGCTCAAGCTCCTGGAAGGCTACTGCAATGATTTCCCGAGTGACTTTACCGCGCTGCTTCATGGAAGCTAGAAAGTTGACAGCCGCCCTCCGGAAATCCTTGAAAATCCGCCTCCGGGTAGCGATTATTCAGACTTTAGATTATAAGAAGCTACCCATCACCCGGAGCTGGAAGTCCAGAGGATGACAGGATTCAGAATTGGAGAGGCAGCTGCCGCATGCAGCGATCAAGCATCAGTCAATGACTGCATATGAACTGAAATATCTCATTGAGGAACGGAGGGTCATGAAAATAAATCAACCTCTAGTTGCATTAAGGGAAAATGGGTGAGAACACCCTTTTCGCGATCGCTGTTGACATGATAGCTGTACGAGTGATTTGTGTATATAATGCCTGTAAAAAGTACGCATTGGCTTTAACTTCAGGATACAAAGAACTATCATGGAACAAGCTTACTTGTGATAGAAAACAAGGGAATAAATGGTACAGTAGAAGAAAACATCACCCGTTCGAAGCTCATCACGTCGTTTAACAAAGGTTGACGCCCAATTAACATCCTTATGAGTAGGGTTATTGTGGTTGCACTTGAGACACTCCATGGTTTATTCTTGCGATGGAGGATGAAGCAAAAGAAGAAAGATGGTTTTCTCAAAATTGTCTGGACTGTCACCCTCGATTTATATCTTGAACTGTGTAAAAATTAGGGACCGAAAGTAGGTTCTTAAACGGACCCGTTTAATTGACTGATGAATCAACCAAGTTGAACATTCGACGTGGGCAGATAAACGCTTCCCTCCCTAATCCCCGGACACTTACCATCCAAAAATCGCGGCGAATAGAAGTGAGCCCTATCAATTTTGACCTGCTTAGATTTAACAAGCCCTAGTTTACCGCGTACTAAATTCGGCGCCAGCCCGTCGATAGTGTCGAGCGTGAAGCTATCCATCTCAAAGGGGTCTTCACGAATCATACGCCTACTTCTTAGTGTCTCTAGCACCTGCAGCTCGTCCACCGTAAGATGTTTTTGTATATCGTCGAGTGCCTTTGCCGCTGTCGCGTCGTTTTGTCCGGATTTGACGCCAAGTTTCTTGAGTTTCTCGAACAGTGCGTCTTTCTGTTCCGGCGGGACATATGTGAATGCCCTGAAGCAGAATTCGAGTGCCTTGGAGATTTCGGATTGGGACATTTTGCCTGTGCTGTCGGCATCGACGGTACCTTGAATGACTAAAACAACAAAAATCTGGTTAAATCAAGAACTGGAACTGGAACTGGGGCATGGTGGTTCGAAAGATTCGTACTAGGTCTAAGAATATCAAAGGCTCTTTGAAACCCTTCCTCATCCATGTCCTGGATAATAGGCTCATACTGTTCACGAATCTGCTTGGTAGCACTGCTAACCGCCAAGAAGAATCGAGTATAGCTCTCAACCGTCTTCTTGGAGTGCCACGAGCCCGCCGTCTGCTCATCACAGTCGCCCCTGATCGAGGCTGCAATAGTAGCTGCCGCTGAGAGACCGCCCGTCACAGCGAGATGGACACCCGAGGAGAACAAGGGGTCAATGAAACTGCCGGCGTCTCCGCAGATGCGTGCATTTGGTAAGTGATAAGCTGACGCGGTATAGGACCAGTCCGAGGCCGATTTGACTTCGGTGACTACCTCCGCCTCCGAGAGGAGTTCCTTAGTCCTGGGCGCCATTTCGAGGCATTGCTTGTAGAAGTCTAAGGTTGAGGGACGTCCCAGCTCTCGCTTCTTTTTGGTCGCAATCTTCTGGTCTTGAACAATTCCCACGGAGCGAGTGCCATCGTGTAGTGGCATGAACCAAGCCCAGCCGCTGGCGTCTATCTTGTTCCTTAGTAAAAGGGCCGACATCTAAGCATAGAAGTGGAAATGGGTTCTTTCACGAACTCACCGTCCAATGCCTCAAAGTACGGCGAACCTTCCATGTGCGTCCCAGGACCATATAATTTGTCACTCTTCCAGTAAGCCCAGTTAGCAACATTCTTGAAATTATCGTTGAACTTCCGGTTCTTCAGGTATTTCGTGCTCAGTATGCCATGCCTTCCGCTAGCATCCACAAGGTACTTCGAGGTGATGGATCCAGAAGTGCCGTCTTTACGGACCCACGTGACAGACACGGGTCGGCCGGGATTCAATACCCCATTACTATTTCTATTTGATTCTAGGCTCGTTTCATTAAGGTCTGGCTCAAATTGGATTGCGTCGACCTTGGTTTCGTCAAAAATGTGAGCGCCACAAGTCCCGGCGTGTCTGAAGAGCAGGTCGTCGGATTCGGATCGGATCAAGTTCCAGGCGTATGCATCGGAACCGCCTGCCTCAAGAAAGTCGGTGTCTTGGCAGATATTAGCTTATTTATGCAAAAATACATACAGGAGGGGTGTGAATAATGGGGAAGGGGGAGCAGGGATAGACTTGCAGGCATCGGGCTGAGCTTGAGCGAGTCGGAAAACTGCACCGTTCTATGGGTGGTGTTAGCTTATTAATTCACAATTCAAGAAGAAACACAAGATCAATCAAGTACCTTGTGGTAGAATCCATGAGTATCGAAGGTATGGTAGAAGTCTATGAACTTGAAGAAGTGGCGCAGGGAGGGAAGAGTGCTTTCGCCGATATGATATCTGTCTCACGTGAAATGAGCCCAACAGACGGCAACCTAGTGAAAGACTGAGATTCCAGAAAGCCCATTGTGATCACTAACCTGGGGAACTTATCTGCCTCCAGTAATACCGTCTCGATCCCCTCGCGAGCCAAAGCTGCTGCTGCATATGAACCAGCGGGGCCTCCTCCAATGACCAGCACAGTGCAGCTTTGCGGAACGGCCATGACAGCAGGATAGAAGAATAGACCGTGGAGTTGGGGATACAGGATAGCTATATAGGTCACCAATTGTGACTGAATCAGTCTTGTAAGAAACTTGATATCGATGTTAAAATCATCAGCGAAAGGGATTGATCGAGCGCTTATATCTTAGTCTTGACTACGGCTTTTATAACCTTTGAGGGGTACTTATTCGCCTGCCGAGGAACAGCCTGATCAATAACGGAGGCATTACTGGATTTGAGTGATGAGGGTTGCACATTGCATCATCAAAGTCCGGTTGAATTGATGGCTTGTGGATCATGAGCTGCATTTTACTTTACATACTTCCTTGTTAACGTATGTTACAGTAGTTGCAGACGGAAGGAGCATCTCGAAAATGCCTCACGTATAACGCATATATACATCACACGTCTATGCATGGAGGAACTAGTGCATTGGACTCATACAGATACGAGGGAGTCTCGATCATTCATCTGATTCTACCTAACAGATATAAACGGGAGGGAGGCGGGCGGTTGATGCCTAAACGCACGCCCGCGCTGGCGGGTCGCAGAGCAGGAAGGTGGAACCCCGCAAGCAGCGAGCAGCGGTGAGCAGGTGAGAGCAGCACTGGAGTTTCTCCATGCGGGATCCCTGCCACTTCTGCGCTTTGTGCTCCTCGCGTCACCAGAGAACCTTCTGCCTGCGTCTCGCTACTCTCACGCTCTTCGCCTGCTGGTTCCCCAACTACACTATAATAATGTAATGTTAAATGTTAAATGTACACTTTACAAGATTTGCCTTTTGTGTCCTGAAAGCCCTAATACTAACTGACCAAACAAGGTCGTCAGTACCAGACCATACTGCGTATTATATGCCGAATATCACAATTTTATTAACAGGCTAGCTTGGAGTCTATTATCCAAGTATTCGGGATCATATCTACAGCAGCTCAAGGGGTGCCGGCTGTGAATGATGAGATGCGAGGTTTGGGTTGGGTGCTAAATTAGGTATGAGTGTACTCCGTAGGGGTACAGAGAAGGAGGTTAAATATCTGAATTTTCATTGAATACGTTATTGTGAGGCATACCCCGCCTAATTTGCTACTCCTTTGCACGTCCCAGGTATTTATATGCCTTTTGTCGCACTGTCTACCAACATCTGTCTAACATCTGTCTAACATCTGTCTAAAACCAGGTATTCGTGCTTTGTGTCATTCCTGCTCCTATCACCTCCAAACTCTTACGCCTTTACCCCAACCCACAAATTACATACTTTTCCTACCGTCCGCTGTGAAGGATATGCACGACGCGAATGACCAATCTTGCCACACTGCTGACGCTATATCACACTCTGTTCTTGCCAAGTTCCTTGACCGATATCCTTCTATCCGTTTCCTTCGACTCCAATGGCAAGACTTATCTGGTCTTTTACGTGCCCGGGTGGTGCCAGTGGAACAGGGTCGGTTAATAGCTATGGGGAAGAAAGCCATGCGTCTAAGCCCTTGTTCGCTCAACCTGGCCGTGGAAAACAGCGTGTTACCAGCCGGAAGTCTAGTTGGAGGCGATACAGGGTTTCCAGATTGGAGTTCGTTGCGAACAAGACAGCTCCTCGACCCGCTCTACGCTACTGTCATGTGCAGAATTTCTAGGAATTCGGCCCCAGGAACCCATGAGCGGGAACCTAGAGATGACCACTGTCCTCGACGTGCCTTGACGACTATCTTGAATAAGGCGTCTCGACAGTTCAAGATGGAATTTCTGGTCGGATTTGAAGTTGAATTTGAGATCTTCGAGTGTAACCCTGAAGGAAAATTGGTGCCTCACAGCCTCGGCTTAGGCGGAGGAGCATGCTCCGGCCTTCGCGACCCATGTTACAGATATGTGGAAGAGGTGATGAAAGTCCTTTTAGAAGCTGGCGTAGGACTGGAGGCCATCCACACCGAAGGGCTACAAGGACAATACGAGTTTTGTCTCGCGCCTAGACCGCCCATCGAGGCGGTGGACGAACTAATCCTCGTGCATGATACATTAAAGAGGGTATTTACCCTTCATGGGCTGGTGGCCACCATGTTCCCTCGCCCCACAACATTACGGACGCAGTCAATCGGCCAGCATACTCATGTGTCAATTAGCAATCCTGAACTGGAAGAGTCGTTTCTTGCCGGCATCTTACGGAACTTGCCGAGCTTGTCTGCCTTATGCCTACCATATGAATTGTCCTATGAGAGGCTTAAGCCTGGACAAGCCGGCGGCCAATTTGTCGCATGGGGCACGGAAGATCGTCGCGTGCCCATCAGGAAGGTCAAACCAGGCCATTGGGAAATTCGCTGCGTCGATGCGACAGCCAACATGTATCTGGCACTGGCTGCCACCCTGAGTGCCGGCCTATTGGGCTGCGCCAACGGCGAGCCATTGCGCCTGGGGGATAGTGCAACGGGCGCGCAAATTGGCGGCACGTCTCTCCCTCACAGTCTTGAAGCAGCTTTGAATCAGCTCGATGAGGATGATGAGGAGAAGGGAATCGAGGCCGTTGAAAGGTTTATGGAGAGCAAAGTAATCCGGCACTACTTGAATCTCAAGAGATTCGAATTATTGAAGCTGAACGAAATGGAAATTGAGGAGGCAAGGAATTGGCTCGTCAAGCTCTTCTAACACTGCCACTTCACAGCTACCGTTTGGTATTGTTGGCCTTGCTGATTCCAAGGATGTTGTTAAAATTGCTTGTGGTCTAAATCGGGTTAATGCTCCACCTGAAATGGATGACATGATTGGTTCTGAAGATAGTTCAACTCTGATGTAGTATTTTCCCCCCAGAGGATTCGTGACAAGGATGCGGCTCCTGGGGGAAAGCCGTCCTTGTGTAGCACGTGACCATAAGGGGATCTATTCCTCAGGACAATGATCACACCACCACGTCCTCTTATACAGTCCGTAGCTGTTCTCTTCGCCCTCTTTTATATTAGGGTCCCTCCTTATGCTCTTAATTAGATATAGGATGGATCGAAATCAGTTTCACCAATTCGGTCGATCAATTACAGGGCGGCTCGAAATTAGCTTCACCCATTTCTTTCTTTGTAGTATAGATGACGGTACAAAATCCACCTTAAAAAGTAAAGAAGCATAGGGTTAGTTAGTCACCCCCGAGCTCCTCCTGTCTCTGATCGCTCATTTCAATGAGGCTGGTCGGCCATTTCATTCTCGAATGTATCGTTGGACAATTCCCTTTTTATCTTTCTTGAAATGTAGTCTAGTAAATCGAATATGATATTCAAGCTGTTATTTAGTTAGTACTTAGGGTGCCCACACGTTGCAACATAGCAAAGTGCCCTCATAACGTAGCATTGATAATGGTTCTCAGCCAGATTAGATTATTTGTTCGTATAGCATACATAAATCATGCATGATCACAATAGAATAGCGACAGTGGTAGTGGCGGCTCGCTGAATAAAGGTTGCTGAGTGCTTCAATCGCATTCTAGTTCTTCAGATTTACTGAAACAGAAAATGACATGAAAAACAAATAACAATCATCATTTTCGGTTGAAAATTCCTATTTAAATCAGTTACCAGTTGAAGGCAAGGCAACAGGGACACCAAGAAGCAACAAGCTAGCCACCGGGATAAGCAATTGCAACGCAGCAAGCAAAATCCCAGATGTACCTTTCATCTTACTCTTGAACAAGCTGCTCAAATCAGACTTTTTCTGAACTTTCAAAATAATGCTCTCAACTTTATCTCTGTCCTCGGCCTTGATTTTGATTTCGTTCGCTCGAATCTTTCCAACCAACTCATCAAAACTCATATCCTGCAGCTCCGAGGGCTTATGACACTCATCAGTATCGCTGCCACCCGAACTCGACTCCCTAACTCTCTTGGGTAGCATCTCAAGATCATTCTGCCATTTGCGATGATCTGCCCGACGTTCCGCTCTCAACTGCTCCTGTTGTCGATAGACCCGATCAAGGTCAGCATCATGCTTTCGTTCGTGCTGCGCCAAAGTCTCTTGTAAATCCTTATCCATCTCTTCAAGCGCACTCGTATACTCTTCCCGGATTTTCCTCAGCTCTTCTTTGTGCATCTCCTCCAATCGAAGAAGTTCCTCGTTGACGGATTTACCAGCTGCTGTTTCGATCAGCGGTTTGGCTTGGTCAACAAGCTCCAGCTGAATTTCCAACGGAACTGGTTTCAGTGGTATGAAATGCTCCACAATTCTAAGCGTGGAAGCGCGATCGGTCACGCGCATCATACGAGAACCTCGTTGGATCATCTGTCCCCAGAATTCCGGTCTTTCGCGGAGCTCTGCTTCTCGGTCTGTACCAGTCTGTTCGTTAACTCTTCCCCAGAAAGTAGTACCCAGAATGACATTCTTGAGAGGCTCCTCGCCGCATAGCTGTCGGAACATCCGGAGGTTGCGGAGTGCTGAGCCTTCCATGCGAGGATTGTTAATACTATGGAGGTATATCACACCGTGCAGCTTCTGTTGGCATTCGTATGATCCTCGCAGCCACTCTGCTATATCCCGTAAGACCTCAGTCTCGCTTTTGTTTGTATCGTTGAAGCCCGGCGTGTCGATCAGATTAATGTTGTACCCTTTGTAGTGTAAGGTATAACCTCTCATCTCACTTGTGCCTACGTTCAGTAAGGTTAGGCTTGGTGAACAGTTTGGTTGCAAGCTTCCTGTACGTACATGATTCGAGGCTGTGTCCCACTACCACTTCAGGTGATTGTGATGCGGTCTGAATGAATGTGCTCTTTCCGGCACCAGTGACACCCATCACGGCAATAAGCACCCATGGTGCACCGGGTACGATTTCGGATGAAGTCTTGTCGGCCATGTTTGGTAGTGTTGAGAAGAGACGAAGACTTTTTTTCTTTGGGAAGGAAGGAGTTTTAAATTCTAACACAACAGAGAGATACGGAAAAATATAATATTATGATTCGGGAGGGCGGAGTATGTTCTGTTGAGCCTCGCGAGGGGACCCTGCTTCGAAGGGTGGACTCGGTAACATAGGCTAAGGCTCAACCCGAGGATGATAAGCCATACAAGAATAATTCCAATCAAGGATAGCTCCATCTTTGAGAGAGGAAATGGTTGAGGCTTCGAAAATTGGGGCATTGTAAGCGAGGCTTCTGTTACCCGGGTCAAAGTCCTAATTTTGCAATGGCACTCAGCCCTTCTGACCCATCACTTCTACGGGTTAACCGATTCATCGGCATGGAACAAATGACTCTATTGCTGACAAGATTACTGAGATAGATAAATGAGTGAGTGAAGAATATCGGTCGTATCCAAAAAAGGAATATACCCCGTAAAGCCCAGAAAGAGTGGCATATACAGCCGAAAACGCCTTACCTACCCCATCCACACTCTAGCCTCTTTCCAGATACGAGGAGGCGCCCCGTAGTTAGACCCATCACTGTTCCCATGAACCAGCACTGCAGGGTGAGTAACAACGATAATGGGGTAGCCATCTAGACCCGTCTCCTCGGCGCTCAGAAACTCGTTGTGAAGGGAATGATAATTCAGTCTCTCATTCGTATGCAAATACGTCTTTGGAAGACCCCTTATTGTCTGAATCTCCAGGTAGCTCTTGCGCAGCCAGAGCTTATGGGATATCTGTGCGGCTGTATTGAAAATAAGCTGTAATGGTGCCAGCCGGGGCACATCCAAAGGCTTCGCATTAATCAAAAAAGCAGCGGAAGTTGCCAAGAAATTGGCCATAAGACATTCGGCTGCCTTCTTGCGAGCGAGTTCCGTGCGCGTTTTGGTCGCTTCGAGGAGATGACGTTCTTGCTGATCTCGGGGGTTAGGATCAAGTAATCTCAGCCACTGAGACCTCCAAGAATGACTGCCTTCCATATTGCCTGAAAAGAATTAGAACTGACGCAGGGCGAGCTCCCCGGGTTGCGGCGCACCTTGGGTGGTCTCCTCCAGGACCCCTGCAAGCCCCTCGTGTAGACCTCGACAAAGAACCTTATTGGCGCCCTCTTCGGCATCCGCACCCATGATCCTCCACGGCAGAAACCAGAATGGCTTGGCAAAGATGTTCCCATATATGTAGTCCATGAGCAAAGCCAATAGGATGAGCTGTGGCAGGTGTTGATCGTTCTTCGCGAAGACCTTTTCATCGTATCGCATTACTAGCCCCCACTCATTGAGCAGCGCGTCGGGTGTCATGCGCAGCATGGAAAGCGCTTTGATGCAGTTCTCGTTACACCATGCACGGGCGCTTGATTCGAGGCTCTTGAGCTCGTGTCGGATACTTTCGTCCGAATCTGGTGCCCATTCCGGTTGGTCTTGGAAGCGGAATGCACTTGCTTGCACGTTGCGGAGTGCTTCTCCTGTTTTTTTCCACTCTGCGTAGATACCGTCGCGTTCGGTTCGGAGGTCATCGAAATTCTTCAACAAGACTTCGTTTGCTGCTGTGAGCTCTTTCATGTCGCGCTTGAGATCGTCTTTCTCGATAGCTGCCTTGTTTTCCATGGCTTTTTCCACGAAATCTTTGAATTCTGTCCATCGTCGATCATTTTTGAGAAGGAGCTTTATGTCTTGCTCTCTTTTCCCCAGTTCCTGGGCATACCGCTTCAGTTCATGGCGTAGTTCGTCAATTCTGTGATCCTTATTCTTTATCGTTTGTTCTAGCTCTTTGATTCGCTTCTCTTGTCCTTTGCTGATGGCTGGTTTGGACCCATCTTTCCTATGGGTTGATCGCAAGGTATTCATTTCCAATATCAGTTCTGTAAGCTTCGGCAATGGGTTGGTTGAAGGTAGCATTTGAGGCGAACGCGATTAAAAGATTTATATCACTGGCAAACTCTATAATACAATTTTTTCAATCATCTTTCAGGTATATATGCATCGAATAGGGTTCCCGGGCCCTCCCCGGTCACATGTATTCAGGTTGTATACACATAATGACGCAGGGGCTGAGATCAACACACAGCCCGCTAGAAGTACCTAGGATAAAATAAGCGAGAGCTTGGGCAGTGGCTTCGGGACTGCGGCTGAAGTAGTGTGATAAGCCGTTCAAAATGCGAGGCTGGCACATGGAGCCTTGCGACATTCGGTTAGTGTAGATATATTCTTGGTAAATCTGGGCGACAACCGCTCGCCCAGGTGATACTGAAAAACATTTGATACATAAAGGTCAAGAGAATAACCCACGATTCATTTCTCAATACATAAGCATAATCATCGTGTGTCAAAATGGCCCCTTTGCACAAAATCATCGTTGGTGTAGACTATGGCACAACTTTTACCGGTGAATCAAACCCCTTGATTATATTGTATTATCATCGAATACTAAGTCAATTCAAGGCGTCAGTTACGTGGATTCCTTGAAACATACAATTCACGACATCAATGTCATTCGCACCTGGCCCGGTCCTAGTCGAGAACAGGACGAAACTTGGAAGACCCCTTCCCGTATTGCCTATGGCACCGAGAACCCATTGATCGATGGAGCCACAATTAAATGGGGATATATGGTAGTCCCGAAAATGAAATCCTACACGTGGACAAAGCTGCTCCTCAGTCCAGAAACGAGTCATACCCAACGATCTCAAGAGAACGTCGATATTCTGGAGGGCGATGGGCTAATGAGAATCCCTGATTTCAAGCAAGGAGCCCAAGATGTTTGCGCTGATTATCTTCGAGGGATTTACGAACATATCATCTTTTTTCTCGAACAGCGTCTCACTCCCGAAATCATAAAAGTAACCGCTTTGGATTTCTGGTTCACGGTTCCCGCAATCTGGTCTGACAAGGCCAAACATGATACCTACCTAGCTGTCACTGCGGCTGGTTTTGGGAGTCGGCCTGGTGACTTGATTTCCATGATCACGGAGCCGGAGGCCGCTGCGGTCGCTACCCTCAGCTCTTTGTCTGAGGATGAGCGTGGACTGGCTATCAAGAATGGCGATGGAATTATTATCTGTGATTGTGGTGGAGGAACAGTGGATATTGTCACCTATAAAGTCATACAGGTCAAACCTGATCTGCGATTTGAGGAGCTCTTGGTCGGTACTGGTGACAAATGCGGCTCGACTTACATTGACCGGGAGTTTTTGAAATGGATGTCCAGGACTTTCGGTCCAGCATTCGATAAGGTCAGCTTTGAAAAAAGAGGACCTGGAAGCCGATTTATGAAAGATTTTGAAGGGCTAAAGCGTGACTTTGGTGCATCCAATCAGTTGGATCTATTCGAGGTTGATCTTCCGATGCCAGGTGTATCGGACCCTGAACATTATGATTCGGAGAATTGCACAGTTAGACTGAGAAGGCAAGAATTGATAATCAACCCCAATAGAAACTTTCACTGACACTTTCAAGCTCCGATATGGAGTCTTTCTTCAAGCCTGTTACCCAAAAGATCGAAGATCTATTGGAAGACCAGCTTCGTCAAGTAAGACAGACTTCCGAGTCTTATATCAATGTAAGCAGAAGCGCGAAATCCCAAATCAAAATGGCGAGCTAACAAGTTTGCAGAAGATTGTGCTGGTCGGAGGCTTTGGAGATTCACCATATCTTAACACAACTCTTCGAGCCTGGTGTCAGAGAAGAGGCGGAATATCTCTTTTCTGCCCAGAGAATCCGTGAGTTTTAGATTCAAGACAATAATCAGGCACTAATCGATATGTTCTTAGACAAGCCAGTGTCGTCAAGGGGGCTGCTCTTCGGGGCTTGAATGGCATGAAGCCGGAGAAAAGAAAGTGTCGACTTCACTACGGATTCAAAATAAACAAAAACTTTCGGGAAAGCATCGATCCCCAGTGGCGGTCCGTACCTGCGGAGTGGGACGGAAGAAAACTCTGCTCTGACCGAATGGTGTGGTTGATTGCAAAGGTATTGTCATGTGCATTAGATCTGATACTATCAGCAAGCTAACGGGACAAACAGGGCAAGGCTATTGGCAAAGAAGACAGTATCCCGTATGATGTATCTCGCGTCCACTACCCAGGGGATACCCTTGATTTTGCAATAGACCTGTACACATGCGAGGAAGATAGTGCGCCAGATTGGTACTATGCAGAATGTAAGTATTTGATTCAATTGCTTCGAATCCGCTAACCATGGCCATTTCTATAGCGTGCCGAAAAGCTGGAGAGATTCAATATTCCTTCTCGAAAAGAGATCTGTCAAAATTTGAGAAAAAGAAGAATAAGGAATTGGGTAAAAAGATGATCAATCTCGAGTACAAGATACAGGTAGAGATGTTTGCTGACAAGGGTATGTTGCAATTCCGAATGTTAGGGAGGCATGGGAAAGACATTGGAAATACTAGCGTTGAGTATGATTGAGGTCTTTGATATGTACTTGAATATCCAGGTTTTAATAAGTCAGCACTGTCTTCCCGGGCCCTAACTTGGACAAACATCATCGAGAGAATGTGTTGGATCGCATGACGGTTTAGCGGGATGATACGTGATGCTGGAGATATGATTCGTATCACTGTACTAATCCCTTTTCTTTTTCTTTTTCCTGTGGATTCGAGCAGGATCAAATAATTAATGTCGCCCGCTCAAGAAATAATCACCGATACTAAGTTTCACTTTAAAATCAAGGAGATGGTTCGCTTTTAATTTTCGGCTCAGTCGAGCCCCCCGGTTTTCTCGCCCAGATCCTCCTCCTATAAACGTCAGTTCAAAACCAACACAATCCGAATGGAGGCAACTTACGCCCTCTGGTAACAGTGATTCTGCGGATTGGATATTTCTTTCCGTACTTCCGCCGTATAAACGACAACTTCTTCCATTGACCAAGGCGCTGGCTCCCCATACCTGGTCATAAGCCACATGCAGTAACCCTCCATACCTTCGGTCCAATGATGAAAATTGGCGGTACCAGCTTCTTTCAGCTGTTTATCTCGAGGCCACGGGCCAACCGGCAATTTATAATTCTTAACATGGATATCTGTAAAACCAGCTTTCTCCATTGATCCTTGCATGGTGTGCATAATTCCAGACTTTCGGCCTGATTTTCTAGCCGCCCTGGTTAATTTGGGGCCCCAGACTCGGAGCACACTATCTTCGGTTAGGCTATTATCATCGCATTCGAAAAAAGCGCTGATTTCGAATTGCTCGATCCATCCGCCTGGTGCCGTATGACTGGGTGGATATTAGAGCGAGCGTTTGGGTGGGATTTCATCATTCAAACTCACTCGTAGCACAGTTTATATAAGCGGTCTGTTTGTTCTGGGGTGAATGCATTCTCAAGTATTCGAAGGTGGATTAAATCGAAGGGATCGCGCCAGGTCCAATCTTGAAGAATGTCATCGACTTCGAGAATGCAGTTGGGCGGTATCCACGTCTCCGGAGGCGGGAAGAGGTCCACACCCCGAACCGTCGCTATGACAATTAGATTCACCGTGTATTCCCAAGAGGTGGGATCCTTACTATCTGGAAATAAATCGGCAACATCGCTGTGTTGAGGTTAGACTTCTGCGTGACGTCACGAAGGGTTATGAACGTACATGGCCCATGAACCTTTCCCGGTTCCGATGTCAAGAATATGCTGTTCGGTCTGAGTAAGGGTTATGATGAGAGTCGATAGCGCGACACACCTTTGGTTCATCAACTGGAGCATAGAACAAAGGGTTCTTATTATGGGAATCAAGGGTCAGGAGCATTACGTGACTGTTGAGATTAGCGAAGGACCGACCTTTTGGAAGGCGACACATACCATGATTCATAAGCCTCGAACATTTGCTCATCGGCAGGAACACTGAAAATAACATCAGCTTTTGATTTCTGCTGAGTTGTAGCGGTCACCTACTGGTACGCCTGATCACTGAGATTCTGGTATCTGGGGGCTTGGTAAGCATTGATTATTGGATAGCAGATGTGCGACAAAGTACCTTCGGCCATTTTCCATTAATCCCTGGTAAATGTCCGACGCAATAGACGTTGTTTCACTAACGCCCATGTTAGCTTCACATCACACCATTGAAGAAAGTCCACGGACATACGATTGCCAATCATCGGGGGCCGTGTCATCCGTAGGCAAATATAAATTCGGGTCCTATCGAAGGTGTCAGTAATTGCGAGCTATAAAGGATAAGCGGACAAACCGGGGTAATTCTATGGTCTGCCATGCCCAATGAAGAGGTGATGAGGCACAATACGAGGGAGAATATACAGCAGGGCTAGAGGTGGAGCTTGGATTTGAGCCAAGACTGGTTACAAGATAAAGTACGAAGTAGAAAGGGAAAAAATTGCGTTCCAACGACTTCCGCAAGTGGAGCTCTCAGTCAAACACATGGTCGGCGGGGCCGTGGAGAAGCTCTACACACGATAAAATCCTCCTCCAGGGAATTATGAGAGATAAATGTGCATTGACATAATGTGGATTTCAATACCGACGATTCAGCGATCAAGGAGCATGTTGCCAACATGCGGACTCCCAAAAGTCTCGACATCATTGGTCCACATGCGGGACGGCACAGCAATGGCACTTCATTATTCTTTGTTCTCCAAGTGGGACCGTCTAGGCAAGTGCATGAACACTAAGGGTTCACAACGCCCTGCTATTACTGAGGCGGCTACTGAGGTGCCTAGCTGATTTCAGTCCATCTCTTCGTCCATGGCCTGGATGATGAAGTTTCTGGGCATTTTGTGCTTCCCTTCAGCCGGATCTGAAACGATAATGAGTTCACATGCACATGACTCTTTCAAGGTAAAACAGATCCACTATGGCACGGGATCTGGTGACAAAAGCTCCACTAAGCCATAAAAAGCAAGGTTCGATGCGAAGGCCGTTGAGATCACTTGGAATTTGGAATATCGTGCGTGGAACTCGGCGGGAGCTGCAGCCGGATCAGCACCGTAAATCCCGAATGACCTGTAGGCATTGTGGTAGAAAGTACTTCGGAGTGTCGGCCAAAAGGCTCCGACTTTCTTGAATATACTTTCCGAAGCTCTTCATTAAGCGCCCGTGAAGCATCGAATCCAGCCGTGGCTGATAATTAGCGTATTCAAAACAGGTATGGATCACGCCTTGTACCCCATTACGAAAAAGACAAGCTTGGAATGTATATGTCGTTTCCAGGTCAAAAACAGCCCCCGGCAGACAACCTCTTTATGGTAAGAGAGATGTCAAAGTAACGAATTGTTTGTCCGGACACTAAAGAGGAGATCATCCGAGCGCGGCTTGGAAGAGCGGTTCGTTTCTCCGCATCCACCACATCCAACCCCCCACTTCCTAACCAACCATCTCATCATGTACGACTCCTACCGTACGTTTCATGCCCTTTGACTCGTTTTTGCGCCAATCCTCCAATCCTAATATCATGCAGGCCCCCACCTACTCCTCGCACAGGTGCCCCTCACCGTCTCGCCTTTCATCAACCTCCCTACCTCGGTTACACTGCCCTACACCTACAAGTCGGTCACCTCGACACTCCCTCCATCCGTGACCGTTGATCCCAGTAATCCAGATGTCAAGGCCCGCTATGTCGTTTCGTCCAGCGGTGAACATGCCGCACACCCAGACGAGATCCTCGCCGCATGTCAGTCCCTCGGACAACATCTGAAAAAGACACGAGGCGACGCTGAAACTGCGATCAAGGCATGGGAGGAATCTATACAACAGCGCGATCTGGCTGAGAAGCGGCGCGTCGCTCCTGGGTGGCTGGATCGCGATGAGAAACTGTTGCAGCCTAGTCAAGCGACCGGGTCCCCCGATCCTAAAGGAAATGCCGAGAGCCTGCTGGACAGCGCTTCGGCCGATCAGGGATCTTCAAGGATACCTTCTATTAAACCGAGAGATCAGGGGGAGGAGCTTGATAGGGCATTTGGGGGACTGGGTGTGGAATGAAATGGTTGGATACTTCGGATTTCCACCAAATGCCCTGCAGAGTTTCTTTTTTTTTTGGGATTGCCCAATTATTCGGTTGAAATTGTTGTATCGGCTCAACTCTTTCACTTTGAAGTGATCGCGCCGCTTTACCTTTCGAGGAGGCTTCCTGCAACTCATGCATGACTGGCTCGACCAGCATCATTAGACTTTAGGCTGGCGGTCTGTCGTTGTCGACTGCAAGGAGTGCCATTTCTTGACACGCTTGCTAGGCAAGCAATTATGAGGCTATGGACTTTATGGTACTAAGGAAAGTTGAAATCGTTGTTCAAACCCGCTTTTCACTCTTATAGCCCAATGGTGCATGGCTTTCAAGATGGACTCGGTCGGTCCTGCCATCGATCCCGTGGATGTTTCAAGGCACCAGCCTTGGAACTTGGTGTCAATGAATCCGTAGATCATTTATTAAAGGCAGACTAGGTTCGAAAAAGTTTCAGATCATCGTGAAGTCTCAGTGATACACCCGCCCAGGTGGGCAATTATTTCAATCGTACAACTTCATTTACTCGAAACTTGTCGAAATGCAGCTGCATGTAGGACCTTAAATGTTTCAGCCCTGCTTTTGGATGTGTAAATTGGATGTGGCGATATTTACGCATGTGCTGGGTCCTTGTATAATGAACGCATATCCGCTGCCGTTGCTAGGGAGCTAAGTAAATATATAGTGCAATGATCAGATAATGTGCATACCCAGAGAATCTGTTGAAATTGCATTTGCGATGAACAATCCATTGAGTGGACCAAAAGCCAATAGTCTATTAAATACCAAAAACAAATGAAGTTCTAAAGTGATTTAGCTCCTGCAAGCAGCCGTCATAAACCGCGGAACAAAGCCCCTCCGCCCCAGAGCTGCCGCAACTTTTCACCTCGCGACCTCCAACATCCAACCGCGCGCAACCACAATCACACTTTTTGACGCCTAATACCCGAAGAATTAGCTACTCCTGAACCTGAAAATGGAGTCTCTTACCACTGCCCCCGAGGCATCATCTTTTGTCCCCATTGCGGAGCATCAGTCGCGCACTCCGAGCTCCTTCTACTCCGGGCCACCAGTACTGCACTACCACAGTCAGCGATGCAAAGTCGTCATCCTTGAGAGTGACCTGATCGCCAATCCTGCCTTGAACTCTTTGCGCGGCGAAAATGCGACAGCAAACGGAAACAGCGCGCAAGCCAACGAGGATGGGGAGAGCACTGAGGTTGCCATTGAGGGCGTGGATACATGGGTCGGATCTGAGTAAGTATCGCACTCTCACCTCATCTGACTACCTGATGGGACCAATTGCATAAGACCAAATTCAACTAACGAAATCTATCAGTAAATTCGTCCTCTACTCTCCCAGCGCTTCAGCAGGAGTTTCAATTCCCTACCCCTCCATCTCCCTGCATGCCGTGCAGCGCCTGCGCGTCCCAGGCACCGACACCGAAGTCCAAGGACTATACATGCAAATTGCGATTCCCACCCCTCCCTCCGCAGATGACGAAGAAGAATGCGTGATTCTCACTGTCGTTCCCACCGATGAAACACCCGCAGCCCAGCATACAGATACACCACCAGAGCTAGATACCTCCGACGAAACAGAATCACCCACGCAGCAACTCTACAACGCCGTCTCCGCCTGCTCGAACCTGCACCCTGATCCCGTCGAACCGGGTGATGAGGACGATGAAGAGAATGGCGTGGCCAAGTTCATGACTGCTGAAGAGTATGGCAATGGCGATCTCCCGCCTCCTGTGGCTGGGAGTTCAGGATGGATTACAGCGGAGAATATGAATGAGTTCTTCGATGAGGAGGGCAATTGGATTGCGGAGGGCGAGCCACCAGCCTTCCCGCTTGGCCCTGGGGCTGGGACTGTACATGAGCGGGAGGATAATGGAGGTGATGAGAACGGGGAGGAAAATGATGAGTCTAAGTGGCGACGCACTGATTAAACGGGTACATGTAATTTAACTCGAGATGAGATATCCCAAACTATGCGCTTTCAGGCTCACTTTCAAACCCGGCTGATAGGAGATCCATGCCTTTACTCAAAGCCATACGATCGTCTATGCGCAGCAGTCATGCGCCAAATATTTAAGTGCATTTTAATCGCTGCAAACTCGTTGAACTGAAATCCTACGGACCAGGGATTCCCACTTGTTGATATTGAAAAGTTATTCTAATCGTAGTCCAATCCCTGCAGTAAGTAAGCTTACCTCTAATGCTTATGTCTTTTAACTTCGAGGAATAGTGCCTTGACGTAGTTTGTCACACTTAGTGTTGGTACCTCAGACACACAAGGCTAAATTGTGCGGCCAGGAAATGTAGGACGTTAAGAAGTACTTATGATTAAGGATCTTAAGTGCTCGCGTGCCCAGGCCTGCTACCAGTGAATATAGAATCTTTTCAGTTTGGCAAGATTGGAGTAGCTTTATTTAGTCATGAGTGACCTTGGGAAATATCAGCAGTAATCTGTCTATTAACTTGAGGTCTCTCTTAATAGAGCCTCACTTTCAAGGCTCTCATTTGTAAGGCCATCGATGACAATCTCTCGAAAACGAAAGATTATAGATTCATCACATTAGGTACGCAGTTTTCTTTCTTCCAAAAGGTATCTTTCTCTTCTAGAAATTCTATATCAGACCATTTATATTACAGTCACGCCATTAATTATCACCTAGCATCCACGAATCGAAAAAAAACGCAACAGTCGGCACATATAATCGAGATTGTTCTTGTAATTACGACTAGCTAGACCAATGGATATCAAAGCATGATGTACATGACACATCAAGGTGAATAAAGGGAGAACATAAAAGACAAATCCTCCACGCGAGAAGGAAGGTATAAGGCTTTTGAGCACATGGACAGAAAGGTAACCAAAAACACGCCAATGATTTCCCAAGAAGGGAAGAATAAAGAAATAAATAAATAAAAATATAAGATAAATTACTCCCTTAGAAATCCATCGCCATCATACAAGCTACCCGGTGTCCCAATGCCCAGGCCAAGCGCCTTCCCTGTCGGTGTCGTCAGGCCCCGCGGCACAGAAGATAAAGGTGTCGGTGGAGCTCGCTGGCTGTGCATACGGGGAGGAGAGTGATCGTTTTTCGAGAGAGATCGGGGAATACTGTTGTGAAGACGGGTAGGCGAGGAGCTAGTATCAGAGAATACAAAGTTCCCTGCGAGGTGTGCAGCTGATGGTTTGGGAGGCGAACCACTTCGATTGGCATCTTCCCAAATGGTGACGCGGTCCTTGACAGTTCCGCTCCGGTTCCGCGTATTATAAGTTGAAGTATCAGGAATTATTGAGGCGCCGATGAGAGCAAGCGGTTGAGAATCACGATTACGCCGGCCGGGGCTTGTCGCGTCAGTATTTGTTCGATGCAATGTGTCGGTTGACCTCCGCCAGTCGCTGCCTTGAGTACCGGTTATTAGAGGCAGACCGGTGGGTGAACCGATGCCCATTAGCGGTAGTGGGTCCATGGGCTTTGGAGTTGAGTTGCTGCGGGCGCTTCGGGCTGGCTGGCTGCGTGGACCCTTCAGGGGTGTACGGCGGGGGCTGCCATTAGCAATATGGTTCTCGTATGATGGGGAGGGAGCCTCTTCCGGGATAGCCCAGACATTTAGGTTATGCTCGGGGGAGGGAGTGTGAGTAAGGGTGCCTTCTTCGTTGGGTAGAGAAGTGAAGAGTTCAGGCAAGTCACGGTCCTTGTCGAACAGTTTTGCGGAGTCGGAGGGTGGATTTGGATCATGGGGTTTCTTATTAGGAGGACTCTTGTTGCAGATCGCTATAGGTTCTTCAGCCAAGGGTCCCAATGTGCTATGCGCAGGCTTATTTCGTCGGCTGGTGCGCTTTGAGAGAGGTGATGGCGAGGTTGTCGGCGGAGGGAAAGCAGGGAGTGACTTGAAGTTGCCGTTGATGGCACTCTCACGCAGATCCAGTTCTTCCATTGCATCGAGATCCTCTGGCTCTTCTTCCACCGTGGGGGAGAATGCGGGACCAGCGAATGTGATGGGCGGATGAATTGAAATTCGCACGCAATTTTGGCGCCTGTGACCTTTCCGCTGCGAGTTTGAACCTTTCAGAGCGGACGCTAGAGGCTGACCGCGAATGGATAGACTAGATCGCTGCATTGGGCTCGGCGGCATCGAGCCAGCTGTCTGTCCTGGAGACCCAACAGAAAACAGTGTGCCATTGGAATTAGGCGAGCCTCCGTAGAACGGATCAGCCTCATAAGGCTCGCCATCCCAAACAGCTGGCTGTTGGAACTGGCTGAAGTGTGACACAGCAGACATAGATGAGTTAGAATGTCGCCAGTTGATCACTGGTCCAGTGTGATATCCATTCATTGAAACAGGCGTTCCACTTCGCATCGATGGGTGCCTTTGTGGCCCATTGGAGGATACTGAATCATTTCGACGTGGAATTGGAGTGAAGCTGAACCGATTATCACTAGCGTTGCTAGGGTTTCGAGAAGTGGTTGTCAAACTGCGGCGAGGAGAAGTAATGGGATCCATTGATGATCTCCTGCGTCCTTCGGCGGTAGAGGAGGAACGGACAGGGAAGTTGTGTAGAGGAGGCATTGAGGTATTGGCTGCGATAAAACTCCTGCGGCCGTTCTTGACACCAACATCATTTGCACTGAATGGCACTGATGTACCACCTGATGGGAATATTGGCGAGGTCAGCTCAGTATCAAGCGACCTTGGACCCTGCCGACCATCTTCCAGAATTGAACTGTTTGTTGTGTCAAGACTCATGGACGACAAGCGCATAATCGAGTCGTTCCTCAAGTAGCTGAGTCTATCTGGCGGAAAGGCAGTTGGCGGCGGTGGCGGAATAGGCTTATCAGGTGCTATTCCTGGTAATTGACTAGTGACACTTCCTCCTCGAATTCTTGATGGCGATTCCTCAAAGATTCTAGGCGGGGGATCAAACATCTCTTGCGAGTTTCGGCTCTCCACGACAGGGAAGAGACCTGGTCGCTCTTTTGAGAGGGCAGTGGCCATGTTGGTGGAGATACCGGACGCATTCCCAGGTGAAAGCCAGGCTCCTCAAGAGTAAGATCAGGTGTTTGTCGAGGTGTTCGTTCTGCTGGCAATTCGAGGACCCCTTCGACTGCAGAGAGAGGGATATCATCTCTTGATTGGGAGGGTCGTGGAGGACTATGATGAAGTACCGTTTCAGCCACAGTTGCCATCGAACTCATGCGACTATGTCTCTGAGACGATCTCGAGAGACGTTTGGATCGGGATCGTGAAAGCGAATGACGAAGTGACTTTGCTTTCTGCATGAGTGGGAACGACGAATCTGAGCCGTTTTTCGGCCGTAGCAGATGCTCGCTTGAGTTGGCTTGACCCCATTCTGTTGGTTTTCCGTAAGGGAGGTAGCCATGAGCTCTGAGGGCATGTCCTTCTTCCCGAGATATCTCAGTCAACGTATCCCCAGTGTAGCCTATACTGCGGCTGTACTCCCCATGTCTGAGACCAAGCACCCTCAACGCATGTTGCTCTTTGCGGACCCTGACCCAGACGACGATAGCAACCGCAGAGAAGACGACGAAGATGGCCGCGCCCGAGGCCGCGACGGCCACCTCCGAGCCCAGGCTCAGCATAGCCGCCTCGCTGGCGTTTTACTTGCCGAAATGGCTGGTGTTGGTGCGCGCGCAGTTTGGGAGATCGCTTTCGATCGCTCATTCGCCAAGTATCCCTTCTAGTCCCAAGCCGATCTCGTTTCTGAAGTTCGATATCCTTCAATGCTTTTTGTGGCTTGTTAAATGTGATATGGCTCAACGCAAAGCGCAATAACACACTCTCGAAAAGAAACAGGGGAACAATGTCGGGAAGGAAGCGCCATAACTGACATTCCCGCTTAGAGTCCCATTTGTTATGGGAACATTGATTATAGCCCAAGAATGTGGCCGCATCATAAGCGATGGCCATGAGGAATGTTGGCGGCCACACTGCACACTATCGCCCCCCTTCCTTAAGGACATATGGTATTCTTCTGCAAATCAGAAAGCATGCACGATCCATTGGCACGTCTGTGCGAGAGAACATGAGCTGATTGGGTCGAATCGCATCCCAATATTCCTTCCCAACTGTACGTGTTCAAGATCAGCAAGATAGAAAGATCCTCTGGAATGACCAGTCACTAGGCCAATGTCAACGCTAATTTTTGGAACCCAGCAATATGATATGCAGAAGGATCATTGAATAATCATCTAAAAAAGGCACGGCTTCCATGTTCTGCGATCATCAGGGACTAGTGTATCGGGGTAATCAATCTCACTCGCCCAAGGTAAGTTGCCTCGGAGGGATAGTCGAATCCACCTTTCTGGTAGAAAGGAACTAGTTGACATTTCGATTGTATGAACTGATTCTACAGTAGAGATGCCAAATCATTTCTCCGAGCTAATATTGAAGTTGCCATGCGCGACGTTGAGGGCGGGCGGAAGGACCCTTGCGCGTCAGGACTGGACTCCTTTCTTGCCATGCCAGCTCGAAAAGGAGGCTCTTGGCCACCTTAAAGAAGTTTCAATGACGACTGTTTGCTTTTGATAACTTTTGGTTCCTTTGATTCCTGCAGTTCTAAAAGTTCTCTTTGTTGTCTTTGGCCTTGAGACGGAAAGCTCGTGTGTACCACCCCGGTAGCAATGATGTCATTTGGTGGCCGTCGTCTGTATAAACGTTACTACATAACAGCTATTCTGATCATAGGAGAGTCTAGCTAGCAAGGCCCTTTTCAATGGAATCTTATCTGGTGTTTCCTTTTATAAAGAAATACCTGATTTCCCGGTCGACTGACTGGATTTGCCCTCCTTACCTCGTCGGGTCGGACGGGCCAGACACCGACAAGATGCAATGGCAATGTCTACTGTACGCAAAAAGATTATAAAATCTCTAGCTCGCATGAGAGTTGGCAGATTAATCCTCGACTTCGTTACTCATTACCATCGCGGAGACCGAGCTAGTCTTCGCCACCAAATTCATGACATGGTGTCCCCGTGGTTAACCTCTCTTACCCCATTGGAGTAGGTTTTATTTACCAAATTTGTCACAGATTCAAGGCTTCTCATATGCCCCTTCTTTCCTGATTCGCCTTTCATACAACTCTTCGGATCCCCCATTTTCCATATTTGTACAGTCTTACCGACATAAGATTGTCAACCTCATCTACAAAAGCCCCTTTGTCCGAGTCAATAGGATCCTCGAAGAGAATTCTAGCTTACTAGACATGTTTGCTGCGCACGAAAAGGCTACCATGGCTACTCAAAGTGGAGCTAATACCATCTGCCTATCTACATCGCGACCGAGAACTCGAGCTTCGTGTCCAATCAGACTAGAAGAGTCTGACATGATAATGTCCCCTGGGCTGTGCTGGTAAATACTGCGCGCTGGAAGATGTTAACCTTTGATTCTTGTCGGATGCGTCAAGCTATCACAAGTACTGACGTCAAAGCCTAAGTATGCTACCTAAAGAATCTCAAATGGGGCTCTATCCAGGCCTGGAAAGTCGTTTCGCACGCTTGCTGGTTTAGTCGATTTCGAGATTATGGTAACAATGGCAATGAGAGATGAATACTGGGGATTGATTGCTTACTTCCACACAGGGAACCAGTTTCATTCATCAGTACCATGGGAAGAGAATCAGTTGGAGAATTCCCTAACGAAGCATCACTTCTCCGTATTCTCATTATTGTACAATTTTCCTCGGGTGAGCGGCGCGCGCAGCCACCGGCCACCCGGCCCCGAAACCACCCTTGCTCGCCGCATGGGCCCTGCGCCCTCATGATATCACCATGCCGGCGAAACCCGTCCCTTGCATGATCCTCTCAGCTCTCGGCTAATAAGCAAAGCCATCATCTCACTCTGCGGCGGTTGTAGCGGCACGCTCGCCGAAAAGAGTGGTGAGATGCTCGGCGGTGGCCTCAACCCAATTGGCAACCCGAGACTGGACGAAAGGATCATCGTTGTCAACGCGAAGGACCGCTTCGCTCTCATGGGAACTGGCGGATCGGACGGGAGTAGATTGAAGCAAGACCTCGGTTTGCTGGAGGTCATTGGGAAATGATAATGAGGTGGAATTGTGATCTACTCCAGGTAGAGGAACGAGCTCAATAGGAAGGTCATTGAAGTCGTGGTTTCTAGCCAGGGCCTCGGCATCATGGTCGTTGATGACCTCGGTGAAGAGGACGGAGCTGCCCACGCGCTTATAGAGAGCAAAGTAGGTGCGATATGGAAGCCGGATGAGATAGCACCAGCAACTTTTCGCGATGCGGCATACGCGTTCGAGTTCGAAGCAAGACTTCAGGCAGTGCCCGATGGACAACCAAAGTCGCCAGTACAGAAGGGCAAAGCCGCAGGAGAACAGGACGACCACAGCGATCGAGAGATCAGAAAAAAATTCGAGATCCATGGCGATTGACTTGCTCATGTATAATCGAGGAGCGTGAGGGCTTTGTTCTGATCATTTGTATTTTTCACTACGACAAAGTTGTTTTTGTGCTGCTTGACGACTAATGATTTGCTGTCGGTCATGTCGAGGTTGTGAGGTTTAGTTTCGGCGTTGAGTACTGCGTGGTTGATGTTCCCCTTCTTCAAGTCAATTGATCACTCATTGCTAATATGCAAAGTGAAAGGAAAGAAACCCATTTCTGTAATCAGAAGTCATACCCTAGTCGTTCAAATTGTCAAAGGAGTTGAGGTCAAAGTATTGCATGGAGCATATGTATCTATACGGGAATCATGAAATGACAAAAACGTAGAGCTGTCTGTCATCATACCGTGATAAGCTCACCAGAGCTGTAACCCTTTGTCTACTGTAACATGTACGGCGTTTTCAGAGAAAGACGGGGGCCTTTATTCGGAGGGAGACAACCAAATGGCACAATTGTTAAAAGAATAGCATCATTGCACAGCAAAATGAATGCAACGCCCCGTTGAAACTTATGAAGTCAGCTGACAAACCTCCTACCTTAAATTTAGAAGTGAGCCTAGCAATGGCTTAAGCCACCATGTCTGTCGATCGCTGCACTGGTGATATGACGACATTCAGCACAGGCGCCACGGTATCTACTTTAAGTGGAATAAACCTGAAATCCACATGTTTAATGCAGATCCCATAGATAAAGGGGACATGTGCAAATGGAATAGATAGCGGTCAGCGCGAGATCTCTTGAGGCCCAGTGATCGCATCACGGGCCCCGCATAATCTCGGATGACCGACAACGCTCGGATCTAAGAATGTCAGTTGATCTAGAATACCCAAGCTCAGCCAAGTTGTTTAAGAGCAAGGCACATATCTACAGGATTTCTTCTCACTTTAATCTAACTCTCGTTTCTGATCTTCTATTTTCACGGCATAAAGGTATAAGAGGATTTTGCTTTGTTCGGGTCAGAATTAAGCTTCACGTTGAAAGACTACCTCAAAAGTGAATGCTCGGAACAGCCACTGCGTCTTGGCACAACGAAATCAATGGATTCCATTGTCCACCACGACTCGTTTCAAAGGGCATTCACGACAAATCATTTTCAGACTCACGAACTATAGAACAATGTTTCGCGCACCATCCTCCATCTTTCTATTATTCCTCATCAACCACCAAGCATCACAATACTGAGAATGCAAAGCAATATGAACTCCAAGAAAGCCTCTCACATGGCTACGACTAGCTTTCACGCACAGGAGAAGCTATGGGAGGACGCAGAGAAATTAGTAGTAGTAAGAAAAATACCACCCCCACCCAACTGATGCACCCAACTAACGAATCTGAAAGGCAAAGGCCTTGGAAGAAGCACTGAACTGCAGAAAGTGCCCTCTGAGTATTACAGAAGCCACAATGAAGGCAGACATTGACCAAGGCAACTACATCGCAACCAACTATCCTCCATATTTCCCTAACGCCAGCAAGCGGGACGAAAACATCTCTCCCCTCGACACAAATACTCCGAATAGCGACCTTTCCCACTGGAAAGTCATTTCGGAAGCTCAGCGTCAACAATACTATAAGATTGTAGAGCATATTCTCGACACCCGAATGCACGAGAATGCACCCGCAGACTCTGATCTGGCCATTCTCTTCGCGCACTATCAGGTAGACTACCACATCCGACAACACTACCTTGCCCACCGAGGCGTTCTAACACTCTGCCGTGATGCGAGTGACATGCAGACGCTACGCAAGTGGCAATGGCGTATGGATGCGATTGACTCGGTCATCACACCGGATGATAGACAACCGGTCCAGCCAAAGCCACATCGGCCGACAGGTTGGCCGAAGGACGGAAACTTGGAAATGCTGCACCAGACACACTTGTGGAAGAAATCATGGAAGGTGCGGCAGAAGCGGGTGGAGGATGTTAGGGCTCGATGGGCGGTGATTATGGAGGAGAGGCGAAGGCAGAGAGAGTGGTTGTTGGCGAAGCAAGCGTCGACGCTTACGGTGCGATTGTATTTTGGTGGGGAGTTGTGTGGATTGAGGGAGTTGGAGCGGAAAGTCTACCCTGGGTCTGGGATGCGGATGGGGAGAACTACGCAGAGCTCTGGGTTTTGAGCTGGGTTGTAACTTGTTAGGATTGCATAGCGCAGGAGTTGCAGGTACTGAGCTGGTCTCACTACTCTGTTTAGGTATTGGAAGGTTTCTCTTGAGGTTGTTTCACAAGCTACGTTGTTTGATGGGTTCAGTTGTAGATGTGGCATGACTGTCACTTGCCGTAGTAGATTACCATCTACTGGCACCCTAGGTGGCATCTGACATGCATACCTTGTTGAAGTGGAATAGACCATGAAGGATTACCCAGGCGCATGATATTTGCTCCGCCCTGATATTTTGAGTTGTGAGATGTGGGGGATCTCGGGCGTTGTACAAGATGTACCCCGGATGTCTGAGGATGACAATTGGGAGACCCTCCGTGGTCCCTATAATCTACCTCCCTAGCATGGATATGACTTGCCACCTGCTAGGTTCTAGGTTCTTTTATGGTCGTCGGACAATATCAGTCCGTCGCCAGAGCACAAGAACTTTAAACTCAATTCCATGGCTCTGGAAGCTAGCGACCTTGGCCTACCATACTTTGCTCTTTGTCTAGAGTAAAACCCAAGGGTTCCCTTCCGAGCAGCTAAGCCATGGGTTGAAGAACATATGCGATTTACTTGTAGGTATTTAAAATCCGAATATAATATACCGGTGGAGCCAAACGTCCGGATGCCAAAGGGCTGATCAGGGTTTAAGACAATTACACGGATTTGAATTTGGATCTGGGGTTCTGGACCATCTGGCAATCTAGCCAGGATAATCCGGGGCTTTGGATTCTGTGCTGTGGAAGATCGAATCTAGTGAACCGACAAGGATGGGAACGAGAACAAGTCACCATCGTGAGACATGAAGGTGGGTTCTGCTACCACTCTGTACCCGTACCTAATGAGGGATAAGGTAACGGCGACGAGAGAGCTAGATATAAATAGGGATGAGATTCCTTCCAACAACAAAGAACAAAACGTTAGCAAGCAAATCGAATTCGTGATCAATATTCTTTCAAGATGCGTTTCACACCAATCATCGCTTTGGTCCTCGCCACATTGGCTATTGCTACCCCGGTCGAGGATAGTTCCAACAATGTCGCTGCCGAGGCAGACACGGCTCGATGCCGGCCCCGTTATGATAATTGCGTCGAGGTAAAGAGGCCCTTCAACCTGTCTGGCTATTACCTCCAAGACCGTCGACTAACAATGCTATTATAGGATTGCCGCAGAAGCCATAGGGGTGAACGCTGCAGATCTGTACGTCAATTGGTCTCAAACTTTGATCAACACCATTGCTAATACAATGACAGCGATGTTACGACGATTGGTGCCGTTTCTGAGCACAAGCATCCGCAGTTTTCAACAAACTGTGAATTTGCCATGGAAAGGTCGGGACTTGATGTTAGGGAAACGAGCGCGTGAGGATATTATACCAGGAACCCAAACGATTGGCCGGATCATCAAGTTGTGCAGGGAACCTCATCTTGGTCGTAGCTTAGCATAACAGGATTCCATGGAACTGAATTGGAAAATGCACTCCATCTTACAGCGGTCCTCTCTCCTCCGTAATATTAGTTGATCTAGTATCACGGTCCGTCAAGTCAAACCTTGACCCCGCCATGGATCAGCAAAAACCCTGGGGTACTGAACCCCACCACCCTTGATTAAGAGCTCATCGCCTGATATGCGGGGGAGGACCGTACCGAATACCCTCGTGCAGTTGCGTTCAATGCATGTCCGCATTCCCGCTGACCGTGATTTCCAGAGTGGGGAGCGATCACCACGCATCCCTACTGCATTGAGCAGAATTCCCAGGTTTCGTCGCCAAGTAACCTGACCCCACCTGCACACCCCTCAATACTGGGAGGATTCAAAGCCCGACAAATCCGGGATACAGTAAGTTGAAATGTCTCATTTGCAGTCTGCGGTCAATGCAACATGTTTTTTTCTGCACTTGGGAATATAAGAGGTTCACGCGCCCAGGCATCGATCTCCCGCGCCCAGAGCGGCTGTGGCTGGTAGCTGTCTGCCTCTAGGTGCGGGAATTACTGAAGCTCTGATTTGCTGGCATCTTTTGGTACCCAAACTGGTCCTGTAGCATAGGTAGAAACCTTCCCAGCCTCTCAGCCTCCCTTTCAAGCCCAATTCCCATGGTGCAGCCTCATTGCCCACAATTTCCCTGATTGGCCTTGGGCCCGGTTGACCATGGGCACGGGGAACCTCCGTTTTTTGAGTCAATGGTTACCCAATGAGCGGGAGGCTAACGTGTGACTAATCTCACCGGTCTGCATTTCGTCACGGCGAACAGGTCAGTGCTGGATTACTTGTTCCAGGTGTTCCAAGGCCACGCAGATCGGGAAGATCGCTGACGTTGGGGTTAAAGAAGGGGGAGCAATGCAACATTAGGATTACAGCTCTTGCTCGTGATTATTGATCATCTGCATGGGATTTTTATGTTCCGACCAGTGTGGCCACTAGAGGACCGAAACGGGGTTCCCGCGTGGGAAGATGAATGAGATGCTGAAACGAGTCATACGCACCCCAAACTGAGAATGGGCAGCTATTTACCCTGTTATTTTTTACTCTCAGGGTTTTTAATCGGAGGACTGCGCACCGCAAACATCATAATTATTCAACCGGGAAGCCGTATAGGGAATGACGTAAGGGCAATCCGATTCAGACGGTCCCGAGCCACCGGCCCGCAAGAGGCGAAATGGAGGAAATGAGGGAATCAATTCTAACATTTGAATGAAAAAAATCAAAATTGAAGACGATTTGTAGACGGTAGACATGTAGAATAAGATCACTGAAATCGGGCGATCACGAAATGACGTCCTTTACGACCCGACCGCGAAAAAAAAAAGTCCCCTCAAACGAGGGGAACCAACATCCACTCGACCCACGTCCACTCCGGATAGGAATGAAAGTGGGTTAGTTTTGGTACTGGTTTATAACGTCGGCTCCTGGTTTCCTCGTCTTTCTCCCTTTCATTCTCTCACCCCTGCAACACCACCATCACCTATTATTTTAAAAACCGCCATTCTAACCCCAATTTGTTGATCATCACCCGCCATCATGTCGAAGACCAAGGTTCTTTTGGTCGGAGCTGCGGGTGAAACCGGAGGTTCTATCGCAAATGGATTGCTGGAAGATGGAGGCTTTGTACGCTATCTCACTCATTCCATCCATCGATCGATCTTTACTAACCCTGGCACTTTGCTATGTAGGAGGTGATCGCCCTCGTTCGCCCGATCTCCGTTCACAAGCCCGCTATTGTCAGATTGCAGGATCGCGGTATTGCCATCCGGAAATGCGACCTGAAGGCAAGCGAGGAGCAGCTGGTCGAGGCGCTGGCTGAGATCGATGTCGTCATCAGCTGTGTCGGTCCTGCTGAGCAGCAGGACCAGATCCCGCTGGCCAAGGCGGCGAAGAAAGTCGGCGTCAAGCGATTCATTCCCTGTGGTTTCATCACCGTTGCACCCCCAGGTGGTGTGATGTGGCTGCGTGACGAGGTAAGAACCAGCGCACGCGTGGTGCCATCATTGAACTGACCACTGACTATTTTTTTGCGCACCTACAGAAAGAGATCGTCTACAACCAGATTCGCCAGCTGTGGCTCCCGTACACTCTTGTCGATGTCGGCTGGTGGTACCAGCTGTCTTACCCCCGTCTCCCCTCGGGCCGTGTCGACTATGCTATGACATCGGGCAACGATGAGATTATCGGCGATGGAAACGTGACCACTGCTCTGACAGACTTGCGGGATATCGGTCGCTACATGGCCCTGATCATCAACGACCCGCGCACCTTGAACAAGAAGGTCCTTGCCTACAACCTGGTCTCCACACAGAACGAGATCTACAGCCTCATGGAGGAAATTAGCGAGGAGAAAATTGACCGCAACTACGTATGTGCCCATGAGTCGATTCGAAGGATTGAACTAATAATTTCTTTTTCCGGAACACAGGTCCCCGAAGAAACCATCTGCAGCAGAGTCCTGGCGGCCCGACAAGCTAGTGAGACTTACCCGTTCGACCCCATCAAATTCATTCCTCGTTATCTCGCCGAATACCAATACTCGTGGGGCATTCGGGGCGATAACAACCCTGATTACGCCCAGTACCTCGGTTACCACTTGACCCCCGAGCTCTACCCAGACTTCAAGCCGACCGACTTCCGCGAGTACCTGGAGTCTGTGATTCGCGGCACTGCCAAGGGTGTCTACACGGACCGAGTCATTTCCCGGAAGCACCAGCGCCACTTCCCCCGCACGGAATCGAGCGACTCGCTGTACACCCGTATCTTCCCTCGGACCGAGTCGAGCGACTCCCTCATGTCGCGATGAATGAACAAATTCTTTCTTCCACTCCTTGGGAGCGACCGTGCTCCAGGTTGACGCCGACCGTTCCCACCGCACTCGCACTTGTTCGCGTTTCTGAAACAAATTCACGATATCTCCCCTCTACCCCATAGATTGGGGTCTTGGTTCGTTTGGGGCGTCTTGATAACATTAGGCGTTTTATGATGTTTACGGCTTTGATGGGGAACATAGACGCGGAGCCTCTTGAGCCACCCTCGATGGGCTTGCCGTGACGATAGAGAGTTGCTGGCATTCAACCTAAGAAGTTCTGCTTTATTTCCGCCATTTATTTTTCATACTTTTGAGTTTGACCGTGCTCTACGGAGACGGTCCTCGTTGCATATAGAAATTCAAACATCATAACCTTGGTGATTGCTGATTTCACTATTTTCCCACCCTTGCTCTTTCCTCCGCTGGTGGCCAACACAACGCCTTCAACTTCCTTTGATGAACTTAGAAATCGTATGTGTTTCATCTTGTCCACAAATTGCTGGAATGGATCTGTCTGAATATCCACGCCGGAGAAATCGGTCTTCGAACTATGGATCTGCTCAGAGTTCACCTGTCCTATCGATTGTATCTGCGAGGACTGCTCCGGAACATCAAGAGACTACCGCACATGGGCCTCATGGAGATGTTACTCTGGGATTTATCGACATCTATCAGTCTTTGTCACCTCGACAAGTCGGCGTAATTGGTCTGTCAAGGTCCCTTCATCTGTCACACGGCCCCACTGATCTTTGTCTCCAGCGGTTGGGTCAGCCATTGGCACAGGTTTGATGATCGGGACTGCAAGAGCTCTCACAATGTAAGCCGTTCGTTCATCAGTCAAGTTCAACTCTGGACGACGAAGCAAACTAATTGGGTAACAGGAGCGGCGTGAGTGTTTTTCATCGGTGTTGTTTCTGGCAACGAGTTAATGGTTTATAGCCGGCTGCCATGATGATATCCTATAGCTTCGTCGGATTCTCCGTATACTTGGTTTTGTTAGCCTTGGGTGAAGTCGCTGCTTGGTTACCAAAGCCATACACCGTAGCAGACCAGGCCGTGCGATTTGTTGACCCAGCTCTGGGCTTCAGCGTGGGTTGGATGTGAGCTGCACAGCATGCCCTTTTTGACACCAGCTCACCAGATGATGCAGATACTGGCTGAAATATGCCATTGTCACCCCAAACCAGTTGACAGCTGCCGCTTTGCTGATTTCGTATTGGGTGGACGCGGAATGGATCAACCCTGGCGTGTGGATTTCCGTTCTACTCTTCGTTATCATCCTCGTCAACTTTGTCCATCATGGACTACCAAGTCGAGTTGAGTTTTACGTTTCATCCTTCAAATTGCTTATTATGTCCGCTCTGATGATCTTGTCAATGGTCATTGCCCTAGGAGGGGGACCAGATCGTGATCCTCGAGGGTTTCGATACTGGAATACACCTGGTGTGTTTGATACGATCGGAGCTCGGGTGAATCATGGGATGCTAGAGAAGTTTTTGGAAACCTGTGCAACGATGTCTTCTGCGACATTTGCCTTCATTGGTAGTGAACGATCAGGTATTATGGTCCGGGCTCCTAACATCCGAAAGGCCATTTCACGCGCCATCAAGCACACCTTTTATCGGGTGTTGGTGTTTCATCTTCTGGGAATCACTCTGCTGGGTATGCTTGTCCCTCGAGACTCGAAAATACTGGCCTTTGCTCGTGACTCTACCAAAGGTGCTGCCGCATCTCCTTTCGTCGCAGCCATCTATCTATCCGGTATCGCAATAGTGCCAGACCTGCTGAACGGATGCATTCTGTTATTTGTTCTGTCAATAGCCAATTATGACCTTTACCTGGCCACTAAGGCGATGTGCGACCTCTCCTTGAAGCGCCGTGCGCCTGCTTTCCTACTCTACACCAACCGTCGCGGCGTTCCCGTCTACGCTTTGGCTGTATCTTCTTCCGTCGCAACATTAGCCTATGTCAACGTCGCCAAGGATTCCAGGCTTGTATTTGGGTATCTCGTGGATATGGTAACGATGCTTGGTCTTTTGGTTTGGGTTTCCATCCTCATTACTCATATCGCTTTTGTGCGGGCGCGCAAAGCTCAGGGTATTCCTGATGAGGCGCTTACTTTTCGTGCTCGTTTCGGTCTTACTGGTACATGGCTGGGTCTTGTACTCTGTCTGTTCATCTCGATAACTATGGTTCTCGGTGCATTCACATTTGACCGCAATGACAAGCTTAGGTTCCATTACCAGTCCGCCGTCGCGTCGTTCGTGGGTCTGCCGATCTTTCTGGTCTTGATTGTGGGGTACAAATTGGCGATGCGCACTAAGCGTGTCAATTCAAAGACTGCGGATATGTGGACGAGCAAGCTGGACATTTGATTCGACCGTTTCTATAGTGTTTGCCTTCCAATGCTAAATCGTCTGTTCAACTTCCCCTAGGCTCGTCATGAAATATGCGTATCTATGTTTGTTCTCCAGTGTTCAACTGTATCTTCCTGCTTCTCACCCGAGGTCTGTCATCCTGAAAATGAATCGATGACATTCGCACATGGATGTACATATACCCCGCCATGTCCCAGTATCTACGGGATGATATCCCAGACGCCGAGTCGGTGCCGCAAACCAACCACGACCAGCGTCATCAGCCATCAATTTATTTTCTTCGTCCCTCTCCTGCACCTTGCCCGCAAAATACATTCTCAATAGAGTGTCGTCGATGTTTGCTTACTCTTGTCACGGAGCCTTTTAGTCCACGTTTTAGTCCGATCAGGCGTAATCATACCGAGCGGAATGCAGGTAAATATAAAACGAAAAGCCTGGTATAACGTAGCCTTACTCCCAGCGCGCAATACTTATATCAAAAGCTTCAGCTTCGACAAGAGCGGTGAACATGAAGGCGACCATGCCATCGACCTCGGAGGCACTGTTGGGCAATAATGTGGGGTACATTGATGAGCTGATGGATCGTCGATCCAATAACTACTAGTCACGAACTGCATACCCAATTCGCACCGACATACCCCCTATATATACAAACTTTCCAAATGTCTGGCTGATTAGACCACTGTGTGGATATGGTTAGCATATAAGTGGCATAGGGGCAGACAGGACTATCACATATGATCATTCTGTTCCGAATTTCCAGACCAATGCTAAGGCAGTACATAACACATCCTATACGGGGCAGAGTCATCCCAGGCTGACTCAATCCAATCAGCGACATTGAAAGGCAGCTGGGTATAATCAATCCACTATGTTTGCCAAATGATAATCCGTGGAACAAATTCGCAACTAGACCCCGAAAGGCTGTAGCTTGGACCCCCACTTCACATGCAGGTCGGTCTAAAATGAACTTCTCGACGGGAAAGCGACAAGGCAGTTGGAATGCCGCATTTCAACCTTCCTATTTCGTGGGTAGTTGGGGTTTTCTTTTAGCCGTCAATCCCGGCGTTTGACCTATTCTTGGGCTTGCGGCAGATTGATTATCTCTGAACCGATGATGACGGGACAGAGTCTCCCGGTTGGGATTATAATGCATAGGTAACTATTTAAAGAGACTCGTATTCGACTGTACATGTCGCGTGGGGGTGTACGAAGGGGATGGAATCACCGGCGCAGGAACGGGGGCATGTCGGCAGTAAAACCGAGTTGTGGAAATAGTCCAAAGCAAAAGAGTTCATCGTGGCGTACTCCGTAGGACTCGGCTCTTTGGAAATACAGTTTGAATTCTGTTGGGAAAGGAGTTTGTGCATGTGAAGGATTGGCCGGTGTCACTTAGTCAACTTTCACCTGTTTTCACGTGAAAGACTCTGCGCCGAACGCGAATCTCGCCACTTCTAAGCTCCACCCATCTCCCAAATAATGCTTCCACCGCCGTGATGGACGACACACATTCCGACGATCGAAATCGTCGAGCTGCCAGTGTGCTATCTATGGACGACCTCGAGGCCGCCCAAGCTCTGGAGGGCCTTCGCACAGGTATGCCAAACCCGGTCCCTCGGCCCTATATACCCCCAGTCGCGATCATCTGATAAAATTTGGAACCTATGTTGCGATTCTATCATATAAGTTGCAGGGCTGCTGTGCGAGGGGGAAAACAACGCAACGCCCGACTAATCATTTGCCCATAGAATACGGACAGTCGCCACGAACATCGCGGCAAACCATCCCGGGGACAACGCCGAACTCTTCACAAGCAGCGGAGCCGTTGCTCTCGCTGCTAACGTCGTCGCACCCCCTCATCTCCTCTGCCATCAACGGCTCCGTATCTGCATACACCACTTCTAAATCGTACTCCGCACGCTTCAAGTCCAGCGCCGAGTTTATCGAGCGTAACATCGGTTCACCTGTCGCGAATACAGTGGGCACTGTCGGCCGCAAGACTGGCGTAGAAAGTGGTCTGCGCTGGGCGCTGCAGCGACGAGACTCTCCGCAGGACTCGAACCCTACCAGTAAGCGCCGCAAGGTGACGGAAGTCCCGCCGGATATGGATGTGGAGAAGGGCGAGGATGCGATGAGCCAGAGCCAGAGTCAACCACGAACACGAAGTTCCTCTGATCTGTCGATGGCAGAGACGCTCCCACCATATGATGACGCACGGTCGCCTCGGTATGAGGAGAAACCCGGGCGACAGAATCCGACGTGGCAGAGCCGCCTTGTTATTTCAACATCGGGCTTAGGTGTTGCGATGAGCGAGGAGTCACTGCGTAGCTTGACCTACTGTTTAACCTGGCTGCGCTGGGCAAACGGGCGACTCGGCAAGGCTATTGTGGCACTTCAAAGTGCGCTCACGGAGTGGGACAATCAAAAGAAAAACCAGTCCCAACAACCCGACCTTGAAGGAGGGGAAAGCGCGTCGCTCTTGACACAGCGTATTCAGGCGGTCAAAGCAGACGTGCTTTCAACGTTGAAGCAGGTTGTCGACGTTGTATCGAAGTATGCTGGAGGAGCGTTGCCAGAAAACGCCCGTCATCTCGTACGACGACACTTGACATCCTTGCCTCACCGATTCCAAATGGCTAGCACATCTCAACCACCCCCTGGCTCTGTCGAGGCCTCTTCAGATGCGGCTGTCGGTGCGCACCGAATTCTCGTTCTGGCAAATGAAAGCTTGGATATTCTGGGTCAGGTTAGCGGTGTAGTCAACGACACCCTTGTAAGTGCCGAGCACTGGTGCGAGCGACTTGGGCGCAAGCGCCACGATAAACCCGCACAGGATGCGGAGAAACAGCCATCTGCCACACCGGACGCTCAACCGTTCGGAATGGATATCAAGCAGCCTCTAGAGGGTGCTCAGGAGGACGTGCAGATGGCTGGAACTGAGAAAGTTTGATTGATACCCTGGTAATCCCGTTGGACCGCCTTTCCTTACACTTTTTCTCTTGTCCATCTTTTGTCATTTTCTATTTATGTGTCCGTGACGGTATTTTATGATTGATATCCAATAGCTGTTATTACGCGCTCTTTTTAGCTGTGCAACTGGGATTTTGCACTCAATTGGATAATGGTGGTTTTTGGTCTGAACTGGATCTATGGATTCAACCACATGAAAAATGTTTTTTTTTTTTTTCCTGCTTCTCTTACTAGATGAATAAATTGCATGGGTACCGGGGCTTTGAAGCTTTCGGCAAGCTCCAAGGGTATGTAGCAATGCAGCGTCTAGGCAAGACTCAGCATTTAAATCCTAATGCCCATTGAGATAGCACCGTTTCTTACCGATATCCTGGCTCGAATGAAGCGCTATTCATGTTAGCTTAGAACAAAGGAGATATACGCTCCTTAGAACTCGGCAAATCAGGTACAGTGGCATCTTGTCTGAAACTATTGTAATTACCGCGCTACTTCATACATGGGCTAGTGGGAGTTGAACAAGTCTTTTCTGGTGTTCGTCTAATTTTATAGATTTCTATTTAAACTGAGAAATACCTCGAAAAGTAAACCACCTGTATGTTTCACAGGCCCTGACTAGGCAATGGGAAGACTTTGGCAGATTTCTCTAATGCCCACACTCATCTAGAACCCCGGCATCGTTTCGCTATTGACGTAGAAGGTATCTAAGGCTGTATTAAACCCGTTGAACTTGGTCGCTGTGGTACTTGTGTACGCTATCAAAAATCAGTAGTCATATCACAATATATGAAAAGATACGTACCGCCCATATCCATATACTTCAACCAGTCTCCAATCATAACCTCCTCCCCAAATCTCGCTCCCTTGGTCACACAATCAATCCCATCACACGTCGGCCCCCAGACAGAGTATCGATACTCCTTATTACCACTCCCTTTTCCTCTCCTCCTCACCAAAACAGGAACCATCACTTCCTTCTCCATAACAACATTCATGAAACTGCCATAAACGCCGTCGTTCTGGTAAAGCATATCAGGCACACCTTGCACAGCCGCAACACCCATCTGGCGACGACGGGCAATCACTCTCGAGACAAGCGTATATGCACTCCGAGCGTAGAAACGGCCCGGTTCCGCAATGACGGTTACACCCGCTGAGAACTCCGTTCGGATTGATTGCAGAATATGAGAGGATAGGGACTCAAAACTGCTATCTTCGAAGCCACCACCTATATCTAGGATGCTGGGTGTATAACCAAGGTTGTTTGCTTGTGTGAAAACGTGACGGGCATGTTGGATTGCTTTGCTAAATGCCGTTGGGGATTTGGCGCCGGTTCCTATAGATATGTCAATACAGTGCACAGGTTCAAATAATTCAATCTTAACACATCTTGGGAAATGAAGAGTGAGTTCATACCAACATGAAAGCTAACGCCCACAACATCAAATCCGAGTTCCCTCGCCCTAATCAACAAAGCATTCGTCGTATCCAACGGTGCACCAAATTTATCTCCAAAGCTAATCAGCGCACTATCATCATTCGCGTAGATACGCAATAGAAGTTGCGCCTCGGGCATGTGCATCTTGATCATATCTAATTCATCGATATTGTCGAAAGTCGTTCTCAACACTCCAGCCCGGCGGGCGAAGTCCAGCGATGCAGCACCCTTGCAGGGATTTGCGAATAAGATCCGAGCAGGATCAACGCCTAGATTGAGGACCGTACGCATCTCTTCAATCGATGCGCAATCAAAGCCTGTCCCATGGTCGGCGAGACACTTTAGGAGCGTCGGGTCCGAATTACATTTAATTGCTGGCAAATGTCATTGTTAGCCTGGGTTACAATCATGTAGCGAAAAAACTCACCATAATACGGCCTAATACCGGGGAAGCAACGTGTCCATCTCTGGTGTTGCCTGGTTACCTGGCCTAAATCTGCGATGTAGAAGGGTTCATCACCACCCACTCGACCGCATTTATCTATACGGGCGATATTTCTCTGGATTGCGAGATCGATTAATTCTTCTGGAGTGGGCTTGCTGTATTCCAGATCATCAATTGGCCTTTCTGCATGGCCGATCTCTTGTTGGATTGCAACGAAACTGGGCAGAGGGAGGAGATCCATGATTGCGCGAGTACTCGGCCTAGCTCAATTGGTGAGACTGGAAGGCGTAGAGGTGTAGAGGCTTGAGTTGGTTGTGTTCGTTGACCGTAGTACGTCCAGGCTAAGAGTACGATGTTGACGCTCGCGCAGGCGAAAGTGAAAGATGTCGCTTTCTTTTGGAGAACACGGCAATATAAGGATTGAGTGAAGGTGTCACGGAATTGAACCATGTAAGAGTTGTTAGCTTGAACGGTCCTCGTTCTGCCAGGTTTAGGGACGTGTCGTGCAGTTGATACATCTCAATGGCTGAGCAAAGAGGGGTCTTTTTACGTAAAGAGTATGTACCTCTCCCCGCTGAGGATTCAAGATTGTCGAGGCTGCTGTGAGATGGTGGAGGTTCTATATTAATATCTAGTAATATTGCAGGGTTGATGGAGCACTTCGTTGGCTGTGGGGCGACTCACTATGCCTAACTCTGATGTCAGTCTCCCACAAGGTCAGTGCAGGTATGGATTGGGAAGATTGTCAGAGGGGATGTGGATCGAGCTGGAACGACCTGTGGATCTCTCGATCGAGATCGACAAATAGTGTCCACATCTCGGTGGTGGGATGGTTCGAGATTGGATCACCAATCGCGACAAGCAGGCTTAATGGCGCACGGTATGCATAAGGGCCCACTTCACATTGGGTGAACCTGCAGGTGTTACGCCCAACAGGTCAAGGGCAGCACGGCTATTCCCTATGGCGCATGTTTCAACACGACAAAGTGATCAGTGGTCTTGTTTTACATCCTACAGTGAATTGCTGTTGCAGCGGAAAGGGAATTCTTCGGCTCCAAGCTTCAGATGAGCCGCCGATACTTCAAACTGTCCCCTCATCACGATCAACAGTGGGTCAAGCGGAGGCCCTCTGGCGCTGATGTTTTACTGAAACATACAAAGACATTATTTCCTTGTTTTTTATCACGCTAGGCGGGTTGCTGACTGCAAAGCGGCCGATCGCTTGGGGACTTGGAAAGCAGACATGCTGCGCACTCTGGACTAAACCAAAATCCGGAAAAGAAAACATGCATGAAAGTACAACTGGATTTGGCCTTCATGTTGCACATCAAATTATCCACTACTCAACTTCTACACTGATGGGAGATCTAACTCAGCGATTCACCTCGCTCAACCACCATCCCAGCTCCACCCCTAGTTTGCCTTCCTGATCATACATCACCAGGTGGCCAACTCCGTCAATCAGCACAACATCCCGGGCATTCAGCTTTTCTCCCAGCCTGAACGCAGTCTCAACAGGAATCCAGCGATCCTCTTGACCCCAGATAATTTGGACAGGCATAGCTTTACCAACCTCCGGATACCTATCCTCAACCTCCTCCGTGCTGCGACTGTTGGCCTGCACCATCTGCCTGACAAACCCCCTCCTGCCCTTTTCACTCGAGATCCACGGCCCCTTCAACATCTCCATCGTTTCCTTCGTCAAATCTGTATACGCCGCATCCCGGATATAAGACTCAACAACACCTTCAAAAACAGGACCCGTCAACGCACGGAACACGCCCTCATTCTCCGCGACTAGTTTGAACAACGGCTGTCCAAAGGGCCCTATTGCCACCACGTTGATCAGACACAGGCTCGCAAATTCACATCCGTGGATGATATGCGCCCGAAGACTCATTAGTCCGCCATGGTCATGCGCGATAACATGTGCCTTTCTAGATCCCCAACTTCTTGCCCAATATTTGTAGAGCGCGGCAAACACTTCGGACTGCCCAGACAGATCGGCGTCTAACGCCATTTCTTTCGTGATTTCAGCTTCCTTCCCGGGCCGAGGTTCGCCACGTGGGCTTGTGCCGAACCCGGGATTGTCGGAGAGGTAGACATGAAAATGCTTTGCGAGGGACTGGGCGTAGACATGCCAGACTTTTGACGACCATGGTGTGCCGTGGATGAATATCAATGGCGGGGATTCTGGGTTCCCGAGGGATGTCCAGCGGATTTTGTAGTTATGGGTGTTGCTGGAGTACTCGAAGGTTTGTGTGAGTTCGATCGAGTTGGAGGGATTCATTTTGAATTCTTTCAGTGTCTGTAGTGCAGAAGTTTTACTAACTTTACTATACCTTTCCTAAGACTGGAGCTTGTTAAAACTAAATACCAACTCGAACTAAAGAGTGGCGTTGCTATAGAAGTATCCAATCAACATCGATTCCAAGGTATTTCAACCTATGGTTAACGGGCCGTTTTTGTGGGGCTGCGTCATCCATCGGTCATGCCTACTTCTCCAGGACCTACAAGATATTGACTTTATTTGAAAGCAATCTATTTGAATTGGGATTCATTCCCTTGTCATGAATTCGTGAGATCATCTTGGAATCCGCAGGCTATCTAGACCCCACAAAGCTATCGGATTGAATCGCATCATCCGAAGTATCATAAAATAAGGATATCACAATGAATAGAACCACCATAATCATAGTCATCATCGTAATCGTGATCATTGCTGTCGTCATAGTCGTCGTCGTCGCTTGATCGATAAGTCTTAAATGCATAAAGAAAAAGGAAATCTACACAGAAAGTAGCGGCCGTCTCTCGGCATTTCCCTCGTCACTGGTCTGTGTAGCCTTAGTAGCACTGCTGAGCCAGAGCATAGGCACAGCTGTGACTAGGGATAATACACCCAGCCCAAGTGTCATGACATCCCAGCCGTAGTAGAATGAAATAAAGCCGCCTTGAATTGGACCAAGCACGAATCCTCCGAAACGGGCCATGATCTGGAGGCTAAATGCTTGTGACACTGCACTGTTGTCGCCGAAGGCTGACGGGTCTTCCACCTCTATATCATGGAGCACACGTTGAATCTCGAGTAGTAGAGCCGGCTCGGCGAGGTTGACACATATGCCAATGCCGAGCAGGATTATGCACAGAATGGTTTTGTCGAATGATGTGTCTTGTTCGACAAAGCGCAGGCAGATAAGCGTTGGTGATAGGACAGCGAAAGCAATGAACGCATTAATTCTACAGCCAAATCGCTCGCAAAGATATACTGGAGAATGGACCGTTAGCCTCCTTCATTGAGTCGGCCCAAATAGGGTATACATACCAAAGAATGGCTGTAGAAGTGCTGCAAAGGCCACTGGGATGAATATCAAACCGGAACCCAGGGTACTCGAATTAAAAATGTCTTGCACGAAAACGGCAAGTGTCTAGAGAAAGGTCATTAACAGTCTCGGCACAATCCAAAGGGTATATACTCACTGCGTCCAATGCGGACATGACTAGCGTACTGACAATTACAGCCCACAAACTCACGATGATCCGCGACTGTTGCAACAGCTTGACCAGTTTCAGTGAGCTGCCAGTCCGGATGTTGTCGGAGTTCTTTCGGTTGAAGATGGTTTCGCAGGAGAAATAGCCTGATGTATAGGTATAGCCCTGGTATGGACAATATTCAGGCAGTGTACGCCAACGTGTGGCAACCTTTTTCTCAATAACCGATAGTCGCAACAACATGTCAAGCGCAATGAACCCAAAGGCCATCCCAAGGACACTATAATACCCTCCGAATTCAAACATCATGCCTCCAATGGGAGATCCAGACATGAAGCCGAGGATCATGGCGGTGCTCACATAGCCAATCATCTGTCCAACTTGGTGCTTGTCTACTGCGTCGGTCAAAATTGCAAGACCGGAAACAGTCAACATTGCCGTTGCAGCACCCTGCAGCACTTTGGCGTAGATATACCACATCACTGTGTTGGCGGTTATGAACAAAGTCATGGAGCCGGACAAGATAACAAGGCCGAAGAGGTATAGGTCCTGTCGATTCCCGGAGAAATCGAGGAAAAATCCAAATGCTGGCGTGCAAAGAAGAGCCGATGCTGCCTCTGATAGTAACAGAGCGCTGTTCCAATATTCGCCTGGACAACGGGTATCAGTAAATCAAGTCGATCTAGTCGCCAGTTTGTACGTACGATCTTCGAACGGGAGTCCAGCTCGAGAGACAAGCGCTGTCGGCATGATCGGTACCATCTGAATAATGTAAGCTTATTATTTTGAATTCGTACCGCGCATCCGTACCATCGAGTGTAGAAAAACATCCTATGGCCTCAAAGTCAGCTCCGAATCTCTGTCCACAAACACTTTAACACCCACTGTAAATGATGACAGCGCAACTGCTCCCACAATAAACGACTGCGAAGACCGCAGTCGCAAGAGTAACGGTCTCTCCTCATCGACGCTGTAGAACAATGGCTCGCTCCCAGTCATAACCAACCGTGGATGATACATCTTGAGTGAAAGCGAAACAGTTCCCCAAAACCAGGCCGAAGGGGCCCATTTTCAGAGACGAGTCCACGAGGTGCTCAGACAAAATGTCATGCAGTCGAAATTGCGGATCTTGGTGGAGCTATCTATTCTTTTTTTTCCCTACCGGTCGCATGCAGTGAGAACCGAAAAGCTCACATGGCTACCAGGCCACCGATTCGACCAGTCAGATCGGAGAAGGTCCCCCCATTAAGGTCCTCCGCGATCCAACCTGCAACTTCACACGGTCAGACAAGATCACCGTGTGACCGACCACTTGACTGGTTGAATTATCCGATAGATCTTCATTTGGCGGTGTACAGAATGTAGCTGCGCCACGACATTCTTGCATGTTCTTGCATATCTTCCACGTATTTGTGGACCGAATCACCAACGCTGGCGCCCCCAACCAGTTGGATTTGGGGTCCGGGGGGGACGGATACCTTGGGCGCCAAGCGAAACGTTTCGGCCGTTGCTCTTCGAGAGTTCATCGAGAAATTGTGGGCCTTGGCGGTAGTGGGGGATATCTGCACCTGAATCACATTGCTTTTCTAACGTCCCTACTCTGGATGGAGGCATGATCGGCTTCGTTTGACGAGGTTGACCGTATCTGTTGTGCCACCAGCTCGGGTAGCCCCTGTTTCACCAATTTCCAGCCTTCGTATTTACGGCTCTACATATGGGCCTCACCGGTTATTTGCCCATGTAGAATGACGTAGGCGAGATGTATTCTCTTCAGATGCAGACTTGCTCTTGTGTAAATAGTCGAACGAGAATTATCTTATCCTTCAAGTTAGACAATCATTCTTCATCCGTTCAAAATTCAGCCGGTTTACTTGAAAAGGGAGTTTGATTTAAGAAAGGCAAGGAAGCGGTTAAGCTGGGTCGGAAAGGACGGCTACGTGCATACCGAGAAGGGAGCCCAAGTAAGGATCGGAGGTCCAGCATTGAAAATTCAGTCTCTTTTCCGACTTTACGGCGCTAAGCATTCAGCTTCAAGTGTTGTAAGGGTCATCTGTCTCTTCTGCATAAAGATGGTCATTCCCAGGTTGCTAGGTATGTACATGCTAGTATCATGGGACATTTGTCCCAAGACGTAGGCAGCGGGGTAGTATGACCTCGGGCTACCTACATTCCAAAGCTTCGGAAATTTCTCAGGTGCGTGCGCTTTAGAAATGTTCATTAGCATGAACAGGTCTGGATCATGACATCAAATTCCAAATTTGATCGTGCAGGAGTGCGTATCACATAATTTTCGGCCTTTGTTAAAAAACGGCCTTACCTGTACATATTTAAGTATGCCAAACCTTGGAAGTCATGGGATCCCAGATCCATCACATGCGTTGCGGAAAATATGTAAAGATGTTCAAAATCAATCTTGGAAGGAATGTGCCAATTTCTTCGCGGACCTGCAGATGCAAAAACTATAAATAAAATTCATTATGCATGTACACTCGCGAAAGCTGATAAAAGAAACATAAACCACCTTGATACCCCACAGGTTTGGATAGTACACCATTAATATACTCAGCAGAGGACAAAGGCGTCTGAGGTCTATGGAGAAAAGGAGGACAAACGGTTGGATAATGATAGCCATTACCCAAAGTAAGAGGGACTGAAGAGTCCGCCAGTGAATGACACTAGCATAGTCCAGATTTAACTGTAGCCTTCTGTTATCTCACACTAGCCCTTCGCTTGCTGGCTTCAATTTCTAGGTTGCTCATAGACAAGTCCAGAGGTATCTTGTCATTAGCCTTCCCACGCGTTTTAGGAATCTCATCAAGCGAAGTTAGACTCGCGCGTGGCGGTGAACGGCGATTAGGCTTCATGGGAGTGGAATCTTCAGATATCTCGGGTGACTGGCCAATGATTCTCTCCTTGTCCTCGATCTTTTCAGACGATGGAACTGGACGATCATCTGAAAGAGCTCGGAAGCCTCGCGATGAACGGCGACGAGTGTTTAAAGGGGTGGGAATCTTTTTAGGCTCGGGTGACTTCCCGCTGACCTTCCCCTTATTTCCACCTGTTATCGAAAACGGAATTGGATCATCATTCAGAAGAAGTGAGGAGTGTGATGATGATGAGGATGAGCCGTTGCCACTCTTCGTAGGGGTGGAATCTGCAGGTATCATCGGCGAAGATCCACCGTTGTTTCCCACCTCAACTGTTGTCGAATGGGGATTAAAGCTGCCATTGCATGGAGTTGGAGTGCGTGACATCGATGTGCGACTATTTTTCGTGGGGGTTTCTTGCGTAGTTCCCTCAGGCATGTTTCGATGAGGACTATGCTTTTCTGCATCACGGTTGAAGCGACCATTTTTGTAAGGCTTGATTCCATGAGTTCGAGTAATGAAGAATTTTTCCCATTCAGAGATTCGTTCAAAAAGGATGTCCTGTTCAACCTCTAGCCATTCTCTGTGCCGACCATGATCGGGCACCCAGCATGGGTTCAGAAGCTGGAAATGGTGTTCTTTGAATTGCGCCAACAGGAGTTGCTCCACCAGGTAGGCATATTCAGGCATTGCTACACATCTGATCACTTCGGCGTTGGGATAACATTTATGGTGTTGTTCGCTCCGGTCCTCGGTTGGGTGTTTCTTGCTAACACCGATCTTGAACTTCCCCTTCGCCTCATTGGAAGACATCACATATAGAAAGAGTTTATCAGCTCCCTTTAGCTCGCCTTTCAACACTCTGTCTACTGCTTCCTCGGCTGTCTCAAAATCTTTGCTCGACAAATAAGCTTCGAATTCAAGTATTCTCGGAGGTGGTGGCCATCGGTTATTCGTTTTCAACAGTGAAACAAATTTATCTTTCAAGAGCCTTCTTTTGAGCTCACCCCGCCACTGACCTTTGGCATGGCCAGCGTCTTTCATATGACGACCACACAAGCAATAATTGGAAAGCTGAAACAAAAAACCGGGGAGCGAAGATTTTTCACTTGTGTCAAACAAATATTGAGACACTTTTTCAACCCAATGTTTAGCATGATCCAAATTTGTGTTTTCCACGGTATCATTGCACGGCTCTCCATTACTTTTGAGGAAAGCACAGAGAATCGCCGGAGAGTCGGAATATGCCTCTGCTAGCACTTCATGGAGAGGCTGGAACTTGGGCTCCGGCTTTAGTTCGGGAGCCATAGATTATGATCTATGCAAGTACCGGGGAAGCGTGACTTGAACAAAATAATGTGAGATTTCCAAGCGACTGGGGAGAATAAACCGCCTTTTAGCTTATGAGCGGCCCCCTTCAGCACTTGTTCCATAGGCCAGGACCCGCTGCAATGAATCGATACATTGGATCCGCTCAATACTGCAGGCGCCAAAGCTATCATAGCCCTAGAGTCTCATCTAGAATATTCCCTTTTTTTCGATTCCCCCGAAATGGGGGTTTGTCCCGTTGCGCCGAAGATTCATGAAGGCCGATAGGGACGATTGCGCGTCTATGGAGATGCATTTGCGCTAGAACCTCGTGATTGAAGCAGCGAGCGCATTAGTTGCATGCATTAACAGGGGTTTTCAGCCGTACAGACGGAAATAGCTTCAGCTCGATCTAAGCCACCGTGGGAGGCACAGCAGCCCCAGCCCCCAGGAAGTCAACGTTTCATGACAAAGCTCTTAACAAGGCAGAGTGACTGTGGATTTCTAAACACAGGTCCTGATAATAGAGCAGAGATTGCGAGGATACTGCGCTGATGCCAGAGTGATTGGAAGCTCGCTGCGGTGTGCTCTCTAGTTTCCGACCTTTGTCGCGAACAGGGGAATGATTCCTTGAGCGCACTAAGAGGGGTTCATGTGGAGCTTGATTCGGAAATTGCGCCGCCTCGCCTAAAAGGCAAATATTGGAAGCCTAGATGCAATCTAGCGATACCTTCAAGCTTGGAAGGTCGAGCTCCATTGCAGCCCAATCGAGGAAGGGTGAGGTCCTGAACAGGACATTCAAGTGACACACAGTAGCTCCTTCAGGAGGAACCCTGGTGCCTGAGTAGGTCAGTTCCGACGAGAAATCGTAGGAAAAACCAATGGCACTGTAGATTGTTATCGGGCTTGGCAAGAGGAGTTCCACCTGATATGAGGCTCACAGGTGTGGATGAAGAAGGGCGGATTGGGGGGGGGGGGGGCTGAGGAGAACAGGGGATAGAAACTTGGAAGCGCGATCTACGCAGGAAAACGAACATAGCTGTCAGGTGCAAACAGCATCACGTCCAGAATTTATGAACAGCTTCCAAAACTCCCTAGGCTTCTTTTAATCTAAAGTGATTGAAATTCAACATCAAAATCTAGAATTTCCACTTATGTTTGAAACAATTTTTTCATTTTTTCAATTTCTTTTCGCTGTTGGAGCTTTGGCCATAGGGATGAGGGGCTCGCATGGGTGACGCTTGTAGCCAGTTTAAGTACGGCCAAGTATTAGCAACATTTATAATGTAATACACTGTTTATTTGCCGTTTCTCACACGCGACTGACACGCCATGGGATCTGTGTAGGTTCGAAGTCATAATATAGTTGGAGCGCCCTGCTTTAGAGCAATTGACTCCTCGGATGACTTCCTCTTCATCGTGAGATCTCATCAACACTGCCAATGGACCTAAGGCTTCCTCTCTTATAAAGCTAATAGTGTTGTTGACATCACTTGGGATAGTATGTTCATGGAAGTTTTTCCAGGCGGGGATAACTATTAACGACTATGTGGCGGCTATTGACCGCCGTAGTCCATGTTGAATACCGCCCTAGCATATCCCCGCTCTCTACTGCAACGAGACCCATGATATTCTCCCCGTGCTTTCTCCTTCATATTGAATAACAACTAAGCGCGTGTACCTCAACGCCTTCATCAATCCCATTTTTCAATGGCAATTCAAAAAATGGTCAAGAATGACTCGCAAAGGCATTCGTAGGACTCACACCGGGTGTATAACTTGCAAGTTCGTTATGTTCTCTGCTCATTCTTTTTCTCCTCCAAGAGTAAATGCTAACACTTCATCAGAATCCGCAAAATTAAATGTGATGAGACCCATCCGTACTGCTCACGGTGCACATCAACTGGGCGAAAATGCGACGGCTATCGACCTTGGATCCCCCGAGCAGACCAAGTCCGACCTTCAACTTTACCAGATGCTGAAAATCTAGAACTCCGCAGCCTGGGATTTTTCCGACAGGTCTTTGCACCTCGTGCTGTACCTTTATCCCACTGTTTTTGGACCGAAACCTTACCTCGGTGGATCCACCAAGAACCAGCCATAAGACATGCAGTAGTTGCTATGAGCTCATTGTATGAGCAGAATACTGAACACTCGCCAGTTGATCAGAAATTTGTCGTGCGACATTATAACGCCGCTATTACAGAAATTGTCACGCCATCTTATCGGACTCCTAATCTTGACACGGTTGTCCTGGCTTGTATTCTGTTTTTGACTATAGAGTTTTTCAGCGGCGAATTTGAGAGAGCTCTGGTCCACTATCATCATTGCAGGAGAATCCTTTCTACCTTTGAAGCAGCTCCGCATTTAAAAGGCATTTTTCGACAATACGAGATGTTTGCACGCTTCCTTTCCGAGCTGTCTCATGAACAAGTCTTGGATGAGATGAATGGCTTCCTTGATGCAGAATCTTTGACGCCTGTCATTGAAGCCCATAAAGCTCTTGATAAACTAACTGAGAGGTCACTGAAAGTGCCTTTCGCCATGGACAATTCAGCAACAAAAATGCCATCCAATTTACATACCAACTTGCGTATCCAAGCAATTCAACGCGCGCTAAATAATGGGTTGGATTCATGGGCGCATAGTGCGATACACTTGAGCTGCCAGAAATCCAAGCCTGATAAATTCGAGCATCGTTATAAGCTCATGCTAGAGACAAAATGGCTTGCCTGCAAGATCTGGACAAATCTTGGATCATCCGCCACTGAAAAGCAAAGCCGCAATAATAGCACTCACCGAATGTTTGAAATTCTGACAGAGATTTTTGGCATAAGCGCTATTAGTGCCGTCGATGCCATGGATATCATTGGACATGAGCATGTTATGCATCTGATTCTTTTAAAAAGTCGGGATCTGAACCTTCGTCTCACTATGTTGGATCGCTTCCGAGAAAGACTTTACTTCAGTGGCGGCACTTCGGAGTTACTGATGCTGTATTTAACAGCGAAACAGGCTATCGAAGATGACCATGGCATCGTGTTGGGATCAGAATGGGATATTGTTCACAGCATTCAAGGTTTTTCAGGTATGGAGAATGTGGCTCATTCTTTTGGTAAAGCTCAACATGTCACCTTTTGGGTCCTTGTATGCTTGGCCGTTCGAGAGCGCATACGGTAATTCATGTGATGGCCATGACCCTCATTATCTTGAGAGTTTAGAATGAATCGAGAACTAAACGAAGCCGAAAATGCATTGTTGTTAAAACTCATTATTCATCAGGGTGGCAAGCTTAGTCACGATGAAGGCCTGTTGGTAATGCCGCGAAAAGCCGGTCTCCATCACTACGCTGCCCACAAAACGGAGACCAACATTGCCAACACTGCAAAGCATTTGGGTCGCGGTGGTATGGAAGGGTCTTTCCGGTGCCAGCGACCTGGCTGTACTCGTTCTTATTTAAGAAAAGAACATTTGCGGCGGCACGAACGAGACCATGCTAATGCCCGACCATTTACTTGCCAGGACTGCCCCTCAACATTTAACCGCAGGTTAGTTCCAACTAACGACGTAATTTCGGGGCTGTTGAATTGTTATTAAACAGTTCCGACACAGGGACTTGCTCAATCGCCATAGAGTCTTGAATCACGGCAATTCGCAACCTTCAGCTGATAAGCCTCACCCCGAAGGTGCTGCGGCAAGCAAACGCAGCAAACCCAACGATGATCACAGCACGGCATCAGTTGGCGAGTCTGCTACTAGCGAAATTCCAAACTCTAACCCAGCGAACGAAATGTGGTATTTGGATCTTTCTTCAACCCCGGCGGAAAAACTACTCGATGCTACGAATAGACGCCAGTTAGAGGAGCTTTACTTCGGTAAATTTCATCCCCACTGGCCTATTCTGCACCAGCAAACATTCAAGAACTCAGCACAACCCCCTACGCTATCTATAGCAGTATTAATTGCCGGGCTATGGATGATGGGAACCCCTGAGACAAGGCAGGAAGCAAAATTGTATCATGACGCTATCCTGACCGAGCTAAATAGAAAACTCGTAAGGACTCTCTCCATCATAAGGCTATCTGTCTCTGTCGTCATTGGTAGTTGTTAACCAATACCAAATGTTCAGTTTGAAACCTCGGTGAAGGATTTCCTCCCGAGATCTCCAGTGCCTGAGTTTCTTGCCGAGTTCCAGGCACTACTTATTCTGATCATCCTTGTCACTTACAGGGGAGAAGATTGCTTTCCTCCGGGAGTGCTTGGTAATGTGGAACTATTTGAGTTCTTTAAAAAATATGGTGTGTATGATCAGCGAAAGATCGACATAGCAACTTTCAACCCGATACATCGAGAAGTTTATCAAAGGTATGCAAGGCAGGCTCATCAAACTGGATTCCTGGGCTGACTCTTTGGATAGGCTTGCTCTTCTTCATTTCAAAGTTCATCTTCATATCAACTTCGTGATACTTACGCAGCATCCAAAGTTTAAAGCTTTGGAGTGTTTCAACCCTCGATGTTTACAAGTCAGAGCTCCAGCTCCAAGCCAAATTTGGGACAGTACCGTGTATGATGTTCGGTCCGAATATGACGTTCGTACTGTGGTGGGAACTTTGTTCGATGATACTGCAGATTCAGGCAGGTGGAACGAGCTATCATCTGTCGTTGCATGGGACTTCACGTTAGGAATGGCGCTGGGCTGTTGCTTGACAAGCCCCGTTGAGGAGACCTCTTCTTCTTTATTTCAGAGGATCGGTCCTTTTCTTTTCTCCCATTTGAAGGATATAGCTATTGATGATACAAGTCTAACCTGAAGCGATTCTTCTTCTAGTCACATACAATACAAATCAAAAAATATCCAGTATAAACTTTCAAGAATGATACACATCCTCAATCCATATTGAATCAGCTATCGATAGGTAAATCATTGATAGGTAGTGCAAATGAGGTAACTCCAAGACATCTTGGATATATGAGGATAAACCGCAAAAGAACAGATGTGCACCTGCACATGCAGAACACTTGAAGATCTCCAATATTACAAGTAGTAGTGAAATAAGAAGAGAATTAGTACAGAAAATGAGTAACGAGCGCATAATTAACTCAACCCAAGCATACCAGCGGCCTTTGAAACGAAAAAGTCTTTTCCCTTGATCATCGAAACCATCATTCCCCAAGGCTTCCATCCAAACATCTGACCGGTTCCGGTACTCTCTCCAATCGGCACGACCATCATCAAAGATCCACTGGAGTCGTAGCTAACAAGCTTCCCCTTGCCAAGAATTGCAACCTTGAGATTGGAAACAACGACTGGGATCTGATCCGCAAGCTTGATCGCAGTGCGCACTGGTTGAGTGGTAATATCTCCGAGTGCGTAAATAAAGCCATCTTCTGCATCACCGGTAACGCGTAGGTTCTTATCGACCTTGACCCATCCATCTGCTGAGAGAAATTCCGCGGGGATGAACTGATTGTTTGGAAGAGTCCCAGTCGTAGAGATATACAGGTCCGCTTGGAGCTGTTTACCGTTGTCCAGGTTAACAACCCACCCAGCTGGGTTGCCAGAGGTATTGCGTGCGGCATTCGCAACCTTGGTTGAGGCTACAATTTTGATGCCTTTTTCTGCAAGCACGTTTTCTGCCGCCAGGCTACCCTTCTCCTTCAGCATCGACAGAACATGCTTTGAGGCTGAGATGAGAGTGATTGAGGTGTCTTTCTTGTCTTTGAATGCTTCTGCAAGTTCTCCGGCGAACTCGACACCGACTGGGCCTGCTCCGCCGATGATGACACTTTTCGCGTTTGAGATGGCCGTTTGGATCGATTTGATGGACGCTTCGAGGTCGTGATCGTTCAACGGTTTGAAAGGAGCCAGTTCTCCGTCGACTGAGGATGAGGTTGCGCTACCGGATGCGATAACGAGATAGTCATAGGAGATGGAGGATTGCTGTGACGATAATTCGACCTTTTTTGACGCGGTGTCAATGCGACTTGCGCTTCCTTTGATGAATTCAAATGACTCCTTTGGGTACTTCGAGAATGACTTCTCGATTGGGAGGAGGTATTGATTGGGCTGGAAGAATTGTGGTTTGGCAAGGATGCGAGGAGCTGCAATATTGAAGTAAACCTTCTCTGATGGATTGATCAAGACGACCTTGATTTTGTCAGCGTCGGATTTCAGAAGGCCATTTGCAACTCCAAGTCCGGAGTGTGAGGCGCCAATGATGACGACGGTGCTTCTACCCATGGTGAATGGGAATTTCTGCTTGGGTGTGGAATTTGCTATCTTGGTGATAATCAGGGGTTTTGAATGTACAGAACTGTGGATCAAGCCTTGTATTAAATAGAATTGGTGAATAGAGTATTGGGCTGTAAACGAGTTCTACGATTACCAATGAATTATGTGGACAGTTTGAGAGTAGATCTATAATAATGCATTTCCCTGTCGATCTGTAAGCCATGGATTACATGATTGCTAATGACAATGCTTTCCTCCGTAGTGTCAACAGAGTGGGTCCATGTGGAATGTGGGATTTGTAATGTGGGATGTGGGATGAAAGTGGGATAGTACTGTCATGGTCCGTCATTATGTGATTTGAATTGTAGACCTCATGTGCAGACGCAATCCTTACTTCGTAGTATTGAAGAAATGTTTGCCCCAAAGGCCTCTTTTCCTACTTTACTATTGAATAGGTCTCAACGAAGTTGCCTACCGGAAACAGTATCGTGTATAAGCCCGGATGGCCGTCATTTGTCGGTAGAAAAGAAGCGTAAAGTAGGACTTTGATTGGCAGACACCATCACAGTGATTGCGTGTATCGACACTCGGCTTTTTCCAAGACTGATCAAGATATCATGCGGTGTTGTGGTGTTGCCTCTAGTGATGCTTCGCGGAAACTTGTAAAAGCCCGAAGATCTTCACGCGAGTAGTGGTATCAGCCAAAAGCAATTATGATCAGCCACAGAATAATGTTGGGGAACTGCAGGGCTGCGAGATGAGAATCGCGTGCTGTTCGACTCCGCGTCACAGGGATGCTTATCTCCATATCGTCACCGATAAGGCATCGAGATCCGCTCCACTCCCCCAGCCAATCGCCGGGGTCTCGCTCGCTCCTGCTGCTTTCGCGGGTTCGATTACTTCTTGGATCCTGATGCGCTGTACAGATTAGAACGATGTTCATATGGTGGCAGTCCCCAACAACCCCGCAATGCTAGATTAAATAATCAACAGTGGGGTCAGGAAGCTTTATCGCCGGGTGAAGCTCTGTCCGAATCGATTATTACCAGTCTTTGCACGGACAGTTTACATATACCAGCCACCTGGGCAGTCGATCTCCTCAATTCTCCCATTATATAAAATATTAGAGTCCATTGTGCCTCCCTGAGGTTTCAAAATGCGATCCCACCTCAAAATTATCGATCTCTCCAACACATCCAAAGTATACCATGCTCCGGCCACTATCACAGCCCCAAATACCAGGCTCGTTCACATATCTGGCCAAGCCGGTGCCACCAAATCTGGCTATGTACCGGCCGACTACGAATCCCAGATTCACCTCGCACTTCTCAACCTGCGGCGCTTGATTATCGCATCTGGAGCTAAGGTCAAAGACATTGCCAAATTGACAGTATATATTGTCAATTATGACCCAAGACTTCGAAAGCATGTACGCCCAATCCGGCGCTTCCTTGGGGGTCACAGACCCGCAATGACATTGGTTCCGGTCACCCAGTTAGCGGTGCCTACATGGCTGTTTGAGGTGGATGCGCTCATTGCTTGTCCGCCTCTAGCCCAGTCTATCCCCCGAGCGCTGACAAGCGGATCTCGAACTGAGAGCTACGACGTCGTCATCATTGGTGCTGGCTTGGCTGGATTGACGGCCGCCCAGGAGCTCTCTCGAGGCGGTCTATCTTGTGTGGTCCTCGAGGCGCGCGACCGTGTCGGAGGCAAGACTTGGAGTCAGCCTATGGCTAGCGGTCGTGGCATTCTCGAACTTGGTGCCGGCTGGATCAATGATGTCAATCAAACGCGCATGATTGGTCTTGCGCGGAAGTTTGAACTGGAACTCATTGAGCAGAACACAACTGGAGACTGCGCGATCCAAGACCTAGATGGTAGTATCTCGGCTTTCGCATATGGTGAAATTCCCAAGGTATGTTGGAATATGTTGACGGAGCTCCACGCCTTGGAATTTGGAAGAAGATTGGCTAAATCGGAGCTCGTCTTTGCTTAGTTTGACCCGGCCTCCATCGAAGATGTTATCCGAATCCGCGATACGGCCGAGGCAGACTGCCAGGCTGTTGATATCTTCAACCCCCGAGACACACGTCTTGACAGCATGACATTTGAAGCTTATCTACGATCCAAGAATGCGTCTGACAAGGCACTCTGGACCGCAACGGTCTGGACTCGAGCGATGCTAGGTGTTGATCCCCGTGATCTTTCGGCCCTCTTCTTCCTCAACTACTGCAAGTCTGGTGGTGGTCTGCTGCAGATGCGATCAGACCGCAAAGGAGGCGGTCAGCATCTGCGCATTCGACAGGGAACGCAATCATTCTCCAAGAAGCTAGCAGAAACTCTTGTGCCAAACACTGTTCGACTCAATACTGCGGTCAAGCATATTCGCCAAGAGAGTCCTGTTGTCGACGTCATCGCTGAAAATGGCAGTGTATACCGTGCACGCAAAGTTATAACGACTGTCCCCAGCCCTGTTCTAAAGACAATTTCCTTTGAACCTGCCCTTCATCCCCTCAAGCTTGCTTGGTCGGAGTCTGCAAGCTATGGCTACTATAGCAAAGCTATGATGGTATTCAAAGCCCCTTTTTGGATACCTAAAGGCTTCTGTGGTCTTGCGCAGTCATTCACTGGTCCTGCGGCGGTTGTTCGCGATTCATGCAGTCCAGCTGATGAGGAATATGCCCTCACATGCTTCATGTGTGGTCCCCCAGCCCAAGAATGGGCTGCCCTTCCTCAGCCGGAGCGCCAGGAGAAACTTCTTGCTCAACTGGGTGCACTTTTTGAAGCTGAGGACACCATTAAGCAGGACTTTGTGGAGATGGTTATGTACGAGTGGAGCAATGATGAGCTGGCCGGCTATGGCTGTCCATGTGCTCATCTGACCCCTGGCGTTCTGGAGTCGCTCGGTCCCAACGCACTCCGTGAGCCAACGGGTGACTTGCATTTCGCTGGCACTGAGACTGCTGGTGAATGGAAGGGCTATATGGAAGGTGCTGTTCGTAGTGGCGAAAGGGTTGCCAAGGAGGTTGTCGATGACTTGAAGTTGAGCTTGTCAGCACGGCTATAGATACTTTGATAGCGGTTCTCAAGGACTTTATGCAGACATTTGGATTTTAAACAATGGGTAAGGTAAATGTCCCAACTCAATGGTCTTAATACACATACTTTTTACGACTCGAATTTGCGTAAGACTATTTGTTCTCTCGACGTCCTAAATCTCTTACTCTCTTCTGTCATTTGTCATATTCTGTCTTGCATAACGCCATACCAAATGCGGTTGCACCACCCCTGACCCAGACCAGTAATAAATAGTCGCTTGAAAACACCTACTGTATGATAGTTGCGTGGGCTACAAGCTGAGTTGGCCCCACACTGCTCAGAACGTACGCTTCCCATATGTCTTCAGTTTGTCGTTCTTGGCTGAATTTAAGTTCGGAAAAATAGCTTGAACATTGATAGGATGCTTGTTGGAAGTTATACCATAAGGTGGTGTAAGATCGAGAAGGACGAGGATCTACGGACATGAAGCCTAAGTAGTGCAGGGCGGATTGCCTTTGAAACGTGATTGCCATACAGAACAAGTACATGCCAACACCGTAAGCAAATCTGATTAGTTTTCGTCGTACAGGCGACATGCAACATGCGGGGGAGGGGTCGCCCGACACAGCTGGCGCTGACATCGTCAGACAACACTTCGCGCTCTCCTAAATTATCGCTCCCAAATCTTAAACACTCAACGCATCGCGGCTAAATAAACGGCATTCGTTCAGCAAGAGCGTTGGGAGATATGGAGTCTACCGTGTCCTTGAGCGGCCGTTCTGAGCCACTAAGAATCCTTTCTCTTGGTAAGACTTCTGTCCATACACGAAGGCCCGCTAACATACTTACAGATGGGGGCGGGATCCGCGGAATCTCAAGTCTGCTCATATTGGAGAAGATAATGGAGAAAATTCGCGACGTTAAGCACCTTGACCGCGTCCCACGACCGTGTGACCACTTTGACTTGATCGGAGGCACAAGCACTGGAGGGTGATTGCTATTACCCCACATGCCGAAGGGACTTTCTAATGATATAAAAGAATAATCGCTATCATGCTCGGTCGGCTAGGATTGACTGTGGATGAATGCATTCGGGCCTACCGGAAAGTTGCGCAGCAGGCATTTACTCGAAAATGGACCTCTATACTCCCAGCGTCGCCCAGTGGAGCTTTCTCCGCCCAGGCGCTTGAGGAAGCCATTAAACAGACAGTTCGAGAGTTCTGTACAGATGGGGAATGTGTGACCCGTCGGCGACAAGGCTCCCCGACAACCGGAACGTGTCCACATTCTAATCTGGCCTTCCGTGACCAGGCTTGCACAAAAACGTAGGCTTACCGATAATACATCAATACAGGATACGAAATAGTAGCAGCTAATAGATTATAGGGTGGTTCTTGCAATCACGAAATCCAACGTCGACGCAAAACCGACGCTCTTCGAGACATACGGTACATCGGCTGACTTGAAGGAATGCACTATTTGGCAGGTAGCACGTGCAACTTCGGCTGCAACTACGTTCTTCAAGTCTATCAAAGTTGGTCGGGATGCAGTCGAATACATTGATGCTGGTTTCGGGTATAATAATCCCTGTGATGAGCTCATAACGGAAGCTCGGCGGGTTTTTCCTGATCACCAAGAGCTACAAGTTCTGAGTATTGGAACCGGTCTTGGAGATGTGGTCAACATCAAGGATACCCGAATGTCAATCATAGACGGACTGAAGAAGATGGCCGGTTCGTCAAAGAAGGTTGCCACAAGCATGAACGAGCGATTCGGTGATAGTGGCCAGTACTTTCGGTTCAACGTGGATCGTGGCCTTGAGGATATCACATTGTCAGATTGGGAGAAAGCAAGCACAATATCCGCGCATACTCGAAACTATCTTTCGGAGCAGACTAGAGCGATCGAGAGGTTTGTTGATTTTTTCACGCGGGCTGGTGTATTGTCGGCAGATAGGTCTGGCATCGAGCCGACCTACTCTGACATTTCGAAAATTCAGCAAGCAAGTAAGTTGAGCCCAATGTTGTATCGCGGTCCGCACGATAGCACCCGTGGGTGACCACAGTGAATTACATAGCTGTTAGTTTGAAATTAATCATCACTTCGGAGTTACTATTTGCTAATATGACACTAGACAGCCAATCCCAGACCCACTATGTCATCCCTTCTATAGCAAGTCACCACTTTACTGGACGCGTGGACACGCTGAGCTCGCTTAAACACAAAATCTTCTTCCAAAAAAAAACTTACGAAGTGGCGTTGTTTGGACTTGGGGGTGCGGGCAAAACCCAAGTCGCTCTGCAGCTTGCATATTGGGCAAAAGAACATATGCCAGGACATTCTATCTTTTGGGTTTCCGCATCGAGCGAAGGAAGCTTCAAGCAGGCCTACTCAGAAATCGCGAGACAGCTTGCTATTCATAAAGCCACAGATGACGAAACAGTCATGCAGTTGGTGCAGCGCTACTTGAGCTCGGAGGCGGCTGGACCATGGCTTTTGATTGTGGATAATGCGGATAACCTAGAACTACTTTTTGGTAGTGCTGATGTCCCAGGACTCTACGGATATTTGCCCGATAGCCGAAGCGGCGTGATGCTGCTGACCACTCGCTCACGTGAGGTTGCGGTGTCATTCGCGGAAAGAGACATAATCGAAATCCAGAAAATGATGCCAGCGGAAGCCACTGCTCTTTTCGAGAAAGTCGTGGATAAAGCTTTGCTCTGTGGTCGGCAGTCAACAGCACAATTACTCGAGGAGCTTAATTTGCTGCCCTTGGCCATAACGCAGGCGGCTGCCTACATGAATAGGAACAACATCTTGACTTCACGATACCTTGAGTTAATGCATGGTACCGAACATGATAGGATAGGCTTGATGAGCAGGCATTTTCACGATCACACTCGATACCCCGATACTGTTGCCACGACGTGGCTGATCTCATTTAAGAGAATAAGAGAATCTGACGCCGCCGCTGCTGAATTACTAGCATTTATATCATTCATTGAACCGAAGGCGATTCCGAGATCACTCCTCCCGCCTTTGTGTTCCGAGGAGCAAATGGAGTTCGCAATTGGCACTCTATGCGATTATGCATTTATGACCAAACGAGATGATGGCAAAGTATTTGACATGCACAGTCTAGTGCAGCTAGCGACGCGATTATGGGTACAAAAAGAAGAATATATGCAACGAATACTCAAGAACACGACACGCCACATTGCGGTGGCTTTTCCACTGAGTGATTGGGCGAATCGTGAATTATGGAGAGCATACCTACCACATGCTCTTACGGTTCTCTGGAAGAATGATGGAAATGATATAGAGGAGAGGTATGAACTATGCTACAAGATCGGCATGTGTCTCCTAGAAGATGGGCGTACGAAAGACGCCATTCGTTGTTTCAGAGAAGACTTGAAATGGAAAGAAAAGTGTTATGATATTGAGCACCCCCTGCGACTAAGAGCACAGCATGAACTAGCACGAGCATATCAAGCGGATGGCCAGATCAAGAGTGCATTAGATCTACTCGAGCATGTGGTTGCGATACGACAAAAAACTCTAGCTGAAGAGGACACCTCCCGACTGAATTCTCAGCATGAGCTTGCACGAGCCTATCAAGCGGACGGTCAGACGAAGAGAGCACTGGAACTACTGGAGTATGTAGTCGCAATCCGCGAGAGGACACTATCCGAAAACCATAAATATCGACTTTCATCTCAGCATGAGCTCGCACGAGCATACCAAGTGGATGGCCAGATTAAGAGAGCAGTGAAGCTGCTGGAGCATGTAGTCACAGTCCGAAAGAGGACAATGGCTACAGACCATCCTGATCTACTACTCTCTCAGCAAGTGCTTGCGACTGTATATCATTCGGACGGTCAAAATACGATGGCAGTAAAGCTTCTTGAGCATGTGGTCGCAGTACGACAGAACACATTCAATCAAGAACATCCCTCCCAACTGGCATCCCTGCATCAACTCGCGGGAGTCTATCAAGCGGATGGCCAAATCCAGAAGGCTCTAGGACTATTAGAATATGTCGTCACAGTGCGAGGGAGAACACTTGCTGAGGGTCATCCCTCGCGACTGGCATCGCAGCATGTCCTTGCAAGGGCATATCAAGCAGACGGCCAGACCAAGAAAGCAGTGGGGCTACTCGAGCATGTGGTTGCATTGCGCGAAAAAACGCTTGCCGAAGGGCATCCTGATCGACTGGCATCGCAGCATGTCCTCGCAGCAGCATATCAAGCAGACGGTCAGATCAAGAAAGCAGTGGGGCTACTTGAGCATGTGGCCGCAGTACGCGAAAAAATTCTTCCCAAAGGGCATGTTGATCGACTAACATCGCAGCATGTCCTCGCAGCAGCATATGAAGCGGATGGTGATATCATGAAAGCGGTGGAGCTGCTCCAGCTGCAAACCGCAATACGACATAAGGTACCTAGCGGGGAGAATCCCTCAACGCTTACAGAAGCCCAAGAAGACTCTACATTGCGAGCTGCGATAGAAACTCAAAACCGCTCTGTTCAAGTTACATTTGGGGGTAACAATAGTGGTATCCAGATCGGTGTAAATAACGGGGCTATTAGCATGGTGAAGCCATGACCATAGGATGAGCCATGTTCTCTCCGTGCTACTTCTAAGGCAATTTTCTAGTCAATTTCATCGCCTGATTGCAAGAATTCTTCAAGTGAAGAGCTCTATTACATTGTCGCACTAAGAGCGGCCAGTCACCTTAATATGGGTAATACATTTAGACAAAGATAGGCAGACCTACTTTCTAGTAAAAAGCCTAAGGCCTATGGAAGGGCAATGTTGTAGTCTATAAGTAAATCCTTTCCCTTTGCTAGTGGTGACAAGCATCACGACACTTGAAATCCACATCATCATGCTCTAGTATTAGGAGACGAGATATAAGATTATGCACCTCGAGACGTATAAATAGTGCGGTAGTTAAGGGCCAATATATGGTGGAGTTCGTGAATCAGATTTCCGAGGAACGAGGGCGAAGTGGGACAAGGACAGTTCCATCTCACTCGACTTCTAAATTTGAGGCATTGGAAATCGACATAATAGAATGGTTGGATAAACTAGTAGCTACTACCTCCAGCAAAAGGTCGAAGTCTGAAATTATTGAGCATGACTCGGGCCTTTCACAATGCCATAATCATCTATTTCGCCCAGGATGTCCGTATGCTTGGGCATCATTACCTCTAACCATTTATTTGGAAAGTGATTGAAAGTATAGAACCTGTCAAGAAGATCAAATTTGAATATAATATCGTCGCAGCTCCACTTTACTGGCCTGCATTTATCGCCGCAAGTGAGTCCTTTGACCCGGGCCACCAAGAGCGCTTCCGCAGCTGGTACAACAAAGCAGAATACGGGATCCAAAGTGTGAGAATGGCGATAAGTGTCTTATCTGATGTCTGGGAACAAAGACTTTGTCCAGGCCTTACTACCACTAGCATTTGGAGGTTGGTCGTTTATAGAACTGGTGCGGTGCTACTACTAAGTTGATATTGCAACGTTCTATTACGCCTCATGTTTGTGGTGATCATTCATGTAGTTATGATGCTATTGTAGTCATGAATGAAGCAAAGTGCCGAGTTTTGTTCTGCCATATTAAAATCAGAGAACTTTCACTATAGGTTCGCAAGAACACCATCAGGCTGCAACACCGAGATGAACTCGCTTGTAATTTCGGAGACATTACGACATCTGACTCTCATCAGTCAAAATGAGGAATCTTACTTAGGAGCACACTTACCCTGCCAACGCCATAGCCGTCGTGAACTCATCATATAGAAGGTTGAACCCTAGCTCGACACCTTTCTGTCCATCATACTGGAAAACATATCATCAGTTCGTGATCAATGAGCTAAGAGGTGATTGACTTACAGCCAAACCCCAGATAGCTGGTCTACCAGCAAAGCAGAAATCTGCTCCAAGAGCAAGGGCCTTGAAGATATCAGTGCCCCTGCGAATTCCCTCATCGATGGTAACGGTAATCAGCCCTCTAGTAATAGGTGCCACCTCCCGTAGAACGTCGAGGGATGCAGGAACGGAGTCAAGCTGACGACCCCCGTGGTTTGATATCAAGATACCGTCAAATTCGCAGGCGATAGCTCTCTTCGCATCCTTAATCCCGTAAACTATCGAGTTATCAGTGCTTTGATTCTTTATCAAAGTTGACACTAGACTAACTTCCTTTGCCTCAGATCTCCATCTTCGTATGTTTACGAAAGAAAGGCATTATATCCTCCCACTGGAGAGATGAGTCTTTTACAAAACAAAAGTCAGTTGCATATCTGGCAATACACTCGTGTTATCAAAAGGGCTTGGTGGAGGAAACTGAATTCTCTTACCGTACGCCATACTGTCATCTCCATCTTCAAGATTTGTCGCATCAATTCCTGGGAACAGATTTGGATACTCCATCCCATGAGGAAGGGAGAAGTTGTTCCGGAACTCATTAGGTCTACGGCCGAGCCAGGGGACATCAAGGGTCACAAGTACGGCCTTAAAATCAGCAGCTGTGTCGAATCAGATCAGTCATGATCTTCTCCGCCATTGACATGCTTCTAACTAATAGCACTGATAGGGGAACTTTTAAAAGCGTTTTTGAAAATTACCGTCGGCTCTTCTTAGAAGGTTTACCATAGCACCCTTGTTCTTTAGAAGACTCATTTGCATCGCGTAGGGATTTCCAGGGCTGTGAGCAATGACATCCTCAAGAGGCTTTGTGGAGTAGTTGGATAATACCATAGGAACGTTGAGGGCTGCTGTAGCTCTAGATGTAGCGCATTCTCCGTCAGGGTGCGCCATTGCTTGCATTGCTGCGGGAGAGAATCCGAAGGGAAACCTTACGCGGGTGCCGAATATAGTGGTCGAAGTGTCGAGGGAGGTTAAATCTCGGAGAATTTGGGGACGGATTTTGTAACGATCGTAGGCTGATTCATTGTCTCGGAGACTATGTGTTCTCAAAAGCAGTGGAATTAGAGACTGAACTACTAGTTTTTAAAAACATGGAGATATGGTAGATGGACGTACGTGATCATATCCATAGCGCCTTCATTGTAATAGTCTATCACAATTCAGAATCTTAGCTGCTGTAATCTTCTTGATCATTACGCTTTTCAACCTTTCAGCGAAATGCATGCGGTTATAGGTGCTGGGCTGCCCAAAGTACCTTTATATGATTTTTGCATCTTTTCCGATCCTAGGCGCTCAAGGTCCTTGATACAGTGGACCTGAGAGTCCCAAGTAAAGTTTCGATTTGCCATTATTTTCTCATTCAATCATTCAATGTGCAGAATATCGCAAGATCAATACTTCCAAGGTTGACGTGAGGGACCAGATAAGGCGTGGAGGAGTTTGATAGTTATAATCAAGGGACGTACGTGGGAGAGCTGCTCCTCAAGTACTTCAAGGTAGTAGAAGCCGACGCCTAGTCCCCAGCTTCTTTGGGGTACATGGAAACATTTCTTTCAGCATTTCCATGCTTATCTGCTTCACTCGCATGTGCCTTCCTATATGCCGGAAATCCTTACCCCACCCCACTTTTGCCCCGCCAGCTCATCTCAACATTCTAGTATGTGTAACCGGGTCGCACCGAGAAACTCCACTTTCGTGGTCGCAGCCAGGAGGCGATCCAGTGTGATGGTTGGCAGAATATGTTTGTCTACCCTTTTCCAATATGCCCAGCTCTGGACCCTGGAGCCCTGGTCGATTTTGGACTATAGAGGTTCACCGTCCAGGCCCAGGATTCACGTAAGCTATTCTAATTACTTTCTTAAACTGATACAAAGGGAGAGGTATGTGAAGTCCCAGTGACCAGTTAAATGTCAAGCTCAGCTTCGAAAGCGGACTGTTTCACGGCGACACAGCTACGGGCCTAGCCAATCAACGCTTTAGAATGGGATTTTGTGCCTATTGAGAGACATTCAGAATCCTACCGGCTTTAGGTCAATAGGGAAAAGCTCTCCATATAATTTATTGACACCAGGATAATAATATATGCTTGAAAAAAGCATCGTGACTTTAATCGTCTTGGATAGATCACTATCTGCAGACTGGAGCGGCAAGCTTCGTGAGATTTCGAACCTGGAAACGATGTCAGCTACCAATGATGAACTACATGATATTGAATATGAAAAACTTCCAATTGAACTGCCCATTGTATCCTTGTTCACGAGTACAGTGAAACAGAAAGCAAAAGAAAAAAAAAAGAAAATTGAAATGGGGCGAGCCGGGATTGAACCGGCGACCTCACGATGACAATGTCAGACTGTAGTGAAACTTCAGTCGTGCGCTCTCCCAACTGAGCTATCACCCCAGATTATGTAAATAGGCTGCGTACTTTGTCTATTAATCCAACCACATAAGCTATGTCTATATTCATATGTTATCTTTTCTTTTTTCTCTTCTTCCCTTAATTTTCAACTGCGCATTGCGGTGCAAATCTTCAGACACCATCAGTATAAACGAACAAACTTTCGGCAACCTAATCTCCGGCCCGTCCAAAAGACCCCGTTCTAAATGGACAGGCACGTCTATAAACTCGTGCAGCGCTAGGAAGCGTAGCTAGTAGAGAACTGATATCCAGTACTTCGAGATTCCCATGTCGCTTCAATTAGTATTAGAGATATACAATAGCATCCCCAGTGAGCTGCCCCTCTCGCAATTCTCGAAGCCAAAAAGGCCATGTCTTGCCGTAAGCATCCTTCGAGCCTTGCTTACCCTCGGCAATTTCGGGCGCTTATTGTTGCCGAAACGCGACCAGCCAAACCAACCGGCCTGACTTGCATTGTTTCGTATACTTGCATATCTTTCCGCCTTGATCACCCGTTTATGCATAAATTATCATACAACAACGGCCGGGTAACAACAAATGAGAAGACCACAACAGGCTAAGGGATGATCGAGCTCAGGACCCTGGTGGGGAAGGACTTGGATAAGCTGTCTTCTAGCTCGAGTCCAGGCTCGGTCGCTCCACATGGACCCCACAGACAAGGTTCCCAGGCAACTCCCACAAAGCAACGGAGCTCTGTGCTCGTGCAAGGCTCGCAACTCCAATTAATCAACGCGTTTCTGTGCTCCATATGCTCTAAACCCAATTTGGACCCCGCCAGACATATCCAAGACGGGTATCTGCCACCGGAATATGCCGACGGGGCTTTCCCCACTGGTACCTCGTGCATGTCCGGGGTTTAACCGGGGTGCATGTTACTTCTTGTTTCCGTCATGCTGAGTCAAAGAGTGCTGAAAGTTAGTTTACTTAGTTAATTCCGCACTTGACTCATCACCGCTACTTCATCATGTGCGTTATCATCAGGGATTGTTCCGCCAAGGTTTCGGATTCTGGACCTATGTGGAGCCGAGTGGACGATGAAGTGGGCGACGTACCATCCTTAACGGATTTAGGCGTTAGCCTGTTGACTCAATCTTGGCTTTGACCCTAATTTTATTTTCGGTCTGCTTCCTTCGATTCCCTCATTTTTTTTCGTTCTTTTCGGTTTCCATCGATCTTCGAAAGTCTCCGGCTTTGACTGCTCCTGTCCTGTGGGAAACGAATGCCCCTTGGCTATATTCTTGCTTTCCAGGGGCGGTAGAGAAGACACTGGCTGTTTGGCTCTTTGCTGCCTAATCACAAACAATGCAGGCATCAGATATCGATACCACGGACGAAAAGTTCCTTACGCCTGAGGGAAGCAACCACTCCGATGTGGATTCGCTGAGCTATGAGCAGCGACGCGAGGAAATTCGTATCGCTAACCCACAAGGTGTGACGTCGGTACAGAATGGCGTCGACGTCGAACAGGCTGAAGAGGACTTTTCGGACTTGAATAGACAGTTTTCCAGCATTTCGCACCAAGCCCGTCGGCTATCAAAGCATGCCTCTCGGGCATCTAAACCTACGGCTACTGTCGATGAGGAGAAGGCAAGAAGCTCAAACGACTCTGACAACACATGGGATTTGGAGACTGCTCTTCGGGGCAATCGCGCTGCTGAGGACGAGGCTGGCATCAAGGATAAGCATATCGGTACGTCATGATTCCCGGATATTAACATTCATCCATACTAACACGTTTCTCGAAGGCGTAATTTGGGATGGCCTCACCGTTCGGGGAGTCGGTGGTGTGAAGACTTTCATCAAGACGTTCCCAGATGCAATTATTGACTTTTTTAATGTTCCACAAACTGTGATGAACATATTTGGTTGGGGTAAAAGTGGAAAAGAGTACAACATCTTGGAAGGATTCCGCGGTTTGACTCGGCCGGGAGAGATGGTCTTAGTCCTGGGACGACCGGGCTCGGGATGTACAACATTTCTGAAGGTTATTGCCAACCAGCGTGCTGGGTATACCGGTGTCGACGGCGAGGTCTTGTATGGTCATTTTGAATCAGACGCATTCTCCAAGAGATTCCGGGGCGAGGCCGTATACAACCAGGAGGACGATATTCATCACCCGACCCTAACTGTCTCACAGACTCTGGGATTTGCTTTGGACACCAAGACCCCAGGAAAGCGTCCGTATGGAGTGGGAAAGGCGGAGTTCAAGGAAAAGGTGACCAAAATGTTGCTTCGAATGTTTAACATTGAGCACACAGCCAATACTGTGATTGGTAACCAGTTCATTCGCGGTGTCAGTGGTGGTGAGCGCAGAAGAGTGAGTATTGCCGAAATGATGATCACCAGTGCGACTGTGCTTGCCTGGGATAACAGTACTCGCGGACTTGATGCGTCGACTGCGCTTGACTTCGCCAAGTCTCTTCGGATCCTGACGAACATCTACAAAACTACCACGTTCGTGTCTCTCTATCAAGCCTCTGAATCCATTTACAATCAGTTCGACAAAGTTCTCGTGATAGATAGTGGACGATCTGTGTTTTTCGGTCCCACTAATGAGGCGCGAGCCTATTTCGAGGACCTCGGTTTCCGGGCAAAGCCTCGACAGACGACGCCGGACTATCTCACGGGATGCACAGATCCTTTCGAAAGAGAGTTTAAAGATGGAAGAAGTGCCGACGATGTGCCATCGACACCAGAGGCTCTGGCTGATTCTTTTGAAGAATCTACTCACAGCAAACGACTCGATGAAGAGATGCAGGCCTATCGTGCACAGATCCAGCATGACAAGCAAATTTTCGCAGATTTTGAACTCGCCAACCAAGAAGCCAAGCGGAAGTTTACTCCAAAGTCATCTGTGTACTCCATTCCTTTTCATCTTCAAATCTGGGCCTTGATGCAACGGCAATTCTTAATCAAGTGGCAAGATAAGTTTGCTTTGACGGTCTCTTGGGTCACTTCAACTGGAATTGCAATCATTCTTGGTACCGTCTGGCTGAAGCAACCGGAGACTAGCGCTGGTGCATTTACTCGAGGAGGTCTACTGTTCATCAGTATGCTGTTTAATGGATTTCAAGCCTTTGCAGAACTCGCGTCCACTATGATGGGACGTTCAATTGTCAACAAACATCGTTCATTCACATTCTACCGCCCGAGCGCTCTTTTCCTGGCCCAAATCTTCGTGGATACCGCGTTCGCGGCTCTCAGAATTATAGTCTTCAGCATCATCGTCTATTTCATGTGTGGTCTGGCTTTGGACGCTGGGGCCTTTTTCATCTTCGTGCTCTTCGTTCTTAGCGGATACGTGTGCATGACTGTGTTCTTCCGAATAATTGGATGTGTGAGCCCCGACTTCGATTATGCGATGAAATTTGCGGCTGTCTTGATCACCCTTCTCGTGTTGACATCGGGCTATCTGATTCAATGGTCCAGTGGCCAGGTGTGGCTGAGATGGATCTTCTACATTAATCCGTTTGGGCTTGGGTTTTCCTCACTGATGATCAATGAGTTCACTCGTTTAACGATGACATGTGTATCGGAGTCTTTGGTGCCTCATGGTGCCGGCTATGATGACATCGCTCACCAAGCTTGCACTCTCGCTGGTGGTGCTTCAGGCTCCGACATCATCCCCGGATCTAATTACCTTGCCACAACCTTCAGCTATCAAAAGTCGGATCTGTGGCGAAACTTTGGCATCATGCTTGGTATGTTCACCCAATCTGGACACCCTTCAATGCATTGGTCTTGAAAATTCTTTCATTTCCCGACTAACAATAATTCTAGCACTAATTGTCGGCTTCCTTGCTAGCAACCTGTACTTTGGAGAGGCCATCCAGTTTGATGCTGGTGGCAAAACAATCACCTTCTTTCAAAAAGAGAACAAGGAGCGGAAGAAATTGAACGAGGCTCTAGCGAAAAAGAGGGCTAACCGCCAATCAAAGACTGTCGAAGCCGGAGCCAATGTTCAGATCACCTCGAAATCAGTTTTCACCTGGGAGAACGTTTGCTATGAAGTACCTGTCCCCTCTGGTACTCGACAACTGCTTAACTCCGTTTACGGTTATGTTCAACCAGGAAAATTAACAGCTCTCATGGGCGCATCAGGCGCAGGCAAGACAACATTATTGGATGTTCTGGCTGCACGAAAGAATATCGGTGTAGTTACCGGAGAGATTCTGGTAGATGGGAAACCTCCGGGCACAGCTTTCCAGCGAGGTACATCGTATGCTGAACAGCTGGATATGCACGAGGCAATGCAAACTGTGCGAGAGGCTTTGCGCTTCTCTGCCGATCTTCGACAGCCGTTTGAAACCCCACAATCTGAGAAGTACGCTTACGTTGAGGAAATCATCGGCTTGCTTGAGCTAGAGAATCTGGTTGATGCAATCATCGGCACCCCGGAAACTGGCCTTTCGGTTGAGGAGCGGAAGAGAGTGACCATTGGTGTTGAATTGGCAGCCAAGCCGGAGCTTCTACTATTCTTGGATGAGCCTACATCTGGTCTTGATAGTCAGTCGGCTTTCAATATTGTTCGCTTCTTGAAAAAACTGGCGACGGCTGGTCAAGCTATTCTTTGCACCATCCACCAGCCTAACTCGGCATTGTTCGAAAACTTTGACAGACTCTTGCTCCTCCAGAGGGGTGGCCAGTGTGTGTACTTTGGTGAAATCGGTTATGATTCCCAAATCCTGCGGGACTACTTCCATAAGAATGGTGCCGATTGCCCTGAAGACGCTAACCCTGCCGAGTGGATGCTCGATGCTATTGGTGCAGGGCAAACGCGACGAATCGGCGATCGGGATTGGGGTGACATCTGGCAAAATTCGTCTGAGTTGGTGCAGGTGAAGAAAGATATCATTCAGATCAAAGCAGACCGCGCTCAGTTGAACCAAGACCAGGCAGACCAGGTTGGATCTCCAATCGAAAAAGAGTATGCCTCGCCAATGTGGCATCAAATCAAAGTGGTCGGTCGACGAACCTTCCTTTCCTTCTGGCGATCCCGAAACTACGGATTTACTCGACTATTCACTCACGTCGCTCTGGCTTTGATTACTGGATTGGCTTTCCTACAGCTTGATGATTCCCGTTCTTCGCTGCAGTATCGGGTCTTCGTTGTCTTCAACGTGACCGTCCTTCCAGCGATCATTCTTCAGCAGGTCGAGCCACGTTTCGATATGGCCCGACTGATCTTCTACCGAGAATCCGCTTCCAAAACCTATAGCCAATTCGCCTTCGCACTATCCATGGTTCTCGCTGAGATTCCCTACAGTCTGCTATGTGCTGTCTGTTTCTACTTGCCAATCTACTACATCCCCGGTTTCTCATCCGAATCCAGCCGCGCCGGCTACCAGTTCTTCATGGTCCTCATCACTGAGTTCTTCGCCGTGACTCTGGGCCAAATGATCTCAGCCTCAACGCCTAATAGCTTCATTGCCTCTCAGCTGAACCCGCCACTCGTCATCATTTTCTCCCTATTCTGTGGTGTCACGATTCCCAGACCACAGATGCCGAAATTTTGGCGTTCTTGGCTCTACCAGCTTGATCCGTTCACTCGGCTGATCAGTGGCATGGTCGTCACAGAGCTGCATGGGCGCAAGGTGGAATGCGCAAGCTCCGAGTACAATCAGTTCACTGCTCCCGATAACCAGACCTGTGGTGAATACATGGCCTCCTTCTTTGAGCGTGGAGGAGCTGGGTATCTGTTGGATAATGCGACACAGACATGCGAGTACTGTGCATATAAGGTTGGAGACCAGTTCTACGAGACTTATGAGATGAATTTCGACAATAGGTGGCGGGATCTGGGAATTTTCCTTGCGTTTGTTGGGTCTAATTTGATCATATTATTCCTCGCGGTAAGTTTCTCATCTACTATACTCGCGCATTTTCGGTTGGCTAATTATTTGATCTTCAGTCCCGATTCCTCAACTTCAACCGGAGATAAAACAATTCAATAAAATGACCTTTCGGGGTTAAGGAAAAGAGAGATAAGAAAGTTTGCCAGCAAGGAGGAATTGCTCTAACCGGGAACAATGGTTTCCATGACCAGATGATGAGAAGGGAAAAAGCTTACAAGCTTAAAAGTTTAAAAGCAAACAGTACCAATACACTAAATCAAGATAATAGAATTATTTCATTTAGCCTTATTAGTCTTTAACTTCTCGTGTTGTTAGTTTCCTTCCTGTTGTAGTTCGTCCGGGTCTTGGAAGCCCCTCGACCGTGGGCGATTCCCCGCATAAACCGCGCCTCGGTCCCCGGATTCCCCACGCCCCCACGCCGCTTGTCCCCTCTAGGCAAAATGGTTCACGGTTTCTAATGCCCGATCGTCGTCTAGACCATAATCTCCGTCTATGCTAGTTCAATCTTACCTATCATTGATGATCCAAAACGCCTTAGAAAAGAATGCCAAGTGTATCTGCATCCCTTATCCCTTACGGAAAGCTCACCGAGTTGTCGGATGAAGTCCGACTATGAATTTTGGTGTTGAAGAATACTTGTACCATGCGTAACAACACTGCAATGCTATGTACCTATCTTTGAAGTACCTGGGATTATGAAGGCTAAGGCGGACTTAATCCGAGAACTGTGCTCGTCAGCCAAGACCCGTGTGCATATCTTACCCCAAATCTGCAACAACCAACCATTCTGCGTAGCATAAGGTATAGCTTTCCCCGCTTCTTCAAGCTTTCGAGCTTGCGGGGAGATAGGGGTCGATTTGGATTTGTAAAGCCTGATTCTACCCTAGTTATAAAAGCATAGGCCGTGACTGTCTACGTGTGAATATGTCCACACTGTTCAATAATTCAAAACCCCCACGTAAATTTTCAAGTCCCCGTTCCTATTTTTTGTTCATGTTCATCACTTTGCCTCATCTTACCCAGCCCAGATTTGTTCTTAAAATATAATTGAATTACAATGGCGGACAACCGCCCCGCTGAGCCAACTCCTGGCCCCAAAGCGGATATCATGGATGAACCCACCACCACACACGCTGAATCCAGCGTAAGCGGCAGCAAATGGAAGTCTGCCAAATCCAAGGATGGCGATACTGCTATGGCACTTTTCGACGATCCAGACGAACTGCACGAAGAAGTTGACCCAGAGGAAGCACGGAAAATATTATGGAAGATTGATTTCATGATATTGCCATACTTAGCTGTGTGCTATGCTTTCTTCTACATTGACAAGGTCAGCTCGTAAGAACGTACACGCGAAAGGTTTCACTAACGAAACTATCAGACCACCTTGAGCTATGCAGCGATCTTCGGTATTGAAGAGGATCTCAATCTACATGGAACTCAGTATAACTGGCTTAGCAGTATCTTTTATTTCGGGTTCCTGGCTTGGGCATTCCCCACCAATTTTCTGATGCAGCGACTTCCGATCGGTATTGCCCCACCGAATCTTAGCCTTCTATCTCGGATCTCTTTCTAACTAAGTTTTTAGGAAAATACCTGGGAGTGAATATTTTCATGTGGTGAGTGAAGAACCCACACTGAACCTTCAAAAGCTGACTATCAATCCAGGGGTGTTTTCCTCATGATACAAGCAGCATGCAACAGCTTCAGAACTCTCGCCGTCCTTCGAGCCCTCGGTGGAGCCGCGGAAGCATGTTCTGATCCAGCATTCATGCTTATCACCAGCATGTGGTATACCCGCCGTGAGCAGCCTGTACGAATCGGGTTATGGTATACGGCTAATGGTATCGGAATCGCACTCGGTGGTCTACTGGGTTACGGTATTGGTCATATTCGAGGGGCCTTGCCCTCCTGGAAATACGAATTTCTTATAATGTAAGTCAGCTGTCTCATCTCCACGTATGATATTCTAATGATCTTTAGTGGAGCCCTTTGCGCTACGTGGGGTATCATCATGTTCATATTCCTTCCAGACTCCCCTGTCAACGCTCCAGGGCTCAGCAAACGGGAACGACGAATCGCGGTTGAGCGCATCAGAGAGAACCAGACTGGCGTGGAGAACAAACATTTGAAACCATATCAGATTCTTGAAGCTTTCATGGATTATAAGCTCTATATGTTTTTCATTCTGGGTGTCGTTTGTATGTCCGCGAGATAAGCTTGTCATCTTGGAACGTCCACTGATAATTTAACTAGGTAATATTCCCAACGGCGGTATCTCAAATTTCGGTACCATCATTATCAGAGGCTTTGGTTACTCAACCTTAATTACGACCATTTTGCAGGTGCTTGATATCCTTACCAGTGTATATTCTTCCCACTGACGTGCGATTTCTTCAGATCCCCTACGGAATTCTCATAGCCCTTTCCATTTTGGCCTGTGTATTCCTGAATGACCGGTTCGAGAACCGACGCTGCGTGTTTGTTTTGATCTTCTTGATTCCGAATCTGGCCGGTGCCTTCGGTTTACGCTTTGTGCCAATAGATCAGCATGTCGGTCGGCTCATCTGCTACTATCTGACCGGGCCGTACAATGCCGCATTTGTGCTCGTTCTGAGCATGCAGATTGCGAATACAGCAGGTACGTTTGCAGTCACCCATTGTTGCCACGAGAATGAAGAACATATGCACTGACTCGTGAAATTCTAACAACTAGGTCACACCAAGAAAGTTGTCACTAATGCGGTTCTGTTCCTCGGATACTGCACTGGTAACATTGCAGGTCCATTTTTCTACAAGACGGATCAGTCGTGAGTTGATGCGGAAAAAAATTGTCCCTTCGCGATAGAATATTGACGAAATATTAGGCCAACGTACACGCTAGGAATTTGGTCTATGATTGTTTCCCATCTGATCGAGGCTTGCCTTATCACCACGCTCGGCCTCCTCCTCCGCTGGGAAAATAAGAAGCGTGATCGTATCCAGTCCCGGATGGAAGGAGGCCTTGAAGGCAGAGATTTAGACGCTACTGCCTTTTTGGATTTGACAGATCGCGAAAATTTGAAGTGAGTTCTTCTCTTCTATATCTTTGCTCGACATATTTCGACAATACTTGGGTAGCATATCTGCTAACATTATGTTCATAGTTTCCGGTATATCTATTGATCTGTTGACGTGCACAGCTGGATATAAGATCCTGTCCGGCCTGCATTGATAATGCTCACCCACGTCTGATGGATGCGTGCCCAGACCCGTCAAAAGCGCCACCGATACTATTACAGATCGACCATTCTTTGATCTTGCAATACTGAATATCATTTCCTATCCAGATTTCCCAGAGGCTGAGAAATATTCATCCAGTCACATGACAAATCGCTCTTTATGGCCTCGCGCGGCAATTGTATGTGATTTCTGTGCCAAAGCTTCCCGATTCGTACGATAGAAGACCCCCTGATGGCACAAAGCGATGACCGAAAATCCAGAGCGTATATTCAAATGCCTTAATGAGGTCGGGTCCATTTTTATTTTTGCTTTACTTCATTAGGTAGATCTGAACCCCCAGTGATCATCATTGGTGTTGTGGCAGCTGTCATGTAGGGCTTTGAAACCAGGGCACTTGGCGACCTCGGACAAACCAAGATGGTGATATTGTATAAATGTCTCACGTCAGATCTACCGGCTCATAAAATCAACAATCCCAATGACGAAAATTCAAAAATTCGCAAAGCTTCCCCCATCCCGCGTCTCAACATGGAGAGTTTCTCGGAGATTCTTTACTTGTGCATTCATTGGCTGCCTCTCTTTGTCGTCTTTGTACTGGGCTCGAAGTACATTCTGGGAGTGACCAGAGCCATAAAATCACCCCTTTCACGCATTCCGGGACCTTGGTATGCCCCTTTGACGACACTACATCTTAGTTATGCGTTTGCCAAAGGCACAATCTGGAAGGATGTTGAGAATGCCCATGGCAAATATGGCCCCATCTTCCGTCTTGGACCACGTCAAGTCTGGATATCTGACATGGAAGCGATGAAAGCCATCTTGATGGCGATTGATCTGCCAAAGGTGGCAATGTATGCCGAGATTTCCAGAGATCGAAACGCTCCTGGGCTATTTGGAGAAATGCAAGTGCTCTAATTTTCAAAGCTCACGATGAGACTCTTGAGAAACCTAATGGTTTCTAAATGGCAGTCGGCCGGATCCTCATAAACGGTTGAAGAGATTTTTGTCGCCTGCATTCACTATATAATATGTCGATAATATTGAGTTTCTCTTTTCCACGTGCATCAGTGATCTCATTAGAAGATACGTTGGCTTGCTTTCATCGCCATCTCCTGAGAGCGGCCCAGTGGTCACGGATATTATGGAAGATGTCCACAATATTGCACTTGACATGTAAGTGATTTAGATCGAAATGCATCGTAGAATCGTATCAATATCAAATTAGGGTTACTCACATTTGGGTATCGTCTTCAGAATGGGCGAATGTTCTTTTGGTAAAGGCTTCGGTCAGACAAATCCATCAGATAGCTTCGAGTTCGATCTCGAAATGGATGAAAAAGTCTGGAAGAGTATTCCAACAGCAATTTTCAAAGGAATAATTCGCAGATATCAGGTAAGTACCCCTGTATCACAACAGACCTCAGTTTGATACCCAGCTGACTTGAATTTAGCTTATTTATATTAAACGTTTCTTACGGCGTTTGGGGTTTCAATTTGAATTTGACTGGCCAAGAGAAATGATTTCGGTGAGAACTTCACCGCAATATTATGCGAACATGAAGTAACAAAATCTCTAAGCCACCGCAGCTGTGCGAGGACAAAGAATCATCGTCCCAGAGAAAATTCGCCCAGACCTTCTTCAAGACCTTATCGATGAGGGCATGAATCCCGACAGTGGTGTGAAAATGGGAACAAGAGAAGTGATTGACCAAATGGTCGAGATCCTCCTAGCCGGTTCAGAGACTACTTCTAGAAATATCGCTTGATTTTTCTTGGAAACCCTCAGAAACCCCGAGGTGAAAGGGAAACTGGTAAAAAGCCTCCCAGTGCTCGGCCCAAATGATCTAATAATCTCTAGTCAAAAAGTCAGACTTGGACCTGAATTTGAGTATCTGGAAGCATGTATCAAAGAGGCTCTCCGACTACACCCAATAGCTTCGGAAATGGGTCGTCAAACTGGCCCTCTTTCAATTGAGCTAGTGGGGTACCATCTTCCTCCCTTTACTGTTGTCTCTGCCTCTTACAGGGAGCTTCATCGCAACCCGAAGCACTGGCCGGAGCCCTTGCGGTCTTGGCCGGAAAGATGGTTACAGAATCGACCAGAAGGAGTGCCGGCTCCGAAGTATGTTGATGACCATTTGCTCCTCCTTATACTCGTTAAAATACTAATTCCATGCAGTATGCAAGCCTATTATCCATTCTCCGCGGGTAAACACGCTTGCATTGGGAAAAAGTAAGTGCAAGGTCTCTCACATGCCCACATATCTCAAAGACTCTCTCTAATCTCGAGGTAGCTTCGCCATGGCTGAGATAAGAATGGTAACAGCCAATATCCTTTCACGCTTTGACTTTGACGAGGTTTCAGGGCAACGTGTTGACTTCAGGCAATATATCACTATGCAGTTCGAGCATGGGTCCTGGAAGGCTTTCCTCAAGCCTCGATATAAAAGCGAGACTAACGACATGTTGTTCACATCCCCACGAGGTCTTTAGTGACTTTCCATGACTTTGTTGACAGACGTGTGGTTACTCAAGGCCCATGCATCTTGACATTTTGATTGAACTTTCCGTCTTTTTTGTGATTTCCTTGTGCTAAAACTTACAAACTACCTGAAAGGTAAAAACAATTAACTTTGCCCTGCTTACCTTTTGCTTTCTATTGGCTTGTGGGGAGACCAAGTAGGGAAGATTTAATTTTGACCACATGGTACTTCTTTGCTTTGATATGTACTATGTTATTCTGGATATCCTCCGTTTCCAAGAATCGTCAATTTTGACTGCAAAATTGGGTTCCAATGGCGTCGTCCACGAGATCTGAACAAGGTTTGCCCTTATTGAGACCCAGTAACATCCAAGACTGCGTGACTGGTGCAGTCGTTGTCACACACTTGCCTCGCAGTGCCGATTGCCACTCTTCAGATGTTGAATCTAGCTATATAACCATGCGGTCTAGCTACGGGACGCTCCTCTTCGTTAGCATGGCCATTGCCTCGGTATAATTGTTCTCGCCAACCCTTACAAACACTGAATTATCACATATTAAATCCATTAAAAATGGCTTCAATTCATATTTCACCCAACAAAGCTACCAATAAACCCCGCCGCATCCTTCTAGTCAGTACTCCCCGCACCGCATCTAATCTGCTTTTGAAAGTCCTCAATATCCCCAACCAACCAAATACCTATACGAATGAAAAAGGTGGATACTTCTTCTACCCAGCTTTCATATCCGCAGCCAATGATGGCTATATGGAAAGGCCAATAGCGCAACGGACTGAACAAGAAAAACAAAAATTGAAGGCAGTGTACCAGAGCTGCGTGGACAATCTAGAAAGAGCAGCCGTGCAGGCCGAAGTCTCAAACAAAATGATTTTCATAAAAGAACATGCATTTTGGATCTTTGGACCAGCAGCATTCCAGAAAAGGTTGACCGGCGTGCGTGATGAACAATTTCTGAATGACTTCAGGGTTGACACACCTGAGAAATATGGATCCACAAGAACATATACACCGTCCAACGAAACCATCTTCTCGGACGAGTATCTGCGCTCGTGGCAAATGGGATTTGTGATCCGGCACCCAGCGCTATCTTTGCCATCTTTCTGGCGTGCATTGGCGAAGTTCGCCAAGCAGGGGATTATTGATGAGGATGCTGTAAAGTGGACGACTGTGACGAGCATGGGAATGTGTTGGGCTCGCTCATTGTATGATTGGTGCTTGGAGCAACCGGGCTTGTCTCGACAGCCACCTGTCGTGGATGCATGTGATTTAATTAATCATCCGAGAGTTGTGGTTCGGTTCGCCGAGGAGATCGGACTGGATCCAGAGGTTTTGCAGTTTGAGTGGGAGCCACAGGATCATGAGAAGACAAATGGCTTTTGGGCGTCTGATCTTGCTAAAGCGAGTGCTGGTGATGATGTAGAGGGGTCACATATTCGTGCAGCTAATGTTATGCTGGCTACACTCTCGAGTTCATCGGGCATGATCAAAAATAGGACTCCGGCGGAAGTTGATATTGCAGTGGAGGTAGAGAAGTGGAAGGTTGAGTTTGGGGTTCAGGTTGCTGAATTTATTGAGCAAGCGGTCTTGGAATCAATGCCTGACTATCAGTATCTGAAGGCCCGGCGGATCACTGTTTGACTTCGCGGTACCGATCAAGTTCTTGAAACACGGCTAGGTGCGACTATCTTTCAAATATCGTATATGTAACAGCTTCCAATGGTGAACACATGCTTAACATTATGAATTTGTCAAAGTTGGTTTCAGTTATTCCAGAATGCCTGGTGTCACCTTACATACTTGGAGCCAACGCAGAAATCATCAGCAAATACAGTACAAGGGGTATTCCTGCAAATGAAGAAAAGAAAAGAAAAGTCATTCAAAAGAATTTGATATCATGTAAGCTTCCTATTTACGTCATGGATCGCTGCGTGTTGCATTGGCTTAAACTTCTCTCACACTCGGGGATTGACCAGTGGCAGATTCCTGGGATGTAGAGTTACGACCACGCAGGCTAAGGTTCCCAATTCGCTGGACCAAGTTGCTACCAACTGCATCTACGGCGCCCTTCGGCGCCAAAAGAGTCGGTCCTTGAGCAGCAGCCTCTTGAACTCTAAACAGACGGATTCCCGTGCTATTCCAAACACCGACCGTACCCGGGGTCGCACTGGCAGCGGAGCCAACTACCATCTCGCTAGAAAAGATGAAACCCCATAGGAGCGATTCGTACCAGCCCATGGAGAGGGCGGACCATTCAAATGACTGGGCGCGGACCGGGGTCGGCTCTGAAATGATGCTCTTCACCTGCGGCTCCTCGGCAAAAGATGGAAGGTTGCTGATCAGAGTACGGGCCTCGGGGCTTGCAGTAGTCTGCAGAGCGGCCTCCGGAATATGAGGTGCAATGGCGGAAATGATGGTGAGGATGGTATGCAGTGGCAACTCTGGAAGCCAGGATTCGAGCTGTGGGAAAATTAGTAATGACACATATAGTTTATGCAATAGGATACTTACCCAAGAAACAGTTGGTGTGAAGCCGGTCAACGAGGCAGTGAACAGAGCAGACATGCTTGTTTGACTGGTCATGCTATTCTGGCGAGAGAAGGATGGCCGACCGGCGGGCATCTTACCGCGTGCCTTTTCGGACATACCTCGCACCTGTGAGCCATTCTCGTCGGTGGTAGATGCAAAAGAAGGTCTGCGGGAAGTTTGGGCGGAAGGAGAAGATTGAGACGGGGTATTCTCTCCTTCGTCGTCTGAATCATCATCGCCAATCGCGAAGGCGCTGTTCTCTTCGGGAATCCGAGTTAAAGGCGACCGAGCACCTGAGGGCGTATGCAGATCCTCCTCGGAATGAGAAAGCGAGGGGCTACTGATCACATCGGCTGATGTTTCTCTGGCCTTTCTTTTCTCTCTTTGTCGCTCAATTTCCTGTTGGCCGCTTTCTAGTGTGAAAGCTCGAATAGCTTCAAAGCGTTGCTTGTACTTCAAAATCGCGTAGACTAGATAGCGGTTTTCTAATAACAGTTAGAATAATACAATCAGATATCAGAAAGCAATGCGCCATACCGGTAAAGTTATGCTCGAGAATAGCATTGATAAAGTCAAGCAATGATGCAAGAAGAGTGTGATTTGTCTCGTTGGCCAACAAAAAGCTGGGCGCAGACATGGATGAGAATAGTTGGATGATTTTGGGACAGGTAACGGCGGAGATGTGCTGGATATAAGGGGCGACGTTGTTAAGTATGATCATGAGGGCGGGGTATACCGTGTCGAGGTTTCCTTTGCTGGTTGTCATCAACGTATGGATTGACTGCGAGAATTAGCAAACGATGGCATAGCTTTGAGAACAAGAACCAACCATGATGAGGAAATCAGCATAAGAGCCTCGAAATTTCTGCTGTCGAATAGACAGTGGCAGGGTTTCTTGTGCCTCGAAATTGATATTGAGACTTTTGCCAAAAGTCGGCTCTGCGCTCATCGTCTGAAGAATGAAAACACACATCCGAACCACTCCTTGCTTAGATGCATCCGCTCTGTATTCCATTGCATAGAATATGCAAAGAATCATGAAGTCATGTGAGCGGTTGGAATCGATGATGAAGGATCTGAAACGCTTGTTGCATTGCAAGGTCTCCCAGAACAAGATAAGGATCTCCGGGGCCCATTTCACCATTCTTTGACTTCCCGGAAGATATGAACTTGTGGCCTGCATCTGTTTCCAACATTAGTGTGGGGTACAGGTGGCGAGTATGGCATTGCTTACAGGCTGGTTCAAAATTCTAGTCATACCATCCACAAGGAACTGGAAATCCTGGGGCCTATGCAGTCTGCCAAAATAGTGGCGATAATAGTTCTTTGGCGGGACGCCACGGCCATCCTCCGGGATTGGGTAGAGGAGAAGAACAAGAAGAAGCTGTAAGCTGTAGATGACCAGTATCTGCTTAGGGTCTTTCCAAACCACATGGTCGTATGGAACCCTCCATGACGCAGGGTTATATTTCATGGCCTACATTTAAGTTAGTGCTGGGCTCTTTTTGGGGACTTTTGCAGCCATACCGTGTTCAAAAGAGAACAAAGTGTGGTCAAAACAGCCTGCTTATCCTGGCAAGTGGTGATGTATGTGATGGCTCGCACACCTTGTACGGGTAGCGTATCTAAAGCAACCTATCAATATGGCGACCTTTTTGGGCTTTTTAAAAAATACTTACTAGCTGGCAAGTACATTGCCTTTCCGGTCATTGTCAGCAGTAGCCGCAAAATCTCGCATCGGTTGTTTTCAAGGGTTTTGTTTGAACCCATAGATGTGTTGCAGCCCACACCACTTTGCCATATCGAGTATGAGATCTTGCTCTTGGCCGTCGGGAGCACTGGAATTGTGAAGTCCGCGAAAAAGAGCAAGTCCAGCAGCGTATCGATCAACTCCTCTGCAAGAGGCTTCACGTCTTCGTATTCCTCCCCGTGAGGCGAGGGCCCGTCTTGCTGATCCTCCGGCTGCGCATCGTCAAAGAGCACCTCGCCTGCAATCTGAGACCGTCTAGTCTTTTTCTTGCGACGCGCCCAAAAGAACTTCTCCTCCCAGTCCTCTAAGTGCTCAGCTTCGTAGACAAAAGGCAGGAGCCGGGTGAGGATGCGAATACAGTTGAGCACATCACGATCGGGGGCGAGATCAGGATCGGGAAAGGAAGGGTGGTTCTTCAGGATAATCAGCCGCGAAGAGACCGAAAGTATCAACGTTTCGAAGTTTGATAAAGCATGGTCGCGCGTTCGTCGGATGTCAGCAGGTGTGAACAAGCTGAAGACGTCTTCAGTAGATTCGGGGAGTTCCCAGAACTAAACAGAACCAGTTAGCGCTGCCATTCTCTCAATTTTCATATACAAATCGATCCTCTCTTGCTAACATACTCTCGTCCAGTACGGGTCGTCTGCGGGGATCTCCTTCTCCTCGGATAAGCGGAAAATGCCCTGCTTGAACACGAGCTTCGACTCCGAGGCTCCCATTGCTGGTAAAAGAAACCAGTCCCTCACAGGATAAGGTTCATGTATCAGCTAGTGAGAGAGTCCCAAAGCGAAGTGTCGGCGCTGATGTCTGACGCGGATGTAGTTGGTGTTGCGTTCGTTCCTATTGCGGAGTCTGGCCCGTGTAATGGCTGCCGAGCCCGCCTAAACAGCCATGACATATGCGCCTCTTTATCTACCGATGTACCTTCGATCTCTCGATCTCTTTCACAACAAACAAGCTCGGATTACGGAAAACGAGCAAAGCTGATTTATAGGGTCTCAAGGATAATTGACAATATTTATGCATTAAAAAGAGCCCGCTATGAGTACCATGATCTACAAACTCCAATTCCACGCAGCCCATGTAAAAGCCCAAACCCAAAATATCACATCGACCCATTGCTGGCAGACAGCCGCCGGCTTCTCTCATAAAGCCACTTATTACTCACTGACAAGCTAGTCCGTTTTCCCGCTAAGGGGGAAGGTGTGCTGGGGCCGAGACTGGACTCGCTGAATGAGTTGCTGAATGAGTTGCTACGACCAAGAGGCGAGGATGATCCGAAGCTTGGTCGCCGACCGGTATCTCTTCCACCGTTGGCAACAGCCTTGTGAAACAATGGGCTGGAGGCAGGCGAGAAAGGAGTGCCAGATGAAACGCGTCGCTCTGAAAATGTGGGTGTCGCAGACAAAGGAGAGCCACTCTGGCTTGCAGGACTGCCCTTGCGAGAAGTCGATACACGATATCGTGGCGGGGTCACATAGGTGGTTCCAGGGGTAAGGGGTGGTGTAGCAGTTGGGTCCAATCCCAAAAGGGCCCGTTGGGTAGGAGTCAAGGGGATATCGGAGAGGTCGTCGGTCGGTCGGAAGAGGGGGTACAAGGCAAGTAGAATGTTGGCGGTGAAGAAGAGCTGAATGAGCAGCAGGGAAACCTCGGGATACACGGAATTATTATCGAAAATGAAGTGTGAGCTTAAATAAGAAGCAATCAGTGTACTGCGCGCAAAAATTTATCGTTCGCGAAACTGACTTGGCCTTCAGGCTGTGTCCGAAAACCCAGCTCATTACCAGAGCACCCCCATTCCAGATGACCTTTCGCAGATTCTTGTCGCCAAAAGTAGCTGCATTCTGACGTCGGACGATCTCATTCAACTGAGGGTGGCGCCATTTGCCGGGGGTGCCAGACCCCGCGGAGGGGGAGCTGCCATCGGCGTGGCCTTCGGAGTCGAAGGAAGAGAAGCCATTTGTCGCAAGTCGATTGCAATGAGTGAAAGAAAAAGTACGGAGGTACTGCGCAAGCTTGCAATGGCTCGCGAGAAAGGAACCTAGCTGGACCTTCGGGGTCAGGGATATAAAGATCTGGAATTGGGAGCAGGGGAACTCACCTTTGGAAGAAAACCGCGTCAAACTTACCGACTTACCTTAAGAAGCGATGGGAGGGGACCAGGAGAGATTGTCAATCAAACCGTCATCAGCATTGACATTGCCCGGGCGTTGGAGTTTCCCAGAGTGAAGGGATATTGTTTTGGTGTTGCTGGTTCGAGGCTGGGATTTGCAAAGAGAGCCGCTAAGCGCGACTTAATTAGACGCCGGTGGAAGGTTGGCCCGGCCCCGCCTTTCCAATCAATAGATGCTTACTCGTGTCGCTCTCACGTCATATTGTTCTCCGCAGTTGCTCTTCCTCGTGTCATCAATTCACAATGGCAGATCAACCAGTTCTTCAGAGATTGGATACTCTGGTGGCAGATATCCTGGCCGACTGGAATATCTATACCACCATTGTTGCAGGTATTGTTGCTGCTTTTGCGATCTATTCCGCAGTGTCAGCTAAGGACCCGGATGTTCATCCTTTCTTACTTGCTCGCCAATCCACGCCTTCACCTATTCGACAGGCAGGTGAATCCGCAACATACCGCAGCTTGGAAACTCCCTACGGCTACCCTCTACGAGCAGGATTGAATGTCAAGGACCCCGGTGCACCTAAGTGGACTGCTGGCAGAAAGGGAGATTTGCGGGACATCTGGAGGGCTGCGGTGCGGGGAGCTCTCAACGAGGATGGTACCCCAACCAAGACACAAGGAAAAATCTATACTGTGCTGGGTAGACAGGCCTTCGAGCACTCACTGTCCCAAGTGACCCAGGAAATCAACGTGATTGGTCACCATCTTCAGAATGCCGAAGTCAAGACCGTAGCAATCTGTCTGACCGATTCGGTTGAACTTTTGGCTGCTCTCTTCGGTATATTAAACCACATCGAACGCACTGTATATGTGTACTAATGCATCAATATAGCCGGTGCTTTCTATGGGTTCAAGACGATCCTTGTCCCCCACAACCTTCCGGCAGAGACCCTATCCGCACACCTGCAGACAGCACAAGCCGATGCCCTGATTGCTGAAGCGGGATCACTTGATCTCTCCACTGCTATCCAGGGTAACAAGCAGCTGTCACACGTTGTATGGGTTGCTAAGTATGGCAACCAGCACATGGACTGGCATGGAGTTCCCGAGGGCGTGGATCGTACTATCAAGGTAGATGTTTGGCATGAGCTGGTGGAGGAGAAGAAGGACCTGACTGGCTTGGACATTCCCGAGTACGATCCTAAAGAACCGGCTCCTGCTATCAACACTGTTTGGCCTTCTTCTTCTCAGTCTGGCAAGTTCATTGACTTCCAGCCAGAGGTAAGCGATGATATTTCTTTTTTTAACTTGCCACTCTGGTATTGACTATCCCATAGAATCTGGTTGCTGCTATCGGCTCCCTGGGGTCTGCTCTTCCTCGGAACCAGCGTTTCTCTCCTTCGGACCTTGTTCTCTCTATTGACTCTCTCTCACGGTCCTACCCTCTTTGCCTTATGATGAATGCACTATACTCGGGTGCCTCTATTGCATTGAACTCCGTCGCAGGGGAGAAAGTTGACTTCGCTTTGGCTACCGTGGGCGTGTCTCCTACTGTCATCATTGCTTCGTCACAAACAATGTCGGACTACCACGACAGCGTCATGCAGCCGCAGACGGGGCTCGTGTCTTCGATTGGCCGTTGGGTCCAGGCACGCACTCTTGATGCTGGAAACATGCCTTCAAAGAACATATTCAGTCAGCTAGCTCGAGTTGGACCAACCTCAGAACTGTCGTTGGACAAATTGCGCCTGCTCTGCATCTCCCATCGCATTGATGCACCTGCCTCGGCCCGCCTTAGCTCGAAGCAACTGACAGATTTGCGCATCTTCACCGATGCTCGTATCGTATATGCTTTGACTGGATCCGGTATTGCGGGTGCTATCGCGCAGACAAATGTCTTTGACTACCGGCGCCATGATGGCCCCAGTCACTTCGGCGCTCCTCTTAGTAGCACTGAAATCACACTGACTGGAGTCTCTGAGGATACGGTTACAGACACCCCTCAAGGCCAGGTAAGATATATTGGTCCATTTACTTCAGCCTTCATGATTTGCTAACTTTCACCCTTAGATCAAGGTATCTGGTCCTGCCGTTGTCGGCGATGAGATTACACTAGCATCCCAAGTCCGTATTAGCAAGGACAACACCGTGGAGCTGTGCTCTTGAATGGCCATTTATGCTCGTATCTTCTTTTCACACACCCATCATGATAACTAAGCGTTTATCGACATTTCGGCCGTTTAAAATGGTGATCGTTAGATTATCATCTACTTTTTTGAAAGTCACTTGAACATATTTTTAAATGCCCTTGACCAAGGGTTCATAGCTCGGTAGTTGCATGATCCAACCGCCTTTTCAAAGGGGTTTGAAAAGAAAGTCCCTCGAACATGCATTCTTTACGAGTAATATGTTGTCCACGGGCACTTACCTAGTTGGAAATGACCCCAATATGCACCCATCATGATGATGGTGAAGTTTCATCAGTAGGTAAATAACAAGGCAATGAAGTGAGGCAGTAATATCCGATTGAAATACAAGTTCAGCTCCAAAGATGCTGGAATAAGAGTAATATACATATGTCGGTATGCTTCTCAAAACAACTGACAGCCAAACACCCCGCTTAAAACCCCTTATTTCTGAAGCACAGCCTGAGCAAACTCAACGCTATGCACCTTGCTGGAAGACTCCTCGGGGATCGCCTTGAGTTGCGCTGTGATCGCCTTCTTCACCTCAGCAAGACGAGCTGTGACAGCTGAATGTAGTGCCTTGTCAACAGCAAGACCGTGAATCGACAAACTGAGCTGCAATCCCTTGCACGCCGCAATTGATCCCATCAGACGTTGATTCACGAGCTCCACGTCGAACTCGTCCTTGGGAATAGCCTTAAATTCGCCCAAGGGCCAAGAAGCAATAAGCTTCCGTGCGTAGTTCAACACCTCGTTGTTCTGGTCTTTGCCAGCAGCTTCATCCAGAGCACGCGCAGCACTAAGCTCAAGCAGTGTTGCAATGACATACGGCTGGTATTTCGGGTTTGTGGCTGGGCTTGGGGCGTACGAGTCCATAATGTCCACGGCCGCCATTGCCATCTTGAGAGCCTTTTTTACCTGATCTCCCTTGTAGTCAGCCTTGTGGGCCATGCAGTGCAGTTCAAAGAATAAACGCTCGGCGTGATAGTTGTTTTGTAGCGAAAGGCCAGTCTGGTTTTCTCGTCGGGCGCATTCGAGGATAAGAGAGAGTTTACCGGCGCTGCCGGTCTTGCGAATCAGGTACTGCCACCGAGCAGGGGAGATGGCCATTTGCGCACTCCATAATCCGGTCATGAACGGCACGAGGTTCTTGTAGTCGTTGGCGGCTTCCATTAGTCGGAAGACATTGATGGCCTCCTTGCTCTTAGGCATTGAGGAGGGGCTCAAGGGTCGCAGAGTGTACTCTTCGGTCTCGCTAATCTTCACTGTAATAGGCTCCTCTTCCAGTCTGCGAGCATGTTTCTCCTTGAACATGCTCGTCCGCTGTCGTTTGGGGAGGCCGAATGGGATGAAGAGGTCTTGTCGCCAGTGCTCAAGAGCCTGGTTCAGTTCGGTGGATGCAGTGGGGGTGAATGTAGGAATAACTATATACCAAACATTATTTATCAGCAAACAGGATCTCGTGAATCAGAAGCCATTGAGCTATATCATACCGGGTTTCGAGGCAAAGCTGCGATTTTGCGAAAAGGTCACCGACTGGCGCGAGGTGCCCTGCAGCCGGAAGAGCCGACCCATAGCAAATTGTGCCATGATTGAATGATACCGGTGCCCGGTAAAGATATTCTGGGTACAAAAGGCACTGAATTGCAGCCCCTGATGTTTTATATCGTGTAAACAATTCGGGCTTGGAAAGAAGCGCGAGAAGTGAGTCCGGGCGGCGAAGAGAATATCGAGTCTTGGCAAGAAATTCTGCCGGGCCGACTCAATTCCAAAACTCAATGCCGACTTTCTTTCTTCGGTACTCATCAAACCACCAAAAATAATGGCTGCGCTACCGACAATGCGGCCGCTGGGCTGTCTGAGGACCCTTTTCAGAGCTCAGGATGTTATTCAGCCACAGATGACCCGGCGCTTTATCTCAACAGCCTACTCAAAGAGACCCGAGCGTGTCCCTCTCCCTCCGAACCTCCCCCAGCAATTCCTCTCACAATTACCGGTTCGAATGCAACCGCAAAATGGTAAGTGCTTTTGAAATATTCCGGCCGTTTTCTCGTTGGCCTCTTGTCCTGACTGTAGCCGCCCGTTCAGCCTCTAAGCCCGTCAAGGTCTACCCTGCTCCTCCATCCACCAGCAAAACATGCAAAGACCCCGTTGCGAAGATCACCGAGTCCCAGTTGGCAGTCCTCGATCCCAAGGGTGAGCGCAAAGCTTTGTTCGACTACCGCCGGAATACCCGCAGTGTCAAGCCCGGTGATATTGTGCGCGTGACTTTCAAGAACGGCGACCCCTTCAACGGTGTGGTGCTGAGCATCAAGCTCCGCGGCATTGATACGTCTTTCTTGTTGCGTAACGAGCTCACTCGTGTGGGCGTTGAGATGTCGGTCAAGGTGTTCAGTCCCAATGTGCAGAGTGTAGAGATTGTCCAGCGCGCAGAGCGCAAGCCCCGCCGCGCGAGACTCTACTACATGCGGTTCGTCAACTCCATCTTCCCAATATTCATCACTGTCAGCAGCAGTTTACTGACAAGGTTTCTCTCAACAGGTCCCGCAAGCACGACCGCCGCAGCGTGGAGAACCTTGTGGCCTCCTACGTTCGCCAGAAGCGGGCTTTCCTGGGCGGCAAGCGCCAGTAGTGATTGCGCGACAGCGCAGTGTAGTTCTTTTAGCATATTTCAGCATGTATTATTATCTGTCAACATTGAATGTGTTTCTATTTCAAGACATGGTTTCTTCAACCGCTGCACCCTTTGAATGAGCCGCAATGGTGTCTCATATTTCTGGTAGTATCATATAGAACAGAAAGGGGGTGATAGTCTTCACTCAAAGCAAAGGTCTATGTGCTTTGAGGAGTGTACTTGACAAATTTTGGCTGCAGGGTGCAGCATTTGGATATGTCTCTATGCAGGTACTATGGAGCCAGAACACGTGCAGTCAAGACTCAAGCCCACGTTCCGCCTTGCCCAACCCCCTTTCAACTCTCAATAATCCATCCAAGCTTGGATTTTGGCCAAATACATGTTTACTGCATCCTCTTCATTTTTAGTCATGGTCTCTTCTTCAATGTTGGTTACGGCCGCGGCCCTGGCTTTAGCCGGTGGTCCGGACCCTGTTTTCGGGACGATTACCTCCAGCCTCCAGCACATCTTGCAGAACACTCACGGCGGCAACGAGTACCAATATCCCACAGATATTACCCGAGATCTTCTCCCAGTAAGCTATCCGGCATTGTCGTTTGTTTATGTGTTCATGCATACTTTTTCTTACCCTGTGGACCACTATTGCCTACGTCAATGAGCTAACGCTACATGCCTAGATTCCTGTTCATTCCCACAAGTAGGACTTATATAAACACAGGCTACGAGAGTGCCATTTCTTATCAGTCACTAAATTACTATCTCATAGTGACTATTGGAGACAAGAGCCATTCTGGACGGGTTCGTCATTACCAAGCTTATTGGCCCTGTTTCTACTAACCGAACGATAGGCTTGTCAAAGGGGTGTACATCGACTGAGGCAGATATCTGGCTGTACAATGACACACTTTATGTAAGTCCTGTTTCGCCTCAAGATGGAATTTTCAAGCTAACAATACAGGTCGGTCATGATCAATCTGCCCTGACTAAGGACCGAACACTCGAAAGCCTCTATATAAATCCAATCCTCGATGTCTTAGATCGCCAAAACCCGAAGAGCCCATTTGTGACTGAGCCCACTAAGAAGTATGTGCCATCGAGATTTTACTGTGCTATCACTGACTCAGTTAAAATAGTGGGGTTTGGGATACCACTCCAGACCAAACACTCTACTTCTTCATTGACGTAAAAACTTCCGGCCCTGAGACCTTCAAGGCTGCCCTTCAAGCTTTAGAGCCACTCAGGGAAAGGGGTTATCTTTCCAAAGTCGAGGGCGGGAAAATCAATTATGGACCAGTGACCATCATTGGAACGGGTGAAACTCCACTGGAGATGGTGACTTCTGTCTCCGACCGCGACTACTTCTTCGATGCTCCTCTTGGAAACCTCAATGACCCTAAATACGCCAGTGTTGATGGTACAGTTTCGCCTATCGCATCCACGGACTTTGCAGCCGCGGTTGGCAAGGTGACTGCTGATACGGACCCGGTTCTTACGGATGAGCAACTTAAGGCTCTTCGTGAGCAGATTTCGACGGCGAGTGAGCGTGGTATTGGAGCAAGGTACTGGAATACCCCAGCCTTCCCTATCCGAACGCGAAACCTGGTCTGGAGGACGCTTCTACGCGAGGGAGTGACTCTTCTCAATGCCGATGATCTCGATGCAGTAGCCTCTTACTTTTGAGAGATATGAAATTATGCCTGAAGAAGCATCTTTGGTATTTCGAATTATCCCGGGGGAGATAAAATCATCGGTATGGATTTAATTAGCAGCTTACTCGTTAGACTTGGTTTCTCCCGCTAGAAGCAGTGTACAGAAGTGTTTCACAGTCGTTCTCCCACCATGATCACCAGTTTTGTAATAACTACCACTTAATTTGCATCCCACAACTCTCTCTGTCAGCATTCAAATTTTGTCTCGCTCATTTCATCTGTTCCATGGCAACTCGCTATTAACCCTGACGCATGGCACGTGGCACGTGATCAGCGACGACAGGGCAAAATCGCTGCAGATTCGAGCTCCACTGCTTCTCAGTCCAACATCGCTCAACGCCCAATCTCATTGGTCGGATTCGAAAATGGCAGATGGCGATCTGGGAGATCTCTTGGCCAAGGTGCTCCCCACCGGGGCCGAGCTCACTGTCCGCCATGTCTCCTCGACACCCGCCCCGAGTGTCGCCCTTTTCGCCGCTGCGCCCGGTCAGGAGCCCGAGTCCACCTTTTGCGAAAGTCACTTCCTGTCGGTCTCCATTGACTCGCCTAAGGATGACGGGGCTGAAATTATTGTCTTTGGAATGGAAGTGCTGATCTATAATTCGGCCCACCTGACCACTATATTTGTGTCCAAGGCCGATTCAACCGGCCTTCTGCATCTACTTAAATTGCCGCATAAAGTTTCGGTACTCAGGTTGATCAGTCACACGTTTTTATCTCACCTGGCTCGTACGCACCAACGGCCTGGGGTGCGTTTGGTCGTGTCCTTGTTTGCCCGTGCTCAGAATCAATACCTCTTTCCCGGCAGCATCGAAAATGCCGAAAAACATGTTCTCGATGATCGGGGTCTGATCAAATGGTGGTGTCGAGCCGTAGATCCTATTTTGACTGAGCATGAGCCAGAATCTGTCTCACAGGACACCAAGCCCCTCGACCAAACCGTTGAGGCCGCGAAGGCGTCCGCAACTGCATATCTCATTGTTCCCGGGTGCGACCGCCTTGAGACACGCAGCTTTTTCCCTACTACTTCTAAGTCTGATGCGCAGAGTCGTCCTCGGTGGCTTGCGAGCTACCCATTAGAGCAAATGGTTCAGGACCCATCAGCTCCGCCGCGATGCTTGATTCCTCGGCTTCCAGATGACCCTAAGACACGTTTCTTGATCGACCTGGATGATGAGCTTCCGGAGCCTGCGGAAGATGAAAAGCCATCTCAAAGGACTGGCCAATGGCGAAGTGTCAAATCGTTGGACCAGTTTTGGGAAATGATGTCGTTTCGGCAGGAGTGTTCTGCTGGTCGACTGGTTGGGTTCCTCTGGCTTGTCATTAATCCGCCCGGTCTGATGAACTCGACCACAATGGCTAGCCGGAGCCGTGGCTCTGCTGAAACAAAGTCAGATTCCAAAGAGGCGGAATCGCCTAAGCCATCAGAGAATGGGCCACCGCAGAAGGATTCCAACCGAACAAAGCCTGAAGCTTCAGAAAATACAACTGCAGTTGCGACTATTACACCAAAAGAGTCCCCTGAGCCTCCAGCAGCCACTTTCGACGACCCATTGGAGAGTTCTTCAGCCAACACCCGCACAACAGCTCCTTCAACGGACGCATACCCATTCTTCTGGCCCGAGACTGGTCGAGGAGACGTAGTCCTCAGCGAAGCAGATTATAAAAAGATGATGGACGGGGTCCTAGATCATTTCTACGATGAGAATGAAGTGGTTGCCAGCACAAAGTCTTACGTTGACCAGGTGGCTTCCCTAGCCGACCAGCTCACATGGGGCAGACGGGTGGTTGGCAGCCATACGCCCGAGGAGACTGCTGCTCAGCCCGCAGCTATAAACAATATGCTTAGCAGTGGTTTGATTCGCAAAAGGAAGAAGCCGGAATGCAAAATCATTGGGGATGATACAGATGCAGGCACAGCCCAGCCGAGCGAGTCAGATGCAGCTCAAGCGGCCCCCGCCCAGCCAGCGGCCGTTAATGTGCTAAGTGCTGGGCTTTTGCGGAAGAAAAAGAAGATATGATCTATTATCTTAGGGTCTCTGGTTGGATCGGGAGTTATAATGGAGCTTTGATGTAGCTGTTGGTTCAAATCTGGTTTTCGGTTGGGATGGGTCTAGGGTACTATTTAACTATTTATTGTTGATTTAACTCATGTGCTGTTCAATAGCATTGGAGCTTTGGTTAGCCATGACGGCTTTACTCAAATGTTCTTTTAAAAACAGCCTTCCAACAATTGACTGATAAACCTACGTAGCCCTATTTGAAGGCTTTCCCAACCATATAACGCCTAGTCAATCCCAGAGTTGGTGTAAGTAGTAAGTAGTCGAAGACTTTCCAAACTTTCAAGCTCCAAGTACTATATTTAGTAGAATGGTCAAACGTGACGTAGGTTTAAACGTGCTGTTGTTTATCAGGTGGTTTTTTACATCTGCGCCTAAATTTAGTCTCCTTTGTTTCTTTTGTACACACTAATGCTCTGTTATGCATTGAATCCACGGATACACCATTCGGAGGCCACGGAATACTCGTCCAGGTACCTAAGCGGAGCCGCAAAACAAGCCCGGTTGGTCAAAGCGCTAGACTTGTAAGATGTATTGTATTTGAGGCATACCTAGTATATCATAAATTAAAGGACTGATCGATTCGCAAGCTAGTTTCAAGTTCTAGCTACTCCAGCTAATCAAAGAGCACGGAAATCAGGGACTAGGGTGCACGCGCAAGGCGGTGCGAAACAGGCAAAAAGGAAGCCGCTGTATCCGATCCCGAGCTGCGATGCACTCAGCTCCACAACGGCCCACGCACACTACCATTCATACTCCCTCGGCGCTGGATGTTTCTGTCCTAGAATGTCATCCTCACCTGCGCTGTCACCGTCCCTTCGAGTCCCATGCTAGAGCCGACCTCGCAGTTTCTCCACAGGTCGCCCATCGGTGATGGCGATATGCCCGTGTCCGTCGCGGCGGGCTGGATCGGTCTGATCTGGTATATCGTCGTGCTGTCTGTGTGTGCCTTGGGGTATTTTCAAATGTAAGTCGATGTAAAGTTTGCGCAGCTGTTCTGTTTGCTTCATGAATCCCGACGCGCCACGCAAGATCATTGAGCGGGGGCATGGAAGCAGACTAGCGCTACCCGATTACGACTGTGGCTAATAACAAAGTCAATTCAGTTGGAGATACTTTTCACAACGACCACGCCCGTCTTGTCTCGCTACTGCTTCCGATGCCCCTCATGTCACTGCCATTCGCCCCGTTAAGGGCCTCGAGCCCCATCTCTACGACTGCCTTGCTGCCACCTTTCGACAGGAATACCCGCGTGACAAGCTGACCATCTGTCTATGCGTCTCAACCCGCGATGATCCTGCCTACCCAGTTCTCTGCAAATTGATTGAAGACTTCCCGGATTCCGATGCGCATATTTTTATCGAGGAGCAAGATCCATTACTGCAGCGCGGTGGATCAAATACCTACACGCTTGGGCCGAATCCAAAGATTCGAAACATGAGCCGAGCTTACCGTGAAGCCAAAGGAGACATCATTTGGATTATCGACTGCAACGTATGGGTTGGAAAAGGTGTCTGTGGTCGCATGGTGGATAGACTTTGTGGAACAGGAGCCAAGCCAGGCAAGAAGTACAAATTCGTACACCACTTACCTCTGGCCGTTGATGTTACCGGAGAAGATAACCTCATCGAAGAGCGACGGGCACTTTCAGATGCTTCTCGCGACACTACAGCCGCTACCGATGCGATGTCATCCAAGCGCCCGGAAGACGGGTTTGCCAGCATGATTGCTTCTGGAGGTGGCCGTCTCGAAGAATTGTTCCTTTCCTCGGCGCATGCGAAAATGTACACTGCTATCAATACGGTGCTCATTGCGCCATGTATCGTGGGAAAATCCAATATGTTCCGCCGCTCACATCTGGACTATCTCACAGCTCCCTCGCCAACAAATTCCAATCCCCGACACCCTGGTATTGACTTTTTTTCGGATAATATCTGCGAGGACCACCTTATTGGTGACCTTCTATGGCGAAAGAAAGTGCGAGAAGAAAGGGAAAATCGGGAGAAATGGGGAAAGCACGCCATGGTTTTTGGAGACTTGGCCTTCCAGCCCGTGGCAAATATGCAAGTTCGAGCCTACATCGCCCGACGAGTACGTTGGCTGCGTGTCCGTAAATTCACGGTACTCCTCGCAACTCTTGTCGAGCCAGGTACAGAGTCCTTTGTGTGCTCAATCTATGGGGCATGGGGCATAACAGCGGCGCTAGCGCCGTATCTCGAGAGAAAAGGCTTCGCATTTGCCTCTACTCTTGGAACATGGACGTCTTTCTTTACTATCTTTGCTTTGAGCATCGCATTTTGGATCCTGGTTGATTGGACCCTTTACATCAAGCTTTATTCTGCAAAGACCGTCGAATTGGACGATGACACCCCGCCCTTTGCGCAACCTGTGCGCCGTAATCCCTCACAAACAACCCGTCGGCCCTTCTCACAATGGTTTGCCGCATGGCTGGGTCGCGAATTGCTTGCTCTGCCCATCTGGCTATCCGCCGTCTATGGTGGTGTGACCGTCGTCTGGCGGGACCGACGCTTCAAAGTTGGGTTTGATGCCAAAGTTCGGGAAATAGGCTCTGATGCGACAAGGCCCTCGGAGGGCTCTTATTCCACTGGGTCTGTGGTCGATTGGTTTCCAGTCTCACCACAAAGCAATCATGGTAAGGACAGCAAAGTCCGCCGTGATTGATGATGACCACAACCTTATGTACATTATACGAAAACGTCATAAATGTTCCAGACTTTTTACTGATACGAAATCTCGGGTTCAATTCCTTCTCGAAATTCTGGTCATGTTCATTATCGAAATGGACCCTCTCTACAATACACTTAGATGTTGATATCATCGCATATAGAATCAAGTCGCTTTTATTGTCTATATCCTTAACTTTTATTCATGAAACCATAAATCAGTCACTCATCCACATCTTGCGCATCACGCAGAGCTTGATCCCTCATTGGCACCACTCTCCAGACCAGCCGACTTCTCTGAGCTCAACAACCACTCAACAACCTGTCTGCCCGGAGACATCTCCCCAGCATTAGAAGCACCCTCCTCACCACCCTCCTGTTCCTCGCCAATGGTCATCTCAATCTCCTGGTTGCCCTCCTCATCCTCCTTGACCTCCTCCGCGGAAGCAGACCAAGCAGCCCGCTCAGCAAGGAAAACAGCATCGTGGCCAGCGTCGTTCTTAATAGCAACATCCGAACCCGCCTCGACAAGCGCCTTGACACACTCCAAGTGGGTGTTCAGCGCAGCCCAGTGCAGCGCTGTGTTACCAGAGTGGTTACGGTGGTTCACAAACGCTGTGCGCTGCGCCGCATCGGCACCAGCAAGTTTTTGGAGAAGAGCGTTGAGAATTTCTGTAGTGAAGTTAGTAATTTGGATCAAATTGCATCGTTTAAGAGTGATATTGAGATGTCCTTGAACTTACCGGAGTTTCCATTCGCGGCAGGGAAGTGCAACACGCAGGCGCCGGTGCCGCCCTCGCTTTCTTCTTCCATATCGATGGCCGATGCTACGATTTGCCACTCCGGGCAGTTGTGCTGCGAAGCCAAGGTGGCGATGTCGGCATTCAAAGCCTCGAGATCACCGGCTCGGGCATCGTAAATGAGGTCTTCAATTGCCTCGGTGGAAAGTGCAATAGGCACAGTGGACTTGGGGGCAGACATGATGTATGAATGTCTAGTAGAGAATCAAAGTCCGAAATAAAAAAGTTTAAAGAATATGCTGCTTCTTTCTTCGATTTGGGCCGCAAAGTTGTTCAAATAGAATAGCGGGTCGTTTTTTTTTTTTTGCAGCGGGAAGAGAATTTTATATGAACTGTAGTGGGGGTGTCAGTCAATTGATTCGCAATACTGTACGCTGATCTAAAAGCAAAACAAGCAAAGAAGTTTGAAGTTAATTGATAGCAGAGAAGTCTATAGGCCTTTTGTTTTGGCTGTTGATTGAATCAGAGCATCCTGACCGTTTGCGCAGGCGTTGATAAGCGCATTGATCAGTGATGCAATTAGATCCGCCAAAACATCGAACAGATCCTAGTATTTGATGCGGGCAACCATGAAAAAGCATGTGCTAGACTGAAAGAAATTGATATATCTTACCTCTGCGTCTGTTTCCCTCGAGTAGATCTTGTTGAACCGATGTTCGCCACTATCGAAGAAACTTTGATATGGGAGTCACATGACCCCGCGGTGGGGTTCTCAACCAGGTCTATACAAATACAGGATTGAAAAGAATAAAGACGCAGAATAAAGAACCATAGGATCTCAAAAGGTGAATAATAATACAGATGCTGTTTGGATAAAAAAATGAGTCGGTCAGAAGACACAATTGCCTCTATGCACAAGTCCCCAGGCAGAAAAAAGGTAGAAACAACCATAAACGCCCCGAATCCAACACCCAGCTGAGACGAGTATAATCAAATACAAGCCCGATTATGATGCGAATGGAAAGTCCTCACATGAATCAGCACTCAATCCCGTAACCATGCTCTCCGCCTTTCCTCCTTCTTCTCTCGGCGCTTTTCCTTGAACTCTTTCAGCTCTTTCTTGCTCAGTCTCTTAGCGCTTCGCTCAGCCCGCAGACTCCGACCATCGTGTGCGTTGGCCGCAGCATCGACGTCAAAGTACGCATTCATCTGGCGGTGAGACTTGTTCTCGTCGTTGTGGTTTTCCGGGTTGATCGACTGTGCCTGCCATCGACCAGTAAACCGGTTGAAGGTTCCAGCGGCAGCATAAGCGGCAGTCGGGTCAACCACGGGTGCTTTCAGGTCTTGTGTCTCTTCGTATTGCTGCGCATACGATGCTGTCGGGTCATAACTCCCGTGGATAGCAGGGTTATATCCACCAAGCACAGGCGACTTTGTTCTCGGGGGTTCTGCTTGGTTCTCGGTGGGTTCTGTGTCGGGAGCTGCTGGCTGTTCAGGTACACGGGGGTTCTCCCATTGCGAGAGTCCTGTGAGTCGGTTGTAGAAATAATATGCTTGCGATGTGGCATCCCACACGGGCTCCCATCCATCGTCATTGGTCTGGCCAGGCGGTGCTTCGTCGGGAAGTGGTGGGGGGACCTCGTCAGGTAATGGAGGCGCAGCAGCTGTGTCTTCTTCATTTTGGTTGTGCGGTGATTCTTCCTCCTCTTTCTGTTCCACTGTGTCCTGTTCCTGCTCGTGTTGTTCCTTTTCTGTCGCAGTTTCGAGTTTCTCTTGCGGCGAGCCGGTTAAACTTCCCGCGCGCTCCTCTTGGGCATTAAGGGAAGCACGCGACTGATCAGACATCCTGGCGGTTAGCACTGCTTGCCCGTTCTAGGATTGAGTGGAATGCAGGAGAATAACGCGCTGGAAGATCGGCGTTTCGGAGTTTGGGGCGCAGAGACGCAGGTTGGCTTCACCGCCTAGCCTAAAGCGGAATCGAAGTATAAGAGCTCAGTTGAAGCATCTCCTTGCTTTCTAACAATAAAATTGCCATGAAAGTCGAATATTGTCAGGATTCCCTGGGAGATATATATTTAAAAATTACAGAATGAAAGGGATACCCACGATTGAAAAGTACCGCTTGACATTTCAACGAACATTTCCAGATGCCTCACTACTAAACCCGCCACTAGCACCAAAAAAAAACCACTAGATTCTTTATAAGATGGACCTACTACCCAGGTATCTTAAATACATTTGGCGCATTAGAGTGAGTCTATTACGTGTATAAAGTATTTCCGAAGGCGAAATATGAATTAAATGGTCAGCAATCCAATCTATCTTCATAGTTTAGCACCGACGTTGTGGTTGTGATCCTCCTTTACCTATCCGGTCCTTTACCTATCCGGTCCTTTACCTATCCGAAGAGGTTCAACCCCATTCCTAAAAATCACAGTCTTACCATAGAAGCTGTGAGAGTGATAGTTCTGATTGTGTTCATCCCAGACAATACCAACCGCGGCATGATTCCACTTCCCTGGAGCTTTGAAAAGCTCCCGTCGGTCAAAAGGAAGCCCAAGTCCCCTATCTAGCTCCTGGCTCCACTTCTCCAACATCTTGTCGCAAGTTATGAGTCGATCTATAAAGTTGTTATGAGGGAAGGGGCCAGGGACCTCGATAGATAAGATAGGATCACTAATAATTTTCAGCATGCATTCGATCTCAACCTCATAGGTGGGCGATTCCCAGGTCGTTCCATGGAGTACTTCATCACGGACATATTCAAGGAGGTTCCTGTCTGTCTTGTCTTTATCGCGGGCAGAGTTGAAACGGATATGAACCCACATATGCGGGGCTCCTGGGTCGTTTTCGTAAGACATTATGGGATGCTGCGGATGTACCTTTTCTAGTGGTTTAAGTTAGTAGTTGGTTCCAAGTTCAAGGGGTGATATAAGGTGAGAATTAAAGTGTTGGATCTGCGTTTTGTTGGTAAACTTTTAGTCTTATATAGATAATTCAAGGCTCCATAGAGTCTTTGGTACTTTGAAGATAGACTACATACAATTGCAGTGTTCACACGACCTTAGAAGACAGCCCTACTAACTGAATGAGTTGAAAGATGCTCTTTTGTTTGTTTTCCTTTGTTTGTCATGATAAAGAGCTTCTTTACTGTTTTTTCCTGTTTGCTTTTTCAATATTCGCATCCTCATGAATATGGTGAATGATCACAACAAAGACTCAGTTGACTACCCTTACACTTAATGCTAGTTGAGGGTATATGGGGGGCTGAAAAGGGCTGGCTATCTGAGACGCGTAGTGTTTTACCACTAATCCAGGCTGATTCAGCGGTTGAAACGCGATCAATGTTTGGTATTGTAAGCCGAATCAAACCCGATACAGCATAACTACGTTGTATTGAACTTTAGAATGCTGCCTTGATCTTATTGGACGTCGACACATCTCGATCTTAGCATTCGCAATCGTTCCTGTGTACCGTCAACGAGATACAATAAATATATTCTTAAGGGTCATAAGTATCCGATTACCTAAGACGTTTGCGGATGAATAAACTTCTTCGAAATAATCAGGTGATTAAATATGAAGGTGCGACTCTGTTCAATTCCTGCTGGGTGGTTCGATATTTTTTGGTGGTTGACAGCAGGTCATGGGCACCATATATATCCATATCACGGCATCAACAGACAAATTAAACTTGGGGTATTACAGTACCTTGTACATTCGTTAATCTATAGAACATTAAAAGTGCCCCATGAAAATACTAAACTTTCTCGCCACATTTAATATAATCTGATAATTTATACGCCTTGTGCAATTTATGTATGTCTATAGGTAACTCCAGTTGCGCTGACGAGTTGCTGCCACGACAAGATCCTAGATACTATTCAGTGCCAATGGAACGCTGGCTACGACTAGATACTAATATAGGAATAAGTATAGTAGAAACTAAAATCATGAGATAAATGGGTCGCCTTTAGAACAGATACGCTGCTTTCATTTTGTTTAGTATAGGTACGCTAATTTGGAAATACCCCTAGGGCAACCTTGGGACGTCGGAGCTCGTAGATATGCCCAGGTAACCGGAAACGACTCAAACAAAAATAAACCTTGTGATATACATTGAATAAGTTGCATCTCATCTCAATCATTCCAAGAAATTGGCCTACGAAGTGGATCTTGGTTTTGCGATACGACGTATAGACCGCAGAAAACTGCTAGTCAAAGCTGAGGTAGGGGTAAACAAACAAGGGATCTCAGATTGCTTGACATTGAAGCATAGTGAGTGATGACTCGAAAATCAAAACACTGCAACCATAGACTGGTAAGGGTATGCTCGTCAGCCTAGGCTCACCGGTCAGCTGTAACCCACCTACGCCATTGTTTGTGAAATCGAACTCACATGTCCGACCAGAAAGCCCCATACATAGTATAGCATTGCGACTTGCAATTTTTGCTCGTGGTCCAAGGGCGTGAAACAATGCAGGGAGAGCGGGAGTGACCCTTGTGATTCGGCCAAATTAAATCCCTTGCAGGATGATTTACCGTGCGTCATGCACTCCACAGCGTTTTGACCCAATGCCCAGCCTAAGGCTATTGTTTACTGACCATGGCCTTGTCTAAGGCTCTTGTAGGGCCGGAAACATGCCTTAATTTCCGAAGCGCTGCAGGGACCAGAAAAGGCTCCGGGCTTGTTTTGTTCTGCGAGGTTTGGTGGCTGGGACTGGAATAATTATCCACATCGACCCATCCATTAACCATTCAACTTGATCGAAGGACTTTGTAGATCTTGAAAGTTTACTTTCCGGTTGCTAGTGCTGAAAAAGTTGAGTGACACAAGACCGAGCGCCGTTGAATAGACTAAGTTACTATCTCTGTGTACGTCATGGTTGAATTTCAGCTCGCTTTTCGAGTATTTTGTTTTGAAGTGACCACAATATTGCTTAGTAAATCAGTAGGTGTATACAGTAGTGACCTAATTGTGGGTCGCAGAAACAGGGCGAGCAAACAAGTGATGAAGGACGTAGGAATGCGAGGGCAGGGGGTCTCAGTCGCGTGAAGGTCATACCCAAGAACCAGTAGATCCATACCAGGAGATTGTGGAACGTGCTTTCACTCGAGAAACCCTGGAAAGTGGATCCATCTTCCCTCAGATGTTGCATTCCGGGGGAGATTGCTCAGAAAGAAACGCTGATCATACTCAGGAACAAGGATCGAAGGGGCTCACAGACCGCTGCAGGAAGTGTATAAAGCATGTCCATCCATCGCCCCTTCTACTGTTTTTCATCACGCATCACACTCTTTAATCTTCCCTTCTCTTGAGTCCAGTCTTTTTACTCAATCTTATATCTCCGAGACCTTCGTTCAATTCCGAACCCACAGTCACAATGCAGTTCACCATCTCCGCCGTTCTCGCTCTCGCTGGCCTTGCTGCCGCTCTTCCCCCTCCCTCTGCTGGTGGCGTTGGCAACGCCAACGGTGTTGGAAACAAGGGCAACACCGATGTCCGCTTCCCTGTTCCTGACAGCATGACTGTCAAGCAGGCTCAGGCCAAGTGTGGTGACCAGGCTCAGCTCTCTTGCTGCAACAAGGCCACCTACGCTGGTGACACCACCGACATCAACTCTGGCATGCTCGGTGGCACCCTCGGCAACCTGATCGGCGGTGGCTCCGGCTCCGACGGTCTTGGTCTCTTCGACCAGTGCTCCAAGCTGGATCTCCAGATCCCTATCCTCATTGCCGTCCCCATCCAGGACTTGGTCAACCAGAAGTGCAAGCAGAACATTGCCTGCTGCCAGAACTCTCCCTCCGGCGCCGTGAGTAATCCGCTTTCCAATCTACGCCTGACTCTTTCTAACGTCATCACAGAACTCCGACCTCGTCGGTCTTGCCCTTCCCTGCATTGCCCTTGGCTCCATCCTCTAAGCGCCTTACTGTGCTTTCTGGCACTATGCGAGAAGCATTGGCTGCCATGTCGGGCCTCTGGGCTGCGGTTCAGTGGGTCACGACATGACCGTGAAGATGGACTGTTATCGATCGTCTGGGATGGGTTTAGGTGTGCTTAGTATTTTTTTCGGGATAGTTTTGCGACCTGTAATCCTCTGGACTTTGTATCATTAACTGTGTCTTGTGGCACCACCTCGGAGAAAGAAGACTGTTTGTTTTACGTTGATGTTTGGCATGGTGCTTTTGCCTCTTGTTTTGTGCATTGGATCCGTTCTTAGCTGCAGTCTAGCTCGGTTTTCTTCGCATATATAAGTTTAATTGATTAGAATTCTGGCTCAATTTGTTATCCATTTGAATAATTTGAAGACTAGACAACACTAGTCGACACAGTCTGTTAGGATCCTTTCCTTCCACTTTCAATCTCGCTCTAACCAGAAGCATGAAGTCGGCCTCGTCCTCCAAAGCCTGCTTTCAATCCTTCGCAATATCCTTGATTAGGATCCACTTGCTGGCAAGTTATAGACTCTCAGTTCATAAAACGTTCCTCAGTCACATTGGTTCTCTACACGCGCTATATTTGGTTTCTAACACAACTTTATAATTTAGGCCACTATCTTCTCGTTAACTTCTGCTTGAACAAAGGCAAGATATGGTATGTTCGTTCAGCCAAAGAATTCGCAATCACCAAAGCCGCCCAAATCCAATCTCATTCCAAATGCCAAATTCCGTATCCCGGCTACTCAAGCCATTCAGTTCCAGCCACTTCAGCTCCGCCTTCTCATCCACCAAATAGTCATCCGTAACCGACGAACCCAACCATCTTGGATTAGTGGAGACCCGCCTCGTCTTTGACGAAGATCTTGATATCTTGAATGAGGTACTTTTTTTCAGCAGCCCCGTCATAGACCTCTTGATCTTTGAACCCGAGTTCCCGCTTGCATCCTTAATAATTCCATCCGACTCTTTCTTCTCATTCTTGACTCTCCTCGTGGTCTGACGGACACGCTTCTTCCCACTCCACTTCCCATCCGTGTCAATAGGATCCTGTAACTTCTTCGGTGGTGTATCGAATGGTGATTGCACAGTCTCCATTTTGAGAATTGGGTATTCTGGCATAGACAATGCTCTCACAGTACGTCTCGTCGCTGGATCTAGTGCCTCTGCATTGTCGAATAAAGTCTGCAAATTCAGATCGGCGGGTGTGAGGCATTTTCGATGAGTCGGGGACTCGGTGGGCATGATAGGGTCTTGGTTTGAGTGACGAATTGTTGACGCAATACTATCTGCCCTCGCGAGGGAGCCCGTATTTGAAGGAATCTTGATAAGGTCTTTGGAGTCTTCATAGCGGGGTCTGTTGGGTTTGGAGGCCGACAGTTTCCGAGAGAGTTTGTTATTGCGTATAGATTGGCTTATTGAGGATATGAAGCCCATAGTGAATGTATTTTGCGCTCTGTATACGAACTTAGGGCTTCGGACGTGGGTTGTAGCGAGAGTAGGAACACCGGTTTGGGATGATGGTTGTAGATGAGGGGAATAAGAACTGATAAAATAATTATGGGGCAAATCTGGGGCAAGGGGGGGGGTGAAGTCAAAATTACTGCATTGTATCTGAATTTGAAGAGGCGTACGCATTATTCGGCTATCTTGATATCGATCCGGCGATGGAGCTATCAAATGCTGTGAAACGGCCGATCGATCCAGGTAGAAAGCACTGATGTTCCCCGCTCTATTTACAAGATTGTGCATTAATATCATATGAATTTTCAAGAAGATTTTGAAATCAGAAGCCAACTCTGGGAAATAAAGTCGATGCCTGTTAATCGGACCATCTGCATATAGTACAACCCGGCAAGTAAACAACACTCCCAATACACATTATGACAAGACCAATAAGACGACTGCACGCACAGCAAGCGATGCACCGAGTACAGTACTTATGATCAGAGCTTGCAGTGTGCCTCTGCAAGTCTGCCAGGCCAACCAAAACAGGTCCAATTGCAGACGCAGCAGCCCGCATTCCCAAGGCGATCCCCAAGGGCGCAAAGCAAGGTTGCCCCACAACCCCTTGAGGCCAACACGAGTACTCCCAGACGAAGCGCACGTCATTGAGTGATTTGATTATTGAGTGATTTAATTTGGCTTCATAGAGGTATGCACTCTTTGTAATTCCAAATGCTCTTACGCGGCTACTGTAGAGACGATTCGCGGAATGTCGTGGGATCTACACTACGCCATGTCGATCTTGAATGCGGCATTTGAGAATATGCATTGACCTCTTCCTCGCAAAACCCTACATTTCAGCCCTGAGATAGCGGTGTCTGTTTTGAGCTGTGATATCACCGTCAATGATCCTTTGACTCGTTCAACCTAAAGTCAACTGTCTTTAAAATCGTTACTAGAAATGTCGTAACATGGAAGATCTCAGCGGGCTATTGCGCGGAAACAGTTCGGCGCTCTGTGGCTTTCTCTCTCGCCTTCCTCTTCCCACCATGATAGCGAAGAATGCCTGTGATCTCAGCGTCTCTGCTGATCTGCACCGGAGTCTAGCTCACATGATCCTTTGCAAAAGTAGAAGCATCATATCTTAAAGGCAGTTCTAATCTCCATATCCTCAATGATCGCAGGTAGATGAAGAACAGTTTCCTTCAATGAGGCTTTGATATGAAAATTGACCTCATCGTCCACAAAAACCCTCACCGTCTCACAATCCTCAGACAAAACATGCTTGTGAAGCAACAGTCTTTTGTAATCATTGCGAGTATTTGGAGGAATCAGCTTGCTTCGTAGAAAGACCTCAAGAGTCTTCGTATGACCTCATTTCACGGCATGGGCAGCCGCTTCCTGGCTATAAATTACAGTCATAATGGCGGATCGACCACAGATCATGAAGGTTCCGAGGCTTCTCTACTTGCTCGGGCGTCGACAAAATATCAAACCAACATCTAAGGAGCAAAATCGCTTATCACAACTATACAAGTGCAGAACTCCATATAGCTAAATAATGGTTCTATTCTTCAAGTTAAATCACAGAATATGAAAGCTAGAGAAGTCCTCACAGCCTGCTGGCAGGAGCATCGGTGAACAGAGATCGGGTGCGGTTCATAGCCTCCAGGGCTTCCTTCTCAATTCGCTCAAGCAGCACTGCGCAAGTTGGGATATCTTGAATCAATCCAATAACCTGGCCAGCAGTCCACACCTAATATGATTGTTAGAACCCCTCATCTTGGAACCATTGGAAATGCGCAACTTACTCCGAAGTCCTTGTCACCATTGAGGAAAACCTGACGACCACGCTTGCCACTCACAAACGGCGCAATCTCACTGAACTCACCAGTAGTGCTCTCCTTCTCAATTTTGAGCGCATCCTTGGTGACTTGGTTGGCAAAAAGACGCGAAGTATTCTTCCAGCGACGCAGCACAAGAGCAGTGTCCGTCTCCTGCGCGTTAACGATGGCCTCCTTAATCTTCTGGTGAATCGGAGCCTCGACAGTGCTCATGAAACGGGTGCCCATGTTGATACCCTCCGCACCAAGAGCGAGGGCAGCAGCCAGACCTTGTCCATCAGCGAAGCCACCCGAAGCGATGAAAGGCACGCCCAGCTCCTGGCGCGCACGACTAAGAAGGATGAAGTTGGTGATGTCGTGCTCTCCGACGTGTCCGGCACACTCAAAGCCATCGATGGACAGGAAGTCAACACCTAGCTTGATGGCGGACTTGGCATGCCGGATGGTGGTACACTTGTGCAGGATGATAATGCCTGCCTTCTTGAGCTGCGTGATCACTGGGCCCGGGTTGTTACCGGCCGTTTCGACAATCTTGATTCCTTCATCGATGATCACCTGGGCGTAAGCACCGTAGTCTGGGGGAACCAGGGCGGGGAGGAGAGTCAGGTTGACACCGAAGGGGTACTTGGTCATGGTGCGGCATCGTCGGATTTCTTTGCGCAGATCTTCGGGGGTAGGTTGAGTGAGGGCAGTGAGCTAGATTTCAAATTTCAAATATTAGTATTCAATAATGGAGAGAGCCACGACACTCAAAGACAAGACATACAATACCGAGTCCACCGGCGTTACTGACAGCCGAGGCCAGCTCGGCATATCCTACCCACTGCATGCCACCCTGCACAACGGGCACTATAGATGATCAGTATACGGATGTTGAAGAAATGCGAAGGGTCATGCATACCGCGAATGCCCAGCTTGCGCGTCAGGGCAGTGTTGAAAGGCATCGTGTCGGAGAGCGAGTCGCTCAGTATCTAATCGGAGCAGCGCTGATGCGAGGTTTATAGCTTGGTGCAACAGAAACTCTGTAAAAGAAATGCTATGTTCAATAGAAGGAAGAGAGACGCAATAATTGAGACACAAAGGTGTTGCTACCCCAGAAGAAATGTAGAATAAAAGGAGCCCCGGACTAAGGGCCGCGGGCCTCTGCTGTGGGGGAGGCGCAAGTTGCCGAGGTTCGCGGGCTGCTTATTTATGGATTAGTCGGCATAACCTTAAGCGTTGCCGATGAGGAGAACCCAGGGGATCAACTCATTATAGTTCTTTTTCAACCTAGGAACTTGAATAATCAACTAATGAATTTGCACAACTATTCTATAAGCAAGCAACCCATGGCTAGTATATTTTGTTGTACCTCTTCCATGTGTACACTTGAGGGATGAGTCCAAATAGCATGTGATGCAGCCCTCGTGATGCTGATAAACATCCGACTCAGGACTTTATACAGCAAAAAACTCCAGATCTACATCCAGGCCCTTCCAGACCTAGATCAATGATCATAGGACCCCGAAGCATGCGCAGATGAACACAAGTGCACATTAAACAGCTTTTGGGGATAATGCCCAGGATTGTCGTGAAATGAACCCATTTCTCATCCTATCTACAATGGACAGACAAGCCCATAGCTCATGCCAGAAGAACAATTAACAAGCTCCTGCTCATTCAAGCTATTGTTGCTACGATAATTGAGATGTAACCCTGAATATGAAACCCCTCGGACTCATGGAAAGAGCCAAATGGGCGATTAACGACGGGAGAAGTCCTTCTACGAATCTCAAAAATCCCTCAAGGTCGCGACAGAATGTCGAAACCAGAGGGTGCTGACACCAATTTCATCCCAAGAAGTGGTACATTAATGTGAGCGGAGACTCGTGGAGAAGGAAAAGAAGAAGAGAAAGGAGAAAACACGAATGACAAAAGTGGGTGACAAGCGAGAGCGTTCACGTGACCGTGATTCTCACGGGAAGAAGGATCTTCCGGACGTAATTGCCTGACTTTCCATTGGCTCCCGGTTCACAATCCCGTGACGGGCTAAACCCGAGGTTACCGTTCCGATCATTCGCGATAGTCGTTCTTCTCTTCACAAAGTGGAAGAACATCGCCAACAGACAGCAATATGTTCTCTCAGAAGGTTGCCCAGCAGTCGCTGCGACGGCGTATGTCTTGCCTGACCCTATGAAACCCCGGAAATGACCTATTTGACTGACAATTTCCCCCGGAATCGCAGTTGCCGTCCAACAGCCGAACCTCATGCAGTCAATGGTGATGCGCGCTTCTCCCGCCGCCATTGCGCTCGGCAACGTCCAGAAGAGGTCAGTTTTCTTGCATCCAGGCACCCTGCCATATTCCACGAGACCATGCTCCGCATTCTGAGATTGGCAACCCCACGGACTCCATACGTCATTCGCAATCCCGATCCTTAAAACTAACCCGAAGCAATATCAGACCCGTCACTTCTACCTCCAACACTGAGGACCCTACCCAGATCCTGGCTAAACAGCGTCTTAACCGCCCTGTTGCTCCTCACCTGTCCATCTACAAGCCCCAGATCGGCTGGATCGGTTCCTCCCTGCACCGTATCTCCGGTGTCGCCCTCTCCGGCACTCTCTATCTGTGGGCCGCTGCCTACCTCTACTCGCCCACTCTCGGCTGGCACCTTGAGTCTGCCTCCATGGTTGCCTCCATGGGTGCTCTTCCCGTTGCCGCCAAGATCCTGCTCAAGACCACCTTGGCCCTCCCCTTCACCTACCACTGCATGAACGGTGTCCGCCACTTGACCTGGGATCTGGGTCGTGCCCTGACCAACCCTGCCATCATCCGCTCTGGCTGGGCCGTTATGGGTCTGAGCGTTACCAGTGCGGTTGCTCTCGCTTTGCTGTGATTTCATTCCTCATACCTCTTGAGTTTCCTTGTGTTATTAAAATGATTTTGTCGAATTATTATACATGAAATCTGGTCTAGTGGCGCGGCTTTCAGAAGGCGCTATTTCTTTTACTTTAACTATGTGATTTCATTGATTTAATCTTCCTGCTGAGGTATCGAATCTATTCCTAGTAGTTCGAGGGCTTTGGCGCCAATTCTTGCAAGTATCTTTGTTTCTACTTAAAAGGTGATTGGTTTCTGTCATGAACCGAATGCAATTCCGCACCTTCCTCGGTATACTAGTCCTTCTTAACTTGTTCTGATGAGGCTTTGCATCCTAAAATGCCACAGCATGGAAACCGGGCTCATTAAAACGTATTCCACTGCCCAGTTTACCTATGGGTCTCTTCTCGAAATCCTTGTCATTCACCAAAAACGGACCCTCTGACTATAAAACTGGTAATGCCATCATTATTCGCTCCATCATGTCTTGGAAGACAAAAAAAACCGTGCAGGCGACTAAAATGCGTCGAAATGGTCTAAGTAAGAATTAGTCTCATACCTTGAAAAGGGTTGAGGAATCGTAAACAAAATTACCTATTAGCCTGCTATACTCAACGCCAAAATAGAATTCCCAATTATAATCATTTAAGCGGGGCTTGGGGGGGGGTTGGGAGGAAAGGGCCGCGGTGAAGGCGGATCTTGCACCGAGTGATCGCAAGACATTTCTTCTGTGAAAGTAAAGAGGGCTCGGGTCGAAGAGGCGATAGCGATGGTATTGAAGGTCATTGTGCTTTGCTTTGAAAGAATCGTATTCCAAAAGTCAATTATGCTGGGCAAGGTTTTCCTCGTTGAATATAGAGTATTAAATAGAAGTATAATAACAAGAATGGGAGCTGGATGTTGAAAACAAATCAAGGATACGAGGAACTTGATAGCCTGGATAATACAGAAACAATTCATTTCATACGGCCGATCCCCTCTATTTATTAGTCCACAGACCCCTAGAGCAATCGGGGCTTTTGGAGACGCCATGCCTCGCAAAGTCGTACACCGCCATCCGAGCACCCCAACCATTCAAGAAAACCCGTTGAATCGATAAATACTTTCCCTATGGGTTTCCAGTCATTGAAATCTGGGGATATCTTGTTATAGACTCTGCAAGGGCCCGACGGAAGGAATTTGATGTATAAACCGATAGACGGAGCCGTCACACCCGTCTCGGCTTGGGTCGTGCCTTATTATTGTGGTCCATATGTCAGGAACTTGGATACGCTTGAATGTACGTTCTTGCGGTATTCGTGTCTCTAATAAGGTAGCTACTCAGGCACCTACAACGGTACCCAACTTACTGTACACATTACTTCCAAGGTTCAACCAAGTCCCCAAGTTTTATGCCATGCAATGCACCATGCGCGGTGTATGTATCTAGGAAATTTTACCCAGGGCAAACCAAAGCCTTGACTCACATCGCAGCGTTGTAACGAGGCAACAAACTATTGATGGAATCTCTATCTGCCTTTGCTGAAGATCATTTCCTCAGAGCTTCCCCGGGGCTGCAGATTCCAGTGAAGTGACACCAGCGGCCTGAGCAGTCAATGCTCGGTTTCTTGCAGGGATAATCTTCGCCCCCGGTACTTTATTTGTGGGGGGCCGGGGATTTTTCTGGAGTGCTGCTAGCCTGCTACTGACCGAAATATGGTGTGAGAAAGTTTTTTTGGGGTTGGATCAATTTCAATGTTATCTCTACTTCCAAGTGGCTGGTGATTACTATCAGATTTGGAAGGCAAAATTTTGGCCAATCAAAGCTGCTATCGTTAAGCCTATCAACTTGTGTTCGGACAAAGCAATCTATTGGAAGGCTGAATGGAATCGAGGAACGGAACTATAGTATTCTGTTACTCGATTCCTCGTCACCCGCATTGTTTGCATTCAGTATACCACAATGGGATTCTAGATCTCTTGAGGCCCGAGACAAGACCGAAACCAGTAAGCATCTTTCAATGCTCCCAGAGGCAGCGTGACATAGGAAGCGCAGTCCTGCAAACAAGACGGAAATACCAGCACACGTGGATCAAGCGGTGCGTGCCGCAGTGGGACAGGAATCCTCCTGCCTTATTCAGGGGGTCGCAGAGCCGTTGACCCGATGACACAACAGATTGTTCTTTGTAGACCATCTAGTGCGGGAAACAAGGGTTTGTTTGATCCAACCACCGTGTCTCGGCCGGCTCCACGCCTGCCGAGACCCGCTGGCGACATCAAGCAGTCTCAAAATCGGCCGTGCTTCGATCTTGTTCAACCTTGCGTATGGTTCGACCGGAGCCGGGGGAAACACTTGAAGTGCTGGTGCCTCAATGGAAGCCCACCGAGTGTTCCCCGTAAAATTCTGCTCGACGATCTAGATCCCTATTTCTTCGAGATCGGTGTTACCTCTAGGCGGCTACGGACCTGGGTCCTGGTGGTTGGGCCGCGCTTAGATCCTGTTATGGTACTGACTTGTATTGCCTGGCGTCCAGTCACAGAGCTAGATAGGGTTACCTAGCAGTGTTTTCGGGCTGTTCGGATTGATGGTGTGGAATCACAAGTGAGGAAGGATTGAGATCATACTATAGCGCCATTATCCAGAGAAAGGGCGTTGCTGACAGATGGGAGCTTGTCTCCGGTAGCTAATCTTCATACCTTAGTGCAGTTTGTTCCAACGGGAGTATGCAGCGAGGATTTGAAAAATGGTATGGGTGGAGTAAGTAAAATCACACAGGGCTACTGCATAATAAAGTGGGAGGCCTGCAACGAGTAGTGAGATGTTACAGAATTGGATCTCTCAAACAGCGGTATGGAGAGTCCCGCCGTGAAGAAACACTTGACCGCTAGAATCGATTATGCAGACCGTGCCAGATAAGGTGTGTCATGACACCAGGTTAGACGTGCGTCAAAGCCGAACAGCATCGGACTTTTACGTGAGTTTCGTGGCCAATGGAAGCCCGAACAATCAGTTGGTTTTCACCACTAGTTTATGCATCCACTGCTTCAAGTCTGATCCTATCCCAGCTAGGCTTTCGAGGAAAATCGGAAGTAGTAATCTTGCTTCCACACGGCAGCGGTGAAGGGACGAAAAATCCCCAGATTTCCCCCTCATCTTCGTCAGTTTGACATGCAAACTGAGCAATCAAATATGCATGGAACTTTAATCCCTGTGGTACATGCATCGTGGAGAAATTGCAAAATTTCCTAAGTTTTCCTTATCGATTCTACAAAGTGAAGTCTTATGTTTACAGTTTGTAGTAAGAAACTCGGGATCAACAACGGGAGTGGCAGTATCCACACCGCCGAGGCCGAATTCTTTCCATCTTCACGGCGAACTCCAACCTCCGCAGTCCAACCGATCCCATGGCTTCCAACCTTTCTACACGAGCGGTCAGGTCCGCCTGCCTTGCATCCAAGGCTGCTCCTCGTCCCCTGATCACTCTCATCCCCCGTCGCTCCGTAGCCACCTCCGACGCCCCGGAGCCTTTGGCCCAAGCAGACCAACCACGATGGTCGTACACTCCCCCGAAGACGAAGGCGCCCTTCAGCATGCGCATGCACTCAAAGCGCCCTAATTTCCACAACAACTCCGACCCGGATGTCCTTGACCAGTTCTATATCCGCATGTTGGGCAATGGCGGCGAAAAGCTTCTCTCGGAGGAGGTCAAGTGGTTGGCTGTGACGCACAAGAGTTTCGATCAAGGACGCCGTGGATTCAACGATCGATTGGCTTTCTTAGGTATGTAATTTGAGATAGACTGGATGAGCGGACTTGATATAAGGAATGGTCACTTACATGAGTTTGCTTTAGGAAAACGCATCGTGCAACTGCAGACTTCGCTCGCTCTCGCGCAGAGCGCTGGAGCCGCAAACAACGCACCAAAGACAGACCAGTTTGGCCGCGAACCATTTACTCACCCTTCTCTGGAAGGCCTGGGCAACCTCTCCACCAGCACCAAGAGCTTCCTGACCGACCGCACGAAGATGGCCGAACTGGCGCGCAAGTACGACATGCAGAAAGTGATCCGATGGGAACCCCGGAAGGTAGGCGGAAATACCCCTGCTTCAATTTTGCTTTGTTGCTAATCTATAATAGCCCGACAACCTCATCGCATCTGGACTTGAGCTGGTCTTGGCCCACACCATGTACGCGGTCATTGGAGCGGTCTCGTTGGAGAAGGGAGGACTTGTTGCCAACAAGCTGGCACAGGAGCGGATACTCGAGCCTTTGGGTATCAAGTCGGTCTCATAAGACGTGACGGCAGCATATTCCCGGCGTTTTGATTTTGATGTTGGGGTGATTATTGGAGGCAGTAGGGGCCGAACTCCCTGCAAATTGTACATGTACTTTTAGAAATTCCTATTCCATTTGGCTTCATTGCAAATACCATTGAGCTGTGACAACAAATTACAAGAAAAGAAGATGGAAGATAAATCTGTGTATTCTCATCTAGCTTGATAAAATAGTCCCTAGTTGTAAGTAATGGTATGTCCGGCTCCTCTGACACCGCCCGCGCAACAGTGAACAATGCTCGGCCAGCTCTTATGGATCCCTCGTTAAACGATAGCTAGTCTCCGCTTCGCTGCATCGCAAGTGTAGTATTGAACATGAAGGTACCGAGCAGAATGCCCGGTTCCTCTTTGTACTGCCTTGAACTGTCTAATGGAAGCGTTGAAGAAGGAAGAAAAGAAAAACCGCGGAAAGAGATTTTGTAGTGCCCACACTAACCGCTTTGGGCGGCGATCCACTCTTGCGGGCATCTGGCTCGACTTGGTGTTTCCACTCTCCCTCAGCTCCTATCCAGTCCGTGGGCTATCTTGATTACGACCTGAATACAATGCAGTAGACCGCAGCATGCAGCTTGGTTGTTCTCTCATTTCACATTAACTCACTCTCTGTCCTCGCCAATTCCCTCGAATTTGTCCACCTAAAATCATCAACCCTCCATTGACACGTCATGGCGTCGGCACTCTTCTTCCTCGACTTGAAGGGCAAGGTGGGTAACCAAATTCCTAGAGATACCAGCGAACCTGCTGTCTTGCGCAAACATCAGCCAATTCGCGATGCATTCACTAACATGGAATGAAACACACTAGACCCTTCTGGCCCGCAACTACCGCGGGGACATCCCCATGTCCGCGGTCGAGAAATTCCCCATCCTCCTCAGTGAAGCCGAAGAAGAGAGCTCTGCTGTACCTCCCTGTTTCTCCCACGAGGGCATCAACGTACGTCTGACAGTTCTGGGTCTGCCCACATACTCGCCGCTTCAACAACTCCCTACTCCTTTTGTGTGCGCACCATCACTACAATATTCTAACATGCGTGGGGATCTCATGTAGTACCTTTATATCCGCCACAGCAATCTTTACATCCTCGCATTGACCAAAAGAAACACAAATGCCACCGAGATCCTCCTTTTCCTCCACAAGCTTGTGGAGGTTTTCACCGAATACTTCAAAGTTCTGGAGGAGGAGAGTATCCGCGACAACTTCGTTGTTATCTATGAATTGCTGGACGAGATGATGGACTTTGGATACCCTCAGACAACAGAGACCAAGATTTTGCAAGAGTAAGAAAGCTCTAGGCGATATATTCTGCCTGGCAACTTGACTGGAATGCGAGCGACTGACGCGATAATCACAACAGATATATCACCCAAGAATCACACAAGCTCGAAGTTCAAGCACGACCACCGATTGCCGTCACAAATGCTGTCTCCTGGCGTAGTGAAGGTATCCGCTACCGCAAGAACGAGGTGTTCTTAGATGTGGTGGAGTCTCTGAACCTGCTCGTGTCAGCGAACGGCAACGTCCTGCGATCCGAGATTCTGGGCGCCGTTAAGATGAAGTGTTATCTGAGTGGAATGCCCGAACTACGACTAGGATTGAACGATAAGGCGATGTTCGAGACCACAGGTCGCGCCACGCGGGGCAAATCCGTCGAAATGGAGGACGTCAAGTTTCACCAGTGTGTGCGGTTGTCACGATTCGAAAACGACCGAACAATCAGCTTCATTCCTCCTGATGGCGAGTTCGAGCTAATGAGCTACCGGTTGAATACGCAAGTCAAGCCTTTGATCTGGGTTGAGTGTTTGGTTGAATCGCACTCAGGCTCACGAATTGAGTACATGCTCAAGGTAAGATTATTCCCGCGACTCCTTTTGTCTAATATGACCAGATATGCTAATAAAGTTTGGAACAGGCTAAAGCACAATTCAAGCGACGAAGCACAGCTAATAACGTTGAGATCCTCGTCCCCGTTCCCGAAGACGCAGACTCTCCCCGATTCCGCACCAACATCGGCACCGTGCACTATGCGCCCGAGAAATCGGCGATTATCTGGAAGATCAAGCAGTTCGGCGGTGGCAAGGAGTTCCTCATGCGGGCGGAGCTGGGTCTGCCATCCGTAAAGGGCGACGACGAGCACGGTGGTGGTATGACGGGTGGATTTGGAGGTAGCATGGGTGGCGCCGGTGCCATGGGCAAGGCAAAGCGGCCTATCAACGTCAAGTTCGAGATCCCGTATTTCACTACCAGTGGTATTCAGGTGCGGTACTTGAAGATCACTGAGCCCAAGTTGCAATATCCCTCTCTTCCCTGGGTGCGCTACATCACACAATCAGGCGATATCGCTGTCCGCATGCCAGATGTGCAATAAGGAGTTATTTTTTTTCTCTTTCTCAATGATTGGCTTGACTTGTCTAGTTCCGTCTTTGCATGAGTGATCTGTACAGCCCTTTATCCTTGACCTCTTCATTCTACTCATGTCCCCTTACCCTATATTCCATCTACGCTCGCGTTGAGACCGGCCGGTCCGATAGATAATTCAATTCCGAGGTGTTCTCGTCCAATTCCTATCTATAGCTAGCTGCTTGTTCAAGATCTCCAAATATTGGATAGCTTATATTTCATGCCCAGGTGGTGAATTTGTTGAGTTTGGATTGACGATAATAGTCAATTTCGATTTATTTATATATAACCGTTTTCGGATGAATGAGTATTCCCACATATTACAAATAATTTTGGATGTTTCCCCAGACAGTTGAGAGACAATCTACACAATAACAATATCTCATACTCGAACATAATATGTCCTCGGAAATTGTGTCCAATAGCCACTTATATTCAGGTAACTAAGACCTAGGGCACACCCCAAACGGTAGCCCTCTGAAACTAACAGGAGACGCGCGCAACTTAAGCGATCAAACGAAGCAGAACGAGAATGATCCAGACAAGGGTATCTCGGTTCCCACCGAACCGGAAGATCCAATCAAAGTCAACAAAATAAAAAGGAATAGAAATGCATTATTCTTCATACCGCAACGCCAAATCGTGTCATGTCAGCGCCCGTGAAAACTGAAACTTTTTAAGCCACACATATAAACCTCCCAAAATGCCAGCTGTACATGAGACCACGCTAGGAACGAAGGAACGAAGGACCGAGAAGGTGATAAACAAGGGAGATCGCATCGCAAATCCAAGGTCAACAAAGAACATCACGTAGCATGGCCATTCGCCCCATCTTCCGTCTCAGGCGGAGGAAGTGGGAATCCATCTGTTCGGCCCGCAGAAGCAGATTTCGAGAAACCTTCTCGAGCAAGCATGGTGTTCAGCACAGCACAGTTATACGCTGCTTCACCCGGTGGTACGACAAGGAAAATATATGTATTATCAGTGAAACGGCCAAGAAAAGTATTGAACTGGGGCGTTTTGGTATGCATAACGACGAAGCCCGCAGATGCAGGCGTGGTAAGGGTATTCCGGGCCGCGCAGTGTTTAAACGCCTTCATGATATTGGAGAGACGTTCATGGCGATCATAAATCGGGTTCAGCTCGCCGATTTCCGATGTCACGGATGTAACGGTAAGGAACGTTGAGCGCTCAAAGAGAATAACTTCCTCCGCATCGATTTTCTTCGCGAATGCAGAGAGGAATCTCTCGATTACGGAAAGGTTCGGGATGAGTTTGTGCACGATTCCCGCCCAGGCTTTGTATAGCGATTGGTCCCAGATACTACTGCCGAAGGTGTCGATGCGGAAGTGCTCTGAGCGGCTGCGGATTAGCGCGGAGCGCTCTTCATAGATGCGTTGGCGGTGCTCGGCTTGGATGAGATCCATCTTGTGTACGAGGCAGAAGACGTAGGCATTGGGGCTGAACTCGCGGAGAGCTTGGATGATGGCATTGTATGTGTCCAAGTCACGTTCGACTTCACGGGATTCGATATCGAAGACGTAGATTAGTACTGCAACGTCAGAGAAGATATTCCCACGTTGGGAGGCGAGGTATGTTTCCATAAAGGCATCTTGTCTGATAAAAGCCATTCGAGTTAGCTTGAACAGCTTCGAATGAAAGCATAATATGGTTGGAGGATTGGAATAAACTCACCCTCCACAGTCCCAGAGGTTTAATGTGAGGTTGCCCATGAACTTGACATGACTGTGCTCCACATCAATGGTAGCGCCTAGGCGGCGCACATCTTTGGCGACGTAGTTACTGAAAATGATTGAGCGCATAGATGACTTCCCCGAGCCACTCTTGCCCATCAGGAGAACCTTTCTCTTTTTCTTGCGGGCGTCCATGCTGGCGATCTGCTGTCTGCTAAGCTTGCCCCGCAAGAGCGGGGGCGTTTCAGATGATTCTGGGGGTGACTGGGTCACTTGACAGGGTCACAGGATGATGCGGAATGCTGTACTATGGTTGTGACAGGTCAGAATGGGCTTATCGGGGCGAGTGATGAGGAATTGGGAAGGCACGAGATAAGGCTAAGAGAGGAACAGCTCCAAGATGATGGATGCGGAGAGACGGATCAACCTCGCACCCGGTGAATAGTCACGTGATGGTAATTCGAGAGGTTGGGCAGTACGCAGAAGGTTTACAACGGAGCCGTAGAGGCTTATGTTCATGCTTAAAGATTATGTTCACGAGTCTCTGCGACCGAAGTGCCAAGGTCATCCATGGATCCTTGATGTTTGTAGCTAGGAACAAGATAGCCGAGGTAGCGGGATGACGACATTGAGACATTGCTTAGGGAATGGAGCGCTGGTACCAGGTACTTGTCTAAAAAGCCGCAATAAAGGTACATATACCATCTTGCTGGCACTGATGCAATCCAGGTGGCCAGAAAAATGAACTAAGCGTAACAAAAATTCCACACAAAACCCCTGCAGATGTCATGGTCTTTTCATTTCTTACGTTAGAGAACAATATCGGTTCCAAGGTGCTATACATGATGCAGCTTTATAGATCAGAAACAACCCAATAGATAGAAACAAGAATGAAGTGGCTCAAAATGTTAAAGTGGTATCCGAAAAAGAAACGCAGACAGGTGCCAGTATAACGAATGGCACATGCAAAAAGCCTCAATCGGAGAAGTCGAAGTCGAAGCCGAAGAGAAATTAGAGCACCAAGAAACCACAAGAAACGAAGAGGCCAGTCAGAAGAGAATCAGCAGAGGTCGTCATCAATAGTTCATAAATCCCAGCACCCAAAGCCAGCAGTAATAGTAATAATAGTAATAAAAATAGTCTTGGCGCAGGTCAGGCATCCCGTTCATCCATTAAACTCATGTATAGAGGGCATTAGAAGACCGTGCCATCGGAACGGATCATAATCGGGGGTTCCTTGGTGTTGGGCCTGGAGACTTCGGCGATTTCACGACCACCCTAGACGGAGTTAGTCAGTAGTCAAATAAAGAAGCACGAGGGAGACGAACCTTCCAAGAACCAGCTTCAAGCATCTGGGCCAGTGATAATTGTTCATCCGAGCCAGCTAGTCCCAATTGTGTGTTCACCTCGTCCAGCAGCTCATCCAAGAAGCCCACTGTTACAGCTCGCCACTCCACGATCACATCGTCCTCTGTAGAGAAGAGTGGCACTACCTCCATATTCGGTTGTCCCTTGATTTGGGCATTGTCCTTGAAGGCCTGGACTCCGCGCTCCATATCATTAGCCTTGAGGCTCAAAAGTCCCATGTCAATCAACAAACCACCATTCCGGTACTCCGGCAGACCTGTTAGTAGGTCACTACCAGCGAAATGAATGTGCATTAGCTTCGACATGGGGACCATGATGGAGTAGCAGAGCCACTGGGTCAGCTTGTGGAAGGGAATAATGCTCTCCCACGGTTGCGCGGGTGGGGAGCTGGGGAGATCCGAACATTCCCAGGCATCTCCGATAGAGACGCCGTCGATCTGAGTTCGAGAGGGGGGCCAGATGGACGAGAATCCATCCATGAGCACGGTCCACAAGGTGGTGATGGGGACTATGGGCACAGAAGAAGCGAGAGTCGAAGGGTGTCCCAGAAGAAAGTCTGTCGCGAAATAAACCGTTAGCTTTAGCTCGATTTGTCAAGAGATGATATCGTGCAAAAGCAACTCACCTAACATATTGCCCGGACGAGCATCTACGCCAAAGAAGTCCTGATTATTCAAAGCTTCGGAAAGTCGCACCAGCAACCCCGCGCGACCTTCAATACCAGCTAGCGAGTTTTGGTCCGAGTGCTGCATGCCTTTGGCCAGCTTCTCAACTGTAATATTCTTCAGCGCGGCGCCATCCACCTGGCACGGTTCTGTCGGGTCGCTGCTGAATAAACCGGATTTGAACATCTCCAAACTCGCGACGGCGAGGCCTTCACTGCGTGAGTAAACCTTCCCAGACTCCTTGGATCGGTAGGACCATTTTGTCCCGGCGCCAGCATCCAGCAGGACGGAAACGACGAACAAATCAATCAGGCGACGGGTGCGCTCTTGGGCGTCAATGCTGCTAGGCCACATCTGCAGGAGCTGATTGATCCGGGGGCGGCCGCCCACATCGAAATGTTGCCAGCGGCCATGCGGCGGGATATTCTCATAGTCTCGCCCATAATCTCTCTTAAATCCCTGCATTAGCCTTATGTACGATTATAGGTCAAGTGTCATGTTTACCTTTATGATGGATACAACATAAGAAGCGGTAGCCTTGAGTTTGGACAAATCCACGTCGAAATGGTTGAGTTGATTCCGCTTGGCTCGGGCTAGGACGATGTTGGCGCGGTCACGAACCGCGTGGATGCTTCGGAGATAGGCGGCGGGGTCCAATGCTGGATCTGGCGGGTTCGCGATGGGCATCTCGGGGATGGAGGCCGGGAGGCCGCTGCCTTTGTAACCGGGGGATTTGAGGGACGTATTCGAAGTACGAGCGCTGTTGACGGACACGAATGATTCCTGTTCATCCCTCTCACTCTGAACCGAGTTCCTCGAGTCCTTGCGCTTAAAGAGACCCATGGTTGCGTTGGGTCGTTTTTTTTTTTTTTTCTCTCCTATTTCAATGATCTCCGGGAGGAATCTCGAGGTGGAGAAAGGTGATAAGGAGAGGAGGGAGGTCGGATCGACTCCCAGTAGCTTTGAAGGAATAATCGTTTGTCAGGATCCTAGGAAATATTGAATTTTTTTTTTTTCTCCTTAAAGCTTCCGTAATAATCGAGGCGGGGCGGTCGGTGGCCGGGCTCTTCACAATCTCCACGGTTTAGGGAGAATCTAGGTCGTTAGTTCCGTCGACAGGTAGGCAAAGTGGGGATGGGGCGGCCGAATGAATTTCAATGACGTTCCAAGGTTACCGGGATTGTCTCAAGAGAACAGGGGATGTTGAGTGGGGGAGGACATATACAGAGTTTCTCTACAAGCGAACTGCAGATTGATTACTTCCCGACTGATGGGATCCGCAGGACAGAATAACCCTGGGAAGTACAGGAAATTCAAGCCGACTGGTTCATATATCTAACTTTGCAGAGGGTTTCTCCACTAGAGAAAAATAACAAAAAATAAGGAATCCGCAGAAGGTTCTCACGTACGTGTATAGATCGCTAGTGCGGGAAATCGATCCATTAAGTCTGGACCAGAATGTGCCGGAGAACTGGCGATGCACGGGCTTGCCCTGTGCGGAGAGGGAAGAAGAAATCTGGTCCCTGCCAAGCGTCGGCCAGTCAGAGCCATTCATGGCCCGTGTGAAAGGGATTGTCGTTTCCAATCTTTGGAACCTTCCCACCAAGCGCGTGAAGGGGCCATAAATCCATGCCGATTTCCGGTTTGTTTGGTACCCTAATTCTACTTTGGGCTTTAGGGAGATCTAGCGTCTACTGAACCAGGGAACGCTGCTTCAATAGGTTTCTGATTACGATGCCATTATTCAGGCAATGTGGGTTTCTCTGTTGGTGTTGGTTTTTGTCTTTTCTCATTTTTGTACTTCGATTGCCTCGGAGTCGGCAAATGATGGGATGATGGTGACTCGTGGAATTTCACATGCAGGGATAGCGTTGATTATAATGATGCTTGCTATGATTGATGCTATATGGGAAAACCGGATTCTCCATTATCATCCGAGACTCCGACTATCCTCTAGGGGAGAGTCAATGAAAAGAACTGGGTCAATGGCCCGTTCATGCAGTGCGTGCCTGTCACGGACGAATCACCCGAGTCAGCACTAGTATCGGGGATTCCAATACACGGAGAGAGCTTTCTTAACGTTATGACATGGACATAAACAGTAGATGAGTGGTGTGATATCCACAACGATTTGACGTTAGCGTTCATGAGGTTGACGGAGTTCCGATCTGGCCTGATTAGCCCACCTTTACGCCCAAATCATGTCCCATTCGGATTGTCCGATCTTCGACCAGACCGACGAAATTAGGCACAGGTCTAGATGCCGTCGTTGAAGTTCCAGCAATTCGAAGGATCAAATCAAATTGGCAATCTGTGAGAGGGTCTAATCTCTGCCGTTGCGGCCGCCATAGAACGCAACGCCAGCTGCAGCTAACGCGGGAAGCACGGACGTAGCCAGGCTACTGGGTAGTTTCAGTTAAAACTCCCCACGTCAGGTCAAATTTCCCTATACACCGAGAACTGGTCTGTTTACACCGGCCCCGGGGCAACTCGGTTACGCCAATGTTGGCCCACCACATACCTCGCCATTCGTTACCGCGCGGCTCCATTACCCGAGAGCTCCGCCGTCGAGCTTCAAAGCGGAGACCTAAGTTTTGCCAGGTGTTTTGGTCTCGGTTGTTTTCTTTTTTCCCATATCAAGAGATTTTCTTTTGCAGATCAGGTACCCTGTGCACGGGAAAAACCCCCCCAATCCCAGAGAGTCTTAATTGGTCTCTCAGATTAATTCCGGCCCCAGTGCTCCTTCGGAACAAATCCAGAACACCCTTTACCTTCTTGGGTAGTTGGCAGCGAGGCTCTGTTCGCAGCTCTTGCCTGTACTGTCAGTCCTCCTTGTGGCTGCCAGCCACAGACCCATTTATCCACGTGTGTGATAATGCGAGGCCGGAGATTACCATGCAAAGCTAACATAGCATCACATAATTAGAACACCTGGCTTCGGCATCCGATCAGGTAGGGATAGTCGTTGACAGGTTAGCGTAATTGTGCGGTATTCTGCAACCTTCCTTTTCGCGGGATCACTATAGACAAGCCCGAACTAACTTTGTGGCCGCGTCACGGAACTTGAGCGAGGCTTTGCCCCGAAATGGCGCTTGACCGTTGACTTTCGCTATCGATGTCCCAATTAAGCCAAAGGAATGTCCGAAGAGGGTCTTTTAAGGTTCGCTTGATGTGGCTTTTTGTTATGAAACTCCCGCGGGGAAGGTCCATGGTTTTAACTTCCGATTGGATCAAATGCGGAATTATGTTTTACACTTGAGTTTGTAGATTTTAGCCATTAGACTCTCGTATTCGGGTTGAGGCTGTGGCCACTTGTCCCGGGCTCGCCAGTTCGCACATCATTGCACCGGGGAACTATTCGCTAGCAAAAACATCAGCCCGAGTGATGATCATCCTTTAGAATAGCCCTAGGATGACAAGCAAGTGGAGGCCAGGCAGTTTCCGTCATTGTATGGGCTTGGGCACCGACTGATGAGATGTGCCATTGAGATCGCCATTGGAGAGTGCCGTTGAACATGTCTTGACAGTTCAGGCAATGTTCTGCTTATAGAGATATGCTCGATGGTGAATACCTCCTAGCCAGGCTCAGAGTTAAAAGGTTATCTCATGACTCGCCTGCTCGATCCCCCGTCGTTTCTTTCTGATGGACCGAATGACTGAAAACTCACTCACCTCTAGCTGACGTACAGAGCCCAAACAAAAGTACACTCACACCAGGATCCAACCTACCATGTCGTCCATACGAATCGCCGCCTGCTACAGTACTCCTCGCACCCTCTTAGAAAAACAACAGAGAAAGCCACATCCCTTGTCCACCGAGCATTCAAGAACTCTACCAATCTGATCGTCTTCCCAGAATCATACACATCAGCCTTTGCCCCCTGAAGCACCCTTCGAGCGCCAACAAAAGATCATTCTACTCCACCGCATGGCTCGAAAGTCTATCTAAACAGGTGGACAAGAGCTTCAACGCCTCCAAAAACCGCTCAAGACACCAAGACCATCGCCGTGCTTAGGCAAGGCTGTCACTTGAATTTGCACAGCCTGTCTCTCCGCTCGAACCTGGCTATCGGCCAACCGGGCACCTTTACCGTGCACCGCCGAAAACTAGTACCAGCCCTTTTCGAGAAACTTGCCTGGAGCCCGGATAACGGATGCAGACTCCGCGTTGCTAATACGTTGCATGGACACATCAATCCGCTCGCGAGGATTGTACTGATCGCGCAGCGGGAGCTGATTCATATCTCTTCTTGGCCTGCTATCTGGCTGACGAGAGTTATCTTGTTGGGTTCCATGGTGACAATGGTCTTATCGACCTTTACCATAATCAAGCCCGAGAGCTGTCACATCGTAATCACAAGTTGATTTGGTCTTCGTCAACTGCAATCCCTGCCTCGTGTGGTTTCTGATCATTAGGCTCGTAACATCGTCGGTTCCTATAACATCCAACACTTATTGATACAAAGGGAGGTAGTGGGAGCTTGGGGTTTATTTCTCGAAATTATGGTCAAGTTCTTGCGAACAGGCTTCGATGCTGTGGTAGCGGAGCTCAGGATGAAGTTACCCCCGATGCTATCATCTCGAGACCGCAGTCTTTGGATGTTGTTTGTGGGCGCTGGAGATGTCTCCTAATGTCCTAATGGGCAAGTCTGGTTTTGGCCCTGATAGGGGCGCCCGTGCCTTACAACCATGCATGTGCTAATTATGCCGAAGTCAATAATGAATGAAATTCAGAGTTCCTTGGATGTCTGTTATTTTCATTTCAAATAGGTTTTCGAATGCCAGTAACAGATAGATAAAGATAATAACCTACATATCCTCTAAAAAAGGGCCATCTAGCGTGCGGTATAGCCTCCATCCACAGCCCAAGCCGCTCCAGTTACCCAGCTAGCATCATCACTCGCCAATACGACCGCAATTTTAGCGATATCACTTGGCTTACCCGGTCCATTGAAAGGATGCTTTCGCTGCATATCTTCTAAGCTCATGCCCGCCGCCATCGCATCTGTGAAAATGGCAGTCTGAGTATCTAATCAGAAGTTAGTTTAGTACTGAGAACCAATCAACACGGGTATATTCTACTTACATCCCGGACAAATAGCGTTCACATGAATCCTGTCTGCAGCATAGTCAAGGGCAACTTGTCGAGTCAAGCTACCGACTGCTCCCTTCGATGCGCAGTAAGATGCTTTGATCACTAGGTCAGTTTCATGGCCAGGTCGCGAAGTTACAGGGCACTTACGAATTGTTTTCCCTGCAATGGTCGCCATGATAGAAGACATATTGATGATCCACCCTCTATCCCCAGATGAATGAGGCTCCTGAGCAAGCATCTGGGTAATAGCGTATTTGCATCCCAAAAAGATGGACTTGGCATTGACTTTCATCGTAGCATCCCACACCTCTTCATCTGTTTCATGGCACCTAGCTAGGGAACGACGGGCTTCTAGACCCACGCCAGCATTGTTGACCAATCTATAGCAAGAGAAAGAAGAATATCAGAGGAATCTGCCAATTGTCGTAGCTCATGCTCAAGATACCTGCAGGATACTCACATATCTAATCTACCAAATTCGTTTGTCGCGGCTTGCACCAGCGCTTGCATGTCATTCGCTTCACCGACATCGGTGGTAACGAATATGGCCTGTCCACCTTCTTTCTGGATCAACTCATGTGTATAGATTTCTCCTTCATCCTGGATATTCATTCGTGCCGAGGGAGTCAGATCTGCGCAGACCACCTTCGCTCCTTCACGAGCGTACGAGAGGGAAATGGCACGACCAAGCCCAGAAGACGAGCCGGTGACGATGGCTATTTTGTTAAGTAGACGGGTTGACATGTTAAACAACACTTTGTGGCGGGGGTCTATATGAGGATTTATGCGGGATACTAGGACGAATTCCAAGGCTTCTTTAAAGGTAGGAGACAGAGCTCAAATGACGGTGAACCCTCGGTTAAGATTCGATGCATTATGCAAGCCATGCAAGTTAGTCAGAATGAATGGTAGCCCCGCTTAACTGCACCTCCAACCCAGAATTGTACAAAGGTCTGTCCAGCTTCCCCGCATCACCCGTCATGACGGAAGCCGAGGGTCAAGTGGTGCATATTCTCCTAGAAATTGCCAGTATTGCCTAAACAGGGGTTTTTGTGAATTTCGAAAACATTTGAATCTAGATGTGATCTCTGATACCTTGGCAAGTACTGTGATTTACAGGGTGAAAAGCCTCCAGGTATTCGAACTTCCGAAGTACGTACATGTCCTTGATTCTTAGGCCATTTACCATACTTGAAACTATTAGTTAATCCCATCAATACATATAGGTCCCCATTCCTAGATACGTGACTCAGCACAGCCAGCTTCTACTTATGTCAGTAATCCTAGGTGAAATTATATCTGGCACCACCATGTTTGCGTTATCTAGGTGACTAGGTCACATGTAAAAACTTCAAATAGCCCGATCTTTCATCAATGATGTTCAAATTCCAATGACTTACCCAGGTGCAATGCAAATCAATTCCAGCATGTAAGCTTGCCTAAAATTCTCGCTGCAAACCCCCACCCAAAAATCGATATCATAGTTCCTGATCTATCACATCCGGATAAGCAAATCACATGACCAACGCGGATCGCGTCGACGTCAACCGCGACCTCCTCACCCCTAAAACCAAACCAAAGCAAATCGCATCACACTCCTTCCATCAAACCCAAAATCAAAATGTCCGCCTTCACTTCTATCCGTCCTACCCTGCGCCTGGCAAACACCGCCACCCGCACCTTTAGCTCCTCCGCCGCGCATTCCGTCGCCCGCATGACCATCACCGGCCGTCTGGCCGCCGATCCCGAGCTCCAGGCTACCTCCACCGGACAGGACGTTATCAAGTACGCCGTCGGAACCTCGTACGGGCCCCGCGATAACCGCCAGACTAGCTGGTTCAAGATTGCTAGCTTTGCGGAGGGTGGACAGCGGGATTACTTGATGAGCTTGCAGAAGGGGTGAGTGGGTTCTGATCCAATTGGGATTGATGTTCGCACTGATGTCCTTGGGTGGGAATATTTTTTTGGGTGCATCTTTTGCTAACGTGGATTTGCAATTTAGTACTCTTGTTTACGTGGAGGGTGATGCTAGAATGAAGAGCTACGAGGATGCCGAGGGCCGGAAACAGTCTAGCCTGAGCATTGTACAGCGTATGTGACTGCCATTCTCTTCGATGCCCTTCGTTCCTATCAGGGTGATTTTGGGCATTGGACCAAATGGAATCATGCTAACTTCGATCTATAGGCTCCATTGAGGTCCTCAGCCGCCCCCAGGGCTCCGAGTCCCAGTAAACAATTTATTTTCAAGACTGATTTAATTTGAATGTGGACTATCGACGTGGTTGATTATTGGTAACGGCGTTGTATTGGGAGCGCGGACGGATCTTAGATGGCTAGGTCGGGTTGGGGAGAGGAGAATTGACTCGTGGCTCGGCTCGGTTCTGGGTAATGATTCTTGTCGATCTCCTAGCGCTGTGATTATTGTATTGTACTTGTATACCCTGAATACACTCCGTTCTTCTATGGTGTATGTTGGTATTCTCCTGGAGTTGATGTTTACGCGGGGACTAAAATTGGTAGAAACACGAGGACTTCTTGAATGTAATGAATTTACATGAACATGATGCTTAAGACTGCAGAAATGGTTTAATGACGGCTGGTTAGAAGAAAAAAAGGGATATGGAATATGTCGATTAAAGACGGACCTAGAGCTGGAGCTCACTCTGCTGGGATATAACATGCTTGATATGAATGGAATCCACTAGAACAGGCGGAGCATTGATCCCCGAGAACTCGCTGCTGGAGCGACTTGCACTGGTCCCCGCCCAAGCATTAGTACAAACGGTCTGTTCAGGCACAGAAACATCATTCAGCAGGACAGCCCGATCACGGCCCCGAGCAGAACGGCCATTGAACAAGGACCGATACCACGGCAAATTGCGGATATTGTCATTGGAAGACGGCCGAGGACCCTTCTCGATATCATCATATGCATTTTTGCGCCACTTGAAGAGCGATTTCTTCTGGGGCCGAGATGAGTCGACCAGTGTTCTCGAATTCGAACCTTGGGGAATTGGGATCGTAGCCTGCGAGTCCAAAGGACAAGACACACTGGGGAAGCAGTATCCGAATCCCAGTCGCCAAAGAATTAAGTGGTAGACTCGAATGGCGTCACGGCCGAACCCACAGAAGATGAAAATGATAATGCCGATGGCGATGGGTGTCCAGCGATCGAAAAAGACTTTGCCGTTTGTGGGGACCTTGATGATTTGGTTCCATGATGCATGGTGGATTTGAGACCAGGAGTAGGGGTGCCAGGGAAGGGAGAGATATAGGTCATAGTAGACGACATATGTTTGGACGGGAAGGATGATTACGAGCATGGTAAAAGCGACGAAGAACAGTCGTAAGAAACGGGATTTACTCATGTTGCTGTTTGATGCGCGGAGGATAACCTCGAAGTCACTTTTGTATCGGTGAAGGCGGATAAGAACGAGGCCTGTATCAGGGTCAGTGTTTGCCTTTCGACTATTGTGAGTACAGCACAAAACTTACAACAATAGTATGCAGAGATCAAGCAAATGATGGGTGGCCACATCCATGCCAGCACGAAACTTGGCCAACTCTCGTCATAGTTGTTGACACATCCAGAAATGGCATAGAGGAGATAGCGATCTTTCTGGTAGACATAGTGAGTGACCATTGCCATGATTGGCACAAAAACGCAAAGAAGAAGCTCGATCAGCCGATTGCGCCAACGCTGGGTCTTGCTCGGAACCAGGACGGCTCGACTGGTGTCCAGCACCGCTGCCAGCCCCCGGAAGATACATGTAAGAGCAGCCGGTACAGCCACATAACTTGCAACCATAATCTTGACCTCAATATCACAGAGACCAGCCCCATCCCACCATGTGGAAATGTCATCTGTGGGCCACACAATAGCGTTGATGATATTGAACACACTCAGCAGCATTGCCCAGCAGTTCAGGGCCGTTGCAGGAAAGTTGCGATTTTTGACATGAAGAGCCAGTGGTGGGAGGCATAGTAGAATGGAGATGAACGACAGGACCGGAATAACTACCGCCAGCGGATAGAGCTTCGTATCTGTCGCCATACCTGCCGCCAATGTCGTCGCAAATTGGATGAATGCTATCAGGAAGCACGATGAATACCTTCAGATAGGGCAGTATTCCCCACAAAGCCCTAAATTGAGTATTCGAAGCGAGAAGAAGTATGAGAAAGATGAAGAAGATAAGAAACAGACCGAACGCATCCTTCTATAGCTGACTGCTCTCCAATGATGCAGTTAATTACATGAGCCGAATCTCGAAACAGAAACCAGGTGTCAGAAAAGATTCACTGAGCGGGGATAGCAGGCCTAGATCAACCCAGGATACCTGCAGGAGGTGCACTGGATGTAATTCGAATCCGCATGCGAGGTAAAGGGGGCCCAACATAGGCCTCTATAGACTCAGATATGACGAAAGGAAGAACCTGACCATTCAAAGAGCATTCTGTCGGCATCATTGACAATAAGAAAGTGAAGAAAGACATGAATGAAAGGGAGAGTTGCTACTGTGGCCGGATTTGGGGGTCAATAGACTCAGCTCTATAGAGCCCCCAATGGGGTTAGAGCGAACCATGGATGCAATCAATGGGCAATTCAGGGTTTGTTTGTTACGACTTTACACGGTTTGCATCCCCTACTTCGAATCTAATGGATCTTTGAGAAATACACCCCTCAAGTGTGGTAGATCAAAATCGGATTATAACATTGGAGGATGCATATTGTGGTGGACGAAGGTATGACGAAATGCCGTGACGAAATACCCTTGCATGAATCAAGACTTCTGAAATCGACCTAATCAACCTCGGCTGGACGCCACGAACTCCTCTACCCATCGGCGCGAACTCTTTCCTACCTGCAGCTTCTCGCCTTTTTAAGCCCCAAGGTTCTCGGGCTCTTTTCCATCATGGCTGATCCCCCTTCACCATCGGGGATCTCACCCCGCAGTTCGTCCATCCGCCGCCGTGGTGTCCCCGCGCGAACTACACTTGAGACCATCCCCGACTGGCCCGAACGCCGCAACTCGACCCTCTCCGATACAATCTCAGATGCTCGTAACTCCATTCGATCATCCACAGATGGCCTATTTCTCCCCCGGGTTGCTAGGCACAATGAAGGCCCGATCGCAACGGAGGAGTCTCATTGGCACTCTGCACCACTGGCCTTGGCGCTGATGCCTGCCATCGCGGGTGTCATGTTTAAAGAGGGAAGCTCTTTTGTGACTGACGTGACATTGTTGGTACTGGCGGCGATATTCCTCAATTGGTCGGTTCGATTGCCATGGTATGTCAAAGCCCGATCTGATACATTGGACTACAAACTTACGGATTCAAAGGGACTGGTATCGGTCGGCCCAGGCTATCCAGCGGGAAGACTCCAGATTCAGCCCCACTGCGGAGGACATCGAGATCGAGGGTGATGAGGCTGTGGAATCCGGCGAAGAATCTCATCAGCGTCCCCAGCCCCTACGAGCATCTAATCAAGCAGCCATCAAGGAGCTCCAGATCCACGAGCTCGTCGCATTAGTCTCGTGTTTCATATTCCCTCTGATCGGCGCCTGGCTTCTCCACGGCATCAGAAATAACCTGTCCCGACCCTCAGAAGGTTTAGTCTCAAATTACAACCTTACTATCTTTCTTCTCGCATCGGAGATCCGTCCATTCGCACATCTCCTCAAATTATTCCAAGCACGCACCCTCCACCTCCAACGCATCGTCGCAACAACAAACGATGAAGACCGCATCGACGCAAATAAAGTCCAAGATCTCACAAAGAGACTCGAGGAGCTCGAAGCCCATGTAGCCGAAGCTGCCGCTACTCGCCTGACTTCATCTCCCTCCAAATCAGACCAAAATTCTTCCAAAGAACCAAATAACGCACCAGAACTCATCACACAGGCCGTCGTTGAAGTACGAAGGACCGTCCAACCAGACATCGAAGCCCTGAACCGCGCTGTTCGCCGCTACGAGAAACGCATTGCTCTGATGACCCTCCAGTCAGATACCCGTTTTCAGCAACTTGAAGCTCAAACCCGCGACGCATTAGCCCTAGCAGCCGCCGCGCAACGCTCCAGCCTTTCCAGCCGCTCCAGCTACGCGTTCACACTAGTAGACTGGGCCTGCGCATGTGTCGTGGTTCCCACTCAACTCACATTATCTATCCTCAACTTACCCAGTCGCGCAGCAAATCGCTGCTTAGCAACCGCGAAGAGTATACTAGGTCGGCCCCTTGCACAAAAGCCACGCTCGAAGTCAAGTAAGGGCAAGTCGGCTCAGGGAGGTGGTCATAAGGTCCGACCGCGGTCGCCTCCGCCGAAGGCAACGGCTCCTGTTTCACCGCTTACATCGCAGCAATCTCTGGATTCGAGGGTAAAGGGTACTTCTCGCTAGGCTGGTCCATGCTTGAAGATGTCATGATGCCAAATGGCTCTTATACCTTTTTATATGTACTTTTCGGGCTATATATACTATATTCCACCAAATTTAATGTCGGCTTTGAACAAGACTTTCCCGCATGTGTATCCTGGAACTAGCCAAGATGACTATGGATATGCCCTGGATATGCTACGGTGTTTACTGGCCAGTGAACAAACACTTCCAACCGACAATGACGACTTTTTGAAGATGTATAATACTGCTTCCCCTGTTGGTCAATCATCGGGGTCCACGGTGTCATATATTTGGGCATTTCAGAAATTCTCTATCCAGTCAGCTCTCACTCCAATCAGCTTGCGTCCGCGGTTGATATTCCACCAAATTTATAAGGACAGAAATTGGGACTCCATATTGCCTCAAACAGTAACCCATTTGCCCATCCATGTTTCCGTAATCTCCTTCGCCTCGTCCACCAAGCCCAATTCTAATATGAACTTCAAGTCAGCAATATTATGATTGACAGGTTTCATGAGTAGAGGTAACAAACCCAGTAGAAGCTGAACTGTGCCACGAACAGATGATTCCAAGGCCGAGGCAACTAACTTCAAGTCAGCTCAAGCTTTGAGAAAAACATAGTAAAACTAGAAGTCAACCTACTCCATGAATGAGTATAGGCGGTATGTTCCCCGATAAATATGATCTGTGAAAATTAGCACGAGCACCTCCAACAAGAACTTACCTACCCCGTCTGGGCATGATGATCCTGAACACCCACATTATTTTCAGTATTGAAGTAAGAAGGCATATAAAGCTTATGCTGCCCAACACCAGCATCAACCCAAGAGCCCCCCGCGTTAAACTCCTCTTCCAACCAACAGACACGCTTGAAGTTCCCAGTATATTGCTCATAAACAATCTCACCATGAAGCCGAGCAAAGGAATCTAGAACATATTGCGCATGTTCCTCCTTGGGAGTCGACACCCAGCGCTTCCCGTAATCATCCTGATTGTAGCTGGCGAGAACAACTGCAGGGCCAGTGCCGTTTATGTTGTAACTGGGGTAGCAAATACTCCCGATTCCGGGCACATCGGTCTGGGTATTGCAGCTTCCGAAAATGGGGCGGTCGAGGTGCTCCCAGAATCGGGATTTGAATTCTAGTGCCACCTGTTATGGTTAGTTATGCTACATGAAACAAAAGCTGAATCAGGATAGGCAGGTACCTTGCAGGCAGACCCGTAGCCGAGTTTAGAGATAGCGTTTGCTAGGGTGGGAGAAAACTCTGTTGCTTGGGTTTAGCAGGGAACCGAGGCATTGTCTGTGGAGCTTACCTGGAAGCTCCCATTTCCTAACCACCGTGAAAGGAACAGAGACGAAAGCGTAGTCATATGTAGCGTTTTCAAATTGACGATCGGTGTACTTATTCTTCCAGGACACCTGGACCTTCTTTTTCGAGTCGAGATATTCAATCTTCTGGATTTTTCGATGATATCTCAGGTTTTCTTGTATCAGCGGCTTGAAGGCGTTTGGTAGTCGAATCATTCCTGAGAGTATCAGCTGCTGCGTATTCATCGTTCACAATTACGTCGACACTCACCTTTGTCGATCGTCTTCCACTCTTTGGATGAGAAGAATAGGTCATCAGTCCTGTGAAGAGTAGGTTATGAATGAGATAGCCCCTTATATCATGGAGATACCTACATATGTGCCCAAAAAGGAGCAGCATTTGGGAGGAGATCATTGACAAGGTCAATGGTGTTCAGATCGAAGCCTAGCACATTGTGAATGTAATCCGCCTTTGACCAGTCATCTCCTCCCTTGCCGTCGAGTCCAACGTCTATCAAAAGTAAGCAACCTGCTAATTCAAGAATTGACATATGGTAGAATACCAAGAAACTTCTTATGTGCTTCAAAGATGTTGCTGGCAATGAGCTTCATCATTGCAGGGTCAAGCATAATCTTTCCCAACTTGTTTTTGAGATCATCCAAATGAGGAGTATGGATAGTTGATGCGCCAATAGACCTATTCCGCGCAACATCACCAATAGTCGGGATGGAACCATCTGGATTTCGGTTGTCTTTGATCAAGGATAGGGCATTATCGCTGTTATAGATGAAAGGAATCCAGTCGATGTTGAGTGATTCATTATACTTGTTCAGTTTGTTCAATGCTTCGCTAAGCTGGAAAACCATTTGATGGTAGGTGAAGTTCAATGTCAAGGTCTCATTGCCCATTGGAAAGGTTGCAGTGATAGGAATCCGCATGGCTCCGAATTCTTGATATTGATATTTTGAGTCGGGAAGATCGAAGTACTCAGTCCAGATGCGACTGTCAATTCATGTTAGCACCAATTGCTGTACACATTGATTCAATGACTCAATTACCCACCCCCCAACGCGATTGGTGGACTCGGAAACTTCAAGATTCGTAAACCCAACACTGTGGAGGAGGAACTTGATGAACTAATCAGCAACAATCTCATGATCTTGGGGGTTTGCGCAAAGGTGGATAAATACATAGGTCATCAAACCTGAGATTCCAGCACCGAGAATTCCGATTGCTAGAAAGCATTAGAATTGAATCTCAAGGTAGGATGAAGCCACGCGAACATTTGCTCTTAGCCTTCTTCACATCCACGACTCCGAGTTCCTTATTCTGAAGGAGCTCCACACCTTTGAACCAGGGTCCTTCTGCATCTATACCAGACTCATTTGACATGGGAATGTGGTCTCGTCTGGCCATTCTGGCATGAAAAATCTTATCTAGATTCAGCGGCTCACTTCGCCCGATTAATCTGCTTTGCTCCCAAGCTGAAATGCAGCGACGAGAATGGACAGTATCAGGAATTACCCAGACCAGTCGAGTGTCACCGCTAGGGTAAGTGCCACTTGGAACATTTGCAACATGATGATGGTCTTTGGAGTCGACTGCATCGCAATCGCCGTACATAAAAACATGATCCTCAAAGCTAGTGTTGGGATATTTGAGGTGGATATTGGCGATGTTGGAAGTCTCGGTATCTTTCACGGAAATCTCAATAGTTTGAGGGGAAGAAGCCCCTAGGACTACAGAGGCCAGAATTATGGCAACACAGACTCTCATGCTGTATAGGAAGTGTGTACACGAGCTTGTCCGCAGTGTTTTCCAACTTACTTTCTGTATATTCGAAACCGCCCGATGTACATCCCGTATACAAGGGCCGGGCTGTTGCAGCTTTGACTCTCATGCAAAAGTATTTCAACCATGGATTTGAATCGCCGAGCTGAGCCTGGTCTTGGCACAGGGGGTGCTTCTAGACATTCTGTGCATTCCACCTGTAGAATAGATATGGACCCACATTCCACATCTCTCAGGCTTACATACGGCCATGTCAAAGTATGCACCAGTTGGGTTCACGCAGTTCAAACCGAGGTTAAGTGCGTACATCAGTCATATATATGATAATTTAGTGATAACGAGGGCTTTGAAGGATATATTGTCACGGTAGTACATGGAGGATTGCTCTCCCCACTTGACAGATCGACCACGGGCTTTTCACTGGTCAAACCAAACAACTGTTCGTCTATCATATCTAACATACCACCAGTCTATTGACATAAACGCAAAGAAGTGGCACCGAATAAGCAGAAGAAAGAGTTTCCAAGGATCAAAATATACTGATCCATTCCAACTCGGAAATCAATAAATGAATATACGTACAACATCAAGTCCGCCCTCCAGAAGGCCCCCTGTCATCAACTCCAATCATCTTCAAGAATGGCTCAATAATCGCCTTCTTCCGTTCGTCCGAAGCTCGGCGCTCTTTCTCCTTCGACGGCACGGGAGCAGACTGCGAAATGAGTACGCGGGCGAATATAGACGTGAGTGTAGACTCGACAGCCTGTCGACGCGCTGTAGCTTTTTCGTACGAGTCCTTTGCCAAGGATTCGGGGGTGGGTGGTTGGCTTTTGCGACGGAATCTGCCCGCTGAGATGAATGCCGCGGTAGAGGCAGGGGTGGGCGGGTTTGGGAGACTGGATTTGGGGTTCTCCTGTTCATTTTGGTTGTCTCCTTGGTCTTGGCCTTGATCCTCCGTGTCCTTCTTGTCCTCGTCTTTCGTTTTTGATACAGGGTTGCTGGGCTGCGGTGCAAGGGAAGGGACTGGGGCTACTTCGTTCGCGATACGGGCAAGCATGAAGGTGACAAATGTGAAGGAGACACTGTGTGCGGGTGAATAGGCGAGGCTTTCGAGGACCCAGGCTTGAGTCTCTTCCCAGGATCGCGGAGGAGCCTTGGATTTCTCTCGTGCGATCATCTGCTGCTCCATCTCTTGCCAAACGAATGCGGTAACGATGCCATCACTTAAGGAATTGAGGAATGTCAGAAGTGTTGCGGAGAGGATCTCTAGCCGCTGGAGGGATGGAACTTCTGGTGGAAAAATCGACGTTAGGGACTGGTTGGTGTCGAGAGATTTTCGGACTGATGCCGACAGAGCAGCGCGCTGCTCGGGGTCATGAAGGGTCCATGTGTCGGGCTGGAAAGGCCACCCGGTTCCTGATGGTTCCAAAGCCCAAGGTGCTTCTTCTGGGGATTCGCCTTTTGTCATGCTCCACTCTGCTACGGCCCGCTCGGTCAGATCGGAAATCGCCTCGGTCAAACGAAAGAGCTCACGTGGAGCAGATAGCCGCACTTCAGTTTTTGTTTGGGATGGATGTGATGCCCCTTTCTCGTCGAGACTGCGGGCTCCCTCTTCGGGCATGCGGGTCAATTCGTCCACGCTACAGCCAAAGCAGGTTGGCAACCAGTGGCCCGTGACCGAAATGAAATGGTCGCGACCACTGTCGACATGAAGCACTAGGATCTCCTCCAGTTTGACTTTCTTCAGGTTGAGAAGACGAACTTGTTCGATATTCTGAACGTGAGCTATGATCTCGACATTGGCCACGTCGCCTGGCAGTAGTGTGTAGGAATTTCCAAAAGCTGTAGCCGGTTGTTTGGTATGGTCCTCGGGCCGTTCAATTTGAATATGGAGCCAAGAGGGGTTCTCTGAATTGTCTTTATTACCAAGGCTAGGCCTCTCGCCGAAGTGAAAGGTGGCTGATGCACCGCTCGTGTTGGCAATAGTGATGGACCGGCGAACCGGCACATCATGAGCGACATCACCTAAGTCAACTGCGTTCGGATCTCGCTCCTTTCCTTGTTCGCCATGAGGAACATCAACCACGACCGTAAGGCCAGGGCGAGCTTCATTTTCAGCCTTGTCGAGTTCCCGGACCACCTCTTGGTGAACTTTAGCCTTGAGGCTGGGATTCACGGCATCAAATGACAACGTAAAAATGGCATCCAAGGGTTTGTGATCTGAAGACAGAATTCCCTGGTGTGATATATAATGATCCAGACGAATGGGCTCATCCAATGCTGAGTTTTCAGATGCAACAGAAGAGACAGATGCCCGGTCATCATCTGAAATATACTCCTCCACGCTGCCTCCCCCTCCCCCATCTGCTCCGTCGACCTCAGGGTCGTAGTCAAATAGGACATTTTCATCGGCAGCAGCCTGGTCGAGACCTTGGTCCTGCATTTCTTTGTCTCTCTGCCGAATTTCCTCGGCTTCTCGGTCAAGTTGCTCATGTTTGAGCTTGTCCCGCCGGCTGCGGTAAAGAATTCGATCACACCAGCTAGGGCCACGATGTTTCTCACTTGAGTCAAACATAGCCACGCTACCGACATCATATTTATATGTAGGCAGAAAAGTGATTTGGCCTTCGCGCCATCCTTTGTGGAATGCAGTTCCCAATTTTTGCTGAATATGCAGTTGGTCATGGACGACAAGAGATGAAATAGTTGTCTGCAATGACGCAGGGTCATTATGAGGATCAATATCATCGTCGCTGACTGGCTCGGGTGTCCCATCATCTTCTGGAAGCGGCGGTGATGGTGGCTGGTTTTCATCATCGGCGGTAGAACCTCGGCGGCTACCCGATTTCTTTGCTTCCTGGAGTGCAATATCGTATGCATTAACTGTATGCCGTGCTAGAACTTGCCGCACGTCATTCCCAGGAATATCATCTAGTCGATAGTTAAGATCGCCAAACCAGAAAGTAAAATCCTCGTCGCCAATACTGTCAGAAGTCTCATCCCCTGCTCCCTTCTCGCCATCAATGCAATCGAACTTTGCACGCGACGCAATCTGTGAAGCATCCCAATTGCGTCTTTCTAGGCTGCTTTTATCAGACCCTGCCGCAAGGTGACTGTTCACAAAAACTAGACGAGTAGTTTCTCCCAGGACCAAACGAGTAGCCACGGCGCCCTTATTCCCCATGTACCCCATCAGACCCGTCCCGACATAGGTACTGCTGACCGAGGAGATGCTCTCACGAATCGATGGAGAGGCGTAGATCAAAAGTAAGAGCCCAACTAGCTGAACCTCGGAGACGAGCTGATATCCTGGAGGAAGGGAACTCTGAACTGACTCCTTCCATCGATTCGATGGGCCCGAATCGGTGTATGGCCGTAAAGCCTCTGCGGGAGATGAAACATCGACCACTTCCTGGAGACCCAAAACATAAAGATCAATCTCCTCAGGACTTGTTTGAAATGGCCTTTTCTTCTTCTCGTTCTCCTCATCTCCGGTTGACGAACCTCCCTCCGTTGCTCCAGCATGCTCAAGTTGCTCACCCTTGGCACCAGAGAGCTTCTCGGACACCCCTTGGCCCTGCACGAACCATTTCCCAATGTCCTTTTCTGTACCGGAGATGGCTGCTACATTCCAAGTTCCAACTTTCACGCGAACTGTTCGTCGACGAGTATACTCAGCTTTTCGTGCTTTGACGGCACGCGAGAGGGACTGCAAGTCCAGCGCAGGGTGCTGAATGTCCTCCACCCCATCCGACGCTTGGCCCCCCGAGTCTGACGCCGGCGACTCGGCTCGCTGGTCCTTGGCGCTCATGTTGAATCAAATCGTGTCAAGCCTTGTAGGAGAAGGTATATGTTCATGGGATTTTGATGCAATTTCTTTTGGGGTTAATGCGACACTGACAAAGCGTGGTATATAGAACCTATGGCTGTGAATCTGGGACGGCTATTAATCCCGGCGGGAAATCGGATGCTATAGTGGTTTTCTGAAGCACCACAATGCAATTGGAGTAATTGATGACGGATCCAGTGCAATAAATGGTGAACGCGATCAACGGGTAATGAATTGGGTTGTAGAGTTTAGCACGACGGGGTTCGGAAAGCAAGCAGGTGCATTATGCAGGATAGCTGCTCTAGGAGAGTAGTAGCACCGCGGAAAAGAGGGCAGCACAAATTTGGTAAAAGGAAAAGAAAGACAGGAGCCTGTCCAAGCACCAGGAAGCCCCCTAGCGGATAGAATAGAAGTTGGAAACTGTGAAATAGGAAGAAACGCGACGAAACGCAAGTTGGAGGAACCCGATGACGATATGTCTTATCGGTCTTATCGATTGACCCGCAATCAGCAACCCATCACTCATCTCCAAACTTCCCGACTCAGCGAACGACTCAGCGACCTCACCCTCTCTATTCCTTTCCCCCTCGACCACCGCCACCATGAGGCGCGATCCTGGATTTTCGAACCGCAACGCTAACCGACCTGAATCAGGATACCAGAACAACCACAATAACGCCCACACCGACTACGAGTCTGACAACGCGTATCTCTCCGATATGCCTCAAAAACCTGCCCCACCCCTCCGCTCTAATGAAGAGCTCAACCTTCGCGTTCTCCGTACCCACAATGCTGAGATAACTGATGTCATCTCTCTGGCCAACTACGCCGTCATCTACGCCTTCAACCCCCACTCAAAGACCTGGGAGAAGACCAACACCGAGGGCACCCTGTTCGTTTGCTCGATGACTCCGGGTCCACTTGGTGAAGAACGCTTCACTGTTTTCCTTCTGAATCGTCGCAGTGCTGTTAACTTCCAATCCCGCCTGACTCACGGTGACAATGTGGAATTGACTCCGGAGTATGTCATCCTGAAGGAAGTCAGTGATGAAGATGCTGAGGAGCGCGTTTGGGGTATCTGGATTTACTCTGAGGACGAAACCTCGACCACCAACACTCGCCTTGTGAACGCCAAAGTCATCATGGAGTGCGCTAGCCGTGCTGGCAACAGCCTGAAGGATGCAAAGGAACGCATCCAGGCTATGCGCCAGAATGAACTCCACATCGCTGCTGCTGCTTCAGAGACTCAGGCCACTCCCAATGAGAACCTCCAGGGTGGTGTCTCGATGGGCCGTACCATGTCACTGAAAGACATGTTTGGGCAGCAACGTGCGCAGGATGATGAGTGGAGTGTTCGTGCGCACCATGAACAGCTCCAGTTCCAGCCTCACCCCCAGCCTCAAGCCCCGACCCAGCCCGGATATGGCTACCACATGCCTCTGGCACACCAGCATGCTTCCCAGGCAGGTGCGCCTAACCCCCCAGCTCCGGCCCAGGGAATGCCCGATGTCCTCGGCGATCTCTTCCGTCGCGCGGGACTTCAACCCCAGCAACAGTAAATGTTGCTGTCGCTCCATGCGATTTATCTTATTTGCTTTTATTATCATCTCGAGGTCATTTGATGGCGCATGATTTATCTTGATTGTTCTACGGCATATCATCTAGCGTTTTTTTTGAGCCATCGGACTGAATGGGGTGGCGTTGCTTTGCTTGAGATACCCAGCAGGTATGCATTGCACAATGGTGGGTTTGATTCACATGTATACTTAAGAGATTAATTCACCTCCATTTAAAAACTCATCACACTCCCAACGCACCTAAGTTATTCAGTTCACTACTTGAACGTTCTAATATTCCCTTGCATTTTCGCGGTATATTCCGCTTCCGCGGGAACAGACAATAATCATTCTGAGCGGCGAAGGTGACGAGCCGAATAAGACCCTGTTGCCTGATATGGCTCCTATCAGTTCTTAAGCCATCGTATAGTCCTGGAGAGCATTAGAATTAATTGTCTATTCTCATCCATGTAAGCTACACAGTTGAATGGTTTTTCGGATTCTAGATATCGATTCCTGGAACTTCAATGGCCAAGACACCTGTTCCAGGCGCACAGTTGGGCTTAATCCTGTACAATACCCTGTATCATGTTTGCAACCTTCCGAGCCATGATATCACTATGCTCTAGAAGAACATCACTTAGTAAAGTCTCATATCAGAACCATAAAGACAACCACAACTTACTTAGACAAAATGCGTGCGGCAATCCCTCCTCACAAACAAACATCTTAGGGCCTAACCCTTCCTCTCGTCCTCTCAATGCAATAACTTCGTCTCGAGTCTTCTCTGCGACCCAATGATCATTCTTTCCAAAATAAAAAAACAGGCGTGTTGTAGGCTCAGGTCCGCACCCAACGCCCCAAACGTCATCTGTCCATTTATCCGATGTGATAGTACGCATTTCATGAGCTGCCATATGTCTGTCGAGAACATTAGTACACACCACGTTGAGAATATTGATATAACCAAAAGTGGACATAACATACAATGCTTGTCGTACACCACCAGAACTCTTCAAGAACGCAAGCGTAGTCTCGAGGCCATGAGCAGGCGGATCTTTCATCACCGACCGAACGACGGATTTTAAAGTCGAGGATGGGAGGACTGAGGTTAATATCCGGGCGAAGAAGCTCACAATAAGAGCGAGATGTGGGAGAAATGATAGTAGAGTCTGTAAAGCACAAAGCTTAGTGAATGGCAATTCCCATCAACCTTGAAATACGACACTGACCGTCAATTTCTGGCCAGATGGCGAGTGCGCAATGTCCTTTACTGTTGGAAAGAGCATAACGCCGCCGATAATGTCGAATGAACTGGAAGAGCTAGAGTCTGCATGACCGGTTGCTGACCCGGTAGAGGAAAGGGCCTCTATATTCGGTATGCCCTCCCTATGTCTTCTCAAGATCTCCATAGCAATATATGCGCCGACGGAGTGCCCAATGAGAATGACCTTCTGTTTCGGCGCTGGGGTCGAAGGATCGGATCCAAGCTTCGGTTCGCCGGCATCGTCGGCAGAGATTCTTTTATTCCCATGCATCAAATCCACGAGCTTCCGGTGTACGAATCGAATCTGGCCTTCAAGATCGTACAAGTGATTCTTGTTATGCCCTTCCTTGGCATTTTGAACACTTTCATGCTTAGCAACTGGTGGAATCTCGAAGCCACCGAGACTGCACCCGTATATCTGGAAAGAAGTCTTTTTTGTGGTGTTTTTAGTCTCGATCTGGGGTTGGGACTCGTCGACCAGGTTCTGCGCCAGCAGGGATAGGAATGGGTGGTAGTATCCGATCAAACCTGGATTTCCAGATACGAAGAAAACGGTAGTGTCTGACTCTGACTGCGCACCTGTATAGGTGCAAAAGGTGTTCTTTGTGATTTGGGGTTCCATGACTTTGACAAGAACCAGAATAAGTTCGTACGTTTAGCAGACTATCACCTGGTAAATTATTGAGGGCCCCCATACAATGTTTCGAATCGTATTGAGATATGGATTGTTTGAGCACGTTGTAGGGTGCAGATACCTTGCTATACCATCGAGCAGTTGTCGTTGACGCACGGTACCTGAGGTCGATGTTAAGGTGTAAGGTGCAAAGGCGGTTGCGGAGCTGAGTGGATCCCCGTGTGAACCGAGCTCCATGCAGCACTAATAAGCTACGAGCTACTACTGTACGAGATACGAGTACCACATTTTATATAGATGCAAGCAAAATGACCTTGGAATGCAAGTGTATTGCAATAGTTCCTGACTCCATATCCCCCAGCCCAAAGCTCCTCCCCTAAACCGCCCCCGGTTTCTAAATCCCAAATGAAAAATAAAATAAATGTTAAAAAAGAACAAGAGGGTCCGAGGATGGATCCAATGCATTGATTGCCCAGACGCCGACAGAGCGCAATGTACAGCATTTCGTTCCCTGCCCCCGCCATTGAGAAAAACCGCAACACTGCGGGTATCATACCGCTGTGAAGTGCCAGGTTCAAGAACGAGAGGCAAGGAAGAAACAAAAAAGGCGCAAAGAGAATATAAAACGAAGTTCGCCAAATAGCAGCACGTAAAATGATAGCAAAGTAGAAAGCTCAAGAAACACAAGCATCGAAGCTGCGCTGGATGGTATCTACCTCATCAAAATGAGTAGGTGAGGTGGCTGCAGTGAAGAATCGCTGCTGAAGTGGGAGAATCGATTTGTGGGCCGACTGCATAGTTTGAACCAGGGTTTATCAACTGTCTCCCTCGCCTTTGCTGTCGTCTCGATTCTCCTTCTCATTGGCTTCATCGGAAGTATCTGTTGTGCACGATGTGTCGGCTTCTGAAGAAGTAGGCTTGGTCGGTCCTAAATTGATAGCAATTCTCTTGGGTGCCGCGCTGACACTCGCTAAAACCCCCGATCCGGACTTTTCGGCTGCGCCAATTGGTGCAATCGATAAACTCTTCTTCCGATTTAGGATCCCAGCGCTAGAATTGCTACTTGTTGAGCTTCTACGCTTGGGCCCTGCAGTGAGCTTCATTAGCTCATCATCATCTTCCTCTTCACGACGACGCTTCTCAGCGAGTCGTTCGGGAGGTGTCTGGGCGGGCGAGGTAGGCGCAGAGACAGCAGCGTCAGGACTGGTTTCATTTGTAGCATCTGTCGTGACCAACACTTCGGCCCGTTGGGTTTGCTCCGCGAGGGCTTCAGGTTTAGTGTCCATGACATCCTCGTCATCATCATCAGGGTAGTCAACCAAAGGCTTGACCATCAAAGTAGCAGAGCCATTGGATGTACCAGCAGCAAGGGCTCCACGAGTATCCTGTGGCCACTGTAGTTCGGTCAGTTTGAAAAGTTCCCAAAAGCAATCTAGCAAGACGTCTTACATCATCTTCATCGTCGGATGTACCAAAGTAATCTTCTTCGGCGGCATCCATCTCCTTCACTCCCTGCCAACGCTGACCATTCAGCGGCATCCTTCGTGATGTGCTGTCATCCTCATGGCCAAATAACGGATCTGCCTCTCCACCATACCCTTGCATTTGATCGTAACGAAGAATCAAATTCAGGAATGTGTCGACGTAGGTGATGTTTGCAAGCTTCTCCCGGTACTTCTCTACCACATGAATAATAAATGGCTTGATGTTTTCCCGTTTGATAAACTCGAAGAGCTCGAGGCAGGCGGAGTTGAGTAGGTTGTCACGAGGCATTGTTTCATATACAATATCGAGGATCAAGCCGAATGTATTGTTGTGCGTCATGAGAGCTTGGTAAAAGGTATCTTGAAGACTGATCAACGTGCGGAAGAATTTGAGGGCGACTATTGAACACCAATGTTAGCTTGAACCCTTGAGTACAAAAAGGAACTGCTCAGGTGATTGAGCTGCCTTACCCAGCTTCAGAGATTTTTGAGGGGCCGTCAGAAGCTGAGCGACCCGAGGCGCAAGAGATTCACTGTGGATCGCATTGCGCGTGCGGAAGAGATGTTGACGGACGAAAAAGGTAAGTATATCAGCAAGATGCGAGTAGAGCGTGACTTCTTGGAACGTCAAATCATTAACTGCAGAAAAATGTTAGTTGGATGGCTTCAACCGAAAAAGGAAACACTTACGGGTAGCACGGTTGGCAAGTTGTTTGAGCGGTTGAAAGAGCCGCTTAGAAGAATCATCGAAATGCTGTTGGACAAATGCATCTGAGAGCATATTGGTAGGTCGGATTTTGAAATAATCGGGTCCAGCCCGGGCGAGCGGATCCTGCAAGGGTATCTGGGGGTCAAGCAGGATCTTAATAGCATCAGCTAGTTGACTTTTGACTCCTAGGTCAGTCTCGGCATGGAGCAGGTCAATCAAGGTATCTGTGAGCGGTGTCTTCTTTTCATTGACAGCCTTGAGCATGTATCCCCGCATCATCACCGGGTCGTGGTCCAGTAATGCTACCAGAATATCAATGCCTGTCGTGCGCATAGCTGGGTTCGGATGTTTCACTGCGAAGGCAATCACCGCGAATAGGCCGTGGTTAATGAAATTGGCAAATAGCTGGGCTCTTGATGGACCTTGGAGATTCTTCGCAATTGCCGCGCACTGGTGCAAGAATTGTACAGCATCATCTTTGCGCTTGGAGTTGGTGTTTCTGGGATCGAAGACGGAAAAGAGTTCTCGGAGGAAATGTCCGTTGGTCTGGATGTGGTTCACGATTTCCATCTGGTTGAAGAAAATCAGGGAGTTCAGTACAGAGAAAGTCGGGTCGTCCAAAATCCGGGCCAAAACCACGTCCTTCAGGTATTGCAAGCGCCATGTACTCCGAATCTTCCTGCGGATAATCGGGTCGTTGATAGGGACGACTTCTTTATAGCGGGTCTGGTCTGCGAGGTATTGTCGATGGTTTGCCTTGTGGGTGGGAAATTCAGGATCATATTCTAAAGCTCCTACCACTCCCAGGATAATATGGTCGGCGACGACAGTTTCGATGATGGTGTTATCGTTCAATAAGATGAGGGATTTCATGATGTTGCAGAGATGGTGCAGATCAGTCAGGCTCTCCAAGTCCTCAGCCATGTCCACTAAAGGAACTAGCTTGGCAATGTACTCATCGCGGATGATAAACTTGGACAGCGCATCGCGACCTGGTTGTGTCATACTCGCCGACCGCACAATCTGCTCCATTTCACCTAGGTTTCGAAGTTCGGGCGCAGGTAGTGTGATGGAGTGGTAGCTATCCAAGTCGTCGGAAAGAGCGTCATCTGCAGCAAAAAAACACATCCAAGTCAGACACGCACGTAGAGGGGAGATAAGAAACATATGAGTAACCAAACTTACCGGCCGCGGCCAAACTGAGATTCTGTTGAACAGCATTTACAAATTCCCTTGTCGGATGGTCAGTTCCGAAGCACGCGCACACATCTCTAGTACCTTTCAGGAATCCTCACCAAATCTGCGCACATCCTTCTGCCTCTTGAAAGCTGAGTGCCATATCCGTCCCGCTCTGTTCCGTCCAGACGATCAACGTCTCTGATTGCGCAGTCAGTAAAAAGCAGATCCTTCGGTGATACAGACGCGGTTGTGGGACAGAAACCTTGCTGTTTTTGATAGCCATCCTCCTTGGAAATCCGCGTTTCCAGCAGTACGCGATTAGGCTGGTCTTCGGACTCGACAAATATTCGGGGTTCCTCCTGCAGAAAGAAAAAAGAAAACACGCGAGTCAGCCACGCGGTTCAAACTGTTCCGGGGAGAGGTGCGGGTGCGGATGCAGGATTGTCGTAATGCGCGGGAGGAACATCCAAGATCAAGCGCGCGCGGCCAAGCGCACGCCATCACCGTGCGCCCGGATGAGTCGAGCTTCCAGGAAGAAGACAAGCTTACCTCCAGTATGTGACCGCTACAGAAGCCGGTGCCGCGATCAAACCAGTCATTATCCCTCAGTTCGTAGACCTTGACCCGTTTGCGACCGTCGGGCGGCGTGAGGTCCAGCGCCATGATCCGGCGAGAAAAGGGAGGGCACTTCACTCCGGGGCCTCCAGTATGAGCATGCGCCGGTTGCGAGGCCCTAGGAGATACCGAAGATGAGAATGGTTGGGTAGGGGTCGGGGGTGGAGATGATGGAAGAGTCTGCGGAGGGGATGACGATCGAAGGGAAAGGTTGGGTTTGTGAAGGGGGAGGATCCACCTGACGGGAAGGGCCTCGGCCAGTTTTCTACCTTTGCTTGTTATTTCTTCGCGCTTTCTATATTAGATGTGATTCTGAGGTGTTTATGGAGGAGCTCGTCCAAATATTCCAAATCTTTGAGAACTTTAAAAAAGAAGGTACCTGACCCACGATGGGGAGGAGGGAAGAAACGCCGCAGCTAACACGCGACCGGGAGAAGTGGACACTTCCGGATCTTCCAGAATCCTGGAAACTTCCTTGATATGAACACATCAAGGGACTGGAATGCCACATGTGCATTGGGACTTTATCGCCACTATCTATCAATCGAAGGTCCAAATTTATCCATCTAGAATTAAGGTAGATCTCCATGCAGTACGGGGAAGAAGCGGGAACCAGGAGGAAATTAACCTCCGGCATCGAAGCTTCGATCCATATTCTGCATCCCAGCACCAAAATAGTAATGAGGTAAGGGGATTACCCGTATAGATTACCCAAGGCTGCAAGGCAGTCACAGACAGGATCGGACTGTTCCGCTCTCGAAAGCTCGGGCCCTGTCACCGCCCCCACCGCCCAATCACTGATTGGGTAGCCACCGCATGGCAGATTCTTATCGACGCCTTCCCGATGAGGAAAGGTTCCAGACCGGCGTGGTCTTGGTAGCTTTTTTTCCTTGGCCAGCTTCTTGTTTTCCCTTTTCTACGCTTCCGTGTCTGTGTGTGCGCTAAAGACGAGCGACTTCTGGGGGTTTTGCGCTCGTTTCGATTATAAAGCTCCCTCTTCTTAGATCTATACCGCAAGCGGCCTGATCAGTGCGCCTCTGCATCTCTTTTTTCTGCAAACCCCGCTTTGCTGATCAACATCGCCTCAAATCTTCAACTTTGGGACGATGTCGGACTCCAAGAACCAGGTTGCCGTCCAGGCGACGGCTTCTAACGCCAATTCTACCTCGTCGTCTCCTAAGGATACGGCGGAGGTGGTGGTGCAGAGCCAGCGCGATGAAGAGGCGCTGGCGCCGGCCGATCAAGTTGATACGCAAAAGAAGGGGTTCTTCGCCTACTTCAAGACCAAGGAGTTCTACATTGTGTTGCTTTTAGGGTGAGCACTATAATCATTAATAAACAGGGTTCCCTGGAGAAAGGAAAGTTACGGAAACTGATTGAAATATAGACAAGCTCTCGCTATTATGAACACTGCGACGAGCACCTTCACCACCCTACTCACCGAGGAGAATTGGTCTATTCCTACTTTTCAGACCATTCTCAACTACATTGTGCTTACCTGCATCTTCACCCCTTACACCATCTACCGTTACGGTTTCAAGGGCTGGCTCCGATTGATCTGGCGTGACGGATGGAAGTGTATGTCACAACCCCGTATCATCTTGCTCGCGCCTCGCCTCTAATTAGCTCATTACAGACATCATCCTCGCTTTCTGCGATGTGGAAGGAAACTACTTCATCGTGCTCGCATACGAATACACAACCATGCTCAGCGCCCAACTAATCAACTTCTGGGCCATCGTCGTGGTAGTCGTTATCTCCTTCCTTTTCCTGAAGGTCCGATACCATATTACCCAAATCGCCGGTATCATCATCTGCGTTGGTGGCATGGGTGTCCTCATTGCTTCGGACCACATCACTGGCACAAACGGTGGCGATGTTTCCTCGGGTAACCAGCTCAAGGGCGACCTTTTCGCCCTGCTCGGTGCCTCGTTCTACGGCCTCACAAATACCGCCGAGGAGTACTTTGTTAGCACTAGACCTGTTTACGAGGTTTTGGGCCAGCTTTCATTATATGGCGTCATTATCGACGGTGTGCAATCTGCCATCTTCGAGCGTGACAAGTACAACGCCAGCCACTGGGACGGTAAGGTTGGAGGCTACCTGATTGGATTCACAATTTGTCTGAGCATGTTCTACTGCCTTGCACCCACGATGTTCCGATTATCGTCCGCTGCGTTCTTTAACATCTCATTGCTTACGATGAACTTCTGGGGTGTGTGCATTGGTATCAAGGTCTTCCATTACCACATTCACTGGATGTACCCCATTGCCTTTGTGCTCATCATTGTCGGTCAATTGATCTACTACCTGGGACGTAGAGCATTGGCAGAGGCAAGGAAGCCCTGGTTGGGAGAGAACCAGGAGCGAGGTGTTAAGGGGTGGTTCACTGCGAAGCGACGTATTGAGCATGAAGTTCCCGGTGCTGTGCTAGAGGAGGATCGGGTCCAGGATCAGCAGGGCTCTGGTCACAGCACTTCGCACGCCGTTGATACCCATGTCAATGCTGCCTAGGTGTTTTTCTGGCCATCCGGCCATGACTGTTTAGATTCTTATGCATCCTTATGCCGTGTGACTATGGGCAGGTGGTGCAAAGTACATACGTGAAATGCCCTGAGCCCTGAGCCACGAGATTTATACGGATCTTTGGAAGGATCTATCTTTGGGATCTAGATTGAGGATGGGGTGGGGCTTGCTTTGCTATAATGCTTAATTGCTTAATTAACGACTGAAATTTGGATACGACCCTCTTTCGCGAGAATGGACGTCTGCCAAGTCATTGAATGGCCTTTATCTTACATAAATTACGCGCAGTCCACATTTCATATAAAGTACAACTGTTTGGAGTAGGGGCATTTCGACTATAAAGAAGATGGCTATGTACGCTAACTTCCAAGGTTTGAAGCGGTAGTAGATCAGATTGAACCTCATACTCATAGAAGAGATATATAAGCCTAAATAAACACCTCAAGAACTAACTACTTAAAGATTTTCGCCCCTTGATTCTCCCTCTTTCCCCATAGTATAGAAGAATAAAGTAAATATGAAGAAAGTGACAGTCATCCAATTCCAATGTGCAACCCGAACCCCCCCCCCCTTCTTGCCAGAAAATATAAGAGGATAGTAACAAATAATAGCCATAGATATCCATGGAGACATTGCAGATGAACAAGAACAAGAACACCGAGAAATGAAAAGAGTCCATGAGACACTTCCACCGAAGAACGAGCGCCATATCCCGACCATTTCACACGGGCCCCAGAATGAATAAACAAAATAAGAAAGCACTTTCTGACATCCAAAAAGACCAATCAAGACACCGGAAAACAACCTTATCTCAAGAGGGTATTTTTGTTCGTTTTCAAAATGATCCGGTCCGTGGACACCAATGTTGACTCCAGGAACCCAGTTGTGGTAAAGTAGCAGACCCCTGTCCCGCCCCAAGCCAGGTCAATCCAAATCCGAAAACTAAACCGCGGAAAATGTAAACGAAAACAACCTAGATCGAGAAAGGCAGAAGAAAAAAAGAGTAATCCTGCTCCCGCTGTCATGTATATACCGTTGTGATCAGAGAAGCACCGCACCCACGCAAATAGAGAAGCCATTTTGCTCACACAACGCCACGAAAATTATCAAAAAGAGGTCGAAAGGCCCCCAAAGCGAATGCATACCACATATAAAGCGCCGCCGTGAAATCCCTCAATGCGGAATCAAATGAAGTCATGGGTATGAATTTTTCGATTTATTGGCCTTCAACCCCACACTGAGGCCTGGACGCCGAGCCCGCTCTTCGAGCCCCAGACGCCACTGCCGTTGGACCAGCCGAGGCCCACACCACCGGCCGCCGGGTCCTTGGGGCCGGGGGCGTTGGCAGCAGCCGTGACAGCTGGGTTGGGGGCTGCGGATGTAGCACGTTCGTTTGCGTTGGCAGCGGCCTCCCCGGGAGTGAAGCCGTAGCCTAGGGACGAGGATAGTGGGGTTGTCGAACGCTTGTTCAGGGCCGAGTTAGAGGTGGGAGCAGTAGTCTGCGGTCCTACAGGTCGAGATCCGATGGGGCCGGTGCTCGGCTTAGCTGAAGCTTGACGAGACGAAGACAAGTCGGTACTGCCAGGCGATGAAGTCGAAGGGACGGACTGCTCGGGGAAGCTGGCGTTGATAGCCGAGCTGGGCGAGGATGTGCTATTAGCCCGAGAGCTAGACTGCAGACCGGGTGCACCGTCGGTAGCAGCGAGGACCTGGTTCAGACCGAATGGGTCCACACCCCGCGGGGACGCTCCACGAGCGGCCGACGAGGGGGTACCAGCAGCCTGGCTCTCAGGGCGAGAGTTGTCGTCTGGCAGGGGGCCAGGGGGGAAGAAAGCCGGGCTCTCATTGCCGTACAGAGCCCGGTGCTGGCGAGCCAGGAGGTCTCGGCGACTGTCTTCGCTCACGGCAGCTGGGCTGAGGGATCGATCGGATTTGTTTGCAGACATCTCGGCGAGGAGGCCTTTGGAGAAAGAAGATCACGTATTAAAAACCGCGCATTCAAAAGAACATGCCAAACCAATATATTATACAAGGCCGACGGATACATAGATGCAAAGAAAAAAAATGACGGGGGAATATAAACGTCAAGGAGAGAGAGAGAAAAGCAAACACGCTACCACGTACTTCGGTTGTACTGCTGCTCCTGATGATAGTTGCGGAGCTCCCGTTCACGCTGAGCTGCCATCCGTCGCTTCGCCTGCATCATCTGTTCTACTTCATTTGGGCGTCCCTGGTACCGCTGCGAGGCATAGAAACCCTGCGCATTGCCGGAGGGGGGCATTCGGGAGCCTTCGAACTCGCTCACCGAGTGGTGTCGCTGGGGGCCGCCATTGCCGCCCATACGAGGGTCTGCCACGGGGAATTCAAGTCAGATCAACGCCGCATCGATCGAGGGTACGTCCACATACCGTAGTCGGGATAGGGACGACCCATCATCATGGGCATCGAGTCCCGGCGAGGAGCATTCCACAACTTCCCGCTCTTGACGAGATTGTCGATCGCACGATCAATTTCTTCACGAAACATCACACGGTCAGCACACTGTTATTTTCCAAATCACACCGACCAAACCCCACAATTCCCCGGTCTTCGCTTGCCGAAATTCAAGTTGCACCACCAAAGTCGTCGGTCATTGTCCCCGTTCAGGCATCATGCTTATTTTTTTTTTTATCGAGGCGAAGCGAAATGAAACGGAATTGTGGGTTCGACCAACAGTTAAAATACGAGGATTTGAGCATACCGTCAAATTGAGACGAAAAGGCCGGGCTATCTTCGCGCTGGGAGACCGAGCTTGAGCCTGTTGCAGTAAAATAAAAGTATGAGTATGTGTGTTCCGGAGATTTTTGCGGGCTGGATCCAATGCATTGTGCATACCTGACCGAGACGGCGGCACGGGCTGCTCCCAGGAGACCTGGCGCGCAGCAGGAGCCTGCCAGCCCTGTGGTTCGTAGTACGAAGACATGGTCGTTTGAGAGGGAATCTTCGTTGGTCGAACGAGCGGTTCAGGGGGGTGGAAGCGGCGAAGCAGATGATCCGTCCGGTAGAGGCGATCTGTTAGATCCCCCAAAAAGGTAAGTTTTATTTTCCAGTGACAAGCAAAGTATGGTATAAATTTGTCATGTATCTGCAAATATAATGAATGGATCCTTAACAATTCTCCCCGGATACCAGTTCTTCGAAACTGGGAGAAAAGAAAATGGCCGTGGGTCCGGTGTCGGTGGAATCGGGGCCCGGAGGGAGTTTTTTTTCACGAGTAGGGGGAACAGCAACCAACACGAAAAAAGCAACTTACGGGAAAACAGGCCTCGTGGAGGGGAAAGATTTAGGATAGACCAGAGAGAAGAGGGGAAGAGACGAAGAAAATCGGAAAAGGAGATGAGGGTCCAGCCTATTTTGGGGGTGGATTAACCGGAGTTTGATGGGATTTTGATTACTGAGAAAAAAAAAAAAAAAGAAAAAGAGGGGAACACATAGACTTGTACAACTCTTCGCTCTACATTTGCCCCTCAATAATTGATTTACTTTCTCACACATGCAATTATTCAGAATGTACTTCACAGAGACAAGTTGCGCGGCAATTCCCGGCACAGTCTTGTTCGCGATTGGGGAACTTGGGTACACTACATGGGGTCACCGGAGATTGCACGGGGCGTGTCTAAGCGTTGCTACTTAACTCTGTATCTTTTCCAACTTGAACTTTCGCTTGCATAGAACAGTCTTCTCTTGCATATGTTGGAGACTAAAATGATACTTTGACTTTCCCCAAGGTAAATACCGTGGGAGTTCTTCCCCGCGTATACATCGGAAGTCATTGGTACTTTCTATCGGTGTGTCCCCACCAAGTCATTTATAACGTATGATCCTTGTTTTCATTCCCGGTCTATCTCGATCCTATATAGATCCGCTTTCCTACATGGTCAATGTGTGGATGACTCGGTTGACAAGGATCCAAGAGGAATGTGCAGTGATGACGATGTTCTAATGTACACTGCACTCGCCTGCAGCCCGCCAAGTATTCCCGTGACTCTGACGCTGCCAGCTGCGAGTGGACACGAGATTTCTCAGATGGAAACAGCGCAGCCTTCGGAATGCCCTCGACCCAGGGTATGGCCGACCCTCCATGCAGCAAGACCTAGGATCTCCCATGAATTCCAGAAGTATGGGAATCCACAAACCCGCAGAGCCCCTCATCCCTAAAGGAGAGGGGCACAATGCCTGTATGTACACACGAAGTACATTCCCAAAGTCCAATAACGAGTCTCTGTAGTAAGCCAACCGCAAAAGAGAGAAAAGCAGAGCACCCCACGGAGACCGGTAGCTACACTAGTCGTATTCCTGCCTGGAACACCGTCGTTGGCCCGTGCCAATGCACCAACGCATCCTCTCGGTCAATTCAGGAGGGTGAAGTGGGGCCCGGCCACCAGCATTTTATATTCTTCCGCAAGGTCCACCGGCCCCTCCTCGGATTGCAGGCCTGTTTCTGTACGATGTGCCCCTCTTATGTAGTCCCGGGTTGGACGGCCCGGATTAATTCCCAGACAACTGCATGTTATAGACATTTATGTCTCAAGGTGGGGCTGGACTCGGAGTGAATCGACATGGAATGAAACTATTGTATACCAGGTCCACTCAAAATGCCGAATGTTTGTATTTTCGTATGTATGATCCGATCAACCTGAAGATAATTAAGGATTTGAAAGAACCATGTCAAATTTCCCCAGAAACTTTAAACCTTCCGAGTCTCTGCTTAAGCTATGCCTAGGTGTGCTCTCCCCGGGAACTGTCAAGGTTTAAAAAGCATAAGAATCAGGAATGTTAACTTGTCGTTCAAACCCTCCGTGTATCACCATAGTAATCGCTCCCGATGTACTGTCATGCTTCGCGTTACCTTGAAGGTCTCGATCCTGATCAGGCCCGTTCGTCATACGTAAACTGGATCGGATTGGAGCTAATCTGGCACTTGGCGGAACACCAGTTGATAGAATCATGGTCTTATTCTGTTTCGCTCCCTCTGGCACACGGACTCAAATCACACGCTCAAAGTTCAACTCGGTGGAAGCCCAGATCACATCCATGGTTCTAGCACAGATTCCGTGTAAAAAGAAACAAAGAGTGTCTGCCAAGTGACATCTGCAAGATGACGAACTAAAGGGCTGGCTGAAGCCTGCCCAGGGTTAGGGGAGGTGGACAGTCCACAAGGTTCTTTCATCCGGATCTGATGGTCCAATAGTAGAGAGGTCCGTGCAAAAACAAAGGGTGTCTGAATAAGCGATACATGTAGCTCGAATTGAATATACGAGTTGGGGAGAGAACCTTGGAAGGCACCAGCTAGAGATCAACGAAAATGAATCTCAGACCAAAAGCACCTGGATTAGGTTATAGTGTTTCCCGCACGTGCTGGGACGCGCAAAATCGCGGGGCCAGCAGCCGATCAATAAGGGGGAAGGCACTTGATATCAATATCTCCGTTGCCGTACCTGCATGTCAGAGCTCACACTGCACCAGACTTGCCTGAAAGGGGGATGTGAGTTCAATGATGCTGAACCATCTGTCCAATAGGGGAAAAAGTGACTTTGAGAAATAAAGGCGTTAGTGGCTTTCATGGTCATCGCGTAGAGCATCTAAATAGTGCGCCCAAATTGGAAATAGGAGAGGGGTTGGCAGGGAACAGAAAGGTTTAGCTCAGGAGTAAAGAAGAGCTCAATCACTGGAACTTGGGCACTTCCCAACTTTGAATCAATTTGAAGCTGAAACATCAAGGGCTTTTCCTATATTAGAATTGGTGGAGTAAAGTTGACTTCCAAGTGGAAGTGCGGTCGGCACGTCTTTACCGCCGACAGGGGCTGACCTCTTGATCATCTTCACATCTCTCATAACGCAACGCGCGCCTGGTCTCTCCCCTTTTCTTCCATTCAATCGGAACCCCGGTTGGTTCCTTCGAATCCCACCACTTGTACGTCGTCTCCCTACCCGCCCACGTTCTCCCCTATTAATATCGTCTATAGAGACCTCCGCCGCCAACCCGAGGACCTCACTCCAAGAAGTGACCTCACCGTCTGTATTATTTGTTTTTTTTTTCTGACCCCCTGCTCCTGGTTGAAGCAATTTCCTTCATTTCTTGTTGTATTACTTGTGATCTCTTTCGTTCGTCCGGTCCTAAGGGAAACCAGCCGTGCTCGCCAATCCACAATTTGTGAACCATTGTTTGAGGACCATTGAAACCTCTTGTCCCGCACCACCTCAAAAGGCAAAACCACTTGCACTCCAAATTCCGCCTAACAGGAACGCAACGCGATTTTCACACCCGTGACAGCGAAAGCGTCTTTGAGACGAATTGTGGATCGTTTTCATTGGACTTCATTGAGTGGAACCCGGAGGGGCTGTCCTGAGTGTGGTGGGTGTGGAAATCTAAATCTCAGCCGAGTCGCTCGCCGAGTCAGAGAAAAAAACCTCCCCCATCCCAAACAACCAACCTGGTGTTGAAAATTGCTATATGGTCTCTCATATCGATGGGAATACCAAGTGTTCCCACCAGCCTGGTGACATCGCACCGATAGCATCGGATCAGCCTTCCACCATGGCAGCATGGAGTCCGCAGACCGATGCGCCTGACCCTCGAGAACGTCCTGCATTAAACTCCCAGCAATCGAACTCCCTCCCCTCAACCCCTTACCAACATGCGCGCAACCTCTCTTTCCACTCCCGGTCGCCGTCCCCCGTCCGCGGAAGCACCTCACCTCGATCGACCCACTCCGAGTCGACCCATCTTCCTCGGAAACCGCTCGGGGCTTGTAAATATGAAACGGCAATGTCTTTCTTCCGAAGACGAATACCATATAATCTTGGAACGGATATATTGCCGGAGGAGAAGGAGGGCTTGAAAGAGAAGTTAGAGCCGGAGGAGGAGCAGAAAATGACGACAGACATAATGGACCTGTACGATCGATTATTACCGTCCGCCGAGAGTGACGATCGAAAGCGGCAGCTGGTACGGAAATTGGAGAAGTTGTTCAACGACCAGTGGCCCGGGCATGAGATCAAGGCCAATGTGTTTGGTTCGTCGGGGAATAAGTTGTGCTCAAGTGACTCGGATGGTACGTTAACCACCTGGGATGGAAACCGCTGCGCCTCAGAAGGGAGAGCTGGACAGCCAGGCTGACTCGGAACAGTTGACATTTGCATCACAACCAACTTTAAGGAACTGGAACATGTGTGTTTATTAGCGGAGGTTTTGGCGAAGCGTAAGATCGCCCTTGGGGAGAGGCATCGTGAACCGCGGAGTTGCGACTTGGACTGAACTGACCGGATGGAACAGATGGAATGCAACGAGTTGTCTGTGTTTCGCATGCGAAAGTGCCGATTGTGAAAATCTGGGATCCGGAGCTAAAGTTGGCATGCGACATGAACGTCAATAATACCCTGGCTTTGGAAAACACTCGCATGATTCGGACGTATGTTGATGTTGATGAACGGGTTCGGCCATTGGCGATGAGTGTCAAGCACTGGACAAAACGTCGAACCCTCAACGACGCCGCCCTGGGAGGCACATTAAGCTCATACACCTGGATCTGCCTGATTATCAACTTTCTGCAGACCAGGAACCCGCCGATTTTGCCTAGTCTTCAAGCACGCCCTCACAAGAAGAAAGTAACGTCCGATGGTTTAGTTTGTTCATTTGATGATGATTTGAAGGCATTGAACGGGTTTGGGCGAAAGAACAAGCAATCAGTGGGAGAGTTGTTCTTTGAGTTCTTCCGGTATTATGGGCATATGATCAACTATGAGCAGAACGTCATCTCCGTGCGGGAAGGTACTTTGATCTCAAAAGAGGGTAAGGGCTGGCACTTGCTTATGAACAATCGCCTCTGCGTGGAAGAACCATTCAGTATTTCTCGGAACTTGGGCAATACGGCTGATGACACGTCATTTCGGGGTCTGCATTTGGAACTAAGGAGGGCGTTCAAGTTCGCTGCAAAGGGCGATTTGGATGGATGCTGCGAGCAGTACGAGTTTCCCAAAGAAGAAGAGCGGACTTGGGAACGACCTCCGCCTCAACCAAGACCGATCATCGCTGCACCCACCCGTGGGGGTCAACGAGGTGGACGTGGAGGTGGCCGGTTCCCCCATCAGGGCTACCGAGGAGGAATTGGTGGTCGTCGGACCTCCAACACGGGGAACAAGGGCAATAGTACCTTCAGGCAGCCGAGTACGACGAATGCAAATGACCTGTCTTTACAGGCCCAGCAGCAGGCCCAGTACCTGTTGCACAATGAGCTTTATCAGCAGATCCAGCTTTTGCAGGCACAAGAGCAGGAATTGAGGATGCAGCTACACAACCAGGCACTGATCACTGGGCGCCCTCCACCGGTGTTCCTCCGCCAGTCATTATTCCCATTCGCCGTACCTCAGCAACCTGAATTCTCTGCGGATGAGGACTCAAGGTCAAGATCTGGAACGGTGAATCATCCGCCGCTTACTCCCTCACATCGGCCACATCAACCCTTCTTCGCCCCAACCTATGCTTCAGTCAGTGCTTCTGGCACACAGGGAAGCTCTACGAATCCTTCATCGCCTTCTACGACTGCCGCCGTTCCTGATCTTCGCCGAAGCCCCCGAAGATCATCTGCTGTAAGCGCTTCAGCTAAGGGATCTGGATCTCTTCGGGCGCAGTCGCAACCTGCTCGACCGCAAGATTCACCGTCTTCGCAGACCTTCCCACCTCTTTATACGATTCCACAGCTCTTGGACACTTCCTTAGGCTCCACGCAGCGCCCAGCTCCAGAGTCATCAGAAGGCGGAGAAGGCAGTAGCGATGAAAATACGATGGCGCCAAACAGCCTCCCCAGTAACGAGTCTCGCTCTGGCTCGGTAGATGAAAACCGGCCACAAGATCTCATGGGATATCTGGTCTCCCCTCAACAATTGCAGGTCTATCAACAGAACTCAATGTTGCCACCTTTGACTACATCTATGGGGTTGACGCTGCCAAATGGCTACACGGCTTACCTGCCCGTTCAGCAACCAGAATATAAATCCAGCGACTTTTCGTCTGATATCTCGGCACGGTCGGACCAAACTCCTACGATGACATCGAGGTCTTCGGTTTCCCAGCCACCGCCACGATCGGCTTCTCGTCTGGCACCCGCCGACCGTGGTCCTCTGATTGTAGATGGTTCGGTGCCACCCAGTGAACCGCGTGCGTCGTCATACACAAATGATTTGATAGACCCGTATACTGCCGTGACTCACTATACCTCCACATCGGATGATCATAATATCAATACGCCCGCCAGCTTTTCTGATTCACTGTCTCAGGACTTTCGAGATCCGGGCCCTTTCGAGTTGGAGCCACCATCCAATTTCATTCGCCCGTCGCAGTTTGAGGTACAACAGATGACAAACGGCAACGGTGAATCACAGTCGGATAAGATGAATGGTCAGCCTGAGCTTCTTGCTAGTCGATTGCAAAATTACCACCTGTCGAACGCGGAAAAGCTTGCTCAGACGCACGCTTCAAGCAAGACCTCTATTAATAAATCGAATACAGCGCACCAGTCAGGCAAAGAAACACATCAGCCGCCTCAGCCCAAGAACTCAGGATCATCCAACGACAAAGCCTCCAATGGGTCACATTCAAATGAGCCACGGCGGCAACCGTCCAAGCGGCGACCAAATGGTGGGGAGGCTTCTGAAAAGGCTAATGGTGTGAATCACAATCATAACCATCATCATGGCCATGCCCATAAGCCCAAGTCCAAGGGACGACACGATGCGTCACATAATCACTCGTCCAATGCGCCGAACGACTCCAAGGACAGGCATGGTGATCACCCACCTAAGAAAGCAGGCGGAGCCACCACGAACGGTACAACCGAGAACAGCCACGGATGGCAGACGACCAAGAAAAAGCACCGCAGGACCCCCAAATCATCTGCTGAGACTCGGAACGGTGTCCACAATGGCCCCGACCCGATTCCTGTAGATGAATCTTTGCGAAAAGGTGGCTGAGCATCGCAGTTTGGCTCTCTCCCTGAGGTGGCTCCCCTTTAAGATGACATCGGATGTTGAGTCATTTTTCGACAAAATCAAATTAAAAGCGCACGATCTGAACAAGTATCAATCAGTGGGAGACGCAGCAGACAAAATCTTGACTGTATTTTCCATCAAAGCATATCCACCTGGGAAGATCCTTCAGTTCTCTTCCTCTGTTATTATTAAAACGCCATCATTACGCCAAAGAAAAAGAAAACCCAGAAACGAACCCCATCCTCTTGAGGCAGTCAATCTGCCCAGAGCTCGATCGCCCGAAACTTATCTTTAAATGTCTTCCATCCTGACCGAATGTTTTCCTTTTCGTCCAATTTTCATTTCATCCATTTTCCGGTGTCAAGGCGGTTCGAACGGCAGGGGCTTGGGGACGCATATGCGAATTGCATCATATTATCATTATCATTCATGGCATGTCATTACCTATCATTGTCATTGCCTCTGGGGAAACCATTGGCCTGTTTTTGTGCTTGTTTCCTGGTATGTTGTCCATTTCTATATCATCAATCTTCTAGCAAAAACGATGCACTGCACGATCCGTTTCTCATTGCGAAGTTGTTTGGAGTTCTTTTGTGTTGAAAGGCTAGACCCGGTCTTGTTTTCTTGTTCTTTTCCTTCAACTACCACATCTTCCACTTCACCTTGCCTGTGACTGGGGTTATTAGGGTGCCATCCTTTCGGCTTTGTATAAAAGAGAATAACGTTGTCAATGAATAAATAACAAAAACATTCGAAAAGGGATATTCCTCGTTGCTTGATAGATAGGATGGAGTTGAAGATCCATATTCATGTAGTATTTATGGGTGTTGTGTGCCCACTTTATTGTAAGACTCGAAGCTTAGTGGGTGAAAGGGGAAAAAGGAGAGTCTTCCTTGAATGGGGATTTGTTGCTTGTCATATACCTATTTGGTCGCCTTATATGGCGCCATCGATATCGCCGGTCCCGTCACCTGCATGTGCCTGGGGTTGCATATGCTGCTTTGAGGCATCAAAATCATGATACAAGTCCTCCTTTACCTAATATATCACCTGAACAGCAGAAAGCAGCACCGGTCAATTGTTCTGTCTGTCCAAGGGGTATTCAAGCAAATTTAGTGTACATTCAAAATACAAGATTCAAATAACAGGACATAAGTGTACTCCAGGGCTGATACGTATAAACAAGGATTATAGAGCACATGCTAGGTCCCGAGGTACAGATATTCCTTATCTACTCAAGGTCACACCACTTTCCTTTCCCGGAATGTAGATGAGGATTCAATTATCATCTTAGAAATATAGTAGCATTGCGTCATCCAGACGAGAAATGATGGGATAGAATATAGTACATCAGTGATAGAGCAGTCCCAGGACTGCGAGAGATCTCGTGTAATATCTTTTTCTTTTCACATGGCCGAAAAAGCGGAAAGATAACAGAAGATGTGCAATTAATCACATAAGGGGTTGTATAGGCTCCGAGAAGTGAAACTGATATTAAGACAGTATGCCCGCCGCCGAGAAATCAGTTGAAAAAGGCAATAAAAACAATATGTTCATAAAGGTATGATATGGGGAGGGGTAAGGCATCTATTCCCATTTATGCAGATGCAGGGTCAGGAACAGAGCTCGGCGAGGATGTATGGGACGATCACGATGCAGGCTGTCCAGAAGACCATTATGGATTTGAAGGGGAACAGGAATAGTTGGGTTACTGGAGTTTCGCGGAATAGGACCCAGATGGAGAGGAAAGCGACAGTGAAGAAGTGGGCGACGAGGACGAGGGGTTGCTTGAGCAGACCTGCGAGCATCAACACAGGCTGGTCCACAGGTCCGATCTGGAAATAGCGGAAGCAGCCACGCTGTAGAGCCCGGAGGTTCACGTCATCGGCAGCAAACAACATGTACAGAGCTTGCGCAAGAATATTGATGACGGTCGAGGACTTCTTCCTCAGCCAGTGGAAACGAGAAAGCTGTTTCAGGACAAGCTCTGTGTCTTCGAAACTTGGCACAACTTCGGGACTAAGCAGGTCACGGATGAAGCACACGTCGTTCAATGCCACAGTCATTCCACCACCTGTCAGGGGGTGTCGCATGTTGAGCGCATCGCCTAGAATTATCAAGCCGGGTGTTTTGTTCGTGGAGGCAGGCAGGAACGAGTTCGGCATAGATCGTAACTTGTCCTTCTCCAATGCAGCCAAAAATGAGGGCTGCACCTCCTTCGGAAGGGAAGGCAGAATTGTGTTTCGCATGTAGCCCTTCACACCTCCATTTTTCACCGACGCGGGGGGAAAGTTATCCGGGATATCGATCAAAATTCGGGTCTCGTGGGTGCCGATCTGGTATATGAGGACCGGCGGGCTCTCGCTGAGAAGGACATGGCCATAGCAGGGGGAGGGGAGGGGAGCGTCGATCATTTCCAGGCCATAAAACTTGGATCGGCGCTTCGGGGCATGTTGGTGGTGGCCCTTGCGGAATTTCGAGTCGTACCCATCGGCGATCACGGTTTGCTGGCCAAAGTAGCAATCCTTCAAATCCTTCGTCACACACTCGACACCGAGGACCTGCGGCGACTGCGTCGAGGTCACCAGTCCTGTCGCCTTCGTCTCGACCACCGTTACGTTCGGACAAGCCAGCGCAGCCTGGCGCAGTTTCATGACGAAGCGGCCATGGTGGAAAGTGCGCCCCCGAGGCTCGGGCTCGGAGGAAGTCTCCCTAGGGTAGTTGAGGCGGACCGGCTCTCCATAGTATGCAATGTGATATCCCTTCACAGGAATCGCGTCAATGTCGTCCAGACACTCCAGCAGGCCCAGCTTTTCCAGTGCCTGCACGCCACCGGGTTGGAGCAGTTCGCCGACAATGCGATCGGGTTCTTTCATGGATGCCTCCAATAAGACCACGCTTCGCCCTTGTCTGCCTAGCGCGACTGCGAGGGCACAGCCCAAAATGCCGGCACCGACGATCACAACGTCGGCCTCGTGGTGTTCGAGGCGGCGGCGGGCAGCCTGAGATTGTACGGCATGGCCGTTGAGTTCGGAGATCATGGTGGAAGGCGAAAGTCTATGAGAGGAATGGCGGCCGTGGCCGCAGGGGCATTATTGAAGGGGTTTAAAAGGAAAAAATAGATTGGTTGAGGGGCGAGAGTGTATGGGCTGATTCATAGAAAAAGTTGGGAAAGGGGGCATGGCCTGACATGTGAAAGGAGCTCTCCGCCTTTGGTGATAAACTATACGAAGTAGATCTGAGTCTCCTTGACTTCCTCTGTCTCGCAACCAAGATCATTGCGCAATGTCTATTTTCTTCATTCGAAATCGCATGATTCTATTTCGCATGATTCTATTTTCAAGAAATTGGTTCTTTTGTCCATGATTCAACGAAGAGTTACGCCACATGGACTGATCCCCTAGGCTCTAGATGCTATTACAACCCAGGGTTCCCATTCTGCACATGCCCTAAACCGTCATTTGGCATAGTTACCATACACGCATAAACAACTGGGCTTGAACTATATCTGCTGGTTGCCTTTGCGATTCCGCCCGCATCGGCATGTTTGACAGCGCATGAAAAGACTAAGTGGTGGCCTGATCTGTAGGGCACCAATATAGAGTTACTTTCCGCCAACGCGAGGGAATAATTGAAGTATTGGCTGCATAACACTCTGCATGATGCGTGATAGAGCTCCGAGCGCTTTAATATGTCAATCTGATTATGAAAACTCAATTCAAAGGTGGGGGAATTTCCATGCGCGCCATTTACTATTAGATCATCAATAGTGGCCGTCTTCTGGTAGCGTACTCATAAGACTTTGAAACATCATTACATTCAGATTATACAGTCTGATCTATGCAAAAGCCGCGAGATGACTATGCACAGGCCAGCAAGTATATGCGAGTGCTTGAATGCTAAAAATTCAAAAAAGTATGCTGAATATCTCGAGGTTGCCCATGAGAAATTTCTAATTGGCCCAATCCCAGGTAGTCAAGCAAAGGTCTTTAAAGACTGGTGATATCAATTACATGCACCGATGCATCAACTTATATACGTAAAGCGTGACTGCATATTGGATTTGCCACCGGTCAATTGTGTGTCAATTTTTAGGGTCAAGGTCTATCAGCAATGCGAATCCCTAAACTCATAGTATCAATCCTGCCTTCCTAAACATCTCAAAAGTTTCCAGCCATCCCTGAACATGATCTCTGTCCCCTTCAAATCCTGTACCCCTAATTTTCTCCAAACTGAGTTGCCGGTCAAAAGTCAACCAGTAGCCCACACTATCAAGCTGCCGCCTTCCAGCACTAACGCCTCCACTAACAGCATTCACCCGCCCAAGCGCTGCAAACTTATCCTGATGCTCGGTGATATACTCTCCAGGCGTCAAGAATTCAGTGGTTTTGGGTAGCTCGCCTGCCTTCAAAGTATCACCAATGGCTTGTGAGTCCTCGACGGGTCCCACACCCACCAGGCCGAACCAACTTGCTAGTTGGGGCCACAGCTCACCATACTTGCAAGGATTCTCGTTATCAGCGATATTAAACAAGTGACCCTCACCACATATCTCAGGATGCAGTGAAGCATATATCATGAACCGGGCAAGTGTGCTGCTTGATACTGGAGTGAACAGCGAGTTGGCGCCGGCCACACTACCAGGGAATGGTACCTGCACGGCACTTGTGCTGGACCCTGGTGTTTCAGGTCCAATCCCATGGTTGTAAGCCCATAGTGATAGGTACTGAGCCCAATGTAGTGCTAAGCTGAACTGGGAACCATTGGGAGTGAAACCAACCTTAATTGATGTTAGCTGTGCTCTCAGAAGCATTAAAAAAATACTGACAATTGCGTCTGGACAGACTTCGCACCATGTCCATTGCTTTCCCTTGCTCTTTTCATTGAGAAGCTTGCGGTATGCTGGGTAAACAATTGTCTTTGCGGCTTCGATCGGAAGCCTGTTCACCATACCCTCGGTCAAGGGAGGAGTGAATGTGCCCCCGGGACTGTATATACCGTATCCCTGTTCCTTTTAGTATGTAAAAACCAAAACGGTTAGTGGTGATCACTCACCCGCGTTCCGCCAGGGACCACCACGAATTGCAAGTTGGGACTTATCAAGCCGTGGGCATCGATGACATTCTTGAACATTCGCAGATTGGTGGCGAATTCCTCACTTTCGTCCTTAACCGCGGTGAAAACTGCGATAGTAAGTTTTTGAGTCTTCATATACTAGGATGGAGAACGACGTTACCAAGGTAATAGATATGGGTTACACTTTCAACTTCTCGGACTGCGTGTTTAAGAGTCTCTGCCAATGTAGCGCCATCGCCGTGACGAAGGTCGATGCCTGACACGAGTTGCAGGTCTGGTCTGTCTGGGGCCGATGTAGGCCAATGAGATTCAGAGAGGGTAATCGGGCGGTTTGTTATCGCGGTGACTTTGGAAAAAGTGCCGGCATCAGGGTAGGCACTCAAAAGTTGGTTTACCAGAGCCCAACCAATGAGGCCGGATGCGCCAAACACGATGGCATGATTGGAGTCGCCCATTTTGGCTGGAGAATGTTGATGGCATGTATGTTTTCCACTGAGGGGGAATAGTTGATTTTTAAACTCGCATGATCTGCAAACTATAATGAGAGAGTTCATGTTCATGATCCACTTTCTCCATGATACACCATGACTCATCATGGGTCATAAGTTAACTAACGCATCAATCCGCGCATATGGGTGGAGGAGCTTGGCACGAAGATTTATTTCCTTCTGTTGGTATTTCTTTTTATGAAACTCTTTTGTTATTCTTCTTCAAGTGATCTTAATTCTTCTTAAGATTCCGACTTTCATTGGGAGCATGCCAATTCTGTAGTGAGAGTTTGCTGCAGAGAACCAGGAAGTACTACGTAGTAGAACCAGAGGCATGTCAATGCAGGTGTTCCAATCATCTTTGGATTGAATGTACAGTGTTGATGATATTATAATACAAAAAGAATATTTACAGCGATACCGACACTGTTTGAGGTTGTACAGGATATTCGGGATGCTCTGGTTGTCGGCGATTGGATTGCACCACCATACGCTCGCTCCACCAATAATCCAACTCTCTCTTGGTGAACTTCTTTCGGTCAATGACATAGTCAAATTCCATCTCTTCGTCAAATGCCTTGATTGTCTCTTCGATCGTCGTAGACATGGGCAGCTCCTGGCTTTTACCCGGTGGGTTGCAAAGCCGAGCCCGCGACTGCTTCTTCAGCTCGGGATCTGTAGTGAAATCCATCCAGTACTGGCTTCCGTCATGCTTCTGTTTCAGAACGGCAACAAGCCCTCGCAGTGTCTCCACGACAGACGGAGAAAATCTCGATTCCCACACAGACATCAGACGTTCAACTTCAACGACAAAGTCGCGACGGATTGATTCTCCGCGAGCAAGAAGTGTCATTATGCACCACCACACGCCGCGGGGATTGTTGACATATGTGAAGGCACGAATAAACATCTTGAGCTGGACTTGATCGAAGCCGTAAGTTTTGCGCCATTTGGACATGTAGATGGCCTCGAGGAGGTTCACAGCGACGAGGGGACGGCGGAGCGAGATCATGCGACGAGCAACAGCCGCTGAGCAGTGATGCTTGACAGTTAATCTCTCATTTTGGGCACAAATTTCGTAAAATTCGAAGAGAGCCAGTTTGATCAATGTGCTTTCGCTGACCATACGGCGGTCCAGCTGCATCACCTGCTGGAAAAAAATTGGGGCGAAACGCGGCGTGCGCTCGGTATATCGGTGTGATGGCTGTTTGGTGAATTCCGTCCAGTGCTTCTTGATTATGTTTTGGGCATCTTCAAGACCGCTCTTGCCTCCGTGGAGAAGAGTCGCAATGGCGACAAGCTGGATGTGAAGCGGCTTGGGGGTGAAGCCTCTCTCGACACCTTGCTGAAAGAGGTCTTGTACCTCGAGGAATTTGCCAACATGGATATAATGCTCCATTCGCTTGTGCATCGGAACATATAAATTGACGGAGCTCTTGGAAAGAGTCTTGACAATATGAGATTCCGATCGCTTGGCTTGATCACCGATTGGGGTCAATTTGTCCTTTTCGATGTTATAGTATTCAGCGCCAACGCCCATGATACGCCGAGACATGGAGACCATTCCATATTGTTTCTTCGCCGACTGGAGCATTTTCCAGAAACCTACTGGCGTATTTTGCATAGCCAGCCGACGTGCTTCTAAGATTCTCATGGTTGCATCGTGGTCGATTCCAGTATTCCATTGGCGCTCGTCAGCCATGAGAGTGAACTTTGTCAGAATCTCGGGCTCACATCGTTCTACTAATCCTTCAATGCAGTGTCGGTGAAGAACCTTATCAGGCTTAAGGTTGAACTCGATGATGCAGTTTTCAAGAAAACTCCAAATTTCAGACCCAGAGTGAGAGGGCCAAAACTCTAGCCAGAGCCGGTCAAAGACCTGGCAAAAGTTCTGTTTCTGCTTTGTGAATCCAAGTTCATGCATCTCACGCATTCCGCGGAGGACACCGATCCAATCACATTGTAAGGCTTTGCCATACAACAAAAGACCGAGAGTACGGCAGCCGGGTTTGGCGCCGTGCTTTGTTTCCATGTCACGAATGATGGCTTCCGCATCCTCATATTGACCCGCATCAACAAATGCTTTGACCAGCGCATTAAAGACCTTTTCGGTTGGATTTCGTTCGAGTTCGGTAAGACTGCCCAAAATCTTTCGAAATTCCTTGCTGATCAATTCAACGTTGTGAGTCTTTCTCCAGAGGCCATCAAGATATGCTCCGCAAAGGCCACCACTCTCGTCATATTTGATACTTGAGTAGAAGAGCCACTTAGCAGCACTCAGCCGGTTGGATTCAATAAGACACCGAAGAGTGACTTCCAGCAAATAGACCGGAATAGTGAACTTGAAACGATACTTATCATATACCACCGCCGCAGATTCGACATGACCTGCCTTTGCAAGCATATGTATCATGGTAGCCCACAGATTTGTGTCCACAATTGACACCTTTTCGATGCGATTAAAAATAGACCGAGCAATAAACACATTGCCTTGCAAACAATTCGCTGTGTAGATCTCATAGCCAAGCGCTCGCCTGTTCCATGAGATTACTTCATTTGAGGATGTCCCCTTGAGAAACAGATTGGCAGCATCCACCGCCCGTCGTTCCACCAATCTATCCCTTATTGATTCTTCCAGTGTAGGCCGACCCTTTACCCGTCGAGCTTCGTCCTCTTCAAGCTCTCTAGCCAATGCAACTTGGTTTTGGTGGCTACTTGTCGGATCTTGGAATTCTGTTGCGAGGGCCTTGAGCGAGGTCGGGCGGATTGCCAATGTAGGCCGAAGATACCGAGTCGGCCGAGTCATAGGGGGAGGCAGGTTGTTGTCAATATTTTGTTCAAGGGTGCTCTGGTCAATGTCAACCGGAGACCCCTCGCTCCCGCTGCCAGATGACGGCTTGTGCTTCAAAGAATCTAAGCCCAGAAACTCACCAGCTTCTGCCGCGTCCATCATGAGTGCAAGGCGTCTGGCAGAAGCCGTGGCATCATAATTTGGTGCCGATGTCCGGATTGTACGCTTATTCTCAATGATCTGCTCAGCCACGCGAATCCGTCGGTGGACATCGTAGGTAATGGCGCCAACGGTACAGAAGGTTCCCACGGAGCCAGCGAAGGCCAATTGGCGGAGGACGCGGAGGGCATTGCGTGAAGGGACGGCCGGCGTCGAATTGGCGGCTTTGGGGAACATGGTGTGCGCCGCCCAGTGCGCGCTGGATTTACCAGCGGTTCATCAATGGCTCCAGCGATAGAGGATGAACAGGAGGTAACTGTTCAGAAATCCTCTACTCGGGACACCGTGGTCAAAGTGAAGCTTGAGTTGTGCCAGAAGGCAATTGATGTTGGGGAGGGTCAAAGGGTAAACTCGGGCGACTTTTTTCGGAAACTCGAAAAAGCTGCGCGATTGTGCCGTGTCGCCCGCCGGACTTTATTGATCGGATTCGATCGGCTGATGCTACTTCGATCTTACGATTGTTGAACACTCATAAAAGGCAAATTTTCGTGACAAATTCTACATTAACTGAGCTCTTCAAAACTTCTATTGATTGTGACTTGCAGAAAATTGTACCTTCAGGGCAGATTCTATCTGCTTATCGTAAAAGCAATTGATCCTCCTCGTCTTCTCCATCTTCGTTAGCCTCGACCGCTATGTCAAATGCAGGCTCATCGTCAAGGGTCACTATAACAGCAGAGTCAGCGCGTTTCCTGATAGATCACGAGAAGCAACGTACCATGTGGTCGAATAAAGAAGCTCAAGAAACTGGCAGCTCCAAAGACAGATGCAAGAAGCATAAAAACTGTTTGAGGATGTGACCTAACAGTCAAACTATAGATCAAATTGAAAACCGTAGGTGCAACCACCCGAGCCAGAGCATGCAAAAGGCCTGTTGCGCCAAGCAACTGTCCAACGCGGTCATGCGGCACATGCTTAGTGAGCGCAGACTGGATTGTCGGGGGTCCCATTCCACCAAGACAAGTGATAATACCTGAAGCAAGCCAGGCAGTGCCTGTCTTCGATAGAGTAAAGCAAATATACCCAATAATATCGAAGAGAACAGATATGCGAATGATTATGACGTCGAGCATATCGGACCCGCGAATCATGCCATCGTCAGGGGTCGGCGTGCGGAAAAGCCAGGAGATGAGAGGTAAGAATACAAATAGGTTGATGGTGCGCAGACCATTGACTATCGCAACGAACAGACTCATTTCCACATTCCCCCAGTCGAACATATACTCGGCGTAAATAATGATGACCTGTACCGTGCCCATGGCGACGCCGAATAAAGCCACATCCATCATGGCCAGCATGAGGATATTGCGGCGCAGAGCTGGGCTAGCACCTTTCCGGTTGGGGAAAAGAACACTCGGTCGCCCAACGGCAGGCCAAAGAATTTTCAGAGGGGTAACGAGGTTCAATGGGTTGAGAGCCTTCCAGGAGTACCATTTGGGCTCATCGTCTGTCGCCTTGAAACGGTGCTTAGCACGAGCCACCAGTTGAAGTTCCTTGGATAAGGACTCAGGAACCACTAAAATAACACACAAGGAAAAGAAGGCATGCAATAAAAAGCCCGTGTAGAACACGGGCAACGAGCTTCCTGTCTTACTGATGATATATGCTGCACCGCTCGGCCCAGCTGCCACACCCAAAAACAGCGCACCATGAAATAAACCAAATGCCACACTCCGTCGGTTGGGAGGTGTGCAATCGGTTGCGTAAGAGTGAAGCACCACCTGGGCACCGGTGATAGATCCACCCAGTCCGTCCACCAGCGCTCCGAGCAGGAACAGGTTAACGGAGAGAGCTTCGGGCCATGTTCCCAGAAAACAGGTGATTGATTCACTGATCGCAGAGCATGTCCCGCACAGAGCAATCAACTTGGTCCGGCCGTAGGCATCCGATAAGCGGCCGAGCCGGGGACTGACCAGGGCTGCGACGAGACCAGAAATGAGGTTGATGTATAGCTGCAGCTGGGCAACCTTGGATTGAACATCGGGTATCCTACACTGAGGATTATCTCCGGATATAATCACGGGGAGGTATGTGAAATGAGGATCTTTGAGACTCCTTTCATAGAGATAATTGCGGCATACTAGATCCCTCATTAGAGTAACCTTGGGGACAGCCAAGCCGCCAAATCCAATGGTGAAGACCAATGTAAATGGGAGTAACCAGTATATCTGGTATCAAGACAAACTGTTAGATTAAAGAGGATCAAATGATACATTTTATCCTGTATCGCTGGCATTGAGTTCGCTTACACTTGGTCTCCTCCATCGCGGTCGTGTGTCTGGGTCTGTGTCGCGAAGCTGCGGTACTTCCTCTGGCCACTCATCATCCCCTTCATTGCTGGCTAGCAGCGGCTCATGGTGCACGTTTAAGACCGTGCCATCTGCAGTACAACGTGTCTCTTGAACCAGACTCTCGGTGGCCTGTTGCACATCCAGAGCGGATTCGCCTGCGAAGAGCTCCTCGTTCTCCATTTTGGTGATGAATCCCTTGGAGGATGCGGGGTGAGAATCTATCGCATGCTACTGAAAGGAAAATCGAGGCGATAGACGTGCAATGGTTCCAAATTTGGGACTAAACAGGGAATGAGGGGATAATTGGGTTTCATGCGTCAGCGTTTTTGTCTTATCAATCAAGCTTGGAAATGCGCCCGATAGCAATCGGTGGATGGATCCACATCCGAGGCACTCGACACTGCATAATATCCGAACGCTTCGGTCATTTGCCTTTTAACTCCGACTATTTTTGTAGATACCTGATCTCGTAATTATGAAGTCTACGTCAAATCCCGAGGAACTGTCTCCATTAACATCCCAAATTCCACAATTTTAATTTATACAAGATCCTGAAACGTGGCCGAATTAACTCCTCAACCCCACCCGCCCAGCACTATATTTACATACACAAAAGCCCGCGTGTATAAGATAAGCCAGAAAACCAAAATAGATGATAAGAGAAGTGCAAACCTCACACAACAAGAGACGAGAGCTCCTTCCCGGCGAAGAATTTCTTCTGCTCGAGGCATCGCTCACTGCGACAGCCCTGGCAACGCAGGGTCATCTGGGCAGAGCAAGGCTCGTTCTTCTGTAAATGTTCATGTGCAATATCTGCAAGACCTTGGATGAAGGTCTGGTTACCATTCAAACTCTCTGCGCGCTTAACGCCAGGGCTGTTGGCTTCCTCCATAACCTCCAGATCTAACTCGTACAAGGTCTCAATGTGGTCACTGGTGAAAGCGATGGGCACAAGAATCAAATCGGATTGCCCGCGCTTAACATAGTTCATCACTGTGTCAGAGGTCTGTGCGCCAAGCCAGGCAGAGGGGCCCACTTGGGACTGCCAGCACAGGCGGTAGGGGTTGCTGAACTTGAGTCGCTGCATTACAGCGTGAACAGTCGCGGCAACTTCGGAGGGATAAGGATCACCTAAATAGATAGAAAAAGATACGATTAAAAAAGCTCTGCTCCTCGCATGAAACAAAACTTACCTCGGTTAACAACACTCATGGGCAAGCTGTGCGCAGAGAAGAGTAGCACCACCTTGTCCCGCTTATCCTCCGGGTAAGTCATCAGCTGGGCCTCGATGTTTTGCGCAAACGCCTCAACCAGGCCAGGGTGAGTGGGCCATCGGTCGATGACACTCCAGTTGATCGCGCCAGTGGCATCCACGTCTCCATTAGCACGCTTTCCTTCCAGGCGATTCTGCCACTTCCACAGCTCGTTCAGTGAACTGCCAGTGGTGGAGCACGAGTACTGTGGATATTGCGTGAAAGCGACCGCACGACCTCCCTTGCCATTACCGAATCCATCCTCGAACAATTGGTTGTACATCTCCTCCGTCAACGGAGCGGCGTAGCGAAAGGCGACGTAGGGCTTGTGTGGCGCGGTCTCTGGAGAGATCTTATCCAATAGCTTACACATCTCCGCACACTGATATTCCGACCATTTGCGAATTGGCGAGCCTCCGCCGATATCTGCGTACTGCTTCTGGATCTTGGGGGTTCGTCGGCGGGCAAGAAGAGGTCCAATATATGATTGCAGACGTCCCAGGGGAATCAAATCGCCGTCAGACTGAGAAGATAAGAAAGGATCATAGTCAGAACAGATACAATGCCTTTAGAGCCACTAGAGGGCCACGGGAAACATACAAACAGCCTGCTCAAAAAGTCCTCCACCTGGTCGGTTGTGGATGGTCCACCCATGTTCATAAACACCATCGCAGTTGGTCCCTTGGCACCAGTAGCATCCTGCGTGACTGGTGGTACTGCTGTCGCGAGACCGCATCGCTGGTCTCTGCTATAGCCCACGAAGCTTCGGGTGGCTGAACGGAAGGCCGGGGTAGCAACGTTGTTCCATAACCGACACGGAGCTGCAATGCTGCGGAATGCCATGATAATAAAATTATGAAAGTAATTCGAGTAAACAAAAGGCAACTTAGAATGGAAATTAACACAGTCTTAAACGCAAGGCATTCCAAGGAGAGGTGGGCAGGGGCGATTTCAATCGAGATCACAAATCACAAGATTCCAGATCGCCGGAAAGCTTGCGGCCCGCGGCCAATTTGTTGGCAATTGCTGGAGCCCTCGACCAATGAACGCGCGCGGGGAGTCAGCAGCTCTGGTCACATGACCTTCGCGTCTCCCCCGCGTCAAACATGTCAAACACGGTCCATCCGGCGCGTCTCAAGGCAACAATGACGCCACTGCCTGGTCTATAAAGCGGCCCTCGGTGTTCTTTTCTTCTTCTCATATCCATTCCCTGCCTCAATCCTAAGAAGTAGTGATGGCAGAAGATAGTAACGCGCGTGATGAGGAGCCCTTTGAAGAGGAGGAAGTGGATGAAACCGTGAGTACCGATAATACAGCTATATTCGAATGCAGTCAGCCCTAATCACTTTTCGATTGGGAAATTCAGAGCTTCAGAGCGGTCAAAGATGCAGTCCTCTTCGCTATTGATATCAGCAGCTCGATGCTGACGCCCCGTGGCTCGTCTAACCCAAAGAAATCTAGCGAGGAGTCCCCGGCATCTGCAGCCCTTAAGTGCGCATACCATCTGATGCAGCAGCGCATCATATCGAATCCTAGCGATACGATGGGTGTCCTCCTCTACGGAACCCAGTCATCCAAATTTTACAATGAAGATGGAGAGGGGGCCGGCGATCTCTCCTATCCTCACTGTTATCTGTTTACCGACCTCGACATTCCTTCAGCGCACGAAGTAAAAGAGCTTAGAGCTCTTGCAGAGGATGAGAAGGAGGCCCAGAAGATTCTGGAGCCCTCCAAAGAACCGGTGTCCATGGCCAATGTTTTATTTTGTGCCAACCAGATCTTCACGTCCAAAGCTCCAAACTTTCTCTCGCGCCGACTGTTCATCATTACCGACAATGATAACCCTCACGCAGAGAACAAGTCACTTCGATCAGCTTCCACAGTGCGTGCAAGGGACTTGTATGATCTGGGTGTCACAATTGAACTCTTCCCTATTTCCCGAGTTGGTCATGAATTTGACACTTCACAATTCTATGATGTGAGTTTCCGGTCTAGCATTCATCAATCACAGCGCGGGACTGATAATCACAGGATATCATTTACAAAACTTCCCCCAGTGATGGCGAGGCCCCGGCCTACCTCCAGCCTGATACAAGCACATCCACTGCACAAGGAGACGGAATCACGTTGCTCAACTCTCTCCTTTCGAGTATCAACTCTAGATCCGTGCCCCGGCGGTCAATCTTTTCTAACATTTCCCTGGAGATTGGACCTAATCTCAAAGTTTCCGTGAATGGTTATCTATTGTTAAAAAGGCAACAGCCGGCGCGAAGCTGCTACGTCTGGCTGGGCGGAGAGAAACCCCAAATTGCCAAGGGAGTCACTGCACTTCTAGCAGATGATACAGCGCACACAGTTGATAAAACTGAAATTCGAAAGGCATACAAATTCGGTGGTGAACAAGTTTCATTCACGCCAGAGGAGCAGCTATCATTGAGAGACTTTGGGGAGCCCGTGATCCGAATTATTGGATTCAAGCCGCTGGCTACTCTACCCATATGGGCCAATATCAAGCACCCTACATTCATCTACCCTTCCGACGAAGATTACATTGGTTCTACACGCGTCTTCTCTGCATTACAGCAAAAGCTCCTCAAAGACCGCAAACTTGCCTTGGTTTGGTTCATTTCCCGCAAGAAATCTTCGCCTGTCTTGGCTGCCATGATTTCTGGTTCTGAAAAGATTGACGAGAATGGTGTCCAGAAAATGCCGCCTGGGATGTGGATCATTCCACTTCCATTCGCGGATGACATGAGGAAAAACCCGGACTACAGTTTTTCTTCGGCTCCCGAACCCCTGATTGATGCGATGAAGCAAGTAGTGGGGCAGTTACAGCTTCCGAAGGGTGTATACGAGCCTCAAAAATATCCTAATCCTGGTCAGTTTTCATTTTGAGCAGTGGCAGAGCTTGGTAGTACTAACATACTGGCAGCGCTTCAATGGCATTACCGTATTCTGCAAGCTTTGGCTCTTGACGAAGACCATCCGGGGGATCCAGAGGATAAAACTGTTCCCAAATATCGACAAATCGACAAGGTAGACACTCTCAATTCCCCCAGGTGAGATATTAAGGCTGATTGGTTTTGCAGCGTGCCGGTGAATACGTTCTACAATGGGCCACAGAGCTCGATGCTCAAAATGAGAAGATTTTTGGGGGAACTGCTGCCACTAAGACGACCCTGGTCAAACGTGGCCCAAAAAGCCATGCTGAGGATGAAAGTGGTCCACCAACAAAAAAGACCAAGGTTGAAGTTGGAGCATATGATATGGATGACGAGATAAAACGGAACTGGGAGAAGGGAACTCTGCCCAAGGTAAGCACACCAACCTATATCCATACGGCTATGGCTAATTGATGCAATTTTATAGCTCACGGTGCCAATACTGAAAGAGTTCCTCAATGCTCATGGTCGCTCCGCAGCTGGCAAAAAGGCCGACCTCGTAGAACGGGTAGAGCAGTATTTTGAAGATAAGCTTTGAGCTATTTGCTTCTCGCTTTATGTAACGAGTGATGACCCAAATTATTGCATTTTATGCTTTATCGGATTTCCGATTTACTAAGAGCTCAGTCAATGCTGACCAATTGCCGATGTGGCGATTATGTGGGGTATGTGGGGATCCCCAAAGTGCTCTTGTCCTTGCCCTATCGTAAATTCCAATGAAACCAATTCAGCCCGGGAAAACTCGAACACAGACTCATTTGGACAACATTCACATTGTCGGGTTAGATCGCCGGGATCACTGTGTATATGTACATCTGTATGTACAGCTGCTAAATACTAGGCGGAGATTGGCACAGTTCATCCCGCCGCCACCCCAACCTAAATGAGCAGCAAGATGAATGGCATACGCTCACGCAACGACCGGAAATGCCACGCATGTAACAAGACATTTTCCAAGAAAGAACATCTTACAAGACATATCCGAGGTCACACAAAAGAAAGACCCTTCCCATGTTCCATCTGTGGGAAGTTGTATTCTCGAAGGTCTGTGCAAGCGGATGGTGCTCTAAACAGAACCACATTAATATTTATCATAGTGATGTTGTTCGGCGTCATGAAAGAAGCCACCATGAGCAGCACTCTGAACAACAGGTTGATAATCATCTTGAAGAATCCTCGACAAATTTTCCAGATGGCCCTGACATACTGACGCCAGTATCAGCAGCCGAGTCGCTCAGACGGCTGTCAGGAATTACATCTATTCCAGAGGACGTGACTTCACATCACCCCAGCGCAAGCATTGCAAGTCTTGTACCACTCAATACTGGCTATGCACCCGGAATAGATTTATCCTCGCGTGATGATGCAGCACAAGGAACAAGCTCCAACTCGGGGTCTGGGGCATGGTTCCTAGAAGACGATTTCGACGTCAGCGCTCTAGATTTCTCACTCACCTCTACCATATCCGAATGGGCTCAGTACTCAAATGTCTTATCAGGCCCTCCTTTACCAGAGGAGCCGCCGGATATATTCACACCGATACAAAGCTCCCTGCCTGACGCGGAGTCAGAATATCCCCCAGCAGATACCATGAAACGCAAATGGTTTTCCCATATGGAGCATCAACCTAGCCGAGGATTTGACAAGACAAGTCAAAGTTATCCTGGCCATATCAAGGCCAATGAGTCGTACCGAGTGGGTCTATCTCAAAAGCTTCGGCCACGGATGGAGGATGAGGCACTTCCCACGTCTGAGCAACTGAACCTCTTTGCTAAGCTTTATTTCCACCGATTTCACCCACTACTCCCAATAATTCATACTCCATCCTTTCGACCCACTGCAGAGAACTCTCTCTTATTCTTGTCGTTATGTTCCATCGGTAGCCTTTTCGTCGGATCATCGCGTGCTGTTATGCAAGGTTCTAGAATATTCGAACGGTTGAATAAGGCGATACTGGCATCTTGGGAATCCTTCTTATCACAGAGCCGACCAGATGCCTTGTCTATGGTTCAGGCCGCCATTCTCGGTCAAACATATGCCATATTAGCCGGTGAGCCAAAACGTCTTGTTCTGGCAGATGTTCTGCACGGCACAGTCGCAGCTTGGGCTCGTGAAGCAAATAGACTCGGGTCACTCTGTACCCGGGCACTTGATTTATCAGACAACAGCAGTATTGAGACAAGCTGGCATCGATGGATCGATCATGAGCAACGAGCACGAGTCCAAGTAGCGCTACACATCCACGACGCTGAACTTGCAACTTTGCTTCACCACCAACCAATACGCAGCCATCGATTCCGCCAATTCCCTAAAATCTCGTCGGACGCCTTGTTTTCAGCGCCCACAGCTTCAAAATGGGCTGCTGTATACCGCCAGTCTCTAGAAACTTCTCAGGGAGATAGTCCAATTTACACCCAACTCCCTCGCTCTCTGGATCCACTCCCAGTTGCCGGGATATCATCTCGCTTTGCAGCCTACGGTCTATTAGAGAGTATCAATGCCCGTTTGATCGATGCGAAACAATCAGATGGCTTCGATCACCACGTCTGTGCGGAAATATCAAGCCTCCTAATCGCCTGGCGGAAAGCCTATTACACACCATCCCAAAGCATCGAAGGAGACATATTCTGTCTCCCCGTTCTCTGGCACTCGACCTTCATATCCCTTTACGCAGACCTCGATCTCCTCGAACAAGCAATCGGCAGAGATGGCCACTATCACACTATACAAGCTACAGCTCCCACTCGAGAGTGGTCTACATCCCTAAACGCCAGTCGCTGCCTTATCCATGCCTCATTGATCGCGCAATACATAGAAAAAATGAGTATGTCTTCGGAGCCAGCCATCCATGTTCCACGAGCGCTATTTTCAGCCGCACTCACTTATTTCGTTGTCGCGCGTTTTGCGCCGAAACATATTGTTCCCGCTGAGGCTTTTGCGTCACCAGAGTTCAAGATTCTGGGTGATGATAATTCTGCTATGGAGCCTTGTTTTCCGGATCTGCAGCTTGGGAGCAGCGGGGGTTCTGTGATTGCGGATATGGACCACTTGTATCGCTTAGTGGATTTGTTGCAACGAGGCGGGCGTTGGGGAATTTCGCTGGCTTTTGCAGCAGTTATTTCTGCGGCTTTGGAGGGGGGCGCGGAGTCTTAATTGATCCATAATTGTATTTCCATTTTTTTTGTTTGACCTCGTTGACCTTGTAACATAATTTGCTCTTGTCTATCTAGGAACTCAATGGCTATAGTAATTATAAACACGCTAGGACATGTATAGTCAACTCCCGCTATGGTACGGCGGGTTATAGCACACTCCTGCTTATAGCACACTCTCACTTATTGCACACTCCCGCTTATTGCACACTCCTGCTTATAGCACACTCTCACTTATTGCACACTCTCACTTATTGCACACTCTCACTTATTGCACACTCCCGCTTATTGCACACTCCCGCTTATTGCACACTCCCGCTTATTGCACACTCCCGCTTATTGCACACTCACCTTTGTACACTAAGTCATCAGCTTAGTCATTCTTACCAATCAATCAGAATGCCTGAATACTCTACAACCCCCCTGTCTAAGTGCGTTAGACCGGCCACCTAAGCACCTACTACACCAACACCAAAACTCTATATAATGAAGTGACTGATCAGCTTAGTAGTGATAGTATAGTACTACTTGATCAATTTTCTAGACTTTATTCGAGGAAGGTATCATAACTTAAGATATCGATGGGTAAGATATATCCTTGGATGGCGGGATGTACTATAAACGGGAGTTGACTGTACAAGCTTTTTCCAACTACTACCCGATTTCATTTTGAGAAATTCAATAAGGTATAATCGATTCTCGCAATGTTGAGTGCTTAGCCGATGTTCTGCACACATCCGAAATTGACTCACCCCGCAAGATTCTACATAGACCGGCGGGGTGGTGTTCCCACCTTTGCGGGGTGCCACACGTCACCAATTCAGCACCTCAGCTACAGCATTTTGTTGCTCCGCGTTGTGAAAATATATTATGTTATTACGGCTGAGGGCCACAATCATTCTTAGTTCACTTTGGAAAGATAGGGAAATCTCTGAACTTGTTCTGTCATACGTTGAAGGCTATACCTCTGTTTTGCTTTGTGTAATCTAGTACGTACGTCCTCGAGAATCTTGAGGCGCAATGCGCCTGGCAGCTATTAGATAATAGTGAGTAAATCATGAGGACCATCATCATATAATTCAATTTTCCGGGGGATGAACGCATACTACGCTCCCCGCAAAGTACCCTTCCAAGGTTGTGGGGTATAGTGCCCTACCCCGTAGACGCAAAGATACCTTAGGTATAGCCGCAGAACCGAAGCAGGTATAAGTATGCCTAGGTATCTGGGTTACACTTCTTTGGCTCCTCGACATACCTATTTTCTCCCTAGATTCTTGCCGACTATTCCCAAGATGCCTGTCTTCACTGAAAATGCATCTTCCTCACGAGATCTCCGGGTTTTACCATCTTTTGCACCTCCATTACCTCGTCTCGCTCCAGCATTTGAGCCAGAGAATAATCCAGAAGAGAAATATGAAGTGCTAGTTGTGGGCGTATGTCCACAATCAAACCCAACCCGGTGCCCCGAGACAACACCTAACGCAACCTATAACCACAGGCAGGCCCATCCGGCCTGATGCTCACCCTCCTCCTCGCCCGCTATGGTCTAACCGACAAATCCCTCCTATGTATCGACGCAAAGCCCAGCACCCTAAAATCTGGCCAAGCAGACGGCATCCAACCCCGCACCCTAGAAGTTCTCAAAACACTCGGCATATCCGACGAAATCGAAAACGAAGCATGCCAAATGTGGCAATTTGCATTCTGGAACCCATCTTCCCACCAAGACAAGATCATCGAGCGCACGGCCGTCGTCCCGGACGTTATCCCAGCTGCTCGCTTCAAGTACGAAGCGACGATCCATCAGGGTCGGGTTGAACGGATCATGGAAACCGATTTACTTCGGTACTCTGCTCGAGGTGTGCTGAGGAATACCAAGTTGATTGACGTGTGCATTGATGATAGTGACATGGAGTTTCCCGTCCTGGCACGGATCTCGGTAAGTGGTGTTGAGAGGTCTGTACGAACCAAACACCTTGTTGGTGCTGATGGTGCGCATTCGGTGGTGCGGAGATCAATGGGGTTGAACTTGGAGGGCGAGTCGCTGGACCATATCTGGGGTGTTGTGGATTTGGTTGCTGAGACTGATTTTCCTGATATTCGGCGCCGGTGTGCAATTCATTCGCCTGCCGGGTCAGTCATGATTATTCCGCGAGAGAGGATTATTACTGGAGAGTATTTGACTAGGCTTTATGTGCATGTCCCTGAGACGGTGGTGCCGGATACGGATCAGATGGTGGATGGTGAGTGTAAAGGTGGCAGATGCGAAGATGCGAGGTCGAGAAGGAGTAAGATTACCTTGGAAAGCATCCTGAAACAGGCTGCGGATGCAATGAAGCCATATTCTATTCGGCCTAAAGAGGGTGCTGTGGATTGGTGGGCGGCTTATCAGATTGGGCAGCGGGTTTCGCCCGAGTTCATTGTGAAGGATGCGAGGGGGGTTGCCAGAGTATTTATCAGCGGTGATGGTATGTTATAACTCAATTGATCGGATATCGAAATGCTGACTTTGGATCAAGCCTGCCATACACACAGCCCTAAGGTATGACGTCCCCGAACGAGAGACCACATACATATGTATTCAATGCTGACTACGTCTTCGGCAGGCCGGTCAAGGCATGAATGTCTCCATGATGGACTCATACAATCTAGCCTGGAAACTGATTTACCATATCAATGGACTCACCCCATCATCGACGACCGAATCCCCAACCCCAATCCTCGATACATACCAAACAGAGCGCCACGAAAACGCCCAACAACTCATTGACTTCGACCGCAAGTTCTCAACAATGTTCTCAGGCAAAATGGGTGCCACGGAGGGCCTCACTCAAGAAGAATTCCAGCAAGCTTTCAAGCTTGGAAATGGGTTTACTAGCGGATGTGGTGTCGAGTATCCCGAGCACCAGAATCCGCTCGTTGTGCGCGATGATTTGGGTTGTAACCCCGATAGCAGCCCTATCCGAGGAACGGATTACCTATCTGGAATTCTTCGGCCTGGACGACGGTTGCTGAATGTGAAGTTGCTGAGACATGCGGATGGGTGGCAGCGAGATATACATGATGGTATGGAAAACCTCCCATCCACTTCGTTGACTTGAAGCAAAGAGGCGAGAGGAGAAATTTTGAAAAGTATATAACTAAAATTGTGAATCGCAGATATCCCATCCACGGCTCGTTTCCGGCTCCTCGTTTTGACATCAACAGACCTACTTGATCGGAAGAGTATATCGGCAGAGACACTCACCAGAGTCAGTAAGCTGGTGTCTCAATTCCCAGCTTCTGTCATCGAGCAGATTGTGCTCCACCCCGCACTTCACCGGTCATTCGAGTGGGACGATATCCCCGCGTGCGTGAAGCAGGATGCGGAAATGCGCTTCTATGATGGATCAGCGTTGGAGGATGCGTACAGTATCTACGGTGTTGATCCTGCCAAGGGTGCGCTGGCTGTTATCCGGCCGGATGGGTATGTGGGAATTGTGGTGAGACTTGATGAGACTGTGAGAGTGGAGGATTATTTGAAAGGGTGTATTCGGCCTGTTCTCACGATGTAAAGCATTGGCTCTTTCGATACTAGACCTTAGGAGTTACCAGTAGAAGCAATTCTGGGGCGAAATGAAGAATTGTATATATGGATATAGATTCGTTGTCTATTGAATATTGGAGTATGTTCTATTAACATTCAGATGGAATTGGTCTTGCCCACAGACGCTGTAACGATATTGTCAAATCACCTTTCCTAATGCCGGAACGTAAAGGTATAACAATCGAAGTCTCAAGCAACTCCAGGCTCTCTGCTTGGATAATGCATGGATGATAATGGACAATGCAGGGCGCACGAAAATGGGTATAAAAAATGTCGACAAATATGTGCAAGGTTGACACGAGTTCGTAAGATATGAAGGGCGGATGATAAGCCGGGCTGCATATGTTGTAATGCAGGCTCTAGGTAGAGCGGAAATGTGGTCGATCTGAATTAGCACTGTCCATAAACCTGACAGTAACAAAGCTCCTCATCGGGACAGTAAACCGAGTCCATGCCGAAGATGTAATGCCACAGGAATTCCATCACACGGCCTGATTTCGCATCGGTCAGGTCTGTGTCGAGGAGCCACTGCCGAAACCTCACGTAGTCCTCATGCGGGCGCCTGCGCACCTGATCCTTCGACACGGCAAACTGCGCACAGCATGCTGCAGCAATCTGTTCGGGCTTGCGAATATATTTCTGGTCCACCCGAGAGACCTCGTATGAGGATGAGACGTTGAGCGGCGGTGTGCTAGTGCCCTGGAAAATATCCCACCAGATCTCATCGGTGACGTGCGTGTTGTAGCGGTGGTCGGCCTTGCAACCTGGGTTCCAGTTGCAGCGAAGATTGGCGTAACCGTTCTGTTCGACGAAGCGTGTTTGGAGGTTTTGCATGGCAATGACGTTGTCATGAAGGGGTGCGTCGACGTGCCAGGCCATGAAGAAGCCAGAACGGTGGGCATGGAGGAAAGCAATTGTGGAAGGGAGGACGTAGTAGTGGTCGATGACGTAGGTGAGGTAGGCCATTGCTTCGTGACCTTTGTTGTAGGGGGTGGTGAGGATGTTTTCGTTCATTCGGGTTTCTTCCGAGGGATTGACGATGTAGATGGCGCTTTGCCAGCTAAGGAGGACAATTAATATCAGGTCAAAAAAAAAAAAAAAATGGTGAAAAGAATATACATACTCAGGCAGCTCCTCTCCTACCCAATCGGTATTCTCCTCTTCAAGCTTGGCCATAACAATGACTTTGTCGTCGGGGGTGCCATGGTGCGCAGGCAAATTTGACCCAGATTTTTGATACCACCATTCCACCAAGTATGCGCCAGCGCGGTATTGGTTACAAATATCCTGGATATGTGCCTCCAGTAGGTAAAGGGCGAAGCAGAGAAGCGACACAACGCATAATGCGATGCGCGTTCCACTTTTCATGGTGAATTCGAGAGATTAGAGATGTTCAAGGGAAACCCTTGAGCGGAGCTCTGTTTGTACCGATTTCACCTCCGAAGGGACCAGTGAGCCATTGATGACAAGTCGCAGTAAAGGAATGGGTTCGGGTACGGGAGTTTAAAAAGAAGATAAAAATAAAGAGAGTTGGGGGCGAAGGAATGACTGGGGCGAACGATTATGTAGTCCCAATAGTCGAGGCGGCTTGGCTTTAAAAGGGGAGCAGATAGCGCGCTTTTTAGCCTTAGCGCGGTATACGGTGGGGAGGGACCTGATTAGGTCGCGCTCATCTAATGGGTTTGAGAAGGAAAAAGGAAAGGGAAAAGGGGCCCATAAAAAAGGCGAACCCCGTTTAGGAGGAGAAAAACTGTGGAATGGCAATGTTATTCTAAGTCGCACGTCATTGGCCACCTGAGGGGGCTATGGTTCAGATGTCTCCAGAGTTGGGTTCAGGGGAGTTGGCTTTAGGGGCAGCAGGGGGCTCTACTGGTCCAGGCAACAAAAGCTTGGCTCGCGGAGAAAATAGGCAATACGAGCGACAATGCCTCGCCCCGAGTCTGAGACAAAGGGCTTTAAACTCAACCCGTTACACCGTGAAATACTTTATCCATTTGCATTCCCATGGTTCTCACGTGGCGGTGGAAAGTCTATTGAACATACACAACCTCATGGCAACTATGGCCCAGAGAGATACGGTGGGTTCAGAGGTCCAAGGAAAGTAGATTTGGTGCCGCAGGAAATCGACCCATGCATACGTAGTTCCTCTTTAATCATTGGCCAGCCTCGGATTCATGTGGGGGGCATTCCAAATTAGATGCCCCTCAATCCCCTCTCATTCGATTTCGTGCCAAGAGGAAGGGCTTTGACCCTGTACAAGGAAGCTAGGCTACAGATAATGATCTCAAAGGCGCTGTGATGGAGGGTGCTCGACCCTCAAAGAAAACCGGCCAAGGGTGAGGATGAGCATGAGGGATGGTGGCAATGACAGAATCTCAGACCCACTTCGGATCCGATCAACGCAATATGGCATATGCTCCCGCGGTTCTTTTCCGTTGAGAGGCTGCCAAGGCTTCGAATGACTTTCCTTCTTTGAGAAGGAGGGGGTTCTTTGGTTCGACGGGGCCCCGTTAGCTCCCACTTAGTACTGGGAGAGGAACATAGTTTTCGCAACGCCCATGGCGTTGCAGATCGCCGCTGTAGACCTCGGGATGTGTATGTGCACTGTCACTTCCTGTCAGCTGTCACATATACCTCGCATGGACATACAAATACTCCATACCTACTGGCAGCAATATGATGCAAGTGTTTGCTGTTTGCTGCAATCGGAGTTTGTGGGCTTGTTGAGGTCGTCTGCAGGGGCAGCGTCTCTGATTGGTCAGAGACAAGCTCGCCGCGTGGCTACCGAGCATTTTTGTCCTAGTCCAGTTCACGATCAGATTATGGGAGGTGCGTTTGTACTGGAGTATAGCGGACCCGGACCCGGACCCAACTTTTTCTTCCAGATAAGCCAGATGCCCTAGTTCGACTATGCACTCTCGGTTGGCAAAGCGGAATGACGTGCGTGTATCATTTGCTGTTCAGTATCATTCACGAACCACCGTGCTCCACTGATATCCACCTCTGATACCGTGCTCTGCCGAAAGTATAACGGATGCCGATAAGCCGGTTACTTCAATTATGCTAGATATTTGACGTTGCCGGTTCTACCGCATTCACCGAGTCAAAAAGTGGAGGTGCATGGATATATATTTATCATCGATGCATAAAGGAATAGATCCAAAGTTATACATACATATATATACATGAAAACACTCCTTCCAAGGTTCATGTCAGAACATTTGAAATATTGGGAATATTCGCTGGAGCTGATTCGAGGATAGTAGTCGATATGCAGTCCTGCTGAGAAGTCATCGTCATCCGAGTCATGTCCGAGCTCAGCTTTTGTCTCCGTCCTCATCACCGACCTCTTCCCCCTCTTCAATCGCCTTCTCCCGCAATTTCCGTGCTCGCTCTCGCTTTTTCTCAAGCAAGGCATTGAGCTTCTTGGCGACATTGAACACTCCACCGGTACCCGCCCCACATGCCGCACATGATGGGTTCTTCCGGTACCGTTGTAGTGCACAGGACTCACAGAAATAATGTCCACATTTCGTCACTATAGGGTGCTGATAGGGCTTCTCACAAATAATGCAGGCGAATGGGATTTTTTCCAGCATCTCATCTTCATTCTCATCGTCCTCTTTTTCCCCCTCTCCCCGCTGCGACACAACCTTGCCCTTAAGCGTTTTGCCTTTCGTCCCAATTTCCCAGTCCCGATCCAACTCCCATCCTTGCGCATATACCTCACGCGAATGCAAGAACTTGCAGGAGTCTCCAAAGCCACAGTATCCGGTTTGTTTCCAATCCTTGCAGACATCGGGGGCGTAATCCATGACAGTCACAGTTCGGACGTTTGAAGGAGGAGCTTTGATGGGGCCAAACTTTTTGGTCGGCGCATCAGGATTTTTTTGAATGAATGATGTGTAATTGGCCGTTCCTTTGTAGGTGCCATCAGGCGCGGAGTCCGTAGACGGTTGTGGGCGTGACCGAGTTGACCCTAGAAGGTTGTTTGCACTGAGATCCTCGTCATACCAATCTGAAGCTTTTGTTGCGTCATTGCTCGATGTCAAAGGAATTGGGCCAGCGGTGGAAGGCTTCTCAGCAGCCGGATCACGCTTGGTGGTATTGGTGGAGGAGGCGGTTACTGCAACATTCTTGCGCCGTCTCTTGATGCGGTGTCCTTCTTCGTCATCGGAGGAGGTAAAGCCGGAGTCAGAGTCGGAGGCAGGTGGGGGTGTTGCAGGCTTCTTGCGAAAGTTCGCCTTTCCCTTGGAGCGTTTCTTGAAGCCAAACTGGGGGACAGTTTCCGCGGCAGCTGTGTCGTCCGCCATCGTGGACTATCGCTGACTTGGTATGAACAGAGGGAATATTGAGGCGAAATCCTATGGCGCAAATATTTCTAGTCTTCGCGATCGAGGATCTTAAATAGATGAAAAGCGCAAGACTTGAAAATGCTGAAACTGGGGCGATGTTGAATCAACCAAATCCAACAAGTCGAAGAGTCTCGAATCCGTGAAGATCACTGACTAAGCTATCGATGCAAACAGCTGCAAACAACGCCACATTGGGAAAATGACAACAACAACACAATTAGTCTTGCTTACCTGTACAGTACGTACCTACAGTACGTACAATGTGATCTATTTAAGTTTCGCTGCAGAGTATAATAATAATAACGTTTACCATGGTTCCCTATAAGAGGTATTGGATCTGCGAATAGAGAACACAACGCATAATACCTTGCATAGAGCCGCAGTCAAGACTCAATAGTAAAAGATGTCACTGCGCGAGGATCACTCCACGATCTCAAACACCGGTCCCAATTGGCAATAATAGTGCCTTACGGTCGTGGTCCTCTCTCTCCCTCCTCTCTCCCCACCCACCAACTCACCTCTCGTTTCTCTTCCCACACGCTCTCTATTCTGTCCTTTCTTGTTTACGTTTCCTACTTGCTCTTTTCTTTGTTTAATCATTGTTCTTTCCCCTGCTCTTTTCTTTCCTTTGTCGAATTTCTAAAAACACACAGAAGTGGTGCGTGATAATACCTGCAGATCGTGTTGTGGTTGGTTGTATCACCCACGCGCGCCGACTCATCTCGCCCAACCAGACTTCGCACTGATTCGTCCGGGTACTCGGTGTTTGTTGTCTCTCTCTAACCCCCTCTCCCTTTCCCACCTTCGCTCGTCGCGACGGTTTTTACTGCGGTTTCTTCTCTTTTATTTTCTTGAATTCTCCCCTCTCGCCCGTCGCATCTCGATTTTGCTTCTGCGGAGCGTGACGATTTGTGGTCGCTGGCCGGCTCGTCATTGAATTAGCGCACTCCGACACCCCTCTCATTCAAAACGCGCGGCGATCCCTCAAACGATGCACGTGAACTCAACATCTAATCTATCTTAAGAACGCGCGAATCTCGAAATTCTCTCAGCGGCCGCTGTATCCTCTGGCACTAAAAGGGGATCCAGAAGCCGTGTGAGACGTCCACAACGTCTGGCGAATGACCGCACACGACGCGGGAGCTGACAGCTCCTTTACCTCAATGATGGAGGACCCGTTCGTTTCGAATAGCGCAAGGGAATTCGCCTCCCCTCCCGATTCTCACCAATTTTCGTCGTTTGATACCCAATTATTCAACATCAATGCCTCTTCACCAGCCCAGGCCAAACGGGCCCTAGCCGCCCGGCTAGCGGAAACTGAACGTCAACTTGAGGAGACATCCAAAGTGGGAACTGCCCTCATCGAGCAGCAGCGACAACTGGAGGAGTATCTGAAAAATTTGGAGCAGCAGAAGGATGAAAGTGAGATGTCATCGGAATTGCGCCAAAAGCTTGCCGACTTGGAGCGAGATTATGCCGAGATTGAGCGGGATACGACGCGCGCAATCTTGGCCCCGAAGCGACTGGCTGGAGGCTCGGATGAGGGTCACTTGGGCACCCCGGGATTTGAAGTAAAGGTATTGTCATCGCGTGCCCATCGGCCCTGACCTCAGCCCATCTAACTACTGGATCAGTCTCCCATCAGCCCCGCCCTATTCGCCGGCCAGGCGACCAACTCTCCCAGCAAAGTCGGCGTTCCATCCCGCAAGCAACGAAATCAGCCATCGGGCCGTGTCCACGACATTGAATTTGCGACAGAAATTTCCACATCCTTGTTGGGACAAGTGCGCCAATTGCAGGGGCTTCTTGCCGAGCGAGATGAGTCAATCAAGACCATTAATTTGGAAAAATCGCGCCTGGAACTGGAAGCAGAAGGGTATTCGCAGCGGATCCGAGCCTTGGATGACAGCGAACAGCGTTACAAGGACGAGAATTGGGCCCTGGAGACGCAGACTCATGAATTGATGGCATCCATGAAAGAATCGGCGGAACGTGAGAAAAGACTTACCAGCAGCTTGAGCGCTTCGAATGCGGAGAAGACTGCCGTCGAGCGAGAACTGGAGGAGCTGCGACAAACGAATTCGAAGCTGTTAGAGGAACAGGACATGATTCAGAAAGCCAATGACTCGGAAATCCACCTATTGCGACGCAACCTGAATGCTGGCGATTTGGAGAAATCTGCTCTCCACAAGAAATTGGAGGAGTTGACCTCGCAAAACCAAGAATTGGCGAAGGCTGTTGCTATGCGCATTCGGCAACATGAGTCGCAAGGTAGCCGAGATCTTCACGATGACAACAACGATGATGAGCCTGAACAGACGACTCCTGACAATTCTCCGCCTCCCTCTCCTAACAAATTCACACCCCGACACGGCCATCTTGAGTCTGAAACCTTGAAGAGTTCATTGGGCCATGCTCACCGCATGATCCAGAACCTGAAGAGCACGATCCATCGGGAGAAGACAGAGAAAATTGAGCTCAAGCGTATGTTGCAAGAGGCCCGAGATGAGGTTGAGCAGCGTCGCCGTGAGACTGCAGCTCCCAACGGAGGGCCTAACAAACGTCTGAAGAAAAAGGAAGACTCCTTCCGCAAGCCGGCTCGTCCAGATCTCTTGGGTGCTGGCCGTAAGGAAAAGTCACACGTTGAGCTCCACGAGCTCCACGATACGGACTGGGAAGACAATGCTAGTCAAATCAGCCCAACTCGCTTCACCATGGGTGCACCGGTTCGCAGTCGTCCTGGTCGTGAATCCCCTGATGAGCCTAGTGATGTGTACCAGACCGCCACAGAAGCCGAGGATGGCTTCGAAACGGCTAATGAGCGAGCAACCACAACCGAAAGCGAAGCATTCCAGACGGGTGTGGAGAGCATGGCGGATGACAGCAGCGACTCAGCAGACTTGACCGAGACTGAAAACAATGTCCAGACTACCCCACGCCAGCGTGTTTCTTCGTCTTTGGTAATGGCCAAGGCTCGTGATCGCACTTCGTATCATAGTTCGGCTTCCACGTCAGACGATGACGATGACCAAGAGGGAGGATACCCTTCTCCCAGCCAGGCTCACATTTCTCGTCCCCGAGTCAAGTCGAAGCGAAGTGTTGTCAGGCGGATCCGCCCCTCTGGAGAGGCACCCATGGCCTCTAGCAGCCGTCCATCCAGTGCACGGAATTCTGCTGCAACGAGCTTTGAGCAGGCATCTGTGCCCCAAGGGGGACAAAGTCTTTTCGCCGAACTTGCCGAACTGGAAGGTGGCGAAGAAGATGAAGAGACTGTCGCAACTTCTCCCGCTTCAACACCACGCATGGTGCCTATATCAAGCTCTCGCCGCCCCTCTGATGCCATGCTAGACTCACCTAGTAGGCCTGTCATGATTGATTCTGGTGTGATGACCGATCCTTGGCAGCCTGACGCTCCAGTCGGCGTTGCAGCCATCGGTGGAGCTGTTGTTGGAGCTGCTGTTGGAGTTGCCGCTTCCGACCTTCCAACCACTCCACGGAGAGATGTCGCAACTGGAGACAGGGAGCTTACTACTGAAGAACAGCAAACCCCCAAAATGGTCAGCTCAGGAACGGAATGGACACCTCGTAAACCTTCGGCGTTGGATGACGATCATTTGTCGAATGTTCCTACACCACCAAAGATGGTTTGGGACGAACGCTCTGTTGGGACCCAGCAAGTCGAGGCGGGTATCCAAGCCGAGCCTGACCTACCGGAATTGGGCATGGCGACGATCGCATCCCAAGAAATTCTCCCCTCATTACCCAAATGGCCACAATTGGGTGTTGCATACTTCCCTGGGGGGGCTACCAAGCCCGTGGAGCACATCCTTCCTGTACCAGAGATACCGCTACTGGATGTCTCTTCCATCGCTTCGCAGTCTACCGAGCCCGTGGAGCACAATCCTCCTGTGCCAGAACTCCCAGAACTGCTTGTCTCTTCAATCTCTTCACAATCCACTGAGCCTGTAGTTGCAACGGTCTCTGAGCCTATCATCCCAGTCGAGTCTGTGCGAGAATTGCCTGAACTTTCTTTGTCCTCTCTCTTCACTTACTCGACCGAGCCCGTGAAGGCACAACTTTCAGAGCCTGAGCCTATCATCCCAGTTGAGCCTGTGCGAGAATTGCCTGAAATTTCCTTATCTTCTCTCTTCACTTACTCTACCGAGCCCGTTAAGGCGCAACTTCCAGAGCCTGAGCCTATATCTATACCTCTGCCAGTCGATGAGGAAATGCCCATTCCCGAAGTCGGAATGTCCTCGATCTCTTCGCAGCATACTGAGCCCGTTGTGCCGCAACTACCAGAGCCTATCCCCGAACCTGAGCCGGCTGTCATCCCAGAGCCTGAGCCGATGGTAAAGGAGGTACATCTTCCCGAGCTGGGGATGTCCCTGATCAATTCGCTGCATACTGAGCCCACCATGCCACAGCTCCCGGAGCCTGTCCCAGAACCTGAGCCTTCACAACTGGAGATCTCCTGGCTAGATCCATCTTTCACGGAACCTGTCACACCTAAAGTGGTTGAAATACCTCCTCATCCAATTCCTTCTTTTGCTACCCTGCGTCCTGTTGAAACTGAACCAGTCAAATTCGTACCATTTGAAGCCCCTCCCCCACCAATTTCCTCTCTTGCTTCTCTGCACTCTGTCCAAACGGAACCAGTCAAGTCTCTACCACGCGTGATTCCTTCAATGGTCGAATTTGGTATCCAAACAGACCCTGCGGAAGAGCCCAAGGCTGCTGGTGCGGCCGTAGCTGTGTACGAAGATGAACCTAACGAGGTAGCTCGAAGCCGTGCTAGCACTACCACTAGCACTAGTGAACGACGTGCCAGCGCAGGTTTGGCTCTTAATGATATTACTGGCAACTCGTTGCAAAGACAACCAGTCAGCTCGGTCAACACAGATCAGGGATCGCAAACCATCCTCTCCTCCAAGCAGATTGACCAGATTCTTATGGATCGTGATTCTGTTCGTCCTGCCTCTTCTGCTGATAGCAAATACTCAAGGGAGATGGCAGCAGTTGCCGTCACCGCTGCGTCACCATTCGCAACCCCTAAGCTTCGACCCCGTCCTCAACAGCAGTCGTCAGCCAAATCTTCCGCGTCCATCCGGCGACCAGACACTGCCACTAGCCAGATGTCTTCCTCAAGTGCTCACCCTCCACTGCCCACTGATCACCGTGAGGCAATCTTGGCTGCTGAAAAGAAATCTATCGACGTACCACCAGCATCACCTGGCGTGATGGGACCTCCCCTTGCACCGGCCTCTGCTTATCGCATGAATGCGCAAACGGCCCCACGAACTCCCAATGAACAAGGCGGGCGTGCTGGATCAGCACGGACTGTTTCTACTCAACCACGCATGCGCAGAGGAAGCCAGAGCCAGATGTCAAGGCGGTCATCCGTGTCATCATTCGCATCGGAGCTGGAGGAGCGGTTCAATATGAACCCCCATGCTGGACCTATGCCCAATGGATACGGACCCAACACCGATCCTCGCATGATCCAGGCCATCACTCAAACCATGATTGGTGAGTTCCTCTGGAAATACACGCGGAAGACCGGCTCATCCGACATGTCAAACACTCGGCATCGTCGGTACTTCTGGGTTCACCCGTACACGCGTACCTTATACTGGAGTGAAAAGGATCCTCAGACCGCTGGAAAGAGTGAGCTTCGAACCAAGAGTATTCCCATCGAGGCTGTGCGAGTGGTTGCAGATGACAACCCGTATCCTCCAGGCCTCCATTGCAGAAGCTTGGAGGTCGTTAGTCCTGGGCGTCGACTTCGATTTACTGCCAGTACCAGCCAAAGACATGAGACTTGGTACAATGCCTTGACATATCTCCTAACAAGAGAGGACAGTGGTCACTGTGAGGATCACGATAGTGTGACTCTGGATGATATCGATGAGTTTAATCCAGGCTTCCGGTCTGGGTCTCGCCAGACAGCCCGGATGTCTCTCTCATCTTACAACAGCCGTACACTCCGTCCACCCCCCAAGCGAGCAACTTCAGCCATGTCCATGCGGTCCACAGGGACGCCCGGGCGTGCTTCACCTGCCCTTAGCTCTCCGGTTCCCAACTCGTCTTTGCAGGTCCCCGAAGAGCGTCAGCGCTCATCATCCCGACTTAGCACCATCCTCACTAGTTCAATCCGTGGATCGATTGCTAGCATGAAGGGCCGCAATGGCCAGGCTTCGAGTGTGCATAATGGAAGCATCCATGCCCAGGACAGCATCGAAGATTTCGCACATGCAGCGGAGGAAGAAGATCGGCTTGAAAACGTCCGTGCTTGCTGCGATGGCAAACACGACGTTGGCTCGCTCTCCCGCACCAGTCGCTACAGCCCCCGGGTTGATCGCAGCCACTCTCACCACCACTAAAAAATTTTAGTAATGGTTTGATCGAGTTTGTGGGCAGGCCCTCAAACAAAGTACGGCCTGCGGCATTCATATAATGGCCACGAGTCTCTTATATTCTCTTGTTCAACCAGCATTTCGTTGTATTCGTTCCGACTCAATGTCAGATTTGTGTGGATTTTCATGTCAAATCCCTTACATGACATACTGTTGGACCTCTTAATGCCTCTTGGAAGATTTGGAAACCAAAGTCCCACGGAAGCTCTCCCCTCGCTGATACATTTTTCCAACTCGCATTGGTGTTCTTTCCTTTTTTTCGTTACAACTCTCTTCCACCTTGTTCGTCTCTACAGACCTTATCACCATCTCTTGTCATCGTCCCTCCTTTTCTTTGTGCTGCATTACAGCTACGGTCCTGTCTGATCAGACTACATTGCATACTTTTCCTTTTCTCCTGTTGATAATTCCTATGTGACTATCTGTCCGGATTCACTCTTACTCTCTTTGGATGTCGTTATCTCATTGTGCACTATGCACCAGAACTTGAGCCATACTAAAATTTATTCGACCCTTACCTTCAAATATGCTTTTTCTTTTAAGATAACTAGGTTGCCTCCTGTAATTCTCACGGAGTGCACGGTAATGAGCCAGGTGCAAATTATGTTTGTCAATGGCGTCAGATCAAGAGGAAATGTTTTCGGAAGGCGCGATGCGGCCGAGAGGAACCTTCCCCCACACCCTCTGTTTTTAATGCAAACCCTTCTCTTTCTTTTCCTTCCAACTCTACTCAGTCTGTCTCATTCTTGTTAGACGCTATACAGTAGAATTCGAAAACAGATTTCCCCCAAGACACACTCGCTTTCTTTCCCAGCGCCCCACTCCGCTTGCGCTAAACTTGAGGCAAAGTCCCCACAAGCTTCTTTAGATGTATTCCTGGTAGATCAGCAAAGTTACCGTAATTACAGGTTTCGGCGCTGGGCAGAAAAACGGCCGAAGGCTATAGGTTAGCACGGGTAGTCGGAGGTCACTTCTGGCTGCCCTCCTCAATGTTCTGCTCAGGCTCTGTGACGTGCCTGAGCGATAGAAGTTGCACGTGATGTCGCATGTAGCCTCCGGAGTGTGATTGGCTCTCGGTTGCCCTCAACTCGCTGTGGCCTCCCCGCATCAAGGTTTTAACAAGTAGATAGTTGAAGATAGTAGGCAGGAAAGGATACGTGATATCTGATGGGGTTAACCGGTTTAAAGTGGATTACGAAGTAGTGTGTCTTGGATGGAGGCTCTACCGGCTGGAAGATAGTATATCAGGAATTAGCTCCCCTCTTCCGGTTTTCCTCTCTTCCACCTTAACATTTCCCATATATTCATGGACGACCAGCGGGACTCCTACGTCAAGTGGAGAGAGTGCGATAAGCTGTATGTGACCTGCTGCAGGCTTTCAAACAAAGAGAGCAGAAATAATCCGCTAACGAGCATATAAGACAGGCCCGATACCCCACAGGTGGTTCTGGAGCTGGATGGCTGCCCGACCGTCTGGACGGAGCCGGAGATTCAAGACTATTTCTTGTCCCATCTTCGGAGGCTTATGAGTGATGAATCTAATGACCGCGACGATCAGAATGAGAGCGATAGCTCAAACGACATCAACCAACCATGCTGGCTGCGCTGGTCCCCTCTGCCAATCGACCCTGCCCTGGATGACTTCATCCTCTTACACCATGATCCAGATAGCAAGATTCTCCAGAGAATTGGTGTTGAGAAGCAGCCCATATACGAACCGAGCCGAAGTCTTCATATGTTTCCGAATGAGCCACATTCGTCCTGGACAAGGGAGGCGAAGGAGACTCATGATCGCCATACGGTCACCCACAGACTGTCCATTCCTGGTGCCTGGAAGAAGCTGTTACAGCCAGGTCACAGCTACGACTTGCTTTGGACAGGTAAAGAAGTTGCCCACTGGGGCTGGGGCAAACCGCCGCAGGTAGGAAAAGAGGCTTCCGAGCCCAAGAGGCCACCGGTCCTGATTCCGGGAGGTGCGCACTTCACCTTCACGGTGGTAGAAGCGCTGCCACCTCCCATTCCACACCCTGCTACACCACCGCCTTTCCAGGCGTGTGAGAGAGTGTGAGTGTCTGATTAGTGGCATTCAGTCGTTCCCCTGCTAATATATGAAATAGTCCAGGGGCACCTGTCCTCAGCCTTGACATGAGCTGTAGTCCAACAATGACTCTGAATGGGCGACTGAGGATCCATATCAGACTCACTTATCACGGTCTCTCAGACAGTAGTGGTACTACGACAACAGGCAAAGAAGAACCAAGACCGATTACATTCCACACCTATGCATTTAGCCCGGTAGATGGCGCATTCCGCGTCTATCGCCGTACCGGTCCAGATCAGCCGAGCTCGGAGATAGAGGAGAAATGGGAGTCATTCTACGGCAATGGCTGTCGATGGGGGCTCTGGGGCGATCCCGACCAGCCGATAAATGTCTCCCAGAATCTAGGCACCCGATTCCAAACCCTCTTTCCCGGCGCATGCTGGACGAACTTCTGGACTATGGAAGCGGACGGAGACGGGCTACCCGAGGATCCTCAATTCGGCGAGAAGTTCCGATACCAGTTCAAGGGAAATACGTTGGACTGGTGGGATTGGGGAACAGCTGAGGACCATGCAGAGACGGTTGTCACAATACCTGCCGCGGGGGTGGACCTATTGTCGATCCAGAGGACAATGGAGGCCGGCCAAAGGTGGTTGTACCCGCGTCGAATATTGTGGAGTGGGTGATGCTTGATGAATGAGCAGTTCCTGATCTTACCTTACCGAGGGTCTTGGTTTGAGAATGGTGTAATTTTGGCCAAAACCTCGAAGAGGCCATCCGAAGTCTATAGTGTCCAAACTCTTGCATCTTTTGATCAGTCTATACTCCACATATTAGCCACTCGAGAATTGGAAATCAGATCAAGGTACTGCTTGGAAACTGACCGGGATACTAGAGATTCTGGCGCCATCGCCTCCCCCTTGAGCTGGAAATTTCAGAAAGTCCAATATCCGAGACCAGAGCCTGTTGGACTAGCATCTTGCGCCAGCCTGCGTTATTTCGTACGGATCGAGCCAAGGTCGAGGCGTCTTTGGTCATAGGCAAGTCATGAACCTCGAACCAGCAGCTATACAGTCTGTCCTTGGCAGGAAAGAGAGAAAGGAAAGTCAGTTAACAGCAGGTTGAGTATATTTCCATCGATTCTCCATATTCTCCATTCGAAGTCATTAATCTGAGTGGAGAAACGGGTCTTTTGGATTGACGGTGACTTGCTGATCAGTACGAACCAGGTGCGCGAGACTCGCTGAGCAGATCTGAGAAGCGTGCACATATCCATCCGAGCAAGGATCATCTTCAATTGCTGGATTATCCAGGACTTCTGTGGTTGTAGTTTCCATATTTTATATATTCCTTAACACAGCTTGACATTGCTTCTGGTTGGGATCTTGATGGTGGAGAACGGAAATAGATGGCCATAGGGGGACGGGAACTAGCGGTTATCTGCATTCTGGTAATACACAGCATCGTACGTCACGCAGTCGTTCTAGAGATAAAAAGGTAAGTAGATATACGAAGTCGTACCTACAAATTGAGAAATATAGACGAGAGTGATTTCAGGCACGTGCCGTGCCAACAAACCACACGAGTATCCTTCAGGGAATCTGAGTCCGACTCTCACCGTGTTTACGGTAAGTTGAATAATCTACTCATGATACATCGAGACAAGACGGTAAGGCCTTGTCGAGCCTAGGACTTTTGCTGTATCACTGTAAGTACCCGCATGAATTATAATGTGTGGCCGCCGGGCGTTTTCTACAGCGCCAGAACTTGTAATCACGGTAACTTTGCTGATCTACCAGGAATACACCTAGAAAGGCTGGTGGGGACTTTTCCTGACCGAAGAAAGTTTAGCGCAAGCGGAGTGGGGCGCTGGGAAGGAAAGTGTGTGTGTCTTGGGGGAAATCTGTTTTCGAACTCTACTGTATCCTAGGTCTTTTAAATACAACAGAGATTGAATGAATGGAGATCCGCAATTTGGATATCGGGATATCCAATCAAGATATCCAAGATGAGACAATTCAGCATAGAAAATCACCACAATATGTGAAATCCAAAGTTCACCGGGAACCATCCGGTTTCTCCTTCTAGCCCTCCTTCATGCTCTCCTCGGTACCTGGCAACTTGAGCAATAATCACTCTCCTAACTCAGCTCCCTGTAGATCCAGCAGTCAGTCCCTTGTAGCCGTGGCTTTAGTGGTGATTCATCGAAAGCCAAGGACTGAAATACATTCGGTTTTGAGCTAGTGTCTATACGCTGATAGATGAATCTATCTGCAGTTCCCGCTCCCCGGTTCGTTCCACGTCAGGTGACCCTCCCCTCACCAATCACGCCCTATCGTCTACCTATGCTGCTCAAATATGGATCTTCTTCTTTTCTATCTTTCTTTTCTCTATTCTATTTTCTACTCCAATTGCAACCAAATAGCTATGTCGAATGAAGCTCCTCCCCCATTGGGACAACAGTTGGCTGGCCTTCTTGAGCCAGCCCAACTTATGTTCTGGGCCATGTCTCGTATGTACAATATCGGCTTTTGATCTACTCTGCTCCTCGATACCATCCCGCTCTGGCTCCTTTCACACCGAGTCTCATTATACCTTGTTAATTTTGCTTTTCTTTCCCCATATATGCTATTCCATAGTCCCCAATTCCATGTTGAAATCCCCTCTGTCTTTTTGTGCTCATCGCTTACGAGAATCCCACATTGACGGCGGTTCCCCGTTCTCGGCGTTTGATTCTCTATTTTGATACTCAATGCAGACAACCCAACCCACGCAACAAAATACAAATTAACTGACAATTCTACCCAGATTACGTCCGCGTCTGCAAAGACGCAGTGTTCACCCGGGGCCAGGTCTTTGCCCCCATTTTCCAAACTACAAAACTGAGAGATGAGGCATTTGGAAAGTTCTGGGTTGAGTTTAGTGGTGAGTCATGCTATGTTCAGTCCATTCCAATTAATCCCTACATTCGTATGAATTGCAAAGAGGAGAACTGCGATAAATGAAACAAAAATAATTAATTCGAACAATAGCACCTCGCGGCGACCCAAACGCCGAACCAGTCGGCAGCTCAGCCCTGATCCCACCCATTCTTAAAACATCCCGCGGTGTTGTCCTTGATATCGGCCCCGGTACAGGAACGCAGATGCCACTCCTGCGCTCAAAAGATATCACCGCACTTTACGGCGCAGAGCCTTGTCTCGGTCTTCATAGTGAACTGCGTGCGAAGGCAGTTTCAGAGGGCGTATCTGAGAAATATCATATCTTGCCATGCGGTGTCTCTACTAAGGATCTCCTTCCTGCTCTCCGGGATGCGGAGACCGGTGTAACGGAGGCTTATGACTCGAACCCTAAGAATGGGATCTTTGATACCATTCTCTGTGTGCGGGTTCTGTGTTCTATTCCTGATATGGAGAAGACGACTCGGGAGTTGTATGGGTTGTTGAAGCCTGGTGGCCGGTTGCTGGTTACGGAGCATATAGTCAATGATTGGGCGGCGCCGAAGGGGTCCATTCTTGCAAGAATAGCCCAGGCGACTTATATGCTGCTCGGATGGTGGTTTTTTATTGGGGATTGCTGCTTGGATCGGGATACGGAGCGGGCATTGAAGAGCGCTGCGGATGTGGATGGGGGTTGGGAGTCTGTTGACTTGGAGAGGTCATTTGAATGGTCGGCTATGCCATATCTTTCTGGCATTTTGACCAAAAAGAGTATTTAAAGAAGTTTTCATTCAGTTTTGGGTGGGGGTGGTGTCTTAGGTTTCACGTTCAGGTGGGTTTTACGTAGTTGCGGTGCATAGAACAAATTCTTTACGGAGATCTACAATTAAACAAATTTAGTCGGACACCCTACTAGCTTTTGTACGAATTAGCGCGGTAGCTGCAATTTAGACAAGATGCTATGCACGTACCTGATTTTCTAGGTACTGTAAAGCATATGACCTCACATTGGTTCAAGCCAACATGCGTAGCGCTTTCTTCGAGCCGGGAAAATAAGTAAGAAAAGTCGCCGTCTCAGTGGGCATCCCTCCCCAAGCACCTTGACGTTCTTGGGTTGCCTAAGGTGAACGAGTGGTACCTGGGAATGCACACGTGAAGTTTACTGTTCTGAATTACAATTGCTGCCCTAGTTGCTACATGGGCTATAGAGGCGTCCAACTAATTTTATGGTGATCAATTGTAGATTTCCATGACGAGTATGTCATGGACTGTATGTTCTATTCATTTCCATAGGGGTATCATCGTAGACATTAATCAAATAACCTGGACATGTACAGGGACGGGTATCAAGAGAATAAGAAATACAAATATTAACATCCGAGACAGATCAAACGGGTTTCGGTCGGCCAGGAGGCCAAAAGTCGAATAGATCCAACGCCTCCGCGGTCCAGGGACCTTCTTCATGCACTCCACCAGACTCTTCTGGGACCGCGCTCATGGCATTCCGCATAGGAGTCGGCCTTGCTTGAAGACTAGGCTTATTATTCAAAGCGCTTGGATCAGAGAGAGACTTGCGAAGTGGGGCATCGAATGAGCGTCTTGCGGGTAGATTTCGCGGCGCGTCTGCCGGCCTTTGATTTAGGTTCGACCCGTTTTCAAAGCCTGAGGGAGCGGCTATATCTTCGAGGGCATATTGGGTGGCGTCTGAAGGCAGGAACTCTGTGCTAGTTGGCTCTGCTTCTCCCCTCGTTGATGCTTGAATTGGTTGTTTACTGTAAATAATGAGCGCGAGGATCATTGGCTATTCGTGTAGGGCGTCCTTACTTGGAATCTGTAGGTTTTGAAATGGGTTGACGTCTTTGTTTCTCAGCGGGTGTCGTCGATGGCACCGAAGACGGCTGTTGCTGCAGAGTACTGTACATAAATTTGTTGCGGGGTTTCTGGATCGTCATACGTGGGGCAGCGGGTTTCGCGACGGTAGCATCTGGGACAGCTGGCGATTTGTCTTTTTGTTGGCTTCGTGCCGCAGGTCGCTCCGGATGTTTGCCCTGGACCGCACTGTCCGTGACGAGGGCATGATTCACTGCAGGCTTTGTGGGTGGTGGTTGAATAGGTGTCGGTACTGAAGTACTTGGTAGCCTTGCTATAGCTACGGGTTTCTCCGGTGGTGGCATTGTCGGCCTCGAGTCCTTTCGGTGTGGTATATCCCGGGCTGGCGCACACTGAAGCAGGGGTCCATTTTCAGGAACTGTCAAATCCACCACTTCGGATGGAACACTATTTGTCGTCTTTCCCGTCGATGTCTTTGCTCGCTTGGTTGGCCGTTCGGGCTCTGGTGCTGGCGGCGCCGGCGACGGCGCCGGTGGCGGAGGTCCATGCCGTTCCTCATACGGCGACAAAAGGTGTCCAATGGGTGTTTTTCTGATACCGAGTAGGTCATTCAAAGAGCGAAAGGGATGCGACGAGCCTGAGGACCGAACAGGCGTAGGCGTGTATGTGGGCGTGGAGATTGAGGTCGACGAACGTGGCGGTTGAGAGTCGGAACCTGGGTTGTTATCTCTAGATCGAGGCGATGTCTGACTAGATCTCCTTTTCTCGAAAAGATTGGACAAGTCTGTCTGTGTGGTACTCATGCGCTCCCCCACCTCTATCAGCACACCCTTATCGAGTTCAAGCTCATCGCCATCCTGTACCTCTTCGGCCGATCGCCAGTGGTGATCACCAATGTAGTTGCCCTGTTCGTCGTACACCATGGCTCGCTTATTGAACGCATGATATTTAAGGTACCCATCTTGCCACCGCTTTGATTTGCGGCGCAGGTCATACGTGAACAAGCACCGAAACTTGACCACTGAGGCGGTGATCTGGGAGCCCGGGCTTGGGCCCGGGCCTCGCGTGGAGGATGAGGGGGTGGACATGTAGTGTCATGTAGCATTTAAGGGATAAACACACATCCCGTAAATATTTGCAATGTGACTGACGTAGATGTGCCAGGTAATCGGGCGGTGTAGTAGGCAGTGCAGCGGGATAAGAAGCTTCGCGGTTGAACGCGTGGAACAGCGGGGCTGCCCATTCCGTCAGGCAGAAAGTCAATCAAGGTCCAACGGTGCGCGATCCATGGTTTGCTTTTGTTTTACTTGGGGTTTCATTGGAAAGCATTGACATTGGCGTTATACTTGGAACCATTCAATCTCTCACATTCATCAGTTCATGATCCGAATCCAATTATCTCTTTTCCGAGTCCTTGATCCTTCGACCCATCAAGTCCCTGCTTAATCCCTGATTCGTGCATGATATCCCGCTGTAAGTGAGCTTCATTCGTCGAGATAGAACCCTTCCCCACACCCGTGACTCAACAGAACCTGATTTGTGGAAATCTTCCAATTGGACCTGGGAAAGCACGGATCAACCCGAACAAAAATAGATGCTAGACTACATATGGAGAAGAGGGGGCCCTAGAGCCGCAGCGAGGCTGAAACAATCTGAGGGGACAGCCTGTTCCCCTTTCTCATTCAATTTATTTCGTCTTTCTAACATTGAGTCAGCTGGTGATACCTGATTTCCTTATTTCGTTGGTGCTTTCTGCTTTACTTTTATGCAACGTGGATGCCCCTCATTTTGACGGTTTGACCACACTCTGCTCAATCCCCCGCCATGTTGAGCATGCAAAGAAAGTTCGGTCGAATGACCACCAAGCGCACGGCCGATGACAGCCAAGTCGCCGTGCTCTTGAAGGACTTCGAGGACGCTGATACTCTCTTGACCAAGGTAGGCAGCCACTTTTTAACGTGCTGACGTGGGGCGCATCACTAACCTTTCTGCCGAGATAGATTATTGATTCCACCAAAGCCTGGCGCGATGCTTGGAGCTCTATTGCGACTTTCCAGAGTCGCATGGCCGACGAGTTCGATGGCCTCTATGCGCCCATCGCGAGCTCCTCGGAGACCCCCACTCAGAGACAAGCGTTCAACACACCACCGGCTATTCTTGCGCGCACCAATCGAATGCGCCGTGAATACGATGAGTTGCGCACTGACATGCTGCAAGAGCTCACTGAAGTCGACTCCCGCATGATACGCCCCGCGGCATCGGCGAAGGATTTTCTGGCGCCCGTGAAGAAGACCATTAAGAAGCGGAATGATAAAAAGGTTCGTCTTCGAAGAGTCTTTAAGTTGCTCAATTCTGTATGACTAACATCAATGTCTCAAATAGACCGACTTTGAACGCTACCAGAGCAAAGTAGATGGTCTCATCCATAAATCGAAGCGTTCCGAGCGCGATAATGCCAACCTCGCCAAGGCAGAGGCCGATCTTGCTACTGCCAAGGAGGTGAGTCAAAGAATTTTGAACATATCTTCAGACATTAACTAATCAATCGCAGATCTATCGCGCTGCGGACGAGGATCTCTGCCAACGTTTGCCCACCCTCGTCTCCCTCCTCTTCTCCTTGGTCCCATTCATCCTTGACGCCCAAATTGAGATCCAAAACCGCATGCTAGCACTCTACTACACCGTGCTCCACGCCTACTGCGAAGCAGAAGGCTTCCCCTCCCCACCCCCACCCATGGACCATGTAATCCAGGACTGGGAACTGGCCCATAAGCCCTCTCAAAGCGACATCGAAGGTCTTGCCATCCTAGCACACGGCAAATCCATCCGCCGAGCAAACGAGGCCCAAGAAGAACAACGTGGCAAACGGCCCTCGCTAGGCGGTCGCAGCCTCACAAGCTTCTCTGCTACCTCAAGAGGCAGTGACATGCGCAGCCGCAGCAAATCTCCCGCACCACCACCAAATATGTTCAATAAGCCCAAACCCTGCGGATTCGAGGCCTCCCGCCCCGTTTCTCCCTCATCGTCCGTGAACACTTTCACACCCAGCGTCTCGGCCATCTCAGCAGCGAGCTCATCCAGCACAGCCCTCACAGCAGGCAGTGGCTACTTCACTCCACCAGTACCCTCGGAGCCAATGCCCGTCCACTCATACAAACGATCCCCCAGTCCCATGCCGGCCAAACCGCCGAAGCCATCAGGGATCCAATTCTCACCCGCTGGTCCGAAGATCGATCACCACCAGACATTCATCTCGCCCACGCCTGCCGTAACGGATCCCCTGGCCAGCATGGCGGGTAAGAAAAGGAGACCTCCACCCCCGCCGCCGGCCAAACCGGCCAAGCCACCACGTCCCACTACAACTTTCGTTACGGCGCTGTATGACTTTGGTGGCCAGGGACCTGATGATTTGTCTTTCCGGGAGGGAGATCGGATCAAGCTGGTGAGGAAAACGGAGAGTACTGACGACTGGTGGGAGGGTGACTTGCAGGGAGTCCAGGGATTTTTCCCGGCGAACTATGTCACATTGTGAAGTGATGACATACCCTTTCGTGCCTGATACTGCTTCATTTGCCTTCGTTGGACCTATTAGTCCCGCATAAACGAAAATCACTAATATGCCTCGATATCAAATATGGTGGTGGATTATACATACCTCGGCGATGCTTTTCACTCGTTATTTTCTTTCCTATGATGTCTTTTTTTTTTCTCACACAAAAGGCCTCGCTGGTGCCTTAACTATATTCCCCTTGTGTTTACAATTCCCACTACGTATATCTACATCTATTCAAAATATATGCATTTTTCATGAACAAAGCTTGAGTGATGGAAAGTCGTTAGGATTTAGGATTAAATTGAATAGCTAGTATGTATGCGGAGGCTAGCTAGATGTCTGAGAAGATGGGCGCGTGGCATACCCCAGGTTGAGTGGTTGAATGGGGTAGTGGCAGCTTCGAAAGAATATTGAGGATTATGTGGCTTAAGTTAGAAACACTAATATCAATCAGCACCAAGTGGTCGAGCGGAAACTCGACTATCTCATCTTCCTTGGTCTAGTGGTCATGATTTCCGCTTGTCATTAACACCGATAAGCGCGGGAGACCGGGGTTCGATTCCCCGAGGGAGAGATTTCTTTTTGCTTTTTCTTTCCACTTCATGGAACTTCTCTTTTTATTGTCAGGTTTTAAATAAACTTGGATGTAAATGAGCATTGAACTTATACTAAATATGCTTTTGTAATCCTCGGTATCACTACACGTTGTGGCTATGGCATCATAAGTAAATACAAAGGTGACTGACACATCTCACACCAGGACTCTGCGGAAAAAATATATCTAATCTGCGCGGGATGACTCCTGGACCAATCTGAAATCATTCAGACAGGCCAAACTTGGAATCTCAAATGAAAAATTCATCAGTCGTGGGCGCATCGTTCTCGTTTGCTGGAGTCCCCATTCCCATCTGGCGACGGCGAGTGTTCAAAAACATATCTACCATGCGCTTGCTGGATATGGTGGAATGAATATCCTGAAGCTTGTGATACTCGTCCATCATTTCATCGTGCTCCTCTCCTTGTCTGGTATTTTCATTGTTCTGAAGATCTCGCTGTAACCTCATGGAACGGAATGAATTTGGCTTCCCATTCGTCATTGGCCGTCGAGCAGAGTACCGTCGGACCTGCTCCTGAGTCCAGGCTCGTTTCATTACCACGGGACCATTCCTCTGAGGTGGAGTGGGTGACTCGGGAATTTGAATCGTGTTGCTAGTTCTGATGCGCATCGGAGACACAGGTGAATCGGCAACACCGTTGGACCAGGATGGTACAGCTGGAACTTGGTGAAGTGTCAGATCAATCTCATCATTCAAAGGCAATTTAGTCGCCTGATCCGGCTCAATCTTTGGGGAAGACAGAATAGTTCGCACACTGGAGGACCGACTGAATGGTCGTGAGTAATTGCTCTGAGACAACGTGGGACCAGCTAGGAGCTGTGGATTTCCATCTTGTACGTCCGTGCTGTATAAGGGACTGTTCAACGCTTGGCCTGGAAGAGATGTTTGTCGAAGCATGTCGGTGAAGGTTTCATCTTCATCCTGGAATTGAGCACCCTCCCGGAAATGCTCCTTTGTAGGACTCGCATTTTCGATCCTTTCAATCTCTGAGCTCATCCATTGCTGCCAATCTGCACTTGGGTGTACCATTGACATTGAAGGCCGGGATCGACTGACATGATTTGGTGAGCTCCAGGCAGTTCGTTCAGAAGCAAAAATTGTCGCTATTCCTGGCTCACCTGCACTCGGCGCGGCTAACATGCTGAGATTCTTGGTCGATGTATCACCTCCAGTCGTTCGTGAGTAAACACTTGTCGGAGATACTGGCTCCATCATTGATTCAGAGTGCGCAATGACCACACTCCCTGTCTCCTCATCCGAGTCTTCATCCACAATATATGCAGAGTGTGGCAATTTTCCTTTCGAGTAAGCGCTTCGAGGCCGGGTGTGTTCTTGTCCAAGTTTAGCCCGAGCCCCAGCCCGGAGTGGCCGAGAATGCCCTGCAGATCGTGGGTATTTCTGTGGTGATAATGAATCACCTCTTGCAGTTGCGAATGATTCGGGAGAGGTCGCTAACCCCTCGCTGGAAACACGGCGAACAGTACGTAAGCTGCGGTGGGAGTAAGCGGAAGACGCACGCTCTGGAATTACCCGATGTTCTGGTACAGTACCTAACACAACCTCCTCTTGGTTCTGTGCAGCATTTCGTCCAATTTGCTGCATCAAGGCTGTATATAGATCCTGAGTGTTGAACCATCCGTTCACATTGCGAGTGCTAGATCTCTTACGTGGTGGTGACAGACGGCTTCCAGTATCACAAGCAGGTATATCTGAGCATTGCTCGTTTGGATCACCATGCTCCTCTACCGAAGACAGTGATTGCCGATGTCCTTTTCTTCGTGCTGCCACTGTCGGCGCCGCAGTTGAGGTAGTCCGGCTAGTTTTGCGTGAATCTATGGTGCAAAGGCTAGCACGACTTGGAGAATTCTGTATGACTCGCAGTGGGCTTGAATCTCCGCTATAATGGATATCTTCAGAATGATCGGCCAAGCTGATGTCGTCTGTATTAATCACATTCTCTGACAAATTCCGAGGGCCGAGCTCATTCGGAGGCTCAGCTGACTGCTCAGTGGCTTGCTCGACGTGCCTTGAGAACCCAAACACACGCTTCAGGCCAAGCTTGATGGACGCAGAAAAGGTGCGGGACTTGCCATGAGAGAGTCTCGAACTAAAATGCCCAGGTGATGGATCCATTCCGCTCGCATCACTTGGAGTCCGAAAAGTCTTCCGGAATGGCTTGTGTTCCCTCTTGCGACGGGACAACAAGAATGAAGAGCGCCTGTTCTGCACTTCTGGGCTGCCGCTATTCTCGGAATATTGACTGCGAGCCAGCCGAATGGCCATATCCTGGCTCTTGGCATGTCGAATCGCATGGGGTACTTCATGATTGCCACGAACAAAGGATGTTGAGTTCCTCAAGGTTCGTGGCATTGCAAATTCTGGACTGAAGTCAGGACCAGGGGAGCTGCCATGGGGCATGGGCGGCTTCCCATATGCCAAGTGCGACAATCGCTGTCTGGTAGAAAACATGGACTTGGCCCTTCGTAGGCGGCGATAAGATGAAGGAATCGAGCTGTCCCGGCCATCCATCCCTTTAAACTCCGCGATTGGTGGCAACACGGCCGGGTTCTCGTGATGAATTTGAGCAGCTGGGTTCCTCTCCGATTGTCGAGGTGTCATCGGAGTGGTGGCAAATGGTGTAATTATGGAGTGACCGCCATCTGTTAACTGCAAGCTGGTGTTTTGGCGTCTTCCTGGAATGGCCACATTGCCGGGTCCGCCTAGTCGATCGTACGAACCTTTGGACTCAATGGAAGATCTTTCACTCAAGCGCATTGCTCGTGCGGCAGCCGTAGCCGCATGTAATTTAGCGACCTCTGTATCAACATATTCTGTCTCTGTCGGTGGATGGGCTCGTCGCATCGAGCGAGTGGACATGGATCGTCGGAGTCGGTCCCGGGTAGTGAATGAGGAAAACATACTAGGAAAGTCTGTATAGTACGTGGTACGACACGGGTGAAGATGCTTGAAAACGAAGAAGTCCTACACCTTGCGCCAGAAGTGACATTTTCGTCCAATTTGAATACAAAGGAAAGAGCGTGGGATGCCATGGTAGGTGCGATGCCCCTGTTGACCGAATTCCAAGGTATACAATCACACACCTAGGCAAGTGTAGTAGTAAATTTAAGATGAAAAACAAAACATGGACAATGGAATAGTATTGGCTACAAACGATATTCAAGCCTCAAAGCGTCTCTCTGAGCAATAAGCAACATATGAGTTCCGATAGGGTCAACCTGCAGCTCTTTCGCTAGTGAGTCACCCGCCAAGGCGCAGCGACAATTCCCTGACTCAGACTAAGATTCAACCACGACTCGCAAGCTTCAGCGTTGTGGAAGAATGGATATTTCCATTTGTATTTATTGATAACATGCCCACTAAAAGAAAATTGGTAAGTGACATAAACACCCATTACGCTCCCCATTCCTAAATGGCAAGCTTCCAGAGCCCAGAGACGGTCTCCAGTGGAGCCTCCCCAAAGCCCCCACCAAGATCGCCACGCCACATTGAGCTTGATGGGCGAACGCTCGAGGGGGGCGGACAATTGATTCGTAATGCATTAGCTCTGTCAGCCCTCACCAGCCGCCCAGTGACGATAGATCACGTCCGCGGAAATAGAGGAGGGAAAACAGGACTGAAGACTTCCCATGCAGCGGCGGTCAAACTACTGGCCGAGATCAGCCGCAGCAAAGTTACTGGCGGACAAGTCGGATCAAAATGCGTGACGTTTGAGCCCGAAGCTCCCGCGAGCGAGGAGTCAACCTCGACGAAAACAGGCCATCAGTCGCCTTTGGTTTCCTTGTCGGAGTTGTCTGTCCAGCCTGAATACACCATTCAGCTACCGACACCGGGATCGGTATTCTTGATCTTCCAAGCCTTGTATCCCTACCTCCTCCACGTTGGATCGCGAGCAGGGACGAATTGCGTAAAAGTGACTATTACCGGTGGAACAAATGGGACCAGCTCGCCATCTTACGACTATGCTTCTCAAGTCATGGCGCCCAATTTCGCCCGCCTTGGTCTTCCTCCTCTTTCCATCAACCTACATAAGCGTGGATGGACGGTCGGGCCCATTGAAATGGGGACCGTCACATTCCATATCCACCCTTTGGGTGCAATGGTGAATGCTGAGGGTGTCCCCGATACTCGCTTCCCACGAATCAATCTAATGGACCACGAGCGAGGAAAGATTACGCAGATCGATCTCACTGTTCTCGCACCAGACAGCACCCTAGTGGGTGAATCCCAAACAGTTCGCAAGTACGTTGAGCAGCGGACTTGTCGACGTCTACGCAAGGCTCTGCAGGCTATGGATTCATCGAATTTTGATATCCGATCGGTGCCCATCAAACTCCACACATCGGAGCCCACTACGCACATGAGTCGGGTGTACATTCTTCTTGTGGCTCATACGTCTACGGGATTCCGAATTGGAACTGATGGCTGGATTGGTGGCCAATGGGCTTCGGGCTCCCCAAAGAAGAAACACAAAAGCACCAAGGAAGCACAAAGGCATCATGAAAGAGGTGACACTCGGTCTAAGGACCAAGCCGAGGCTGCAAGCTACATTGATGCCGTACTGGAAGTCTTCATTGAAGATATCTCTTACAAAGGTTGCGGCTCATCCAAGGCTACGGATAAAAGACCACCGTTGCTAGATCTACATATGAGAGATCAGGTTGTGGTGTTTGAGGCTCTAGGTGAGGCTCACGGGGTTGGTAGCGATAACTCCAATACTGACAAGTGCCGGCAACTGGAGAACGAGCAATACTGGTCGTTGCATACTCGGACTTCACAGTGGGTGTGTCAGAAGATGCTGACAGAGACGCCCGAGTAAAGAGTCAGAAGACTTGGGATCAGTTATATCATAATCTCACACTAAAGTTTTCCGGCCAAAATGTTCCTTAGTAGTTCTTCGGGTATAAATCCCGGGTTAGCCCAGGTTTCAAAACTCGCACCAAGCCCGACTTCGGCTTTCACCCCGGGAACAGGCCGTTGGTCCCCGATCTAATTAAAGGGCACAAACCAGGGGCCGTTTCACCATAGAACTAGCATCACCGACTCCATGGTAATGACGAACCAGTTAGAAAGGATCGGAAACCAGACAAGCGATCTTCCCAGTGACACCGGGCCATCTGTCTGACACGCTCCACCGGGCGCTGATCCACACCGTGCAAGTCCGAACGAGTCACCGTTAATCCTAGGCCCCGAATCCTGCACTTGTGTGGACTAGCAACCCGACTCACGGACAGGCCGGTCATTATCATTAGCCCAGTCTAGGACCAAGGATTAGAATATTAATTTAGGCGGCACAGAACCTAGGCCCCAGACCGTTGACCGTTAGCCCGGTCATGAGGATAATAGTTGGGCATCCACATGGTGATCTATTTTTCCACGAAATTAACCCTGGACGCTGGAGGCTGGTATAAAAATCATGAAATAGAATACCGATATAACCGGACTAATCTCAGACAGGTAACAGTCTCGAAAATTCCTCGCGGTCACTAACAAGACACTAAAAAGCACTAAGGGCTTGGTATCGACAATACGACCCCATAAGCGCAAAGCCCAACCGTTGAGCCGTTTGGTAAATACATGACAGTTACACACTAACGAACTAGTTAGAGCTCGGGCGAACAAGCCCCCTACAAGCCACACCGACAAACCATAACACCAATGATCATCGTCCTAACCTTCCGGACACGGTCCCCTGAAGAAGAAGTGGAGCTAGCGCATTCCCCACAGCCCACTCTGAAACAGCGAACAAACTGATCTGACTGTGGCTGAGCCGTCCGAATCCATCGGGAAAAAGGGGTTAACTTACAAAGCGAACGCTAAGGAAGCGTAGAAGCCTGATGGAAAAAAGGAAAAGTCCCAGATACGGATATGCCTTCCAGGGCTGGGATCCCCACTTCTCTCATACTCGTTGACGTCCAAGACACATGTTTTACATCAGGAAAAGCTTCATCCCCAAACCTATAATGGTCCAAAGGTTAAGATGAAACAATTCCCCTAAAAGTATAATGCGAGTCAACAATAGATCTAAGCTTGAGCTGGAAACCCGACTGGAAATTCCTTGAATCGGCAGCAACCAGCCCTGAAACCAATCAACAATGCCAAGTATGCGTTCGGTCCTTTCATCCTCCACTCGAGGTCCAATCCACCCGTATGATGTTATGCGTGAAATTACGATTTACCCCATAAAAGTCAACCTTGCGAGATGAACTCCCTATGTAAGGAGTGCCTTTCCCCATTTCTCTATATTACATAGAGCCTCTACAACTCTGTATTGGAAACCGGATTCATTCAAATCCGATACTGGATGGTATCCACAGTATCCCTATATCCGCGGAGATAAATTTGAATCATGATCGTCCATCTTTCAATAATGTGCCCGGGTCTCCAAATGCCCGTGCCTGCAGGTGGGGACCGTCCGCGTTCTCGTTGGTTCAGGTTTCGTTTCGTAAGGCGATCGGATTTCCGCCCGGGGCCATCTTGGTCCCCGGGCTCCAGTTCTTGAATAGTAAACATGTTAGCCGATGTTGTACCTGCGTGGGTATATATGGATAAGTTGCATAGTATGGTTTGACTATGTATGAACTTCGTAAATAGGTATGGTTTTTGGCTTTGGATTTGCGGCGGCAGCTATCGAGGAATAGAATACGGGTTGGGTTGGTCTGGTTTGATTTGGTCTAGGTGGATACACAAGGGCAGTGGAGGGTGGAAAAATGAGTTGGGCTGGTTTAGGCTGTCAGATCAGGCCAGAATTTTTTTTTATTCTCTTTTCCTTTTCTTTGTTTGATTGACAGTCGTTTTCTATATGCGCTTTGTTTGTTTAATTACCGTGCTTTGTATTTTGGAGGCAGCAGGAATACGGGCTGGGTCAAATAAAAATCAATTAATCATTGTTCTTATTGCGCTAGAAGCACTACAGGGCTGGAATTTACCTTCTATTTGGGGGCCGATCGTACCGGAGGTTTTATCTTCTAGCTGAATCTGGAGTGCAGCGGTCGGATTGTTTTTCCGCTTTGCGAAGTAAAGTTAGCCTAGTATAAACGCAAAATTGAATCTTATTATGATACCGCATTTCCGAGTGTCAGAAGATTTGTTTTGTTTCCAAGGTTTATTAATATTTAGGCAAGCACGTATTGATCCTTGCGCCCCCTTGGCTTGGTTTGAAGCCCGATGGGGCTGGAAGGCCCCCTGTAGGGTCCAAGATGAGCCTCGTTTTTGGCGCATGCAAAGATAATCACCCGGAAGACGGTAATGCACGTGGTGATGTTTGCCTGCATGTAGACGAAACAGGAAAAAGAGTGCGCCGTTGGGCACGGCTCATTGGGACCATTTTAAAGTCAGATGAGATCTACTGCGTCTCACCGTGTCATCTTTGCGGCTGAGAATATAGTTTCGATCAATGGGGCTGTCCGCTACGTCCCATTAATAGATGGGCTGGCCTAGGCACGGGCTGTGAAACGCTGCGGTCAGTAAATCTGAGGCCTAGAACCTAACCTGCGTGACCAGGTTCCAAGTTTCCAGGTGACAGGAATTCCGTAGCACGTTCAAGGTCTAGTTACGAGGAAATGTAATGAAAATGAAACATGGTCACCAGTTCATGGTGAGAGCATGATATCGATGCGATGAGGTATCTAGCAAAACAGGATCCTTTCAGGACATGAAAATGTTGGGGGAGCAAAAAGAAAACCATGAAACATTAAACAAAGACTGGGGGTATGGCATCATGTCACGAAGGACCTAAAAAGAAAAGATAACGGTCAAAACGATGGCTATTCGCCGACAAGGAAAAATAGGAAGTATGCGAAAGAATAAGACAAAGAAACGAAAGTTCGATCGTCGATCGACAGATCAAAGAATCCATCTTGCGCCACTGCCGAGTGGCAGATATGCCCTAGGTAATCCATGCAAGGTGTCTATCCGCCACGCTTGCGCCAGCAGCGAAAGTATCCGGGCAAGTAATACAACAAGAAAAGAGAGAGATGGCCGCCATCGTGAGAACAGAGAAACGCCTGGCGATGCATATGAGGTAGAAGACGAGAGTTCAAAAAAAAGCATTCAGGGAATGGTCTCAACATCCTAGGAAATCAGTTCCAGCCTGTAACCTACAGGATGTATCCCCATCCCAGTATCATGTCATGGCCTCAAAGCGGCTTTGGTGATTTTGTGTGATGGGTAGATTTTTTTTTTTTTCTTTTTGGTTTTGAACGGAGACGGTTTCTGGAGGAGGTTGCCTGAGGCTGCATTACATGTCCAGCTCGGACATGTTGATCGCGAATTCAGCGCGCATTTCTGAGGGAAGTTGGCGCTTGAAATTGCGTGGTTGCGCAAATGGAGAGGCAGATCCGGGGCGTCGCAGGTTGAGTTGCTATTCAGTGACATTAGCTTTTTCTCTTGTCTTCTTCTTGTTCCTTCAATCTTCTTCTCTGGATTGCTCAGAGAATGTCACCGCGAGCTTTCTCTTTGCGCCACAAAGATCTTGAGAGAGAAAATATAGGTGAACATACCCTGCAGTCAGAACACTTGGTGCCTTCCTTATTGACACGCCCCCGGCAACCGCGAGGATAGTTGGCGCAAGAGTACATTGTGAGAGGTGAAGGTAATTTGTTTTGTAGTTCGCGGGGATCGCGGGGGTAGGTTTGGTAGATGAATGGAACCAAATCGCGGGGAGGAGGTGGTGACAAAACTGGAGCTGGAGCAGGTGATTGAGGTTCTGCTTGTGGTTCACGGCGAGATCCCGAAGGTAAAGTTGGAGGCGGCAAGCAGAAAAAGTGAAGGTGGAAAAGGTTGGAAAAAGCCGTCTGAATCTCCTTTAAGGAAGTTCGATCCACCAAAAGGGGAGGAAAATTCGAGCTAGGCACTTTTGAACTTTAAAAAAGGCTCCAGCGGAGATCAAACTAGTTAAGAGAAAAAAATGAAACCCCAAAAAATAATTTGGCGATGACGTCGGCGGTTCAAGGTCTTAGAGCTAGAAAAGCAACCCAAGGTATTTTTGCGGAAGGGAGGAAGGGGGTTTATATCCAGAGGCTCAAACACATCACTTAAAGGAGAAACTAGAAAATTCTAGGGTTCCATACGACATGAAGTGAACTTTAGACTGGTTATGGGGTTATTCCCGTTTTTTGTTTCCGTATCATATAGCCGGAAATTTATGTAATGTATTTTATATTGAAGGGGTAAAATACTAAAATACTAAATCCCGAAATCCAGACCCTATCGTCGCTTCGTTTGACTATATCCTTGGCAAATCAATTCCTATTTTTTTTTTTTTCCTTTTTTCTCTTTTTTCTTTTTTTCTCTCCTTTAGTGGGTTAGAATGGACCCAACATTGCTTTTGTCAGGAGACATGACAAAATCACAAAAAAGCTCCGTCCAGGGCAGATCGGGCGGTCCCGCCTTCGGCGACCCAGCCATGCGGGTGTCTGATCGACTCAGATGCTGGCCATCGATGCATGACGGCCCTGTGGTTTGGAAGGGGTGGACCAATGAGGGCAGCAGCTAGGGTGAAAAGGAATGCGCGGTGTGCGGTACGGTGCATGATGCTGGATCGTGCTGGAATGACTCGCAGTCTCAACCTTGGATTACAGGGCTCCCTAGTGGAGCTCGCAACGGTGGAAGCTCCCGGGTCTTTCGAAACACCAAGCTAATGAGATGCATTATGCATCAGATTGAGTGGTTTTCCGGTTCCCTGAGAAATTTTTTCTTTGGGAAAAATCGAAATGCCGAGCTGTCCGATCCCGCTGGAAAGTGACGGACCCTCGCTTCCTCCCTTCTAACCCCTTTTTTGGGCCCTATCATGTCACCTTCATCTCCCCCTTGGTCATTCTTTTGTTTCGAGTTGATGCCCAATCTACAAAGTTACAGTGCAATCTGTTTATCTTCTTCAATTTTATGTGATTTTTCATTGGTACATCATGTCAAACAGGAACCGAAGTATCAATCTCGAAAAGAACCAAGGTTCCAACGTTCCAGATGTTCCAGACTCCGATCCAAGAATCTTCCTATGCGGTAGTGTTCTGGAATCCTAGAATTGTGGAAATTCCCCACTGGTCCTAATGATTTACTGGATTAACCCGTTCGGGCTTGTAAGTTTGGAGCCGATCTGGGGAGTCATTATTGCTTGATTACTAGACAATTGCTCTGAACCAGTAAGCTCCATAGTCCTTTCTGTCTATGAAAATTGCACCATCCCGAGTGGTGGTGATAGCCCCTAGTGATAAGATAGTACAGAAAATAAAATAAAATCTCAATAGTTCTCGATCTGCTTTAGCCCTCGAAGACCATCCTATGGTGCTACGATCACCGCTACAATTGTCCGGTGAGACCAGACTCTCCTGCCTGAAACCTCAGCTTCAATTTCACTTTCACATGGGTTGACACGGCAACTTGCGCTCTGCCATTGTGGAGGTAGTGGAGCCCGACCTTTACATCCGCTGTTCTGCTTAAAAAGATGGAAAAAAATGAAAAATCAAAGAAACTGAATTACGGGTGGGATCGGCCTTGTCCGAGACGTCAGATCTAGACTACCAGTGTTATGCTTTCCTGGCTATCCGGGCTTAACAGATTTATGAGACCCAAAAGCTTATTCTGGATGATACAGCCAAGACATTGCCTCACTAAAATAATGGGGGGTTTCTCTCATATCTGTTCCGTGCGATATCTGTTTCGTTTACTAGGATTCGCTTGATCTCGACAATGGTCATTTACGTGTTTCTCTTTGAACCGCCTAGAAAGCCAAGTGCTGGGCAAATTACGCTTTCGTCAGCTCCGCGTGTCGCACACTACTCTACGCGGAGGTCCACGACACTGACTATAAGCACCTGGAAGATTTGTGATGAGAAGAGGCAATTAAGCTCAAACTGATCATCTGACTGGCTTTCCAAAGTTGTTGATGGAAATTTTTGATCCGCGGATGTCACGGCACACTGCGTAAGCAACTTCCCAGTTTTGCATCCCGCCTGTCACTTAACTGCCGCTTCTCCACCATCTTGCATGATAAGAAATGAGCAAAAAAGTACCGTAAATTTAGGTGTCCCAAGGTACGTATCCTGGATTTGTCAGAGTAGCTGCCTTACATCGTACACGTACTTGTGTTCGTGGTCGGCTTTCAAGGGCAGCTGCAGCAAGATGTAGTGGCCCGCAGGGAACATGTGGACCTTGGGCTGGGTTGCCGAGTATTGATTGGTTCAGGCACCATAATTCCGGGATGTTTCATCATTTATGATACCCGTTTCCTTATTTCCACAGCGGGAACCCGTGCGAAAGGTCTAGAAGATCGCTCGAAGCTATAGAAGCTGGGCGGTGGAACACGAGCCTTGGGATTTGGCCCACACCATCCAGAATCAGGACCAGGACCCAACCCGGGAAGAGGAGGCTGTTTACTCTTTACTGCGACTTCCATGTAACCAGACCGTGTGACCGAAGGAAGCGGGGCATCAAACCTTGGGACCGTACCATGATGGCCAGCAACTGCAACTGGTCAGATATGCATGCTGCACGGAGCATCGCCTGACTATGGTGAGGACACCTCTCTCCAGCTAGGTAATCGGACGAGAATCGGAGGTGAGCTTCCTAGCCTGAATAAAAACGCCGGTGACCTCATCGGCTGAGTGGTGGTGCTTTCAATCTCATCAGATCCAGCCACAGAAAGTTTATGGTGGGGATTGTCTGCATCCAGACCGTTTTGGAGCGACGCCTCAGGTCAAGTGACCAACGGAATTTTTAAGTCATGACCACGACCTTGGAAAATCTCGGATGAAAGAGGAGTAATTTAATTTTGGGTGCAAACCCTGTTTTTGGTTTCTTTGTCCATTTCCCTATTTTGCTTTGTCGCGCCGACCCGCCCATGTTATCTGATGGGACGCTAGGTATGAGATCATGGCGGTGGCTGATGAGCGCCATCTCACCACTTCGGAAAAGTTCTGGGTAACGAGGGCAAAAAGTGGGCGAAGAAATTCACAAAACATCATTCATAGTATCATGGCAGGGGTTTACCCTGATTGGAAGATTAACCCGAAAAATACTCCACACATACATGCATACCTAAAGCATCCCATACTTAAAGCATCTAGGTAATATGAAAAACACCTTAGAGAGACCGAAGCAGAACCCATGCACCAACAAGCCCCAGTGTTGATGCAAGTAGCATGCCATTTCCTTCCCAGGTCAAACCTAGATATGCGAGGAATCCCACCACTATCTCCTTCTGTCGAGCCGCATCCCTCCGAGATCGCCAGCTGGGGTCAATTGCAAATGGAGCTACCGATTTTGCTTCAGGTCCCTCGTGATCTGTCGCTGATGGACTGTCCGAAGGCCTCAAAGGAACAGACGCAGCCAGCGCAACAGGCCGGTGATCTGAGTGCGGGAAGAGAGGGAGTGCGTCGTATGCATGTGTTTTGACTTGTCCTCCTCCCGAAGCCCACGAGGGACTGTTTAGGTAGAGGATTCGGTCACACCAGCTCGGCCAGCGGTGGTTTGACCATTTCCACTCTGCCTCTGATTCTCCGCTCAGGAGACTGGCACGCGCAGCCTGCTGCGCTGCACCGGAGTATTTGTAAGTCGGGGGGAAGTCAATAGGCGCCTCAGACAACCCATGAAACGAGCGCCCTTCGCGCATCTCGCGCATCAGCTGGTCCTCTTTGAGAAGGTGAGAATAGTGCGCGGGATCGTCGCGAGGGACACCTTGTCGAGGAAAGCGAACGACATCTGTCTTCAATGGGCCGACATCTGACGTGCGGTAGTTTAGATCTCCCGCCAGGAAGAGGTATGAGTTGGGCGCGAAGAGATCATGGCGATTGGTCTCCGCTTCGTGCGATGACTCGTGATCTGCCAGAAGAGCAGTGCTCTCATCAGAGTTTCCTTGGCCCAGAGCTTTCAGCGGATTGCCTTTGTGGGAGAAAACAAGCCGCTCGACAATGCTTTGCCAGTCCAGATTCCTTTGCTCCAGTGCATTTTCCATCGGCGCCAGATGAGCCGCGACAAATGTCAAATCCACCGTCTTGGATGGATGACCCTCCGCCACGTAACCCAGCCGTGCTCCGACGGCTCCCTTGTTGCCCATTTCCTGGATTCCGAATCCAACGTGAGCAGTGTCAACCCAAGAGATTTTGTCAACGATATCTGCCCGCGCAAAGACCATCAATCCGGTCATGCCCGTATGGTCCTTGACCAGGTTCACGTATGATTCATTCCATAGTTTAGCAGTCGCTTTCTTGACTGTCTTTATAAAGGCATCAAAGTATGGTGTTAAATAGGTTCCACCCAAAAATGAATATGCGATTGGGGCGATCTCCTGGAGTGAGAGCACGATCAGTTCGGGGGCGCCCAGCCCCCGCGCATCTGCGGATAGGGCATCGAAGAAATGGTCTGCAAACAGATCGACATCAATAATAGTACGTGCGCAGTTCGATGTGAGGATGTAGAGATTTAGATCCTCCATTTTGTCGAGTGTGTTTCGTGGAGGTTGAGGAGGGAAATAGCGGTGACGTCGTTGATCACTTAGCCACGTGAACGATGCATATCAGTGGAGTCCTTTCGAACTTTGTTGATTTTCGATAAGTGATAAGCGGAACCCACAACACTGCATGCAAACCAAAAAAAAAAAAAAATCAAAAGTAGTATTCAAAAAAGAAGAGGCTTGCATCATCCGTGAATCGAACACGGGCCTCGTCGATGGCAACGACGAATTCTACCACTAGACCAATGATGCTGGTTGATATAAGGAGAGAATATTTAAGGCTTCATATTCAGCACAAAGAAGGCTGCACTTCCATTTGGACTGTCTTTATAGCTTCCCTCGTAGTTGTTCTTGCTCTTGTGGCTCCGTCAATTCAACCAGCAACATTCCCTCCGCAACATCCTCTTCATCGTTCTCCATTTCATATACCCAATGTACCTTTCCAGCTCGAGGGCTGCGCACTTCCAGTTCCATCTTCATTTGCTTGACAAAGGCCAGCACTTGATTCTCGACAACATCTTCCCCCTGGATAACTAACATCTCGATAAGCTTCCCAGACAGAGGCAGAATTATATGGCGCGGATTACTCGGATCTCCACGTCGGTGGGAGGAAGAGACTAATGCCGAAGCAGCGGTGGTAGTGGCATCCAGCTGCATTCGGTAAGGAATCGCTGTCTTGGATTCTGGCGTTGTGTATTCAATCTCAGCTGCGAGTGACGTGGGAAAGTCATTGCGGAGTACTCGAGATAGTTTCATGTGGTGTGCAACGCTGGCTGATGTTTGTGAGGTGTCGTTGTGAAGTGGCTCCAAACGGATCGACCATGCATCTCCCTTGCGGAACAGCAAATTCGAAGATGGTAGTCCGCCTTGTGCCAGTGATTGCTGGGAAGAGCTAGCAGGCCCTTGTTGATCGCGAAGTGATCGTGAGATATCTTCGCCCAACTGACAAATTTCTTTCAGCTTGGTCCCCAGCCACTGGGTATCAGTATCGCCAGCCATGAAATCGGCATGCGCCATAATGCCTCGGAGAAGGCTGATGTTAGTCTTGACACCAGATATTTTAGTGTCAGTAAGTACTCTCTGGGCCTTTCTAACGGTTGCACCCCAACTTGATCCTGTGATGATAATTTTAGCTAGTAGATTATCAAAGTTGGAGCCAACAACCAATGACGAGGTACTGGAGACATGCGTGTCGACTCGAATTCCCTGCCCACTGGGGACATTGAACTCGGTAATCTTGCCAATACTGAGTGCAAAGTTGTTTCCTGGATCTTCAGCACACAACCGGAGCTGTATGGAGAAGGAATTTGCCGGCGGCGGGGCGCTTGAGTCGACATCTGGGCCAAGACCAAGCTCATTGAATGTCTTCCCATGGGCCAGCAGAAGTTGGGTCTGCACTAGATCTATGCCACTGATAGACTCTGTGATCGTATGCTCCACTTGAAGTCGCGGGTTGATTTCCAGGAAATAGAATTCTCCCTTTTGCTCACTGACCAGGAACTCAAATGTTCCCAGAGACAGATAGCGAATGTTGCTCGCCATCTTCAATGCGCAGTCAATCACCTGAGAAACCAGGCCTCGATCGCGCATCAGCGCAGGAGCACACTCCACGACTTTCTGGAATCGTCTCTGCACACTGCAGTCTCTCTCCCACAAGTGACGCACTTGACCAGTCCCATCACCTATAACCTGGATTTCAACATGGTGAAATCCATCCACAGCAGCCTTTTCAACAAACACCGTGCGGGACGGGGACTCGCCAATAGCCCGCTGAATACCATTATCGAGTTCAGATTCCTCATGCACAAGGCGAATACCCCGACCACCTCCTCCATCGACGGCTTTAATCATAACCGGAAAGCCAACTCGTCTAGCAAAGGCCCGCGCCTCGCCGACGTCACCGGTTGGCTGGCTCATAGCCTCCAGTATGGGAACTGCACATTGACGTGCTAGCTGCTTGGCCTGAAGCTTGTCTCCTGTACGAGCAAGATTCTCCGGGCCTGGTCCTATGACGATAGCGCCCGCTTCGTCCCACATGCGTTGCGCGAATTCCGCGCTCTCGCTGAGGAATCCATATCCTGGATGTACTGAATCGATGGAGTATTTCCGTGCGATATCTACCAGACATGATATGTCCAGATAGGAAGCAGGGGTTGGTATTTGTACTGCTCGATCTGGATGCCCCAGATCACAATGCGAACGGTCGTCTGATGTGTAGATAGCAACTGTCTCTACGGGATCCAGAAGCTCCCGTGCAGCATTGAGTATGCGAACAGCAATTTCACCCCTAATGGTGATTTTTATTAGATTTATGGCATTATTGGGTTGTCAGGGCACATGGGTAATACCTATTCGCGACCAGCAGTCGTTTGATGGGCCGAGAGTGCGGGAATGACATCGGTGCAAAGTCCGGGGTAAGCAATACGCCAAGCGATCTATGTGTTGAATTCTAGGGGTTCTTAGCGAATGACAATATTGAATTTCAGCAATGACCCCGGGAAGTGAGGTTATTTAAATAAGCAATGTTTCAAAATCTGGTTGCTCTTAGTACTAGCATGATTGCGCCTCGGTCCTCGGAGGTTCGACAATCACCCCCTCATCGAGATAGCCGCAAACAAAACCAGTCACTACCCCTTGCTTGCCTTAAAACAGTTTTCCGAGATAAATACCACGACTCAGATAATAATTACAAAAATAAACGCCATGGCAAGAGACACTGATAACCAATTCTCCAAAGATGGCAAGGATCAAGCTACACAGCGGCTGAATCAAGTCTCCTCACACATCTCCGCGCCAAAGACAGATAAGCCAGCCACCGCCAAACCAAAATCTAAAATTACAGCATCCCATCTCCCAGCAGATCACTCCGATGTTCTCAGTCAAATATCCGAGCTGCGCAGAATAGCTGCGACGCCAGACCCAAATTCTCGGGGCTACATCCGGCAAAAGCAAGCTGGTAAACTATGGGTCCGCGAGCGTATCGACCAGCTTCTTGACCCAAATTCGTTCCAGGAAATTGGCTCTGTGTCTGGGACAGTAACATGGAAGAAAACGGCACCAATGCGCGAGACACCCGTGACTTTTGTTCCTAGCAATAATGTCCAGGGCGCAGGAACGCTCCGGGGCAGGAAGGTACTGCTTACAGCAGACGACTTTAGTATTCGGTCTGGACATGCGGATGGAGCTAGTTCCGAGAAGACAGTATATGTGGAGAAATTGGCTCTTGCTTTGCGGCTGCCTGTGGTGAAGTTGGTAGATGGGAGCTCTGGAGGTGGGAGTGTGACGACTATCAAGAAGGAAGGGTGGAGTTATGTTCCGTATGTGAGGCCTTTCAAGCCTGCAATCCAGCAACTGAATATGGGCATTCCAAATTTGGGTGCTGTGGTTGGTCCTGCGGTATGTGTTCTAGATGTAACTCTTTTGGTGCCCTGGTTTGCTCATATTGCTATAGATTGGTCTCGGCGCAGCAAGAGTAGTCACTTGCCATTTTTCGGTCATGGCGGCAGATATTGGCGCACTTTTCAACGCTGGTCCGAAGGTTGTGGAAGGTGCCACATTTGAAGAGGGTCTTGGATTCCAAGATCTCGGTGGCCCGCTGGTTCATTGTACGAACGGAACAATTGACAACCTAGCCGCAAACGAAGCCGAGTGTTTCGAACAGCTTCGTACCGTCTTGGGTTATTTGCCCAACTCTGGAGCTGATGCTCCACCAGTTATTACGTGTGATGATCCCGAGGATCGAGAAGACCTGGCATTGCGCAGTATAATTCCCCGTCGTCAGGCACGAATGTACAACCCCCGAGTGATCATCAATTCTGTTGTTGATCGGGATTCATGGTTTGAGATTGGCGCGCTCTGGGGTCGCACGGCTATTGGGGGATTGGCACGTCTTTCTGGTCATCCTGTTGGAATTATTTCACTGAATTGTGAAGTAAACGGTGGTGCACTCGATGCAGCTGGTAGCCAGAAACTCACTCGGCTGCTGAAGATGTGCGATGTGATGAATATTCCAATTCTGCAGTTTATTGACGTCCGTGAGTTTCAATCCTATTCTCTGCCTGGAAAAGGTTCTTTATTGGCTTGACTAACGTATGACAGCCGGCTACGCAATCGGTACTGTTGCCGAACGCAACGCAACTATGCGCTGGGGTGTCGAGCTTGCAAAGACCTACTTCACTACCACGATCCCAATATTCAATGTGATTACCCGGCGGGCCTTTGGCGTGGCTGGAGGAGTCATGCTCGGATCTCGGGACCCAGTTATGCAAGTTGCATGGCCGTCTGGGCAGTGGGGTTCATTGCCGCTAGACGGGGGTATCGAGGTGGGACACCGGCATGAACTGCGGGAAGCAGAGAAGGAGGGCAAGAAAGAAGAACGATACAGTGAATTAGAAGAGGAGTATCAGCGGCTGATGAATCCTGTCCGAACTGCAAATGCCTTCGGTGTCGAGGAGATTATTGATCCGAAGGACACCAGGCAGGTTTGTTGTTCGTGGGTAAAACATGTTTATGAAGTGCTCATGAAGGAGAGGTTAACGGATCGTGCTTGTGGGAAGATCCATCCTTCCTTTGCTTGATAAGCAAATTTGAGCCTAAGCATGCAGATTTTAATGGTTGTTGGATACTCCTTCGTTCGAACGTCATACAACCTCGGAAAAGATTCACGGATCTATTCATTGTTGAGTCGACTATTAGGCTGCATAAGTGTAAGTATATATAAGCGGACCAACGAGATCCAGTGATCCAAAATCCCACAACCCGGAAAAGCCCACCCAATTGAGTCAAATCTCAACCTAAACCTAAACTATCTCTCACACTTGGCCCAAAATAGAGCCTTCAGGGTTAGAGTAATGGAGCACGCGCGGCGGATTATGTAACCGCTCGAAATCCGCACATAGTTATCAATCACCCCGCGATCGCATCATAAAGCTTGATTTACCAAACCCAAAAACACAATGGCAACAGTCAAAATCCTTGACGGAGGCCTCGGAACCTCCCTGCAAGACCAATACGGCGTGTCATTCGACAATGTCAACACCCCTCTCTGGTCCTCGCATCTTCTCGTCTCAGACCCAACCACGTTAGAAGCCTGCCAAAAAGACTTCTGCGTCGCAGGTGCCGACGTCCTGCTCACAGCAACATACCAAGTCTCACCCGAAAGCTTCCTCCGAACAAAGACGACCGAATTTCCCAATGGCATCCCGAGCACCGCTATCGGCCGGTACCTGCAAACATCCGTGGACGTTGCTGAGCGCGCGAATGTGCGCGAGGGCGCACAAATCGCATTGAGTCTGGGCCCTTACGGCGCATGCATGATTCCCGGACAGGAGTACAGCGGAGCCTATGATGCAGAGCATGATGGCGAGGAGCAGCTGTATCAATGGCACTTGGAGCGGCTGCGGCTTGTGCTAGGTGCCGAAGGGAATTTGATCAAGCGGTTGCAATATGTGGCTTTTGAGACTTTGCCGAGGCTCGATGAGGTGCGGGCTGTTCGGAGGGCTATTCAGGATGCGGGAATTACGGATGTGCCATACTGGATTGCATGTGTCTTCCCCGGGGATGATGAGCTTTTGCCTGATGGAAGTTCCATTGAGCAGGTTGTGGACGCTGCCGTTCGTCCTATGGAAGGTGGGCTTTCGCCGTGGGGTATTGGAATCAACTGCACGAAGATTCACAAACTGCCTGGTCTGGTCGACAAATTTGGAGCTTCTATCGCCGAGGCAGTCGCTGCTGGACAGATTTCAACTGCCCCGAATTTGGTGCTGTATCCTGATGGCACCAATGGCGAGGTCTACAATACGACGACACAGACTTGGGAAAAGCCCGAGGATCCCAGTAATGGTGGCCTGCGAGACGTTGTAAGTGAATCTGAACTACTCGTGATATTAACCGGAGTCTGTATGTGCGTGATATGCTAACCGAGTAAAGCGCCCGTGGGAAATTCAAATCGCGCAAGTTGTCAATGATGCCTACGAAAAGGGTCCTTTCAAATCTTTCCTTGTCGGCGGTTGTTGCAAGGCGTCTCATCACGATATCAAAAAGCTCCGAGAGCAATTTTAAACATGTTTACTCAGTCTGAATAAAAAATCGGCTTCAGAACCGGTGGGAGATGAGTATATATGTACCAAAGATGTTGAATTTTGACATGGTATCAAGCGCTATATACAAGCAAATAAATTTACATAAGCCAATCGAAAAACCGCCCATACCAGGTATTGCGGGGGTTCTTGTGTGGCGTGATCTCTCCATCTTGGAGACGCCCTGACCAAAGGTCAATTTCGTGGGCGCGGAGGAACTTGGTGCGGAACCACAGTTTCCAACAAATGATCGGCACAATGAAAATGGGAATGCCGATGTATGATGCAACGAAGTCAGAGGTGCTCCAATGGCCCTTCAAGAAGACTTCAAATCCGGCGACCAATGTGATAATGGTGGAACCAACGAATCCAAACCAAGCTGCATATGGCTGGAACGGTGCTTTCCACGGCAAAGTGTCGCGAGAGACACCTTGCGTCTTCATGGCAGCGTAGAATCGGATATAGCAGAAGCACAGAGTAGCCCATGCAATCAGGCCAGCGATTGTACTCAAGTTGAGGAGCCAAGTGAAAGCCTGTGACGCGCCACCAGATCCAAGACCTATTACTGGTTAGTATATACTCCGCAACATACACCTGGGCCAGAAGGAAAACTTACTCAGATAAGCCAACGGGCCAAAGAGCCAGGCGGTGATAACCGCAACGTATGGCACACCCCTCTTGTCACAACGGCCAAAGATCTGGGGCAGCTGGTGGTCGGTAGTCATAGCGACGATCATGCGCGATCCGACCCAGCAGTAAGAATTTCCAGCAGACCATGCCGCAACCAGAATACAGGCATTCACAATGGATGGCAGAGCAACGATACCCGCCTCCTTGATTGCAATAACGAAAGGTGAGCTGTTCGCGTTGTCGTCGCCCGATGTCAGGGCGGAGTTTGTTGGGTTCACAATAAGGCCGATAAGGAGCGCGCCGAGGATGTAGAAGAAGGCGATGCGATAGGTGACACGACGGGCAGCCTTGGGGATAGCGCGGTGAGGATCGACAGACTCAGCGGCGGTGATAACCACACATTCGACACCAATGAAACTGAACGAGGCGTTGACGAACGAGGACACGAATCCGAGGAAATGACCCGTGGCCCCAGTGATGCCATCGTAGTCAACCCAAGGACCCGGATTATGCCAAAAGCGGAAGCCAATGGTCTCACCGTTGGGACCACCGCCAGCTGTGATGACAATGGAGACAATGACCAGGCCCAAGAAGCAGAGCACCTTAATAGCGCCGCCAATCACCTCGGTTTCACCATAGAATCGCACACTGCACAAATTGATCGCCAATATAAGAACCAAGCTAACCGTGATTACCACGGCCGGCGTTATATCTGACCAATATTCCACGATAACGGCGGCGGCGGAGGTTTCGGAGGCAATGGCAATCGTATAACAATATCCATATGAAATGGCGAGCGAAAATCCGACGGAGGGATCAATGAAGCGAGTAGCCCAGTGAGGGAACGAACCGGCGGTGGGGAAGACAGTCGCCAACTCGGCGATACTTTGCATGACACACCACAGCACAGCGCCGACGAGAATATATGCCAACAACAAACCAGCAGGACCAGCCTTAGCATAGGCCGACCCTGTTCCAACGAACAAACCTGTTCCAATACCACTGCAAAAACCGATCATAGTGACCTGATAATTGCGCAGTCGGCGCTGAGTGGCACCGCGACCACCCACATTGAGCTCGAGCTCGCCCTTGGCATGAGATTCATACCGATCCAGCGGCGCTGCGTCCTGGATAGTATCTGTCTTCTCCATGGTGAAGGTGAAGGTGCAGATCAAATGCCAAATTGGCAGCACCCCATATATATTATCTGTTCGAACCGAGGAACCTTAAAAAGCAAAGTTTTCGACAGTGCGAGATCTTTAATTTTTTTTCTCCGAACTCTTTTCCCCGAATCTTTAAGCGCGTCAATCACGACATCGGGGTTCCGTGATCGCACCACGGAACACTCCCCACTATTGCCGGATTCATTGGATCAACGCTTTCGGAACCCCACTTATCCCAGGCGGCGACTCGTCAGGTTTTTCGTTCTTCCAGAAGACCCCAGGGGCGAAATCGCGCCCATATTCGTCTAGTTTGTGTCATAGCACGTCTTTAAACTGGCCCGGTTTATCGCGGGTATTTAGCCACGTTACTAGGATTGTATGCAGCTTAGCACCAGGATGGCGCACATAGATTAATTTCGGCAAGGATCCGAACTTTAGACTTATTTTGGGCCCTGGCGTGAGCTTTGGTCCGACCGGGGGCTGACAGTCAATTGGGTTATTGCCATCTCATTTTGCGTTATCATGTAGAAACTGTCAGAATTCTTAGGTGAATGCAATTACCTTATCATTTTCGCCTCAATCTAAATTTGCCTCCCAGTTCCTCGGAGAACTTTCTGAAAGGAGATAACAGAGGCGCGATCAATGATGATCACTGATGATCCTTAAAATGATTAGATAAACACGTGTTTCGTGCAACACGTTCTTGTGTTTCGCACGACTTACATATGCACGAGCCTCTCCAGGGCTGAGATTATGCTTTTCACCAAGGACCTGGATCGTGTTTAATCTGAACCTTTAAGCCGAGCATAAACCGACATCGGCCCACCGCTGAAAATAAATAGGAGATATCATCGCTTAGCTCTTAGGGAGCCACATTAAAACATATGCAATTTGGACTTGGTAGCCCCAGATGCCGCAGGCTTCCGGGGTTTATGGTTGACTAGGTGCTGACTTACCAGTTGGCTACAGCAAGATGGATGCGCCAATGATCGTACTAGCGAAGTAGGGTTCTAGAACCTAACGTTCAATAGTAGAATTTTATTTCTCCAATATACTGAAAGGAGGCATTGCCCTAACGATCTGGTCGAACATGGGTCGAATCTTAATTTTAATTTTTATTCTTTTATTGAATGAGGCAGTGCCTTTCAAGAATCTCCACCACTGTAGCCTATAGGTTCAACGGCCGGCCCCGATCGAAGCCTTGGAATAATCTTCTTGGAATAATTAGCTTATTTAACTACTATTCAACTTAGTTGTTTGTCTCTGCAGCTTACTAATTGTGCATCTTGGAATGAAAGCTCTTCTTATACACTACTTCAAGACATAAAACCCCCTTTATTCGTTACTGACGCCGGTAATTGACACTTGGCAAACCTTATGCACAGTAGTGTACCAGCATATTTTACTTGTGGGCACTCACTTCCGACCGATCGATGCATACAAACATAGCAAGCCAAGTGTCGATCGTGAAAATCCTCGTCGTGAGTGGGACGTTCCATGTCAGAGCCGAGGTTACGTAGCTGTAGGGCCAAATAGCTCCTTCAATAGCGCCGATCCACGAGTCAATTCAACGACCAAGAAAAAAAAGGCAAAATTATTACCTCAGCTTATTGTGTATCTCCCCCTCATTCCTATATCTTCTTCACAAGGAATGCTACAAACCCCCTTGGTTTCGCAATAAGTCTTCTGCGCCAAAATCACTGGGGCCAACACTCGACCCAGATGAGGAGCATCTAGACCCAATGTCCGCCCCCGCCCAAAATGATGACGGGCCTACCGACACCTCGCCGGCCACTAGCGCGGAGACAAGCCCACCTGAAAAAGCACCGCCAGTCACCAAACCGCGTCGCAAACTTCCCGGATGGCTGGATCATTTCAATGCGCGCGACTTAAAAGTGCTGTTTCGATGCACTGTAGCAGTATGGGTCGCATCGCTGTTGGTCTTGATCGGCCCATCCCTGCGCGAGATCGGGACCGCGACTTTCTTTGCAACGTGAGATTAAGCTCCCCCAAATCAACCAGCGATTATTGCTTATGAATTTCCAGACTCGTGCTTTTCATGGTGCCGCCGACCGGCATTGTATTCATCTTCATTTTGGGAACGCTGACGCTCATCTTGGGAATGGCTACCGGATGGGCATGGGGCGTTATCTCTATGAAGGCCGCCCAGGCGGCACGACCTGCAGCTGAAACCCAGGCTAGATTGCAAGCGCTGGGTCAACAGGCGTACAGTCAAGCCAACTCAACAGGCCAAAGCCTTGCAGCTGTCGAACAGGTACTCGTCTACAGTGGCTTCATGCTAGATGCGCGCGTCACTGCAGTATATTATTGCCTTATTTGCTTGATGATCTACTTGCTGGTAATTTCAACTACCAACGAAACTCGAGACAAGCAGAATAGAATGCTAATGGGTTGTGTAGGCCCGATTCCGAACCAAGAATCCTAAATTCATCTTGTTCCAGATCTTTGGTACTATCATTATGGACATTTTCTTGACTATTGGCCCATTACTTCCTTCGTTTCAGGGAACCATTGCCAAGGTATTAATTGAGCCTGCCGCCATTGGAATTGGTATTGGACTGGCTTGTCAACTACTCTTATTCCCGAAATCCACTTCTTCCACTGTTCTCGATGGATTTGAGGGCCTTACGCGGCTGATTAAAGGCCCATTGGATGTGACCGCTGGCAATCTCTTTGAGGATGAAACACCTGCAATGGCGGATCTGATTAAGCTGAAAATGAAGGCGATCGATACATACAAAAAGATCATGCCCGGGCTTGGATTCCTTCAGCTAGACTTTTCTGTCGGTCGGTGGAATGCTGATGATGTCAAGAGTTTACAGGAGCCCATACGACAAGCTGCGCTCACTTCCTTGTCACTATTGGAATTCCACATTGCACGCATCGGAGGCGAGGAGAAGGTTGAAAAGCTTCGTGAAATCTTGGTTGACAACGAGCATTTCTCGAGAGATGAGGATGATGAAAAGCGGCCGCGCTCAGCTGGCATGCGACAGCTGATGGAAAGCGTTCGTCTTGTGCGAGCGTTTCGAACTCCTGAACATGAAGCTCTTCGATTAGAAATGTTTGAGGCAATTCGAACCCCCAGTAGGAAGATCCTACCAATCTGTCAAGAAGCCGCTACTGCCGTTGCTGATGCCATCCACTCCGTCAATTCTTCTCGTTGGTTTGGACGCCCGACAAAACAGCTAATGGATGAGAACACTGCACACCTTAAGTCAATCTTGGACACACTCAAGGCTAAGCGCTTGGCCTTTGCTTCCGAGTTCACAGAAAGTCTCATTCAGACCAATGCGGATATCTTTGATGAAACTGGCAAACTGAAGAACCTTGAGGATACAACGATGCATCGAGTGCGAGGAATTTCACTTGCCATGGTTTTCGAAGAACATCTTCTCGGCGTGGCTGGGGCTTGGGAACGGGTACTGGAACAAATCGTCGCTCTCATGACAGAACGCCAGAAGACTCGTCTTTGGCTCCCCAAGGGTCTGCGATATGCTGTGTACTGGGTTCTCCGAAAGAACAGCGTCGCACCTGTTATTGTGAATCAGACATCTGTTGCTGATCCCGATGATGTGGAGGCCCAGTCTAAAGCAGCTCAGCAAAGTCTCCGCATAAGTCGGGGATACCGAGTTAAAAAGCGCAGCGGTCTTGGACGCGCGATCATTGGCACCCACCACTGGCTCATCAACGCAGACGGTATGTATGCTCTGCGCATGGTAATTGTTACCATTGCTCTTGGTATCCCTGCGGCCATTCCATCTAGTGCAGGCTTCTATTACCGTGAAAAGGGCCTTTGGGCACTGATCATGGGACAAACTACCCTCGTTGTATACATGTCAGATTTTATACTCTCATTGGTCTCGCGTACCATCGGAACCATCGTCGGTGGTGTGGCCGGTCTGGTGGTTTGGTACGTTGGCTCCGGCAATGGATATGGTAACCCTTACGGCCTTGCAGCAGCATTGGCTGTAGCCTTCACCATGTTGATGTGGGGACGCATCTTCTTACCTGTGGCTGTTTTACAAGCTGCGATGATGGGCGGTGCAACCTTTGTCCTTGTCGTCGGATACAGCTACGATGATACGTAAGAACTACATGACCTTAGGACAATTGCCAACTTGCTAACTGAAAATAATCTAGGCATATTGCGTCATATGGAAACCCCGGCTATGGATATAGTGTTTTCTGGCGACGACTTGTTCTTGTTCTTGTCGGGTCCGCTGCCGCTTTGATCGTCCAGATCCTCCCTCGCCCACCATCCGCATCGCGACACATCTGCAAATCGCTCTCAAATATCATTCGCTCACTATCTGACCACTACGCCTTACTTCTTTCTTGCTGGGGCAAACCTGACCGCGTCGAAGGTCTCATAGCCGAAGAACTCGCATTCAATACGGCTGGTACCCTCAGTGCGCTTGACGGACCGGTCGCGCTTCTGAAGCTGGAATTCTCCAGCTCCCCCTTCGACAGCGAGCGTCTCGGGCAAGTCAAGTCCCTCTGCCAAGAACTAAACCAGAATCTCGCCCGTCTGCTATTTCTATCCACCTCGTTGCCTGAGCACTTCCAAACGCGTCTGGCAACCGGCTCCGGCCTCCTCGATCACCGTAATATCGGTGAAATTATGGCTGTCCTGGGAATTGTGGAGCAGGCCCTCAAAACTGGAGATCCTTTGCCAGAGGTTCTGCCTACGCCTCTGCTTAAGCGGTGCTTTGAATTCTGGCAGACGCACCAGCAGGAGATTACCTTGACAACGGATCTTATACGCGATGAGGACTATCGCAAGTTCTGTGTGGCTATTAGCTCGTACCTCAAGGTCTTGGCTGCGGTTGATGATCTTGTGCTTGTGATGAAGGGCACGTTGGGTGAATCCCATATAGTGAGTCGGGATTTGATGCAGAATTTGGTCACGTCTGTGTAATATATCTCTCCAGTTTTACTTTGACAAATTTTAATTGCAATATTCATTATTCTTTAGCAGCCACAGTCATTTACTAAATGCTACTGTCAACTAAAAATCATTCAATTCGTGCTTCGAATATTATCTGCCATGCCACTGGCTCTTGTACGGGGACTGCACTCCTAGTTAACTAAATATTACCAGCTTATGCAGATGACAAAAGGGGTTCGGAATGCTCCAGGTCATTTCTATTACGAGACCAAAATCGCCGCCCCACACCATCTCCGCACGTCAGTCTTCCCCTCACGAAGTCGAAGTTTTCTCCTCATTCCCAAAAAGCTCTAGCGCAAGGCTTTTAATGAATCATTTCCTCAGCTTTTCTATTTTCTCAATATTGAGACCTATATATTCAACATCCTGACAGTTGCCCCATGCCGCCTTCACGCCTTTCACGCCTCCCGCGGTGGATTAGCCACTGGCTCGGCTACCGTCCCGAGACTCCGAAGCCATTAGGAACATACCAAATAGCCGCATGGTCCTTCATTATAGCTTTCTGCGGCCTCTCGGTACTCCAAGGAATCTTCAATTATTCCGATTACTTCACCTCACGCCACGTCCCAGGCATCGTCGCCTCATATGTAAGAAACGCCGCCTCCTTTTGCCCGACGTGGCAACTAACAAACGTAGGGAGCATCGGCAGTCCTTGTATTCGGTGCCATTGAAAGTCCTCTAGCCCAACCACGCGCCTTGATTTTCGGCCACTTCTTCAGCGCGTTGATCGGCATCTGTATTACCAAGCTCTTCAGCCTTATGCCAGACCAAGCGCGATTCGAATCACTGCGATGGCTCGCGGCCTCATTGTCTACCGCCACCGCCATCGTTGTCATGCAGCTTACTGGGACGACGCATCCGCCTGCTGGCGCGACTGCGCTGCTTCCGGCTACCAATGATGAGATTTGGGAACTCTCGTGGTATTTCTTGCCTGTGGTTCTACTCTCCTCGACCATGCTTATGTGCTGCGCCTTGTTGTTGAATAATCTGCAGCGCCGGTATCCCGTCTTTTGGATTGCGCCTTCTCCTCCACCTAAACCTGCGCCTGCGCCAGAGCCAGAGCCAGCTCCGAAGTCATCTGCTGATGCTTCGTCGCTGCAGAAAAACTTGCCTAGAGACTCCGTTTAAGGTTTTTCGAAAATTATGCACGCATACTGGATACCGATAATTATAATAGTGGAACAGTCCATTGTATATAGCCTCGACTGGTATCATTGTAAATAAGAAGCAAGAACATTGAGTGACGGGGCTTAAAAGAGTCAAAATGCTATGCGGTATATCATTGAATCATAGAAACTCGAAAAATGAAGAATCACGCTATTGGTCATACATGAACCCAACCATTCTCTGCTTCCTTCGAAATCGTATTCATCGACCCTCCATACTCATGCATACTATACTGCTGTGCTTTGCACGAGACACTCTTCTCTCTTGGTTTTCCCGGCCGAGTACACCATTTGACAAAACAAAGCGGCAGATGCTTCTTTTTTGCAAGTGCCATCGCCATTTCACGAATTCTATGCCTCCTGATCTTGTAATCATAAGGACGATTCTCATCAAGTTCATCGGCAAACAGTTTCAGATGAAGTTTCTCATGCGCGTTCAGCTTAGTGAGAAGCTTATTCGCTTGCTCATCCTCAAACTCAAAGGATGTTCCCAGCGTAACGTAGAGTCTAGCAATCGGATGCAATTTTGGCGAGTGCCAATCTAACGATGTCCACTCTGGTTTCACGAGCCATGGAAGACGGCGCTCTTTCATGACAGCAGGCCACCAATCGGCAAATGATAAACGGGCCTTTTTACCAGCGACGGCGTGTACGCATCCGTACGTCCCCTTTGCAGTGTGTGCTAACAGGCGGTCGACCACAATATCGATCGGGATCTCGTCCAGGGTCACTTCATTTTCGGGATCGGTGCTTCGAGTGGGAAGTTTCATGTGCTTCCCGGCATATAAAAGAATCGCTGCGGCTAGTCTGGTCGACGCTGTGGAAGTCGAGCTTGAGTACCCTGGATACGGTTGACTGACTGCTGGACCGAGGGACGACGGTCGGACGATTAGAAGTTTTCCCGTAGCTTCATTCTGCATGAATGCGTTAATGAGAAGGCGCTCCGTGAGATGCTTGGCGTAGGCGTATGGCCAAGGGAAATCGTTATAGTCGAACTCGATACTCGTCCCCGTATCCAAGACGCTTCTCCATTCGTGTTCAGTTTGAGGGCCGAATCCTGCCCATTGGCCCAGATTCTGTGGATCGTAAACCTCGCCGTGGGGCCCGAGTGAGTAGATGCATTCTTTCACAGGGACATCGAACTGGTCGCTTGTTTTCCATAGGTGGGCGTTCGCGTATGCGCTGGATACATAAACGAAATTGTGCAAGTCCTCGAACTCCATTGCCGTTTCCGCTAATGATACACTTGGTGCGATGATATTTGTTGCTAGTGTTTGCAGCGAGCTCGTTAGGCTATTCGACGATGCAGCGTGAATGATGACCTGTACGGATTTTTTGAGTTGTCGCCAGTCGGTCTCGTGCAAGCCCATCTGTTTCAACGTGATGTCCCCGCTGAGAAAGGTGACGCATGAACTTTGGAAGAGCGCAGCGGCCATGGGTTCTGGAAGTAATTTCTGCCATTTCGCGTATGCAGTCCTAGTCTCGGATGTTATTTAGGGCAGTCAATGCAGGAAGTCATCTGCACAACTTACTCTGGCCCTTCGCGACAGAGTACATAGACTCGTTTTGGCGCTGCCTGGCTAAGGAGCCTGCATAGGATCGCCGTCCCCAAAGCGCCTGTACCCCCAGTCAGAAAAATAGATTTACCGCGATAGTATCCCCACATTGTTGGATGACTTTGGGTTTGCTAGACGATCACCGAAATCAGATTCGAGGCCCCGACACCGACGAATCCCGGGGCATCTATCATACTATATAAACAGACATCTGCAAGGGGTAAATGTCAAGTATGCACGATGATCCTGGGCTGATCATTCTTTGATTCCTTGATCCTGGGGGAGGGAGGGCCCACATTGTTCCCAAAGTGGGACCCTTCCGGACTGTAAGTGCACTTCTGTTTTCATTTTTCGATTTGAAATTGGCAAATCAAAGCGATGCGATCTTGGAACTTGCTTAATTGAAAAACTTGAGAGAGAGACTGCGTGATACGGCGAGATCTGCCACCTGACACAGGAAACCAAGCAAACCCCGATAGAATGCTCCCTCTAGAATACCCACTTACTGCCCTGTATTCCACGAGGGAGAACGTAATGATCGACGCCATGCTCTGCAAAAAATGGTACCCACAATTGGCTTATGTCCAAAGGATGGATCCTCCAAATAAGTTCACTATAAACGCGTTGAAAAAGTACTTGTCTAGTATGGGCAATGGCCCGTAGCGATGAAGTAGTCTAGCCTCAGAAGCATTTAGTATATAGATTAACGAAGTTTTATTTCTACATGTGATCCCATCCCCAAGGATGCAAGACCTGCATCTCATTGATAATACAAAAATTGCCCGGTTCCCGGTTCTCCGGACTTAAAGCCGCCCAGCGATCTATGCGATATTGTACCACCTTATCTTTCAGCCAAGTGGTTGTCGTCCATCGGGCCAGCCGATTTACCCACAATCCTTGCAATATCGAGCGCGCTGAGAGCCATTTTGCAAGGGGATTCACAGCAACATACGCTGGACCACTGTATCCAACTCGGACTAGAGGATTCAAGTAAACACCGTCTTGCGTAGAAAGCGGGTTATCGGCGTGGATGAGGCAGCATTCAGAGCCCTCTAGATGTGAGGAGGCGAGCGAATCTGGGATCCCGCGGAATCGGAGAGGGGGGTCGGCAGTGAAAGGAGCGGCGGGCATTGCAACTATGAAAGGGTAAACTCATGAACAATACCGAAGAAGCTACGACAAACTCACCCATACCGTTCCAGCAACTTTGGACGGGGACTGGAGATAAACTTTTTACGGCATTTCGAGACGCAGAATTTCGGAAGAAAGGCCATGTCGGCATCAGGGCCTCATGGCCACTGGCATCGCGGAGGGCAAAGGTATCGTAGTAGTTTGGGGGTTTGGCGAAGTCCATTGAGCAGGCAGCGGCGTAGCTGCCGTCATTGGTGTCTAGCAACTCGAACACGTCTTTTGGCTAACATGATATGTTAATAGATGTCATCTAACATAAGAGTAAAGTTTTCCTACCGTAAACACCACGTCATTGAGGAAAAGAATCTTATCAAATATGATGCCCTGTTTTGCCAGCTCTTCCAGTGGTTTGAGACTCATATTCCGAGTGCGTGATAAGTATGGGATTCGTCGCAACTCCATATCACCCTTTGGTGTCTTTACCCAACCTTCCCCCGGAGTAGCAGCCATCTCATCCACATGCGTGATAGGTGACAAAGTGATTGTGTGTGGTACTTGGAGGCGTTCCAGTTCCATATCAAGTTCTATCAATGCCCCCTTGGTATTGTCATAGCTGCCACTCTCATAGATGCTAATGTAGATGTTCTCCGGACCGAGTTTCCAGGCGAGCTCCAATAAAGCCTGGCTCCAGTGACTGCGTAAAATGATTTCATTGTTCCAGTTTACGCTGGCAATGTAGATTCGTTCCTTCCGGTGCGGCTGGTCGCGGTAAATGATATCGACCTCGGATATGCGACGGAGGATCAGGTGGAGCTCAATTAGATTCCAGGCGAAAAAGACGATAAGGAATATGCGGAGAATACGGCTCCGGACTATTGACCGGCGGATGGGACGGTACCAAGAATGAATGAAGGACATAAGGAGCGGACGCCGGGAGTCGCGGCAAATGTTTAAAGGAAAATCAAGACGAGTGCATGATGTGTTCTGTGGAGGTGTCGAATGACGTGTTAAGAGGCCGAGGAAAGGCCAAGTGCCTAGAAAATAATAATGCGCGAAGTGGGCAATCGCGAATCAAGGGGTTAGAGTACGTTGGTGACGCCTAGACTGAGGCCCTTCATACTTCCGAAGCTAGAAGGACGCGCGGCGATCATTGAGAAACGTCAGATCTGATCGACGTGATTTTCATGACTAACGCGAGTTAGCTAACTATAGTTACACATTGATCCCTCACACGTGGTGAATATTGTCATCCAGAGATAAAGCGAGATCAAAAAGTCCAAAAATAGGAGTTCAAAGCCAAGGGGCTCCAAGCCCACTAGCGCTACCCAGCAAAAACACAACAAAAGCTGTTCCGGCTGCCGCGAGTGCCACTTTTCTCTGCACACGCGACCCCACATTGGTCTGGGTGGCAGTGGCTCCTGATTGAGTGCTGCTAGCACTCACTCCACTCGTTAGCCAAGGTTGGCCTGGCAAGGAGTCTGAACTCTCTGCGTCCTTATTTATCATCTTGTTCTCCAGTAAAGCACATTCCACCCTGTCCGAGCTTTCGGGAATACTATTTGTGACTGAGATTGGCCAGTCAAACACGGTATAATAGTCGGTGTCGTTCCAGCGAAAAGACTGATGCATCGAAATGTTGTACGTGCCATCGCTACTGCTCGTCCCGTCCCCCACAAAACACGTGGGCCAGATCCAATTGACATGTTTGACGGTCGAGGAGGGTTCAAGATCTAAGATCGGTCCGACATAGCCCGTAGTATTGGTAGCCGGAACAGTGCCATTGGAGATGGTGAAATTGTGGGATTTCGAATCCGATGTCAGGAACAGCGTGATATTATGAAAGAGGGTGGGTGCGTCCGCGGATTGCGTGGATGGTGGCCAAGAAAGAGCCCCATTCCCAGAGACATCGATCGCGACTTGAAGGTTTGCTGGCCAGTTTGTTAGCGAAAATCCTTGCGTTCAAGAAGATTGACGTGCCTCCTCCCAAGGGGGTGTATGGTTGTGGGGCGTCCACAATGGCTAAGCCCGGCGTGTAGAGTTGGCCGTTCACGATCGTGAAGTTTCCCATGATTAAAATTTCTCAATAATTAGAACTTAGGAATTTCGAGGTTCCAAGGGTTTTCTGATCTCCAGGCTGTTCAAGTTGACTCTTTGTAGTCTTAAACAACTTTTGTTTGGGGCTTGCCAAGGGTCTCATTTCCGATGTTTCCGTGTGCCCCTTAGCGTAGCGCCTCCGGGTTAATATACTAACATTGAGTTCATTTCGCGTATGCACTAGCGCAGGGTCTTTGCGGGACCTAATATATTATTGATAGGAACCCTTGGCCTGGTTCAGGTAATATGACCATCCGATGTTGTCCAATGTTTGGTGTGTTGGGCTGGTTTGCATTTCACACAAAATCAAGTGGAAGGCATGATATCTCCAAATAAGGAAGGCGTTATTTTCGAGTATGACCCCCACCCTCTTTATCGAACTTCATACCTTCTTTTCTTTGATTCGTCTTGAATCTTCCCTTGCCCACTCTAGGAACGGATTGAAGACACCTATAGCTGATCAAGTCATACATCGTCTTCCAAAGACCCTTAAGACCCTTCAGAAAACTTTATATGTACTGTCCAAATTATACACCTTCTCTTTCTACCAAAATTGCCAATCTCTACATTGAACACTTCTTTCCTGCTCTGGAAAACCTAGCTATATCACAATGCGAATAACACTAAGCCGATGTGGCCGAAGAAGAACAAAAGATGGCGATCGCTCTGAAAGATTAAGAGCCGGATTTGACGGCGATGAATGATGCAAGAGAATACCCCGAAATAGAACCAGAGCAGACGGTGGAGCCGATGAAAGTCGAATGTAAGGGAATTCTGTTGTAGGTTTCCCCGCTTTCTCCGCACGGCAATAAGCATGCCCGCTTTACCCGTTGATCGTCATTCTACCAACAAGCTTCATGCATCTTTTTGATGGGAAAACCAAACACTGATGGCTTCCGACTGGCAGTGCCACATATGCCCCTCGACATTCAGTCGCCCTGAGCATCTGAAGAGGCATGCGGCCGCATCTCGTACGTTGCGCCCTTGACCCAATATTGATGGTTGCTGAGCCCAAGCAGATGACAATCAACGGTCACACGAGTGCCCGTTTTGTGGAAATGGATTCAATAGAAAGTACGAACTCGTCCCGATATTTCTCCGATCGAAGCATACAGTTCTGACCCTCAATAGAGACGTTCTTCGGCGACATGAACGAACTTGCAAGTCCCGAGATCTCGCGGATGCGATTCAAAGAGCAGAACCAGATTGGGATCTGTCAAGAAGACGTCGCTCTTCTTTAAGCGTGAATGGGACTTCCAGGCTGGCCTCTTTACAAAAGACACGAGCCGATAACCCAGAGCTTGACTCAACATTCAGCGAGTCACCCAATAAGAGGATTTGTCAAGAAAATGCTGCCCTTTCGCGTCAAAGTGAGGGATCAAACTTATTTTATTTCAATCCCAGTGCACCATTATGTGAAAACATGGCAAACGAAGAGAGCAATTTGAGCTTGGCTTACCAACTGGAATTTTCAGAATTGGACGCTCTTCTGTTTCCTAGCATTACTTCCGATATTTTGATCGCGGAAAAATTGGAGCATCTACTATTTTTCACTAGTTCACGGGGGATGGCCAGCTTCACTGACCGTGATACCTTCCAGTGGAAGCAAAAAATTACCTGTGAAGCATACGAAGAAAAGGTCAAGGTCGAGAACAGGACTCACCAAGGAATTACAGTTCATAATTCGTCCGATCCACTGTCATCAAAGTCCCAAGAGGTCATCAACAGTTTACGTGCGGTCATCTGCAGCAAAAAGAATGACGACATCATTCAATTGGATTGGACACCTTCGACACTTGAGTTGTGTACTCATTTGTTTTCTCCATCAAATATTCGTCGCTTTTTGGAATATTTCTGGTCTCTGTGGTATCCACATTGTCCCATCATACACAGGCCGCTCTTTGACGCATCATCAGCATTACCGCTGCTATTATGCGTTATGGTGATAATTGGAGCCTGTCTATCTCCCGATAGCCATGATATGCAAGCGGCCAAGAAATGCCTTGACAGTGCCGAAGAGCTTATATTTGGTCACGAGATATTTAGGTGCGACACTGTAAACCCAATGAACAGAGGACTCACGAAGAAAGAAAAGACACAGTGCATCCAAGCAGCATATCTTGTGAGCAGTCTACAAAAACGAGAAGGGTCTGTCGAGGCACAAGCAAGAATCCGGCGCTATAGGCATGCCTCAATGGTGGCGGTAAGTTGTGTTGAGTCTTGATTAAAACTGCTCAATCTAACCTCTCGAAGCTTACAAGGCATATTGGACCAAGAGAGGCGTCGCATCGAAATCTTCAGCTTGAAGGAGCAACTCAATCCTGGTGGCAAAAATTCGCAGAAGAGGAAGAGTTGATACGGTGAGTATCTTGACACAATATTGTTGAGATCTGAGCAGAATTCTTAACGTTATCCAGGGCTTTGACCTTCGTCTTCCTGATTGATGTGGCTCTTATAGTCTTCCACAACTCACCCCCCAGAATGCTAATCTCCGAGTTGAGAATGGACGTCGCCTGCCCTGAAGCATGTTTCCAAGCTGAATCAGCCGCAGAATGTCTTGGATGTCTTCGCGTCTGGGCAGGAACTCGCTTCTGGAAGAACCGATTGTCAGTCGTCTCTGTTGTCCGACGTATCTGCCAAAGTCCGATCGAAGACGCACTAGTTCATGAGTTCTCTCAATTAGGCACATTCAATTTGTTCACTGTCGTACAAGGTAATAGTACCAGGCCCGATCTCATCTAATTCTGCTGAACTTTTGTCTTTTTCAGCCATTCACTCCCTCATGTTCCATTTGCACAATTCGCTGGTCTTTGAATCCACCTTGGCCCCGGTACAAACAGGCCTTGAGAACTGGCGACAGATTTGGATTGAGAGAGTACCCGAAGACGAAGGCATGCCAGACACTGCACAAAATCTATGGAAGCAAGTAGGATTCCTCCGACGCGCTTCCGAGTTTTGGCACTTGGCTCGCATCATGGCGGATAAAATTATGTCTACCAGCACCGACGATGACGATTTCGAAGCAAATACCAAGCTTTCAAAATATGATCAGACCGATATGGAAGATGTGAACGGACTGATCAAAGAATACCGGATGTTAAATTTGGGAGTGCAATAATTGTATTTATATCTTGACGACCCTGGAATGCTCTTGCTGGATGGTGTACCACCGCTGTGATTGTAGCTGGTCGTTCTTCTTGTCCGAATAAACCATGTATTTCACATATTAAACACTTATTTCAAGGTTGCAGCCTGCAGATTTAGTCCTAGGTGCCTAATTCAAAAACGCAACATCTAAAAGCCGCAGCGACCGATGCCCCTTGATTGGATGCAGGGATTGGACATCGGAGCCGGTCATTCGCGAACGACCGAGGATTTCTGCCGTCAACTCGTATGCGTTCTCCAATGCGACCAATGAGATTGCACGAATCTTATCCTTTGGCCCCGAAGCGCTGCAGCCTCTTTTCTCAGCGCGCAAATATTCTGTTTGAACCATTAGAAATAAAACTCGCGTTTTGCGGCAATAGCAGTAAGCTCTTTTCGGTCCCCGATGAGCTCTATTCAAATTGCTACGCAAGTATTTATATCCTTGCCCTGTACCCTTCTTTCCGACCTATTCAGCCCCAACCGTCCACCACGTCTGTTTCCTATATAATTCAGCTTTCAAATATCTTCCATTAACCGACTTATATGAGTGACCATGACCTCTCTCAAATCAACTAATACGGTCACTGTCTTCCGGGGTCAGACCGAACCTGGATGCTACGTCTGGTCACCCTTCGTCACAAAGCTCGAAGCTCGCCTTCGATTTGGAAAAATTGCCTACCGCACGGAAGCAGGCTCTGTTCCCAATGCCCCCAAGGGCAAGGTGCCGTACATCTCCATCGAAGACGATGATGGCACAACACTGCTTTCCGACTCCGGGCTCATAACCAAGGAGTTTATCAAGTCTGGAAAGCTGGAAGATCTCAATCGTAACCTTTCCAGCACTCAAAAACTCCACGACATTGCCCTCCAGGCCCTACTTGAGGATAAATTATATTTTTACGGGGTATGAAATCCCATGTTCTATTGTCAGCCCGGGATTATCATCTAATATATTCATAGACGCACGAGAAATGGTGCCAGAACTACTACGCAATGCGCGATAAGGTCCTCGGTACCCTCCCATGGCCTGTCAGGGTTATTGTGGGAAACATGGTCTACAATAAGAATGTGCGCAACATGATGGGCCAAGGCACAGGCAAATTCAGCGAACAAGAGATCGCTGCATTCCGTATTGAGATCTGGGATATGTTGAATGCGACAATTTCTGAGTCCCATGCCCAGCATCGTGGCAAAGAGGGGCCGTTCTGGGTATGGGGTGGTGATGCGCCGACTGAGGCGGACGCAGTTGTTTATGGATTTGTTGTATCGGGGTTGACGTGTGGCCCGTAAGCTTTGTCCTTGTCATGATATATCCGTTGATTAATACTAATTTGGAGGATTGATAGGGCTGCTCCCATCACAAAAGGCATTATCAAAGGCCATCCTGCTCTTGTGGAGTATGCTCGTCGTATTCACGATACATTCTTTCCGGATTATGAACTTCAGGAGTAGATGGATATTGTCAGTGATTTTAATTTGTTTGGTTACTATTTTAGGATTGTTGAAAGATGTGCTGCTAGTCTGTGCTTTATTTGTATACAATTTACAAGATCTGCTCAGGTAGCTTATCCCGATCTGCACCAGGTTTCGAAGGGAGTGATATGAACCTATCTGGTGCCAAGCTTGAAGTTTGATCGACTTTTCATGTGAAGGGTAGGTAGTATAATCACATAGCTTGACAGCCATTCTATTATGTCCAAACAAAGCTATTTTGTGCATAAGATATTTGAATCAAAGGTTCCTTAAGATCTTTAGTGAATGAAAGATGAGAGGTAATGTCCTTGATAATCACATTGTTACTGGTCTATATTCGGGGTACATCAGAAACAAAGCAGAGGTCACAATGAGAACTCAGGGCCAATTGGAAGATAGTATCATTGTTTAGCTGTGTCTCCAAGAGTGACCAAAGAATATATGAATTTCATTCATGTCTTTGTCCCAATGAGAGGCCAGGCCATTGTTTACAGAAAGGTGAATCTGATCGAAGGCTCATCATAAGAAGCCTCATACCTTCCCTGATTAACCTGGTTCAATTTGGATAATTGAAACAATAACCATAAGATACTTGCTTCCCACCGTCTCTCAAACCCACCGTCTCTCAAATTGCGGGGTACCTGGGACCAACGTACCACGCCAGGTTCTTTGTTATGAGTCGGCCATCTAGGGACAGAGATACGAAGAAACCACAACATGACTCGAAACACAAGACATCGGACTATTTACAAAAACTAGAGTTTGAGCTACAAATCCAGAGTGAGAGAGAACGTCGTCAGAAAGCAGAGCTACGGACGAGCGAGCATGTTCAGAATTACAGCGAGTTACACGAGATATGCGCTGAGTATGAGACAAAAATTGCAGAGACAGAAGCCTGGGCCAAACAAAGAGAGATCGAAGCTGGAAAGTTGCGACAAACGCTCAGTGAGGAAACCAAACGAGCAGATACAAACGATTGGTATATTCAGCAGGCCGAGGATGCGATCTTGAAGCTTGAAAAAGCTGCTCTGACGCAGCGCGAGAGAGCTAGTGATGTGGTAAAAGAACTTCAACTCCGAATCCACTATGGAGAAGAAAAGACTAAAGAGCTGAGGGAGTTGATGGAAGAAGTCTCGACGGAGGTGTACAAATACAAGAACCAGACTGCCAAGGAAGACAACAACTGGATTGACTTCTACGATCGATTACTCAATTATGCAGAGCTGTTTGAGCAGAAGCGAGAACAGATCTTGTTGATAACCCAGAGAATGCAAGCTATGATAGGACTCTCTGAAGAAGCCATACAAAAACGGGCTCGCTTGTTGCAGAACGAAGAAGTTGAGCTTGATGTTCGACGTTCAGCAGAAGATGCGCAAATCAGAAGGAGGAAGACAGTGAATGATCAAGGGTTAGTAGTAAGCCGTGTGACTGAAAGCCAAAAGAAGAAGACCCTGGCAGTGAAGGAGAGGGAGAAAAGAGAAAACGAGGAGAGGGCGCGAGTAAAGCTTTGGAAAGAGTCTAGAGATACCTGCACCTTTTGGACTGACGATGATAGGTTCTGTTCTTCTCCAGATTCATTCAACGCCACGATCGAGTCTGCCTACGACTTCCAACTTCCTGACCCAGCCAGGCAGCTACCAGCAAGGATGTCACACGCCTTCGACGTATCATGGGCCTCGGAGCGCATGGATGGGGTGTTTTGCCCTCCTTGGCCTGATTTTAGCCCTCCAATTAGCCAAATGGCGTCCCTCGACCTGTCTGACAGCGACACAGACATTTTGACCGTGTCTGATGCGGCTGAAGTGCCGCAGTTCACCATCACCGCCCGACCACAGATGATTCAACGGAAGCGTGTGCGGTTCGCAGTCCCAGATGTGACCGGCCTAGGTGGTAGGAACGAGATTGAACGGCCATCGCTGCCAAAGCGAAGCAAGTCAGTCCCAGATTTCCACTCCCTCCATGGCTTGGACTTGCCCGGCTCGAACTCGTCAATACATACGGCCAGACACCCGTCCCTCCATCAAAGATCGGGGAAGCCGGCGATCCGCAGATACCCTTCCCGTGCGGCGATTGAGGTCGAGTCCCAGTACCGTTCCTCAATTCACAGTGGAGGAACACGAGAGGAGCCGCTTCAACTAACGTCCGCTCCACAAATCGAGTACTCCCGGCCATCGGAGCTTCCCCTGCCACAGGAGGCCATCCCGCCGACGGAGCCCTCCTCAACACGACTTCCCTCCCAGCCGCTACAACAATTAATCAGCCATCAGTACTTGGAAGCTTCATCTTCTCACTCAGCCAGATCACAGGATCAGTTGGTGGCGGGCCTACCTCCTCGTACTACCAGTCTTGTCCAGCGACGGCGAGGGGTGGGAATGCCAGGCAAACGGGATACGAGGAAGAAGTGTTCATCGAATTCAGGCCGAATGGAGAAAGTCAGGTGGAGGCGCAGAAAGAAGGTGCCGAAGTCTTCGACTTTGCCAATGCCGATGCCCGGGATGTGGCCCAGCGAAGTCCCACTGAACAACGAATCCGATACGACTAAACCTCGTCTAATTGGGCACGTGTTTGAATCGTTCGGGGGCGGCTGCACCGAGTCATTCATAGAAGGCGTTTTCAGTTGGTCGGTGGACTGATTATCGTTGGCACATTGCTCTATGCATGTGTCGGCCATCATTCGCATCACAAGTGGATGGTGTACAACGGAGTTCCCCAAGTTATCCTCAGCGAGCTGCGCAACTCGCCCACGACAGCGATCAGCGGGTCGACGCCTCTTGACTTCAACGTTATGAGCGTCTTCGATCACGACCGAGCAAAGCTAGGCTGAGGGCTCGGAGAAGAACGCCGTTTCGGGGTTAGTCGAGGATCAGTAGCGTTGATGGCAGGCGGTTGGTGGATAGGGGGGCGTCATTATATTACGAAAGATACCAACAGGGCGGCCACAACCGCGGGCAGATGCTGGTACCTGTATGGTAATAATGTATTGAGAGTGTTACGATAAAGTGCGACAAAGCAAAGAATCAAACACAGCAAATTCAACCAATCACGTCTTGTGCCACGCATCGAGCTGGCGTCACCCACTCCACTCAGTCGCCCCATGGCGGACTAAGACGGATCAGCTCCACTCCCTTTCCTTTCCCCTCTAAAGATATCTCTTCCTCTTTGGAGTTTTCAACCCATCAACCCATCCCAATCTTTGTCTTCGACGTCCGCTCTTTTCAACCATGTTTGTTCGTTCCATCCTACTGGGTGGCGCGGCTGCTCTGGGTGCCAGCGCGATGCTGGTCGTCCCTGAGATGGAAGCCCAGATGGACAATAAGCAAATGAAAAGTATCGAAGACGATTTTGTGAACATCATGCAGCCCGCCTACGCCGATGTTAGCTTTGCTGTGATGTTGAAGTGCGATGAATGTCCCTTCCGCGAAGTCAACAAGGAGGGTGTCGTCAGCTGGACTGAGGACAAGCCATCTTCTCTGGTATGTCCATTTCAATACAAATGCGAGTACTGAGCTAATGACAATGCAGTTTGTCGAGTTCCACGTTGAAGACAACCGCCTGCTGGCCAATGACCAACAGATTTTCCCGCCCGTTCCCCCAGGCCCAATAACTGCCAACCAGCTTGCCCGTGATGGCGACGAAGAGTCGAGCCCCATCCCCGTTGGCTACGCCCTCGAAGTCATGCCACATCCCCGCCCCGCCGATGCGCAGGACGCTGACATGCTTGATGTCCGATTCACTATCCTCGACCTGGAGGCACACCCCGTTCCCGTTGACACCGTTGCGATTACTCTGATCCTCACACCGACCGGCGATCTGTTCCTTGCCGACGGTGACATTGAGAAGTCCACCCCACGTCACGAGAAATTATCCTGGAAGAAGTGCCACGGCAAGCCTAAGTGCCTGCAAGAGCTCCTCTTCTCCCGTATTCACGGCCTTCTGTCGTCTGCCAAGGACCGTGTCATGGGTATCGCCGGTATGAAGGGCTGCAAGGGCATGAAGGGTATGGGTGGCCACCACAAGCACCACGGCGATTTCGACCCCGAAGGCGAGAAGGGTCCCCACCACAAGCACCATGACGACTTCGACCCCGAGGGATTGATGCCCCCTCCCCCTCCTTTCGAGGACTTTGAGGACTTCGGCGCTTACAAGGCCGAACACTCTTGGCCCGACCACCATGGTTTCAACGCCGAGGATGCGGAGGGTCGTCCTCCTCGCCCTCACCATATGCATGGCCCTCCCCACGGTGCCTTTGCTCACACTTTCTCTCGCGTTGTTCGCTTCATTGTCGTCCCCGCTATTTTGGGTGTTCTCGCTGGTCTCACTGCCAGCGCTGTTGGTATGCTTGTAGGCCAGGCTATCATCTTCCTCTGGCAGCGTTACCGCGGTACCAAGAAGCAGGAGCACAAGGCTGCTTGGGAGGAGGGCAACTCCTGTGAGAAGCAGGGCCTGATGACCGAATCCACTGAGGAGTACCTCCCCGAATACACCGAAGAGTCTTCTCAGACCCGTGGATCCATGGACAAGAACTAAAGATTCATCGGCCTGAATGCTCATGTTTGAAGACCAATTCTAGATTCAAGATGAAGGATGTGTTGGATATGCGTATCGGAAAACCAGACTGTTAAGTTTTGATGAAGGTTCTGTTCATTCTACCCGATGGTTTTATGTGATTACTTCCCCTATTATTATTATTATTATTATTATGTTTTCTACATATTGTTTTAAACGTCCGGCTTGTACAGCGAGATTTCCTACAATACATTTATTCCCCCAATATAGCCTCACCTTACCACCTTGTAGATATGTAGTCTGCTTACCTATATTACTTGAACAATTACCTACCATGAAAATTCAAGGTTCTTTCTGTCTTTCATATTTAAGCAGGTCTCAGTATGTACTACAATTCAAGTCCGTTGCGGCTATAAGGCTGATTCTCACGTGACAAATACTCCTCAACCCGCGCGGCCCCCCTCTTACATATGTATCAAGTCGGCAACAACCACTCTGTTTCTACTGTGACGTTTCCCGATATGCAGGTCCAGTGTTTGACCAAACAATGAACGAGGCTGTACAATGACCTTGAATCTCTCACCTGAACATCATACGGGCTACTTTGCAAACACCTAGCCCGGATCAACTTGTCGCTCCAGGTCGCAGCTATAGCTCCGCCCTCGACATTCATCGGTATTGCGTGGCTTCTAGACAGCTGGTCCAATCGACCTACTAGCTGCCCAACATGATGCAATGGTCATCATTCATGCAAAAGGCTCAATCACTGATTGATCCGGCCAACTTCAACATTCCATCCCTCTCCTCATCCGACGACAATCCCTCAAAGGCCTCTCTCTTCCGCCAACAATTCCGCCTTCCCGACTCCCAAAACCCCCTGCAAGAGATCACCGCTGAGCTCATCCTTCCACTCCCAAGTTCCTCGTCCGGGTCTGGAGAAACATCACGTCGGGTTGACAAGGCAGGTAATCGATACACGGGTCGTTTGCATGTCAGTGAGCGATTCATATGCTTTTCCACACAACCAACAAGCTTCTTGCCATCGTCCACATTGAGTGCATCCACTAGCTGGACTGGTCAGACGCACGGAACAGGACCTTCTGGCAATGGTTTCACTATACCCCTCTCATGCATTCGTCGGGTCGAACGACTGCACAGCGAGACGAATATCTTCACTCTGGCACTGACAACATGGAATGGTTTGTTGAATAAGAAGAAGGAGGATAATACTGGAAACCAACGTCTCATCCTACAACTCGTTGGTAGCAGACAGGCCAGCGAACGTTTTTGCGACTGCTTGAAGAAGGGTTTACGGGAGGGTATCAAGGAGGTTGACAGTTTACGAGCAGTTGTGACGGATTGCTACTCGGAATACTTGCTGTCAGGGGCCAAGCAATCTGCGAAAGAGGGCAATGACCCTGATGCTCGACCGCCTCCTGATGCCGGATTGGGTATGCTTTTCCGTTATCCTGGTGACGCGCGCAAGCTCCGAGACCGTAGCAAGATGAGACTTTGGGTTGAATATTTCCGAGGTAAGTCAAATCCAGTTCACCCGCAAGAGAAGTTGTTGACCTGGATTTAGAAAATGGGCGTAATGTAACGCTTGTTCGTCAACCAACATTCCACAAACTGATTCGGGTCGGGTTGCCTAATCGTCTACGTGGAGAGATTTGGGAGCTCTCGTCTGGATCTCTTTATCTGCGAGTTCGGTCTCCAAAACTTTATCAAGAGACACTAAACCAGTTCGAAGGTCAAGACTCCCTTGCGATCGATGAAATCGAGAAAGACTTGAACCGAAGTTTACCGGAGTATCCGGGATACCAGAGTGAGGAGGGTATTGGTCGTCTACGCCGAGTCCTCACGGCCTATAGTTGGACCAACGCGGAGATTGGCTATTGTCAAGCTATGAACATTGTCGTTGCCGCATTGTTGATGTTTGTCTCCAAGCTCTCATATTTAGGATTCATTGTTAACGCGAAACAGATATATGTCCGAGCAGCAGGCCTTTTTCCTTCTCTCCGTGCTTTGCGATCGGCTTCTGCCTGGTTATTACTCCACCACCATGTACGGCACACTCCTCGACCAAAAGGTGTTCGAGTCCCTGGTGGAGAAGACGATGCCCGTTCTCTGGGAACACCTGGCCAAATTCGATGTACAGCTCTCCGTTGTTTCTCTGCCATGGTTCCTTTCTCTCTATATTAACTCAATGCCTCTGGTATTTGCATTCCGCGTCTTGGATGTATTCTTCCTAGAGGGTCCCAAGGTCTTGTTCCAAGTGGGTCTCGCAATCTTGCGAATCAATGGCGAGGAACTCCTTGAAATCCAGGACGACGGATCATTCATCTCTGTGCTTAAGTCATACTTTTCACGCTTGGACGAATCTGCGCATCCAAAGTCGGAGAACCCCAAGCTTCGAGCCATTACCCGATTCCAGGAATTGATGGTTGTCGCTTTCAAAGAATTTTCTGGTATCACACACAGCACGATCACAGAGCAGCGTGATAAACATAAAGATGCTGTGTTGGAGAATATCGAAAATTTCGCCAAGCGCACTTCCATCCGGAACCTTGGACCTGAGAGCAAGCGCCTCAGTGTGGATGATCTTGGCACCATTTATGATCGGTTCTACGAGACCTTGTATCACTGGCAACAACACCAAAAAGTATTGGAAGAGGAGCGGAAACGACAAGAAAAGAAGAAGTCTGAACGTTTCTCTATTCTTGGTCCCCCCGCAGACAGGGAGATGGGCCGTGTCGGTCTTGGACCCAGCCCTACTCATATGGACTATGATGCATTCCGCGAATTTCTAGCCGCGACTTCGAAATGGGCCGTTTCCGACACGCCAGCTTCGGCACGAAAGGATTCTGCCAATAGCTACGGCAGTTTCAAGGGTAATAAGTCGTTACTCTGGGCTAATCGACGCCAACCGGCCGATCATGAATTCATGCAACGTCTCTACCGCAAATGGTCTACTGACCCTGAAGAAGGATTGAGTCTCCAGAATGTTGTGAACGGCTTGGCACGCCTCAAGGGATCACCAGATATTATGAACAATATCAACTACTTCTTCAATCTTTATGATGATGGCGGAAACGGTCAGGTCGATCGTGAGGGGATTCTTAAGATTTCAGAGGCTTTGCTGTTTCTATCACGCCGTGGTTTCGAGGGTACGATCACCGCTACTCAGTCTCTGGAGGATCTGAACAGCCCTCGTGATCGCGATCTTGCAGAAAAGAACAGCCTCACTACAGATGAGAGATTCCTTGGAAGTGTGAGCGCATTCATCCGCCGCTGCTTCGAATATGCCGACCCTAGCCATCCTGAAAATCAGAAGGCTTCCCAAGGCGATGCCACCACCGAGGTCACGGAAGGGCTCGATTCCTTCACTATTGGTGATGACGAGGAGGAAGATCTGATCGATATCGACGGAGACTCCAGTACCAAGAAGCCGGCAAAGACCGACACTCAGACAGAAAGCAGTGAACAGAATCGGCCAAGATCCGAATCCGCAAACCCTGCCTTGGATCCAAACAATCCTCTTCACATCACTCTCCCAACCTTCCGCATGGTTGTTCTCGCCGACGAACTCCTCGAACAATTCTTCGAATCTTATTTCCCTCAGTCCTTCCATCTTTCCGATCACCCTCACCCTGCCGCCCTTGCCGCATCGTCATCACTTTCGTCCAACCTCACAACATTCTCCAATATCGGTAGTGCACGGCCCTCTCAGCTCACCGCCAGCTCTGGCGCTACGGTGGCCGGCGCATCAGGAGGAATCGTGCCCCCAGGGAAAGGCCTTCGCGGCGTCCTCGACAATATCGTCACTGACGGTATTCGTATGGCGGCCGAAGTCAAGAAGAGAATGGACGACGCACAGCGCGATCTCGAACGCAGTGCCCTCGGCCGTGACGAAGAGGATGACGAAGACGACGATGAAGAATACACAAACCGTGGTGCATCCGCTGCCGTCATGGCTGGTGGTATCTCCAGCTGGGGTGCCGGTGCGTACGGTGCGGACAACGAGCGCCGTGGAGTTCGAGAGGCAGATCGTGATCTCCTGGAGGGAGCTGAAGTCGAAGCATCCTCCCTGCTTGATGGCAAGCCGGACGCTGAATCAGCAACTAGCAAGACTAGCCATGCTGCCGCGCCCACAGCGACCCCGGATAATGATCCTAAGGTCGTCAGCAAGATTGTTGAGTTTGAATCATGATGATATCCAGTCTATTCTCTCTTTTTGTATTGCTGGGAACGAGCTTTTGTCTTGCTATATCCCTTTGCCTTGTTCATTTGATTCTTCAGCTACCCCTTGTGCAATTATACACTTGCCGTTAGAGCCGATGAATGTAGATAGTCATCTATATCAATTAAATCTATATGATCTCTCACGATCTACACATCAGATGCAAATTCCAAGACTTCCGAGACCAAAAGGAAAGCAATTAGATTAGCCCTAGCATATAGGCAGAGAAATTTCCGTAGGGTGATTTATTTCAAGAATCAAGTCGAACAGTCTGAGATTGTTCTACTAATTTTAACATTGTCATGAGTCGTGAGATGTCACACTAACATTTCTATGTACAATCATGTCATCAAAACAGCGCTCGGAAGACAACTCATGAGAAAAAAGAGGTGATAGTAGTAACATAAAAGGCTCATTAATGCCTGCCCACCCAGGAGACAATAGAATGGGGAACAAAGAATAGTGGTTGAAAAGGGTATAAATTAACAAAATCAAACACAAAATAGGAGTGTCCGTGAAGGAGAAGATGGAAGGAAAGGAAATAAATGCCAATATGCCTGAGTCGAGCCGGCCAAGCAAGAAATTGAGCAATGTTCAGACCTGATGAGAAGAGGATTTCTTCGGAAATGCGATTAATCCTTTTGCCCTTCATTTTCAACTAGCTCCAAGACGATTTGGCTGCGTTCATATTCAGGATGTTGCATGCAGATCTTGACAGTGTGCTGGTTCGTCGAGATGCCATTGGCACCATTGAAGCTGCTCTGAGCCCCAATACCACTTGCATTGGCCTGACCAAAGGAACCGGGCAACTTGCTGCCATCGTCAAGACAGACGACATTATGACCGGGTATGACCTGTCTCAAGCGACCATTCATTGCATTGCGAACCTCAACAAAATCGTCATTGAAAAGAATAAGGAACTTGCCATGAAGACAGGCGGTGTGGGCACTGCCCACGAACTCCATTACTACGCTACGCGAGACGTCACCATGCTTGTTGACGTACACAGCACATTCCTCATACGCAACAAGGAACTCGCTATCGCTGAGCCGGTACATGCCGAGCGGGCGAAGATCTTTGATGCGGTGGGCAATGCCGTGCAGCGTATCAACTGCGTCGGGTGTAGTTTCGGAGCGGAAATCAGGGACAGACCAAGATTGCTTCTTGTCCAGGGTAAGGACTTCAATGCCACGCTGGGTCGAAATGGCGAGGGAGGAGTGGAACATGTTGATACCGTAGCTTTCCGCGGGAATATAGAATTCGTCGTATTCACGGAAGAACTCGGTTTGTGAGCGTCGCGACTGGAATAGTCGACTTTTGCTGGATGATGACTTCTGGATCACGGGCTCGAGAACTTTAAAGGTGGATGATAGACCGTCACGTTTTTTGTAGAGAACCAAGTATCGGTCCTTCATGCGTCCCGCCGCGAAGAACCCTACTTCGCGATTACCGGACAGTTTTTGTGGAGCCCGCCGAGCGGAGTCTTGTGACTGAGTTGTCGCATTCCCATTCGCAGGGCAAACCACGTCAAGATGGTATGCGATGAGAGAGCGATCGGCGATAAGAAGGAATAAATTGAACTCTTCAAACACAGCGATTTGAGTGACACGCATAATGGGAATTGCCTGTATGAAAATTTGTTAGTATTGAAAAGGCAGAATAAATCTCAAAGTTAGTACCCACCCGATACCAGCCACGAGGATTGTTGACATCAGACATGTATACTCCATAGTCGGTTCCAATTGCACACATCATCCGGCCAGGAGGCTGTTGAAAGACCGTAGCACAATTGACGGAGGTTCTGCAGATTGGCGTAGGCCGAGGCCCAGAATCCTTATATTGCTTCTCGACCCCCTTAATTGCACGATGGAGAGGCGTTCCCTTAATGGTGACACTCTTCGAGCCAACGGTCTGATCACTATAAGCAAACGCGGTGTCCGCGAGAACGCGCAGTCGGAATGGCTCCGCATTCTGAGAGAACAAAGCCGCAGCATGCTTAGTCTTCGCCTCGATGATTTTTTGGCACCATTCAGCACGGCTTTGAGCAGAGAAAGCATACAGAATATAGGTGCCATTCTTTCCAAGATGCTTGATCTTGAACGGGTAAAGAATCTTATCATCTTTCGAGTCAAGGCTTGCCGTAGGTCCATTCAAGGCAGCTCCCGGCCCCGCCTGGTTCAGACCAGCCTGGGCAGGCGCAACAGTTGCAACGCCCCGCATGGATGATTTGACCACTGGATCGTCATTGGTACTCTCCAGTGCCAGCAAATCCATGGGAATGGGAAGCTTAGACACATCATACCGTTCGTACTTTATTGTTCGAGATGGGTCTCGTGTGGTAAATGATTTCGCAAGAACGAGATAGTGGTCGAAAAGAATGGCATGGGTGTCAACAAGGAATCGCGTCCGGGTTCCAGGGCGTTGGAGATCGCCGCGGAAAACAATTTCACGACCCAGGTGTTCAAGATTGAGCTCAACTTCCTTCTTCATCTCTGGTCGCAATTGCAACTTGGCCGAAAGTTCGATCAGATCGGCCTTCTTGTTCATCTCGCCAACTTTATTATCACATTCCAAGGCCACAATCTTGATTTCCTCAATGGCCTGTGCGACATTGAACTTTTCCTCAGAATCCTTAACCATATTCTTGTGTACAGTGGCAAGTAAAAGGGTGTATCGCTGAATTCGCGTGATCGGGGCCTTGAGGAAAGTGTCCCAGCTTAGTCGATTGGACTGCTTCTGTTCGCGAACCTGGTTGAGGAATTGCTTGAAATGGACATTCCGCTCGGCTTCCTTGCGCACATAGTAGTTTGCAGTCGGGAACGTGGCAGCATAATCAATGTAAACAGTCTTAGCTTTCCGAATCCATTCTCGGAAAATATCGCTGAATCCCGCGATAAATGGACCCTGTTCTTTTTGACGATACTTGAGCTGCGCCAGCAAGAAATCCTCATTGACCTTTTTGACTGCGTCGACCTTACCAAACACATCAGACAAGAATCTGGACAGGCGTTTGGGAGGGATAATTGGAGGATTCATGTTGGCTAGTTGGTCACGGTAGAGCTCTCGTAGAACATCCAACTGGCCAATGTACGCGTCTTCGGTGGTGACAATCTCGTGCAAGTTGTTCTGGCGATCAATCTCTTTTTTAGGGTATGACTCCCAGGTTTCCTTAGGGACCTTATAGAAAGTCACCCAATCCTCGATCTTCTTTTGAGGTGCCATCATCTGCGCTTTCAAGTTGACTTTTTTCAATGTCCTCATGCAGTGGTGAGAATAGCACCTTCCAAATGAATCTGTGTCTTGGATGTGCAGTTCTTGCTCATGCAACTTGGGCGAGTAACAGCCAGTGCCAGTGATTTGGAACAGAACACCAGAAAGAGTTCCCCTGCTGAACTTGACCCATTCCTCTTCTTTCACAAGGGCTCCCTGCCCAAGCATGCTGCCAACTACACGGGCAGCGAGAGTCTCAGCATCCGCAATATTCATGGTTGGGACCTTGTGGGTAAACAGTGCAACAATAGCATCAACAATAGCCTGCTCGCGAAGATCTGTCTCATCCTCACTCAAATCCCGGACCCAGGAAAGGATGGAACTAAGAGCCCAGGGTTCAGTGCATTTCTTGAATTGTTCAGACGACAGTTTGGCAGGAGTGAACTTCTTGCGACGACCAACAGGGATATCTGGCAGATCAAGAGCCATTGAAGCAGCCGCTGCGGCTGGATCAACCTCGGGGAGGTCTTTGTTGTGAAGCTGCCAGAGAAAGTCCTGCTGCTGCTTGTATTTTTCTCGGTCCGCATCGGTCTTTGACCTGATAGGAGCATCAGTACGAGGTCCAATCGGGGTCGACAAAGATGACGATCGCGGGACTTGGGATGGACTAAGTAAGGGCTCTCCATATGAGTCCGCAGACGCCGGAACGGGGGGGTTTCTATACTGTGAGTGAACCTCATCCTGCTCTGATGGCCGATACGTGCCGGCGGGCATTAGATGCGAGTGAAGTGCGGCGTTTCCAGCTGGCTCGACAGGAGCTGGGGGTAATGGACGCATGCCTGGATGAAAGAACAGATCTTCATGCGCTGCGCGATGCGGACTTTCTTCTCCAGACTGACCCTCTTCTTGCTCGTAGCCTTCTCCTTCCTCGCCATAATCCCAGCTCATTCGACGACCATATTCTCCCGGGGTGGCGAGCCCACCTGTTCCTCCCGCGTCAACACGCGCATTAGGTGGAAGATGATGCATTCGAGCGGCATATTGATAAGCGATCTGCGGATGGTCGTATTCTTCGTAATCCCCTCGTTCAACGTAATCCCCCCGTTCATCCGCAGACATGTCAGAGCTCCTGAAAGAGTCTGATCGGCCCGTCAAGCCACCACCACTGAGAGGATCCAGATATTCCTCGGGGTTGTATAGGTGCTGGTCTCCATAATGAATATTTCCTTGATACCCACCCTCATAAGCTGCCAGATCATGACCGCTGAATTCGTTCTCTGGTGCCCCAGCACGAGGGGAAGGACCTCGAGTGGATGTAAAGGACCCGCGTGAAATAACGGAAGCATCTGTCTTGCGCCGAGCTCGTTGGTGCTCTTCCCGCGCCCTCTCTTGTTCCTCAGCCTCCTGCATCATAGCTAGACCAGCCTCGGCCTCTGGATCACTACCAAAGTCCTCGTCGTCTCTACTCTCGCCGTCCACGTTCTCGTAGCGATGCGTATGGATCTGCGACTCATCTGGTGATAGGCCTAAGCTATGATGTGATGTTCGCGAGCTGTGACGCCGAAAGCTGGTCTGCGTATCCATCACCGCGTCATTGATTTCTTTCAACATATCGTCGCTACTCCGAGTGTCTGGTTCGGTGTCAACCGGTGGTCCCGGAAGAGGCCTGGCCTGCGGATGTCTTGTCAAAGTATCCGTTCGTCGCGGAGGTAGAATGGGCAAGTCTTGCTGTACGGGCGGGATAGGGAGAGAGCGGCCAGCATGGGATACACTGGGCCGCTTATTGTAAATTCCATTGGTTTGCGGTTGATGTACTGGAGGTGCGGGGGGTTGTTCATCGAAATGGCTATTGAACGGCGGTATGGAGGGGTATGGAGAATCGGTTCCGAAGCCATGGGACACAGGCAAGTAAGTCTGGGGCAGATAAGTACCCGCGGGAGAGTTCGAGGTCGCGTATGATGTTGTTATCGGTGATGAAACTGTCTGGTAGGCAGGCGAGGCGGCCGTCGTATACTGCTGGCTTGACGCGCCAGGTGACGACCCGTATGGAGAGCGACCTCCATAAGGGTGATCCGGCGCACGGGGTGGAGGCATTGGCGGTAGTTGGGAAGGAAAACCGTATGATTGTGGGGTTGGAGGAGCCTGTCCGTACGGCGAGGCCTCACTAGGCCGACGCGCGATCGTTGGAGAAGAGAGGCTAGCAACGGCGGCCGGCTGATAAAGTGCTGGATTGTATGGTTGATGGCTAGAGCTGGTATAGGAGGCATTGCTGGAAGCGGCGTAGGACGAGGGATTATAACTTAGGTTTGGTTGGGTTTGAGATTGCGGAAGGGCATATTGTTGCGGATTATAGGCAGGTTGATTCACGGATTGGTATTGGTACGACATGGCGGCGGACTGCGATGCTGCGCGGGTCGGCGACATACGCGACGTATCTGGGGAAGGTTGCGAAAACCCGGTGTATACGGTGTTCGCGCCATCCTCATAACCCCCATATGCTGGATTGTAACTCCCTTGCGCACCGCCGCCTACCTGCCCACTGCCCACGGAGTATTGGGCGTTGGCATCGGTCGCTCTCGTATTATGTGTTCGAGCGGCATTGAAGAGATGGGAGTCATCGCCGCTATTGAAGCTGGGCATTCGCCTGGGCTGCTGCTGGCTCTGCGTGGGATTTCGTTGGGGTGCATAACTTTCGTAGCGACCTGACGATGGTCTTGAGACCGGGGGGTTGCTGGGCTGGCCGTAATAAGCCTGTTGTCCGTTGGGATGCGCCATCGTCCAGCAGTGTCAAAAGTCGCCGAAACTAGATTCCAAAGAGACTCGTGATCACTCCGCCTTTTTCTTCCACTCTCTCCCCGAGGAGCAGACGAAGGCCCAAGTCAGAACGTTAACGGAGACACGGCGGTAGCGAAGGAGCTGCGGGAGATCTCGTCCAAATGAGGGGAGGGCAGGTGAGGTCTGCCAAGCAGCTCTCCCTAGGCATTCCTCGAAGAGTGAATGAGCGGGGAAAGGTGGTAAAAGGGGCGAGATTGAAAAGTAGCAATTTTGAAGAGTAAAATGTAAGAAATATGATCACAGCGAGGATTCCATCGCGTGGTTCCAGCGCCCAAGCGGAGCGAGACCGGGGATTTGGGTTATGGTCCCTCCCCACCGCCAACCCCTGTTAGCTAATTCTATTTATTGTACAAGGCTGAACATTTAAAATCTAAATTTATATAAAATTCGGAATGATTACATCTCAACCATTGATTCTATAGTGCGACCTTCCAAGGTTGGTCTGTGGGGAGACCTATTGGGCACGATGTTTCAGGTTTTGAGCCTCCAAACCCCCCTATGGCAATTCTATGAAGCAAATCTCTTATGTCGTATTTCATTATGCAGCAAGTCCCTTTTTCAAATGCACTACTAGAACAGTGTTATTTTTAGGATAAGCTGTAAACTTGAAACCAGGTGCCAGGTGGGGGCGATGGACATGACAGTTTTCCACTGGAAACCCCTATGTTATCTTCGTCGAAGACCAAGTCTCGTGCTCTTGATCAAATCGTGTTTGCAATTCCTCCCACTATCCCTTATTAAGACTAGTGTTATATAAACTATTCTGGATGAGCGTTTTGAAGGATAAACACGACCTTGGCGCTTACCTCTGCTTTAGACCCAAATCCATGGATCGTTTGACTTTTGAGTTTAGGGTATAGGCCGGGATGTGCCATCCCGTTCCATGTGTGCCTTCCGAGATTCAAGGCCTCACAAGTTCATTGGCCAAGATGTATGTGCTATTTGAAAAATCCAGTGCTCAAAAGACATATGTGTATCTACTTAGACGGTCACACAGTTTATCATCAAATCAAGATCAAGTATCGCTCAGTACAGTTTCCAGACCCTGGATGAATCGCCGAATTTCATCCTCGCTTATAAGCTGACGATTTCCCTCAAATTCAAGCTCGAGTTTCCCATCTCGAGGAGTAGCATATATTTCAGGTCGATTCCGGGGCAAAACATCAGCATCGTAGAACGAGATCCGACTCGCTGCCCCAAGGAAAGTGAACTCAACATCATCTTCTTGCTGAAAGGCTGTTCGCCAGCCAAAATCATTTACTGTGGCGGGCCAGTAAGTGCAATTCCGAATAATATCTTCCATACCAGCAGTTTCGTATCGGGAATCCTCGACGAATTGGCGCTGCAAATCTAACGCAATACTCGAAAGCGTAGCGTTGGAATCGACCTGAACACTGATAGGAACTTCAGTCATCGTTGGGCCAACCACATTTTGTAGACTGCTTGGTAGCATCGACCGGCCGGTGATCAGACGCCCAAAAACAACGTGATCCTGGCGAAACTGGCGGGATAGTACCATGGCACACGCGGCGTGGAATAAAGTTGCCGGTGACACCCCTTCGATTAGCTCACCTGAGGGTAAGGCAATTGTCCTTTTGATCGTCATTCGGTCATTGGGAGAAAAAATATAACTGGAAGAATTCACCCGACGCCAGCTGGGAGTGGGAGCATGCTCAAGTCGTGACGTCCAGTAGGCCAAAGCGTCTGCCTTCTTGTCACTCATGTATGTGATATACTGAGAAAATGTGGGCAGGGTCACCAGAGTGTCGCCACAATAAATTGAAGAGAGGGTGCGAAGTACCATATCCCAACTAAAACCATCGAATTGAGCGTGCGAGATACGAAAGATGAGTCGGTGATGACCTAGAGGACTCCTTATTGCCATGAAGCGAATGAATGAAGAACCAAGCGTTCGGATTCTTTTCCGATCCATTTCGCAAATAGAATTTACGAAGGCAACCATGTCATCCTTTTCACTCGCTTGGAAAGTGTCATAGGGGGGACTGAAGTGCTCGAGCAAGACTTGCCAGAGTTGGCCATGCGCTTGGATGAAAACCGTACGAAGAATATCGTAATTGTCAACGAGCTTGCGGCAAGACTGCTCCAAGTGTGCGAAGTCAACATCAATTGGAAGATCGAAAATCCAATGTGGCAATCGACTGGGAGGGTCTTGCAAAGCATCCATGACTGCAGTCCTCTGGAAGTCGGTACAAGGAAGCACGTCGTGGATATTTCCTGCCCCTGGTTCGAGTACAGGGTCAACAAAGCTGGCGAAAAAGGCCTGAAGATCATGCGGTCCAAGGAATGCGAATGGTTGGCAAAGCGGTAAAGCTTCTTCCATCGCAGTTTCCTGCACCAGGAGGGCGAGTTGTGAAAGCTGTGGTGCACTGAAAATGTCCGCCACTGTCAGGAAGAGCTTTTCCTTTCTTGCTGCTGATACCAGTCGCATGGCTGCAATAGACTCTCCACCAATTTTAAGGAAATTGCTATTGGCGTTGATGCTGTTCATGTCTACCCCCAGTACTGCTGACCAAAGCACCTGTAATTTCCGTTCAACGGGGTTAGTGGGAGGTCGATGTTCCTTTCCAAAAGACTGTAGTTTTGCGAGATTCTCCAATGTCTGCGTAGCCCCCAGTTGCCGCAGAGCTCGCCTGTCCGTCTTATCCGTGGTTGTCATTGGAATCTTTTCTACAGGAATGTAGGCACCCGGAACCATGCTAAAAACGAAAATGTCAATATCAACAGCAAATAACGAAAGCCCGAAACGTTAGAAGATACATACTACTGTGGCAGGCAATTGAAAAGTCTATCCTCCAGACCATCGATCAGACGCGCCATTTTTGATAGTGTATCCTCTGAATTTGCTGCTCCACCAGAGGCCAAGGCTATAAAGACAACCAGAAGAGGACTGCCGTTGCGAGGAGTAATGATCTCTGCTGCAAGACCACTACATAGACCAGGGTGACATAGATTAGCTCGAATATGGTACTCGACCTCGGTCAGCTCAATTCGTTGGCCTCGAAGCTTAACCATGCCATCTTTACGACCTAAGAACTGCAAAGATCCATCTGAGTTGTATCGAAGCAGATCTCCGGTTTTGTAGAGAATGGCTTGACGGCCCGGACGACCGGGTGCTCCCTTCAACAACCAGGATGGATTGTGGATATAGACTGCCGCAGTCTTGGAAGAGTCGTTAAAATAGCCTTGACTAACAGTAGGGCCCTCTATCAGGAGCTCCCCAACGGCGCCAATAGATGCCAGGCGATCAGGATGATCTGGCTGCACTAACCATGTTCGGGCACCATAAGAATGTCCCACCTGATTATTGAGCCCACCTGGCTGAAGGATCGTGAATGTGAGAGCCTGTGCACACTCCGCTGGACCGTAGATCCCAATAACAGCTTCAGTCTGCCTCCAGCGAGCAACTTCGGTAGTGGGAATAGGCTCACCCCCCATGGCTAAAGTCCGGAGCCCAGGAAAGCTCAAAGGCTCCAAAGATCGTACTACCGAGGGCGTAAAGTAAGAATAATTGCATCTCATGCGATTGAAAGCACCTGCAATGTCATTTCGACGTTCGGATTCTGCAGGAATGCAAAGGCAGCCTCCGCAAATCAGGGTTTGGAGGGTGTTTGACCAAGAGACGTCGAAGCTATACGAAACAAAGTCAAAAACTCGTGTTCCTGGCTTAATACGCAGCATATTTGCCTGATGGATTGCAGCAGATGCGAAATTTTGATGTGTAGTCACGACGCCCTTCGGTGTTCCTGTCGACCCACTAGTGAATACCACTATAGTTCGAGAAGTCAGTTAACTCATTGAATAGACAAGATAAATGTTTTAAACCTACCATACAACACATCGGATGGTTTGACAGTTGGCAATGATCGTATAGCAATGCACAAGTCGAGGTAATCCTGATCAATCACAATGACTCGAGCATCGGACAAATGACTCGCCAATATGGATTTTGTAGAGGACGCCAGAATAAACCGAGGTTTGACTTGCTGGACGATGGAATGTAGTCGTGCTTTTGGTTGAGTAGAATCCATCGAGAGGCAAATGGCTCCGGACTTCATCACACCCAGGACGGCGACAGGATGCCACATTGACTTATCAAAGCAAAGTGGAACCACGCTCCCGATACCAAGGCCACGGGCAATCAAGACCGAGGCTAGGCGAGTGGAAAGTCGATCTAGCTCATTATACGACAAATTGCCGTCCCAGGCGCAGATAGCCGGCTTCTCTCCATGACTTCGAGCAGTAGTGGCAATCAGGGTATGAACGCATTTCGGGATGGCTTGCGGAACAACGGCATTCCAATTCCATAGTTCTGCGAGATCAGGGCCACTGAGAGTTTGAATTGAACCAACAGTCTGTGTTGTGGCTACACATACTTGACGCAATATGTGTTCAAACTGTGAGGCAACTCGTGCCATTTGTATCGCGTCAATCACCTTAGAGTCAAAGCTGAATTCAAGTTGTAGTCCATTCTCCTCCGTGAGCTGGCACATGATCATAATAGCATTTGGATTGGAGTTATCCAGATCTTGAGTGACAGAGACTAGTTCTCTTGGATATTCGAAGGGTCCATCAGGATATTCAACAAACCGGCTTTGACTTGGAGGCTGAATAACTAGAAGAGTATTGAATTGGGTCCCACGATTAGTATTAGCATCAATCTGACGGATTGAGAGGAGCTCAGTCTGCTCATAGGGAATCATGTCAATTGACTGCTTTTGGACCCTGGCGAGAAGATCATCGACGGATTCTTCAAAATCAAGTTTCACTCGGACAGGCACCGCGTTTATGAGAGGCGCTAACATGCGATCCAGGCCCGGAAGAAAGGTTTGTCGACCAGTAACCATTGCGCCGAAGACAATGTCATCAGAGTCTATGTAACGAGCAGTAAGAATGGCCCAGGATGCACGAATGACTGTGGACGTAGATATGTCAGATAACACGGGGAAAAGGCAGCAGAAAAACCAGTCAGACTAGGGATACATACTAGTAGATGGAGTGAAGTCGCACTGCGACCAGTGAAAGGTCTCGAGTTTGCGGTGCACTGTACTATCTGCCTTAGGTCGATAATCTGCATGAGGCAAAGCTGGAAATGAAATGGCCTCGAAGTCTGCGAACTGATGACTCCAAAATGATTTCGCCTCTTCCACATCAACACCCATTACATACTTAATGAAAGCCTGGAACTGTACTGACGAAGTATTCACATCGATGAATCCACTGTACGCTTTGGAAACCTCGTTCATTAGAAGATCTAGGGAATAGCCATCATACATCGCGTGATGCTGGGTAAGCAGGCAATACCGCTCATGATCACTTTCATGTTCGATAATTGCAAGCCTAGTCAATGGAGTGCCCAGACCTATCGGCCTAGTTTGATGTTTCCGAAGATATTGCTGGAGTGGTTGGGTGGTGTCCCAATGAAGCGTTTCATCTACCACACCCTGAACTAGCCCCTCTATTGGGCTATCAACGATTCTAGAGCGGAGAATAGGTGCGGAGGCTCTGCTCACATTTTCCCAGGCATCCATGAGACGTGACTCGTCGACATTCTTCCTCAGCCTGACTAAGACCCGGGCGACATATGAATTGGCCTGCTTTGCAGTCATGGAGAGAAGAGACTTCTGAACGCCAGTACATGGGAAGATGTCTTGAATTTGGCTCTCATGAACTTGGCACTGACTAGCAAAATCGGCCAGAATCACGTTTTTCTGTGAGGGTTGCTTCAAGAGAGAAAATGCCATGACCGGATCCACCTCTTGAGTACCTGTGAAGGGCATATCACTCACTGCCCGTATCATCTCTGAAAATAGAGGCGTTGTAAGAATGTCATAAACTGATAACACTAGACCTTGCGCACGAGCCAAAGAAGCAAGTCGCATAGCCGAAATAGAGTCACCACCTAGGCGGATAAAACTGCTTTGAGAACCAATATTTTCGGCAGATACACCAAGGACCTCTACCCACAAACCTTGCAGTTTTATCTCAGAGGGTGAGCTCAGAGACGTGGAGCCAGAAGAACCATCATTGCGTGAGAATGCCTCCAAAGTCAAGCCGGATCCGATATCACGCAAACATCGCCGGTCTAGTTTACCACTCGGGGCCATAGGCATAGATGCCATTGCGATAAAAGCTGCAGGCACCATATGGATAGGTATCCGGATAGGTAACTCTGCTTCGAGATAAGGAATCAAAGCAGCCAGCTGTGCTTCCTCACAGCTGATATAGGCCGCGAGCATCGGCCGCCCAATAGCTGTGGGCGTTATAACCTCTGCTACTACAGTTGGAGGAGCCTCTGGAAAGAAGTGATTCATCAAACACTGCATTATGTGGTGCTCAACGTCTGCAAGCTCGATGCGTTGCCCGCGTAACTTGACTTGGGTGTCCTTACGACCCACAAATACGAGGTTTCCGGTGATCGGATGGTATTTAACAAGGTCGCCAGTCTTGTACATCCGACCACGTCGCCCCGGCACTGTGCCATCGGGAGAGCCATTGACCAGCCAAGAAGGACTTTCGATCTCCTCGATGAATGCCGCTGTTGTCTTCTTTTGATCTTGATAATATCCCTGGCCGACTAGAGGCCCCTCAATGAAAAGCTCACCCACAGTCCCAAGAGGAGCTAGGCAGTCTTGATTTCCCGGATCGACCACCCACATAACCGTTCCTATGCCTTTTCCAATGGAGGAAGCGGCAACGGCCTCCTTCAGGGGTATCCTATAACAGGAAGTCATGACTGAGCATTCTGAAGGCCCGTATACTTCAACTGTGTTGACATTTGCTGGCCATCGAGCGAAATCTTCTGGCAGCACTGCCTCGCCTCCAAGAAAGAGATAGCGCAGAGTAGGAATGCGATCTGGGTCTATCAGCCGTGCGGTAGATGGAGTTAAAAATATGTGGGAAGTGTCGAACCGCCGGACGCTCTCGGTCAGGTCACTTTTTCGTTCTTCCTCGCTGGGAATACACAATGTACCACCGGCATTCCATACGTGAAAAACACACCAATAGACTGCATCAAATGAATGAGAAGAAAAGTCGTACAGGCGTGTTGCTTGATTCATTTCAAGTGCGGCTCTCTGATACACAACGGCACTGCTGAACTGTTGATGCTGGATCAGACATCCCTTTGGAGTCCCGGTGCTACCACTTGTAAAGACAATATACAGAAGGTCTCTGGAAGAGACAGACGGTAAGGTTTGGCTCTCAACCTTTTCATTCAATCCATCTGACTCGATGAAGGATGATCCTTTCCCTAAGACCACTGGACAGGCCACCCATCGAGTACAGCGCTGTTTCTGTGAGGTAGAAGAAATTAGGAGAGTAGGCTGCAATTGTTGCAATATAAGGTCGAGGCGAGAATCTGGTAATGAAGGGTCCAAGAGAAGAGTAGCTCCTCCAGCCTTGATCACACCTAGGAGGGCCACCATGACATACAAACTTTTTTCAAAGCATAGTGGTACAATCATGTTTCTCTTGACCCCCATCAGCACCAAACGAACTGCAATTCTGGTAGATAGCAGGTCTAAATCACCATATGTCATATTACCATCCCACGCAGAGATAGCGATCGCATCTGGCTGGCTTTGCGCGACTTCTGTGATCATGTCATGCATGCATCGATCTACAACGTTTGGCGCCGTTGCATTCCAGGCCCAGATACAATTAAGGTGAGAAGTTGGCATCATTTTGACAGTGTTCAGCCTAGTATGCGGCAGTGTCTGTGCGCACAAGCTTCGTAAAGTGTCCTCTAGGTGTGCTGACATGACTTGAATGGTATCTGAAGAAACGACGAGTGAATCATAACAGAACTCAACCTTCAGCCGATCAAAGTCCAGATTGCAGACTACCAATAAGGCATACGAACTGAAGCTGTGGTATCGGGTCGCGTCATGTGTGTCGCCCTGAGAGACAAATAGGCCAGTATTGTCCATAGTATGTTCGGGTGGTTGAATCACCAGCAAAGTCTGGAAGCGGCACGCAGTCTCTGCAAGAGTGCTGACTTTTCTAATATTTGACAAACCCATCTGCTCATGGGGAATCATGTCTCGCTCTTGATCTTGGACAGATTGGAGGAACTGTGAAATAGTTGCGTCGGTAGGAATCCGCACTCGGATGGGGACCGTGGCAATGGTAGGACCAGCAATCCTTTCTGTGCCCTGGATAGGGGCTTTACGGCCCATAACGACAGTTCCAAATACCACGTCAGAAGACATCGAGTGCTGAGCACAAAGTAGGGCCGTTGCTGAACGGATGATGGTGGATGAAGTGAGCCCATCTTTGCGCCATTTGATATCCTTAATCGTCATAGTTCGAGTAGAATCTGTGCATGGTTGGTAACTAGAGGATGGAAGCAAAGGAAATTGCAATGCTTCACATTCCTTAAATTGTGTCTTCCAATAATGGGTCCCGGCTTTTTCACTCTGGTTGCTAATATATTTCACAAAGTTTTGGAACGGGCACAACCGAAGAAGTGTTTCCCCATAATACAAACTTTTCAGTGTGCCCATGATCATGGCTGAAGTTGGTCCGTCGTAGATAGAATGATGCATCGTCAATGCAAAGTACCAGCGATCTGAGCCGGAAAAATTGCCTGTTCCATTGTTGGTCGCAAACAGCCCACAACGCATGAGAGGGGATCCCAAGCCCATTGGGAACTGCCGATCCCAGCTCAAGTAACCTTGCACGCCATCGGCCTTACTCCAGCTCAATTGCTCTCTGATCACGACTTGAACGAATCCTTGTCTAGAAAGATCGACGATCCGCGTGCGTAGGATAGGGACAAGACGAATTAGCTCTTCCCATGCATGCTTGAAGCGGTCGACATCTACTGAAGGGCCGAGCTCCTGTACATTTTGGCTGGTGTAATCCCCACCGGACTTGACCGTTAGCGCCAATAGACCGGTTTGGAGGGCGGTGCAAGGGAATATATCTTCAACATCGCCTTCTTTGACGTCGCAGGCTGATGCAACCTGGCAAAGAATGAGCTTTTGGTCTAGACTCTGATCCAAGAGTGTGAAAGGCTCAATAATATCATCTGGCACATCCTCAAGTCTTTCCAAAAGGCTTGCCATCTCCTCAAAAATGGGATGTTGCATCACGCCGGCAACAGTGAGTACCAGACCATGTTGACGAGCTGTGCCTACTAAGCGCATGGCATCAATAGAATTGCCAATCTGCAGGAAGCTGACGGTGGTTGAGATAACCTCCACGTCTATTCCTAGAGTTAATGACCACAGCTTCGCTAGGGTAATTTCTGCAGTGGTCACTGGTGCTCGTCCCGTAGACTCCTGATTTGATGGGCTAGAAGAGGCGGCAATCTCAAGTAGTCGTTTTCGATCGCGTTTGCCATTGGTAGTCAAAGGAACACTCGGAATAGCGATATACCACGAAGGTACTGCATAGCGAGGTAAAACGGCTAGTAATTTTTGATTGAGTCCGGTTGTCAGTCGCTCTATATCCTCGAAAGTAATGACGAATGCTACGAGCATTACTCCACTTCCACCTGATGGTGTAATGATATCGACAATAACTTCAACAACATCCGCTGGGCTATTGATATATCGTTGAATCTGAATTTCGACCTCCTTGGGGACCACTAGTTGACCAAGGACTTTCACCTGTGAATCCTTTCGCTCCAGAAAAATCAAGTGGCCGTCGGAATCAAATCGAGCCAAATCACCGGTTCGATATACAGAGCCCTGTATTTCTGCATGCGCAGAGAGAAATGCTGGAGAGTGGCAGAAATTACTTTCCGTGAGAAGGGAATTTCCTACATAGCCACTGGCGCAAGCAGGCCCCTGTACCAGAATCTCACCAATAGCTCCATATGGGACGAGTCTGTGGTAGTTTTGAGGGTCTACGAGCCAGCAGCAGCAGTCGTTTATATGAGATAGGACACTGCTAGACCAGGAGTCCCTATCTGATGCACAGACGGTGACTGCAGGAAACTCAGCTGGGCCGTACCAATTACGGACAGCGCAATACCCTTTCCATTTTTCAACATCGGATTCAACCACATTTTCACCACCCATAACGATTGTGGAAATACTAGGTATATCCTGTGGGCTTATCAAACGAGCTGTAGATGGAGTAAGGAAGACCCAGTTGGCTCCGAACTGATTGATCGCAGCTGATATGCCGTCGAGGCGCTGAGCTTCCGATGGGATGCAAAGCGTAGCCCCGTGCGTAAGACACATCAGGGTCTCCAAGGTAGCAACATCAAAATCGTAGGATGAGAATTGAAACACGCGAGACGACGCGTTCACGGATAGCTTCAATGCAAGCTGTTCTGTATTTGCGGCCAGGGCTCGGTGGCTCCAGAGAATATGTTTTGGCTCGCCTGTACTACCAGACGAAATTAATATCGTAGCTGGACTTTCCATTTCAAGTGCTGGTAACGAGTTCGTCGCTCCTTTCAGCTCCAAAATTTGTTCCACGGTAATGCATTTAGCATACTTCGATACCGTCCCCACACGTTCAGGAGAGGCAAGGGCAAGCTGCACTCCAAGATGTTGAAAAGCACGACTCATTCTCTGCTCAGGTATGTCGGCTGACTGCAGTAAGGTAACTGCACCAGCTTTCCACACGGCAATTTGAGCCAGTGGCATGAATCGTGATTTGGCAAGGCATAGAGGTACTATGGAACCCTTTGTTATACCATGAAACATCAAATTGTGCGCGATCAAGGTAGATATTTGGTCCAGCTCGGCGTATGTGAACCGACCATCCCATGCGTTGACGGCGATTGCATCGGGTTCATTCGTTGCACAAAATGCAGTCATGTCGTGTACAAAGATGGATGGCTCTGGAGGCAACTGCCCATTTTGAACCCAAAAGCGCTCTATATCGAGGTCACTTGCTGTTTGGATAGTGTTCAAAGACACAGTGCCAGGAGAATCCGTACACAACTGCCGAATGATAGTCTCTAGCTGATAAGTCATGTTCCTTATCTGCGTCTTTTCGACAACGTTAGGATCAAAGCTCATCTGCACGGCGAGCCCCGAGCGAGTAAGCTGGCAAATCACCATGAGGGCATATACATTGAAAGGATCAACACCCAGAGTGTCTAAATTGGAAGATAGGCTGCGGGCTTTGAACAGTGGGCTATCTTCATGAAGACTAGTTCCTGCATGAGTGCCAGTAGGTATTTCCGTAGGGATTGGTTGAACCACCAACAAAGTCTGGAATAACCCAGAACTTTCGTTTCCATTGGCCTTGTAAATTCTCGGCAAACCGTATTGCTCATATGGCATAATATCAAGTCCATGGTTCTGAACATTTTGAAGGAATGCTTCGACATTACTCTTCCAGTCGATTGACATAGCAATTGGAACCGTCGCGATGGTTGGCACAACACAGTTTTCAATACCTGTCATATTTGCTTGTCGCCCACTAACAGTAACTCCAAAAATGATATCCTCACAAGCAATATATTGTGATTGCAGAATTGCCCATGCTGCGCGGAAGATGGTTGATGGTGTGGCACCTTTTGCAGGCCAGTCCAGGGCGATGGAATGCTCGAGTACTTCACTAGCTTGTGGCTCATACAAAGTATAGGGCAGAGTAGGGAATGAACGGAAATAAGCCCGAGAAAGCTGGGCCTTCCAGAAATTATCTGCGTCTTGTCGATCTATCTGGCTCAAATGATCAATGAAATGCTCAACTCCAGTGACTGTCCTTCCGGATTGATTATAATACTGCGCCTGTAGTTCTTCAAGAATCATTGGCAGTGAGTTTCCATCATACAGGCAGTGATGAATTGTGAAAATGAAATTGTGGTCGATGATGGCTGCATGGCAGAGCTGAGTCCCCAGACCCATGATCTCCATCTCATCATTCTCTAGGTACTGTTGGAGCTCTTCGCCGGATCTCCATGGAGTGTCCTCAAGGACGACCTGTAAGAGTGACTTTCCAAGGAGGTCCACAATTCGGGTTCGCATGATAGCCAATTTGGTGACTGTCTTTGCCCAGGCGGATTTGAGTTGGTCGGGGTCGATGTCTCTTTGCAGTGGCAGAACACTGCGAGATACATATCTCCCTTGCCTTTTTACTCCCAAGGCAAGCAATCCCTCCTGAAGCGCTGTACACGGATAGATATCAAGGACTTGACTTTCCGCTACTGAACAGGCTCGAGCGACATACGATCGACAGTACCCCTTGTCGATCCCCTCGGGTAAAAGCGAGAATGCTGGAATGGCTTTCAAGCCCACATTCCCCTCAATCCTTCCAATATTCTCGGCCATATTCTCCAACTCGGGAGTATTGAAAACATCTGCAACAGTGAGAGAGAGGCCACGATCACGGACCATCCCCACGAGACGCATCGCGCTGATGGAGTCCCCTCCCAAGCGTAGAAAGTGGTCGGTCGCTTTAATGATGTCCATCTCAACACCGAGAACATTAGCCCATATTATTTGTAACATCTTTTCGTTGTCTGTGGTCGTTTTTCGGGTTTGCTTTCGAGTGGGCTGCATATCTGCCAGCTGCGCGGATGTGAAGGAAGCTCCGATCTCTTGTAATCGTCGTCTATTTGTTTTCCCCGTTGGCCCAATGGGAAGCTCGCTGAGGGGGATATAAATCCTTGGAATCATGTAAGATGGGAGAATGCCGGTTAGGTGATTCTCCAGGGCATCGACTGGCCATACATGTCGAATATATGCTTGAGGATCTTTGCGGTAGGTGTCGTCAGTAGGAATAACAAAGAGAGCCAAGCTCTCATTACCCCTTGAAAACGAAATGATCTCTGCCACAAGCGTTGCTATTTGGCCTGTTAGAAATTCTTGTATGCAACGCTCTATCTCACTCAGGTCGATTCTCTGACCACGGATCTTTCGCTGTGAATCATTGCGGCGCCCTAGATACGCGATAGAGCCTTGCGGGTTATAGACAACCAAATCACCAGTACGATAGACGGGGCCTGATCGACCAGGAGCCTTGCAATGTCCATTCTCGAGCCACGACGGCGAGATAAAATTATCTTTGTTCAATGCTGCCTCATTGACTCCAGCATACTGAGCGAGGATTGGGCCCTCTATGCACAGTTCGGCCACTGCGCCCACTGGGGCTAACAGGTTGGGGTTTTTTGGATCAACGAGCCATGTCAGGCCAGCATTACCTTTGCCAATCATACCCGGGTACCAATTATGGTGCTCCACATGGCACGAAGTAGCCAACGAGGCTTCTGCTGGTCCATACCAGTTGTACACGGCTTTCTGTGCGCGAATCCAGCGAAAGGCAGTCTTACGCTCGAGTTTCTCGCCTGCAAATACTATCGTTTTCAGAGATGGCAAATGAGTTGGAATCAAGGTTTCTGACACCGTTGGCGTTAGACACATCCAATTAGCATCGTATTCATTGATTGCATCCACCAGTGCGTTCGTCCTATCTGCCTCGGATGGAATGCAAAGGCAAGCTCCAACAAACAAACTTGCCAAAAGCTCCACAGTGCTCACATCGAAATCGTAACCAGCAAATTGGAATACTCGGCTGTTCTCTGTGAGCCCAAAGGCTTTAGCGGCGGCTTGAACATTGGTAGCAAGAACCCTATGACTCCACTGAATAGCTTTTGGTGTTCCTGTAGACCCTGAAGTAAATAGGAGAAGAGCAGGGTCGCTGGGCAGATGGCGGCGAGGCGAGTATTTGACAGCTCCGTGGCCAGCATTGCTCATCGTGGTCATTTCATCAATACTGACGACGGGGATTAATCTGTGAAAAGAAGATGGACCGAGCAATGTCGATGTAACAGCAATCTGGGGCTTCAAGTTCTCAACAACTTGCAAAGCGCGGCTTTTAGAAACAGGAACAGACATGGGCAAAACAACCGCACCGATCTGAAGAGCTGCAAGCATCAAAACGACCTGCCAGGAGCACTTCTCGGAGGCCAAAATGATAATCGAACCTGCGGCTACTCCCTCATGGCGTAGCCGAGCAGCCAGGGATGTTGACCATGATTCCACTTGGTGAGCCGTTAAACGACGGTCCCATGCAGATATCAGGATTCGCTCTGGTTTCAAAGCATTCCGCCGTTGAATAATGTCAGTGACAGCTTCAAATTCTGTGATTGGTCGGGCTTTGTTCCACGTCCAGATGTCAGCCAGGTCTTCTTTAGTGACAGCAGTGATATCACACAGTTTCTTCCGAGCGCAATCCTCAGAGCATAATTGTCGCAACAAATTTTCTAATTGTATTGACATTCGCTGGACCTGGTCAACTGCAACAGCGCCAGAATCGAAGTTGATTCTCAATTCTAGTCCGGACTCCTGCAATTGACATATAATCATCATCGGGTATGGGTTGTAAATGCCCGCACTATCAGCATTTTCCTCCTTACAGACAATTTCAAATGTGCCAGGCTGATCGGAGCTTTCAACCAAGCTGCTCGCACGACTAAAAAGACGGTCGGTCTCTTCACTGTTTTGTCTCTGCCGTAGCGGCTGCACTACTAGCAGAAGCTGAAAGAGATTTGATTCTTCAACCAATCTAGAAATATGCTGTAGTCCAAGCTGCGCATGTTCAGTATAATCTACTGTCTCTCTTTGAACTTGTTCCAGCCAGCTCGCAGCAGTTTGATTCCAATCAAATTTGGCCCGGATAGGGATAGTCGCGATTGTAGGCCCCGCAATTCTTTCGATTCCGGCAACAGTGGCCTGGCGTCCGCTGATGGTTGTCCCATATCTGATCTCATTGCTATTGGTGTATGAAGCCAGTAGCAAGGCCAACGCAGCTTGAACAATTGATGATGGTGTTGCACCCGCATTGACCCACGGAATGTCTAGCACAGCATGGCTGAGGTCAACCTTTTCTCCCGGCTGATATCCTGCAGAGGGGAAACTTTTTGCCTCAGACCCATTGGCTAGGAGTTTCTTCCAAAAGAGTGACGAAGCTGCCTGATCTATACCTGTCACATATTTCACAAATTTTCGAAAGGGCAAGAGGGGCGAAGATGCCATTTCTTGGCGATATTCGGCCTCCACAGCATCTAGTATCAGTTTTGTTGACCAACCATCAAATATCGAATGATGTATTTCTATGATCAGACAAGGCGACACACCCAGGATAATACCAGCACGACACAAAGGTTTTCCCATGCCCATCGGGATGTAGTCATGAACGAAGTTGGTGATATGTTCAAACCGATTCAATGTGACTGGACACTGAACTACAACTTGAACAAGTCCATGCTCTGCCAAGTCGACAATTCGTGTTCGCAGAATATCTGCTTTGTGGACAACTATTCTCCATGCATTTTCAATCATAGAAATGTCTGCGTGTTTAGGAAGCTGGAAAAGGTTTCGGGCAACGTTAGGAACAGACGATTGGTTTGGATGAGCATAGCTTCGGGCTGTGATGGATAACATCCCCTGCTGAAGAGCCGTACAGGGATAGACATCCCGAACATCCGTCATATCAACTCCACAAGCCCTAGCAGCTTCCTGGCGCACTTTCTCAGTGTTAGGAGATCCGGCAAGAAGGGAAAATGGGGCGATTGTTTCTGTTTCAGGAAAGACATCTTCCCTTCTGATTATTAAGGCAAGATCACTCAATACCGGAGTTTTTAGCACGTCTGCCACTGTGATTAACAGGCAAACTTGCCGCGCCGCTGCCACTAAGAACATTGCTGAGATTGAGTCTCCTCCTAGGCGAATGAAACTGTCTGTGGCGCTGATTTGAGCTGATGGTACATTCAATACCTGAGCCCAAAGCTCGCAAAGTTGCTTTTCTATGCCAGTATGTGGCTCACGGTATTCTTGGACTGGCAGGATAGTCAGTTGCGATCGAAGAAGCTGTTCCCAACATAGTCTGCCTCCCAATTCTCGTAATATTCGCCGATCTACCTTGCCCGTGGCAGCCACGGGTATCTGGTCAACCGGGAGGTAGATACTGGGAAGCATGAACGCCGGCAAGACGGTAGGTAAATCGCGAACCAGATTTCTCATAGTAACCACAACTTTTTCAGTGTCCTGATCTTTGATTTGTACAAATAGTGCGAGCAACCCGGTCTCACTTCCCGCGGGAACCAAAATATCAGCAACTATCGTCAGAGCATCATTAAGACATGCGCGAGCATGATACTCCACGTCGCCAATTTCAATCCGCTGGCCTCTGACTTTCAATTGCGAGTCATCCTTTCGCCCTAGGAAGAGCAGACTTCCGTCAGGACGTGTCCTCACAAGGTCTCCGGTCCTATATAAAGAGCCACGCCGTCCAGGGACATGAGCGCTGCCAGACAAAAGCCATGGTGGATCACTGATAAAAGCTTCATTGGTCTTTTCGGAGTTGGACAGGTACCCTTGGCCAACCATGGGCCCTTCGAGGTATAATTCTCCTGGCAAACCCGGAGAAACAAGTTGGCTGCTGTCATTGGGATTCACGATCCAGAGACAGAATCCCACTCCTCTCCCAATGTCTGGTCGACCTTCTTCGCATCCACTGATCCGTGAGAATGTGCACTTCCAGGTGCACTCCGTGGGGCCATATGTATTTAGCAAACGAACTCGGCCGGCCCATTCGGTCACATTTTCCCGATACGGCATCTCACCGCTTAGCAGTACAGTTTGAAGTGTCGGCGGGACAAGGCTGATTGTCCGTAAGACAGTTGGTGTGACATTGATAAGAGTGGCCGCAAAATTTGTGATAGCAGCTGACAAGTCATTCACCATGTCTTCCTCGTTCGCGATGCAAAGACAGCCGCCAGCGCACAAAGTATGAAGCACATTGCTCCATGCCACATCGAAGGAATAGGGCGCAAAGTCAAAGACACGAGAACCTGGGTGAAAGCCCAAAGCCCCTCCTTGGTGATACACAGCACTTCGCACATTAGAATGGCTGATGCACGCCCCTTTGGGCTGGCCGGTAGTTCCGCTGGATTGAATTAAAGTCAGCAATTGAGATCGAAGAGAAAGTACAAGTAAGCTTCTTACGAGGTGAACGATATGTAGACTAAATCTTTTGGTGACACCTCGGGCAAATCGAGGATCCGGTCTTTTATGGTACTGATGATCCCCAGCAAGCCGTCGTCAAGTTGAAAAGCGGGAATATCGCACAATATCGAGGCTCTATCGCGGGTGCTCGGGCAACATAAAATTACCTTTGGCTGTGCGTGCCGAATAATAGATCGCAATCTTGCATTAGGATGGGCTAAATCAAGCGCAACGGCTGCGTGTCCGGCTTTCATGATACCCAACATAGCCACGCACGTCCATCGCGATTTTGGGAAAAGAATGGCCAATGATGACTTGGGCGTGATGTTCATTCCACAGAGACGATATGCAACGTGGTCGCTCAGGGCTGAGATTTCAGCATAGGTAAAATCCCCATCCCACGCACAGACGGCCCGGGCATCCGGCTGTCTTTGCGATACATTGGTGATCAAGTCGTGAACACAGCCTGAAATGGACTTTGGGAAAAGATAGTTGTTGGCCCAGATCTCATCAAGCTCTTGGGAGGAAGGAGGCGAAGCATCGGGAGCATCTGGTATTGATAGTGGGGTGTCGCTTGTGGTTGTCGTGTTCATTTTGAGGGGTTACCAATATTCCTGGTTTACAGCAAAATGTTCGTATACGGTGAGATTGGCAGGGAAACGACTCTTAAGCTTAATCACGAGGCCTGGAGGGCTCTTGCTGCACACCGCCGTAAGCCCACAGGATTGCACTAGAATGATCCTTCACGACGCTAATGCATTATGGACCATACTCCCGGTAAAGGATACCGGTGGTCTTATCAATTCTACGCCACCATTTTCTTTTGGGGTCATTCGGCCGGCATTAATGTCCCGGCAAATTGCAATTTATATTTCTGCTACTTTCTGGAACTAGCATTGCTTCGAGTTTGACCATTACAGCCTTGCCGTCCTCACCACTAGGCACCACCCTTGCCCTCGCAAGACTCCTTTCAATGATGTTTGAGCAACTTGACTTTGCTAGATTTTATCACAAGAGTATCGATGAGCGAGATCAGTTCTGCCGCGAGTTGATTACCGGCTTGAGGAATTCCGGCTGGGTCCGACTAGTCAATCACGGAATTCCTTCGTCAAATATCAACCAGACATTCGAAGCTGTACGATGACTTTTTTGGTAATTTTTGATCAAATCCACCGCTGATCTAAGTTCTTGCAACAGAGTCAAAAATTCTTCAAACTCCCTTTGGAGCAGAAATTGAAATCACCTCATCCTCTCACGGCTCATCCCCACCGAGGTTTCAGTCCCGTGGGCTTGGAAAATATATCGGCTGTTTCCAATTATCGATCTTCGGCCACACAGCCCTTACTTCGGGATATGAAGGTGAGTGTGAGCACATTTTCTGTTGCTTAAATGGATTTAGCTACCAATTCCTTAGCGCTAAACCACGTTTCTGTAGGAAACCTATGATATTGGATCGGAACAAGATCCGCTGTACTCCAATATCTGGCCCCCGGCAGGAATTCTGGATGGTTTTCAGATGATAATGAACTCCTTCTTCTCGGTCTGCTATGACGCTGAGTTGAAAATTTTGGATGCTATCTCAATCGGCCTGGGACTACCTGTGCACGCACTGCGTGAATTGCACGTCATGAAGACCAACGAGTTGCGTCTCAGCCACTACCCAGAAGTCGATCGGGCCGAATTTGCCAATGCCACACGAATTGCAGCACATACAGACTTTGGCACCATTACTCTATTGTTCCAGGACGATGTCGGTGGATTAGGTAATAAAAGCTATTTTTGATGCCTCCTTTCAGCGCTTGGCTGACGGACCTCGGATTGGCAGAGATGGAATATCCCTGTGGTAGCGGACTGTTCGTGCCAGCTGAAAGCTGCGGCCGCTATGAGTGTATTCTCAACGTCGGTGATTGTCTTCAAATGTGGACAGGCTTGCATAGTGCCCGGCACCGCGTGCATGTGGCGGCGAAGAATAAAAACGAGGGGCTAATTAGTGAACGCTTCTCAATTGCGTATTTTGCCAAGCCTGATAGGTCAGCAATTCTCCGTCCACTAGTGAATTCGCCGGCGGCGGAAAGCCAGCCAATTGAGAAGTTCATGACAGCTAATGAGTTCCAACATATGCGCATCGAGGGTACATATGCTCAGTAGACCAAGCGATACCAACCTTGAAAAGGGTCTCAGAACAGTACTTGCTAGGTTTGGTGAGCAAATACAACATCACAATTGTCCGGACTCCGCAGGATATAATGGTGCAACCTGTTGTTATGTGATACTGGTGGGTCCTAGCACTGATAAGAAGCCCCACTCATCTTGAGCCCCGCTTCATCCTTTCTCCCAATACAATGGTGATTGTCTTTCGCTCTTGAAAATTTAGCCGTTCGAAGACTTATCTGGTATCTCATCTGGTATCTCAACTTGGAACAGTAGACCTCAAAAGCAAAACTATAAAGATCGCCTGGAAAATATTAAGAAGACCCATGAATATTAGATATATTGCCCTGTGCTTGAAACATATTAGTCGCTTGGCCGAAATGAATACCAAACAAGAGGGATGACTACTAACTCCAATTCCAACCAGATAGTCACAGTCGACGAATTCTTTTATGGCGCCATCCATGGCTCAGCCAATGATCATTTCAATGAAAGAAGCGGTTTCTATCAGGGTAAACACTCCCGAGAGTCCTCCTTCGGGCCCGAAAATGGAATCTGCGACAACAGAGATAGCGCCATGAACGCCTCATATGATGAAAATGGCCGTTTTTTTTTTCGAGTGGTCAATATGCAGGTTGCTTTGATAGGTGGCGGCGATCAATCAGCTGAGGGCTCAGCTATGGATGGTTGATAATCCAAGCAATTATACATACACACTAGGGGGAATTCTTTCAAAATCCCCTTCGACCAACAGGGCTTCGAGGGGTTTAATGAACACTATGTTTTACTTAGTCTGAGCTATGTCCAATTACCTCTGTCCTCCCACTCAAGAATCTGAAGTTCGCTGTCTTTTGATGTTCGTCACTCATATGGTCCACGCACCTGTAGGACAGAATACTAATTACTGAAGCGCAATTTTCAACATTCAGTGTCCACCTAATTGTTTGTAGGTAACAAATGTGATTGAAAAGGGGCCTCCCGCCAAATTCCAGGTCTGGAGGGATCACAATAAAAGTCAAAAAGAACCATTGGTGTGAGTAAACTCGCGCATAATTAGCAAAGTCTGGCTGTTGGGGATGAAAGAGACTAGCAATAACAAGAGAAATTCAAAGAATCTAGCAAACTTGAAGAGGGCCAAAGGTTCTGGCCAAAGCATCATTGAGCAAAGGTGAATCGGTAAAGGGTCCTTGTGGGAAAGCAAGTTGGTAACAGGCCGGTATATAACGAATGATATTTGAAAAGACTTTGCAGAGTAAGACAGAACTTTGGGGGAATAAAACCCATAAGTCATGATTGTGGGTATGAATAGAGACCAAAAGATTGGCGACTCCCAGATCAAATAGGGCATGATCAGAGTAAACAATGAAGTTGTGGAAATCCATGACATGGCTCATTGTGTGGTCTTCCATTAGTTCCCATTGTATATTTGATGGAGAATGAGTATCAGTTGCCATGATACACCTGGTCGGAATTCAGCATAAAGTATCCGTTCGGCAGCTCGGTCTCGTTGACGAAGTCAGGTTTGATATATCGAGCAGTCAACGCAAACCGTAGTAAATTAGACGATACGACGGAATGCTATATCGGTCAGCAAAAAATGATTTTCGAAATCATTGCGGGGACTTCTCAAACCTCGTAGTACTTCTGCAGGTTCTCGCCATGCATTACCACCAAGTCACCATGATGAAGAGTCAGTTGGATCTGGGCAGGTGCCTCGCCGGACGAACCCTGCTTGTGGAACAAGGAAGTGCGGCGATAATCATAAACCGCCTTTGTGATAACTCCCTCCTCAAATTGCTTTTTCAAATCCCGGCGTGCTTTTTCATTCCTGCAATTGGGAAGAATAATGTCATCTTTCAGGACCACAAGTCTCTTGGACTGGCCGTTGTAGTACTGGTCCTTCATGCGGATTTTCATGGTCGATGACGCTCCTAGAGATAGTGTGGCAATTGTTGGACCGAGTGAATCCTCACCGTCATCATGGAACTTTCAAAAGATTAGAATCATGGGGTCCTGTTCAACTATCTTGTGGTAGGGCAAGCTTACTCCAATCTTCATCCCTTCGAAGTACCCGAGGGCAAGGAGCTCATTTGGTGGCAGGAATGCTCCACCAGCAGCCGTGACAGCCTGCTTAGTTGCCCATGTCAGTCGCCCAAGGGAACGAAGGATAGCATCTGGCGCTTCACTGAAGCCCTTCGAGGCCACCGAAACAACGTATTTGTACGGCATTCCCTATGATATATTGTCAATAAAACTTCAGTATACCCGAACATCCATGTAAATAACAAACATAGTTCACAGCAAAGTGAGAAGTCAGCATTCCTGTCACTAAAGATAAGAAATTAGCTCAGAAAGGCTTGACTCGAGCTAATTCCGAAGCTTACCAACGGTATTATCAAGAGGAAAGCGCCTCAGACCTAAAGGTTCTTGCTGGAGACTATCAAATAAGTCGTTAGGGCCACCTCGGCGTGCGTTAATGCACGCATTGGCTAGGAAATGGGTCACAGAGCCAACCCCTGGAATGGCATATCTGTGCTTGTGGTAAGGAAGGTGAGAAATAAGATCTACCTCCCGCCCTGCAGCCTTGTTGGCGCTTTTTGTTGGAATGGCTCTATGAGAGCCAACAACTTCGCCGATTGATACTGGTCTCAGCTGGATTGTTTGCTCAAATGTGCACGTCTCGGGCAATCCCTCAATTGCAGGATCGGTGTTGCATTTCCAACCATGCCACAAAACTCTTTGAATGCAGTTTTTGCACTGGGGGCACACAATGCCACGCCAGGCATCGCGCAACGTGCCCTCAATATCATTTGATGCAGTCATTACTGCAAGAAAATTTGGAATAAGGGGTTCATGGGGTACGATGGGTGCAACCTGAGGATCACAGCGGTTTTTCAACCAGTCACAATGGTAGGTGAGGCTTGTGGGTGGGTAACGGTCGCCAAGTTTCCAGAAATATGCGCAATCCTTTTGCAAACACATCCAGCCTTGTTGGAACACACGAGGACTGTCTAAATTGCAGTAGAAGCACCGGCTAACTTCGATCGGGGAAAAAGGCCGTTGATCGTACGGCAGAGGGTCTCGAATTTTACTTGCTGCCCACCAGCTCTTTTCAGCAAGAGACACTTTCTCAAAGCGAATCTTCAGTCCGGCGTGACCATCAATTTTCTCATACCATATATTGGTAATTCGAAAATAGGCCAGGACATTGTAGCGATATGGGAGTCTATCGCCTAAATGGGCGTTTTTGTTGCCTGGGAAGTGAGTTAGATACTTTTATGTCGCCTTCATTTTGTCAACTTTATGGCATGCCGACTTACCAATAATCAATCCCACGGGCATGTTCATCAACATACTAGTCAAAAGTGCTTTGGCCGGGTATTTTTCCAGACGCTGATCTTCCACCAGTACGAGCTCTCCATTTGGGCCTTTGGTGTAACTACCACCGCTGCTCAAAGTCAATAACAGTAAGCCAGTTCACATGACGTCTTGTTGCAGAAGGTTATATACGTACACACGAGTTATAATGATCTCCTCATCCATGTAGAATCGAGATCCACAGTCTGCATCGATGAGAATACCATAGCAAATGCCATTGTGCTGATAGGTAGACCCTTGAAGGGATCGAAACCACGGGATGGCATCGCAGATGCTCTGGCGGGTCTAGATAAGTTGTTAAATATCCTTGTATGGATTCAACTGAAAACCAACCTCAGCCCATCCTGGAGGGCTACCGTGAAGCTTAGTATCTTGGGTTGGAGCCATAGAAAAAATGTCTGAAGGCTCTTCATTGCCTCCGGTAGTGTCTCCATTGTTTTGGTCGCCCGTTAATGGAATTGCATCTCTCTCGGAAGACGTAGAGTCATGCATAGAATGAGCAGCGCTAGTGCTTGAATTCGTGGCATTCCTCCAAGGGAATTTGACGATCAAGCTTGGTTTCGTAGCTTTGCCTAAAATAGGGAAAGATTTAGTTATTTTCTTTTCAAAGCAATGATAATGTCTGCTCTGGTGTGTCAGTACGTACTGTGTGTCCCCTGATTATCTGTCTGAGATCGAGTCAAAGCATTTGTGTAGTACTGCACTTGGGATTCGTTCTTGGGATGGGTTGTTGGTCGACGTGTCACTGCAGCATGTCTTTTCTGTGCCCTCCGTCGTGGGGCCATCTTTGTATATCAATATCGTATGAGCATTCAATAAGATAACTTATAGCTTACCTCGATCGAAGATGATAAAAACAGCAGGTTCTGGGATTGAAAATGGGTTGGTAAGAGGGGGTGAACAGACGCGACTTGGAGTGATGTCCGCCTACCGAAGCCAGAATCGGGAGCTAAGGAGTCTTGATAGCAATTTGAAGGGTGAAATGATCGAAAAAAAAGAGAGGATATTTCAGAGTGTCAGGGATTCCGAAATGATAAAAAAGTTTCAGATCGGGTGGGTGATAAAGGCGAAATAATTCGACGAAGCTAGGATGAGAGTTTGAAGTCGCATCGAAACATTTTTTCCCCAATCAATTTTGACTCCGGGAGTGAGTTATCAGTTAGTCCCAGGTCGCTATAGTTCGACTTCTCTGATTAAGCCATACGAACCTGAATGTTATTATCTTGTTTTTCTTTGCACCAGATGCATGATCTCCCATACCTGCCTATGACCACCCAGGCAGCTTTGAGACTATGCATGGACCTATGACCAAATTCTTGAATGGCTGATATTCTTTGTAGAGCTTCGATAAGTGTAGTTCAACAGAATGCATTTCCTCTAGGACTATAGTATTAATGTTTTTGAATGGGGATACATACTTCACTACATAATAGGGCCAGTAACGGTCCAATCAAGGATCTCTACTAGTATAAGAAAGAAAGACCCATAATCACCAAATAACAGGCTGCAGGCTCTGAAAAGTGATCCAGCAGCCTAGTCGTATTAGGATTAATGAAATTTAGTTGAAGGCATCATGGATATAAAGGTATGAATTAACCCGTATTAACGGAACACTTGCCCAATGGAAATGGGGGTTGTGTTCCAGAATAAGTAAAGCAGTAAAAAAAGGCTTATACCCGAGTGGGTACACAGCAGATATCATACTGTAAAGCGGAATATTTTCAGGCACTAGATCTCGGCTTCGCGTAGGTACTAAACGTCTCGGCAAGATGGGTAGAGCCGGTTAACCATATACGGCCTAGTGTGGGGTACGACATATCCCTCGGTCGCAGCACATCCGAGATCGCTGTTTCCGTGCGTCATGGTTCCAATCACATCTTCGACTCATTTATCGGTTCAATGGCGATCTCGTCCCGATGAAAGCTGTTGAGGTGAAAATCTCTCGATAAATTTGAGTTTCTGTGCCAGAATCAATTCCTTGGGAAAATTTGGAAAGGGCGATCCTCGTATAACCGAGCTTCGCTGTTGCCGATTTCCCCGCACACGCTTCCCCGGGTTTGCTCCCGCGCATCCTTAACCCCCTTTGCTCCAATTTTGTGCTCTTCTTTATCCAATTTATTCAACCCCTGGTATGTGATTTGCCTGACTAAAGCCCATCAGTTTCTAACGCATTAAAGGTGCATCCTTGAACCCTGCAGAGAAGACGTCTATCATTATTCTAGAGACTAAGAACAAACGGCTCTGGGGCAACAATGGTCTTCCTACCGCACGCTCAATTTGGTCAGCTGGGGACGGTTCCGGATCATATACCGATCAACGAATTCATGCTCAATGAACAGCATGGGCGCGTGGCACATGAGAAATCCAACGATCCATATACATGTGGAATCACAGGGAAAACATACACGTCGCGGCAGGTCGTGGACCGCGTAGATCATATTGCGAGAGGTCTCTCGAGGGAACTCGGATGGAAATCCAACCAGGGTACGGAGTGGGACAAGACTTTAGCTGTTTTCAGCCTGAACACGGTACTTGGAATTCCTTAGTTGGCATCCCCGTGCAAGAGAAGGAACATAACTAATCGTTTCCACTTAGATTGATTCCTTACCCCTTTTCTGGGCGACTCACCGGCTGGGTGGTCTAGTCTCACCGGCCAATGCGGCATATTCTGCTTCGGAGCTGAAGCATCAACTGCTGGATTCGAAAGCCAAGGCCTTGTTTACTTGTGCACCCCTCTTGTCTGTTGCTGTGGAAGCCGCCACTTTGGCTGGTTTTCCACAAAGTAAGATATACCTAATTGATGTGCCACTGGAAATCATGGGTGGAGCGAAGCCTCCGACCGAGTACAAGACGGTATCGCAGATAGCCGAGGCGGGAAAATCACTGCCTGCATTGGAGCCACTGAACTGGGGCCCAGGAGAAGGAGCTCGACGGACGGCATTTTTGTGTTATTCGAGTGGTACTTCAGGTCTACCAGTAAGTCCAATTCTCGGTCATGAATTCCAAGGATTACACTGATCATACGGTACCTACAGAAAGGTGTCATGATTTCGCATCGCAATGTCATCGCAAATGTACTGCAAATCAAGGTTTTTGAGAGCAGCTATCGGGATGCTCGCGCACGCGCCACCGGCATATCTCCTTTTACGGAAGTCGGGCTTGGTCTGCTACCACAAAGCCACATTTATGCCCTTGTAGTTATAAACCATGCTAGCGCCTACCGTGGGGATCAAACTATCATCCTCCCCAAGTTCGAGTTGAAGTCCTATCTGGCTTCTATCCAGAACTTTAAGATCACATCGCTTTTCCTGGTTTGTTACTTAAATACTAATCTCTGCATTAATAAATGGCTAAGAATTTACAGGTCCCTCCGATTATTATCAATATGCTTCGAAGCCACGACGTGTGCTCAAAGTACGATCTGAGCTCGGTGACGACTCTGTTTACTGGCGCAGCACCCCTGGGAATGGAAACAGCTGCCGAATTCCAAAAACTGTACCCGGATGTCATTCTTCGACAAGGATATGGTAAGAAAACTGCATGGGGGTGATTTTATCAATGGGCATGGCTTACAATTTTAATAGGACTGACAGAAACTTGCACGGTCGTCTCCTCCACCCATCCCGACGATGTGGTGCTTGGCTCCTCAGGTTGTTTATTCCCCGGCTTCGAGGCCCGCATTATGTCCGCCGAGGGCCAGGAGATCTCCAGCTACGACACACCCGGTGAGTTGGTGGTCCGATCACCTAGCGTTGTGCTTGGCTACTTGAACAACGAGAAGGCCACCAAGGAGACATTTGAGGATGGATGGATGCGGACTGGTGATGAGGCGGTTGTCCGTGTTGGTCCAAGGGGCACTGAACATTTTTTCATTGTCGATCGTATCAAGGAGTTAATCAAGGTCAAGGTTCGTATTTCATATGCTTGATAGCTCCGTGCTTCTTCTTTTTCTTCAACCGAACGCGCCATGAGAAAATACGTGTGACTGACGCATCAATCCTACAGGGTTTGCAAGTTGCACCAGCTGAGCTTGAAGCTCATATTCTTACTCACCCTGCCGTCGCAGACTGCGCTGTTATTGCTATCCCAGATGACACCGCTGGAGAAGTCCCGAAGGCTATTGTGGTCAAGACGCCCTCGGCAGGTCCCGATGAGGCAGTAGCTCAGTCTATCAAGAAACACGTTGAGGATCACAAAGCTCGCCACAAATGGCTAAAGGGTGGTGTCAGATTTGTGGATGCTGTCCCCAAGAGTCCGAGCGGCAAGATCCTACGACGATTGCTCCGCGACCAGGAGAAGGAGGCTCGGAGGAAGACCGGCGTTAAACTTTGAGCGTCAATGTAGACATCTAGAGCGAGTGCATATATTTTCCTCACCTGTTCTGATATGCGGGATGCAATAAATAGCTGCGAAGAAATACGTCAAATATATCGTCTCAATGCATTGAATGGACTGTCTGTGTTTGCATCGTTTGTTGCTGCGGGGATGATGATAAGATTTCTAAGCGGGGGAGTAAAAAAAAATAGTTAGATCCAGTTCTAGCTCTCTCATTCTCCCACTTTCCACGATCAGTCAGAGAAAGATCATTCATAATCTCCTTTGATCTTTCCCCAAGACAGCTCTTTCCACGCTTGTTGTCGAATATCCATTACATCCCATACGTCAAATACGTCAACTTCGAAAAACCCCATACCAAAACCCCTCCAAATATCTCCCATCTCTATATCTACCATTCACAATGTCGCACGATACTCGCGATGAGGACACCTACATCGGTGCCGATGAGGGCGAGGAGGTTTTCCAGAATGACGAGGACCACCCTATGGAGTCCGACGGCGAAGACGACGATCAGCCCATGACCTACGACGAGCAGATTACTTTCCAGAACGACTCATCCGCACACTTCGATTCACACTCAGACTCTGTCTTCTGCGTCGCACAGCACCCAGTGCACAACAACATTGTCATCACCGGAGCCGGTGACGACACTGCCTACATCTTCGACTCTACACCCGCTCAGCGACCTGTTCTCCCCCAGAGCTACGAATCAAACCCGCAGCCGCGCGAGCGCGAGTCCTTGAAGCCTCTTGGTAAATTAGATGGACATAGCGACACAGTCAACGCAGTGGCTTTTACCGAGCCCGCAGGTGAATATGTGGTGACGGCTGGTCTGGATGGCAAGCTGCGCGCCTGGCGCGATTCCACACCTGATAAGACAGGATTTGCATGGGACTTTGTCGCAGAGGCGCAGGAAGTGGAGGAGATTAATTGGATTGCCGTTTGCCCCTACCAGCAGGGCAGCGAGGAGAAGCGCAATGTTGTTGCTCTGGGCGCCAGCGATGGCAGTGCCTGGGTTTTCCGCATCGACCACACCGACTCCCAGCCCATCTCTATCATTCAGACATTCTTCCAACACACCGAGTCATGCACTGCGGGTGCGTGGACACCTGATGGAAATCTTCTGGCGACTGTTTCCGAGGACGGAAGCTTTTATGTCTATGATGTGTTTGGAGCTGCGGCCGCCGCGGGTATCTCCGGATCTCCCGGTACCAATGCTGTTATTGGTTTAACTGCGGAGGATCAGCGTTTCGCAGTCGAGGGTGGCTTGTACACTGTTGCCATTTCTCCTGGTGGTGGTATTGCAGCTGTTGGTGGTGCTGAGGGCCATATTCGGGTTATCGGTCTTCCCCGGCTTGCAGGCACTGGTCCAGCTGCAAAGGGCAAGGGCCCAGGAGCTCAGGCAACTAGTGCTTCTGCCTCAGGTAATATTGTTGCTGCCCTGCAGGCTCAGTCGGATGGCGTCGAGACCTTGTCATTCTCTCAGCCTCCACTGACGATTTTGGCTGCGGGCTCAGTCGATGGAAGCATTGCACTCTTTGATGTGGCCCACCGGTTTGCAGTTCGTCGCCATATCAAAGAGGCTCATGAGGGCAATGCTGTGGTCAAGGTCGAGTTTCTGCAAAGCCGTGCACCTGTTGCTCGTGGACCTGGAAACAGCCACAGCCAAGGGCGACCATGGCTGCTAACCTCTGTTGGCTTGGATGGCGTTGTTCGTCGGTGGGATGCACGTGGTGGTACCGCGGCGGCAGCACAAGGTCAGCTGCAAGAGTGGAAGGGACACATGGCTGCGACCGAGAATGAGGACGGTGAGCAGGCTGGTGGTATTATGGGCTTTGTTCAAGGATTCGATGGCAAGCGCATTGTCACTGCCGGTGATGACGGCATCTCGCTGGTCTTCGAGGAACAGTAGAATCCTCTGTCAGTTACATGAGAGTTGGATCACCCGTGATCGATGCGATTTATGATATCATGTTATACACATAGAGCAGGGAAACTATGATTTCCCACCCCCAAAAATATATGATCATGTCCGTTCACAGATTTGGAGACCTTGAAGATTATGTATGGAACATGGAGACCCATTGGTGTGAACCAATAAAAAGACATCTTTAGTAATTGAACATAAACTATATACATCTGACAATTCAACCTAAAAGCGCCGTCTGCAAGCCAACTCTCCTAATAAAAGCCTGCATCTCCAATCAAAAACAACAATCGCTTCTCGAAGTGCTCAGACCACAACGACTGTGTTGGAAATCCCGATTTTATGCCTTTCGCTGCACCGAGACGAGACAGGTGCTTCTCGCTTGCTGGGGTATCCGTCCTGTTCCAATGGAATGCTCTTTGGGCGAGTAACAAACAATTCAATCCTAGTCGTCCACAATTTAGTGGTGGCCCTCGCCATGGTGCCCGTCACCGTGGTGGTCATCCTTCAGGAAGAAGTGCTCGTATGCGCAGTAGGCAGTGAAGGCAACGGTAGCAATTCCGAGACCGGGGAAAAGACCCTTGAAGCGGTTCCAGCGGGTGAAGGGACCGGTGTAGCGCCAAGTCTCGCTGGGTAATGTTAGTAAATAGAGCGCAATGCCTCTGGAGGTGCCAGGATGATCGAAACATACTTTCGCGCCCAGGGATCCCGCTTGGCGAAGACAGAGGAGGGTGAGGCCGCAGCCTTGAACTGCTTGATGTCGAAGCCGGTGGGGTTTCGGGAAGACATTGTGATTGAGGTGAAGACTGAGGGGCGGCTAGAGGGATTGATTCACTGAGGTTCAAGTCGAGAGAGAGATGAGCCGGAGCGGTGCGCTTGGCAGAACGACACCCGCGCTAAGCCCAAAATGGTAGGGCCGTAGCTCCTCCCGCCTTCGACGAAACTGATAACTCTCTCCACCGCACCTCGACACACCGAAGCTCACAACAATGCCCCCTCCTGTCGGCAGATTTGGGCCTTCGGGTCTCGGCGCTCCTTATTCCCTCCAACAAGCTCATCTCCAATCTCAACACCCTCACGCTCAATCTGCGAACTCGGCTCTCCCGCCCCCTTCACTCGGCGGCCACCCTGGGTTCGCCGGTAATCCCAATACCAACATCAATCCTTTCACACTCTCTGGCGCAGGCGTTTCCAATGGTATGTCAGTCTCTGGATTTGCCGGCGCTGATGGTGGCGGTACAGGACTCGCGAGTCATGCGGCGCAGTTGGGGTTCGCGCGGGGAGCACAGATGCAACAGCAGCAACTACACCAAGGTCACGACGGACGGTTAGCACTGGACCCGAAGTCGGGCGCAGTGAAGTCACGGATCCGCGATGTGTGGAAGCATAATCTGGCTCAAGAAATGGCGGTTTTAAGATCGTTAGTGGACAAGTACCCATACATCAGCATGGTAAGTACAGATGCCTTCTGCAATATACAGTGCTCAGATCTTCCGGCTACGGATGGGGATATACTGTGCTACAATCCACAGAACGTTAATCTTTCCCAGGACACCGAGTTCCCTGGCATCGTTGCTCGACCGATCGGTCACTTCTCGAACAAAGCAGACTATCACTACCAAACCCTCCGGTGCAATGTTGACTTGTTGAAGATGATCCAGTTAGGGATCACACTGTTCAACGAAGATGGGGAAGTTGCTCCAGCTATATCTACCGATGCGAACGGTCAGTCATACGGCAACTCAATGGTCCCAGCTCCATGCACATGGCAGTTCAACTTCCGCTTTTCGCTCGAGGGAGATATGTACGCGCAGGAATCAACAACTATGCTCGCCAAGTCTGGGATTGACTTTGGTCAACACGAGAAGAATGGTATTGATCCGTTTGAGTTCGGGTCATTGCTGATTAGCTCAGGCCTGGTGCTGTTGGATGATGTCCACTGGGTATCATTCCATTCCGGATACGACTTCGGCTACCTGATGAAGATAATGCTCTGTTCCCCCTTGCCTGAGCGTGAGGAGGAATTCCACGACCTCCTTAATATCTTCTTCCCCTCTCTGTACGACATCAAGTACCTGATGAAACATGCTGGTCGCAATCAGGCTGTCAACGACTCGCCTCTTACACCAGCCGCCATCCAGATCCTCACAAATCTGGGCCAAAAGTCAGGCTTGCAGGATATCGCAGACGAGCTTGGTGTCAAGCGTGTTGGAATCGCCCATCAAGCTGGCTCCGATTCTTTGGTCACAGGCGAGATCTACTGGAAGATGCGCCAGATGGTTTTTAATGGCACAATCGACGATAGCAAGTACTCCGGTCAGATTTGGGGCCTCAATGGACATATGCCTGCGATGACCTACAACATGGCTCAGCAAACTCCCAACCTCAATGGGGCCACGATTTACTCCGGAGCTGGCACTCCCAGCACCCCAAACACCGCACACCTCGCAATGGGCGCTCACACCCCCCAACATCCCGGCTCCGGCTATCATACTCCCAGCGGGATGACAGGCAAGGCATGAGGTAGTGGAAACGTGGACGAGGTTTCAATGATATGATATGAATGCATGTACATAAGCACGGGGCTGTTGTGCTGGTTTCTTCGATCTTCAGCATTGTCCTTCTCGCCTATCGCGTTGCATGGGTTCCATTTTACTGCGGTCTCTATGTGTCTGGTGGCGGTGTTTCGGATCAGAGGGTGTACGGTGTTTGTAGTTTTTTTTTTTTTGTGATTTGGCTGATATCTGAACCCATTTGAGAGGCGTTCGGGCTCTCGTGGTCCTTTTGCCACTTTTCTATATTCTTCTCCTTTTTGTTTCTATTTGGTCGATTTCCAACTATATTTCATCGATATGTCTATCGGTATAGGAGTCATGTATAGTGGGATCTTTCTAATTTTCCTGAGCTTTGTTCCTAGGAAAGGAGGTTTTGAACATATCCACCCTACCATCTTTCCAATTTCAAAAAAGTTTCCTTTAGTCTTTAAGACGTATAAGTGCGGGTAAACAAGTCTGCATGATACAGCATAGAAGCCCAGATCTTCCTTAGTGCTTAGTGAACTTGACTCTAGGGGATTTAGGGCCAGATCAGAAGCTTCGTTCTGGACATGAAATGCAGCACATATGGATAGATTATTTCTGACAATATATTAGCCGGCTTGATCTCTATTGACGTTGTCATTCCTCTTTGGGCTGATCATTTCATATGTATATACACTATTTAGTTAAAAGTATTTCCTTCGATCAGTTTTCGGGCCTACCCCACCAATTATGTATATTTACTGAACAGTTCACCACACCACTACTATATCTTACTGAAATTCTATATAATTACGCATGGATGGTTGTTGATACCCATTTCAAGCACGAAAGCATTAATGCTTAATATTTTATAAAAATTCACCCTAAGCTTTCTAACCACTAGTAATTATCTCGTCACCTTTGATACCAACATATCAATTTTAACGTATAGTATTACTCACCATATTTCTAGTACAGTAAATACCCCTTAAGGTACTATTAAATGATATTGTATCTTCCACTTCAAATAAGCCTTTGATGAAATCTTTCTAAGAAGTCCTTATTTTAATAACATATAGACAATGTTGAAGGGGTTTAAAAGCTTAGTGAATGCCTCAGCGGGTCCTCCATATTTACACATAAACTTTCAAACCGCTCTATCACCACCAAAGCTACATGCATCTTCGAATTCTCTTCTCATACTTCCTTATGGTCATGGACTAGAATAAGGCTTTTTTTGAAGCGAGCCTGTTGAATACTGAGTGGTATATGCATTTCCAAAAGTTGGTTGTTGGGTTGACCCGACCGGACCCGCACTTAGGGAAATACTTACGGTACCCATTATATAGAATTTCAGTAACGATGATGGTGTGGTAAACTATTCAGTGAATATATATCATTGATGGGGTAGGCCCGAAAACCGATCTGGGGAGATACTTTTGACTAGATAGTGTAGTATGGCGAATCTAGGCCACGTCGATAATATAGGCTCATACGGGTGGCTACAAATTGATTAGCAATAGAGAAAATATCCTTGGAGTCTGGCTATTTTTAGCTAAAAAATGAGCCAACGGTTGGCTCCAGGGTTTATGCGTTGACATGTACAGAGTTCAGCGTACACACGAAATCACCCGGGTGTTTGTCCCCACTTTAGCCCTGTGGATCGCCAAGGGTTTAGGGGCTCAACTACGCCCCGCATAAAGGGTCGGCCGTTCTGTAATTCTACTCTGAGTGGATAGATTGAACCTTGGAAACTTTGAATAGGTGTTATTTGATTCATTTATAACCTGAGATAGGCCATCGGATGCTTGTTACCTCAAGGTTGGTGACTGAATAGTGCAAAATCAAACAGTGCTAGTTCGACGCTAATAAGTCAATGCCATGAAATAGATTGGACACGGGATCTTGGTGGGTACTCGTCGCAGCCTCAAGGGTCTGATCTGTCACAGGAGCGCTAAACTTCTTCCCTACGCGTTGTCTCTCTCAGGACTATTCACTAATTACTCGGGGTCTGTCTCATTCCATGCAGACTTCTAAGAAACACCGTCCTCCCCCACTTCCTAGGTAGGCGCCGAGATCGATGCACTTCAAAACGCGAATAGGAATGAGTGCTCCGGCATCTTACCCGGATGGCCGAGTCAAAGCACACCGCACAGTAATCTAATCCTGTTCCTTTTCCAATTTCCCGGCTATGCACTGGCTATGCAACTGTACGGTACACAACAATGAGCGTATGCTTGGCACGATGACCACGTAAACAGACCCGATCCACCGAACTATCCAGTACGAGCCTTGTTCACCCTTAGCGTGTGATGATCCCTCGTTTATATCCACTTTTGGCCCCAATTGATCAAAAGCCCCCCGGGCACGAAGTAGGCTCGAGCAACACTGTTCTTTCAAGCTTTAGCCCGTAAAAATAGCCTCCACGAAAGTTTCTGCTCCCCCTGAGAGTCTTGCATTCCCCTTCACTTTCGACCTCTATTCCTGCCATCACAAATTCAAGATGGTGACCGCGACGACAGAATATGTGACATCCACTGATAGCGGCTCACTTCCGTTAACGACGACGTTTAAACCCCCGTCAACCTGTCTCAAGCATATTGCAACTTCAGATTATTCAACAAACTCTAAAAACGGAGATGTGTATTTCCACTTTCACCTAGGGAATTACAGCGCTACAGAGTGTTATCCTTCTGGATGGAATCCCACATCGTTCTATTCTCCAGGAGTCTGCCCGGAGGGCTATGAGGTTGTAACTAGTTCATTAAACATTATTGATACCCTCACACAAACCCAAGCGAGATGTTGTCCCTCGTAAGTGATCTCATTCCTTTCGGCAGGGTAGGCTATTCAACGCCTATTGACCTTTTTTTAGTGGTTTCTGGCCCGCAACCGAATCCTCAAACTGGCAATCTTCCGAACCCTGCTCATCCACCTGGCTGAAGACCGAAACCAAAACCATTACAACACATGGGACAACGTCCATCAGCTACTCATCCGGGTGGTGGGGACTTGATGCCTATGCCGTGTCTATAGAGTGGATGTCAACCGACTTTAAGACATCGACCCCTACAGAAGCAACTGAAACCGGCACAATGAGCACAGCGAATGTTATAGGAGAAAGCTCTGCAGCATCAACATCGACAAGCTCCGCAAGCTCGTCTGGGTTATCCAGTGGCGCAAAAGCGGGTGTTGGTGCCGGTGTTTCCTGCGGTGCAATCGTTATCGCCCTGCTCATCTTTGGCTTCCTCGTTCTTCGACGTAAGCGCCAACGGAAAAATGGGGTACAGCATATGCCAGGAGTATCAACGGAAGCGCGGGATCCGCCTGCTGAGATGCCTACTAAGGCTGATACTCATGCTGAGTTACCGGCGAATCTCGCCAATTGGAGACGACCTGTTTCTGAGCTTCCTGCCCACCAGTGACGATAGGTCCTGATGATTTTCTTTGGTCCTTCATTTATATATACTTAATGTGCCATAGACCCCCTTTGCTATCTGAGCGAGTACAAAGATATCCTCTTTTTCGTTGTCATGCAGGAGAATTTTCAATCGGTGGCCAGATCAAATACGTATATTGCCACATCGTAGTGTTGATCGCATCAAACATTATACTTTGCCACAATAGAAGATCAAGTGTACTGTGTTCACAACTCGGCATGATGGGATCGATCTACGACAACTCTGAATCCTTTCAAATTCAATAAGTCGCCGATGCTACCGATCCCCTCCGTAGATCTCCCGTGGCAGCAATGATCTTCCATTGAAGCTCATGAGCTTAAATCAAGAGGCTAAAAGTTGGCGATTGGCTCCTTATAGAAAAGTTGGTGAAGTTTATCCAATCGCTGCTTCAGGCCCCCCTTTTGTCCGTGGTCTAGGTGGGCCAAAGAGAAGATGATCTTCGCAAAGGCGCAAACGTGGAATTCTGGATGAGTGTGCGAAAGCATGACGCGTCTCATTCCCCCCTCTCTCCAGAAAAATCTTTCCTCGCAAGTGCATAGGTCGAGAATAGATAAGCCTGTTCCTCTCTGTGCATTAGGTGCGACTATGCATCGAAAGGAAGACGCGATCGAACTGACAAAGTCGGATACTTATCCTGTTCGATCAATTGGGCTCCATTCAGTATTGAGTTCCCGGCTGAATTTTCGGAAGCAGTATAGAGATGTATTGCAGTCTGCTCTTTGGTCTTGGTTAACGTTCGGGGTTCAATGAATATTGTTGACCATGATTCTAGGTCGGTTGCTTGGGAAGGTCCAGAGGAGAAAGGTTCACACTTTTGGCAAATGGCGGCACTCATTGCGGTCGCAAATGTGACTGTGTTTGGTCCATTCTTATGAAGGTGACATTGGAAACTCATCAAAGAAATATGTCTCGTATTGAATATTGGAGACTCAGAGGGATTGGAGACCCGGAAACTGAAGATTGTCGGAGCTAACTACACTGTGGCACGCGTTAAACAAACAACGCAAACCTGGACTTCAACAAACCGGACAAAAGAAATTCGAGAGAAATTCAAACAGTGAAGGAAACCACAAGAGACAACAAAATGGTAATCTATCTTCCTTACTCCTAACTGAACCAAAAAGTAACAGATTCTCCAGTCACGACCAAACATTGGCGCCCTAGTCGTCGCCCTCTTCCTTACAACAGCGGCGATCGCGTACGCGCGCACAGGCACGATCCAACAATCCCTCGAGTCCCTCCCCACAAACACCTCCCTGGTCATTGCTCTCTTCTCCTTCATCGGCGGCGCCCTCGACTCCATACGCACAAAGTCCCCCGCGCCAATCATACTGGGTCACATCTTTAGCGCCGTCTATGCCGTTAGCTTTGCGCGCCTGAGCGCGGGCCAGCCCTCTGGTGCTGAGATTGGACTGATTGGGTCCTTCGCTTTAGCGGTGATTCCGATGGTATCGAATGCCGACTGGAATTTGATTCCTAAGGAATTGGGATATGTTGGGGGGTATGGAGTCACTGTGTTTGCCAACGCTTACGGGGGCTTTGGGTTGGCTATGACGTTACTTTTCTCATTAGTCTTGTTGGCCTTTAGGGATGACATTAGGCAAATACAGAGTCGAGTAGATGGCTAGATGGATCTTAGAGAGGTGAGTATGTAAGGAATAAACTGTGAATGTTGAAAAACTTCGGGTGTTATTCGACCTAAAATCGCTCATGACAATATGCTCCCCTGGCAAAACATGACGGGATTCTGCAAGCTCATTTCTTATAGCAGCACAAATGATTCTCTAATATCGTCGCATCCCTGAATAGTCCCAGTCTCTCGCTAGTGCCAATTGTGCAAGGTGGATCTTCTCATCCTCCGGATCCTCGAAGTGTCTATGGGCGATGAGTCGTTCACCATTATCCGGCCTGACAAAGTATTGCGAATCTACCTCGCACTGTGTATATGCGCTGGGCAGTTTGCCTTCATACAAGAACTCACGCAAGATTTTCGCGGCGCAAGTGGACGCGACTGCAATAGAACAGTGCCCATAGCCCTTGACTTCAACAATCTGCGAGTCCAAAAATGCCTCCTTGGCTGAGTGCGCTGATATGAGTGGACACACGGGGTCGTAGGTAGTTGATAGGATCAGGAGTGGATGTGCCGTTTCAACGCCTTTGCGTGGAACGTATGAATGTATTCTTGGCACATTCCAATGCTGTTTCAAGTAGTATGACTTGAGATTCCAACTAATAAACAAGCTTTGGTTGAGCCATGGCATGATCCAATCGAGCATTTCTTGTTTACCCTGGGGCCAATGATTGAGGCCAGTGAGTCCGTCATTCAGGGTCACAAAATCGTTTGATTCGTCTAGTTTTGGTTCTGGAGTACCATACGTCAAGAAAGCATTGGTCGCGTTCCCTTGAATCAGTTTGTATAGGTTGTCAGCTAGAGAGAACCATGTCGAGGGTTTGTACAAGGCGGGGAAGATGCCGTTATACAAGATCTTTTCATAGTCGAGCAAGCCGTAGACAGAGTTATTGATATAGACACTAATTGGCTCCTCTTGAAGTGTCTCCAGATATGAGACTACTGTCTGGCGCAGTGCTTCTGTGGATGTTGCAAGTGATGACAGCTCGCAGTTTTCGGTGCCAGCCTTCATGCACTCATCAAAAAAGCCATAAAGCACAGAGTCCGTGTCGACCATCGACTCCAACTCGAAATTTTTCTCGTACCACTCAAACTGGTTCACCACTCCATCGATAACCACACGCTTTGATCTCTCGGGGAATAAGCCTGCATACGTCTGCCCAAGCAGAGTGCCATAGCTGAAACCCCAATAGAACATATCGTCTTGACCAAGTGCATCCAATATACTGTTCATATCAGCTGCAGTCTGTGGAGTGTTGATATATTTGCCATATTCGCCCATCGTATCATGACAGGCTTGAGCAAAATTCTTCGTCCACGCATAGACCTCAGAGCTATCTTTTGAGACATTGCCGGCTCGAACCCGTGACAGTTCATCTCGCGTCTTAGCATCGGGGTAGCAGGAGGAAGTGGGCGTTGAGCTATTCACGCCGCGGGGATCAAATGAGACGATATGGAACCCATCGCCAATTAGTGCCTTGAGCTGCTCGCCCCGGCGATATAGGAACTCGAAACCGCTCCCTCCAGGTCCGCCGGGGTTGGTGAGAAGGGTTGGACTCCCTTTTTTGCCAGGGAGACGGATGAGTGGTATGGTGAAAGTCTTATTTCCTGAATTTACAGGGTCGAATTGATCCATCGGGACTTCGATACTGCTGCATTGCACTGGGCTACCCGAGAGATCTCCACATGTTTGCCACATATCGTCGTTTTTATCTTGGATAATCGGCTCAGTGGGTTCATTGAATACTTGATCTCTGTGGCCGCACCGCGGCCGCCATTCTATCACCAGACCGCTCAGCTTGGATACAATCAGCAGCCCGAACAATGCCGTCAATGACAGGAGAGTCCAGCGTTTCAGGAGTAGCAGTCGCGACTGCGGTTTCCTGCAATGATTCAGTGCCGCGAGCTTCTCTTCCATGATGCAGTTCCAAACTTCAGTTGTTTAATTTACGGAATGAACGGAGATTTTTGGGGGCGGACACGAAGCGGGGTATTTGCACGATTCTAACAGATATCGCGTTGCATGGCTGGCGTAACGTGGGATATGGGCTCGCAGTAGAAAGATTGAGGTGCGGTACTTGATAGGGAAGAAAAAGAACGGTGTTGCCCCAATATCTATACTGCAACCTTACGAGCCAACTTGTTATCTTTTCAGTCCTCAAATGCTACGATAAGCCAGGATTCTCCCGGAGGGTTTGACGCAAGATACGGAGTACTCAATCACCGTTTCTGGGCAACGTCTGGACCAGTCCGTCGGTAGACCCACGGCCCCACTATTGAACGCCCCTAGCCCCTATCTATCTTCCATGGACTGCTTCGTGCACAAAGCTTGCCGTCATAAGTCAACGACACCAAGATGTACTGAAAACATGACCAGGTTTGAAATATGAGGAAAAAAGGTTTCAGGACCACTTGACCAAGTAGAGAGGAAGTCCGACTCCCCGCTCGCCATGACCCATGACATTGGTGCTCTGGGCTTCTAGCAAAGTATAAAAGCAATCAAGTCAAATGTCTCGCTTTTTCCATAGGACTTATAGTGAGTAAGACTTAAGTGGGAACACTGGAGAGGTCTGAGACCTTCTTTCCCATCCCGAAAGTATATGATAGGATAGAAATGCCCTCTCTTAAAAACACCAGACAATAGTATTGCTAACACACTTATATCTCCTACTCGGGCGAAGTCTTCTAGACTCCTTCTCCATATTATTTCTGTCATGTGTACTCACTCGCCATACGTTATATGCTTCAATTTAATCTCCGAAGTACTTAAGAATCATGTGATCGGTCCCCTCCTTTGCCCAACCGCATGATATGACTGCCTAACTTTCGATCCTCTTTCTATCACCCGTTTCTGAACAACCTTCTTTAACTTATATTCTGTGAAGACTTGGGAAACATAAGCATTCTTTTACGAATAGATCAATGCCAGATCGTACTTGTAAGATAACTTGTTCAATCTATGATCTATCAACGGCATCTGATACGTTGTCATACAGCAAAATAGCGAACGTCAGCCAAACTGTCCCCCAATGCCGTATACTTCAGCGCTGGAAATCACTGCAGCTGCTGCGTCAGCGAAACTCCGGCCATATATTTTACGAACTTCGCATGATCGGTACCCTTGGCTCTTTATATCCCCAAGCAGTAAAGAAGACGTGCGCCCGGTTGTGGAATGTTTGTTCAAGGTAAGAATGTCAAAGGTAGATACTTATAGTGATGCTAAAACAGCAAGTAGGACGCATCTAACTTGCAAAATATCTCCAAGGAAATTGGAATAGGTTTTGGCGATGATCCATGGCACCTTGTGGAAGACTTTTACCCCGTCGTTTGGACTACAAGGGCTGGAATGCTGAATCCACCCTTTCCCCAGAATTACCTGGTTGTCGTCGGCCTAGACTACGTCGATCACCATAATGGACTTCCTCAAATCAAGAAAGCCTCCTTGTCACCTGGAGAGTTTATTGTCATACCACATAATCAGGCAATGCAGCTCACGGAGGGGAGTGGAGGGACATCTTTGTTCATACTTTTGAAAATGTGAGATAGTATTCTTGATTTGTTTGACTGCCATTTGTTTATCGAATATTTATCCGTATCCTTCAAACATCCTTTCACGAGCAAACTTGGAGACTTCGTACAGAGTCAGATTCAGCCATAATATTTCGTTTCCGTGAGCAATTGCAGATGTGTTTGTACACGGGCGGTGGTGGCTATAGCTAGGCCAGACAACTTTGGTGGGATTATATGTAGTAGGTCTGCATATTTAGGCTTTGAATGAGAATTTTTGCCAACGGCTTTTCGTACTACTATGAGGTATTTGGGTAGATGTGGTCTGAATTGTGTATCATTGACCTGTGATGATACCGTTTTCCCAAAAACAATTCGAGGAGCGAACCGCCAATGACGGCATCTCCCTTGGTTGCATGACTTCCCTTTTTTCACTTTTAGGTCCGAACCCAAAACCCCGCAGCCATTAGTTCCCCGCAATAAACTCTCCGCGGTGTGGAAAGTCAGGGCTCGGGTGGATCTTCAGCCAATTGAGTTTATCATAGATTGGAACGGGGGGTGACAATGCCATTCCTCGGCCTAAGGATGGCTTAAATAAGTATGCTGCCCCGACTCGTGGTTTGGTTGGAAGACATTCCAAGTAGCGCTGCAACTTGCGGGGTCTTCTGTAATAGAGTGGTTAATTAACTATTTATAAGTGCGTAATATGCCCCCGCGTAATGAAGCCTTGATTTTGGAGGCATTTTTATGTGCCCATCTATTCAAAATGCTTCTATCTCTCTCTTCCATGGTGGTGTTTGTGAATATTGTGTCCAGTGCAGTGACTGTCATCAGAACAGATCAAGGGCCGACTGGATATGAGGTGACGATCACCTACCAGAACGCGAGCGTCAGCAACGTCACTATTTCTGGCCTACCACACTTAACAGATCAATACTCTACTTCCTGGTGGTCCTGGTCAGATTTTGACCTGAGTGAATACAAGCCTGGGGATTTCCCCCGGGATCCCCTCATTGGCTCGTACTACGCGATGAACCAGACGAAGCCTGGGGAATTTACTTGGACACGACCCCTCTTCAGTGGAACATTCCAATATTCATTCCTCCTCGACTGTACTCAGCCCGCTCTGTGCAACACAACAAACGGCCAGAGGATCACGGATCCAACCAATCCACCCTTCGAGAGCGTGCCTGGTTCTGAGTTAATCTCCACGTTCCAGGTCCCATACCACCACCAGTTCCAATTTTATCCGGAGCAAAACATCAATCAAGACTATGCGCTGCCGTATGGCACAAATTCCAGCAAAGGGACTACCAAGTTTGGAACTTACCACTCACCTGGATCCATAAGCCCATCGCCAGGCATCCATGACTACGTTGTTTATCTGCCGGCGGGATACGACGCGAAAGATACTACCAAGAAATATCCACTACTGTACCTTTCCCACGGCGGCGATGGAGCTGCAGCAGATTGGCAGAACCAGGCCTATGTCTCAAACATGCTAGACCGCCTCATCGGTGACGGCCACATGGAGGCGACAGTAGTTGTGATGCCAACCTGGTATGGCATCTTGCCCAACACCACCAATCCACAAGCTCTACTACAGCGTAATTACCCCGATCCTCCGACTATCGCTTCGCTATACAGCAAATATTTGTTCCCTCACATTGAGTCACACTACCGCGTCAGCAACGAGTCCAGTCGTAGAGCCTTCGCCGGTCTTTCGCAAGGTGCATTTGTGACTTACAGCTTCTACGTCAATTATACCTCCTACTTTGGATATTATGGCATCATGTCCGGTGGGCTCGCAACGAATTCTGAAAATGAAGCGCCCACTCTGCGTAGCTATGTCAATGCATCTATGGTGGCTTCGAATCCGGACCTTTTGACCCGTGGTATGTATGTGTCGTATGGTCAGTATGACATTTTGTTTACGGATGCTCGAAGACTTCAACAGGCACTTGATGATATTGGCGCTGGCTATGTAACACGGTTTGTTCCATGGGGGTTTCACTTTTGGAATACTTGGCAAGATTCCTTTTGGCATATGGGACGCATGGCGCTATGGCAGTCAATTCCGTTCACGAAACCTACTGGTCACGGCCAATAGATTCTTCGTTATGATTTGCTTCAGTTGAATGTAAGTCATGTATGACAATTTCAAACATTAAGTTGAGATGGAGTATTGAACCTAATATCCTCGTGTTTAGTGCTCATTTTTTCCCAAGTGGTTGGGTTTACAAGGGTGTATTGAAATAATAAGCAAGCTTTGTGAAATTTCAATAAAGAGCCCGGCCCCCGTTCGATCAAGTGGTAGGGGCAAAGAGAGTTAAGACGGTATATGGGTCTACTGTGCCACATATGAACAGGTCACAAATTCTATTCTGACCACATTCCTTGGAATTGCCACAGAAGATGCTAAAAATAAAGTTTGTCGATCCCATCCACGCCACTAGACCCGATATGTTTTGCCGCTTCTGTCTGTCGACATATCTGCACGGGAAGCAAGGGGCGGGACGTTGTTGAGCTCAAGAATATAGGAAATGTCGCCCAAGTCCGTGGAATGCTTAAGCCAAGATCTAGGCTGGTCTTCTCGATCTCGGCATTTCCTAATCTCAACATCCAGGAAAGCATGTCGGTGGGCCGGTCGGTTCAGCCGGGGCTTTTGAGAGCGAAGGAGATTCGCGACATGTTCAACCGCTGTTATTGGCTAGGTTCGTCCTTGCGTTCTTTTGCTTTTTCTCGCAATACACCGCCCACTGCCACATGTTACACGGAAGAGTAAACAAGGAAGGGATGTTCATCTGCATTCGAATAGTTGCGGGGTCGGGCACAGGATGACTACGACCTTGACACGGTAAGGGGAATCGTGAAACGAGCTTATTCACTACCTCGTGTGCTGATATTGAATTCTAGCTTCGCTTTTGCCTTCATAGTTTCAAAGTCCAGAAGGGACGAAGAATGAAATCAATTTGGGGGATAGTGTACCCGTTGACTCCGGTCGAACTACAGTACAGCATCCATCCCTGTAGTTTCATGCACATGACGTTTATGCGCAGGATCCGCAATGCAAGATGAGCCAGCGGCCCAGGTGGTCGTGCCCGCTTGGTCCCTTAAGAGACCTCGGCAAAAATGGCACTATTTCACGCATACCTCGAATTCAAGAAATACTTGGAAGGTAATATATCAATTCAGGCGACTCGCTCTTGAAGATCGATAGTTCTCTTTCCATCCTATTCCAAATCATCGCGTGCACCACTCGAGGCTCCAGTCATGTCGAAAGATTACACCGATAGCCCCTTCGATTCTCCGAATTCAATCAACAAAGAGAAATCAGATGTCGCGGCTGGATCATTCAGCTCATTTTCAGACTTGGAGACGCAGAAGGCGATCCAAGGAAGCGAAAATTTCCATCGTCTCGGCTGGAAACGTCTGACTATTGTCCTTATTGTCGAGGCCATTGCTCTGGGAAGCCTTAGTCTCCCCGCAGCATTTGCAACACTCGGCATGGTCGGAGGTGTTATTGCGACTGTTGGAATTGGCTTGGTTGCCACATATGCTAGTTACATCGTCGGTGCGGTTAAAATCAAGTATCCCAAGGTTGAACACTATGGCGACATCGGAAGACTGCTACTGGGAGATTGGGGCTTCTGGATAATCACTGTGGTTTTTATTCTCAGTTTGCTGTTGAATGCTGGATCACATTGTCTCACAGGTATCATTGCGCTAAGTAATATCACCGGGAGCAGTGTTTGTACTATTGTATTTGGGTTGGTGTCCGCCTTGATTCTCCTCTGCCTATCTATCCCACCAACATTCGCCGACATCGCCGTGCTGGGCTACATTGACTTCGCTTCGATTATGATTGCTATCGGCATCACTATCATAGCCACGGGGATTCAGCGCACTCAGACTCCAGGAGGCATGTCGAGTTCCAACTGGTCAGCCTGGCCAAAAGAAGGCACGAGTTTTACGACGGGGATGGTGGCTATCAACAATATTGTCTTCGCATTTTCATTTGCACCCGCGTTGCCATCATTCATGAACGAGATGAGAGCACCCAAAGATTACACCAAAGCTGTGTATGCTCTGGGCGGTATTGAAATTGTTCTCTACACACTGATTGGGTCGCTGGTATACGTGTTTGTCGGACAGGATGTACAGTCCCCTGCATTACTATCTGCGGGGCCGCTGGTATCGCGGATAGCCTTTGGCATCGCCCTTCCAGTCATTTTTATTTCTGGCTCCATCAACGTCAGCCTCACGGCTCGCTATCTTCATACAACTGTTTATCGGGATTCGGTCATACGTTATGTGAATACGAGAATGGGCTGGATCACCTGGATCTCGCTCGTGGCAATCCTGACATTACTGTCGTGGGTAGTTGCCGAAGCCATTCCGGTGTTTTCCAACATCTTATCCATCTGCGCTGCATTATTCTCGTCGGGGCTGTGTTTTTACATCCCTCCAGTACTGTGGGTTGTTCTTCTAAAGGAAGGCAGCTGGTTTTCGAAGTACAATATTCGAACTGCGTTTTACAATGCGCTTGTATTCCTGTTTGGAATTGGAGTTCTCGTTTGTGGCATGTACGCTAGTGTTGTCAGTTTGGTAAGTATCCGCACGCTCCATGGGTTAATCTCTCGGGCTTTACTAACTCTTAATCAGATCCAAGCGAGCAATGACGGTGTTGGTAGACCTTTCTCATGTTCGTCTAGTTAGGCATTGCCAAGAGAACGGGCGAATCGGTATAGAGCAGACATTCTACATGCCAAATGGAAAGAAGCCTGATAGCTCAAATGAAGTCACTCTGTACACAAATAAATGCACCGGCCTAGTATGAATCCCCTAGGCTACCTCTAGCTGCATGGTATAGTAGGTAGCCATCGATTCTGGGTAATATGATGCCCACGTGTGAGACAACTCCTGGGCATCACTTTGTAAATTACTGAACTTACCTGAAGACGAATTTCACTTCCACATTATTTCGGATCATTGATACATTTATTTTCCGAGCCGGGGTCTGAATCCCATGTGGAATTTGAGCGGTATATCATATCCCAATTCAGCGATCTGCGTGAAACGCGGCAGAGTGCACGCAAAGTGTACTTTGTCGCGCCTTCACCAAGCTTCCTATTGTTCTACAGAGATCGTCCCTGACTCTTAGACCCCGGCCTGTTTCTGTACCCTGGCTCAGCCCCAGCGGCCATGTTTCACAATCAAACCAGCCACAATAAACGCAATCTCAGCGCTAGGGTGTGAATCAACTTACTATTGGTGCATGCGGCCCCCCTTTTTTGGGGCCTCAACCGCCCCACACATTTTTCCACAGCCCCAAGCGCCTTCCCATCTTAAATGTTTTGTTCTTTGGTGGAAACAGACTCAGGCTCTGAGTGGCGCAGGCATGGTTGGTATTCTCATTTTAGTCGGCTTCGCAGCGCCCTCGTTTGCGTATGCCAACTCGACGGCTCTTGAAGGCTGGCAGTTCGATGACGACTCACGCTCAAGCTGGGACATTTTTTGGACCTGTCTTTCAACAATCCTTGCATGCACATGGACTGCACTACATTTGGCAGTTCCAAGCAGAGAATCTAACGAGAGCTGGCAGATTTTTCGAAAACTTCAAGTATGGATATGTGCCATTCTTGCCCCCGAATTAATGGCTGGGCTGGCGGCTGAGGGGCTTTGTAGGGCGATGGCGGTAGTTGCGCGCTGCAATGCTGCATTTTGCAGGCTATCCGATGAGCCCACCGAGTCAATTTCAAGGCCTCTGGAGACTTCAGTTGCAAATGAACAGATATCTGGCAGAGAAAAGACTTCACACCAAGAAAATGAAGATCCGTCAACTCGGCCAAAAGAAGGTTCAACACGTGAAGAAGAAGTTTCGAAGCAGGAGGAACAAGCTCCAAGTGAGGATAAAACCAAGACACGAACCTTTTGGTGGTCTACTGCGCAGGGGTTTTGTTTGACCATGAATGGAGTTCTTCTTCAGACCAAAGATGATTGGACATACCCAGTTCAACCGAACAATGTTGTTCCATTGATTGAGGCCGGGGTTGTGAAGCCATTTCACTTGAGAACTCGTGACATCAAAGACCGGGCCAAAGCCGACTCACTTGCAAAAGGCTTTACCTTGCTGCAAAGTCTTTGGGTGACTTGTAACATAGTTGCAAGACGCGCATATAGCTTACCAATCTCGCCACTTGAATATTCGACCGTGGCCTATGTTGTATGTGCTGCCGTTACTTATGTAACTTGGTGGCATAAACCAAGAGACATGGTAACGCCCATTCTTATATTCTTGCCATACGACAAAGACGATAAAGACATGCCATTGCAAATCAGAAAAGCCTTAGACGAGGGACATGGATCCTGGGTTCGATCATCTGAAACGGCTGTAGAAGACTCACTTTCGCTGTTGGAAAATTTACTCCAGCTGCTAAAAATAGCAAGGAAACTTCTCAGTTTGCCATTCACGCCAAAAGGACGCAATATATTAGCAAAATCTGTCGAAACTGCTACCAAAGACTTGGAAGATGCAAAGGAAACATTGCCAAGCAATGATCCACCTCGAAGTTGCCGCCGCCAATATGAAGAAAATGCTCGGCCATCATACCCAGCCGATGAGCCCCAGAAACCAACCAACAAGATCAGAAATCCACTCGAGCAGCTGAGCCTTGCGAGCTATGTCACACTTACCAACCTCTACATGTTCGTGGCTCTGACCTTCTGTGGAATACATGTTGCTGCGTAAGTATCACAATCCCTTGCTTTCTCATGACTCCGGCTAATACATTGAACTAGTTGGAACTCACAATATCCCACAAAGGCCGAACAAATCTGTTGGCGAGTCTTTTCGCTCTCTGCGTTTTGTGTGGTCTGGCCAATTTATCTGATTCATATTTGGATGTTTTATCGTATGTATCGTGCCACAGGTAACAAGAGGGCGCTTGTCTCGGATTACGATATGGTTTCAGGTCGATTGATTGCTCTGTGGTCTATTTGGTTCTGCATTTACTCAATCGCACGTTGGGGAAATCTTATTCTCATGTTTTTATCCCTCAGGGCTTTACCTGCTGGATCTTATGTCACGATAGACTGGATGTCGACAATCCCTCACATCTGAGTCGTAATAACTGTGTCTCGATATATCTCAGTAGGAGTTATCGCCTACGCAGTTTGATCACACTGTAATGAGTCTCTCAATGCAACTATACACTGATTATATTTACTATATTCGATCCATTTATGCAATGACAGACATTTTATTCATGTTCATTCATGCAGTTCTTTAGACTAGAAATGAGAGTTCAACATCCCAAAACCTCGGAACAACGGTCAGGTATCTATACTAATACTCATAATATTCACCCAAGATTTTCGAGTTCTAACATTTTCGACATGTCAGAGCATAAATATTCATGGGTTCACACGAATCCCGATCATGAGAACCTAGAGATCTTTCTCACAGCTTGTCTGATCGACACCAAAACACCAGTCCCAGTTTGTCTCCCAGTTGCTTCCAAATCCATTTGTTTCACCCTCCATAGCCCATTGACCACTCAGATAGTTTTTCCGGCCGTCAATAATCCATTCAGAAAAGGAAAATCCAGCAAAGTTCGCATAGTTGGCAATGTCACGGAAGACATCCAAACCGGTCTTACCGTTGCTGCTTGAGAGACGCCCGTCCATGAATTCCTCAACTTGGTCATGCGTCATGGTGGCGTATTTCGAATTGCACTGCACCTTGACACCGCCCTTGCCAATGTGCGTGTAGCTCGGGTTGAAGTCATTTCTACTTCTGCGGCTCATGCGGGTAGATGAGATGGTGGTATTAGTCTCATCGACTGGCTGGAGGTGTCCGATGTGATGGTGAGTTCCATTGGTAGACACCAGAAGAGGCACATGATTGGCCTTTTTGTTGTGATAGACAAAGCTCAACGGCATGCTAGAGTTGTGCAAGGCATGGAAACCAGACTCGGAGATATCACGCTTGCCCAAAGACTCGGGCAAGTGGGTATGGTTAAGAGGCATTCCCTCGTAATGAATATCAGTGAGCGAGATATGGTCCTCGATCTGGCTAAGGTATTCATCGATATGACCGAGACCATCCTCTCTCTTGCTCCAGGAGCCGGTTTGTTGGAAGTTGTTGTAGGCAAGGGCAAACGAGCCGGCTGTGGTGATGACGGAGATGGCACAGGTTTTGGCATCTTCCCGCGTCTTGGTTGAGCCCGCAGTCCAACATGTGTCAATGCAGTCCACTAGATGCGTGGCGCCTGCTTGACTGGCCACAATGACACCCGCCTTGTTGCCCATGTATTTGTTGGCTAGGGAGATGGCGGCTGACGTGCCTGTTCCTGCTGCGATTCTCCATCCATGGGCAGGCAAATAGGCAGAGACCTCAGCGGACAAGACTATAAGTGCCAAAGGGCCGTAATTGGAGAGTTTCATATTGAAACGGATAGCAAGGATAACGGTATGAAGAAAGGAGGACGAGATAGAAGAAAGAGGACAATATTGATGATTGTAGAGAGACAAACAAGAGACCAATGCTTGCTTTTATACCCAATCCGAACACTCGAGCTTATGGAAATGTTACATAAAACGTTCTTATCCAAGTTCTAGAAAGGATTAAGAGAAGTCTGGCACAGCTAGCCAATACAGGCTAATCGATTGCCAAGAACCAATTTTTAGTTCAAAAGCATAGCCTCGTCGTAATGTGGGCATTTTTATGTTGTCTTAGATAGTTTTATGCGCAATTTACTAAGTAATTGTCCCTTTGCTCTATGACGATCAGTGCTATATTCCGTTAGTCAGAATAAAAAAACCGGGGACCGCGATGATACAGGGTCCACAACTCCACTTTATCTAAGACACGCATTTAATCGGAAGCTCCCGAGATAACACGCATTTCTGCTCTCGAACTCAGCCTTGTCGACTTAGTAACAGCCTTGCCAATTTAATGAATCCACTGGGGGTCGAGTCCATTGAAACCCTTCCTGTCCCAGATTTGTATATTTTCTTTACTAATCTACAATCTTCTGATTCCGCTCATTCGTCTATTTATTCATTCTTGTCCCTCTAACCCGAGACATCCGAGTCGAAAGAGCCTCGGGGGCCAAAACCAACGTTCCACTCCAGTTAAAAACAACCCACCTACACAAATCCTTTCAACCCACATCATGTCCACCATAATCTGGGAAGGGCCTCTCAAAGGATTATTCACCTCACTGCTACCATCACCTGGGTGGGCCCCCCTTTTGGAGCAGTCTGTTGGAAGGCGCCATATCCGCTGTCTCGGTCTGGTTTATTGCTCAACTCGGTGTCACGAGTACCTATACTGTTCAATTGATCTGCTCACTATCAATTCATCTCGCTCTTTTCATTCTTGCTGTCTTTTGCGGTTACCAAGATGGATGGCCTCAAGAGGCTATAACAGAATGCCTTGGGCGAACGATTATTCTTTCTGTGTTTGGGGTGTTTAGCTACCAATATTTTCATGCCAGAGCCCGTATGTTTTCCCCCTTGGAAAGAGGACAATGGGAACATCGCTGCTAACCTTTTTAATGAGGAAAAGGAACCTTTTGAGAGCAACAAGAATTCTGATGAATTGTTGTCTATAATGCAAGAAATCTAACTCACTATTAGTGAGTCCAACTGCACCTATGCTTCTTTAAAGCGGAGTCCAAACCGGCAAATACGCCATAAGCTAGCCGAGGAAATCGAGAGAATCAAAGATGCCCCTACAAAGGCACCTAGGAGCTTTTGGAAGTATCGGTGTTTATCTTGCTTTGCACTAACTTAAGGATCCATATATGGACTTTGTATTTGCTTGGCATGTACGTTATCTCAATATGGATTGTTGTTTGAATCTCTAATATTACTCTTTTCAAACACTTCTAGGGTTCTCTAACCCTGTGATTAGAAGGTTTTTATTACTGTTTAATGATTTTATACTTAATATCTGAAAAATTGATACTTGGTTAGGAAAAGATTGATATTTTTTTTGACAGTGTTTGAATTCACTGGGTACTAGAAGATTATGTATGTTTTGAGGGCAGGCAGCCGCTGCTGAATGTAGATTTCAAGGTTCCTGTACCATGGTGGCTAATGCTACTAGACTAATTCGAGCTCCGGTACCTAACTTAGAAGACTAAAAGATTATGTAACGATATCTACTTTTTCCTATAGTTAGTTAGCTAGTTCAATCAAGAAGGATAATGTCATACCAAAAAGCGCAGATTGCTGTCCCCTTCCGATATGGTAGAAGTCGAGGTAACGATGGAAAGGCCACGACTCTGCGTGCTTATATCAAACAAAATCGTGTTGTTTACAATAGTCAGCGGCAAATTGAGGTTACATTAGTGCTATACCCAAAATTTCTTAGCTCATTTATGCTTACAGTACGTGCCCTTAAAGTTACCTAGTAGAACGCAGGCAGTATTTAGCGCACTGGTGGGTCCATCAGTAGTAAAACATGAAACCTATCACATATAGAATATAAACAAGGGGGGATTCTCAGATTCGCGAAATCCTCTCTACTTCGACTAATTACTTTTCAATATTTCGCCAAAAAGATGATCAGTCTCGGCGGCCCCATGAGCAATCCCGAAGCACTCCCTAGGCGCGGCGCTTCCTTAGCAGCTCTTGAGCGACCTACTGCCAGCTGATCCATAATCATTTGAGGTAAATTATAAGAAAGATTTGTACTGCACTTCTCCGATTTATATCAGCATATCAGCCCACTCTAGTGGGGTTCATCGGATCGTAGATAGACAACGTGTTCACGCGTCCCTTCCACACTTAGCAGGTCTCGAATTACTATACAAACATGCCTCCGATAACTTTTTTTGTCCCCTGAGGCCAAAGCTTATAGCTCAGTTTCTGCTCCCTACTTACTGAAGCTAAGGGGCTTCCTGCTATTCCTTTCTATGAGTGCTGCTGGAGAAGATTTCTTGAAAATTTACTTTCTTGATTGCTCGGCTGAAAGTCCTCCTCATCATGCTTCCTGCTCTTAAACGATATTTCACATCCTGCGGCCTATTGCGCAGCAGGCTCTTCATCGGTCAAAGCCTGCTACTATAGTATGGCCCTCACTCATACATTTGTTCTCGGCGTTACGCGTTCACAGCAGGCGCCGATAGGTTAAATGTTGCCGTATTCATATGAAGATGTATGCTAAAACAGCCCCCAGGATGCTCCAAATCTGACGAATGTTCACTCCGGCTGCGACAAGCGCACCGGATTCATAACCCAAATTCAGGGAATTATTCCCGAACCCTATGCTCGGTGTCCATGTCACTGGAGTTCCCTCGTTTAAGACATCTGAGCGCGCAGCATCAATCCTCCCTAAGAACTCGATCGTCAACCTAGCGGAAATTCTTGGCGTCTCCCCATCCTCTTCGGGCAAGGTATTCGCGACAATCCACGATCGAATACTGAAACTTGCCGAATAGTCGTCAAATGTCAGCTGCAAGGTCGGGTTTGTCACGCCGCTAACGCCGTCATAATCTTTATTGAATGGAATTTGGCCGGCACCCCACCATCCCTCGGTACGGGAGCAGGTCGACATATTCATCTGAAAACTACTCAGCGGGTTCTGCTCTAGCTCCGTGCTCCCTGTCACTCGAAAAGGGAACCCATTCCCAGTATTCTCGGCGATAGTCAGGTTAAAATCTGGCTTCGTCTCTTCACTCGCGGGGTATGCCCAACGCCTGTCACAAATCAGCCAGCCGCCAGAAAAGTGACTGCACATGAGAAAGGGGTATTTACTTACGACATCTCAATCGACTCAAATACAAAGGGCATATCCCATTCCTGCATGTTGCCGCCATCCATATAATCGCTAAAGTACTGGGTGAAGTTCGAGTACGAGGTGAACAGTGAGACATCAATTGGATTCACGTTATTCGGTCGTTCATCTTCCGATTCCGTCTTTGTAATCGCTAGGATTGCTGGGTACGACCACGTGTACGTGATGTTCCGTAACTGCCCGCAGAGTTCTAAGGGCCCCTCCTCTTCAATCTCGGAATCGACGCGGTCGTCTATAGGCTCGACGTCGGAGACGGTGAATACGGCGCTGCCGTTGTAGTACCTATAGACAAATTCTTAATATGCAGTCTGTGTGGTCTGTGGATACGGAGTGAGCGTACGAGCCAACCCATGAATAATAGTAATAATCTAAACCCGTCACGTTCTGCGGTCGGTAATTCTCATCTGGGTCGTAAGAATAATCTTCTTTGCCTAAAGCCTGCGCTGCGAGGAACAGCGGTAGCTGTAATAACGTTGCGGCGCGGCGCATTGCAAATTTCGCTCAGGCTATCACAGACTAGATGGACTGGGGATTGCCACTTATAGCAGATGCTAAATGGGAATCCAAGAGCTGGAGTTCACATCTCTGAGGGGCACGCTCCCTTTTCAACTTGTCGGGCTGCTCTGGTGAATACGAAGATCTAGCCTATTTTGATTCGCTAGGAGTGCTGGGCCCCTTAATATCTGGGAGAGGGCGGCTTGGCTTTCTTGGCTGTCTCTTGTAGAATCCGAGTCCGTCCGATGGGTAACGCTGCACCAGTATGACTGGTGTGTATACGCACTTTCATGATGTTGCTTTTTGGTCATTTTATTTGACTTGAGGGAACTTAGATGGGATGAAGTTTGGTTGGTGGAGGCTGAAGCTCTAGCTCCTGCAGGGATAAGTGCGCCACCATCTCTAAACTACACGGCATTTCTACAGTATCCAGAGGCGATGAATGAGCTACGCTAGGAATCATGGATTGCCAGGGTTTCAAATTCCAGAACCCTCGGGTTTTGAAAAAAGCTGGTAAGAACGACCTCTCTTGACTTCTGGACGTTGTACCATAAGATTTGTAGCTCCTAGGTGCCAGCATTAGAGCGAGTCCCTTATCCACATAAGAAAGGGACTGCAAAGAACTCACCGAGAGGGTCAACGCATTATAATTCAAGCCGCACAGAACTATGCCTCTTTCACTACAAACCTTGGCAAGTGAGGAGGGATCACAACTCCAACGGGAGGTGACTAATACGTAGCTGCTCCTAGCTCAACTAGAAACGTCCTTGAATCAGGCATGTCTTCAGGATTTGTGTACGACTAACCTTCCTTACGGTGATAAAAGCCGTATTAAGAATACCAACGGACAGCTGCTCATACCGCTGGATCCTAGACAACGAGGAGTTCAAACAATGCCAAGACAATCAGAACAACCGTCTCCTCGGGATCAGGTGCAACTCCGGCAAAGGCAAGATAATGCTCCTGTGCGGTATTATTGAAGAGTTGACACAATTATATGGAAACACCGCGAATGTCTCTTTTCTTGCCAAGCCACCGACCTGCGAATTAATAGCGGCACATCCATCCTAAGGTGCCCGTATCATTCCAAAGACAAACAGAAACTTCTTGATTCTTCGGGTGTTATCTTATGCATTTAATCGAGGGTATCTGCAATAAATTCTCTTTTTTATCACAGCCAAAGCACGTGTGTACAACGTACAATGTCCCACCAGTTGCAATATTTCCAATATGATCACGATTGCTATACAGTGATACAAAGAAATCAATGCGCTGCTCCGGAAATCCTAGGTCAAGGAGAACATCGTCCTCTTGCTCCAGCGCTGACTCTAAGGTTATGTGCCCCCGGAGGAGTGGCAGGGTGGCCCCGTGACGTGTCATCGAGAACTCGTTGATCGATACAATAATAACACCTAACACAAACTTAGGCACTTGTCAGTGACGCTTGGTTCAGGACGCTCGGGAGGATCCCTACCTCCTAAAAAGAAGGCGGTACAATACATTCTTCACCACCTTGGTCCCTACGGCCACAAGTGAGGTAGGGACAACAACGTACAAGTACATTGGCCTAATTCTATCATTGATGAATACATTGTAAGTTGAGATGGTTTCTATATTCGTTGAACAGGGGTATAATCCATGTTTGAAAAGAATATCAACAAAATGCCAGCTCGGGCAAATAGTATGCCTGATCCACCCGGCGCCAAGAGATCCATTGAGCCATGTTATCTTATGGCCGGCCTTTGCAAAGTCAAAGTCGCGTGATTATCAGAGACGCCCGCATCTGCTATCTCATGAGTGCAGATTTCTATCTATCTGACCCTATATTTTGATTCTATGCAAGACTAGTATTTATCTTCTCAATTCGAAGATCTCCTGAGAATAATAGCATAATGTCGCTCTAGGTCACCGGCCAAGTGGAGACTGCATGGCGGCGCAACTATACTCTTACCCCTCTCGTTTTCTCATAGCGTGCATTACCTCCTCCCTCTAGCCCCTCATTTCCATTTCATCGTTAGAAAGATCAAACCAAGACCAAGAAATCTAATACTCAAGAGACAAAATACTCAGCTAACAAAGCTGCAAATTCAAAGGTCTAACTCATATTCTTATCATTATTTCTAATAAGCTGATGGACCAGTTGCGTAGAGCTTCAACATGCCACAACAAGAAGGCCCAAAGAAAGCGGACGAGGCCGCGAAAGCAGCAGCAGCAAAGGCTGCTGAGTAGAAGCAGAAACGCGAGGATAGGGCAGCTGTCACTAAAGGTCTTACTGACCAAACGACGATGCAACAACTGTCATCTTCAGGATATGAAGCTAAGGCTAGGAGACAGAGATAGTGAGACATGTGAGGCGGGAATATTATGATAGTAAGAAGGAGATCTGAAGTGATTATGTATCAATCTTTCATCTCATGTAATGTCCGTTTGCTTCCAAGAATCTTATGAAAAGGGCCTCTGAAAGCAAGAAATAGGTTTGGTCTTGAACTCCCCAATATGTGAGTATCAAGTTTCACTATGCTATCAAAATATAACTTAATATTACACCCTACCTCCAGTAGCAAACGAGAAAAACCCTGCTATTAACTTTTACTTCCACTCAAGCTTTGCTTCCATCCACCTTCCCTTAGCTGGCCCCAACACTATAACATAAGAACCAGCGCCATTGTGTGCATGTCCATTCAAGTCTGGCCCATCGACCTTCTTACCCACGACAGACCCTCTCCTTCTACCAAGGGCATTCTCACGTCCGTCGATTCGATGTTCTCAATCAGTTCCGTCTTATCAAGGAGCATCGCAATCATTTGTGGGACTGTCGCAATCGCCCTGCTCAATGGCATCTCGTCGTCCATGCTAAGCGCATCTTTCAAGGCGTTGCCAATGGGAAAATCTCTGCTGTGATTGTCGATTTCATGCTCAAATCGATGAATTAGACGATTTATTTGCGACTGTCTGAATGCTCGAGACCTATAAATATCACTTCCCTCAAATGAAAGTTGACTCAGTTCTCCGAATCTGAAAGAGCCGATGCGAGCTGCACCCAATTTGCCAGCAGTCTCTAGATCTTTGGTCGTGGTCGCCATGTCAAAAGCTCAGTACTTGATTGGATAACGTTGTGCGACAACTGAGCCACTTGACTTATCGAGTGTCTCCTATGATATGAGGGTGAGCAGCCAAGACAAGAATTGCGGACGACCTGGAGTCCTTTCATGCTTGTAAGGTCTTCATTTAGATGATCTTCAAACGATGATGACCTCCCCATAGGCACCTGAAAGATACAGCTTTTCGTCTCCCAGCTTTGGCCACGAGCCTCCTGATTTACTTGGCTCTTTTGCCCGAACCAGCTTTCGCAGCGAATTTCGAAGCCCCGCACCGCCTCCTCCCTTTCCTTGGGTGGAGGTAGCAGTCTGGTAGTCGTGAAAGAAGTCACACAGCTGGCTGCCAGAGAATTTCTTTTCTATTCCGGACACATAGCCTACCCTCGCATAGAACCCTCTAGGCAACCCGGCTGGCCTCCGAAGCAGCAATGCATGCAGCGTTTTTTCCTTCGAATCCGAATCCGAGTCCGAGTCCCCCAGATTCGTAAGCACAGGGAGGACGACAATCTTCATTGTGTCCCGATCCACCATGGGTTCGTCGACGAATGCGAAAAATGGTTCTATCCCATCGACCTCAACACGATACACCGTCGCAGGAGCCTCATAGTCTTCTTCTGGCATGTGATATACATTTTTGAGTAGGGTTCCTCGCTTGAGAAATCCTTTTATCCGGACCTGGCCGTCCAATATAGCGCCTGTGTCATTGTTGTTATCGTCTCCATCTCTCCCGGAAACCGGCGTCACATTGACCGCTTTCAGATCAAGGTGGTAGACCTTGCCGGTAGACTCTAAGGTTCTGCCAGCGAAGACATTTCCGGTCACGGACGCCCATGACCAGCTAGGTGCACCGCCGTCTGGCGGCCGGTAAGGCCTGGACTCGCCCTCGAACGAGTCATCATTTAAGGTAAACCACAGCAGCTCGTCGACAAACCTGGACTGCCATAGCCCCGCGAGGTATTCATCTCGGAGGATGGCCCGCATCCGATTAGCGAGCCCGCTAAATGCGATGAGCCGGTCCGAGTACCGAGTGAACCGCATGCTGCTGTAAACTAAAATCCAGCGACTCCACAGCATGTACGCATACTCTGTTGCTGTCTTCAAGCGTTCCCCTTTGCCAATACTGCCACTATCTCCGGAATGCCAGCCGTAGTGGTAACGCTGGTAGGCCTCTGGATCGGTAATCTTGACTCCCGTGAAGGCATTGCGGAGTGATTTTGGCAGACCTGTTGGATACTTCTCGCATGCGTCTAACTCCCTGCATTCCCAGAGTAGCTGGTGCTGGCCGTAGTGGAGGGCGCGCGGCGGTAGGATGCGTTCCTGCAGGACCCAGCCTCGCTGGTTTAGAGGCGCGTCCGTCATCTCTGTCTGCCACATCTCGTCTTGCACTATACTGAATCGGCCGTTCGCGGCGTCAATCCATTGCGATTCGACGATGCAGAGTGCGAGGTGTTTCGGGTCGCGTGATCGGAAGAGCCCCTCGTGGCTATTTTGAGAAGCGGTAGCCATGATATTGAGCCTGCTGTTGCTGTAGACGCCTTCCATCGACATGGCTTCGGCTCGCCAGTCAGCTACAGAGTCTTGGATGATGCAGAGCGAGTCAATCCACAGGTAAGGTATTGAAAACCGGCGGGAGACGGCAATTGCCTCTACAAAGGTTTTTGGCAGTAGCGAGAGAGAGATGCCCTGCTGGAACGTATCAAGCGTTGAGGACTGGAGTGTGAGGATGTTTGCATCGCCCCAAGAATGGCTGAGTGTTGCGTAGCAATCTATCCCCTTTCCTTCAACCTTCGTATTTACCAGCCTGATAACCCCTGGGTCGTCCCCAGAAAGACCAAGGAGTCTTGATGGTAGATAGTGACTGCTGGATTTACACGCAGTATGCATGGAAAGACACTCTTGATACCATTTGAATGCTTGAGCCCATGCTGCGTCTGAAGCGGTACTATCACCCACGAACAGAGAATTATTCTCCGTTGGTCCATCATAGACTATGAAAGCGTTATAAGTAATTCTGCCAAACCAAGAATATTTTCTTAGCCAACATACTATGCGGTGGAAGGACTTCGAGGTCCAACTCTAAGCGATCTGCGATGAGCTTGTCGTAGTCGTCATCAAGCGCAAGGTTAAGGATATATCCGCCACCCTCTTCGCGTTCCAATACCCAATACGAAAACGCGTTCAATGTGGACAAATCTGAGAATATCTCTAGGCGGGCTTCTCCTATCAAAGTCTGGAACTCATAACAGACAGGGCAACCCGATTCCGAGGCCTTGAGAAAGGACTGCAGAGAGGGCTGGGGGATTTGGCATTCCATTGGGAGGCCTGGTCGTCAGATGCTGTCGAGTCGGCACTCAGCATCTGCCGGCCGCGAAAAACTTTTAGGCAGGCTTCACACAGCATACCTCGTCCGTTGCTATCGATTGGCATGTTGGATTGGAAATGACAGAAATTCTAGATGCGGCGGTACAAAGGCGGGCAATTGAAGCAAACTCATGAAACTTCCTTGAACCAAAACAGATGGGGTCTACAGACCGGACGCCACGCCGCAGGAGACTCGTGTAGAGTATATATTATCAATTTCTCAAGTACCAGCCTCGGGCAGCTAGAAGTCAATGGTGTGAACGACTGATTCGATTTGAGATGTGTTTTGAGGGGGGCAATACCTTGTCCTTAGCCGCGCTCGGCAGCAGGGTTCCTCGACAGATAACTATACACGCACCTCAAAGCCTCACTTCGCAGATCTAATAGTTCTTTGATCTAACGGAAACCAGCGCTTCACCGACAAGGAGGGGGGTGGGGGTTTCATCATTAATTGGCGATGGACACGCCCGGGTGAGATAGCGCCGCATGAGCCTGCAGCCACTCTCACCCTGAAATCCTTCCGCTCGCCCATCACGTGGAATGGAATTTTCACTTGATTATTTGGAGATTCTGGCATGTTTCCGTGTGTTTCAACTTTTGTTACACCCCTGGCCGCTTTTGACTTACATTCTATGGGGAAAATGTAGTGGTTCCCGTTGGTCGCAACTACACTCCAGGCTGGCCACTAGATGGGGTCAATTTAATCACGATCCTGGGAGATTTACTGATGGCCCGCCATATCCAATCTTTGACAGCCTCTAGACTATCTCTGCTCCCCCGGATAATCCCTGCGCCCTAAACTTTCCTTGGATCTACTCCGGCTGTGAGGCTATCGAGTCTGCCCGCCATCGTGTGTGAAGTATATTTTGGCACGCTTGTTCACGAAATGTATTACAGTCAACTCCCGCTTATAGTACACCCCACCATCCAAAGAAAATCTTGTACAATGAGTGAGAGGTACAATAGTTGAGTGAGAGGATGACATAATGCCCATAGGTCTCATCTTTGGAAATAACATCTTCCTCGAATATGATCTAAAAATTGATCAAATTATACAATATTATCATTACGAACATTATCAATTAGGTGCTTCATTATATAGAGCTTTGGTGGCGGTGCTTGGGTGGCCAGCCTAATACACTTTGGCGGGAGAGTTGTAGAGTATTCAGGCATTGTGATTGGTTGATAGAACTGACCAAGTGGACGACACAGCAAAAATGGGAGTGTACAAAGGCGAGTGTTCTATAAGTGAGAGTTTTGTATGGGAAAACCCGAAAAAGGGGGTCCATCCAAGCGGATGGTGTACTATAACCAGGAGTGTTCTATAACCCGCCGTACCATAAGTGGGAGTTGACTGTATTTCGCCAACATTCTTCTTTCTATTGCTACTATGAAAAAAATACGACATTTTCGGTCTCGAGTATCAATTTATCAGGTAAGACACGCAGGATATTGGCTTAAGAAGGCAAGCTAATAACTAGTAGACCGAAGCAAGACTCGGTATTCGAATCGTGAAGCTCTGGTTCCGCCTCGTATACTTTCGCCCCCGTAATATCCTAACAATTCTCTCCTTTTTACTCTTACTTGGCGCATTTATATAGGCACTCGTGCTCGAAGATGGCAGGCAGCTCTGGCTCTCGTAGCAATGGCCTTTGCCTCGACTTTAGTTGGGATCGCGCCCCACTAGAGACCGTAATTGGCCGCCCGACCGACAAATGCTTTAGCCCCAAAGGGTGACGTGATTATTCGCACTCGCGATGGTGCTTTTATCATCGTTCACTGCTCGGAAAGAATTGCACGAAAGCTATTTTCGGGCCTAGAAGAATGCGACTATTTGGTCAATGACTGATGGTTTAAAGTATTGGTCGGCATTACGCTTTCTCTGGTCACTCTATCGGTGAATTTCTCGGAGATTACGATACGAGTAGATAATGCAAGCTATGATCGCTGTGATATACATCGTATTGAATATCTTATATCGGATAGCCTCCTTACTTCCGCAAAGGCTGCTTTAGGATTTATCAAAGTGTAAGTGCATTCCAGTTGGACTGAAGTGCTTGGAAGCTGTAAATGAAGACGAAAAGAATAAATCAACTCCAAGCTGTACACAAAGCCTATGGCTTCTAATACAAGCCACTCGACAAGTCTAGTAGGTGATAGTTAGTAGAGCAGCCCCTAGCACGACCGCGTAGGAGACGTGGCTGAGACTGGCATATGATAACTGCCGCGACCTGGGTTAGAATACAGTTGCTAAAAGAGATCGAGATCGATTAATGAAAGATACGCGCTAGGAACCTGGGGCGCCAGCTTCTCTGCTTGTTCGCCACGAGACAGCTTAGCGAGGGAGGTTTTGAATGAAGAGACATTATGTGTATAATATGGGATTTAGACAGGGAAATTTAAGATGAAAAGAAATTCACCTTACCTATCAGCGCCTTCCGTTCGACCTTTGAGTTTACAAAATCGATGATGGCACAAACCGTCGCGTTTGCTTTGGGAGTCTCCCAGGTAGAAAAGTTCGATATTACGATAGCAGACAGAGTCCGGAAGATCTTTCAGGGAAACGTTGTTTGGGAAGACCACTTTGGATTGCATGAGCCCGTTTGCGTTTGCCCAAAGACGAGCCAGGTAGCGAGGTATTCTGTGTCTCTTGGGTAAGCCTTGGGGATATAAGTCAGCTAGCATATGAATGCTACCAGGCACAGCGCTATGAGTCTGATAAATCCGACGTCGATTTCCAATGCCCAAGTTGCCAAGTCCCAGTGTCCATGAGTAGTCTCCTACAAAATACAGAGAGTGGGTACTGTGATAGCTTGATGGAAAAAGAAAGCCCTCTGAGTATTTGTCTTACCTTTGTCAGAGATCATGCATAATTTGAACCATGCATAGAATCATCTGGTTTGTTTTACTTCAATGCAGAGCGCTGACATTATTCTCCAAAGGGAGCACTCCAAGATACAACAGTGTTTATTCTAAGTAATTATAAGTCCTAGGATCCGATCGATGGTTACGTTGATAATGTGAACTAGGTGACTGGAGGCCAGGCCTGTGCAGATCTCCTGAACGACCGTAACAAAAACGAATAGGCGAAGGGGTACGACATCTTGTCCGCTGCCTAACAGTAGGTGTATTCGTAGTATTCTTGCAATCTAAGCCTAGAGGAAATCACGGAGTTAGGGCATAGACTGTCCGTGTCGTGAAATTTGGGGACTCGGTATCCACTGGCCGAAGGAATCGCGGCTAGGACAGTTGTATCGGTCAAACAAGACACGTTAGAGCCAGGCCAACCTCATTGTGGAATTGAAGCAAACGCTATCGCCTAAATGTGGCACGACCTTAAGGTTCCATTCTTTGTATGCTGCGCTGGATGCGTAGATCCGTTTCCCGGAGTAGGTGATTGTCTAGAGCGAGTGAAAGACGCGCGGATCACGAGATCAACGGCTGGCAGACGAATATTCGCATGGAATCGGGGAATCCGTGGGCCAGTGTCGGGGTGTAGGAGACCGCACCTGGTCTGTAATGAGGTGAAGCCTAAAAGGCAGGAAGAGCGACGCAAAGTCGAACAGAGGTGATGACGGGTCGCTGGGAAAAGGAGGTGGCGGAGCTCAAGAGCTCGGTGATTCGGTTCGATAGCGAAACTGTCTAGCCTGCAGAGTGAAAAAAAAGCAGCGCAAAAAAGCAACTATAAGACGTTGACTGCAAAAAGGGAGGCCAGGATACTATATACCACCACGCACGGTGCGGCTGAAGGACATATGACGCTAAACCAAAAATACTCACACTAAGCTTCTTTTGGGTCATAGTATGCCTAAAGTGGTAATTCAGTATACCAGTCCGATATGGTGTAGTGGCTAACATCGTCGTCTCTCACACGACAGCCGGGGGTTCGATTCCCCCTATCGGAGTTTATTTTTGCCTTTTTTTTTTTCCAAACTTCGCGGCTTGCAATATTTGTGCCGTTCAAAGCCCTGTCACGGTCCGCAGGATCCGGTTTTGCTTCGCTTAGCTAACAGGAAAAGCGGCTGGGTCTATTGATACAGATATATGATCTATTGATTCTCCCATAATATCTGGGCATGGCCTACGTATTCAATCTCAAGCAGAATCTTCGGATAGTCATGAAAGTGTAGCAAGCCATCAAGCATATAACCTTAAAAACCTTAATTCGCCAGTCGATTGCAGACCGTGATGAAATATACCGTCATTCTCAACTCTACCTGAGCGGGTTAACGGCGAGTCGGAAGAGAGCAGCCCCACCATAGAACATCATGTCGGTCCGATACGCTTAGTTAACAGCTGTTTATAGATCTGATTTAAGAACTGAGCTCCCCCAGCTTTCCTTCCCTTCTCCCTTTAAACCCCAATCTGTTAAACCAATTCCCACAATGCCTTTCGTCAAAGCCAACACCCACAGTCTTCACTATTCCGACTCCCACCCTAGTGGTCCGCCAACCCCGACTGGCCTTACTTTCCTTTTCATTCACGGCCTGGGATCTTCGCAAAATTATTACTTCCCTGTTATCCCGCATTTGACATCTAAGCACCGCTGTATCACTATCGATACATACGGCTCCGCCCGCTCAACATACACCAACGACCCGGTTTCTATTCCGGGTATCGCAGCTGATGCCATCGCTGTTCTGGATGAGCTGAAGGTCTCCAAGGCTGTCGTGGTCGGTCACTCTATGGGTGGATTGACAGTCACGGAGATAGGATCTCGGTACCCGGATCGGGTATTGGGTGTTGTGGCGATTGGGCCGACGCACCCGTCTGAGATGTTAGTAACGGTTATGAGCAAACGATCGGAGACAGTTCTTGAGAGTACGTATTGCCTTTGACTTTGAATATGCATCATTGGTACTATTTGAATACGGAATTACTGACTTTATCTCCAGCTGGTATGGAATCCATGGCCAATTCTATCCCATCCGTGGCCGTCGGATCCCGCAGCACCCCACTTCACAAGGCATTTATCCGAGAGCTGCTGCTTGGTCAGGATCCCAAGGGATATGCGGCACTTTGTCGGGCTATCTCTACCGCTCAGCCCGCTGACTATGCTGCCGTGCAGGCGCCGTTCCTGCTTATTGCTGGTGAGGAGGATAAGTCTGCGTCCATGGAGGGATGCGAGCATATCTACCGGAATGTCTCGAGCAAGAGCAAGTCACTTGAAGTGCTGAAGGGTGTAGGACACTGGCATTGTATTGAAGCAGCTGATGAGGTTGGCTCGCTCATTGCGCAATTTGCAGATGGAATTGTTGTTTAACTTGCGTAGCTAGCTACAATAGATAATACGTCATAGATGCTTATTTCCACTTTTGTTCTTCTTATATCTGAAGCATTTAAGCAAGAACTGACACCTTATGAATGGCAGCAATTACATTTATTGAAATTTCAATATTGCGAATAACTTGAATATGTGCCGAGAACGCTTGTAGTAAAATAGAGAATTAGAAAGCAATGGTGAAAATAGCCATTGTATGCAAGTTTCGAATCAGTTTCATGCGCCGTTGGTTTGTACGTCAGCCACAAGCTTAACGTCATAGTTGAGCTCAAGGCCGGCTTGGGCATCGCCCTCCCGTGGGACGAAGTCTACAACCAGCGAGTCCTTCACTGCAAACACGGAGTCGTTGTCCAGGTACTTGTCCTTGCGGTCAAAGATCTGGGTAGTAAGAGGACGGTAGCCGTCGCAAGTAGCCTAATATGAAAAATTAGTGGGAATTTCCTCACATCAGTGGAGTTCAGGCATACCATAATGTGAATATGAGCAGGGCGGAAGGGGTGGCGGTCCATAAGCTCCAACAACTTTCCAGCGGGCCCTAAACAAACATGTCAGCTTCGATTTGACTAATGAAACGAAAAGGGAACCATCACTGACCATCGCCAGGAACAGGGTAAGGTGTCGGCCGCAAGCAGTAGAAGTAGTACCGCCCATCAGCATCGGTCTTGAACTTGCCGCGCAAGTTGAATTCAACTTGCTCAGAGTCCTGCTGCTCATACAATCCATTTGTTGAAGCCTGCCACACCTCGACGATGGCACCAACGAGAGGCTTCTGAGTAGCAAAATCCACAACGCGGCCGTGCATGAAGGCCATCTCGCCGTCCTTGGGCTTAGTCACGACGATATCGGCGCCGTTCGCACGGTATGGGGTATCCGCACGGAAGAACGGCCCAAGAATAGCAGTGGCGGTAGGCGCATCCTTAGCCTCATCAGCCAAAGTAAAAGTAATCTCATCCACAAGCCTAATGCGACCGAGTCAGTAAATGAACTTTAATTGCGAAATACACGTGGCCGCGCGGATTAATATGGTGTGGCTTACGATTCAAGTCCGATCACGTCGCAGACCAGTTGCCCCTCATTGCGCTTATCGTCGCTCATCTGTCCGGCCCAGTTGAGCAGCTTGACACCGGCCATCCACTCATCAACGGTCAGCTCATTCTCGCGCGCAAAGTCGTGTACATGGCGGATTAATCCAGTCATGAGCTGGCGCAGGCGCGGTGAGGTCTTCGGACCCATAGAGTTAATAACATTGTCGGTGAAATTGGGGTCGAATCGGTGTGTCGCCATGGTGAACTGAAATTGGAGTTAAGCTTCGGTGTCGGTTTTGACGTCGCAGTCGTGAGTGAGAAACGAAGTCAAAACAGGGTTAGACTTGGGGTTCGTGTAACGGGTTCTTTTATGTCGCAGAGGTAAGCTAAAGAAAAATATATGCGGCACGCTGCTGCTGAGCTGCAGTATTTAATTATCACAAGATCCGACGGGAATTGTAGACTTTGGAGCGGCAATGCACGGATCTTGGACTTAATTCCGGGTCCCCCAGATGCACTTGACCAACGAGTCGATGCTCATTCGAGAGTGACCCCGCATAACGGCGGCGCTGATGGCATGATTGGGTCGGGGCGGGTTCGGATGTTGGAGTCGGGGCGGCGTCGGATGTCCCTGCTGGTGCTGGCTTCGGATCGGGCGTGCCGAGTTACCTGCAGAGGTGCAGAGTACACTTCCGATTCCCCCGCAGTTCGGATGTGGCAAGGGTTTGATTGGCGAAAAGGGGGATTTTACTGTATAGAGATTCTATAGCTCATCCATTACGGATGATATGCGCCTAAATTTAATTCTGTTCTTAAATACCTATAGTCTATAGAGCTATAACGTATTTCACTACCGAGCGGAACACCCGGTCGGCCGGAACACCCCAACCAAAACGCGTCAATTAATTAGACCTTCTATCTTCAACTAACCACCATGCCACCAATCCGCTCTTAAAATCGTCAAAAATTGACAGAACAAGAGGGGCGTATCTTGCTTGCTATTCAGGCTATTAATAAGCAGGAAAAATTGTCGATTCGCGAAGCAGCACGCATATATGACATCCCGCATACGACGTTATACGCCCGCCTTCATGGACGTCAAAATCGCGTCGATTTACGCGCAAATTCGTTCAAATTGACTGAAATCGAGGAGAATTCGTTAAAGAATTAGGTGATCTCTATGGATATACGTGGAGCGGCACCACGACCTTCTATGGTGCAAGAAATGGCCAATCTCTTACTCGAGACACGCGGAACGACCCTAGTTCAAACTGTTGGCAAGAATTGGGTCACAAAGTTCGTTAAACGACACCTAGAGCTCGATACAAGGTTTTTAAGACGCTATAATTATAAGCGTGTAAAGTACGAGGACCCTAAAACCATCCAGAACTAGTTTAACCTAGTTCAAAAGATGATCCATGACTATGGGATCGTTTCCGACGATATCTATAACTTCGACGAGATAGGCTTCGTAATGGGCTTAACTGCGACCGTAAAAGTCGTTACGCGAGCGGAATATTATGGTCGACGCCCTCTTTTATAGCCTGGAAATCGCGAATGGGTAACCTCGATTGAGTGTATAGGCGCGTCTGGATATAGCCTTCCTTTAATAATTATCTTTAAGGGTAAAATGATAATTAGAGGCTGGGCTGATATGCTTCTAGATGACTAGTAATTTTAAGTTAGTCTAAATAGATAGACGTCCGACGAAATTGGACTTCGCTAGCTTGAAAAGGTCTTTATTCCATCGACTTCCTTAAGAATAAAGGGAACATATTGACTTCTGGTTCTTAATGGTCATAGAAGCCATTTAACTCTAAAATTCGACGAGATTTGCTCTCAAAATCATATAATTCCAATCTATATGCCACCGCACTCATCACATCTTTTACAACCTCTTGATGTAGGTTGTTTTGCGGTCTTAAAGCGTGCGTATAGGAAGTGCGTCGAGGATATTATGCGGTGTGGTCGGAACCATATCGATAAATTGGACTTTCTTAACGCTTATCCGACCGCTCGAAATGAAGCTTTTAAGGCGGAAACAATCAAAAATAGCTTCTCAGCAACTGGCTTAGTCCCATATGACCCAAATCGAGTGATTTCAAAGCTCAATATTCGACTCCATACGCCTACACCACCACCATCTCGAGATAGCCAAAGCAGCAGCATATAGGAGCCTAAGACACCATCAAATTATAAGCAGCTTCAAAAGCAAGCTTCTTCAATCAAAAAGCTCTTAAAAGAACGGTCTAAGAGCCCACCAAGCCCATTGAATTCTGCTATAGATCAGGTGCTTAAAGCGTGTCAAATCACGATGCAAACAACCGCTTTTCTAGCTCGAGAAAACGAGCTTTTGCGCGCTGGACACGAGAAAATTAAGCAAAAAAAGCACGTTCTAAGCTCCAGATAGCAGCTCCAGAAGGCCTTTCTGTCGCTGAGCTTAGACAATTGGTTCAAAATGATAGAAATGCTCAATTTGAACCTCCATTCGACCAGCCAACCGGTCAACCAGAAGCACAAGAACGACGACCTAGGGCGCCACCAAGATGCTCAGAGTGCAATATCCAGGGTCATAAGAGAACACATTGTCCAAATTTAATTAAATAGCTTAGATATTCAATATTACGTTGTTCTGGTTGAATTATACTAGTTTGATTATTATAATTCAGTTGGGGTGTTCCGGCCGACCGGGTGTTCCGCTCGGTAGTGAAATACGTTATACGCCATGGATGAGTCAGCCATACAAGACGGGGAAAGTCACTTAACCGATAGTCAAGCAATGGAACGCTGCTTGCCCAGTTGAGATACTGAACCAATTTGGATGATATTTTGGTTTAGCTCTCATGCGACGGGAAATTCGAAATGATAGCATATGCAGTACTGATGTTATCTAAAGTGCAGCAGACATAATCGTTTATAGACAGGGATAGATATCGATCACCGTTTATTCTTCGGCGTCCCCTTGTTCATCAAATGAGCCGGCAACTCTTGTAAGACCTGCCCCTTCTCCCAAATCTTGCCCATCTGAGCCTTCCGCTCAACCACAACATCAAAGAAGTCCACCGGCACAACTCTCTGCGCATTCCCAGCTGCATCATCTCCAGCGCCAGAAACCGGCAATCCCTCACTCAGGATGACCCCATTCTCACTGCGCCAGAAAGGACATCCAGCTTTCAGCGCTTTGCGAAGATCAATGTAGATCAAAACTTGTGCATCCCAACGCATCCCCGAAATCACAGTCTTGTCTGCGCGTCCCTGCGAAGACTCTTTATCCTCCTGCTGAGCCGCAAGCACGGATTCGACGGATGGACCCGTCGCGAAGTGCACGTGGTTACGATTCATGCAGCGCAGACCACCCGACTGTAGGATTAGTGGCCATGAACCATAGAAAGTTCCGTGCACTACCGTCTCCGGAAGCTTAGATTCATCGTCCAGAGAAAGGGGTTCAAGGAATGAAGCCGCGTCCACACTTTTGATACTGTGGCCCTGCGATGCACGAATGAGGTAGTTAGCTGGGTTGGCATCGTTCGCGGAAAGTGCCTGTTGCGTTGTATCGGCTTGTTCTTCGCTTGTGATAGGTGTTTCCAGGACGGCGGCATTGCCAACAGACTCGCTTTCCTGGGCGGATTCTGATCCGGGTGTTGTAGTCGCTTTTGTTGTAGATTCGGAAGGCTGCGAGGAAGGGATATGGAGCAGAGCGAAGCGCTTTTTGTCGGAGGAGTCAACGGCATGTTTGATCTCGTCGAAGGTGCATTTGATGGATTTCAGCTTCCGCCATTGTAGCTGCAGAGGCACTTTTGTTAGTCACAAGCAGGTATAATGGATCCGCAAGCCCGGAATAGAGGGGACATACCACATCTGCCACGTTTGCGTAGCCCTGCGCGTTCATTTTGAGTCCTTCTTTCTCGGCTGCATGTCGAAGTAGCAGACTCAGTGCCTTGGAAATTTGCACGTCGCGGGACTGCCCTTGACCTCCTCGACCCTGGCCACGACTGCGCTTATCCTTGTCTCCAGCCATAATTTGTTGCTTGAACGATGTGGTGAATGTTGACCGGGAGCTGCTTTTTGCGGTGCGGGGAGCTTGTCGAAATTTGCGGAGCTTTAAAATATTGCTGCGGGGCAAAGTCAGAGCCGCAGTGGATCGGAGTCATACAACACAAGTCTAGGGAGCACGGAACACCAGGGCATAAGATGACTCACGATGATTCACGTTGATTTACACAGTTGCCTGGACCTCTACTGGATTGAAATTGGAACATAGAAAACTCTGTTGTGATGTCCATGATATTTAATTCCCTTGTCCTCCAGGGTCTATGGATTTCTGCGAGCTGTGAATATATACTTAAGTGCATCTTAGTTAAACTTTATCTTCTACTGTCTGCAAGGGATCAGGTATAGTGGACTATATATCATTCCACTCTATAGTTGAACTGGATCAATGGGTATATCCTTCAAACAAAACAAAACGCAAGAATCCTCTCCAGAGATCGTTATCGATCGCAGATACAGCTACATTCGGCCACAGGACACACCTTGTGCCGCGTAAACCAGTCGCGTGCGTGATGCGCATGGAATCCATGATTACAATGAATACAAAATACCACAAATCGCCGCATGACCTCGGCCTCACTGGCTTTATGCGAATTGGATTCCGCATCAGCAGCAATACCTGAGCGGGATAGTGGGTCTGGAGAGCCAAGCCACAGTGTGCAGACACCACAACGAGGCATGTGGCGACCGCAACGGGGACAGACTGTTCCAGACATACTTGCAGAGCCGAGAGGATTGCCCACAGTTGGATGGACGGTTTCCATCGCAGTGGATGGAGAGATTTGGGAAGAGGAGTCGTGTTGCGTGAGGGGACGCGTGCAGTAGTTGCAGGTCAGACTGACCTGTTGTGGCGGTGCAGGGATGAGTTTGCGCCCGTCGACAGTAACGGCGAATTGACGAGAGCCGACGTCGAAGCGGGCTCTTTCAAGTTGGAGTTTCCAAGAGTTCATTTGCCTGCGATAGGTCTCGCGCCAGGCTTCAAACTTGGCAATATAGGTGGCATTGCTGATGATTCGGGGTACGGTATGGCTCATGGCAAGTACAGGAGTCTGAATATCGTTAAACTTGTCGATATATGACTGAAACAGGCCCATGGCCAGATGGCCTAATCCAGTTAGCACCACACCCTCAATGTCACCTGCTTGCATTGCTTCTGTGGTGGCATCTTTCAGGTATTCGCTCAGCTCGTCATCCGGGAGCCAGCGCAATGCAACCTCGACGCGGTATTTTAAAGGAAGTGTAGTCTCCTTGATGACTGCATGCCAGTCGCCTTTGCTTACAAGAGCAAGAATCGCGCGTGCATACGGGTCAGTAAGTTCCTTCGAGATCTCGGCGCAGGTCTCTTCCCAATCTGCACTGTTGTCTCCCTTCGCAGAACCAGCAATTGCCATAGCTAGCATTTTATGGGCTTGTTTGGGTTCATTGCCTCGAAGTCCTAGGTATGCGAGTTTTGGCTCATCTTGGAAGACGGCCAATGCAGCGGCTTTGGTATGTTGACCCTCGGCACAGAGGGTCGTCACTAAATCCTCCAGTTCTTGGTGTGATTGAGCTGCACCACAAAGGCGAAGGCACAGTCGGCGGTGCTCAGGATGTGCAGTCTCACAGCCTCTAGTCTCTGGTAAACTCAATTGTGCGGCTAGCTGAATGATTGCCTCGGCTGCAAGGTTTGCATCGTCTCCCTTCGAGCCGACGCGACGTTTTTCGAAACCATGACCTACACCGTTCATTAGTTGTTGTGAAGTAAATGGCAAAAGAGGAAGAGACGAACCGAGATCATTATGCCACACATTGCTCACACCAAGATAATTCAAGTCTAAACCATTTACCACCATAGCCATCTCCGACGAGTCAGATCGAGCTCCTAACACGCGCATTAGTACAGATTTTCTGAAGGGATACCAAGCAGCTTACTTTCAATCCAGCCCCAAAGATCTTGAAGAGCAGCATCGTCTGCTACGATTTGTCGATTTCGCGCTTCGTCAAATAGATACCCCTCCTTACACCGGAACCGGCTCAGCGTAGAGAGCGTTAAAGCCTCCTTTGCAGTGAGAAGAGTCCCAAATGTACCTAGAGACAATTCACGTTCCCGACCTTCTCGACTCGGTACAGATTCAGAGGTCATTGCGTCGGAAGCAAACAAGTTCGGTTCATCGATTCTAGTGTTTTTAGAGCTAGACAGTACGCGTGACCTGATGTTTCCAACAAGTTCAGAAATTGGGGAGATCTGTTCAGAAAGAGGGCGTATAGACCTGAGATCTGATTCAGGGGAGGCAATACCACAGGCCAATGTCCCTTGTGATGATAGAGCCACAGGGGAACATGGCGGTCGTCCTGTAATGATTTGTGGGATTCCATTGCCATCGATAGCAATAGCACTAGGTTGTGAAGAGATACTGAGGTTCAAAAAGTCAAAGGCTACCACCCGGTCCTTTTCTGCATACCCACGAATGGGATGGTCAAATGGAGTGGCGACATCTCGTATGTGTTTTGTATGGACCGGCTCTGGGTAGTTTCTAAAAGAGCCTTGACCGAGTGTCTCGTCAATGGAAGAGCGATATTCTTCTGATAAATGATCTTTGGCGATTTGGAATGTTTTCAAATGGCCAGTGCTGGACAATGCACCCAAGGATCCACGGTTAGTTTTGGAGAAGCGCAAACTCCAAATCGAGCTCTTGGGGTCGAAGACATTCTTGAGCTGCAGGACAGAAGAATTCTGAATTGACTCAGAATTTGTCGCAGAAGAGCCTATAGAGGGTGATGTCAAACGAGTTCCGACGCGCCGATCCCAGACGCAGACAGTGCTCTCGTTGGATGCCACGCAAGAAGCGATATAGTTCTCGTCAAGCCAGTCAATCGCTAAATTATGGACACAGCGAGTCGGGAATTGTAGGGATGGATTCCCAGGTCCCTCTGGAGCATCAATTAGCATAGGGTGACAAGTGTTGCAACGCCCAGGCAACACGAACCTCGTAAATCATATATTCGAACAAATTGCCCCTTCACTCCCGTCACTAGTGTATCCGGTTGATCTCGGAAAAATTTGATACTTGTTATAGGCTCGGAGCTAGCCAGCTTTCTCAAAGGTTCGTGAAACCCCTTGGTAGCGCCGGTAGGACCAAGTCGCTGGTTGACATCCCAGATGTTCAAGCAGAAGTCATTGCGCACGCGATCCAGACCCGATGCCACAAGCCCATGTGCACTGAATGCTACTGCGTTACAATAGCGCTGGTTTCGGACTGGAAAGGAAAGCGATTCCTTCTGGTCGGCGTCAAGTCGTAGAATAGTAGCTTCGCCGGATGACTGGCCCACCGCGATAAGGTTCTCGTTGGATATAGACCAGTCGAATGCTCGGAAGAGAGGGACATCTTTGAGATGAGAGAGGACTTCATGTTGTATATTTCTGCCATCGAACCCCGTTATTCTGCATAGGCGAAACGCTTTCCCTGTGACGTCGACGGAGAGAAAGCGTTGCTCCGCGGCGGTCGAGGTCGGTGACCAGCGAATGGCGGACTCCATGCTGTATATGCGCGCCCCTCAGAGGAGCCAACTAGCTTCTCAATTCTTCTTCACTGGAGGCCGCAGCCTCGCGTCAACGCGTTGAATGCGGGAGAACGAGGGGAGAGGCTAATCGTCATGTCCGATCGGCCGGGCGCTCATTGGCTGCGACGATCTGGGGTGCACGGGCCGATGGTTGCGCCGAATCGAGCTGTAACTTTTTTTTTCTCCAAAACGACAGTCTCGACAATCAACCAACAATGTCTGACTCTCGACGCACCCGTGGAGATTCCTCCAAGCGCAAGAGTCACCATGACTCAGAGGACTCGGTGCCTCGCAAAAAGCAGCATCGCCATGCCGACAGCGACGAAGACATGCAACTCGAGGGGTCCGGAAACCACGAGACCGGCAACCCCAAGAGCAAATCTACCCCGCGGGACAAGGATTTTACATCAATCAACGAGCTTAAGAGGCGCATCCGGGATGTTAAGCGTCTTCTCAATAAAGGCACTCTGCCCGTAGATGCCCGGATTGTTCAAGAGCGAGCCCTCGCAGGATATGAGCAGGATCTGGCGGACGAAACAGCGCGGCGCGATCGATCGCACTTGATCAAGAAATACCACTTTGTTCGCTTCCTGGGTACGCGAAGTCCAGCTAATCTCAGTCTAATCGTTCGATCGCTAACTACTGTCCCTCACTAGATCGCAAAACTGCAAGCAAGAATCTGAACAAACTCCTCCGTCGCGAAAAAGACCAAGAACTCGACTCGAAACAGAAAGCCCGCCTTCAACAAAAGATCCACGAGGCTCGGGTTAGCCTCAACTACACTATCTATTACCCCCTCACCGAGAAATACATTTCGCTCTACCCGAAGTCGCAAGAGAAGTCCTCAAAAGAAGCCGGTGCAGAGTCAGGGTCAGAAGCAGACGCCAAAGACCAGAAGAACCAAGACAAAGAGGCCAAGCCCCCGCTTTGGGCGGTCGTGGAGAAGTGTATGGCAGATAACACCATTGACCGTCTTCGCGAGGGCAAGTTGAACATTGGATTCGATGGCAAGCCCATCACCGTCTCTGAGAAGCCAGCACAAGAAGTCAAGGAAAAGAAACCCAAAAAGGAAGAGTTCAATGAAGCTCAGTATGGCTCGAGAAGGGAAAGACGTGCTGCTGCGAACTCTGTGCCGAACGGTAGGCGGGACCAGAAGAACTACTACGGCCGCGAGAGAGATCGCCTGCAAGATGTGGCACCCGTTCAACCCGCTGGTGCTGGGGATGATAGTGATGGCGGATTCTTCGAAGAGTAATCGACATAGCATGTATGGGGTCTGGCGCCTGGTTTTTCTCTACCTGATATCCGAATTTGCATTGTATGAACAACTTGAAATCGACCTGCAAATATGAACCTGCAAATAGGCATGGCAAAATACTTCCTTCGATCTAGGCCCGACTTGCCAATGTATAAACATATACATTCTGTCAAAAAGACTGACCATTTTTCCCCGACTCGTGAAGGATTACCAGTCCATTAAAATCGTGGGACAAACCTTGGCCATGCAAGGCAAAAGGATATTGAGTCCACTGCTGGTCACGTCAATGCTCACATCGATCATATGATTTAATGATAGCACCAATACTTGACCGCGTAAAAATCCGTCTTCGAGGGGTTTTCCAGACATTCGGAGGGCAGTGGCGACCATTGCAGTAGGTCGCCCAGGAGATTACTAAGTAGGCCACTAAGAAGTTGGAACTATAACAACGGTGATGATATAAAGAATTTGCCTGAAATATTGCTTAAGGAACTTCCCTTGGATGGGTAAATTAATCTCCCGAAGGAAAATTGCTGCTGTAGTAATGATGATGAGCTTCACTAGATAGTTGTCAGTTTCGATATCAGCTTAGTGTGCCCTCTTCTCTCTCTCAGGGCGGGGAAACTCCTTATGACTCCACCCCCTATTGGGCTCGGTGAAAGACAGTCGTTGATTCATGCCCGCGGAAGTTCATCAAATACATATTACTCTCCCAGGATTTTTCAACAGGATAAAGCGCGTGGCACTGCTAAAGTCACATAGGAATGGGTCGAGGACACTGGAGGATTGGTTGAACAAGGAGCGTCTATATCTAACTGATCTTAACCCAAGAGATAATGCGTTGAAGAATCAAAGCAAAGCAAATTCTCCTACGGTTTTTGGTCTTAGATTCATGGTATTCTCGAGGGTACATCGACAAGGTAGAACGAGAGTAACAATTTACCATTTTTTATATGTATTTTTTATATCTCTCTTCGGGATATCTGTCTAAGGTCGCCTGTCTTCCATAGTATCTTTCTACTTTAACATCTTCTTAATCACTGCAAATTCTAAGGGTTTTCTCACTTTGACCAAATTCTCCGAGCTTTTTCTCCTTCTTGATCCAGAGGTCCTTCATTACCATCGAAGACTCCAAGTTGTCGTTCTCTCATAGTATTTCTCTATCGGAGCTCTTCTTCATTCTCCTTCTTCTCCACTATCGCAGACTCCAAGGTAAGTTTATTTCTCGTGGAGAATTTTCTATCCCAAGCTCCTCTTCTTTCTTTCTGTGGTTGCTCGCTTCTTTGCCATCTTGCAATCTTCTACGGCTCCAGGTATCTCATTCTTGATTGAAGTTCGTTCGTATGTCAACACTTGGACTTGACTCTTGACAACTCACTTCAAACTTGTTGCAAAATTTCAAGCTTCCCTTCTTATTGCTTTGAGATCATCTTTCGCTTCACTTTGAACTTCCTTTTGACCATTATACAAATCTCGTTGCTCTTGCTGATCGTCTACCTAGGTCTTCGAAAAACTTACCAACAACCACTACTGAGAATTCTTGTGGCTTATCAGTGACGATCAAATCTACAATTCAGAAAGATCTCTTCCCTCAATTGAATTGTCCGTCTATCAGTGAGCACTAAGATTTCGATCACCATATTCGTCTTTGAGCATCACTTGGACTCTCGCCAAATCACCGAGCTCAAGCTTGACCAACACCCACCTTGACTAAAAAACTTTTTCACATTTGTCCTTCTCTCAACCTTTCAGCATGGCTGGTCGAGGCATCAAAGACGGGCCAATGGCATGTTCCAAGTCATCCATCCAACTCTATACCAACGAGCTTAAAAACCACCGTGATCAATGCCTCGCACTTCTCCAAGCCCATGAAGAGAAAACCCCAGATACATTTTGGAGCAGGGACGACCAAGATCCCGTCGAACCTGAAGCGGACTCCGAGAAGTCCCTCAAGCTCGCGACAGAAGTCGTCATCCAAAATGGCAAGCATGTTTTCCCGCCCCCATACACTCGCCTCAGTGACGAACTCGTCTACTTCGCCACCAAATTCCTAAAGTCAAATGTGCGTGGCAGAGATTACCCGTACGACTTCCAGCCCCGTGGCGATATCGATCCTGATCGCGTTCCCTCGGGTGTAGGTCCCATCGTCTGGGCCCATGGGCTCCCCTTCTTCCCGGTTTACAAAGGATATTATATCCTCTGTGGAAGGAAGCATGCAGACTGGATTGGATGGAAGCTACACGGGAAGCACCAGACAACGATGAGGGAATACCCCATCTGGACCATCGGGCCCGTCGTTGCGCCTGGATCTGCGATTTCGCTGGATCGAAGGGCAGAACGTCAGATGCTCACCCACAAGATGAAGAGTGCAAAGGAATGTGAGAAAGGCATGGAGAAGTCTCCAGTGGCCCGTGACGTCGTTTCTAATAAGCACTTTGATGGGTCTGTTGTGCCAAGGGATAGCAAAGGAGGTTTTATGATCACGCCTATCTACCGTGTGCAGGGCTACTCGACTAAGGTTGGGCCCAACGCAGCGGATGGGTCTCGAGCAATGCAGATGGGGAAGCTGTGGTTTACCAAACATCGAATCCAGGATTTTGATTGGGATGCTGTGTCGAAGGTTCACTATACCAATGAGCGCAACCCAATGATCTATGGTGATGACGAACCTGCAGAAGCCGAAGAGGAGGTTGGGGATGATGCGGAAGAAGAAGTAGAGAGTGGCATCGAAACCGATTTTTCGGGCTTCATGGACGAGACTGAGGACAACATCAAGACACCAGCTGAAGACAATATGGAAGACGTGGTAGAGGGTGACACTGACATCACGGAGCCCATGAATGAGGCTGAGGACAACAAGAGCAAGGAAATGGTCGATATGGACGGGGAGGTAGAAGGTGACACGGAGATCACCGAGCTCATCACGGATGAAATCACCGACGAGGTCATGCATGAGGAAACTGCTCAAATCAAGGCACTCGATATCACCGAGCCCGAGGAGACCTCCCTGAATGAAATGCCCGCTTCTCAGCACCATGAGATTGCCAAAGAAGCTACGGAGACTACTAAGAGCCTTAAGATTGCCAAGCTCATCAAGACGACTGAAGCCCAGGAAAAGGATATACCCCAATTACCTGAAACGGATGCCAGCGGTCCTTCCACCTCGCAACGTCAGGATGACGATGCCGTCAAGACTACTTCGGGCCACGCACCTCAGAACACCGAAGACACGGCCATAGACCAGGAGGATGATGGCGACACCGGTCCAGAATCCGAGGAAACGAAAAATGAAACCGATCCAGACGCGCAGACCTCAGCTTCAGAGACAGCTATTACTGACATGGCCGCTGAAGAGGGAGTTTTGGAGACTAAATTGACTGAGGAGTGAGACGAGCAGGGCGACGAAGAGAGAAAGTATCGATACCGGTTTTGAATCCCCAGGCTCCTGCGAAGTGGGAATTTCTTTGAGTTTCCGTTCTTGTTGCCTTGGTCATTCTCAGTTTTGATTTCCCAGCTCGTTTTTGCGATTCTGCATTTTCTGTCTGGGTTCACTTTGACCTTACCGTGAAGGCATTGAGAAATCAGATTGACTTGTGAGCGCGGCTTGACCTTTGCAATTGAGCCTCAGAAATTTTCTTATGGTTTAATATCGGTGCAAGTCTTTTTTTGATAAATGTAAATTGAAAACAAAAAAAAAGAGGGGATTGAGAACGGAATTGATACTGGAATGGTGGAATGGAAGGATGATTGAACACGATGGTTGAACACCTCCCTAATCATATCTAGCGTAGCATAATTGCATTGCAGACAGAATGCTGTTTTGATTTTTCTGGCTTTCCAGGTATTCAAGAGTGTATGACCTCGCTTTATTCGAGTAGGGGTTTCCACTAAGATTTCATTCCTAGGTAACAAAAGGCGGCTCAGTCGATATCCTTCACCACAATGCCACCTCGTTCAGCTTCCCTCGTCCTTTGATAAGCATTGCGCGCTAAACAAAATTCATGGATCTTCTATATCTTAAATACAATCAAAAGCTGTTCTATAAGTCTAAGTCTATATGAATCCCCTCTTCTATTTTCATGAAGCACACGACATATCGTCAAGTCAGTCAATCAGGTTCCCTCCTTGACATGAGTAATCATTCTCATTCATAAGCCACATCCTCCAACTTCCGCCGCCAGACATGACCACGCAGTTGCAGCACAATGGTGGGAAGCACGCTGACAGCAATAATCATACCACAAACGATACCCGAACTGGCCGCCACCCCGACATTATTAAACATGGGCGTAAACCTGAATTGATAGTTAGTAACTTGCATTTATTCCCACATCCCAAGAAGAAAGAGGTCATACCAAAACGGACCAAGGAAGCCCCAAATCTGGCGAACAAAAGTGATGAACACACCCACACTCGCCGCCTCCTGGGGAAGACAATCAACCGCATAAGTAACCATGACGGTAGTCACAATCTGACTTCCCGCAGCAGCAATCCCGGTACCGATAATAGGGGACACGATCCAGTGGCCAGCGGTGGCTTCCTGCGTGCAGACAAGGAAAAGAATCAAGCCGATACAGGCAAGTGCGTAACCAAAGTAGCTGAGCCATAGACGGAACTCGGGTTCCGCTTTGTTATTTGTTCGCTTTGTGCGCATGCGCATCCAGTAATCTGATAAGCCACCTCCAATCTGCTCGCCTATCACAGATCCAATGATCAAACCCAGGAACTGGAGTCCGACTTGTTCGGTGTTGAGGTCGAATTTCGATTGCAGAAGGGCCGGAATCTCGACTGTTATCATGATGTTGCTGAAGAGGAAGACCATGGCGTAGGCGCATGTGGGGAGTAAGATAAATGTGTGTGTGAGCATGGTCAATGGCTTGACGAACTCGTATAAGGTGAAGGGGGTAGGGTCGATACGACGGACAGAAAGGTATTCTCTCTTGAAGACCGATCCCTCCATATCCTCGCCGCTGTCCACGTAGCGGGTTTCTGGTCCGAAGAAAAGATACAAAATGAATTGGCCTCCGTTGATCTAGCCCGCCAAGTCAAAGTTAGCATATGCTCTTCTAATCGCAGAAAGATATCCAGGTGAAACTGACCATTGCGAGAACCCAGTAAATCCACTCATAACCAACTCGGTATGCCACAAATCCGAAAATGAATGGTCCAAGCGGAACGCCTAATGTAATCATAAGTGTCCAGATGCCCATGTACCGGGCCCGATCTTTTTTAAACGTCGTTTCCATCACCACGGCACTACCAATAGCAGAGGCGGGGGCGATAAAAAATGCCGAAAGAGCTCGACAGGCTGCAGTCGCACTGTAAGTAGTGCTCTCCGCACATCCTATATTGCACACCAGACTGAGAATCAGGGATAGAAGGAAGATAGGACGACGACCGTAGCGGTGGGACAAGGGCTTCCAGAAAAGTGGTGCACCACCCAATACCGCAATTTGGAGGGATGTCAGGTAACTGGCTTGCTGGTTGGAGACACCGTATAGTTTAACAATATCGGAATAAGCTGGGATAATTCCGGCGGCGGCAAATGTACTGATTCACACACAGAAGCCGTTAGTTTGATTTCCAAAGCAATTATTGAATTCAAAAAAGGGTAACAGGATGCATGCTTACCCCATACAGGCATGGAAGGCCACGAGTATAAGATTGGCCATTTTCTGCAGTCAGAGTCCGGTCAGTGTGATCCTTGCAAATTTTCATTGTCCTGCTTCATCTGGTACTAACCTTCCATTCGGGCCAGTTATAAGGGTCTGCAGGGTCCATCGTAGGCAGAGGATCAAGCTCCAAAGTACCATGACGCTCCATCAAATAATCACGGTGTGATTTGGACAGTCGTGACTGTGCAATCGAAAAATGCGGCCCATTGCCAGTGAATGCCGCGCTTTCCACAAAGTCGATGTCATATTTCGAGTTATTATTTTCACCGTCACGGCTTGACGGTGGTTGCTCCTTGAAAATGGTCATGGCCGACAGACGTTTTCTGCGTCAGGATGTCTTCCGTCTGGCTGGCGGTTGGGAATGATCTGGGGGATTGGGAAGAAATTCCCCAGTTCTAACCCCAGGTCTAAAACGTACCCTCCTGGGGTACTCCGCTTCCTTGGGTTCACGCAAGGTTGTGCACACTGACGCATAAAACATTGGTAATGGGGCGAATCCTGACCAATGAAGCAAGATGTTTAACCCATCCAAACTGGGCGAGACCCATTTAGTGGGGATTCCAGGGGACTTTGATGGGTTCGTGGTCCAGACGGATAAGACTTTTTAAGGTGGGGCGTGGGGAGCAATCAGCGAGGTTGTCCCTCGTTTAGTATCACCATAGCCATCAATTACTTGAATACTTGATGGCAAGTCAATCTGGTAGAATGCATGTGGTGCGATGAGGCTAAGTAGATGCCGAACAAAACATACATTTTTTCATGCGAGTCTGACTGGACACGGCAGGTTACTTCGGTTCGGCTTAACGGGAATGTCGGTCAAGCACCATAAAATACGAATCGGCAGAACCGTCCACAAATAATAGCCGAGACCCGCAATCCTGTGCTTACTCGGCGAGACTTCTGACAGGCCGACGGATATATAAGGATCGGATTTCCCGAACTGACCGGCTGACCGGGGACTGCAATCAGAAATATATGGGGAACAATCCGAAAGTGTTTATTGTATTGGACAAAGCTAATGGGAACAACCTTGGAACCTCGGAAAGCCAGAGCAAATTTGATGTAAAACAAAGGAAAAACAAACTCCGATCCATCCTTCTACATATGCTAAATTGGAAGTAGAAAGAAAAGAGGCCGAGGAAACGAAATGCAGGTCGATCTGGTCTTATTCAGGACGCCGCAAATGGTAACTGAAATAATCGTCACGGGCAAAGGGTCAATGGAAAGTCAGGAACGCTAATTGCTCGATGGGGATAGGAGGGGAAAAGATATTGGGGAGTTGCGGGTCGTAGGGAGGGCTGATCATCGAGGCCTCAAAGCCAATTTTTAGCTTGTTCCAATTGAAGGAAAAGAGGCAAAAGTCGTATCTCATAAGTTGGGAGTGGGGGCTCGTTCCAATTGCCAGCGATCCGGCGCTGACAAAAGGAGTACCATATCTTCATCGCTTGCGACAAGGACACCGACCTTCCGGATAAGGCTGGTTCCCGACGCATAATCTAGCTCTTGGCGCCTTGGCTAGCAATGGCCTTACATCAATGCACAGCCACCGCCGCTCTGAGCACGCCGTCGTCGGCCTGAGCCGCTAACACCACCAACGCCGAATGTATCTTCCTCATCTTCATCGGCATTGTAAAGTCGTTCTGCCTCACGGGCCCGACGTCTTCTACGTCGAGCTCCAGCACCAGCGGCACCGGCTTCTTCGGTGGCCATCATGTAGTCTGCCCACTTGCGATCCAGTCGACTGGCAGCAGACAGGTCACCACGCAGAACCCGTTTCGTATGCTCGTCAACCGTCATCTGCCATACATAGAAGCACTTGAGCTGGATGATGTCGCTCGGGTAGGTGGGCGAAGGAGACGGCGTTGAAGTTGGGGTAACGTAAGTTGAGGTGATCGGGGACGAACCTGCGTCCGATGTTTGAGTCACCGTCACAACCGCCGACACTGGTTTGCGGGCGCGAGGAATGTATGCGTTGCTAGAGAGGACTTCCTTGACGCCCGCCCAGGTGACATTGGCGCAGTCGAAAACGACCAGGCGAAGTCCGACTTGAGGGAGCTCATCGCCATAGCCTCGTCGGCGGACACGGAAGCTCGCTTCCATCAACGTGAGATCAGAGACACGAGTGTTATCCATCTCCACAGACCGCAGTTTAAGGCACTTCTTCATCACTTGGAGCATTCCGGTGTCACCAAGGTTTTCACAATAGCTGATGTTCAAGTGCTCGAGGTACTGAGCGCATGGTGACTTGGCCAATTCAACGAGGGAATTGTTAGTCAGTTTGTCCAGATCTTCCAATTCAAGATGGGAAAGTCGTGGCGTAGTCCGAATGACATCGATAATCGATGCATCAGTCAGCTCTGGGCATTGTGAGACCTGCAGGCCTTCCAGATCTGGAACATTGAATGCAAGGCTTTTCAATCCGTCATCAGTCAAAGCCGAGCAGTGATGCAAATCAAGGTGTCGGAATCGTCGAGGTGGCACAATAGGACGATCGGTCAGCACGTCTACATCCGGGTTCACACCATGCATCAAAATCTTGAGAGCCTCGTCAGTAAGATTGGTGCGGCTGATAGCTAGTCGTTCAAGAGTATTGCGCTCGAACAGCTCATTGGCAAATTCTTCATCGTCAAACGCCGGTATTTCACTGGCGCGAAGATCCTTCAATTGGACACAAGACTGGATCACTCTGCGAAGACCCTTGGATTCGACCTGCTGACACCAAGAAATATTCAAAACTTCAAGCCGAGGACAAGACTGCGCAATGATTTTCATTGATGAGTTCGTCACGCTTTTAAGGCCTGAAAGATTAATGTATTCCAAGCGAGCGTTACGCAGCAAAAAGTAGTGCATGGAGGTCTTGTCAATTTTGCTTCCCTCGAGCGAAAATGTGACAACATTCCGGCACAAGTCAGAGATGCGCTCCCCATCCGAGGACCATTTCTCACGTAGCTGAATACAGCCTCTGAGGTTGAGGTCGCGCACAAAGGGTCCACCGCAGGTCATGAGTTTCACCAGAACATCGCTGGGGATCTTCTGATAATAATCAGTAGTATCGACCTTGGACCACAACTGACCATCATAGCACATGTCATGCCACATCTTGGAGACCGACGAGCAACGGACGATCTCCTGTGGTGTTAAATAACGAAATATTTCCACTTTCAACTCCTGCGGCATGTCAGCCCAGAAATCCAGCGTCCGCTCTGGCTCGGGTTCCGGCAACGCGATTTCTTCAACCACCCCTGGTGGAGGCGAGCCACGCGAAGCCGGTCGTACATCGAACGGCAACGGCACGGTACGCGGCTGCGCGTGGGGTGACTCAGTACCCACGACGCGGATGCGAGCATTATCAAGGTCCGGATACTCGAACGGCGAACCGGAGCAGCCCGGAGTCGCCGGTCGGGGATTCAAGCCTCCATAAAGCTGAGATGAGCTTCCATTCCCCACGCAGGGCGAGTATGCGGACGATAACGAGACACACGATAAGGACGCCTTGTGGTCCCGCCGATAACCGGTAGACGCAGATCGCCCGCGGCGGGGCAATGTTGGGCTGGATGACATGCGCTGGAGGCTCTGCAGTAATTTCTGGCGACCCTTGAGTTTGGGGGGTTGTTCTAGTGGAATTTGACCCGTTGAGGATATTGGACTCGTCGGCGAGATCTCAGGTGAGGGGATCACCTCGGTCGTGGGGGTGGCCATTGTGAAGCGATCGGGTACGGTGTGGCCGGGTCTAGTATAGAGGGGAGAAGAGGACCACCGGTAAGGTCAAGGGAACGAGACGATGCTCGGTACTGTGCGGTCACTTAGATAACCATAGCGATGCTTCTGGTCGGGATGATACTTTTGCGGCCCGGCGACGTGGAAAAAAAAAAAGCAAGGGAAAAACACCAGAGCTGAGCGAGGCTGAGAGAACAAAAACGTGGTAATCGGGGGCCCGCGGCGAGTGAACCCGTGGCACTGGCCAACCTCGACCAGCGGGACTATCGCCAAGTGACGTTTGGCGTACCGGAACTAGAGAGAAGAAGTGGAAGAGAAAATAGAAATCGAGAATGACCAACAGAAAATGATCAACAGAAAAAAAAAGACCAACGTGCCAGGCGGAATGTAGGACAAGAATGCGATACATCAACTAAACCTGGTCTTAGTATGAGGCAATGGGGAATGACCAGGTACCTTGGCTGTACCTCTCTATCTGAATACTATTATAAAGTTATTGACCAGCCCCAAATCCTCAATGGATCAGGTCATTCATTTCCTTCCCCCCCCTCTTTCGCCATCCTTATCGTGTTTCCCCACTTTGTCTTTGATTGCGTATAAACGTGGCACAGACAGTGTGACCCATGCAATCCATCGGCTGACGACGCCTCAAAAAAGGCCTGAAGCATCAGATAATTACCGATATCCAGCATGGCAAGGCTAGCCGATCCAGGCACAAAGTCTCAACGTTCCTGAACTACAGGGTCCATTTATTGGGTCGCGTAGCCTTTCGCTAGAAATGCGGGGGTACATGCGACCCACGGGGAATTCTACCACGTTGGAGGCGGTGGCTGATATGCGACATGCGTGTAACTTTGAAGTAGCCAGATGCGTTTAGACCGACCTCCTTTTGAACGGGTAAACTAGGCCGGTTTGGCCAAGGAGAAATGGGGCAATCGGTCTTGTCAGCCCCGCATTTGGTGGGAAAAAGAAAAGCCTCATTCCACAATCGAAATTCGTATATAGATTCTTGCTGCCATGCTTATGGTCTTAGAAGTCTAGGTACATTCATGGGGGATATATGATAAAAAAAAAAAAAAAATAGTGAAGGGTAATGCAAAGGGATCTCCGAAGCCAAAGCTAAGAACGACCAGAGGCATCACATGTGCAGGGGTCATTTGGGTTAGATTTTGTGCAAAGCCTCAAGAAAACAAAGATATCCCACCCAAGAGCCGAAAGAAACGAGAGAGAAGTAATTAAGACTCCCCAAAGTCCCCAGTCCCACCATCAAGCAAATCAAAACGTCATGGGGTATCGTGTCTTTTTGTGGTCATAACAAAATAAATGTAGCGTGAGGCTTTACTCCCCAGTCATCATCCATTGGTGCTCGAGCACCTCGGTAATGGTCAAGCGGTTATCAACGTCACGGTCAAGCATCTTGCGGATCAGATCGATGCATTCCTCAGAAAAGGGCAGGAACGGAATTCGGAGAGGGTGGTCGAGAATCTCGTCGACATTGTAGAATGGATTCTCCTTGTAGACGATCGTGTAGAGAAGGATGCCGAGTGCCCAGATATCTTGCTCCTTGCCACGGTATGATTTGCCTTGAAGAACTTCAGGAGCAGCATAATCTGGACAAGAAGAGGTAATGTCAGCACAAAGAAACTGTAAAACTTCAAAGGCGGGGTATAATAACATACCAATGGTCCCCACAAACACATCAAACGGACCGTTTTTTATATAGGCTGCACTGCCAAAATCAATCAACTTGATCCTCCCTTCTCCGTCAAGAATGACATTTTCGTCCTTGATGTCGCGATGCACAACCAAGGCTCTCGTGTGCAAATGATGGATGGCGCTCACAACCTGCTTGAAAATACTGCGACATTCGGACTCTTCCATGTTGGCCTTCAACTCAATGTAATCAAACAAATCCATGCCTGGCAGACCATGTGGGATCATCTCGATGTAATAGTTGACATCATCTTCGAAAAAGCCCGACATTTCCACGATGTTTGGGTGCCGGTAGCCATCACGGCGAAGAAAGTCAAGGACATGAATCTCCAACGGCACCGTGCCCAGACGTCGATCACGAGTCCATGTATCAACCAGAATTCGCTTCTTGGTGACGAACTTGAGGACCGTCTTCTGATCATTAGGAGCCTTCTTGAGACGGGCTAATTTCACCTGGCCATACGCGCCTTGCCCCATTTCCTCGAGAACCGCATAGTCGTTAATAGTTCGCTTATGGGGGGGGTATCTTGCCGAGTCTTACCCGAAGACATTTCGGGGACGGCCTGGACGGGCCGATCCGTCAGTGGCTCAGATGCAGCTTCGCTGAGTTGTTGGCTGAGGGTGGAGCTCGGCGTTTGGACTTCCACAGAAATTTGATTGGTGTCAGGGGTCTGTGAGTTGGAGGTGGAGGTGGGGTGGCCGTCAGATGTGGCGGTGTTTGAAGAACCAGGTGAGGTAGGTTTTGAGGTCGGTAGTGAAGAGGATGAGAGACCGGCTGCAGGGCCAGCGGCGTGAATCTGTCTCGAATAGGTCACCCATAATGCGTATACCAATTCTGTCACCGCAATAGTGTCATCGCTATCCTCAGAATCACTAGATTTCTCTTCGACAAGCCTCTCTGCCTGTTCTCTGGAGAAAAATGTTCCACTTTTCACCACACGCAGTTGAACATCCACAACGATAGTGGAGCCATCCCGATGCTTAGCCAACAGTCCACTAGGCTCAGTGAAGACAGATGCAGCATTGGCTTTCCCGTCTCGAAGGATGGACAGGGTTCTCGCTCGGCGGAAACTGTGCTCAGGGATCACAATACCATCGACCAATGGCACGTTGTCCTCCTCGGTTAACACATCCAGAATCTCATCAAACCCGGGTATCAGCTCCGTGATATGGCGCCCTTCGGGACGGTCTTGGCCAAAAAGAGCAGATGAAAATACTGAATTCGAACTGATCACATTAAGTGATGAAGAAGAAAGCACCATCATGCCTGCAACATGGGGAAAACTTGACACCTGCAAAGTGCGGGCATCATTCGCCTTGCCCACGGTCACTGGAATACACACACCTGCCGCTGTATTTGCAGCGAAATGCTTCAACTCCACGATCCGGGCCATTCCCTTCTCTGGGGAGTTTGCGAGAGACTCGGATGGTAGACGAGGTAATAGTTCAGTAATCGACTGACCATTGCGAACTACGGATGGACCCCAGATCTTGTCCACATCCCCGTTGACACTTATGACTTGCCAATTCTCATCGCATTTGACAGAGGCAGCATTTTCCGTGATTTCCTCCAGCACCCATATCAAGCCACCACGCTTCTCCATAACCCATACGCTAGCCGATCCTTTAGTGCCATTGCGCTTTTGGATGGGAACGACGTCACCACAAAGCAAAACGCCTCGGGATTTGTTGCCCGGGTGATTGGCATTGCGAGGATTGCGCGTGCTCGAACCATATCCATCGTCAGTCTGCGCTCTGCGAGACTTCTCGCGCGATGACGGTTTATTGAGTAGCTGCGCAGTGACGCCATTCCCTAGGCCTCGAAACTTAGGGTTTACCGCTCGAATATTGGGCCTTTCTGGCTGAAGTGGAGTACGAGCCGCGGCATCAGTGCTGGGATCTCGAAGTTTGGCCTCGAGCCACTGCCTGTGCTCCCGCTGTACGACCTCTAAGATACTGAGACGACGGACCTCGGACTGTGTGACCCCGAATACAAGACAGGAGAGATCATTAGCTGCAAAAATAGTCCATGGTGCTTGGGCTTCGGTACGGAACACGGCCTGAGAAACTGGGCTCCATTTGCTGCTATGGGTATGGAGGGCCGGAATCGGGAATCCTAATCCAGTGGCGGAGGAGGCCAGAGACGCAAATGGATCCGTGGAAGAATAAGGTTGCGCTAGAGTATCCATCAGCTTGCTTTTGAGGGTGGCAGAGTTGAGGTCCGTGTATGTACGTTTTAAGCTTACGCGCCTGGACGCCGGTGCCGATTTCAGGTCCGTCCTGGACGCCGGTATACGGTCATTAGAGGTGACGGGACTCAACATTTGGGAGCTGCTGTCGGATGTTGCCTGTGATTCTGGAAAAGGTTCCAGACTTGAGTTTCGAGCACTGAGGGGTGATGAGCTGTGGTCCGAGAAGGCCCGCTCGAAGATATTGTCGCCATTCACTTCCGCAGGTCCGGTGATGGGGCCTCGTCCGTGATTGGGAGTTTCTTCGTCAAGAACATGGGCCCGGGTCAAGAGATCCATCATACTTTGGAGGTCCGAGTCGCCGCTCATGTTGGCCTGGGCATTGGCGATCGCAGCGCTACTGGCAGCCCATCCCATACGGTCCCTCATAAAGTCCATTGAGCGTTTGAGAATGTTTTGCCGACTTTGCAGCAACTCCTCCGATTGCTGAGCGAATGAAAATGAATGTAATGATTCTAATGGGAATCGGTGCAGATCCTCCAGGTCTCCAAGCTCCTGGCTCGTCGACATGCGACCAGTATGAGCTCTCGATGATGAACTAGAGCGCATCGACGGGGGTGGTCGGGGAACGTTCAAAGGCGTTAAAGAAGATGTCGACAGGTTCGGTAGGGTCAAAACCCGGGAAGGTTGCTGGCGTATACGGTCCAGCCCGGTCGGACCAAGTCCATGTTCGCTCTCGAATAATGGAGATCTACTGAAAGTTGCGGTGACATGTCAATTCGCTTGGTTCTCCACTGGTGTGTTTTCTTTTTTCGTTCGTAGCAGAAAGGATCAGGGGAATATTGCTTGCGAACCTTGAAAGAGGGTCATATCCCGACGACACCGAGCTCCTTAAGGTATGGTCGGTCGTTTGGAGGGAAAGTCTCTGAAACCCCGACTCCGATTCTGGCGACTCGGAGAGAGGACCCAACGGAGACGATAAAGGACTTGGATCGCCTGCAGAAGAATGATCAGCGCACTGCGTCCGTTTATCAACTCAATCGGTGCCTGTTTCAGCTTCCACGGGGGTTCTCTCCCCAGCGTGATTCACTCCCGTGATGCAGGGGTGGCAAGGTTGACCTCCGCGGGGTCAGATGTAGTCTTTCAAGAGTACGCGAAAAAAGACAGAAGTCCTTTTACAGCTCCGGAGGGACTCGTGAAGGGATCATTCTTGTCTTAATTCCTCCGAAGTGGCTTATCTTTTTTCTTTCCTTTTTATTTTTTCTTGGTCCGACGTCGTCCCCTCCCCATCGCGTCCCTTGCTGCGACCCCACTCATGGAGAAAAGAGGCCCGTGGCATGTGAAACAAGAACTCACCATCGGGATTATATGCCGACCCCATGCTTGGGAGAAAATTAGATCCTCCCGCGGTAAAAGGTGTAAGGAATGAGGCTCAAGATCGATTCGGCATGGAAGTCGTAAGTCATTCGCTCGAGTCAGGCAGAGGGCAGAGGGCAGCTGCCTCGTAACGCGCCCAGCATACGTGGCGTCCCAGGGCACTTAGTGCAGATGATTCGAAGGAAAGGAAAAGAGGAAAAGCGAACTCAGCGGGGTTTCGTTGGTGGGGAGGGAAAAGAACGCCAAAAGGGGCGGGTGATGTAATAGTCCCTAGTTCACGCCTCGCCCGTTGAAGCCCTTTGGGTCCAATCTATAGCTTTTCCAGATGACAAAGGGAGGGAATGTCCTATTTTCTAACGTTGGAAAAAACTATTTCGAGGGATTTGGATCGACCGATCGGCACGGGAGTTGGTCCATGTGGAATGAAAAGATTTCATACAATGGGCAGAGAAGTCGTTGCAAATCTTATCCTTCTTCAGACCTAACACAACACGCCAACGCACTAAGATCCTCTAGTCACAATAATCCAGTATTGGGTGGTACAACCTGACCTACATACATATGATCTCTCTCTATCGTCACTTTCACACAAATCAAGGTCCAAATCTCGCTTGTGCGGTTCATTGCAGCTTTGTTTTTGGCCGAGAGATCCGAGTGCGTGGAACATATAAGAACCCCACCGCTATCGCGGAGTGAAAATATGGCTCAGCGAATGACAAGCCAAATAATGCAAGCAGAGAAAATTGATCTATGAAAAGCTCTCGCCAAATGCATGGTAGTGACCAGCATTATTTTAACCACCCCTTACAGTGGCCCTCGGACACCTCCGAGACTATGAAGCGCTAGTTCATCATGCTCGAGGTCTGATGCTGCCTTCTCATCTCCATTCCCAAAGAGCGGGTTGCCTTTATTCCGAGTATAGTCCTGGTGTCTGGTCTGCTCGGGGGGAACTGACGCGGAACTCACAAAGCTGGAGGCGTTTCGGCTTCCATCCAACATCCACGAGAACCCTGCATCCGACAGGGATGGCCGCACAAGGGACCTCGATACCCGCTCACCGTCGGCCTGGCTGGTACTCGTCGCGCGATTGGCAATGGTGACAGGCCTGCTGGTTCCACTTTCGGCCCTCGGGCCGCGGGCATCCGCCTTAAGAACTCTGCCCTGCTGATCTTGCGCCACTTCTGCTGGGTGGTCTGCTTTCGAATCGGATGGTGGCTCAGTGGGTTTGGTTGGCTCCTTATCTACATGGACCGGGCGCGGTGTCGCGACTACTGGGAGCAAGGGGTCTTCGAGACAACGCCGGACCTGCTCGGCTCGGATCAATGCCTGCTCCATGGCAACTTTTGCGCTCGGATTGGAGTGTTCCGCTAGCTGAGACTGAAGGCTATCCAGTGCTTCGCCCAAGGCAGTGGAAAGTTCCTTGTTTCTTTCCTCCAAGCGGCTAATCTTCTTTTCCAACCCAAGTTCGGTAGCCGTGGACTTGGGCGGTGCGTTTGGTACACTCGTAAAAGGTCCTGGTTTGTGATTAACAGCAGTCATCCGTGGACCGGGTTCGTAATGCATCGTTTGCATGTTCTTGCGGGCTTCTGTGACGGCCCCTCGAACCGCCTTGGCCACACCCCAAGACTCTGTGCGGCGCTGGATGCCTTGAGAAACATCTTGGAATAGCGCTTCGAGGCTCTTGGGACTACTTCTCGCTGAGGAAGCCGGTGAGCTGCTATTACTGCGACTCTTAAAATCCTCCCAAAGAAAGGCTTTCCGAGCAGGTCGTAAACCGGACTGGCTGTGTCGCTTCGGAGATTCTGGCGCTCTACCAGAGTACTTTGAGATGATAAAGCTCCCTCGTTCTGCAGTAGGATTTTGTTCCAGATACAGGGCATCTTTCACGAATTCATGGGGTGCATGCGGCTGAGGTGAAGGATAGCGAAGTAGCAGTGTTAGGGCACCGGAATAATCCGCCTTAAGTACTGTTTGGGTCATATTAGCTAACTCTGCACACGATAGAGGCTGAATTACGACAACTTACATTCCCAGCGGATTCGAAGCAACATCGCAATACAAGTAAAGTCTACAAGATCAGACCGTAGCCCATGCGCGAAGAGCACATCCCACATCATGAGCACATCGTCGAATGGGTATTCTCGACCGAATAAAAGACGCATCCATCGACTGATTATCAATTAGTGCCATCCGCTGTTTGCTTACTTGAGATACCCACGTTAAGAAGATCTGGGGAAGAACATCCACGGCCTGTAAGTGTTCCGCCAATTCATGATCGATAATCATAAGAGCCTCAGTGTGGAGATACTGGCATCGATTGACGATTGGTATCACATCGACCTGACCGTTCGCGGATTTGGTTTCCCCATGCTCGTAGTATATGCGTGCTGTCTGCATGACAGCAAGAAATAATGTAAATGAATCATGCTCCACGAACTGCGAATCAAGAAGATCGAGCATGAGCGGGTCGTCTTTATTATCTGTGGTATTTATGAAGCTTCCCGGTGGCTTTTCAACGGCATCTCGATCTACCACCCATAGAATGGGGGCTAACAATTCATGCATGCCTTGTCTGTAACCGACATCAGGATTGAGTTTCGAGTACACGAACAAGACGTCGGTTAATATGGACTTTGTCGTCGGTTCCTGAAAGAAAAAGTTCTCTTGCAAGCATCGATCGACGTCCTGAGAGATTTCGGCTCGTAAATTTTCGTCATTGCGGAGGGTTTGCCATGGAGACTATTGAAGAGCAAAAGTCGGTCAGATAAGTATGCCTTCGGTACTTGCAAGAAGGTGCACAATTCAGAGAACTACATACCTCCTCATCATCCGCTAGTGGATCCACTGTTGACTCCAGATCATCTGGATGTTCGATATATTTCAGGAAATGATCACGGAGAGCAGTGTAAGCATCGCGTGACTCCCCAAGCTTCTGTGACCACTCTTCGCGATCGAGACCTTCAAAAAGCAAAAACACCTGCAGATGGAATAAGCGCCATGTTCCAGATCATATCATTGCATACGCCACGGACCTTCCAGCAGATCGATCTCAGCCCTTCGTTGCACAGCTTTCCACCTTGCTCAGCCCGCAGCGCCGCCTGGAGATCGGAGGATGTATCATTGCCGAGGAATAAGATTTCCCATCTCTTTCTGCAGGAGGTCAGCTGGGCCTTGTTATTGACTGACTCAGAAGTAAATACCGAGTCTCCTCAATGGTTCTCATGTCATGCGATTGTAGTTGGGGAGTGGAAGAGGTGAAGATGAGGGGGAAGCGATAATGTAATCCGCACCTCTTATCGCGTTCCTGCTTCGCGCCCGCATGACAGCATCTCCAAATCCCAGTCGCAAACAACACATGCAATAGTGGGGGGGTTTTGACATATTGACCACTCAATTCTATGCTGCTCTTCTCCCATACTCAAACACAACCCACACATGTCTGCAGATTTACTAGCGGAGTTCGGTCAGGACTCGGGGCCTCCGCAAAGCTCCGTAGGCAACTCACCAGCTAAACGACCACAAACAAACTCTTTGATATCTAGTCCAGATCACAGCGGCGAAGATTTTTTCTCGTCCTTATCGACAAGAAATCAACCGGGAAGGCCCTTGGAACCTACTTCGGCCTCATCAGCAAACCGGTACCAAACTCCAACTCCGCGACAGCCGCCGGGCTTCGAGCTGTTCAATCTACCTGGAACCGAGAACAGTGATGTGCTGTTTGACGCTGAGACCGATGCACCGGCCAACGACACAGAGGATGACTGGGGGGATTTCGAAGGGCCAGAATCGACTATCAATGACTACCAACCACAAAACCATATCACACCTGAAGTCAAGCCGCCGGCAACCAAATCTCAGCCGGTCCAGATAGACTTGTTGGACTCGTTGTCGCTGGCAGACTCGGCACCAACTCCAAACAAACGGATTGGCGCTTCCATAAAAACATCGATACCCACCAGCAATCCACCAGAACCAACCTGGGACGACGATTCATTTGGAGACTGGGATGCATTTACAGACACATCATCTGCCAATACGGCTGCAAGTCACCCTAAGGGAAAAGCTCCTCCCAGGAAAAGCAAACCTATTACCAAACATAACAAGAGCATCAGCACAGCTCCTAAGCAACCAACCCAGGAAGATGACTTTGAAGATTGGGGCGACTTTACCGACGGACCAGCAGAACCAGCGGAGGCGCCTAAACAGAAACCCAAATCAAACTCAACCCCTTCTACACCGTCAACTCCAGACCCTCGAAGCTTCATTTCTTCGACACCAGCTTCACCTCCAACTGTTCGACCCACCAACATCCCACCACCCTCCGTTCTTCTCTCCCTCCTAGTCGAAATCCTCAGCGCACTACAAAAGGAAGCTCTAAAAGCCCAACCACGCAGCACACCACCCGCTCAAAAAGAGGAAATTGCTATCAAAATTTATACGACCTTAACAACATCAGCCCGCATAATAGCCGGCCGCAGCCTCCGCTGGAAACGCGACACAATCCTCAGCCAAAGCATGCGCATCGGCCCCGCAGGTAAACCCGGCGGCATGAAGCTAAGCGCGGTGAACAAACATGAAGATGTTAAGGAGTCACAGGATGCCGTTGATGTTCTAAGATTATGGCGTGAGCGTTCTGCGTTGTTCAACGCTATCGTGCAAGGTGTGGGGCAGAAAGCTGTTCCTGTCTTTACTGATCCGACGGCCTTGAAGGTTGTTGTGGGGCGTTCTGAGGAGGGTGCGATTAAGGCTTCGCATCCTTGTGCGCTTTGTGCGCTTAAACGGGACGAGCGTGTTTTAAGGGTTGATGAGGGGGATGTGAATGATAGTTTTGGCGAGTGGTGGACGGAGCATTGGGGGCACACGGGGTGTAGGATGTTTTGGGAGAGGAATAAGGATTTACTTTTGCAGCGATGACCTCGGGATATGTTCTATATTGAGAATAACTTTGAAGTGGATTGATTAGGTTGCAAGGATCACGTTGTTCTAGTTTGTGAGATGTCGAAGACTTCGTTGGACACAAACAAGCTTCAAAATTGAAAAACGTTTGAGGAATGAACCAAAACATGATGCTTTATATTAGGTTTCAGGTCTACCTATCTACGTGAATTTTGGTTCCAATTACATATTTACTGGGAAACCAAGTCGCGAGGGATAATCCTCAGAGAGTTTCACAATTCCGTAGCGACGCCACCGAGGCGACATAATGGATTAAAGGCAAGAAGGATCCCTCCAACACCAAATTCTGTAAGATAAAAGAGTAGATACACAGAAAATGAAATCAAGTCAAGAGTAGAGAATAGCACTGCCAGCAGCGAGGTAGCCCAAGGGCGAATCAGACCAGCTGAGCTGGAAGGGCTTGTCCTCGCAGGAGAGGGCCGGGGTGAACTGCAAGGAGTACACTGTGCAGAATATTTGAGTACCCGGAGATACCAGGATACTAGATAGATGCCCAAGATACAACCCAGAATGAACCCGAACTGACTGCTTTGTGCATTGGAAAAACAATATCTGTTCGTAGGATGCGCTTGGTGGCACATGTGAGAGAATTTATTTTTCCTGAGCGTCGAATCAATACGAGTCCTTTCCATGGGCTCCCATTACATGACCAGACGGGATCTGAGGGTCTAGGGCTAGAATCAAGTCCTAAGTGAGACCTCAGCCCGGGGCCATAGTCTAAAAATGGCTAACACGACAACCACGCAGACTAGTTCAGTGAAGTCAAAGTCAAATTGTGTTGACGACAGCGGCGACGACTTTGAAATGCAATATATTGCAGGAGCCTTGGCTAAGGCTGGCGGTTCGAGAATCATCCACAATCTAAAAGCTCTGGGCAGAAGGCGCCGCGGGCTGTGGTAAATGTATTAGCAACTAGGATGACAGGATGGGGAGATAAGGGCCTCGGCATGGTTGCACGGCTGCCACGGTGATCACTTGGCACAAGGCACCAAAACAAGGAGGTCAACTTACAGGACTGCTCAGAATACTGTTCCTCTCTTTCCGACCCTTCTTGATGTGATTCTTCAAGGCTGTTGAATCCAGAGGTTTCAATAACTCGAAACTACAAAGAAGCTCTCCAGAAACAGACATGATAGCTCCCCAGTTGTCGAATTCGCCACAATACTGTTGCTGGTCAGCCAGGCACGAGGAGACACAAAGTAAAGCTGTAGGGCAGAAACTTACATTAGGCGCTGAAAAGACAGTCACCAAGATTCGATCCTGGTAAAATTCATAACCATCCTCAACAACCATATGAGCGCGACACACCAAATCGAAATCGTGCCGCTGCAAAAAGTTCATGATGACTTTCTTGCCAAAGCAATAGCTCACACCACGTTCGTTGGGTTCCCAATCTTCTTCCATATCTGCAGGGTCACTCCACAAGAGGTCATTCAGCAACCCATAATCGGGAACGTCGGTAGGTCGGGCAATGCCCCGAATATCATCCATATGCGACAAACTAGGCGAAAGTCCGCCATGAACGCAGAAAATCTTACCCGCAACAATCGCAGCGATTGGTAGGCAGTTAAACGTATCGATAAAGCCCTTCCAGACCTTGATGTTGCATCGTCGCTTACACTCATCATAGAATCCGTAAACACGAGTAACGTTGGCACATTCGTGGTTGCCGCGAAGCAAAAAGAAATTCTCCGGGTATTTGAGCTTATAGCACAACAGGAGCAAGATAGTCTCCAGACTCTGCTTTCCACGGTCGACATAGTCACCGAGAAAGAGGTAGTTGGATGCTGGTGGGAATCCACACATTTCGAAAAGGCGAATCAAATCAGTATACTGGCCGTGAACATCGCCAACAATCTTGACAGGTGCAGACAACTCCAATAGCGCTGGCTGGGAAAGGAAAAGTTCCCGAGCAGCCGAGCAAATAGCTGTGATCTCAGCATTCTTTAGGCACACAGTCTTGGTGACTTTGGTGGAATAACCAGCGTCCAAGAGCCGTGTAATCATGTCATCCAGATCAATGGACTTCAAAGCGCCCATTCCCATTCCTGGCGAGCCGGAGGTCTCGACTGGAGCATTCAGAATGAAATCCAGAATGGGATTTAGTTGATTCTCTCTCTTCATCAAGATGGATTCACCCACGACTGGAGTGGTGGTGGGTGCACCTTGAGGCGGGCCCTCGGACACATGATCCACCTCGCCACTTTGCTGCATCGCATTCACATCTTTATGACCTCGCTTCAAGCTTGTTGATAGGGAGGGGGATGGTGGTGGCTCGGGGGAGCCTGTCCGGGAGGGGAGTTCAGACCCGGGAGACTGGGGGAGACCAGCGTTGGAGCCTGGTCGGCTGCCAAAAGACTTTGTCGAACCGGCATCGGATTTGTCTGGTATACTATCGGTCTGGGAGAGGGCGGTAGTTGAGCCCCGGGGGCTGTCAGAGCCTCGAGCGCCAGGGATCTTCGAGCGAATCGAACCGCGGAAGGAACGAATTGATTCCTTGGTGTCTGATTTCGAAAATGACGGGTAGGATTGCAACGAGTCACCGGAGCCCCCGTTGCCCTTGGAATGCGACTGACCCATAGCTGCGAGGCTGGGATGTCTGCCAAGCTTGGGATCGCACGAAACAGCGGACGTTCAAGCCGCTATGCCGAGAAAGATCCCCTTGTGTATTGGAATGTCTTGGCTTTCAGGGTCCAGCAAGGTTGGTCTCGATGAGGGCTATATTAAGCTCGCAGATATCCTTCTGAACGGATCCGGGCTTAAATTTTTGGTTGGCGGTACCACGGGGAAGTTTTCGATGCTTGGCCTTGGCGGGAGCTGAAGGTCTCCGGGATGATCACGAGGGGTGGTACTCAAGCTAGTGAGCGCTTTCGAATGGGTAATGGCAAAGATGAAGGATACTTGGAGCGCCTACAAAGGACAGGGAGGGGGTCGTTGGAGCTTGGGAGGGCAAGCTGGGTGTGAGGAAAAGGTGGGAAGGCAAAGCTCCAAGGCTTTCGTGGAATAGAAGCTGCCTCCTATACGGAATTAGTCTGCGGGTTGGCTGTAGGATGATGACTCGTGAGGGCACAGGGCTGAGCTCCACAGAATCCAAGCGGGCATGTGGAGGTTGAGAAGAAAGCAAGGGAGAGGATGTAATTGCTGGGGAAACTCTGTGGTGGATTTGGGGTGTGGACGGGGCGGGTGGAGGAATGCGTCATTATGTACGGGGATTTTGAGCGAGGTATTTGTCCCACATAAATTGACGAAGCAGGAACCACCATGAGATGTCACTCACCTAGAATATTTTTTTTACCTCCTCTTGATCAACTCAAAGGGGAGGATGACAGGGAAAAGATGAAAAATAGAGAAAGAGGGGAATATGTGTAGAGGGGGGGGAGCAAACCCAGGTCTAGGTAGTGTGAAAGTACTCCGCCACCGCTAATGCGTGGAAAGATACTTAGACGATACTCAGCTGTCGCCCGGTTCTGGCCACAGCTGGAGCTTGTTTAGCTAATCACGGATCATCGCCGGGCCGGTGGTTGCCTAGATGTCTTTATGTATTTATAGCGATGCGTTCATGACTTTTAGACTTTCTATGGCTCTCTTAGGGCAAATTAAAAATTAACAATAAAATGAGAATACACAGATCATGATCTAATACCGTTTCTAGTGATTTTCATTCTAGGATACCATGTGTGTGGCTGTAAGAGGAATCATTCTAATACCATTCGTCATCCTTCAGATAAGCGACCACGTCTTAGATCCCCCATGATAGCACAACTTCAGATTACGATTCGGTCTGGCTTGCTGGGACTGTGCGAGTGATGGCGCAGGGTGACTTTTCCGAAGCAACCTGGGGCAAAAGGGAAGCAAGAGCTTGGACTCCACCAAGGCTCCCTATCAGAAGTGGCGGGGAAAGACAACGCTAGTAACGTCTCCGTGGCTATTCCCCGCGCCACCATCTCAATAATCTAACGACAAAAAGAAATATAAACTTTCAAATAGCAGCATGTTTTCCGGGCCTACAAGGTACACTGCAACCCTATTGAAGTGCCTGCGGCGATCACTGAAGAGGGGGATAAGAACACGCAGAAACCTTTATTATCCATGCATGACTCGGATGTTATTGCACACATTGGGCAGGAGCCGCAGACAATCTTGGTACTGCATAAAAGATGAAAGCATGAAAGCTCCTGCATGCATGCCAAGGTAGAAACTCTCATGGCGGAGACACCGCCTTTTCCCCCTCCATCCATAGCGCTGTACCCAGGATTAGCCTTCAAGCAATCCCCAGTGGTTGATCCTTGACGGCGGTCTTACTAGCCAAGACCAGTTGCTGTAATGCAGATGTCGTGTTTCCCAGCCACGTTGATAGACCACCAACTGGGAACGCCTCCCAAGGCGCATGGGCAGCCCCACGTTCAACCTCGTGCTATCCGCCAAGCAGGAACCGAGCTGATGCACCGCATATAGGGCAGAAGCCGGGGCGGCCTATAAGGGTTGTTGGCGAATGACTCTCATTTGAATGGGTCCCGGTGTGTGATAATGTTGCCAGTCCACTCTAATTGGAAGGTCAGGAATGTACCAGGCGCCTCGTGGACGCGAGCTAAGGCCAAAAAGGTGATCTATTCCAGTTCGATCTTCGTAATGTGACGACCTGGGACTACGATGAGTCCAATAAGCCGGTGTGTCATGTTGACCTTGATCGTGGCGCTCTGTCCCTCTGATTTCTTCTCCCACGAGTCGGCAGCTGCTTGGATGGCGGAAGGGGTGGGAAGACGATATTCCAGGGAGTTGGCAAGGATGATGTTTCGTTCCTGTAACACGGTCTCGGTCAGCCCATGGTCTTGGTACGTGGTCTCACGCTTTGCGGGGAATGTATCGAAGATAAGAGGCTTACAGCATCAGTACATTTAAAGATACCAACGAACATGCGGCTGTCAGTCGTGTGAACTCGTAATTGCTGACCAATCAATCCGTCCAAATATTGTACAGCTTGGTCGGTATTCATAGTCATGGTTGAATTCGGTGGGCGCTTGTGTTGGCGTGGTTGAAACAAGTAGGGTTGGCGACCAGCGCGGCAGTCTGAAGCTTGCAGGAGACTTATAGTCAAGTTTTCAGTCTCAGCGAGATATGGTAATTCGGTAGCGTGATATGTCTGTCAGTTGTGCAGCAATTGTGGAATCATGACACGGACTGTTGGAAGCAACGAAGTTGAGCAACTGCGGTGGACAAGTCGGACTAGTGCCTGAGGCCACCAATTGGTGGGGTGCAACAACGCCTGTTAGGTACGCATACAACAGCCTCGGCAAATTGAGTCTGAGAGCACATAGCTCATTAATCCATCATGCTCAGATTTACAAATGACTGCAATAATATATCACAGTGGTGTGCGTATTAAAAAGAGAAGCGCTCTGAAATCAATGTGTGCCTTGGATCCTACGTCTTCTGCTCTAACACATGTCCCAAGGTATGAGTTGGGTATTGAGGAACACATCCATGCATATATTGCTATGTATCCTGTTTTCATCCCAGGCCCTTACAAACAACAGAAATCCAGATGACTATCTTCGAAGCACTCTTCCATCTCAGATGATGCATTTAGACTATAGTCATAAAATTAAGTCAGAATTGAATATTAACTATGTCCAATAAGTTACTCCGCCTCACATCGCTCTTCCACTCCACCAAAAACACCAGGGGGGAAGAAAAGAAAAAACAACGCCAGGTCTTCACAGAGGACCGGAAAGGAAAAAATAGTACATCCGGGGAAACCATCATGTCTGGGTATTCCCGGGGGGGGGAGAGTAGACGAAAGGAAGAGCTCTTTCGCCTGTAGCGACCAGCGCTTAGTCGACAAGATGTTTGATATCACATCCACGCCGTTGTTCCCGCGTTGGGAGATGGATTGGAGCCTTCGCTGCTCTCATCTGTGTCCATGTCCATATCCATATCCATATCCGTACCCACTTGGTTGAACCCCGTGCTCATCGTCTCACTTCCAGTCGAGCCGGCACCGGCAGTCATTTGCTGAAATGCGGCGCGTCGCTGGGCCTCATCCTGAGTCATGCTGGTCTCATTTGCACGGGGCACTAGAGCCTCACGGGATGGTTTGAATTGAACCGTGGGCTGTGTTCGAGGCTTGAAAAACCGCATTAATGTGTGTTGTCGAGGATCGATTGTTTCGGAAGATAGAGCTGGAGCGTCCTCTATTGTTTCTTCGCTTATGTCCATCGGAACTTCAGTCGGTTGTTGCTGTGCTGAGAAGATCCAACGGAGTGTTTTCGCTGGTTGCCGGTTAGTTCGATCTTGTTTTGGTCATGAATCGCGTGGCATTTGTTTTGTAAAATGCCTTTCCGAGGGGTGTTGAGACGAAATGCTTACCATATACTACTTCGTCATCGGGGCGGCCGTCACGAAAACGCTTTCGTGTTCGGCTGTGGAGGTGTTTGGAGCTATCAACCATGTCCAGTTCGCAGGACATGGGTACGAATGGGCGCGATGGGGCCGCGGAGAAGGAAGCCTTGCGCTTGAGAGACATTGCGATAATATGGGGCTGAACGATATGGCAGTTGGTTGAAGGTGTTTTAGGAGAGAAGGTGTTTGGTTCTGGTGTAGAGGAGTAGAGTTGCAATTGGAGACAAGAATGGCTGGGAGGGCACGGGAATGCGATTGGCCAGGCGCGTTCGATTACGAGAGTCGCGTTTGGTACAGATCCACGCTAGTCCATATCAAGTAATATTGCACTGGTCAGGATTCCCTCAATGGAATTAGACAGAGGCTGGCTTCTTAATTTAAAATTTACTTGGTACATCGATAAATGTTGTGATATGAATGTGTTACCGCATGGAATAAATAAGAAGGTACCAGGGATGCTGGGGTGAAGCCCCTTACTGGTCGCAATCCTAGATTCCTTGTCTGCAGCCCCAGCAACACCCAATCCCGGGAGCCAGCCAACTATGAGCAAAACTCAATGCTCAGTCAACACCAATCTGATATAATAAATATAATATGCAACTATGTTTATTAATACGTTGCTTTATGATTCATTCATGAAGTTTCACTACATTGCGATCACTTTTGATCTTGTCCATGGTCTACTTACTATGTACAGTAGGAACCTCCAGCAGTACGTAGATCCCCCCACTCGGCACGATCAACTTGAGATGTCAAAGCTACCGATGCCATCTTACGAAATTTACATATTCTATGCAATATCTGATAGATATCCTGAGTCAAGCATATCCAGCAAGATTGAATCACATCGGCATGCCGTTGGCCAGAGCGTTCGGTTTCCCGCATCCTTGCTCCGCCATGACGATGGTCTCCCCCGCTTCTCCTCACTCCAACTCTCCCCTCTAGTATTGACCACCACTCAGCGCAGCTCGACCCCTCATAACCATGGCTTCTAGACGGGCTTATCATGCCGGGTCGTGGTACTCTGATAATAGTCGGACCTTGACAACTCAACTGGATGGCTGGCTAGCGCAGGTGCCGGACACCTTGGACAATGTGGGCTCACTTCCAGTCTCGGGGGCCCGCATCATCATTGCACCGTATGTATCGCTTTCTCCCTTGGGATTTACTGCAAGAATGGTGCTAATGAGACTAGACATGCAGGTTATTCCTACTCAGGGCCATGTGCAGCCTATGCATACAAGGCACTCGACCTGTCGAGGGCGTAAGCAAAGGATCTACTGAACGTTGACCATATCTAATATCTTTCCAAATATAGGAAACGCATCTTCATCCTAGGTCCATCTCACCATTATTCCCTTTCAACCCTGGCCCTCCCGCAGGTCAAATCCTACTATACCCCGCTCTCGAAGGACCCTCTCCCACTAGATACGGAGCTGATCGCCAAGCTCCATAGCACACAGGCAAGAAAGCCAGATGGATCCAAAGTCAGTTTTAAGACCATGACCCAGTCTGTCGATGAAGAAGAACACAGCATCGAGATGCATCTGCCCTACATCCACCGTCTTCTTCAGCTGCAACACCCAGAGACCCCAACGGCCCAATACCCACCGCTAGTCCCGATAATGGTTGGTAGTACCTCAGCATCTACGGAACAAGCCTTTGGAACACTCTTAGCTCCTTATCTGGAAGACCCAGAGAACGCATTCGTTATCAGCTCAGATTTCTGCCACTGGGGCCTCCGTTTCCGCTACACATACTATGTCCCGCAGGCCCCAAAGCCAGGACCCGCGCTTCCTCTATCCAGTGACACACTCCCACAGCCAGGGCAGGAACCTGCTGACGTTTCTGAGGAGATCGAATCCGTCTGTGTGGGGCATGGTCTGCAGCGCGGAGATTGCGTCTCTAGTAAAGAGCCGGCGATTCACGAGAGTATCTCAGCCTTCGACCTGGCTACCATGTCAGCGATTACTACTGGGTCAGCGAGCAAATTCCTGGATACGATCGAACGCACCGGAAATACGGTCTGCGGTCGCCATCCGATCGGTGTTATCATGGCCGCCCTGGAGGTGGTAACAGCAGATCGACCGGAAGGGAAGCAAGGCCTGTTCCATTTTCTAAGGTACGAGCGTAGCTCAGATGCGGTGGATGTGAACGACAGCTCCGTGAGCTATGTTTCGGCATTTGCGGCTCTCTAGCGGGCCCTGCACTGGGTGGCGATGCCGCGCATTTACTTTTGCTAGTTTCGTTACGACGTTGAACAAGATATTATCATGCAGAGATAAATCTGCCCAATGCAACCTTTTGCTGGATACAGGATCTGAAGGAGTAAAACCAACATAGATTTGTGTCATTTCCTCTTGCCGCACTTTCAATTCGTAAACCTATTCGGCTCGGCGTCGCCCTGTACGGTAGTTCACCCTTTGCCTTCCACTTGTCATTTAATTATCGGGAGATGTTTCATGCCAATATCAAGGCTTTCGAGGTTTACAGACGTGGTGTGGCGTGCAAAACATGCTAGGACAAGAGGACCGCACCATGCGATATCAATGGCGTTTTCTTAGCTGTTGCTCATCACAAGATCAATGCCCAAATCAGTGAGTCTGAGGAATTTTGCATAGAAAACACAGGGAAAATCGAAGAATAAACTCGTTACATCCATCGGGCCATCCGATACAATAGCCGGGGGAGGTTGTACTACAATGGTATATTGTGACATATGATAGCTTCGAGAGGCAAGGGCCAACGGAAGTGAAGTCCCAAGGGCTCTCAACTGCCGACGCCCTTGCAATTAAGTTAGACGTTGGACCCTGCAGTTCGGTTGCGCCGTTGACCCAGATTCACCTCAAGCCATGAGTCGCACAATTGCGTACAATCCCACCTCCCGCGACTGATTTGACGCAGGGTCTGGTCTGAGGCATAATCTAGGGTGACATTATTGGTAAATGAACTTCCCAGGATACCGGTCTGGCCTTAGATCTTTAGAAAGAAAGAGGTTTTGAACTAATGTACCGGAAACTTGGATGTTGACTTTGGAACCTGAAACCGATAGATCAGTTGATAAGGCCTGATCTATCAAAGTCGTGTTAGATACCCGCCAGGGGCTAATTTGTTCCTGGACCAGGGCGCCATCCTGGTCGAATCAGACTAGATTCTGCGGGAGCCACTAGCAGCCACCGTCATCATAAACAAGGTAAGCCTGAAACACGCCGATCGCGCTAGTGTTGGGAATTGATGAATTGCCAGATCCTGTCAGTTCTTTAGCGCCTAGATGCCGAGCCTATTCGCCTGACATGGTGATACTGTAGCAATCCATCATTGCGACGGTGATGCTTTTTATCCCTTCCCTCCTATTCCTTCATAATTTGCGAGACGGCATGTCGTGTCAGAGTGAGTGTGATGCGTCTGGGAGATTTGATGGATTGGAAGAAAGTTGAGGATGTCCCGACCATTCAATAGTATTTATTAGGCGCCTTCTCGCCTATTTTGTCTTAATTCACCGTGCCTCTGGAAGGTTTTATCTTTGATAAGCAGCTTTGAGTGAACTTTCACTCCTTCATTCCTTAACACTTTCGCTCCTTCATCACGCTCCTTTGTTAAACATCACCCATGCTGGCGCGGGTTTTGTTAGCTCTTCTTGGGCTTCTGGCATCGCTGGCGATGGCTACTCCAGTCTCTACAGCTTCACCTTCTACGGCTACTACATCTGCAGCCGGTGATAAGCTCGTGTTCTGTCACTTCATGGTGAGCAAAACCCATGTCAACATGATTCAAGGAACTAATCCAGGAAATCCAGATCGGGATCACCAGCAACCGTCAAAGCTCAAGCGACTATGACGATGACATGCAGCGTGCCAAAGACCTCGGCATCGATGCATTTGCTTTGAACATCGGCACAGATTCGTACACCGACACCCAGCTCCAGTATGCGTACACATCCGCCTCCAACAATGGAATGAAGGTGTTCCTCTCCTTCGACTTCAACTGGTGGAGCACGGAAGATGGTAGCGCTGTCGGTGCCAAAATCAAACAGTACGCCAGCTTTCCGTCTCAGCTTAAGGTAGACGGCAAGGTCTTTGTCTCGTCATTCTCTGGCGATGGCCTGGATGTTGCTGCCATGACTTCTGCAGCAGGCCAGAGCCTCTTTTTCGCACCCAATTTCCATCCCGGACAGGGCGATTTCAGTGATGTGCAAGGCGCGCTCAACTGGATGGCTTGGCCGAGTAATGGAGATAACAAGGCTCCTACGACTAGGAATCTTGTAACAGTTCCCGATGGTGACAAGGCTTATATTGATGCTTTGGACGGGAAGGCCTATATCGCGCGTAAGTTTTCCATCCTTCTTCCCTGGCAAAACTGGCATTCTTCGAGTATTTTACTGACCATGATAAAATAGCGGTCTCGGCCTGGTTTTCCACCCACTTCGGAAGTGACGTTTCATACAGTAAGAACTGGGTCTTTCCATCCGACTTGCTCTGGTATCGGCGCTGGCATGAGATCCTGGCTCTCCAGCCTCGCTTTGTGGAAATCATCACCTGGAACGACTATGGGGAGTCGCATTATATTGGACCCTTGTCATCGCCTCATACTGACGATGGATCATCCCAGTGGGTGATGGATATGTGAGTGACCTCAAAAGACCTACCTTGAATAATTAGCCACAGCATCTCACATCTTCTTTTCCATAAACCAAGGCCCCATGATGGTTGGCTAGAAATGTCCAAGCCTTTTATCGCCGCTTACAAGGCCGGGAGCACAGTAGCACACCCCTACATCGAGGAAGAGAAGCTGGTCTACTGGTACCGTCCCACACCCCGGGATGTCAACTACGACGCGACCGACACAACAATGGGCAGCGCCAATAATGCCAGTGGCAATTTCTTCCGTGGTAAGCCGGACGGATGGGAGACGATGCAAGATGAGGTATTCGTCGTTGCGCTACTTAAGTCACCCGCAGAAGTACACGTGCAATCGGGCAGCAAGACAAAGATGTTCAGGGCACCGGCGGGAATCAGTTCGTGGTCTGCGCCCATGGGAGTGGGTCAGCAGAAGTTTGCGTTAACGCGGGGGGAAAAGACGGTGTTGTCGGGAACTAGCCTGAGGGATATTGTTGATCAATCTGTCTGCGGGATCTACAACTTCAATGCCTATGTGGGGACTCTCCCGGCCCCATCCACGATTGACCGACTCCAGCCGGATGGACTAGCTTTGTTGACACAGGGGCTGAAGGTGCCATGTCCGACGAATACCCTAGGGGGGAGCAGTGCGTCCTCGAGCGGCGGGATGAGCACTAGCACTAGCACTTGCACAGGGGCGGTGTGAAGGGGGAAGACAAATGGCTGTTCGGACTAGGATCATGATTGGCATATCCAATTATCAGTTTGTATGTTAAGCCAGCCATTACTGTTTCAATATCAGTAAATCAGGGATCTCGGCTGGATGGATCAAAATACACGACCGGGTTATTATCTTGACTCCACCCTCGTTATCTCAGAATCCTTTATCGTCCACACCGACTCATATCCGAGGTCGGACAAGTGCGTTTTGCTTTGTCTTTCGTATGCGCCCTTTTTGTGATTAGTTTGATTTCTTCCCCTATATGACCCCTTGTTGCTGCCCGTCCGGACTGAATGGAACTCTCTTCAGGCCCCGGCCAAGCCCATGGCTTGATCAGCAGGACAATACAGATCCCGACCAGCGGCAGTATTTACATATATGAATCGTGAAGTCTGTCGTGTTGAATAGAGAGTCGCATCGAGAATCAGACATACAGAAAGTACTGCGTCATCATTTACCCTTGATCGTCCAATCCGTGGGGCTTTACCAACAATGGCTCGCATGAAACACGGCGTCTTCTCCTGGGAGGACGTACTCGCCCAACGATACCAGAGTCAGTGATACCAACTCCTAAGTACCCTTGGCAATTTCGGTAGGAGAAGGGGCGAAGAGCTCAATGATAATGCCTATTACTATTCTCCTTGCTATCCTGCAATCAGGACATACAAAAGATTAAGGCTGATTTGGGTTTCTTATCGAGCACACGACAGGCAACAAACCCCCTCCTCTACCACGATCGCGTCGCAGAACCCTCACAACCGCCCAACCACAGCCCCAATGTCGTTTGCTGTCGCGCCTCTCCCCAGAACTCCGCTTGATGATCTGGGAGGCGGTCCTAGGCGGACAGCGACTACATATCATCCAGCGCACAAATCAGCGCCTCGGCCATATAGTGTGTCCACTCGGGATACACACCCCCACATCAGTCAAAGAGAAGATAACACGCCAGGCGCGCGATCTATCTTGCGAAATCTGTGATGGGCATGGAATCCCCCAGCCTGTTAAGGAGGCTGATCTCGCGCATACCAGTAGAGCGGCGCTACTAAGCCCCGCGTTGACATGTCGGCAAATGTATGAGAGCAAACCCCTCCCCCATATCTCCAATTACTGCGGGAGGGAATGAATTCGAAGACCGGAAGGTCCAATGTGGTTATTCACTTTCCTAACAGCTGAATCCAGGTACAACGAAGCAATCCACCTTCTTTATACCCTCAACACATTCGAGTTTAGTAACCCATGGTCACTACCGTATATGCGCCCCACCATCCCCACAGAACACTGGGATTGTATACGTAATATCGAGCTGCGTTGGTCATTCGAAGGTATGGGGCTTCCATGCAAAGATCCCGTGCGCGCGATATACATTTCTGCCGGACGGGCTCAATGGATAGAGACTTGTCGCGTATTAGCGCTGTTGCCGACATTGAAGTCATTCGTGCTTGTCTTGGGTCGTACATGGTTCAGCGAACCAGTCGAGAAACTACCGGTTTTCCTGGAGCCATTGCGCGGGTTACGAGTTCAGCGGCGTTCGCGCGCAATTAGTCGTCAGGTGGAGGCGGTAGATGAGTATGAGCTTGGATCTGGAAGTTCGGATGAGGAGTCGAGCTCTAGTTTGAGGTTGGGTTCTAGATCTAGTTCCAGCTCCAGCTCGAGTCTCAGTATCAACGTTGGTGGTAGTGGAAGTGCCAGCTCTAAAGGAACTTCCACGATCCTGCACTCATACTGCTCCTTTTACTCCTCACCACCTTCCTCAACGTCTGCTGACACTGTGCCATTACCCATCAATAAAGCAGATGGACTGGCAGCGTGGGAACTACGCCTGCAAGGCCAGCCGTATTATGTGCACGAGCTGGGTCGTATGGGCGACGACCTTCGGCGGAGGGGGATCGACTGTTGCATCTCAACGATGTGAGGGGTGGAGTTACAAAGAGAGGGGGTTACAGTTATGTACGTTCTGGACACGGGTAGTCTGCACGGATCAGACAAGAAACGTCATGGCCATCAGTTTGTCTCGGTTCGGCATCTCCTACATACTTCGGGGACAGCGATATGCACGCTTTCAAGTGATCCGGGCATGCAGAGATGATCACTACTCTCTTTGTGATTCCTTCCTTGGATACACAATATCATCATACGTATCAATCTATGTGAAGACATGCATGGAGATTCCAGGAAACTTGGATACAATGAATACAGTACTACAGTACTGTAGTATTCCAGGTTTTTCTCCAAAACTTCCAGTCCACCCGCTCCACATACGTAGAGCACCTACACCAGTCAAACGATGGTGCAATATCGAAGATACCAAAAATATGGGTCCAGATTACGTGCAAGGGGACCCTTGACATCATAGCATTCTCGTAGAAAACCCTGGAATACTCCCGGATGCTTGTGTTTTTGCTTGTGTTTATGCTTAATCCGACCATCCATGATATACCCAGATATACAAGAAACCATGGAGGGAAAGAGGTTGAACGCATAACGCGTAACCCCTATTTCCAATGAAGCCCTAAACCCCGTTTCCCCGAGACCCTGGACCCACTTGGATTCATCTATAAATAAATGGGGCCGTGCACTGCCTTACGGGAGTTCCACTCAGGGCTGGAAGAAAACATGAAAGAAACATTAGACTACTGTATTTGGAGATAGTGTTGGATTCTTTGAAGGAGAATGAAATCAATGGAAATCAACATCGTGTTTCGAGAAGTTTTTTTTCCCACCCTCTCATTGAAGGATCGTTACGTGCCTGGTCCTGTGATGCGGATGGGTCGGAAATTCGCCAGCCTGGCCCCACCGTGTCCATCGGTTCCACCGGGTGTGGCAGGCGCTAAGAGTCTCATCGCGGGGGAGGATCGCACATCCTAATCAAACGGGTAATTTTGGGTATTTTACTTTACTGTTAGGCGCTGTTGGGTAGATGTTTGGCTAAGGGGTCAATCTTAGGTCCTGGGGTAGATTGATGGCATATGTTTACATCTACACATTTATATGGAAAGGTTTCAGGGAAATTAATATATAATATTGAAGAGGTATAATAAAGAAAGCAGGAGAACGTCTCCAAAAGATCGCTGTCGAATCTCGCGACAAAAAAGAAAGAAAAATGAGAACGTGTCTCGTGCGCCATTTGGCAAATCCCAAAGTAAGGAAAGTAGTCGTCACCACTGGCGCCGTGGAAAAACCATGCCCAAGCCAAATGCCATGATGCGAAAAACGAAAACCGAAAATGAAAGACCCATTTGTTGGTGAAACCCGTATTAAACCGGAAGAAACTCCGAAAATCTCTTGCTCCAGGCCAAGGTATCCAAAAAAATAATAATGAAATAGTAGAAAGATAGATCGTGTCAAGGACGTCGGTCATAGGAGAGGTATTTGTGATCGTAGATAGATCAGTGTGAGCAATGTGTTCAAAGCCACCAAGTTGAAACTGGGGTGCAAGAATGAACAAGCTCAGGGTGGTCTGAATTTGGGGGTCGCGATCGCGCTCTGGTAACTGACCAGAAGGCTGCCGTTTTGGCCACAAGTCGAGAGGATGCTGCGACGTGGTGTGTGACCCGGCGCGACGTACCCTCCGTTAGGAGAAGGGTGAAAGGGGTGTTAAGACCGTTCGAGATCAGTCAATGGCGCCCGGCCGGACCTCTCATCAACTCAACTAGAGAGGCTGAAAAGGGGGATCGGGTCGCCGCTCGAGTGGTCGACAAAATTAAGGGAATCCAAGGAGTGATATCTTCAAAGACCCAGAGAAAGAAAGTTGTATCCGACAATACCTGTCAAGCGTTTACCTCCCACCGGGCGACCGGTCAGGGCCCGAGTGGCCGTGGCCATGAGCCGCAAGCCATTCGGTGGAAGCTTCTTGGCGAGCATCGGCGTGCTTCTGCTCGTGAGCCCGGGCAGTCATGCTGCGAGGAAGGAGGTTGTTGATCTCAGCCGCTAGAGCGGAGGCAGTGTAGCCTCGGAATTCTCGCTCTTCGCGTTCATCCTCCTTGATCAGTCGAGCCTGGTCGGCCTTGGACATGTTTTCGCGGCGCTTGCGTCGGATCTCAAGAATCGACCAGAGAACAACTTCTTCGGAAGTGCGATTACGGGGGCTACCGTTCTTAGCAAAGTTGCGAACATAGCGTCGGGTCACGTCAGTGGCTCCGTCAATGGAGAAAGCAACACAGTAGGAGATCTTGCGACCCCACCCCTCAGTGTACAGACGAGGCTGGTCCCAGGCACCCTCGCAGGCATCCACATGGACCCAACGTCGCTGGTGCTCCGAGTACACCTCGGTCCAAACATGATCCTCCGAGTTCCATACCCAACGAACCCGAGCTCCGACCGCGCGACACAACATGCTGAAGCAGTTGGCCCATTCACCAACTCGGCCTCGACGAGTCTGCAACAATTGCCAGACATCAGAGTAACGGGGGAAACGTTCGTAGGCACCGCAGGTAGCTTCGGAACAGCGGTACAATTCCACACGAGTGGCTCCACGGGCGGTCTCATCGGGGCTGGGGGGAGTCATGCCCTGGGCGATTGTAGGCATGTAGCACCGCGAGCACGGGGGGTTGTTGACGAATTGGAAGAAAGACGACTTGAACCATCTGCGAATCAAGGGATGTTAGTGGCAAAGGCAAGGGTGGGTCGATGGGGGTCTAGAGTGCTCAACGAACCTCAGCAATGCTCGGATCACACAATCCTGGTATCCCCATTCCGGCTTTCCCTTGGTACTGGCTGCTTGGGCATGCATGATTTGGCTCTCCTCCTCGGCCTCCGAATACAGGCGATCGAGCGGAATCGTGCAAAGAGCCTCATCCAGAAGACCAGGATTCTCGTATTTGGTAGGAGTGACGGAAAGACCCTTCAAGAGGTTGAAGAACTTCAATGAGGCGGCATCATGGGGTGGTGAGGGCATAATGGGGAGACCCTTGAGGGCATTCGATTTCGGGGTGGATGGTGGTTGAGACGGGTGAGGCGAAGCGCCGAAGGGTGGTGGCGGAGGAGCACGAGAGGGCGGCGGAATGGAAGGACTGCGAACGCGCGCTGGGGATTGAGAAGCGGATCGGGATTCCTGTAGCTGGTTGAATCGTTTTGTGCGCATCAACTGTTCAAACTCGCGGCTGAGAGCGGTAGCATCATAGTTGTTCGAGGCAGGCTGGGAAGCCGCCCGTTGCTGTCTGCCGTCCGCCATGGTGTGTCGGGATGAGGGTGGAAGAATCACCGGCGGCAGACTCGGGAAATCTTCTACTCCAGGTTGGATAGAAGGAGGAGACAAAAGGACCCTGGAGGGTTTATGGAGAGAAGAAGAGTATAAAGGTAAAAAGGGAGTGACGAGAATATGTGAGTTACGAGGGTTACGGCGGTATTACGAGCGTCGTCAGCGTCTCGCCCCAATCATGGGCCCCGCGCCCAAGCCGCGTGTGCGAAACGGAAAGAAGCCAAGAAAAAGACCCCTTTTTCCCGTAATTTTCCCTTGCACACGTACTCACTCTCGACTTGGCACCTTGCGACGCACGGGGTTTTTCGAATGACCTTCGTCTTACGCACTTGATTTCCTCTCCCCATATTTTTAAAAAATTAAAAATTAAAAATTCGTCATGTCTTCTATGGAGTCGGAATATGCTTGTTTTTGCTTGGAATATTATTCAGACGTAGTCCCCTACCTTTAAGCTATTCAATCTGATGCCCCATGTCGTCAATATGAGGGTATGAGGTGGCTTGGGTGAAGATCTCGAATGATCGTCCCGTGTCTCGACTTGTTCATCAACCCTCGGTGGACTACGCGTTCAAAGCCTCTCCAATTTCCTTTTTGCCAGGGCTCGACGGGGGCAGTAACTGCTGGTGGCGGAGACGCGCAAGCATCCGTCTTGGCATTTGGTACGATCGGGCTAGAGCCTCGTCGACGATCCACTGCGCTAAACCACAGGAGGCAATAAAATACCTTAGTCAGCGCACGACTTGATCCAATCTGGACATGCTGACAACGTCGTGGACCAGGTGGACCCTCGGACCCAGGGGGCTTGGCATCGTCGCACTCATACTCTGGTATGGAGGTTCCTGTCGATCGAGATGCAACGTTCCTCTACACTGCGTATTCTAAGTTCTACAGGTCGTTTTATGCATTTTGAGCTTCGTCCTTTGTTTCGGTCTGTTCAACCCAGCTTCATCATATCCACTTTGATATATTTCCGATTGCCAATGAAGATCAAAATTCTCCGGTCGACTGGACCCTGAGAGGGTCAGGGTCGACCCATCCGGTTATCTCGCACGATTCGCAAGCCTGCGCTTCGTTCCGACAAATCGATACCCACCGAGACGTTCCTCTGGTTGGAGTATCCGATTACTCATCATTCGATTTTTCTCTTCACAACCTGAGCCTAGCTGTACATTGGAGAATGTTGGTGTCTAAAATCTTTTTCTCCTTTTCGCTCTTTGGTTCATCTTCCGTATTCCGTGATTCTAATTTTATCAAGCCGATCTTCATGACTCAGTCCAAAAGCCGACCGGCGTTTCAAGTGTTTTGTTTCATGCTTAACCCCATAGCCTCCTCCCACATCAGCCCTGAGCCCCATTCTCTCATTTCTGTCCTAGACACCCCGTACACAGACCCTATTCGAATTCCAGTCCGAGTATATAATGAGAGTGCTCCGTTCACTTTTGAGTAATTCTGATTTCATCCGGGAAACCTGCTGCACCCTAGTCACGATGGCGTCAGGGACGGCTCAGCTTACGCAAAGAACTACACAACAGCTCCAAGGCCTCGCATCCCATGTACGCAGTACACCCTACCACGTACTCTATACGCGACGGAAGCCCCAGTCCTACCTCGATTTACGCGAGGTCAATCTGCCTACGTATCATTTCTGGGCGAAAACCTTGGAATCCACGAAAGCATGCAAGGAACTCCCTTAATCATAGCCTTAACGGGCATATGGGGAAAGCTAAGCAAGCCTTCGTCTTGGCGGGAAAAGTCAACTCCGTCCGAATTTGGGTTCATCTTGCCGACGAGCCAATTCGATCTCTCCCCACGCCAAGAGCCAAGAAGCCGTCATTACAAAACAAACGCATGGACCAAATGCAATGCAGCTAAGTGACTGCTTATCTTTGTGATGTGACGTATAAGCTCTCTTGGATCCTCCTTTCTTCCAAGCCTTTTTAAAGACTTCGACTCCGCTGTCTGACGACCGATTGTCATGATGCGCGCTTGGCACGAGGATCGGCAGATTCCGTGACTAATTTAGTGATGCTTCTTGCCCATCCTGCTCTGTATTCACCGCATGGCGACGCGTGCTCGACGTGTTCCTTTACTCTCTTCGATCTTCATGTCATCAGACCAGTACCAGACACGCAATACAGCGGAGATGATGTGCAAAGAAGACAGCCGGACTTTTGCCGAACCCAAGCCTAACCCCTAGATCATCCTCTGGCGTTTACGTATATACGTATCGTCGTTGCTCACTTCACCTCAAGCTAACCCATCGAACTGCATGACGTTCAATTCACTAGTTCAAAGCCATGGCCGGGAAAGATTTTTTCAGCACTTTTGTCGAGTCATGAGGCCCACTAGCATTGGCACTACCGCGCGTAGACTCTGCGCTTCCGCGTCACCCACCGGCTCTGTCCGTTGGACTTACGTTGCGCGTTATCTGACTAACCGTTTTCTGTGCAAGCTGACTGGGTCTGTTTCTAAAAACATTTATTATCATGTTTCCTACTTAGGAAAGGATCGTCTCTTTTTTTTTTCAAGCCTCTTCTCTCTAAATTCCATAATATATCACAGCGGGTCTCTTCGCAGAGATTGATGTCCGAATCAGGGGTCAAACTTCGGTGTCAAATTTTCGACCTGAGTTTTGCTGGCGCTTGACATGGCCGTCGCCATTATTGGTGGAATGTTCATTTCGGCTTTCGGCATGGAGCTCTGTAAACGAACACCTAAGCTCCCGATCTACGTACCTGAGTCTTATCCACAGATATTTTAGCTAGTCTGCAAGGCCTGAGGCTCTCCTGGCTTACGTCGAGGCCTTTCGGATTCATGCCGGGTGCTTTCCATATAGTTTACAAGCCTGTCAAGGTTACTCCTCAAATAGAAACTGGAACCTTTCCCCACTTCTTAACGGTTTTTTTTAATCTCCGACAAAACCTTTCAGCCTGGCATTCTTTCAAATTTCAGAATTCGCGATTATTTGAGTTAACTAGAATTGCCTTCGGGGCTTTTGATGATCGTAGTTAGCTCTTCCGAGATATGTGAGCTTGCGTGTGAGGAAATCAGCTATCATGAACGCTAGAGCGGGTGCGCTTTGGAGCTCTTTGAAACCAGAGCACCAGTAGTCAGTGGACATTGGAATGAAGATATTCATGGCTACAATTGCAGTTCATATATGAACCCCAGGATTAGCCTTAGTGACACACAGGCTTGGCTGTCATCATCGGGCCGTCTTGCTATGACAAGGGTTTGGTTGGCCATGATCATCAGGGGGATTTATCCGAGCTGCTTGTGCCTGAACGCCTAACTGGGGTCCCATGAGGCCACATGCAAGACATGCAGAGAGGACTGGACAGAAGTGCAGACTTTCCATCAAGTAGTTGGTGAGACTGCGAGATGAAACGCTCCCCCTCAACGCCAACAACCCTGGAATAAGCCCGATCCAACCCGAGTATCAACACAAATCTTGAATATCACATTCACCTCGGGATAATGTCGGACTACAGCAGTCCGGGACTGCGCGCGGCCGTTCGCGGGTATAGCTGAGTGAGGTATATTCATGTGCAAATATCGGGCAGCCAGAAGACCAAAGCGGAGGGTGAGGTATACAGGCCTCGACCCGGTATATATGTAGCCGTCTCTTGCCCAAACTTGAAATAAACCCCTCACCTGACATTCCAACCTCAACCCGAGGTCTTCCTCTCCTTCCACTTGACTCCATCTACTATTCAAAATGCACGACGCGCATCAATAATAGCCTAAGATTTTTCACCTTCCAAGGTTATCCCGAGGTCATTAAGATGACGGTCTTTATCGCATCCCTGTAAGTCTCCGCTTTTTCGGGACCCCGCAATCCACGGATCTAGGAACTCAACGATCGGGATTGTCAGGTTTCTCCCTTATACCATTGATTTCAAGTCGACGGGGTTGAAGAGTGCAAAGTCGCTTCGTCGCAAGTCTTCACCTAGCTATGCGGCTGTTGATGGATCGGGCGCCACACCCATCATTGGTCGCCTGGCGGATACCCACAAGCCTCGACAAAGGTCCGCAAGTTTGGAACTTACCCCGGGAGCGACCACTGAAGACGAAAAGATCTTCAAGGCATACATATCGCGTTCAGCAGGGGAGATACCTTTAGCGGACGATCCTAATGGCCCTGGTCCCAACGAGCCTCGGGCCGTTCCATGGGGCCAGAGCCGCAAGTTCAACCAACCTCGCTCAAAAGCGATAGTTCACCCTGAGCCATCTATTTTAAGTCGCCCAGCCTCGCGACAAGAATCAAAGGAATCGGCCTTCCTGAATGGCGGGGGCATACTTCCTCCGGCACCCACAGAAATAGGCAGCCCTCGGGCACTACTCTCTGCCGAGGACTGGGTCGTCAAGGCAGCAGAGCAAGGAAACGGAGGTCTCCATAATGCAATTAATGCGGCGGCAAATGCAGGCCTCCTCGAAAATAAGATGTGGGTGGGGACGCCAGGCATGCCCACCGACTCGCTGACAGACATGACGCGACATCTTATCGACGAGACCTTCCAGACCGAGTACGAGTCCCTGACTGTATTTGTAGGTGACAGCGAATTCGAAGGCCACTATACCCATTTCTGTCACTCTGTGCTCTGGCCCGCTCTTCATTATCAGATGCAAGAGAGTCCGCGTCATACTGAGTATGATGACTATTCGTGGAAACAATACCTCAAGGTGAATGAAGCATTCGCCAAGACCATCGCGAACCACTGGCGCCCGGGAGACACTATCTGGGTGCATGATTATCACCTGCTCGCACTTCCGGCACTTCTGAGGAAGAAGCTGCCGCGGGCAAGAATCGGGTTCTTCCTGCACTCGGCGTTCCCTTCTTCGGAGGTGTTTCGCTGTTTGAACTCGCGCGATGCGTTACTGGATGGACTCCTCGGGGCGGATTTGATTGGATTTCAAACAGAAGAATATTGTTATCATTTCATTCATTCTTGCAGTCGGCTCCGGCAATTGCAGGTTTCCGTTGATGGTGTACAAGTCAATCACCGGTTTGTGCGGGTCAAGAATTATCCTCTGGGAATTGATTATCAGTCACTCAATGCACTGCGCCAATCTGTTGAGGTAAAAGACTGGATCTCGAACATCGATGAGAAATACCGAGGGAAGCACCTGATTGTTGCTCGCGATCGGCTCGATGCACCTGGGGGTATCAAGCAGAAGCTCCAGGCCTATGAGCTCTTTCTGGAAAGCTATCCCAAATGGAGAGAGAATGTAAGTTCTTTATTATATCGTGATGGGGCTGATATTTGATCACAATTCCTAATATTTCGTCCGACACAGGTGGTCCTTGTTCAAGTGGCATCTTCGGCATCGGAGATTCCAGAGCTGGAAGCTCAGGTCTCAAAAATTGCCATGAGGATCAACTCAGTCTACTCCACACTCACCCATTCTCCCTTTGTTCTTCTGAAACAAGATATCAGTTATTCTCAGTTTCTCGCACTGATGAGTGTGGCGGAGATATACATGGTCACCAATCTTCGTGAAGGAATGAACCTCACAAGCCACGACTTCGTCCACTGTCAAGATGGGCAGCTCGTTTCCCAGAAGCACGGCTCTCTTATACTGAGCGAGTTCACTGGTAGTGCATCCATATTTCACGGCCACCCGCTCCTTGTTAATCCATGGGATTACAAACAATGCGCCGATGCGATCAATACAGCACTGGAAATGTCACCAGAGCAAAGACAGCAAAACTGGGAGTTCCTTCTAGAACGCAAAGCCCCACACACAGCCCTCGCCTGGTTCTCCTCCATTCAAAGCGCACTCACCGAAGCCCACAGCATGCAACAGTCTCGCGAGACACACGCAGTCACTCCCCTCCGGCTAGACACTCTCAAAGAGTCCTACCATGCCGCACGTAAACGCATCTTCTTTCTCGAAGACGGCGCGACCTTCATCCCCGACAAAACTCACCCATCCACAGAAGCAACTGACCTCATTCAAGCTCTAGTTCTCGACCCTAAAAACACAGTCTATCTAACCAGCAAGAACAGCCCCGAACAACTCGACGACACAGCTCGCACCCTCTCCCCGCGCGTCGGGCTAATCGCCGAGAATGGCTGTTTCGCTAGACCCAGCTCTAAACTTCAAGACGAAGAAAGCGTAAAAGCGGCCTGGGAGGCCCTCGTCGACGTCACAGGCACAAGTGACTGGCGCGCTGGCATCCGCAAGGTAATCGAGTACTTCCAAGAACGCACAGAAGGCAGCACAATCGAGGAACGCCGCTGTTCACTAACATTCGACTACACCCACGCTCTTGATCGCGATCTCGCCGCGCACCAAGCCTCCGAGCTAGCAGACCAGATAAACGGTGCACGCGGTAGCGAGGCTATCCGCGTTGTACGCGATATAAGTGCTGTGAGCGTGGAGCCACTACATGCCTCCAAGGCTGCTGCGGCCTCGATCCTGCTGGAACGCTTGCCAGCTGATGAGTCGGCTGACTTTATCTTTGTGGCGGGTGGGGCGAGAGGAGATGAAAGTTTGTTTCGGTGGGCGAATCAGTTGACTAGTGTGCAAGGTGTCTATGGCAATGGCAATGGCAATGGCAACGGACATCAAAATGGAAATGGAAATGGAAATGGACATGGAGACGGATATAAGGCTCGGACTGTGACGACTGTTACAGCTGGCACGCATGCCACCGAAGCGAGTGCCGTCCTGCCAACAGGATTGTCGTTGTTGGACGTATTGCGGCTGCTGGTGTTTCCGCATCTTGTTGGCGTGGCTTCGAGATGCAGAGATCTCGGAGCGTAGGGATGATTGCTGCTTCTGGTACTGATATGCATGTCTGCAGGTTCTCTCTTACTTACATGTCTCCTCTGTAGTCTCTTTGTTGCCGTTTCTCTTCATGTCGGTCTTTTCCTGGGACTTACTTCTATATTATTACTGGCATACCATATATGTGTATCCTGTGATATTGTTACAAGGAAACGAACACGGACTTGGCTACGGGATCGCTTCAATGAATAATAAATACATTGGAAAGATGGATCAAGAACTTGGAGTTTCTCCGCTGCGAGCTATTCTGCTGTTAACTCTTCTCCCCGTGGCTCACTTGGCCAAATAAATTAGGGTCGAGGCAATGTGCTTAAATATTTCTACATGCGTCGAACCAATCCCTGGCCCCAAAGGACACACAAATATTACAAATACACCCAAAAAACAAATGGAAAGTCGACGACTCGGATTCTAGTAAATAGAACGCCTAAATGGGGTCAAAGCCATTCCCAGTGCCCAACTTACTGCTAGGTAGCACCCGAACTAATAATCACATACACACGGCGCAGATACATGTGAGTCATCAATTGATAAGAAAAAAAGAAAAGAACATAAGACCATCCTCTTTTGAGAATCGAACATGAGTAATAATACTAACAGCATTACCAAAAATCAAGGGGTAAAACGCGCCGCGCCCATACGTAATGACAAAGAAGCCAAGGCACCATATGAGAAACACAAAATCAAGTTGGTCCTAGTTAGCGCAATGCACGGATCCTAATGGTAGGAGTGCGAGAGGCGCAATGTGTATTGGCAATGAACGTCGAGACAAATCAACCCGAGAGGGTGTATCCGGGACAGAGATCCACTCTGAACGCAGACAACCCAGAGAAGTGAATGGGACATGAGGGAGAAAAACAAGATGTAGGGAAATGCAGGGCAAATATCACAAGATTGAGAATACAAACCGTAAGAGGTGGAAACATGAATCGTTGATTTCGGCAGCAGCAACTGGGATGTTTACTGATGGTCCAAGTTCGAGATGACTCGTTGAAAAGGATGCGTCAATGGACAAAAGATCGCATCTAGCCACCAGTTCCTGTGTTTCCGGCGTCATCTTTGGATGGAGGTGCTGCGTCGGTGCTGGTTGAGACAAGAGTTGGCGCGATTCGGCGTTTCTTTGGCTGTTGGGCCTGGGTAACTTCTGGACCCTTGCTCTCCTCTTTCTCAGACTCGCTAGCGGTTCTTATGTCTCGTTTACCAAGTACGGTGCCCGTGAGCGTATTGGTACCACCTTGTGAGCCAGGTATTGGTAGAGGGGTTTGGGGTGGAGTAGTCAGAGGAAGTGCTGAAGGCTGCGCAGAGTGTGTGGCCGTTACTGATGGAACAGATCCCAGAGTTGGGGTTGGGTTGTTCACCACAGCGCCGGACTGCTGGTTTGATGATTGTGTTGCAACCGAGCAAGCGGAATTGGATCGTGCAGGGCTAGCCGGAGGTGCCTGAGAGGTGCTGGGTGCCGAGTTTCCGCTACTGGCTTGCGGGTGGGCAGGCTTGATGGGGGATGGAGCATGATTCGGGGTAGGTAAAGGGGTCACATGGTTTGAAGGAGTGCTTGAGGTGCCAGATAGGGCAGAAAGGGCAGATGCAGCCAATCCTGTGTAAACCTGGCCTAGCTCCCCGGGTGCAAACGAGAGAGTTGAACAAAACCCATCGGAAGAGCTCATGAGCAATGTCAAGCCATCATCCGACCTGTATATCGTTAGTTCTGTATTAAGAGTCAAAATAAAGTCAAAAGGAACTTACCAGGTCAAGTCGGTGAAAGTTGCAAAATGCAGATTGCTTACCACACACAGAGGAGTTTGCTGCTGTGTGTCATAGATCAAAACGGCGTCCTGTGTAGCTACAGCATAGACGATGCGGTAAGGAAGCGCAAAAACGGGGGCTGGGGATCCTTGCCCCGCATTGTTGCTGTTCTCGGTTTGTTGTGATGGTTGAGATGCCAGGTTGTCACCTGTGGCCGCGTCCTTGGGAGCTTGGCTTGTATTTCCTGATACAACTGGACCCGGTAACGGAGGAAACATTGACTCTTCAGTCGAGGTATCGATAGTGAGGTGCTTGGCAGACTGAGTGCCTTGCTTTAGCGTGTAAAAAATCGGAGAGCATTTGACAGCAACAGAGGGCTTCTTGTGGCCAGGAAGGTGGGAAATTGGCGGCTTGTTGAAGCCGGCACGCGTATACACATACACTGTGTTGATGATCTCGTCTGTTGTCTTGGAAGGATCGGTAGGTGAGACATGGGAGGTCTTATATTGACCAGCGGGCGTGAACAACAAGCTTCCATCAGGGGCGAAGGTCAGCCGGCGAAAGAATGAAGTGAAGGTTTCATTGGCATAGATGCTAGTATTCCTCACTCCGAGGCCTCCATGAAGACTTGGGGAAGAGACTTCCAGAGGCTTCACAGCAGGCAACGGCAAAGATGGGGCGGGAGATGCCGAGCGTCGAATCGATGGTGATGAACCAAATGAAGAACGTCGGCTGTGGGAAACCGGTGGAGGATCCATAGGTAAATTTGATGCCATCGGGGTTCCCGGCGTAGAGGGAGCGGGTGAAGCAATTGCAATTGGGTTACTTGTACTATGTTGCGGCCGGCTGATGGGCTCCGGAGCAGGGCTGCTGGATGAGATTCGTTTGGCAGGTAGATCCATCTTGAGAACCTTGCCATGGGGAGTCAGTGTAAATTGGCCATCTTTCGTCTTCAAACTGTAAATGTGAACAGATCGATCGGATGACTGAGTTGCGACAAATTCGTTGAGCGGATCCCACGCGACGCCTTGGACATAGTGCGAATGCTCTGCAATCTGTCGGACCATTTGCCCTAAGAACTCCATTGTCAGTTTTATCGCCAGATATAACGCACAATCTGGAGGTTGAAGACTGACCAGTTTGCGCATTGTATATGCGGGCAATGTTGTCCATGCTTCCGGTCATAATAAACACTCCATCGGGCGACCAAGCCAAATCGTAGATCTCCGCACCGGACGAGCGGCACATGTGCTTCACTCGCCAAGTCTCCTTATCATCTGACCGGTCTTCTCCCAGAGCAGGCTGTGTCTGCAGCTCCGATGGCACCCAGAGCAAGACATTGCCGTCGTCTCCAGCAGATGCCAGCATCTCACCTGCATCAAGTCAGATTAATGTCCGAGGGGCGTGTCATGGGAAACTATACCTTTTGGACAAAAACGGACCACATTGACTGCTTGAGTATGTTTGATGAGGGTACTCAGATATGTAACCTTTCGTTCTTCCCCGGTGGATTCGACTCTCCAGAGCTATTAAGGTGTCAGACAGGGTTCATGGGGGGCAGGGTAACGGAGGGTGGAAGTTCGGCGGCGTACTCGGACGTTATTATCACTAGAGAATCACTGTCAGTCGTGCAAATGGATTCGGAAATTGTATGGGTACTCACTTTCCACCAGTTGCTAGGCGACCCTTGCCATTGGGGTCAAAATGCACGGAATAAATGGGAACATTGTCGTCGTGCCATGAGATCAGTAGAGCAGAGGCCTTCATGGTGAGTAATACAGCTCACAAGCTGTTCCTCAGAGCCACCAGTCCTGGGAAAGGGTGTGCAGGATAGATTCCACAGTGGCTTTTCAAGAAATCCGAGCCAATTTAACGAGGTCTCTCGGCCCCGGCCGGTGGATGGGGGAAGGATGGCTTGTGTAGCTCGACGCGGAGGTGGTTGGAAATAGAAGGAGATAATTAAAATTAGGAAGTAGAGGAATCAGTGGAAGAAGAGAGAACAGAGAAGGGGGAAGGAAGTTAGAAGGTGATGAAGGGGAGTTTCGATGATGCTTCGAGTTGTTTGCGCGGGAACGCGACCGACGAGGCCGATTAGATATGAGCCACTCAACGGGCACGGATTGCATTGCAGTCTGCACACAATTCCGCCTCCACGTTCAACTGGATCAATCTTGGAATAACTGCAGCCCTGGGGCTTGAGCACTTGGGCTTGGAGATAGATAACGTCCTCGCAATTTCTAAGAAACCCAAAGTGGGCCTCGGGAACAACTTAATGTCTATGATATATAATTATCTTCAGTATTCACAACGCCTCCCTGTTGCCATTTCTTCAAGATATCTTGGAATGCAGAAGAAGAGAATAGACTACAAATACAAATGTCCTTTCTTCCAAGGTTGCAAGGAACGACTATGAAACCCACTTTCCAATTGTTTCGCCAAACCAGCTGATGGCTTTTTCCTGTCTCTTTGAGCGGGCGTCTGATTGCGTCTTCATATATGGACTGGCCTCCTCAGCGTACAGCTTTTGTTGCTCAAGGTGAGCATTATAGGCTCGGATCTCCAGCTCCCGCTCATGCGGTGTGAGCTTTTGCAGGGGTTTAGAGGGCTTAAAGCCAGCTGGGATAGACTCGCCTCCGGGGATCTCGATGACCGCCTGGGTCTTTTTGTCCGTTGTTGATGAGCTATTAGTGGCCTCAGGATTAAAGAGAGACTGAATTGGTGGCAGCTCGGCGCCAGCAGCTTTGGCTTCCTCCACTCGTTTCTCATAGTCCAGCATCTGGTGGTAGAGCTTGTCGGCGTGCATCTGAATCCGTTCCTCTTTCTCGGCGTCATACTCGAACGAGGCTGCGTAGCCTAAGGCCTGGAGGAATTTCTAGCCAGGTATCAGTATTTTGCAATTGGAGGAGGGTCGTCATCAAAGGAACTCACACTCTGAGTTGTAAAGCATCGCGAGAAGGTGCCATTCTGCTCCGCGCACATAGTCAATCGCGATTCGAGTTGCTTGCGCCAGTTTCCAGTCTGGAAGCATAAAGTAAGGGCCTCATGCTCCATAGCGCAGTTCTCCATCGCTGCCCGCTGCACTGTATCGCCACGCTCCTTGAACTTCTCAATTACTCGTGCGGCTCCGCGGACGCCATCGCCTCCGTCCGCATTGACCGGGGGCTTGTATGTCTTCCACAGATCCGCGTAACGGCCATCTTGGTAGAGTGACTGTGCAGGGACGGCTGGCTTCGAGGAATTGTCTGACTCGGGGTTGGGCGATGGGGTAGCTGGTTGCTGTACGTCCGGCGCAGGCACATATTTGTCCGGTCGCTCTTGTTCGAGGTATTCTCGGAGGCCCGGGTCGAGCTTCTTCACGGGATCATTTTTGCTTTCTCCTGAAAACCAACCCATTGGGAGTTTGATTTGCGGAGATATGGAGGGGAAGGCGTGGGAAGGTGTTTCCTTAGAGCGTTGCGGAGAAGTTGGGATAAAAATGGATCAGGATCAGCTCTGATACCGATAAACTCCCGACCGCCGCGGTCTTTGCTCTTGCATCACCAACACGACGCGTCTACCTCGACGCCGTTCCTCCACCATGGAATCCAGTATGACCAGAATGCTTCGGACGAATCCCAAGTATGATAGCTAATGTTGTATAGCGCGAGAGGAGCGGTTGCAAATGCGACAGCGTGGAGCTGGGTACGCGCTCTACCCCGCGAAACAATAACACAGGATGCTTGAACTGACCAAGAATTTAGAACGCGCCAAATTAAAGCAGTCGATTTCGGATTCTCATTTGGAGCTCCAGCGCCCGGTCCATCAGGCTCTGCTCCCATCTCATTATTCCCCGAACCCGAGAAATCGCAAACACAGCCCGCGCCCGCGCCAGCGCCGAGGGCTGCAACACCGCAGTCGCTAAAGGTCTCTTCGCAACCTGGATCGCGGACGATAATTCAGTCTCAGCGTACACCTGGAAGCGCGCGCAATAATCTTCCTCGGCGGCCTTCAACGTATGACATACCGTCCGACGAAAGGCCCGAAGTGCCGCGAAGCAACAAAAGAAGAAGACTAAGTGCGTGGTTGAATACAGAGCTGATAATCTCTTATGCTGATTCTATTGGAGACTCTCCAGAGCCACGAGATACCCCCTCAAAGCAGAGCGTCCCGGAACCTGTTGCTGACACCTCAGAGCCAATTCAGAATGGCGGCTCAGTGGTCACAGAAGCACAAGCACAAGCACAAGCACAAGCACAAGCACAAGCAAGCCATGAAGCCGATATCTCCATGTCAGATGTACAAGATGCCCAGATCGATGCGCCCGACTCTCCAACGCTGCCAGAAGAACCTCTGAATACTGAAGCCGAGGTAGATGGTAGCGCAGGGACAATTAATGCGGACTCTACGGCACAGCCAGAGCAAACCCCAAGCACAACACAAACCCCCAAGCTGGGCAACACAACAGAGATTACCAAGAAAACGCTCCCTCAAAAGTTCCGGTCACCCAAGGATGCACTACAAGAGGCCCAGCCTATTGTTGATCCTACAGTTGTTGATTCTACAGACCCCTCGAGCCAGAAGCAGCGAAAGAGCCGATCACCACCGCAAGCTGACAAGGCCCCAGAGGAAAGTGAAGAAGAGCAAATGATTGAAAAAGCAAATCCCTCGACGTCTTCTCAGGGACCTCGCAATCAGAAGACAAGAATCCCGCGAGCCAAATCCACCACGACCGATGCCTTCGACGCCAATCAATCAGAAGAGGCTGCTGTTATTCAACCAGACCGAAGTCACCAGCCGAACACCCTGGATGTGACTGATGTTGCAACCGAAGACACACCTGTAGCTCAAAAATCGTCCGAGACGACAAAAAAGACTCAAGGTCGCAAAGGTCGTGCTGAAAATGGAGGACGCGCGCCGGCTCAAGCTGTGGAAGAAAAGGCTCCCCCAGAAGCTGGAGCAGAGTCTCGACCCGAGGTTACTCAAAGCAATGCCCCCTCCAAAGCTAAACGTCCACGTGGTCGGCCATCGCTTTCCGGAAAGAAGAATGATGGAGAAGCACAGAAGGACCAAGGGCTGAAACGGCCTCCAGAGGCTGGGAAAGACATAGAATCCGGACCATCAAAGCCACGCCGTGGTCGGCCTTCGCTTTCTGGAAAAAAGGCCGATGGAAAAGCACAGATACGTCCCGAAACAGAACCTGACGCGGAGCCTGGTCCATCAAAGTCTCGTCGCGGAAGACCTGCAAAGAATAAGCTAGCGCCAGAGCCAGAGCCCACAGCTCCCAAAAACCAAACAAACCCTGAGACTGAGCATCGACCAGAGCCAGGACAAGAAAATGCACCCGAACCATCAAAATCACATCGTGGACGACCTGGAAAGAAGATCACGCCGACATCCGAGCCGGATTCTACAATTTCAGAAGAATATCCTAGCACCGAGAGTGAGCCTAGGCCCGAGTCCGCGGAACAGGAGGATGCACCCGAACCATCAAAACCACGCCGGGGGAGACCTGGGAAGAAGAGCAAGTCGGCAGCAGAGCCGGAATCTATAGCTCTAGAGGAACAACCGAATAATGAGAGCGAACCTAGACCTGAGCCAGACCAGGAGGATGAACCTGCACCATCGAAGGCTCGTCGGGGAAAAACAAAGAAGAGCAGAGCGGCAGAAGAACCCGAAACTACGACTAGGGAAGCGGAAGCTGAGACCGAGACCGCTCAAGAACGTCGGAAACCAAGAGAGCCTCGTGGCGAAACGGTCCCTGTTACTGTGCATCGTTTATTTAATCCTTCAGCGCTCGGTGCAATGTACACATCAGCTGGTTCTGGCGACGAGGATGAAGAGTCTGCCGATGAGCTCTCCACTCGCCAAAAGACCAAGCTTCCTAATCGCGGTGGTGTTAACCCGGCCGATGTTTTGAGCCAAATCTGTCGTGAAACACTGGAGAAGACGCTCACGGCTCTCAATAACGGAATAGCGAACGAAACAAACACACAACGGCGGGCGGAGTGGACACGCAAACGAAGGGCTGTCGAAGCCTTTGGCTCTGAACTTGATGGACGCCTGCTGGACCTGAGCGAGATGCTTGATAGCAATTTTGTGCTTGGTGTGCAGCTCAGGAAGACCAAGCGCGAAATGATGGATTTGCGGAGCCATCTATACAAGGTGCGGCGGGAACGAGAGAGCATTGCTCTACAGATGGATGCAGTGCGTGACAAGCATATGGAAGAGGAGAATGCAAGAAACGTAAGTTTGGTACTTGACTCTATCAGTTGAACCATCCACTAACAATTGGACAGTCTCGCACCACCATCAACAATTCCCTCCACAGCCTTGAACTTGCGCTAGATCGCAGTCAACACCGGCCCTCATTAACCACTAATCCTTCCCCGGCAGATCTGGAGTTTAAGCTCCGCACCGTGGCCGAGGATGTGAGCAGTCGAGCACCGGGAGCACAGGGCGGATTGCTCAACCAGGTCCGCGCATTTAATGAGCAACTGGAAACTACGGCTCGCCGTTTAGAACGGTGACATGTGGAAAGATGATTAATAATTTTGGAGTACATCGGGGCTATATTTGACCTTTTGTGATACCTAGGCATTATCCCATGGCCGGTCCAGGGAACATGGCGTTATTGTGCAAGATACTGTATATCGTTCAAGGTCTATCTCGGGGCGACTCGTGATCTGTATGACCTGTCCAGCAATTCCGAGTCTGTGATACCAGAACTATTGAAGGATTAATAAGATTATTAATCCTCATACCGAAAGGGTTGTCTCCACATTGCAAGAAAATCTTGGAACCGTAGAAACCTTCAGAAACCAATCAAGCGTTTGTCAGCCATTCTCCGTCTGCTCCGGCCGTATCCACCCTTTAACATGTGGCGAACAAATCAGAACTTTAATTTCGCTAAATTTCAAGACAAAAAGTCTCCGTTTCTCCATACTTGCTTGGAAATCAACACCCCCAGTGGGCCCATTGATGGCTACGTATAAAGCCATGGCTGTGACCCATGCATGTAAATCTGTATTGAACAGAGCCACTTTACATAAATTGCATTTTGCCTTTTTGAATTGCATTCTATATCTCAAATATCAAAGATGACGAAACTTTTCGAGCCCCTCAAAGTCGGTCGCATGGAGCTTTCCAACCGCATAACCCTAGCTCCTTTAACCCGCTTCCGCGCCGACGACAGCCACGTCCCACTCCCCTTCGTCAAAGAATACTACGCCCAACGAGCCTCGACCCCAGGTACCCTCCTTGTCAGCGAAGCAACATTAATCACAGCCCGCGGAGGCAGCTACCCTAACGTACCCGGCATCTGGAGTGAAAGTCAAATTGCCGCCTGGAAGGAAGTTACCGACGCCGTACACGCGAAGGGCTCCTACATCTATCTCCAGCTATGGGCACTTGGCCGAGTCGCACAGCCAGACGCAACTCAATCAAAAGACGATTTCGTAACAGTGTCCAGCAGCGCGGTACCCGCTGAGGCCGACGGCCCCGTGCCGCGTGCGCTAACGGAATCCGAGATCCAAGAATGGATCCAGGATTACGCGCAGGCATCGAAGAATGCCATTGCGGCCGGGTTTGACGGTGTCGAGATCCATGCTGCCAATGGCTACCTGATTGATCAGTTCACTCAAGATACTTGCAACAAGCGGACGGATCGGTGGGGCGGCAGCGTGGAGAACCGCGCTCATTTCGCCGTTGAGGTTACCAAGGCTGTTATTGAGGCCGTTGGTGCGGACCGGACTGGTATCCGGTTGAGTCCTTTCAGCCCTTTCCAGGGTATGCGGATGGAGAACCCGTTGCCGCAGTTCACTTACCTGGCGGAACAGTTGAAGCAATTGAAGCTTGCTTATGCTCACGTTGTTGAGGCCCGGATTTCCGGTAATACCGACGTTGAGGCGAGCGAGAACTTGGATTTCTTTTTCAAGGCTTATGAGAAGGCTGGCCCTATCATGGTGGCTGGCGGTTACAAGCCTGATTCAGCGCGCGAGGCTGTTGATGTCCATTATAAGGATCATGATGTTTTGGTCGCCTTTGGTCGGTCTTACATCGCCAACCCTGATTTGCCCTTCCGGGTGAAGAGTAACGTTCCACTTACGCCTTATGATCGTGATATGTTCTACCGGCCCAAGGACCCTGTTGGTTATATCGATTATGAGTTCAGTGCTGAATACAAGGCTACTCAGGTTGCGGCTTAATGTGATTTCTGTTCAGGGTTTGTTGCATAGCTATATAGAGTGTTTATTCTAATGTCATTATATAGAGTTTGATAAATTTCAAGATTTTACCTACTTGTTAATACCGATTGATCTCGAGCAGGTCTATCTGCAAGATACAGAGTTTTCAAGGCCTCACAAATAGTAACTACTAGGGAAGTATCTGGACAGTAATGTATTCCTTATATCCTAAGCGATTGGAAGTAGATCACCCAAGCCCAACACTATTTACTCTAAAATTAGATAGTCGAAATCAGATTTTATACTGCAGACGATCAGTACAAGTCCAAATTATCAAAGATCAGAAGACTCACGCGAAATTGTCTATTATTCCGGTCCGCCATATCCAAGAATCCCGAGTTCTCCTGGCGAACTTCCCCCTCATGTTGCTGGTTCCTCCGACGATTCTCCCAAATATAGTAATACCGCAGTAAGACAGAAGTAACAATGGTGACCGCAAGGGTTGCTACAATTCCAATCTTCGCAGGTGTGTAATTTGGCGCGTCTTTGGTTCGGAAGGTCAGCGGACCGAGAATATTACCCAAACAGAAAGACATAAGCATGATGGCATTCATAGACACTTTCTTGGTGTGACCCGCAACATTGGCGCTGACAAGTGAATAAATTAACGGCAAAGCAGAACCATCAGCCTGGATCAGATAGCTCTCCGCTAGCTGGGTGGCTTTCATGTCTTTGGCCGAAAAGGCAAGAAGGCAACTGCCCAAGAGACTACAGAGTAGCGCTGCGATGATGCAGAGACAACGCTGGTCATATCGGGAGGCTGTCCACGTTGTAATCAGGATAGCGACGATACTGACGGCTCCATTGGGGATATTTAACAGCTCGGTCTGCTTGGTTGTAAAGCCGATGTTTTTAATGATCAAGGAGGTGAAGCTGCTGATTGCAGCGTTTGGAACGTCCATTGCCGTTACGATCACGGCGATGAGATAGGTCTGTGGGTCTTTGAAGACCTCAACGAACTGTGCCCATTTGAAGTGCTTGTTCTCGATGCCGGTTTGGTTCTCGCGTAGACGCTCGATGGCGAAGATCTTTTCTTCGTGGGTGAGACGGGATGTCATGGGGTTATCAGGGAGAAAGACAAAGATGCTGATTCCAACGGCGATGGTGATGATCCCAAAGATGAGGAACATGATCTGCCACGATTTGAAATTGTCCCCGGTATAGAAGAGAAGGCCATAGGCAACTAGAGCACCCATCATGGAGGCGGTTCCGGTGCCAAGGTACCATATTCCAAAGCGTTTGGGTTGCTCTGTTAACTGTTAGAGGGGGTTCAATTCGTGAATTGAGTGGGATGGACGTACCATTTCGTTTATACCACATAGAAGTGATTAAGATGAGACTGTTTAGATGTTAAGAGGGGAGTTGGTGTAGTTGGATGTTAGATAGTCTCACGCTGGAGCAATTGCACTCTCAAAGCAGCCCAAAAGGACTCGCAAGGTCATTAAACCGCCGAAGTTCCTTGCAGTGCAGTTCAAAGTTGTCATGAGGCCCCATATTGCCACTGATTCTCAATCAGTATGATTTTCTTCAATAATACAATTGCATACATACCATTGAAGCCCAGATATTTTGCCGTGGGCAACCATTGCATTAGAAAGCCCGTCGGAAGCTCAAAGGCCAAATATGTGCAATAAAAAGCTAGCGTGAGATTCGAGTACTGGTTCGTCTTCATATTTGTGTCGCTCAACAAACCCATTACGGAAGCATAGTTTACTTTCCACATGTCAGATCTGTATCCTCACTACCTTGAGTTCATTACTTACTGAGCTGAGCACCTTATCCAGAAACTGCAGATTATACGCAGCCCACATCAAAGGCATAATCATCCAGTCAATCTTCCGCACGAGTACCTTCTCATCAACATCGACACAAACGGCAATGTCTTCTCTGTGGAGGAATTCCAACGCCGCATCAGCCTTTCCCGCCGCTAATGCGTTCTTAGCTTCCACATCAACCGACGTGGTCACGACAGGTGTGTGTTTTCATGAAGTCCCATTGTGCACTTGAAATGTTTGAAATTGAATTAATCGTTAGTAGCGACACACCATCTCTAATAAGAGCCCGCTTCCGATCAGAAAGTACAGGTGGAGAAAAAGTATAAAGAACCCCTCTCTCCATGGTTATCAGGTCCAGTTTTCAGACCGGAATTGCATGCCGCTTGAAGCTACACTAGCTGGATCCCTGCCAGATACTACCGGAACGAGTATTATTTTGTGCAAATACCGCAGAGCTACTAACAAGAGGCCCGCTTGGTTACGAAGTTCTCGTTGTCAAAGCGTGCGGAGACACGGGCTGTTCCGCATCCCAAGTCTGAGCACTCTTATCTTGGTCACCCGATGGGTGGTATTTCATGCGATCGGCAGACTTCAATGAGCCACTAGCATTTAGCCCAAAATTTGGACTCCAAAATCTTGGAAAGTCGAGTGGAGCTGTTGAATAGACACCACGTGTCATAAAGCGGTTTGAAGTTTGTTGACCTGAGATTTAAGCCGAAATATGTAGTTCTAGCCTTGCTAGCCTGCCTGAGCTCTGAATCTGCAGTTATTCATATACACCGTAGTCATTCTGGTTATGCATGAAATGTGGAGATCACCGAGACTCACTCCGCTCGGGTCCCACTTCGGGCGTGCCCACCCGCCCACTCGCCGCAGCTCCTGTATTAAACGTGGAAACGACCTGATTCTACTCTATGTACACGAATGCTTCTAGCGCGTTGCATTTTATATAAAAAGACAAATTGACTCTAACTACAATACTCAGTCGCAATAGTTTTTGAACTCTATATCCCCGAGAACCTCGAGTTCCGCGACTACATCACAATCGTCCAATCAGCACGCACATTCGCAGACGGCTATGATCGTAAAGTACGCTTGATCTAGCCTAGTCATCCTCAAGAAATGATATACTGACCGTCTTTATGATGCCGAACGCTTGCGTGCTGTGCTTGCTCCGACAATTGAGGTAGATTATCGTCTCGTCTCCACAACCATTCCAATGAAGGTTTGTGGGCCCGAGGAACTCATCGCCGAATTCCTCTCACTAGAATTGCTCGGCAACAAGAACCTTTTGACACAGCACTTGCTGGGGCAACCGTACTTCAAATTTGTTTCTAAAGACGAGATTGTGGTCGAGTGGCAACAGATTGCTGGCCATGGCCGATGGATGGAGGGTTCTCATACGCTGAAGAAACAAGTCGATAAGACGAGTGATGGGAAGTCGTATATGGAGCAACGGTATATTAAGGTCGATGGATGTTGGAAATTGGCTGGGCTCAAGCCTTCTTTGTTGTACGAGATTGGGGAGTTTAATGAGGTTGTGGCGGAGAGGTCTACATAGATACAGTTATATCATTTTTGTATAATGAAATAGACATATGGTAATGAAAGCTATTAGGATTGTGACCATAGGATAAGAAGCCGTAGCTATATCCACATCCAAAATCCAACGCTGGTAGAAAGGTTGAGTTAATGTCTCAATTTGACAGCTGGGGTAACAGTGCCCCGGCATTGACCAAAGCCAAACCTCGCCCCATTTTTCTTGTTGACACACCATCCTTCCATTATGAGCTCATCGCCATCTTCCAAGAACACAACTTGATTCTCTTTCAAAGCCGACAGCACAGTCGTTGGAAGCGATCGCTCTACAAGACATGCCAAGCCCGTTTTCTCCCCATTGGAGTCTGTACGCTGAATATCATCAAACAGCGCGTTAGTAGTTGATACAGAGTTAGACCAGCTAAGGGTAGATTCACGTACCGCACTCGAGATAGTTCCCGTTCCGAAGATGTCACCAGTACTGAGACCCTCACCTGCGCTTGTAAGGTGAGTCGCCTGTTGATACGGAGTCCAGTACAGCTCGTTCAGATTTGTCGAAGTGACGTTATAAGTATTACCATTCCCTTTTCACGTTAATGCATGTAACTCCGACCAAATGCTATTTGTACTCACGAATAATACGGGCACTTAGATCAATGTCAAAAGTCGCCTCATTTTGATTGCCTTTCCATGTTAGATGCGGCAAGGGAGCTGGATCCTGGTGAACCATGACCGAACTCTGGACCGATTCAAGTGCATCCATAGTGATAATCCACGGCGAGATGGTTGTGCTAAACCCTTTACTGTGAAATGGGCCGAGGGGTGCCATCTCGAAGCCTTGTATGTCACGCGCTGACCAGTCGTTCAAGATCACAAACCCAAATATGTGATCTCTCACAGCTTGGATATCAAGAATCTGGCCACGCTCCAAAGGGTGGGAGATGAAAACTCCCATTTCGAGTTCAAAGTCCAGTCTCTTGGTAGGCTTGAACGATACACTCCCAGTTTCGTCTTTGATAACACCATGCGGACGAGTCAGGGTAGTGTCAACATTGAGACTGGAAGTACGACCATTATAGACACTTGGGATAACATGCCAGTTCGGCGAACCTGGTATACCAAGAATTTCAGAGCACTGTGTTTTCATATATTAGCTGACTTTCTTCAGATTATGTAGGTATAGACGACTGGCTAATAAACGATACATTCTGGGCGTGTTCCAATGAACAATAAAAGTCCGAAAAATTAGCCGTTTGCATAGGGTAGTGGTTCTGGATGCGGTCCAGTGGGATGAAGAATTGATCCCGCGTGGCTGGAAGAGCAGCTAGTCGCGGTAGAGAGTCGCATAGGAGTTGCCGTGCTTCACGGCGACTGGTAATAGGAAGTGATGCAAAAGCATTTAGATGGCTCTGTTTATTTTCTGCCAGTCAAGATCAAGAGGCTCTATATACTTTGATGGAGTAATCACCTGCGAGAAGATCGCTCCTTTCTCAAAGCCCGGTATAGAGTCAAAAAACCCATCTTTTTCTAGAGCGTCGAGGTCGATCGCATCGTCATGGAGTGCTGTCGCGCACCGAAGAGTGGGATTCTCGCGAGTTGAAATGACCCCAAAGGGAATGTTTTCAATGGGAAACGGAGTCGATGGGGAGGTCATCGTATCGTCAAATGGTCCAACTCGCGTATCTAGACTCTGTTAGAGAGTTCGTGGAGATTTAGAGTGCCCACTTACCCAGAAAGCTAATTCGGTGGTTGGGGAAAGTCAATGGGAGAAGTTAAAGAAGCGGCACCTCCACTTTTATTAGCGGGGTAAATGTCCACGTTTCCCCACGGGGTAACGCTATGTGGGCACAACTCTATCTCGTTCCCACTCATTGCATAGCGATTGCAAATCACATATAGCTGCCAAGATGGGTCGTCCTGATCATCTGCTGCTGTATTTGGAAATTCAAAAGCCCAAACTGATCCTTTCATCATGTCTTTGTCGAAGCTTGAGAAAGGAAGCGTCGAATTTACCGAGGATATTACTTCGGACGTACCACCAGGCCATGACGATGTCCTAGTTGACTCCTCGGGGGAGATTCGGCGCTTGCCTATTCCAAGCAAGGATCCAAATGATCCTTTGAACTTCCCCTTTATAGCAAAGTTGGGGATTATCGTGAGTCGCTGCTGGTTTTGTATGTGGCTTCCTCGAAACCTTAGGTGTTAGACCACTGAGATGTATTCTAACTATGCGAATAGCTATGATGTCCTTGTCTGTCACTGGGGGACTGGGATCCGTCCTGGGCGTCTTCGATGCGCTCTATGCCCCGGAAGGAGTTAGTGAGACGGAAGTAGCCTGGCTTACAACGTTCCCTTCTTTGTTCATAGGCATTGGTAAGAGCTTCAAAGACCAGAGCCCAGTACATATCAATGAACTGACTTATACTTGTACAACAGGAAACTATGTCATCTTACCTCTTGGATTAGCCTTTGGCAGACGCCCAGTCACATGGCCATCACGGTGCTTCTAGGAGCAACAATTGGATGTGAACTCACCCAGACATACGAGCAACACCTTGCTCTAAGGATCATACAAGGCGCTGCGACTGGTGCTACAGAATCTGTGGGTTCAGTTTAACCCTCCACTACAGACGACACCCACTAATCTTAGGATTCCTTATAGCTACTGCCTCTCATTTTGTCTGAAGTAACTTTTGTTCATCAGCCAGGAAATATCTACGGGCTGTACTGGGCAACTCAGACTATTGTGAGCAGCTGCATGAATCTGGCAAGCTCCTATGAGGTCGCTGCTCTGGGATGGCGATGGTACTACTGGATATTCGTCATCACCATCGGTGCAGGGGGAATAGTCGCATTCTTTGGATGTTTTGAAACAGCCTATCGTCGCTCCGCACATGTAATAAACGATTCAGTCATTGTCACCGATAACTTTGGTGTCACACGTGTCTTGACAGGTGAAGAAGCCCAGGCTTATATCAGCTCCAATGCTGCTGCCGAGAACAGGGACAATGTTCCAGATGAGCCGAGGCCCGAAAAGTCATACGGAGAGATGATTAAACCTTGGAGTCATACTGGAAACCCCCCTGTGGCTACTGTGCTACAGACTTGGTACCATATGTTGCAGGCTTTGACGTCTCCTGGGATCATTTACGCCACACTTTTATCATCAGCTGTCCTGGAAGCTGCGATAGGAATGTCCTTAACCTATGACACAGTCCTCCAGGATAACTATGGATGGCCCGCAGCAAATGTTGGCTTGATTAATCTAGGGGGTGTATTTGGCAGCTTGGGCGGTATGCTCTATGGAGGCACTTTCGCAGACTGGTTCATTATCAAAATGGCCAAGAGATCTAATGGAGTCCATACCCCTGAGCATCGCCTTTTACTACTCATATTTCCAGGTGTGCTTTGCTCGCAATTGAGGAAAGGCATATGCTGGATCTGAGCATACAGGATCGGTTCTCTCAGTTAGAAGTAAATCTCCCTTCTGTTGTTTTGAGGGTCTTCCAGGTTCGTTGGGCTTGAAAAGCGCTTTGATCAGTCAAGGCAAGAGAAGAGTGTCATTTAAGAAGCTCACTGTTGCGTTGCGTCCACGAGAGGCTCCTGGCAGACGATCCTTGCGGCGCTTGATGGTCAACTCACCATCTGGAGACAATCCGCCATGCAGCGCGCGATGCCTCTGTAAAACATCACTTCCAGAAATTAGGCACACTTTATTTCAGGATTTAAAGGGGCAATAGCCTACCACCGGTTAAAGCCGCGTTGACAGATCGAACATCGAAAGCTGCGCTTGTTGCGATGAGAGTCGATGTGCCGAGCGAGATAGTCGTGACGCTCATACGCCTTGTCGCACTGAGGGCATTGATAAGGCCCTGAACTCAATTTTTGCAATGCTTTCTGAGAAGCTACTCTGCTGGCCATGATCGCGTAAGGAGTTGGGTAGATTGAGGACTACAGATTACGGTTGGAAGGATTGGGAACTCCACATCTACGCTAACCCGCATTTTGTCTTTCCCCGCAATTCGCCTCATCAATTATAAATCTGGGTCTATCTCTCGTTGGAAAAATATCACGGGGCTCATTTTACTTTCATGGCGTAATTTGCCTGCCAATTGGAGGGAATGGGCGTTTTGTATTGGGTTCACCTGTTAGAAAGTGGGCAATTCGGCAATATGGGGGGGGTAGGTGGGCAAGTGGGCATGGCGCCGTCATTGGGTCATTTTCGTGTACCTAGCAGTGAGCATCCTATTGATTATAAGTGAGTACGACCCGATTCCATACAAATTCGAATTTGTGCATATCCTCAATCTATTTTGAAGAGTACATTTATCATCAGTTTAACCATGTCCACTACAGTCACTTTGACGGAGCCGTCGCAGTCTAGTTCTTGCATCACTAGCCCTAATGTTGGAGGTCCTAACGCCCTGCGTCTGGATAGCCAGGACCCCAAGTATGGGGACTTCAGAGATGATTTGGCGCGTGGCGGATATGCCGCGGTCAAAGGCGCCGTCCCGCGCGAAAGGGCTGTTCAGTACGCCAATGACATGTACACATGGCTGGAAGGGTTGTAAGTGTCATCTCCAAGCCACCCAGTCGACTTTACGATTCTTTGTTTGTTTGCATTGATATCAAGGCTAACCCATCTCCAGTAACCTCGGATACAAACGCGACGACCCGGCGACAGTCTCGAAAGACTCCCTTCCCGTGATCAACGAGAAGGGTATGTGCATGCACTACTGCGTTGGCCACAAAGATTTCGCTTGGGCTATCCGAAGTGAGCCAAAAGTTATCGAGGCCTTCGAGAACGTATACGATGATCAGGAATTGATTGTTTCGTTTGATGCCGTCAACTTCACTTTGCCGAAGTAAGCCATAAAGTCCTTGGTTTTTTGTTACATTCACTGACGAAATTCCAGCCGCACTGATATGCCCCCAACAAGGCTTGGCCTCACCAAGATCAGGACCCCGAGAAGTCAGGCTTCCGCAGTCTGCAAGGCTTAGTAAACATCCTTCCCAATTGCCCGAAAGATGGTGGCTTAATCGTCTGCCGCGGAGCCCATCTGTTGTCCGATGACTTCCACTGCGACATGGCAGACGAGCCACGCATTCCAGCATGGACAAAGGAATGGTTTGGATATACGGAGCGAGGTATGAAGTGGCTGGCTGATCATGGCTGTGAGTGGGTCAAGATCGATGCTGAGCCTGGGGACTTGCTTCTCTGGGATTCTCGAACTCCCCACTATAACCTCAGTCCAACAGGCGATCAGGCTCGATTCTGCATTTACACTTGCTATATGCCCGTGTCTATTGCAACGTAAGAAGATCTTCAAAGGAAGAAGGAGGCTTTTGAGACTTGGAGGTTGACTAGTCACTGGCCTAATGCGAAAGATTTTGCACCCTTGGTAGCTAAGCGGAACGAGGTGGATTGCTCTTGTAACCGTTCGGAGCCGATAAACAAGCCCATTCTAAGTGAACTTGCCTTCAAGCTGACGGGAATTCCATATATCCAGGAGGGAAAGGCCTAGATAAGTTTGGAATAGTTGTTCTTGACACCGAAATGATATCTTCTAAAAGGTCATATTCTTCCACGTACACACATAAACACATCTATGACAACACCAATTGTCTATACGGAGCAAGCTAAGCTCAAGACCGGCTGAGGCTAGAGCTGACAAAATCTCACACTATCCGATACTTCCACCAGCTCAGCAAAATCGGAGTCAAAACGGCCATCGTGCCAGCGATAGTCGACAATCCAATGTATACTTTCCAACCCTCCTTGGTGGTTTTTATGAAAGTCTGACGGTCATTAAGTCGTGGAAAAGGCACGTCGGGCACCGGCTTGCCCAAAAGCTCACACAAAGGCTCCCAACCACTTCCCAAGGTGTACACCAGCAGTTGATTGGGAGGGACTACTTCCTTGACATGCGCATACTGCTTCTCGAATCCTGCTGCCGCAGTCTTTTTAAGGTGCTCAGTCGATGTGCCTTTGAATTGTATTCGAAGCGACAGCATCAAAAGCTCGTAGAGCGGTCCAAAGATCCAAGGGTCGAGTCTGACAGGATTAGTGAGCTTCCTTCGATGGTAAAAAATCAGAATCGCCTACCGCGTGAGCAATTGAAATTTCCAGTCGCTCCTCCAATCTTCCAAAATTTCCAAGAAGCTTCCAGTCCACGAGTTCACGTCGCGTTCGACCAAGATAACTTTGGCTTCCGGGTACGCCTCAATGAGTTCATCCGTGAATGCAATGCAGGGGAAATCGCTCACTCCGCCAAATTTGCCAAGGACTTTGTCCCAGTAACTAGCAGTGCGCTCAACTTTTTGTCCCTGGGCCTTTGCTCGTGCCGCTTCTAGGAAAAACCACCTATCGGGGTTATTGCCTCCGAGGTTGGTACCGTGGTAGCAATCGATGCCCAATATACTCAGAGCATGTTTGATTGCTGTACGCAGATCTAAGGTCAGTGACATTGACCATTTTGTAAATCTTTGAGCGCACTTGAGGTAAAGAGTAGAGATTGTGAAGTGTGACTGGGGTGAATGACTGACACAGAGATCCGGTACGGGGCATAGACAGATTAAGAATTTCCATGGGAATTGTTCGTTCCGGAACGTCTGTCGATTTCGAAGCCTGCGATGTGGTCAGTAAGCTTTCCATTATGCGATCTATTACGGTGACATTGACTGACCATCGTTTCTGGCGCTTCAGGGAATCAAGCCCGGGTCTTTGAACTAATCGAGGTGGGATGAATGGGAAGGGTACGTGCAAAGATAAAAAGAATTTTCGAGATCCTTTCAACATTTTAAGTTTAAATTTAATCGGCCGGGCCTACTCACATGGCCATCGAGATCTGTTCCATAATATGGGTGTGCATCTTAATATTGAGAACTTGTCGGAGAAAATGCAGTATACAGATAGATCGTCGCGATCGGCACGGGAACACTCGTATGCGGACATCTTATCTATGTAAACCACCTCGGCCCAGTAAACCTTATATGGTTGTAACGAGGACCACGTAGTTGACACCGAACGTTCTTGATTCCTTCTCTTTGCGGTCCAGCCAGCATGGCGTCCCATGGACAGCCATGGAGCCCGGAGTATCCGAGGACTACAATTCAGGGCATGAAATTGAGCGAGGTCTCAAACATGCTCTGAACCAAAAGATATAATAGGTGTAGACAAATGAAATTGGTGAGCTGAAACCGCGGCCCGCCGGCTGCTCTAATAATGAGGCTGGAAGGAGTCGATTCCTCCGAATATCAACCGAACCCAGCTATACATGCATGCAAGGTACCCACGGGCAAGCGTGTTTGGCTGTTAGATCACAGTCAAGAGATAATATAAATTTTAAAATCCATTTTTATGGGACTTGGCATCGGTTTCGCATCAACGTTACGGCAGTCTGCGATGCAACACTATTGGCCGGATACCGAGGAGACCATCAGCCTCGGGACACAATTTTAAATGTTCTCGGGCACCGCTATTATTCTTATCCGCCATTGTCGCATAATGACCTAGACTATTTATTTGAACCAACTCATATCTCTCATTATGTAGAAATTTGGCTCCGTGAAGTGTGTGGCAATTGGCTGCGGCCACTAGAGATGAGTCAGCACTTTTGGGTCTGCAGTATTCAAAGTACGCCCGTTCTCAGCCTTACTCAGTGTGCAGAAGTACTTCTATTCGAAATGTTGGGCTAACACATTGATTTCTGCTTCATGGCCATTTCCAACTTTCGCTCTAAACAATTGCCACCTCGTGTTATTTTCACTATATACACTCTCACAGACCTGTCGAAATTGGGGGAATAATCGGCAAAGTCACGTAATTCTCAAGTTCTGCGCCAAAGTGCAGATGATTCCGACCTTGAAATTTCTCAGTTGATTTGTATAGCGAGTGAGCGACTTAAACTTTACCATGAAATGCGACCAATGCGAGAACTTACCTGTCAGTTGGTGAGTTATGCTTGAATAAGCCACATCCCTGTGTATCACCAGAGGAAACCTCCAAGATAATCTTGCCCCCTTTCTCAACTACCACATTGGTAGGCCAGATTTCCACATCCACCGGATGAATCTCACCTGGAATCACAGGCTCAACATCCGTTGAGAAGTAGTCCCTGTGAGGCAGCCAAAATCGATGACGAGGATGTTTCTTTTTGACCTTTCGCAGACTGGCACGCAACTAGCCTTTGCATAATGGCACAGGGTCGCCCGCAGTACCGGTGTAGAATACTTCCTTGCCCTCTGGGGATACGTAGCGCAGCGTAAGAAAGATATCAATGTCTTGTGGAGTGGAGTGGTGAGAATCTGCTGTAACCGAAACATTCAAGTGGGCCACGATATGGCCTGTGACTTCAGTTTTTTCTTCAAACGCCGGTGTGACAAATTGGATAACTTCTGGGTTGTCAAGAGTACCCAAGGCGCGATAAGACAGCTTGCTATAACTTTCTGATGGCTTCTCATGAGTAAGAGTCTTTGTTGCCGACAAATGAAACGGGGTGTACTGCGTCTGCGCGATAGGCCATTCACTCTCACGTCGGCGAGTATAAGCCCTCTCGGCTTCTGCGTTGTTAAAGCCAACATCTCCTTTACGGAGAATCAAGTCAACTTTTGGTGCATCGCCTGTAGACCAGCCAGACCGATCTTCCCCTTTCAGAAAAGCATGAGGAAGCTCTTTTGGACCTCCACTTCTTCATCATAGTAGAAAGGTAGATCATGGCGCCCAGTAATAAACCGCAGGTATTTCAGAGAAGATCCTGCCAGGGGATCATGCATGCTAGACCTTTCGGTTGTCTTGCAGCTACTCTCCATTGGCTTCCAGCGTAATAGCTGATTCCAAGGAGGCCGACTTTACCCGAAGACCAGGGCTGATCGGCTGCCCATTCGACAACATCAAGAATGCATCACTTGTTCCCCGGGACATTGTATCTAATTTTCCAGGCGATTGCCCAGTACCACGCTCGTCTGCTCGAACAACGACGTAGCCATTTTTGGTCCAGAATGCCGGATCGGGTGTTTCCCATGCTGAGTGCTCGGAGTGGTGCGCTGGGTTCACTTCACTGTATGACTGGGGGTGGAAGCTGGTGATGAGTTAGTGATTTGCGTAGAGGTGTGCTGCAGCAGCTATGCTTTCTCATGGCCTGGCTATAGGATGGGTATAATGACTTGGATAAGGCTAGGTATGCATGTTCTGAAATGACTTACTCTTTGTAATGGATATCCTTGCCGTAGGGGGTCCATAGGTGACAAGGACAGGTGCCTTAGTCGATGTTTACTGGACGATATACATTTGCACGTATAAGTCAAGACTCGTCCCGTAAGGGAATGGTGACATTTTGCTCGAAAATGTAAGGAAAAGACTCCTTGTCAATTAGGGTGATGTCTTGGCGGATATCGTTCGGCATGATGAATGGGGTAAACAAAGCAAACTAAAAATGAAAACTTGACAATAACACCGGAATTGGTGGGGATATTGATTTTATGAATCTCATTGGAAATTGTTTGGTCACCTCAATCTCTTCACCTAAACAGGCGTAAAAGTGGCTCCGCCCACTTTTCGAATGGGCGTGATCAAGGAAAGTGGGCAAGATGTGGACAGTCCAGTACCGGCGCGACATGAGAAATTAGTGGACCAGGAAAGCAACACTACATAATGAATAGCTCTTCATATCTCATTCTTGCCAATTTACTCAGAGAAGCTCAAAGATGACAAACGAAAAACTGCGGATAATCATCGTTGGCGGCGGAATCGCCGGCCTAACCTCGGCAATCGCTCTCCGCGCTCCAAATAGACATATCATAGTCTTGGAGCAGTCACGCTTGAATAGAGAAATCGGGGCTTTGATTTCGCTTCAGCCAAATGCCTCCAAAATTATGCAGACGACATGGGGGCTCGACGCGGAGATGGAAGAGGCACGGGGAATGGTGGACGAGGGACTCCGTGTTTACGATACGGATGGATCCCTTGTGAATGAGATTCCACTCCTATCTAAGACCGAATACGGCGGGAGTCGTATTATTTATCATCGGAATGACTTGCATGAGGCTTTAAAATCGGCAGCTACATGTAGCCATAAAAACGGAGAGCCGGTGACTATCCGGGTCTCGTCCAGAGTTGTCGGCTGCGATTCTGGTGAAGGGAAGGTGACACTTGAGAACGGCGAGGTATTAACGGCTGATGTTATCATTGGTGCGGATGGAATGTGAGATACTTTTTCCTTCCTCTGTTAACTTTGAAGATGGATAAACTCATACAAGGGCAATATCAGACATAGCGTTTTGCGGAAATCTGTACTCGAGGATGAGCCTGCTGCCATGCCCACAGGTACCTCTGGTATGTTTTCTTGTTTCAACATATGATAATGGCATGATTGACTGACTGACTGGCACAGCTTACCGTCTGATGGTCTGTGCTAATACCGCATTAATGATGTATTCGAACTAAAATTGACTATCCAGATACCCTCGGAAGTTCTTGAAGAGCAAGAGCCCCAGTTCTGTAGCAAAATTAATCCCAGGGATCCATATACATCCATGATTATAGGACACAGTTGCCGACTTGTCATGGGCCCGGGCAGGAGAGGTGACATGTATGGTGTTGTGGCAATGGTCCCCGATGGTATGTTGCATTCGCAGCGCATCGTACAGTCCACTAACATGAACCAGAAAGGATGAACGAGGACCCCAGTCTACGACAATCATGGGTATCTGAAGGGAGCATGGCAAAGCTCCTTGATACCTTTGCGGAGTTTCCTAGTTGGCTAACTAACATATTCAAGTCAGTTAGTTCTCAATGATGGCAATCGAGATACTAACAGCTCATAATAGACACTCCCCGGACCTCGGTTTGTGGCAATTGCGTGACATGGTAAGTCTGCCGAGCCACAAGCATTACGACAAATGTGGTTGACTGTTTACAGGATCCATTGAGCACTTGGCATCGCGGTCGCGTCTTTTTGATTGGCGATGCTGCGCACCCTATGCTGCCAACGCAGGGCCAGGGTGCAAGTCAGTCCATTGGAGATGCGGAAGCGTTGGGGGCGTTTTTTGTGGACATTGAAAAAAGCCCATCTTTGGAGCAACTGGATGGGGTTTTCCAGGTAAATGCGCACCATGGATACTTTTTGCTGAGTATAATGTACTGACTAGACAGAAAATATTCCGGTCTTGTTATGAAAGGGTTAGTCTGATTCAAGGCTACAGCCGACAAGCCGCGAAACCTGGGACTGTTAAGGAGCAGAAGACCGTTACAATGTTAGTACTTCCTGGACTTCGTTTTTGAGAATATTCACTAACTTTGTCTAAAGGAAACCTGACGAGTTCATGGATTATAATTGCATGTACCGCGGCGCAAAGAAATGGTTACAAGCGATGTCTTCGGTTTGATAGCAAGCTTTTGGCTTAGAAGATACTTTTCTCGGCCTTTTGTGCAGACTCTTGACCGATCTTAAGTCCAATTGCTCTATTAATCAGTCAAACTCGTATCATCCTTCGCGGCTCCAGTGAAAATGTAAACCGCTCCAACCTGTAATGTCGGTGAGGCGAGTCGGATGATAAGATGCCGACTGAATCGATTAAAGTTAGAAGCTAGTTCTGTCTAAGCGATAAGCTACGCCGTAGCGCCATGATCTCGTTTTTGAGAGCTCTTCACCGCAGGTTTGACTACCCCACTCTCAAAGATCACGCAGGATTTTATGCGGCAACATCGCGTGTCGGATACGCAGTCGCATTCCGTCGCTAAGAGATATACGATGCGTCGATCTGCGCTGCATGTTCGAAATAGCGTAGACTGTTTTTGGGCATAAAATGTAGCTTGTGATGATCCCCAACAAGCGTGACACCGAAAAACCCCGCAGTGACCCCAACGTCACCGATCTTGTTCCTACCCGAATTCGGGATCCGATTACCAGCAATCCCCAGTGCCATGAACGGTGACCCAGCCATCGCGATCAAGTGGAACCCCAGAAAATCGTCAGATCCGAAAAATCGCTTCCAAGTTCTCCGGTCCGCCGAGCCGAAAACGGAAAACCGGGATTTTCATAGAACATTGGAACACCACAGATTCGAAAAAGTTCCTGGCAAATTCCAGCAAGCTGGTTTTTTGGGGTAAGAGATCCATGGATCACCCCCGGTTCTAGACATGCACACAGCATAATCCCGGCATCTCTTTGCCGGTGGGAGGAAAGGAAGCTCTAATCCTGGAACTGCTGACGTCGGTTCGGATACGCCCTCTAGCCGCACACAAATGCTGACATCTGGTTCGTCAGCTTATAGCAGTTAGCTGATCCCCCCGCACCAGGGTACACAGGTCAGATGGCTCGACTGTGGGGAAATATTGTGGTGTAGCTGCTTCATGCGGAGATGAGAAGCTTTGCGCTCTGCCTTTTGCCTTCGATGCATGACGCAGGATCGGATCATACAGAGCGACAAGTTCCTCCCCCCGCACGCTTTGCTAGGTTTCCCCAGCGGCAGAGCCGGGAGAATGGAGATTTTGCAGGCTTTTTGAGTTCGGTCATCACTCTTGGCCAATGATGCGATGGACGGGATCTTGATCTTGCGTGGCAATCCTGTGGGGGTTATGGGGATAGCTCTAGGAACCGGGGTAATTGATGCAATGTGGCGGTCAATAATGGTGCGGAGAGTTTGTATGGACTATTGCGACTGGTTTAATTATTGAAAGATGATTACCGGAGTATTTGTATTTGCAGACTACATCTAATTCGCAGGATGACTACGGCGTAGAGTGACAGGTCACTACGCGTTGAATAGCCTAGATTCGTTAACGTGATTTCGATACTTATTACTACAGTATCCCTGTCTACTATCCCTGTCTTACTGTACCGACTTGCTGACTTTCATAAGCACGCATGTAAGGCCGACCGGGGTGGAGTCCAGGAACCTTATTATTCTTTGTTTTGATTCTGCCGCTCGATGGATACCATCAGATCAAAAGAAAAACAAGGGATTGCTGGCTGGACTATCAAACACGTTACTTGCGACAATAGCCCATGCGCCACGCATGCAGGTAGGAAATTTAGTTAAGAAACTCCGTCAATCAGCGTGCCCCTGAATCGACCACACAGAAAGTCGGCCCCGTTACCCAATCGCGATTCCTGCAGCCTTGTGCAGGACAAGCTGTACGGTGTACTAATATTACTGCACGAGATTTTTTAATCTTTTAAAATTACTTGCGTTAAATGGGGTCGAATCTGCATTGGCCCCTTAGGACGGGATGGGACTTATGTATGCAAGATTTGATACTGCGGAGTACCCGCAGCCACGAACCTCGCCAAGTATCACGCAAACAATTCTTACCGTGACCGTGGACGAGTTCCCGATGGTGAGTCGATCTGATACACGAGCCGTCAGAACTCCTCCAAATGGGGCCAACACGGGCCGAGTCCGAGACTGAGACAAATCCACTGGAATCATTGTGGACAGCCAAGTTTCCAAGGTAACCTTGACCGCATTTCCACTTGACGGACAGTAAGAGGCATTTGAGTTTGATTTTTTCAGCTAGTGTGGAGTGTTGAGAGCTGTGTTCCACTGACATGCGTGTCTGCAGCTCATAGCTCCTCACAAGCGAGAAGGGAGAAAAAAAAAAAAAAAGAAAAGACCCATCAGATGCATGGACATGGAGACTTGGTTATCTAGCGTGTGTTCTGGATGGCGGGTGGACCGGGAAGATGACCTGTCATGGTTTAGCGCAAGCGATCGGTACTTCTGATTGCGCCGGCCGACGCGCCTCAAAAGTCTATTAGGGGTCTCGGTGGGCATGGATACATGCATTGTTCAAGTCTGCCGCGTCGCATGAAACAAGCACACGGGGAGGTTTAATGAGGATTCACCAGGCCGTGACCGAGACGTTTAGGGCCCCCACGCGGTGGACGGAAGAGTTTAGTTCATGTTAGCCTCATGCAGTGATGGGTCCACTGTGCACCGTGCTTCTGTCTTGTATGACCCGACTCAAAAAAAAAAAGAAAAAAAGGGGCAGATGGTGTTAAGTGGATGGATGTAAAGCGGCTGAGCCCACAGGCAAAATTGCCTGTAATGGGCGTGGGAATTGGTGGAAATCCATTGGTGCGTAGTGTCGCCAAGACATGGAATGTTCTTTTGACTGGCATTTTAACCGGATGATCTTCCACGCAGGAAACCCTTAAGAACCTTAGGGGAATATCATACAGTACAGTGACCGATTAACCATGCGATAGCAGTTCACCTACCAGAAATGATTAGGGATTAGTGGGTTCGTGGCTGGGTGGGATCCAGAGATCATCGAGTAGTTCCTTTGCCCCAGAAAATCCGGGTTTTCATTTGCCACGTTGAACATCTCATGAACATCCGTGTGCTGCCGGAATATAGAGAAGCAGAATTGCAAATTCAAAATTACCATACCCATGGGCGGCCGAGGTCAGCAGAGAGAGACCCTGGGGTCATAGGGACCCACTTACTCCAAATGATGTGTGGCGGAAGTGAAAAAAATACCAGGTGGAGATCCAACAACAAATACCAGAGACTGTGACATCAAAATCCTAGTGCATGTGGAGTCAGCGAATTCCTGCCAATGGACACTCCAGTCCCCGGATCCATTGACTTCTCTCTTTGGTCCTCGGGTCCCTATACTCTATCCTTAACTCCGTGTCCAGTTAGTGTTGTTCGTATACTTTCTCCACTGTTGCGCATTCGGCACGTTCAGCGCGCACACACCCCCGGCACACCCTGGTCCATTGTAGATTAAATCCTGTAAGAGAGATGAAGGGAAAAAAAAAAGTACCGACATTCATATATGTCTGGAACCGCCTGCTCTTCTTCTCCCTTTCTTCTCTCTCGAGGTTTCACAGAGCTTGATCGTACCTTTGTCGGTCCACTTTTTTCTTTTCAATTAACCTCTGAGCAGTGGGACTGAATCCTGCGGGCTGCACATCATTGCGATTTATTGAAAACACAAGAGCTTCTGAGCTAGCGGGTAAGTGCCAATTCTCCACTTTTTCACTCTTCCTTTCGTCCCCAACGGCTCCCGGAATTGTTTTTGGTTTTCCTCCTTTTTTTTCTCTTTTTTTTTTTTTCCCTCGGGAGAGCGGTTCATGGTTCCTGTGAGTGTCTTAGCGCTGAGCCGAGAAGCTTGAGAAGCTGGAAAGCTATAATAGCTGTGATTGCACCTCCCCCAGATCCTCCCTTGCTTCTCCATCTTCATTTTCACGCCCAGCAGTGCTGTTTGGCCCTTGAATATTTCTTCCCCCAGTCGTGTAACTGTGTTATACCTCAATTGGGCCTTTTTCTCCAGCGAGCTGGATATTTTTTTACCTCTTCCACCCTTGAGCTCACCTTTTTTGTGAACCTCCCAAACAAATTCTAAATAAAAAAAAAACTCAGATATCCAAGTGATTTTATCATGTCTGCCGCCGAAACCCACAACGGTGCCCTCGAGAAGGACGTCGGTGAGATTGCGCCTCAGCAATCCGGCGAGACTAGCGTCCCCATCCAACCTCAGCTCACCCACGAGCATGATGTCGCTCGCGCCGCTGCCCGTTTCGGTTACGGGCCTCTCGCCCACGTCAACACCGCTGAGGCTCCACTCCGTCCCTTCGGTGGTGAGTTCCAGCCCGGTCTGTACAAGCCCGTGGAGGGCCGCAAGTTCGGTAACCCTGCTCCTCTGGGCCTGTGCGCTTTCGCCCTCACCACTTTCGTGCTGAGCGCGATTAACATGGGTGCCGCTGATATCACTGAGCCCAACATTGTTGTTGCTTTGGCTTTCGGTTATGGTGGTCTGGTCCAGCTGTTGGCTGGTATGTGGTATGTATTTGTTTCTTGTCGCCTTCCGGGTGTCGCATGCGCTAATGCTTTGTTAGGGAAATGGCTGTCGGTAACACCTTTGGTGCCACCGCTCTGTCTTCGTATGGTGGTTTCTGGCTCTCGTTTGCGATCGTGTTGACCCCCGGCGGGTTCGAGATTGCGGAGAGCTTGGGTGGCGCGTCCAGTCAGAACTTCAACTACTCCTTCGGTCTGTTCTTGATGGTATGTCTTAGCTTTCTTCTTTGTGCGCATGATCAGAAAAACTAACAGAATCATCAGGGTTGGTTCATCTTCACCACTATCCTGGTCATCTGCACCCTCAAGTCGACCGTCGCCTTCTTCCTGCTCTTCTTTTTCCTGGACTTGACCTTCCTCCTGCTCGGTATTGCCTACCTGCAGGGTGGAGGCACCGCCGCCAACCCCAAGATTGCCAAGGCTGGTGGTATGTTCGGTCTCCTGGCTGCTTTCGCCGCTTGGTACAACGCTCTTGCGGGTATCGCCGACACCAGCAACAGCTTCTTCATCCTCCCTGTCATCCACTTCCCCTGGTCTGCCACTGGCCGTAGCCGCCGTGAGAAGACTGACCGGGACATGGCTTAGATATCTCTTTTTCATGAGAGATTGGGGATGCGTGAGAAGTGCGTTGCGCTTGTAATGTTTTATAGATACCCGCTCCCGTTTGTACCACAATTTGTTTGCAGTCGAGATGGTGTTGTTTTCTTTGCGTGGCGAGGAATTCAGTTCTCGGTTGTCGATTGAACTGATGCTTTGTTTAAAGTGTGGGGATGTATGGTGCCTTCTTGGTTGTGACATGTGTTCGCACGTGGTGCTGTCCGATATGATCCTCAGATCTTGGATGGCAACCGTGTAGTGGAACAAATCACCCTCGCATCTTTGCTGGGAGACTTGCAGTTTCTCGGTGATATGGGAGGGTATATAATTGAGGATCGTATTCGGTTCTCCAGTTTCCTTTTCGTTTTTCATTTAGTTAATAATGCACGCTATGTTATAATGATCTTGGTTCCTTGGAACGTACCTGGAGTATGCTTGACGTGATCGATAAAAGAGTGTAGCGGGCTTCGGTTCAGATTAGTCAGGCTCTGCCCTTCCTGTCGCCGAGCACGTATGCATGTCCAGTCTTGGTCGGGTCAGCCATCGATGGGAATCATGAGCTGGGGTTAGTGTGATGAAGAAGGCGTTCCATGTCCTAATTGACATGGGTAGACCAAGCAGCCACAATCAAAGGTATTGCATTGCCATGCCATGCCTTCTTGATCGCAATGCAGTAGATAGATCAAGATGATCACATCAATGCTAATGCCACTTCACAGCTCAAATTGTATAGACAATCAATTGCCAGCAAACGACCAAAGCAGAGAGAAAAGAAGGGGGTAAGCGCACAAACCCCAGATTCAAGCGAAGGGCCTTCCCCAGAACGCTTAATATGATACTCAGCGCGGCCCGGAGTATACTATACCCCCCAACTAGACGCCATCCGTGTTTGCGAACAAGTCAGAAGCCAGAGGGTGGAGAATAGTCGGTTTCGCTTGAGCTGGTAGGCCATTGAATCTGTCACGATTGGATTGAAAGGAATATCTGGCGGTTAATAGCTCTTTAGTGCAACTTTGTTTTCTGTTCAGGTCGGATATGCCGAGTTCAATCCGGCAGTTCCTAAAGTATAAGTAGAGTTGAAGGAAGGTTGAGGAACACCCTTGACATAAATAGGTGAGAGAAATTTTTTAGAAGAAAATTTTGCCAGCGGATGAACGGATTAAATGAGATAAATTAAAATAATATAGTTAATCAGCAAGAAAAGTAAAGGAGGATGCGGCAGGATTTCTATCGTTCGTGAGTTAGCTGAAACGCCTTATTCGCCCCGAGTTTATGCCGATATCCACCCGGCTGAAGCTCGGTGCTTGCTCGGTATGAGGGAATTTATGATAGTTCGAGACCCATTATCCCGGTGGATCATTGAGCAACTTTGTTCTTTTACGTCAGTTGAGGAGCTTAATTGTCTCTCTTTGAGGCTCCCTGATACTGGCAAATGGCGGGTGTACCATGTAATACGCTGCATCCAGGAAGGATTTGAGCTTCGGCTTTTGCTCGGACATGGAGCGGAGCCATTGACACGGGATGTACGCCCGTGAGGGTCTACATAGGAGATCCCCAATGGATTGATTGATCCTCCCTGTCATATCCACTAGCTTACCGCTTCATTCCTTGTCATCATTCATGGACTCGGATCAAATGCATCAACCATACAGACTTTTCAGCCCCTCTACTGACACTGCAAATTTTCCTCAACACTGAAGAGAAGAATGGGTTCATTATTATGTACTTTTAGGGGTATATCATATACGGTGATAGACGGTGAAAAGACCGGATCCATCGGTTATATAAGCTCACACATCGGGTGACTCCGCCTGCCGCACCCGGACCTCCTGCCAGATCTGGCGCAGCATAGGCAGGTGGACACGGTCGGTGTAGAAAAATCCGAGAAGGATATCTCGGCACTCCTGCCAGGAAGTCACGCCATGTAGACGGGTAGCGGCCGCCAGCTCGTTAACGAAATAGGTACGCTCGGCAGGCATGACTTGGCTGCACGAAGCACCAATGAAAAGTAACCAGATCAGCAGGTCACGACACAGTGCGAACAATCCAGATGCAATGGTCGCCTCCAGGGCGGCGCGGAGGCATAATATGGGCATGGGAAGCAGCGGAGCTATCAGAGGGTAGAAGCTCCAGATGGCGCTGTTGTGAAAGCATAGACAAGCTAGGCGGCAGCAGCCTTCGATGGAGTTGTCACCCTTGGCTTCACCGGTTGGAAGATATCGGTCTAGGTGCAAGGAGTACTCTACAGACAGTACCTCGAAGTTGAAATAATCTTCGACTTCTTCGCCGAAGTCTTTGTGTCCGTTGTTACCCTTGACCCATTCCGCATACCAGCAGAGTTCGTGGAGGTCATAGATAATTTTGGCAAATGTTTCGCTGAAAATTCCGGGGATCTCGATTAGGGGGACCAGGCGGGTTGCTGTCAATGCAGCATCGTCACTGGGTGGGAGGAGGGTGAACCCTTCTGGGCGCACAGATCGGACAAATGGGAAAATGGGCTTTTCCATTCGCATGCAAGCGACTCGAATATCAGTCCTGGTTTCCTGTTAGTACACTACGTAATACATGCTATTGCGAAGCTCGAGGACTGACCATGAAATTTGGAAGCGGATATCCGAGGGAACATCCGCAAAGCTATTGCGCAATGCGATCATCTGTCGCAAGCCCGCCAGATGAATCTTCATATAGTCGGCGTTGCCGGAGGCAATCTATGACTTTGTGAGTGATTTTCATCTGACCAGTTTCCTTGAGCACTTACCTCAATGGTCAATAAAGTTGACACGGCAGCAATAAGCTCATCACTACCAGCCCTAACGGGGTCTGACAAACCCTCATTGACTAGGCGAATGGTCTCGCCGCGATGATGAATTGTATCGACTACAAGAGGAGGACGCCATACTTTTGCATCAGGGTCTCTAAGAGGCAACTCACCTCTCTGCATGGCCGCATTAGAAGTGGACATGCAGATGGTCGCGTGTAGAGTAGCAGGGTCCCGCTGAATCAAAGAGGCCCAATGCGCCTGCAGCTTAGGCTTATAACGGCTCTGCAGTGGATGTGCCTCTTGCGTCAAATCCCAGAGGACTATGACAAGGTTAGCATTTGACCTTTCATATCTCAATGTCATATTTCAAAGGCCATCAACTGACAATTATGAAGATGCCGCATCATGCGGTCCGTAAGCTTTGTATGTCCAGTATTGAACGGATCATGAGCTCCTTGTCCTAAAGGACTCCATATATGGGACGCCGCCGATCCGTTCTGATAACCCACAACTCCATCGAATCCAGTCTCTTCCCACATTTCGGTCGACGAGACAGGCGTGTAATGGCCCATGGCTTGTGTCGTAGGAACCAATTCCTGAGCCGCATCTTCTTCCGAGACTTGTGAGGCCTTACGGCTACTACTGGAGCTCGCCTTTGACGACGACACTGAGGGCGAGGGGATCATTGGCCGGGGCGGTCCCACACCTCCCGGAATTTGTTCTGGCGGTTGAAAGGGCAGATGCTTAAATGTCTTGCCTTTGTATCGCTTGGTATTCTCCAAGCGCTTCTTCCGGTTATGCTCTGACATAACATGCGATCGAATGCGTTTCAATGTTTCCTCCTTTGTCCCCGCAGACGCAGTCTCCGAGTCCGTATTGACCCAGAATAAAGTCGACTTTCCCGACGTGTTGGCCGCCTTGCGAGGCTTGCGGACCTTCGAGGGTGCATTTTGATCACTAATGCCGGTGGGAAGGGGTTTGGAAATTGAGGTTGGCGCTGATTCCGGCGCTGGAGGCTGCGCAATTGATGTTGTTGTGGGGATTTCTGTCGGGATGAGGGTGGCGGGATGAGGAGCAACGGTATAAGGGTCCATGTGGGGGGTCGGATCGCTGGCCGGCCATGGCGCCGGAGGTGGCCGAGACTGCACGGGCAGGGATCGCTCGTAGCCGTGAAAAGGCTCTTTGGGTTCCATGATCCGAACTTAGACAATGGCAACGTTGGAATTGAGCACAACCGAAAAGAAAGACTGGGGGCAGAGAGCAGCTCTTCCTATCTCAGGGGACTGGCGGGGTAGAAATCCAGCTGTTCTCGGGTATAGTAGGCTTGGGATAGTGAATTTCTTCATATCATGCTAGCAAAAAGAACAAATCATGAATCCCGCTAGTTTGCTAGTGGGATGCGAGGCTGCGCCCCGTTACCCGCTGGGAAGTTATGCGAGATCTGGAGTGCGAAGCTGCAGTGGAGAGCAGGAAGAAAGAGAGGGAAAAAAATGGGGGGAAAGCAAGTTGGATCTCGGTACCCCGAAACCCTAAAACTTTACCTAAATCCTCCAGGTCTATTCGTCAACCTAGATTGATACAAGCTACAAAGGAGGTTATCTGAAGAGCTAACGCCTCCAATTTGGATGTTCCCACTTTTTTTGTACTTTGGAGACAGTTATGACCCACTTTGTCTTATCCCGATATTCCTGCGATAGCCGCGTGTCATGAATGTCGGTACTTTTCAGTCTCCGTGCTCCTACAAATGTTCGTCTAGTGACAGTGGAGCGGTAGTCGAAGGAAAAAAAAAAAAAAAAAAAAAAAAAAACCTGCCTTTGAACAGTGCATTTCGTGGCGTCTCACTAACGTCTGCAGCACGGCCAGACTCCTCGAAAGAGCACTTCCCGGTGGATGCGCTATTCATGGGCCCAATGGAATGGAGCAAGAGATCCACTGCAGAACCTAAAGATTGGCTTCGTACTCCAAAGCTTTATGAACTTTTACGAAATCTGTGTGAAAGCGTACTGCTAAGTTATAGAGTGGGGTTCCAATCTTTTTCCAACAAAGGGGAAAAAACGTTAAGTAAAAAGTCAAAAGACGGAATTGAATTTCGTTTTATACTTCAGTCCCTTCCCTGTGCCAGTATACTAATATAGGCTTTGTGAGCCATTCGGCATCCCACCGGGCTGTCATTCATCTCCGAGATACTTCCATCAGTTATACGTTCCACATGTGAGACATAGACCACGTAATATTGAGTCAGAAACATGACATTTGTCCAATTATAAATATCATTGTGTCTCTATGCAGAGTTCTTCTATTGCTCAGCACGTAAGATTCTATGGTTCAATTGCAGGGCGCAATGATCTGCGCCTGGGTACATAGGCTCAATGGGAGCATTGGAAGGGGGCCAATATGACAAGGTGTTGAATTAATTGAGAATACAACAAGAAAGAGAAAGAATAGGAAAGGATAATGTAATGTGGAGAAAACAACCAAGTTATCTTCATCCGGCATATCCGCTCGAGAGTTGTCTAGGTCATACCCGGTCGCGGGAAGATGGGCACGGTCTCCAGCTGTTCTAACCCACCCATTGTACCATTCTGCGCGCTCGTATGCCAACCTTGCCCGGTCTGTTCATTGATGAATTGACTCTGGCGGAAAGGATTTGTACTGCCCGTGGGATTCGGCTGAAGGGGTTGCAACCCAGTGTTTTGAGCCGGTGGGACCGAAGTGCTTCGAGCGAACGGGTTAGTCCCGGTCCGCTGAGGTTGAAGGGGTTGAGGTGACTGTGATTGAGGGATCGGTGGGACTTGGGGCACTTGTTCAGCACCAAAGTTCGACTGGGGTGCAGCCATGGAGAGTCGCTTAGCAAAGGGATTCGTGTTCTGCCGTTGCAGTGGGGTAGCAGAGGGAGGGGCACCGCCCGTGTTTTGGCTCATCAACATTGACTGGCGGAAGGGGTTTGTTGGTGTAGATGGCGGCTGCAGCTGCTGTTGATTCTGCATAGGTTGCTGTTGATATGAGGGAATTTCATTCTGCGGAATCGGGGCCAGTTGCGACTGGTATCCATATGATTGCGGCTGTGGCGTATATCCTCCGAATCCAGCCCCGGTCGGTGTCGGTTGAAGCGGCTGTGCTGCTGGTTGTCCGAAAGGATTGCCTGTGGTTTGTTGCTGAACACCTCCATACGGGTTCTGTTGGCTGTACCCTGTCATCTGCTGCTGCTGTTGCTGTTGCTGCTGCTGCTGTTGCGGGAACCCTGTCTGTTGTGGATAGAACGCCTGTTGAGGTTGCTGGAATCCAGTCTGCTGAGGTTGTTGGAACCCGGCCTGTTGTGGTTGTTGGAAACCGGTCTGTTGTGGTTGCTGGAACCCGGTCTGCTGGTATTGTGTCGGTACCTGCTGAGCCATTGGCTGCTGGTTCTGTTCAATCGAGTCAAAGAAGTCAATCAGATCCGTAGGTGGCGGCTTTTGCTGTACAGGTTGCTGTGCAAATTGCTGTTGCTGGGGTGGGTTTGACGTTGTGTTTGGTTGACTACTAGTGGATAAGGCCAATGCTGCAGGCGGAGCGCGACCTTCTTGCTTGATTCCTTTCCCAGACAAATATTCTCTTCGTCGAAGATCAAAGTCTGGGTCATTCAAATCATCTTCAAGGAGACGCGCTAAGTCGGTAGACGCATGTTTGAGTTTGGGAATTTCCAAACGAGTGGCAGACTGGAAGTGCCTTGCAACTCCAAGAAAACTGACTACCTCTTCTGTCTGCTTGGTAAAAGTTTTGTAGATAGACAAAGCACGTTCACTGTCCGGCCTTGACATCTCGAAGTAATGTTCTGTGAAAGATATATCAGAAAACTGGGTAAAATGCGGATTGGATAACAAGGACCATACCCAAGACATTGATAGTTCCCTCATTCATGACCGAATACAAGACCAGGAGGTCGAGGGTTAAAAGGCGGAATGCGGTCAAGCTGATCTCGTTCTCCGGCTCATCGGTCAATAGCTATGTGGCACATTAGTTTGACAGACCATAGCCTCTACCCCACAGGGTTCACCCACATCACACCGCAGCAATGCTCGGATCTGCTTTTGTACAAATTCTGTCTCTCGTAAAAGACCCTTGTCCACACTTAATCGCTTCAGCCGCCCTGGGCCGCTTCGCACGTAGTCCGTCTTCGTGGCATCGAACGCCTTTGCGCGGGTGATGAGATATTCAGAGTACCGCCGGATATTACGCCCTTGCGATTGCGCTGCACGATTTGTCAACAAACTGTATCCTCGCACTTAATTGCTTGCGAGTCTCACCTTCCGAGAAATTACTGGGCGCAATCTTTTTCGGGTTATCAGCAAGGAAGCCAAGCGCGGCATCCTGTTGGCCTTCGCGAATCAGGAGGTGAACAATGATCAGCGCTTTGAACACAATTGTCCATGCTGAGTCGCGAAGTCGATGTTGGAGTGTTCGAAAAACTTCCGCGACACCCGCCTCGCCGGTGTGGGTCGCCACCAAGATGGTTTCGACATATTTAGATTTAGGAGCCGCAAGCTGTGTGAAAAGATAGGTCTCAGTATGCGTATGAACTGCGTGGAGTAGATCGGCAACACTCACCTTGAGCTTGGTGGCCCCTTTGACGGACTTCTCGAAGCCGGTCATGGTCCTCGGGGGTACTGGTTTGGGTCCGTTCCGTCGATTGATAATCAATTGCGCGCGTAATAGGTTATAATTCCGGAAGGCTGTCGAAAGGAAACTGAAGAGCCTGCTTCAGAGATGAATGCCTTGGTGAAGAGCCGTGTGGATCCTCAATCAACACCGGTATCGCCGACGGGGTGGCTCATTGGGCCATCGCGGGAGCCTGGGGCAGGAATGACAACGCTTTGCAGGGGATTACCAGGGTTATCGTAAACACCGCAGGGTGCGCACGCCGGAGTAGAGATGGAAGGTTAAAGATATGAGGGGGTGGAGAGTAAGTCCAAGGGTTAAAGAGACGTGGGCGGGAGCTTGCACTGGTTCGTTGCGGCCCAATCAGGCATAGCGTGATTGGACAGCACGAGGATCTTCGGTAATGTGTACTTCCGGATGACTGTTAGTCTGAAGGTTTGTGTTGGTATATATTTACTTAAGAATAACTCTCAGCTGCTTCATACGAGCGGATTGAGTTTTATAATATTATTTTGGATTTTTTGAGGTGACTTGGCCTCAGGCAAGAGTTGCCCGGTGGCATTGGTATTAGACAATATATACTTCCAGACTCGATTCTCTGGTGGTGACCCCAGTGGACACTTCAAACCTGTGTAATATTTAGACCAATTTCGCATCATCTGTCCCTAAAATGATCCTTGGACTCTACTAGCTTGAAAGAGTATTTCCAAACCTTGGAGGTCAAGGTTCAAAACAGATTTTTGAATGCCGAAGTGAGGCACGTCTAAGTAATTGGTCACTATCTTTCTCCAGCAATTCGGAAATTTTGCCATCTATCTTAATCTTTCACCTTCCAAGTCTCGAGTTTCCTTTTTACACAACTCTCTCCCCTCTCAAAGAACCCAAGACTTACTTTCATTTCTTGACTCAAAGTTTTCCTTATCGTAGTCGAGTCCTCAGCCTGTTCTAACTCCCCGAGCATCACATTGTTCAAGCAGCTCAAAATGCCGCCAAACAGGACCTCAAAGAGAACCAGTGTCCGGTGGGACACGGAGAAAAGACAAGTCTTGTGCTGCCTATACAGATTTCTCTCTTGGGAGAAGCAGGCCCTTTGTCAAGTATTCTCTGAGATCTTTCGAGAGGATCTTTCCGAGCTAGGCATCATGACAGATTTGTCTTACCCCCTGCTTCACACGCAGTGGTCTGGCATGCGAACGGAAATTAACCCCGTGTGGTTTCATGTTCATGTCAACACCGGTTTTCGGAATGATGCCGAATGGAAGACGCGGATCAGAGAGATAAAAGAAACTGCCAACCGACTAGGAGTCTCTTTGCTAGAAAAAACACAGGATACCATCGATAAGTCAAGCCTCCGTGGCTTCGATTATGAGGATGACAAGAAACTCAAAGGATACTTTGAGTCTGAGCTGCTCTCGGTAAGAACGGAACAGAGATAAACGCAGTGGTGACGAGGGTTTCAAAGATCTTTCTAATATCGTTCTGCACATTGTAGGGTCGGAACCTGATCAGTGATCCTACACATCAGGCTGAACAGTCACCAGAACCACAAAGCAATGACAACCAAACCTTAACACGAAACTCATCTCCTGAAGCAGCAATTGGGCAAGAAATTGAATGTCTTGTCTCTAGCAATGGCAAGATATGTGCCTGGTGTCACAAAGAAGGAGCAGCTTGTTTAGAAGGCAAAGGGCAGTCTTCGGATGTCATGGATTTGGACCCTGTATCTGCCAAAGGAAGTCTGTCTACAAGTTGTTCGCCAGAAATTATTCAGGAATGTGTGCCTCTCATCCACAACGAGAACGAGCGTCTTCCTGGAGTTTGTTCAGCCGAAGATATACCGCGTCTATTGTTTAGGTGGTCGAATGTTGACTCCCAAGGTATCAATTCTCGGGCCGGATTTCGAGCGGGCCTTTTCGCAAAGGGGGACCCGACGCATATTGATCTTGATCAACTCACCCGAGAAGAATTTCTCAAACTATTTAAAAAGCATGTCACCAAAACGAAGGTGCCGTCGCCTTTCATTTCGACGTTTACCCTTCCACTTTCACCAGTCCACAGAGCCCTTCACAACCAAAAAGGAGCGATTGTCACCATAATTGACTCATCAAAGCTTGAGAGCATGGTTGTAAAGGCTCAGATACTGGTACCTCTGACAGAAACAGAGACTAAAAGATGGAAAGGATACGGAGAATACCTGATTTGGCGGGAAATCCCTAAGGCTGCAATCGCATGCGTCTTCACCATAAACCAATTGAAATCAATCGCCAGAAGATTTACAGACATCGGCAAATTCCTCCAGCTGAAGCTCATCAGAAGCCGAAGATTTAGCGGCATGTACTTGTACTGTGAACTCGCTCGCAAGTTGAAGCACACAACTAATCATTGTCGGACCCTGGAAAGACTGGTGACGCGCCTAGGCGTACCACTTGAGTACAGGGCCCTCACCATCAACAGGTTTGAATTAGCCTGGACGAGGAGATTTGGTGATAATCTCAATATTGAGCTCGCCGAAGATAGGGCATCTGGTGATGCAATAGAAATCGAGGATGATGTTGAAATGGCAAACGAAGAGATTTGGACTCGTCATCGATCCGACTATAAGGGGGAGGAACAGTCTGGCGCATCGACATATGTACCTTCGCAGACTGACCTGGACCACAGCTCTGAGAGCGAAGAACAGCAACAGGAAGAGAACGACTCTGCTTCCCCAGAGGCCCCTGCGCGCCGTCGTGACACGTCTAGTCCACCTTTCTCGACCCGAGATTCCGCTGATGATGAGCCCTGGAATTTTCATCAGGATTTGAGGAAGAAGGAATGCCCTCTGAGAAAGAAGAAATGACACTCGAGGAAGGAGTGCTACAAGACGTTGAATTGTTTACGCCCTCAACCCACAGTTCCAACCAAACACAGGGAACACAGGAGACAATGCTTATTTCCCCATTTGCAATTGATCTAGAAAGGCAAGCTAGTTGGCCACCATTGGACCACTATGCTTGAAAATGGCAACAGTAAACGAATTGAGATACCGCCGAGATGGGGAAGCTTGAGTGAGAGAAACTGACTGCTATTGCATATGAACAGATGAAGTGTGATTAGCACAGAGCCGTGATATCATTGAGGTACCAGTAGGAAAACCTCAAATTTACCTCACTCACATTGTCCTTCTTACTTTAAATTTGACAAGCTGACTATACTCCTGGCATGCATATTCCACATCCCAGTAGAAAGTTGGCAGTAGAAAGGGCAAGATGTGATGTTCAGCGAGTACTACGATCGAAGCAAGAATGAACTGTACAGTCCTAGCCGTACGACACCAAGCTTGCAGTAAACGGAAATATCGATTCCCCCTAGTGTATCAAATCACAGCTTGAAAGCAGAAATCCGAAGAAATTAAACATGCAATATCGAAAATAGACCCGCCCCATAGTCTTTATCGCCTGGGACGGGCGTACGGGTTTCCATGGCAGGAGGATCGATGAAATATTTTTGCTTTTTGTGTGGATACACATTCTTCAGCAAGGTATCTGGGACATGGAAACTCGTAAACTATCCCGACCCCGTCCTAGAAATTCCTCTATATCCAGTTCAAACCGCTTCCTTCGCCGTTATTGTCCATTCCGAGCACCCAATTTCTTCAAACGCTTAGAACTTGGCGAAAGACTTGACAGCCTTACCAGTGCGGGGCAGAACACGCAGAGTGTTGAAGCGGACCTAGAAAACGCATATTAGATATTGATCAAGCATAAAAGTAGATACAACACATGTTGTGCTGAGGACGATAGGGTCGCGTATTTCAAAACTTTGAGAACGTGACCCCAACGCCATACAGCAGCACTTCATGGGCCGTTTCTTTTCTTGAGCGAACGTACAGTCTTGGAGAGGGGACGGCACTGGCCAACGGTGACCCAGTCACCCTCCTCAACACGGAAAGCGGGGGAGACGTGAGCAGCGAGGTTCTTGTGGCGCTTCTCGTAACGGTTGTACTTGGGGACGTAGTGGAGGTACTCGCGGCGGATGACGATGGTACGGTGCATCTTGGTGGAGACGACACGGCCGGTCAAGATACGGCCACGGATGGAGACGAGACCAGTGAAGGGGCACTTCTTGTCTATAGGAAATTGTTAGCGATTGGAACCTGGATCGGCTGGTTAATCTTCGAGGCGTTTTGGTCTTTTTTCCAAGGTATGGAGGCGCATATTTCGTAACAATCGAGAGCATTGTCGCTTTTTCCAGCAACACATTGTCGTCGCACCATTCAATTGTGGTCGCACAATTGTAATCGATGCTTCCGTAGCCCTGGTTCCACCCTGTTCTTTGCCTCCCTTCACATTCTCGAAAAAGACCAAAATTCCTGTAGATTCCGTGCCGGTTCAAAAGTTCGTGGATCGTGCATACCGATGTAGCTGCCCTCGATGGCGGTCAGAGGGGTACGGAAACCGAGACCGACCTCCTTGTACCACCGGCGAGTCTTATCAGCCTTCTTGGAGGACTTGGCCTTGCTCTTGGAGTTCAAGAAGATGTGAGGCTGCTTCTGGAAAGCGCGCTCGGACTGGACGGTCAACTCGGTGGCCATGGTTGCGGTTGTTTTCCTGTCGACGGAGGAAGCGGGTGTCGAAGAGATTGGCGGGTTGGACGTCGAGAATCAGGAAGTTTCGCTAAAGGCGAAAGGTTTGGAGCGGTGATTATTGTGTGTGTGGCCACTAGCCCTATTCGGGACTAGCACATAGCGGGTTAGGGCTTTCCCCTTATATAATCGACAATCTTACATAATCTCAAAACCGCTTTGTTTATAGTCACGTGCGCAAGAACGCGCCTAGGCGTGTTTGGACTACACGGAGTTATCAAGAGGGGAATGCGACAGCCTTCATCTGAGCTCTCTCCCGCCACACCCTTTAATAAGACCATGCTTGGGTGATCATTTGATACTTTGAGGGTGTCGCCATCATGTCCTCTCGACCCGATTCAGCGGTCACGCGCCCGCGCTCTCGTCGCTCCATTGCGCATGTGCCGCGATCCAAGATGACGTCTGGACTGGATAAAGAGAATGCGACAACAGATATCGGCACAGTGCCACCATTTGGGACCAACGGAAAATCTATTACGAGGGACAAGAAGTCCCGAAGTAAGAGTTTAGGTCCTGGCGGTCTTGATGCTCTGCAAAATTCAAATGGCAATCGTCGCAAGGTAGCTACAATCTAATCATTCCCCGCTTATTCTGGCATTGAATAACATGGACTTGGATGTCTTTCAGTCAACAGCATCTTTTCCCCTGAAATCAATTCTGAAGCCCACAGTGCCTGTCTCGCCAGTGCGCAACATCCCATCCTTCGAGGAAACCCGCCGTCGCACCCCAGCTCGAGATGCACCTAGCCAGGAAGTCAATGCCGATGCCCAAAACCAAGAAGGTCTTTTAATCGATTTTGCAACCCCGTCTCAACCCCCTGTCTCAGACCCCGATGACACATCCAACCCGTTTGATACCTTTAATGCGACCTCAGCCATTCGCGATGAAATGGCTGCAACCAAAGAACGTGACGATAAGGAACGTAAGGAACGTGAACGCCAGAACATTTTAGAGAAGCGCGAGGCGCGACGGAAATCAATGGGTTCGTTCTGGCCTTACGAGCATGTCGAGGGAAATTACTAAACTTGATGTACTAGCAAATCGCCGTGTGTCATTCGCACCTGAAGCTACTCTTCATACTTGGAATGTTGTTGAGATTCCCGATGACTCAACCTCATCATCTGCGGCAAATTCGACCAGACGTGCTTCTTCAACTGCCGGCGCTCAGGGTCAACGACCTCAGCCTTCTCCAGAGAAAGAAGCCCCCTCTTCCCCCGATGGAGATGCAGAGTCCGACTTCGGCTTCTCACCAGTTCGGCAGCAGGATCTCGAACAGATAAGAGGCCAATCCATGTCCTCCAGAGAAGATGATGGTACCGCGGGCCTTTCTTCTAGTCCTTTTAGTGGAAGCTCGGTTTCTGGGAGCGAAGACACAGGGGCACAGAGTCTGGCCGGCGATGACGAGGATGACCATTCTTCAGATTCTGACGATGAATTCGATGCGGAGAGTACCGCAATGAGTATGGATGATATGACTTCCCGCTCCGCAGCGACCATGCAGTCGGACGCAACCGCTAGTTCTAGCTCTAGTGCCAAACTCAACGAGGCGCTGCGCCAAGCTGCCAGAGAAGCCGGGACACAGCTGATTGATGATGGAAATGGAGATATGTCTATGGAAATTGCAGATGAAGAAATTACGGGTGCTTTCCAGCCTTGGATCAAAAAAGGTCAAAGCTTTGACTGGGATGATATCAGTTCTCGGCTTGACCAGGAAAATGTTGACCCGTCAAAGGCTGCATCCGCCGGAGAGTATGCAGGGTCAGAAGGGGATCAAGATGAAGAACTCAGCATGGATGTTACCAATGCTATTGGGCGCATTCTGGGAAATGGCCGTCGACAAAGCGGCGCCCCTCGCAAATCCCTAGGCCAGGAAACAACCTACGACGACCAAACAATGGAAATGACTACCATGGTTGGCGGAATTGCGCAAGGAAACGTTGCTCAGTTTAACGAAGATGATACCAATGAGGATGAAGAAATGACCATGGAGTTCACTGCAGCTGTTGGTGGCCTTTTGAATAGATGGCCATCTCAAAACTCGCAAGATCCCGAACAGCAGAATTCATCCACCCCAAAGTCCGATCGTATGGACTTTGAGCGAGACAATGACTCTGATGGAGGCATGGACATGGAAATGACTGGCGCGATTGGTGGTATCCTACCACCTGGGCACCCAAGTCAAGACAGGGACCAAGCAAAGATGCTCATGGAACTTGAGACAGAGTCAGGACAACTTGGGAGTTCGCCTTTTCAAGAGAATGTTCGACAATCACCGGCAAAATCCCCAACCAAGTCCCCCCTCTCACATATTGCCGCTGTGGCATCTGAGAGCGGCAGCCCTAGCCTGGCAAATATTCGGTCGCGACCATCGCGACGTAGCTCTGCCGCGGGCATGAGTATGCCGGGGACACCCACATCAGCTGCTCAAAAACGATCACCGTCAGAGAAACCATCGACACCCCCTAAACAGTCAACGCCCCAGGTAAAGCCTACAACGCCGGGCAAGACCCCTCCATCCGCCAATGTTAGCTTTCGAAGCGCTTCGCCTAAAAAGCTATTCCGGCCCGAGCTTCAACAGTCTGCGGAGAGACGCAAGTCTCTCCGTCAAAGTATATTTGAACAAAATATGGCCACTGGACAGTCGACTCCCCGTATTGTCTTGCAACCCCGAGAGGGTCGCCGCTCCTCAGGGCTTGGGATTGATAAAGAGGGTCTTGGATCCCCCCGTGTAGCTGCGATGCTAGACGAGCGTCCTTCGCTTGGTGAAAGCACCCCGCAATTCACTCCCCAGCAGCCCTCGCGAAGCGGTGTGCGTTTTGAGGATCCATTGAAAATGCAGGAGGATGAAGACCGGGATCGCGAGCAGGAAGAGATGAGAGAAGATGGTCATATCCCGCCATCCCAACATGGAGATGGCGATGTGACCTCGAACCTAAGGGAAATGATCTCAAGCATGAGCCCAAAGAAGAGTAAGATGGGCAACCGAAAGAGCCTTCACGTCGGTGCGACTCTTGGCATCTTAGGCAAACGTCCTCTTGAACTTGATATGGACGACGAGGAAGCTGAAAACTCCCCCAAGAGGCTCCGTGGCCGGGAAGTCAGTCCAGTGAAAGGTGTGAGGCTGCTAGCACCAACAGTCGGCGATGAGACACTTCGCCGGTCGATTCGATCTCCCATTCGGAGAGCTCGCAGCTCTTCGCCACTTAAAGGCAGCACTACTCCCAATTCGATTTCAGAACTTCAAACCCCCACGAAGACGGGAGCGACCCCCATCAAAAAGGGAGTTGATGCCCTGCATATTGCTTCTGATCCTCAGCAACCTGAACCGGAAGAAGAAGAGGCCTCGGCTCAAGGCCAAGACACAGACTTCGAACCGATTCAACTTCAGGATTTCTTAAACATGACTAACATTCATTTTATGGAACTCACGACGACCAAGAGACGGCACACAACTGCCCCCGGAAGTGCTAAAAAGAGGTTGTCCAGACGATCGAGCGAGGTCGTTCCGAAGGCAGGCACGATCACCTTTGATGATTGTGTCGCCGCTGGATTCTGCACAGTCCCTATGCTTGAACTATACCAGCACTCCTGCCGTGAATTGAAGTCTTATATCTCTGAAGGTAGGCAGGTGATTCGGTCTATTGAAACCGAAACCTACGCCGAAAATCCGCCTCTTTTCCAGGAGTATGTCACGGCTCCTCCGGACATTCGCGTCATTATGGATAACCAGTTCCGAAATGTCAAGACCCATGCACGACTGCTCAGCAAAGCCACGTGGTATGAGTGGCGCATGAAGCTTCTTGAGGGTCTGATGCAAGGTCTTCATCGCCATGTGGACGATATGAAGGCCGATGACGAATTATTGTCTAAGCGTGAAGAACTTCTCGGTAGCACCGTGCCTTCGCTCTTGGAGAAGAACTCCTTGCTAGAAAATGAAGCAAACAATCTGCAGCGATTGGTGGAAGAGATGGAAAGCTGCGATCAGGATGAGCTGCGAGGAGCACGTGAGAAGCTGTCCAGTGTTGAAGATGAGATCGAAGCAAAGAAACGAGAACTCCAGCAGCTGCAGAATGAGGTCCACGAGAAAACTGTCTCAATTGAAGCTGGCACAGAATTGCGTGAAGAATATTTGGCTCAATTCCAAGAGGCTGAGCGAGTCAAGGAAGAATGCCGAGGGTGGAGCGCTCGAGATATCAGTGATCTCAAAGCTTCCGTCCACCAGATCGAGTGTCAAACCGGGTGGTCTATCACCGCTGCATCGACATCGACGGAATCCAATGATCCCATGTTGACTATGTCATACCGAGCCCAGCTGCAAATCAAGTTCCACCCTGGAGCATTCGCCACTAAAGATTCATCCAGCACCCAGAAGACTAACCTCCCTCTTGAGTTGACCTTTACCAAGAGCAAAATATCTCCCATCACCTCGTTGGTCTTACAATCCTTGCAGCAGCACCTAGCTAAGGTGCAGCAATCTAAGGTTGCGCCCAGACACTTGCTCCGTTTCATATCTTCCGCATGGGACCGCACTATTAGTCTCGAGAATGAGGCTCGTATGCTGGAATTCTGCGGTGTTACTCGTCTCACCCTTTCCGATCCAAAGAATGACCTCTCTCTTCGTGCCCGTTGTACACTCCTCGGCAACACCGCTATTCCATCTACACCAAGACGTAAGGGTGCTGCGGCTAAGAACAGCGGGGCTAAGCGAATTGACGTCGACTTCACTGTCCGCACGCGCGTTAACCTTAACGATGACTCGCAGGGTATCGGGTCCTTGGATTTTGACATGGATGTGGTTGCGACTAAAGTCTATGGCTTCGGTTCTGGTAACAAAGCCGGTCTACCAGACAAGGAGATGCAAAATATTCTAGGCAAGGGGCTTGACAGTGGAGAAGCGGGAGCTCTTGGGAATGGAGTTTGGTGCAAGGCGGTCCAAGAGCTCACAGGATCTGTGTTTTAAGCTGATGATAGGGGGCTGTTTATTTATTTATTTTTTTTTTTTTTCTCTCTTGATACCTCGGGTTTCTTTAAGGCGCTTGGAGGTCATTGGATTGGGTATGGGGCAAAGGGATTTTTATGTGAACCGGGTATCTCTTTATACTACCTCGATGACTATGGCGAGCGTTTACCATTTCAATGCATATCTCTTCTTCGGAATTGTCATAAGACGCGCTAGTATCCCTGATGTCCTCATCCATCCATAAAGTTCTCAATTACGACAAATAATCTAATCTGGCACTACTCAGGTATAGTCATTCGGGATTTAACTTGTAAAAATCCATATCATCCAATTTTTCTCAAACAACGACCAAAAATGCATTTTCACGCTCATATTACAACCTTTGCATGCTCCCAGCCCTCAAAAACAACGCGCCCCAGCTCCATCATTCCATGATTTTGTAAGACATTTTTACAGATTCGCAAACGGTCGGCAACAAAATCAACGAAAAGCATCTGTCCAGTGGAGGTATTCAGGTAGTCTAGAACATACCCATGAAATTATTCGAGAAACCAGACTGAGACTGATTCGGATCCTGGTCCTGATCCTGCGGTTCCGGCGGCATAAAGTTATACCCCATAGTCTGAGTTCCATAACCCATAAAGCCAGTAAGATCGTTCCCAAAATTATTATTCATCATTGCCTCCGGATCCATCGGTCCATTAAGGAAAGAGTCCTTATCTAGGATTGGCAAGGAGGTTTGCTGCATAGAATTTCCTCGGAAGAGGCCTGCCCATAGATTTTCTCCGAATCGCCAGTCTGCTGTTAAGGGAACTTGCCATGATTCTGGGATCATGGTTCCTGTGCCGTTGCTATTGACTTGCGAATAGGGACTCTGGGTATTGTCGTGTGGGGATGGTGCTGTTGATGCTGCGTGATCTTGTGCTAGTTGCCAGGATGGGTAGGTGTTTCCAAATGTCGGGTCTGTGTCTGCTCCGCTGAGATCACTTAGACCGAGACCGGTGGGGTAGGTGGGTTGTTGGTGAATGTTGGTTGTGGTGCGGAAGTCGTTATCGCCAGGGCTCATGGGAACAACAACGTATCCGGATGAGTTGACTGGTGGGAAACCTTCAATAGCTTCGGGGATGCTGGGATCTATCATATCTTGGTGGGTCGCGGTTGATGAGTTTGGAACGGATGGTGCAGTTGCTTGAGGCTGGTGAGCAGCTGGGTTAAAAGATCGATGGGTCGGACCTCGGTGGCGTAGTTTCGGATGTGATGCTCGGAAGCTTTGCCTCTTCGATTCTGAGGGTTGGTCTTCCTCTTCTTCGTCATTGAAGGACCGAGCCCGTTTCTCGTCTCTATCGACAGCTAGTCTTGCGATGCGCTCCAACGTGGCACTCATTTGAGTCATGAAACCTGCATAGCTTGCTGGGCCATCGCCCGATACGAGGGTCGCAAAGAATGTTGCTGCCATGTTGAGAGATTGAAGATCTTCTTTCACGGCCGGACTGCGAGTATCTCGAAGAATATTGGAGAAGATGGTTGCTGCTGAGAGAAAAACATAGTACAAGAGAGACCTGAAGTGTATGTTAGATATGCAGTAAGGTTGAGAGTGATATGGTGCACTTACCAGAGCCATGCAATGTCACCCCAAGGCATGTTATTCACCATTTTCAGTGTATCTCGTGCGGCTGTCACACAGATGAGGGCGGATTTTGAAGCGAATGCTTTGCTAAGGGACTTTAACTCTTCCGAATCTCCCTCACGATTCATTATTAAAAAGTTTAGCAGAAGGGGTATCCGGTGGATCATGATCAGGGCATTATAGTAGACGAAGTGGAGACCGACAGAGGCAAAGCCGAACAAGAAATCAGTTTCGGCACCCTTCAACTTCGGTACCTCGGAGAAAGGGTAGTCTTTTTTCCACGCCTCGAGCTCAGCACTGAGCTCTTTGACGGTTTCATAGATTTTATCCGGCTCCTTAAGCAGGGACTTGGCGGAGTACAGCCGGCAATAAATGCGACTTTTGATAAGACACATGCGACAAAGCTGGCAGAAGAAGTGAATATTTGGAGCCACTTCGGGGTCGTTATCATCCTCTGTTAGTTGTGGAAGAGGAACATCGAAGTCATCGGGGTGTTGAGATGGTGCGTTTCCAGCCCTTAGACATGTACTAGACAAGTTGTTAAGTGAATATGTATGACGGCATGGGCCAGGATGAAATTAGGTACCTTTGATCAACTGTAAAAGCCACCCAGAACACACGTCGTCTTTGCTCTTGCTGAGCAGGGCTCAAATCTGGTCTCTCGATATTACGGTGAAGTCCCATTCTCTGGCACGACCGCATTGCAGCGGTCATAAATGGTAGTGCAGACTGGGTGCCAGAATTGCCCCGAAGAAAGAAACCCTTTCAACAATGACTTGTTAGATATAGAGCGGCGGAATTCAGTTGGAAAAACATACCATGCTGATCAATGCCTGCACACTTAATAGATCTGTACGCCGCAATGCCAGTTCTGTAAAAACAGACATGGCATTTTTAAAATATAACCGGGCCTTTTCACGATCTTTCTCCGGCTTCAGGCTATTGGAAAATCGGTACTCGTAAGCCAAACATATGACCATGTTGATACTAGCCCATCGGGCAGCATCGTCACATGTCTGCTGTGTATACTGCCACTCTACCATCTTCATGAACGAGGCTTCGTGGAAAATTGGGAACAAACGATTCGCAGTTCGAAAGAAATCCTTAATGAGAGAAAACACCTCAGATCTTGGCGGAAGTGGTTTATAGACTCGAGAGGCAAACAGATCATGGAAAACATCTGGACGCCATTCATTCCATGGATCACCATGGATTGAATCAGTAGAAATGATGCTCATGAAACTAGTGTCCCCAGTTTTGTTCTTGATCCACTCGATACCACCCCGTGATAAGATCGAGAGTGAACTGCAGCGTCCTGGTGTATGATGTTAGTGGCATATAGAAAATCATAGCTACAGCTTAGAGCGGAGCACAAACCGAAATACTTAGAGTCATCACTTCCATGACTCTTAAACAGAGGTGTAAGGGCAAAGTCGCCACCACTAGAAAAGCGCGCAATTTCTGAACCTTCAGAGAGATTTGACACGCGGCCAGACGATATAGGACGATCATCCAACTGTTCATTTTTGTCCTCATCATCTTCCTCGTCCTCGTCCTCGTCCTCGTCCTCGTCCTCTGAAATGGCATCTTGGCCGATATCACTCTCATGCAAGACACCGGCCGCCACCAGCAGGGCTTCAACCCTCTCCAAACGATGTTTTAAAGCCTCAACATATTGATCACTACTAGAATGATGTCAGCTGAGCTCAGTAGAGAGATATAGATTCCTTTATGAGTCATGAACAAACGAGCAGCATCCAAATATAAAATAGGGTTGTGGCGAAAATACCTCTGTAATTCATCATCCTTCTCCTGTGGCTGCGGCTGTGGCTGCAGCTGTTGTTGCGAAGGAAATATACACTTGGTCTTACGTCGAATACATTGAACACAGACCATTTGAGGTCCTTCGACCTCGCATTTGGTCTTTTTCCGGTAACACATATCGCAGGCCTGACCCCCCTAAGTTAGCGTTTCGGCACATCAAAGACATCGGGTCTCCCCGGAATAGAGCAACATACCCTTTGGCTTCGTCTCCGTACACCAAAACCCCCGTGGGACGCGGAACCGTTGGTGGGCATGGTGGAGTCGATATTCATTGCATCGCGGGGGATTATGCCAACCGGCCGGTGCATTGCGTTGTGCATTTCCCCCAAAACGGAATTTCACCCGCGGGAGTCATGCCAAGGCCTTATTGCTTATTGGGTTCTTAGGTGCTCCTGCTAATTTGTGCGGAAGCTCTTCTTCTTTTAGCGCGAACACTTGGACCCTTGGATATTCAAAAGAAGGGGTTTGATGGAGGGAGTTGTCGTTGGGTCGGAGTCTCGGCATGTCCGATTCCCGGGCGGGATTTTTTTGTGTGCTGCGATTCTCTGGGGTACTTGGGTGGAACCGGCTCCCTGGGCCTGATAACGTGGGGTTTACATGTACCCTGAGGTACCGAGGTGCCCTTTTTGCGGCTGGAAATCATTCCGGAGGTTTCATTTTGATGGTCTATATGAGACTTCTGGAAACTAAGCTTATCACCTGGTATTGCGTGCCTTTAACCAACCATTTACTTTCCGGATATTGTCCAACGTGGTCTACAGGTCATGTAGACCTGTACCCCAGGGCTTGCTTGCATCATGAAGGATCTGCAACTGAACAGGTTCTGGGGTAGATAAATGGGGAAATTGATAAGAAAATGGAACTTATCGTGCAAGCCCAGTCAAAGCAGAGACTATCTTAGCTTTCATGTTGCTATCGCCAGCTTCAAAGGCGTCACCTGCACTGACGCTGACAAATGACCCCGCACCATTGATGGACATATATCTCCAACTAGCGCAGCACCGAGGCTCATGGTTAGCACCTGTAAAAGAACCTAGGTATTCGATAAAATGCGCGCTATCACCGTGGGAATCATCTCCATCGGAGATATGGGACTGGGGATGGCGAGACTGCTCAAGGCCCATGGTTACCGGGTAGTCACGGTCGCAGAAGGAAGGAGGTACGGTATATATGCCTAAGGTTCTCTAAGGTTCACCTGCCATTTATGCTATGCACACACTAATACTGTCTACAGTGAGCATACCCTGGTGCGAATCAAGGCAGCCGAAATAGAGGCGTTGCCATCTGACCAGGAACTAGTGGTCCAGGCGGACTACATCTTATCCATTGTGCCTCCCCGAAACGCACAGCTCACCGCGGAGCGTATTGCAGGGGCCGTGAAACAGCCAGATACAGTGACGAAACGAGAGGCACTGGAGGAGGTGAACGACCGGCCGAGTCGCAGCCCACTTTACTACCTCGAGCTCAATGCAACGCCCGCCCGATTGGCGGAGGAAATGGCAGTACTTTTTGAAACTGACGCAGACGCGGCCACGTCAATCGGGCCATCGGCTAAGTGCCACTTCCTCGACGGCGGAATCATTGGGGGCCCGCCTGCACAAAATGCGGACGGAAAGTGGAAGAAACCCAGTGTGGTGCTTTCGGGTGCGGTGGACCTGCCCTCCACATGGGCAGCACTCGCTGACGTCTTGAACTTGAAGCTTGTCTCCGAGCGGGTTGGCGCGGCGTCCACTCTTAAGCTGTCCTTTGCGGCGCTGACCAAAGGTCTAACGGCGTTGTCGATCTTATCTTTCTCCACTGCGCAGCGCGAGGATCTCTTGCCCGAATTACTGGAACATCTCCAACAGTACTCGCCGCACACGGCTGCGCTGGCTCAATCCGGTGTGATTGGCATGAGTCCTAAAGCCTACCGATGGGTGGATGAGATGCGCGGTATTGGTGAAGCTTTTGACCGTGAGGGTGGATGGAATGGCGTCGGCAGCAGTGTTTATGGAGGCTTTGCAGAAATATACCGAACAGTGGCCGAAGATACTCTTCTCGGCCACGAGCGTGTTGAGGCGCGGCAGCGCGGGAAGACCGTGGAGGATGCGGCCACGGTCATAGCGAGACGTCAGCATCAATCAAAAGTCGGGGAGGATCACGACATCGGACCTATGTCATAGGTCCCTGGAATGGAAAGAGGAAGAACGACGATCCCACCCGACAGTGAATATTAACCGTATACGGACTACGGATAGAGTAGAACCAGACCTCGGGACAATGGGGCCCAGAACTAGAATTGGGAGCAAATTGATTGATGAAATATAATAAAACTGGAGACAAGCAACACACCAAATGAAGACGGGACGGTGTGCCAAGCTTCGGGTGTAATTACACTCGTAACTGTAACTCAGTCCGCGTCATCGCACGCTTCAGAGTGGAGTCCCCTCCAACTTCCGCGACCCCGTCACAACTCACGGAGCGGAGACTAGATGGATGTTCCTAGTCCCTTGTGAATTGTTGAGCATGTTTGGACCCATGAAAATCTTGAAAAAAAAACCTAGTAAACCTGGGGATCTAAGATCATATAATGTTTATTTCCACAACCATCTCCTCCATGTGATATAAAACGTCTCTTCCACTCCCAATCCACGTTCCTTCCCGTCCAGAGCGGTGAAGCGTCGAACGGACGAACCAGAATCCGCGATCACGACATTTCTCCATTCTATCAGATCATCGACTAGTTGATCTCGAGGCTCGAAGCTCTTGTCTTCCCACCCCCTTGTTGCCCCCCTCTTCCGTAACGCCCCCTTTTTCTGACTTTTCATGGGGATTCTTATCATCTGATTCGTGATACTCGACGTGGCGCGGTATGCGAAGTTCCCATCTCTGTGTAAGGTGATCGTGGCCGAACTTTTGCCCCAATAATCTCAATCCCCCGTGTATTGGTCTTGTCATTTCGTACAGGCTGGCTTATTCCGGGATCGTCCCCTCTCTTTCATCTGATCTGGGGTGACCGTGGTCAACACGATTGGAACTGGGAAACTTCCCAATCCACAACCACTCACGTTTCTTCCCTGTTCACCCCCTCCTGGGTAAGTGCCCTAAACGCAAGACCATACGCCATCGTTGAGATCTTTGGGTTCTGGCTCCTCTTTGACTTTTGGGCCTTTTTTGCTTCTTTTTTTGGTCTTTTTGTGTTTTTTCCCTATTTCTACATTGCATACCCCTCAACCATCTTCTTTCCTTCATCATGCCTGAAGAGCATCTTCTTCCACCTGGCCCTAGTCCTGCTTTTGACAAAATCGAGAATTTCAACTTCTTGTTTAGTCGGCACGATCCATCGGCCAAGACTCGACAGTATTCCCTCGACACTGACACCGGGCTGGTCCCGTTTGGCAACGTGAACATGGATTACGATCAAACTGAAGGCATGGGCGGTTTATCGGTTAGCTCCTACGATAGCATAGACGATGACCGCTCTTCTCTGGATCTCCGGGGTTATCCCTATCATGGTATGTACAAAAACTTTTTTTTTTTCTCTTCTCAAGCTTGGACTTTGTTGCGAGAGGTTGCATCTGTTGCGCCATCATCCTGCGCTGTGGTTCGTGTTTACTGTGTTATGGCTTGGGGTGGGAGGGGCCCGGGGGGAGATTGAATATGCCCCCCCTTGTGCAGTGATGAGTTTTCATTTGAATCCCATTTGCCCGTATTCCATTCATGCCCCGAATTTCGTGGGGGGGAGCATTCTTGGCCCCCAGTTAATCTGGCGTGGTTCCTCTCTGGGCTCCTCCCCTGCCAGCATCAAAGTTGCCTTCCTCGGTTTTCATGCCCGATTTTTGAGTTCATAAAGCTCGTGCCCATGCTATGCAACCCCAGAAACATCTGGACTGTTGCGGAGTGACCTATCTCATTTCTGGAATGAGATCATCGGGTTTCTCCCTAGAGGCCCCTCAGCCCAGCTCAATAGCGAGCACGCAATCCCGCATGAAAATGAGTGCACAGCCATGGCAGCCTGGTTTGACCGGGGCTTAACTTGCACATCATCTCCCCCTCCCCCTTCTTATGTTGAACCCTGGAGTTTATTTGATGCAAATTATGATCGTGTGCATGGTCCGGGCGGCTCCCTTGATAGGGTTGCGGATCTCTCTCTCCCCAGCTTACGGATGAACCTCTCCATGATATTGACCTTGAGTCTCAACCAAGACCAGTGCTTACTCCATTCTTCAGCTCCTACTGGTGACAAGTCCATCAATTACTCTATTCCCGACCACATGATGCCGTACTCGGCTCACTCCATCTACCCGCCTGTTCCATTTGCGCCCGACGAGCTTGGCCATGCTCCGGGGAACATGACCCCGTCGGACGTCTCATCGTCCATCTCCCCGCCCAATGGCCAGATGGGCAACACCAAGTACAGCACCTCCATCCCTGGGGATCGCATTGCTGCAGCCCTCGGCCAAGAGGAAGGTGTACGCTATGCTGCTGAAGAGGACCGGCGCCGTCGCAATACGGCTGCCAGTGCTCGCTTCCGCATGAAGAAAAAGCAGCGCGAGCAGGTCCTGGAGCGTACTGTCCGTGAGACCACCGAGAAGAACGCCTCCCTTGAGGCTCGTGTGGCGCAACTTGAGATGGAGAACCGTTGGCTGAAGAACCTCTTGACTGAAAAGCATGAGGCCTCGGCCCGGATGCCGCCGCCGCCTCTGGATAGTGGTGCCTTAGAACCTAAAGCAGCCGCTGGTCGAGGTCAAAAACATATCCAGCCTAAAAAGAAAGGCGTGGGCACAGACGAGTAAGCGCTAAACTGAAGTTTTGTGTTTTGCCTGCCTACGTTTTTACTTCATGTATCATCTCTTGATTCCGCGGTCATCGTCGATTCTCGGAAGATAACACTGGTGTTTGCGTCCGTTTTCTTATTATTACTTTTTGGATTTGAGTTCAGCCTCTTCCTCCTCTCTACATCCCATTATTTATCAAAAATGGATCTGAGTCCGAGGGAAGAGACAACTCCCATGACGATGTCACGACCTTACTCTCTTATTCTCGTTCTCCGCGACTCGGACCTTCCCTTCCGACCGTGGCTTCTGCGATTCTTAGGGATGGTCTCTACTTCTGCTCTTTACCTTTCGAACACGATCGTTCTTCGAAACATTATCTCTATCATCTGATCCTCCCTCTGGAGCTTTCTCCATCTCTACTCTCCTCTACCTAGGTTTTATATTACCTCTTCTTCTCTTTCCCCGGCCTTCATCTGTGCTGGTATATCTTTTCTGTTTGATATGATTTGACCATCTTTGTGGGAAACGATGTGTCGCTCTCTCCGACCCCTCGGTCAGACATAGGAGACGAGACGTTGCGGGTGTGATGCGGTGTTGTGTGAACCACAAGTTGCCCTTTGGGGCTGGGCTTTCTTGAAGGGGGTTGGGTTTAATGTGCTCTCTTGATCTTTTCTTTTTGGGAATGCTGGTTGCGCTTTACATTTTATTTTGCTTTTCATTTGGGATTGAGATTGCTATTGGCATACATATATAAGAGGTACAGACCTTTGTTGCTTGGACCGGAATCAAGAGTCCTCACATTTTCTCTTCACACATTACTACCATCGTAGATGTACCTACCCTGCTAAATACTGTAGTACTTTAGGAAATTGTATAATGTACTGGAACCTCTCCTAGGCAAACATACCCACCTAAATGTAGATCTACCTGCTATCTTCATCCCCAATATACTATATACTACCAACTACAAAGACCAAATTCGTAAAGCACAATTCCATTAACACCTAGTGAATTACCCAGCTCCGACCCTCCTATCAGGCCGAAGACCAACAGAAACACTAAAAAGCCTAGCACAAGATGGTATTACATTAGGGAAAACACTAAGGCAGAAAAACAAAACCACAAACCAGAAAAGAAAGTACCCGTGCGTATTTCCAGTCGTGAATGTTCATGCTCCAGGACAAGAAGATAAACTTGGAGAATCAGGGTCTTTGACCCACACCAAAGTGGACAGGCAGAACAAGCACGACCCACGGGTATTGGATCACGACATAAAGCAGGGTCATCATGTGGATGAAAAGGATACAGAGGCGAGGGACTCAAGATCCAAGCTGCAGCCATTGCGTGATCAGTTCATGCTGTTTTGTGAGGTCATGGAGCCAGGAAAGCCCGGCTAGGCATAACGTAACCCACGGTAGTCATGACATGATCAATCACGCGAGTGGAAGGAGTGTGAGGTTGTGAGACACCGCTAGGGTGTCGGAAGATGCCGTTCGAGAAGCTTGGATAGAAAAAAAAAAAAAAGAAACAAAAGAAAAGTATACTGGTATCTTTGATCTTGATCTTTTTTTTTTCCCTTCTTAAACAGCGATAGGCTCTCGCTCCTCCTCACGACCACGAACCTCACCTTCCAACGTGCTCACTCCATCCTCGCCATCCTCGTAGTTGGGGTGCTGGTCAGCAGGCAACCAAGAGTCACGGTCTCCAACCATAGGAGCATCCTGCTGGGAGAGATCAATGCCCTCACGGTTCTTGATGTTGTTACGGTGGCGCTGAGAGAGAGTACGCGAGCGCTGAGACAGACTCGACTTAACCACGGCCTTGGAGTTAACCCAGTTACCAAGAGCATCCTCGCAATCCTGGATGATGGCCCTGCTAGCGTCGTACCCATCGTAGGCCTGGCGAGTCTCACCGGGGGTCACGGGGGTGTCATCGATCAGGTCGAGGAGGTGCTTGCCGTAGCCGGCGACGATGGCGACCTTCTCGCAGTGCTCGCGGAGGGCATCGAACTGGTACTGGAATGCGGCCTTGACCTTCTCACGGGTGATGTTGGACAGCTGGGCCTCGGCAACCAGGGACTCAGCTTCGGCACGGACAAGCTCCTGCTCCAAGACGACGATGCGGGGCGAGTTGGGATCCTTGTACTTGAGCTTGGCGATCTCGTCGGTGATCTTCTGCTTGCCTACGCAGCGGGTTAGTTCCGGATGTTTTCTCCGGGGGGAGGGGACTGGGGGTTCTTACGGTCTCGGCTGGGCTGTACGGAGGCCTCGATGTTACGGATGCTCTTGATGGTGACACGGTACTGGTCGTAGCGGTCGACGAACATGTCCTCCAGCTCACCGATCTCGTAGATCAGCACACCAAGCTTATCCGTGACATCCGAAACGTCCTCGTCGCAGGCCTCACCCCAGAGGGAGAGTTGTTGCTAATTGGCGTTAGCTGTGATGCCCGGTGTGATTTGGACTGCCAAAGATGGCAACATACCGCGACCTCCATGCGCTCCCGTGCGACAAGCTCCATGCTGCGCATGGCGTTCTTCTCCATCTTGACTAGCTGCGACAGCTTGCGCGCAAGGTCGGGACCGAAAGCGCCGGCGGCATTTTTACGGAAAGCATGGCCTGATGAATATTATTAGCCACTAGTAATGCTGGATCGGATCGTATTCTCCCTCGAACTCGATGGCGCGATGTCTAGGGTATTTGGAGCTCTTGCTCTCCCGGGGCGGTCGGGAGGTGCCCGGTCAGGCTCCAGCGTCGCCCAATTCCCCAGACACCACGCGATCGTGATCGATCGGAATGCCAACTTTTCTCACTCACCCAAGCCACCCTTTCCGAGCCAGCGGTTCGACTTGGTAGTCGACAGTGGTGGTGGGGGGTTCTCGACCTGCGAGGCGGTCGGAGCGCGCGTCTGGCGCATAGAATAGGTGCGATGCATAGTGACGGAAGTTGCAGGTAAGGTAATCAGGGGAAGGGAAGGAAGGTGGTTTGGTTTAAAGAGTAGAGTTGTACCTGCAGAACGACAAAGTTAGAAAAGAAAAAAAATTCACCGTGCCTTGCGACCTTGCGCAGTAGTGACGTGTGGTAAATGGGAAAGAGGGGCTAACTCACCACGGGATGTGACGGAAGCTGTACTGCAACCGGAGGGAAAAGAGGATTTGATGTGGAATTTTTTTTCTTGATCTTTGTACTCCGTAGAGATAAAAGGAAAAAAGAGATGTGAAAAAGGTGACGTCGACACTAGGGAAGCTTAACCAAATTCGGGATGGGAAATGGAGAGTTCGTTTTGAAAACGAGGTTTAAAGGTTCGCGAGGATTGCATAAAATTGAAGTGCTAATCCACCTACGAGTGCTAAACCAAGCTTATGCCCCTAATTACTGCAGAGCGTGTCCCAGGCAACTCAATTGGGCGCTAATGGTCCCAAGATCCAATAGCGCTGATTCTGCTGGAGCGCGATTTGGTTGCATTTTTGGTGTTCGATCGCCGACGTCATCGTTCCCCGTCTGATGTCATGGACCTCCCATCTGTAAAGACTTATATCATGGATTCACAGCGTTGCATTGGTTGGGTCAGAATTCGCTTGAGAGAGGCACAAGGTACTATGTACCTCGAGTCATCGAGTCCAAGGGTTCCCGAAGATCGGTGGGGAGCTCGGTATGCCAGAACACTGCTTATTTGGCGGATCGGTGGGGGAGAAAGCAGATCCTGTTCCAAGAACCACCGTCGGACGCTAAACACAGCAAAGACCATCAGTCGAACACCTGGGGAATACCTGGTGACTGCAAGGGCAATCTCTTCGATCGTCATGACGCGTCTATCGCACTTTCTCCATTTGAATAAGCTTTGTGTCCTGTTGCACTGTTACCCTGTTGATTCTCCCAGCCACATCTCCAGAGTGGAGACCGATGAAGAATGTGGCGTTTTTGAGTCTCACTTGTCTCACATGCTTTCTAGAATCCTGGAGCTGGCGCTCTCCATTGGATTGATCCCTGAACATCCTAAAGATAGGGACTTTGCCGCTCTAACAACTTCTTGCTCAGGATCTGCGATTATGACCTGCGGTCAAACTGGAAGACAGTATCGGGAGATGATCATGTCGCTTCGTGATCGAAGAGGATGCTCAGCTGTTAGTCCTAGTCTTGCGGCTCACGGAGTATCCCCCTTTGACCTGGGGTCTTTGAGATAATGTATAGCCCCTGGCCACAAAATCCACGATAAGTTCCAAACGTCATGAAGGAATGATTCAGGCATACCTCTTGTTGCATTAATTGGGGCATCCCATTCCGGTCTGCGGGTCCATCGGTCATGCGGTTGTGAGGGCTGTACAGTTGATGTCCCGTATAATTACCAGGACCATTGGAAACCAAAAATTATTTTCGATGCCCGGGTGACTTTAAAATGACCTATCAGTATCGTTCTTACAGTTAATATGCACCACACCAGACCTGAAATCAACCTCTATTGATAGTAACTAGCTTCCTACCTAGGGATATGCCCAATTATCACTCGATATTTCCTGCAATCGTACAAAAACTGAGTATATATTTCCGAGAGAGCATTTGCTAGGGTGAATTCTTGGACGAAACTCTATCCTGCCTACTGCCGATATATCAAACATGTAACTGTGCCGAATTTTCAAACCATCGATACCGGAAACGAGACTCGGATATTACTTTAGGTAAATATTTATATGGGTATATCTAATATTCTACAAGAACAAACAAAGCCACTCTTGAGGCAAAGCTAGTGTACCTGAAGACCTCTCGGTGGTTCTTTGTTGGGTTAGATCATCAATGTACATTGAGGGAAATGGCACATAGATCAATTCTCTGCCATTAATAGGTAGTGGAACTGGAATATTCATATACTGCAGGTAGTAGCTAACACTTTGTCCCAGAATAAAGGCATCATGGTCAATCCTGGTAGATGCCCCGGTGGGGTTGTAGACTCACCGCACTTGTTACACGTGGTAAGACTACCCCGGGCTACCCACCAGCTCAACCTGCCGATGCCATGCTTAATATCAGCCCATCCACTGAGTTCACCTATTACATCACTTTCACCAAGCCATCTGTTATGTAGAATCTCACTTCATGACGATATTCGTCCAACCACGATCACGATGCACATGAACGACATGAAATCATTCCTATGGCTTCTACAAGGGACCACCGACAAAAAAAACTTTAACGTAGCATACATGGTCAAAGTCAAACCCAAGACACCGGTTGATGTCCTTCACGGCTCGGCGCAGATCGATTCCCGAAAAGCCACGGGCCCGTCTACGCGCTACTACCCGGAACTAACGAGTAACCAACCTGGGCCCTGAAGAAAAAGCTTAGAGACGGCTTTGCGGAGAAATTTCCATTCTCAGGGTCGTTTTGGGTATACAGATTGCCAGTCAATTCCGTTTCAGAATAGGACTCGGCTAAGAATCCTGGAACAGGCCAAGTTCTACACCAAGTCTTGGCTTGCTTTGGGCATTTTTCTTTGGTGGGATTCTTTCCCCAAGGTTGTTTTTCTTATACCAAGACCCCGCAAATATGAGGATCGACAGCGTGGGGTATTACCCCTTCATATTTGGTATTTCATGGGTGGGCGGGATGACCTCTGCTCCGTGTCTCTTTTCGACTCCGTCCACGCGCTAGCGGTTTTTGGAGTGATATGCTGCTAGTTGATATTGTTTCCGATCCGTTGGCCTCATTCACTTATAAAGTGGAGTCTCCCTGGCGTGGAAGTAGAGTGTTATTTGAAGTTTGGGACATACTATTGTGTTTGTTTACATTTTGAATATCTGCAGGGAATTGGCAACATGAGATTCGGCTACTTTGCTCTTTTGGCTGCCGCATGCGTAGCAGCCTCACCACTGAAGAATGCGAAGAAATCTTCTTCGTTCGAGTGTCAGTGCTCAGTCTACGATGCCAAGAAATGTTCCAAAATTGATGACTTATGTAGGGTTCGGGGCCAGTGAATCCTCCGCTGAGTTTGGGTCCGGCAATATTCCTGGTGTCTATGTGAGTTATACATATACCGAGATACCTGGTGATCTATGATTCTAATCAACGATGACAGGGAACCGACTATATTTTTCCCAGCACAAGCGCCATCCAAACTTTGATTGACGATGGCATGAACATCTTCCGTGTGACATTTCTCATGGAGCGACTAGTCCCAACTACCATGACAGGGTCCTTTGACGCGGAGTATCTGAGCAACTTGACATACGTACGCAGCTACCCATGGCCCCCGAGTCTCCGTTCTACTAGAGATTGACTAAGATAGGTCGTGAACTACATTACCGAAGCAGGTGCGCACGCAATTTTGGACCCGCATAATTTTGGTCGATAGTAAGCCCAACTCCACTGACTTCCGCGCGCAAACTCAAATATCGCCCAGGCTGACATCTTGACAAGCTATGGCTCGATCATCACAAGCACATCGGACTTCCAAACATTTTGGCAAAATGTTGCAGCTCAATTTGCGTCAAATTCGTTGGTGATTTTTGACACCAGTGAGTCCCTCTACCACAAAACCTGAGGTTACCCATGTTTATATCCGCAGACAACGAATACCACGATATGGACCAAACCCTCGTCCTCGACCTCAATCAGGCCGCAATCAACGGTATCCGTGCAGCAGGTGCAACAAGTCAATACATTTTCGTCGAAGGCAATTCCTACACAGGCGCCTGGACCTGGACTGAGGTCAACGATAATCTGGTTGACCTCACCGATCCTGAAAACAAAATCGTCTACGAGATGCACCAGTACCTCGACTCAGATGGTTCGGGTACCAGCGCCACCTGTGTCTCAAGCACAATTGGTCAGGAGCGCGTGGAGTCTGCGACGCAGTGGCTTATCGATAACGGCAAGGTTGGGGTCTTGGGTGAATTCGCCGGTGGTGTTAACACTGTGTGCGAGGAGGCGATTGTGGGGATGTTGAATTATATGGAGGAGAACTCCGCGGTTTGGAAAGGCGCTTTGTGGTGGGCTGCGGGTCCGTGGTGGGGTGATTATATCTTTAGTCTTGAGCCGCCAAGTGGTGTGGCTTACACGGGGATGATGTCGACCTTGGAGCCGTATTTTGCGTAGATCCCAAGTGTGGAGATGCCGTGCGGAACTGGTGATATACTGCGCTGGGAAGATGCCTGTGGCCTGTGTATATAAATAGTACTATTGTATACGAGGCTAATACCTATATGGCTGTTTGCTTGGTATCTGCGAGCTCTTTAGGGCTACAGAGGGTGTTAGGGTAGTGCCGGAGACGTAACCATTATCCATCCGGTAGCCTTGAGCAACTTGATATATATCGCAAGCCCGATGCCAATGGTTCAAGTAGAGACCTGCCTAGTATCTACAAGCTCGACTAGTAGAGCCAGGTGGAAGTACAGATTCATCAGAATATCCTAGATTTGTTCGATATAGTCAGAGTCTGAACGATGAGAGAACTTGTAGGAACACGGTGCGGCACGTACAATAAACAACGCTAAGCCCGAATTGGCTATAACCCAGAAGCCGCCTAATTCGCCAGTTGATATTTGTGATCCATCCATGGAAGCATGGAAGAAGCCTGCCACGGCATCAGTCTTGGCGGGTATGCATTGTTTATGTCATAGCCGTGGCTGATGTCCACGCAAGGTTCGGCGCAGTCGCTATGTAACTGCCTAAAATCTCAGATCTAAGATATGCATAGGTTCGGGAATTACTCAGTAGCCATGGATACTAAGCCCCAGAAAAGTTTATTTTAAAATAAATATAGAAACTAAATGAATGTGGATGCCGAAAAAATCAGCAAAGACCCAGAAAACGTGTGTGGTTGTGGAGAGAGGCGCGGCAGTCGGCATTCCCGCCAAGAGATTAAATGCAGAAGCCTAGACAAGATCAGATGGACTATTACGCAAGCTGGGGTTTTCGGGGCGGAATTTATTGAGAAAATAAGCTAACTTCGTTACACTTATACTTTTTTATACTTTTTCGATTTTAAATTTCCAATTTTCTCCGTCTGGAATACGAAGAATCATGCAAGTTCACAGGGCTGGGAGGATGACGAGGCTTGGACAGGGGAGTATGCCGATCCTGCGCTCGACCATGGGACGAGGCAAGTCCCTGGGGGCTAGTGACCGCCTACGTAAGTGTGACTCTCGTGTTGTGCATAGATTAACCAGGGGGACCAAAGAGTTCAAGAGCAATTCTTGGTTAGAAAAAGAGAACAACGTATCTATCTTATTGCATGTATGCTGTAGCTCATCTAACGAGGACTAAATGCATCATCTCCGATGTGTATAGTTGATGGACTCTCCCAAGGTTCAATACGGATCCGACCCGGGCGGTCCAAACAGGACTAGCGTTGACACGAATAGAAACCCAACGTGGCGAGCAAAATCCAAAACGCTCCACTTTCGGGACCCGTCAATCTCTGATTGGCAGTGGGTCAGGCCCTGCGCCTCTTACAGGGAGGCTGGAGTCGTCGTTGCTAGTCAACAGAGGCTGTACACTTTCTGGGCGCTGATCATCTAAGGTTAAAACCTGCCACCTTCCCCCCCCCCCATTTCCAGCTCTTATCCATTTTGCGATTTATCCTTCCTTCCCTGTAGGGCTCCCCCACTTATCACCACATCTAACAATCCCCATACCTCATCATGGGAAAAGCCGGCCGTGTCGCGTGTATCATCACGCCTTATCTCTTAACGATAGCCACTTTGATTTGTATTATCTTCGTCGGTCTGGGATGTACCAAGGCTAGCTCCAGCACCTTGAACAACATCTACTTCATGCGGGTAAGCATTGATTCCACTCACAATCCAAAGGGTTCGCAGCTAACAAATATTCGCTGCATTAGATCGATTTATCAAACCTTACCAATGGCACAAAAACAACCACTGAAATCGAGAATATTCTCAATGAGTTCGACATCACCAGTGTTAGCTCGTCTGACGTCAAGACGCTGGTCGACGAGCTGGCCAGCAACGAGGAGGACAGCCTGATCAAGGAATACTACGATATCGGCCTCATGGGATACTGCGATGGTCAAATCAACAACAAGAACTACAACACCACCTACTGCTCCAGCCCTAAATCTGAGTTCTATTTCGACCCGGTCTCCGTCTGGGGCCTGTCTAGCTCCGACGTCTCGGATTTGCTGCCCGACGACTACAACAAGGTCATGAAGATCTACAAGGCCGTCTCCAAGTGGATGTTCATCGCCTACGTGATCGCCTTCGCCGTCACCATCCTCGAAATCCTGGTCGGTATCTTCGCTATCTGCAGCCGCTGGGGTAGCTGCGTCACCACTCTCTTCGCAGTCACCGGCTTCATCTTCACCGCAGCCGCCTCTATCACCTCAACTGTTGTGTTCTCAGTCTTCAAGAGTACCCTGGGCACTACCCTCAAGGCTTACGGCATCGAGTTGTCCATGGGCAAGAACATTTTCGCCGCTACCTGGCTCGCCGTTGCTTTCTCTCTCGCCGCTACCATCTTCTGGGTCTTCAGCGTCTGCTGCTGCTCCGGCCGCTCTCCCTACAATCACAAGAACAAGGGCATGCGTGGTAACGGTTTGACCGCTGAGAAAGCTCCTTACACCTACGAGCCTATCGGTGCCGGTGCCCAGCCCTTCGGCCACCAGCAGCCTACCTCTTACCCTCCTCCCCCGCCTAACTCCTACCCCATGACCAACCAGCAGCAGCATCATGCTAGCCCTTACGAGCCCTTCCGCCACTCTTAAGTGACACTTATGAGACCAAAAACATTTCCTATGGAGCGTTCTTAGATCGGTGATACCTTGGCGTTCAATTGGCTGTTTCCTTTGGGATTGGCTTTCTCTTTTTTGCCTCCGGCATTTGACGATTTCCTTTTTGATGACTTATGTCTTTACAGCGCACCGCGCTTCTGTTTGCATTCCAATTTTGTATTGTATATGGTTTCTCATGACCTAGTCTCGACTATTGCGAATGAATTCGTCAGCAATTCACGAAAATTCATTGAAAATATCCACTTCATTTCCTGAAACTTTAATCTCCATCAATTTCCCCGCCTGAAACTGTAAACATCAAACATTCCGTCCCTTGGCCAAGGAAGCCAAAAGTCTTAGCTTTGGATTACCCCTGAAAGAAATGGAAGGGACCGAAATAGTCTACAAAGACATTGGATTTCTACAAAAAAAAGCACATCAGGCACTACTCGTAGTTTAGGTATCCATAAATAAGGCTTTGATTTTTCAAATAATCCCCACTGATCATGTATTCCATAGTGGACCCGCACTAGCGGAACTATTTACTTATTATGGGAAATGGCAGGCTCCGCGCTTCTGGGGGCTGTTTAAGTGAACTAGTGTGTGAAGTGGGACCTGATGAGACTCAAAACAGAAAGTGATGCGAAATGAATACGAGGCTTGCGTACAGGGAAGATTCCTGGGGTTGATTGGATTAGTGCCGTGCGGCTGATGGTGGATAGTCTTGATCATGTGCTTTTATTTGATCTTGACTTTTAGGTTAATTAAGGAGGGCCTAGGATCAATCGTGGATAGATGATAAGTTCCATTGTGCTTATGGTTGGATATTGAGAATAATAATGTACAGTCGAAATTAAGGGGAAATGTAGTCCTGCTGCGTAACTCATCATTTATCACCCCAACAAAAGAAAATAACAATGCTTGCAATCAATGCAGCAAATGAAATGATGATATGTTCCGTCAACGGTGGATTGGGCGTCGAATCACGCCTTTCTCGTCAAGAAGAATCTTAGCGCCTCCACGACGTATTCGGTCAGCCTTCACATTCATGTCTGCTTCTGCCCAACGCTTGAACTCCGTTGGACCATCAGACCAAACCGGACCTTTAGGACGGATATGTTGAAGCGAGAGGAACCAGTTCTCGTCGTCGCTTTCGGGCTCAGAAACTTCTGGAGAGGCTGGGATTGTTTCGGCGGGGATGCCCTGTGTAGGATTGTCCTCTGTATCGGACGCAGCCCTGCTTGTAACAAACGTTTCGTCGCCTAGTTCAACACTAGCCGTTTCGTGAAGGGTGTCCTCATCTTGATCGGCGTCCTCATCTTGATCGGCGTCCTCATCTTGATCGGCGTCCTCATCTTGGTCAGCGTCCTCCGGGTCAGTCTCGGGAATTTCCATGTCGATATCTTCCGCGTCTGCTTCAGTTGGGGCGGTCGAGCTTTGGGGCTGAGCCTGTGTGGATTGGTGTCTGTTTGACTCCAAGGTTGAAACATGAGGGTTGGAATATTCATGACAGACATCCTGGTTGCTGTTGATCATAATGCGGTCTAATGCAGGCCTCTCGCGCTTGGTTTCCTCATGGAATGTGCTCGACGAGAGGTTACGGCGAGGGGATTTGGTAGAAGCGACATCTGGAGAAGGGGCATCGAGGGAATCGGCGTGAAGATCTGTAAACCTTTCCACCAAACTGCCTGTAAAGGAGACATTTGGATCAGGACCCTGAGTATGAGTCGGGCCTGAATGTTGCGATCCGTTCGCAAATGCAAGATTTGTTTCATCGGGAGTGATTTGCGATGCTGCAAATTCTATGCCACGCGCTGTCAAATTGCGTTTCCTGGAGAAAGGCCGTGAAAAGTTCTCCAAGAAATAGTCCTCATAACTAAGCGTCTTAGAATCCTCTGACGCGTTCTTTTCAAGGTATCGCGGATAATTTGTGAGATGCATCATGATAAAATCATCCCACAGAAACGACTTGTGCAGCTTGCCTTGTTGACGCACGGCGTGTAACATCCCACACAGCTTGGTAAAATGTTCGAAGTCACCAGAGTAGGATGGGTAGTCATTGCAGAACTTTCTGTACACTTCTTGGGCCTCAGAATACGCCTCTGTATTTGTGACAAAGCTCTGCCGGCGAGCTATCCAGGAAGACTCATGAGTGTTAGGATTTTTGACATCGTTGTCTGCGGTGCCTGGCGGATTTTCATTCGAGTCTCCATGCGAAGCTTGATCCCTTTCAATGACTGGATCATGTTCGACTTGGGGTGGGAGGAGGGATGTACTGGCCTGAGAAGAAACTCTGGGCTCGCTGGGAGCATGTGTTCTTCCCGTGGGATCTTGCGATGACTCATTTTCCTGAGACTCGCCGGGTTCGCGACGGCCCGTAAACTCAATGGGTGAAGGCTGAGATGCAGAAATAGGAAAGTCCTGGTGGCGTTGGGCTGGCCCTGAGGAATCGAGTACGACATATGCCTGGGAACTATCTGAGTGGTTTTGTGATTGCTGTTGTGATTTCCACTGCGAAGCCATGCTGCTGGCTGGTAGCTGAGTCCCTGGGACATCCACCGTGAATGACTTTTCTTGGTCTTTTCCAGAGGAAGTCGAGGCTTCGAGAGAAGACTGGCTGTGTCCATGGCTTGCATGAAAAGGATATGTGTCCAGAATACGGGATTGAGAGGATGTTTTGTGAATCTGAGAAGAGGAAAGGTTCAAGTTTGGAAGTCCGCGTTCATTTGGCTCTGGATTTGAACTGTGATGCAGCCGGTTGCTTCCAAGCATTGGAGTAACTTCAACCTGTACAGACTCCGTGTTCGTACCGGGGAGTGATGGACCTGAGCTTACCAGTTCCTCTTCCACCTGACTGGACTGTGTAGGATCTGGAATGTTTTCGCCGAGTGCAAAAGGCACGGACGTGTCCATTACAGACTCGTCATCTGAATCGTCTTCTTGCGCACCCAGAAAGGGCTTTGGATCAACGGAAGGCAATGATGATTTCGAAAATGTTTCTTGATTTGGCGCTGCTGATGGTTGCGAGAGGGGTCGGTCGTTCATTTCCTCATTTTTGGAGGGGGCCTGGTGAGCAAATGGAGTCCTGGACATTGCTCTGTCTTGACTTTCTCTTTGCACCTCAAACTGAAACTTCTCAGATGTATGAGTATCAGGAAGATCTTGGTCTTCGTTGCTGTCTTCCTCGACTACATTTGGAGCAGAATTGGCACCCTTGAAAGGATCTTTCTTCAGTGACTGCCTGGGGGCATTGCTATGAATGGGACTAGAACTTGGCTTTTTCCTCTGGATCGGCCGAGTCACAGGACTAGAAGGAGGAAGTTCATTTTGACGGAAGCGAAGAGGGGGCTCCGGAGACGAGTTCCATTCCGAGTCATAATTCTCCGTCGAGGCACTGGAAACGGAGGAGGCGTCGCTATCCTGGGTTGGGGTGGTGGGCCTTTGTGCGAGAACTTCATGTCCTCCGGTCCCATGATGACGCCGCTCAACAGCATTATTCCATGTCTTCAGTAGCGAGGGCGGTACATGCCCTTTCGGCATAGGTTCATTCGGGCGGGGTGGAACCCAGCATAATTTATCACTGTCAAGAAGCTCTCGTTGGTCTTGTGGGATCGTAACATCATGTGCCCTGATACGTTGAATCCCTTTCCATGGATTTGACCGGGGCACCACGGCATTGTGAGAAGGGACAATCGTGACCGGCTTCTCGGTTCCAATATGGGACAAGTTTGTTGTCTCTGTGGCCAAATTTTTGCTTTGAATCTCCAGGATATGCGTCGATGGTTCTGTTGGGGTACCGATGCGCTGCCTCTTGGTAGACGGAATATCTTCCCTTGGCTCATGGCTGTCGTCCTCATCGCCTGTTTTGGATTGGGTACCCAAGCTTTCCCGTTGACGCTTCTTGAGAGGGGGTTGCATTAGATTTTGTGCAGGTGATAGATTCTTGTCCTGTACCTGATTTGGCATCGGAGAGCCATGGGCACCTGGACTTTTATGCAGGCCAATCTCGTCCCTAGATTGAGAATCTATAGAACTTTGACTTGCAGAGTGGTTTCCGATTGACGACGTGGCCACCGGGCTCCAAGCTGAGCCATTTCCAGCCTTCGAGATTGGCTTGGCGATGGTTTGCCGCGTATCCACTCGGGTATCGATAATATCCCCACGCGACTTTTTCACCTCCAGCTCAGTCGGTACTGTTTGGCCTTTGGTAGTCTGCAGCGAGTATCTCTTTGAATCCGGGAGAGATCTGGGCTGAAGATGCCTAAGCAGCTCAATTGCTCCAAACGAGTAAGGAGTCTCTGCGTTGGATTCGTTTTCTGAGTGATTGGGATCACGAGGCGGATCACGAGGGACCTGGGAGAAAAGCTGCTGCGACTGCATATCCCCATCCAAGGGATTGCGATCCGAACCATTCGGCGTAGGTCCAGATAATCCTGCTGCTGTGTTTTTTGACATGGAGGAGCTAGAGGTTTTGAACAAGTCTTTAGCCTTTTTGGACGCCGCGTCCAACAAAACCCTGACATCCCTATTTTTGCGGATTTTCTTCTTGTTTTGAAATGTTTTAGGTCCACCATCCCACTCGACTTGGAAATCATTGACCAGAAGGTGAGCATTGGCTTGATATGCTGCGGTGTGTAAGACTAGCCGAAAGTCCAGAAGCTTTATCGAATACTTTTTGGGATTGGTGGGGATCGGGTATGGAGTCTCGGGATTAGGCTTGCACACAGGCAATAGAGCTTTCGAAATGATGGCGTCGATTTGGAGCTCTGAATCCATCAAAACTGCTTCGTCATCGGAGGGTCCCATACCCCACTGGCAAGTCGAAAATTGTCAGCACCTACTGAATCTTGAGGCCACTAGAGATAAACATACATCTGCTACAATTGCTGTATGAACATGATCGTATCTTCGACATCTGAGAATCAGGCTGGTCCCATTTTCTTCCACCTCAATATCGTCCTGTGTGGTCTGGCCCAGGTACACTCGCAGCACCTGCTGGATGAATGATGAGATCCATGAGGATTCTGAAGTCATTATGCGATTGCGACTTGATGCCAGTTTATCAAATTCATATCCAAACGAGTAAAGCCGTAGCAATGGACGGTGTTGTTTAAGCGCAAAAGTTCAAGTTCATCAGGAGCGCATATCACCAAAATCCACCGATAACGATAAGACGCGACGCGCTCCGCTGACTCAGCCTCACCACGTCATTGGGCGAACATTAGAGTGCGGAGAGAAAGGGCGATCGAAAGTTCCCGGCTTTTGTTCTTACTCTTATCTCTTTCATTTTTCTTTACACAGACTTTAAAGACGTCAAGCTTCACTGGACTTGGTATTATGCTTTTCCTCGAGCTTTCTTGCTGTCCCCGGCTCGTATGACTGGCTTCTAGCCACACTTTTTCTCTGCGGGGACGACCCACGAGCTGTCAGCCCAACCTGCAATAAACAAAGTCACCCATGGAGCCGAAGTCGCATGAGATACCAGGCCCGTCTGCGCCGTCCGGGCTTCATTCGCTTGGACGACGCGGATCACGAGCATCTATGGCCACAACTCAGACCGAACGAGAAAACAAGAATGCAGCTCTTGACCAGATCCACACCGCGGCGTACCAATCCGACTCGTTGACGCTTTTCAATGAATTTACTACACCACCTGCACCAGCATCAGCAATAGATGAGAAGGGGCTTTCGGAAGAGCTACAAGGAGGACTAAGTGGGTTATATAGCCGTTTCAGAACCTCGGTTGGGGGAATCGTGAGCGGTGGAACAAGATCTACGGACAGAAGTGCGACAGCAACGCCTGCGATCAAGAGCCCGACTTCAGAGCGCTCGATGAACAAGTCGATATCTGATCTAGCTGCTAGTTCGGGCGATCATCAACCGTCGCATCCCAACTCATCTCAAGGCTCAAGGCTTCATTCCCCGGTGGCAACACACTTTCAGATCAACCAGGAAGCTGCACCACAACTGAACGCTGGGAAAGGCTCAAAGATTTCCTCCAAAAGCGCTAGTGTATCTTCCAAGGCCTCCATCTCTCCTTCCCCGGGAATCAAAGGCAACATTGGTCCACTCACTAAATCCACTGGCAATTCGATCGCGTCAGATCCTTCCATCACCCAAACTCATATGAATGTCCTCGGTCAAAACCGACCGTCTAGAAGTAGCTCCGTCAATGCTCCTCAGCAGGGATTCAAAAATGCAGAATCTGCTAGCGTTGGCAGTGGGGATGGGCCCATAGAGCCGCCTTTGAGTCAAAGCTCCTCTATGCTAAGCCAGAACCTCTCGCACTCACCAGAACTGTCTATCAAGACACATGGGAGCACTCAAGAAGAGCAAAATGGCTTAGAAAGAAGTGGACCCCTTACGCCGACCAACAAAGCCTCGGATGTTCCGCACAGAAAGTCGGTGTCTGGAGATCAACCGAGACTAGCAGAAAATAACTCTCAGACGATTGCTTCACGAAGTTTAAAGCATGCTGAGTCGATTCCAGAAAATGTGTCTCAGGCTCAAGAAAGCAGGTCGAACTCGCGCATGTCTTTTGTCTACGACGACTCGAAGACTCCCTTGGCATCAAACTTTCATACCAAAGTTGCTGCTCCGGATAGTAGCTCAGGATCAGATAGCATCACTTCCATACCTAATGAGGGCACCGAAGGAACTGAGCTGCCAAAAGCTCCTTCTGCTACAAGCCCTAGTGAAAAGTCGAAGCCACTTCCGCCAAGTAATCGATTGCCTGGATATGGGATTTCGCGGGCATCTACTGCGGAGACAACCACCACAGTTGCGTCTTTGCCACCTTTGAATACCAAAGTTGGGCGGGCCACAGGTCAAGCCCCTCGTGATCGTCGTGAAGCATGGCACCGAGACGGAATGCTATCACAGCTGGGAAGCAAATTACTTAGCAAAGATTTCTGGATGCGTGATGAAAATGCTAAGGATTGTTTTCATTGTGGGGAACCGTTCACGACTTTCCGCAGAAAGCACCACTGCCGTACCTGTGGCCAAATCTTTGATTCGAAATGCACACTCATCATACCCGGAACCCGATTCGGACAACCCGGTTCTATACGGGTTTGCAAGCCCTGTGAGGCAATGATCAATGCGCATGATGATGACTCATCTGAGCTCTCTGACAGCGAACAAAGTCCCATTATGATGAATCCCCGGGTCTCGGAGCTAAGTTGGGGCGGCAACAGTGCTCGCCCATTTGCAGACGATGATGACTCTTCGTCGGTGATATCTCAATCCATTGACCATGTTCTCAGAACTCCAACTATGGCCATTCCAGCGACACGACGAGCAGGTGAGGGCCGCTCAGCTGTTCTGGAAATCAATTCTGACCGTCCTTTGGTAAGACCTACCTCGTCTCGATCTCTCAGGTCTTCACTGGGTGGAAGGCCTCATTCAATGGGTCACAAACGCCATCACTCGCGCCAGCAGTATATTCGGAGTTTCAAGCCATATCACGATGACCGTGCCCCCTTTCAACGTCGTCACGCAGATGACTTCAGCACAGAGTCTCGTCTGCCTGCCTTTCATAAAGACAACATTATTGACCCGGATTTGGCTCAATATCTTTCAGATGATGCGTCAAGTGGTGATGAGCAACCAAGTCTGCTGGCAGCCGTTTCAGAAAGCCAATTCTCAAAGAGTGGCGGTGACAGTGAACGAGTCCCTTTCGGTGGTTTGCTTGCAGCCATGAAGAAGGGAAGATCTGCATTTGGCGATCGAAACGTTCCTAGTATCAATCAGCCTGGCCGAGATGCAGATGAGGTCAGCCTAAGCAGTTCGAGAGCAGTGAACTTGCCGCGCTCCTCTCGTCGTCGAAACTTGAGTGTCGCAAGCAGTGTTCATCGTCAATCTCCTAGAACTTCCAGAGACACTTTTCTTCATGATCTTCCTGTCGGAGGTACGCTTCCTGTTGCCTCGAGCCAGACTGGATTTAAGCAAACCAGAAGCTCGTCAATGAGAGGAGTGGAAGCGCCACCAGTTGAGCTCAATAAGGCTAGCTTGGAACACGTACGCAGGCTTTTACGGCAGCTACTGGATATGTCTTCGGTACCAAATGTTGACAGTTGGGAGAATGCTTTGATGCCAATTCTTTTGAAAGCAGCCGATGAGGTGGACCCCGATGTTCAGCATGGAGACGACATGGATATTCGCCACTATGTCAAATTGAAGAAGATTCCAGGTGGCCGGCCTGGGGATACATCCTATGTCTCGGGTTTAGTGTTCAGCAAGAACCTGGCGCTGAAGAGCATGCCCAGGACCATTTTACGTCCGAACATCTTGATCATAACATTTCCTCTTGAATATGCGCGTCAACAACATCACTTTATGAGCCTTGAGCCCGTTATTCGACAGGAACGTGAATTCCTTGAAAACCTTGTTAGCCGAATTGCAGCCTTACGCCCGAACCTTCTACTGGTTGAGAATAATGTCTCGGGGTTAGCGCTCGGTCTTCTTGAACAGGCCGGAATTGCAGTTGCATACAACGTGAAAGCATCTGTTCTTGAGGCTGTATCACGTTGTACTCAAACAAGAATTGTGACGTCCATGGACAGGCTTTTGACTACCGCCTTGCGTAGCGACTGTATCAGCTTCGATGTGAAAACTTATGTCCATTCCGGCCGTAAGAAGACATACATGTACATCTCCGGCTGTCCAAAGGAACTTGGGTGCACAATCGTTTTACGGGGTGGGGACGAAGAAGTCTTGAGGAAAGTGAAAGAGATTACAGAGTTTATGGTCTATGTTGTGTACAATCTGCGACTTGAGACTTGTGTGATGAGAGATGAATTTGCAAAGCTTCCGACGTCATTTATCGATGATGTGAAGCAAGTGACAAACGAGCCGGCGGATCCAGGCCACTGCCATGTTGTCGAGTCGCAGGGCAACTTGCCTGTTACAGAAACGCTTTCACCGACTACCGTGGTCGAAAAGTCTACCGAGGATTTGGGAAGTAAAGTGCCAGCGACCACCGATGCTACTGCCGACGTCCCGGATGATGTTCCGATGCCGACATACTTCGACGATATGGTTCATGATCACAAAACAAAGATTTTGTCAGCATCGCCTTTTGTCAAATTTGAACCCCCTTATCTGCTCATGCGCACCAGAGAAATGGAGCGACGACTAGCCTACTTGAAGCAGCTTCGTGATCAAGATGGAAGTTCAGGACAAGGTGTTGAAGAGATGCCTGCGAAGCCGCAGAAGTTTATCCTTATCACTCCTGAGATGGTACACGAATCTCCTCGCAATGCTCCTCCGCAGGTCAAAGAGGTACTACGTGCAGCTCATGATGCGGAATACGACAGAGTCCTCTACCATTATCAGACGCAAAAACGTCAATGGGAGGCATATGTGTCGGGATGCTCCAACATGTTTGATCCGTACGCTCATCAGAACATCGTTGTTCTCTATAGTCTTGTGTGCACCACAACTTCGATTCCTTGTTCCGGGCCTGACACCTTTGCTTTGGAATTTTACAACGAGCATGGGGACGAAGCAATATTCGAACCCGACTGCACTATTGGCCAATACGTCGAAGAATTATGTCATACAGCGAATGCCGTCTGCGTAGCTAATGGATGTGAGAAACGCATGTTTGAGCATCATCGCCAATACGTCCACGGTGACGCACAGATCAGCGTTCTTGTTCAGCCCTATCCATCCAAACTCCGGGGTATGCAAGACACAGTGCTCATGTGGAGTTGCTGCAAAATATGTGGACATGAGACTCAAGTCACACCGATGTCAGAGAATACATGGAAATATTCATTTGGCAAATACTTGGAAGTATCCTTTTGGGGAAGGAATTTACATGCCCGGGCTGGAGTATGCCCTCACGATCTGCAGCGAGATCATCTGCGCTATTTTGGATTCAAAGACCTTGCGCTCCGTATTCAGTACGATACTATTCATCTACTGGAGGTCATTGTCCCTCGGCCGCGAGTAACCTGGAAAGTGGACAATGATTTGAAGCTTAGGAACGAAGTCTATCTGCGGACCGAGAGACGTTTGAGCAGATTCATGATGTCCGTTCATGCACGTTTGAAGGGCATCAATGTCCAAAGTGTGGTTCCAGAGTTACTCGACGAGTGTAAGAAAGAAATTGATCGTCTAGTCAAGAAAGCAAACGAGCACCAAGCTGCTCTGATTCGGCTACTACAAGACAAATACAGTGGTTCTCGTTACTGGGAAATCATACCACTGAATGAAGTCCTTCGGTCGGTGCAAGAGAAAGTGGTTGAATGGGACACCACCTTTGCTGAGTTTGAGCAGAGCTTCTTCCCATCAGAGAAGGATATTAAGCGGCTTGCGACCCTGCAGCTGAAGAAAATATTCCTTGATAAAGACGCCACGTCCGTGGCCCCAGATGATTCCTCGCACACTCCAACTGATTTGGGAGACGAGAACACCCAAGAAAATGAAAAGCCAAGGATGTTGCGTCGTATGACGCTCTCTCCAGAGAAGGCTCAAAATGTCCTGGTCTCCGTAGTGGAAGAGCATGCGGGCAAGAAACACCGGGAGGAAGTAACGGAGAACATTGAATTGCCTCCCTTACCTTCGGCACCTGCCGACGAAGCTGCATTATTGGGTGCAGATGCTGTCAATAGCAACAGATCCTCTCCCCAAGATGAAGCTGTTTCGAAAGAGGAAGTTCGACATCTCGACCTAGCCGTGCCTTCTGACCAATCTAGTCGATCACCCCCTGATCCGAACACGCCGCCTCTTGGTCGTTCTTTGACCAGCCCTGATACGGTAGAAATCCTCCATGAAGCCAACGGTGATGAAGGTCCACTGAATGATGCTTCACCGCCATCGCTGTCGCCAAAATCAACACGGCCCTCTCATGAAATCAATAAATCCAAGGACGGCTGTGTGCCTTCTTCACCAAGCACCCCACCCAATAGGCCATCGGCCATTCCAAGGCTGACTGAAGGCGCTTTCAGGCGAGCTGGAAAAGCACGCTCTCCCCCATTGATGCGTGCTCAGTCTCAGCCCGCGCACCTTCTCAGAGACAAGTCCATTGGTAGTTCTTCATTGGGGGGAATGAAGACAAGTTCATCCAATAACTCGGTTGACATTCGAAGCGACTCCACCAAAACAGCGGAGAAAAAGTTCACAGAACGCCTCGGCCTTACAGCTCTCAAAAATGGTCGTTTTACTGCGGGGCACTCTCTGATACCGCGATCTACGCCAAAAGGGCGGAACCACTCTCGCGTTTCCAGCCTCGCTAGGCACTTTGAACAACTGAGTCGTGAGTTTGAAAAAGAGAGACAGAAGGAAAGGCGACAACGAGCTGCTCAGAGCACGCAATCACGTGCATTCCCACTGGCGTCCTCAAAACCTATCGTGGAGGTTTATAGAAATGTCCGAGAGGCCGTAGAGGAACGTGAACCCCCGGTCGATGGAGAAGATTCTCTACCATCGGTACCGCAGCTTCCAATGGAGGATTCAAGTCGCATGAGTGAGGGTTTTGCTGATCAAATCGCCCCCGAAGAGCCTTCCTCGAAAGCCGATACCCAAGAAACGCCTCCTGATTCTTTCGAATCTGGGGGTATATTCCGATCTGACTCTCAAATCATGTCTGAGACCGAGTTAGAGGAGAGCCCCAGCGATGAAGAGCGAGCCACAGCCGAAGATCTTCATCCTGTTGATTCACAAGAAGATACAAAAATGGTCCCTGAAGATGATTCGATGGATTTCAAAGATCTGGCCAAACACGAACGGACAACCCTTTTGAAGATGTTGACCAATTTCTGGTCCGAGCGCTCTGCCAGCGGATGGGCTGCTCTTGATTACCCTCTTAGTGTTATGGACCATGTTTTTGCCGACTGCGATATCATTGTACGCGAGGATGAGCCGAGCTCCCTCGTTGCATTTGCACTGGACTCATCTGACTACAAAGAGAAATTGGCTAGCATTCAGAAACGGTATGAGATTGAGGAGCATGTCTCAAACCCCGAGAATGACCCCGAAGTCGCCAACGAGGCGCGAGTTGAGCACGCCCTTTTGCGGCCAACCGGTACCCATTTGAAATACCAATTCCAAGAGGGCCAAGCCAAAATGCTTTGCAAGGTGTTTTATGCGGAGCAATTTGATGCGCTTCGCAAAAAATGTGGCGTTGCTGATCGCATTGTAGAATCACTGTCTCGATGTGCGAAGTGGGACTCCAAAGGTGGCAAAACTAAGTCATTGTTCCTGAAAACGCTCGATGACCGTTTCATTCTCAAGTCTCTCTCTCCCGTGGAGACCCAGGCCTTTCTCAAGTTCGCCCCGGCCTATTTTCAAATCATGTCTGAGGCCTTGTTTCACGAGTTACCCTCGGCCATTGCCAAAATGTTTGGCTTCTATCAGGTTATCATCAAGAACCCTGTCACTGGAATAGAGTTCAATTGGTTCTTGCTATTGATGGAGAACTTGTTTTACGATCGAAAGCCAAACCGTATCTTCGACCTCAAGGGTTCCATGCGCAATCGGAAGGTTGAGAGCACCGGAGAACGGGACGAGGTGCTCCTAGATGAGAACATGGTGGATTTCATCTACGAGACGCCTTTATTCTCGCGTGAGCACTCTAAAAAGTTACTTTCCCAGAGCGTGTGGAACGACACCCTTTTCCTCGGCCGCCAGGATGTTATGGACTATTCGCTTATGATTGCCATTGATGACAAGCGCAGTGAATTAGTTGTGGGCATCATCGACTGCATTCGTACGTACACCTGGGACAAGAAACTTGAGTCGTGGATCAAAGATCGTGGCTTTGCTGGTGGGGGTCGCAATCGTCCGACTGTAACCAGCCCCCGAGAGTATAAAAGTCGGTTCCGAGAGGCGATGGCTCGATACGTCCTCCAAGCTCCGAGGTAAGTCTGAACTCCAATTTCTGCTTTTCTATGAATTGAGTGCTAATTTGAGTCTCAGTTGTTGGCATCAATTACAACCCAGTGCAATGTACCGATACCCTCAGGGCGAGGTGTCCAATGTCACCGAGTTGGACATGGATGAGAATGCTGAAAACAGCACCTAGAGATGAACAGCCACAAAATCTTCCCCTATACACGAGCTTCACCTTCTTGTTTTTTTTTCCCTTACTTTGCTTTCTTGCACATTATGATTGATGATTTGATGACATTTGAACGTCCAAGACTGGTGTCTTGAGATATCACATCCGTTCCTTTCTAGCGCCTTGACGTGGATATGTACAATAGAGGCATTACACATGTACTGCTGGGCCGGATACTGCAAAGGCTTAGCCAATGATTTTGAGCCACATGCAATCATTTTAGGATATAATTCTGACATACTGCAACTTTCTACACTCCAAACATCAAGTAATTCAAAGTTAACTATAATGATGCCCTATTAATAAGGCATCAACTAAGTCGGCGCTTTTCGGTAGAAACCGGGATCAATCGGGTCCGTCATCGGGAGTTGTGTTTAGCCCTTCAGACCTGAAGTTTCCAATAATTATGGCTCCAGTCTTTTTAATTCTTCATCCTTCATTCCATTTGGTGAATTTTACTTTTTGCGACTTTATGTGGTGTTGACGGGGATATTCAACGCAATAGCACCGCCGCAATTGCGCGATCATGCAGCCACCCATGCATAAGCCTCGGCCTCGGGCGTTTTCGTGATCTCTCCCCGCAACTGAGAGCCTTCGCTTCTCTTCCGGCTAATCATTCTCTTTTTCTCTTTTTTTTTCTTCTGTCTGCCTCTTTCGAACCCTTTTCCTCTCATTTTCATGGGTGATCAGGAAGCGCCATACATTGAGAGCGCTTGCACTACGAATACAAGCCAAACGGCTTAAGTGATCTATACGAGAAGTTGCGCTTTAAGGTTAGCGACGACACAACTAACAGGAACGAGAATTGCAGCAACTCTAGGTCTATTGAACTTTTTTCCTCCAGGGAGAATGTCTAGACTAACTAACATCGCACTTGACCTGAAGGCATTAAATTCGTCTCACATGTGTACATGATCAATGCATTAACTTCCTTGAGACGCGCGATGGTCCAGATCGCAGAACAGGAACTTGGCTTTAAAGGAACAGAAACAGGCAAAAGGAAAATAAAAAGTATGTGTCCCACCATCGCACCAGCGATTTTACCAATTAACAGAAGACAAGGTTGGACCAATTATCGATCCGTGTAGCTTACCATTTTTCAGTGGCTACATTTACTCCTCGGCCAGGCCAAGGTTCTCCTCGGCGGGAACCACACGAACGGTGTTGGTGTGGCCCATACCGCCGCGCCATCCCTGGACACAGACAATGGGGTCGCCCTTGTTGATAACACCGAGCTTGAGGCCGTGGTTGATAGCCCACTTGAGGCGGCGGTCGACATCCTCCTGCCAGATCTTGACATTGAAGTCGGGCTTCTTCTCGGGGAAGTAGAAGGGCCACACGCCACGGTACAGGTGGGAGTACTGAAAAGGTTCTTGTTAGCATGGAAACTGAGTTCGGATCTTGAAGAGTGCAGTCTTACGCGAGAAGCGGTCTCATTACGGGTGACCATGAGAATGGGGCACACGGGGCGGTACTTGGAGAGGAGACGGGCGGTCTTTCCACTGCAAAGGTTGTTAGTACTTGCAGGCTTGCAACGAAAATCTTGGAAGGAAAGGGACATACCTGGTGGTGAGCACAACAATGGCACCGGCGTTCAGCTCCAGACTGGCACTGACGGCAGCCATGGCAATGGACTCGGAAGTCTCAGTGGGGCGAGGAGCCAGGTTACGCAGCTCGTCGAAGACGCTGAAGTGAGGAGTGGCAACCTCGGCCAGGAGACAGGTCTCGTGCATCATCTTGACAGCCTCGCAAGGGTAGTTACCCTTGGCGGTCTCGCCAGACAGCATGACACAGTCAGCACCGTCGAGAACGGCGTTGGCAACATCGGAAACCTCGGCACGAGTGGGGCGAGGGTTGTATGTCATGGACTCAAGCATCTGGGTGGCGCAAATAACGGGCTTACCCTTGATGTTGCACTTGGAGATCATCATCTTTTGGGCAATGAAGACCTTGGGGGCGGGGATCTCAATACCAAGGTCACCACGGGCAACCATGACACCGTCGGTCTCCTCGAGAATCTCATCAAAGTTGTTGACACCCTGCTGGTTCTCGATCTTGGCAATGATCTGAATCTCCTTACCTTCCTCGCCGAGAATCTCACGGATGTGCTTGATATCGCTACCGCGGCGAATAAATGAAGCAAAGATCATGTCGACATTGTTCTTCACGCCGAACTTCAGATCACTGATATCCTTCTCGGAAAGAGCGGGAAGGTCGACGTCGGTGCCGGGCAGGTTCACACCCTTGCGGGAGGAGATGTTGCCGTTGTTCAAACACTTGACCTTCAGGTTCTTCTCATCCACCACCTCGACAACCTCAAATGACAGAATGCCGTCGTCGACATAAATGAGCTTGCCGGGGGAGATAACCTTGGTAAGGTTCTTATAGTCGAGGTACCTGTGATCGCGCTTTGGGTCAGCTCCAGTCTTCCACAGACCGCGTTTGCGCTTCTTCACTCGATGGGTTCTTACATGTTCTTGTTGTCACAGGCGGTGGCATAGGCATCGTCGGTGGTAATGTTGAGCATATCGCCCTGCTTGATAGGGAAATCCTTATCATCGACAGTGTTACCGGTACGGATCTCGGGACCCTTGGTGTCGAGGGCAATGGCCAGAGGACGGCCGGTCTGAACACGAGCAGCCTCACGGGCATTGTCGATCACAGATTGGTGGTACTGCCACAGAGGTCAGTAAATGCTCATTACTGGTATCCAAAACAAATTGCAAAGAGAAGCACTCACCTCATATGAACCGTGGGAGAAGTTCATGCGGACAACGTTCAAACCAACTATGAATCTAATCAGTCTTTGCTCGGATATTTCCCATTTCGGGTTTGTTATCGGATTACTGCCATACCGGTGCGGAGAGCATTGATCCGCTCGACAGAGTTGGTCTTGGGACCTAGAGAGCAATTGTGCGTCAGCGAAAATTTCCCACGCCGATCATCAAGGTCCTCGTTTTGGGGCAATCCCGAGCCAGAGGCACGATTGACGGTCATTTTGCAAAAGACATACCAATGGTACCGATGATGGAGGTACGGCGGAAGTTCTTGGCCGGGACCATCTCGGTGTTGAGCTTGGAGTACCACTCCAGCTTCATCCGGTTGGACAGGTGGTCAAGAGAGCTGGTGGCCGCCATTTTGAACTTCTGATCAAACTAATTGAATTTAGAATGGTAGAAGGGAATGGGATGGTTAGAGAAGGTGGGATGGAGAAAGAAAGGTGAGGAGGGGAAGAGAAGAAGAAGTTGGGTGAGGGGCGGGGACTGGAAAATGTTGGCCGCCGATACTATCTCCGCTCACCTAGAATCACTTATGTTGCCCGATGTTGCCCCGGTGTAGAACTACTCCGTATTGCAACTCCATTGATTACATGTTTATTGATAAAAAGCGGACTTCAATGGATTGATTTTCTTATGAAATTACTTTCTCGAATCACTATTCAAAGTCTAATCATTTCACTAGCTATAAGGGCTCCTCTCACCGTTTTTTTGGCCCCCGCTCCCAGAGCTATCGGCAATGGCGGGAATATACATCTGCAGGCAGAAATGAAAAAATAGGATAGCAACCCCAGGGCAAAAAAGCGGAGGGGCCCGTGCTGGTCTGCCCAGCGTACATTGGATCCCTTTTATCGAGTAAACGTGACAAATAGCGACACCCAATTTGACCAAGGAAAGCGGCTTCGACAGAAACGGATTTTCGGTGGGATTGAGCTTATCGATAACCAGTGTGGCATGTATGTGGCGGTGTATGTATTATGTAAATAAGGATGTGGCGGTGCGAGACTTCCCGACGTCATGTGAATCCCAATCTCCACGTGATCCGCTTTTCCCCGTCTGCTGCCGTGCATCATCTGCCTGACTCAAGATAACAGCAGCTTCCCTCGGCCTAAATTTGCCATTCTCCCTGCACTCCCAGTGCTGATACCAAACTGCAATCATGGTAGGATCAAACAGTTCTTTTCTTGTCCGAACGGGAGCTTCATGAGCTTCTCCAAGCCATAAATATGGCGTGACTGACCGATATTCTAAATAGCTTGGCCGTCTTACCCACTACGCATTCGATGCGGTCCTCTGTTAGTGATTCTGATTTTCTCTTGACACCAGGGACTTTGAGCTAATGTGTATGTCTCTCTGTAGTCTCCGCTTTCCTTGCTGGAGTCAAGCGCTCCACAGGTCTCACGTAAATACGACCCCTCGGACCCCCTCCCTTCCTGCTTTTCTTATTGCTGCATATACGCGAAATGCCCATGCGATATCTGCGCCCATAGCCAAATACAAAAGATCGTTCAGCTAACTCTGTTGACCCCCGCGCCACCCTCTGCCGGGTCGCGTGCGTGCGGGGGCCGTCCATAGCCCCAGTCTGAAGACCGAACAAATCTCCGACAACAAAGAAGTCAAGAAGTGGTTCGACAACTATCTCGGTGTCGGCGAATGGGTCATGGATCAATCCGTGGCGGTGATGGGCTCCTCCGGCTGGTTTGAACGTCGACGATAGATCGGTCGAAGATATACGACTTGCTGAGACAGGCTACGATTGATTCCTTTTGAATTCTGTTTGCGCCCCAATTTTGGATCCATAGCTGTGAATTGGCGCTCCACCTCGGGGATGCAATACGTTGAATCGCTAAACAGAATCCTTGGTGATTTTGTACAGCTTCGAAATGCTGAACTTTCCGGCTGGTTTTCCCCATGTTGGCTTTTGATCAGATCCCCACATCTGACGAGTGACGACCACATCCCCCCTCTGCACTATTACTGCTGCTTCTTCCACACTCCACATCATGTTCAGAGCTATGGCGTCTTTGGTTTTTTTCTATGCGATACCTTTCTGTCCACCCTGCCTGTGTTATAGCATATCCGTACACAATCAATTGTATCCTCCAACTTCGGTGGATATCATATCATGAGCTTCGGTTTTATCATATAAGGCTGGGTGTCATCGGGCTTCTTGAAAGCATCGCTTTGGGGATATATCGAGCGCTCAAGGCGCCGAGGTGAGTAGTTGCAATGGGTCAAGGTTACGACCATGAAATAAATGGCTCGCGCCTTGGCACAGAAGCGACATATTCCAGCCACCATATGATTTGGTCTAAATACAACCCGTGTTGGTTTAGCTCGGACTGGCTTCGCCATTTCATTATTCATAGCGCGGTGAGGACACTAGGTGTTGGGTAGTGACTATAAGCGACTCAGATGAGTATGTGGGATTTGAGTGGTCTTGAATCACACGATGAATGCAAAATAGAACGCCGCTCATATTTGGAGGAGGGTATCAATGTCCACTCGGCGGTAGTAGGAAACGTGGCCCATTTCCTTCCAATAATGCGCTATGAAGTCCGGAGAGATAAGAATAAGCTCGGACGTGATAAAGGTGTCTGTAACGATTTGTGGTTAGTGAACCGCTCAAGGAGGCCACAATAGAGACAGAAAGACTTACCATCTTGGAAGCCAATACCAGCGACATGACCCAAGCACCGCACAATACGTGCATTCTCAAACGGTTCCCTGTCGTCCACCCGAACGAGGCCTCCAGGACCGATATCGTTGGCAACGAATGATATTTGACCACGGGGAACATTTGGATCACCTGTAAGCTTGACTGCTTCCAATCTTCCGCTTGGTCCGAAGTCTCCGTCCTTATCGTTCTGGCTGTCTACATCTCGTTGGACGAACAAGAGGAACTCGCATCCATGAGCTGAGTAGTCTCCAACCCAGATACCTTGATATGGTTTTTCTTTCGTTGGCACATACGAGCTCGGATCAAGGGTAGCATACGTTGTCCGTGCTTCATTGCGGCCCGGAGAGAGCACCACGTGGAAATTGGCCCATCTCCGAATGCGAAATGCCCTCTCCGAGGCTTCAGATGCACACTTGGGGTCCGGCAACCTCTGCGGGGAATTCTCTCTGCGGATGCGGTGCTCACTAGGGATGGTCACCGGAGGCCAACATTCTCCTTGGTAACTCTGAGGTGGCGTATCTTCTTTGGGACACAATAGGATTGAGCTGTAAACACTCTGTGCTTCTGAAGCCATTGGCATTTGACGCTCCATCCTCCAAGTCTGGCAAGCAGCCCTGGGTTCCGCGGGCGCTGGATCTTTGAGAAACAAAACGGGATCATCCAGCCACAGGACTACTTTGGGGTCGAACGATTGAATCATGACATCAGGGTTCGATTGCCAAACTTGAAAGCTTGGGCTACCTCGATCTGCCAGCAATCGGTAGGCTTCGATGACGCCTCTTCGGTTATCATAACGAGCCAGAATCAAGTTGCCCGTGTGCTCGTTATCTGAGAACCAGATCTTGTATTGAGGTATAAACCAGTACGATAGGTGGGCAAGGTATAGGCGTCGAAAGGACGGGAAAGGGCCTGGGTCAGGAATCGAGGAAGGCAGGTGGGAGTTGACCAACTTGGCCCATAGTCGGTCGTCGGAGCCATGCTCGGCGAGTACTTGACAGCTTGCAGATACGCGAGCAAGATCGCGGGCGGACAGGTAGGAGAGAATCTCGTGGAGGATCTCGGCGGGGAGTTTATCCAAGATGGAGGAGTTTTTCATTGACTGGGTCCACGGCTGTTCATGGAGAATCTCATCCACCAACCTCTCGTGGTCCTTCAGATCGCGGTCGCTCGGCTGCAGTAGTGGGGTGACCCCTCGGTGTTAGCCAAATATCCACGACTCCAAAAGCAGACTATGTGGCCTGGATCTCAATTTTTCTAGATATACTAACCTCTTGGAAGTGCGCCACACTTCCCATTGTGTATTTGGATATGGTGCTCGGGGTGATTTCAACGGAATGAGTCAAATGCTGTTTGTTGCTCGACCGCCTGCAGTAACGCAGATGACATCACTTGTAAGCGTGTTGTAGAGACATGGCTCGCACACTGGGGCTTCCAGATGCAAATTAAACGAAGAGATACACCAAACTGTTTTTAGCTAGACGATATGTCGGCAATACGTGAGGGCAAACAGAGCGATAGCGCCGTTGGTGGGTCTGATAAGAGATAACGTCCACTCCGCACTTTCCAACGAATGGTTGATCGGTATCATCGCTGGACAACCTGCTTGCAAGTGATTTCTTTTCCCTTCGAAGCTGGCTTGATGGGACAAGCGGCGATTTGTATACTTTCTGATTGGTTATTGACGTCACATGCTCATGGGAAGCCGGACTAGGCGCAACAATCGGGTTTCGGTATTGTATGATATCATCGAGCTACACTGATAGATATTTATTGCATATGTACATTCAAGCTGGTATTCCTTGCAAACCACTTGAAGTACCACCTTGATAAACTCGGACCAAACCCATATAACCGATTTCAGATTTCCACCATCCTTCATGAAAATGACTCGCATCTTCATCACGGGTTCTAGCGATGGCATTGGCCAAGCTGCAGCCAAAATACTTGCGGACCAGGGCCACTCAGTCGTCCTCCACGCACGAAACGCGGACCGCGCCGCCTCGACCCATAAAGCTGTCCCCAAAGCCGAAGCAGTGTTAGTCGGTGATCTGTGCTCCATCTCCGAGATCAAGAAACTTGCACAAGAGGCCAACAGAAGCGGACCATTCGACTCCATCATACACAATGCAGGCATTGGCTACGGTGGCACATCCAGCCGGGAAATCACTGCGGACAAGATCTCTGCTGTTTTTTCGGTCAACACGCTCGCTCCATACATTCTCACCTGTTTGATGGATAAGCCAAAGTCGCGGCTACTCTATATGAGCTCAGATTCTCACTACGGGGGTGATGAATCTCTACGCAACGTGACGCAGTCACACTCATACGGGGATAGCAAATTACACGATGTGATGCTCGCAAATGCCTTCTCTCGGCGATGGGGCGACAGTATTCAGGTCGTGAGCATGCATCCTGGCTGGGTGAGGACCAAGATGGGAGGCTCCATGGCTCCTGGTGGAATGGATAAGCCGGCTCAGGCTTTGGCGGAGTGGGCTACTGGACAAGGCAAACTCGCCAGCCTGAAAAGTGGAACATTCTTCACCACAAGCGGCGAAGAGTCCACACATCCTGGAGCTGGTAATGTGGGGAAGCAGGAGGAGCTGTTGAAGATTTGCCAGGAGGTGTCTGGAGTTCCAATTCCGGAGTAATGAAGCGTCGGAGCCTTGGAAGTTGCGTTTCAAGGCTGCATTGCTTGTCCAGGGCTCTTCACAATCGGACACACCGAATGGATTCTAACACTTGAAAACTTCTTTATGCCAGCCCAGTCTTACTTTGAATCAAATACATAAGTTCGGTCAAATAGTACACACACAGGCAGCTAATCACTACCGCTAGCAGCCTTATATATGGTGAGAATATTGATTCTTCGATTGTTCCTACTTATACGAGGCCGGAAGATTCAGGGAAAGCGTAGTTCACTGAAATTTCACAGATTTTCATACGAATTCAGGCACAATTTTCCTTGCGAAATGTACTATTTAAGGGATTTACTATTATAAGGAGGGTCCATCTTAGCGTGTCATCTGAGTGGGGTGTCAGCTTGGGAGGGGTCGTAGGAGCAATCCTCAAAAAGAAAAAAGGGCTTTGCCATTCTCGCTGATGTTAAAACTCCAGAAGACGCTAATATCAACATCAGAATGAAGTCTTCGTCGATTCCATACCGCTATTCTCAGCTGCAAAGCTCGCGAAACGAAATCCGGTTGGTCCAGCTGCACCCCGGCACTTTCTCCGACGACATTCACCTCAGTATATTGCATGTATTTCTTCGGCCATCAGACGAGTCCGCACCAAAGCTTAGCTTAGAGAAGTTGAGAGCGACGCTACCGCCGGACTGGGAGGTTCATGAAGATACAGACCAGAAGATTCTTTTCTATTATGAAGATTCAGATGGAAACTGCAAGTCTACATGGACACATCCTGATCCCAACATTGATCCCAATCAATACACAGCCCAGCCCAAGAAGTCTGAGGGATCCCGCTACGAAGCCTTGTCGTACACCTGGGGATCGAGGGTAGACGACGAAGTGATCTACGTGATACCTACACATGCATCCACGTCGAAGGAGCCGGCGACAGAGCTTCAAATTGGCCACAACCTCGCCCTCGCGCTTCGGCACCTCCGATATGAGGACCGTGTCCGCATTATTTGGGCCGACGCAATCTGCATCAACCAGCAGGATCAATCCGAGAGAGAGGAGCAAGTCAAGCGCATGTCATACATTTACAAACAAGCGGACCAGGTAGTTGTCTGGCTTGGGTCTGGGTCCGACAATAGCGGCCTCGCGATGAAGACCCTCAGCTATATAGGAGAGCAAGTCGTGACAACGATGGACAGTTGGATAATAGCATCCCCCGAGGCGGTTGAACCAGACTGGTGCTATTCCGCCGTCGGGTTGCCTTATGATTCTGATACCTTTATTGCCGTCAACTCCTTCCTCAGTCGCGATTGGTTCAATCGCGTATGGATCTTGCAAGAGATCCATCTCGCAAGCAATGCAATCTTGCAGTGTGGGTTTGACCAAATGTCATGGACACATTTTCGTCGCTCCATTGTGCTTCTATGGACCAAGTTCAATGCATGCCCGTCTCTCTCTCGGCCCAGAATAGCATTCGTTGAGCCTCTCGTTAATCCAATACAGTCTAACACTCCAATTTCGTTAATCCTTCGCCTCACCAACAAGAGAGAATGCGCGGATCCCCGGGACATAATCTACGGCGTTCTCGGTCTCTTTCACGAGGATTTCAAAAAGAATATCCATCCTCAGTACTCTTTACCAGCTGAAGATATTTATACTTCGTTCGTTCGCTCCCACATTAGACAAGTCAACAAGTTAGAACTCCTCCGATACTGCCGTCCGGGATACCGTACGACTCCTATTCCGTCATGGGTACCAGATTATAGCAAGAAAGACTGGGTCAAACCAGCTGAATGGCAGTTCTGCTCGGGATACTCCGCCTGCCACGTGGTGTTCCGCGAGCCTAATATACTTGATGCTGAGGGCGTCTACGCTGCCACGATCCGGTCTGCCCATGATCCTATACCAAATTATCGACACGAGGCAGCTCACATTGAGCTTCTCGACTCAACCTCTGCCGTTCGGAACTTGCTTGGTCTTGACTTTTCCGGAAAGAGCGTGGGAGCAGAGAGCCAGCAGGATATATTTGCTCGAACAATCACCGGGAACTATCTTAAAGACCGGTTTCCAGAACCCCGGGTCGACACCCTGGAGCAGTGGAAGGAACGGATCCAAACGAAGGATGACATTTTCGGGGAAAACCTCACGTTTCAAGAGGAATATTCCTTGGGCATACTTCTTGGTCGAACCTACTTAACAACGGAAGAAGGCTATATCGGGCTTGGGCCTCCGGATGCACAACCAGGTATGATCCATGCTCCACCTTAGTCTTGATCCACCGAATACTGATGGTCAAGAAAAGGCGATATCATAGTCTGCTTACTAGGCTGCGACTCACCAATTCTTCTACGAAGACAACCACAAGGGGAGTTTGTTGTGATCGGAGAATGTTTTGTTCACGAGTTGGATGACGCGAAGGCTTTCCTTGGCCCGCTACCATCACCGTGGAGGGTCCAGGCCTTTGCCGAGTCTCATGATAGATGCAGCATCTATCGTTATTCCAACGCTGAGACGGGAGTTTTGTCGGACCAAGATCCAAGAACAATGTCTCCATCGGAGAATTGGGAGGTAGAAACGACCGAGAGAACCGGGTGCGATCCAGTGATCTTTCGAGTATTCAAGAACAAGAAGACTGGGGAGGTGACCAGGTCGGATCCTCATATGACACCGGAGGCGCTGAGGGAGCGTGGTGTTTCTTTACGGTGGTTCTCGTTAATTTGATATACCTTAAGATATGATCCAGTAATAGTCTGTCTTTACCTGCTCCCTGATTGTCTAATTCTTTTCACCTGTCTATTCCATAGGCTTTGGAGCCTTTAAGTCGATAATTTGGGCAATTGCTTAATGGACCCACACGTAAAGTATTGAGGACCAGGAAGACTTTATATGCAAAGTTCAGACGCGCCTTATCCCACACTTAACACCAATACCACTTGGAGAACATTAACAGCCCATCGTATTTTATTACCCAAAAGCTCAAAGTAAACAAGTTGTTCTTGAACACTGAACATATTGTCCTCGAACAACACACGTGATCACCCAAAACAGCAGCTTGTTTACACGCGCCGGATCGGGAATCATGAGGGGCCCTTGAACGCGCTGAACGCCTCTGCTGCCTGCAGGGACCCACTAATGTTTGTTTATGTTATGATCTATAGAAAAACGCCTCGAAAGCGCCAATGGGATTTTTCTTAACAGCCGCATCCATTGTTTATTTTCTTATTATTCGTCCCAATTATCCCCTGTTTTTTTGTTCTCCCCCACAATAGCCGCAACCTGGATACATCTATAACTATACTCTCGATACATCTCCCATTCCTCTGAATAAAGGATACAAATATGGAGACCAGACAGTCGGTTAGGAAAAGGCGAAACAGCTCCGTTTCCAACTCGAGGAGCTCGTCGCCTGTGTCGCACCGGACGAGACAGAGTATGTCCGGACAATTTGAGCAAACTGCGCCATCTCTTGCACCCAAGCGTGCTGTCAGCACGCCCAAGAAATCGAGGAAACGAGTGCGATTCTCGGATCCAGGTCCTCGACTACTCGATCATGATGTTTGTTCAACTGGCCTGACACCGGCCATGCAGCGAACCTCGTTTGTTGCCGGATTCCCGGGATCTGGGGATCGTACACCTAGCCGGAAAGCCCGGCGCCGCTCGGCTCCAACGCCTCATTTTCGCCGATGCTTTGACCCGGTGGAGCCATTTGACGAGACATCATCGGAGCGTGTGGTGCAGTTCACTCCTCTGCGACAGATTTTGGACACGCGGACCCAGCGGAGAATCAAACGAATTGGCCTTAGTGATGAACTCAATCACATTCAGCGTGAGAAGCGCGAGGTTGCGACTTTCGAGAAAACGTTGGCAGCACTGCTTCGGGAGCGAGATGCTTTGCAGCAAGAGTTGGCTTGCATGAAACAGGTTCGAGATATCCCAGGAGATCAATTGCCGTCTTATGAGTCTTTCTGGATGTCTTCTCAGTTTCGAGCCCGAGGAGTTGAAGAACAGACGACTTTGCTATGTGATGATGTCTCCGTGGCCTCGCACCCCAGTTTGAATGGGCGCGTATCATCTGTTGAAAATGACGGTGATACTTTCATGCTGAATGACAGTGCCATCATCGCTTCCAGTTCGCCCGTCTTTCGAAGTCGACGGACCATCCGTTCACCTAGTCCAGAAAGACAAAGTCTTTTCGACGGGCCGGACTATGATGTCACGGCTCTGACACCAGTGAATGATGGTCCGGATGATACTGATATGCATACTCTGACCATCGATCTGGAGACTGCTAGAAATGAGAAGAGAGACTTGTTCGACGCATGCCGCTCACAAATGTCTGCCCTTGAGAACTCTGAATTGGCCGAGATTCTCCGCAAGCCATCTCCACCTCCAGACTTCTTCGAGAATATCCTAACCACCCTGACCGCTGCGTTATCTCGCGCTTCAGATGCCACCAAGACTCTTGAAGGTATCAGTCAAGAGTGCTCAAGCCTGGGCTTCTCCGGGCCCAACATGGATTATGTGCTTTCAGACATTAAAAGCAACTTCCGCTCAGCACGCCTTGAACTTGAGCGTGCCATTCCAGGAGAGACAGCCGGTGCAGCGCTCGGGGATGGAAAAGCCACATTGCGCGCACTAGTAAAACGCGTAAAGTCTCTGGCTAAAGAGCTCCAGTCAGAGCGTAAATACCACCATGGCTCATTGGGCCGCGAAAGGGCCCTTCGCAGACAATTCGACAACTTATTACACCGATACGAAGCAGCTGCCGACAAGATCGGTAGCCTCGAGGACTCGATCGCATCCTCTGCAGGTGACATGCTCCACACCAGAATGCGGTTGCAGGATCTCGAGAGCGAAGACCAAGAAAAGACCGTTGGGATTGACAGATTAAACACGGCACTGGATAAGTACCACGAAGATGTGAAGGGCCTCGAAGATTTGGTTAGCAAAATGGAGGATGAAAACGTCGCGATAAAGTCAAAGTACCGCGCACAGATATCTGCTCTCCGAGAACAAGTTGCTCACGAGTGTAAGCAACGATCCATCGCTGAGCTTTGCACCTCCGAGCACGAAGCCCGCATCCGCCAACTCGAGGAGACTGTTGCGCGAAACCGGACCCGGACATCCGACCTGACAGCTCAGATCGATGCTCTTGACAAAGAACACCAGAACGCTCTCCGAGAGAAGACACAAGACCAGCAGCAACATGCACAAGAGACAGGCACCTTAAATGTGCGAATTTCAGAACTCGCAACATCCCTCGATGCCGCTCGGTCGGAAGCTCATCGTCTCCGCCAGGTGAACACTGGCCTCGAGGAGCAGTTGCAAATTGAACTTGAGGCCCGGGATGAGCTTCTTGATCAATGGGCCACCGAGCAGGCGCGCTCGTTTGCTCATATGAAAGAGACCGTCAGCTCTGAGCGCCGCAGAGCTAAGGTTCGTGCGGCTAACTGGGAGCTTAAGTCCGATGATCTTATGTCTGATGGGACCACGATTGCCGGAAGCGAGCCTATCACCCCGGTTAGCATGACGCGCTTTGTTGATGTCGAAATGGGGAGGGGGAAGGTCCGAAGGCGCATGGACAGTGGTGTCGGAATCATTACTGGGGATGAGCTCCTGGAGAGCGAGGACGTCTCGGATAATGACCTGCCGACACCCAATCTCATTGGTTTATAGGAACTACTTTCACTTGTTAACTTCCTATGTTGATGTCTACATGCTCTGATTTATGTTTCAGGTTGGGTTCCTATCATTCTATACACGGCTGCATATACAATGAGAAAAATTAACTACCAAAGCTATCTGTATTCAAGGCTTTGCCTGCTCGTCATGTCAATTTACGTACCCATTTCTTGTCCTCTACGGTGGCGCGATACTACTGCCTAGGTGCGGAGGTACCTAGTCAGCTACAGGGAAGCCGAAGGCCGAAGGAGGAAGTATGACGCCTAATCAATGTAGTTAGATTACCAAAGAAAAGACATAATATCAAACTCGAAAATAAATTAGCCCTGTGCCTCGGTAGAAGGACCAGAATGTGGTTGCCGGTGTCTAACATCAGTCTGTGTGTTAGGAGCAGCAGTCGACATTTGGGAAAGACTAAAACTATCCGAAGAAGACTTCCTCCTAGCCGTTGGTGGCAGTGGCTCAGACTTGTATTTCTTGTCATGAGCAGGATCTGCAAAGACAGAGCCAAGCAAGTTAAAGATGTTACTCGTGCGTAACACCATACAATATGCCAGCGTCATACCAGTGATAAGCATCTCATCCCTCACACCCTCCTCATGCGACGACGGACCCATCAATTCAATCTTGCCGATTTTCTTGACACCCCACAAATTTGCCGTGAATTTGGCAACAGGCATCTGTTGTTCGTCGGTGCAAACAAAATCCCACTTCGAAGCACCGACATCGCCTGTCCAGGTCATCACAGCGGGCTGGCCCTGGGGATTCTTGAGAAAGCCGGAGCGGTGGGTGTATAATGTTTTGAAACGCTTTTGGGCCACGAGGGTGTCTCTTCGGCCGCGGCATTCATAGTCTGGGTCAATGCTGACCACGTGAATAGAACTGGTGCCAATGACATCGTTTGTGGAGGCAGATTTGTAGATTATTTGTTTGGGGGAGAACAGCTTATATTTGATGATGTAGAGGGGTTTGTCGGGTTTGTTGACATCGGAAACGAGGGACTTGAACTTGCCCCATTTGAAATCGATTCGGAGCGTGGTATGTTGGTCGGTGGTCTCGAGAGGTTGAATTGGAGAGGCATTCACTGCAGTTGCTTCTGAGTATTGAGTATTGCGGGTTTGTGAATGTTCGACGGGCTTCATTGGGGATGTCTTCGAGTCGAACTCAAGGTTCGTCTTTGTATTTGTCAAATAAATGCAAGACCTCGGGATCAGCGACCCCTGCCATCTTTATGTTTTTGCCAGGGGTTCTGCTTACTTCAACCAAGTCTCGCATGGTCCACATCGCCCATTAAACCCTGGGGCGCAGGGGACTTGGCACGTTTAGGACCCATACGATCCACTCTGCCTCGGGGATGAAGATGCCCTAAGCCAATCACATTTCTCAACGAACTAAGCTCAGCCTTGTGATCCATGGATATGATGTCATGGCCCCCAAACTACATGTAGACATCCTAATATGGTGAGTTGGACCGTGTTGCCCGTGGAATATTCCTTGAGTGGAGGGCGAGTGGAGAGCAGTTTCAACTAGAACTTTGCAGAGCAAACTTCAAGGGGGCTAAGGTAGTGTTAACGGTGGAGAACGACAGGATGTCCATACGAAACCTCTGGATCACCGTTCTAGAACAATAGCCCGATATTGAATCGTGGTCAGCCAATTAGCCCCAACTGTCGTTTGTCAGGAAGAGGCCTCAAAGAAAGACCAAGCAGGTTAGTAGTGGATTTCTAGTGGCTAACCCTAATCAACTCTGTTTGGTAGCTGACCATTCAGAACAGTAGTCAAGTAGAAAAGAGGGTGTGTTTGTTGTGGGCCCTAACTGATCACTTTCCAGGGCTTCTTCCTAGCAAACGGCCGTCAGGGCTAACCGTCGAATTCTGCAAGACTCATGATGCCTCGGATATCTTTGTTCAGGCTAGTGTGTTTTGCGGATTTTTCGACGCCGGTGTGAATTCCTCTTCTTTCCTATTTTCTTTCCTCTTCCCTTCATACCCTCCTGCCGATTTACGCTTTGCATCTCCCATTGTTTCTAGCTTGAACGCCGCTGTGCCAAACTCCTTGGAGCGTTTGCTACTTCCGTCCTGTTCTTCTCCTCTCGTTATTTTCCTCCGGTTTCGTTTCCTTTCTCGTCTCATCTTCTCTGCTCGACATTCGCTTTCCTCTTCTCCTCCTCATAATTTTCCTTTTCATAATCCATCTACATTATGCATATTTCTCCTAGTTACCCTGGTTCGGGCGCTGAGTACCGTCTGCGGGTGACTGCAGGTACTGATCATGACAGCACCAACCACCAGGAAGTTGAGGTGAATGGAGCCATCAGCTCCCTGGTTGGCCTCAATGTGGCTGTAAACCTTGCCGTGAAAGTCAAGGACTACCATGGTATGTCACCTGATCCCATGACCTGCACTCATAACAGAAATACTTACATGACCCGGAGGCCTCCCCCTCTCTGCACCTCTCACATCCAACTACTTCGACCACAACCTCCACCGCGATGACAATTTTTCCATCGCGTTCTCTATCGTCTTTGACCGTGACGTAAATGGCAACGACCTGGTGTTTGGAAACTTTTTCAAAACCCCAATTGAGCACAAACTGCCCGATGGCTTCAAACTCCTGACCGGCCTCATCAAGAGGTGGGGCGACAAGTCCATCGAGTTCAACATGAAGGGCAAGAACCCGTCGGTCCACGCCCCTGCCCTTACGAGCTTTTCGCAGCTCCGCATCGGCGTCGAGGGCCCAACGGAGGCCCAAAAACTCGGCCGTCACTCCGTCGTTATGGAGGGGTGCGAGACTGAGAGCGGCTCGGAGATCCTCGAGAAGCAGGGTGTGCCCACCACCGCCGAGGGCCGCAAGGAGTTCTTCCAAGCTGCCGAGAACCGAGAGGAGTTCTGGTTTTTCGGAGGGATCCAGTATCTCGCCGACTTTGGAAACCACGACCTGAACTTCCGGAGTAAGTGAACAATGATCCCCTTACCTGTTCCATAACTTCACCTTCCATTTTAAAGATATATCTGAAATAACAACTCTCTGTATAGATCTGTGCCTCAATATCCCCGGAAAGCCGCTCGCCTACTACCAGCTCCTGGAAGACGAGGAGCACCAGCTACGATACACGTTGAAAAACGTGAAGACCGGGGAGATTTACTTGGTGGTGGTCTTCTCTGTCGTGATGAGCAACGAGGAGGCCAACACTTTGGCGGGCAAGCAGAAGGCTGCCGTTGACTTAGTGGCTTTGGAGGGTATGGTGGATATCGTGCGCCGCCAGCGCCGGCGTTTCGTGCGACTGTGATTACGGGATATAGAGATGTGGAGATAGGGAGACCAGGGGGTCTGGACCGGGTCATAAAATCCATAGTTAATGAAGCCGGTTTCTCTTGCCTTTCTTCATTTTAATCGCTTTAATTCCTTTCACATCAACTAAGCTGACCTACTGATTGTATTTTATAGCTCAATACCAAGATCTCCCTCAATTGCGCCTTATGAAAAGCCCCGTAAAATCCTCGATTCGCCTCACTTTCCCAGAAGATTCTGCAAGCCGAACCAACGATGGTCATTGGTCGAGATGTTCGATCAAAACCGAAACGATTGAAATGACAGAGTGAATATAGGATGAAATAGAAACATGAAAGGCTCGAGGTAAGAGCATGTCGAAGCTAGAAGTAGTTCGAAGCCAAAAACAAAAGGAAATCAGGAGCGTCGTTTCTCGACCCGGTCTGTCTGGTATTCGAGTTTTGAAATGCATGGATGTCCATTTCCATAGGGACGCTACTGATCGATTTTCTCTTTCAATTTCAAGGTCCAGATGACAACCATTACCACAATGCCAGTCATCATGGCATAACCAGTCCAATTCTCCCCAATTACTCGTATATATGCCTACAAAAGCTTGCCATCTTTCGATCTTGATTGGAATCTACATATATTCGAAGATTCACATAATGGGTAGTCATTGAGTATACACGCAAAATCAAACTAATTTTTTGAGCCTCTACCCCAAGCACAATATCATCTGTACACAAACAACCCCTTACAGGCGCTTCAGCACGTCGTCAAGAACCTGCTGGGTGGTAGCCTTGCCACCCATGTCAGGAGACAAGAACTGAGCCGCGTCCAGGTTACCATCAACAGCAGCGTAGATCTTAGCGGCAGCAGCCTCCTCGCCAAGGAACTCCAGCATCAGGGCAACACTGCGCAGAGTAGCAATGGGGTTGGCGATACCCTGGCCCTCAATGTCAGGAGCACTGCCGTGGCAAGGCTCACCAATAGCGAAGCCATCACCAACGTTGGCGCTGGGAACAAGACCCAGGCTGCCAACAAGGGCAGCAGCACCATCGGACAGAATGTCACCGTACAGGTTGGGAGCAACAATGACATCGTAGTACTCGGGCTGGCGGAAGAGCTTGTAGACCATGGAGTCGACAATCTGCTCCTCAACATTCACAGAGGAGAACTTCTCAGCAGCGAGAGCGCGGCGAGCAGTCTCACGGAACAAGCCGTCGGTCTGGGACAGCACGTTCGACTTGTGGGTGATGGTGACCATGGGGGAAGAGTGGACGGAGGCCACGCCGGAGGTGGAACGGATGTTCTGGCGGCGGAGAGCGATCTCACCGGCAATATTGGAGATACGGTAAGAGGCGCGCTCGGAGATACGCTTGATGGCCTCGGCGACCTTGCCCTCGGGGGTATCCTTGGTCTGCTCCTCCTTCACGTACAGGTCCTCGGTGTTCTCACGGACAATAACGAGATCAATGGGCTTGCCATTGCTGCTGCCGGCGGTGGTCTTGACGGGACGCACATTGGCGTACAGGTCGAGCTTCTTGCGCAGGGCAACAATGGGGGAAGAGTAGCCAGCGACCTTGGTGCTCGGGGAGCTAGAGGGATGAGTCATGGTCAGCAGTCCACTCACGCGCAATGGGTACATGCCCAAACTCCAGGGACATTGAAGTGAGCTTGTTTACCTGACAGCACCGAAGAGAGCACCATCACACTCCTTCTTGAGGGTGTCGACGGTCTTATCTGGCAGAGCGGAACCGGTGCGCTGGAAGGTATCGAAACCAGCCTCGAGGTCGACAAAGCTGAACTTCAGGCCCAGGGAAGAGGGGAGAGACTCCAGGACACGACGACCGGCCTATTTTCCAGCAATTGAGACTCTGGTCAGTAAATTGGTTCTGATTTGGTGCTCGTGCGAGAACGTACCGGGATCACCTCCCGTCCGATGCCGTCACCAGGGATGAGGCCTATGTGGGGTGCCGATTAGCTTCAATTCGACGCCAGACATAATTTCAAACACCAGGATAGGCCTTACCAATGCGAAGAGTGCGAGCAGCAGCAGCCATTGTGAATTATTCAGGGTTGCTTCCTGATTTCGAGGAATGGCCGTCATCGGAGCTTTGTCTTTTTGTATGCCGAGCCGGGTGATCATTGATCCCACTCCGGGGTCCGTACCTCGGGAGTATCCATAACGCCATCGGACAGTTGTACATATGGACTGTAGAGGTGTACTAGATGAAAATGTAATAACTATGGTTATTATTCGGGGTTTATATTCAGAAAATGCCGCTGGAAGGGAATTTCTTCCTCGTATTGCCATAAAGTCAATAAGAGACTCCAGTACTGAATTTGATGACAAGGCTCAAGCGCCGATCACTGCCTAAACAGGACTGATGTCGCGAGCTTAAGATCTAAGTTGATCTGCGCCACTTCTGTCCACACGTTGGAATTTAATCTTGCTCTCCTTTTCTTGTTGGCTAATCCATGTTCAGAGTATTTTATTTGCGATTGATCCAGAAATTCCCATGGTTCAAGCCAACTGGACTCAGAGATCGGTAGAGATCTCCCATTTTATCTATTTGGTTGCCGCCACTTTCATGAGGGCGCTCGGGCTCAGGCTCAGGCTCGCTTCCTTCACCTCGGACTGCATACTATACAACCCATGTTTCCAGAAGTGCAATCGCCTGTAAGGCTATGTTTTGGGATGTAAAGCGATGTTTGGCCAAGCTTAATACAGTGAAGGAGAAGGTCCTGGATTCAGGTTTTCCAACCGTACTTCCCTTAAAGTTCGAAGAGCCTCGTCTGGCACTTCCAGAAGCAGTTATTGTCAAACAAGAGAAAGTCAAGTGAGAAACTGAGTGTCGTGATGAGACCAATGTATACGAGAGGCTGGAAACTCTCCAAGGAACCGCGGGTGTAAATGTATCCGGCCAAACCATAAATTTAAAGGAAACAACTGTGCTTAATGGGAATGAACTCATGGAAGAAAGCAATACCTCTCAAGAACTAAAAGCTGATGCCTTTCCATGTGGATCTCCTCGCGGTTCCTGACCAATTTGGGTTAAGCGCGCATATTCACGAATGGGCCCGGGATACGATAGACAACCACGAGGAAATCGCTCGTAGAATATTTAAAGAGAAATTCTTTTTCAGTTTTCAAGCATTTCAAAACTATCTTCTTGTCTCGCTATTTCATTGATCTCGAAAACCTGCCTCTAAGCTATAACACTCAGTTTCCTAGCTGATATGGCTCTGTATATCTTGCCCCGGGCAACGGCCACTGTTTCCATCCCAAATGGATTGCACAAATTTGCAATTGCACAGGTCATTCTCTTTTCTATCATATACCTGATCCAGCTCCCCATGAGGTACAAGCAGGAGTGGAAATACTGGCACCATAACAAACGTCAACACCCGATCCGCTGTGCCCTTTACTCCAGCTGGTCTATGGTTGGCTTGCTGGCCATTAGTAAGTTGGGGAGAAGCTAGGATTATCACGTCTGCCACGAGAAGCTAAGTGATTATGTCTGCAGTTCGTATCGTCGGATCGGCTATGGTTCTTTCCAACAGTCACCCGGACGAGTCTATGCTCACAGCGGAGATATCCTTGCAAAGTGTGGGCCTTTCGCCTCTCATGTTCGAAGTCAGTCTAGTTCTCCTACGATGGTATGTGACTTGATCTACACAAGGCGAGAAGAAAAGAAAAGAGGAAAGCTGACAATCTCCTGTGGTAGTGGACAAGCTGAAGAGTTTGGTCCCGGACAATCGAAATACCCCAAGCCCTTGCGCTTCGCATTGCATGCGTTTCGCTTTCCCGTATTTGCTGCTATTGTCCTCGGAGTTGTGGGTAGGATTATTGAGATAAAATCACTTGGAGAAGCCGGATCAGTCATTCTGGTCGTGACTTTTGCGTTCGTGACTGGTCTTGTTACCTGGCTCGCGATGAAGTCCCACTCAACCCTTCCCGTGGAGGGTCATCGTGGTGTCCTGTTGGTCTTTCTCGCTCTTCCATTTTTGTGGGTACGGGTCATCTATTTCCTGTTGCAGGAGTATGGACCCGCGAATTTCAGTCTTGACTCGGGTGATGTGGGTGCCTTGGTGGGAATGGGATTGGTGATGGAGATCATCATTGTCTCTTTGCTCCTAACAGCCCGCGCAGTTGTAGAGCCGATTTGGTCAACTGATAGCAAGAGGCGCGGGGTAGCCGAGGGCTGTGAACAGGCTTGATTGAGAGATTTCACCATGGGCAGAAATTGGATCTGCTGTTGTAGTTGAAATAGCTTGGTGATTGAACTCTTCATTTTACTTTTTTGTTCGATGTTGCTGTCGTTATCTTTTGTTCTCCCAATCATGTAATTGGTTTGTAATTTTCTGGTTTAGCTGCGGCGTATATCTTTGAAAACTCTTGAAGGCGACTTAGAAGCCACGACCTTGTCAAATCGTCTGCAGTCTCAATCGCAACCCGCATAGGAAACCCAATTCGATAAGGGCCTAGTACACCAAAGGCAGTGTATTCAATCGACTTGCATATTTGGTCGCGAAAGTAAGAAACCATGGTCGCTTGGGGACCTGGGTGTTCAAATGCCCTTAAGGCTTCGTGAATAATGACCATGTAGGCATAGTAGCCACAATAAATTGATGCATCGATCAAATCCGCGTAGGTCAATATAATGGGGAAGAAATGGTCGCCCGTCATAGAGGGAGATTCAACCGGAGGAGAAGAGATTTGAGTCCACTCTTCGTACCAGGAAGCCATCTTGCTTTGCATGTCCAGTACTTGGATGAGAGCCTGAGAGATATTCTGTAGTACCTCAGGATCTGTGTAGTCCATTTCTCTCAGACGATAAAGATTGTGCACAATTCGTGGAGAATGAGTGAAGTGCGCAAAAAATTCCTCGATGCAGTTGTGATAATCTAAAGGCAACGTGGCCAGGTGTTGCTGCTTCATCATACGATGCCATTCATCAGAGGCCAAAAAGCAATCTTCGCCGGCGAACATCGAGTGCATGACCTGTTCAGTGGTCAGGACACGCGATTGAATCATGTAACCAGCGCTACGGCCCTGGCACCTACAGGGGGAAAGGTAGGAGAACATACTATCAGGCCACGTGCAGACTTCAACAAGGAGATATCAAGCTGGTTGCAGTAACGTTCCGGCCCTCGAGCCTTGACTAGTTGACCCAATCCCTTTGCGTGTTTCATCCAAGACTCCGGATCTTCAGTATCCGTAAAGAGCTGAACTGTCAGTATTTTACCAAAAACACAACCATGCTATAATCTTACCTCATACATGCACAGCAACACAACGGCGCAGAAGATATTGGAAGAAAGGGATTCTGAAGGGTTCATCAGAGCCTTGCGGAGCCAATGCAATGCTTCTCCATAAGCGAATCGAGCATAAATAACCATTTCCTGGTTCTGAAAGCCCCGGCCAAAATGATGCGCTACAAACGATTTGATTGTGGCATCCAAAGCTCGGCTCTGGCCATAAATGGACGGAAGGAATTCAAACCAGCCGGCCATCACATAGTTGGGAGCGTTCAAAACACGGGGTGACGAGAAATCCTCAATAAGAGCTCCCAGGCTCTGTAAGACATTCACATCAACTGAGACCAAAGTAGGCGGGATCTCTCTTTGGACCAACAATTGGGTGTCTGGTCTGGACTCCCTCATGGTGGGGCTTGAGCTAGATGAGCTTGGACTCGCATTGGGTCTCGCATCGTCAATGCCAGGGGGCCGCCGCCGAGTTCGGTAAGGCTTCCCAACGATAAATTTGAAGCCCTTGTCATACCCAGGACATGGTTGCCCATATGTCTCACACTTGGCACACCCTGGAACCCGCTCATCACACTGGCATTTGTTAGTCTTGATATCGGCCTCCTCGTGAACACACATACTTTGACCCGGCGCTTTACACAAAGGCGACAGCCACTGCTACGAGGCACGCCGACCATCTTTGGTCATCTCGAATTATGAATCTGAAGTAAAGGAGTTTCCCATGCTCTCGTATTGCCCCCACCTGCTGATGTAATCCCGGGGATTAGTTGAGCCGGCCCGTACCGACTAAGATCATTCAAGTCGGCCGGGGTCTCACAGTAATTTGGTCTCATTGGATCTCTAGGGTGAGATGTATTGATTTTGCTTTACATTTTGACGCGCGGGGGTGGAATGCCACTATGTGCCATGTGCTGAGCCCCTCAAAATGGCTGCAGGCTACCGAAATGTCATACATACCGGTTCCCCACTGTTTACTTAGCACTAAGAAGAAGCTACTGGATGTGGGGAGACATTGGCTAACACCTGTCCTCTAGAAACTATGTAAGTGGATTTCGTACGTTTCCAGGAATATTCTAGAACAATGGAATGTCATGAGGTTTCTGTACACACTCCATGGATTGTATTCTGGATCAACCCGAGCCATGGATGTCACTTAAGCTATGAACCTTGGAAAGGCTGGATCGCCGATCGGTGTTTACCTTCTGCCTGAGGCCAACTTTGACGGCTTTTTTTTCCCTTTTGGCTGCTGTAAGGAGTTATAGAATAAAAGACGTGTCTATTACCAAACTGAATTGGTATTGGTCTCCCCATAGCAGACAATGGAGTCATATACCGAGGCAATCCGCACGAATTAAGGAGACCGGAGATGAGCAGGAATGAATAAAGGAGAAATGCATGAGATCATGTCACAGACAGATGATCTGAAACATAGGTTTGACGTGGAATAACCATACAGATTACATAGTACAGTAAAAATGCCCCTGAAAGAACCCCCCAAAAAATAGGAGAGGAGTGTATAGGGACTGTAAGGCGCAGAGATGTTTCACCCTATTGGATACGCTAATCAGTCACTAGTGCATTAGCTTTCCCTGATCGACCCTTCTTCACATCTTCTCCCCTTCCATTGACTCCTTAGAAAACCACCGTGTCCATTGAGATTTGTCTACCCCAGGAGGGGGGCTCGTACGGCCTATATCCAGTCACTCTCCCTGCTTCTCCCCACGCGTCCCGCTGCGCTTCTGACGCGTTCCTCCGCCCCTCGATTGCGCCTATGCCCCCTGACTACTTGCCCTACCTCAGAATGTCGGATAACAACGCCCATCCCGGGGTTCGCAGCCTGCTGGCCAAGTTTGAGAACAGCCCGAGCTCTGTCACGTCGCCGCCTTCGCGTGGAAGATCACCCGTTAGCTCCGATACCCCCGGATCGTCCCGCCAGCTTTCGAAAGTCCGCGCCAGCTTCGTGACAGTTGACGGTGTGGTTCAATCAAACCCAGGCTCGCCACTACGAAAGACAAGTGGACGGAGTGATAGCTCAGGAATGTTCGGACCAAAGATTAATGAGCAGGAGGTGGAGGCACGCCGGCAAAGCGTGGCATCCCCCACACCTGGCAGTCTAAATGATGGTCAGAAAGGTGTGCTTGATCAATTGGTCAGCCCCATCATGCCAGACCCAACCTTGGTTGGGACAGCACAGTCAAAGACTGTACCTGCTGTCGACAATAAGGCTCCCGCAAAGGAGCCATTGCCCGTGAAGACAGAGATGAGTGCCGCCGCACCTGCCTCAACATCTGCACCCACAGTCGCACCTGCCAGTGGAACTTCGGAACAACCAGCTCAAAAGATAGTCACAAAACGTCCGTCGACTATCGGTGCCACACGAAACAGCGCCCCAGCTACTAAGCCTACATCTTCCGTGGCCTCAACGGCCAAACAGCCTGCCAACACCACAACAAAACCCGCAACCTCCCGGGAAATCGCAAAGGAACGTGCCAATACCCTTGCTAATAAACCGAGCCGGGCTTCCTTGAACCCTGCAGCGAAGCCCTTGTCTCGAACCGTTCGGGGCTCAACACCATCACAGGAGCCTTTGAGAACATCTCCCCCGAACAGCGCCAAGTCTCGTACACGATCGCCCACTAGGCCCGTTCGCCTGCCAGCTTCCATGACTGCTCCAACGCAAGCATCTGCTGCGAGGCTGGGTAGTGCGGCCCCTCCTACTGGGCGAACCACCAATACCGCCTCAACACTCACGAGGAAGCCATCTTCTCTCAAGAGTGCTGCTGGAGCAGGCCAGACACGGCCTACTGCGGGCACCACAGCCGGTGTGCGCAGGCAACCATCTCGATCCTCTCTTCCCCCTCAGCCTGCCCAAGAGAGGCCTAGCTCGCGTACCAGTGATGCCGGCCCCAAGCCAGCCAATGAAGGATTCCTGGCTAGAATGATGCGCCCAACGGCCAGTTCAGCCAGTAAGACCCATGATCGAACTGAACCTAAAGCTCCCCAGAAGAGCACCACAACCAAGCCTCCACGAGCATCGATGGGACGGGCGCCTGAGCGCAGTGCGCAACAGCCCAAGGCCAAACCTGCGGCTCTCCGTCCCCAGACTGAAAAGTCCCAGGTAGCCAACAAGGAACCTCTTCCGAAGAAAGAGAAGGAGGAAGTCAAGATCCCTCAGCTTGCGCCAGAAAGTGAAAAGGAGAATGTCGAAGAATCCACTCCTGTAATTCCGGAGGAGCCCGAGGTCATGGAATCCAGGGACGCTGGTATCGAATCCCCCAAAGTTGAGGCCACAGCCACCGCAACTCAGGATCGCAAGTTTGCCGAAGAATCCAAGCAAAATGTTGACTCTGAGCCCATTGTGGAACCTGTCAGCGAGCCAATTGAACCCACCACTGTGGAGTCTTCCACAGAGACTCCCCTTGAGCATGCCCTTGAGATAGATGCCAAGGAAGCTATAGAGACTCCCATTGAGGCTCCTGCCGAGGTTGAGTCAAAGGATGCCCAAGCGCCGGTGCAGGTTAGTGTTGAAGAACCTGCTGAGGTGCAAACGGAGTCTCCTGCCCCCGTCTTCCAGACTCCTGCCGATTCCACCCCTGCAACTGAGCTTGCTGCCGTTGAAGAGGATATCGCCCCTGAAGTCTCCAAGGCAGCTGAAAACCCCGCCGATGTCTCCAACGATAAGGCCATTGGACCTGCTGAAGATGTCACCGTCGCTGAGCCTTCCACCAAGTCGGAGGATGGGCCTACCGTTTCTGCTGAAAAGCCTGCGGCCGAGGCCAAGCAGAATGTTGATGACATCGACTTGGTCAGCCTTGCACTCAACTAAATTGCATTCATCTTACCTACTCATCATATTCATTCTTACATTCTGGGATACCATTATAACCTTCTGTGCTAATAATACCTTTGACTATTCTACCACCAGGACACTTGGCTCGATCTTCTCCCTTGGTCATTTCTTCCCACATTGTCGTCGAGTTCTTTTCTTTTCCTCACAGACGGCCCCTTGTTTCTGTCAGACTTTCACGATGGCATCTAGATAATTTTCTGATGTCCTCAGGTGTCTCGTGTGGCTGCATTTTCTTGAACTCTGATATCGAGGGCATACTGTTTTATTAAGCGATTGATTGCATTCTTCGGGTTGAGCATATTGTATTTCTCTGTCATTTATTAGGAAAGCGTGATTGGCTTTTTTGTTTTCTGGTTAAGGTCAATGTTACTCTTTCAAAGCTATTTCCTCTTTACTTTGGGTCATTCGACCTGGATTTGCTGGGGATTGATGGCTTTCATAGTGAGACATTGATTCATGAATTGTATGAGCTGTCCAGCAACTCAGCCGCTAAGATACCAGACCATGTGCAAGAAAGGATAAATTGAGAGAAACAGGATCACTGAGAAGCAACAGAAGCGAAGTGCCAAAAAAAAAAAAAAAAAAAAAAAAAAAAAAACCACCTAGCCTAGTTTCTTCTCAAGTCTCTTCAAGAACCGATTCACTCCACCCTCCATCTTATGCGCCTTATCCTCTATTTTATGTGGTCGCTCCCCAGGTGCCTTCATCGCCTTGTGAGCATGCTTCTGCGCATGCGAACGCACCTCTTCCTGCGTAGGCCTGTAAACCTGACTATGGATATCATACTCTGAACCACTCCGTTGCACAGGCTGCGGCTGCGACTGATCATACGAATAATTCGAGAACCCAACCGGAGGCTGATGCGCCTGTTGAGGCGGGGATTGTTGCGGCATATTATACATCTGCTGGCCAAACAGGTGAGCATTAGGATCCTGCGGCGGCGGTGCAAAGGACAGGCCACCGGCTCCAGGGAATTGTTGGCCATTCATGAAGGATTGCTGGTATGACGGGAGCACAGGACTCTGGAGCGCAGAACTACTTCCAGGACCGGCGATTGGTGTGCTTGAGTGAGCCAGGCCTGCGCTTGGGGGAGGAGATGCATAACCCGTTGTGTTGTATTGCATGCCTAATGCTGAGCTTGGTGGTGGTGCAAATGAGCTTATCCCAACGCTGTTGCCCCTTTGGTGTGGTGGTGTGTATGGGACACCTGCATCCGCAGCCGCTGCTGCTGCGAGACCTGTGCCATCTTCTGGGGGCGGAGGTGTTTTCTCACGATGCTTGATTGGTTCTGGGGCAGCGGGCGCGGCTGGGTTGTAGGGAAGTGGTGCAGGTGCTACATTCTCGGGCTCTTGTCTTTCTTCTGGGGTGATCGGGGAGACTGGGGAATCGCGTTCCTGAGAAAATGATGGGTGTTGAGCATGAGATTGGGGCTGTTCGGCTGATGGGCCACTTGGAGGGGGTGGAGGGAAACTGAGGGATGCCGGGGCAGCCTGTGCAGTCGGTACTGCTACGGATGGTGGGCTGAATCGTGAGTCGGGTGTTTGGCCATTCTGATATGCGGGGTCTGAGACAGCCACGTTCTCAAGCTGCTGGACCACGGAGCTTAGTGGCTGATCTGACTGCTCGGCTGCGCTGTCCCGGTCTGTTTCTACTTGGGCATTTGCCAGAACAAGGCTCACTGAGTTCAGAAATTGGTTGGCGTCGTCCAAGGTCCAGAAGTAGATGTCTAGCGTGTTGAGACGAATCAAGTCATTTTGCCCGTCGGTACTTGGGAGTCGCCAGTCATACTGGGATGCTTCTTGCTGGGGTGCACCGGTGTATCCGTCTACTGTCACGGTGCATAAAGTCGGAAATTGGGCAGAGTGTGATATGTGGACATTATCCAATGTGCCTTGGAACGCATCTTGGTCTGGTGTTCCCGGATTATTGGCGATTTCGATCCGTGACTTGTTTTGCGAGACATCTTGGTAGACATATAGATAGGAGCCTTTTTCGAATCGATGATAGAGAGGCTTGGGGGTCGGTGTAGTGAAATAGTAATGAATATCGGCCAGTCTATCGCATTGCAGAGCGTTAGAACCGGTTCAAACTGCTTCCGAACTATGTCGATCTGTGGGTATGATCTGCGAGAAAGTGTCATCGAACTCACACGTTTACCAATATCTCCTCGCCTGGTCGTGGAGGCATGGTTGCGTTAAATTGAAAATGCAGAATGAGAGAGCAGGGAAGGTGTACGAGGGAAGCAAAAGAACAGAGTGACTTACGAGAGAGAAAGCTCAATTAATAGCGCCTGCATAGAGGGGTATGACTTGAGCCTGTGAGACGCGGCCTCGAGCCGCCCTGTTTGGCTGGGCGCTTATAGTTAGCGTGATGTGATGGGTCACTAGTACTTGGCTATCACATCTACTAACTATGAGTGGGGCAAGTAATTGGTACCTGGCAACTGTTCAATAATGGGAGTTGCCGACCGGAAGTACTCTTTCTCCGAAAATTTCCATCGCAATCAACTCAAACATCGCGAACGCCGGACAGAGTTGACCTCGCGTTCATTGAGTTCCTCCAGCCCAGACATTGAGGTGGTTTTTGAATTGCTTCTAATACCTTTCATCTTCGGCACGTCTTCACCACCTTCTCACGAGCCATACCATCCGGGAACTGCCATTTGCACCCTCCGCACTTTTCCTCCTTCCTCCGTCCAACGAGCTCCGCAAATTCACTTATTGCGCCAACAATCAAAATGTCTCTCGTCAACCTTGCCGCTGTGTGCTCCCACCTGAACAATGCCACCAAGGCCCGCCTGGGTCTTACCTCCATCCCCAACAGCAATCTTCACCTGAAGCTCTGCCAGGCCCTGCAGAACTCGGGCTACATCTCCTCCGTTGTCCGCGGAGGCCCGACTCCTCCCCCCGACACACCCTATTCTAGGTTTCCCAACGGCCAGCGATGAAATTGAGGGCGTGGAGGCCATCACTCGCGATAACGTTGCGTCGAGACGTCTCTGGTTGGGTCTGAAGTACTGGCAGAATGAGTCCGTCCTTGGAAAGATCAGCATGGTCAGCAAGCCTAAGCGACGGATCACTCTCGACGTTGAGTCCTTGCGACGAATTGTCCGCGGTGATGAAGCTCACCATGTTGCTGGTCTGCGGTCGCCTGGTGAGAGTCTCTACCTCTCCACAGATAAGGGTATTATGGAGGCTCGCGAGTGTGTGGAGAAGAAGATGGGAGGCTTGGTCCTTTGTCGCGTGCTATAGATCCATCCGAAGCTTCAATCGGTTGATGGATCCGTCTTCTCTAGGCGGGAGAGTGTGTACTAGGATACCTTGGTCTTGTCTTTCTTTTTGCATTTACTCTGGAGTTTGTTTGGTTCGTCGCAGCGGAGTCTCCTTTAAGACTCGTTCCTTTCGCGTCTTTCGCGACTGTTGGTTAATTGGCCTCGGTCGAGGATCTGTATATTAGATGTTTGCGTGTATCGCATTTCTTGTGTTCTGCTCAGGGTGGTCGTTGATCATCTGAGCAACACCGTGTATAGATAACGACTTGAAAAAACATGTCCAGATCTTCTTCACTCTTTCAGTTAAGTTCTTAAGGCAATTGAAATGTGCACTTCGTTTCATTCAGTGATGTGACGCCTACATGATCGAATCACACGTGGTTGATCCCTCTTGGATACTAATCACATTTGTGTCGGTAACCCAAACATTGCACTCTCAACCTCATTATGGACCCCAACGATCTGAAGGATAAATTGGTATCGAAAAAAGTTCTCATCTCTGGGGGCACAGGGTTTGTTGGTTCCGCCACTGTGCGCGCCCTGGCAGAAAAGCATCCCTGTTGCGCCATTACCGTCATCGACCGCAGCCCCCCACGTCCCCAATATGCACTACCAGAGGGGATTACATGCATGCAAGTCGATGTGTCCTCTGCGGCCGATGTTTCCAAGGCATTCGAGGCGGTTAAACCGGATGTGGTGATCCACACGGCTGGAGTCATCCCAGCGCTGGCTGACCGATTCGGTCGGAGGTTGGAGAAGGAGGTGTGGAAGGTCAATGTCGTTGGTACCCAGAATATGCTGGATGCAGCCACAGAAAATGGGCCGTTGCATTCATCTATACCAGTAGCTGCTGTGTGGTGACGGACGACATGCGATCATCCTATGCTATCATTGACGAGCGGTGGCCCACATCGTCAAGGTCTCTCATCTATGGCGAATCCAAGGTTGTTCATCCGGCCCTGATTGCCATAATGTCTTTATTCTGGATGAAAGGGAAGGGGGACTGACCAGGACTAGGCTACTGCGGAGGCTCTTGTTCTCCAGGCATCAAACGACAGAATGGCTACCTGTGCTCTACGCCCCTCTGTCCTCTGCGGTCCAGGAGACTATCAGTTGGTGCCAGCCATTCATGCATGCATTGCCAAGTCCGAAACTCCGTTTATTATTGGCACTGGAGACAATCTATAGGATGTCACTCATGTGAGCAACGTCGCCGATTCGCACGTCCTAGCTGTGGAGACCTTGATGGCTTTTCGTACAGCGGCCGGAGAGGCGTTCTTTATCCAAACAATGAACCCATCACTTTTCGGGATTTTTGCCTGGCGGTATGGGCGCATTTCGGGCACATCCCGCCCTTCGAGATCCAAATTCCGATGTGGCTAGCGTACTTTGCAGGGTTGGTGTGTGAAATTATCACCTGGGTGACTGGGACCACCACCACCCTGAGCCGGGGGAGTGTGCGGGATGCATGTGCTATACGGTATGCTAGCGGCGATAAGGCTAGGGAGATATTGGGGTACGAGGCTCGCATTGGCATGGAGGATGCCATTCGTGTGAGTTGTGAGGTAAGCCGAGATTACATCGTACCAGATGGAATCGTCTAAAAGGTAAATTCAGTGACTTACCTCGGATCTGCAGGACTATGCTCGCCGTATCGGAGTTCAAATTCCCATTCAAGATCGATCAGGGAAATTGGACCCCAATCCATGAACATCGACATTAACTTTCTGCGCAATCAGGAATGGATACCCTGGCAATTAAAACCAGATCATTATGGAAGCCATCGACTTCAGAGGCGCTCCTTAGCTCTATCCTAAATGAATTGCCACTTGATGGGGTTAAATGATCCGATACAATTCATTATGGGGAAAGCCGGTTATGTCAAGTAGGATCTATGGGCAATGTAAGACATTGGGCTGTTCATTGGGCTGCGAAGGCCCCTAAAGCGGGTTATACTTCGAGCGGATCACGGCCGAAGTAATCAAATTGAACCCAAAAAAAAGAACGCATGTTGATCGCGATCCACTAGAGATAAATAAAAACCTGGTCCATGCGTTGATTGGGCAACAAGACTCTTGCCGGCCCAATAATCACACGATGTGCAGTCCCCGGGTCAAATCGAAGCTCATCGAAGTTGAACTAGAAAACATGTCCTTGATGGACGTCACGGGAGTGCCATATGCTCCGCCTCCACCGTCAGGCTCCTTCATCTTGTTCTTGCAGATCATCTCCCGGCGCCTTTCACGTCGTCATTTAACCACTAGAAATGAGAGCCTGGGCCGGATTCATGCCGTCCTGCCCAACATGCTGCCCAAAGAAGTTGCCCCAGCTCAATCGTCGCACCCAGGTGAAGTACTGCGGCCTGCTGTTGGTCCCGCTACCTTCAAACCTGTGAAGATCTGAGCTGTGGATTTCCAAAACCATCCCCATCCCGGTGTGGATACGAATCCCCCCAACCATTCTAGAGCCGCTTCGTAACGCCCCCGTCAAATCAGTGCGCCTTGCGCACCGGTATCGACTGCGATCGATCGACATTCCTTTATGGAAAGACACCGGAGTGGCACAGGGGTACCGGGGTTGTTCCCTGTCAATGCTATGCAATTGGTCTCTGTCGAATAACACCACCTTGGTCATTGGTGCATTGATTCTCATGCTAATTTCTCCACCATGCTTCTCGCGCGGCTCTCCATCCACTTGTGGGTGTGTAGAAGCACGGTCCAGCAGTAGGCGTCAGGCACACCTACCAGAAAGATCCGACCCAGGTCTGCTGGACATATAATACTCGGTATTTGGCCACCCTGCGCTTCTTCACACCCAAGGATTCGTCAACCCTTTTTATTTTCTTTTGCAACTTATTATACGCATTTCACTTTCCTCTTCCATTGCAAAAAGATTCGGACTATTCAGTCATTGTTCATTCCCGTTTTCTCTTGATTTTGTCTCGATGGTTCCAACCTTTGCTCCCTCATTGACGGCTGCTCCAGTAAGCTTCCAGCCACTATCTGCGACACCAGCAAACATTCGGTCTCGAGCGGGTTCGGTTAGCAGTAAACTGGACTTTCTGTCTCGCCCTAGGTCAGCAAAAACAAATACTCTCTTGCCTCATCCCATCGCTCCTTCCGTATGGTTTTTGGAGGGAATAATTGGCTCACATCTCAGCAGCAACACCATGGCTCAGAACTCTATGTACGGACCTCCGGGAAACCCTCCCATCATTCATGCTCGGCAAAGGTACTTCTATACCATGTATAGTGGTCTTTCCATTCCCCACACCTGGCATTTTAATGGCCTTTCTTACTCTTGCTGAGCGGTAAAAGGGCACCATCGACACCTCGACCATACGGCACCAGGGACAACCGTCCACTCATGGTAGACTTTGAACAATCACGCCCTTACTACCCAGGAACCCCAACCCCTATGGAAAACTACGGCCAGATGATGAATCAACCCATTGGACGCCTGTCTTATCCACCAGGGCACCCCATGCCTCCGGTCCCTGTATACCCAGAATGGAATCATCCTGTCCACGAGCCGCTGCGACAGGATGTTGGACCCCTGAGTGCCCCGGAAAGCCCAACTTATATTGTGGAAAGAGCCAACCGGCGAGGTGCAGATGCAAACCGCGGAAGCTCCCAGTACATTTCCCAGAGACGATCCTCCATCCGGGGTGATGAATTCGATGGCCCCCATCAAATCCTGGACCCGCCTTCGTCTCGAAATGTGCCCACTCGAGAGGAAGAGCTGCCCCAGCTGCCCACTAACCTAGATGCTGCTGAACAGGACAAGATCCTGCATGAAGTCAATGACCGTCTTTCTCTGTCAGCCTATGAGTTTTTTGCAAGATACCAATTCCCCATTCCCCTGGAAACGGACAAGAGGCCTGTCCAAGTTCCTTCAGACCGGGAGTGGAATGAATGGGTGCATCTTTTGAAAAGACTTGCTACTAGACGTCGTATCCCCCGACACACTCTGCACAACGGCCAAATCAAACAGCTCATCACTGTTCTTGAAAACTCCCTGGAGATGCGTCATGCTGCCAAGCATAGCTCAAGACCCGTCAAGGATGACCGTAATGTGCTTCAGCTCATCTCCGCGGGAACGCAGGTTGCGAAAATCCTCAAGGATTCCAGCGCCATGCAGTTCTTCGATCGTCTTTATGTGGACACGGAGAAGATGATTCATGACCGACGCCGCCGCGTCAGATTTGCTAGCCCTTGAACCCCTGGAAGTATGGCCATATCTTAATCACCCTGGTTACCCTTATGCCCATGGAATTTTACTTCCGTGGATTACATTTTCCCTGGACTGTCATGCTTCTGTTATTTATTTTCTCCGTGGATTGCTTCAATTGCCCTTTGAAGACCACAAGTATCGACTCCATGTCAAGGCTCTAGGATTTCCTGCTGGGTCAGGATTCGTTTCATGTTCGGGGATATACCCCCTGTTTGCGGAAATGGAACCACGCCGGCCGAGCGAATACATTAACTACGCCCACGACGGAAACCACTCTGCGCTACCTACCCCATTTGCGCACCACACACCTATGTCCGGAGCATCTGCAAATGATGGAGCTGGCACAAGCTCTCAATCACTTGACAGTCAAGAGGAGGAAGGTCAGAATCTATTCTCAACTTATTTGTTCGGTTGGTCGATCTTTTTCACTTTGGGAACTTTTGTTTACGGCGTTTGTTTTGACGATGATGTTCAAGGTCTTTGTCTCATTTTCGGGCTGGCTGTCTCGTATATATTGAGTTTATGTGTTCATGTGTTTATGCTTTGATGTCTTTGATGTATTACACCCCAACGCCAGGGGCAGATTGGATGCCGAAAATGACGATTCTTGACGCCACTTTAGGCGTCGTTTTTGCCTGGCTTCCTAGTCATCGATAGAGATGTGATGATCTTCACTCACATTCTCAATACGCTTGGCGTAGTGCGTATGTATCAGGATTAACAACGAATGAAGCCAAACAGCCAGGGTTTCGGTGTTCCAACCCAAGCTTCCCTTGGACAGACCCTTGATAACCCTTTGTCCATGACTTGAACTCACTTGGCGACTGAAATAATTTTCCTCCGTTTAGAAACAATTTTGCAGACACCATAGGTCCGCAGAAGTTGATCTCAGAGCTATTGTGCCTCATTTTCCAAGCCATACGTTTTGATCTTCAACTATGCTGTTTCTCGTTACATTCCATGCCCCAATATCTAACAGATAGTCGTACGGCTACCGACTTCAGGTGATGTGATAAACATTCGCACGGTGTCTTAAGTCGTTCAACGCTCTCGCTACACTAGTGTTATGTCGATCGGTTATACTGCGCACATCAATGATCACTGGTCAAAGCTGGGATGTGCTCTCTAGCGATATAGTAATTCCAGATGAAGCGGTTTGTTGTATCACTCAGCCTCTTCAACCGACTTCTGGATTGTCGGAACGAGAAGTTGAGGGCCTTTGTCCGTGACCTTGCGATCGAAGCTGCAGGAGACATGGAAAGGGCCGAAGGACTGTAGCAGCCCGAAAGCCCATTAACCAGCTTGGTAAAGAATACACCCGACTTGTAGAATCTTTAATATGATATCTCTCTCTCTCTCTCTCTCTCTCTCTTTTTCTCTATTGAACTGCTTTGCATTAGTTTCGAAATTGGTTAAACCTCTACGCTTCCATAGCTTATCTCCCGGCACGTACCACTGTGTGATTTTGCTTTGAATGGCTCTCCTTAGTCTGATGGCTCTGTTGCAAGATTAGGTCCCGTGCGCAAGCAAGCCCTGCTAATTAGGTGTTACAGCAAATTGAATAAACAACCCTCCAGTAGAACTCCAGCACTTGCCTGTTTGGGCGGTCAAGGTAACATGTTGTCTTTCTGCCAAATCTAAATATGGCGGAGAGAAAATGTCCCGACACACAAATAGTTTAATATTTTGCCCATCAAAAAAAGCGCCAAAGCAACCACCTTTTCGGACCCAAAAAGAGAAAAAAAAGATGTGACCAGACTGGGGCTCGATCCCAGGACCTTATCGGTGTTAACGATACGTGATAACCAACTACACCATCCGGCCAATCGATATATAGACGTGGAGATTATGCCAATATGAGCCAAAACTTCGTCTGCTATCCACAATGTGGAGCCGAATACTACCGAACCCGTAAATGGTTTAGTCTAGAGGCTCTGTGGACTCTAGACGAGTATTCGCTTGCACGTATTGATTCCAACAGTTGAATCTAACATTTCTGCAATTAGAATAGAAAGCATTATTATGATCGTGTAGCCAGTTGACTACTTTTGTACCATCGTCTTACTACTACATATCGATACCGATGCGTCTATCTTACCTGAATGTATACCTATTCGTTATATATATATTCCGTTAAAAATTTACAGTTTTTGAGACTAGTTTCACTTGAACTCCATATATAATGGCCGCCATAACCATTATTATTTCTAGAGTGTTTCAAACATTTGAAGGCTGCACAAACTGGTTCATAGAACCAGCGTCTGATGAGTGTAATGATGATGCTTTGACGTTTTTACTACGCCTATTTTGCATGTTGAGATAATTTGTCGACTTGTAGGAGCTGGTTGCTTTGCTCTTGGTTCTCTGCTTATGCCATGTATAGAGGGGCATACCCCCCGGGATGCATGCAGCAATGATGCCACTCGACAGTTCCAGAATGGCCACCACAGTAACACCAGTCATGTTATCTGTCCAGAAGTTTGCATGGTCAGCCAACACGTACATGGAGAAAGGTCATCAGATATTCAAATTGCATGTACTTACATGTCATATCTGACGAGGTTAATTCAGTCTGAAAGTCATTTCGCAAAGCATTCGAGATTGTTGCGACAAGACCCAGACCCATCAAGCAACATATCATGAAACATTTGCAAGGTACGTATTGCATGTGCATCACGAAGTGCGAGGATCAGCAGTCTGGTTAGCACATCTGGATGGATAGATGGGAACGGTCTGTGAATAAGGGGCTGATTTGTATAAATATATACCATTTCCTCATTATCTAACCCTCTGGACCCGTGGAAGTCTTCTGCCGTGATCAAGATAATTGAATATTTTTTTTTTTTTTTTTTTTTTTGAATATTTGAATATTCTCTATCGGTTTGCCGCCAACAATGCCGACAAGTGAATATTTTGCTCAAGTGCCTCCTTTCCCTTCGGATGTGCATATCGTACCGTTGCCCAAGGTGTCGCTTCAAAACCTTGAGAATCAAAGAGTGGAGGAGAGCCAACTCTTGTTTGAAGCCTCTCAAAATTGGGGGTTCTTCTTGCTAGATCTGCAACAGTCAGAGATGGGCGAAGAGCTCCTAGGGGTTGCGGAAAAGATATTCGATCTGACAACAGAAAATTTTAATCTCGACCAGTCCGTCCTTGACAGCTACGCCTATAAACCACCTCATACCTGACTGGGTAAGATGGATTTTCTTCTAATGAGTGATTGATAGGCTGATGATGAGTCTCTAATGTCAAAGCTATAAGAGCAAAGGTAAGCTCAAGACAGATGATGGTAAGATGGATCGCATGGATCTTTATTCAATCAGCCAAGATGACATTCTTGGTAACCGTCCACCACGCAAGAACGCCGATTCTATTGAAGCCAAGCGAGCGGAACTAGGGCAATTCATGAGGACTTCCCATTCTGTGATAAGTAATATACCCCACGAATTGAATCCAAAGCTCAGTGGATTCTCACACGCATATTACGGTAGATGCAGTCTTATCGAGGCTTGATCATCAGCTTGGACTGGAACCCGGAACTCTCGGTGCACCCAGTCCACTGGATCAAATATCCGAGACATCAGTCCGGTTATTATTGGACCAGTCTCAATCCACACCCGAATATGATAGCATCACCCTTGGTGGACACACTGACATCGGGACCATCACACTGCTGTTCAATGTGGTAGGCGGATTACAAATACTTCCAGCAGGCAAAGAAAACATCCGAGAAAATTGGTTATATATCAAGCCGGAACCGGGTCATGCGTTGGTCAACATTGGCGATACTTTAGTCGAGCGGACAGGAGGGGTTCTTAGGAGTTCATTGCATCGAGTTTTAACGGCTCCGGGAGAACAGGCGCTGATAGGCCGCCAAAGTGTGGCGTACTTGGTGCGCGCATACAACAGCGCCTCCATGCAGAGATTGAAGGGGGGGATCATTCCACCAGTGGAGAATGAGGATGAGGAGACCCGCTCAGTCGATGAATGGGCTGCATGGCGTACAAAGCAAATCATTCTTGGTCAACTGAAGCCACAAACTAGGGGTGGAAAACCGATGGGCAAGGTGTAGAGAGGCTGGACTCATTCGCTGGCTACGCGGCTGGCGTCGATACCCAGAATTACGCGGTATCTAGACACATCTCATTGGCATTTGCGCCCCTTTACTTTGGTCTGTACTTCGGTCACTACTATACGTCCCATATTCCGTCTACCAGATGGAGCTTTCCTATTCGAAATGCCGGTGTTTTAATAAGGGCGCTGAGAGTCAGGCTCACAAAGTAAACTTTAGTTCAGCCCTGACGGGAGGAAGTTCTGCTGGTTATCTGCTGGTTACTAAAGGATTTAGATCAAGCATATCCACCAGATTGGTACCTGATCTCGAGGTCTTCAAACATCATCGAGCACAATCCCCAGGTTGCGCTCTCTAGTGATCATTTCTCAACCAGGTCCTCGGCTTTCTGGCTGAGATTATTCAGAGGTCGTCTGGCCAGATTGACTCGTTTAAGAGTCGCTATCAACCAGCCAGATGCCTTGTCATTCAGCACCACGACAGAAGATACTCGTGGAGCAAAGGAAGCGGCGAATGATAGTAGTATGAGTGGATACTGTCCTTGATAGGTTTAGAAAAACACTATTATTCAAATACTGCGCATTCTTTCGCCCCCCGTGAGGCCCGTGAGGGCTTATATAGGAATATACTCTTTCGCAACATTTGAAAATGATACTGTAAATAATTCAAGACATAAAGCCAAATATCATGGGATCATGAAAATTATGAGAGTGATATATGATCGAGCCCGAATATTTAAATGAAGCTTATAAGTAGATATAACTAGTATGGTCGGGTTAAGTCCTCTGCCTTTTAAGGTTATATCGATCGCCTTTTAATTCGCGCTCTTATTGAGCTACCTAACTAACCTACTTTTCATCTAATACGATATACTATTCTTTAGTTCCCTATTCGATATTTATATAGCTATAAGCAGCTATTCAGCATACATGATACGATCAGTAATTTTAACATCGTTAGTGGGGTCTAGCGTTGGGTAGGGCTGGGAAGCCATGATTCTGTGAATGCCACGATTTTCAAACCAAGTCCCACGCACACCATGGCCTTTCCACTACGGACCATGGGTTATCATATCGTTGGTACCCTTGCGAATTACGAGATTGGGTTTAGCGGCTGATTATTATTGCCGCCAAGTCTACGCTTTTATGTAGGCATACTTATAAATTATTGCTGAACATCCATACATCAATTGGCCGGATGGTGTAGTTGGTTATCACGTATCGTTAACACCGATAAGGTCCTGGGATCGAGCCCCAGTCTGGTCAAAACTTTTTTTATCATTATTTTGGTCCCATTTTGGTCCCATTCCACACAGCATAGTGGTAGATTTTTTTTGGTGGGGCAGACAGAATCCTATTGGTGGATATCGATCAACATCGCGCTACAGTACCCAAGATGTGGACCAAGCACCGAATGCCTCATTTTCACGACCCGATGTTGCGTGGAAAAGACATTAATTCTCGAGGTCATGTGCTGCAATTTTACTAGAATAATATTCTGAGCTTTATGCCATGAGAAATCCAGTCATTCTGCAGTATCAATTCAAGACCTCAATGTTAGTACAAACCAGGCTCTGTTACGTATTATAGATGTTGACTTACATCGAACTTCCCAACATCGCCTAGATGTCTTACTCCATAAGAAGTCCTTTTAAGGCATTACATTCTCATACTAACCAAGCAAATTGCTTGGAGCATTGCCAATTTCACGTGGTATCGCATGAATTCTAGCTTCACCCGCAGCGATAGTAAATCCTCTAAGCTTTTTTGCCATCAAGATCAACTATCACATATGCATGCGGTAGATGGTACCCATAAATCATCCTGGTTTGCTCAGGTTTTCCTCTTTCAGCAGACTATTCCCGGTTTCCAGGTCTCTAATACTTTGTAGAGGATATACATGGCTAAGCTAACGACTAAGTCATGTAATGGAACTACCAGAGTGAAAGGTTTGTGTTCCACCCAGCATCTTTCACATGAACTATTTTCTCTTCCTTATTCCCAATTCATGTCACATCTTAATTTTGTGAAGATAAATTTCCAAGATGCCTCGCCGATCAATCCTTCATAGGAACCAATTTCCTCATCGGAGGGCTTTGTCATAGTGTGTCTTTTTCTTATCCATCGATTTTCTCTCCACTGATAGGTTTTACCAGAGAGTTGTATCACTCGGACATATTTTTGGGGTACTGATAAACCGGTAAATCATTCGCCAGTCCTGCTCACCTATCAAGTCACTGTGCTCTGTTTCGCGGGTTGATTGAGCATCCAGTAATAGGGAATGAATGAGCCCACGGTCTTCACATGGTAAGCACCTAGAGTTACAAAACGTTTGGTATTCAAAGACCTCTGCCATTGATCTGACAATACATTATTTAGTCAAAAGTGTTTCCCCAAATCAGTTTTCCGGCCTACCCCTTTATGCTAACATATCAATTTTAAGGTATAGTATTACTCACCATAATCCTGCTACATACCCCTTAACGTATAAAATGAATAATTTCATATCGTCCTATATGAATAAGCTCTAGATAAAAAACTAAAAAGCCCTTATTTTAACAACACGTAGATAATGTTAAAGGGGTTTAAAAGCTCAGTGAATGCCTCTGCGGGTCCTCCACATTTACACATCAACTTTTAAACTGCTCTATTATGATCAAAGCTACATAAATCTTCGAATATCTTCTAAAAATACTTTTCTATGGTCATGGATCAAATTAAGTCTTTTTTGAAGCGAGCCCTTCCAATACTGAGTAGTACATGTCTTCCCAAAAGTTGGTGTTGGGGTGACCCGATCAGATCCGCACTTGGGCAAATACTTACAGTCCTCATTGGTAGTCTCAAGCTGAAAAAGTCTGATAAAATGTATTGGGAAAATCTGTTAGAAATGCATTCGAATGTCCGGTGTGAATTTGAGGTATTCCGAGGTTTATATACGCCTTTCTTATATCCTTGACGCCACATGGAAAAAAACTGATAGGTGTTCAGTAGCACCTGCGCTAAATGATGATCGCCCAACCCAAGACTTCTGTTCCAAATATTAAACACATTATGTTTTCTGAGGGGAGGATCCGCGGGTGGATGTTCCATCTGTGACGGAGGACTTCTCAAGTTCAGGTGAACTCTCGAGATAAGGAGGAGTCCCAGTGGTTGGCCTCTCCACTGAAGGAGACCTAGACGTGCTGCCTAGGGGAGAATTGGCGTGGGGCGTGGGAGTACGGTACGGGGGTTGTTGATCAGATTGTGTGGACTCTGGCGTGACTTTCTTTTCCTTTGCTAACTCTTCACTGGTTGGCTTTCGTGCCCAGATACGTCGCCTGAAAAGAAGTCAGTCGGATCACTTGAGTATGCTATGTTCAAACTTACGCAAGGATGTAAATGTGATGTGCCGGGTTTTTCACTTCAGCTCGAGCCTTTGCAACTAGAACTTGAACTTCCTGTTTCGACCACGGTTTGGGAACCCCATATCGCGTGAGCAGATACATGGCCCACCCCTCCATACCGGACTTCCACATTGTTGAATTTAGCCTCCCCGCTTCTTTTAGCACCGGGTCTTTTGCCCAGCCGCCAATGGGCCACTTGTACACCTTTTCGTGTACGTCGACGAAGCCGGCTTTTTCAATCTGCTCCCGCATGGTGTTGAGGGTGCCCATCGGACGTCCCGATTTGTTCGCGGCAGCAATGAGGTTATCTCCCCAACTTGCGAGAATGCTATCTTCGGGTAAACTGCCGTCATCGGACATGATATGACAGGCTCCTTCAAATTGCTCGATCCAGCCTCCAGGTGTTAGGTTGCTGAAGATCGTTGTTATTGATTGTCCATTTCGACTTAGATGAAGAAATTCTTACTCGTAGCATTGCTGGTAAACAGTCTCCCATTCTGTGGTGGAAAAAGCACCTAGCATGATGCTCATGTGAATGAAATCAAATGGCTCGCGCCATGTCCACTCTTGAAGGACATCGTCTACCTCTAAGACGCAATTTGGAGGCATCCAGTCAACAGGTGGTGGGAAAAGATCAACCCCGCGGATCATGGCTATTAAGGTCAGTATAATTCATCACAGGGGAAGATGCAAAAATTACCGCTAGGGAACATATCTGCCATGTCACTATTGTAAACCATCAGTAAGTCCCATGGTCTCTATTCCGCTGGACCCGCTTACATTGCCCATGTCCCTCGGCCTGTACCAATATCAAGAACATTCTGTACCATATATGAATCAGTACTCATTTCAAAAATTATAATTCCAGTGATCATGATACCTGAGGATTTTCAACAGGAGACTGAAATAATGCATTCGGGGATTCGGAGTCCATGACTAGTTGTGACAGATATCTACCTGAGTCAGCACGTGATTTGCGTAAGACGAACGGGGTAATTACCCTGCTTCGAGCGCCTCAAAATGCTGGTCGTCCGCTGGACCCCTGTCGAAGTTAGCGCTCATATTCGTAGTCCACATGACAGGTTCTTTTTACCAGTATTCACCCTCGCGCATAGTTTGATAGCTGAAATCAAAATGTAAGCAACGCTGTAAAAACTGGAGCCGTGGCGGTCAACATACCGTCGGCCATTTTCCATCACTCCCCGGTATATCGAGGAAGCGAGAGAATATGTCTCCCTAATTCGGAAAAAAAGGAGATTAGATCAGTGACTACCGTTGACAGCAGGGTCGCCAACACCTACGAGTGAATATCATCATATCGCACCTCACCTGAAATAGCTTGGAAGCTAGGGTCCTGTAGAACGTGGAAATAAGCGGAAGCACGGTCGGTCCTCCATTTTGGCCCCCACTTACCACTGGGATGGAATCCTCTGCCTCCACAGTGGAAGAGCCTTCTCCCTTCATTCCGTCGAGTTGAAAGCCACTGCGACCTTCCGATCCCAAGGTGGAAAAGAATTAGAAGGGAAGAAGTGTCCTGGCAAAGGTGATGAGGCGGGGTTATATCACCTCAGAGACCCGCGACCCGAGAGTTTGGGGACGGGTGGGTCGAGAGATTAGCTTACCTTTGGGCGATTAAAGTGTTGCGGTTATTCGGAGAGAAAAGAGGACACGGGAAGGACGATCATTCCTGAATATAGCTAAGAATAGGCGCTGTGATGAGACCGTACAGTGAGGCTACTTTGAGAGCTCTGAATGGGTGGTGTGTGCAGAGTTCAATCTACGCAGGGAGGTATTTGGGCTCCCGGTGGGGTGATCACTGATTTGTGGATAGATGATCCTGGAGGCAAGAATTCGGGAGAAGGCTGAAGGTTAGAGGTGTTACTGTATTCCAGAAAATTGGAGCCCAGGGACCCGACAGTCTGGCACGCCAGCCGAAAACGACCGTTAATATTCCTCCCAAAGAACCTTGTCTGCCGGTCCGGAGTCTATTATGTATCCCTGCCCATTGTTTCTTGGAGATCTTCACGTTTCACGGGGAAACCCCAACTCAGAGAGTCAGTGCGTGGACTTCTCCTTGACTGGGGAAGGGGAAGAAGGGGGGGGAAACATGATTATGCGCATTGACAATGATCAGTCCAACTTTGCTGGGCTTGACCGATCATGCACCGAGAAGAATACGGGCCAGATCGGCTCCGAAATCCCAAAGATTTGGAACCATGATGCGTTCCCCAGACCAATGGTTCGGTCTAGCCAGCTATAGCTTTCCCTGGGCTGCATGCAACGTACTTTGAGGGTTTGACCACTATAGTCCAATGATACGCTCCCGGTTATTATTTCCACGGTCGCACGCAATTGCTCTATACATGACGGAGTCTGTAGTTTCGCTATCACAGCCTTATATAAATCAGGACTTCAGAACAAAAAGAACATGAAATGCGCCATATGCTCTGTATTTAGTAAATCAAAGGCCAAAGGACTGGTCGTCACTACACTGAATTTAGCTCTGCTTATATAATGTAAGCGCCTTCGTGATTATATAATCGATTATCTGACAGACTCAGTTCTGCAGCATCAAGTAAGCAGGCAAAATCAAGACCAAGTGGACTCTTTCGTCACCGCGTGTGTCAAAATAAGAATAGGAACTAGGTTGGGGGCTTCAAGCCAAGTCGGTTCGGACATCGGCCCGGCTCTGCAGGATCAACGCCGTGGATACAAAAGTCGCCGAAAACCCTTTATTCTCGGGGAAATGAATTGCACCGTTAGGAGAAATTTCAATTGAGTGGATACGCATTTGCCGCTTCATTGTATGGTTTAGTCCCGAATTGGTAGATCGAGCGACAAATATCCTGCTGCGGATAGACCGGATCAGTGGAGCCGTCGGAGCTGTTTCTGAATGAGATTTGTTCTCCTGCCCATGGGTCCATGGAACGTGAAGAATTCCTTGGAACAACTTTAATTTTGTTTGACCCAGGCCTCGGCAGGTGGAAGACCGGCACAAGTGTTTAATGATGAAAAATCAAAGCTATGGAGATTGTTGATGGGGCTCACTTTAAATAGCCAGAACCGGCACTTTCGATGTCGTACCTTTTGAACAACAGGTCGACCGATAACGTCATTCAGATACCCCTGTTCTAATCTCCACTTAAATATAGCACCATGAGTGTCGCATTTGAAGTCTTTCGTGGTTCAAAGGAGGGCAAGATCGTTGGTGACACCACAACACGCACCCTGGGCCCCAATGAAGTCTTTATCGAGACCACACATTCCGGTCTCTGTGGAACAGACGAGCACTTCCTGAAGTCTGGTATCGTTCTCGGCCACGAGGGTGTGGGTATTGTGCGCCAGATTGGCCCGAATGTCAAGAATGTCAAGGCTGGAGATCGTGTTGGATTCGGGTACACCCACTATGTCTGCGGAACTTGTGAAAAATGTTTGACTGGTACGTGCAGAGCTGGTTAGACACGGAAACAAGTTAGCTAATCTGAATACCAGGATGGGACCAGTATTGCGAGAACAAGAAAGAATACGGCACACATGATCATGACATTGGCTCATTCGGTGGTGGTGCTGTCTGGGATGCTGGCTGTGTGGTCCCTATTCCCGATGGATATGAATCCGCAGACGCAGCCCCTCTGATGTGCGCTGGCGCCACCGTTTGGACCTGTCTCACTGAATACGGTGTCCGTCCCACCGACCGAGTGGGTGTTATGGGCATCGGTGGCCTAGGCCACCTGGCCATCAAGCTGGCCTCCGCCATGGGATGCCGCGTTGTGGTATTCTCCAGCTCCGAAGCCAAGCGGGAAGAGGCTTTCAGCTTCGGTGCTTCCGAGTACCATGTATTCCGGGCTGGTCAGGAATTGAAAGACTGCAAGCCGGTGAATCATCTCCTGCTTTGCGGCAGCGCAAATGTTGATTATGCTTCGTATGTTCCCGGGTCTATGTCAATAACAATAACTTTGCTTACTGATCTTTTTTCCCAGTCTCATTCCTTTGATGGATATCCACGGATCAATTTACCCCTTGACCGTCGACTTCGCACCTTCCCCCGTTCCACTTCTGTACATGAACGTCAAGGGTATCCGGATCCAAGGATCTCTGGTGGCATCTCGGCAAAGCCTTCGATCATTGGTGCAGTTTGCAGCTGACAAAAAGATTGTGCCGACCTCGATGCAGTTCCCTTTGAACCAGGAGGGTGTTGAAGAGGCAATGGAAACTCTTCGCCAGGGCAAGATGCGCTACAGGGGTGTTCTTGTGCGTTAATAGACTTAACAAAAAGATAGATGAGAAAGTACAGTACATAGATGGAGGTATTGAATAATTAGATGACATAAATGTATAGAATACCGTTCAAAGTTATCGTCACTGGTTCTATAGTTCCTTGGGAGGTTGTTGTTATTGCTTTTGCCTACTGTCATTTCTCTCACTATTGAAACGCGTTCACGCTCGACTTTCTTACCTCCTTCCTCTTCCTCTAACCATCTTCCTCATTTTATTCCTGACTCACCCACCTTCAATCAGCCTGAGCTTTTAAAAACCTGGGCATTTCATACTTCTCACTTCCGCACCACATCCCCCTTCCTGACATGGAAGAAAAAGCCGCGAGAATGGAGTCATCTCCACCCATCGAGGAAATTCCAGCCGCTTTAGGAAATAGAGCAATCAACCAAGCCATCGGTCTCCCCGAAAAGATTGAAATCGACATGTTCAGCAACATGGACCGATTGGAGGAGCCCGAAGATTTTTGCCTCTGGCTGCGCAACATGACGCGTCTCTTAAAGACTGCTGGCTTGGACAAGCTAATCGATATCCATATCCCAAGACCTGAGGGGCAGAACGAGGAATCCAAACGCTGGCTGCTCTACTCGAAACTAGTGCAACACTATCTTTCTGAGAGCGTTGCAGATGACCTTTTACACGATATTGTCTCCCTAGGAAAGCATATCAAGCTGGCTGATGAGTTCGTTGACCAAGCGAAAAGAGCCTTCCAAACCCCAGGTGTGTACGCAGATCTGGATGGGATTGCCAGTATCTGCTCCATTCAACTGTCCAACCACAAGACACCCCAGGATTTCGTATGGGAGTTCAGAGAGCACTTCAAGCGTCTTTGGAATTTGAAAATTGGCATTCCACCATACGTTGCAATCTGCAATTTAATCAACCAACTTGACACCATGGAAACAAAGTTCGTCGTGGCTTTGACAATTGCGGATCTACACAAACGAGCAGAAAAGGTGGATCTGTGGACTCAATTCAAACAAGTGGACTTCTACGTGGTCTCTTTCAATATCATCCAACGCCTTGAAGCGGATGCACAAGATCAGAACATGCAGGAATTGAGGTCACCCCCGCAGGAAAATGTGAAAAACAAGCTCGACATCGAGTCTTTCGAAAAGAATCCGCAGGACTTCGAAGCATCGCTTAACACGTACATCGTGAAAGCGCCCATTATCGACCAGCCTGTTCGAGAGCCAAAAAGGTTCACCAACGCTGATCGGAAGCACTTCCCTAAAGCCGGGGTCAATCGAGCGGCCTACGCACAGCATCTACGTGAAACATTGGGAGCGTTGCCAAACAAGGAATGTGCGTACTGTGGACAGAAATTTCACACCGCTGCAAAATGCTTTTATCTCAACCCATCCTCCCGCCCAAAGCAGTGGAAGCCGGATCCTAGAATCTGGGTCTTCATGTATGGGGTAGCGGGAGAAGAGGAGGTATCACCCTTGAAGATGCTCATTTCGAGCCCGACTGAAAGCAAGAAAACATTGTTACTCCCGGAAAGGAAGTCCTCAGAACACTGGACTGAGAAAGGCACAGTGGAGACCCTCATGGTGAAGAAGCTCAAAGAAGCCCAACTGGAAAAGGACAAACTGGAGACAATCGCAATGAAGAACCCCGAAGACAGCTCGCCCGAAAACAAACAAGTGAAAGTGAAGATGCCAGCTGAAATTCCGACTGGCTTGAAGCAGGAGAAAGGTGCCAAAGAGGAAGCGGTTGGTGAAGACTCGATGATTGAATCCGTGAACAGATGTGATACGGATTCACCATTTGTCGGAACTGCATTTGATACATCCAATTCATTCACTGCATCAAAACCCGACTGGCTTGTGGTTCAAGGCCGTGGCTACCATGTATGTGCTGATCTGTCTGTCATGACTGAATATCATGAATATGGGCCCGATGATACCCCCTTCAGATGGACGTGGAACGCTCGGGGACAACGCTCCGAAGCCCAAGCTCTTGGAAAAGGTAAGGCAAGAATTAGCCTATTGTTGCAAGACCGTGTCTCAATCATGCAACTTCACGTTGATTGCGTCTACTGCCCAGATGCCCGGTTCAGTCTTTTCTTCATCGAAAAAGCCGAGAAGAATCTCCTTATCAGATACAATGAGGAAACCAAGACCTTACATGACCTGGAGAATGATATGAGCATCATCGGTTTCACGGTGAATGAGAAGGGCCTTCCGTTCCTGGGTACCTTGAACTCGACCATCCAAGAAGTCAATCTGATGGATATGGATTAGAAACAGGGAATACCAAGGGAAATGAAGGGTGGGGAGAAAATCAAAACAAAGAAAGGATCTGCTCTGTTGTGCTATTTTTCAAGTTTTCACTTTTATGTTTCCGATTGCCGTTATGTGTTATTTTGTATGGAATCTGCATTCATTTTCTCAACAGGTTGAGGCGTTCAAGTCAACTGCATCGGAGATGTACGCAGGAAGTTCGGAATTTGGGACAGATTTCGCTTATCTTTATGTTAACTCGCTTATGAATATGTATTTTCCTACTGAGTCGAATCAGCCGTAATCTTTGATATCAATCTCGACTCAAGGCCGCTAGTGTAAACTAACATCTAAGCCATACAACGTTGACGAGAAACGGTGATCAAGATAACATCGGAGGCTTCATTGAACTATACGCAAGCTAAAATGAGGCGAGACTTTGCCTGTCACCACACCCACAGTATTCCTGATCTCTGGAGAGAGAAACTGAGCAAGCCCCTGACGCATACCAGGATCCCCAATGTGAAGCTGGTTCAAAACCTCCGACACTGCCGAATACAATATCCCGATATTCCCATCCTCAATCTTGACAGCTATTCCCAGCCCGCCATCCGCACCAAGTCGCTTCGTCTGCTCAGACGCCCGAATTCCTACCCCATAACAACCATCTGCGCCAAGCTTACCAATAAGCAAGCCTGGGAAAGCGCGCATGAGGATAGTACAAAACCGATCTTCGCCCGCAACAAATTCAGGATATCGGGACATCGCTCGGAACACTCGAGCCTGCTGTTGCATTCTAGCAGACCCCGCACCATCACCATCAGCCATATCAACAGCTTCAGCAAAAGAAGCATACATCTGTCCCAAAGAAAGCAAAGGAAAAGCAGGAGCTGGCAAATTACACCCATCAACACTCCACACCGACTCCCTATCTCCAAGCCCACAAATCTCATCCACAGTCCTCTTAACCCTCACTTGCAGCGGATGCATTTCCAAATGATACGTCCCCACGTCAGCACCGAGCGCCTTCGTCGCAGCAATCATTCCAGCATGTTTGCCCGAGCAGTTACTACAGACAGAAGTAGGAACAAAATCATTCCTAATCCATGCCCGATTGACAGCCTGAGAGACAGGCGTATGGCCACCGCATTTTAGATCGCTTTCCTCCGCACCGATCTTTTCTAGTATCGCGCGTGCACGGGTGATATGTCGCTCTTCACTGCTGTGCGAAGCGCACATGAGAGCCAAATCGACATCATCCAGATCATATTTGTTGAATGCGCCCGCTTCAAGGATGGCGACTGCTTGTGCGGGCTTTGCGGCTGATCGGGCGAGCGTTATTCTTGTCGGGTCGCCAAGGGCGTATAGAAGGTGGCCTTTGCTGTCTATGACTGCGGCGTGGACGGCGTGGCGGTTTTCAATTACGCCGCCTCGGTCTGAGACTACAAAGTCGTTTGAGATGTTTGTTCGCATGATGGGATTTTCAGTGTTGCTTGGCAGAATGTTGGAATTTTTGATGCTGATTTTTCTTTTCTTGGGGTTTCGCAACCCCGTGGGGCACTTCGCATTGTGGTGATTGAGATCGGCAAGTCCCGATAGCCGGGATGTGTTGCCCTATCTCGGTGGTTTTTGGGTCCGTGTCCTAGCGTTGACGATTATATGTCAAGCTTTGGAGCATTGGTAGTTTTTATGGCTCATGGAGAGCCATTTATACTTTGTGGTGCACCCATATGCCATGTGGCTTTATGCCGTCAAGTTGGACAATATTATTGGTCATCTCTCGGCAAATTCTGTGAGTATCTTTGAAGGGATCATCTATAAATGCTGTGGTTTTGGAATATCTTAATTTCCAAATTTTACTCATAACGATCTAACATAATATAATACTGTCTTATTATCCGGAGACCCAGACCGTCGATCGAATCAAGCAATTCAACCACGCGAGATAGCCATCAACTTACAGAGTGCTCATGATACTCTGGCTAGTAATCCGCCGGATCCTCTCTGTACTAAACTGGAAACATTCCGGAAGGCCGGTATCCTGCCACGAAAGGCCCGATATCAGTTTCGCCAGGCCAGGAGCGCAGGTGAAAATCCCAGCCATACCTATATCTTCTAGTCAGTCGAGGGTTCGGAGTCGAAGGCAGAGAATGTATAATTACCATGGCCATTAAAACCAGCACAAATCCATTGACCCTCAAGACCCTCAATCGGTCCAACCAACGGTGCACTGTCAGCCGTCATAGCAATAATTCCAGTCCACGCATGGTCTAGTCCTTCACCATGTCGGAGCGCAGCAGAATCTGGCTCATGACATAGACCTAGGAACTCCTTTGTGCTATTCTGGGCAAGTCGATCACTGTATTTGGAATCGTCGAACGAGATCAAGTCCTCGGATGTCATATCTGAGCTGCTTCGTGTACCGGTACCACCCAGCACAACCATGCCATTATTCAATGAATTGACCGAGAAGAAATGGTCTGCTCGGTATCTCAATGCCATAGTGTGCTTTAGGCTATCCGCACCGGAGAGCGAAAGTGGCGGAACAAATGAATTGACTTGTGATCGGCGAGGCGTTATAAACTTACTCAGTTCCGGGAGAAGATATGCCGCATAAGCATTCGTGCAGTGGACCACGGTCTCAGCAGCGACAATGCCTCGAGGAGTATGGACCTCCCACCTGAGATTGGGCTTGTCAATGCCCCGGAACCGGTCGGTCTTGGTAACTGGACAATGAGTCCATAGCTTTCCCCCTTTGGAAATGAAATCTTTCAAGATCCATTGCACCAGCTTCCCGGGGTGATTAGACGCAGCGGGCGACTCATAGGCACACAAGGCCCCAGGAACTCTTGTTGCTTCTTGTGCTGCCTCTCCATTATAGAACTTGACGTGCGTAACATCGCCACCGGCAGCCTTGAACGCCGTCAGTGCCTTACTGAGAAGATCAACGCATTCGTCTGTAAGCGCGACCTCAAATGTTCTCATATAGTTGAAATCACAATCGATATTATGCTCTTTGACGAACTTGCGCGCATTCTCCAGGACAACTCGTTCGTTCTCGAGGATCTTCCTTGCTTGTTCGGGCCCGTGGAATTTTGCATAACCGGGAAAACCACGGAATGAGTCTAGAACAAGAGTCAGATTCAGGAATGAAATCGAGTTTCATAGCAAAATGAACGATCAATCTGCCTACCCGGTCGGATATGTCCCGCATTTCGTCCACTGGCACCAGAAACAGCTTCTCGAGCTTCGATAATCAAGACATCCTCCGCCCTGACTCCACTATCGACCAAGCTCCACGCCGTCAAGGCTCCTGAAATACCAGAACCAATGATGAGGTATTTTGCCGAGGCGGGAACAGGAGCTAGCCGATTCTCATGAAGATGGGGAAATGAACGCGTGGTTCGATGCCAGAGTGAAAGTGTTGAAGATGGCTGCGGGAGTGATGGCTGCATTGTTTTTGTCATATCGAGCGATGGTCAGTCCCTATATGATGAGTCTCCCGTAGACCGATTGAGTTTTTGGAGAGTCAATTGCAACGGCACTGCGCAGTCACCATGTGCTACGATTATACTGGAGCGGGGGATACGTGAGGGGCTTATCAATGCCTTTCTCCACTTTCGGGGGATTTCCGATCGCGAAATACCTATTCGAGTAATGATTGGGATCTTATAGATGTGAATATCTTATCATGACTCTAGATATCGGATGTTCTATCCGGCGTCTCTGGATCTCCGGGTGGCACCCATCTACGAGTGGTTAAACCGTACGTCGACCTCAACTATCGCACAATCTATAAATCGAGCTTCAATTCATCTTTGATCCGATAGGAGTCTACCGTTACATCTAAATACGAACAGAGATAATATCCACAAATAAATAGTAGTCCTTGGCTTATTTAGCTAGATCGGCCCATCCCCACCGGTACCGATATCTAAAAGTTCTTAGCCTCGTGCAGTTCCGCCGAATCCACCCAAGAACACCTCATTGGCGCTAACAAAACGGGCTCTGAATCCAAGTGGATACCAAACACAAACACACCCATTGTCTCGAACAGCGAATCAATCAAAATGTCTCACAGTCTCGCCAAGAAGCGACCAAGCTACATGGGGCCTCCGTATTTCCCCTAACCCCGAACAAAAATGGCCCCCAAGGCCGCATCTCACATAAGGAGCGGTTGGTATCCACCAAATAATATTTTCAGCCGCTTATTCTCGAAAATCTTTCGCCGTTGATCATTCGCAGTCGAGATTGCGCACCGCGGAGTTTGTGGTGTGAGCCACCACGATCGACGACGATGGGGGGTTTGGTCGGCGAGACGGGGATCCCGAGGATTTCGAGACTCGCGTTACGCGTTTTCTCGCTTATTTCTGCCGTGGGGGGCATTGTCGCTGTGACAGGCATCGATTATTACGCTCAGCAGTTCTACTATTATCTGTTCGTAAGTGACGTAGTTTATGCTGCTTAGTCGGAAGTGTGAAATCTGATAGATAATAGCTCGGTCTATGCGGGTTATGGTCCTTGGTCAATATCGGATTGTTATGTTTTGGGCGTGCTTCACATCCAGGCTACTGCATCTTGTTCGACATGTTGCTGATTGCGGCGTCGGCATTTCTCGTCACCGTTTCGGGGGTTGGAGCCGCGTTTAAAGGATACCATCTGGTGGGACGCGCTATTGCTGCGGTGGTGTTTGCGGCTGCGGAATTGTAAGCTTCTCATGACCCTGGGAAATTCGCGGTTGTTAACCTATTGATAGCGTCGACCATTTTGTTTTGTTTATGTTGGCTTGTGCCGACTTTCATGCTCGGCGTCGAGGGTCGATTAAAAAGCCTTCCAGAGATGGAGGACATGTTGAAGTATAATGACTAATAATGAGATGAGGTTTACGCCTACAACAATGGAGTGGATGGAAATAAAAAAGTGTCTTTCGATTACTACCTCGGTATGACCGGTAAGTCCGTAGTATCGATGTCACAATAGCTGAAACGCAGAACTAACTTCGAGCACATGAGTCAAATCCATCGAGTAGATTCAAAACCCTAGCTCAAGAAGATGTTCACCCTGGAGATCCCATTTCTTCCACCCCAAATAAAAACGATAAAAACCCACTCATTCGTCCATCGACCATGGAACATCAAAACCCCTGTGCATCTCCATCATAACCCTATTCAAGAAGTCGAATGCCATTTCCGGGTCGTGATACTTGTCGTTGAAGAAAGCCTTCAGCGTTAGCTCATTCCGCTGAAAGAAAACGAAAACGCTAATGGCAGGCGTAAGAATCTCACACCGGAGCTCAAAATTAGCAACTCGCACGTCGCAGCCAGTATCAGGGATAAATCTATCCAGAATACCCAGATTGGTGAGTAAAGCTTCCGTGGGACAAAAGTCAACGTGTCTCATCTGGGGTATAGCTAAATTGATCATTTCATCCACGACATTCGGAAGGATGGGATCCTGCGCAATCTCCTGGTAGCCATGTTTGAACTGACGCATAACAGTCCAAAAGTCCGTGACCTTGATTGACGGGAACCACGCCGTGCTGTAGACAGCAGCTGGATGGTAATCCAGATCGAAGTGACCTCGTCCATCTACGTAGGAAATACCCGTGTAGATGTCTGAATTGTCGTTGACATGGAACTTCTTTGTCGCGCAAGCGATACCGGCGTGAACTGCGTGATGGTAGTGAAATCCTTCTTCGGCTATCAGTTCGAGAATGTGCTTGGTTTGAAATTCGGATAGGTGCATGGTTATTTCCCGAGTTTCGCCGGGTGAATTATCACTCCGAGCCCGTTCAAGACCAAGTGTAGGAAGCCTCATGGAAGGGAGATCGGCGAGATACCGGGTCATTTCTCTTTCCGCCTTTGCTATGTCGTAGTAAGTGTGAGCAGGGAGACAGACAGTTGTGTGGTAAGGCGGGGAAAGATTGATCCACTTGAAGACTGGCCAGACCTTGTCTGGGTTGGTCGCATGGCGTAGAATAGTGCCTGCGAGAAGCAGGATGCCCTTGTGGTCGATGTGAGTAGGGGGAGCTCTCAGGACTATCTCATTGGAATCGAGCAGAAAGTAAAGAGTGGGCCGCTTTGGCGGAGGGAATATTTGGAGTATTCCAGGCCCAGGAATTGGATCTGTGATAGCCATGAAGGTTTCACCGAGCCACTCTGTGATCTCAGCTTCGTTTGGGGCGTTGTATGTCCACATTTCGGTTTGGTGATCGAGAATGCTCGCCAGGGTGCCATGATCGCGGCGGATAGTCAGCCATGCTCGGTGTAGCTCAGCAGCAAATTCAAGCGGTGCAATTTCCATTTGCAACTGAATAGCTACAGTAAGGGACATATGCTGCTTTTGGGATCCCGACCCCATGTTCGAGAGCTTGATCATCCAGCGCTCCATGGGACATGCCTTTCGCTGGAACACACCGGGCTCTGTCTGTCGCCATTGATCGGCCATCTCGGCCACCCTGACAGCTGAAAAAAGTGGTGAAGCCATTCTGGAGGACTTGTGCCCCGCGGCCTTCCCCCACCTTCCCAGATAGATACTGAGAAGGGGGCAAAAAGACGAGGCAGAGGTCAAGAAAGAATCGATAGATAAGAATGAGAAGAAGAAGATAATAAGGGACACTTGGAGGATAGATAGGACACAATATGGTGTGTCGTTGTATGGCGAGTGTTCGAAGTGAAGACGCGTTGCGACGCGAGGAAGAGGTCTTGAAAAATCACTTGTTGGGGAACAGTGCGATGTTGTTTGTCTAAATTTCACGCTGGTGATCTCGAAATGAGAAGTGTTCCTTCATCCGATGTTCACAGAGAATCACATGTATCCCAAAGTTTGATATCGAAACTGATAGAAACGTGTAGTACTATATACAAAGAATCACTGATTGTTCTATCCGCGTCTATACAAACCAGATTTCATTGATGCAAGGGCTCTACACAATGGGCTTTTATGATATGAATAATGGAGGCTCACAATAGTTTCTACCTTAAGCCACAACTAGCATGCCTAGGTTCATAGGTACTTTAGCCTGTTGAGTGCTAGGGATGACCGGAGTCTCTCTCGACCCAAAAAGAATGGCAGTACTAGTCAAATAATGCCAAGTTGTGCTATACTGGTATGCGTGATGAGTCGATTTAAGCATTGTGCTGATGTATAGTCCAGGGTCTATACCAAGGATCAAAGTTCCAGAGTGATTTTGATATCCTACCTGCCACAAGCATAAGAGATTTTATATCAATTCATACAAAGTCAACCTCTTATTATACCATTTCAAAGGGATTTCTCAAACAATCTGAAAGACTAGAAGGTCCGGGAAGATCAACTGAACTTGTTATAGCACTTAAATTTGTAGAAATACGGCAAGAAGAAGCTTGGCGATGACAGGATCTTATCTTATGTAAATATTGAAGTAAAATACATTCGTCCACCTTTTGTGAACTTGCCTATTCTCGAAAGTACATGTCTCCTTCCTCTTACCTGTTTTATGGCCGTAAGATTTGGAAAGAAGCAATGGCAGCCCAAGAGAAAGGCAAACGCGGTCGATGAGCCGGGACGACATCTCAGAATCCGAGCCTTCGACCGAGTCTGAGGAGGTCTGTCACGATCCAGAACTACACGCAAGGCACGAGCATTCTGGACTTGAAAATTGCGCGGTGCATTCGCAAGGAAGTCGGTCATTCCAGGTACCCTGGCATAAGATTTGGGGTATTGAGGAGAAGAAGATAGTTAAATATGACCCCTTTATGGATTTATTCTCATCTACCTACACGGTTCCATGTGTTTTCTTTGTCTGTAAAACTGCTTGATTGTTGAGAACTCGCTAGCGCGGGGTTGGACCTACACTTGCCCAAGTCCAAATTGCCTGCTTTGCCTTAAATCATATTTCATGATATCTGCACAGCGCCTACTCTTGCTAGTTGCCATGGTATTCTTCTGAATCTACCATAAGGTTGGCCATTAGGGCTCGAGAATACCGCCCAACCAATGATCGGAGGCGGTGACACCAATTATGGAACACTGTAAATATGTTGTTGTTTACCAATACTAAGGATGATAATCCTACGGTTACTCTCGGTACTTCGTACATAGGCAATTGCTCATACAAGACAGAATAATGCAAACTCCTGACCTAGACTCGCCTTCCACTCTCCAGAGATCAATGACGATAAGTTATTGATCTCCCATGGCTTCAAGGTGGCTAACGCCATCGCCCCACAAACGCGTCATTGGCCAAATAATTGCTCAAGTGGATCAAGTCTAGAATGGAGCTTGCTACTATTTATAAAAGGCAACGAATGATGAAACATAGACCAGCTAGATTGAAATTCAATGGTGTATATGCTTTAGGATCCGAGTCTAAACCAGATCTAGTGTATGATCTATCGCTAAGAAAAAGAAAAAAAGCCACAGTCGCTTCCGAATCAAATCGCTGAATGAACACGAAAATGTATCCGAACTCCAAATGTACAAAAAAATAAATCTGTCGTATGTGCAAGGAAACTGTTTAGAAGCTGAACAAGCCAGTGCGCTTCTTGCCGAAGGGATAAATGATAAGAGCAGACATGAACAAGCCGACGGTGATACCGATGGCAACCTGGATCATTCCGAATCCGAGACTGGAGACGGATGTGTCGGAGTCACTGGTTGATGACGTGTTGCCAGCAATGACCTCGTTCGCGTAATTCAGTCCTGAGAGGAGGGAACCACTGGATGCGAGGCCCGAGGGCACGAGCACAAAGATACCGGGTAAGATGGCTGTGGCGGCGTGACCGTGCCACAGACGACTGTACAGGTTACCCAGGATACCGACTGTGAATGCACCGACGGTGTTGGCAACTTCAGACGAGGAGCCGAATTTCAGGGTGCTGAAGTAATTGGCAATGTAGCCAGCTGTAGCGATGAAGACCATGACAGGCATTTGCTTCCACTTGGCGTGGTTGACAAGAGCAAGGAAGACGGCGTAGATAGCAACAAAGGGAAATTTTCGGACGTAGACGGATCCGTAAACATCAAGGTTGGGGCAGGAAGTTTGAGATGAGGCGTTGCTGTCCATCAGTCCATAGATAGTGAGGCCGACAGTAATGCCGTAGCCGAGGAAGAGAGAGTAGATGATGGCGTACACCATTCGGATCGAGCCAGCGATGATTTGGTGTGATTGCAGTTCCAGACTGCTGCAGAGGACTGTGAAGCCAGGGAGAATGAGGGCGATGGAGGATTGAGCGAGGGCGGAGAAACAGAATAAACGACTGCCGTTGACTTCGATACTACCGAGAGCGCGGGCGAGGAAGGATGTTAGAATGGCGGCGGTGACTTCGAAGACGTTGGAGTAGAGGACGGATCGAGGGGCGAGAACGTGTTGCATGAAGCCCACCAGGGAACCAAGGAAGAAGATGATAGGCATGTCGATTGGGCGGGCTTCGAATGCGAAGGGGCCGACCGCGGCACTGGCGATGCCATACAGCAAAACGACCAACCACTTGTTATACCGTGGCTTGCGCTGCATGATCTCGTCCAGCTCTTGGCTAGCCTCCTCGACACCGATCAGATCGTGGACGACGTTCTTATACACGTTGTGTGTATCAGCCAATCGTCCAAGATCAACACCCTGTACCATCCGCACCAGCTTAACCTCAGCGGTACGGGTGGCTGGATCGTCAAACGACATGATCATACAGCCAGGGAGGTACAGGAATTGACCCGAAACCTCCAGTACCCGCGCAGTCATCTGCATGTACTCCTCCAAACGATGAGTAGGGGCACCGTAGCGCATAAGCGCTCGACAGAGCTGCATGATATAACGCTGACGAGAGATGATCTCGGCAATATGTACCGTAACCCGAATCTCATCCTCCAAGCGCGTCTTACGCTTACTCTTCTTAGGCCGCTTATTCGGCGGCATAGCATCAACAGCCGCCGGCAAGCTGGTGGTACTAAAGTTCATCGAGGCACCCACCAGCGACGAGGTCGACCGGTGAGCCGACTTTTTGTACCATTTGAGCTTCTCTTTGCGCGGGGTGGCAGCACCCGAGGTAGGCATCGACGGTGGCATAGACGGTAACATCGACGGGGAGCGCGAGCCCTTCTTGGGCGTCGTACCACCAGAAGAAAACTGTGTATCGCTATCCGAGTCATCGGTGATGACACTCTCCGGACGCGACGAGCCCCCCGTCTGCACGGCCTGCAACTTCAACAATTGTGACAAAATGCCACTGCCTCCGCCGCCAAAGTTACTCGATCGACGACGAGCAGCGGCCGTGTAGTCACGCAGCAAGCCTTCGGGAGTAGTCTGGCCAGACCGCTGGTACGCGCCACGAGGCTTGCGCTTCAGTCTGTCCCCCACCATGGTCATGCTGCGCACCAGGCGATGAGCCTCAGCACTCGGAGCAGGCTGGGTGACCTCCTCGCCCGCTTCCAACGACCGCAAGTGATCGGCATCGCGACGGGCGCGGCGGGCCTGCAGTTCTTCCAAGGGGATATTGTCAAAGTCGTCTGGTAGGAGGGAGGCGTTGAGGGCCTCGCCATCGTCCGTGGGGCGACCGAGGCGTTCCGTCAAGCGAGTGGTCTTCTGGCGGAGGAGCTGGCCGGCAGCTTTGAACCGGTCGCGCGCAGAAGAAGTTCGCTCGACAGAATCCGGCTCTTCTTTCTCTGAGAAATCGACATGGGGACTGTGACCGCCGGCGTTGCGGGAATGTGCGGGGGCCGGCGGGGTGACGGTTCCGGAATGCAGAGGAACATTGCTCAACTCCGCGGGCGGCAACAATGGATCATTGGATGCGTCCGACTTTTCGGAGAACACTCGATGGGAATCAGATGGGTGGAGGTATCGGTCACTTAGACGACTCAAAGAGCGAAAGCGCACTCTGGGGGATCGGATACGAGCTTCGACTTGGGGCTCAATTTCAGGTACTTGGATTCGAGGCTCGGGCGTGGTAGGCGTGGTGGGCGTGGTGGGCGCCTGCAGCCCTATGTATGGGCTGTCATCTGCTGTAGGTTCGCGCTCCAAGCTCTGACGGCTGCTGGTCGTAGGAAAAGGGAATTCTTCGGCATATTCTTCGGCGGGACTGGGGTGTGGAAAGGGAATTGGGTCGGACATTAGAACTGTAAGGGACCGAAGTACCCGCGTCTATGCACCTAAACGAATGTGTGGAAAGAGAGATGAGAAAACTAGAACATCGAGGAGGGAGTATATTGTTAAGGAAACAGCAATGTTCTAGATCAATGGAAATGGCGGATTAAGCTAACTTTTCAGCGCATCCGTGAATTATTTATTTGATTTTATGCTCAAAGCGGATTCTAGATGGGCTCCACATGAAATCATCGATAAGGAACTAAACTGCATGACACCATCCCCACCGCTGATTCGCTCCAGGCAGAGATTTTCGCAATTTGATATCCTTGCCATTGTCTCCGACCCATAACTTACACTGTGCAGGGGATATCACATTGTGCTCTAGGGCGCAAACTTTGGTTCTCCGATTCTAGAATGAACACGTACCACCCGTACATCACCCATGGTGGATCCGTCGGTGGCGATCCAGACTGACAGTGGCACCGAAATATCGAACGAACCGTTTATCCAGCCTTTACCAGACTTTCCCCTGCAAGCTAAAAACTTAGCGCCCATAAGCTCAAAGGAAAATTCAGAATTGGTGCCCTTATCAAACGCCTACAGCCATTCCCCGTCAGGCATTCGGCCTACCCGTGATGTCGATCCCGGGATGCCGGTTCCACGGCCAATCCCTTGGCAATATTGATATAGCCACCTCCTGAGAGACTTGGTCGATGCGAGGGAGAACACATATGACAGCGCAATGATCCACTCCAACGGGATCATCGGAAGATCGTCCCAAGCTGAAGCACAGCATAGCTCGACCGGATAATAGATATAGATAGAAACAAGGAAAAAAAGAAAAAAGAAAAAGAAAGCGGGCCCCACTACGGCAAATATCAACATTACGAATCAATTGGACGAGAAGTAACAGGGAAAAGGCCCTGGAAAACGAGCACAGACGCCACGAGTGGGACCGACGCACACCACCTGATCCTAGTGCAGAGAATAACCATGTTTTGCAACGCTTGCTAAACAAAATCCAGAACATCCCCACTTATCCATTTGGATTTGGAGCTGCTGTTACATGCACTTGAAACTGTCGCAAAAAAAAAAAAAAAAATACAATCACATTTACTCCGAGCGCTTCTTCCCCGGGAGTCTCCACCCATTCAGGTATCCAACTCCGGCGTTTAGATAAGTGGCATATCCCAGCCACGCGGCGTACGGAGTCATCAACCAGAACGCCGTCCGGTCCGCACTCCACCAGTTGGCGAGCAACAAGGCCACATTGCCCGCAAGGAGGGCCATATCGCCAAGGGCCGCGGCCGGCCGCCCCACCCCGAAGAAAAGTGGCATCCAGAGGAAGTTCAACGCGAGCTGGGTCGTGTACAGGGTCTGGGCGTTGGCGTTGGCGTCATGCACGGCCATTGAGAGCGAGCGTGACGCCGTCGTGGTTGCATGGTGGGACGCATAACCCATTAATCCATACAGGAGTGTCCAGGCCGGTCCGAAGAGCCAGCCTGGTGGGCTGAAGGGCGGTTGTCGGAGCTCGCGGTAGGTGCTCTGCGTGTTGTTTCCTATAGGATGGTCAGCGCTTGAGGTTTGTTGCGGTGTGTTGGAGTGCCTGGGTCTGGCCTGTGGAGGTCCTGATCCCGGGCTTTGGTTCGGGCTTACGATTCACTAGGAGGGCTGTTGTTGTTCCGCCGATGATAGGCGTTGCGACCGCCAGCAGCGGCGACGTAAACACTCCCTGAGGGAGGGCGAATGACCAAGGCATTGTAGATCTGATATTTGGGTAACTGTATGTGATGAGCTTGTGCATGAACAAATGAATCTGGGTTTAAATGCGCGAAGTTGCATCGATCGCGATCTGGCAAGTTCCGCGTTGCACTACGTCACTGGCGCGTTCCTTGGCTGCGAAAAGTATTCTCACTGCGATTCCTGAACTACTGTATCCCGTAGGCCGACTTTCGGATAGTTTGAAGCTCCACCGAGAATTGATCTTTTATGATACATAACTCCCTAGAATTTGACTGCCTGATGAATGACCGTGCATTCCTTGCTCCACCCAAGCTCATTCCCTGTAGGTTGGTCAATGCAAACCAGGAAATTCGTGGAACCCCCTTTTGCGGGGCTCAGTTGCCAGGTCGATGCGGTCAAGGAGATTTATGTATGATGCTGCCCAATGGATTGTCCGTGTGTTCGCGTGGCGTCAGGGCCAATATCAGATCAAATGACCAGATAGGGCAAGTCGAGCGAGGTCAAACGGTCACCTGTTGGGTATTGAAGCATGAAACACTAGATTCATGAAAAAGCTAGTCATAGCTACCCCTTAGGCACCAGTGGGACTGACTAAATCATTAGTAGCGCGATGAGCGTTTAGTGTGTAGCTTATTCGGGGGATCCATAGCCAATTCCTCAGATCATTGCATCAACTATGACCATGACCCGACCAGGTAATGATCGACTAGTACATATACTCTCCCGATCCTAACAGGCGGGCTAATTTACCGATCTGCAGCTTCACTTTCCTGGAAAGCGCGGCCTCCGAGGGTTGTGTGGGCCTATGTAGCTACATGTATACAGCTATCTATGCTTTTTACAGGCTAATTACTGGCCAATACATATCGCTCGTTCTAAACCAGAGAGGATATCGACGTAATGGATGGTCGAAATTGAACCAGGATCACTATTCTAGTTCTAGACAATCATGAAAACTGGTTTGAATGCAAATTGAAGGGGGATTGTTGTATTCCGCTACAGCCGCGGTCATTAAAGAAACAGTAAATATCAACATGGATGAAATGAACGCCGTAAAATGCTCCCATCTTAATGATCTAATCTATCCACCCAAATCTAATTATCTCTCGCATTGAAATCTTACTCAGCCTTCTTGGAGGCCTTGGTTCGCAGCTTCATCAACAAATAAACAAGAGCATACGAGCTGCAGGCGAAGATGGCAACAATGCCAACGTCGCGCCAGCCGTAGTAGTAGTGCTTCAGGTTGAGACTCATCAGGTAGTCGCTTCCCTCCTTGTACTCGCAAACCTTGCAAGCCTCGGTAGCGTCGGGGTTAAGCAAGTTCATGTTCGCACCAATGGTGGCCATGTAATCTGCCAAGTAGTTGAGACAGGTAGTTCCATTGGGAGTGTTGAAAACGGCCAACTCATGTTCCTTGCAGTTAACAGGAGTATCCCATACGTCGAAGACAAGCAGACCACCCATGAGGTAGTTGAAGGGATTCAACCAATAGATCCAGTAACGCCAGAAAGCCTGGATCTGGGCGTATGGCACCAAGACACCACAAAAGGAGACCAACGTACCAATGATCAGGGGATTGACCAGGGCTGCGAAGGTGGCGTTGGGAGCGTAAGCGGCGACGAACTGACCAATACCCGTGTACACGAACTCGTAGAGAAGCATGATCAAGAAGGTAGGGCCGGCCTTGCTGGAGTCGTTGGGGAAACCGACGGTGTAGTACCAGCAAACGAAGTACAGCACAGCGCAGATGCACAGGTAGGGGATCTCAGAGACCACGAGAGCAGTGACGAACGCGATCCATGAGTACATCTTAGACTTCTTCTCACGCTGCTCGTAGATCGAGCGCCGTTCAATGAAGAGCGGTTGCAATTGGTTGATCACACCGGGGGCGACGAAAATGAAGTTGAAGATCGTGAACAGACGAAGCTGCATGCTGGCGACGCTGTCACCAATCATCCAGAAAGAGAAACCGTTGAATAAGGCCGAACCAATGTGCAAGGCCATCTTGTTGTTGACGTAGTCGGTATTACGGAACAAGGCAGTGCTCATGCGGGTGGTGACCATCTTGCATTGTTCCCAAAGCGATGTGGCGAACTCCCGTCCATCGTCAAATGTCCCAGGAGGTTTGGCTGCGGCAGTAGAGATGATCGAGTCAAGCTCCTGGCGAGCCTTTTCGTGCTCGGGAGATCCGAGCCAAACCTGGTTCCAATCCTTGCCTTGGCTAAGTTGACCCGAAACGACGTCAATCATGTGCTCAGCAGGGTTGGTATTAGCTGGGCAAGGAGCACCGTAGCGGGTAAAGTAATCCTTAACAGTTTGACCGTTATCACCAATATCACCAAAGTAGACAGTCTTACCACCCTTGGCGAGAAGCAGCAGGGTGTCGAACTCAGCAAACAGTTGAGCGGAGGGCTGGTGGATTGTAACGAGGACGGCCTGGCCAACATCGGCCAACTTGCGCAAGAATCGTACAGTGTTATAGGCAGACTGGCCATCGAGACCGGAGGTAGGCTCGTCCAGGAAAATCAAAATGCTGGGCTTGGAAACAAGCTCGACACCAATGGTGACACGCTTGCGCTGTTCAACACTCAGACCAGCACCGACGCGACCAACCAGAGTGTTGGCAAGGTCGTGCAATTCCAGCAAATCCAGGATTGTATCAACGTATTTTAATTTTTCCTCGCGAGGGACATCCCGGGGCTGACGCAACAAGGCAGAGAACTCCAAAGACTCACGGACCGTAGCGAAAGGCTCAAGCACGTCAAGTTGCTCACAATATCCAGCAGAGCGCTGGAACGAGACAGGCAATTCACGACCATCAACCATGACCGAGCCATGGATCGTACCGTCAGTCTTGCGCTGAGCGAGAACATCAAGCAAAGTGGTCTTTCCGGCACCCGAGGAACCCATAAGAGCTCCCAGCATACCTGGCTTAACCCAGCCGTAAACATTGTCGAGCAGAAGACGATCACCAGAAGGTGTCTTGACGGTGTAGCTCAAGTCCTTCCAAGTGAAGACGGAGGTGTTGCGAACCAGTTGGTTCTCGATGTCATTACTAGAATCACGCGCATCGTTCTCAGAAGGTTTAGTCTTCTCCGAAACCTGGGCCTCCTCATCACCCCCAGAAGGCTGATGGTGAGCACTGAGACGCTCGCGAGGGATGACCAAGCATGTTCCGCTCTCGCCGGGGGACTGCCACCTACATGTGGCAAAGATAGTGACAGCGACGAAAAGAACCCACCAAGCCCAGTTGATACCAAAGTTTCTCCAGAGATGCGAGTGGCTGTAAGAAAGCGAAGCTAGGTAGTCGACACCGGAGACGGAAGTAGCGCCTGGAGTGGCTCCGCCAACACCCGCACAAGACTGGTATAGCGAGTTCTCATAGCCAGGACCATTGGGAATGAGGTTAGTTCCAACGCAAGGAATTTCCTTGCCATAGAATTCGTTGGAAAGCAGAGCCTCGAAGCCGTATGACAAGGGATCAATCCAGAAAATCCAACCAAGCCAGGGGTGCATTTCCGGTTTTTGGATCATATAACCGGTGTACATGATGAGAGCGGAGATCATGAATCCGGAGACCTTGGAGGCACCGTCGAATGTCGAGAAAAGAGCACCAATAGCTCGGAAGAAGGCAGTCATACACTATCCTCAATGTTAGAAAACAGTATTGATTGGGAGAAAGATCAGCTTACCATAGTAGTCGCGAAGACCATAATCCAGTAGGTGAAGAAGGCTCCAGCACTCATGGTCAAGCCAACCATGAAATAAACAACAAGCGAGAACATGCTAATCTGGAACAGCAGAACCGGAATATCCGCGGTAATCTGAGCCAAGCAGAATGCAGCAGGGTGGAAGTATGCAAAGTCCTTGTGTTTGATAAGAACAGGACGACCGCTGAAAGAATCCGTCACCTCGGACATGGCGAGCAAACTGTTGTAGAGCAGGGAGAAGAAAAGGGCACCGGACTTCACGAAAAGTCCACCGGAGTTGTCAGGAGCATTGTAGAAGAGAGATCCAGCGATCAAAGCTTGCATCAAAGTTGCAACTTGTTTGATGATGAAGGTAGCCTTGTCTCCCCAAATAATTTGATATTGCCGATAAACACACGCCTTCACCTGCTCGGTAAAGCTGACAGTCAGAGGGCTGTTTTTAGGAAGCTGCTTAGAGGTTTCAAAGGCAACGCCGTCTTTGAAGTCTTGGGTACGTTGTTGAGCAACGTCAGAAGTGGGGTAGTCATATTCGGAGATCATTCGTGTATGGATGGATGATTTCTCATAAGCCTCCCGAAGCGCGTCCTTATTCCGAGGGAAGCGATTCTCGTAACCTTCGCGGATACGGCGCTCGGTGGGCACGGTGACACCAGTGAGGAAGTCGGCAACGTTCGAACCTTCACGGCAGATAAAGCCCGCCTCCTCCATGAATGGACGAGCCTCGTCACGGGGGCCGTAGTACACCTGCTCACCCTCATCAAGAACCAAGACCTTGTCGAAGAGGTCGTAGATTCCGTTTCCAGCTTGGTAGAGAGTAACAACTGTGGAGAGACCCAGAGTGTCTGTCATGGCGCGAATCGCCTTGGTCCACTCCAGGGCAGTACTGGCATCGAGACCACGGGTGCTGTTATCCCAGCAGAAAACGGATCCGCGAGTTGCCATGCACTCGATAATGGAGACACGCTTACGCTCACCACCAGAAACACCACGGACATACTCATTTCCGACCTTGGTGTCCTCGGTGTGCGAAATTCCCATGGCTTCCATCAAGAACTTCTTCGACTCTTCACGGTAGGCCTCGGGAGATTCAACGCCGTTCGGGAGCTTAAACGGAACCTTGAGGCGAGTCGCAAAGTCCATGGTCTGGCCCACTGTCAAGGTGGGGAAGAACACTTCCTCCTCAGTATTGATAACGATCTGACCGCGGTATTTGCTTGCCTCATCAGAGGTCAACGAGCCGAATCGAACATCTCCCTCCACCGACTTGTATCCTCCACGCTTGTTGGCAAGCATTTTCAAAAGTGTGGTGCAGCCGGAGCCCGGCCGGCCCAGAACCAGAAGCATCTCACCGGGCTTGACGCAACCATGACTGTTGTGCAGGATGGATCGGAGCGGGGCCTTGTTGCGGGACTCCTTGATGTGGGTGGGGATATTGAATTGTGAGAAGACATTTTCGTTGACAGCAGCTTCGGCGCTGATCACCTCCACGTTGAGGTTTTGCCAGGTGACACCCAGTTCCTGACGCTTGAAGCCGGAGTTCAAATCTCGCTCGTGTTGTTGTTGGAACCGCGAAAGTAAGGCCCAGTCGTTATGTTGGCTAGAGGCAGAACTGGATTGGGAGCTGTTCTTGACGGAAGTCTCCTCTCCGATGACAGTGACAGCGGCACTCTCTGTCTCATCTTTGATATCAATCGACCCTCTTCGGGACGATGAGGGGTGGTTAGAACCCTCCATGATGAAACCGAGTTTTGGTTAATGAACACTAGAGTAGGATCCATGTGGGAAGCCATTTTCCTTTATAAAGAAGTAATCTATTGATACTGAAGTGGGTCAATCATCGAGACGGCTTTCTAAATTTGCCCGAATGGCCGACTTCCAATCATAGCTCGGTATCAGGAGAGAATATCCCGAATCGAGCTCCGAGACCATTGATTTCCACGCGGCGGACCCGCGGGCAGTGACAGATCATTAACTTGGAACCCCTTATTGACTCATCTATTTGTCGATATGGATCAGGGACCCACGTCATGCGTGGAAATTTTCTGCTCTCGAACCCAAGGTGGATCTTGAACGCTCCAGGGGCGACCCACTACAAACATTGACACGGGCCCTGAAACTTCCGCTGACTCATCATCTTGTTTCTTTTGCCCAACGGTTATGTACATGCTTTTTCTGTTTTTCAATACAAGGCATGCCATAAGGCTGCCATTCTGGAGAGCACCATATCCACCCATTCATGCAGTCACCACTGCTATTGATCGATTGATCGGCGTTTGCCGGCATTGACGCAGCTCGGAGTCCGAAAGATTGATCATCGGGTGGAGTCGGGTTTTGCAGATTGCCGCTGACTCAGCGGGTCGGAACCGGCTCATGGTTCAACCTGAACGCCCCTGGATTGCATGTGACCTTTATCCTCCATGAATATACGGAGTTATGCCTGAAATGGATCTCTACAATAATATTAGAGGAGGTTTTCGGAATTATGGACTTGACCATGCTCCACCAGGATCAATAGGCTGGAACATAGGCTGCGGGGAACACCAATCTATTGTGTATGAGCTCGTAGTTGGCGTCAATCTGTGTTTATTTTCTCTGTTCCTCACGTGGGACTCATTCACATGCTCTCGGCTTTCTCCGTCTCCTTTCCTTGAACCAATTCATTAAACGTGTCGATAGCTTGATTCGTCCCAATGTTGGGCGTAGGTACCAAATTCGACGCTTCAAGATTTCTGCAGGAATCAAATCATCAAGTTCAAAGCGTCCTACGTGTGCCTATCAGAGTCGCTCACATCCTGACGATGTCGGAAGCGTACTCTGTCGTGAGGATCTAGGAAGAGATTATCGCTAGGTTGAAGGATTGTGGGGCAAGCGGCCCGCGAAGCCTCATCCTTCGCGTTACGCCTCCCGGGAAAGCTATTACTAGCTCCGATGGCACAGCTCGGACATCATGGTCAAATCAATGTGGCTTCTCACATTCGCCAAAATGGCAAAAGACCTGCCTAGCAATATATCGCAGTGATGAGAAGAAAAAAATCGTTCCCAGGCTGCTTTTCTCTCGGGAATGAATTCTTGGCTAGTCGACCTCGGGATCAGATGCTCGAGCTGGCAGTTGAGATGCGAAGCAAATCACGTTGGCAATTTATCTATTATCTCCATCTTTGAGGTTTCTGATCTTCAACGTAGATATTGGGTGGAGCCGACTGCTGTCTAGCGATAGTCATTTTGGAGGACGAGGATGTATATCATGCTCACAGTCCTTTGGTTAACTGGTCAATTCACCGAGACCAGTCCCTTGCCAGCCTTGACATGAAGCGATGCCTCTCAAAATTCTCCCCGGCGTGCGTGGGACAGCCCTGGAGCATTTTTTGAGATTGAGGTGAGCCTAAAACAAAGCCATCCTCACCAGAATGCCGATGACACGAGATCAAGAAGAAGAGTGCTGTACTCACAGTTTCCGCGTCTCAGACCCGGACTGGTAGCACTTCCATCTTTCATTTTGCTTGTCACTTATTATCATGAAAGTGCTTTCTTCTTGACTTTGATCTCTCGACTTACGTGCTAATGGAAGATCTGCCATCTGCTAGGACTCATATCATAAGAAGTGTCATTTTCATATGAGACCTGACCTAAAAGTTTTCAGACCAGCGGCTCTAGTGAGATATCGTCCCGGGCAGAAAGCATAAATGAATCATGGATGTACATTGGACTGCGATCAAGTTCAATTTGGATCCCGGATTAATTTCAAACAGATAAACACTGCTAGAAAGATAACAGTCAATATATGGCTGGCATTAAACAACAAAAAGCACCGAAAAATAATGAGTCAATCTGGATCAATGACAATGGGGCTTGAAAGGCTTCCATTACCTTGAATTGAAAAGGACAAAAATTGTGGAACATGATTCATGTCAATTGAGACCATAGGTTCTGTTTTGACCTCAAGTACCTGATTTGCGGGCTCGCTCTCATTTCCTTGTGTCATGTGAGCCGTGAAACTGGCTTCAGTATGGGTACTGGTTCCGCTATCAGACCGGGATTCATCGTCGAACTGAGATGCGATGTCCATCTGGGGTCCGATGCCGAGCTGGGATGAGTCTTTAAGCTCAGGGTTGACCTTAGCTCGCGAGCTGTTGTCGGCCTGGGAATTGATGTCATCTTGAGGCTCGTTGTCAATTTGGTAATCTATGTCAAGCTCTGGTTCGATTTCCGCATGGAAGTTATTGCCGATTTGATATTCATTGGCAATCTGAGACTCGTTGGAAAGATCTTGCTCGTTGAACAGGTCTTGCTCGTTGGACAGGTCTGGATTGGTGTTGCTTAAAGAGCTATGGTCAACCTGAGGCTCGACGTATGCCTGGGGCTCGTTGTCAATCCACAACTGGTCATCAGACCGAGGCTCTGGTGTCACCTCAATTCCGTCGGAGCTTTTAGGATCGGTATCCATCGACTCCTCATCGTCACGGCAGTTGTTGCAGCGGACTTGCTCGACACCGTGCTTGTCGACAAAACCAGACCGATATTCCTCATGGTCCCCATAGATGCAATATTTCCTCTGTTCCACGCAATAAACACAGATTCCAGAGAACGAGAGAATGATGCTGCGGGCATTACCACAGCTGAGGCAAAATCGGTAAGGAATGATTGGTGGCTCCACCTTGTCTTCAGACTGGGTGGACGTGTCCACATCAAATTCGACAGATGTTTCAACACTTGAGATTTCAGTGACTGAGGTGAGGCATGAGGATCCATGACTAGGCAAATGTGGTGATTCCGTATCGCTTGTTTCCGAAGCTAGCTTCCATTAGCAACACAATGCAAATGCCAAGAGGACAAGGACTTACGCGGAGTTCCTCGAAACATCTGCTCGTACTGGGAGGCAAGGGCCAGCATTCGTTCACGATCATTTTTCTCCCTCCTTTGCCGTTTATAAATTCTATCCGCCTATTCAGCCATTAGTGATGCCATTGTAATACAAATGCAGAGAAGACTTGCCTCGCGATGAGTCTTGCGACATGCACTGCACATCTTGCAAAATTTACGACCATTCATTGAGACGAACTCTGCGGGTCCAAAAGCTTGCCGGCATTTGATGCATCCAAGCTTTTTGAAGCCCTGGGCTTGAGCGGCCTTAGCCGGATCCCAAATCTCCATGCTAGCAAGCGCTAGGGGGAGTCCCATAAAGAGACGAAAAGAGGACTGGCTCAATTCGGAACGCTGGGTGAGCTTGACCTGCATTAAGAAGTGGAAATATGTTGATCAAAGTTGAGACAGAACAACAATAAGAAGAAGAAGAAGAAGAAGAAGAAGAAGAAGAAGAAGAAGAAGAAGAAGAAGAAGAAGAAGAAGAAGAAGAAGAAGAAGAAGAAGAAGAAGAAGAAGAAAGGAACTTGGCAAAGAAGAATGCATGAGGATATGCTCCCCTGATGATAGTGCTAGGACGTGGTCAAAAGAACCTGGCATATAACCTTGACATTGCTTCAGATAGAATAATCAATCAAAATGAGGTAAAAGGTACATTTTCAAGTGTTTCGTGTGGTTCGTGAATCTAATCTGCTTAGCCAGTCGATAACCTAAGTAACAATTTTCACAAGGCTTAGGGCCGCGCGGGCATATGTTAAGCGTTTTCTATAGAGTCTATGCATTCAAATTTTTGAAAGGTGATGGATTGGAATCTGGAAAGTGACCAATCAATCTATGAAAAAGTGATTAAACGAAAGGAAGTATTGATTTGGTCCACGTGAATTGTCATTGATTTTGCGCAGTCAATAAATAAACCAAAATCGGTGCTCATAAATTTAGACCATTAGGCAAATATTGGGCGTGGTTTAATGGTATCCACATCTTTAGATGGCTGAAAAGTAATAGATCGATCTGTGAAAAAGTGATCAATCGATTTGGGGGAAGTAATTGAATGATTTGCTGTTCCAATACCTCAGTTTTAACATTACCCATGTATTTGAAACGGGTTCCAAAGTATTTTCATTAAACTCCTTTCTAAAATCCTCCTTAATCAACCATAAACTAGGAGCCTACATAAACTATACCTGGTATTCATGAAGCTCTTATCCAAGTCATAATCGTTACATACTTCAACTACTAGGTGCTGACCAAAAAAGGTACTATTTTGGTGAGCACTCCCTAGGGTAATCAAACGGCATACGTTGTGGTCAGCGTTCCCTGCCCCGTCTTCCCTCCCCCAGCCATATGGTGGTGTGTCATTTGGTTTCAATTCAGGTCAGTAGAATGCAACGTAGCTTTGGAACTTTTGGGTATGTCATGCATATCGACTATTTCTTGGATTTCACCTCTAGTGGAGGTTCTTGACTTGATCTTCATGAGGAAAAAGCTGATGTCCTCTCCATTGATTATTGCCTTTACACAATGGTATACATGCCCCTAATCATGGACATCATGCCGTATTTACCCATGGAAATTACCTGGTCACTCCGTACGTAGTATCAACCATGGCCGTTACGCTATAAAAGAGGCACCAGACTGGTTGTCGCCATTTCGTCCAAAGCCACTAATCATTGATTGCCTCACCCGTTAGCCACACACCTACGTCAACTGGAAACACTAATCTCGTATGCGGTCTGACCACATCTTGATGAACCATTATGGTGATGTCATGCAACATACTCAACTGATATAGCTAAGAGAGCCATATTTCGTTCTGCTAGCTTGGTGGTATGAGATTGTTCAATGAAGCCGCAATTTTTCTCAAGAGTTCTGAGCTTTCAAGTGCTAGGCAGCGTCATACAAGCAGCCTGGAATCTTCTAGTGATGATGTAATGACGGAGATGGGTCGTCGCACAATTTCCTCGGACTGATCGAACCGGGATTGCCAGAATCAGAATCTGGAGTGAATATAAGCTACTTGTCGTAGATTGTCAATGCTGGCCACTCAAGGGCAAATAAAATGTTGGATAACACGTTCATGCGCGTAGGTTTTGATAAAGTTTGGAGTCCAGCTGGCACCGGCTGGGCCTATAGGATGGGTGACAAAGCCCCATATGCTCGAGGACCGGACCCGCCACCGCCATCCAGGTGCCACGGTGGGATGAGACTTGCTGTGCGACGTGTTCCTCGATGTTTCTCTCATTGTTTGCCCCACGACAGTAGCAAGGATTTCTTATCCTCAGAGCAACGGTTCGCTCTAATAGCCTTTTGAATTTTGATCGGTCAGTGGGGCCACTATATAATACAATTGGCAAGGAAATGATGTGCGTGCCTTGTAATATCTCGAGCTAGCTAGACCGGCATTAGAGTTCCTCAGCCAATCTGAACCAGAGCTGATATTGACTAGCAAAATTTCTCCAGTTTTGCCCAATAAAAGTGCCTGAATTTAATTGAGAACAGATCTTATCATCCGCACGTTCGTGCCTGAAAATGGGGGGAGGCGCGGATCTGGAATGAAAAACACAGATCGGCTTTCTCGCGAAAGAGAAACATGTGCTTCACCAATTAATTTGTGTTCCCTTGACGTAATAAGAAACAGTTCGCACCTATGTCATGATGCGCTAGTCAAGGGTTAGTTGCTGCGATATAGCTTTGGCAAAAAGTCGCATTTGCATGTAGACTATCTATGCTCTCAAACAATTATTGCACTTGACGCTCCTTTGGAAGTCCTACATCAGTGTCTTTATATATATTCTAGAATATCACCCTGTCTACCATTGAGGCTGGCTCAAGATTACTTAGTAATGTAGCTCAAGGATATCCTACTGCGAGAATTTGATAATTCATAATATTCATTAACCAAATTGGATTGTCGCTTCATGATGTACCTAACTCCTGCCAAAAATTTCAAAAGAACGCTTATGCAAAACTTTTTCTTCCGCTGCACAGAAAAGGTCAGCGCAGCTCATATAGCAGAATCGAGGGGTATGTGTCGTAGAAAGACAAACACCTACCTCCTATCACATCTCCTTGATTTGCTGAAAGCAGATGAACCGGGCTAGCTCGCCCCTCCTACTGGCCGTTTCTAACTCGGACACAGCGATCTCAAGTGATCTCATATCCATCTCGTCCTCATCCCCCATCAATGGCTCATCCGCTCCCGGAAGTAAGGGCAGCGCGGGTATATCCAAAGCATTTTGTAGCGTATCAAGGCGATACAAAAGGTCCTGCTGTGCTAGACGTTGCATGGAAGTACATGCAAGCACATGGCGAATGTCAGGCTCAGAAGCCCGGGCTTCTTTTTGAATCTTTTGTAAGGACAGTTCGCATAACCGGTAGGCTAGTTGATCGGAGTCGGTGGGTGGGTTGTGCGTTGCAAACGATGAAAGAGGCGTAGTCGGATTGACGACACGCAGCTGTTTTCGCCGCCGGTTGAGATTTGGAGAGAGATTGCGGGTGATAACTCTGGTAGCTTGCATGGCGAAGAATATGATGTTGAACAATGGTAGTTTTTGAAGAGGAAATACGATGAGGAGTTCAGATACTAAAAGCGTGGACTCCAGTTGTTCTACAGTCAATTTATTGGGTCATGGGCAAACAATGCCGCGTCATACCACCCCCAGAATACTGTTGTTTTGGCGGGAATTTGGCGGGAAGCCCCGTCAGTTGTCGTTGCATGGATTTCGCCACTGCATCATGCATCATGCCACCTCCGCACGGTCGTGCAGCAGCCTATGGGCCTATCAGAGTTAAAGAGGGGCTATATATTGCAGATCCTCGTGACTACACATGTTTGCTACACAGTCCTATGTCGTGTTAAATTCTTAACTTGAATTCGGGATTGCGACAGCGCTACACCCGGTGCGTGAAGCCCATGGTTGCGGTGCGTCTCAAAACGGGTGCTACCACTTTAACCCGCGAAAGTCAATGCCAGGACCCACTGTTTTGCCCCTAATACAGTGGATCCCAATTACCAACATATCGCATTAATATCAACACAATGGCTCACTATAACAACAACGCCTTTGTTCTCTTTGGTATATTAGCAGCCCAAAGCAACTTAAAATTTCTATGATGCAAACAAGCCAAACACCAGAGCCTGAGAGGGGCTCGAGTACCTGGGATTACTCTCCACCGTCAGCCTGCAGTCAACCAACATCGCTCTTACAATGCCCGCTACAGTCGCGCAAATTATCGAGCCCTTCGTGGACAAGCCCGAGTTCTTGGAGCGCATAGCCTTTCGAACGGTGAAGCCTCCCATCACCATAGTTGAACCTAATCCAGAATGGCCGCAACGGTTCGAAGCAGTTAAGGAGCGGATTCAAAAAGCTCTTGGGTCCTTGATCTTGGACATCGCTCACGTCGGCTCTACCAGCGTTTCTGGCCTACCAGCTAAAGACATTATTGATGTCGATCTGACACTGAATGATGCCACCGACGAATTCTCCTATGTGAAGCCTCTGGAGGGGGCAGGATTTCGGTTCCTTTTGCGCGAGCCACGATGGTACCAGCACCGGTTCTTTGTGGAGAATTGGCCTAAAGCATACCATGTCAACCTCCATGTGTGGGGTCTCGACTCACCTGAAGTTGCCCGACATCGTATTTTCCGCGACTGGTTGCTCAAAACGCCAGCGGATCGGGAACTGTACGCCAAAGTGAAACGTGAAGCGGCCGAACAGACGGTCATAGCTGGAGATTCGCTCGTGGAATACAACCAACGGAAAGAGAAAACCATACAAAAGATCCTAGAAAGAGCATTCCGTGATTTGGGCTATATTGAATGAGAAACTTAAGAGTGATTTTAACTGTCGAAACTAAAGATCAGTATTTGCAGCTTGCCATCGTCCGTTTAACTTTTTCCCTGTAATGTCTTGATCTTGACCTTGCCAGGTACTTCATATCTCTTAAAAAAATACTAGTAAAGCATTGCCTGAGTTGTTCTCACAGCATGTATTTCAATCGCACCTTATGTTTAACTTTTATAATACATAAAAACATCCCATGGAGCAGAGCAAAAACTAACCCAAATGCCATCAATTCCGTTCCACGGATTGTAACATCTATGTACCTATCTATACCTACACGTGGCCCGGTTGAACTGTATACATGTATGCCCCGCTTCATTTATGGCCAAGAGGGTAGATCATGAAAAATCTCAAATCAAAGTTCAGAGTTCGGTATCTCGCAACAACATCTCATAAAAGTATAATTACGGAAGATATACCCTTGGAATTGACCTCGGGAGGTCATGGCAGTCCTTCACACACCTGTGTCAAATCCAGGTCAAATCTCTACCTGAATAGACCCTGGCTTCATAGCGACCCCACAACCTTGGAACGCCTTTCCCGATTGCGACCCCGAATCCCCCGATACCACATCTAAGACCCAATTTTATCGGGATACAGCCTGAGCCGACCAATTTTCGTGAATAATGCATGTTTATCGCAATGAGTCACCGAAGTCGGCAGCAACACCCGATAGAAAATAAATTTCACTGCACCTTCGGTCGCAAAGGATCGCACTTTCTACTACCACGACTCCAAGCTATTGCAGCATGGCTACTGAGCACAAAAGCAGCACCGCAATTGCCGAACAGCCTTGTTACGCAACAGAGTATGGAGGGCTTTCGACATCCACAAATGTGCACGCCACCGTATACCCCAGTGTACATGACGAAGAAGCCCCGCAGTCGGTATTCTCCATAATCGAACCACCTGCGCAGCTCTCGACTGTCACAACGCACATTCTAGATCCGGTCCCTAACGATAATGTTCCTGACGGAGGTCTCCGCTCCTGGAGCGTGATTATGGGGTCATTCTTCTTGCTGATGAGTACCTATGGCTTGATGAACTCCACCGGTGTGCTGCAGAGTTATTTTGCGACGCACCAATTATCGAGTTACTCCACCAGTGCTGTGGGCTGGATCCCTGGTGTCTTTCTGTTCTTTGGGTTGGGTCTGAGTGCCCAGGTGGGATCGATGTTTGACCGGTATGGTCCGACAGGGATCTTGATCACGGGCACTGGATGCTATGTCGCAGGTCTCTTGCTTCTGGCGGAGTGTCGGCTGTATTGGCATTTTATTTTGACGATGGGGGTGTTGACCGGGACGGGTTCGGCACTTTTGAGTACTGTTGCGTTGGCGGCTGTGCCGCACTGGTTTGATCAGAGGGTCGGGTTGGCCATGGGGACTGCCATGGCTGGTGGTGGAGCTGGGGGTGTTGTATTTCCACTGATACTAAGGGCGGGGTTTACGAATTTGGGATATAGGTGGACAATTAGGATGCTGGCTCTGATCATTGCCGTTCTGTGTGGCGTGAGCATTCTGCTGGTCAGATCTCGTTTGCCGAAAGGTCGAAGCCGGTCGACTATCAATCTGCGGGCCTTCAAGGATACCAGATTCACTTGGTTAACGTTGGGAACTTTCAGTAAGGGCAATTTGCGTGTCGCATTATCCGTATCGGTCGATGAAGCAACTGACGTATATGCAGGCTTGGAGCTGGAGGTTTTTGCTGGAATTGGTCTATACCCAACTTACGTTGTGATGCAGGGGTTTAGCACTTCAACTAGTGTTATTCTTCTAGCCGTGCTCAGTGTGTATGAGCAATCATTTATCTTATTCCATGATTTTTCTTGGGCTAACGCATTGGATCCCTAGATTTTCCACGGTTGGCCGGCTGATGGCAGGTGGGATCGCTGATAGATACGGGCGCATCAACACACAAGCCATTCTGATCGCGCTTGGAGCCCTGGCAATCTTTATCATTTGGCTGCCATTTGGTGACACTTTACCTGGTCTGTATATGTTCAGCGCTGTGTTTGGGCTCGCATCTGGTTCTTTCTTGAGTTTAGCACCGGCATGCATCGGACAAATATCTCAGGCGAGTGAAGTTGGAGGAAGATTCGGGATTTGCTACTCCCTTGTCAGTATAGCGTGAGTACCAAGTCCTTGAGCACTTGCTGTGATCCAATAACCTGAGAATTTTTGTACCCACAGAACCCTGATCTGCATCCCAATTGGTGGTGAAATGTTGCAAAAAGTGGGCAAGAAAGCGATGGTTGGATATCTAGGAAGCGTGCTGATCGTAGCATTGGGCATGTTTACCATGGCGCGTTGGGCGTGCCTAGGCTATCGGTGGAGATGGCAGGCCAAGATCTAACCGGAGACACATCGCGCAAAAGAAGTTGAGGGAATTCAATCTTGAATGGTTCATCATTGTTGTGGTATTAGACAGCCATGCAGGCGCATCAAAACTAACCGACCAATTCAGAGTAATTTGTGAAGACAAATTTGCCATTCATGGGCCTGGAATAATATTCCCTCATTAAATCCATTCCCGAGGCCGAACAACGGCGATCGATAAGAGTGTCGCGCTCTAGTTTTTCTCGCCACCTTGTTCGCTAAGGAGCTCCTCCCTGGAAGTTGCATTAGTACCTTGCTCGATAAAACATGAACAATGAAGATTTCATACAAATGCTTATCGAGTTCCTCATTGTGTTTCCTTTGCTCCTTCAATTTCTTGCGTAGAAGTTCAATCCTGCAGGCACGAATTAGAGCTGTAGACAAGGAACATGGGGCACGCGGAATGAAACATACTTTTCCTTCTCGAGTTCATGGATATACATTCCTTCATTTGCGGCCTCGCGGCGGGTAAATTGATCTTTCCTATTATCCAGGTCAACCTCACATCGTATACGTATGGGCAAGGTCTAATATGTAGCGTACTCGGCCATGAAGCCCCGTGCCTTTGGGGAACCAACGTCTCCTGCCGCCATCATTGAGGGTATAGTAGAGAAAGATCGCTTGGTGCTTGCGCGAAGGGTGGACCGGATGAGGACGGATTGCATTGTGCCGAAAAGTGGGGGGGGGGATCGTTGGATTCAATGGATAGAGGTCCGAAGCTTTGCGAGGAAAACTTGTTTCGTTTTTTCGAGAAACAAAAAGGGTAATTTTGAGGTCGATAGTAGGTGCAGGAATCAAGGGGGCGGCAAGTCGTGACAAGATGAGTGAGTGATTCAGCAGGTGATGGCCGAATGCGGGAGCACAAGCTGTCATCGGCTTCTCCGCACTTAAGTGGATCCAAGTGGAGAACATCAAGGGAGTACGATCCCCATATATTACATCCCTTGAAGAATGATTATCTGGAGATGCGGAAAAAATGAAATGAAGTACAAAAAAGGCTGAAAGAGGAGAAAGGTCATGTCAAGAATCGAACTAGGAATTTTCAATCTCAGAATCGATCAAAAAATGAGGAAATAAACAATTAGGCAGCCATGTGACCATGTTAAAAGTCAAGATGGCTTCAACTCGGCCCTTTTGCCATCTTCAGAGCATCAACCCTAACTTCAAAAATCAACAATAAATAGAATAAAATAGATACAATCATTTGGAGTTGACAAAAAATTTGCCGATACCTAGTGGTAGGTCCGCTGCCCAGCTCCTCACCACGGCAGCCCCCGTTAACTAACTGGGCTTGGCCAGGTCTTCTGCTCGCCGTACCACGCAGTATCCCCATGGCTCCCATGGGTCCCGTGTGCCTGAAGTGGGGGCCCGCAAACCCAAGTGGTGACGATAGCGAGCTGGAAACCACTGGGCTACGTGGAGGCCGGATGGAATTCTACACCTTATTATGATACTTAAGGGAGAAAGGTATAACGCGTTTGGTTTGCCCACTCCCTTCATATCTCATCACTTCCTACCATTTTCCTACTTCCCATTCTTTGATCAATATCTGCTCCCCCAAGCCATCCCCGGTTTCCCACTCTCTTCCTCCTTTCCCATTCCAGCCTCATTCGCCCATCCATACGTACCCACCTTGACTTTCCGCATGAGTTTAATTTACTACCATTTCTACTCCTGTACTTGAACTTTCTGACTCTTTTTACCATGATCTAATATGGAAGTCTCATGGAACTCGATTGGAATGCCGCTCGCACAATATAAACACATTTCACACTAGAGAATGTACCTGAATCCCTTCTGCAACTGCCGTGCAGAAGCAAGGTCAATTCCCTCAAAGTCCGCCGTGACCTGCAGCCGACGAAGCTCCTTATCAGTAAGCTGATGATCCTCGTTCTCCAAGCGCTCCTGTCGCTTATTGAGCATACGCAGGTTGAGATACATAAACAAACCACACATTCCGCCAATCGCTTGGAGACCGATGCACACACCCAATGCGGTATGATAGTAAGGTGCCTCGGCCGCAATGTAGGTGTAAGGTGTCCAGATACTAGCCGAGTTACCAATTGAATTGATGAAAGCATAGGCCGCGGCACGCTTAGCAGGGGGCCGTGGAATAGCGTTGGCAATCCAGGAGTAGAGAGTGCCGTTCTGGGCGAATACGAAAACCATCAAGAACATGGAAAAGTAGCGGGGACCGAAAGAGCCGACAGTCATGAAGATAACGAAGCCGACGATGGTGATCACAATCGGGTAAACGAAGAACCAGAATCGGATTTCCATCTTGTCTGACAACCAGGAGTGGGCAAGACTGTAGAATACCATGAAGACGTATGGTGGCGCGACTAAGAGGAGAGAGATGGTGTCACTGTAGCCGAGAGTCTCGGCCAATGTTGGGAAGAAGTTTTGGAAGCCAGCGGCTCCGGTGATACACATGTAACCGAGAGCCAGGACGTATGTCTTGATGTCTGTCATCGCCAATTTTAAGCCCTTCAGCTGGCTCATTCCGCCCTGCTCATCCACGTCCGCTTCGGCGGCCTCAATCGCAAGGCGTCGTTCGGCAACGCGACGCATCTCAGGGGTGAGCAATTTCCACGTCTCTGGGAAGTCGGGGAGAATACAGATGATCAAGAGCCCAACACAGACGGTAATGGAACCCTCGATGATATATAGCCATTGCCACGCTGACATTCCACGCTTTCCCTTGAGTCCGTTGAGGATTCCAGCGGCGATGAGATTTCCAAAGGCACCACTGATCAAAGATCCGGAGTAGAAGATACTCATTCGGAATGCCAATTCGTTTTTCGTGTACCACTTCGATAGGTAAAAGAGCACGCCGGCGAAGAAGGGGGCCTCTAATCAAAATGGTCAGTCATTGTTTCTCCACGCCCCATTGTTCACGTTCCACTTACCGACCAGTCCCAGCAGAAAGCGACACGCCACAATACCACCATAACTCTTAACCTGGCTCGTCAGAGCTGACACGAGACCCCATGCACAAACGAAAAATCCCAGATAGAGAGATGGGCGACCCATGTAGTTGAGAAGTAAATTACTTGGAACTTGCATCAGGATATAGGCAACGAAGAGGACCGATAAACCCGTTTGGTATTGTGTATCTGTGAGATGAAGCTCCTCTGTGAGGCCCTGAAGCTTTGCGGCGGCATAATTATTCCTTTTCGCATGGTATTTAGTACAGGGCTGCCAGGGTTGCATGAAAATCAGCTTACCGGTCAATATAATTCAACAAGTACACCAACACAACCAGGGGCATAATCAATGAGTCAATGCGAACGCGCAGTTTGCGCTCAATGACCTTCTCTTCTTCGGTCAACGAGGCTCTGTAGATAGCTTCCTCATGGGAAACCGACGCCTTGTCCACCGCTCCGCGGTCTGGAACAACGGTTTCTGGCCTGAGGGCATAGTCTGTGATGTTCATGATGAAAGAAAAAGTCCCAGCCTATGGGATAAACCAGGGAAATCACGGGCAGAGCAAAAAAAAAAAACATCCCTAGAGCCCTGGGACGGGCCATCTCTTTATCGATTTCCCTTCGGGAAGGGGCCTAGCTGGTACAGACCATGACCATGTTACATGCTTCTGCATGATTAGTTCAATACGAGGAAGTTAACCGCCTTCCGTTATTTTGCCCGGCGATCGCATTTACCCCGAAGACAAGTTTCTGGGGTAGGCAGTGGGGCGTGGGGGGGACCAGTCCGAATGGGCCAGTGAGAGGGCGGAATAAATCAAGACTGCGGAGAGACACCGAGGGTTGATGGCGTCGTGACTATCGTGCTCGGCCAGTGATAGGTTGAACCATGTGGCACACCCCACGCGGTTAAAGCCACTTGTTTCTGGGGTACACAGCCAAGCCGCGTATGCCGAGGAGAGCTTGATGCACACGGTTTTCCTGATGGACCGTGCCAGTAATTTGGCCACCATGCGCAGATTTCAGGCATTTGGGTCGGAGTAACTCCGGGCGTCGAATAACCATATTGGGGGTGGATCTGTGGGATCTCTTAAGGTTTGATTGGCGATTTTTGACTTTCTTCCCCGCGCGTGTTTCTTAGCATGGTGTTTGCTCCGATGATCGTAGCTGCAGAGGTGACATGGAAACCGGCGCCCGAAGTTCTTTGTTCTCTGATTGACATCATTTGAATAGGAGAAAATTGGCATGCATATAGCATTTTCCTCTGTGGCTGGGTCTGTCTCATGGCCTTTCCGTGCGTGAAATAATACCCGACCACATGACCAGCTTCGTTTTAGCTTGTTAAAGCATTGAATGCCTTGGTCTTTCTTCTTGTAGTAGTAAGACTGCTTAGTTGAATTTGGATTTTCTTGGCACCAAGCCTGAGACAACTCAAAAGCTTCCCTCTGAAGCTCTTGTGGCTCCTTCCCAATCTCGCTGTTTTCGCCATGACAGCAATCATGGCCAAATGCATCGCCTTTTGCCATCACTGTCTCGGTGTTCTCATCAAATTTACCTATGCACACATCTGTGGTGACCATTTGGCTACTATTAAAGGAAACAACAACCGCGACTTAACGACACTTGGCTGCTGCACATCCCCATCAAATGAATATCAGGCGATGCCTTCAGTGTAGATAGCACTACCTGATTATCCTCTCTCTAAGGCTGCAGGAATGCCATGTTAATACTGATACTTCTCAATGAAACACAAGGCTGTTACCAAGTTAAAAAGTGCCGGCGATACTTTGAATGCCTCCATTCGGACGATCTCGCTATTACTTTTTCGCAAGCGGCCGGATACAAGTGTACAAAAATCACCTACTCCAGAATTTTCTCGATGCTGATCTTCTGTTCTATGAAATTTAAAATCTGTTCGGTGAAAGAGAAGCGAATCGAAACAAACAAAAGAAAAAAGGAAAAATCAAGACGAAGAGAAGAGATGAGATTTGCAAAAAGGGAGGTGTCATACTCGAAAATCGCGCCTTCCTCATTTGGATTCATCGTGCCACCCTAAAAGTATCTATGGATGGAAATTGCCTAATCTTGAACTACCAAGAAGATGTAACCCAATTATATCTGAGGGACCGGTATATACTGGAACAGCACTCCGAGTTCCATTATGAGCGCATGAATTAACTGAATAAGACAAGTCTGTACCTGAAATTAACAAAAGATGTAGTCTTCAGTTCCAGACCTTGAACAACTAGGTACAAACAGGCCCGGTAACTTCCCAAACCCGCCACATACATGCACCCTACCTCTCAGTCACTGACTAGGGGCAAATGCAAGTTGACCCAGAGCAGCACGAACCCGACACGAAATTGATCGTCAATTCCCCATCATCAACATTGTTATCATTTGGGTAGAACAGTGGTATACTGCCGCAGACCCCACAACCATGATCTTCTAGTTCCCGCGCGAGGGTGATGATCGACGAAGCCGGGGCGCCCCCGGAATTTTGGAGGAACGCGCATACAGCACCTTCATCAAGAGCCTCATTCTGGCAGGCGATTTGTTCGCCGTTGTCGTACCACCGGCTTGGATCGATCTGGTCGATTAGTTCGGGGGCATCGGGGGCGCCGCAATTGCTGCTGCCGCGGCAGTTTATGCCTAGGGCCAGGGCCTCAGCGGTAGAGGTGAGGGCTGCGAGAAGGACGTGTTCGAAGCGCATCTTGGATGGTGGTCTGGCAGGCTGTCAGTCGGTTGAATTGGAGGAAAGGTGGGCGGAGGTAGGTACTGCTGGGCTTTTTCTGATAGAATTGTTTCAAGATAAGCTTGAGATGATGAAGATGCTATTACTCGAAGGAAATATCAAGTTTCTATACTCTCAAAAGCTCTCTGAAATGCTTATACAGCGACAGGGCGATTTCCGGAGGTCAACTACGAGACATTGGCTTGAGCCTACGATACTAACACCAATCTAGCGATCTACATTGTGAGAATGAGATATTTATCAGCTCAGCCTTCATCTATCCTTGAAAATCCCGCTGAAAATAAGCAAAACAATGTCTGCTGCCGCGAACATCAGAGGCAACGTGATGAATCGAAGCCCTTCCTCTGAGACACTCCAGCAGGTAGCCCGTGGGATGACAATTCTGATGTAACCTAGCTGAGCCATTATGGCTATTTTTGTAGCATACTTGCAGAGATCACTCTCAAACATACACTTCAAAGTCTAACAATTCACCTGCCGATTGGTAGGGCTGGACAGCAGATACTACTAATAATTGCTTAGTACCGCACTAGTGCTCAGAATGACGGCCTGGTGGACAGCTGAGGTCGCCGAGGTCGCCGAACTCGGGCTGCATAGGGCAAACGACAGATTATAGACTATAAAGAACCAACTACACGATGATGCTCATCTATCTGCTATCCACAACTTCCATCACTGTCGTTATTCTCAAATCACAATACCAGAAGCCGAATAATCGAGATATCCTCCCAAGTACGTCCACAGCCAGGCAGCCATGAAATAACCAAGCTGACAACATTAAAAGAGCAAAGTGGAAGTATTACGCACGAAATGCATCTCCACACTATCCTCCCCCTCTCCCTCCTCCTATCAACAGCAGCAGCCCTCGGCATAAACTGCCGCGGAAGCAGCGATTGTGTCCTTACCGAGTGTCCCAGCATGGGCGAAGTCGTTAGCCTAATCGAGGAGTTTGACGACGACACTTGGTTCGATAATGGCGAACATATAGCATGCATTGGCTCTGGTGATGAGGATTACAGTCTTTGTGCGTTCTTGCAGAATTCGGGTGGGGCACCGGGGTCCGCTATTAAAACGCTTGCGAGGGAGCTGCAGGAGCATGGTTGTGAGAACTGTGGCAGTATACCGTTGTTTTATCCCGGCGACAATAATGTGAACGATGGGGAGTTGACGTTCAATGCTGTTAGATGAGTTAATCTTCCACTGGGTTGGTTGTTAGTGTAGCAGTTCTGGAGGAGGATCAGAGACATACTTCATCTGTTTCTCATCCCGCTTTGTAAACCCCCCCCAATCGGAACCCGAAGACGCGGCAGAAGGGCATCAAGAATTCTGGCCAAGGGTATTTTTCTTCGGCTTTGATGGCTGCCAAATTTTGGGCTGAATGTGTGTCAGTGGATCCTCCATTTGATGTAGGCCTTGTGGTGCCATCCAGATGTTCGGACGCGAGAGATGAGACCTACGCACGAACCATCTGTCTGCGATCCTCGATGCGCCGAAGTCTCCAGCTGTAAACACCGAAGTTTCCACGTAGTCATTTCATAATTTCTGACTAGTGAGCTTTTGTAGAAAGTGAAATGTGGGACCCGTACAAAGCGACGGAGCATTCAGCCGGCGCGGCGAAATCGGCGAGCTCGGTGAGCGTGGGGCAGTTGAAGATAATAAAACAATCATCGAAACTTTTAGCTCTACAAGATCAGAAATCAATTCCAAGCCTCCTTAAGTCATATTCTTGATCTACTATATTAAAGGGCACGAGAATCCATCCACACCATGTTCTCCAGATCAACAGTCAATAGTGGTCAGAGTGTCAGCATGTTCTCATCCGGCACCGTCTTGCGGATCTCCACCACCCGAAGACGTAGCTCTTCTGCTTCCTTCCATTGACCTTGGTTCCAGTATGTATTTGCGAGGTTATTTATGCTGGTAAGAGTGTCAGGATGATCCGGCCCTAGCACTAGGTTAAGGGCTTCCATCACCTGCACCTTTAATTTTTCCGCTCTTTTCCATCGTCCCTGGTTCCAATATATATTAATCGGAAGCGGCTACCTAGGTAATTAGTCACTTTGACTTGGCCCGGTTAATAATACACCAGATTGTCTTACGAGCAGGGAGGAATTCTGCTATGATCGAGCCATGAAAATGCCACACTATCTCATTTATGCTTTCAGGAAGGGGATAGGAACTGACCTCGTAACCGAGTGAGGGGCAGCTTCTAGCCCCATGAGGTGACCTTATGGCGCTAAGTGCTGCACGATGATCGGAATATATAGTAGATTCGAAGAATGGAGATACGACATCAAAGGCGTTCCTTACTCCTTTCACCGATCACTGTGTGAGAACCTGGTATGTATGTTCTAGTGGTTGTTTGTAGTGCTTGGTCTCTCATGCTGAACATGTGCTGCTGTAGGGCTACCCAGACCTCAACAATTGTCCGGCTACTCCTCTGCCGGTCTGGAGCGTCAATGGCATCATGATGTGGATCGGCGCCTGGTCTCTACGGTATACCAATCCTTCTGTCGGAGGCGCCAACTACTATGGAATGGTTATGTTCAACAGTCTCACGCACGTTATGCGAGCCATTCTGGATGGTGAATACAACGCAGGCCTTCTCAGCACTCTAGTCAATTTCATGCCTGCCTCTTATTACTTTTACTCTGTCATGTTGGCAGACAAGAAGCTCAAAGCAGCTGGAATCGCGCGCTCATTCGTTGTTGGAGTCGTCGGTCACCTGCTCTGGATTCTTCCCTACATTTGGATCGACAAGGGTTACATCAGCGAGATTACAGCTTGCGCTATCCAATTGCTCAACACCCTGATGTTGCACGTCGTTAATGTACCTATTTGAAGCCTGCGATCTCAAGTGGTATATAGCTCCCTATTCCGCAATATATAGTGCCAACCTTCTTTTATCTTTTATTAAGAACTAAGAGCTCAGGAAGTTCTCTAGCGATTATATCATAATCAATATAGACCTATAGTATCAGACACTATCACTGTAGTACCTTTGCACTACCACTCTTATTCATATCATCTCTAGAACAGCACTTCTATTCTAACACCCAAGATTGTATATCGCGCGATTGACATCAGCTAAAGGGACTACACTTAATATACTAAATATGTCTTTAGATGTATATTCATTTTTGCTTGATGATAGCTTCATCGATTGACCACCAAATATGCCCTAAAGTTTCAGATTATCTCATGTTTATATGCTTTTTCTAAGTTAACTCTGGGTTTAGTATAGCTTACTCATGAGATCGATCAGGTGATCCCGACCCGTACAGCGCGCTCACATTACATGCATTACAGTACATGTGCTCCAAGCTTGAATTTATGTTCTCCTTTTATGGAAAAATCAGTTACACGAAGAATCTCTCGTTCCTAGTCCCAGCGTTTCTGTCTTGGAACCTTGGAAATGTTGAGTATGAATCGTTTGGAATGACATAGTGCCTAGACCAAACAACAATTTTTGCACCAATCAAGACCTAAGAACATGGACAGTAGGTATTCAAAGATTCAACCCAAAATTGGCAAACTGTCCACAAAATCATTACGCGAAATCGAAAAGTTTGCTCAGGGAGGTGGACCACTCTTTTTTAGATAAACCGGTGGGATGGAAGTTTGGTACGGGTCGCGGAGGAGCTTGCGATCCCATATCGTCAGACATCCACAGTTTCTCTTCCAACAAATCCGACAGGTCTTCTTGCAGTCCCAACGACTGGCCCCTCATTACCAAATCAGGCGACTGACAGCCTCATATGTCTCATAATCTTCCATCACGCCAATGGTGTTGTCGCGTGGCGGACCCGGTCGCAACGGGCGGAGCTGAACCACTTTCCAATCGACCTATCGGAGCCACCATAGGTCAAGCTATTGAAGCTACCACCAACCCAAAACTGGGCCCCTGTGAAACGGCCCACCGCCCCGAGAAGGAGATCTCGGGGCGAATCTCACTTCCCTAAATCTCGCAGCGCCGTTGGTTGCAGCATGCTTCTCTCCTCTCCTTCCACCCCATAATCGCGTCCCCATGGTCGGTGAATTGCGCACATCCGCCCCCGACTCACGAGTCAGGAAGGCGCCAAACCGCCAGTCGCGCTCCTGTAAGGTCTGCCGACTCCGCAAGGTCAAGGTATGTCCCGTGCTCAGATCGCTTGCGACGGGAGGGACCGACGTTCCCGTACCGGGAGCCCTGTCCCACTACATACTTCAACAGGGGCCACCGAAACTAACGTAAACCCGCCAGTGTGACCGTATCAAGCCTTGTCATGCATGTTGCGCCCACGGATATCCGTCAAAATGCATTTACGAAACCGTGCCTGATGACGAGGCGCGCCCCGTCAGCCAGGCAGAGGAAATCCGAAATCTGCGGGCGGAGATTCGGGACTTGAGGACGAGAATAGATGAGAGGCAAGATGGTATGTGGACAGACCTTATTTACCTCTAGCGGGTACCTTCGGGAAAAATATCCAGCCAATTGTGGGACTTTTACTGACACGTTTGCTGCAGGGTCTCAGGATCAAGATCTTGAGCGGCTGGACCGGCTTGAGAGCTTATTTGAGTCTATTCGTTCTGCCCCGCTTAGTGTGGTTGACCACATTGTGCGCGAGGTTCGATGCGCTCATGGTGGGATGAAGAAAGATTTGGTGCAGGTAGGGCCATGGGAGGGTCATGAAGGTAAGTCAACCATTTCAGCACCATTAGAGCCAATTTTGCGCATGCTCACACAACGGCCGATTAGCATATGACAAATACCACAATTCCCTTGCTTCCCCGCCATCATCTATTGTTCCAATCCGCCAGCGAGCAAGCGACTCAAGCTCCGACCTCAATTTCAATGATCCTCCCATGTTTGACGATGAAGATAGCGAAGATCAAATGTCTCTGAGCAACGGGTCAGACTCCTCGGGTTCATCCAGTACAATTTATGTGATCGGCATGCAGCGGCCCTCCGTTGACGTATTCGTTGAGCGCTTTGTCGACGCATTCAGCCCGCAGGTTGACACCAAGTCTGGCCGCGCGGGGGCATTGAGAGCCGCCGCAGAGATTCGAATGTTTTCGCCACTTATCTCAGACGCCTTTGAAGCAGTCTCTGTGGCTTTCTTTGGTCGATCTATCCAGAATAAACAACTCGAAGCTTCGGGATTTCGGCTGTACCCCCGCGTTCTGCGTGAATTGCAAGATGCATTGATTGACCCAGAGCGTTCCAAGTCCGAAGCGACTTTGGTAACAGTGACACTTTTGCTTGCCTTTGAGAGTGTGGAGCGCACTACAAGTAGTGGTGTGCCAGCTCATGTTAGAGGTGCGGTGCGCTTGATTGAGCATCGTGGCCCAGAGAATCACATGTATGGTGTTGAGCATCTCTTATTTACTGAGCTCCGACCTTATTGGATTGCTGGTGCATGCGCGGGTCGAGAACCTTCGTTTTTAGCGCGCGAGGAATGGAAGACAATTCCATGGTCGGCTGGGACGACTACCAAGGATATCCTGCATCATCTACTTGATCTCGCCACGGAAGTGCCTGCACTGTTGTCCCAGTCTGATTCATTCAAAAAAGCGCAGCAGGATCCATCCGCAATGGGCGCCCAGGAAACTGCGTCCAAACAGGCTGCGCTTTGGAACGGGATCACCGATCTCACTGCTCGCTTCTATCAGTGGTATCATGACTTTGTCAAGAGCTACCCAGATGGCCCACCGCAAGAGGTCGAGCAGACGGAGGATCAAGACTTCCCTGTTTTCAAAAGACGAGATTTGCGCACCGGAGCTGTATACACACCAACCAGGCTCTCTTATCCCAATCTTCTCCTTGCACAAACCATGTGTGTCTACTACGCATTCCGCCTAATTCTATCCTCGATAGATACTCGCCCAGAGGATCGGGTCACCGTTCCAGAGCAGTACGAACTGGGATGCGGTATCTGCCGCACATACGCATTTTATATCCTCACAGCGCCAGGAAACATGATCAACCGCCTTGCGTTTCCTACACGCGTGGCATGGGAGGCTTTCCCTGACAATGGGCCCGAGCGGGCTTTTATGACTGAAGTGCTGCAATTGGTTGAGAAGCGCCATTCCCTAGCGCTTTGGGGCGGTGGCATGTCGGAGCTCTCAGCCAGGGAAGGCACCCCTCTTAACGCAGCATGATAATGACGATGATGATGCAGATGTAATTATCCATAATTTGCAATTATTGAGCGCTAGATATCCTTTCGGGTCCGGGTTCATGGGATACTCCCTAAAAGCTTACTTCAATTTATTCTATACGACAGAGCATTCAATTCATGCATATGCATCTAAGTAATCACAGTAGCCACGCAATAGCACGCTCGTGTCATCTTGGCGAGCCGAGGTGAGGACCGTAGAGATGACAAAAGCCCCCGTCCCAAAGCGCTGTCATTGGGTCGGACCTGCAGGAACACTTCCCCACCATGACAGAGCTAAGCTGTATCTGACCCGAGGGTCCACTATACCGACCAGTCACAGCTCCACATTTGCGATGTGCAATCAATAGTTCCAGGCACCAGGTGGATCCGACGCGATCTGGGAAATGAGCTGAAGAAAAGGAGATAGATCAGATCTTTCAAAATGTCACCGTCCGTGCCAGTTTCCCATTATAAGCCCGGTCCTGACACGTTCCATGGGTCACTTTAACCCTAAAAAACCCACCATCGCAATGCCTTCATTGCGTCAGTTTTTTACTTCGGCCCTGCTGGCCGCTCCTGCCGCCCACGCGACATTAGTCAACGATTTTTCCTGCGAGAGCGACTCCAACCCCATCGTCTTTTTACACGGTCTGGGCGCCACCTGGTATGAAGACCTGAACTACATGCAGGACTGGTTCCAACTCCAGGGCCACTGCACATTTGCCAAGACCTATGGTGCCTACGAACTTTTTCCCTTTGTGGGCGGCCTCAAGGCTATCAGCGAGTCTGCTCCCGAGATCGCCGACTACATCAAGGAAGTGGTTGAGAAGACCGGCCACAGCAAGGTGAACTTGGTCGGCCACTCGGAGGGTGCCTTCCAATCCCTCTACGTGCCCAAGTTCGAGGGCGTCTCGGACAAGATCGATAAAATTGTCGCTATCGCGCCTCCCACCCACGCCACTACCTTCGCCAATCTTTACGATCTCGCATACGTTGGTGGCAACCTTACTCGCGCGATCGTTGGCGATGTACTGGACGTTGTGGGCTGTGCTGCGTGCAATGACCTCGGCCCCGATGGCCCTGCTATCGAGCGCCTGAATGACGGAAAGCCTATTGCGCAGCCCGGAAACACTATTACCATCATTGCTTCCAAGTATGATGAACTGGTCACCCCGACTACCACTGCGTTCGTTAATGAGACGGGAGTCAATAATATTTGGGTTCAAGATACTTGCAAGCTCGATCCCGTTGGTCACATTGGCGAGGCCTATGACTGGAATGTCTGGAACTTGGTGAAGAACGCCTTGGAGGACACTCCTAACCGCAAATTCACCTGCTTGCTCGGATCTCCTGGCAAGTAAGAATATAAAAAAGGACAGGAGATCTAGCATCGGGGATTTGTCGCATTTTGGGCATAATATTTATATAATTTCGTAATTAGCTTAATTAGTCTGACTGCACATAAGAATCGGTTATCAAAGCATTGTACAGTTCTTTCCGAAATCAGTTTTACCTCCGCACTCCTGCGACTTCATTCGCGGAAAATAAATCCAAATTGTGTCGATTCAATTTCAGGACTCCCACTTAATAGCCTCATTACTGTATGCCCAACCTATAAAAACACATGTTTGCGCTGTCGTGGGGACGGTGCTCCACCTCGATCGCCAGAGGCCGTAGCCTAGATCAATCCTCCCTCCTCTGCTAGTGCTTATGTGATCACTAACGTGCTGCCCAAGGCGCTGCTTACCCACGTTCTTAGGACTAAACGTAAGCTATATAACCGACCAGCCTCCCCTGTTCAAGTGTAAGGTCCAGCCCTACCAAAGTTTCTTCACATTTTCACATAATAATAGCCCTATATCCGATTGCCAGAATGGTGTATACCCTTTATGAGGGCTTTGTTCTCCAGACAAAGCGTGCTCTAACTTCACTGTCACATATACTCCACAAAGCCGAGGAGCAGCCCAATGCTTCCAGCCTTCCATCCTGTCGACTCCACGATGACATGAAATCACTTAGCTACCAAGTGTTCGCGGCAACCATGCAAACATCGCTAGCTCTGGCTAAGCTGACAGCTGAATCATTCCCTACCGATGACACGAGTAAGGATGTTGTCTACACATATGCAGAAATGTACGCTCGCATCGACAAGGCGCTCCAAGCCCTCGACGCCGTTGACAAAGACGTTATCCTCGAACACTGCGAGGTTGTCGAGCCCACGCCTCTGGGAGGGAATATGCCACCCCTGTCTGGGGTTACATACGCATGCATTATGCAGGCTAACATCTTTTTTCATGTAACTACTGCGTATAGCATCTTGCGCAAGGAAAGCGTGCCTCTAGGCAAGGTGGACTATATTTTACCTTTTGTGATTTCCTGAAGCTCAGCGTTAATCAAAGGATTTGACTTGGATAAGTTGCACGGAACCATCAGTCCTTTTCGTGCGCATTTGGGTAGTCTGCATGTTGCCGTTGATCCTCCGAATGACATTACGTAGTGAGTGGCACAGAGGTAGCGTGTGTATCCGTAGAGTTTCATGTTAAAATACAACATCTATTTAGGAAGCGATTTAGGCACCAAGGGTGCTGAAAATTGGTTCTACTCATATGCCAGGACTCGTATATTGAGTTTTAATTTGTCCAAAAGTTGACTCGCAAGAGTCTCGAGGTAACATTGATCCCCAATATCACTGTCTTGAAGAAAGAGCAAGTTAATCCGTCACATTTGAGTGGCTTTGTTTGATGCGTGAACTCCACACCGCCTTCCTGGTTGCTCCAATTAAAAGGTAGTGCCTGACCGCTATCTCATCAGAGCCCTTTGATTGGGTGAAGCAGATTGGAACCCAGCAGAATATCCATGAGGAGGTCGTTTGATCACAAACACCCCAGTGGAAAAGATTTGCTGATTTTATTTTCCCAGTGAACTCTGAGCAGTCTCTAGTCATTTTTCCTCTTTGTTCAGAGACTGGAATCTACAATGAGACTTGCTCCCTGTCCCTTCGACAATCTAGAGGAGCGTGTCTCCTGAATTGGCCACACGACACTACACACACCTTATCTCTCCCGCAGAATCATCCACGATGGCCGTGCCAGAGGCAGAATCGGCGATGAGTGCCCAGATGCGTGAGATGAGGGCGCAGCTACAGGCACTACGGGAAAAACGCGAGCACATTGAGCTTCAAACCCTGCTTGTGAAGGAGAAGCAACGGCTGGCGGAGGAGGAGAAACAGCTGCGAGACGCGACGGACAAACTAAATGCGACCATAGGCTCAAATGTAGCAGATGGACAGCAAACTTTGGCGGTAGCTCCAGCTGCTCGTGATACGAGTAGTATGGTGGCAGCGTTCATAGAGTCGGTTAGGAGCCCCAACGCTGAGAACCCGACCTATACCAATGGACACACTCACAACGCAACGCCAGTCAACGGCGTCACTAAGAATGGTACTCGAGTTCAGTCAGGAACTGTTCCCCCACCGGGAAATACGCCCCAAGCTTCAAACCCTTCGCCTGCACCTACGAAGGTGGTACCACGCTATGAAGTGTGGAAACAGAAGGTGGAGCAGGAGCGGGCCTTGGCGGCTGCGACTGCTGCTTCAAAGAAAGCCAATGGGGCTTCAACCACTCCAAATGGAGCTTCTGCGCCTCTGGCAAACCAGCCAGCTGGAAAGCGCCTCGGCGAAGAAAACGATATGTCGCCTGCGAAGATCCAGAAGCAGAATCCAACCCCACCACAGGCGGGAAACAAGCCACAGCAGATGTCAAAAAAACAGAAGCAAAAGCAAAAGCAGATGGGAAACCAGCAATCACAGGCGGGAAACCAGCAATCACAGGTGGGAGACCAGCAATCACAGGTGGGAAACCAGCAACCACAGATGGGACACCAGCAACCACAGGTGGGACACCAGCAACCGCAGGTGGTAAACCAGCAACCGCAGGTGGAGAATAAGCCGCCACAGTTAGGAAACCCGCAACCACAGCCGCAGATATCCTCGACGTCTGCTTTGTCTGATGCTGAGAAGAGGCTGGAACAAAGACTTCAAAAGTTGCCTGTGGAACAACATAATGGACAGATCAAGGCGCCAGCTCCACCCACTGGGCCCCGAGAGCGCTCGCCACCAAGATATCCCAGGGGACGTTCGCCTTCGCCCTCTAGACCGGCCCGAGGGTTTTCTCCACCTAGATCAGTGAGGCCTCGTTCGCCTTCCAGATATAGAATGCGTTCGCCTTCCAGGCATAGAGCGAGGTCAGCATCCAGGTTTAGAGCGCGTTCACCATCTCGACCAGGTAGAGGCCGCTCCCCACCTAGAGGGTATAGACCTCGTTCCCCATCACGCAGACCCAGGACTCGTTCACCATCCAGAGAGCGCTTCCGCTCGCCACCGGCCAGCCACTACTTAACACCGAGGCGAGACCGTTCGCCCCCAAGAGCGCCCAGAGGGCATACACCAAGGATGGCCCCTAGAGCCCATACAACGGCGCCGCCAGTGCAAAGCCAACATATCCCACTTGCTTCGCCTCTGACCCAACGCCGGCATATCCAACTTGGATCACCTGTCGCGCCTTTTCAGAATACTTCAGCTCCTCCTGTGCGAACCCCGCCCAAGCCACATGTTCCCACATACGTGGCAAGCGACTGGCAGGAATGCAGAAACTTCACTTGTCACATAGAGCTCCACTTCCAGAAATTCCCCACATTCTACTGCAACGATGAGACGAAGATCGAGACCGGCAAGCTTGTGATTGCTGCACCGCTAGTGGATCAATGGAACGCGTACGCTGGACAGCTCCCAAAGGTTACTTGGTTCACCTTCTGCACCTTTCTCGTGGAGTTACTCCCGCCCGATGGGACTGAGGAGGAGTGCCGTCGCATTTACTCGTCAATTAAGCAAAGGCCCACACAATCTGTGCGGGACTTTGTTTTCAGCATGCTGCGCTACCACAAATACTGGAATTGCACCAATCATAACCGCCTGCGGCACCTTTGGGATCGGATTGTTGAACCCCTCAAGTACAACGCAGAGATGTCATGGAAGGACTTTCATGACTTCCATGAATTTGTCGAGTATTTGGAGGGAGTGGAGAGTTTTATGAAAGTGAATGGTATCTCCTTCATTGAGGGTGTGCCGAAGCCAGCGAGGTCCAAATCAGTAGGCCCCTCAAAGCGTAGTCGTGGGGGTGGAGACCGCGGCCGCGGATGTGGAGATCGGGGTCGAGGAGATCGCGGTCGTGGAAAGCGTGGTGGTCGTGGTTGAAAGTTTGATATCAAGTAGGTAATTATAACCCTTGCTAAACATTTATGTGAGGAATAGGGAAACATTTCGAAGCGGCTTATTAGCTTTTAACGCTACCATATTTGATGTTGTGGGAGTTGGAAAACTCGGAAATCTGGTGATTATTCTCTTGGAGATATCGATTACATATCAATCACCGTTTATTAGGATCAATTGTCAAGTCAAACACAAATTATTACATTTGATCTGAAACCTTTTGTTTCAAAGTGCATAAAACATCAACAATGTCCGTTCAGAATTCGGATTCAAGTCTGCTAGCCACCGCTGTCTCGGTCCGCGCCAGGGCCTCTTCAACCTGTGCTTGGGGTGCACATCGACTCAATATCCTCCGCCCCATTCTTCCTCAAGCTGTGACGCGACCCACACACACTCTCATCTCCCCACATATCGCGCAACTGCAGCTCCTAGTAACAGAAAGCACCGCCATGGTGGTATCCAGCCAGGATAGTTGCATCCAGATTTCCACGGCAGCAAGCACCTCTAATTCCGACGGCTCAGATACCATCGATCCACAGGGGATCTTCCACAGTTGGCCGTAGAGTCCTTTGAATGGCTCGTCTAGTGAGTGACGGGTCAGTGGGGTTTGGAACGGGGCGTGTTCTGTTGTGCAGCGGCCAGCGCAGGCCAGGAGGATTTGCCTAAATAATCCAGGCGTGCTTCGCCATCGTACTCTGGGTGCTGGACCAAGTAGACACGAATTGGGGTTAAGCTTCTTGTCAGACCTGGGAAGAGGTCGGCGATGGCCTGGATAGTACCAGGCAAGGGGCGGTTGTTGAGCTCGTCGATGTAGGCTTTCAGTTGAGGCACAGTCTTGATTTCTTTGTTTGAAGGGGACTGTGTTCTTATTCTAGTCGGTATAGAAGGTTCAAGGTTTCACGATGACTGTGGGTAACGTAGGAGGTCGAGTGTCGCTGTGTTACGATGCCGACCGACTGATCCCCAATCTTATGCCTTTTGTGTTCTTCATTAGTCTCTCTTAACCAAGCCAGTGTCAGTTCCAACGAGTTTGAGCGTTGTGTTAGGCTTGAGAAGTCGCCTACTAGGCCCTGCAGTGGTACTGCGCTATTCCAGTACTTTATGGCGTCGCCCCGCAGCAGGCCGCAAGGAACCGTGCGACACCATCAACCCAACCCCACAGCCAATCCCGGCATCTTGGAACTGCAAGACCTATTTGGCTGCTTATCTGATATGGTGATGCTTATCATGTCGCAGTTGCATCCCCGCCACATCCCAGAAATCACAGCTGCAGGACTCGGCAGTCGGGCAGCCCATCAGAATGCAGCGATTTCTCAGCCGATCAATTTCGCTTTTTTTCTTTTTCTGCGCCTGCGACCTTCGGTCGGTATCTTCGCCAATGAGCGGGTCTGGGTGGATGGTATCGTGATCGACTACACTCCCACCGCTACATTTTTGGGTCATGATAGGCCTTGCGTCGAAGATGACCCCACCCGCGTGGATCCTTCGATCGACAAACCATGGTTCAGCTTGGGTTCCCGCCTTTGTTGTTATCTTTATCTACTGAAGGGTCCCTCGTCTTGGGCAAGAGCATGATGAACAGTCCTTTGTGTATTCTAGCCTAAGGGTAATACTGTCGCTGTGGTCGCTTCATGAATCTGAGGAATTCGTCAGGGGGTCCTTGCGCTGATAATAGTCGCGTGAGCTATGGAAGACCTAAAATCTTCGGATTCAAGTCCTGTTTTAGGGAGACGATTGAGACCATGTCGAGAGAAGGTAGTCCGTTGGATACTCGCATTCTTAGCAACTGTGGTTATTGTCAAATCTTGGATTAACTTCGTTCTGGTGGAGAAGTTGCAGAATCCGGACCCATTGTTCTCCACGGGAACTTTCAGGTGGGAAAAAGTGCAGCCCTCCGAGTCGCTGTATTATCATGACTGTGGTAATGACTTCCAGTGTGCTCGCCTTGAGGTGCCAATGGATTATGAAAGCACAGAAAAACAAGGGCGAAAATTTGTATTGGCGATAGTGAAGATCCCTGCCAAGGTGCCTGTCGGAGACCCTCGCTATGGAGGTGCCATGCTGATCAACCCCGGTGAGTCCAGTGTCAAAAATCGGTGACAATCATAAATTTATAATTAAACAGGTGGTCCCGGGGGGCCTGGAACTTTGCAAGCGTTCCTGTCAGGACGACATCTCCAGACAATTGTCGATGCTGAGAATGACCCGTTCTCAGAGTTCGGCGGTCCCGATGACAAGTACTTCGATGTTATTGGATTTGATCCCCGCGGAGTTGGACAAACAACGCCGGCGGTGACATGTTTTCCTGATTCAACGTCTCAGCGAAATTGGGAATTGGCAGTCGAGGCCGAGGGAATGATCGGGAGCAGCGATGATGCCCTGCGAAAAAGCTGGCAGCGGACCCTTGCGCTGAACAAAGGCTGCTCGGTTTACGAGATGAATGATATCCAACAGAATGATTCGATGATGGCTTACGTCAACACTCCGCTGGTTGCACGAGACATGCTCACCATTGTTGAACGCCACGGGGAGTGGCGTGAAAGGGAAGGTCTCAAGGCACAGGAAGAGCATGACAAATGCCATGGCTATGACACCACGCGCTCAATTGCCGAGCGTACAAAATGGTACCGGGATCAAGAACCGCTCTTATACTGGGGTCGGTCGTACGGCACGGTCCTGGGTACAACATTTGCAGCGCTTTTTCCAAATCGAGTATCCCGGGCTGTGCTCGATGGAGTTGTTAATATGGATAAGTACTATGAAAATAGAGGGCCGAACGTCGTCCTTGATGCTGATGCTATTTTCGAGCGCTTTGGTCTCTACTGCAATACCGTTGGCCCAGATGGTTGTCCCTTCTACGTTGTTGGAGGCTCATCTGCCATTCAAGACGCGTACTGGGCACTTGAGAACCAGATCCTCAACAATTCAATTCCTGTTATGGCCTCTTCTACCCGGGGTCCTGAGGTTGTCACCTGGACAGACGTGAAAACCGTTCTTCGCATAGCAGTTTACCAGCCACTACTTGTTTTCCCTGTCTTGGCGGAGAAGATAGGCGCACTTGCTAATGGGGATCCTGTCCCCATGGCGGATTTCAAGCGTCGTCGGCACTTCAGTACGTGTCCTTCAAATGAATGCAGTATCATGGGACCGTGGTCTCCACAGTGTACACAAGGACAAGACAATTCGTTATATGCGATGTCTGCTATTCTGTGTACGGATGCGGAGTTTCTGGCCGAGAACACCCTGGAGAGCTTCATAGAGATGTGGATGGATCTCAAAGCTGATAGCCGGACGGTGGGAGATTACTGGGCTCAGATGCTACTTGCTTGTGCAGGATGGAAAGCGAGGGCGAAATACAAGTTCGAAGGTATGAACATAAGGTTTTCAGCTGTGAAAGGCTACAGTGCTAACATCTATGGTGTAGGGCCATGGGATGGCATTGTCACATCACATCCGATGTTGTTTGTTTCAAATACTCTAGATCCAGTCACGCCTTTGTATAAGTATGTTTTCTCGATTTCAAAGAACTTCCGGTATATCCAGATTCCTAACAGAAGAACAGTGCTCAACATATGTCCGATAGATTTCCAGGATCGGTCTTGCTTCAGCAAGATTCAGAAGGGGTGAGTCGCTCTGTTTCTCTGATGATTGAATCGCAGCTAAATATTCATTCAGCACACCACAATTGCCGCGCCGTCCATGTGCATAGCAAAGTCTCTTCGAACCTATTTCCAAACAGGTGATCTTCCTGACGTCGGAACCATCTGTGAGGCTGATCTGAAGCCAATGGTGGGACCTATCGACCAAATGCCGATAACCACTCAAAGTATGACTGCTGCTGATCGGAAGCTGTTTGAAGTTTTGATCGCAGAGACGAAGCGAGGATATCTTGCTCTTTAATGAATGAATGATAAATGATTTTCGTGGTCTTTAGCGCTTGTACGACATTTTCGGCTATATCCTTGATGCGACGCAAGGGGGGGAGGGGGATCTTTCGTCTTTCTTTCACAGTTAATACAGCGACCTCTATTCAATATATCCCATCAATGAATTCACTAGAATAAAGTTCATTATCTCTGCTATTTTGCCTACCCCTACTCAGGATCAGTAAACCTCGGACAACCGCGAACTCTATCAGTGGCGATGCGGAGAACCTCCACTGTCGACCTCGGCTTTACATCCAATCCAATTACAGCGATTACAGGCCAGTAACCCCGCAAATATAAACCTTGGAATGAGATTCAACTTCCAAGCATTATTCTCGACTTGAATTTACCATAATTTTATCACTTACCAGTCAAAATGGCACCCCCTATTGCAACCGATCTAGCCAGCTCCGTCAGCGCCCAGGCCCATGACCTGCACCGGACTGCTCGCGCCGAAAAGGCGAAAGTCAAGATGACTATGCTTGAAATGCCCGTCTTTGCAGATAAGGTCGAGGAGCGCGAGTATCTGAAGGGTCGACTCGCCGCCGCGTTCCGCATTTTTGGCAAATTTGGCTATGATGAAGGTAAAAGACAATCATGAATAATGATATCTTAGTCAATACTGATGCTTTCCGGTATAGGTGTTGCTGGACATATCACCCTTCGGGATCCTGTGGAACCAACGACATTCTGGGTGAACCCGTTTGGCACCGCTTTCTCGCTGATGAGAGCTTCCGACCTCATCCGGGTTGATCACCTCGGCAAGGTGATTGATGGCGGAGAGAACCGTATGCTCAACGCGGCGGCGTTCATGATTCATTCGGCTATCCATGAAGCTCGGCCTGATGTCATCTGTGCGGCTCATACGCACAGTCTTTATGGGCGGGCATTTTGCTCGTTGGGTAGACCACTTGATATTATATCGCAGGATTCCTGCGCTTTCTATAACGTGAGCTCCACTTCCTTTCTTCCCTCTTGAATGACGCACTGACCTTTGGTGCTTGAATAAGGATCATGTGATTTATACCCAGTTCAATGGAGTTGTGCTGGAAGAGGATGAAGGTATACGGATCGCCGAGACTCTAGGAAACAAGAAGGCGGCTCTTTTGCAGAACCACGGTCTGCTGACAGTCGGCGGGTCGGTTGAGGAAACCGTCTTCTGGTTTGTTAGTCTGGAAAAGTCCTGCCAGGTACAGCTATTGGCAGACGCGGCGGCTGCAGGCCGGGGTGGAGCAACGGTTAAAATTGACGATGCCGACGCGGCCCTGACATACAAAACAGTGGGGACTCCGAAAGCCGGGTGGTTCAGTGCGAAGCCATTATTTGACGTGATCCACCGAGATACCAGGGGTGAGTACTTGGAGTAGCTTGTCGTCTCGGGGGGCAGCTCCACATTTAGCTAGGCTGTCCCCTGTAAATAAAAGGCGGAGAATAACCCTGAAGAATGGGGTCTTCTCCACTTGCCAACATATGACAGCATGTCTAAATGAAAGACCTTTATTCGTCGGGTTTCCAGCCTTGTCTGAAGGGAATATCCACTTCTCGGACTATGCTCCGTCCCTGCATAGTTAGAATTAATGCGTCAATCAACGGTGCGCTATGTGGAGAACATATTGTTTTATCTGGTTAGCGGCCTCATCCTAATGCGTTTTAAGTTGAAACTTCGGGGTCTTGGCTGACACCTCTTTAATCAATCCACCACTAAAGGCTTCCGCGGCGATGCGAAGCAGCAGTACAAATAGCAGGCTAGGAACCATGTCACCATTGTAGCAGATCATCTTCATTCAAGTGTGATTCCTTCTATCGTGAAAGAAAATACCGCCGCTATGCAGATCATGCTTCCTCTCCTTGCCGGTGCTGGCCTTGCTAGCGCTGGCCTGCTCAATGGACGTGCCACAAGCGTCAAGAGAGATAGCTGGGGTGGAAGTGTGTCGCTCGGTCCGACGAAGTCCACCATTGTCAATGCCGTGACCACGATCATCCCCGGTGCGGCCCCTGCTACTCAGAATGGAGAGCTCTTCTTGTGGCCCGGCATGTCCAACGGTACCGGTGATTTGATTCAGACGACCCTGGAAAGCTGGTCTAGCAATGCGTGGTGCGGTGCGACCACCGGCCAGTGGTGTGTTCGTGCCAGTGTATTCGGATCTTTCGGTCAGCTCGACGGTGATGGAAGTCCCGTTAGCGGAACCGATCAGGTGCGAATTGAGTACAACCTTGAGAGCGATGGAGAGACTTGGAAGCAGTAAGCAGATCATCCTGAAACAATTACCTACGTTGAAAGGAATGAATAAGCTAATGCAATTAGGATTGTGACCAATGTTGAGACTGGAGATTTGCTGTCTACCTACTCTATCGCTGCCGGACCGTACATGACTGGGTGAGTCTATTGGATCACGGCTGTCTTATATCAATTAACAAGAATTAGATACGGAACCGGAACCGAGTGCAATGATGATTGCACCGGTACTATCGCTCCTCAGAAGTACCTCAACACCACCATCACTCTCAAGTCTGCTGACACTACCTTCGGTGACACCATTGCTACTGCCGCTGGAGCCACTTACACCGGACTGGCCTCAAGCCAGGGTGGCAAGGTCTGGACCATCGAGGCCATGAACATCCCTGCTATGTAGAGGAGAATTCGCAGGGTGCAAAGACTGCGGAGTGAAGAAACTCGTGTACTGTATATAAAAACATTATGCTTGCTTAAGTAAACCAAAACGCCTTATATACATGCATACAGAATCAGCAATGCGCATTACTCCTTATAATCCAAATTCACAACCAGCCGTACCGGTCCCGGAGAAGCAGCACCTCCAATCCCATCACTATGCCGCTCCGATTGTGTATAAGCATCAACAACCTTCTTAGCACCAGACGTAAGCGTCGAACACCCTTGCCCATCAGCTTGACAAATCCGCATCCCCTGGACATCTTGGTGAGCAAGCTGCGCCTGGATAGCAGAAACATCCCACCCGGACCAGCCACTATTCTCCAAGTCCCCAAAACTGAACTCTCCCCAGGTAGACGTATAACCACCAAACTGGTCCGTCGGAAGCCCATCGGTTCCAGGCGCCGCACCCCATGCACCCTCCGAGTCCTCGTCGAAGGCGACGTACCGCGTCTCGCCGGGTCCAAGGACGAACGTCAATGCAGAGTGTCCATACCACCCGTCCAATTTACCGTCTGGTCCGACTTTGTTCCAGACAATAACTGTCCATGGCTCTGCGTTCGCACCCGTGAATTGGGCTACGTATTTGTACTTGTGGGCTTCAGTCGGGCTAACGGCGATGATGTTGCTGCCCCAGGGAATGCCGACGTTGCCGCGGTATTTAATTCCAGCGCCTTTTGGAGCGGTGCGGTCTCCGAATCCATCTGTTGAGGCTTCTTCTTCTTTGGGGACTGATGTCCACTGGAGGTCTTGTGGCAAGGGCTGTCCGTTGAGATCGAGCACTTCGCCGATTGAGTTTAGAACTGGCTTTGTTGTTCCTGGGAGCAGTTGCGGAAGACCGGGTAAATTTGGGAGGTTTGGGAGTAGTCCATGTGCAGGATTCTTGGATTTATGTCCTACGGCCTTGGCCTTTCCCTTTGCCCCTTTGACAGGTGGCTTTCTCGCTTTCTCCTCCTGCTGTAGCGCCTTTTTCGGCGTGCCCTCTTTGCCTGGCTCTTTTCTTGCTGGCGCTTGTCTGGCTGGTGGATTCTCTGCATGTACCTCCCTAGATGGTTCGGTGATATCAAGGGCAACTGTCACGGTCGCGTTACCAAACCCAGACAAGGATGCAGTGACCGTAGTTGTGGAATGAACCCCACCCGTTGTTTTCTCCAACATGACCTCGCGAGGTGGCGCAGTTATATCAAGCCCGAGGTCATCGGGGTTGCCGTACTCAGGGATCGAGCCGATTGTCGTGGTTGCGGGTGCTTCTGTCACAACATTCACCACAGTTTGGGTCATGTGTACTGTTGTCGTGAGTTCAGGCTCTGCAAAGTGTGCCTGCTTGATAGCGGGGTATGTAGGCTCAGGAAGCATGTGAGTTGGCTCCATCATAATGTCTTCAATCACGGTTGTTGTGACATAAATGGTATTCGTTGGCGCGCAATCCTCGTAGACCGTCGTTGTGATGGTGCGGAATTCGATGATCATGTCGGCCGGAATTCGATCAGCCCATGCCAAGTCCCTAGGCTCGAGTTTCTCGGCGTGTGGCATGAGATGGCCATGGCCATGGAGATGTCTGTGGGACGCCAGGGCGTAGTCGATGCTGGCGAGCATGAGCGGTATACATTTACTCCACCGCATGGCGAATATTGCAGATGAAGATTTGCGAAGGCTTTTGAGGTGAGATTTTACAAAGCAATTGTAAAAATCAGCTTCTGTGAGCAATTGTAAATATTAATGCGCTGAATTTGCCTTAATCCATGTCTAGAAGATCATGGTCGCAATAGGTGTCGGATGCATGTCTAGCAGGTAGACACGCGATGAGCGGCGCGAGATGGTTTTGTAGTCTTGGCTAGGTACGCGACAGTCTCGCCCGGGGGCGAAGTGGAATGTTGAGTCGCGTTGGATCTTGGAAGGGTGATCTGATATGGATTGTAGCAGCCCTGAATTCCTTCCTATCTTGGCTGTCTTGGCCCGCGCCCTTTCGACTATTAGCCAACGCATCAGCAGTATCTTAATTGACCGATCACATTTTCTCACTAATTGATTAATCTCTAAACATTGCTTAACTCAGTCTCATCTAGTTCTGCTCGGAGATCTCCGATGTGAACTGACAGTTCTGTGGCCCCTAGCGTGGGACATTCTCGGCCCTGGATTACGCCTCGATTCACGACTACACGTGGAGTCCTAAGAGGTCACATCGACTTCTTTGGCATTTAATGGCGTAGGTGGCATTTGATAATTAATATTATCCATTTGTTTCATCGTTCCAATAATTTCGACCTTAGAAGGTACCAAGTTCATCGAAAGTTAATAAGGATACCAAAATGTATATAAGCATGTCATAGTGAGACACCCCGCGATATTGGAATATGGGAGCGATAAGGTAAAGGAAAATCCAGAACAGGAATTCTTAAACCTTATGAACGTATTTGTAGAGCAGACAAAGATTGATCTTCTGCAAGCCAAGGGTGATTTGTACCGCGTTTCAAAGTTTTGTTCGGGGTGTGAAACCGGAAGATCCAAACTCGAGTATATGGATAACTTCGATTTACTAGTTCTGCTCAAAATCCCCGGAAGAAGCCACTGGTCTCATGAACATTAGGCATTCTTTTCTGGGGTGGCTTACATGCCTTGGGGATCAATCCAACTGAAGGATTGATGCGGTGCTCGTGCCACGAGGCCACGATGGTTTAGGGGCTGACATCTGTTATTTTATTCTCCTAACATTCGACTGCTAAGTGCTTCACGTTATGGTAAGGGGGTCCACGTGGCCATTTTCTTACATGAAGCCCTTCACACTCCCCTCTATATGTTTACTTTCGTCCCGCTCAGCCATGAGGCTATTCGCATTCCCGCCTCCCTTTTTACCCACTGCAGCCCTTTAATATCTGAGGAAGTTTATATCACGTTTTCATTCTTCGTATTATTCAACCAGACTTTTCCGAGATATAATGATAATGACTAGTCAAAGTCGCTCCATAACCCCGAACCCTAAAGCACCTTAAACATGATATTCATCAACTGGTTAACTAGCCTTGAAGCTGATAGCTGGGTAACATTGAGCCGAACAACTGCTATCAACGTCGGTTTTTATAGATAGTAAGCGTCTGGAATTTTTCCATAGCCTCGAGTTTACACTCAATATTAGAAGGTCCTTTGTGATTGGTGGATGCTCGAGATATTATGGGGCCATATGTTACTGTAACGGTCCAGATGTCCCGAGGTCGCACGCTGTGCAAGTTGAACGAATAATAATAGACATTTGATCTCGCTACTCAGTAAACTTTCGGAACTTATCTCAAGGTCAATCCCGTGTTTTTATTTCTAATGCCTCCGACTGCTACAACTTTGATATCTCCAACTCCGTGAGCCAATGACCACCAGGCGACTATCAGCGGTTTTCAACGCTAAACCACAAACGGGAAAAGTCGCGCCCAGTGGGTTGCGCTCAACCAATCACAACCAAACCCCCATCTGGCGAAAGATTTACTCAAAAGAGTTGCCAAGGGCTGGGGATGCGGAGTGGGTATATAAGTCCTGGATAATCGCCGGGTCATCCAGAGTTCATCTTGTTTGAATCATTTGATCGGATCCATTCATCATGGCGAGCCTCCACCCCTTTGACCCCATCACCCCGGGAGAGATTCAATTGGCCGTTCGGATCTTGGAATCTGCCTTCGCGGGTGTCAAGCTGCGATACAAGCGCATTGACCTTCAAGAACCCATTAAGCAAGATGTGATTCCCTACATTGAAGCCGAGAGGCTGGGTAAGCCTCGACCGCGCAAGCCTGCGCGTTTGCTTGTGGTTCTGTTCCACCGTTTGGACAATGGGTCCTTCTACAAGGCCCTCTTGAATGCGGACACAAAATCCGTTGTGTATGCCAAGGAACTTCCGAAGGATGTCCAGGTATGCAATTCATTCAGAGAAAACCTTACCTCACTTACTGACAATGGACAGGGCCCGCTTGATGTAGATGAAATGCTCGAGATTGAGGAAGTCTGTCTGAATCATCCAGCTGTTAAAGCGGAGATTGAGAAATTAAAGCTTCCGTCCGGCATGACCGTCTGCCTGGATCCATGGATTTACGGAACTGATGATGCCAAGGAGACCCGTCGCTTATTCCAGTGCTACATGTACATTGTGGCGACAGACCACCCTGGCAATAACCAATACTCTCTTCCTTGCCAATTTTCTCCAGTCTTTGATGGCATTACTCACCAACTTGTCCGCATGGACTATCTGCCTGGTGGTGCTGATCATCAAACCACAGAAACACAGCCATGGAAGCCTGTGCCCACCATTCAGTACGCCCATGAATTGTTGGATGAGCCGTTGCGCACGGACCTGAAACCATACATTGTGCAGCAACCCGAGGGTGCTTCTTTCAGTGTTATCGGAAATGCTGTTTCGTGGCAGAAATGGCGATTCCGCGTGGGCTTCAATAACCGTGAAGGATTGGTGTTGCATAACGTGACGTACGACGGACGTAACACGTTCTATCGTTTGTCGTTCTCGGAGATGACCGTTCCATACGGAGGTATGTGATGGTTCTTTCAATTCAATTGATTCTCATGGAATATAGCTAACTGATATAGATCCCCGTGGTCCGTATCACCGGAAGCAAGCCTTTGATGTCGGTGATGTTGGCTTCGGTATCACAGCCAACCAGCTGGCGCTGGGCTGCGATTGTCTAGGTCATATTAAGTATTTCGATGGTTACCGCACAGATGCCCAGGGTGCTCCTATCCAGCTCAAGAATGTTATCTGCATGCACGAGCAAGACGCCGGTCTCCAGCACAAACACACCAACTACCGCAGTGGCGCTGCGACCGTCGTTCGCAACCGGCAGCTGGTCGTGCAGATGATCTGCACCGTCGCCAATTACGAGTACATCTTCGCTTTTATTTTCGACCAAGCAGCTAATATTGAGCTGGAGGTTCGTGCGACCGGCATCCTTTCCACGGTGCCTTTCGACAACACCAACGGACAGACAGTACCATGGGGTACTAATGTTGGTCCGGGTGTCATGGCTCCCTTCCACCAGCATTTGTTCTCTCTGCGCATTGATCCCGCTCTGGATGGCTTCAAGAACACCATCTACTACGAGGATAGCGTGGCTATGCCCGAAGATGATTCGAACCCTTGGTCGGTGGGCTACACGACCGAGAAGAATATTATCAAGCAGAGTGGTAGCGCCTTCACCAGCGTGGACCGCCACCGTGTGTTCAAGATCCGCAATGATAACATTGTCAACCCTATTACGCATCACCCCATTGCCTACAAGCTGCAGACATCGCCTAGTCAAATGATGCTGGCTTCGCCAAAGTCATTCGGAACGAAGCGTGCTCAGTTCGCGACTCGTCCGATTTGGGTCACCAAGTACCAAGATGATGAGCTTTACGCTGCAGGTGAATTTACGAACCAAAGCAAGAGCTCTGAAGGTGTGGAGGTCTGGGCTGGCAGAAGTGATGCTGTCGAGGATGAAGATGTCGTTTTATGGCACAGTAAGTTTCTTTTTTCTGATATCCAATTGTGTAGATATTAGCTCACATTCTCTAGCATTCGGTCTTACCCACAACCCTCGCATTGAAGATTTCCCTGTCATGCCTATGGAGCGCGTTAGCGTTATGCTGAAGCCGGATGGATTCTTCACCAAGAATCCTGCTTTGGATGTGCCTCAGTCTTCGCAGTCGTTTAACAAGTCTACTGAGCACCCTGAGCCGACGTGTTGCTCAGGTCCCCAGGACCGGAACCAAGTGAAGCTATAAGAAGATAGAATAGTCACGATTCATGAAATATTACACAGCTGGAATATATAGTAAATAATCCAACAAGATTAGCACTGATTTATTATACATCCAATTGTTCAAACAGTCCTTTGAAGCGAGATTATCGTATCCGAATACAAACCTTAGAGAAATGCTGCTGCTTCTCTAGGAGCTCATAAGCCTGCTTAGCCTCTTCAAATTCGAAGACCCGCTCATCAACAACAGGCTTGATCCCTTGTTTCGTGATGAATTGGTTCATCTCCCGGAATTGGTCCCGGGTCCCAAGGAGAAATCCACGTGCTGCACATACATTCCATAGACAATCCATCATATTCGGCACCGATGGCCCTTCCTCTTCTTTTCCAAGCATACCCGCCAGAGAGATCAACCCGCCAATGCGAATCGCCTTGAGCGACTGTGAAATAGTCGATGAACCACCAACGTCAACGACAATATGTACTCCTTCGCCGTTTTCAGTTATCCCTTTGGCCGTGGCGCCCCAGTCGGCGTCTTCTCGATAGTTTATGACATGGTGGGCACCAAGGGCCCGGAGTCGCTCTGCTTTCGCCTCTGTGCTTGTAGTAGCGATGACAGTTGCGCCGGCAGCCAAGGCAAACTAATTTTTATGTTAACGAGGCCAGAATTCAAAGCCAGATGGACTTGAACATACTTGTAAAGCTGCAATGGAAACACCGCCCGTCCCTTGGACGAGCACATAGTCTTTATCCTTGGGTCTGTACCCCTCAACACCGAATAAAGCATTCCACGCCGTAAGCCCGGAGCATGTCAATGTGCTTGCTTCAAGATAATCAAGCCCTTCTGGCATGTGGACAAGAGCTGTTTCGTGAAAAACTCCATGAGATTGTAGCGTGCCATCGAGTTCTTGTCCAAGACCGTGGCAGATATCTGCCATGGACGCTGGTTTGGAGGGAGGGAGATGTGGCGCGAGGTATGTGCATACCCTGTCACCGGGCTGGAAACCTTTGACGCTTATTCCGACTTTTTCGACTACTCCAGCACCATCTGAGCCTGGAATCACTCCTGGCCGGAAGAATGGGAGGGGAATTGTGCCCTGGTTGAGTTAGTTTGGGCGTTGTATGTTGTTTCAAGTGGCGTACCTTGGCCAGGACGATGTCTCGGTAGTTCAGAGATGCTGCATGTAATTCTACTAAGATGTCATGCTCGCCCAATTGGCGGGTTGGATGATTATCAATCAACTGCAGGCTGTCAAATGAAGATTGACTTGTGAGGACCCACGCAGGACTGGAGGTAGAGGCCATGTTGCGTGAATTGGCCGCAAATACCCTGATATTGTTGTGATTAAATGATCAAGTAGTAACATGGAGTCCAGAAGAAAAGAAAAAACAAGCAATCAATGTCATACTCCTCATTGACCACTAGTGGTGTGCTGACCAAGCCGCGAGACGGGGGGAGAGGGCTTGGTCAGCACACCAGTGACAATTTAGAGCCAAAATGAACATTATCCATGGTTGTGATGAAAGATGAAAGGATGAACATGATTCAAGATTGGACCATTGAAGATAAACATGATTCATAAACTGACCCGCAAAGCCCTCGACACGAGTCAGTCGCACCACTTTAATCGCTGGTTCCATGTCAATAGATGATTCAAGCAAGGACATGGCCCGATTTCTAATCATTCGACGCTTTAATTTCCAACTGTCTGACCCACAGCTCGGCATTGACAACCGAATGCTTCCTAAAGAAAACCTTATCCATCAAAACACGGTGCACCTCCTCATCCCGATCCATACACAGATCCCGCAAGATGGTCACGCCGTAATCGAGGTCCGCTGCCTGTTGAACAGTAGACAAGACAGCACCACTAGAAATAAGTCCCGCGATGACAATGTGGTTGGTGTTTGCGCAGCGGAGAATCATGTCGAGTTCTGTCCCACAGAAAGCAGAGACGCGGCGCTTCGTGATGACCGGCTCTTTGGAAATTGGAGTGACGGAAGCATGAACTTTCACGGAGGGATCGCCTTCTTTGAAGAGTCCACGCGCGGCAACGCTGGGGATGAACGAATTGGTTGGCCTGCTCTCAGGGTAGCCGTCTCGGAAGGCTGTGACGATATGCACGATATTCAGACCATGATTGCGTGCTGCAGTGAGAGCTGTGGTCATGCCTTGGAAAAATGACTCGGGGAGTTGGAGTTGGTCAACTATGCCGTTTTGCACGTCGAGGAGGAGCAAGGTGGTGCGGGTAGCCATTATGGGTGTTTTGAGGGGAATGGTCATGGGAGCTTTCCTGGTCGATTAGTTTGAGCGTTTTGAGAAGGTAAGACGAAATGAAGCAATTCATCCTGTAGAAATAAGGATTGCGATCCCGGTTCCGCTGTGTGTGATGATCGATCTGTCCCGGTTCCGGGATACCACCAAGCTAAGGCATTGCAATTCGAGTGCTTGAGGTTAGGTGCCAGCTACGACACAGGGAATCAAATTCACTCTCGTCAAACCAGGCATCTTCAGTGAATAATCAGTAAGTCTCTCACAGCAACAGGTTAGTATGTGAGACTCTTCGTTCTTTGAAGTTTAGCACCAGTATATGTGTTTCAATTTCTAGTTTCCCAATTTGACGCAAACTCTTTCTCTCGCGCGGTATCACAGGTATTCCTGATCGTGAAGTAGGAAACTATAGGACCGATCGTCAAGCATAGCATTGTGAGAAACAGGCCCTGACCCTGGATTGGCCAGTGTTTAGAGCCCGATCGACAAAGTGGAGCCTCAAGGGCCAATCCCATAGGCTCCTCTGGAAGCCCCCATGTACATCATCTCCGCATCCATTTCAAGATATCAAACCATTTCGCGTTACTAGTCCAAGCATTCAGGATTCCCAATTAAAGTTCGGAGCTCAGTGCCATGCCTGGGACAGCCGGAGCTTACATAACAACGACGTCGTCTCGACACGCAACACTTCAAACTATCTCCCAGTTCTCATGGCAGCCATGATCCCAAGCGCCCCACCTAAAAGTTCGCATACTTTATTTATATGGGCGTCCACACCCTCAAAGTTGATTAACAACCATGGCGAAGGTCTCATTAACGCATGGCAGAGATAGTAAGTCCCCGGTCTCGGCTGACCAGCGTTGAGAGTGCGAGCTAATCAACGAATCAAGAGCATCTGAACCCCGTCGCACGACTCAACGGTCGTGTTTTCGATACAGACCCCGTCGTCACATACATGCTACTAGAAATGTCACAGGAGGAGCGCCTTGCCTATTTACCTATCTACTGGACTACACTCGTCAAGTCGGCTCTGCTGAACGATGCGGTCATCACCGAGGCGGATGGTTGGAAAGCTGCATCCGTTATTATCCCACCTGGAAAATGCATTGATAATGTCTGGACGCTCATTTATGCTGGATTCCTTTGCGTTCTGTGGAGGCTTGGCTTCTCGGGGTTGAAGGTATGTTCTGCTGAGGATGGAGGCGAGAGACAGGACTAAACATCCTAGCGTCTTTGGACGGAGTTTTCCGGTATGACGAACAATGCCAAAAAGAAAGGACTGCGCGGTCACAAGCGGTACTATTACATTTTCAGTATTGGAACGGAGCCTGAGTACCGTGGGAAAGGTGAGCCTGACCAGTTGGGTCTTAGTCTCAGATTTTAGATGCTGACGTAGCGACAGGGTTGGCAAAAGCCATCATGCTCGAGCATCAGCATACGGCCCGGTGCGATAGTGTCCCTATATGGCTCGAGGCTACGAGTCCAGGCTCTCGTAATCTCTATCTGTCGTTAGGATTCAAAGAGATTGAAGAGATTATCGTTGGTAAAGGCAAGGTTGCTGCAGATGCTACAAGACAGCCAGGTGGTCCGGGAATTCCTATCTATGCGATGGTATGGTGGCCGGAACAGGTGCACTCTGCGCCGTTATGATTCCACACTCTTTGTACTTGTGCATCCATACAATATACTTATGAAAGATGATTCGGCCATTTCGTATCTGTGTCATGCAGCTGAAGCCATGTCTGATAGGGCAGGATGGTCTGAGCTGATATAGCCACAGGAACTTTTGGGTGACGTCGAAGTTCAATGCCACATATCACAATTCTCGCTCGCTGATGCCATGGAATAGGTCACATTCTTCTTTTCGCAATCACTCTTTTCTACTGTCCGCCTGCATCAGAAGTATGCAGTTTGCTCAGTATTGGCAATCGAAGACGGGCGTCTTCAAGTGGCGGTGAGAACCATACCAATAACTCTTGGCTTTATGTCTTTGCATTGAGCCTGCATGCAAGGATAGTTCGCATCCGATTCTATCATTGAGAATTTCCTTATCTGCTGTCCTGATGGAGCTATTTTTGGATTCCTGCAAGACCAAAAAGCTCTCGTTTCCATTGTTTTGTTTTATTTCCACATGAGAGCAATGTGTTCTCCCAAAGGAAAAAAAAAAAAAAAAAAAAAAAAAAAAAAAGAGACCATAGAAGCTGGCTACAGCATAGCAACCTCGGAAGCCGAACGCAAGCAGGAAAGAAAACCAGTAACTCACCCCGACGAACCAATGATGCCAGAACCAAGCCAATAGAGCAGACTTGTACGACAGCACCCGGCAAATATTAGCGATCGCAAACCAAAAGGAATGTGGCCCGTTGCATTTCTCTTTCGGCCGGTGGGCAGCTCACATTGTGATTTCGGAGATCGACCCCGTCGCAGACACCACCCTAGATGTATAGGTTTTGCCCTGATCTCTGGAAAAGGTAAGGCCCGGATATAAGGACCCATCGCATGACATTGGGCACCCCGCGAAAATCGGGGATTGGGTCAAAGCCCGTGGAGCCAATGTCGATCAGACGATCAGCGGTGATTTCTCGGCCGGCCGAAGGGTCAAGACTCCACTGAGCTCGCAGGGTGAGGCTACGCTACGCTTTGACGTAATGGCAGATAATTAAATCTTAGATTTCCGAGGCGGTCCGCGCCGGGTCCGAGTGCGCTTAGGGCGCCCCGTGGATGGAGATATTTAGTTGGGGGCGATTTCTCGAGATTTGGATTTATTTGAAACGTCCGAAGGTCGGGGACTCTCCTGAACTGGTATGAGAACATGGTATCAAGTGAGTCTACGTGCTAGCGAGGTATGTGCAAATAATCAAGCCTTTCCCTCCCCCAAGTCCGAAATGCTTCCCCCTCCAGCGTTTGGTGGGCGTGTAATAACCAAATTGGCTGCAGTGGGGGTATGTGACCCGATCATCAAGGTTCTCCGAGCAAAACTCCTGTAAAACGCCATGCAAATTATCTAAACGGCCGGATTTTGACCGCTCATGCTTGGGAATAACATGACATCCGACACGCGACCTAGGATATTGCGCATGCTCCAATCATCCATGGGAAGCACGGAACCACCAGCAGGTGCCAAGCTTGGAGCGAACTCGGGGGTGGTGTCGACCGATGGAGGAGAAGGCAATATAAGTGGTGAGTAAGATTGGTATTGGGGTTGAGCTGGGACACTCGACGCAGGTTTGCGGAGGCGGAATGCCTCTCGGATCTCACGCAGGGCACGAAGAGACGAAGCAAGATGCTTGGCAGAATCAGTGCGATTGTTATGGTTAACGTCACCATCGGCGTATACGTGATCTGCTAGGACCTTCTCTAGGCGATCAATGAGTTCCCATGTCCGCGGGCCATCGTCATTGGTGATCAGCAGGAAAGCCGAGGCAATGGATCTTTGCAGGCTAATCCAGGACCGAGAGCAATGTGAATTGATTTCATGCAACTCCACAAACGCATCCACCGTGTCAATTAAGCTTCTAATACAGTCTTCCCGAATCAATGCTCGACGATTAGCATCTAAATGCGCATGCGAATCCAATGACACTCGACACAGGACTGAAAGAAGATACGAAGCGTGCAGTCGGAGCTCTGTTCGTTCAATATGTTCGGCAAGCGATCGGCATTGTTCTCGATGGCGCAGATGCGGCGCGGCTTCGACAAGCATGCGCTGAATGCGGTGCTTGTATTCTTGAATTTCATGGAACCGGGGTTGGGAATGGTTGGGGTGCATTCGTGACCGCAACACTTCCAATGCAAGCGACACGACCCGACAGAGGGTTTCGAAATAGGATCGATGCCCCGGCATCGATTTACGGTCAAAGGGAATCTCGGGTTGGCTGACCATGGTGATAGACGGTCGATCATAGGCGAGTGAAAAGTGACTGTTCTGGAAAGCCATTGTCCACCTGGCTGGGTCAGCTCAAATCCATCGTGAAATGAGCGCGAGCTTCAGCTTACCAGACGCGTCTTCGGACGGCTTGCTCTTCATATGAGAATCCGGTCGTTTCGACATGAAGACCGAGAACCAGACACATTCGTTCTGTCATGCCAAGTAATGTGTAGGACGCACCAGCGTTCATATTATATGATAATACATTGCTGATGATGAGTAGGATCTGTATAACCTCTACCGTGGGTTGCGAAACGTAATTCAACATTCGCAAGCACTGGTATGCGCAAGAGACTGCATCAAATGTCAGCATTGTCTTCAAGTGAAGATCAGACTCAGGAACGCACCGTATACCCATGATGTCAGCTCACGGTCGCGCTCGGGAAGATCGGACAATTGACATCCCGAGGCAAGAATCGCAAACAGTAAGCTGAGGAAGGACAAGTTCATTCCAAAAGGCTTAACCAATCCATTGGCGTCTGGTTTATAGGCGCCGCCGGCCCGTTGCCTCCCCAAAATTATCTGATTCGTCTGTTGCTCGATCTTGTCAAGATCCGGTAGTACGGGGTACAACACCGCACCGATATCTTTATAGAACTTCACAAATCTGAGGATGTCGTTAGCATGGCTCCTAATCATCCGTTGCCAAACACCTTACCTCCGGCATTGTACATCATCCGGAAGAACCGCGCATACTCCAGCAATGTTGAATGTGTAGGGATCGGATGACCAAAGATCCACGAACGGGTATGCGACCGACTCATTGCCCAGCGCCAGTTCGGCGAGAAGATCCTCCTGAGGTAGCGCCTGCGCTGTATCCTCCGAGCTCTTAGATTTGTCTAGAATATCTACCAAGGCGGACCGAGCCCCAAGGTGAACAGCGCCAGTCGTCAGCACATTCGACCCGTAGACACCCTCTGACCGGATGGAATCTTTCCGCTCCAAGCTACGATCATCGGTTCGTTTCTGGGACGAGTGTGTTTGGAAGAGGGAATGCAGGCTTCCGAGGATCTGTTCCATAGCGGCCATCTTGGTATTGATCTCATCCCACTCTGCCTGCGAGATGTCAATAACCTCCGAAGGATCCAGGTCGGGCTCATCGCTAGTTCCCGAAGGCGCGTCGATGGTGTAGGAAGAATCTCGTTGAGAGTAGGAGTAGTATGGGGCAACAGCGGGCGACGCAAACGACGATTGGAGCGGCGTGGGAGAAGGGTTGAAAGTAACCGAGGCCGGTAATTTGGTGGACGGCGGGCGACCGTAGGAGCAGGTGAAATTCCGCTTGACGCAATTCCCGCAGGGCACTTCGCGATCGCAGCGGACCTTACTAGCGCGACATGGCAAGCATGTCTTGCACTCGCGTGGACGGCGGCGGATGGGATACGTCGGCATGTTTTAGAGCCCCGCGGGGTGGTCTCGGAGGAGAAAGAGCTGAGGTCAGGCTGCCTGCAGCGAACGAAGGACAAAGAGCAGCATAGATTAGCACAGGCTAGTGGTGACTAGTAACCGTAAAAAAGCGAGGAGTCGAATCTCGGGTAAAAACCGATGCAGCTGTGGCGGCGTATGGTGGCAGGTCCGTGAGCTTGCCCCGGATGTTGGGAAAAAGCAGAAACTGAGATCGACGGGCCCGCAAGCGTTAAAGGCTGTCGCGGTGTATAAAGTGCCGATCACAAAAGGTAATTTTGCGTTCGACAAGCGCTCAGGTTATGAACATGAAATGGATGATTTCATAGGGCACGCTCGTCCCTTGGTTCGTGGCGCCTAAAGCGGAAATTGTTTTGGTGGCGTTTCCGTGTTCTTATGTAGTTGATGTTTTCCCCCACTTTAACCAAATAAACATGAAGTTATAGTAATGGCTTTTGTCATTGGTCAAGCTTTCAAACGTTTTCTCGCTATTCTCCTACCATAGCTAGAGCTTCAATTGGAAATACTTGCTAAGACAAAACACGCAGAGTCATGCTATGTAGGGATAAGAATCTCGCATGATCACGGCTCCGGCTTCTGGGCAACCTGCGGCACGCTCCACCAGTCATGCCATCGGCTCTTGGTCCCGATCTCGGGAATGGTCACCTGCAATTCCAACTTCTTCTCGGTCGAAAGATTTTTCTTGACCATCTCAATCGCAATGCTAGCTCCGATACAGGCACGCATGGTGTCTTTGATGTTACGTTGCCAATCTGCTTCAATGGCAGAGGCAGGAGACTGGCCCACCGACGGGTCCTCCACAAACGCGCCAAAGGCAAGTGTCGCCTCCCAAGCTTTCCGAGCCTCAGTGATCGCCTTCGAGGCACGTTCCAAAATTGTAGCATCTGTGTCTCCTTCCAAGGTCGCCTCGCGCTGATATTCTTCAAATGGAACCAGCTCAGGAAGAGAAATCGGAAGGAATGGCTTCATGCGAATTTCATAACGTAACTTGTCCGTCGAGTAGGCATCAGAGCCCGAGGCGGATGGAAGGATTTTGTGTCGCGCAAGGAGAACATATAGTGCATGAAGCGCAATCGCAAAGGCGTCCACCGCAATCAGGTGTGTCGTCAACCTCTCCAGGCACCGGAACGATTTATGAAATGCGGAAGCTCTGCGGGCTGCATCACCCGCCCGACTACTTGTTAAGGTTAAATCTCGTCTCCGGGCAGCGACCATAAAAGTCCGAATGCGGTCTAAGTGGCCGAGGTGCGTGGAGCATATGTGCGAGAGGTACCAGTACATCCCGGGAAGCTCCTCTGGGGAATAGATTGCAAGTTCGAATCCCATTTGAAGGATAAGCTGAAGCTGCGTTAGTTTCTGGTGATATGCCCAGCTACTGAGCGGGTATGAGTAAGTCGGCTCCCCACCCCCGACCTGCAGTGGGAGCTCCCCGCTAAGGGCTTGAAGCTGCAAATCAAGTTCCTCGGCCTTCAGAAGGTGTCAGTCTAGATATTCCTTGATTGACAGTTGTTAATGACTCACTTCCATCTGCAAACTATCCCAGTCCACGACTGTATGGCAAATGGTTCGACGAACCCGACAACGGTTCAGACAAGAGCATCGCACCGAGTCCACGAAGGGCTGTATTTGATTAGTATTAGACAACATGCCCGTTTGGCTGGATAGACATACCTGGGCAAATCGTTTCACAAAGCCGTCCATGTGTCGGGCGATTTGGAAACGGGGATCCGATGGAAGTTCCACGTCGTCTGTATTTGCCTCCAGAAGGATGCTACATGGCAGTACCAGCTCTGCAAGATCGTCAAACAGGAATTGTTTCACTGAAACGGCACCCAAGATGGTCATGTCGCTAACGATCAATGCCTGAATGAGACAGCGAATATATACTGATGGCTGAGGTTTCCGGGACATAAGAGTCCATATGGCGGTCTATGGCTCAGGTTAGTATCATAGAATATCAATTCAAGCTTTTTCGCGCCTACCTTGAAGTTGGTTGGGCCACGATAGTCGAGTATCTGCTGCATATCAATAGCATCCTGGCAGAGCCGTTTTGAATGAGCAAGGGCATCTTCATGGCTGATATGCACAATGGGACGTGGGGGAACAGTGCTGGCGAGTTTCCGTTGGATCTTCAGGCTAAAGGCTTCCGGCACAGGTTGGCCAAGCGAGTGTGACTCTTTCTGTTCATCAAGATGCGACAAACATGCTGTGAAACTCTCTGTTGCCCGAGTTTCCAAAATGTCAAGGTCCTGGTCCAGTGCAGCCAGGAAATCATATCTAAACAGCAGTCTGCAGCGAATGGCGTCCTTGAGCCTTTTGTCCATATCCTTTTGTTCATCCACCCACGCAACCGCCTGGTCCAGCAGGCGGTAAAATTGCGATCCATCAAAGAGAGACAAGAGGTTACGATTATACAGCTGGGTGACAAAATCCTCCTCCTAACAGCATCGAGTACTATCAGCAACTATCATGGACAAGTTCCTTGCTTGACTCACCTCGTAGTAATACTCAACCGCCACTCGAGCATGGACAAAGTCGCAAGCCTTGACCATTGCAAGACAATATGCTCGAAGCACAAGGCTCACAAGGATCGATTCGCTTGGCACGCGATCAAACCGAGCGTCCTCCATGGTCTTTGGCACTGGCGACAATAATTTATCGAGGTAGATAGATGTGAAAAGTGTTTGCGAAAGAGGATGGCCCATATGCCATGCCATCTAGACATTCATCAGCATCAATTAATGCCATATGAGAAGGAGCACACACCTCGTGGCAAAGTAGCTGATCCATCAAGCCCACAACCTCCTCTGGTGTCAATTCTCGCCGCACGTCGTAATCGTCTTCTAGCGCCTGCGCTTGGTTTTCACCCGGGGCAATGTAGCCGCTGTCCATCTTGGAGTCCATGATCTAGACCAATGCCAAATTCTCGTCAGCGTCGTCTTGTACCGCATGTTTATTTCCCGGTGTGACAAGGACGCACCTCCAATGCGCCCACGGCTTCGAAGAGGGTAAACAGCTCATCTTTCACAAGCTGACCCGTTCGTAACTCTATTACAAGATAAAATTGTGAGTTCGTAAGAAGAATTTGTGAGAAAGGGCCTATTTGTGACTTATTGTGACTTACTTGAGGCGGCCTCCGTGAACTCGGCCGTGATGTCGCGCCGAGGAGCGGACGGCGCAACTTGCCGCGGGGGCACTCGAACCTCATTATTCGGCAGCATCGCAGAGGAATATGAAGCTCTGCAATCTGCTGCCGGCTCTTGTCATGCAAAGAAAGAGTTTAACAAACTGTAGACGAGGTCTGGAAGAAAGCAAACGGATCGAGGGGTGAGTGGGGGAGGCCGTGGGCGGAAAAAGTGATTCGGGCAGGCAGACCGGGTACCTGTGACGTGCAGCTGCGGCCGACCACCAGATCACTCTACAACAGTGCTTTCTTACTGAATTCACGAAAATTCACAGTTCAATGACAGCAAGTATACGATGGGATAAGAAAAGAAAAGCAGAGTGCGATTTCTAGGCCATGTCTATCCCAGACAGACCTGTATTGCTACACATATACAAGTTGAATGCTTCCCCGGAGTCTCTTCTCCTTTGCCGCTCACGCCCGGGTCTATCATTTCTCCAACACACTCTCACGGTCACGGAATAGCTCGTTGCGTTTGGTCGTCTATTTCTCAGCGGCCTTGGCAATGGCCTCGTTGTTGGCCTCGGCGAGCGAGCGAACGTTGCCCTGCTTACCGCCCTGTTACCGGTTCTCGTCAGTTTATCTGTCGAAGCTCCAGGAACTTGGTTCTCAACTGACCTCCCACTTGGCGAAACGAAGGTCCATCATGCCGCGGCGCTCAGCAGCGAGACGGGGCTCGTCCTTCAGGGACCGGCGCACGGTGCGGGCGGCAATCGCCAGGTAGCGGTTGTAGCTAGAGCGGTGTCAGAAAATCAATTGTTGAAGATGTTATTTCCCGGTGTTACATACGTAAGGCCGGCGGCTTTCCAGGCAGCAGTCATTTTGAATGGTGTGGAAGGAGGAAGTGGTTCGATTGAAGGGGGTGAAAACAGCTTCGGGTGAGTTTGGAAGCGTTCGACTTCGGAGGATCGGGAGTGGTGATCACGTGTATTGAGATATCACGTGATTTCATAATGTGGTGAGAGTCCGGAGAGCGTTCTCTTGCTCTTGTCTCGATAGGGAGCAACTTTGGAAATTTGTTCGTCTTACTGTCGCTAATACATGGGACTCAACGCAAGATTATTCAATTCCTGGCGTTATCAATCAATCGCAATGTTGCGATATGACAGTTGGAAAAAGAAAGGTGTACGTGATCCATAATTTCCGCGAATTTACATCAAGACCCTAGAGCCAGGGCGCAGTATCCTTAAAACAGGTCAACAGGTCTTCCGCAGATTAATTTTTCAAAGGCCATATTTCTTCCCATCCAAGGCATATGTTGTTATGCCAATTGAAAATTGGCCCGGCTACATTAGAGAGTCAATTGTCGGGTACTAGACAGTCTAGACTCTAGACTTTGAAATACAGATAGCGCAATGTCTGGTTATTTCTATTCTTAGCAATTGAAATGCCGTCATTGTGCATCCAAAAGCCTAAGGTATCTTAGATGTTGAGCATAACACACCTGTAAGTCCTTGGAAAGCTCAAGGTTCATAGCCTATCCAAACAGAAGAGCTTACTCGAATCCCCCTTCTTTTATGGGATTGCAGTTCTGGACTTCCTAATTATGTTAAGCTGTTGTCATTCCCATACATTTCTATTATTGTTTTTTGGCTTCAAGGAGTTGAAATAATCAAAGCACATTGACTACAATGAATATTCCTGTCATTGATCACGACGACAATGTATCATGTACACTCGATGTATATCACGATATAAGGCAGAAGACATAGTACCCGAGGTAGTCTTCCTAGACTTTTCTGTCCGGGAACTTGATGGCTAGGCGCAATTGGAGTAGGAGTGGACAATGGTCCTAAGTTATAGCAGCTCTTGTGTGTATTTTGTGCATCTCCAACATGTCAAATCCTAGGCCGGGCTCTATACCATTTCACTGTTGATGATAATGTCTGCACATGAATTTATTTTTCTGCACTTCCACGCAGAGTAGCAGCAGCCCGATCTCACTAGCGTGTTCTCAACGCGCTTCTCTTACCTTTCTTCCTCTTCTTCTTCAGTTACCTCCCCCTCACACCCCATCATCTTTCCCTGCCATAAACACGCACTGCGTATTCAAAGGTCAGTGAATAATGTCTCCATGCCCATATTCGCTTCCTCTGTGGTGCTCGTCAGTTTCCTTGCCCCATATCAAAAGCACGGACACATGAATTTTCGTGGCAACTTATGACGGGGAAAGGAAGCCAATATCAAGCCTGATATCTTAATCCTTCTACCCTGAAAGATGCTGCTGCCTCTTCTAATAAAAAAGAGGTTCGATACATGAGACCGACCATATGCTTTGCATCGAGGTTCAGCAATTCGATGCATGACATCGATCATGTGCTGGGCATCGTGGTTTGGTTCTCAAGCCAAGAAATTGTCCACGTCTTCGTCAAAAAGTGACGATCTAACTCTTTGCACATATAGGCCCTCTCTAGGCAGCCCAGAATGGCCCCTCTAAGCGGAAACCAAGAAGAAAAGAGAAAGCACAGTAGTACCAAAGGCCGCACGCTGGTCCGCTGGGACAGTGAGTACTCCTTTTGGACTGCAGTTTGTCCCATATGGAACTTTTGTCTTGTTTTGTCACCGTCTCTTTTCTCTGTTGCGTGTCTGCACAAGTCCTTTCCTGCATGAAGTACCTTTGAAGACTGCATATTCAATGTGATTTCATGTGGTATGAGCAGGACATGTTATGAGAAAATCATAGTTTGTGGAAAGTGCTAACCAGGAGAAAAAAGATGACCTAGATATTCAGCTTTTGCTTACCGTCCAACAAGCATGCAATTCCACCGGCGTTAAAATCCCATGGGATCGGGTTGCTGCCACTATGGGCCCGAAGTTCAGTGAGGGTGCAATCATTCAGCATCTTTCCAAGCTCCGCATTCGTCGTGAGAATGAAGGAAAAAATAACCCACCGTCTCTGCGCCGTTCTGTGGGAGGTGGAAGCACGGCAATGACCCCAGTATCGGGATCTGCGGGCACCCCGAAAAGGGGCAAGAAAAAAAGAAAGGCAGCCACCCGAAAACATGATGACATGCCTCCGCAAAATGAGATTGAAGGGGAGGACGATGAATACGACAGTGATGAGGATGAGGACCCTTCGTACAGCACCAAACCCAAGCGTGGCAGTGTCAAACGTACCAACCCCAAGGGAAAGAACAACAAGAGACGAAAGGCCGCTACCAGTGAAGTCGAATCCGAGAAAGACAATGAAAACAACCTGGTGTGTGCTGGAGCACCTTTCCTTGCATTGAAGGGTGATACTGAGTCTGGCTCTGAATCCGATGGCTCTCGCGATGAGTCCGCAGAGGGTGATATCGTGGAAGATATGGCGCAGGAAAAACGACAGTCAAAGATGGTCTCTCTGGGTGTTAACCCAGCTGCACTCCAGAATCTCCAGGACTTCGGCAGTGCCATTACTGGTGTGTCCACGAACACCCTTAATCAGCAGGCTCCACACTGGGATCAGGGCCTTTTCACTGAACATAATACTTACTATGGTCATCCGAATTCACACCTGGGTCAGTATGGGGGACTCACGTATGGATACCCCTCGCCTCAGCCGCTGGCCACCTTCCCCGGTAGCCCTGTATTCATGCCGCAAGGCTATGATCCCAGCATTGATCCCAGAGCCATCATGACTTCCGCTCCAGGTGCCCCATATGCGCAACAAGGAGGATTTGTGCCAGGTTTCAGCGCTTTCAGTAACTTTCATCAACAATCCCCTCAAGTGATCGCGAGCCAGCCTGTGGAGTCCAATGAGATGCCTGACCAGAACGTCTTAGACTACATGTGGACCAGATCGGAGACAGGTGAAGGTGAATCGCTGGATTGAACGATGGCAGTGACTGTGGTTAAAACCTTGATCAGGAGACACAATACCTTCAGCTTTAGGTACAGTGGTTTCTTAGTTCAGGGGTGGCCAGCAGTTGTTCAAAGGGTGTGAGAGAGAGTTGCATTTTTACTGCCTTTTCTTCTCGTCTGATCGTGTGGTTTAGGCCTCAGGTGCTCCCGTGGATTTCTTCCGTTTCAAACATTTTGCGTTTCACTTTCGGCTGCTTTGATGCAGAGCTTCGTTCCGTTTTATTTCAGTTCCTTTGATTTCAGTTCCTTTGATATGACAATGGCGTCCGGTTTGAGTGTTGATGCTGCGAAACTTTCAGTCGGAGCAAAGGGTTGAGGAAGCTGAGAGTGTTCCAATGTGAGGTCAGGATTTCAAGGGCCCCAGGGTTGAATAATTTTCTGAAATATTTCGAGCAACTTAAACCTAAGTAGCAGATTATCGAATTACATTCTTACATATTTCCACGGATTTGATTATTGACAAGAATTTAAAGGCCACCTTGTCCCCTTTTGTGGCAGCTCCTAGGTAGGAGATGAACTCGGGCGTGGTCCGCACCTGGCATAGTAGATCATTCCATCTGAACGATTCCCGACTGCGCAAGTGCAACACTTGATGGTTCAATTATCAGAAAATCATTGGACAGATTCTTCAAAAAATTTTCCAAGGCTCTGATGAATTTACGGCTACATATTCAAGTTATTGGAGAGTCAAACTCAGGCATGGTTTGTCATACTCACACCTAGGCAATCTACACGCAATGAAGGTTGTCACTAGTTATCGGTAGCTGCATGTGGACCTTGGAATTATACACCGAGTCCCGAGTATATATTTTGCCGAGCATAGCCGGGTCAACTATGATGGTGTCCCTTCCACGCTCAATTACCCACTAATATCGATAGAGATGACAGAATCAAGTGAATAGTATTTATAGTGATAGAAGATGTCCATGAGAATACAAACACCACATATAGTCGTGGAGACTGAATGTCAATGCCGTTGGCCCGGACCGGCCTCGGGTAGTCAGGTGACCTTCTAGCTCTTTCTGCCGCCAAGCTCTCTGGGGTTGGGGAAAGAGAAGCGCTTGGAAAATTTTCGAGACTTTGGCTTCATCTCCAGCTTTTATCCTCCCATCCTTCCTACCCACCCGTGTCCAATTCCCATCGGGCATTTTCTCTCTAATTCATATTATTGTTTTTAATTCCGTTTGATCTTTTTTGTTTTCCCTGAGCCATGCAGCGCGCGCTCTCTTCCCGGACTTCGGTCCTGTCCGCCGCTTCCAAGCGTGCCCCTTTCTGTCGCTCTACCCTGAACCTGCAGCAGCAGCGTTTCGCCCACAAGGTACGTGACACCGTCAATCCTTCTCCGATGATGCGTCCAACCACCTTCGGCCCCATCTCCCGTCGATTCCGATGAATTCCTGGCTGACCGGAAACAGGAGCTTAAGTTTGGCGTTGAGGCGCGTGCCAGCCTCCTCAAGGGTGTCGACACCCTCGCCCGGGCTGTGACCTCCACTCTTGGTCCCAAGGGTCGCAACGTCCTGATCGAGTCCGCCTATGGCTCCCCCAAGATCACCAAGGGTAGGTCTTTCCGTGATAGCCGTTCAGAATCAACAAACAAGCTGACTTTTTCTTCATCGAACAGACGGTGTTACTGTCGCCAAGGCCATCCAGCTGCAGGACAAGTTCGAAAACCTCGGTGCCCGTCTCCTCCAGGATGTCGCCTCCAAGACCAACGAGCTCGCCGGTGACGGTACCACCACCGCTACCGTCCTTGCCCGCGCTATCTTCTCCGAGACCGTGAAGAACGTTGCCGCTGGTTGCAACCCTATGGATCTGCGCCGTGGTATCCAGGCCGCCGTTGATGCCGTTGTCAAGTACCTGCAGGAGAACAAGCGGGATATCACCACCGGTGAGGAGATTGCCCAGGTTGCGACCATCTCCGGCAACGGTGACACCCACGTTGGCAAGCTTATCTCCACTGCTATGGAGCGTGTCGGCAAGGAGGGTGTTATCACCGTCAAGGAGGGTAAGACTCTGGAGGATGAGCTCGAGGTCACCGAGGGTATGCGCTTCGACCGTGGCTACACCTCCCCCTACTTCATCACCGACCCCAAGTCCCAGAAGGTCGAGTTCGAGAAGCCTTTGATCCTCCTGTCTGAGAAGAAGATCTCCGCCGTTCAGGATATCATCCCCGCCCTGGAGGCCTCTACTACTCTGCGTCGTCCTCTGGTCATCGTCGCTGAGGATATTGATGGCGAGGCTCTCGCCGTTTGCATTCTGAACAAGCTCCGTGGTCAGCTCCAGGTTGCCTGCGTCAAGGCTCCTGGCTTCGGTGACAACCGTAAGAGCATTCTCGGTGACCTTGGTGTTCTCACCAACGGTACCGTCTTCACTGACGAGCTTGACATCAAGCTCGAGAAGCTTACCCCCGAGATGCTTGGTTCCACTGGCTCCATCACCATCACCAAGGAGGACACCATCATCCTCAACGGTGACGGCAGCAAGGACAACATTGCCCAGCGCTGTGAGCAGATCCGTGGTGTCATGGCTGACCCCACCACTTCCGAGTACGAGAAGGAGAAGCTCCAGGAGCGCCTTGCCAAGCTCTCCGGTGGTGTTGCCGTCATCAAGGTCGGTGGTGCCTCCGAGGTTGAGGTCGGTGAGAAGAAGGACCGTGTCGTTGATGCTTTGAACGCCACCCGTGCTGCCGTTGAGCAGGGTATCCTCCCCGGTGGTGGTACCGCTCTGCTCAAGGCCTCTGCCAACGCTCTTGACAACGTCAAGCCCGCCAACTTCGACCAGCAGCTCGGTGTCAGCATCATCAAGAGCGCCATCACCCGCCCCGCCCGCACCATTGTTGAGAACGCTGGTCTCGAGGGAAGCGTCATCGTTGGTAAGCTCACTGATGAGTTCGCCAAGGACTTCAACAAGGGCTTTGACAGCTCTACCGGCGAGTACGTTGACATGATCGCCAACGGTATCGTCGATCCCCTGAAGGTTGTCCACACTGCCCTGGTTGATGCCAGCGGTGTTGCCTCCCTGCTCGGTACCACCGAGGTTGCCATCGTTGACGCTCCCGAGGAGAAGGGCCCTGCCGGTCCCGCCGGTGGCATGGGTGGCATGGGTGGTATGGGCGGCATGGGCGGCGGCATGTTCTAAGCGCCTCCCCTGTTCCCCAATAACCTTGTGCCTTCCTGACGACTTCCTTGCGCATCTCTTGCATCGCCGTGTCTCCCTCTACGGCCCTGGATCTTTGTAATGTTTTGGAGTTACTTCCTATACCTGTATTTTTGTATGTCTTTTTATTTGCCCTCTCCACTCTCCTGGGGCTCGAAAAAGGTTCCGGCGCAAACCTGTATCATATCTTTCTCTCAGTCTACGTGGTTCTAATGCATTAAAAATTTAATGCGATAATGCTTTTAATTTTTTTATCTCAGTAGAGGACTGGGTTACCATTGGGCAGGGACTGTTCTCCGGAGATGGCGATTTCAATGTCGATCGGCTAAGAGCTTTGAGGTGGACCAGGAAGAGGGATCGTCCCGCATTGACAGATCTGCATAAACTCTAGAACCTCCAGGTGATTGTTTGGATTGTATATAATTATCATACGATCACCTAGATTCCGTGAAGAACCTTGGAACCACATAACATTCCACTGGTGGTGGCAAATAATCCCGAGGTCCATAGCTCGGGTATTTTGACCTGAAAGTATAGATTGCGCGCGCCATCGGCGGTCTAGACTAGAACCGAAGAAAAAACCCGGTGTTTACTTTTCTCTTTTCCTTTGTAACCACTTTCTCCCCATTTTAGTCTAACTCCCGAGAACCACTTTTCTTTCTTCTGCTTACAACTCCGGGGAAAAAAAAGACCAACTGTGGGACTTGGCGAGTCGGTAATGCATACGAGCGCGCCCACACTATTCCAGCCTTGCTGTACATCTCACCTGCGAGGGGGGACTTGCCTCACCCCGGACCCCCGGATCACAGGACATTTGTACCAATAATACTACCGGTATTACCCCCTCAACTGCGACTGTGACCGTCAGAAGATAGTGGAGCACGTCACTTTTACTTTATCCCCACATCGTGGTGTTGGGCATTTTCACCGTCAGCGACCATGGCCGTAGAAATGGGCCCAGCCGCCGACGTTGATCTCTATCAGGCTCGTGCAGCCCTACAGCACCAACAAAGTCCGCAGGTGTCAGTTCCGCGGGAATTTATCACACAGATTGTTGAGGAGCTCATCCAATGTCGCGAGGCCCACTCATCCATCGCGGAGATCGAGCGGGAGTGCTCACATCTTCGGAAGGAACTACGCAAACACACCCACATCAACGAGGCGTTCCAGAAGGAACTGGGTGAGATCGGAGAGATCATCACTCAAGTGGCTCATGGAGACCTGTCGCAGCGGGCCCGCATGCACCCGCTGGAGATTTCGCCTGATATCGCCACCTTCAAACAGACCATCAATACAATGATGGACCAGTTACAGGTATTTAGCCAAGAAGTCTCTAAGGTGGCTCGCGAGGTTGGCACCGATGGAGTCCTGGGCGGACAGGCGAAAATCGAGGGCATCAAGGGTATCTGGGAGGAGCTGACCGTCAACGTCAACGCCATGGCAAACAACCTTACGACCCAAGTTCGCGATATTACCACAGTCACGACAGCGGTAGCGCAGGGCGATCTCACACGTAAGGTGCAAGCAGATTGCAAAGGCGAGATCTTGTTATTGAAGAACATTATCAATTCTATGGTGGATCAGCTACGGGAGTTCGCCTTTGAGGTCAGCCGTGTCGCTCGAGAGGTCGGATCAGACGGAACCCTTGGCGGCCAGGCAGTGGTTCATGGCGTGGAAGGAACTTGGAAGAATCTTACCGACAATGTGAATCGCATGGCCTCGAATTTAACGCAGCAAGTCCGCGAAATTGCCAAAGTGACAACTGCTGTGGCCCGGGGAGACCTGACCATGAAGGTGACGGCAGATGTCAAGGGTGAAATTCTAGATCTCAAGTTGACGATCAATTCCATGGTTGACCGACTGAACCAGTTCGCTTTCGAGGTCAGCCGAGTGGCACGTGAAGTGGGAACAGATGGTACGCTAGGTGGCCAAGCACAAGTGGAGAATGTCGAAGGACAGTGGCGGAATCTCACAGATAATGTTAATACGATGGCCCAAAATCTTACTATGCAAGTCCGACAGATCTCCAATGTGACCCAGGCCATTGCGCGTGGTGATCTGAGCACTAAGATCGAAGTTCATGCCCAAGGGGAAATACTGACCCTGAAGGAAACGATCAACAGCATGGTGGATGGCCTGAATCAATTTGCACGTGAGTTGAAAGGTGTGGCGCGAGATGTGGGTGTACGAGGACAACTAGGTGGACAAGCGAATGTGAATGGATCTCTTGGTATCTGGAGGTCGATTAGTGAAGACGTCAATACTATGGCAGACAACCTTACGTCGCAAGTCCGAGCCTTTGGAGAGATCACAACAGCAGCCATGAGCGGCGACTTTACATCACTCATCACGGTGTCTGCATCTGGTGAGATGGACGATTTGAAACAGAAGATCAACAAGATGATATCGAGCCTACGTGATAGTATCCAACGCAATACTGCTGCTCGCGAAGCGGCTGAGTTGGCCAACCGTAGTAAATCGGAGTTCTTGGCGAATACCAGGTTTGTCTTCGCCTCCAAACCAACTTCGGTCAACACTGTGAAATTAACAGACAAATAGTCATGAAATCCGCACTCCAATGAATGGAATCATCGGACTGACTAGTCTAGCCCTCGACACCGACGATCTTCCCGCCTCTGTTCGCGAAACACTCAGTATGGTGCACAGCCTGGCTTTCAGTCTTCTAACAATTATCGACGATATTCTGGACATCTCCAAGATCGAAGCAAATCACATGAAGATTGAAAAGACTGCATTCAGCTTGAGCACTACTGTGTGGAGAGTGCTGAAGGCCTTCGACGTGCAAACAGTTGAGAAAGCATTAAGCTTGATTTACTCAGTCGACGGCAGTGTACCAGACTACCTCATCGGTGACGCCTATCGAATCCGGCAAGTGATGATGAACTTGGTTGGAAATGCTGTCAAATTCACCGACCACGGCGAAATTCATGTTTGCATTAAGCATATACAGGATAGCACTTGCGCATCCGATGAAGCTACCTTTCAATTCTCAGTTTCAGACTCCGGCATTGGAATCGAACAGAGCAACCTGGGTCTTATCTTTGACAAGTTCCAACAAGCGGATGGATCCATGACACGGCGTTTCGGGGGCACCGGTTTGGGACTCGCCATTTCTAAGCGCCTTGTCTCCCTCATGGGTGGTGACATCTGGGTCACATCTAACCCGGGCAAAGGAAGCACATTCGGATTCACTTGCAAATTGAAAGTCAGTGAGCCTCCAGTAGCGCTCGCTGAGCAAATCTTGCCTCATCGAGGTTGCCAGTTCTTGGTCGTCGGCGATGCAAGGAACACTGGATGTCCGGCTGTCCGCATGCTACAAGAGCTAGGTCTTCAGGCCGTGGTATTAACGCAAGATCAACTCAATCTGGGCCAATGCAATGGGAACATAGGCTCTGCCTTCAGCGCAATGATTGTTTCAACAATGGAGGATGCTCTCGCGTTGCGCGCATGTGGCCAATTCTCGCCTAACCCTCTTATCTTCATGGCCCCCGAGTTATCCTTGCCAATGAAGACCGCCGGTGCACTCGGTATAACAGCCTATATCACTACCCCTTGCCGGCCGATCGATCTTTGGAATGGAATTGTTCTTGCCATAGGAAACCGCCAAAACCATACTCAACCTGGATACACTCGCCCTCTTTCAATCCTACTCGCCGAAGACAATGAAGTAAACGTGAAGGTAGCCGTCCGTATCCTCGAAAAATGCAAACATCACGTCACTGTCGTCGGGAATGGGCTTCAAGCTGTGAAAGAGGTCAAATCGCGACGCTATGACGTGGTTCTTATGGACGTCCAGATGCCTATTATGGGTGGGTTTGAGGCAACCCAAACAATAAGACAGCATGAGAAGATCCAGAAACTCCCTCGAACACCTATTGTCGCATTGACGGCGCACGCCATGCTTGGAGACCGCGAAAAGTGCCTCGAATCTGGCATGGATGATTATGTCTCCAAGCCCTTGCAACCCGCTCATATGATGGAGACCATTCACAAATACGCAGCATTGAATATCTCACCATTACCAGCAGGGAAGACTTAAAGGGCTATTTGCTTGAAACCCATTTTCTTGAACTTGATGGCCTCATAGGTCGACTTCGAAATCTTGTATAAGCCCCGCTCTCAGAAGGAGATTCTCTCCTCATCATCCCCACGGGCCGATTCCACAATTACTATCGTCTGATGCGTTAAGCTGGATTTATTGGATGGCACATCTTTTGATTCGCATATCTGGGTGTATCTTTTTCTTTGACATCTTTCGGGCTCCGTGCACCTTGAAGCTACCCTTGATTATTTGGCGGTCATTCGTATCAGTAAACTCAGGCTGGGACGGAAGAGCCATAGTCATCATGTCCACCCATCCAATACAAGTACATATCACTAGGGATGGAACATTAAAGGAAACCAACTAGGAAGATCATTCCCTTATTCCTTTCCATCAAAATAAAGGATTATCACCCTGTGGGGGTTCTTCCATTCCTTTCGACAAGCATACCGGGCACGTTATTACAGTCGACCGTTCTCTAGAGACTTCATTAACAGGGGTTGATCATAAACAAGACAAACGGTAAATCAAACGGTAAATCAAACGCAAGAAAGTCAAATGAAAGCGATTCTCATGAAAGTTGAAGAGACAGGTGGAAACATAGAAAACAAAGGCTCAGAACTGTAATCCACGCTGTGTTGGATAATGAGACAAACCATGCAAATAAACCGACCCGTCCAACCTAACAATATCATTCCCGTCGACACGGCCGTAGACCCTTTGCATGAATCATCCGCTTAAAAGAGGAAACGGTCATCCTTGCCAGGAAAATGAACCTGACCCGCTCGAGCAGTCTTGTAGCGGTATCCAGGCTCTCCCCATTCCGGATCGTCCATGCTTGTGAGGTGGGCAGAGTAACGGTGGAACTGACAACCATACTTGGCGGCAAAGCTGGCATCCTCTCGGCTATTATGAGAGGAAAAAAAAGTCATCAGTATCTCTCGCAAAGAAACCTTGACGTCAATATGTAAAGCAGAACTCACGCAATACGCTCGAGATCCTCACAGAACATATCGATGAGCGATCCAGGGCGAAGACGGATAGGCTCTAGCCGGTATTTGGCATCACGCCAGCCGCCGGTCAGCACCCATCGCCTCAGAGAAGCGACGCAGTTGTTCCAGGCATCATCCAGATAATAGCGCATAGGACGAGCAACTGTGTAGCATCAGTATGTATGGTACTAGCCTAAAACTATTGAAAGGACAGCAGCAAATGACGAATGAAATATTCAAAAAAAAAATGTCAGGGGGGTTATACTTACTTGCGCCAGCGTGAGACTTCCGTAGATGGGCGGCCATATCAGCAGGATGGCTTGATTTGTAACCACACATGATGTCGGGAAGTTCAACAATGATATCACAACTGTTGATGTGAGCTATCATCTTTTGAGGGGATCATTAATGGGAAGTGTCACTTACATCTCGAAGTTGTGTGGATTGGTAAAGAGCAACTGGCGCGGGCGAGGAGGAAGCCTGCGCCTGGCCGGCCGTTTCGTCTCTTTGGACGTGATATCTAGCCCATTAATTCCTTTGGCTAGATCATCGGGGTTAACGGCATTTTTAGCTCGAGCAGCCTCCTCGACTGCAGCTGCAGCCTGTGCATCTTTTTCAGATTCCACAGAAGCCATAAACTCCAAAAAGTTTCGAAGACATACGGTTTCGTCATCTTCGACAGTTTCGATAATGGGTGGCTTCAGGACAACATTTGGGTCAAATATAGGGCCTTTTACCATGGTGAGAATGATCTTAGTTATAACGAATCGCGTCTTGAATGAGAGGAATTTGACCTACCATGGCAGAAACCCCAGTACGGGTGCGGGTTTAGGGCATAGAGGACCAGTGGGTTATCAAAGTCCCACCGCGTGAGCTTGGGGGGCCCGACAGCGGCGTTGCTCATAAGATACCGCATGAATCTCTCTCGCATGTTCATGATGCAAACGAAAAACAAAAAAGGGTTCCAAAGGGGTGGTGAGGGTGTGTTGCGCGTAGCGCGCGATAGACAAACTCTGCGGGTAGAAGAAGGAAGATGAAAGGAAAACAAGCAGTACATTTATTTTATACTATTGTTTGATCTGGAAACACGCGGTTGAAATGCAAGTATCTAATTGGTATGATCACGCCTAAGTTCCTAAGTACATTCTCGCCATTTCTCTTAGTCCTCTCAGTTGGGGCTCAACCACCTCACACTGGAACCATATGTTGTATCTTCTCGCCTAGTGAATCGGACTCTTCTCGGCCCATTCCAGGATTCGCAAGTTTGTAGTTCTTCCATTCAATCTCTAAGATTGATTTGGTGTCCTCTTGCCTCCGTTTCCAGAAGTCCTCGTCGAACTTGACCCGATGTTTCTCATACCCTAGATACTGATCAAACAGCTTCCGTAGCCTTGAACCCTCGACAGGCATAACCGAAGGCATTCGGCTCTTGACTGAATTCCAGTGTAAAAAGCTCTTAATAGGATTGGATATGAAGTCTTTCCATAGACCAGATCCTATTTTTTGGGACTTGTTAACTGCGTCTCGTAACTTTTCGCTAAAAGCGAGTAGGAGGGCTACCGCAATGATGGCAAAGGAGGCCGGACCTAAGATATGAAATTAGAGATTGACCTCAACAATGGAGTAGTTCTAGTGACTGTGTCAGTCGTACCAGCTATCGCGAACATCTCTCCCAGTGGCAGATTGGTCTGTTGGTCGCTCCATTCCCGCGCATTCATTCCAAAAAGAGATGTAAAGAAAGACAGTGGTAGGAAGCTGGGAATATTAGCAATTACAATTAGATCTGCTGAGTTGAACGAGTCATACATGACAGTGAAGATGGTAAAAACCATCAGCGATCTTGATTGGTTTTGCGTCTCTTCTGCCTGCCAGCGCGCCATCTTGGCCTCATCAACGTTTGCCTGCTTTTGTTTAAGATCTAGCAAGGTTTCCACCTGACGATTAATTTATGTTAGTGAATGGAAGCTCAGACTAGCACTCGATATTCAAGGAACGCTGATCTTACCGCTTTCTGAGCCAGGTGGCTATTCTCTTTCATCTCGCTAAGTTGCGATCGATACTCATCAATCCTCAGCTGCGCTGCATCAAGGAACATTTTGCCGCAACCATCTCGATCGAAGTACTTCACCATGCTTTTTATAACAGTATCTTGCTGATCCAGAAGCTTTATTATAGTCGCAAGCTCATCCTCAATATCCCGGAGTTCCAGGAGAACAGATAAATCGTCTCGATTCCGTCGTGCCGATTGGCGATCTCGCTGATCGCGTTGCGCAGCCGTCATGAACTTTCCTTCGACAGTTCGATCATGATCAGCGGGTCTGTTGGCGAAACCACGGTTACGGAAGCGCTTGAAGGATTTGGTTACCGATTCCGTCTGCATATTCGGCTTTAGTAAATATCCATCAACTGCGGTCAGGAGCTAGAGCATACCAGAATACTGATAGATTCTTCAAATATTCTCAGAACCTGCAGGTCATGATGGAGGGTCCGGTCGAGAAGGACCGTCACAGCATGCAGCATGATCAGAGCCGCAAGATCGCCGGCTGTTTCAAATCGACGAGCCAAGTCTCCATTCAACTCGTTATAGATGCTACTGTGCAGATTTGACTGCTCGAACAGCTTGCCCTCGGAGGTAGTAGCTTCTTGATTGGGGAAAAAGGTCACAATGGTCTTCTGGTCTACAATCCAGAGCCATAGTTGATCAACCATTAGTACATTACCATCCATGAACTCTGCTGGCTCCGACTCCTCGGGGTCATCGCTCGCGGCATCGAGATACTCCCGAAGTTGTTCGTCCAGACGAGCCGGTCTGCGCGTGCGCTTCCATAGCATCTGATCATCATCCCGAGCCACTGTTGATCGTAGATTTGGGTATCCGAATTGGTCGAGTGTACGTCTGAAATGGATGGGTGGTTCGCAACCGAGATACTGCCAGATAAGCTGGGCCTCTAGACTTGACTTCGCAATTCGAGGGGGAACTGGATGAGAGCGACCTTGTCGCAGTCTATCTTCGACTACTTTACGACGCTGGATGAGGTTGCGGTATGTGTCCCAATGAAGCTGGATCGTTGGTTAGTAGGAAACCAGGGACGCTTGCACGTTGGACTCACATAAGGCGCCTGTCGTATTATTAGTATTACGTTGTTTTCTATTTTAATTTGATGGATGCCATCGGACGTTACTCACATAGAGGGCCAGCTGGGGATCTTCAGACGCCCCGGCCTTCGGACTTTGAGATACATCCATCTGGCGCGCATGGATACATTGCGGCCGAACAAATCGAGCATGCGGTTCCAAATGTCGAGCTCGGTTAAGGTTGAGATACCAATTCTTGTCATTGATGAATTTCCTCAAGCTGTATTCATGGCACAGGTCAGTAGAGAAGCCTCCCGACGCCATAGATAGATCTTACAAATGTTCTTCATGACGGTCTTTACAAGCTCGCCGAATTACTTGCGATACCCATCCCGGATGAGTATAGGGAACGTGAATCCAAAGTAGTTTCTCAGTGTCGGGCTCGGGTCGATCAAACCGAGGAACTGAACGGGGAATATCTGGCGCATCTCCATGTTGATTGATAAGCCCCCGCGTGGAAAAAGGAACCGCTAAAAGCCCTGCGCTTTGAGGCGGCGAGGTTGAGCTCCTATAAATAGTCAATGGAGGTCTCGCAGACTAGTACCTTGACGGATATCTTACGATGCTGGACGGGAACTGCTTCCTTGTGAGCTAACGTCAGATGTGTTGCGCCTATGGGCACGCAGTTGGCTAAGACCCAGTGCTTTGGCGATTGACGATTTCCGTTTACGCTCAATTGGTGGCGGAGGACTCTCGCTCAAAGGTCGATCGCGATCGAAATACCCATCCCTCCCTGCTTCTGTGATATGAATCTCCGGAGAGAAGTGATTTTCGGGTGCTATAAAACTGCGACTTTGTCGCATAGGAGGTCGCGAAGGTCTAGGCTCGGCATTAGCATGTTGGGTTCCCTGCTGACTTTCAAGATGTTCAGAGTGGTTCTCATGCTCCGTGTCTGCTGGGAGATGTGTGAAGGAACGGCGGCTGTCAAAGCTGCTAAGAGATGAATCATCTAGCCCCAGAAGTCGAGTGCGTTTCAAGCGTCCTCGGAGGCATGCGCCTGGGCCCTTAGCAAGATACTCCTCTAAAGATACGTGTGTTGACCACATCTTTAGAGGAGTATCATCACTGACGCCCAATGCAGCGTCCTCAAAGAACCCGTTGATCTGCACCATGACTGCCTGTTCGACGTTCAATGGAGTGTCTTCATGACCAGAGAGCTCCACGGCTAGATTGACCGCATCAGCCAGCTCGATTAGGAAAGCATCGCGGAACGCCTCTTGGCCTTGGAAAGTCGCCGTTCCGGCATGGTCTGTAGCCATAGGCGTCTCCTTTTCATGTTCGATGTCCAATAATCCGGATCGGATGGAGGTAATAGGAGCATGAAACTCCATGGTGCTACCAAGCTCAGAGTCCGATATAGTCAAAGTTGAGTCAATAGTCTCCAGAAAAGACCAAACTTTCATATCAGCCGACAATACCTTGAACTGATTAGAGAGATGCCAGAGTTTCTCCTGTCGGGGACGAAACTGCTCTCTAAGAGAAGCGGGAATATCCTGCTCAAGATGTAGCAAATCACGGATACTAGGCATGTACTCTTCTGCAAATAGATAACTCGAGCCTTGGTGTGGCGTGGCAAAAAAGGCGATGCCATAGCAGCTGGTCAGGATCGCCTGGCTCGGCTCGGCCCGTGAAGCCGAAGACAAACACGCCTTCGCCACGAGGCCTCCTGTGCTATGGGAGATGAAGAACAGTGGCCGACGACCACTGTGATGTTTCCGCTCGTCCATAAGGAGATTTAATAAGCGTTGACCTAGACCGTCGATTGTGTCATGTTCATGCAGGTGCCCATGGTTGTACAACAGGATCCGTGCCCTAGGCATCCGATGAATCAAGTCGGTCCGGAGCCAGGGCGTTTTTGAGCCTGCTGCAGTCCATGTTCTTTGATGATGTGCTCCAATAGGTGGCACGGCAACGATGCTGTAAAATGTTAAGATGGCCCCTGGTACGAGCGGGGAAAGGGTCCACATACTCCACGTTTGTCTTCGACACGGCTTGAATATGCTCGAACCACGGTGGGCGTCCCGGCCCGGACGATGGCGGCATGATTTATGCTTATCTTTCGGATAATATGATGCTCCCGACGCAAAGGATATCCTTGAAGAAAGAAAAATGCAGGGATGGGGCCATTTTTAAATCAGGGGGTCTTTCAGCCTCAACGATCAGATGAACACGCCCGGCACGCATCCTAGTTCGCCCTATTTCGGCTGTGCCCGCTGATCTCTGAGTCAAAGCACCCGGGCTAAATAAATACGACTGACTAGCTACAGTCCCAGGAGAGAAAGAATATGCGGTCGATCCACGCATCATCTACTCATGTTACATGATTCCATTCTATGAATGTTTTTTCTCAGAGCATGTTTGTTCATCTTGAATAACAACCAGATGGGTACCCAGGACTCAAGTATCGGACTCAGGGCCTGGGTAGGTACCTAAGACCTGGTCTGAGGTACCTGATACCCTATATCTTGGAAGCCACTTTACGTAAAATATGAAGTTTATACATTTCATAATCAGGAGCAGATGATATTCTTCCCCAAGATGAGATTATGTCCGAGCAGAACACCTTATATACACAGGAGCTTTTTGATCCCAGAAAACCACTCCACATATGCATTAAACAACAGAAAACCGACGCATACTCTATCATTTGGCTGATGCGGTATCAAAGATGAACGCCAGAAAGAACAAGAGAGTAGGGATGGGACGACCGAAGGACGATCGCATGCATTAATAGTACAGAAGAGGAGATTAGGAAGTTTCGTGCCTGCGTTCATTGACCTCTCGGGCCATGCGCTTCCCCAGTTCGTAGGTAGAAATCATGATTGCGCAGGCTGGCGCGACCTTAAGGCAGCGAGCTGACCAGCCACGGAAGAGTCCAGCCATACCTTCTTCACGAAAGATATGGAGGAGAAATTTAGGGAGAGAGAGCTGCTCAGGGACAATAGCCTTAGGCACCAGAGTGGATTTCTGCGCGGTAGCAACGTGGTCGTCCATATGTCTGTAGACCTGCTGTCGCGTCTTGCCGACATCGAAAGGCGTTGTTACCAATGCTGCGACAGATCCCGAGGTGGCACCGGCGATGAAGCTGTCAAGGAATGCAGTGGCATTGGTGGGAGCATCGATATCAATGCCTGAGAGACTCGGCGTCGGCTGACGCGCCAGTTCCAGGTTAAGCTTGACCTTCTCATATCCCCACCAATAGAGACCAGAAAACGGGACATCGCGCCACATGGTCAGCGACAGCCCACGCCAAAGAGAAGAGTACCCTTTGGCATTTGTCATCTGGTGTAACCCTTGGAGAGTGGCCTTGAAGTGCCCAGTCCCGGTGCCTGGGGTAGCTTGAAGCCGGGTGCGGAACATCTCGAGAGGACTAGTGATGGCAGCAGCCGTTGTCCTCGCGATCGCACCCCCGATGAATGGCGCATAGATATCCGGGACAAGCTTTTTTACTGGGCTATTGTCGTCGGCGCGCAACCAGTCATATCCTGCGAAATAGATGATATTTGCAGGAATCCCCATCATCAAGGTCGCGCTGAGACCGCGCCATAATGTGGAAACACCCTCGTTCCGAGCAATCTTCCGTAAACCATCCAAAGTCGACGTGAATGTGCGCCGCTGTGTTTCCTCGACGGCACAGTCCAACGCGGGATGTGTCTGATTTCCGATCGTACTGGCCTGGGGGCCTAACATGCACATCTGCGCATTGTCTCCTACCCAAAACACTTCACGGCAGCACGAGGTGATTCCAATATTCGGAGGGAGATTCTTTAAGGACTGGGTTGTATGTGTGGTGTATTGTGAAGTGTTCACCATTTGCGATTGTGATTGTAGACGTACTCGTACGACATCGAGAGGGGTGACTATACCAAGTATTAGTTATGGCTTACATCTTGAGGACCTTGCCGATCAGGGACATCAACTTACCGAGAAGTCCAGTCAAGATGTTTCCGGCCGACGCAGATATCATTCGTTGTCCGATGGAGATATCATGATTGGGGGGCGCAGCGCCATTGGCCGGGGGAGCGACCGGCCCTGTTGGAGTGGACATGGGAGTCTCGTCAAACTGGGACGCCCATGACGTCCCTGGAGAGGAGTCGATCTCTTTAACAAATTCGCTACCAGGAGGACCTGGAGGGGTATGAGTAGCGGTAAAATCCAGCCCGGTCGGCATTCAATCGATAGGCACCGCCTGGAGATAATTTGGCGATACTGGGTGCTTGCGACGCGAGCGGCTGAGGTGTAGAAGAATGATGCGTCACGTCTTGAAGATTTTCGGGGTTTTGCGGGAGGTGGCGAACGGAGATAAGCTTCCCGGCTTTCTCTCTCTTCTACACTGCTCACCGAATCTCGAGGTCTCACACTTCGGAGAAACCAAAACTCCTCTTTCACGATCAATGGCGTCGACTGCAGTTGTTGTTTAGTTTTCTTTTGTCCTTCTCTTGTGCTTTGATCTTTCTGTCCCCAGTGGACCCCTCAAGTGGGCTTATCAATCGCGACCGATCTCCGAGACCGGACGCCGGCCCCCCCCTCCCGCCATGGCAGACAACCCGGAGCTTGAGTCGTTCCGCCGCAAGTGGCGCGAGGAAGTTGCTGGGAGAACTAAACCTAGAGCTACCCCTCCATCTGTGGCTCCGGACCCGCAGCTGACGAGGTTTCCACCAAGGCAACATGAGGCGTCTCACCGCAAGGACCTTGAAGAAGAAGGGCCCCCGCCGGCATCTTTTGATCCCGAGGAACTGGCCCAACAGGTTGGGCAGTTGACCGTGAAACCAGAGGAAGAGCTTGAGGAAGATGGATTTACCCGGAAAGATCATCATGAGCCCCGCTCTGCCTTGGAGCATTTCGAGCGTGCAGTCGAGAAGGAAGACGCAGGCAACCTGGGTGATAGCCTGCATCATTACCGCAGGGCCTACCGGGTGAGTGGCATTCTCTAATACGCCACTTATACATGCATTTGAGTCTGACTCTTGCACAGCTAGACGCAAGTGTGGACAAATCTTACCGGAATAAGCACTACGCCCACGTGTGGAAAAAGCCTGCGCAGCCTGCACCCGGGACAGAAGCTGTTCGGGCAGATGCTGTCCCTACAACGACTACAGCCCCTGTTGAAGTACAAAGTGTTCCTACGGCCGAATTGATTGCATCTTTTGCCCACCTACCCATTCCCCAGGCAGAATCGCCTGTTGAAAACACTCCTCCGCCACCATGCCCTATCGCCAAGATGCCTTCCGAAGTGATAGGACAGATTTTGCGATATGTTGCGTTGCGGGACCCGGCCACATTTGGCCGAGTGGCTTTGGTTTGCAAGCGGATGGCATATCACTTTGCCCATGAACAACCAATCTGGAAAGCAGTTTGCCAGAATCCTGAGTTTGGGTTTGCAGGGATGCATTACACATTTGCCTGCGATATTTATGGAAATCCAATCTACGCTCTTGATGGCATACGGTACACACCATTTCCAGAAGGAGGCCCCTTGGAAATCCCAAAGCCTCTTTCTTCATGGAGTCAAGTGTTCCAGTCTTATCCACGCATTCGGTTCTCTGGTATTTACATCAGTACTGTTAACTATACCCGGCCTGGTGCGCAATCAAGCCACCAGACAGTGTCTTGGAACAGTCCCATTCATATTGTGACCTATTACCGTTACCTTCGGTTCTATCCGGACGGATCTGTCGTTTCTCTGCTGTCAACCACAGAACCGGTTGACGTGGTGCCCCACATCAATAAGGAGAATATGATGGCCGCCCGAGCTATCTCGCATAAGCAGCACCAGCGGCAGCTTGCAGATCAAGGTCAGTCATTATCTGGTGCAACTGATCCTGTGCCTGCAGTTGCGATGAATGCGCTGAGACACGCTCACCGCGGCCGCTGGTGCCTGGCTTCCCCTGTTTCTCGCCCAGAGACAATTGAAGGGGAGAATATGCAGGCAGGTCCAAACGGGCCTGACGAGTCCTCGGATCCGCGAGATATCGCTGTGGAGACTGAGGGCGTCGACCCGAAATATGTCTTTACAATGCACTTGAGCTTGCGGTCCCCATCTGCATCTAAATCCCACGTGAACCCGTCAAAGAACACAAAGCTGGTCTGGCGCGGCTTTTGGAGTCACAATAAGCTCACTGATGACTGGGCAGAGTTTGGTCTGCGCAATGATCGAGCATTTGTTTTCCGACGCGTGAGAGGCTGGGGCGTCTATTGAAGTCATTATTTACGATATAAAAACGAACATACAAAGGCATAGATATAAATTTTGAACGGAGTTTCGTGCACTATGGAAGACCGGTCCCTCCACAATATTGCTTCGATTCTGAGCTCTCATAAACCTACATTCTGGAGTTACAGTACTTTGGTACTGCATGCTAACCTGAAGACTACCTAGCTATGGGTAGCGGGGCGGCTGGGGAAATGGTCAGCGCTAGAGACAATCCATAGATGGAGACGTCGGACCAGGTGATTCATTGCCGTGTCTTATACGAGGCTCGCCCGATAATGCTGTCGGATGTTGACCGGATAGGTAACATAGGCCCCATATGGTCTGCACACCACCAAAACAGGCTGAATTAAAAGAGGCAAATGTTCTACGACGTCTATTCTACTATGCTCAACGTTATGATTGGCCTAGATGATTGTGCCCAGCTACCTGTGGGCCCTGTGGGTCTTTCCTTTGGACCCTGGAAAGACTTTTTTTTGGGGAAAGATTAGGCACTAACGAGTGCAACCCTAAGGAAACCGCCCGCGCCAAGAAGCTTGGAATAGCACTAACTATCAGACCAATTATCGTTATACTCAGGGGTCCGTTCTAATTGATTTGCTTGATGCACGCCTTCCGAAAAGCCTTGTACATGTCTCGGAAGAATACATTGCGGCTCTGTCCTAGAATATAAATACTAGGCGGATTCCGGTCCCTGTTTCCAATCTACTATACTACATCTATTCCTCTTCATCTATATTTGACCATGGCTTTCTTACTTGCTGGTCTCTTGCTCCTGGCTGCTGCCCAGGCAGCTACTGTTGAACCGGTTGCTCTCCACTGCTACAACCTCCCCATGTGGCAGGCCACCGGCATCTCGTCTGGTTTCTCTGGCCCTTGGGCTCTTATAGTGGATCAGTGTGTTAATACCACTGATGTTAACAATGCGTGCACGATGGAAGGATTCCGAAGCCGGTCTTCTAGTATCGACCAGCAGGTTGATAAGGGCTATGTAAGATATTCCTTCCCGTATCATAGACCTCTTGTTTATTAAATGTATGCTAACTGGAACGTTAGATTGGAATTGTCGGGCAACAGTACAGTGCCATTACTCCTCTGCGCTGCATCGAGGACACCGGCTTTGTAGTCAGCGTCCTCACCACCTCGGGCACCGCCGAGTTCAGGACTGTCAACATAACCGACGTGGCATCCGAAGCAGACATTGGATACGGCCTGGGTGCGGATACCGAGATGATCCAGGCATACAACCACTACATTGATGGCGTGAAGCAGGACGGTATCTTCATCGGTGCGCATAATGTCACCACCTGGGGTATGCAACTCCAGGGTGGCGCGGGAGCGTGGTGGAAGCTTCGGCTTCTGGGCCCGGGTAGTGAGGATGCCTCGACTGGAAATGCACTGAAGGACGGAGAATATCAGACTTTTATCCGCATTGATGGAAGTTAGATTGTGTTCTGGGCGTCAGTGTGAGGTGATGCATATATGTACAGTACTTCATAATTGTGGAATGGAGTGTGGGAAATAATTCTTCACGTTCCGGACTAATTATAAATGATTGGGATATTGTGCTATTAATACAAAAAAGAAACCCAAAATCTAACACCTGCGCTTTTAGTTCCTCCAATTAATTAGTGATTCTTCGTCGTCGTCCACAATAACCACCATCCACACTCCTACTTGACCATTACTGGCGATCAAAGGCGTGCAATGAACCCAGCGGTTGCGACCCTCAGTGTTGAATCGGGTGACCCATTTGATTCGTGCTGTCACACTGCGCCCCTGCATCATTGCCTCTACAAGTTCATCCTTGACAGCAGCAGAACTACCAATGCGAGAGAGGAACGATGACTGAAGCATGCCAGGAATTTGGAGAGACGGGGATGTAAAGAGGACGCGGAAAGACGGATATGGCCGAACAAGCAAATACTGTAGTCACCACTAAGCCCTTGCTCATGACACCAGATATAAGGGAGGACTGACTTACGTTTTCATACACACCGGCAAGAGACCCACGGAGTAATGGCGACTTCATATCTCGCAGACGAATCGCTTCTTTCTCGCTATCCATGGAGCCTCCACGCTTTAACCATGTCCGATGGTTCTTCGTACTCGTCCGGCTGTTCGGCGGCTGGAAGAGATCGCCACCGTGCTCTTGAACAGAATTCAATTCGCGAGGACTGAAGAGTTCACATAACTCCTGGAACTCGTCTTTTTGTCTGGGTTCAGGCATCTCTGCCACACTTTCCTCGTCAGGATCGCGGTATCGGGATTGCAGGTCAATCAAGGACTCCATCTGTGCGCCGTCTAGTGCTAGTCCCGACACGTCGATTTGCGCCCCAATGAAGTACTTGACGCGACCTTGGCTGTCGCAAAGAGGAGAACATTGAAGAAGGTTCATGAATGGTGAGCCATCACGGCGATAGTTGAGAAACAGCTCAGAGTGATGACGACACTCTTTAATTGCCTCTCGAATGCGCCGAACACTGTTCGGGTTTGTCTTTGGTCCCTGTAAGAATCGACAGTTGCGCCCGAGGACATAGTCCATGCCATATTGAGTTGTTCTATGAAACTCCTCTGAGGCAAAAATGATAGGATTGTCAGGCCTTGTTGGATCCGTTAAGCAAAAGACTTCCGCTAAAGCATTCGACGTATCCCGGAACTTCATTGGCAGTGTGCCACGAATACGTTCCTCGACAATCTTGCTGGTGATGGTGATGCACCTGGACGTAATAAATGCAGGAAGTTCTTCGGCGGTCAAAGCACGCAGGCTATCTTCGACTCGTTGTTCCAGAGCTTTGTTGGCGGTGTTCCCCACAGCGTCACTGTTCTGCTGAACAATCTGAATAGCGGCAGGAGGAACGTCAACTGACAAGCGCACCAGCGCATTTGCAAATTCAATTGCCTTGAAGGCTTTGACGGCATTGAGGTAGTAGGTGAGAGTGGAGATCGAGCGTGGCCGCTCTTCCAGAAGAAATTCACGGAACCGAGATAGGTAGCGCGGATTATTGAGAATATGTAGCATATGCTCGGTGCCGAACATGACATCGGAGACACGCTCCAGCTTGTGGAGTGGCGCATCGTCGCCCTCGAAAGGCGCAATCAAGTCATAAGATGCGCCTTCCTCTTTCACTGGGTGAAACTCTTCGGCATCCTCGTAGGGATTAATTTGCTGGAGCAGAGGGAGGTCATTTGTAATAGCCACACCCATACCCATGTTGATGTCATTTGTTGTCACTGTTCGTCGCATATTCTTGATCGACGACCTGGGCGTGGGGTATATTTTCTCTTCTTCAATGGCGTCGAGATTTTGGGGCCGACTTGGCGGACAAGGGAAATCGTCAAGGATTTGCTCATTTCTTGGATGCGATTAGCGGTGAGCAGATCGGAAAATGAATTGTTCATTAGTTACCGTGAGCTTCTCCCTGATTCAGAGACCCATTCGTGATACTCATCCGGCAACGTCTCCGTAAATGAACGCAGAGACTCGGCGTCAGGACTAGTCAGTCCGGCATGGAAATCTGAAGCTGCCATAGTTAGGATAAAACAAAAAACAGTTTCTTTATTTCTTATTCTGCAGTGCAACTCCGAAGACTGGGGAAACTACCTTTTCTTTAATACTTTAATCAGACTCCGCCAACGGACGTGCGTCTTGATGCATCAATTGATCGACTGTGTTCACAGCGCAAGTTCTACTACAGAGCAGGGGAACCATGCGAACAGAAATTTGTGGCATGGCAGGCAAGACAACTATTACGAGGGCGAGTGGTAGGTCACAATTGGTAAATTGGCGATCGATCGAAGCGCGGCGGCTCGTCTCCACGAGATCGGGGTCGATCTGGGGCAGTGATGCAATGGTGCAGGAAGGGGTATGGTTCAAGACCTTTTTAGACGTAGAATCCTCGATGATCAGCGGCAGCTTCCGAGTCTATCGAATTTTACGTTCCGCGGCAAGACTTTTGACGTAGCGCGTTGTTCGTGGTGATTGGCTTGCATGGAAATGGATATATCGAACTGTTCAACATGCAGTTCGTGGTTACATTGACCATATGGCCGCGGGGCAAAGAAAAGCAGGTTCATTGCAGGCTCGCAGCGATTGGTCTAGAGTTTGGTTGCACAGCACTCGGGGCATGTTTAAGCATTTCCGCGGTTAATCGGTCGCGCTGTGTACATGAAGGCAACCCCTACGCTCGTCCCCTAGAGATCAGCTCGGCACAAAGTACGAGGTCTGAGCACTGGCGCAAAAGAAATCCGGGCCTAGATTTGCGATGTTGACAGAGCTCGACCCGACTGTCTGGAACCGCCGCATAGGACGAGAAGATCGACACGACGACGGCGACTATTAAACAATGCCATGTTGAATGTGGATATAGTGTGGAGGCTGTGGGCACCGAACCCGGGATCGGGAGATAAGACGGCTTATCGCCTTATCGATAAGAGAAAATTTTCGGGATCCGATTAGCTGTCGCGGGCTTCTCCATGTTGACGCCTCATTCACAATGCCCGAAAAGGTCCATACTCACTTTGGTGCTGAAGAGGAGTCGGCTCCTAAGCAGACTCCTCTAGCAGCGGCGTCAGTCCCCGAGGAGACTGGTCGGAAAAAGAAGCGAGGTAACAAACGGAAGCGCGACGAGCCCGCCGAACCCCAACCGCCTCGCGATCATGAGCCTATCCAAACCAAGAAACCTGCCTTAGCCCTTCCATTGGCCAAAGAAGCGGTCCAGTCGGAAAAGAAAACAGAGGAGGTCTCTCAACGATCCTCGAAAAAGACCGCGCCCAAGGGGAAATCAAACAACAAACCCAAGTCTCTCACCGATACCAAGACCAACTTCACATCCCTCCGGGAAAAAGCCAGTATCCTCTACGAACAGCGAAAGAAACTGCCAATTTTTGGACATGCGGATGAGATCAGAACAAAGCTTCGGGAGCAAGATGTTATGCTCTTGGTTGGTGAGACTGGTAGCGGAAAGAGTACCCAGATCCCCCAGTTTCTGGTGAACGAATTCTGGTGCCGACCAACACCAGCGAAGGTCCCGCAGAAAGATGGCTCCGTCAAGTCAGTGACGGTGGGTGGTTGTATCGCGATCACGCAACCCCGACGAGTCGCCGCTATTTCCCTGGCCCGTCGTGTGGCAGAGGAAATGGGAACGCCACTTGGATCATCATCGCCGGCCAGTAAGGTTGGTTACTCAGTGCGATTCGACACATCCACCTCGCCGAGTACCCGGGTCAAGTTTTTGACAGAGGGAATGCTTCTGCAAGAGATGCTGCATGATCCGTGGCTTACTCGGTACAGCGCGATTGTGGTAGATGAGGTCCACGAGCGAGGTGTCAACGTTGATCTGACTACTGGATTTCTGCGAAACCTGGTGTCTGGAAAGCGAGAAGGCCGCGGCGGAGTCCCGTTGAAAGTGGTGGTCATGAGTGCTACGGCGGATATGGAAAGTCTACTTGGTTTCTTCCAGGAGGGATTCAAGAACCAACCCCAAATCCAGAACGGTGAAGCAAATGGTAAGACGGATGAAAACACCGACGGAGAGAGCTCCAAGCAGATCTCTGTCTGCCATATTAAGGGTCGCCAATTCCCTGTGAAGACTATATACTCGCCAGAGCCTGTGCACGATTACGTCGATGCTGCTCTCAAGGTCATTTTCCAAATTCATTACAAAGAGCCGACGCCTGGTGATATTCTTGTATTCTTGACTGGTCAAGAGACTGTGGAAGCTCTGGAGAACTTGGTCAATGAGTATGCCGTTGGGATGGATCCCTCTTTACCGCGGATCCAAGTCCTCCCGCTTTTCGCAGCCCTTCCTCAAGTTGCCCAACAGCGAGTCTTTGCCCCCGCCCCGCCTCGTACCCGTAAGGTTATCTTAGCGACTAACATTGCTGAGACTTCCGTGACGGTGTCTGGGGTGCGGTATGTGGTGGATTGCGGTAAAGCAAAGGTCAAACAGTTCCGTACTCGACTTGGTCTGGACTCTCTGCTAGTGAAGCCCATTTCCAAATCAGCTGCCATTCAGCGAAAGGGTCGTGCTGGTCGTGAAGCGCCTGGCCAATGTTATCGTCTGTACACCGAAAGCGACTATCTAACCCTTGATGAAACGAATACCCCCGAGATTCTCCGATGTGATTTGAGTCAGGCACTCCTCAACATGAAGGCTCGTGGTGTCGATGACATCGTCCGATTCCCCTTCTTGACGCGGCCTCCGCGTGAGGCACTTGAGAAGGCTTTGCTTCAATTATTGGGTATCGACGCGCTCGACGAGTCCGGTGGTATTAGTGAGGTCGGCTTGAAGATCGCCAAGCTGCCGCTTACACCCACCCTTGGACGAGTTCTGTTGGCGGCATCCGAAAATGGGACCGAGTGCCTGCTTGACGTGATTGACATTATTTCCTGCCTCAGCGTGGAGAACATCTTCTTGAACACCACCTCCGAGGAGAAGAAGGAAGCAGCCGAGATCGCCCGTCGGGATCTTTACCGGCGCGAAGGAGATCATCTGACGATGCTATCAACGGTTCGGGCCTACGCGGGTGAGAATGTTGACCGAAAGGCATGGGCCGAGCGACACCTGGTGTCGCATCGGGCGATGCAGTCCGTCATGGTACGTTTCTATCGTGAATCTACGCAAGTCGCGACTACGTAAGCTGACAAGCATACTAGGATGTTCGGAAACAACTACGCAGTCAATGTCGCCAAGCCAAACTTTTGCCTCGTGATGACCGACTAGACCAACATTATGATCCGTCGCCGGTGCTCATCTTGCAGAGCTTCCTGTCTGGCTTTGCGACTAATACTGCTCGCCTTGTCCCAGATGGTAGCTATCGCACTGTGGTCGGCAATCAGACGGTTGCGATCCATCCTTCCAGTGTCTTATTTGGCAAAAAGGTCGAGGCTATCATGTATAACGAATTTGTGTTCACGAACCGCAGTTACGCGCGGGGTGTGAGCGCGGTACAGATGGACTGGGTTGGTGAGGCCCTTGCTGGCCAGTGAAATCTACAGATGTTTTTCCTGTTTGGGACGTTATGCCATGTATCTTGTATATACCCCCCGATAAGCGATCATACTATGCATATCCAGTAATTTCCAAAGTAGGGGTAGAAACACCAGAGATCCGATTAAGATGATAGATGCGGGCGATCAGCGTATCATTGCATTTCTCCCTGTTAGTCAGTCCGTAAATCGACAGATCTTTGTCGATCCCTTTCGCCACTCCACGTCAGACATGACTCGTTTCTTCCGTAGCTTGATTTCAATATTGCGTTAATTTATTTGGTAAAATTTAGGACAGTCAGGGGGCTGTACGAATACACACTACTGTAAAATCAACCTGTTCTGCTGGGGAAATCACACGCGAGCAGTCACATCGCGCTAAGTACAACGTATGCATCTTCTGGGCTGACGAGGCGCCCGACATAATCCCTGAATGCGTATTCCCCTGGTGTCTCACCGGTTCCTATATGGCCAAAAGCTTTGCTTTCTCAACTCGACTTTCACCTCTATCTCCTCCCAGCAAACTGTTTTGACAGTGTATAGAGTGGTCCGATACCGCTACTTGAATCATCCGGGGCTCCACCGCCTTATCGCCGGATTTCGTTATCAACGCATCATCATCCCCCAACATCACGCTTGTCTTCGTTCTTCCTAGATTCTCGTCCTCTCATTCTACAATATTCGAACCGACCTCTGTTGAGTGGGAAATACCATTTTCAACGGACTCTCCGCATCTGACCGCCTCTGCGGTGTTTCGTTGCGGGGGAGATCCACATCATTAAGGAACCTTGAAAGCCTTATCTGGTCCTGTGCCTGCCCGAGACCAGCAATCATGGCATTCCGGGTCCCTCCCCAAGCTTCTCGAAGGAGAACCTCATACTCGACCCCACAGCCCCCTCCTCCTCTCGATATCATACCTTCTACTCAAGAACAGCAAGATGACGACACAACACAATGGGTACTGTTCTCTCCGACCGCCCATACGCACACGACCTCCACCGACCGTACGCAGACAGCAGGAGCTTCTCGACTGAGTGACTTTGGCTCATTTGGCACCGCAACTCGATCCGCAGCTGGCCTGGAGGGTGATGCGGCTGACGACGAGGCCTTGGAAGACCAGCTGGACGAAGATGGTACCGAGTTGGATAGCTTGGACGATGGGTTGCATGCGTTTCGCGCCCCGTCACTGCCCGCCACATCCCCCGCACGGGTAGATCAAGGACCGGCGGCCTTGCTTCCAGCCCACGATGGCTTAGGTAGTTTCCAAGCGTCGAGTCAGCTAGCTCAAGAGCAGCTCTGGCAGCATGAGCAGTATAATCCTCAACGGCGGCAATATGCCTCCCCCCGTCGACGAACAAGTGTGCAACGGCATTTGGATACGGTTGATGAAGGGGAGACAAATATTGAACGCGACCGCTGGCAGCGGATCGAGCAGTGGAGGATGGATCAGAGTCGGGCCTTGCTGCAGGAGATTGAACGCCAAACTCGGCGGCGGAACAGTCGTGTTAGTGGATCAAGTATCCATGATCCTATTGAAGAGATTTCACCAGCCCGGATCACTGGAGCATTGCCAGATGCCGCGTCTGAACCAGAAGCAGAAACGGAAGCGGACCCGGAGACAGATGAGACCTTCTGGCGCCGCATTACTCGGAAGGTGATTCGGGACTTGATTGGCATCGATGACTCTTTACTCTCTGTTATCTTCGGGGAATCATTACCTGAGGGGCCACACTTGGCAGACCAGTCTGGGGAGCTCAATATGGAGACTGTTCTGGCCCGCGAACCGGATCCAGATCGGTCAGACTCACCTATATGGCAGAGCCATGTACTTCAACGCATTGCACACGAGCTTGGGATCTTGGTACATCAGCTTTGCGAACACCCGGGTGCATTTACAACTTACTACCAGATGACCAAGGATATCACGAGTGAATATGCAGGCATGTCCCTCGACCGCTTGGCTGAAAGTGGGCTCTCCCAAAAGCCTACTGAACACGCAGACTCAACGTCTGCCAATACGGAAATCGATGGTTCCATGCCATCCCCTCAATTCATCCCCACTCTTCGCGAATCAAACCGAGAGCATGAAGCACAATGGGGCATTGAAGAAGATGATCCTGCAGCAGACCCAGTCTCTGAATCTGCCCGGTTGCAGCAAGAGCAAGAGTACTGGGAACATGGCCTGGATGCCATGATGGTCTTCCGCTACCTTCGTACCCGCTTCACACGCCGAGGATACATGCCAAATGACAAATACACTTCAACGCCACCCCCTCGCAACACACAAGATGCCTCTCGCCGCGCCGCCATGATCCGCCACCACCATCCCCTTGTTGCACGGGCACATTCCTGCTCCCAAACGCAAGCCCGTCGGCCCGCTCAATATGCAGGTGTTACAGGTCCTGTGGGAGTCTCATCACCCTTACTCCGACCCCACCTTCGTCGACCCAGCTCGAGCTGTGCGAGTCAAAGTGCGAAGATTTCAGCTATCTCTAGTCGCCGAACCCTCACAGGATCAAGTCGCAACTACTGGGACATCGGTGGTAGTGTCGAGAGTAGCAGTGCTATTGGCGTCGGAGCTGGGCTCGGCGCATGGGGTGAGGTGTGATTTATCTGCCGTTTATTTTTGACATTTTTACTGGAGTTCATCGGTGGTTATATACCTATATCATCTCAAGAAACTACATAACAACAGGAGAAGCGGGTTTGAATTCGTGTTTGAAAATAAGTGATTCGGCCTTTTGGCAATTTTCGGGCGCGATCCCATCATGCCGATGGCTTCACAGAGATCCGTTTTCTCTATAGCCATTCGAGTTCTGTTCATATCCATGGCTCTCCATTCCTGTCTGGTATCCAGATGCCACCTAGCGTTATCCAGGCATGCTGCACATACTTTGAAAATACATTACCATGCAATAAGTACACCCAAGTCATGCGTAGTACTATAATGTATTTCAAGGCTGAAAGGACTTGTGTCTCAAAACGGGTTAGAATCAATTCATAATGATTTTACGCTACTCAATATCATAAACGAGTCTTGTATAATTTTAAGCGGAGGCAAGAAACGACGCCCCAAACAACGGTCTCTCGCCTCTCTTCGCCCTCCATTGATTTGTAGAGCGTATAATCTCACTACAACCTCGAACAATCCAACCCCATTTCTTCACGAACCCCGGTTGAAGTTCCCAATTTCGAATATCAGAAGGATCACCCCAAACAATCAGCCCCTGAGGATCAGGTGAACCTCCATCCCAGAAGCCCATAACATCCGTGCATAGATCTTCATCATCCCATTCGTTTCCCGCCCTCACTAGATTATCTCGCATAAGAGGACAGGGGAACAAATCAATCCAGGTATGGTGCTCATTGCTTTTCTGGAGAGTTGTTGGAAGCATGTTCGGCCGCGTTGGTACGACCTCCTTTGCCGGCCCTATCGTGTAGAACGGGGATACTGAATCCTCTTGCATCCATTCCCAGGTAATCCCTAGAGACGCCATGTTGCACATGAAGGCGCGATGAACATTCAGTTTTGTTAAGGTGAGGAGGTGGTTGGATAATGGACAGTTCATGAGATAGCTATTGTGAAATGTGGCGAGTTGCTCTATCAATGCCTTTCGCTGCTGGGGACATGGCATTGTGTACCAAAGTGTCAAATATGGGGCGGACGAGAACCGTTCTGCGCAGGATGTACTGTCTTGACTCGAAGATCGATTGCTGGATTGAGGGACAGTGGATGCAGCAAGTATTGCCAGCTGTTCAAGTTCCGTAAATTGTCGATTTGGATCTTGATGATTACTGAGACTATGCTCTATTTGAAGTGATTGTCCAGCTGCGATGGATGGAGACAAGAAATGAGGACTGTTTGACTGTCCATTTGCATGTCTTTTTCTTCTAGCCTCTTCGCCTGTGTACGGATATAGCTTAGTATATATGAATGCATAACTTAATGGGAGTAACGTACGGTGCCGTCGTTGATTTAATCGGTTTTGCCTTTTCCTGCGCTCCTTAGCATCGGCTAGGCCATGCCAATCGTCTGCCGAGGATAACTCCGGTTTGGTAAGCGGTATGCGCTCTTTAGTAACAACAGCAAGATCATGCTGACGGGCTGACATTTTGAATTCTGTTCGAGGTTTCGGGTTCTTCGGGAAGTGAAGTCTCCTAGACAGCAGAAGAGTTCTATGTTGCAAAATGCTGACACTTCGGCAGTTTAAAGATCTTGTTCTGCAGATTGCTGACACCATGACCCACTTGGCCCACTCACCTTAACCCTAAAGTCCGGCCCTTATTGCCGGCCTCCTTACATACACTGTATCCGGGCGAGTTGGATCACTTATAAAGAGCAATTCCGAACCATTCAGCAAAAGTCTACCTTTCCTGACGAAGTTGAGTCCAAATTTGAGACGATGCCTAACACTCCAGATTGGATGAGTTGGTCATCCTAGCAACTATTTCTGAAAGCTAATGGACTTCGGTCCTTCCACCCACTCAAATCGGGTCTTTGTCGCACCGGTGAGGAATACATCCTGGGGACCAAAAGCGCCTTTAGGCTTAGAGCCATCAAACAGTGTCCCACTGAGGAAAGTATGCGGGAAACCGTGATCGAACTCATAAGCCGTATCTATCTCAGCAATGTCACTTTCGCTCAGACGAACTTCCAGCGCCGGTATATTGCCCTGAAGATGCTCGATCTTTCGAGCGCCGATTATGGGGAACACGTAAGGAGCCTTATGCATGACATATGCCAAGGCAATATTGAACAAGGTATGACCAGTCTTTCTAGACACTTCGTCAAGCTTACTAGAGACCTGCTGGTCCCGAGCGGAGAGAGGTATGAAGTTGCGTCCAGGATTATGCTTCTTCCGCTGCTCATATCCTTCAGCTGTTTGGAAGCGACCCTGATTCAGAACGCCGTAGGGACAGATACCCATTCCTTCGTCCATTGCCATGGGAATGATATCTCGCTCGAAGTCACGCATCGCTGCGTTCCACATGCCTTGGTATACCACGAACTGGCGTAAACCGTGGCATCGGGCATACTGGTTCGCCTTGGTAACCACCCAGGCGGGGGCATCTGAAATACCCAAGTAGTTGACCTTTCCAGAGGAGATGAGGTCGTTTAGAGCGTGCATTAACTCTGGGATAGACGTGGTGTAGTCCCAGAAATGCACGTAGAACAAATCGATATACGTTGTCTGCAGATTTTGAAGCGAGCGCTCAAGAGAGAGGCGCATGGACTTGGTACTGTTACCATTGTAGTTCGCCCGAATGGCTTTCGGGTCATTGGAGTAAGGGCTAGAGTACTTTGTTGCCAGCACGATTTGGTCCCGAATCTTGCGGTCGGCCATCCACTCTCCCAGCCACTGCTCTGACTGTCCCTCGTGATAAGTGTTGGCGGTGTCAATGAAGTTACCGCCATCATCGTAGAAGGCGTTCATGATGTCAAATGCAGTCTCCTTGGTCATCTCACCATACCTTTCGGCATGTGCGAGACCAAAGGTCATCGCACCCAAGCATAGTGGAGAAACTCGGACGGATGCAGATGGTGCCAGCTGGCGGTAAGAAGATAGAAAAGTCTGGGGTCTTTCAGAGGTAGACATGGCTTCTGTGTCTGGAAATGAAAGCTTGAGTGGTAGATATGTGGGTAGATATGTGAAGAGAAAGATAATGCTCAATTTTCAGAGAGCGAGGTCACCTTTATATACGTTCGGGCATATGGAATGAACACATAGGATCTAATAAGCGGATTTAATGTTACGAGATATGTTACATAGACTTCTTCGGAGGTTCCGAGATCTGGGCGGACTTAAGAGTCTAACGTGGGTCCGCAGTCAGCAGCCTGCAGAACCCGTTTCCTTGCATTCATCTACCTTATTCCTGCTGTTTGAGGACAAGAATGATTGCGATAGCCTTGACTCAAATATTTGCAATGTTTCCAGTTGCAATGCATCATCTAAGTCCGAAGAAAACAATACTGGAGCCTGTTTCACAAGAGCTTTAGGCTAGAGACGAAAGATTCAAAAGAAATAAACCATCTCAAGGGCTAGATTTCATGTTTGAACCTGACCGTTTCCAAGTCCTGGAGGCTCCATAGCCAGAATCAAGGTCTTAATGTTTCTGGCATTGTCAAACATTCCGAATTCTAGATTGCTACATACAATATGGATTAATCATACTCTTGCTGCTTAACATGGCTTACTCCCAATTTACCTACACTTAAATCTTTTCTCGCTTGTTTGATATCAGCAGCCAAGCAACTAGGCTCCTGCTTAGCTTTGAACGCCCAGATATTCTCCTCGAAAATGATGTCAATCTCTTCCAGAGATTTGCCACATGTCTTCTGGAAGAGGAAAAAGAGGTGGATCGTAGCGGCAAAGCAAAATGTGCCGAATACACAGTAACTCTGTAAGCAATAAGTAATGGCCCCAAACTAGAGAAAGCCTAGTTCCTATATTTCCTATATTAATGTCAGTAACTTAAATTTGGCATCAATGGTCCATAGCCATTCGCGTGTATTACTGACCAGTCGAGAGGACTAAAGCAGGGTATGTAAGTATAAGGCTGGTTAATCGACAGTAAGAACTTGTACGTACCTACAAGTAGGCACATAGAACGCAATTAAAAGATAAGAAAATAAATTATGGCTTTCGAGGTCTTTGAGTTGGTGCCTTTTTATGTCATGTTCGGTGATCCTTCTAAGCCACTAGGTACGTGGTGGCCGTAGGAACCATGATTCCTACTTATAAAAATTAAAGAACACTAATTACGAGAGCGACAAAGATAAAGAGCAACGTCAGGGACCCAGGGAATATAATCGATAAATATAAGTAGGCTTCCGAAGTTCCGCACGACCTAGCGATAACCGGCCCTAGCCTAGACCTAGACCTGCTAGGTCTTTAGTAGGAAAATATAATAGCTAGGCAAGAAGAGGAGAATATTAGTAATAGGTAGAATATTCTAAGACTAATTCTTAAAGAAGAAAAGAAGAATGTCTATCCTCTCCCTCGTTAAGTAGGAGACGTAGGCGATTCTTATGCGAATCGGGCGAAATCGGATAATAAAACATCCATTATTTCCCTATAACAATACATTGTGAAAGACTTTGACAAACCCCATGAGAGTGGAGCGTTGTGGTCCAAAGCATTTAGTTCGTCCCATGGGCGGGGCTAGGAGGGTATCATAATATACTTTCTCGTTCTATTGCTAGAGGATATTCAATTTATGCTTAATCTCCTAGAGTTTATTTTGGTTGGCTATGATGGCATTATGGATGATAGCTTTCAGCGTGCTAATCAATTTCTACACCTCATTAGTGGTAATTTGGTCGGCTAGATACGATGGAGCGAAGGCATCTCTATTATAGGTTCGCTTTCGGCTATTAGTCGTGGCACTGGCTTCGAGATTTCCCCTTAGTGGACCTAGCGATGGTTTCTTGCGTGTTCGTGGAGGTGTCTCGGGCCCTCCCCCGGGTCTTTCTTCCATCGGTATGTTATAGCCGACGTAGTATCAACTTCTACGTCAGCTAGATAGGCTTTTTTTCTCGCCAGGCTCCAACATTTTGAATATTGCAATCTAACTTCAAGCCACACAACACGTGATGCGTTATTCCTAATCTTTCGGACTCCGTTGGTAGTCCGTGATTGAGTTATAATATATATCTTCTGGCACTCGTAGCCCTGTGGGTAAGCCTTAGTCTGACCTACATCCTCTAGCTGCGCTCCATTGGCTAACTCTACCCTACTTCGCTCTTTACTTGGCGCTCCACCCTGTGTTCGGAAGATATCTAATAGTAAGAAGGATGCCCTAGTGAAGTGCCCACAGTTATAAAAAGCTTAACCTATAGTTTTACTTAGTATGCTCTTCCTACTCTTCATCAGTATGATATTAAGCTCGTTCCAATTTTGCGATGGCTCCCCAACCTATCAGGAGGAATATCGGAATAGCAGCTACGTGCCAAATTTTATCGAAACACCACTTGGCTTCCAGATTGTCGCACCAGCTACTCCATATGTGGCAGCAGCCGGAAGAGATCAATTATACTTTATCGACACCCGTTACGATAATGTCAGCGCTCAGCATATCAAGAATCAAATTGAGAGAGCAACTATCCCTATCCCAGACGAGTATACTGCTATAGACGAGATTACGGCCACAGCAGAAACAAGAAATAGAAAAACCGGCGAAACGACATTCGTATTCGACCCTGTCTACGCTAGGGTACTGTTTGCCAAGGGGCTAAACAGGCACAATCCAGAGCTTAAATTACCTGAGTATGAGCCTGCTGGCGATTGGCTAGTAACCTACGATCTAGATAAGATAACAGGTGAGATGCATACCACTTCAAAGAACGATGTTATTGATAGAGGCTCATATCTCAGCAGGCAATGACTTAACAAGCCGGGTCACCAAACGGGTAGTATGCTCGCATTTTGAATGCTATACCAGCGCCCACTGTGTAGAACAATCTACATCGTGTACCCTCTGCCATGGATGTAGAGTCGACAATTAGTGTGACGGGGGCCACAATGTTAATGCTATTAGGTCATGCAATCGGCTTTGAAAGAGACACATCAAAGGAAGATGGTGAAACGGATGCCACAGAATCGATGGACAAGTTGCACTGGCATTGAGGGGATCTTGTGATTACTCAGGTGGAAACGTCCGGGAAGACGTCCCAAGTAAACCTATATTGGGGGCTATTAAGTTTTGCGTTCTCTTCTGCGTTCCATATTTAGTTTGATTAGTTAGTTAGCTGGGATTACAGTGCAGAGTATTGGTCCACCGTTATCCTTTCTCATTTTGAACTACTCATGAGTAATATAAGCGTTCGCAAGTCGCTCGCGGAGCGATCGTCTACGTAAGATGCTAAGCCACGCAGGTCCTTATTATGCAAGATTCCGTATCCTGGTCCACGAGCATTACTGCTTGACAATATTTGCGATATGACTTGTACCAAACAAGGCAGAATTCAAACCATGAACTCCAATTACCTCGAATTTTAGAATGTTGTTTATTAAATTCGCAATATTTTTAATCAACGCAGCGGAGGCTCTTTGGGAGCTTTCATGTTGTCCAGTCTCTTTGTCTCTTCCTTTTCTCTACATAGTGGCTCTTCTGCTTTCCGGGATGAGCGTTTCGCATGTTGAGGTTGAGACTCCGACTCTGGCGCGGGTGCGAGCTCTGTCACTTTTGCTGTGCTCCTCGTCGATCGTCTAGTTGAAGTTTCGGCTGAACTGGAGTGAAAATATCCACCAGAGATAGATTAAATCTCAGTATCTGGTCGTGTCGGCAAAGCGATCGCAACGGGAATATGATTTGCATCTGATGGCGTGGGTCAACGTTTTTCATCTCGAGGTCGACGAAGGAGGCGAGAGTTTCAGTCCTTCTTATACTCATCGGTGCCGATGATCGCGGATATAGTGGATACATCGAACCCCTGAACAAGGCCAGCGACGGTCGTCAGTCCACTGATCACATACGCATTGTTCAGCCCTCGCTTTTCATAGTGACAATTGACTAGACTGGAAGCACAAAACTAAGCTGTGAACAACCCTGCAACCTGTAGGCCTGCTCTATATCTTATATACTCCGTTCAATCGAGCAGCCTTTGCATGGCGAGCCAATGACACGAGATAGTTAGCCGACATCCGTCGAGGACCGGGAGTTGCGGGGTCACATCCTACTCGTCAGCCAACGCCAGAATGGTACCATCTTGACACTAATTCAAGAAAAATGTGTCTCGCCAATAAGAACAATTAAAGTAATCCCTGTTTGATTGGGGAATACGAGAAACCCATATGTGGGAGGCATTTCTGCCGCAGGTCACCGTACGCAACGCTGCATGTAGCCGAGTGCCATACGAGAGCCGTTCTTTCCTGAGCATATGTCGGCCATCGCTATGTTGAGAACTAAAGAGTCTATTGGATACGATCACAGGCTGGACAATGGGGCCGAAAGTCGAAGAGCTAGATCAGGTTAGACTGCCTTATGCTTCTATGTTTGAAGTCGACATAGATTAAACTTTGAAACAGGTTGTACTATATGTCGAGCTCGGAAAGTCAAATGCGACGAGACATGGCCGATATGCTTGAAATGTGATCGTTTAAAGCTCAACTGTCCTGGTCCACCTGTGCCGAAACCAAATTCCCGAAACAGGCCTCGTAGGCCAGGACATTGGAACACAGACTTCACTCAAGCCGGAATATTACGACGAAGAGTCGTGAATTCTTGCCAGGGATGTCGTGTTGCAAAGCAGAAATGCTCTGGTCAGGCCGTCTGCATGCATTGCTATGGGAAAGGCATTGACTGTGTGTTCTCGATCACGTCACGTCAAATCGTCGATGGCCAAAGCATACTTTCACAACAATCTGCGGTACAGAATGAGTCTGAAGATGTAGATCCAAGCAGAAGGCTCTCGGATGCAAAATCTAGGATCATCGTTGTTTGCACCTTTTGTCAATAGTACGATAAACTCGCTTGCATGGTACGCCCTTGACTTTTTGCATTATGTGACCCTTGCAAAGCTAACGGTAGAAGGCTACACGCTCCAGAGCTCCCAGATGACGAGAGGCTGAGGGTTTTGGTTGAAGAGTATTTTGCTCATATCCATCCATTAAGACGCAATGGATTTGCACACAAACCATCGTTCATGCGACGCTTGGATGAAGATGTGGAATCATATCGTCAGAGCGAGTCGTTGCTTCATATTATCTGCGCATTAGGCGCAAAGTACGTCAGCATCTCAGTTCTTCAGAGGAAGCCTAATATCCGACCAGATTCTTCGCTCTCAATCATACCTCTCAGTTATCATCAGAGGCAATCCTCACTGTCGGAGATCAATGGGCCAAAATTGCGAAAGCAAGGATATTTATAGACATGGACGATCTGTCCATTGAAAAGCTGATGGTAAGTCCGAAGAAGACAGCTGTAAAATCATAAATTTGATCAAATACCCTAACCATCCTGACCCCATTTTCAAGACCGCGATTTTGCTGCATGACCACGATCTTCGGGCTGGAAGCTACGCCAGTGCTTTTATGTTGAGTGGCATGACAGCAAGGATGACTCAAGCATTGCAACTGAATTGCTTCCAAGAATACCTTCCTACCTCTAGGCTGATATTTTACCATTGCGATGTAGTCTTTCCAAGACCCACCTTCCACAATGCGCGTGATATTCCCCGCACTCCGTGGCGATATATCACCTGCCTGTTTTGATCTGCGATAACGGCAATCTGGCGGTTTAGGAAGGCATCCGCGAACCCCACTGCGAAGTATACCAATTCTCCAAAGTTGCGTATCAACAGAACCCCTCTGAACATAACGATTCTAACACTATTTATTCCTGGTCTCCTCTCACACCGTTCAAGTTAGTTACTCCTACACCAAAAAAGCCCACAATGGATGTACCCGGCATCGCATTGATCACAGGAGCCGCCTCAGGTATCGGCAAAGCCTGCGCAAACGCCTTCGCCAACGATGGTGCCTCCGGCCTCGCCCTCCTCGACATCAACTCAGAGGCCCTAGACGCAGTCAAGGCCGAAATCGAAGCAAAGCAAAAGCAAAAAGGCGTGACCAACCTCATCCGCATCGAAGTCTTCCCGACCAATATCGCAGATGAAACCAGAGTCAACGAAGTAGTCGAAGAAGTTGCAAAGAAATTCGGTCGCATCGGCTACGTAGTCAACGCAGCCGGTATCGCCATGAAACACCAAGGTGGTGCAGCATCCTGCGAAACAAGCGACTGGGAACGCATCCTCAACATCAACCTGTCCGGGACATTCTTTGTTCTTCGCGCTGCGGCTAGAATCATGCTTAAGCAGGACCCTATTCTGTCCAGTATTGATGGAAGACCTATACAGCCGGGATCGATTGTCAATTTCTCTTCTATCCAGGGTGTTGTTGGGATCCCGCTGTCGACGGCTTATACGACAAGTAAACATGCTGTTATCAGGTTGACGAAGACTGCGTCGGATGATTATGCCAATCAGGGATTGAGAATCAATGATATTTGTCCGAGTTATACTGAGACGCCGCTTACGACCAAGTCGCCGCAGATTTTGCAGGCGATGATTGAGCGGGTTGGGAGTATGGTGCCTATGGAGCGGATGGGGAGACCGGAGGAGATTGCTGATGGAGTTTTGTATCTTGCTGGTGGGCGCAGCTCTTTTGTGACCGGGTCTTCGTTGATGGTGGATGGTGGTTATACGGCGCGGTAGTATAGATCGGGTCCGCCAATCAGATATCCACGTTTCAAATTACATCCAAGCTACGTTTATAGAAGATTGGAGAATAGGAACCATTTCTATTTACTTTTTTCTGTTATCAATCATCGTTCAATGCGGATTACTAAGGTCTATTCTAGGACATTGATGCGCTGTCATCCGTCTGACATCATCACTCAAGTGGTGCTTTCATCGACTCGACCACTAAGGATTTCTGGGAAATAATCCAATCTCCTCCATAGGATTCATCTAATCTTACATTGCATCTGTTATCAAATATGAGCAGAGGAAGCCTAGTACATTTCTACTTAAATACCGCATCTCGAGCTCGGGGCTTCCACATATCTCTGTCAATTGCACCCTTAAGACATACGAGATACCTCTCCACAACCCCCCAAGGACCCCTCACCCCCCGCAAATTCCCTATTGGACAGAAAGCCACACACGGATATACAGCCAGCATGAGCAGCCAAAGAGGCGCCGTTGAGCCCCAGCGCGTCGACGCACCACTAACCTCGTCAGCAACCTTCCTTGTCGTAACAGCAACCAACAAACCCGACTCAATCAAGACAATCCGCTCAACTCTCGCTGGCCTAGACAGTCTCGCCAAAAATGTCGCCATCCGCGATTTGAATGCCCAATTTGCCTGTACAGTAGGCATTGGCAGCGCAATCTGGGATACCCTCACCGGCCTCCCCCGACCAAGTGAACTCCACCCCTTCCGCGAGGTCAAGGGATCTAAACATACAGCCATATCCACACCAGGAGACCTACTCTTCCACATCCGCGCTGAGCGCCGAGATCTCAGCTTCGAGTTTGAGCGCCAGCTGATGGACCAACTAGGCGATGCAGTGACAGTTGTCGACGAAACAGTCGGATTCCGTTACTTCGATGTACGGGATCTACTTGGTTTCGTAGACGGAACTGCTAACCCCGTTGGTCCGGCTGTTCCACCAACTGTGCTCGTTGCCGAGGAGGATTCCTCGTCGCAGGGTGGAAGTTATATTGTTGTGCAGAAGTATACGCATGATCTTGAATCATGGAAGAAACTGCCGGTGGAGATGCAGGAGAAGATTATTGGACGGACTAAATTGGAAAATATGGAGTTGGATGATGCGGAGGAGGGGCAACGGTCTCATAAGACACTAAACACCATTGAGGATGAAGCTGGGAATGAGCATGACATTCTGAGGGATAACATGCCGTTTGGATCGCCTGGTAAAGGGGAGTTTGGAACTTATTTTATCGGGTACACGCGGAGACTGTGGGTTATTGAGAAGATGTTGGAACGGATGTTCGTTGGGGATCCGCCTGGCTTGCATGATCGGATTTTGGATTTCTCGACTCCCTTGACGGGCACGACGTTTTTTGCGCCGTCGGCGAGTTTGTTGGCGAGTCTGGATTCGGATTGAATGCTCTATACCATTGCGTGAGGGTTTATGGAATACAGACACCCAAAGCTCGATTCCCAGCGGAGATTCATTCTCACATATTGTCGAATATCATTAACATGTATTAGACGATGGACTGATTTCATCACACATTTTACTTCGCAATTGAACTCCAATTCACCCCAACAGCCTTTTGAACACCGTGCGCAGATACTCCGACCATCTCCTTCCAGAACTCCGACGTCCCAGATGGGACTAATTCCTCCACCTCCAGGGAGATCAATGTACTAAACACCCAATCCTGGCACTTTCTCCTCCCATCCCTCGGAGCCGGTTCCTGGCTAATGACCTCAATGGCGAGTCTCCTCTGCTGAGAATCCAGCGTCGCAAGCTTACACAGACCCAATGCCTGCATAATATTGAGATCACTGCCAAAGCGCGGTTCAAACTCGTACCAGAGTCTATCAACATCGACGGGGCGGACGTGCAGGAGGTCGCCGAATGTTCGCGGTGGTTGATGGATGACAAAGCCCCAGTGGGAACGATGTTTGGGGTCTTCGCCTGTGCCGAAGACTTCAATGGAAAGTTGGTATTGCATTGGATTCTGCGAATTGGGTTTGGATCTGAAATTGTGTCTGCGAGACTGAATCCATCGTGAAGGGACGGGAACCGCTTATTATTGCATTTTTCCGAGGCTTAATTTCGACAAGTCCAAAGGTAAAAGCGGGGAGCGGCTTTGTGCTTGGAGAAACACCACAAAAGAAGCTCCACGTCTCGCGCAGACGCCACATTCAGAGTCTCACAAAACAAATATAGATGCTCTTCAGCTGGAACACACGCTTATCACCGCCATGTTATTGGGCCGGATTATCGTGGGGAACTGGGGGCACTTGGCTACTTTGCATTTGAAGCCAGATTCCAAGTTGTATATTCATAGCTATTTACGATCATGCAGTAAAAAAAAGAGTCCAAGAAAGAGGGTATTGCAGAACGGAGAAAGTTTAAAAGTCGCTTCAAAGACATAAGGCAGTCATGACCGAAAGCATGTGAAACATGACTCGGGTTCAAGTCATTTAGAGAGCCCACTCGTCTGTCTCTGAGGCAGCGATGAAGGGCTTGTCAATCTGCTTGATAGCGTGATCACCACAAAGAATACTGATACATGGTTAGTCAATGATAGTTTCTGATACGAGAGGAGGACTCACCAAGTCTCAGCAACGAGTCCATCGAGCTCCTTCACAATATCCTCTCGCCGGGACGAGGAAAGGTCTCCCTGGCTCAATTGTGCCTGCAAATCCCGAATATACTTCTTCTTGCCTCCCGCCCCCTCTAACACTTCTTTACCCAGGCAATCACTGTGAAAGGCATGTTGACAGGGGAAGACGAAGAATTGGCGACTCAGCAAAGGCAATGAACAAATCCAACATTTCTCGCCAGGTTCCACAATTGCGTAGCGGGTGTCCAGGCTAGCGATTTCATTGCGGATCTGGCGCGCCGTGTTGGCTGAATTGTCCATCTCCTGACGCAAAGCATCAATATGACGCGAGTAATCTTCCAAAGCGGTACAGATTTCATCTTTGAAATCATCGATGACCACAAAGTCCGGGAAGAACGGGATGAGATCCTCAATGCGGAGAAGTTCGCAGCGACGTAGGAATTCGATCGCGTCTTTGATCCCGGTGCCTGGCTGACGGATCTTCTTCTCGGCCACCAGAAGCCAGAGTTTCTTACGGAGCTTATTGTTGCCTTCGGGGCGATCGGCAACGATGGCAGCGAGTTCGATATCATTATGCTCCAGGGCAAGTTCTACTGCCTGCAGGTACTGGCCCATGGCGCTGTAAATGTGGATACATGACTGCACTCGTTTGTGCTGGATGCACAGTCGTAGAGCAAAGTCCGCATCGTATGGAGGCGGCGAGGATGGTTGTGACTGGAGATAGGTGAGCAGCCCAGCTTCCGAAGCGGACTGACTCGAGGCATGAATAGAGATGAGCGTATTATGGACAGCGGCAGATGGATGCGGATGGTTGACAATGATGAAATTCAAGTATCGCACGGCCTGATTATTATTCAGAGCGACACTGGCGGTCTTGTTGTAATTTAAAAGCGCGGGTATAAGCCGCTCGGGGTCCAGATTGGTTTGTCGCATCAGGATCTCGATTAACCCGGTAGCCGCATGTGTCATAAGTACACTGCTGTACTTGTAGAAGACGTCGGGCTCGCTCTGTCGCTGTAGAACATTCAAAGCTTCAGACCACTTCTCTCGTTGGATCCAGTAAGATAAAACGTAGTTATAGTCACTAGCAACAGTCGCAAAGAAAAGCAACTCTTCTTCACGACCATGGCTGCTGATGATGCCATAGACGGTTTTCTTATCCAGGTCGGCCTTGTGCTTGGTGACAAACTCCTGGAACTCGGCTCGAACAGTGCCAAGTTCATCTTTGATCTCTCCAGTGGTGGCACCGTCGGTTAACTCCGCTTTGGTTGCGATATTATCATCTAACGAGTTCAGTTTGGACATGAAAAGTTCCACTAGCCAACTTGCGACCATGACTCTCTGCATGACAGATGCCTTTTTGTAAGTCGAAATCTGCGAATAGAGATACTTCCGCAAAGCATCATACTCCTTGTTGTCGATCATTGTCAGGCAAACCTCCTCGAACCCTTTGCTGCTCTTGCCCCATACTTTTGCCGCCTCGAAGAAACGGCCTTCTTTGGCTAGAGAATCACCCGAGGCAGTCATGACAGCATCTCGCTGTGCAGCGCTGCGCGCATATTGAAGTGCTTCATCAAACTTCTGCGCGCGGAGAAGGACCTTCCACACATCTCTATCTTCCTCATTGGCGACAACCTCATAAATCTCTTGGCTGGTGAAAAGCCAATACGTATTTTGAGTGAGATCCGTCAGAAGACCTAAAGAACTTTGTCTAGGCTCTAAGACTGTTTGCTCGTACACGATCTCTTCATTTAGACGGTTGACTGCAACGACCTTTCCTTCAACAAGAGCCAAAATATGCCACTGCGACAAGGCCATTGCCGTGATTGGATCCTGGATCATCTTCCTTCCACCTCGGGCGGATTCAGAGGCAGGGAACTTCGACCGTGGGAGCATCTTTGCGTTGTCAAATGGAGACGAAGAGGCAAGTTGGCCGTGGTAGATCCCATGGGAGCTGAGCCACGCAAACTCCTTTTCAGTATATCCAGCAGCTTGATGTGCCCCCGCCGTAGATGCAGATGATGAGACTGTCAATATCGATGGCGCAGAGCCAGACGGGTGCGGAATTTCATAGCTCAGGGGCGTCTCGCGTTGGAAAAGCTCCGCATATATAGATCCACCCCCTTCCCGACCATGCTTTGTAGACCCGACTCGACCCAAGAAATGAACCAAGCTTCCATACGTTGCGACGATAATCCTTCTCTGGTCGGCTTTCGAGGAAACTGCCTCGGCGCTGATCCCAATGACGGGTGACGCGTCTGTCACCTTGTAAACAGAAGTGACGTATTTCTCCTCGCGTCGATAGAACTCTGTCGATGGTTCGACGTATGTTTCATAGACATTTCCATCCGTCGTACCCAGAAGGATCTCGCGTGTTGAGGCAGTTGGTAACGAAGGGTTCCACGCAATGCTTTCGATAGAGACGCCCTTTAAGCGGGACAGGGCCTTGGGCTGTCGCGACTGGGTATGGAGATAGTAGTTTTCGCCGAGGGTAGTGCTGATAATAAGATGTGATGCAGAAGGATCAAGGAACATGCGGCGAATCAAACCGATCTCCGAGGACTTCTTAGGCAGGTCGATGTCTGTGAATGAACACTGGTAAGTTCCGTCCAGTTGTCACGATTGCGGGGAAGGACTATGATCTATCTTACCATCGATATCTTCTGGCGAATCAAGATCAATCCGGAGAATTCGGTTGGTCGAGAGAGCCAAAATCAGCACATTGTTGGCGACTTGCGCCGCCACGAAGTCGGCCGCGATGGGGAACTGGAGCTGCACCCGCTGCACGTCGAAGATGGGCAGGGAGTCTGCAGGCTCGGTCAGGTTGTTGGGAGCAACATAACTGCTGGATCCATCCAGCGCCATTTTAACCAGCTATATCATGCCGCCCGTCGGTTCCGGGCAAGCTGCAGAGGAGCTGTTGGAGCTTAAGGTTGACGAGGGAAGACAAGCTGGAATGCGGAGGACAGTTACGTGCCTTGCTGCCTGAGGCCACAAGTTAACTACGTGAGGCTGGGAGTGATACAAGTGGGGAATCAAATGACACCAGGTAGATCTAGGAGCTCAATTTCTATAGAATGAATATCTTCGTGCTTCATGCATTGGGTATCATCAATCGAGAAGAAGAAGAAGAATAAGAAAAATGCCAAGCAGAAATCATTAGAAACATATGTGCTTGGGGGTATCATGAATCCACCAGAAATAAGTACCGAGTCCCATATTACATCACAGTGCATTCCCGCTCTGGCTTGCGGACCTTTTCCTTCGATTTATCTTTGCTCTTTCCTTTCATACCACGATCTTTAGTGCGCCCTCGTCCATTCTTCTCTTTACCTTCGGCTGATTGAGGCAGCCCCAGCTTTCCGTCCTCAGGGGCGAGTTCGTCCACATCAATAGCTGATTCGTCGGCCTCACCCTCGCTGTCGATAGTGAATCTGTCTCTACTAAGCCGGCCAGCGAATCGGGAAAAGGTTGCACCAATACGGTTTTCACCAGACTGACTACCAGCACGGCTTCCTGAGTTGCTCTTCGTGGCGCGGGACCCACGCCGTGAGAAGGGGAATCCTTTGCCGCTGTCCTCTTCCATAGGTGCTAGTCGTGGCGATGAAGCAGGTATTGACCGAGGCTGAGGAGGGTTGTTGCTAGCTTCTGAAAACACAATGCTACTCGGTCGCCCGCCGCTGGTTGAGAGTTGAGGGACATTGTCTGGTGCAGTTATTTCAACGCTGGGTCGAGCGGAGCATCCATCCTCAGTGATACTACCGTCGGTTGTCTCCTCAATAGTCTGGTTCGTGAATTTCTTGGAGAATTCTACCATGTCAACATCAAGCGTTGCATCCGAGGCCTGAGAGGATGGGGCATGGCTTAGATAATTTGCCATGGATGCATCCTGATCAATGGGTAGGATCTGGTAGAATAGAAGATAGGGCGACTCCGTCTTCAGCGCTTGTTCGACGTCAATTAGAGTCACCCGTTCCTGGGCCAAGTCATCAAAGCGCATCCAGTGTTTGGGTGTTTCAGTGGAAATGTGACCTGAGCTATCACTAGAGCCCGGCGGTGCTATGTTAGGGCTTGTGCCTCGAACAATAGAGATGTAGTGCCCAGAATCGACCGAGTTGCCCCGGTGACAGACCATTGCTTGCAAGGACAATTTGAAGTTCCCGTAGATCGGGGCATTCGCATCGAGGTTGTCATCCTGAATAAAGTGGGGCAGGCCGATTTCAGTTGGGATATCAACGTATGTATTCAGCCGAACAGCTTTTCCATTTGGAAGGAATGAGTAGCGTTTCAAGCACATGCCAAGAATAGGTCTCTTGGAAGAGAAATGTGCCGCAACCTGAGCATCATTGGTTGGGGTATTATCAGTATACCATGCTGTGTGAGTACAACCATTAGCACGGTATCTATCAAAATTTTGACGGGTGGTGGAGGAACATACGAATGAGGCTGAAGAACTGCCATGCGGGCATCATCACTTCTTTTCTGTAAATACCCCTCCGTTGAGGCTCAGTTTCCGGGGTAGATGAATTCTCGGCGCTTGTAGTATCATCCGTGGATTCTGGAACGAACCGCTCGCGAACTATACTGTCTCGCCGACCAATTCTTCGTGCTGATAGAGATTCACTGAATTCCGAGAAAGAAGACCATGGACTTGGCTTCTCAACTCGGGGCGAATTTGAATGAGTGGACTGGGCAGGAGTCATAGTTGGCGTTGTTTCAACCTCTTCCACATGAGATGTGAATCCTTTCGAGATGGATAACGAATCCATTGATCGGGTGGAGCTGACTGTGTTTCGTCGTTCTAGATCCCGCTTGACTTCGATCCTGTTGTTGAAGTAGGCTTCCAGGCAATCTTCGAGTGTAAGCGTTTGCCCGTCAGTAGGCTCTGGTGGAATGGCAACTTCCAGCAGACGCTCGTTGATGAATTTGTGATCGTCACTAGCGTCCTCCTTTCCAAAATGGTAAATATCCATTTTGAGAGTAAGCAGTGGTAGTTCTAGCTTTTCTGTGATGAACGTGAATGCTTCAGAGGCATCCTGCTGTCTAAGCATAGCTGCATCTTTCCAGCCGCATTCAGCCAGGGCATCCTGAATGTGTTTTGTCTGGATGAAGTAGCAGTCAGTTTGAGAGCCTCGCAGAAACCATCTCTTGACGTACGATATCGGTTGTAATTAACCTCCCGGACCGCAGCATATTGACCCAGAATCTCAACAGAATGACAAGTTTTCGGCGTGGCTCGTCGTTGAATGATTTGTACAAAATCGCCTCAAAGCAGTCGAGGCGAGCGAACATGGCAAACAACAGAGCGTCTAGAAAGCAAGTCACTCCCTGACGATTTTCCGCACCAAGAAGTTTGGTACTTGGTGTGTAATTTCTGATGATTCCTTCGATCGAGTCCTCCAGTAACAACAGCAAACTGATTGCTTTATCGATATCGTCCTTGTTGGATTTCAACGCATAACTAAAATGCCGCTCTTCCAGAGCTGTGATTCCCATTGCTCGAATGCGGGCTTCGACTATCTTGACCTGTTGATTGATCCAAAGGGTTAGAGAACAAATAGCGATAGAGAAATTGTCAAGCACCAACCTTCTTCTGGTGCTCTTGGTTGTCATCGCTTGCGGGGTGAGAGTCAAAAAACCCGCGGAATAGAGGTAGTGAAAGCGCATGCTTCTAATTGAAATAGCGGCATTAGCAATCATGTTTCATAGTCCACGACAATGACTTGTGCGAAAGTATTGGTAGTATAAGAAAAGGGCAAAATAGCGACAATACCTCCTCATCTTTGCCCTGCCGGCGCCGGTCACGGCGAGTGAGAAAACGATGAATACCGCTCATTTCGGAGGATGTGAATCAAGTTCGGAAATCAAGGAAGCCCTTGTTCCCCTTGTGAACAGGGATGTCAAATTGATCGACGAGATCTCTAGGTAGGCGACATGCGGAGAGGCGGGTTAGGAAGCTCTAGTAGACTTAACGCCGGGCGGAGTCGAGGCTGCAGGATTCCCACGAAGCGCTTGGAGAACACATCATCTGCCACAATGGCTCCTGATATAGGGCACGGGATATGTCAAGAGAGCCAGTCAGATGTCGAGGACGGGTGAAATGCAAAATGATTCGAGAAGAGATCGCGGGATGATCAAATGAAGCTTACATGGACATGTTGATCACTTGCGCGGGGCATGCACACCTAATCTCTGCCTTGGATTTCAGGCGCCATAGTACACACGTGACGATCTTCCGGCTTGCAAACAATTTTCCCGAATGTCCCTGGGATTCTAAACGTCGAGCTCATCCGCACCATATCTCTCCCAATATACACTATGGCTGCCAGGGAGCCATCTAGATACCTGACAAGGGCATTGCCCCGGGCATTTGCACCTTCTGCTCGTTCCCAGGCCTTTTTAGGACGGCGCAATGTCTCCGACGAGGCTCCGGTCAGGCGTCTGTCGGACTTGGAGACCGAGTCTTCATTGATGACGACTGTGTCTGAAGATGCAGCAAAGTCCTTTGACCCTATTGCGCGAAGCAAATCCCGCAGAACACAACTTCCGCGGAGTCGGTACGTAATACTCAAGTCACGATTTCACTCCCTAAGTTTTGTGGCAGCGAATAGCTATCTCTCATGCGAACAAACAAGCTTGACTAACACCTCAATCTCAGATACCAATTCCGTTCCCCGAAGTACAACCGCGGTCCTCTTCACCCTCACCAACCGCCACCTCCCTCCGATCCCTCTTCCCGTCTCTTCGTCCCGGGCCCTTTCGCTCTTCCCCGTGCCGAGCAAACCTACAACTCGACCATCGCATCTGATATTCTCACTCTTTGCTACGTGCACACTCCTCCGGGCTTCACCCCTCCTCCCAAAGCACCGCGTCTGCGTGAGTGGGACGACAGTTCGCCATACCACAAGAACCGTCCTCTCCGCGGACCCCGTGGTGGAGACGTGCTGCGGTTGATCCGCAAGCCGATCAAGTTCAACAACATCCCCAAGATCGAGCGCATTACCATTCACAGTTACGTGAAACAGGCGGCGCAGGATAACTCTGCGTGGTTGCACGTTGCTGGTATGGCTGTTCAGGCTATCTCCAATGTGCGCGTGGAGACCTACAAGTCCAAGGCCAGTGTTGCTACCTGGAGCATTGCTCCCGGTCGCGACACTGTGGCTGTCAAGGCTGAGCTCCAAGGTGAGACTATGTATCACTTTTTGGGCAAGCTGATTGATGTGGTCCTCCCTCGCATCAAGGATTGGCCCGGTGTTAAGGGCAGCAGTGGTGACAGCAGCGGAAACATCACATTCGGTCTGGAACCTGAGAATGTTGCCATGTTCCCCGAGATTGAGGTCAATTACGATATGTAAGTTTGTCTTTTATGCCGTGGACCCGTCATATCAGGCTTCTAGTTCTAATTTTTACCCCAGGTACCCTCCCAAGATGATTCCTGGTTGTCACATCACCCTCCACACAACTGCCAAGGCCGACAAGGATGCCCGCCTTCTCCTTAGCGCCATGGGAGTCCCTTTCTACGGAAAGATTATCCACTGAAGTGCTAGATAGGTCGCATACGGCACCACTAGCCCTGATTTTCCTATTATTTCCTTGGGGCGTTCCGTTCCTACAAAACCTGTAACTTTAGAGGTGGCCTGCATAGTGATCATGGCGATTCACCAACCTTGTGTATTATTTCCAATTTCCAATTCATGTCAAGCGAAATACTTCGAAGAACAAATTCCTCCTAGCTCTCTCTCGATACGCCAAGTAGATATTATATGGGACGTTGGTGATGATCATCATATTTTAAGAATATTAAACATGCGTGGCTATGGATATCATGGTACAGACGAGAAGAGAAGACAGGAGTAACAAAACCCACATTATCCCAGCTTTGGCATAGCCAGAAACTTACACTTCAACAACTCATCCGCACTAGGCCGCTTCTCATAATCAACCTGGAAGGTCATATCCAGGAACTCAACTGCCTCTTGGCTAACATGTTCCGGTGCCGGTGGGCGAGCTTGGTTACTACCGATAGCGAAAATAGCCTGAAGCTGACTGCAATCGGGGAAGGGATGAGCACCAATAAACATCTCGACAACCAGACAACCCAAACTCCAGATGTCAGCCTTCTTTGTGTGGGCCGTTTGCCGTACAACTTCGGGTGCCATCCAGTAAACGCTACCTTGCAGAGAAGGACGGTTGAGGTGGCCACCACCACCATGGCTGGCTCGGGATCCGAGCACATGGGATGCTTCGACACGCTTGGAAATACCGAAATCGGAGATTTTGACTCCACCCTTGTTGTCAACGAGGATATTGGCACCCTTGATATCACGATGAATGATATCTTTGCTGTGCAGGTAGGAAAGACCTGCCAGGATCTGCCGGACAAAGTTCTTGACCAGGGGCTCCTGGAAAGTGTTGTATTGCTTCAGCATAGTGGCAATTGAACCACCGGGCACGTATTCCAGGAAAATATTCAGGTGTTCTTCATCGGCAGCTGTGCCCAGGTATTGCACAATGTTCGGGTGATGCATTCCTTGTAGAAGCTCAATCTCATGCTTAAGGGCAGTGACCATTAGGTTTTTGCGTTGATCGAATTCCGTGCCCTTGGTGCCGGAAGGAACTTCAACCTGCTTCACAGCCATAAGCTCTCCAGTAATGGAGTGTAGAGCCAGGAAAACACTTCCGAAAGAACCCTCGCCGATAAGAGAACCCTTCATCCAGTTCGCCGGTGCAAAGTGATTGCCAGCCAAGAAATCGGACATGCCTGGGTCCTCTTCCTCTTCTTCCTCCTCTTCATACTCGGCTACCATAACACTCATTCGATCATTACTGGAACCACCGTCGGTAGCAGCAACACTCATACTCTCCTCCAGCAGGCTCTGCCGAGAGGGATTTGGCTCATCTGACCCACTGTCAAGTGAGACATAAGACTTGCGGTTTGGCTCAGTTGTTGTTGGAGATTCCTCTTGGAGTGGTTGAAGGGTGCTTGACGCAATAGAGTCGCGGTATGAGGATTGGGGAAGGTTAAATTTAGAAATAGACGTGGGCCGCGCACGCGCCGCCGGTGCTCCGCCTTGGTGTTGAAGCCAGGCATCGGCAATGTTAGGCATTGGGGGGATAGGAGGAATAGAAGGTAACGGTGGAAGTGGAGGCGCATCCTTAAGGCTCGACGCAACACTGTAGTTGCTAACAACACTGAGACGACTTGCAGCACGGCTGAGACGTTGCGATCTCCGCATTGTCTTTTCGATATCTTGGCGATCATGACTAGGGAAGAAGGATGGAAGCTCGTGAATAATCATCTCACTTGGAGGTCTCTGGCCGAAGAATGACCGAAGCTTGGCCACTGGGTTACGTTGATCGCCTGGTGACATCTGGTCCTGCTCAATGGAGGGAGTAGACCGACTGCGGGGTCCTTGTGGAGAGACTGGCTGCTTGGTGTTGATAACCTGCCAGGATTCACCGGTGAGCTGTTGGATTTTGTGTTGGTTACGGCGATTGGATCTGTTCAGCGCGATTTGATGGGTAACAGAACTTTCGTCCACAGCCAGCTGTGACGCTCGTCGAAGTTCATCACCATCCGGCTCCCCAGCGTGAATCTTTCGCAAGATCAAACGACCGCGTTCGGACTTGCTGACGCCTTCACAAATTTCCATAAGCTCGCTTTCAGTCAACCGCCTGCAGTTTGCCAGATCCGGGTCTAAGCCGTCCAGAACATAGAAACAGTAATTTCTGTACTGGTGCTCTGGCAGCTGCAGCTTCTTCAGAACACCAACCATCACCTCATCTGGTGTTTTGCAGTGTCGAATATCAAGGACCTTGGTCTGTCCACCAGTGTAGATCACGCGAATCACAGGTGAATTAGGAGGGAGTGGGCCCATCGTCAGCCCGTCAAGACTGGGATTCCGCGGGTGAGAGCTTCTCGACCCGTCAGTGGCAGTACGACCGGTCCCTGAGCCCCCTGATGATGGTTGATTGAGATAATCCTTGCGCCAGGAGTCTCCAGGTGTGCCAGGTTGTGATGATTTGCCAAATTCCTCCCCTAGCTGAGACATGCGTCCATTGCCGAGAGATGGGAAACCGGAGAAGCGCGAAGTTTCAGAGGACAGGGCCGCAGCCTCCATAGCAGCTAGTTTGTTCTTTTCCAAAGTCAGCATCCCAGTCACATGTGAAACGACAAAACTGCATACAATATTCTTTTGCCTTGGATTCACCATGGCTTTGTTCCGAAGTTGTTTGATTGCGATAAAGATGCGCACTCGGTCGCCCACTTTCTTGATGCCTATCTCTTGCAATATCTTCTGGTCGCAGTCGATCAGATTGTCGCCGTTAAAGTTATTAGCTATAGCGGCGTCAGTTTTCCCCCGGTTGGTCTCAATCACAAGGGAAATAATACCTCTAAATATGGATTCATATTGACCGCATTTGATGCTGTGTAGCCAGGCGACCACCTTCTTCTCATCCCACGCCCTATATATAGTCAGTCGGTGTCGTTGGTGACTCCATTTCTAGCTTTTTCTAACCGAATGGCCGCAAGCTCATCCTGTCCGTCGGAGAATTCGGACTTCGTTGGGCTTGTAAAGCCAACTCCATCCGCTTTTGTCGCTGTCGCGGGTCGGGAGGTTGTCGTGTGATAGGCCGTCACCGGAGTTGGTACCCCTAGGGGGCCAGCAGAGTACTGGGTTTTAGCCAGCATGGTTGGACCGGGTCCTGCCACAAGCTTTCCTTGCTATTTCACTAGATGAGGACTGATTGCGGTCGGAGCGCCCTTGCCTCTGCGGACAAGGGCCGTTGGAGCCGAGGTTCGATACGCAGCCGGAGGAAAATGGAGATCGGTCAATACATAATCGCAGCAACTAAGGGTTTGTGATCAGCTTTCGTCCCATGGCTTCGGGGCAGGTTGTTAAATGATGAGGCTTGGGGGCCAAGAGGGGCAATGTTCATTCTGGGGCGACCACGACATAGCATTGGGGTCCAGTGGCCAGGATGACAGAGGGCTGACTGACCTGCGTTGCACAATGGTAAAGGATATGCAAAGAATCCTGGGTGGGCGGGATTGGAATTGGGGGAGAAGGCGGGTGACGACCAATCTTGACGTCTGAGCTTTTTTGGGGTGAGATCGGTGGAAAGTGGACTTAGTGTGGTCGAGATCGGGCGTTATCGAGATAAACTCCCCACTTAATAGAAACACAACAAGGAGAGGGACCTGGTCAAGGAAATGAAGGAAGATGATCCGAGGGAAAAAGAAGTCGCACAGAGCATGGATGAATCAAAAATGCAGTTCCTCGCGAGATAAAGTCTTGAACCGTGGTCTGCATCAAGGGGCTCCCCCACACGTTTCAAAGGTACGGAAAGATTGGTGTCATCTTGTCTCATCCCTGTATTCCGAGGCAATTCTTATACTTAAGATCTGAGATATATATGGGATAGATAGCATTTAAAGATCTAGAGATTATTTGTCGGGTGCGGAGACTATGAGTTTCCCATAAAAAATGTCAGGGACTTATGGAGTTGACTATGTAGATTTTTATATATATTGACCCCGTCCGTTGGAAGTGCACGATGGGCCCCACTGTTGAAACAGCGACTCAATAGCCTGAAACTGACCTTGACTATATTAAGACCCATCCGAAATACGCTGATAGGGAGATTAAAACACACACAATAGATAGTTTAATATGTTAAATTAGATAGCATGATTCATTGAACCGTGCACACATATTTAATGCTGAGCAGTCGCAAGAGCTCTGGCCCTAACTTCATCGGCCATGTTAGGGCAAAGATTTGCACCTTGAAAGCGCTTAAACATGATCGTACATCAGTTCTATTATTACATTAGCGAGCCCTTCGAGGATTGAGATCCCAACAAATCTTACAATCAAGGCATCTACCTAGGGCCATTCGTCCGATTGATCTAAGCGCTGTTGGCATAGTCCAAGTCAGTTTCGAATAGATATCCCATTGATCGGCTCTCACTTTGACAAGGGATTCACAGGCTCTATTGACTTCTGAACGATGGAAATATCGGTCTAACGTCCACGTGGGCTCATTCTCATGTCGTGCCTGCACTCTTCTGTACCTGCGGAAGACCGGAGTAACGGGCCATAGAATTGCCGTGGGAAGAACCCGGTAAACCAATAAGATCCCAGGTGCCCGGACTTCCAAGGCTGTTCTAGCAGGAGGTATGGGGTCGTCACTGCTGCTTTTTTCATCGGGTATACTAGAGTAGTTAGTCAAAGTTCTCTGTTTACTCCGCATAGAAAACTCAATGTTTTGCATTGGCATTGGCATTTTTCCAACTACGGTCCAGCATGACCTCTCCGCACCAGTGGAGTCGACGTGCATAACGGAACCTTATGTCGGCCACGACGAAATAAACCACCACTAAGGTCCATCACTATCCCCCAGAAGATGCATTATCTATACCTTTAACCACCAACTATACTTATTGTCTGGTTGTTTCAAGCAACACGTGACCGTGGCTCCCCCCCTCACACAGCGCACTAAAACCCCACAGTTCTTTTTTTTCCCCGCTCAGTTCCAAAAGGGCCTCAAATTCTTTCCCCTCTCTGCTCCCCCAAATCGGAAATCCCCAACTTTTCCCCCATGGAGGACGACAAAGCTGCCAAAGTCAAGAAGAAGGGGACCACTCATCGAAAGTCCCTTTCCTGCGAGTATTGCAGCCGATCCTTTGCTCGCTTGGAGCATCTCCAACGCCATCTCCGCACTCGTTGAGTAACCCCCCAAGGCCTCCCTAGTATCTGGCTAACGTGGGACAATCCAGATACCAAAGAGAAACCTTTCTCATGTGACATATGCTCCAAATCTTTCGCCCGAAGGTAAATCAATAATTAACCTGCTCCCGCCCCATATCACATCCCGTCGCATTCGGCCAATCGCTTATTCCCATGCACCCGCAGTGACCTTCTAGTGCGACACGAGCGCCTGGTTCATCCTGCTGAGGCTGCAGCCGGTCGAGAGCATCGTACACACAACGGAAATGAGAGCAGTCATCATGAAATTCCAATCCAGTCGACGATAATTCAGCCCGCTCATCACGAGTCGCGCATGCTCGAGCTGGCCGACGCCATCCCCGTCCACACCCAAATCGCACCTCCACCTCCCGAGGTACAGATCCAACCACCCCCAATAGTAGAGACCACACACTTCAATCCATCCTGGGGCTATGACCTTAATCTATTGTCGCATGCTGCAAGCCATGTCGCTTTGGAAGGACAACAGGAGAGCTTGGATTCAATCCGAAAATCATCGCATTCGGTCGGCACACCATCACAATCTTTTCAGGCGCCAGAGAGAGCCATTACCGATAATTATGGTTTAGAGCCCTCCATACTTGATCTGACAGATTTGGGTGACCCGGTTCAAGATTTCACTGTCTTTTTGGAAAGCGTGGGCCTGTCGTCGGATTGGGACTCCGGGGTATTCTCATCAGTAGAAGAACCAATGTTGCCTCCAGGTATGCCAATGGATTCGAAACCTCATGTCCGAGAAACAACATCTTCGACCAGGCTGGGTGGGGAACTTATGAGTGACCCACGAATGCATATGGATGAGCAGCCGTCTTTCTCTAACTTTGGATCCCGATTGCCATCGCTTCAACCCGAATCTCATGAGATTGAGGATCGCATTGGTCTTCAGGATGAAGGGTCACGGCCGGCTTGGGATATCACCAATTCCGATCGGCAAGTCTTTGTCTCAAAGCTCGAAGAATTCTCGTTCGTTCTTCCGAAAGGCTTTGTTCCGCCCTCGCGCCATGCTTTATCAAGGTTCTTCGCCGGATACATCAACGGATTGAATGAGCACCTGCCTTTTGTGCATGTCCCCACTTTATCTATCGCCAAGTGCTCACCGGAACTCACCCTAGCGACAGCAGCTGCGGGATCGCACTACCGGTTTGAGAATGGCCGAGGAATCGAGCTGTTCCATGCGGCGAAAGCCATATTGTTGGAGCGCCTCCGCCGAAGAGACAGCCGGCAAGTACCTCTTCCCACGTGGAACTATATCTCCCCGCCTTCCGGCTATCCCAATTCACGGGGTTCTTCGATGATCTCGAACACAGCGAGCAGTCCCTTCCAAGCCCAACACCATATTCCAAATCAACCTTTTAATGCCTCAATATATACGCCTGATGACTCAGATGCCCATATGGAAGTGATACGAACCTTTTTATTATTGACCGTATTCGCATCCTGGGAGAAGCAGCCGGAACTTTTGCGAGAGATTCTCTCACTTCAGAGCACGTTAGCAAGGCTTGTTCGAGAGCACGGCCTTACGGAGCCACCACCTACCATGGATCCCATCAGCTGGGAAGAATGGGTGCGAAGAGAAGGGAACAGGCGGACAAAGCTCATCGTATACTGTTTCTTCAACCTACACTCCATCATGTATAACATTCCTCCCTTAATTCTCAACGGGGAGCTGAAGTTGAATATGCCCTGCTCCCATGATTTATGGAAGGCAAGCAACGCTTCTCAATGGCGCCGAGTGTTCCGCACCCGTCAAGGCTCTGATGTACCTTTCCAAGATGCGTTTGCTCGACTTTTCTTGAGATCTTCTACCTCCCTACCATCCGCCCCGATCTCCCCTCTTGGCAACTATATCCTCATTCACGCCATCATACAACAAATATTTTTTGCCCGTCAACTCTGCCTCTCTGCGCCAAATATGCAAGGCACCAGCTTGAGACAAGAAGATCTCATCGTCCTCGACAACTCATTGAGTGCATGGAAGGCTTTATGGAAACGCACACCTGAATCCAGCATTGATCCCCAGAATCCAGCTGGTCCTATCGCGTTCACATCCACTGCACTCCTCGGTCTGGCTTATATCAGGTTACATGTTGACCTAGGGCCCTGCCGACACCTAATTACCCAGGACCCAATGCAGATTGCTATGGCCTTAAGCGAATCACCGCCTGTTATCCGCAGCCCGCGGCTAATCATGGCCTTACTGCACTCCGCTCACGCTCTCTCCATCCCTGTTCGACTGGGAATCGATTTTGTGGCAAGGACTCACTCGTTCTTCTGGAGCATTCAGCACTCCCTCTGCAGTCTTGAATGTGCATTCCTTCTGAGTCGATGGTTACTCGCCATTCCCGCAACACAGCCAGACCAGCGGCTATCGGAACACGAGCGCAAGCTTCTTTCGTGGATCAAAAGCATGATGGATGAAACCGACATGGCTGTTGATCCGCCCGGGCCACCAGATATGGAATTCATGGCTAACCCGTATAAGGTGCGGCAGTTGAGTGTCGCTATCGTCCGTGTATGGGCCCGCACATTCAAAGGTAATACTAGTTGGGCGATTGTGGACCTTGTTGGCTCGAGCTTGGATGCCTATGCGGACCTCCTAGAAAATTAAACGGATCCGAGGCTTGTACGCTTTTGGAACTTCAAAATCTGGACGCAGTTTCCTGTATTTAGGGAATTGCTCTGATGCCATGACCTGGCTACTCTAATGATGTTATTGCTCGATGGTTTATATATCTCCAGTCTCTGTTTTTGTTGCTTTCTGGTGGACATGATGACTGTCGGAGTTCTGTACATGTGTTTTGGGATTTTTTGGAAGGATCTTCTGGGAGAACTTTCTATTTATTGTATGTAACATGACTCGTGATTGGTGTCTATACCCGGTACTGCGTGTTTGCCATTTGATTCAATGAAATCTCTCTTCATGCGCTTCTTTCAAGTCTCGTGCCTTTCCCAGATGTAAATCTTAGAACTGATCGTCCAATCCCTGTCTATGAAACCCAGGGTTGTTGAAGTTATTCCTGCTTTATCCACCTAAAATGCAGCAGACTGTACTTGATGAGCAATGCTCTTCCTGTCAAGTGACATGAGCCAAGGATTTATTGCTCCATTGGAAGCCCTGTTTCTTTATTGATCACTTTGACTTACTTGCACGCGATCTAGGGAGCTACTGGCACGGAAAGCCTTTCAACTGGCATAGATTTGTAGAGTGAACCTAAGTCTACATTATTATGCTACGGTAGACTTAATTGATTCAAGTAATGCAAGCGAAACTGAGCAGCCCTACAGTAGTGGTCCATCCAAAATCCTCCGCGGAGATTAACATCATCTGCCGACTGCTCAAATGTGTCAGGCTCATACACAAACGAAACCTTGGCGCCAACCTTTAAGATTTCTTCTCTATCCTTTTTCACATCCTCAAGACCGAATGCAACGCTAGGAATTATCAGCATATCATGTCTAAGATGTCAGCAGTCAGGGGGTTTTCTCACCTTTTGATCAACGCCCTCTACGTCAATAAAGCCGTAGGGAGGCTCTACGGATTCTTCCCATGCCTAGTAGGGGGTATGAGCAAATACAACAGAGTGGAAAGTAGGTTGCCGCAGACGTACCGACACAGTGCCATCGATTCTCTCAGACATTGTGGAGGAGGATTTATGAGTTGAAGACGAAGTATATGATCAATATGTAGGGATGATAGCGAGGATAATCATGGAATCCACCAAAGGGTACCACGATTTATATACGATATTTTGGTTGGGACATGGATTTCCCCGCTGTCAGGCGCTGTGTTTCACGGTGGTAACCATCTACTCATGCAGTGGAGTGGCTGCCACGTCAATGTGTATGCACATTAGTGCATTTTACCGAAAATACATGTTCAATATTGCTGTTTACTGAGATACCAGTGTAGCCACAGTGACCCCATCTATTGATGCAGTGATCCATATTGGCAATCGCTACCATATCAGTGGGGATGCATATTCCAATATGCATGTGAAATACATTGTTGGTGCAGTACAACCAGCCCGGGATGTGACTTCCTCACCAGAATATGAGTATCGGCGACACTAAGGCAAAATAACAGACTGGGTATTAAACAACCTTGGAAGTCTCTCTAAGATAGTAGCCACGCCATTCCCTATCTAGCCTACTGGATAATAAACTACTTAAGAATGGGACATCATTTCCGAGTACTTCCGTGGCTCAGGTATTGGTCAGCTGTAGGAATGCATTTTGGCTCTCTGACGATCATTGAGATTCATCCCCTGCTTGCATGAACATGCAGCATCTTGAGTCGTCTGAGCCACTCTTTACATCTCTTCCACTTGATACATCCCTGTGTAAAGTCTCCATACGTCCCATACATGCTTCCATTGATTTTCAAGCTACTGTCCATGAACCCCGCAGTTCTAGGCTTTCTAGGTTTTAGTCCTACTGGGGTTTATTCAAAAGCAGAAGCATCCCAGGTCGGGAGACATACAATACGTCTCAACTTGATGCACAAATAGCAACCTACCAATTACATCTCTTCCCCTATTGATCAGCCGTTAATTCAGCCATCATCATCTTGAAAGTGGGAATGTCTATTTTCTATGGATTTACGTCCAACTAACGTAGTATCTGTTCAGGCAGATCATAAAGTCCCAACGTCAAAGTGGAACGGTCAAATGGTTCAATCCGGAGAGGGGATTTGGTTTTATCACCCCTTGAGTCCGGCCCAGATCTGTTTGTACACTTTCGGCACTCGACGGTAGTGGATTCAGGACCCTCGAACAAGGGCAGGCAGTCACTTTTGTAGCAGTGTACGGGCCCAAAAGCGGATCTGTGAATGACGTCCAGGTGGTTTCTTAAGTTATCGACGAAAGCGTCTCTATAAGATATTTTCCCCAGGGCTCTTCGAATTCTGTCTGAAAGGGCATTTCGCTGTAAATGAATAGTATCAATGAGAAAGCGGACAGTACTTAGTTTACATGATTTAGGAATAGATATTGGAACTTGGACTCAACTTGGAACTTGGATGGTCTCCAGGACTCTAATCATGAAAATGCAGCTCTTGTTCTTCATCCAACAGGTCTATTGTATATTTCATCAAGACCTCGAATGCGATCCTTTTGCCCGGTTCCTCGTCACACTAGAAGGCACAAACCGAAGCGCAGACATAGACCGCTCCAGGTCATCAATTTCCATATCATCTGGGGTCGGGGTTTTCACTTGTATTGGCGGAGGATTGGTTTGAGATGCTGAGCTCCGCCGCCGCAGCCGCCCTTCATTGATTGACGAGATAGACGCCGTGGAAATGCGCCGTCGGGTGCGGTCGCTATTCATTGGCCGCAGCAGGGAGGTTTGCTTGTCGATTCCATCATTTATGATGTAGAAATTGTAGTTCTAGCAGTCTTGTAAGTTTTCGTTAATTCTTCAGGGTTTGTAATTCATACTCGAGGAAACATGTGCTTATCCACCAAGTGCAGTCTCCGCTTCTGGGGAGTCGAGCATTTCCTTTCACACGTCTCAACAAAGCAGCCATACTGCATGATTAACCAAATGGTTAGAAATGGCAAATATATGCCTTAATCGTGCGTAAAGAAGCATGATTACTTACGGTTTTCTCCCCTCGTGCCCTTCGAGCCGCTGCGAGAGGATCATGATTCTCCTCGATATGGAGATTCAAAAAATGACCAGTGGGGAAGTTCTTGCTGCACTGTGAACAGCGATTAACATGTGCCTGGGCATAATGAACTTCATAGTCCTCGTAGGAGGTGAATGACAGAGTCTCTCTATGCGGCGGTAGCGCACAATGCATAACCTCGAAGAGGGGGATAGAATCCCGCGCGATCTTCGCTCGTTCCGAATCGGCAAGTGCAATACTGTCTGTATATATTGGGGACCTTGATGGTGACTCCGGGTCCGAGGAGTGTGAACGACGTCGAAAGCGTTTGGACATGATCGCAACCTTCAGGCTTAGTGTCGGTCAGAGATGTGACCGGTCCACTTTGGCGGGGCTCAATGCAATAGGGACGCAAGGATTGGCTCACTAGATGAGAGCGTCATGACATGGATTTAGGTTGAAATATAGAATAGAATCAGAAAGAAAAGCGACATGCCAAGTATAAAACTCTCGGCATAAAATGGAATTGTACGATCCCAATCCCCACTTTGCTAAGCGCCCAATCACATCCCCCCACCAAAGGGGGGAGTTTCCGCGCTTTTGCCTTTTACTCCACGCTTTTTCTTGATATCGAATCGGAAATTCCTCTCCTCCTTCCCATCACGACTGATGGCTTGGCCACTGTTCTTTACGTCCGACGTCTTTCAAGGAGCCATTTGACGGGCGGCCCAGCGGGATTAACGGACTTCCCGAGCATGGCGTCCTCGTTCCAGGATGCGTGGCAGTGAGTGCTCCTTGCCCCCAGACAGCGACCACACCGAAGGAAAGAGGGGGAGAATTGTGCAATACATGATGCTTACTGAGATCGCGTTCAGAACTACGCTCGACGCTGAACGCGAGCTATTGCGATGCCTCGGTGACAAGGAACCAACCTTCGTGGAGTTCTCGCACTATTTATCCGAGTCAGTCTTATTTCCGCCCGCGCACCTCTCGGTCCACGCTGACTGGATGGGTTTTCTTTGAACAGGTTCCGCACAGCAGCCCAGAATGCCATTCTCCTGGATTTCGATGCCGCCCGCGAATATGATATTGAAGGTCGCCTGTGGGATGCGCACCTGAAACTCAACACCCGGTTTCGCAAGAAGCTGTCTCGCGTGAGTGCCGACCACTGAAGGAGGCACGTAACAGGATCCAGCTGACTAGTGCGATTTGGATAGCACAAGGAGGAAAATGTCAAGAAGAAGCCGGTCGAAAAACGGAAGCTAGAGAAGCATTACTTGGACTTCATCAAGTCGAGCCAACGATTCTACCGCGGATACATTCAGCATCTCTCGTCTCGCTTTGCCGGGATCTTGGAATTGGAGAAGGTTGCCTGCAAATTCAACTTCGAGAGTGCGCACTACCTTTTGATCTCCTTGACAAACCGTTTATTGAAGGATACTAATGCTCTGTTGTTCAGATCTGTCCGCGCAACCTCCATCCACGGTTACTCCTGACTTGCGCAAGCGCATCCTCCAATCCTGCCATGCAACACTCATTCGACTGGGCGATCTCTCTCGTTATCGGGAAACGGAACTGGTCAGTAAAGATCGCAATTGGGGCCCAGCCATTGGATATTATGATTTAGCTTCGGTTATCTACCCTACCTCTGGCGCTTCACACAACCAACTGGCGGTCATTGCGCTCGCCGATGGCAACCATTTTCGTGCCACCTATCATCTCTATCGGGCCTTGTCCGCCCGAGACCCCCATCCGTCGGCCAAGGGAAATTTGGAGATTGAATTTAGAAAGGTCATGAACGCATGGGCCAAGCGGGAGCTGATCCGTCCCGAAGATGCGGGTATTCCAGGTAGAGCTTTGGCTCCCTGGTTTGTCTACCTGCATGCGCAATGTTACAAAGGAAATGATTTTTCTGAGCATGATGAATTAGAGAGCGAAGTCATGAGCCAGTTCGCTGTGGATATTCGAGAACAAAGGTCACTGGAAGGCACGCTCCAGAAATATTGTCTTGTCAATATTGCGGCAGAGGATTTCGCTCGAGCGCGATCCACCGAAGAATCGGCGAATGCACGCATCTTCTTCCAGCGCATCAACGTCAAAACATTTTTCACATTGCTGCAAATCCTCCTGGTTGAATTGGAACGCTTTGCTGTGGAGGATTCGGACACCAAAACCACCGACAATGTCCCAGACAAGGTGACTGTGGTCGCCCGTCGTATCTTGCCTGCACTGCGGCATTACAGTTCCTGGCTCCTCACCACCTGTGACTTTCTTCTTGCACAGAAAGAAGAAAAAGACTCAGCTCTGTCTATTCAAATTCAGGAATTTTGGAAAATATATGCAGGAACCCTAACTCTCCTTGCGTCTACGTTCGATGTGGTGCATCTCCCGGAGATCGATTATCTTCTAGAGGAGGATGAAGAGAGCCTAGGATTTGCGCCTCTAGATCAAGAAGCCACTAGACGCCGATACTACGCTACAGATGAGCAGCTCAAGCCAAGGGTGAATGACCCTGGTGTCGAAAGAAGTCATCCGAATATGGAAATGCTATACCGAATTCGCGAATTTGTTATCGATGGCCTTGATATGGTCGTGAGAAATAGAATCCCGGTCGTCCTTGTGGATGACGAGGACAAGAAGACATTTATCTATCAGGAAGATGGACTGCCCTCTCAATTTTTCTCCAGCCCCCATATCCATCAGGATACACTCTCCAGCGCTAACATTGAGCGAGAGGATATTCCACTACCGACTCAAGATTCCATTTCTGTTGCCGAGGGTCACAGCTTGTTTGGGGGCTCTCAGTCTGCCTCTGCATCCATGTCTGCTAATATGAACCGTATTGTGGAAGGTGTTGAACGCCTCGTTGAGTCTGATACATATGAGAATGCGCCTGATGTTCCTGGTCAATTTGAACCATTCATGCCTGACACCGGAGACATGCCCACCCCATCCGGCCATATCAGGCCTAGTTCTCATGCCTTCCCCTTCAACGAGCAGGGTGTACAATCGCTTGGCGCAAATATGGCCCCTCCTGGGCTCGGTCCGCCTAGTCATAATGCCTCAGAGGCTCTTCGCGCGTCCTCGGCTCAGTCATACACGCCATTTGCCGCTCTGCCCAGTATTCCCAGCATCTGGAACACTTCCTCTCCTGGTCCCCTGAGGGGTGCTGCATCCCCGCGCACTCCACCCGGTCTAGGCCAACAGGCCCCATTACATTCAATGGCCCCGGTTGGTGCCAATGTTTCTGAACACTCTCCATCTCAGGAGCAGATTGCCAACGAGCTACTTCGGCAGAGTATCATGGGTCAGACTCAGCTCACAGATTCTTACGAAACACCTACTGCTCCTTCGTGGATGGCACCCTCCAACATGTCCGCTGCAGGTCATCCTCGTCCTCCCACAAATCAATGGGAGCGAGAGCCCCTCAGCCGAATGACGTTCGGATCCTACCAGTTCCCCAGTCAAGCTAAGTCGAGCATGCCAGCTCCATCTTGGGCCAATGATGCCTACATCGCCAGCAGTTTTGCGTCTGGTGCGGGTCAGTACCCCCCTGGACTTGGTTCTCACCGCAAAACGGCCACCCAGCTCGGTGCAATCGGCCAGACTCCGCCATGCGGTCAAGGCGGCTGATCTAAGGTGTCTTCCCGGCTTTAATTACGATAAGTATGAAATATTGCACTATGTGCACAGTGCATACAGCCCACATCTATCAGCTATGCGAGAAAAGAGTGATATCGATATCCTACCTGTGCAACCGGAGTCAATTTTCCTAGTTACGCAGATATCACCGTATCCGTGTACTCTCTTTCCTCGGTTCACATTGACAAAGACTATACCTAGCACAGACAGCATGGACAACGAGATTGCCCGTGCTCATTCTGGCATTCCCTTTCCGATGCAGCTGCGGTTCTGGAAATAGATCCAGCAAAAACTTTTTTGCCTTATCATCCTCGTCGGGTTAGGAATGCTCATGGTATGCTTTATATTAAGATACATGAGTATCCGCAAGACCCTCGTTCCATTTTCCATTCTGCAGTCCTCTCCTTTCAGCTTTCCTTGTAGAGGATGGTATGCACTGCGTGTTCAAGACTCAAGAACGGGGATTGAATCGAAATGTTGCACACATAGGAAAGTCCTTGTTTCACATCGAGCTTATTCTTTTCATTTCTTTTTGTATCTGTTTCATACGACATGAAGTCCAGTAACGACCACCAAAATTGGTTATCTGCTTTTATCAGCCCAGTACCTTTGTTTATCCCAAATTTTCGGCTTGGAGGAAAGGCATTATTCGTTCCGGGAGAGGTTTAAGTCCGGGAATAGGATTTCTTGTGCAGACAATGCGGCTAGAGTCAATGCAATGAATGTCATTTTTTACGTTTTAAATGCCAATCTAGCGGATAAGAAGTCCTTCTGACTCTGTTATATTCATTATATCGTTGTTGAAAACGGGGTACTTTTAGAGTTCCCATGCTCGTTTCTATTTTGCACATGACGCCGTGTCATGAGACACTGTGGTGGTCGTAACAGACATTGAAGATGACCGAGAGGTTCTTATCTGGGTAAGGACAGATACTAGAGGGAAGAGAAACAATATTCTGGCTAAGGGTCAAGGGCCTTCGGTTCATCTTCTCGACGTTAAGTCAGGATTTTATAGGAAAATAGGAAAGAAAATAAAGAAATATTTGGGTATAGAGGGTTGAATCATCCAAAGGTTAGTGGTGCATAGTCAATTGGTATTGAGTCGCACCGAGATTTCCAAAGTGGAAAATCTTGTGTTGAAAGGTCTTCATTACTGATTTTGGCTTTAAAAGATGGTCATTTATGACCGAGAGTAGGTCTGCTTGGGGTAGGGGTAGCTATCAAACATTTGAGGTTAGTCATTCGAATTGAAGAGGATAAAGACAGAAGACTTACGAAGGTCCAAGCTCCTGGATGCTCTTAGCGGCGAGCCACTGGCCCATGTCAACGGAGTCCTCCAGGGACTTGCCAGCGACGAGACCAGCAACGAAACCTCCAGCGAAAGCATCACTGTAACATTTACGTTAGGTTGATTGTAATATAAGGCATTATGCGTTTCTGTAAAACTTACCCAGCACCGTTGGTATCGTTGATAGCATCGGAGGAAAGCTTGTGAACATCAAACTTCTTGATCTCAACATCACCGCTGGTAGAAGCAACGGCAATGATGGTGGGGTCGGTACCCTGGGTGACAATGGAGATACGAGCACGCTGGGTGTTGACCTTGGGCAGAAGGGCGAGCTTCTTGGCGATCTCGATCACATCCTCAGTGCCCCACTGGTGGCTCTCGGAGTATGCACGAGCCTCTGTCTCGTTGCAGACTGTGTAGTCAGTGTAGGGAAGAACACTGTCCAGCTGCTCCTTGAAGAACTGGGGGATGAAAGGAGCGGAGAGAGAAAGCATGAAGGGCTAGAAAAGTTGCAGGCGTGAGTGGGCATGATCTATAAATTTAGGCAAAAAAACAACATACCTTGTTCTTGGCAGCAGCCTCCTCAGCGAGGGCTAGGATGGCGGGAACGCAGACAGTCAGGTGGAAGCCACCAACGAAGTAGAACTGGGCCTTCTCAACGAGGTCCCAGATGTGGGGTTGCTTAAGGTGCTCGAGCTTGTACTCGTTGGCGGCAGCAAGGTGGGTGCACAGGCTGCGATTGTGACCAGTGATGACGGCACCACACTTTCCAGTGGGCTGGGTCTCGTCCACACGGTATTCGGTGTGGACACCGGCCTTCTCACAGGTCTTCTTGAGGATCTCACCGTACCTGTCCTTGCCAACACAGCCAATGTAGAGGACGGAGTTATCAGGGAGCAGGTACTGGGCACCACGGGCAGTGTTCTGGGCAGCACCACCGGGAATCAGCTTAGCATCAAGCTTCATGAGCTCCTCGTAGAGACCCATGTGCTGCTCCTCAGCTAGGATGGCATCGTTGGCCTTGAGGCCATACTTCTCCAAAAGAGTAGTATCAGCACGAGCCTGGATATCGAGGAGAGGGTTCTCCAGGCAGAGCAAAGGGTAACCTTGAGGGGCAGCCATTTTGAAAAGTGTTAAATAATGGATTGAATAGGGAAAGGGAAAAGAGAATTGGAAAGGAGTAAGAAAAGAGGGACGGGGCCTAGGTGGGATGGAGGGGCTTTTCTGCCGGGTTCGGGGCGGCAAGTCCCCGGCTCCACTTCAATGATGTTCATCTCCTGCAATAAACCATCCAGTCTGTTTACAGCTACGGAGTATAGGCCCGTCCCAAACTCCCAAATCACTCATCATGGCAGACCATACGATGGAGATCCCTGAGATCATCCAGTCAGCCTCGATTCAACACAATCCTTCCGCTGACCATGACATCAACCCTGCCACTGCAGCCTCCAAAAAATACCCCGTGGTCGCCGCCCCAGCTTCGGAAGCCGGTAGCCTTGCTTCGGATATTGTCGATGAACACCGGGTAATCCGGCCCCTCCGCCGACACCAGACACTCCCTCCCCTTCCAGATTTGCGCTTTGAGCAGAGCTATTTAGCTAGCCTGAAGGATGCTGACACTTGGGGGCGGGTGGCTTGGATTACTGTGAGAGACCAGGTAAGCACACATTTACGTCGCGAGGCATACCCGCGAAAGAGTCTGATTCAATCACGAAACAAAATGATATGGCGAGGGTAAAAAGAGACGTCAATGGCTAATTCATCTTCACTATTCTCCACAGGTCCTCCTTCCGTTGATCCAAGGTACCGTCTGGACACTCGCGCTCTCCGGCTGGAAGTTCTGGAATCGCAATGCCTCGCTCAGTGGACAAACGGTTGGCAGCCGGATTCGCAGATGGTGGTACGATGTCAACAACTGGAAGCTTCCACCCAAGTGGACAAATAATCCGCGATTGGCATCGAATGTTGAAGAAGTAAGTAAACCGTTATGATTGCTTTCTTTTGCTATTCCAATAAGTACAGTGCCGCTAACGCTGCTGGAGTTTCTAAAGTTCTACGAGGCCCAGTTTTCTAATGCTGGCTCGGATTAAGTCTTAATTTGCTGAGCGTGGAATCTAGATCCCGGTGCTTGGATACTAGCATTTTTGGCGTTGGGTCTTCTTGTTTTGCTTTATTCTGTTCTATATCCCAATTTCTAGAGTATTCTCTTTCCACAACTAAAATTGTATCGAAAAGTTGTTTCTACCGGGACGACTTTGTTAAATAATCGCGTATGTTATAAGCCAGTAATCATTAATCCAGTATTTTATTCCTATCCATGATCATCTCTACAACCTGGGAATAATACAAAATGAGCAGCTGAAGGAAAGCCCCCCAGTAAGCAACCAACTGCTTAACTTTATAAAAGAGAAAAGTTAACACTCCATAAGCATAAAAAGGCCCGACGTTTCGCCGTTCAATATTCAGGGCTGGCCGTTAGCGTCCAGTATATGGAATTTTAGCCTTGGGTAGTAGGAGCTTGTAGATGAGACAGTCCATGACTCGGCTGGCTCTCAATACCGGTGTTATCTGGAGACCATCCATTGGCCTCAACTGGCCGGATGGATTTCGGTGGCTCTGTCGGCGGGATACTAGGCATGCTTGATGCACTGTCTGTTGTCGGCAGATTATTCTCTTGTGGCTTGAGGTCGGAGAACATAGATGGCGCATTTACCACTGAGGCTTTCGAAACCTGTTGAGGGCTCAGTGCCTGCTTTGGCACCTGGTCTGCAGTTGGCTGCGATGTTGGTGGTACGGCTTCCTTGACAGCCTTCATTTGAACATCGTTTGCGGGAGGCGGCTCATCGTCGGATGGTTTGTGCTCACTGGGAACGGTGATTTTGCCAACACGAAGTTGAACCACAAGACTTTGGGGCTCGCCATTGGTAATGGACTCATCCTCGCTTGCATTTTCTCCGTCATCATCACCCTCAACCTCATTGCCATCGTCGCCGCTTTGCCACTCATTCCCACTCTCATTTGCACTAGACTGTGCTTCCGACTCGTCCTCGAGGTCATCGGCAGCATACCCGGAATACCCGTTAGGGTTGATGGAAGTTCGGGTTCTCTGCGGTCTTGCAGTGTCCTCTTCTTCTTCGGAATCTTCACGTTGTCCAGTGAGCAAGGTCTCTCCATAGAGCCCTCCAGCACGAGACCGAATCTGCCGCCCACTGGCCGTGAATCGAGTACGAGGCTCGAGAACTGCCACGTTAGAAGATGCATTGCGAGCGGATCGCCTGGAAGGCTGCTCGTCGGAGAAGATGTCTTCATCGTCGGAGTACGTGTACTTCAACTTTTTCCCACGAGTGCGGCCCTCGTACATTGAGAATCCAGGCTCGGGCCGAGTAAATGCAGCCTTACGAGCAAGACGGTAGTCTCGGCGTTTGCGTTTCTGTCCTTGGTCAATTTATGAAGCCCTTGTAATTTTCATGCAGCAACCTACCTCTTCTGACGCTTCGAACCGGGGAATAGCGTTGTGTATCCTTTCAGCAAGCTTCTTCGAATTTGTGCCTTTCTCTTGCTGCAGTTTATCGGCGATTTCCTGTATCTCGGGAATACTTCCTGCGACGCTCCACCAGCTGACGTGTTTGAGAGCAGGATTGCTCTCTCGGTACAAGCGAAAGTTGGTATCATCTTGCCCCTCAATGAGCCAGTATCGCCGTTTTAAGCTATCACGGCCCCACGATTGAACGGACAGAGGCTGGTTGAGGTCATCGTCGTGGCGCGCTTGCTTATAGGACTCCTTGACCTTAGCCTGAATAGCTTCGGACGACGAGAGCGACCAGAGGATCAAAGACCTAAGCAGCTCAAGCTATATAAAACAAATCAGGGATTAAAATTCTTTTTCCGATTCAATGTGAGATAATTGGTGCATACGCGTTCTTCGGGTGTCATGGTCGTGAAGCTGCGGCTCCCATGAAGGGGATTCCTGCCCTCCCATGCTTTTGGCCACTGCAGTTGGTGGGTATGAATCGCTTCTTCCAATGGTCGTGTGTAATGATTCCGTCTGGAAAATTATACACATATTATTAGCGATAAATTCTATAGGCAATTGGCGGACGAGGGCCAAAAGCGCGCGAGTTCCCAGGATTCTGCGCGGGACCGAGCATTAGGTGGCGAACATACTCAACATCCTTTTTGCGGTTCAAAACAAGACCCAACAATGCGCAAAGCAGTCGCTCAATATATTCGCCTGGAATAGGCTCTTCGACACCTCTCTCGATGTCCTGTGGACCAAAGTGTGGCAGGCTGCGAGGGAAAGCATCATGGAATCGCGCGCGGAACATGACGATGAACTAAACATTGCGACGGGTCAGCCAACGTGTCTTCGAATACAAGAAGCGCGTCATAAACGTGTTCCTGGAAGTCTACCCAAGGTAGATATATCGGCGACAAAAAAACTCACGGCAATATTGGGGTTATCTGCCAGCACATATTCATGCGGTGGTGATGGCTCCCGCTTTGGCGGCGGAGTCTCAGACTCCTTCTTGAAGTACTTTGCAATGCCAACGGGGCGTTCGTCGATAGCCATAGCGGCTTCATCATCCGTCGGCGGCGCTGATGATAATGATGACTCTGAATCTGAGGGTGCCATGTTGGAGGTGGTGGTGGGGGAAAGTTGGAGGTGGTGCGAAGGACAAAGTTGAAGTGCGCGCAGGAAGCGTCACGTCGGGCCTGGCACCTGCGCGCCCGAGATGGTTATGAACGAGATTCCTTACACACTTTGAACCATTCTGCCATATGCACCGTTTGACCAAGATTATTGGAATATCTTGAGTTCGGTTCATTATATCAAGATCTATATAGGGCTCGACGTGTTTCATTTGAATACAGCAGAGCAGGAGGCATATATGAGCATGCAGCGGTCAGAATGTGGTCGTCTTCAAAATGGATATACTTTATAACGCAATGATCATTCTATTTCCCTGGACTGGAGGCCATTGTTGGCTATTAAAGGCCAAACAATCTAGGGACTTTATGCATTGCGAGCTTATTTTAAATAAACACCTCTTTATATTGACTCTGTTTCTTTTCAAGGATAGCGAGTCGCAATGTCCAGGTAAATCAAATGGGGGAAATTCATAAAGAAGAATGTTATTAAGAATCATGCGGGTGCATGGCAAGCTCCTGTTCTCCGCATGGAGAAGAGAACGGTCGGCAATGATGCCAAGTGCAATGATGATGCCACTTCAGGGCTATCGGTTTAGTCACGTGATCTAATTAGGTGTCGAAAGAGGACAGCACGAAATGTGGACGTAAAGATACATAAGACCATTTCATAGTCTACGACTCGAAAACAAAAATGTTGCAAGTTGAGGGTTCATATTGAATCAACTTCTGAGGTATTTCGAGCCTTTTGTCCTCATTTTTCCTCAGAACCTGAAGCAATCAATTCCTATTCAGAGTGTTGGTCACATGACTATGAGCCAAGGTTCACGGTATATTTACATAAGCAAGCAGGCGCTAACCCTGATTCGGTTTGGTTAGCGACCGCGCCCTAAAGCCCACACAGTCCCATTCTCCGTCGATTTCTCATCCTCCCAAACGACAAGCCTATCTTCAATTCGAGGTGCGACCTTTTCCCTTCCACCGTCCCCGACCTCGTCTGTCCTCCTCGTTCAAACTAACACAGGTTCTTCTTTTCTACAGACAGTCGCCATGGGTCGTGTGATCCGTAACCAGAGGAAGGGCCGTGGCTCCATTTTCAGTGAGTGCGACCGCATCAAAATCCCACAAACACCTTCTACATTCGAAAAATTGTCGGCGCCGCTTCCAAGAGCAGGGAAGAGATGGAAACAAGATTACGGACACCACATACAACGCATGCGACAGGAATTAGATTGCTGATATCGATTTTTTTTTTCTCTTACAGCGGCCAACACCCGTCTTAACAAGGCGCCCGCCCAGTTCCGTACTCTCGACTTCGCCGAGCGTCACGGTTACACCCGTGGTGTTGTCAAGGAGATCATCCACGATGCCGGCCGTGGTGCTCCCCTCGCCAAGGTCCAGTTCCGTCACCCCTACAAGTTCAAGATGATCACCGAGACCTTCATTGCCAACGAGGGCATGTACACCGGCCAGTTCATCTACGCCGGTAAGAACGCTCAGCTCACCGTTGGCAACGTTCTTCCTCTTGGCTCTCTGCCCGAGGGTACCGTCGTCTCCAACGTCGAGGAGAAGGCCGGTGACCGTGGTGCTCTTGGTCGTACCTCCGGTAACTACGTGACCGTCATTGGCCACAACCCCGACGAGGGCAAGACCCGTGTCAAGCTGCCCTCCGGTGCCAAGAAGGTCGTCAAGAACACCGCCCGTGGTATGGTTGGTATCGTTGCCGGTGGTGGCCGTACCGACAAGCCTTTGCTCAAGGCTTCCCGTGCCAAGCACAAGTTCGCTGTCAAGCGCAACTCTTGGCCCAAGACTCGTGGTGTTGCCATGAACCCCGTCGATCACGTAAGTTCAGGCAACTTCAGATATGCTCTTCTTTTGGCTAACCAGATTTCCCTCTACAGCCTCACGGTGGTGGTAACCACCAGCACATCGGTAAGGCCTCGACCATCTCCCGCTACGCCACCCAGGGTCAAAAGGCCGGTCTCATTGCTGCCCGCCGTACTGGTCTGCTCCGTGGTACCCAGAAGACCAAGGACTAAGTGCAGTGATGTTTTGTGGAGTTTTTCTTGTGACGGGTTGAAAATGGACTTCTGCTATGAGACATATGTACCTAGGCGACTGCGGATAAGCGTCCCATGCGCCCTTAGCGAATTAAGGTTGTGGTCACCATCCTTTTTCTGAATAAATCAACAAAAGGGTGATGGATTGGGGTCCGGGGTTGGCCTCATGTCAAGGGCAGGACGGAAAAATCAAAAAGGCCCAATAGGGCTCTGAAATGATACATCTATGAAATTCAAAATGTCCTTGTCCCAACCCTGTAGATTGACGTAGACTTTGGAAGGTTGTACTTTATTGATATGGACTCATCTGGGTAACCTCCAGGGCTTGCTCTTTGTATGGGAGGCGAGATGTGCATACACATACCTTGTGGCTACTGGGGTACCTAGGTGTCTCAAGGATATCCATGCGAGTAGCCCTTGAGTTCACATGAGGCTCCTCAGCCCTAAGTGCTCGCCGCATTCCATTGATTCTGGGAGGTTGTTCCTCATGGTTTAACTTCTCATCACTTCGTCTTTCCAGGTTTTAAATCCCCGGTGACTAGTTCATCTATGTCCCAATTATCTAAAGATCTGTATTTGCTTTAATATGTGTATTCCAAGATCGAAGCTCTATTTTTTTGTGGGCTGGGTTATCTGCGATGTCTTGCAGAGAGTTGGACTGCCTTTCTCTCGGCCATCCACAGGATCCCGTTCCTTGAAGTCCACCAATTATCTCCCCAAATACCCATCAATTCGTTTCTAAATAATAAATAAATGTAGTACTTTTCATGTAGTTTTTGAATCAAACAATCTCTCTCTGCTTTGTTGGCTATAGGTATGTTAAGGCTGTGGGCACTCTCGGCGGAGTGGGGAAATATATTTAGTGTTGATAGTAACCTGGCCCGATTTTACAAAACTGGCGGACTTTTCAACCGACGGCCTCTGAAGCTAATACCCAGCTAGGTATCTGAATACGACCTCGGAGGCACTTCAAGACCCATTGTATTGATCTAGAAACTCACTTGTAAACATACAAACTCACCGCCAACGACTGCCCAGAGTTGGTTTCGTTGATCTCAAACTGACCAATCAGTGACGCGGGTAGGAACTTGGGACCAACTTCTGACCTTAGTAGCAAAAACCAGATATCTCCAACCCATCTCCTCACTGTCTGATCTCTATGGCATAGACTTGATCCCTCTACCAACCTTGTAACACTGCTCCAAAATGACTAGTGCAGATGCCCCGCTGAAAATTCCCCGCCTCAGTCGATCCGGCGATACCCCCACCTCCGCTGAGCGGTGGCAAGCCATCACCAAGCGCGACACGACAGTAAATAGCTTCGTCTACGGCGTTCTCACAACCAAAATATACTGTCGACCGTCCTGCGGTGCCCGCCTCGCCCGGCGAGCCAACGTCGAATTCTACAATACTCCTTCCCAAGCCGAGAAAGCAGGCTTCCGGCCGTGTAAGCGCTGTCGGCCACAATGCGGCGGCACGGCCGCGCAGAGTAATCCACAAGCGGCGATGGTTGAGAAGGCATGCCGAACAATCCGCGACGAAGTCGACGCAGGGCTGAAACCACGTTTGCACGATCTGGCGGCTCAAGCAGGGCTGACTCCGAGCCATTTCCATCGTGTGTTTAAAAAGATTCTCGGCGTAACGCCGGGTCAGTATGTGGGTAGCGTGGTTCAGAATGGCATCTGTCCGTCACTGGGGCCTTTGACGCCTGATACTCTGTCTGAGCTTGAAACACCTCCGTTGGCACCACCCCTTGGGTTCGTTGGGCCGGATGGGACGCAAGATCTGGATTTAGATTGCCGGCAAGGCTTCGCGCTTCCTGGATTGCCAGCGGTTAGGTCTCCTGTCATCACGGATAACGCCTGGAATGAGTTTGATGTTTTGCTAGCAGCAGAGGATCAGGGGCACACAAATCCTTTGGATTCAATCTCAATTGATCCCCGGGTCTTTTTAGGGCCGGAGTGAGATGGGCGCGAACCGGTTCATTCCATTATGTATGTCCCATCAGCAGTGGGTCCAGGCCCACGATGTTAATCTGTACTATTGAATGAAATATACGAGTGTGATTACAATTACCATATACGGAACCTTGGAATTCTAGCTCTGCGGACGAGGCCAGTCTTCCTAAAATGGAGAAATTGGCGGGGGGACTGTGCCAAGGGGGCGTCCCTGCAGCGAAGCACTGGAAGATGCAGTAGATTAAAGTAAAATCTCATGACCCCTCATGATTCGACGTGGCTATCTTCATCGCCACCACCATGCACTTGGCATCAATCAAGTAAGGGTGGACTGAAACACCGACGAAACCTGTCCGGAGAGACGCTAAGATGACTGCGCACGGGTGTACGTACAGTAGGCCCATTGAGTCTTGAGCGATCGGCGATGCGCATCCGTTGGGAAGCTAGAATCTCTCACACTGGGGATTCGATTGGCGCCTGGATTGCAAGCTGGTCCATCCACAGGACCCTGTTTCCTTGACGGTGGCGTGTCACTTTCTCTGAAGATAATTATAGCATGAAGATCCGGGACAACTTCCTGGTCTTCCAATTGGAATCATGGTTTCCCCACCGATGGATCCACTAACGCGTGTCACCTTTACCCGCGATGGTCGAGCCCATTTGAAACAATCAATTTCCCTGCGGGTCGTCTTGTCGTGGATAAGGGGGGGGGTTGGTCTTTCTTGATTTCCTTTTTTCTTTTTTATTTATTCATTTTTTCTTTTTTTTTTTTTTTTTTTCTTTTTTTTTTTTTTTTTTTGCCAATAGGGGTGAGACTTTATCTGTGAAACTGATTGGGATCGGTGGCGAGGAAATGTAACGGAGTGTGTATTTCCAATGAATTCATTGTTGAGGCGCATTCCCCACCGATCGACACCATATTGTATCTCTGCATGCAGTGAAACGCTTTTGGGGGAAGTTCGAGAAATTTTGTCAATGAACGATTATCAATTGCGTGCCATCAGGATAAATTGGACTAATTAAAAATCAAATTCAAATTGGAGGGGTAGTGTGTACGTACTCTGTTGAATTATACAAGTGCTCCCTTGCCCCGTCCTTCCCAACCTCCCCTTTCTCTCTCCCCTCTCTTTTCCTCCACATCTCTCCAACAGTACCCTGCGTTTTGATCCGGACCTCCGGATCCGTACGTGTTTGGTCCAGTTTACGATCATTACAAAAAAACCATTGCCATCACGTTTATTACCCCCTCGACCACTACTTCACTGCTCCCGTTCCTTTTGACCTCAATCCTGCCATTGATTAACCCACCTGGGAGAGCCATCTACGTCCACAATGCACGTAAATAAGAGAATCGGTCGCTTCAAGCAATGGGCGGGAGAGCGCATGGGTGGTGAGGCCAAGACGTGTCAGTCAGATGATTTCAAGGCTATGGAGACGGAGATGGGCGTGCGCCATGAAGGTATGAATCTTTGAATGACTGTGTTACTTTCCTGAATACTGATGCTCTGCCTTTTCAGGTGTTGATCACATTCACAAGTCTATGACTGCCTACGTCAAGGCCATCTCGAAGCGCACCGAGGGAGACGATAAGGAAAAGACCCTGCCAATTGCGCACCTCGGAAGCAGCATGGTCAGCCACGGAGAGGACTTTGATGGAAATTCCGAATACGGGCAATGCCTGATCAGTGAGTTGATCTTCGATCTCGAGACCATGCCTGAATTGCATGACTGACAGTCGGGATAGTGTTTGGAAGGACCGAGGAGCGTATTGCCCGCATCCAAGAGAGCTACATTACACAGGCGACTTCGAGCTGGCTTGAGTCCCAAGAGAGGTCTCTCACTCAAATGAAAGAATACCAACAGGCTCGCAAGAAGCTGGACAGCCGACGACTGGGATACGACACTTCGCTTTCCAAGATGGAAAAAGCCAAGAAGGAGGATTTCCGGGTGGAGGAGGAGCTTCGCAACCAAAAAGTCAAATATGAGGAAGCCAACGACGAAGTGCTTCGCCGTATGCAGGATATCAAGGAGTCGGAAGTTGATAGCGTCATGGATCTGGGCGCCTTTTTGGATGCCCAGCTGGAATACCATGACCGGTGCCGAGAAGCACTTCTGCAGCTGAGGAATGAATGGCCTGGCGGGTAGGTGCTAATAAGGAACAAACCCCCAAAAGAAAATTCCCATACTAATTTTGCATTTTAGGTCCGGTCAAGGCCCAGCGCCACGTCGTCCCACACGAGCTCGCTCCAATACTGCACATTCATACCAGGAGCGGTATGAGCCCGTGCAGGAAGAGATGACGAGTGCCGTGGAGAGCCGGCCCACTATCCGGCCGACTAGGACGCTGTCGTCCAACTTGGCAGACACTTTCCCGAGAGAAGCCCAGAGAGAAGTCCAACCTGCCAGCAATGCCTACTCCCGTCCGGTTCTGAGCCGAGTCCCCACTTTTGAAGGCCCGACTCAGCTTCGACAGGAACAATCCCCTGTCGCATCGCAGTGGATCCAACGAACGACCAGCGAAACCCTCAACAACCGACGCAATAGCACGTATCTGAACACTCGAGCCGCTGATCCATATGCCGATTCTGAAGTTAGCTCCTACGGTTCGTATGGTCGCTCCAGCCCGGAACGTATGTATGGAGATCGATCATGCTCCCCGGCTACGTCCCATGGCAGTAGTGTGGCCTCGCGACAACCCAGTTCCACAGCATTGAATGCGTCCCATCTGAGCAAGAAAGCCCCTCCACCACCTCCCCCGTCTCGTGCCAAGAAGCCTCCTCCACCCCCCACCGCCGATGAAGCGTAGTCTGTCTACTGCACCAGCTGCGTAGGGATGGGATGAATGTTTTTCTATTTACGGCGGAGTTTTGTGGAGTTCAGGATTGTCATGGCGGACAGTGGTTTTCATTATTCTTACTTCTCTAGCGCTTTACCAACCAGTGCTTATTACGTACGTGTTACTTTTCGTCAAAGTCGCCTTATTGTGGTAGAGAGAGGCTTTGGGATTTTCTTTGGAGCAATGCAATTCTTGCACCTTGGCGGACGGGCTGAAATACATGGTTTGATCCCGATTAATGGTATTTTAGGATGAGGCGTAGTTCGAATTGAGGCTTACCTTAGGCTTTGCCATTTCAATATTTCAGGATGATGATTTCGAAAAACGTATAGATTGAGTGCATCTGAATTGTAGATGGATGCCATGTTTAGGAGGCTTTGAAGGTTATGTAGCGGCTGTTCCCGTGAAAGCGCCAAGGTTGCATTGATGCCTGGTTACCTGATACATCAAGCAATGTGATTGGGTCTGGAGAATACTAAGACGGGACTCATTCACTGCGTTCAGCACAGACCAGGCTGACTCAGGCAAACACGTGATTCACACTGAAATCTCCTCCTTCCTGTTGTTACCAACTCAGAGAGCACCCAGGTTTCCCCGAGAGAGTCGCGCAACTCGGTCCCCTCTATCTCCATTCCCATCCACGGCCACGCGCCATCCCCCCACCGTCACTGCCTTTCACTTTTTTGAGGCACTCACTGCGGACTTGCTGGGTACCTCCATTTAATTCCCTTCATCCCCTTTTGTTCCCAGTACCCGCTCGCCCCCCATAATCCCATCGATCGCATCCCCCGAACCGCCGACCACGCGCCTAACCATCGCGTCTCATCGCCAAGAGGTCTTTCCACGACCCTTTTCGGCCACCCTCGACTCCCCAATCGTCACCTACTCATCGCATTTGCACTCTTCCCCCGCCACCTTCCTACTCCTTGGTGCTCAGTCGCGACCTATTGTAGGGACAAAGTGGAGTCCGCGACATTCACTTCAGTTCCGTGTCTACATCAATTCCACACCACCACCAACCCTGTATTCCCACTTATGAATTGAAAGAATCACGCGTATCATGGCTTCCACCCAGTCGGCGCCAAACATGGCGTCAGCCAATGGCGCCAGCGCCGCACAGGGCGCGAACCCATTGCAGAACCTGAATGGCGACCAAGTCAAGGAGATTCTTCACGTAAGTATTCGGTCCAAGCCCCCTCGATTTATATATTACCCTACTACATTCAATGCATTCATCCTATCTTTGTCCACTTTCGCATTATAATTGGTCCCTACCCTAACCTCGACACAGAAACTCCGCCAGATGAAAACACAGATGGACGCCAAGGGCATCCGCGTTGACGACCTTCCGAGCGACAAAAAAGAAACCTACAAATATTTCCTTTCTGTCTATGTTCAAGTCATGGCTTACCAACAAAAAAAGGCCGCTGCTGCCAATGGTGGCCAGGGTAAGCTTCATTGCGCATTTAATTTCTCAGTTGTTGCGTTCATCTCTGATCATTACATTAGGTCAAAATGCTTCTACCCCTTCGAACTCTGGAGCTCAGCAAGCCCAGCCCCAAGCTCCTACTCAAAAAGGTGCAACAGTCGGAAGTGGGCCATGGTCCAAAGCTCAATATGAGCTATACCGGCACCAACAGCTTTTGCACGAAAAAGCGAAGAACAACCAACCACTCACATCGGCTGATATGCAAAGCCTCCAGGAGTACACCTCAGTAGTCGCTCCATCACGGCCGAAGATGGTTGCCGCGGCAGAGAAGATCGTGAATGACGTCGAGAAAGGCTCGGTCGAACCGGCCGTAATCAACGGAGATGCCACTCCCGAGAAGACATGGTATAACAACCTTGAGCAACCCGACATCCTGCATCAGCAGATTAACTACCATAAATATCGCATCCGCCGAAATCGTCCCACCATCCCAGCCTCCTGGCCTTATGGCCTTGACCTGCAGGAGATCCGTGCGCGCCGCCAAGAGGCCTTGGCTCATTCGATGGCCCGCCGGCGTGAAGATCTTGCTGCACAGTCAGCTTCCATCGGTGTCTGGGATACTGCGAAGAATGACACCCCCGTCCGTGACGATTCATTGAAGATTCGAATTTACAATGAGATCTCAGCACTGGACAAATATGCCAAGCAGCAACGACTTCGGGATACCATCTCCCGGGAGATGTTCCAATATAGTCAAGGAATGACTGCTAATCGTTCTGTTCATCGTCGTCTGAAGAAGCCCTCGCTTCGTGAAGCTCGGGTCACTGAGAATCTTGAGAAGCAACAGCGGGATGCTCGCGAGACTCGGGAGAAGAAGAAACAGTTCGATCAACTCCAGGCCATCCTCAGCCATGGTGTTGAGCTCCTGAACAACTCGGCACAGAACCGCTCTCGATCTCAGAAACTGGGCCGCATGATGGTCCAGCATCACCAGCATATGGAACGCGAAGAGCAGCGACGTGTGGAGCGTACTGCCAAGCAACGTCTTCAGGCCTTGAAGGCCAACGATGAGGAAACTTACTTGAAACTGCTTGGCCAGGCTAAGGATTCTCGTATTACGCACTTGCTCAACCAGACTGACAAATTCTTGAAAGAACTTGCCGCGTCCGTTAGACGGCAACAGCGTAACCAAGCCGAACGATACGGAGAGGACGACGAAATGGAAGATGAGGAGGAGGAAGATGAGGAAATTGCCAACAGTGATGTTGACGAGGCCGAGCAGGATCCCAACAAGAAGACGATCGATTACTATGCTGTGGCCCATCGTATCAAGGAGCAGGTCACGGAGCAGCCAAGCATTCTCGTTGGTGGTCAATTGAAGGAGTATCAGCTGAAGGGTCTCCAGTGGATGATTTCGTTGTACAACAACAACTTGAATGGTATCCTGGCCGACGAGATGGGTCTTGGAAAAACTATCCAGACCATCAGTTTAATCACCCATATCATTGAAAAGAAGAGGAACAACGGCCCCTTCCTGGTCATTGTGCCTCTCAGTACACTCACCAATTGGAACATTGAATTCGACAAATGGGCTCCCTCTGTCGCCAAGGTTGTCTACAAGGGACCTCCAAATGCACGAAAGCAGCAGCAACAACAGATCCGTTGGGGTAACTTCCAGGTCCTTCTGACTACTTACGAGTATATCATCAAGGACCGACCCATTCTCAGCAAGATCAAGTGGACTCATATGATCGTTGACGAGGGTCACCGTATGAAGAACGCCAACTCCAAGCTGAGCAGCACATTGTCGACGTACTACACTAGCAGATACCGTCTGATTTTGACTGGAACCCCGCTGCAAAACAATCTGCCCGAACTTTGGGCACTTTTGAACTTCGTTCTTCCCAACATTTTCAAATCTGTCAAGTCATTCGATGAGTGGTTCAACACGCCTTTTGCCAATACTGGTGGCCAAGACCGGATGGACCTCAGCGAAGAAGAACAGTTGCTTGTGATTCGTCGCTTGCACAAGGTTCTTCGGCCATTCTTGCTGCGTCGTCTGAAGAAGGATGTCGAGAAGGATTTGCCCGACAAGCAAGAGCGTGTTGTCAAGTGCCGGTTCTCTGCTTTGCAGGCCAAGCTTTATAAGCAACTTGTCACCCACAACAAGATTGCTGTTGGTGACGGCAAGGGTGGAAAGACTGGCATGCGTGGTCTCAGCAACATGCTTATGCAGCTGCGGAAACTTTGCAACCATCCCTTCGTCTTCGAGCCTGTCGAAGATCAAATGAATCCTACTCGGATGACCAACGATCTTCTTTGGCGAACGGCGGGTAAATTTGAATTGCTTGACCGTATCTTGCCCAAGTTCCGTGCAACTGGTCACCGTGTCTTGATGTTCTTCCAGATGACACAAATTATGAACATCATGGAAGATTTCCTTCGCATGCGCGGCCTCAAATACCTTCGTTTGGACGGTTCCACAAAGTCCGATGATCGATCTGATCTTCTGAAGGTCTTCAACGACCCGGGTTCCGATTACTTCTGCTTCTTGCTTTCCACTCGTGCCGGTGGTTTGGGTCTGAACTTGCAGACTGCTGACACTGTCATCATCTACGATTCGGATTGGAACCCTCACCAGGATTTGCAAGCCCAAGATCGTGCTCATCGTATCGGTCAGAAGAACGAGGTCCGGATTTTGCGACTCATTAGTTCCAACTCCGTCGAGGAGAAGATTCTGGAGCGTGCGCAGTTCAAGCTTGACATGGATGGCAAGGTCATCCAAGCCGGAAAATTCGATAATAAATCGACCAACGAGGAGCGTGATGCCCTTCTTCGAACCCTTTTGGATACTGCAGAAGCTGCGGATCAGATTGGCGAACAAGATGAAATGGATGATGATGACCTGAACGAAATCATGGCTCGCTCCGAAGACGAAATCAAGGTATTCCAGCAAATAGACCAGGAACGACTACTCACCGACAAATATGGCCCTGGGAAGCGCTACCCGCGTCTCATGTGTGAGGAGGAGCTGCCGGATATCTATCTGCAGGAGGATAATCCTGTCACAGAGGAAGTCGAGGCGGAGGTTTACGGTCGTGGTGCTCGTGAACGCAAGGTTACTCGATATGACGATGGTCTATCCGAGCAGCAATTCTTGGACGCCATGGAAGGTCTTGAAGAGGGTCGACTTACCTTGGAGCAAGTCATCGAGAAGAACGAGCGCCGAGCTGCTGAACGTGCGGCCAGGAAAGATAAGAAGCATAAGAAGGCACAAGGCGTTGATTCTTCGCCAGAACCAGAGCCGTCCATCATCGATGAAGACGAAACCCCTCAGAAAAAGCAGGGTCGTCGTCGTGGTCCTCCACCTAAGCGCAAGGCCGAGGAACCCATTGAAGAAAACCCACAGCCCAAGCGCAAGAGAGGCCGTCAGCCGAAGATCCCTGAGACTTTGAGTAGTGCCGACCGTGCCACCTTGACCCGAATTGTCACCAGCACCATCCAGTCCCTGAAGGAGATGGAGCAGGAAATTCCGGCCGAGGGCTCGGATAGCGAAGAAGGCCCTCTTCTGCGTGCCATCATTGAGCCATTTATGAAGCCCCCACCGCGCTCGCAGTATCCAGACTACTACATGATTATCAAGAATCCCATCGCTATGGATCAGATCGAGAAAAAGCTGAAGCGCGACGATTACCAGAGCCTGAAGGAGTTCCGAGATGATGTCCACCTGCTCTGCCAGAATGCCCGGACCTATAACGAGGATGGCAGTATCTTGTTCCAGGATGCGAATGATATCGAGGTAAGCATTTCTTTTCAAACTTTTACATTCTATACCCCATACTGACTATCTGTCCAGAATAAATGTGTGATGGAATTAAGAAAGCAAACAGAGGGCCACCCTGAGTTTGCCAATTTCGATGATCCTGGCTCGATCGCTGGCGACGGTCAATCGACCGGAGCTGACACTCCGTTGACTGCAGGGACCCCCGGGGCTCAGCCCAAGTTAAGGCTTACCTTCAACAACTCCAACTTTGACAGTGCCAGCACCATGAATGGTACTGATTTCAGTCTTGACGAGGAGTGATGTTCTGTCTACCAGGACAAGTTGTCATACATACAATTTTCTTTCTTCCCTGTCTGTGTTAGTGTCATATCCACCCGGAAAGTTCTTATTCAATTATGCGAATTCGGGAAGGCGTTTGCAGTTTTGATTTAGGTGATCCGGAGAAGGGATTCATGCTTTTTGGTTTGCCACGATTCATTAACGAGGGGTGGTCTTTTACCCATGTAAACGATCTTTTAGATCAGTCGGACCCGTTATTTTGTTAGCATGTATGGCTAGTCAAGTTACTCAAGAACGATTCAAATAATCGGTTCATAATATTGCACTCTATCCATGTCCTTATTCTTAACCTTAATTTGACCAACCTCGTATTGAGCCATAGCCTCGACACGTGATTGTGATCGTGGCGATGCGTTTAACCTTAATCCATTTCAGCTGATATTCCATTCATGTCACAATATGCCTTCTATGCGTTGAATCCAACGAGGGATAAAATTATACAGAGTCATTGACGTAGCGCCATGCCGGCGAATAGTCATTCTCCCGAGCTTTCATTCTCCCCTGATCATAATACTGGGGCCCGCAACCTTCAGACCGTATTTCGGGTATCTCCCCCGGGCCAGAAATCAAATGGATTTCATTCAAGGAGAGCCCACAAGAAATCTCGAGCTGGCTGCCTGACATGCAAGAAGAGAAGAGTCAAGGTATGCTATGAATGAAAAAGCTCAGGAGAGCCATACGACTGAGACCCATACAGTGTGATGAAGGGAAACCAAACTGTCGAAGGTGCACAACCCGAGGCATTGAATGTGGCTATTTTCTCGAATCAGAAGAGGCTGGCAATGGCGCAAATAACTTGATAATTTCTGCGCCATGTGCTACCATCTCCTCTCTTGCCATTGACGATATCACGAAAAACATCCAGACTACATTGAGCTTTGATCCAGAATGGAGTCCGTATGCTTTAATGAATGCAAACTCCGACCATCCGCTCAGCACAGTTGCCTTCCAGCATTTTGTCAAATCTTCAACTGACACAATTGTCGTCCCTGCCATCCGCAATGTCATGCGAACAGATATGGTCCGCGTTGCATTCACCGTGAGCTTCCTTTCCATTATGGAAATCCCCCTTTGTCAAATGTTCTAACTGAGGTACAGAGTGCCCACCTCATGTATACCATCCTTGGTGTTGGCATGCTTCACTATAACCGGTACTCACCAAACAAAGACCGGTCCGTCGCAGAGTCTTACCTGTGGCAACATGCCATCAAGCTGTACCAAAAGGCACTGTCCTCCAAAATACAACCCGAAAACGTCGACGCCCTCCTATCCACCTGCATGCTCATGGGGGTAATGACCATTTGCCCCGAGAAATTCGAGCCAGCCGATTCGTGGGTTCTCACCAATAGACCCGAAGACATGAACTGGCTCGCATTACAAAGCGGACTGAAAACCATTCTAACGCTTGCATCTCCGTATCTATCTACCAGTATCTGGGGGGATGCATTTAAGGCGGTTGATGAAACAGGCGACAAGATATTTAAACAAGATGAAGCTAAAGGACGCGAAGGTCTTGATCCCCTTTTAGCGGATTTGTGTGGGGTTGACGAGGAAAGTTCCGGGAGCACCAGTGTTTACTATGATCCTTTGAGTTATCTTTGCAGCCTTAGGAAGCTGGAATTTACTGGACCTAACGCTGCGCACTGTGCATCGTTCATGGGGAGGTTGGAGTGCGACTTCCTGGCTCTTCTGAGGAAAAGGGACCCACCCGCACTTATGATTTTGGCGCATTGGATGGGGCATATGTGCTTGCTATCTGAGTGGCAGCCTTGGATTGAGGGGAGGATAAGGAAGGAGTGTGTGGCTATTTGCATGTTTTTGGAGTATAGTACTGACCCGAGGATCTTGCTACTGTTGCGGTTTCCAGCCGAGGCGTGCGGGTATAGACTTAGCTTTCTTTAGAGCCTCGCTTACGTATAGTACGAGGCGGCGGTCCTCTATATTCATTAATGGAAAGGAAAATATGGCTATAATTCGCCCTGCCATCGAAGGTGTGGATGATAGACGAGAAAGATAGACGGCTTCTATACAGAGACTCATTTGAAGTTGTCTGGTATTTCACATTAACTCTTCATTATCACATTGAACAAAGAATGGCAGATTATCGGGTTAGGCCACCTTGAAACCGAGGAGCCCGATATACAATTGACTGGTCAGAACCAGAATCTACAGCCCATTGCCCCATTTCCCCCGTTCCCCGTCTCAGCCCGAGAGGTCAAGGTCATGGAGACTTAACCTATTTTATCAGGGTTCTTCTTCTAGCAGGGTATGCGGCTCACGAATAACAACACACGCTAGTCAAATCACGGTCAGGGATCCCATGTTAGCAGTGGTCCAGTACCATCAATATAGCACAACCGCCGTCATCGCTCTTTTGTTCACTTGTCTCAATCGGAGATACTTGATGGACGAGTAAAAGGTTTGTTTGCACAAGAAAAAGCAAAGAACTGATTTTGACTGAAATAGTAGAGTGAGCTACAGATCTGCCCTGCGGCTGATCTCCTTGCTTGGCTGCGCAAAAAGCAATGTTACCACGTCGAGACCAATGAGATCGTCGAGACGAGATGGAAAGTTTTCCAACGCATTATCATATGCAAGGATTCGAGACTATTTGTGACTGTGCAACCTCCAGTTCTACTGTGAATGATCTGACAATACCGAGTCCGATGCCGTCACATTTCTATCACTTCCGTCTATTTGCCTGTTCAGGGCAAGAATACCTGGAATATAGCCACCCAACTATTCCCAGGTGCATCGCCGACATAGGAACTGCACTTTTCTCTGCCTGAATAATGGCGGCAAATGAGGAATCATTGCTTATCCAGAGGTCGATTGCCGACGACCAGGATTTGGAGAATGGAATCAGATCCAAGATTGGGAGCAGCTTTCTAGCTGTGATGCTCCTTTGTATGATGCCATCAACACAAAACCCGAAATTGATCTAATATGCCCTCAATGACAGCATCCTTTCTGGCTTCCTCTGATGACTCGTTTGTTCTATCCACGGCCTCAGATATTGCGGCCGACTTTGAAGCTACCACAGTCAGTACGTGGCTCGTTACTGGATACAATCTTGGATATATGGTTTCTCTTCCGATTGTAAGCCCAATATAATTTCCTCCCGCCATTCGTAGTTTGATTTGGGCATCTACTAACTCCAAAGTAGTATGGTCATCTCTGTGATGTCTGGGGCAGGGACCGTACCTATCTATTCTCCTATGTCGTATATGGAGTAGGCTGCTTGGCGATGTAGGAATCAATAGATGCCCCGACGAAGGAAATACTGACTATGCATAGGGGAGCATCGATCAACATTTACATGTCTATTCTAGCAAGAGTCGTCACTGGCTTTGGAAGCTCGGGGATGCTAGATTTATCCTCCGTGCTCTTGAATGGTGAGTCAAAATCAATCCAAACTTCCAAGAATAAGAACTCACCTTTGTTCAGATATTGGTGGCCCATTCGGAGTGGCGATTCTACGAAGCTATTTCATGACTGTAACGATGATTGGATTTAGCGTCGGAGGGGCCCTCGGAGGATTCCTGGCGACGTTGGTAGGATGGAGATGGTAAGAATTCCCTGCTTTGAGAATCCTGGAATGCTTCAAGTCTGACTATGGTTTCATAGGTCATTCCTCCTCCATGTACCGATTGTCTTGCTTTGCGCTCTTGTCACTGTCTGCCAGCTTCCAAAGGATGCACCTCAGGACCCACAGTCCGCCGTACTTGATGACAACCAGGAGAGACAAGAAGAAAAAACCCCCGGTGCTGGAAACCTGGACGTATTAGGCATCATGTTCCTCGTGTGTGCAATCGTATCAGCCCTGATGATGGTGCAAGTACTACAAGGTGATATATTCCCAGAAAAGAGACTGTACATTAGCACAGGTCTTGGAGCTGCTAGCTTGTTGCTCGCGGGTGTCTTCTGTGCGCACGAGGTTCATTGGGCCAAAAGACCCCTGATTCCATTATCTTTCATGATGTCCAGCCAAACCGGCATTGTGTGTGCAGTGCAAATCTTACTAATGATCGCAGACCTCGCAGTGAGTTACACTTAGCATTTCCCTCCATATTGACCAATGCTGAGAGCTATCAGATTGTCTCAGCAATCAGCGAGTACTTTGTTCGCACGAAAGGTTTTTCAATGGCTGCAGCATCGGCTTGTCTAACACCTCCAGCCCTTGGGGGTGCTCTTGGTGGCTTCTTAGCAGGAAAACAAATTCAAACGTTGGTCGTTCCCATATCCAGACGACTTCTCTGAATGGAAACTAATCCAAGACCCCAGAACTGGGCGGTATCATAAATTGACTCAGATGGGACTGATCCTGTGCATCGTGAGCTACGCCATGATTGCAATCCGATGGTGTTTCTTCAACCCGTCAATCTTGGAACTAGTCTATCCCTTCTGCTGTGGAGTAGGACTAGGCATACTCTTCTCCACCCAGTTCGTGGCATTATCCGCTCACTCGCCCCAGGCCTACACAGCGAGATTGATCACGACGTATTATCTGATGCAGCAAATTGGGTCTGTTATGGGTGTATCGGTTACATCCTGGCTCATTCGAAGTAGTTTTGCGAATGGCCTGGAAAATGAGTTTGGAGTAACTCCAGAGGGAATGAGAGTGAGTGAACTATGTCCCCAGAAGCCTTTCCATTTCATGAGCTGATATGCTTGGAAGATGGTGAAGGAAATATTAAAACATCGTCGATACGCTGCCTCGCTTCCTCAGGACGTGCGACAATCAGTGGAAGCGATTTTCAGGAAAAGCTTCATCGCTGCACCGGGTGAGTCCTCTCATCTAGACACTGGAGTCATGTTAATTTAATAAAATTAGCATTTGTCATTGCGGCCTTGATCCTCACATTCTGTCTTGTGAGAGGAGAAACGGAAGAAACAGAAACCCGTCTTGACGAACCATGTCATGACTAGTGCTTATTCAATATGACCACCTCGGAGTCTGCACTATGGCGTCCTCTCTATCTTAGTACTTTCAGCCGAGCAAATCACGCCACAAATCCTTGAGCAGCAGTTGGTCTGCATGACCCCCGTGCATTAGCCGAACGAGTCAGATAAACAAAAACCAATGAGCTGCATACATTCCACACCGATTCTTCTGCTGCAAAGCGACGATCAGCCATTAAATCGGAAGTTCCTAACGAACCCCTCAAGACCGAGATCAACCCAACTTTATCACACCCCACCACAATCATGTCCGTAAACAAGAATTTAGCCGGAAAAGTGGCATTAGGTGAGAGTTCTCCGCTTGGCTACTGATCTCCCGCCCATAACCCCGCCCATGCCCTATATCCCAAATCCACTGATACCAACTATAATCCAGTCACCGGAGGAAGTCGAGGCATCGGCGCAGCCATTGCTATTAAACTCGCCGAGCACGGCGCGAATCTTGCGATCAACTATGTATCATCCGCCACGGCTGCAGAGGCCGTAGCTGAACAAGTTCGCTCGCACGGCGTAACGGCCCTCACAGTGAAAGCCGACGTCTCCCAAGAGGACGAAGTGAGCGCGATGTTTCAGACGATCATGGAGAAATTCGGTCGACTGGATATCGCGGTCAGTAACTCGGGAATCGAGTACTTCGCCGAGCATTCAGAGACAACGGGTGCGGATATCGATCGGGTTTTCGGCGTGAATGTTAAGGGCCAGTATTTTGTTGCGCAGCAGGCGTATAAGTATATGGCGGATCATGGGCGGGTCATGTTGACTTCGTCGATTTCGGCTGTTAAGGTATGAGTGTTTGACAATGTTGACGTTTCTGGTGCTTTAGCTAATACTTGGCCTTTATCCAGGGTGTTCCCCGTCATGCTGTCTATGCGGCTTCCAAGGCGGCTGTTCAGGGTATGACCAAGTGTCTTGCGGTTGACTTTGGTCCGCGGAATATTACCGTCAATTGTATTGCTGCGGGTGGGGTGAAGACGGATATGTATGATGAGAACTCGGCTGAGTATATCCCTGGTGGAGATAAGATGACGCCGGAGGAGATTGAGGTTATGTTATCGAAGTGGTCTCCGCTTGGTCGTGTTGGGCTTCCAGACGATATCTCGAACATTGCGGCCTTTATTGCAAGCCCCGAGTCGCAGTGGTTGACTGGCCAGACCTTTCAGGCTACTGGAGGGGCTTATATGGTTTAGTCTCATGTCACATCTAATAGCATGATCCATATACCAAGGTTGTTTAGCTAGTCATTTGAGTCGATGACCTCGAAAGATCTTCAAAGGTGTGAAAGCCATTGTATTGTCTAGGTACCAAGTCGTGTATATTGTGTCCTTGACTAAACAATAAATTAAAAGAACAGAGTGTATGTGGCTTGTATGCCAGGGGTATGTGCGTGGAAAGAATGCAGATGTACAGGAGCGCTGAAAGTGAATCAACTAAAAGACTATGGCGCTGGGCTGTAGCCAGGATCGACTGTCAAGTTTGTCCGGTGTCTTGGTAGAGAGCTATTCGAGGCATGCGTTGTGATAGAAGGTCTTTCATCGAGAAAGTTGGTTGGATTTGGATCAATGCCGTTAGCACCGTTGACACCGTTTGTTTGAACACCGTTGACGCTCTTCGGGCTATATGTCTCCAATGCGTCAAATACATGGTGAAAGACTTGTCGGTCCACATCCTCGGCCCACAAAAAGTCCAAGTGCTCGTAAGTGGGTATTGGCTTGGCGACGGTCCCACGAGGTAAGCCCTGCAACATGACATTGATGTCAACAAGACTATCGCTGCCGCCGTAAAGGAGCACTATAGGTGTCTTGATGTTGCGGGTCGGGTACTTGACAGGCTTGTAGAAGCGCTCACTTGCAACAATGCTGAAAGGGGTTTGCAGTTCGTCGTCATAGAACTGGAAATTTTTGTTGCGGATGATCTGGAACCAGTGAACGACGGACTTAGTACTCGTGAAGGAGTAAAGGTGGAGATATGCGGCGAGCTTTTGGGTTCGGGTGATATTGCGACATTGCCAGTTGAACAGGACTGAAAGGGCAGTATCAATGATGCGGACATAGATTGGCGGATACAAGATTGTCTGCCACATCGTTGTTGAGGAAAGGATACTGCGTCTACCGAAGAGGAGGAACAAGAAGTTTGGAGAGGCCTTCATGAGAGAGTCGACGATACGATTGCGGAGGCCGGAAGGCGCCATTGCCGGAGCCAGGGCCACGAAAACATCAACCTTTTGGTTGAGCAGTGGGTGGATAGATAGGGTTGCAAATGCCTGCGCGGTACCCTGCGAGAAACCAATGTATGATAGCGATGGCTGGGTGGTCACATCGAGGATGTACTCGATGCTGTTTGGGATATCGTGAAAGGCGAACTGATCAATGGAAAAGTCCCAGAACTCATTTGACCCAGGCGAGAACTGTACAGATTTCTTCGCATACTTATTGCCCCGATTATTTCCAAGCCAAACATCATAGCCCTTTTCGACCAGCTGGAACGGAAGACACCGCTGTTCATCGGTCAAGGCGACCCACACCTCACTGGACATGAGGAGACCATGGTGAAGATAGACGACTTTCTTGGTAATTGAGCCAGGTCCCTGATTGACCCGCATATTTTCTTCACCTCTCCGGTAAGCCAGTCGGTGCAGTCCAAGAAGATATCCATCAGAAGTTTGGACGATATGCTCCTCCGCCTCATATCCAAACAAGGCGCACATCTCGACGAAGTCCGACGCCTCTGCTATGGACGCGGCAAGGATCTCATCCTTGGGTCGTTTATCATGCGAGTCTTTTGAGATAAGCACATTGAAGAGTTTCTTCGACTGATCGTGGCAAAATCGAATGATCGGCGATGCTAGCTGCACGTCAGTTGGAAGCACGGGGTAATACAAGGATCTGGACTCACGAAGGCAGAATGTTATTAGATGAATGATAGTCTCTAGGAATACTAAGATCAAGGATCCTAGCAGTGCCAGGTACTCAAACCTAAGGTACGACATTATTTGCTATGATCTTTGAACGATGTTGTGGTACTTGGCGCGCCCAGGTTGGTAACTTACCAAAATAACCTCCCGATAAAGGGTACACGAGACATGATGGTTGACTGTCTGGTTAATTATGCATATACCTAAAGAGAACAGTGTACTAATCGACACTGACGAGGCCGTAAGTTGTTAATGAGTTGGAAAGCAATTGACATCGATGTTCGCGACGTCATCTGCGCATGTGAAAGCGCTCAGGGCGACGCTTACCTCATCCGGGGTCAACCAATCAGAACCAAGTGGTATGATCCGCCTGAATTTGTCCCAAATGTTCCGCTACGAAGACTCACCAATTCGAGAAGATCATCATGCCTAGCTCGTGTCAGGATATCCGTGAGTCGCACACTTTCCCGTGGTGATACAGCCCCTGGATCGCTTGCCGTGAACAAGCATCCCCAAATTCTTGTCTCAATGCGCTGAACACATTGTTTGTAGGGGAGGCATTGGCCCAATGCCTGCAGGAGTCGGACTGTATTATGGTCCAACGGCACACGCCGCGTGAGTGCCTGAGCTCTCCGCTGGCAGAGCAATTGCCTACCAAATGCCAGCAGCTGAAGAAGGGATTCAGCGAGTGCAGGTAAGTGGATTATTCGGCGATACCGGACTGGAGAGTTCAATTACAGAGGACAAGACAGGCAACAGTGGCTAATCTGCTTTTCCTATTCTGACAGGCGCGGTATGATCGATATGCGCAAGCGTTTCCGAGGAAATCATCCGATTTCTATGGCCAAGGATACCGATGGACAAGGAGCTCAGTCCGAACAGCTGTATGCTGGGCGTCCGGCTTACACGACTGTTAAGGAAATCAGCGGCGATGAAGTGCAGATGGACCCCGAGAAGACTCGTGGTCTTTAGGGAAGTTTGGGGGAAGAATGATGCCAATCGATTGTAGAGCGGTATGCTCTCGTTGTGCGGTTTCTGTGTATTCTACAAATGCGTGGAAGTTTTGATACATGCTGGCATGGTCTGGAGTTCTATTTATTATCTTATTATTGAAACATTGGCACAATCTCCAGTCTCTTGCATAAGAACGATATCTGTACAGATAACGCCTTCCAAAATTATATACTGTCGAAACTCAGGTTGATTTGTAGCCTAAGAATACCTATGCAATCGCAAGAGAAAAAAAAGTATATAATTTCACATCATCATTGACGGTACAAATGAGTACAGATCTACTGGGTCTTCTTGACCTTGTCGGCCACAGGTGCCGAGTAGAGCCAGATAATGACAAAGGCCAGGAAACCTCCGATCACCGACCACAGACCGGCAATCCACACCCAACCACCAGTGATGGCCCAGCTGCGAGGGTATTCATCGTGGGCGAAGTGACGCACGGTCACCTCATGCTTCTCCTCAATGTTGGTGAGGAAAGGACGCTTGTAGTTCACACGGAACGAGAAGATACCGTGCTGGTCTGGAGTAGTGAACTGGGTGCTGTAGACAGCGCTGGTCTCGGTACGGCTGGTAGGCTTGAGGGCGAGACGGTGGAAGGGAGAGAGCATGGTGAATTCCAGCTGCAATTCATCTTCAGCGGGGACCTCGAAGGGCACCCACTTGTCATAGGAGTATTCGGAAACTTCAATGTTGAAAACCTATTAGAAAAAAAGAAGTGGTTAGCTTGTGATGAGAAACAAGAGCTTCGAAATGTCTGGCTGACGCACGGTCTCGTTCTTAACGCGGTAGATCTTGGGGTTCAGGTCTTCGGCAGCCACCTCACCATCGGTGGCTAGGTGGTGCTCAATCTTTCCAACCTTCAGCACACCAGTCTCCTTGAAAGCCCAGCCAGTCAATTGCTTAGCAAACTCCCGGTTAACGGTAGGAACCTTCTTGCCGTTGAGAGCCTTGACAGAGCCAGAGAACCACTGGTCCTCAAGGGCCTCCACGGAGCCCAAAACAACGAAGCGGGCCGAGTTGAGAGCTTGAACCGCCGAGACCACATTCAACTGGGAGCCGGTGGCTTCAATGTCGTCGGGCGAAGGCACCTCTTCCTTGGGGTTGTACGCGTAAGCGGTGGCAGGAGCTCGCAGAATGGGCGAAATAAGCTGGCTGTTGCTGCCCAGAGTCTGGGGGGCGACACGTGGGAGAGCGAGAACGCCCTCACCATCAAAGAGGGCCTTAACATCAGGACGCAAGGGACCGGGGCGCTCAAGCAAGAGGACATCGTGCTTCTCAGCGGCCGAGATTGTGTCGTAGTTGAAGTGATCAATGACAACAGCGGAGCGGTCGTTCGAAAGGTGGATATCGAGTTCGAGGAGGAGGGAGCTAATGGCACTTGAGGTAGAGGCCTTGCCGGAGAGGGCGAGGATGATGTTGCCGTCTTTGTTCATGAAGTCCAGAATGTTCTTCGGGGTCAGATTAGGGCCAAGTCCTAATGATTTTAGTCAATTGAAGCTGTCCACCCTAGATATTCAAGCTACTCACCCTTCGACTTCGGGGGAAGAATCAGGAGGTGATCGTAAGCTCTTTCGCCATGTTCGAAGAGGGACAGCTTGTCACTCTTGGGCGATTCGAAAGACAGATCGTATCCGCGGCCTATGAATTTGGTAAGCAACAGTTAATCAGGTGGATATCGATATTAGTTACCTTCCAAATCTGACCAAAGTATCGAGTAAGCGCTCTTGTCTGTGGTATCGTCCAAGACCACCAGCAGGCGGCTGCCAGAGCTACTCAGAGCATTTACGGCAGCCATGAGGGCGCAGACAAGCAACGCAAGGTACCACCGCATTTTGAGGATATTTCCGCACAGCGGAGCGGGACACCTTGAGAAAGAGAAAAGAAGAAGAGGTGATGGGGTTGATGAGGGGAGAATTTCGGAGTTGTATAGATAGAAAGGGCGACGTGTTAATCGGGTGGATGCCAAGACTTTCGGGACCTGCGCATCTCCGGGACCTTTGAACCTCACCTCTTCCCCACGGTCTCTCGATTTTGATCCTCGTCATCGGTCTACCCCCTCCCACGCCACAGCATACCAGTGGCCTCGCTCGTCCTCAATTTCTCTCGCCTGAATTTGTGGCCTACAGAGACTTTCGGACATTGACGCCGCATCATCGAAAATCTTCACCTCAAAGTCTTGTCGACTGACCTCGTCTCGTCACTATGTCTTCCCCTCAATTCTGGTCAACTCCCCTCCGCTACATCCGCTGGGCTGCTCATGAGAAGCCTGCCATTTTCTTCTCTCTGATCATTGGATCCATGGGCCCGGTCGCGCTGGTTACCCTGCCCCCCATCCGCCGGGCTCTCGGCGACGTTGACCCCGAGCCTATCCCCCTCTCATACCCTCGTAAGAATCCCCGACTCTTCCAAACTTTCTCTTAGTGGGAATTTCAACTTCTGAGAGTCTGAGTCTAACCATTCAATTCAATGCGCACAGTCCCGAAGGGCCCGCGATCAATCCCCAAGGGCTTCGAGGACGAGTAAAAGACCGATAATCGTCGAGCCGCTAGAAAGCAAAACCCCGTTTGACAATTTCTGGTCTTAAAATTGATGCGCGTTATTTGAGACCGAAATATGGGGATTTAGCAATGTTGCCTTGAATTACCGAGGTCGATAGCAGGGCTGTTTAATATAGCCTGACCTGTTGACCAGCAAGAAACGAACGATCCCATTGTTGATCGTTTCTCCCCATAAAGAGGCGTTTTGATACCAATCTTGTTTGCGTATATGGTCTCGGCACGTCGGGTACCCAGACTATTGCGCTGCCAGTGTATGTACTATGTTTTGAGAGTGATCATATAACCGACCCCGAGTCGCTATCCCAGACAAACGTAAACAACTTAATACCCAGTACCTACGCTAGGTCTAGCATACGTAACAACAAGAGAAATTTGAACGGGCGCTCGGCATCAACGTAGATTTAGACCATTGTGCTTGCTTTTCTATGTTGTCTTTAGGTGTATTACTTCCAAGGTTGTTATCAGTGTTTGAAATTGCGATCATATTTGGCCTGTTGATATTTCCAACCATGGACTGGATTAGGTGCCTGAAAAATAGGAGGATCCATTATATTTACTGCAAGTGAGATGGGTCACAACATCATGTTTGAACATCACACTTCGCATGGACGTTGCTTGGAGCCTCGGAACCCAGAATTCTGGAGGTTTCTTTTGTGCTCTTTTATGCGGTTCGAGACCCGAAGAATGTGCATTATTCTTGGAAAGAACTCGTTCCCAGTAGTTCAGAGGCTCGCTGTAGTATTGATCGACTACCATGTCCCTAGGTGCGTAGTGTTAACTCCGAAAGCCTTAAGTCAATTGTCGGGCGACCACTGGCTATCATGTGTGACCATTGGAAGTTGGAGTTTATCCAGGGACTATCTTTGGAGGCATTTTTTAGGTCGAAGATTTGAGCAGATCAAACCTTACGCAATACAAAATTTGAGATGGATTGTTTGGTCTGATTCGAGCCCTAAAGTCATAATGCGGACTACTCCTGCAGTCAGCAGCCCTGCAGTGTCTAAAGTAAAGATTGATCTTGAAAGCCCGGGAATAAAATGGCATTGAAAGGTTCAATTAATATTGATGAGACCGATCAAAATCAAAGCGTCAGCCACAGAACGGATAACGCCGTATATGCTCATATCTACATGTAGTTCGTTCATCAGCATCGCTTTATCAAAGCAGTCTCTCCCGGCCAGAAGGCTTCAATCCAAAAAGTAAACATGCGAGGCACGAGCCGTATGTCCCGGTCAAGTCAAAAGTCCTAAGGGGAATAGGAACAAACATTGCTTAAAAAAAAAAAAAAAAAAAAAGAGAGCACAAATCCTGTACACCATCAAAACAACCCAGGGAAAAGATATAAAAAAGCATGACAAAACCCCATGGCTAGTGAGTATCCGGGCCAAGTCATTAAAAATCAGGAAACAAAACAATTCGAAATGGAGGAAAGCCACCCTTTTCATAGAGTACCCAGTTCAACGCAAAATGCTCCTAACCGGCCAACTGCACGATAGCGCAGAATAATTAAATGTGGAAGACCCGCCTGGTGGTTCTTACTCGAGTCACAGACCCGAAGCTTGGCGCCAGTAGTCTCCAGTGGGGTTTTCAGTCCGTGGAAGTAGAAATGGCATCCATATCCGACGAACCATGGAAAGTGGGCCTGAATTGGACCATGTGCTTGATGAGTTTTGTCCCTCAGTAGGAACATCCTGGACTTTCAAGAGAAGAGGAGAGAGATAGTGAAGGAAGCAAAGTCGATATTTGTAGAGGCGGAAATGGAAAGGATCCAAGGAAGGTTTTTTTAGTGATCATCGACATCATCAAGTTCCAGGTTTTCATCATAGTCCAAGGCGGTATACTAGAACATTTCATCCGGTGGGCCACAATGATGGAGAAAAAAATCCATGCAATGCACAAGACAAAACTAAGTGCCAGGCTAGCTTTAGTTTTACCGCCGGCGATGCGGGTCTCGTTCTCTGGTGGGTTGCGGCCTACTGCGCTCGTATTCCGGGGTATATCTCGGCTCCATTCCTCCTATCCGGGGATCTGGGGCAGTGGTAGCAGGGTATGTCATCCCAGTGGTCTGGGGAGAATAGTCCGGCTGGTCATTATAGCCGGGTCCTGGATACCTGGGGGCATTTCGGCCACCCTCGTAGCCATAACCGGTTGCATAGGTATAGGAAGTGGGGTGCATGTCAGCAGCCGTAACCACGGGTTGAGGAGGACCAGAGTATGAGACTTGAGGTGGGGGATACGGAGCTTGGCCTGATCCGTAGGGCGAATGTGTAGAGCTGTAGGAAGAGGGGGGTTGGTTGTAGGAAACATTCTGGGATCCAGCATAGGAACCTTGGGGATATTCCATGTAGGTCTGTGCAGGAGCTGCACTGAAGGTAGTTGGGGACGGCCCCTGTTGTTGGCGAACCTCATGGACGGCCGAAGTGGCATAGTTGGCAGGGCCAGAACTAGGGGGGTGTGACATGTTCACATCTTGAATGTAACTACCTCGTGGATAGCCTAAGTCAGCCCGACGCGAGACATCCGCCTCCCACCGAGCGGAGTCAGCCTTGAGATCAGCAATCATTTCCTGTAAATCCAGATGGTCCTTGGTCAGATGGGGTTCTCCTTGTCGTTGGCTTGGCTTTTGGATCGACACATGTCCACTTACTGATGTGAGATTCCGATAGGCACGGATGAAAAATCCCGGACGGCCCTGTGTGGTGGGGTTAGTCAAGACGCTCGAAAACATATCAAAGAAATAGAGGACGGACTTCATGGTTGCCGGGTCGCACAAGTGCATCATTTCCAAGGTAACGACAGATATCTGCTTGGATTACCTCGCGGCTGATTCCATCACCGGGGATAAAGTATTCATTTTGACGGCCTGTCATAATGTGTTCCTGAGGAAATAATACTGTCCGGATAGTTCAACGGGTTTTCCTCAAGTCCGGGCCAAAAAAAAGAAATGAAAATCCGGGGTACTGAAATCCTTTGGGTAAGGTGGTTGTTGGATCCGTTATATTGGAAAGAATGTACAAGTTTTGACTTTGCTTTTCTATAGAGCGACCGGTGTGAAAATGTCCACGGTCGTCACCACTTTAAATGACGGGAGAGAGTCGGTTCCTGAGGGGAATTTTCACTGGTTTCGAATATAATCCACGGAAGATGGCCACAGAAGAAAAAGAGGATCCTATGGTCGGAAGAGCAAAAAACTGGTGTCCTTTCTGTCCAGGGGAAGAATATCCAGGGAATCCTTTAGGGGTCCAGAGTGGTTGTCCAGGGCAAATAAAGCAAATCAAATCCTAGGGAGATATATCGAGTCCAAGGTCGAAAAGACTAAATCAAGTCTGCGAGGCTGAGAGGAGAAAAAGAAACACCGAGGCGAGATTGAGAGATCCGGATTTTGGGAAGTTGGGTCCACACTTCCTAGTTTCCGTTTTTATAGGGGTAGGTTCGTGGATTATTTTCTTTTCCCTGCAAAAGACGAGTCGGGAGGGAGAGGTAGGGGAGGAGAGACGTCGATGGGAAGGAAGAAGAGGAAGAGGAGAAGGGGTGAACTAAAGTGGGCAGGGCGGTTGGGCCGTCCTCTTGGGCTGGTGCCACGACTCCCCCCACTTCTCTATCAAGTCAAGGCGTGAAAAAGCATGCACGGTCGAATACGGCTTAGAGTGGAAACCAGAAAATTGAGAAATTCGGAATCGAAAAAAATTTAATTTCAATCCAAAGTACACTGTTGTACCACTCTGTTCGTAGCCGATGAATCCACTGACCCTAGCAAATTAACAAGAACCCTGAGTTAATCCCTGTCCTAGTCTTTGATCCTAAAGACGCCGTAAACTTTGTCCAAGGCCGATCCCCCGTAGTCTACTCCAGCTTGGATTGCTCTTCAGTCTGTGCCCTTGGGCATCATATCCTCTGATTTCATTGGGTTTTCCCTACCCAGTCTCCTGCGTATGCCGTCAGGTATATGAACGTTGGGTGGACCAAGCGGTCAACAGTGACAAAGGGGCACAAGTAACGAAATACTTCCTTGTGGCGAAATGACCGGGATTTTCCTCCCGAGCTTGTGAACAAGGCGACCAGGTGGTACAAATCGGGACCACAGGGGATGATCCTCGCCCTCCTTTCTGCAACATCCGTTGCAGCAAGGGACCAATCTGCGGCCAGATCGGTGGGATAGTGACAGACCGTTGCCACTGAACCGCAGGACAGGCGGTTGGGCATGAATGCGTGTTGGGCACGACTCCGTCAGCGCGTGGACCACTCAGAGCTCGGCTATGTCAGCACAGGGTGAGCTAAACGGGAGATCACACGGCGGTTCTTGTCGGGCCTCGACCTGCACAAGATGGAAAAAGAATGAAGGCATTTTAAAAATGACGAGATTTGGGTTCGAACGGGGAGATCAGTTCACGTATTTCAAAGTGGTCGCTCCTGAATACCTGAGATCCTATTATGATGCGCAGTCTGGAGTGCATCGACCCCGAGATATATGTATTGTGTTAGATTGCTAATAAATGAAAACTGGAGGGACTGCAGGTCAGATATGGCTATTCAGGTCTAGACGTGAAGGTATATTCTGGTATATTCACCTCCAGGGCTGTAAGATGGCTAAGAAGAGTCAATATAGCAGTAATCATAACACTGTGTATTATCGATATAGATCGTTGGAATGTTTGTTTGTGGAAAACCTGAGGCTCTGGGCACGTGTCCACGCTAATCCCTATTGGGACACCTATCCAAGGGTCGCGAAAATCCCCAGAATCCAGTCCTCAGATCAGATCCCATTCTAGGGCCATTCCAAGGTTGCTGCACAGTTTCTCACTCCCGATGATGACGAATAATCAGGGATGTCGTCTGCAGACCCGCCCAACACCCCCGATGCCGTGAAACGCTCCCGCTACACCTACCGCCACTTTCAATTGTTGCGCCAAAGCTCCACCGCAACACCCTTACGCGCTATTGCGCATATCGACCTCGATGCCTTTTACGCCCAGTGTGAGATGGTCCGCCTGGGGACGCCTCGCGACACCCCACTCGCGGTACAGCAGTGGGATTCACTGATCGCCGTGAATTATGCAGCGCGACCGTTCGGTATCAACCGCATGGTCAGCACCGCCGAGGCGCGGAAACTATGTCCGAATATCGTCTTACAACATGTTGCGACGTTCCGAGAGGGCGAAGGCGGTCGTTGGGCTTACCGAGATGACTCGTTTCGGAGTGTTAAAACCGACAAGGTGTCTTTAGATCCTTATCGGGCAGCGTCGCGGAAGATTCTCGCGACGATGAAGGAGGAGTTGCAGAGGTGGTGCTCGGATACATCGGAAGGCGAGCTTGATGACCTTACTCAAGGGATTTTGCCTGGGCTGGAAAAGGCCAGTATTGATGAAGTCTTCATTGATCTTTCTCCCCTCATCTACTGCGTCTTACTCCGGAGATACCCTGAGCTTCGGGTCATTTCTCAAGACGAGAAGAAAATTGCCGAGTTGCCTTGCCCACCTACTACGGCGCTACAATGGGCATCTGAGGACTCGCTGATAGACTTGAGCCCGCAGGAAAGTGAGGAAGATGACCCTGACTGGGATGATATTGTCATGCTGGTGGCCGCTGAGATCACGAGGTCGGTCAGAACTGCAGTGTGGGACAAGCTACACTACACCTGCTCCGCCGGTATTGCTCGGAACAAAATGCTTGCCAAACTGGGCAGCGCTTGTAACAAGCCTAATAAGCAGACAGTGGTAAGGAATCGCGCTATTCAAAAGTTTCTCGGTGGATACAGATTCACTCAGATCCGGATGCTAGGCGGCAAGTTGGGAGATCAGATCACTGCTTTTTTCGGAACAGAGCAAGTGAGCGAGCTTCTCAATGTAACCCTTGAGCAGCTGCGTGCAAAACTCGATGACCACACCGCGACTTGGTTGTATGCCATCATCCGGGGAGACGATCGCAGCGAGGTCAACCCTCGAACGCAAATGAAATCCATGTTGTCTGCAAAATCATTTCGTCCCAGCATCAATTCAGTTGATCAAGCAGAAAAATGGCTGCACATCTTTGCGGCTGATATCTACGGTCGCCTCGTCGAGGATGGCGTGCTTGAAAATAGACGTCGCCCTCGAGTGATTACTCTTCACCACAGAGTTGTGCAGAGTCGATCGCGTCAAATCCCAATCCCTAGTTCTAACACCATTGATGAAGATTTGCTATTTGAACTGGCTAAGACTTTGCTTCGACAAATGATGGCAGATGGACAGGCGTGGCCATGTGCAAACCTGTCATTGAGCGTGGGCAGCTTTGAAGATGGCGTGGGCAAAAACAAGGCCATTGAAGGCTTTTTGGTTCGTGCCGATCAGGCCAAGTCTCTCATTCATGCCAGACCGCGAGACACCGTTACCTCCAGTGAACAGCCTTCGACAGAGAAAAAGAGGAAGATTCACGAGGGCATCAAACGTTTCTTCAATCAACCCCATGCTGATGATTCCGCTACATCTGAGAATGAAAGCCCTCAACTTCCATTAGCTCAAGACTTAGCACCTATAATCCAGACAGACATTGCGAAATCACCGGACACCTCCCAAATCCAGCAATTTACCTGCAGTCGATGTTCCAAATCTATCCCCGAGTACGACAGAGAGGAACACGACGACTGGCATTTTGCCAAAGATCTGGCAAATCAGGACAGACAAGAAGTACGGGATGCCCAACAGCAAAGCCACACACCGACCAACTCCCGAGCATCCAATACTCGTGGCCGAGGAGGTCGTGGCCGAGGAAAGTCAGAGAAAGGACAGATGCGACTGGCCTTCTAATGAAAGGAGTAACTTTGTGGCATGGATGTGCTAGTCCTCTCTAGTGGCGATTTTTTTCTTTGACTAGACTCACAAGATACCCCTGTTGTATTCTCATACCCAGTCTAAGCCCTGTAATGCTTGTTATATCCGACGTCATAATAATCAAATTGTGCCCAGGTCCAAGTTCTATATGGTTAGACCCAACCAAGGATCCCAACCTCAACCATGGATCGAGCCAATCTTCGATATATAGATCCGAATCAAAGTAAACAAAATAAAATTCACCTTTTCTATCCTGTTAAATTATCAAACATCCTGTAAGTGTATTCCCACCGCTAGAGTGGTACACCTAGGCGATCCAATGTATGTGACATCAGCGGTAGGCAGCGGGGTCATAGGACTAGCGGTTATGTCGCTGCGGCGCCCCAAGCAAATCCGAATCGCTTCTGCGCTTTCTGCCTCTTGCTAATGCTTTCGACTCTCCTATACAATCAAAAGACCGCGACGACTAGGTTTCAACTGCTTATTACCCTCAAAATTCACGTCATTGCTTGGCGGCATTTGATTTTCGGGACGTGCCGCGCGATAAACGATTGCGCTCGAATACCCCGCCGAGATACTCTTGAAACCAATGCGTCTTGCGGCGTTGACTGCGCACGTTAACAAACATCAAGCTGTTAGTGCACTTGTGCTTCTTGTGAAGCCAAGTTGTTTTCGAGTTGCCGCCTAAAGCCCCAGAAGCTGAAGCTAGGTCGTTTGCGCACGAGATTGCGACTGACGAAACCTTGCGATTGTGGACTCACAATACTGTCTTCACGCAAGAAGTTTAATGACTTGATGACCCGGGGCCACCGGGTTAATTTTTTCCTTTGGCCTCATTTGGTTGTCCCATTATTGTCGCCTAATAAGCCCAAGGATTGGAGCGAGTTACCTGTGCTTCGGGCTGCTTTTGCTAGAGACATTTCGCTACCCGACTTGCGAGGAAAGCAGCCGAGATTTGCGATTGTCAATTTGGATAACCATCTCTATTTAGAAAGGTCCATGACTTGACGCCCCGAGACGACTGGCTTCTACTCCCCCCCTTTCCTTGGTTGCCTCCCCGGTGCCGCCACAGAGCACATAAGGTTGGACCGCCTTTACTGCGCCTGGATACGACATAACCGTCTTCCCCGCCATGCCTCGCCGAGCACCACCGCCGCCAGGCTATTACGAGGAAGAATATTTTGAACCCGAACGCGAAAGATACCCCCGCACCCGTCGGCCCGAGCGGTCATCATTTGAAGATGACGTTGGGTACAGACGCAGGGAATCAATGCCGATTGTTGAAGATATGGAGCGGATGCGGGTCCGAGAACGGCCTCCAAGAGACTTTGTGCGCGAAGCTTTTGTAGTCCCACCTCGAGATCTTGAGCCACCTGTACGCATGAGAAGATCCGCAGATGATATTGGACCCATACCGGACAGGGAAGAGTCATATATACGCACACGACCACGAAGGAGCAACCGCACTCGCGATATGGACCCAGACGAACTCATCGATGAAAGAGAGATGCGACGCGGCGTACGACACCGCCCTCGCAATTTTGATGAAGAGTATGGTTATGATGAGCGAGAGCGGCGTGCTCGAAGACCTCGCCCAGAACGAGAATTTGAAGAGGAGGAAATTGCGATCCGGCGCAGGGCACAAATGCCGCCGTCTCCGGTTTATGATAGCGAAATAGATCGACGGCCTCGGGAAAGACGATACTCCGATGTTCGAGATGAAGTGTATGTTCGCTCTTCTGATAGCCGTCGCAAGCCTCATTTTCGGGAAACGGAATTAGAAGCAGACATTATTGATGAGCGCGAAGAAAGACCGCGGCGCTCGAAATATCGCGATAGGTCACCGACTCTGTCGAAGGAGGAAGAGATAGTCATGCAGTGGAAAGATAGACCCTCTCCCCGTGAAATTGAAGAAGATGAGGAGCTCCGAGTGCAGGATATGCGGCAGCGAAGTTACCGAAGTCCACCCCGGGCACGATACGGTCGAGGGCCACCAGGTAGCTGGCCTGATGATCGAGAACATGAGGATGAGGATTTGGATGCGGAGATTGATATTCGTTCTTCAAGGCGCCCCAACCCTAGATGGGAACAGAATCATGAGGAGCGTGATATTCGCACCCATAGACGCTCTAGACTTGAGCGAGAAGATATCGAGGAGAATGAAAATCTAGATATTCGCTCCTCAAGACGCCCTAGACGTGAACGCGAACATACGGATGATGGCGAGCTTGATAATCGCCCCCAAAGACTTCCCAGACATGGACGTGGAGATCTTGAACTTGAAGAAGAGATTGATATTCGGTTTTCAAGACGGCCTAGAGCTAGACGCGGAGATATCGAGGATGATGAGGTGATCGATATCCGGCAAGATAGACTTGAAAGAGAGACTCGCAGAAAGAGTGCAGAAAGGGACGAGCATATCACTCGCAAAGACAGGTCGTCACCTCGAGAAAGGAGCCCGTCGCCGGAGCCTATACGGGCTCCCCCAATCCACCAGGATGTCATTACACACCACCGGCACATTGATCATGGTATTATCCCTTGTTTCTCGATCAAGGTAGCCCTGGCGCTAACCGTTATGTAGGATTCGAAGGAGTCCGACCGCCACGTGCACCAAGCCCAGAAAAGGCATCCACGCACACTAGCTTTGATGAAATCGATGTGCACCACCAGTGAGTTTGCTTTCCTTGCAGCTTAGCCTTCTTGTTTGTTAAATCATAGTTATAGAACCCGAAGAAGCGGCCGCCAATCCGAAGAAGACATCTCCTTCAAGCATGAACATCGGGACGAGGAGGAATCTATTTCGCCAACTAGCGGTCTGTCTGCCGACTTCCGCAATCCATGGAAACGTGGCGAGCGTCGTTCACGCCCTAGGCCCCGCTCGCTGAGCCTCGAGGAGGAGCCTTTGGTCACTGAACGTGTCCATAGTCGTAGTCGACGAGGTATGTCTCGCGATATTGTTGAAGAGGAGGTTAAGATAAGCGAGAAAATGCAAGCTGCATCTTTGGCCGACGACATCCCGCGTACCAGTATCGACGAATGGTCTGTTGTTCACGCTCCTTCAAAAGAAGAGACGGTTGAGATGACCGGAGCCCTCCTTGACATAGTTGAAGTGGCTCCAAAAGGTGCTTCCCTGGTTGATTCTGAGTCTGAGGAGGAGGTTGAAGTCGAACAGCATGACCGAGTTGGACCGAAGGTGCACAAGGAGCGACGCGATGAACGGTGGACCGAGATAACTAAGGACTTGGTTGTTCGCGAGGCTATCGAGCAGCTGGGATATGAGTTTGAGGAGACGAGGATGTTCTACTATATTTTCTCATATCTTGAGCCGGTATGTCTCTCCATTCAATCCGTCCAATTGGCGATTTGGGAAAACTAACGTGATTGCCTTTGTAGGCTGATATTGATGAGCTGGTCGAGCTATCAGACCACATTCGCCGAACTCGGCGGCGACGGATCAAGGAAATGCATCGTGAACGAGCATCGATTCCTGCTCGCTCTGCCTCCTTGATAGATCGAATGCCACCTCGGGTTCGACCAGGAGTCGGGAGACATATCAGGGAGCGAGAGTGGATTATTGACGATCACCGTTGAGATGGTCAAGGAATGAAGTTTGCCCAGGTGGTGTTCACGACCATAATGAAAATGTCATGACATATGATTAGAATACGAGAACATTTGAAGAGAAGATACAATTTTTGTGCTCTATCGTGTGACGGCCTGCTCGTTGAGGCACTCTCACAACGCCTTGATTTAGCTGAACACGATCATTGTAGAATCTGTAAACCAGCTTCTTCTACATTTCCTTCCCTCGTCAACATCATTTCCAGCTATGCTTCCTGCCATCATGTTCTGCTTTTCTGGAGGCCATCGGACTGCAGTGTTGTGCCGAATACCGAGGTCTTTGGTCGCTCCGAGGTCTGAAGACAACAATCATGGTCTCAAGCAACTCATAATATTACTAACAATGCCCCGTGCTAGCACTGCTTCTCTACTTGGGGTTCAGCATAGAACGCGTTCTAGACCTCCAAATATCCACCTAGTCACAGGGCAACCATCCCTCCAAATCGGCACAAAGAACGGATAAACACAAAGGACATTCCATCAGCTTCCAAAGCATTCAGTATTCACAAAGAGCGAAAATGCCGCACACCAAAAAATCCGATATTCTTAGCACCATGTATTCTTAGAAGCAAGCCACAGCCAAGTCAATCAACAACGTCAACACATGGAAATCTTTACCGCAGCAACAAATCAATACCAATAACCCCTGTTGCCAAGCCCGCCACAAGCCACCAGACGCAGCATTATGCACATGTGCCGGGTTTCCTGTAAAACATACCCGACGAGAAAGAGTTATCAGAGACAAGTCTCCGTTAGATCCAAGTTTATTTTGCAAGTGCAGCAATCCCTAGCAATTGCCTACAAAGACAAGCTCGGGTCGAAAAAGTTGGCGGGCGATCATTAACCATCTAGAACCATGTACCCATCCCCCTGGTGCAACCCAGTCCGCATGATTACGTTGCACACCCTCCATCCCTGCCGCCACCCGCAAAATTATTGTGGGCTTGTCTCAGGCATATTAATGGATCATTTTTGAAAGGTGGGGGGCTATGAAGCGTCGGGTCAGGTACCAGGGGACTGTCTAGACTTGCTGTAAGTGATAATCCTTTCCGCACGGGATTTGGGTTCTGAGAGGCAAAAACAAGAACCGGGGCAATTCCGGGATTCGGGAAGTTTCGTGATCATTATGTATGCCCAGGTCTAAGTACTGTATTGTGGTTTTTAAGGGATCTCGGAAGAAGCAAAAACCTTTAATCTGATATGTAGAATTGTTGATGCATGATGGGATCATGGATCAGATTGTAAATTGATCGATCGCGATCGAGTAGCCGTACGGAGTAAATGTCATGAAAAGGTAGCCAATTTACGTGGTGGAGCAGTTTCCACTTTCCAAGATTCTGTCAAGTCTGGATCCGTGTCCCGTAAGATTACGTCCGAGTGCGTGGCCGTAAAGATGTGACTCTATTGAAAAAGCTAAAGCGGGTGGTACATGTATTGAGGCAAGTGCTATTGGACCAAAGAACACTAGAGTGCAAATTGAGATACTTGTACCAGTCCATGTCAATTTGAAAGGAAGAGTCGACGACAATACGCTGAATGCTGACCAATGATCTTCGCCGCCCTTTGACCACTTATCGCCTCCCAAGCCTCTACCAGTATCTTCAAATGTATGTGGTAGGGCTGGTTTCCGTGTTGTTCCATGGCATTGGTACCATATAAAGCTTTGATACCTAATGCAGCTTGATCAACCCTAAAGTTGTGATAATATCCCGAATAGTATTACCCAGAAAGAATATAAAAGATCTTAGATGAAGCATTCTTTTTGATATAGAGAACAATCAGCTGTATGCTTTTTTATGAAATGCGGTTTCGGACACGGGCAAATTTCAATGTCAACTTTTCTAGCGTCTAGCCCAGAATACCCAGCCTCACACTTGGATGGAGAACGGCTGGCTTCATATCGTCTTCCAAAATATAGGAAATGCCGCCTTCTTGAGTTCCAGGGGAGATTTCGACGTCTAGAACAATATACCCAGCGCCCGTTTCTGAGTCGAAGAAGTAACTTCATCCTGGGCAATGTTGATAGTACGGATGTTTCATGAGGTCTGTTGTACGAGACACAACAGGCATGCCTACACCATCTTGCAACTAATGCAAAAAAAACCCTGCTTTGTCTACCTAGGTAGATCGGAAGGGAATCGAAGGATGGTTTCCACAATTTCCTGATGGGACCATCCAGAGTATCTTGCACTCGGATTCGACCTTGAGAAATTTTACGAAGGGGTTTGACTGCGTGTCGAGCCATGGTGATATATCTTGGTATAATTGATACTGTATTTCCAAGGGAAGGCGGAAACTTTCCTGGAGAGCGATTATCATATGACGCGTACAATTGTCAAAGCCAGCATTTATTCTCCTGGCATCAGCTCCGATATCAAATGAGTTCGCGAACGAGAATGGAGACTATTGTATATTTCAGCTATAAAATTAGAACGTAGTGGCATCGATATGTGATGAACGTCTTCCATTGCAACGGCACTAAACTTAATTTGGCTAGCTGCATTCGAGGCTTTAACCTTGGTGAAAAGCCCACGATTTCCCGCCAAAGACCACGCACAACGGGCTGTTCCCACGATCCATTTCCTCCGTATATCCGTGCATAAACGATTCAGGGGGGAAAAGAACAAGTCATTTAATTAGAATCTGACTTGCTGAGGAGCCAGGAACCGCTGCTGAGGAGTATGCAAGTGCCGTCACATTCGGGTACGATTCTGGGTTGTCCACAGGACTGATCGTCGCCTCTGGCGTCTATGACCAGTTTTCCGTCAATCAGCATGAGCATGGATATCACGGATATCGTATCAGTTAATCAGAGCCAATCCACAAAGAGTAACCAGGTCCATACTTTTACCCGAGTAAGACAGGAGGGGGCCAAGAGTATGTTATACCGGATTGTGATTTAGCTCAAACCTGAGACACGAATGTGATTTCCTTTTCTAGGTCCTCCATCAGGGGCTTTAATTTCAAGTCTGGGGTGGTAAAAATCTCTGTATGTCGATGCATAACTTTTCATGTGGCTTACGGGTGAGCTCTATGTGGCTTGTTTGGGTCGCAGCTCTGAGACTGTGATCCACACATTACGTATGCTTGGCTCTAGTTTGCGCTATCGCCCCTCTGTCACACAACATCCGGGCTTCCGTGTATGTGCCTCCATGGAGACAAGACAAAGACACCGGAAAAGACAGAGACAGAGAGACTGAGGTATGAAGGGCCAGGAATGCTTGGATACGGGAATCTCGTACCTGTCCAAGTTCCATTATTTGATTTCCTTGCGCCACGCCAACCAATGTTACGAAAAGTGGAGACGCACTAATTCGGTATTCGGTTTACTGTGCGCGTCTGGTTTCGAGTCTTCTAAGCAACACCAAAACAACCGACCCATGGGACTTCTGCAGGAAGGACCACAGCGACATACTAAGTGAGAATAAACAAAAACAAAATAAAAAGCCTAAGAAGAGATAGAATTGAGTCCTATAGCCATGAATAAAGAAGTCTCTTATACAAAAAAGCAGGACGTGCGAGAGAGTCCGTACCCACCGAGCTAGCGGCAATGCCGGGAGATACTCATAGCAGAAACGTCCCAAATCCCCGTGACTTTCATTTACCCTTTCTCCTCTTTCCCTTTCTTTCCCCTGCACCCATCCAACCTCGCGAAACTTCCCCAGGAAATCGACCCTCTAGACAAGTTGAAGGGAATGATGCAAATTCCCTGACTGTCGCTGCTTTCGTTTACAGAATATCCTGGTGGCTTGGTGGGGGATCTTCAATCGCTTCTCTCACCCTCTCACACCTCCCGTGTATGGTGATCGACATCAATCACCGGTCGGCACACACTTCGCTTTTCAACCCTGTCACACCTGAACACGCCCTCATCACCTCCGTCGAGGAAAGATCGTGTTAGTGGAGGTTGAACCTCGATCGAGGAAAAGAAAATCAAGGGCCTTGAAAAGAAGAATTGGGTAGTGGAGACTCGACACCCAACCTCTCTGCCCACCATGCACTTCTCATTGCTGGTGTCGGCCTTGGCTCTGTTGCCCCGAACTTTGGCGACTTCGACCTTGGCCTACTGCTCGACTGAAAACACTGGATCTTCCGGTAACTCATGTGCGTGATGAATGGAGTTTAACTTCGAGAATTGTCCTGCTGACCATGTTGTAGCAACGAGTACCTATCAATCCAACGGCCTCTGTGAGGGAACCTGTGCCGATTACGCCTTCGGTATTCTCCAAGGAAAGGTCTGTTGGTGCTCGAACGTGGTACCGGCCTCTGATACTCAAGAGAAAGCTACGAAGTGTGATACGGGATGCCCTGGTTATCCCTCTGATAGCTGTGGTAGTGCTGCCAAGGGAGTGTACGCCTATGTCGCCATTGATGGAAACAGCCCTACCAGCACCGCGAGCGGCAGCGACAGCACTTCATCAACGTCTTCGGTAAGTTTACCCTTGCCTGTGTTTTCAAATCACCCCATTAGTCCCTTTGGTTATTCTGGGTTTTTTGAATCTGCGCTTCTCCCATGGGGTCCCGATTTTAATACCTGGATTAGGGGACTACTACAAGCACATCGTCAAGCACCCACTCGATTTCCACTGTACTACCATCAACCCCCAACGGCTCGGTTCATCCCGCTAACCTTTGACTACAGACTAGCGGTTCCACCACCACGACTGCAGCCAGTGTCGCCTACACAACCTCCTCGAACGGCGAAGTCAAGACAATCACTGTGTCTGGCTCGAGTGCCACCTCTGGCGCGGATGGGAGCACAGTCGCCACGACTAGCGATAAGAGCTCCGGCCTGAGTGGTGGATCGATTGCAGGAATTGTTGTCGGCGTCATCGGAGGTCTCGCCCTGGTGGGCGCGCTTGTCTTCCTCGTCTTCTTCTACCGCAAGCGTGCTCGCTCATCCAGCCCCGTCCCAAGCCAGGATATGGCCGACCGAACTAGCCAGAGCTCGAGCTGGTCTCGTGGAGTCTTCCCTGGTGGTGCCGGTGGATCTGACCTTGGACGCAAGGCGACTTTCACCGATAACCGTATGAAGACCAACACCGCTATTTATCCAAATGGAGCTCGGGATAGCAGTGTCTCGCTGCAGGACAACGAAGACTACTCACGACCTGTCCTTCGCGTAAGTTCTATTCCGCATCGACTGATGTAAAACACATGCTAACCCAGTGTCATAGCTCACCAACCCGGACTAAATCTTGACTCGGAATCCCTATCCTCCACGTTTTCTTCCTCTCCACCCTTGACCCCGCGAGATTTCCTTCCACCATTAATTCTGCGCGAATCTACCCAAAACAACTCTGTTATGATACCCAACTGTCCCTTGACTTCTTTCCTATTCTGAAGGTGGTGGCCGTGAAGAAAACTGAGATGGAGGACACTTGAACCGGGGTTTGAAATCCACCACAGCACTTGTGTGAATGGATGAGAAAAGGATACTTGGGAGGCACTACAGTACCCGACATGAAAATGAGCCTATTCGACCCCTGGAAGCGATGATCTGCCGTCGAGACGAGTTCACGAGCAACAGCATACATACCTAACATACATACCGTGGATGATAAGCACCCCAGCCCATATGATTCCAGTACATACATCCGACCCTCTCCAGATCGCCCCATCTCCTTGATCTTTCTTTTTTTTCCTTTCTAATTCTCATTTCATCCGTTGTACCATCCAGCCAGCTCTTTGCTTTCCTTTTATCATAATCCACGTGTTTCTACTCGTTTGGGTTGCTGCCACGGCGTTACCCCCCTGGTGTTTAGAGAATGATACATCTACAATCCTATTGAAATCTCAAATGACTTATTAGTCTCAACCGGGTTGCTGTGGTGTGTCCACTCGGAGGGTTGAGATACCCCTTAATAGTGTAGCAAGCTGCCCAAGTAGATCCTTCGACGTGGCATGATGTCTACGTCATGTCTGACTGTTCGTGGGCCAGAACACGTCCCCTGTGCCACTTTCTAGTTGGATCTGCAATTCTAGGCCATTTTCGAATACTAAAACTGGATCCTGCTTGTCGATCAGTTACTTTACAAACCGGGCCAATTGAAAGCATTTACAATCTCAGTTTACATGTGGATATCAAATTTGCAAGTCGTGCATTATTACAGCTTGGGACACTTTTCAATTAACATACGATAAATCTGAATTTCAACTCACATTAAACAGACCCAAATCAGCAAGAGTCAAATCCGGCGGATGAGATCCCTCAGTCAGGATCGCACGAATAATGTCCTCATTACCAACCCGAATCGCATCACGGATAACACTCTCAGGGGTGTGGATGAAAGTACGCGGCCCTCGCAAATCGACATCCACACCTTTGCTAAGCAGCAAACGAACCATCTCCACCGACTTCGCCTCAACAGCGAAGTGCAGTTCAGTCTTGCCCTGCCTGGTAACACGGTCCAACGCACATCCAGCTTCAATCAGCCCACAAGCCAAATCGAAAAACTGTTGCTCCAATGCCAAATGAAGTGCCGTCGTGCCATCACCGCTTGTAAGATTTATATCTATGCCCGCCGTAATCAACATCCACGCTAGCTCCTCCCTACGATTCTTGATGGCCGTGTGAAGCGCCGACCCCTCATAGATCCTGACATCATTCAGCATCAAGCCAGAAAAAGGCTGAGAGAGGACCAAGCTCAGGATATCGCGATCCCCCCGTTGTGCAGCAAAAATTACCAGGGTAGGCATCCGCTCCGGATTGGGAAGAGAAACAGACCTCATCCTCTCCAATGCCATGCTTATCGTCTCGAGATTATTTCTGCAAACGATATTCTCGATGTCACGAGGCTCACTCAGATCCGCGCCCGCAAGAACCAACCGCTGCGTCATAGCATTGTCGTAGGCTGCATAGTCTAGTACATTTTTCTGACAGGGGATATCCCTCACGTTCGGATCTGCGCCGTAGCTAAGGAGCAGGTCTACCATTTCCAGATCTTGATTGTCAACTGCCAGGTTGAAAGCCCATACTCCGGAGCAATCGTATGAATTGGGGTTGACGCCCATTTCGAGGAGAGCTCGCACACCGTGGATTTTGCCTTTATGCACGGCCCGGACGAACCGGCCCTCGTGGTTGCTGAATCCGCGACGAGACATGGCCTGGTTCCAAATGGCTTCGTAAGAGGAGAAATTATCGGTGAGGAGGTGGAGTGGACGGTCTATACCGGGGATTTGGTCGTCATTGTATACGAATCGTTGGCGGTATACGTCTGCTGGCAGGAGAGCTTTTTGTTTTGCGCGTTTCACTTTGTCCAAGGTCAGAGCGTGGTGGAAGCCTTTGCAGGTTTGTGATAATCGGGCGAATGACTGGGTGTCGCAGTAACCCGCAATGATCAATAATAGTTCGCATGGGATGTGGCTGAGGGAAGGGTAGGCCGGGCAGGCTTTCTTGGAGGCTTTTGCTTCCGAGCTGGAGTTGTGGTTCATGGTGGTTTAGATGCCCAGGTGTTGTATGATCGCCAAAGTAGTTTGACAGTACCAGCAAAGTATTTATTGCGAAGTTGCAGAGTGGACACCTGATTATAGGATACAACGGTGTATTTGATGGTCAAAGTCTCTTTGTGGAATCTGATTTCTTTATGTCAACAAGTCAAAGGGAGTCAGTAGCATAGAGCCCCCAGGCACGCGAAGGCTTGATATGGGGCTTTGTTCAAGCCGTCAAAGCCTGGAGGCAGTGCGCCTGGGCAGCAACATGGAATATAGGTAATACTGTTGGCACCGATGCCACCAGCAGATGATCAGGGCTTGAATGAAGGTATGAGATTTCAACATGAGTAGTCAAGGCACAGGGCAGTCAGCACTTGAAATTGACTATCGTGAGGATGCCAGGTATCTGACCGCGATTTTAAGATGGATGAATCAGAGATGAAAGTTGCCAAGCTCAGGGCTGGAGGTCTTGCTCACAATGAAAGTAACACCTTATCGCTATCTGTGGAGGGAATTTGTAAATTCTAATCTAGCATTCTTTTCTATAAATAGGGCAATCCCGTGGAGATGCTAGTCAAAATATCCATTGTTGTTCCCGAAACAAAGCGACGAATAAAGCATGGAAATCTTCAACATTGGAGATAAGCCTGGAAGAGATCATTGGAAATGAACGTCTGAGCCAGTAGTTTATCGAAAGGGTGATTATGATAACACCTTACTGTGCCTACCGAATATTCCAACATCAACCCAGCTCACGGATTCTAGACCTGTATATATACCAAGTATGATGCCTAGACCAAGGCGGCGAATCATGGGCGAAGGTATAATATATGACGCTTGTGCCTGAAGTGTCGCGGCAAAGCACCGGGGAGAACATTACATGTGATAGCCGTTTCGTACATGAGTATCAAAGTCCATGGAAGCCAGATTTGACAATGGTTGGGGGCGTTTTCGAGGCGCAATCAATTCCTTCAACCTCCACAAAGATAGCTTATTAGATCACATATATCTTGAAGACGTGTTGACAGCCCGTGTGTTATGTATATTACACTGTTATCTATACTGTATGCTCGCTCACAGAAAGACTTTTTCAATAACCTTGGAATATTCCTTTCAAAGTTGCAAGTAGTTGTCTCCATTAGCACTGTGGCCCGGAGGAAAAATGTGACTTGTACAAGATTCTTGATAAATTAAACGTCGATATCAGAAACTTTTCTCCAGCAAAATCTCATCAAGGTCTGCCCAATTTCCATTAGATAGTTCCGAGTTATATTGAAACTACATTCTCGAGACGTGACGGGATCGATCTTCCGTCTTGAGTGGAATCATTATTTTTAGTTGCTTGAGGAAGGCGTGTACGTTGATACTTAACGTGACTCCACACTTCATACGCATGTACCGAAGACAGAGGGGGTCAAGCGTAAACTAGGTGACATCTTCAGACTTCCATTGCGAAGCCCGAAACCGTGCTGTCCTACTAAAGCCATCGAGTCCATCCACCTAAGGCAGGCATTGCAGGCCTGGAGGACTTGGTGGAGCTCCCCTTCATGCTTGCTGCAACAGCCTAGCTAGCCACATTATCCAGCACCCATCCCGCAAGAAGGATAGGTGTATCTGAACTGAATGGGTCTCTAGAGTTCAAAATTGAGCCTCAGGCCATGATTGAGGGTTCTTCGGTAAAGGGATGTCACATAAGATTGACATCGGTGGGATTTTCCTGTTCATACTTTAATTCCTTTATTAAAGATTGGAAGCTCTAATACAGGCCTTTTTTCAAAGGCTCAATATGGATCACGGGTATATACCGGAAGTCTTTCGCTTGTTTGCCGGTGAATGTAATGACATAGAGTACCAGCTGACTTATAGACTGCGACGCATTACACTTAATCTTAGCGTTCAACATGCTCTCTTCAAAAAGCCGTGGGATTAATGACTGTGCTTTGTAAGACCGGCATGGCGACATCTAGAGAGATGTGATAGTATCTGGTCACTTTAGGGCTCGTGAAGTTGCATGCATGTATCTACCCCCAGGTACATTTTTCTCATTCAGATACAAGCCACTATTTATCTCTTTTAATTTAGATTTTCATCTGATTCATAAAGAGTAAATAGCTGATGAACCCAGATATAGAGCAAAATGCGAGACCAAATGAGCTACCCGGGTGGTAAGAAACACATGCAAATTGATTGCAAGGTATAAAGGCAGCTTTCCATGCGAGCTTTATGAAGACTGATTAGTCGAATGCTTCACGGCGACTCAGTGACTGCTTTGCGGCGACTCATCGATTGCTTCATGACGACTAAGCGGTTGTTCCATGTGATCATTTGCGATGATTTGAGAGGTCTTCAAGCCGAACTTTCTTCCTTCTTCCTCACCTTCCTGGCATCCTACCCTGCATGGGTTCCATGCACCGCTTCGAGCCCCTCATGTCGTCTCAAACCCCAGTTTCTCGTTCCTCGAGATCCATTTCCAGCATGGACCCCCAGTCCCCCGGTGAGGTTTCAGGCGTCACGTATGAATGTGCGCGTTGCGGGGAGCCCGCCACAACGCTGTGCACAGGCTGTATTGACGGACCTTCGTACCCCAATCTGGGTCATGCCAGCGTTTTTTATTGTAGCCTTAGCTGTCAACAAGCTCACTCACTGTGGCACAAGGCTGACTGTAAGAGAATGAAGCTGCGAAGAAAGCTCCTTCGGGTTGCAACCCTCCTCAAGGCATGCATGCTGGCGTACCGCGAAGTCGTCTATGTTATGGACCTCACCGACCTCCGAAGCAAAGACGAGGTGTATCGGTACATTGAGGTCAATCACACAGGGACCAAGTGTTTGCACCGCGTGCATGCTCCTTTCTCGACAACACTTACTCCCAAACCCGAGCACGCGGAAGTGGCTCTGCTTTTCAATCAAGGCACAGCAGCCATGCATCTGTTCAGCCGCTTGACGAAGAAGCTTTTCGAAGGTAGGGTTGTTGCGTACCCTTTCATCCTGATATACTAATTAAAGCATGCAGGACTGGACGTGACGCCAACCGTAGCCGAGATCGAGATGGAAAAGCCCAAGATCCCAGTCAAAACTGGTGGAGGTCCCATTCCGAAATACTTCCCGCATACGGTCATGGTTGTGCGAATCGATCTCACCACAGAGTTCTGGATTCTTGACCCAACTGGCGCTCAATATGGAATTCAGGATGTGTTTGTTCCCTGGAAACACTACGTGGAGGAGTATGAAGTCTCTCTCACGAAAGAATACCCATTTCCCGTGACGGAAACACAGGATCTGGATTATTTCGCTACTCTCCCGGGAGCGACAACCTTCGCAGCGAAGATAGCGAAGGAGCGACAGGCTCGTATCGTATTTTCCTCATTTGTCGATTGTCTGGTAATTGAAAACTTACTCGGTGTGTCGGAGACAGACTTCACACGGTGGGTGGGGGAGTTTCAGGAGAGACTGAAGGAACATTTGAACAGGAATTTTGACTACGGCGAAGCAGCTGAGTAGGGAAGGGGTCGAACGTGCCAGAGAATTGCTGTTGTGGTTTGGTCTGGTCTGCACAGACTAAATGGGTGGAGACGCACGAGGCTGAACAACTATTGAATGTTTTAGCTCGTGTATCTATGAGCAGCGTTGAGAATGAACAAATGTGCCCATTTTGCTGTTCTATGAGATCGTTATCCTTCCCCACATGCCGATCGATCCACCGTAGCTGTCAAGTACAGTAGCCCCAAATTGGTAATGAGCGACACACCAAGTAACGTCTTGAATGTGAAACTCGGTGCAAATCCCTCAAAGTAGAAAACGACAGCGAAACATCCCCACGACCTCCCCACGACACTCTCCAGCCACCAAAGTCTGCCCGCAAGCCTCTACATTGTGCAAACCCCAGATGTTCGCAGATGGCGGACGGGGAGTTCCTTGTTTCGAACTTACTAGTCTGTGCGAAGGTGAGTCAACCCCATCCTTTCCCCAGATGGGAGACGACATACAGGAGGTCAAAGCCATAGGGAGATTACAGGTCAGAAACCCCCGAATATACTTCACGCTAGCCAATCTCGTTCCAGGACGGCCAAACCCGAGCCAGGGACGGAGAAAGACCCCGCCTGCCATTGGCTGTCGACAGAAGCGAGTCAGGAATTGGTCATGGATTTGGTGGCCGAGACCGGAAGTACCGGCATAGCAGCGGGTTCGGTTGGCCGAAGAGAAACCCAAGCGAACAGAAAAGAAAAAAAAAAAACACGCTAAGATGCAACTCATCTCCGCCCCTAGAGGGGGTCAGCACAAATTAACTGCCGTCTCCTGACCCCAGATTTGCCTCCCCGACATTTTTGTTGAATCTCCTCACCGGGCGTCTGGAACTGGCAAGGTGCTGCAGGGAAGTCATCGAATCTCCAGATTTCCCGCCCCATGGGCGAATTAACGGGGCCACGCGTCCATCCGCAACTCGGTTCCCCGAAAAGCTTGGCAACCATTCCGAGAGAGCGACAAAATGCCGAAGTAGTCAGATTTTGACAGGCAAAATACGGAAGACGGGTAAGAATATAGGCCGGACAGCAGCCAATCCATGGATCTCACCCGAGAAAACATACCTCGTGGCTTGTGGAGATGGGGTTCCAGAATGCTACGGTCCTCTTTGCCCTAACTCATCGTATGAGCCAAACAAACCTTGCTAGATCTGGGATCGCTTTTGATCTAGGTGATTCCAGATGAGGTTAATCCCCATCCTGTCTCCATCCCGGCCCCCGCTTTATGGAATTTTTTCCATTCTCATGTCTCGTCGCCTGGGACGCCTCTCATGAAATCCACTATTAGGAGCTGAAAATTTTCTTCTCATCACAAGGACTCGGCTTAGCCGTCGTAAGCCTCAATTTGATTCCGAATATGGGGCATAGTCAGACCACGTTCGGATCAATCCGATGAGATTTTTGATTTTTGATTTCTTTTTTGCTACCCTACTATATCCCTACATCTCTCCTACCCTGGTTACTTGGACAGGGCATCGGTCAAATATCGGCCAGGCGGGGTATTAAGGTCAGAAAGGAATTGCCCGTTGTCCCACCGTAAGCACTAGGCACCAAACAGAAGCACCCCGGAAATAAGGACCCTAGGGTATTGGGGCCAGGGATGCTGGACTAGTTGATACCTGCACCCAATCGTTTCCGGCTCGGCCAATAGTGGCGTTCCGTAGGACAGAAGGCTTGTTCTTTGGGAAGTTCGGCGCCTGGACGCCCACTCGTCGCCACGGCTTGACACGCCAATGCCTTTTCCTTGGCCACAAAAGCTTAGTGGCGTCCACTAGCCTCCGAAGGGTTGATAACTTTTGTTTCGTAAATCCGGATCATAGCATTTCCGACGTATGCTACCTTCCCCGAGTCTAACTCAGTCCATCCTTAGCGTTGGGTTAGCTCGGTCTGGCACATGGAATCCTGTGACCAAGGGTCCCCCATAGGGCATCGTCAGCCGTGAAGCTGGGGCTATGGGCACGAGGACCGCTCTTTTTGCTTGGCTAGACCACTGACCCCAGGAAGTGGGAAAAAATGGAAGGCGAAAAAGAAAGAAAAAGAAAAAAAAAGAAAATGCGGAAAATATAGACAGGACATAAGAAAAAAGGTTATATAGCCCCCTCTTGTCCCATTCCCCGAGGTTTCTCTTCTGTGCACATCATTTCTTCCCTTTCTACTTTTCTAACTTCTGATTATACGCTATCATCATGGCGGTTAGTCAGTCGGTGGTTGGCCGCAACAATGCGGAGAAGGCCCATGGTTTCATGGGTATGCTCAAGAATCCCTATGTCTTCTTGACATGTTGTTTCGCATCCCTCGGTTGTATCATGTACGGTTATGACCAGGGTGTGATGGGCCCTGTCCTGGTCATGGAGAACTTTGAGAACCACTTCCCGACTTTCATGGGTTCTACCATCCAGGGTTGGTTGGTATCTGCTCTTGAGCTTGGTGCTTGGGCTGGTGCTTTGATCAACGGTGTCCTTGCGGACCGCATTTCCCGCAAGTACTCCATGATGGTGGCTGTCATTATCTTCACTCTTGGTACTGGTCTCCAGGCTGGTGCCCAGACCCCGGCCTACTTCTTCGCCGGCCGTATCATCGGTGGTATTGGTATTGGTATGTTCTCTATGGTCATTCCTCTCTACCAAGCCGAAATTGCTCCTCCCGAGCTGCGTGGTTCTCTCGTGTCCCTGCAGCAGCTCTCCATCACCATCGGTACCTCAATTGCCTTCTGGCTCGACTACGGCATGCAATTCGTCGGTGGTAACACCTGCAATCCCGAGGGCATTTCCAACCCCTACCTCGCCGACGGAACCTACAACGCCGCTGTCAACAACGGACACACCTGCCTGGGACAGAAGACCATTGCCTGGCGCCTGCCTTTGGCCCTGCAGATCATCCCTGCCTGGATTCTGTTCTTCGGCATGTTCTACTTCCCCTTCTCTCCCCGTTGGTTGATGATGAAGCACCGCGAGGAAGAGGCCCTCTCCTCTCTCTCCCGTCTGCGTCGTCTTCCTGCCACCGACCCTCTGGTTCGGGCCGAATTCCTTGAGATCAAGGCTGCTGTGATGTTCGACGAGGAGAGTGAGCGCGAGATGATTGGCAATGATGGTCGTCTTGGTCCCTGGAAGGCTCTGTTCGCCCCCAACATGCTCAAGCGTCTGTGGCTCGGCTGCGGAACCATGATTTGCCAACAGTTTACTGGTATCAACGCCGTTCTCTACTACGCTCCTCAGATCTTCAAGAGTTTCGGTTTCTCCTCCACCAAGCAGACTCTCCTCGCTACTGGTGTGACCGGTATCTTGCAGATCGTCTTCACCATGCCTACTGTCCTGTGGCTTGACAAGTTCGGTCGTAAGACCTTCCTGATCGTTGGTGCCATCGGCATGTTCTGCTGTCACATCGTCGTCGCTACTGTCGAGGGTATCTACGAGCCCAAGTGGGACCTCAACCTTGGTCTCGACAAGGCACAAGGTTGGGTGGCTATTGTCTTCATTTGGCTCTTTGCTGTTAACTTCGCCTACTCTTGGGGTATGTTTCTTCAATTCACCTTTCCAAATAAAATGATTACTAACTTCAATCACAGGTCCCGTCGCTTGGGTTTTGACCCAGGAAATCTTCCCCAACAGCCAGCGTTCCCGCGGTGTCGCCATCGTCGCCTCAACCAACTGGTTGTTCAACTTCATCATTGGTCTGACCACCAAGGACATGCTCGACAACATGAAGTACGGTACCTACATCTTCTTCGCCATCTTCAGTGGTCTGGGTGGTCTCTTCATCTGGTACTTTGCTCCCGAGACCAAGGACAAGACTTTGGAGGAGCTGGATATTTACTTCGGTGGCTCCGATGCTACCATCGCCGCCGCCGATCGCGAGCGCATGGAGCGTATCTACGAGACTCTTGGCCTGGCCGGTGTCGAGAACGTTGAGGACCTCAAGGTTGCCGTCACTGCTGACCAAATTGAGGTCTCCCACGAGACCAAGGCTTAGACTTGATCTTGGTCTACTATATGTAATATGGATTTGAGGATTGCTATGATCATACGTCACGCAGTTATGTACTGAATCACGGTTTAATGGTCGGCAAGTTTATATTGATTAATGCTTAGTGCTTGGAATGATACTCTCAAGACTTATGGTCTTTGATTTGATGTCTTGCTTGAATATTAATTTTTTTTTTTAGAGTTCCCTGTAGATGCGCTTTCCAATTATGCCTTCAAAACTTCCAAGGAGCTAAAGAATGCTTATTCTGCGGCCGAAACTCAGTCTCCAAGCCATAATTTTAGACCTTCGGGTGGTTGGTTTGAACCTTATCTCGCCAAGTTCAAGCCCGAAACTTATATGGAAGGTCCGAGAGAATATTTTCTTGGCGGTAGACATGCCAATGCGTTTTTTGATTCTTGAAAATTAGTAAAGGAAAGACCCAGTCCCTGATTGGTTTCTTGCCTTGCCCAGATAGTGATTGACTGGACTGATGATGACACCTCGGTTGGAGTGAACATATTCTTATTGAGAAAACCGAAAATTTGTTCTAACTAGATGGGCTATAAGCAAGTGAATTAAGCCAAAGCATAGTAATCTGCCACACCTTTGTACATGCATGTGCAACCTTGAGATCTGCCTATATTAACATGTTGGGCTTGCAAGATCCAGACAGCAGGTGGAAATGGCAATTTCAGTATTTACTATTCCGGAATTTACTGGCTGGAAAGGCCCTCCTCTTCCTCGATCTTCTCCAAGCTGGGGCACCATTTGTCCTGAAGCTTGGTGTCAAGACTCAAAGCATAGACATCCTTGGGCCACCACTCTCCCCAGCTAGTGAGGAAGATCTGCTCGGGATCGGCAGGGATATCGCTGACAGTGAAGGCACGAAGAAGGTTTTGAGCACCTATAAACAGGTTAAAATTCACATCTAAAACAGACCAGATTTAGGACACTTGTTCTTACCTTCGGGAACAGTCTTAGCATCTGGCATGTTCATGCTGAGACCCATGTTTGTAGCAAGGTTGGTGCTGGGAATAAGACCGGGAGAAACAGCTACGACGGTGCACTCGGGAAGGTTGCGGCGCCAGTAATGAGCACCCAGCAATTGCACGAATTTCGAGGCACTGTACACTGTACCAACACCTGCACCCGATTTGGCCTTCAGGTCTCCATCGAGGGTAGCTATAAGCCTGTCAATACATATACTACAGTTTGAATGTTCAGGTACATCGTGAGTACTAACAAGGGTTCTGATCTCTGACATTGCGGATTGCGCCAGAAGACACGAAGACGAGACGAGTTTTTGAAGCAATGAGTGTTTCACGGAGTAGATGGACGAGGTAGTGCTGAGCTATTGATGTCGTCAATATAATGAGCCGCAATTTCTCGAAGAATCGGATCTGGCGGGGCATGTCCCCACTTACCCAAATGGTTCACCACATAACCCTCACACCACTGAGAACCGTGGGGGCCGGGCCCCTCTGCGCTGTCCAGCATTCCAGCAGCGAGGTAAAGGATGTCAACGCGGTTGTGACCCAACTTGGTGAGTGCTTGCTGTGTGAAAAGCTGCACACTGCGCAAGCTCAAGAGATCAAGGGGAATGATAGTGACGGAATGCTTGGTGGTGTCGTATCCAAGATCATTGTAGGCAGCCTGCACCTTTTCGGTGTTTCGAGCACCCAGGATGAAGTTGTATGGCTCTGATTTCTCCAGCAATTGCTTAATTGATTCAAAGCCCTGGTATCTCTGTTAGGTATTGTTTACAGCGTTGACGCAGGGGCTCTTACCAGGCCCGACGAGGCGCCGGTTGCGATGACAGTCTTTGCGCTTGTAGACATTTCTGTGAATTTGGAGTGAAATTGAGTTTCAAATGGTAGATTCAGTAGAGATGAGTAGATGAGTTGTCAACAATGCCCCTCCAACTTGCATAAAGCGGTCAGTTTACGTGCATGACGTCATTATATTGATTGGCAACATTTGGTCTATATTAATTAGGAGATTGTATTTTGAGGGATGAGGTGTAATAATATATGTACAACGAAATGTTCTAAGTCCAGTCCTGTGGACTATTGAGCGTCCCCTAAGCTCTGCAAATTCACCAATTCGAAGTATTTGCCGCCCAGCTTCATCAACTCTCCATGCGTTCCGGCCTCGACAACTCGGCCCTGATCAAAGACATAGATGACGTCAGCACGTTGAATAGTCGACAACCGGTGAGCAACGGCAATCGTGGTCCGGCCCTTAGCAGCCTTATCCAGTGCAGCCTGCACGACCCGCTCAGACTCAGAGTCTAGCGCACTGGTGGCCTCGTCTAGAAGCAGAATTCTTGGGTTCCGAAGGAGGGCACGAGCAATGGCGATACGCTGCTTCTGGCCTCCTGACAACATGGCTCCCTTGTTACCAACGATGGTGGAGAAGCCTTCCGGCAGGGACATGATGAAATCGTAGATGTTCGCTTCGCGGCATGCAAGTTCAATACTCTCATCGGGGACGTCTTTGCGAGTAGTACCCAGGAGAATATTCTCACGAATGGTGCCTTGATACAAGGTCGGCTCCTGGGATACAAGAGCGACGAATGATCGGTATTCGGGTAAATTTAAGGAGGAGATCTCCTTGCCATCGGCGAAGACACCTCCGACAAGTGGATCGTAGAAACGTTCAAGGAGAGCGATGGTGGTGGACTTTCCACATCCTGAAGCGCCAACCAGTGCGACGTACTGGCCAGGCTCAACGGTAAGGTTAAGACCCCGGAGAACAGGCTGCTCAGGCCGGGTCGGGTAACGAAAATGAACATCACGGAATTCAATGCGGCCTTCAATCTCCTCCACCTTCTCTCCTTCGGTCGACCAGGTATCGATTGAGGGCTTGTAGTCAATAAGCGTCTTCAGCTCACGAGCGGACTCTTGCGCTTTGCCCATGTCTGGTGCGAAGGCGAACATGCTTCCGGCAGATTGAGCTCCGAAGATGATAGCAGGGAAACAAATAAAGAATTGTTGGATAGTATATTCACCATTGGTGATGAGGGTACCACCATACCAGAAACCCAATGCCATGCAGAGGAAAGTGAGAGATTCGGACGCGGCAAACAAGGTTGAAGACTTCAAAACTGAGCGTAGACTCTTTTTGCCCTGCTCGGCCAATGCAGCCTGGTAGTGCACGAGAACGTCTTCTTCCCTGGTCAACGAGGCGACGGTGCGAATGGCGGAAGTGGCCTCGCATGCATAGCTAGCTGAAGACTCGTAGGCCTTCTTAGCGCGGGCCTGGAATCGAGCCAGAATCCAGAATCGGAAGAATCCACATCCTATCAAGACTGGGATAGTGGAGGTAGTCACAAGTCCTAGCTTCCAGCCAATAGCGCATGAAAGAGAGATGGCGGCAACAAGTGTGGTCAGACAAGTAAGAATGGATCCCAGAGTAGCGCCACTGAGGCCAGCAACGCTCGTTGTGCCTGTGCTGAGGAAAGAAGTCAGAGCACCCGCGGTGTTTTCATCCTTGTCGAAGAAGCAAATGTCCTGACGAAGCATGCTTCTGAACGCGGCATCTCTGACTCGGTGCACGAGTTTCTCGGAGCACCATGCAAAGATCACACCTTGACAGACGAAAGCGATAAATTGCACAAATGCCAGCATGAAGTACATCCAGCTCCAGAAGTCACTGTTTGATCGAACCTCGGGGCCAGTTGCTGACACGCCGTAAGCTGCCAGAGAAATAATCTCCTTCGCGAATAAGACAGCCGAAGTTGGGTTACCACAACCACAGATACCGGCCCAGAAAAGTCCAACCAGCAGAATTTTCCATTCGCTGCTATTGTAAGAGGCGATGAACTTGATAAGAGTCCACATAGAGTATCTCGGCCCAACTTCCGGCTGGCGATTCCGCAGAACCTGACTAGACTGGGATTTTTGCGTATTGGTACGGTCGAGTGTAAGCTTGCGAGAGACGACTTTGTTCACAAGGTCTTTCTCGTCAGTGAGGTCATCCGTCAATGCGTCGTCATTGAGTGATCCCTCTTCATGGGGTGTCGAGTCGTTCGTCCCTCCGATTCTCTGTGCCTCGACAAGATTACAGTAAGTACCCTTCTGTTCAATGAGCTCGTGGTGGGTGCCCTGCTCGACAATACGGCCCTCAGACATGACAACAATGTTGTCTGCATCTCTGATGGTAGACAATCTGTGGGCAATAATGATTGTGGTTCTGCCCTCCGCGGCAACTTCCAGCGCAGCTTGGACAACGCCTTCAGATTTGGTGTCGAGTGCTGAGGTGGCTTCATCAAGCAAAAGGATCTTGGGGTCGCTGACCATTGCACGTGCAATGGCAATACGCTGCTTCTGTCCTCCAGAAAGCAGAAATCCCTTCTCACCGACGTTGGTCTCATATCCTTCCGGCAGCGCACTAACAAAGTCATGGGCGTTTGCCATCTTTGCGGCCTCGAAAATTCGTTCCTTGCGACGTTCCTCACTCTCATTCTCGAATTTTGTGCCGATGAGACCATGGGCGATGTTTTCGAAGATGGTGGTTCCGAACAAAGTTGGCTCCTGGCTCACCAGGGAAATCTGTTGCCGCAACCAGTGGAGATTCAGAGTCGAGATGTCATGGCCGTCAAGAAAGAGAGTACCGGCAACTGGGTCGTAGAAACGTTCGATGAGACCAACAATCGTTGACTTTCCTGATCCAGAGGAACCGACCAGAGCGGTCTTTTTACCTGCCGGGATGGACAGGCTGACATCTTGCATGACACACACCTCAGGGCGCGAAGGGTAAATGTGCTTAACATTGCGGAGCTCAATGCTTCCTTCAACATGCTCCAACCGGTCACCAGCCTCTGATTTGGGATCAAGTGGCGAAACACGGTCAATGGTGTCGAAGACCTTCACGGCAGCAGCAAGTCCAGTGGTGAAAGCTTGGACATTAGGAGCAACGTTGGACAGACTGAAAGATGCAATCAACATAGCGAGAATGATAGTGAGAATTGGCCCAATGCCGACTTCGCCATCGACGAGGAAGCGAGAGCCTTGCCAGAAAGCCAAGCCGTAGCTCAGATATACGACCCACATAGCAAATCCCATCATACAACTCAGAACGGATTTCTGTCTGAAGCCCCATTTTTGAGCTTCGGCCAAGTGCGCATCGTACTGCAAAGCCAATTTCTCTTGTGTGCCAAAGGCCACAGCATTTCGAATAGATGAAAGCACTTCCTCAGCCACGGTTCCTCCGAGGGCATAGGCAGCCAGTGATTGCTTGTTGTACTTCACCATGAATTTACCACAGCCACCCAGCACGACCACAATCGCAACGATGATCGAGCAGAGAATCAGGGCGAGTTTCCAGTATTTGACGAAGGCAATGATGAAAGCTGTGATGAATGTTGCAATCGCAGCGAGACTCTGGCTGACCTTTTCAGAGATACCATCTTGGATAAGGTTCGTATCGGCTGTGATACGAGTGGTGATCTCGCCCGCACCGAGCTTGTCGTAGAATCCAATGTTCTGGCGCAAACAGGCTGCGAGATATTCCTCTCTGATCCGGGCACTGATCTTCTCTCCGGTGTAGATGAATCCAACAGTCGATATGTAAGTCGTGAAGAACTTAGCAATAGCCAAATAGACGAAGTAAAGCACATTGTGAGAAAGTTTGTCGCGGAAATCTTCCAAAGCACTACCTCCAGCGGAGAACGAAGAGATTTGACCAGCAAGATTACCGAAAATAACAGTCATCAAAGGTTGGGCCGCACCAGCGGCGATGGCACAAAGAGCGGAGATGGCAATAATCACCAAGTCGGTGGTAGTCGCATAGCGATACAAGGTCTTAATACCAACTTGAACGAGCGGTACCTCGACTTGTCGTCTCAGAATCTCTGCCTCTGCCGGAGGGATGTTCTTGAATGGATCATCTTCACCCAGTGAACTTTCGGCAGTCACATGCTTCGAGTCGAGTTTCATCAGGTTTTGCTCTTTAGAAGCGTCACCGACATCGGTGTTCCCGTGTGAAATATTGGTCTGCTTCTCGTCCACATACTCGGACTCGTCAGCAGACCTGTCAGTAGGTACAGGATTCGACATGTCCAGGGGTTCGTGCTTTTGAGCACCTCCGAACTTGTTCTATAGAAAGGTCAACGAGCGCAACATGACGCAATCCGGGAATTCACGCACGATCCGTTGTGGAATTAAATCAGGCACATCCCAAGGGAAGCAGGCGCATGTAGTGGTTGTTATTAGAAAGTAGCTAAAGAGTGAAAAGGAGTTGGAGGTCAGATAGGAAGGTGAAAGGTTGAATCTGGTCGTTTCGGGAGTAGAGGGTTCCGATCCATCTCCACAATTAGCACATTAAAAATTTATGCGTATGGACATACGCAATACGAACACGAGCACCAAAAAGTGGGCGAGATGGGGGGTCCCTGACTCAGTCATTATCCTCCATTTGATTGGCCGGGTACTGGATGCAACCATTTCTTGATTGTCCGAAAGACCACGTTACTGGTGTCTATTCCGACCATGAAATAGCGTCTTTATTCCCGATCATTCCCTCAAACCCCAGTCTATTGGCTTAGACGTGAGTGCCTATCGAGTTGCTAAATCTGGGAATGCCTAGCCGAGCAATTAATTGTTCCAGAAGACCCACTTTTCATCCATGCCCCGTGCTGTATGCGATGTGCTCGGGTTCTTTTCTGATTGGCCCATCGTGCCACGCTACGTGGGCCCGGACCGTTTTGGTCCAACCGAGACTCCTGTCTTGCAATCCAGGCTACATAATTCTGGCGTCTCTCGCAATGTTATGTAGACTTGCTCGGGTCGAGATATGGCCGATGTATGAAAAGAAGCTTATGCAAAATTATTTAGCGCAAAAGCCCCCCCTACAGGTAGACCAAACCGGACTTGATATGGACATCGTTTGTTCGTGCCTCAAAATAGGGGCTGCGAATATCCAAGTCTACCAACCTTGGGTATATATCCAGAAAATGAGAAATTCCCAAACCTCTCTCAAACATCACCCATGGATTCCTCAGGTATATCATCCGAGCTCTCATGATCCATACGCTTGAAGGCGTTGTGCACTTCATCATCCCATTTGGTGCAGGCAACAACGATCCACTCCAAAATACCAACACAGTAAAGGGCAACACACTGACCAACCCAAAGACCTTTGAGGCCCCAACCATGTTGGAATGCAAGCCAAATACCCAAAGGCAACGCAAAACAATAATAGCTAACGAGGTTCACTGCCGCGCCTAAGTGCTGTCTTCCCATACCTCGCAGAACTCCACCACAAGCACCATTTATACCGTCTGCAATCTGAAACAACGCAACATATGGTATGATCTCAGAGGTCAGATCTATCACCTGGGGATCATTGTTGAATATCTTGGCGAATTGATTGCGAGTGCCCATTAGGATAGCAAGCACCACCACGCCAAAGACACAGGCAAGTACAGTGGCCAAGTGAGCAGCGCGCATCGCTCCTTTGGCGTCTCGGGACCCCAGTAGATTTCCTACTCGAGATGAGATAGAAACGCCAATACCGAACGGAATAGTGTTCATGATTTGATCTGCGGTCATTATCACACTTTGAGAGGCGAGTGAAATAGTACCGAGGCGACCTGCAGCTAGTGCGACGATTTCGAACGCCCACCACTCAGTGCCAACATGTAGAATCCCGAGAATCGCCAGTCGTGTGAAAGTTCCCAGGTTTTGATAAGCATCCCGCGACCACCCACCCCAACATTCTGAACCAGCGATGTATTTTGCATAGAGAACCAAGAGTATGAAAGATAGCCAGTACGACATATTGGCTGCAAGGGGGGCACCGAGGATCCCGATATCGAGTGTGTAGCAGAACGTATAACACAGAACGGCGTTGAGAGGTGAAGTAATCATAAGAACATATGTTCCTGCTCTCATGATGCCTATATTCAGCGAGTCAGACTTCGGTAACAGCCTATCATATAAAGAAGTGTTTATGTCTTACCTTGCGCTTGCAAGTACTTCTTCATGATCTCAAAGTAAATATACCCAAGTCCCCCGGGAATGAGGCAGGTCAGGAATCTTGAACTCTGATATGACAGTTCAGGGTCTTGACCGAGAGCTCGAAAAATGGGATCGGAGCATGCCCAGATAATAGCGACGGGTATGTAGAGAGCACCAAGAACCAAGAATGCTCGTTGGAGCAATATTCCCAAGTCGTACTTGTTTTTGCTGCCGGTAAACGTTGATGAGGCCAAGGTGTCTAGAGCAGTTGTTCCTCCCAGTGCAATCATCCATCCTGTCACTAAAGCAAACATGAGAGAGAACGCACTGACAGCCAGATTCAGCGGAGATGCGCGGCCTGCAATGATAACGGTGACTGTTTGCAAGCTCATTTGAAGCATGTAGGCAAGAATGACAGGAACAGCGCCCTTGAGCAAGACCCATGATTCAATGATAAGAGAATTACTCTCTATATTGTTTGTAGAGTCGGGTGGGAGGAGGTCATGCTCAATTGGAGGACTATGTGGATGCAAGAGAGATGTGTACACATCCGGTACCTTCCTCGGGGTATTGTCAGTAGTTGGGCAATGGTCCTTGCCGTGAAGTTTGGTCATACTGTTGACAAGAATGAAAAAAAACAAACTAAAGATGAGCAGCACCGAGGGAAGCTGGTAACACGGGACTGCACCGATTAGGTAGGCAATAAATAAATTAAATATGCTTAGAAAGTAAGTTCTCGAGCTTCAAGAGAGTATTTTATACACAAAGCAGGTAGATCAGCACCAATTCAAAAGGCTCATTTGACAAGGTCGACCCAAGGTCGAATCTCCGAGGCTCACCATATCAGCCAGCTCATTCATCATTCTTTTGTCTCCGATTTCGGGGTCCAGGGTTTGCAGAGCAAGGTTGAGCTTGCTTTTGGTATCTTCGGTTTTTTTTTGTACAACCATGTCATTGGGTATAGATGCGATGATAAGGCCTGGAGATTACGCAGTCATTATGTGACACATCTACGTGGTTATCTTTGACTTAAGTGGACTTTTACCTCATCGTTGGGTCTAGAGCGGAGACACTGAGGCTCTCGAAATATTAACCCAATTGGGAAGGCGGGGTAGAATACGTAGTAGATGCGTTGTTAACAACAAAAAAAAAGTAAACTTTCCCACATCCTGGATAGATAAGAGCCTTGACGGGGTATTCCGAAGCTGCTCCCTAGTTTAAGATGACAATTCCCATTGAGATCTCCAGTCCACCAGATTGCGGCCCTCCATGACAAAGTTTTCATATCATACCCTCTCTGCGGGGCAAATCTCTTTGAGAAATACGGCCCAGACAGACATAACGCTTCATATTAGCTGCTTTACTCATTTCATAAATTTTACTTTCGTTGCCTTATCTATGGTATTTTTCATCGTGTGTCTTTTCTCATTGAATCTCTTTGTCCAAACCTGGCCTACCATACCTCAAAAGGGGCCATCCGAAAGCCAACAATCCAGATTTCGAGATAAATACCCCCAAGGATTTTCAGACCAATGCCCTGGTTCAGGTCACAAGTACATCTGCGCTACATGACCGCCCAATGTGAGACTATCAATGATTGTTACGTCACCGTTTGATAGGTACTAAGCTGTGGTTAATCAGAACAACATTCAACCCGGTTAGCTCTATACTTTTGACAAAATGGCTTCTAGAGTTAGTGATTAGTGTTGAAAGGGCCAGTGAATCTTTACTTAAGGGTCTTGTCAAAAGTTGTCGCCGGAGATCACACAAATCGCGAATATGTGACAGCTGTTGAGGCAATATGAATGTATGATTTTCCACTCCGTCGATAATCACAACCACCTAACAACTTTGCCATCAATTGTTTCGGGGTTTTCACTCATAACGAGCGTACCCTAGTTACTGAGTCTAGTCACATTAGTATCTTCATTCCAAATTTGTAGATGGTCAGGACTCGTATCCCTAACCTGTGTTGACACTGATAATTCCTGCCTAGCGCAGAATTGTGGTGCTGGCCCCACCCTCCACACAAGCAATTGAAAGGGATGTGCTCTTAGGTCAAAAGCAGTCTTGATTGACATAAATTTGAGACTCAGTCGTAGATTCTTAATTCCAGAGACAAGGAAGGGGAAAAATCAAATGCCAAAACAAAACAAACACGGGGTGATGATCTTGGCAGCGGAAGCGGCATCCCATAATCCCGTCATCCCAGGCCAGATCGCGGGATCCCAGATTCCCACCCGGAATCCCACAATCCTCCGGTATCCCAGGCCCCACTTGACATTTCTACAACCGTCTTGCATATCACACCGAATGTGGCTCGTGCTCGCACTCCATCTTCGATAGAAGAATTTTTCCTACGGCCATTCAGCTCGCATTCATCCCACACGCCATGTCGCTTTCGTCGCCCAACCCAGTCACGACTCCGCAGCAACCCTCGTTCCGATGCGACTTCCCCGGATGTAGCCTTAGCTACCGGCGCAAGGAACATCTCACACGTCATGCCAAAAGTCATTACAGAAATCAATCCTACAGATGCCCGTTCTGCGGCCGTGTCTGTGCGAGGAACGATACACTCCGTCAACATGTTCGTACGCATCATAAAAACAAGGAACTCCAATCGTCTCGAGTGGTTCAGGCCTGCAACTACTGTCGCTCACGAAGGTCAAGATGCAATGGCAAGAGCCCCTGCGATACCTGTGTTGAGCGAGGAATCTCGTGCTCTTACACCTCAAATCCTCGACGCCAGGAATTACAACAAACCGATAGCCATGATAGCTCTTCAACACCCATGGATACAGAGAGTCCCTCTCTTGTGTCATTCTCTTGTGTGCAGTCAAGCTCTCTTCAGAGCGCAGAAATGATGGAGAAGAGCTCATGTACAATCGCACCATACGTCAAGGCCTACTTTGAGAAATTCCACCCCAAATGGCCATTTTTACACCCAGCTACGTTCGACCCTGACCGCGAGCCAGCTTTCCTTTTGCAATCAGTGGTCATGCTAGGTCTGTGGGTGACCGGGGATGATAACTCGCGGAAGGCAGCGAAAGACCTACATCTAAAGCTCACCTCCACCTTTTATGAACAAAGAGTCAGTTATGTATCTTGTATCCCACACAATTGCACTCTTACTTGGCTAACGCTGCTTGAGCAGGAGAAATGGAATATGTCCAATTCCCAAGACGAGCGGTCACAGCAACAGACTGAAACGCCCTCGTCAAAATCCATATCTTGGCCAATGGCAACATATCAGGGAATATTGTTGCAGCTCATTTTTGCGCTCTTCCTTTCTCATGGCACTTTGGACCTGGGACTGACCCATTCTTTGCCAATAAATACATCTCGGCTTCTCATCGCCCTTGTGCACACATGTCTAAAGCAGAACATGTTTTACTACCCTTCAATGCTGGCTCAATTCAATCCAGAAACTGACCCTGAGGTGCTCATATGGCTGGGTATCGAAGAGATCAAACGATTCTGCTTGTCGTTGTACAGAGTTTGCCGGCAATCTCACATAGCTGGCCCCGATATCCAGCAAGATGCATCCGTTCTCAACACCCGTCGTGGACCACATCGACTTGGAGAGAGCCTGCTGTCCTTGACAGATTTGCAGTTTGCATTACCAAACAGTGATGAGCTCTGGCATGCCACCTCAGGCTTGGCTGCGCGAGTCACCGAGAATTCGGCCGCGTACCACAATGAGAACATTGAAGGAAACTGGATTTCCCAAACTGCACGTCTACTACAGCCCTGTGATGCGCAATTTTTATGGTTATGACGAATCCTGCAATCATTTGAGAGCAAACATTTATATTCGCAGTTTCTATGTCTCTTTCTTGTATATACAAACACCCATATGAAAAAATATTAGTTGTGCAAAGATACCCTTGAGCTCACTTGAGAAATGCTATTGAATCAAACAAACCTGAGGCAAAACACAGTGACCTGTCTAAAACTACTAAATCATTTAGAGCCCTTCAAGTGCTCCAGGCTCAGATCCCGCAGAGAAATATCTGAAAGGTTTACGGAGCCAACGATGTGTAGTAGAAATCAATGTCACCTCGAAATGATAAGTACATAGTCTAGACTTCCAAGCCACATTATATGTGTTACCTCACTTTCAGGATACGCAGTATATACATCGTCCTCCTAAGAGATCTTGCTATCAATTTGAAAAACTTCCGTTACTCGTAGGAATTTAGATCCATCTAACCTTGGAATTTCATACCGTCCAGATTGCGGGAACTTGTGTTCACGGCCAACGAATAGACCTTTGTTCGCGCGTTGAACAGCAAGCATTTAGCCTTACCACTGAGTATTAAGAAATCGAAGTTCTACATTTCAATCATGAGTAGAAATGTTAGCATTTTGGTTCGGAGATACTGGGATCGGGATCCCCTTGAGTCTCGAGTTGGATTCCTTGGCGCTCGCCCGGTCCGGCCCGTTGCTATCCCATCGGGATCCCATCGCGATCCCAGATTGTAAATCCCAGGGTCCACTTTTATCCCCATGATTTATTAGCAATATTAGGGATCATGAATTCTCTTCGGTGCACCTCAAACCTAGCTGCTGAACTATCCTATAAAGACCAAATCATGTCTCTAACTTCGCAATTACAATTCATCTCCTATTTTTTACAGAGCTACAAACCTCCGCATCTTGTATCGCCTTACTCGATTTACAATGACTGCATTATTGAGTGTGGACGGGGAGAAATCTGGCCTCGATCCTTCAAATGTTGAGTCCCAGACCCCTAGCTCAGCCTCCCAGTTCAGTGAGAAATGTGATAGCGCCTCCGATGAAAGTGAGCAGGGGGAGAGAACCATCCGTGGGTTCAAGGTACATTTTATCGCTCTGGCTTGTCCAGGATTCGCTAATAGCTCGGGATTAGTGGATATTGGTTGTGATTGCCATCTTGTCTAGTCATTTACTCTTTGCCCTCGACAACACTATTGTGGCTAATATCCAGGCCGTTGGTTCTTCCCATCCAATGTTGACAAGTGAGCATTAGCGCTAACTACATTCCATCTGCAAAGGCTATTCTCACGGAGTTCGAGGATGCTGAGCAAATTTCATGGCTCTCCGTTGGGTAAGTTTTTGGCTTCTTCATTGATGAAGTATCTTTCTAACATTACAATGCCTATGGCTAGCTTTACTCTCTGTTCATGTGCTTTGTGTCTTCCCTGGTCCAAGGCCTACGCAACCTATAACGTGAAATGGCTGTATATTAGCGTACGTTCACAACCTCGCCAAGGAACGCAAGGCAAAGGAACATTATCTGATCATCATCCAATAGTGCGTCGTTATTTTCATGGCAGGTTCTGCTCTGTGTGGGGCTGCTCCCGATATGAACGCCATGATCGTTGGTAGAGCTATAGCCGGTGCTGGAGTAAGTCCCTGTGATCTAGATCTCTGATCATCCCAAAAGCTAACAATTATGCAGGGGAGTGGGATGTATTTTGGGGTCTTAACGCAACTCTCCCTGAACACGACCGTGCCTGAGCGTCCGTTTTATATTGGACTGACGTAAGTCAAACTAGAATACTGAACTGGTTACTCTGCTAAGAGATATTGCATAGCGCTGTCTCATGGGGAATTGGAACGGTCGTTGGTCCAGCTATAGGAGGAGCATTCGCCGAAAGCTCCGCCACCTGGCGTTGGGTATGTTCCGACAGGCCTAGAGCATCTGAACAAATTCTAATTCACCAATCCAGGCTTTTTACATAAACCTCGTCATTGGCGCAGTTTTCTCTCCGGTATACGTCCTCCTTCTTCCTTCAATCAACCCCCTCCCAAATGCCTCCCAGAAGGAGAAGGCACGAAACATCGACTGGGTCGGCAGCATCCTTTTTATTGGTTCACTGGCCTCTTTGATCATGGGCATTGATTTTGGAGGCGTGGAGTGGACATGGGGTAACGGCTCGTCAATTGCACTCTTTGTCATATCTGGCGTACTCTTCATTTTGTTCGGAGTACAACAGACCTTCTACATTTTCTGCAATGAGCAGAACCGACTCTTCCCAATCCACTTCCTCAAGAGACGCTCTTTGGTACTGCTATTTATCCTCAACAGTGAGTTGTTCTCCGTTACAATGTTGCGTTTTGGTTTTCTTTTGCCATTGACGACCCAATTCTATGATTAGCATGTGCCAGTAGTGGACTGTTTATCTCAGTCTACTATATTCCACTATATTTTCAGTTCACCAAGGTAAGATTTGCCTTCTCACATCGATGCCAGAAGTTTGGGATCTCATGATACAACAGGGTGACACGGCACTTTACTCTTCACTGCGCATTTTGCCTTTCGTGATGGTTCTGATCTTTATCATCATTGCAAACGGCCACATGATGACCAGATTTGGTTACTATTTCCCATGGTACCTTTTCGGCTCTGCTTGTGAGCTTGTCGCCGCTGTTTTGATGTGTGAGTTCTTCAAGGTTTCGATAATATCGCGCACCAACTAATTAGGCTCGAATATTCAGATCTTGTCAAGGCGGACACTTCTGCCTCTGCGATCTACGGATACACATCTCTCATGGCGTTGGGCGTTGGTTCTTTCAACCAGGCAGGCTACAGTGTAGTCCAGGCAAAGGTACCGAAGGCTGAGATCCCATGGGCCCTCGGCTTCATGATGGTTTGTAAGTAATTTCGCAGCATTTTGTATCTGTAAATGAGCTAACCCGGAACAACAGCTCAACTAGGAGGCATTGTCTTAGGCTTGGGCGTTGCAGGTGCTATATTTGTCAACGTTGCAACAGAAAGCCTTTTGACTTTGCTCCCAAATGCCAACCCTACTGATGTTAAGAACGCTATCTCGGGAACCAGTAGCGGATTTTTTAGCACCCTGACCCAGTCTCAGCAGACCGCTGCTCTTGACATAATTGTTGGTGCCATTGATTACGTGTAAGTCCAACTTCACTGCAAACCACAGATCACCAAATCGTCGAACATCAACGATTCCGGACCGTGCTAACTTTTCTCCCAGCTATACGCTATTGATCGTTGCGGGTGCACTTGGTGTTCTCCTCTCGATTTTCTTGAAGGTAATTATTTTGCCTCTATCCCCTTCTTTTGGACATTGATTGACGACCCCAATTTTCAGCGTGAGAAACTTTTCATGGAGGCAGCGGCTGGTGGTGCTTGAAAATCATCACTGGAGATGGCATTTGGGTCTAGTGAGCAAAACACGGAAATTGAGGGTTGATGTTAAGACAGTCCTCTAAAGGTGTCCTGGTACGATGTGGATATAAGCATTCAATTTGAGATGTGCCGAATTGTGCACACGGTGATACTAAAACCACCCAGATCACTGGATCTCCTGCAAGGGAACAGTTCCTTTTTTTCTTCTTCTTTTTAATAACCGGGTCTGTATGCGCTTATGCAAGCAGGTAAGCGAGGGGATGTATTAACAGGCGGCAGTAAGCAACTACCGAAGAGTGATTGGTTAAAATATTGGAATTACAGTACCTAATTGTATATATCGTATATCGAGGTCAGGGTTAAACATCGATAAATTTTTCACAACCGATTATATGTAATATTAAATCCGTTGATGCGAAGCCGCTTTTAATCTCGAAGTATTAGTATATATCTAGATAAACGCTATAGTTAAGAGCAGACTTGAGTAAATTTAATTGAAAATTTGTGCTGCAGCGGTGTAGTGGGGTGGTTACCTGTGGATAGATGGGAAATCAAGGTGAAAATTTGCGCTTTACCTGGGATTGCATTATAGCCGGGGTAACACCCCAAACGACCGAACATGCGAAGGTCTTTCGGGGGCGGCCCCATGAAACATGGAGATTCAATGTGCGATAAGAATCCACTGTAGAATAGCAAAGCGTGGTGATAGGTCCCTTGCATGGGATCAAGGTAAGGCGATAGGTTATGTTTCGCCCTATAGACAGACCCTACTTTACTGACAGGTACTAGTGCACGCCCCATCTGACATAAAATCAGGCTGCCTTTCATGTTTATGTGCTGATTCGTTGATTAGATTTGGACCCTAAATATGTGGGGTTCAAATGCGGACCCTAGCTAATCAAAACTTGAAAATCCTGGATACCATAAGACCCGGATTTCCCGAAAGTGCTCTAGCTAGCGAAGGCTTAGCTTAGCTCCATAAAAGCTTCCCTAATTCCAAATATCACTAATCTGCCGCGGAGCCCAAGTTTGCGACAATACTGTACTCCGCATAGCCTTCATATATCGAGCAAAAGAGCAAAAGCTGTTCTAAGGTAAATTGCCTTGAAATATGATCTTTCGTTACAGCGAGTCGGTTTGACAACTAGGATTGATTCACCTAGAAGGTGATCCATGAAGAAGTAAGCATTATCCGGCCAGAGTATCCTGATCCGACCCGACCCGCCGAGAATATCGCCGAGAGGTCAGGACTCACCTCAGTCTCCACTTGATGGCAAAGCAAGAGCTCGACACGATGTAACCCTTTCATGATTTTAGAATAATTTTTCAGCTTCATCATGCCACATGACTATCATCATCCGGCAGATTGCGGCAGAGAATATCTCCGGGTAGACAAACATGCGGTATAGTTTCTGTCTAGTGTACTTGGCCAGCCCACGGCCCATCTCAGAAAACTATAAAAGCACGCCTCATACCCTCATAATCCAGAGGACATAATCTACAACTTGTCAGTTCAAAGTCAATTATAAAGCCCATCAGGCTCAAAAGATCAAAGCGTCTCATATCCTTCCAAAAATGCTCGGGTAGACCCCCCTTCTCAGTTGTGCATTATAAATCCACACTGTACAAATGAACCCATGAAAGAAGAAATAAACTGACTGAGACTTCAACTAAAGTTCCAAAACCCTTCTTCTGGCCGCGGCCGCCATCTTCCAGGCCACCCAAGTTGCCGCCACCAACTGCCAGACCATCCTCACAGACACCTCGGTCTTCACCGGCAGTAGCGTCATTGAGCATAGATCGCTTGTCATCTACAAGAACGGCAATGCTGTTGGCTACTACAAGGGCAACCCATACGGTGGCGAGTGGATCGACATCGATTCTGAGCTGCCCTACGTCTTCGTCTGGGCGGCCAAGAGCACCGGCGCCGGGCCCGAGGCCTGCAGGGGCAAATACGCCGCCCAGACGTCCCTCACAGGCAAAGTGTCTGGTTCCGGATTGCAAAAGGGTAGTGTGTGTACTATCGACTTCAACTGTTAAACATTTCTACCTGGGGGTGCAATGAGGAGAGTCAAAGATACAGAGTAAAGAGAGGCCTAGAGAGAGCTACCCGAAGCTTTTGTGGTATGGAAACAATGTTGGGCAGAATAGACTAGTAAAATGAAAGACGATTTCAAACAAGCTGCCCTGCACCTCAGTACATGAAGCATATCCTACAGATAGATACCCAAGGTTGCTGAATCCGTTTTAGACTCTATTTACTCTATCGATTTCTCATAATCTCCACAAGCTCTGCCAAAGAATCAACTACAAAGTCCGGTGCCAATTTTTGACAAGTTTCCCGATCTCCATACCCATACCGGCACCAGCAAACCCTGCTTCCAATATTTCCTGCAAACTGAAGATCCGCCACGGTATCACCCACTACTAGTACTTCCATTGGATCAACCTCGATACCATATTTCTGTCGTAGGATGGGGATCACAACGTCCACGAAGCTGGCAGGATCCGGCTTGCGCTTTGCCCCAGGGGTCTTATCGCCGACAATTAAATCTTCCGGTACATAGCCACCAAGGCCATTCAACTCCAAAGCGGTTTTAACAGCCGCTACACCCTTGTTACTCACAATGGCGATGGCGACCTTGCGGGCATTGAGTTCAGCCAAGATGTCCTTGACACCAGGAAAGGCCTTGATGAGTAGTTGACCGTGAGTTTCATAGAGAGCGCGGTATTTTTCAATCCATTCATTTTCAATGGCCGGAGTGAATTCGATTGGGGAGGGATGCAAGGCCCGAAAGGTGTCTGCTAGGCCGGCACCGCTTGCGATGAGGCGGTGGATTTCAGATTGAGGAGGGGTTTGAGTCGGAAGAAGGGCATTAAAGGTTAATTTGATGGTTTCGGAGATAGACTCGTGTGTATCAAAGAGAGTTCCGTCGAAGTCAAATATAGCAAGGGATATCATTTTCGGAGCAGCGTTCATGCAATCCATTGGCAGGAAAGAAAATATCAATCTCTATTTCATGCACGACACGACATGACAAGGCTCTGGATGCCTGAGGCGTCTCAACCGTTTCAACCATTTTAGGCCTAGTGCCTTATTGTCCTACGCAGCGAATGGTTGAAGGCTTTCCAAAGTAAGAATGTCTCATTCATTGACTCCAATCTATGCACCTAAGTCATATTCGGGGTTGACCCAGGAGGGCTGGGGTGCCTTTTCCCGCATCCAGGCACCATATCTGTGGAGTGTGCCTATCATCAGCCCTCCCCCCACAACGACGATCAATGCTTGCGTAGTAAACGTCCAGGTCCAGCCCATGGAGGTCTGCCACGAAGCAATGAAGAACTTTGAAAAGAAAATCAGCAACTTCATTCACATCAGCTAAGATCAAATCCACAACCGCCCACTTACTGGGTTGATGAAGGCACTCAAGTTGAGGAAGACTGCATAAAAAGTGACGACACTCGTTGATTGCAAAGGATAGGCATCGACGATGTAACTGCTAGCAACTGTGTTCCCTATCTGAATGCCTGCAGCGACTGGAAAAATATTAGCTTTGGCTCATAGCTTCTCGGGCTCTTTTGGGAATTGAATTCGATACATACATAAGAAAAATGCGACCTGGCCAACAACCCAGTGGTAATCTCTATCAAGACTGACGCCCCAGACAATCAGTCCAACTTGAAAAGTTAATATCTTAGTAATCCATGAGTCTGATATGGTACATACCAGCCGTAATAATAATAGCAGGATATGCTAGCCACAACCTCATTTCGGCGACTCGGTGATTTCCATTGTGTTTCGAGAGACTTTTGATAATGTAGTCACTCAGACGTCCAGAGCAACATATCTCCGAAATAGTTGTTCCCAAAAACAACCCAATGAACAATAAGCCTTGTATCAGGGGACTATATGTTGCATATGCCGAAGGTACCATGGTGATAACGGAAAGGACCCACCAGTACCAAAGGAATGAGTATCCAATGACTGCAATCACCACTGCAGGCAGCCGAAAAGTGAGAGCAAATCTAACAATTGAGTCCCACGGTTTAGGGTGACGCATGCCTGGTACAGGCCGTAAGTTGACGAAAGGCAGCTTCCGTGTTCGGGCTGGGTCTGAGAATGATGCTTCAGCTGGAGCCGTTGCCTGCGGAGCTGGGGTTTCTTTGTCGGCTTCATTCTTCTCGCTGACTGACCCGCTTTGTCTATTGAGCTTCACAATGCTTTCATTGAGCAACATCTGCTGTCGAGGGTAGAGTGTTTCAGGCATGAATAATAATTCAAGAAAAAACAATACTGCGAACAAGATGGCATTGAACCAATTGATCCATTGAGCACTAACAACGTTCAGAAAGCCGCCAACTTGAATCTAGTTAGTCAAAGTCCTAGTCATGATGACAAAATGATACTTACAAGTTGGTCCTAGGAGTAGTCCAGAGTCAATCGCTAAAACCCACAGACCAAGCTTTTGTCCACGCTCATAATCGAAAAACAAATCATTCACTAGATCCAAGAACATCAGTGATAAAGAAAGCACGTCGTCATTAAATCCGCTTACCGACAGCCATTCCCACCGTCGATGCAGGACTCACGCCAAATCCTTGAAAGAAGCGTGCTGCCATGTAGCCCGAGTATGAATCTGCCACTGCGGCGCCGATTGTCGATACCAAGGATATGGTCGTCCCAAGTAGGAAGATAACTCTCCGCCCATATATATCGCTTAATGAAGACCATATAAGTGGTCCGACTGACAGGCCCAGGGCCGGAACGGCCACAGTCCAGTTAACTTGAGCGTAATTGATCTGATATTGAGTTTGGATTTCCATGAAAGAAGGAACGGTAGTTGTGGTTAGATAGGTAAACAAAAAGTATCTATGGGGTCATAATTAGAGTCTGTCATAGAATGATGGGCGATTAAAATACTTACTTAAACATGACAATTGCGAGAATAACATGTTTTTGAAACTTCGACCAGTTCAAGGGATCCAAGGCATCAGATGTAGGCTGCGGATGAAGCTGGTTCCCATTTCTGTTGATAGCCGGCACGTCAATGGCAATCTGAACTCCATTGTCGAGATTGACTGCTTCCTGGTCACCGGCATCATCGACATTATGTTCTAGATCGTATTTTTCAGCGTATTTCGGATCGTTCATATTGGCAGTCAAGAACAACGCAAGGCGAATATGATGGCGCGTAGACCTCGGAGGGTATAACTTTGATGGGATGAAAGAATTTATTGTATATCAACTTGTATCAAGTTACATTGCTACTTAGAAAATTCCCCGTTAAATCTTGAGATTCTCATAATAACTCTTATCGGTGAATTCCAGCCCATAGAAATCTTAGCGTTTATCGTAAACAGAGAACCCCGGGAAAATGGAATGATTACGCCAGATCGAGACCAAGATGACTGTTGAATTCATTCCACTACTATGACAGAATAAAGCTTTGTCTCCGAGCATGGTACCATGGAGCTCCACCGCTTTTGCATACCCAATACCTTATCTATGACCAAAACAGTGGCGTTATACCGAGTTCAAAACAAACACTAACTCGACAGAGATAACAAAACTAGAGTATAAAATCACATAAGAAATCAATAAGAATATACTCCGCGGGAAGTTTTGCTCCACATTCCATGTCCGTTGTCGGAGGGTGCTGTGTCCGTTGTTTCTGGCTGATAGATGATCTTCCCCTCATTGGCCTTCAACCAGTGATCGCCAAGCGATAAGCCATCTCATCAATAACCCAAATCCACCTTATCTCCTTCCCCGTGTTATAAGATTCAGCCCACTTGCCCCTCTCCCGTTTCCTTCCCTTTTGGGATTGTTTCATACTGTCTTGCATAAGATGACGTGCGGTTAAACCGAAGTCTCCGTGACACGATGATGCATATCTATATTGGGAAGGCCAGCAGAGTTCAAGGTACAGCTCGGGGAGCCACTCGCTCCAAGGACATGCCGGCCGACCATTGGTCATATTGTGACAGCGTCTTCCACGTATTTCGCCGCTAACCGAATTGGGGCAAAAATGGGAGAGATAGGGTGCTGAGATACAACTGATGTAATGGTCACAATAGTGGCTTCGTATAGGGAGTCAAAACTTGGTATACAGGGAGTGAATGAAAAATGGGCAGCTTTGGGGGTCCACTAGCATTCCAAGGGCTGTGTACGAGGTCTCAAGATGGAAGTATCAATAGGCAGTATGGACCAGTAGTCCTCGATAGATCCCAGTATATAAATTTCCCAATAACCTCTATCAAATCTCTTTTTTACCACAATACCCAGGACTCTTGAGAACTGTGGCCTCAAGAGTACTTTGAATCTATCATATAATTCCTTTTCTACCTCTTTCACCATGTTCAGATCAATTGTGGGAGTTTTCACATTGGCCAGTCTAACGGTCGCTCATGGGGACTATGATCAAATCCCCATGGCAGGCCCACATAAAGACTTTTGGTACAACACTCTACCTGGGGATGGGGGCACTCAGGTATGTAGATGAGCCCAAGTCAATCTTCTTCGTTAAGGCTTTAAAACCAATGGACATGGTACTCTTTTGCTAGGCTGATTCAGTTTTCTCTGGAATATCCACCTTCGGTCGCTTGCCTTATTCTCCTTGCCTGTCCACCGATGAAGTGAAATACGATATTGCTTTCCTTGGTGCTCCTTTCGATACCGGAACCTCATACCGACCTGGTGCACGATTCGGACCCAGCGGCATTAGACAAGGGTCTCGTCGTCTCAATCTTTAGTAGGTCAACCCATAAGACAGAATGAGCTCGCAAAGGTCGACATAGAGGAAACAATGCTGATAATCATTTAGTGGGGGTTACAATGTGCCACTTCAGGCTAACCCCTTCTCTGGTGACATGAAGATCCTCGACTGTGGAGATATCCCCGTCACCTCGTGCGTGATTAACCCCAAAACTGTAGAGATATCGATATATACAAGTTCAATCTAACTATTGATATTAGGTACGACAATGAATGGGCTATTCAGCAAATCGAAGAAGGACACAACAGCGTACTGATGCGCAGGCCTTACACGGATGCAGATAAGAAAGGCCTTTCCAGTGCTGGCAAGACTCTCCCTCGCGTTATCACCCTGGGGGGAGATCACACTATAACTCTACCCCTGCTGCGGAGCATCAAAAGAGCCTATGGACCTGTTACCGTGATACACTTTGACAGCCATCTGTAAATTCCCATATTCCCTTTGCATCTCAAGAAATTATTCTGACGACCATACTTGGCAGTGACTCGTGGAAGCCAAAGGTGTTTGGCGGATCTCCAAGTGAGGTTGCCGCCATCAACCATGGAACCTACTTTTACCATGCTGCCATGGAAGGCTTGCTGAAGAACGATACCAATATCCACGCCGGTATCCGCACGACTGTCTCTGGGCCCTCTGATTATGAGAATGACGGTTACTGTGGCTTTGAAATTGTCGAAGCCCGAGAAATTGATACAATTGGTATGTTTACCCGAAACAACCCCAAACCAAAGCGCTTGTATAATGTTTTCTCTCAGGTACCGATGGTATAATCAAAAAGATCCGGGATCGCGTTGGCACCGAGAACCCAGTGTATCTCTCTATTGATATTGATTCCATTGATCCTGCATGTATGTGCTCTGCTCCCAGGAGCGTTAGTTTGATTACTTTGCATGCAGCTACTGACGGTTTGAAACAGTCGCACCAGCAACTGGTACCCCGGAGACTGGCGGGTGGTCCACCCGTGAACTAAGAACCATCATTCGTGGCCTTGATGGAATTAACTTCATTGGAGCGGATATTGTTGAAGTCGCACCAGCATATGATACTAATGCAGAGTTGACTACCATGTGAGCAACTTTCCCCTCTTTCTCGGAAGGATTATTCTAATGGGAGCCTTGATCTAGGGCTGCTGCCGATGTTTTGTTTGAGGTCCTCACTATTATGACAAAGAAGGGACCCTTGTCGGTCGGTGGCACAACCCATGAACTGTGATTCAAGGGCAGGTCTCAAAGCCGTCGATACATCGGATGTAGAAAGTGACTTTAACATCGATCATTCTTTGAAAGGTGTAGTGTAGCGTGAGAGGGTTGGGGGTGCTAGTAGTTCAATGATGGTTTACTATTTTGCTATACATGAAATTGAGTTCGAAGAGTGAACGAGGCGATTCTTTAAGCTTTCTCTCCGCACCGCTGCTCAGATCTCCATCATTTCTTCTAACCAAATTCGTTCTCTTTCTGGTCATAGCAAATTATAACAGATGAAATAAACTATGACAGATTTGTTAAATAGGAAAGGAGATTGATCTAGCACACCCTAAGCCCTATTCTCGTAAACTCATGTTGATCAATAATCGTTATAAGACCTGATATTCCATACAAGTATAACATCTGTACCTTTCAAGGATTGAATCCCACCTTTAACTACATTCAAGCCTTTCCTGATGGCTCCAATGCATGAAAGTCTACCTGCGTATCAACTCAGAAATTTGCGTATACCTACACCGGCGTCCTTCCTCCAGTGACAAGATAGTTAAATAGACCTGCGAGAGCTGAGAGGGTATGTACAAAAAGCAGTTGCTTAACACAAACCTACAAGATAATCTTGGTTGCTGGTCGTGTTGATCAAACATCATTCGCTAAGCGCCTGGATATTTTTACCCTTTCGGGTATAGCGAAACCTAACATCCCATTCTGTACACGCAGTCCAGAATGTTCTTCTTATCTTCCTTTGTTGCGCTGAATATATTAGGTTTTTTGACTGCTACTCTTTTCTCCTACAAACTGTTTGTCCCGAAGTCTGTGGATTCAGAGCCTGCATTCATGGTAGTCTGAGGCTTGCAGCAAATATCACCATCTCAGCTTACCAATGAGTAAGCATGCAAAGTAGATCAATCTTGATAATATAATAGCCAGATAAGAGTGAGATAAGGGGTTCCAAATGTGATGCTAAAAGAGGCACACGTCGTCATAGCAAGCGTAGAGACGCAAATCATCGCCAAACACGGAAAAGTTAGTCAAGATGTCAACCAAAGAAGCCATTCGATGCGGATTCCCTCTTTCTGAATGGATATGAGCTTCCCCGCTTCTTGAGTCCTGGTCTGAGTGCAACTCAATATCTTCCGGTCCTGTATATAAGAAATATCAGGAGTATCTATAGGGTACGTTCCCTGCCTACAATTCACTCGTCTGGTGAAACACTACTGCCCGAAGCACCAAGCCCATCGGAAATAGCAAAAAAAGCTCAGCAGTGTAAATCAACTTCCAAGACAAGTCATTTAGTTCTTATTGCTTTCCTCGCATGGAGTTAGCAATATGGAGTTCCTGACCAGCCCAGAAAGCGCCTGGAAGCTCTGTCTTATCCTTGTAGTCGCCACCGCAGCCTACTCCATTGTCCATCGATCATCAAGCAAATCTGTATGGAGCAGAATATCTTTTCGCGGCCGCAGAGACTCGACAGCCAGAACGTCCCCGCGATCAATCTCACCCGAGAAGACAAATGCGAATAGCGCCATATCGCCCCCAAGCTACTACCATACCCTCCCACCACAGCGTAGAGAGTCACTGCTCCAGCTTAAAGGTGTGACTTTCCGCTGGCGTGAGATCGACGAAGCCGAAGTGCGCCAAAATGCCTTGCCCATGACCACCGATTATATGAAAAGCCCAGGTAACCTGTATACACCAACCGGATTCTCGGTAGACGAGGTAAAAGCCCTCGGCGACTTCCCAGATTATGCGACATTAAGCGGAGTTCCACTTCCGGTTTCTTACCCCGAGCATGATATCGAGAAAGCCAAGCCTCGGCCATATAGGCCGTTCCGATGGGCTTATCATCAAACCATGTGTACGTGCAGGATATGGATCCAAATTTCCCGAAACGGCGAGAAGTCCACTCATGTGTGAAATAGCCTTGACCAAGCTGGAGCCAGATTGGTGGATTGAGCTTGAAAGCACGTACAAGAGCCGCATTGCTCAACGCAAAGAACTATTCTCCAAACACGGCAAGGCGGTCCTCGACGCAAGACCTGGCTCTGAGCTGGCTTGCAAGGAACTCATGGAGGTGGTTCTGCAATTTATTTGCGCTAGGTATCCGCAATATTTCTCACTGATTGACAGACATATACTGCAGAATCGAATCCTTGGTACAGAGCAGGATGTTCGGAGTAAACCTCCTTTGGAAATTCTACTCGACAATGTGCCGGAAGACTTTGCCCTCACGCTGCGAGACGAGAAGACTGGTTATTATATCTTGCGTGCAGCGGTAATCTGTTCGGCACTGGGCTGGAACGTTGCTTCCAAGATTGACAAGCGGTTGGATGAAATCCACGAGCCCATTCCAGATTACAAAGAGAAAATGCAATTCTCCATGGATCGGTAAGACTCTTCCTTTGCACGACTGTGTACCTGCGAATTGACAAAAGTGAAATTATGAGATTTTTCTCCAAGATGCCAACTGAAAAGCCTATTCAACGAGGTTCATGGGGCCTTGAAGTGGGTGATGTGTTGTACATGCCGCCGGGTGACCCACATGGGGCTCTTCGGTTATCGCAGGATCCTGACCTGAATCTTGATGATTGCACCCTGCGCGTAGACTGGCAGACACTTCGTCGTCTCCCGTTGTCTGCATCTGTTGTTTTCAATTTCAAGGCGCTCTTTACACCGGTATCAGAGTTTCGTGACGAACCCGCTGTACCGGCCCTGGTGGCCAAGCTCTTGAAAGAGGGGAAGGAGGGCATGATGAAATACAAGGGAGTATGGCATGTTCACCATGTCGTTCTACCCAAAATGGAGGAGTGGTCAAAGGAGCAGGAGGAGGCAGGTCTTGTTCCAAAGGACTGGGAGGTTGCGACCCTGGAGGACAGCCCTTGGTTTAGAGGCTGGGAGGAAAAATGGCATCGCCGACAGGGCTTCTAGTTGAATGTCTGATTTGAATTATGGTCGTTATTTGCAATTCGGAATCGTATGTGAGGTTCTTTGTTGATCTATAATACATTCGAAGGGATAAACGTTTCGTCAAGCATCACAGCAGCATAAGTTTTATTGCTGAAATGAGTGATCGCGCCTCAGAATGAAGTGCATAATCTCTTATGCTTGATTGAAGTACACAATAGGCATCAATGAAGACTTGACCATATAGTCGAGTTTCAACACCATTTGCAGTAGAGTGTACAGCCACATACCTGACCACAAATCGTATGGTGTGGATTCGTGCCAGGGGGGCCGGAGGTCGAACGCAAAACAGAGTTGGGGAAGATGATAAAAGTCCCTTCACTGTTCTCCTATTCAGGCTGTGTTCTTTGATAGTTGGGGGTATAATTGGGTTGACGATCTTAGCACTGGTCACCGAGCAGCATGAATGCGACATGAACCAAAAGGGTTCCCAGATGAAAGCTTCAGTGGTGATTTTCATCCTTCGAGCTCGAAATTTCACCATCACTACGGTCATGATCATCTCCGCGATCTTCCTCTTCCCCGTCCTGGTCATCCTGGTCGAGCTCTTCTAGTTCATCCGCCAATGGACTGATCCGCTCATCCAGCATGTCCAGGTCCTCCAATTGTGAACGTGGTGGCAATTTCCACAAACTTGTACCACAGACGCGGTCTTTTGTGAGAAGATCATCGATGAATTGATCCACATATGTCAAAGTGAACGAGTCCCGTACACGTCGCTTCAGTTTTCGATAATCGAGGAGTAGCGGCTCCAAGGTCTTGTAGACGTCGACCGCATCAAACGTAAGTCGCACATAAAAGGCCGCCAGCACGCGCAGGTACTTAAAATCGCCACGAGAATTTAGCACCGCATTTTCCCCATCCTCATCATCGCTGCCCGGATCGCTGAAGTTGAGGTATTCGAGGATGACGTCTCGTTCTGGATTGAGTTGTAGGAGTTTAAAGGCAAGGCATAGAAATGGCGAAGGCTTCTCGGAGACACCATATGTACCGCCGACGAATGTTAACTCGGTAGCGCGATCGCAAAGAGTTGCCGCATTCAAACCGAAGCATTGCTCCTTCCAGTAGTATGAATCCGTGATGCGGTCGCGCACGGCTTTCTCGAAGAGGGTGACAGGATTGACGCCGCGCACTAGGGGACCGGTGTAGCCTCGGTTGTCCAGAAATTGACTGGCATCAGCACGATGAGCTTGCGCCATAGCGAAGTGGATGTCGATAATGTGGAGTAAAGAGCTTGGAAAGGATCTACGGTCAAGATGTGAAGAAGGTGAAAAGCGGCAGAAAGCGAAGAGCCGCCAAGACCTTATCGATAGTCGCACGGCCAACCTGGTAAACAACTGATGTCATGAAACACGGGGCTGACACCGTGGAGGGACCACAAAAAGATAAGGGTCTCAGGGACCAGACAGGGCTGCATGATGACTCACATTCTATTCAATTTTCCACAATTGCATTCTTCTCATGTCTAGCGTCTACAAGTGGAAGCCATGGTCCTTCTTACTTCATCGACGGTCTCCGCCATCGTGTCGTTCGGGGTAGTCTGTATCTTCTCGTTGATGTTATTTTTGGCCGGATACGTGGTACAACAACAATCAGTGAAGAACATTCAGCATGCTCTGCGTCCACCTGTGTCTCGTCATGGAGGAGGATTCGGTTCCCAAGGGTCTACATTCCAGAATCCCGCTCAAAAACGCGGCTTATCAGATTCAGATCTAAGTTCAGATCCACGCCCAAGCTCAGGGGGAAATTACGCCTATCTGCAATTGCTGTCAACCCCAGACCCGTCTGACATCTGCTCGTCTATCTCTTTCTTTAAGCAACTTGCAACGAATGGCAGTGTCATTCAGGATCGATTGTTCATGTATCCTGAAGAATGGGAACGGATGTCTGAGACACAACTTGGAAAGCCTGCTTCAACAGCCCTTTCTATCCTGCGTAATGCCAGTATCAAATATGGCATCTGGCTTCTCCCAATTGATATGACCGCGGCATCATCAAAAGGCTATTCAGCCACGGACACCAAGCTACTACGGCTAGGTCAAATCCAGTTTATGCAATATGACAGTGTTTTATATCTGCCCTCCCGTGGCATAATCTTGGACACAGAAAAGCTAGACGACATCATCTTGTCGCAGGCACTGCCCCTTGTCTATGACAAAGACCGTCCTGATTCTTACGATAATTTGGCATGGACCCCGATGACTCTTCGTCCCGACCGTGATGCCGACTTGCCACCCGTCTATCTGATAACGGTGAATAACATTGGAAGCGGAAATGTTCAAGCTCGGACGCATGTGCCCAGTTCCAACCTGCCTATGTTTCAAGCCCTTGTTCGGGGATCTGGGAAAATTATTTCCCAAGATGAAGATGACCATCGAGACGTAGCCGTTCAGCCGCCGGCTTATGTGTACTTTGAAACCGACCATCAAGAGAGTATAAAGTTCAAAAAAAGCTCATATTATCAGAATTGGCGATCACAGCGGGATGATGTCTGCGACGGATTGAACTTTGATGATGATTTTACTGTGACAAGCAATGATTGAATGTTTAATTGGGACTATACCACTTCACCGGGCTGGGCCCTGGATTTGGCGTTGGGTTGGATTTGAAATGCTGTCTTTTTGTGAAGATAATATTCTCTACTTTTATGAGGTCATATGATATAGCTAGGTAAACGAGCTTTCATTATTTCATACCTTTGACCCAAGAAGGTACCTCAAGGGCATTTCCAAGGTTCTTTTGCTACTTACGCGTTTGATCACGGTAGCTGGGCCAGATGGGGAGGGCATTAAAGATCTATATCCCGGAGTCATTAGGTACAAGTCATTGACGCTATCAATTCGGAACCAAAGCAAATCAGAGACCCTGTCATTGAGGAACTCCAATCTCGTAGCCCAGTAAAACTTCCGTGGTATTTCCTTCCCAGCCACGGTTACCACTGGTGGAGATCATGAATCGACAAGCATTATCGAGGTACAGTTGAGAAATGGTGCCGGTACGATGGCCCGGAATAATCAAGAAGGGAGTAGTTTGACGAGAAGACTGGTCGTGCTGCAAGTCGTATAGGCGGAGAATATCATGGGAAGCACTATAATATGTTAGAAGGGTCTGGTGCATTCAAATTAATCGAACTTACCACACAAGATGGCGACCATTTGGCATTGCCTTGAGTGCCGTGACCGGACCGCTTCCTTGAGGAAACTTAAACGTACGCTCGGCCTCACGAAGGCCCTTGTGCAAGCTATACTCTTCCACTGTACCGTTTCGTCGTCCTGCATAAATGTAATTTCCATCTGGAGACCAGCAAGCATTCATACACCATGGAGGAGCGTTACGAGAGTTGATTCGAGCAACTGGATCAGGTTGACGCCTATCCCACAATCGTATTGTTCCATCAATAGACGCTGCCAGGAACGTAGTATCTGTGCCAGATCCATTTTGCTCCGATGAGGTAGTCTGTGGAGGATCTTGTCCCGGGAATGATTCAAGCTCTTCAGCTCTGGGGATCCCATTTGTAACCGGGTGTGCCTCTGTACCTGACATATCCGTGTCGATATGTCCATTGGTCAGCTGCGGGCCATTCGCAGTATCATTTGGTTCAGCAGGAGCGGCATCCGGCTGGTGATTAGTTTCAGGCTGTGGCATATCGGTGTCAATCTCTCCAGGGGCATCTGCATCAGCAAGGCCATTGACCATCGCCTTGCCAAACTCGTCATCTTCGTCTACTCCAAACACGCCGCCCGATGGCTCCCCTCCGTCCCCTGCGCCACCATCCCCGTCGCCAAATAATGAGTCTGCTCCACCGAAGAGTGAATCTGCTGGTGATCCCGCCTGTGGGTTTTCGGCGGCGCCTGATTCTCCAACATCTTCGGCGGCGCCACTGGAATTGAATGTGCCCGTGTCCCTAGCTTGATAATTGGAAGCATAGGTGCCGTTGCTCAGGTAGGGCTCAGCCGTATCTTGCGGGACTGGTAGACTAGACTCCGGTCGGATCTGCACTGTGCATATTTGAGCTGCGCTCCCACCAAATGCACGACGAGCCTGTCCTGTATTCAAATCCCAGTCAAATACTCGCTTATCCCAACTCCCCGAAAGTAGTGACTTTTCATCTGATGTCAAGCTTAAGCATGAAACAGCGGAAGTATGTTGTCTTAGTTGCACAATCTCCCTGCCTTCATCGTGACGCAAGGTCTGTAGCCGAATACCACCGGACTCCAACCCAGATAGGAGCCACAAGCCTTCGCTCTGGCATGCCAGAGAGTACACCGAGGACAAGCTGTTCCCATCCATATTTTCCCAATATGTCATCAATACACCGGCTTTCACTACACTGTCCACGAACGGGTGTCTTTGCGCCACGGTCAACATAAGCTTGCTGTTGATCGAGTCCGCCCAGTTGAATTTTCGTGTATAACCATCTGACCCCCCAGTGAAAACCCAGCGCATATCAGCTGTCGCGGTGATCGCATTGATGGAGGTGCTATGAGGTGCGGCGGTGGTAGGGGCGATATCGTAGGTACTGGCCGTTAGGCATTCCGGGCGCACACTCGGGTGGTAGATGGAGAAGGACTCCGCCATGCTCGTATGCCCGTTTCCCGACATGGCCCTTGAGTCTTGATTTTGCTGCGAAGCTATACCACCCTCTGACGTCTGGCTTGCATTTGAAGGGCTATCGGGGTCTTGGTCTCCGTCCGCGTCACCATCGGGTTCATTGTCATTGTCATTCTCATTGTCATTGTCTCCATCCCCGTCGCCATCTGCGTCATCAACGTCGCGCATGCTGTCGTCGATCTCATTTTCATTATCGCTGCTTCCATCTTGGGAACCTAGAATATAGAAGGAAGAGATCGTCAGCTATGCGCCTTCCCTGTGGGGTATGAGGAGAATTGGATGAGCGGGAGCAACCTACCAGCCAAATCGCGGTCTTCGTCCTCATCAATGGACGGCATGGCTCCGGTAGTCCGTAGTGTACACAGTGTCAACCGTAGATATATTGTGAGCTCTTAATAGACCTAAGTGTGGTACTAGAGCGCGATTGAGGGGGTTGGTCCTGTGCGGAGTGTTGCGGCGCGCGCGCAAACTTCGGCGGCCTCGGCGCAGCTCAATTGTAGCGTTTCGGACTTGAGACAAACCCCCTAGTTTGAAAATATGAACGTCAACAGCCGCTAATTTGAGTGGAATGACTGGTTTTGGGCAGAGGAAGATGTGCAGGGCACTTGGAAGACATTTGAGATCCCGCTAGGGTCGCATCACTGCACGGACCACATAACTGTTCCGCTGTTTAGCAATGGCCTTAGAACAAGGCAAATCAGTCTTAGAAGCTTACAGAGATGCCAACGAAATCATACTTTACCTTTAGCTCACTTCAACATAGTAAGCTAAGCGTTTTGCGATAATCAAGAGTTTCGGCGTCTAATGTACTACTCTATCCATTGGTAGGACATATTCGGAGCAACTACAGTCTATAGTTCGATTGCATAAGTGACACTACGCAACGCGAACTTCTCAGATACTTCACTTAGCTAAACCTTGGAGTTCATTGTGACAAGGAAACTGCAAAATGGCCAAGGATAATTAAATTAGAGACCGCAGAACAATGATCCAATAATTTCGAAGCCAGATTGAGCTCATCTCATTGGCAAGCCGTAACATTTCTTTCCACTACCATCGCCCTACCATCCATTTCAATTCGGTTGTGGGCCTATAAATCCTCTCACAACCTTCAAGTATCTCATTATCGTTCTCTCTCTTTCATCTTTCACCACAACAGCGGCGAGAACTCTACGCCCTGCACAACTACTAAGTGTGGCAAGCGCCTAGGCACAGCCCGTGTCGCAGAAACAGCTATTCTGATAACGATATCGGGGAGCTGAGAAAGTTACCCATCATGCCTCTTCCTATCATTGTCCCGGGGGCCAGCCAGATTATTGAGGGGTACTTTTCCGAGTCTGAGAACCCAGCACCAAGCAGCGAGCCCTGGATGAGCAAGCCCGAGGTGCCGTCCAGAAGTGAGATCATGGGCTATTGTGATGCAAACACATACGAAGATGTGATTCTACACCCCAACAGACCCTCCAGTGTATGGTCTTCTGCAACAGAATATCTCGGAACACACTATGAGTTGCTTCGAGAGGACGCTGTGGCGCCACTTCGAGATGCAGTCGAATATCTGCGTGACTGCCCTGACATTAAGGACACCAATAAAATATCAGTTTATGACAAGGTGTGTCTGGCTACTGGGCCCTATTCTTGATGTGTCTGTGCTAACCTGTGGATAATAGGTCCACATTGTCCGTATGACTGCAGCTACCAGAGGGCTCGCATTTCGCATCCGATTCTCCACCAAACGGGCTGGCAAAAGGATCATATGGCACCATTCATCTCGTCTTATGACTGGATCCCTTGTTGCTTTATCTCCAGCCAAAGATTGTTTTGCAACCAAGTGCGTGGTAGCAACTGTGGCATCACGAACTCTGGAGAATGTGGAAAAGTATCCGCCTGAGGTCGATATCTACTTCGCCTGTCCTGAGGACATCAACATTGATTTTCTGCAAGAATGGATTATGGTAGAGGCTAAAGATGGTTATTTCGAAGCCTCCAGGTACACTTTGACTGCTCTGCAGAAGATGGTCAAAGAAAGGTTGGCATATTTCACCCTATTTCTTACTTGGGATATTATCACTAATTTCTGGCAGGTTTCCCTTGAGCCAGTACATCTGCAGCTTAAATTCAAATGTCGCCGTAGCGGCCAAGGTTGAGGAGAATCCGGTCCTGGATCTCCAGTCCGTGAGTGGTGTTCCCGTTGGAGAAAAGGCAGTGTACAACATTCTCAAAGATTTACCCGTTGCTCCTATGGGGACACTGAATACTCTACAGTGGAAGGCATTAAAGGAAATATTGACAAAGGGAATATCTCTTATTCAAGGGCCCCCGGGTACGGGCAAGACTCACGTCTCCGTCGCTGCATTGAAAATCATACTGTCCAATATGGGAAATGAAGAACCTCCAGTCATAATCGCCGCTCAAACAAACCATGCAGTGGACCAGATTCTCAAGCTGGTGTCTGCCTCTGAGCAAAACTATATTCGCTTGGGAGGAAGGACCACCGATTTGGAGATTCGCGAAAGGACATTGCATGCCATCAAAATTTCCCGTCCGATTCCACGAATGAATCAGATTTTCAAGAACGCAAAGAAGGAACTGGACAGGCTGACATCTGTCATCATGTCTCTCTCCAAGCCGTTAGAGCCAGGGACATCTGAGATTCATATCAATTCTTCTTCATTTCTCGAATACGGCTTGTTGACCTCCCAACAGGTTGACTCTCTACAATGCGAGTTATATCGTATGGTGGGGTGGAATGACAGCAAAGGAGATGACCCACTCGCATATTGGCTCCATGGGCAGATTTCACCGTTCTGGGTGAACTACGGTGAAGAGTACACTGAGTCCTTCGAGGACGATATTGACCGAATGGATGAGGCCAAACACGGATATGAAAGTGACGACCGGGAGATACTCAATGGCAGATTCGCGGTCTTTGATATAAATTCCATTGGGCGAAACAATTCTGCCGTCTCTGAGGAGGCCATTCGCGGCCACCTACAGAATCCCGACTTGTGCAAAATTCCAGCCAAGTTCCGGGGATCCATCTACAATCATCTCCGTGTAGAACTAATGGAAATTCTCAATGGGAGAATTCGAGAGCTCGCGAAGCAATACCAGGAAGCTTCTAAGAGGCTTCTAAGGGGAAAATGGGAGATGGACAGCGAAATTCTCCGCGGCGCCAAGCTGATTGCGATGACCACAACCGGTCTCAGCAAGTATCGGGCTTTAGTATCTAGCCTCAATCCCACCATTGTTCTGATTGAAGAAGCTGCCGAGATTCTGGAGGGTCCCATTACAGCAGCATGTCTTGAATCAGTCCAGCAGCTCATCCTCGTAGGAGATCATAAGCAGCTAAAGGGCCGCTGTAACTTACGTGACCTGACTGGTCCCCCCTTCCACTTGGATTTATCCATGTTTGAAAGACTGGTGAGCAACGACATGCCATATGTCATGTTGCAAGAGCAGAGACGCATGATTCCGGAGATCCGTGAACTTCTTCATCCAATTTACGGTGAGCTGAAAGACCATCCGTCTGTTCAAGAGTATCCTCTCATCCCTGGAATGGGAGATATGCGGTCGTTCTTTTTCACTCATAGCTGGCCTGAGAATGGTGATAGCCTTCTTTCCAAGCTCAATGAAATGGAGGCTGCCATGCTAGTCGAGTTCTGCGTCTATCTTGTCATGAACGGAACTCCAATCGACAAAATTACAATCTTGACATTTTACAACGGCCAGAGAAAGCTAATATACAAGCTCGCCAAGTGCCACAAGCATAGCTTGCTTCTCCAGGGGGCAAATATTGTGACGGTTGATTCGTATCAAGGCGAAGAGAACGACATCGTTTTGGTCTCGCTTGTTCGAAGCAACTCGTCCCAAACAATTGGATTTCTTGGGGTTGATAATCGAGTTTGCGTTGCATTGTCTCGTGCAAAGAGAGGGCTTTTCCTTTTTGGAAACGCAGAGCTTCTGTTCTCCAGCAGTCCACTGTGGATAAAGGTCCTCAAGATCATGACTACCAATGCCAACAACATGCGTGTTGGACGCGTGTTCAAATTGACCTGCAAGTCACACGGCCGTCCCATTAACATCAGCGGTAAGAGCTCATTATTCTTTACGAAAATATATCACTTATTATCTAACCATTAATCGACAATATTTAGCTCCAGGGGACTGGAAAGACAGAAATGGAGGTTGCCAACAGGACTGCGGAGCAACTCTACAGTGTGGGCATCTGTGCCCAATTTCATGTCACGGGTAGCTGACTTGACTGCGTTCTAATTGGAAGCTGATACTGATTTTTCTCAATTTAGTTTTGACCATCAAGTGGTGGTATGTACGACAAACTGCAACCACATATATCTGTGCTGTGGTGTCACCTGTCGCAGATTATGCAAAGAACCCCACGACCACCAATGCAACTGCACCCTCGAAATAACGAGAACCAGTCAAACTGACGACAAAGATACAGATGAGGTTCAAAGGGTGATCGAAGTTCTTGAGAAGGCTGCCATTGCTGGCGAGTTTTCTCGTGGCCCTTTCCAACATGGACGTGCGCCTAGACCAGACAACAAAGCTTTTCGTCACTCCCGAGGTTCATTTCTGAAAAATTCCAGGGAGATCCAAAGAGATCTTCTGAATTCGCTAGCTACGGTAGCAGATGCACCGCATGATGATGAGGCCCGGCATAATGCAGCTCGGCAAAAATGGCAAGCATTTGCCAATGGCGGCGCTAAAGAAATGGACGATCACCTGAACATTTTGTACAGAGCGCCGGATATAAACTCCGAACAGGTCAAAAATGCCATCGCCAATCTGGACAAGGCATTCATTCCCAGGGAGTTTTGGTCGATCAAGGAGGCACAGGAGCTTCAGAATCAAGAGTCAAAGGTGATCAAGGAACCTGAATGGCTGCAATTACAGGTTATTAAGGAGGAACAGCAGTCAGGGAATTTGGAAAAGCCCAATCTCCATGTGACTAAGGAAAATCTACTTGACTTGGACTAAGTCAAGGAGAGGGTGGTTTTCAAGGGGGGTTTGGGTCGAAAAGCTGACGTGATTTCTTTTAGCAGGAAAAAAGACAAATAATGCAGTATTTAGTACATCGCAGGGGATATGGTATCTAGGAAGATTAGGGTCATTGTAGGATCTTTTGCGTAGGAATGTGCTGGAGGGCGTCTTGTCTTCCAAGTTCAGGATGACTGGGCACACTCAGAGTCTCTGCATCTGTCTTCGATTGCACGTATAGTCGAGCTTATTACCACAGGGTGTTCAATCACTTCAATACCAGAGATTAACAATTTCGGAAACCAGATGTGAAGGTTGACGGGGCATGACCCCAAGTGAAAAGCCTCGAGGACGCAAGCTGTAGAAGGACAAATTGGAGCAGATGCAGAGTGAATTCACCACTAGGATCTATAATAAACCTTGGAAACTCATTGACTTTGAGGTATTCTTGAATCTAAATTAGCTCTATTAAAGCAAATTATGTGAGTATTCGTCCAAACGTAAAATATCCTGGTATCCGGCCCAGTTTCAATATATGTATAAAGGTATAATCAAATCATGGTCATGTATCTCTCCAAGCTCTGGCCAAGGGTATTTATAAAGGGCCACTGCGCATTTCGCTTGAATAGCCTGGCCCACAGTCTGAGGACGGCCATTCCCAGAGACGCCGGCTCTAAATTGGGTGGAGCATCAGATTCATCATCAAGGTCTATGGAAGAAAAGGCCTCTTCCACAATACATTGTGTCCATCGAAGAATTCGGCTTTCATTTTCTGTGGAAGTGTCAGTATTCGAAAATCCATAAACTGAAACGTATAAGAAAGCCTACCACTGAGTGCCTGGTCTGGGGCGGCTTCAGCAAGTGTGAAAAGCCATTTACTTAGCAGGACAGCGCATTCCAGACTAGCCAGAGAGTGGCGCACGCTCCAAAAGAATGCTTGGCTGCGGGCGATGTGGTCGATTCCAAGACGCACTGGAATACTGAGAGCGTGGGCGGCGTATATCAGTGCCGGAATAAGGCGGTAGCTTCTTTCTGGCTTCGGTGATCGATAAAGGGCAGAGGCTATGATTAAGGGGTCTCGTGTCTCAAGACGACGGTATGGACCGAGATTCAAGGACAACCGAACATAAGCAAGGCCTAGAAGTGCACTTGACGTGAACGGGATTGGACCATTGACATTCTGTGGATCCAGGCTTGACTCAGGGGCTTGTTGCCAAACGGATGTCCATGAGCGAAGAGCCCGCTCGATCTTATTCAGCTCTTCAGTTGGAAGAGAAGTGGAGTGGTTTCCATTGGGCAGTGACAGCTCGCTCACGATATGAATCCGCTGAAGCAGACCATGGAGAAGCATGTAGTTTCCTAAGGGCGAAGGGATAGGATCGAGTGGTACTGCCGATCGCGACTTTTGAAGCAAAAGTGTCAGGGCATCCTGGAAAAAAAAGTTGCTGGGGCCCTCGTTCGCGCTGAGCAGCCTCCCATTCAGTCGCATTTGGTGCTATCCACTCCTTCGTAGAGCAGGGAAGTCGCATATGAATTTCGCTACTCCGAAGCGACGGATAAGCATTATATGCGATGCTATGTATGTGTATGAAGCAAAAAGATATAAGTTTAGTGCGTCGAACTGACTCTTGATCGGCCCATTCGTACCAATCCGTCGCTGAAGCGTGTGGGTCAGACTGTGGTTCAGTTAGAGTAGCCTCACGAAGCATTTGAACGAGTTGAGATTGAAGCTGAAGTGCTTCCTGTACTAGCCCTGCTCGTTCCCAAGTGGCATAGCCCATGAGAACAAGAAGACAACGAATGACCTCCATTTGTCTCGAGGAACTGGATACCAACGCGCTCCTGGGCTGACCCTCTCTCGAGTCCGAGTATGGAGGGCCTCCTAATGGTACCGCATACCCCTGTGCTGCGATTCGAGACTCTCTCGACATGCGCTCATATAAAACTGCTTTGGATACGTGGAAAATTTTCTCGGCGGTTCGATGCTCAAATCGATATTGGGCCCCGATAGTCATCATTGCCAATATTAATTCTGGGGAACACTCGTTGAAGCGAAAGGTCGGAATGTGTATAAAAGGAATATGAGGCTGAAATCCTTCAAAGTACGATGTGAGATAACGGGTCAGAGTATGGCGAGATGGAAGGGTAAAGTCGGGTATGACATTGCGAAAGTCTTCGAGGGAAGCAGCAAGTCGAAATCGTTGCTCCTCGGATACATTGAATCCCGAGGACTTGGTGGCATGTGGCGGCTCTGTATTTTGTCAGTCTCGAATGGATACAGGAGAGGTATGGATTCGAAGCACACCTGTGTCCGAGATTGAGGTTAAGCTCTGATCACCCCTAGGAACTGATGGTAGCCATGACCGGAAAGGAGAATCGCCACGCGACTCTTCCCGGGGGTTCCCTCGAGGTCTTGGTTGCTCTTGGGGCGGTTGAGTAGGTCTTTGCATATCTTCAAGACCAACATCTTGTATTTGAGCAGCTTCGCCTTCAGCTGGAAGCCATTCCGCTGGAAGACCAATGGAATCTAAAAAATGAGTGAATTCTTGAAAATGGTTGAGATCTTCTGGCAAGTAAGGTAGTGCTGGCAGATTGTCAACAGTTGCATCCTCAAATGGGTCTGATGTATCACCAATCTTACCAGTGGATTGATAATCGCCAGGAAGAAGCAATTGTGCTGCTTGGAGCATAGCCGGGTCATGCATGCTCGGGTGGCTGTTTGGTGGTGGATGGGCATTAGGATGGGCAGGCATCATACCGCCCTGGTTTTGTGATAGATACGATACGTGATCATTTTGGGGTGCAGACCATTGATGCACTGGGGAAGGCCCAGGAATTGATCCTACTGGACGAGTGGGTGCATCAAATTGCTGCGGAGGGGCTGCAGGTGTCACATTGTGGGGTCCTTGGAGATCAGGCTTCACCACGGGCGCTGGTTGTGCATCGGGCGATGTGAGAATATCTTGGTGGGTGATTCGATTATGTCGCTTCAATAGATCACGCCTAGTAAAGGCAGACCCACAGAAGCAAACGAATGGTTTCTCTTTGGTGTCTACAGCTTGCGGTCAGTCTCGCCACGAGGTACTAGACTCCAACCGGGCCGCTTACGGGTTCGGACATGGCGCTCCAAATGCTCTGTTCGGCGAAAGCCTCGGCCGCAATGATTACAGATCCGTGCTTTTGCTCGGCCTTTAATCTGGGGTGATGGCGATGGGGATGGCATGTCGGAGTACTTGGAGACTGCGAAAGTGGACTCGGGTTCGACGGAGGCGAGTTTCGGGGGGGAAACGGTACTTTGCTTAAATTTCTCCAAGCGGTGACTCCAATTTGCCCCACCTCTTATCACCGCTTCGCTTCCCCACATATATCTTATCATCCATCGGCGTATACAAACACAGCTGATAGAAGCAGAATTCATATTCCTTGAACTCTTTATCAATGTTGGACAAAACTCTTTTTCCCTGGCGTGGCTGTCATTACCGGGGCGGGGGGAACTGGTATGCATATCTGTGCATTCGAGGAAGGTCGTACGTGAGATATATATCCGTGCTAACGACGACAAATTGATAGGAATCGGAGCTGCGGTAGCTCATGCCTTCGCAGCAGCAGGATGCGAGAGAATTGCAATCACAGACGTGAATGAAGATACCCTAGGGAATACTAGGGAGGCCATTGCGAAAGCGTACCCCAAAGTCCAGTTGATCGCTCAGCCTGGCGATGTGGCAGATGATCAGTTTGCCGAGTCGTTTATACGGAAGATTACCGAATCATTCGGTCGCGTTGATTATGCTGTGAATTGTGCAGGCGTCCTTGGTACGCCTATGAGATCAAGTGAAACTAGTCTTGCAGAGTTTGACCGAGTGAACAACATCAACTATCGAGGTTGTTGGCTATCTTCCCGTGCCCAGCTCAAGCAGATGCTTGAACAAGATCCGCTTCCTAGCCATGACCCTACTCGTCCTGCACAATGTGGCGCCGTAGTGAACATTGCGAGCCAGTTAGGGATTGTCAGTCGTTCAAATGCGCGTAAGTAAGTCTTATAGTCTGGGCAAATTGAGTTTCTGACAGGTGATCCATATAGCGGCGTATTGTGCGTCAAAGTCTGCAATCATTGGATTAACGCGTGCCGATGCGATCGATTACTCGAAGGATGGCATCCGAGTGAATTGTGTGTGTCCGGGTGTCATTGAAACCCCCCTGGTTATGGAGAAAGCGGAAGTAAGGGAGGCGATTACCCCTGCGGCGAACATGGCTCCAATGCAGCGCATGGGAAAGCCGGCTGAAGTAGCAGACGCAGTCCTTTTTCTTTGCTCAACACAAGCCTCATTTATCCAGGGACATGCAATGGTTGTTGATGGAGGCTATATCACGGTCTGAGCTTATCAGTGATGAATTCGTAACCTAACATTCATTCAAGTGGGCTTGCCGGCCATTCAGATAACTAGTACTCACAATCCTATGCAAATGTCTCTTTGGAAATTCCCATCGAAGATTAGATACTGCGAACCAATAGAACAGAGGAGTGCAATTAAATAACAATAATTTCGCCGCGTATTCCTAATTCCGATCAGTCGTAAACTGCATCTTCTTCCAATCAAAGTGAGTCTCCCAAACATGTCCAACTCGTAACACCTTTTCCTCCTGCCACAACCCACCAACAATCTGCATACCGACAGGTAACATGATTTGTTCATCTTCCTTGGCAGGTGCAAATCCAATCGGAATTGACAATGCGGGGTGTCCCGTTACATTGAAAATTGCAGTGTTGATTGTCAACCCCATGCTTGGCTGAAGTGACTCCACCGGCAGGCCACGCTTTCCATGCTTGGGAGCCACGACTGGAGTGGTGGGCATGACGATCGCATCATACTTTTCAAATAATGCCTGGTATTTGTCACTCAACTGGCGCCCGATATTGGCGGTTTTTCCATAAAGACCAGGGAAGCGAGACATAAGATACAGGCCATTGATTATCACGTTCTTCGTGGATGGGAAGGCTCGTTGAAACCCTTCATCAGACCAAGGCAATCTTGCCTGCTCCATCTCCGTCATGTAAAGACCACGTCGTCCGGTATTTTGACCCAATAGTGTCTGTGCACCGGCCATTCGCTGCTGGATCGTCCAGATTGCCGGCCCATGCAAATGGTCTGGAAGAGAAATTTCATCTATAGTTGCGCCTAGACCTTCGAGCTTCTTGGCGGCAGTCAACACTGAGTGTCGAACATTCGATGACACAGCATCGTGCTCGAATCCTTCCTTGAGAATTCCAATCCGCAAACCATCAAGTCTGTCTGTGTTCTTGATGCTGGTTGCAAAATTGGTTGAGCCGGGTTTCGAACTGCCCAGCGATCTGTCATCTATACCATCGTATCCACTAATGGCATCTAGACATGTTGCCACCTCCATGGTTGTGCGAGCCAATGGGCCTACATGATCATTAATGGCGTCGCCACTAGAAACTCCAGTAAAGGGAACACGTCCAAATGTTGGCTTCAAGCCAACGCCTGTTGGTCGTTAGAAGAAATGATCAGAGAACTTGTGAGGGTATAATCTTACAACCGCAAAATGAAGCTGGAACCCTTATACTTCCACCCTGGTCACCTCCGATGGTAATGTCGACTAATTCCGCCGCTACCAGAGCAGCGCCTCCTGACGTACTCCCGCCAGCGGAGTATCCTGTTGCATGGGGATTCTCAACTGTGCCCTGAGCACTAGTATATGAGGAAGTAGAATGACATAAGTTCTCGCATGTCGACGTTCCGTGGATATCAGCCCCGGCCTCAAGTAGTCGTGTCACGACCGTCGCATCTGTTGCAGGCGTCCATGATGGGATGATGTCGCTACCCGATAGCTGAGGTACTCCAGCTACTGCAATAACGTCCTTGAGGCTAACTGACTTTCCAACCAACACGCCTTCCTCTCTTCCTCGAATTAAAAATTGATGGGCCCAGGCTTGGCCAAATACCTGCTCTTCTTTACTTGGTCGACGGATATTCTCCCGCGGAAACTTGAGCTGATCGGGGATCGGTTGATAATCTGGAAGAGCAGCGACCCCTTCTGCGCAGTCATGCACCGCTGCCAGCAACGTTTGAAAGTCATTCGATTCTGAAGGGTCAATCGTAAGGCCTAGCGGCTCTATGAGTGCCTCAGCATCCCCTGACTTGATAGGATTATTCCTGAAGCAGAGTGGTCAGTTGGGTGCATCATCAGGCAATGATAGGAATATCGCCGTATCTACGTTATCTAAACTGAAATACTTACTCTGATATACTGGTGAAAAGAACAGACATGATGAACGGACGCTTTGAATGGTGAAGCGGGGAAACCTTTGGTTTCATGAAGATTTTATGGTAGAGCCACCAGGGTTTTCATTTTCATCATCGGCAAACCCCTCCGACAACAGTTCTTTCTCCAACACGGAGTAGTCTTTGCCCAATTAATCTGGGTCCTTCGCGACCGTTTTGCCGACCGGCGAGCGACCCCAAATCGACCCCAAATCGACTCCAGACACGACCCACAGTTGCTATCGACCTCCAAGAGACGATGATATGATATGAACTTGGCAGAAAATGGGTCGGATATCGAATAAGTAATTCAAATTACTCGTTGAATATGATAACATCATCTAACTTTGAGATATGATGATCAAATGGCCATGATCATTGCAATGACCCCGATAACTCCAAGAGGGGTAGTTGTCGGGTTCCCCGCATGTTGATCAGTACAAAAAAGGGTCTACCACACTCACATCACTGCGTTCTGCAATATAGCACGCACAATGGGCCCTAAACGAGTTCTCATCACCTATGGAGTCGACGTCGATGCTGTCGCTGGATGGCTTGGCTCGTACGGCGGAGAAGATTCGACGAACGACATTAGTCGGGGTAAGTTGGTCTTTAAACATCACAAACCCTCCTAATGGAATAATATTAGGAGTCTGGGCGGGAACCATTGGCACCAGACGTCTACTGAAGCTTTTCAACAAGTATGACATCAAGACAACATGGTTCATCCCTGGCCATTCTCTGGAGACTTTCCCAGAGGATATGGCAGCTGTCCGAGATGCAGGACACGAGATTGGACTGCACGGATACTCGCACGAGAACCCAACAGATATGAGCATTGAGCAACAGCGTGATGTACTTGACAAAACATACCGTATGCTCACTGAGTTTGCGGGGAAGCCCCCACGAGGAAGCGTAGCGCCATGGTATGTAGAATCCAATCCAAGCGTCAAAGCTCTATCTGAACATTCATGGAATACAGGTGGGAAACTAGCAGAGAGGGTGCTCAGCTACTCCTTGACTATGGGATCGAGTACGACCACAGCATGAGTCACGAAGATTGTCAGGCATACTATCTACGAACAGGTGACACTTGGACCAATATTGACTACAAGCAGAAGGCTGAGACCTGGATGAAGCCACTTGAGCATGGTCCTCAGACAGGCCTAGTTGAAATCCCCTCCAACTGGTACATTGATGATTTGCCACCCATGATGTTCATCAAGTCTGCACCGAACAGTCACGGTTTTGTCAACCCGCGGGATGTCGAGGATATCTGGCGTGATCATTTCGATTATTTCTATCGTGAATATGATGAATTTATTTTCCCGATCACGATACACCCGGATGTCTCCGGCCGACCACATGTGCTATTGATGCATGAGAGGTGAGCCTTCAAAATCTCTGTATCGCATCGAGACTAACAATGTCCAGACTCATTGAACACTTCAAGAAACACGACGGTGTGGAATTTGTCACGATGGAGCATGTATGTGACGAGTTCAAAAAGAAGAATGCACCCCCTCCAGGGGCTCTGATGCCAGCTCCAGCGGGTGCGATACTAAAGAATTGATTGTCATGTATGTCATAGTTTGGATTTCTATTGAATCAATCTTATATCTCGTATTGTCCTCCCAGTAGAGTTCCGTTACCCCGACGATTTTCTCCAACCCCTGAATTAGTAAATCTCATTATCATCTGCATCAACTGTATTCTCCGTTACTTGTACAGCGTTATCTCGTGCGTCCAGCCACATCTTGCTCGTACATTGGAATGTTTTACCCCGACGCTTAACCAATTCCGGCCATTAAGCCGGAACGTACTCCAACGAACTCCCCCAACAGCTGACTCCAGGTCATCCGTTAGCCTGAGTCGATGTGCTTGTTATCAGGTAGCTTGAGTTCGTGGGGAAGTAGTGGAGCCAATCCACTTCTTCAGGTCCCGTTATCGTCACTTTAGTAGCTTCAGGGCATCGGAAACCCCAGGAAACCTACTGCACGGCCACGAAAACAGAAATTGACCTGCCATGCATGGACCAGCCCGGGGCTCGAGATAAGCCCCTGCCTCGTGGGCCGCCTCTTGCCTATATATTCCACTTGAGAAACTTCCGAGGGTCGAGCTTTGGAAAATTAGTTGTGCCACAGCTCCCCGACTCTGACGTTTCGCCATGACAGCCTTGGTGGATGACATCAAGGATGTCCCGAACTTTGCAGACGACTCCTTTGCCCCTGATACACAAAAGGCAGAGATGGAGGATCAGAATGAGGTTTTTAAGAGAGGCGAGGGCCAGGTCGACTTTCGTACCGTGAGCTGGATTCGGGCAGGTGTGATTTTTTTGAAGAGTGAGTTATATCTACCTTCGCGCGGAAATAGATTCAGAATGCTAATAGTCGTGTTTTTCTATTGCTAGTCATCTTCGCCACTGGTGTTCTTTCCATTCCCTCTTTAATGTATGAATTGGGAGCTCTGCCAGGCGCCCTTAATGTTATAGGCTGGACCCTTCTCAACACCTACTGTGCTATTGTACAGGGCAACTTTCGCAACGCCCATCCAGGCTGCCACTCCATCGCCGATATGGCAAATGTCGTGGGCGGTCCGCTGCTGAAGGAAGTGGTCGGGTTTTTATTTACAGTCAGCTATGTTATTGTCGCTGCGTCTGGGATCATTGGCGTCTCGACAGCGCTCAATGCCTTGTCACTGCATGCGATTTGCACAGTTTGGTTTTCCCTCATTGGTACAATTGTCATTACTGCCTGTGCGAGCGTGCGCAAATTCTCGCACATCGGCTGGCTCACCTGGGCTGGTTTTGCCAGCGTCTATATTGCCGTTTTTATCATTGTGTAGGTTCGCTCGTTGTCTCTTTTGCTTCTCGCCCCTGCTAACTATTGATAGGGTCGGCGTGACCACAAGGGATCGTCCAGCAGCAGCACCTCAGATAGGTGATTTCGACCTCGGATATAGGGTCATTGGTGACCCTAGCTTCACGACCGGCATCACGGCCGCCGCAACTATTTTCGTCTCCAGTGCTGCGACCTCTGCATTCCTCCCCGTCATCTCGGAGATGCGCAAGCCCAAGGACTACCCCAAAGCAGTCTACCTCAGCATGAGCCTGGTGACCGCGTCATACCTCACGTTCAGTCTTGTCATATATGCATGGTGTGGCAAATGGATCGCATCACCCTCACTCGGCAGCGCCGGTCCAACGGTCAAGCGAGTGGCGTATGGCATTGCTCTACCTGGTCTCATAATTAGCGGGTGTTTGTACGTGCATGTCGCGGCAAAATACTTATTTGTGCGAATATTACGTACTTCGCGTCATCTGCAGGCCAATACAGCCGTGCACTGGGGTACCTGGCTGGGTTGCACGACCAGCATGGCAGCCATCTCCTTCATCCTTGCATGCGCCATCCCTATCTTCAATTACGTGCTCGCTCTTGTGGGCGCGCTTTGTTTCGCACCGCTGGCCATTAGTCTGCCTGGCTGGTTATGGCTGTATAGTCATGCTGATTACTGGAAGGGCCCTTTCTTCCGCAAGATCATGTATGGATTCCATCTTTTTTTGACAGTTTTGGGAGCGTTCATGGCGGTCGGAGGTACTTATGGGGTCATTGTTCAGATCAATGAGGCCTATCGCGATGGACAAATTTCGGGTGCCTTTTCATGTGCGGACAACAGCGGGTCGGTTTGAAATTACAATAAAAAAATGTTTGTCGACTTTTTACTTCATAAAAGACTCCACATAGTTTAGTGCAAAGTGGACATCTAATGCAAACTAAAGTTGACTCGGACCCGCTTTGTCGGCCAGAAGCTCCCGCTGCATCCGAATCACATTTCGTTATCTATTTTATTTTCCTTCTTTCCCCTCATCACTTCCTTTTGCTCTTTTGATTTCACTCTTTCATATTTCATAGATCAATTCCTGGATCATGACATGATTTATGTTCTCTAGCCCTGCTCACCTTGACTTGCCCATTTCGCCAGGGATGTGATCATCTTATCAGTCGTTATCAGTGCAATCGCCTCGTCCTCCACTGTATACAGCTCCCGGATCAAAATGCTCGCCTTCCTACCTCTACTGCTGGCTTTCAGCAGCCTCGCCACATCAGCTGCGATTCCATATTCCCCGATCTCAAGGTCTCCAGACTCATCCGTATCGCACTCAACTCGAGAGTCCACCGACTCATCTCGGGTATCCGCCCAATCAGCCTACCAGAACGCGGAAGCTCATAGTCTCCCCCAAACAACCCCTTACTACTTCCCTGAAACCATGCCCGACAACGATGAAATCGATGAACGATTAATTGCCCTACGCGAAGCTGGCTTCGCTGGCGCGGCCTTATCTGAGAAGGAAAGCGAAACACCGATGCACCGAAACCAGGCACATGGCCAACCCCAGCAGTCAATCGGCACGCCGGATGTTACAACGATCGACACTCCTCGTGCACGGATGCTTATTCTTCCTGATCGGGATTCGAGTGCCGAGCTAGCCCAGTCGCTAGAGAGCTCGTATTCTCCCCGTACTGCGGACGAATTTCAGAAAGATCCAGTGATTGGCCAGGCCCTTCGAATTGATTGGGTCACCTCCGAAGCCCCAATCCTCATTGCTACACCCCCAATTGTACCATCAATGATTTTCCTCTTCTTTATCGCTGCTGTCCTGTGTATCGCCACTGTGGTCCGCGGTGTACGTCACCGACACTGAGGAATGCCAGGTGGAAACGCTCGGTCGCGTTTCTTTCTCTTTTTCCCTCGCTTGTCACCCTTTGCCATTTCATTGGCCTTCGCGATCTGCGATAACAGAAACATGCTAAACCCAGTCCGAAACTGAATTACCCCTGCTAGCTGCACCGCCTGCATAATTTTCCCCGCACACCGCTGGAAATTCACCGTTGCTCTTTGGTCTGGAATTTCTGCTCCTTTTGTCATGAAAGGCAGATAGATATCTTCCAGCCTCCTCCTTCTGGCAAATACTTTTTTCTTTAAAAAAAGTAAATAAAGAAAAAAACGATTTACCTATCTCAACACGGGAAAATTGGAGAAATTTCGACTGTGACTCCTGCAGTGGGGTGCTAGCTGCTTGCCCCTAGCGCCGTGGGGATTTCATCTTCCCACTGGTTGCAACCTAATCAAGGTCCCATGATCAGGCAGCAGGTAGCACGGGGCCCACAGTTGATGTCAGCCTGGCTCGATAACACCAGCACCCGATACATTGACATAATTGCAATGTTACCCTTCTCCGAGACCTGTCTCGTGAGAATAAACAATGTCTACTTCGGGACACACATAGGCCAACGTCACGGGCGCAATTAGGCATAATTGCATGTGCGAATCTCACCTGGAGGCTCCATCGATTGACTCGTGTTGCATCGAGTATATACTATCTACCAAGGTGCGACCCACCTTCGTCTTACAGTAGACTAGCTTCAGCGAATTCATACATTGAATTTTCAACGGCGGGGTATGAAGGACGCACAGTACATGCTTCCTAGCGAAGGTACCCCGGGTCTGGATTGGAGACTTGGATGGCATCCTCGATAGTCGCCATTGATGGCTCCGACTTCGCTGGCTTATATACATGGTCATTCATATCTAGATCTGATAGGCTTGATTCATTCCGAACTCAATATATTCTAGATCAAATCCAAAATCATACCCAATCTCAAAACACATCACGAAGTCAAATAGGTAAACAACCGGTAAATGTGACAGTTGTCATGATTTCTACTGATGTATGAAGTTTGAGGTCAAATCGAAAGATTCATCTCCCAATATTTCACCCCTCAAAATGAGGTCAAACATTTCTCATTGACAATGCCTAGGCAGGTGGGCAACTACAATATGAGGGTATCAATTGCTTGAATCAAGCCCTGGAAAACTTGGAACACTTTGGAACTCCACCAGGGTAAGAATAATCTTGGAAAGCAATGGAAGCATAAAGGAAGATCTACAGACATTTAAATTTCAGTAGACTTTACAGGACAATATGCAACATTTGAAATTGAAATGACAATCCTTTGCGAAAGTAATAATGCCTTGTGACGCCATGAGGATGAAAGGATGAACGGGCAAATAGGGATGAGGGTCAGAAACAATCAATTGACACAAGAGCCACCCAATAGCAGAAGAAAAAAATTACGAACGAGTCTTTTTTGCAATACCTCCTCCATCTAAATGGAGTGACAGAGAAGAGGTAGGACCATGGACAAGAAGGCAAAAAGTGTAAAGGATAAGGACGGTGAATATGTACGCGAGTAATAGGGAAAAGTAGAAACTACTTAAGAGTCATCGACCAGGCGTTTCTGGACCCAGGCACGCTTGGCTCCATCAAGAAGCACGTCCATGTTCCCGCTGTTCTCGCACATGCCGCGGAATAGACCATCCTCGCGGTTGATGAGAGTCCAGGGGTGGTCGTATTCGATCACTTTACCATGATCAAGGACCAAAACCTTATCATAGTCAATAATCGTTTGCAGGCGATGAGCAATGGTGATGATTGTGCTATCGTGGAGTTCACGGAGGGTCTCCTGAATCTTGGCATCGGTAGCGTAGTCAATGGATGCAGTGGCTTCGTCCATCATGAGGACGCGGGGTTTCTTAAGGAGTGCGCGGGCAAGACACAGGAGCTGTCGCTGGCCCTGAGACAAGTTGGACCCAGACTCCGAGACTAAGCTTTCCAGGTTGTGGAAGATGTTCTTGTTGTCGACGACTGTGACAGCGCTGCCATTGGCACCGCCATCAACGCCACCATCGACGCCACCATCGACGCCACCATTGGCTTCAGTTGCGTTGAACGTGGTTCCGGTCAAAGGAGTTGTGCTTCCTGACGGAGATCCGATCAAATGCACACGACGAAGCGCGGTGAAGATTTCCTCGTCGGTGAACAGACCGAATGGATCTAGGTTACTGCGAATGGTTCCGGTGAACAGAGTGGGATCTTGAGGCACAATTGTGATGGCCTCACGGAGATCTCGCAGGCCAATTGCACCAATGTCGACTCCGTCGATGAGAATCTTACCTTTCTCGGCCTCCAATCCACGGAAGAGGGCAAGGGCGAGAGAACTTTTTCCGGCGCCTGTGCGACCAACGATACCGACCTTCTCACCGGCCTTAACAGAGAAAGAGACCTCCTTAAGCACCGCATCTAGGTCAGGACGGTAGCGGGTAGTGTAGCCAGAGAACTCTACAGCACCTTCAAGTGGCCATCCCTTTGCCGGGCGAGAATCAGGGATAATAGGAGCGGCTTCTTGGTCAACCTCTAGATACTCACGTACTCGCTCAACCGAGTTCATGTTTTGCTGAACCTCTGAGTAAAGACGAACAAGCCACAGCACGTTCTCAGTGAAGGTAACGGCGTAAGTAAGGGAAAGACCAGCGGCACCGGCATCGATATTGCCAACATTAATCAGGACAAAGGTCGCGGCGAAGAACGAAACCAGAGCACCAGTCCAGTCAACTCGAAGAGCGAGCCAGCGGTTAGCAGCCCAGAGATAGATATGAGGTCGGTTATACGCATTGATACGACGGTGATTGTCGACAATGAACCGAGGCCCGTCACCGTAAGCACGAATGGTGACAATACCATTCAAAGTCTCACCGAATTGCTGGTACAAGGGGCTTCGCTGCACAGACTCCAGACGCTTGAGGTCACGAGAAGAGTTCAGGTAGATGGCGCCCAGTGCAGTGTACACCAAAGTGATGAAAATGCCCGCAATCAAGAATCCTGGGGTGATGATGGAAATAAGGATGACAATCATGATGACTGAAGCAAGACTGTGCAGCATGCCTATTGCCACAGGTGCCACTTCCTGGTCAACCGCTTCGACATCCTTGGAGAATCGGTTCATGAGCTGGCCGAGTGGTGTTGAGTCAAAGAAGCGGAACTTGGCATGCATAACGGTCTTTAGCAGACGGTCATGGATCTTCCATGATGCATGAAGAGAACCCCAGAACAGCACGGCTTCGCGCGTCAAAGAAATCGAGATGTACCCAATACCCAGCAGAGCATACACACCCAAGTAGTACATCACATTGACTTCGCCATCGGGAGTAGTAGGACTGATGCTAGATGGTAGTTGTTGGGGTACCCATGTGCTCATCTTGGAAACACTGCCGACATTGAAGGTTGGAGGCTTGAGATGAGCGACAGCAGCGTAAGTACCGGCATCATCCTTCGGTCCAACGCTAGAAGATTGGTAGGCGTTAGCCCACTGTCGAATCCAGATATTAGTCGAGACGGAGCCCAATTGCTGCAGACAGAATACCGCAACAGCCATAACCCAATAGTACCATTGTCCCATTGAGCCCAGATACATAGTAACCGTTGACCACTTAACACTACCAGTGGCCATCGATTCCTTCAATACAGTCTTTCCGTCCTTTTGAGACTTATCTGCCGTACCATTCGTAGACCCATTTGCAGCTGTGGTTTCATCTTCAAGATCGGCATCCGACGGAACACGAGATAGACCGCGCGAGCTAGCACGCGAGGCTGGTCGAGACTTCAAAAACTCTTCACCAAGGGCGCCGGTGGCAGCAACGCTATCAGGCCGGCCCTGGGCGCTGATCTTTCCATTATCAAGTACAACCACATGATCTGCCTGAGGGACGGTGAGAGAAACATTGTGAGTCACTAAAATGCAGGTACGATTCATCATCAAGGGGCCGGTCAGGGCCTGGCGGAAAATGTGCTTAGCAGTGTGAGAATCGACGGCGGAGAGACAGTCATCCAGCAGCAAGTGGCGGGCGCTGCTGTAGATGGCTCGGGCAAGAGAGATTCTCTGCTTCTGTCCACCCGACAAACTAATTCCCTTTTCACCAACCAGGGTTTGGTCGCCGGCATCAAGAATAGCGATATCACGTTCCAAAGCACACGCCTTCAGAACTGCGCGGTAACGCTTCTCGTCGGGCGGGGAAGCGAAGATAATGTTCTCCTTCACAGTGTCGTTCACCAACCATGCTTCTTGGGCACAGTAGGCGATGCTGTCAATCAGGCCAGTTTCAGGGTCAACCGGAAGGTCAGCACGATTTGCCATGCCACCAGGCAGATGAACGCGACCCTCGATGAGTCGCATTTCGCCAAGCAAGGCCATGAGCAGGGATGTCTTGCCAGAGCCCGTGGGTCCCGCAATGATGCTAAGACGACCGAGCGGGAAATTGACATCCACGTTAATCAGGCGAAAGGCGTCCGCACCTGCTTCAGATGATGTAGAGGGTTGTTGAGAGCTAGGCTTGGAAGTTCCCCAGGTGAGGGTCGCCTTTTGCAGTCCAATTTGAGTTGGGCCATCCGTGAGACTATCGCGCAGCTGATCATATTTCTCTGTCTCTTCCTCGTTCAGATATTCATCCACACGGTCGAGGGAGACCTTGGACTCCTGAACGTGGGCCACCATATCTGCCAGTTGATCCAAGGGGACACGCAGCAGCGAGAACATTGACAAGGCGGGGAAGGCAATTGAAGGGGTCAGTTGCTTCTTTTCCACAACTGTGTATAGGAAGAACGAAAGGAAAGTAATCAGAATGGGAGTGCCGTACCAGACCGTAGCAGCACAAGACCACAGGATGTAGCGACGTCGCAGCGACTTCAGTTCAGCCCGGCGTTTTTCATTAACAATATCCTGGAAACGCTGTTCCCATGCAAAATACTTGATGATCCGGATATTCTGGAGGACTTCATTGGTCGCATGGATTCGTGCATCGGTGCCCTTGAGGATCTGGTTTTGGACCCGATTGAACTGCCGGGCAATGAAAAGATTGACGGGAAGCATCAAGGCCATCAGAACGATACCAGCGAATGAACTATAGCCCATGATCTTATATAGCAGAAAGATGGCCATGCCAATCTGCACTGGCACACTGGCCCACAGGAAATGGAGGTATGCACCAACTTCGCTGACCTTGAAAGAGTCAATGGCCATTAGATTGATAATGGTACCAACGTTTGCCTGCGAAGCGGCTTCCTCCACCTTGGACTCAGGCTTGACACCATTCTCGGCATCATTTTGATCAGCAGACTTCTTCTTCCGGCCGAATGAAAAGATCCGGTTTTTCTTCTTGGTGTCCTTGGGCGCCTCCTGTTGCTCCTTTAGCGCTTTACGGGCAACATCCGTGGACGCACCAGCCTTGCGCCGGAGCGCTTTGGCATAAATCTCACCAATGATGATAGCACGGATCTTGACACCCATCTTGCGACCGATATAGAGCGCCTGGCCATCTGCCACACCTTGAACAATAGCAGAGCAAAACAGGAGAATCGCATACAACCAAGCGGCATTGGGGGTCGTCGAACGAGGGTCTTCGACATATTCGAGAATTGCTTTAAGAAGTAGACTGGGAACGAAGACGAAGAGATTGGCAAAAATTGTCCAGAGACCTTGCTTCAAGATGGTCCCGAAAAAGTATCGGAGGAGCTTCCATGCCATAGAGCCCTTCATCTGCCGCTTTCGAAAATCGGTCACAACCGCGGCCGCCTTTTGCTGAGGAGTCAAATTCCATACGTCCTTGAGCTCTAACGGTTGCCGATAGCCCTTCATGATGAGTGGATCCAGCCAAGCATATGTGGCCAAGGATAGAAGACTTGCCATTGGATGACGCGGAGGTTCTAACCCATCCTCGTGCTCCACTAGAACGGGCTTGTTGCCACGGCGAGTAGTAAGCGCGATTAAGAGAAGCAATGTGCTCAGCGCGAATGCGATGCTGCTAAGAACCAGGGCGTGTTTCGATAGCGGATGAATGACAGCGGATCGGAACACCATAATGTTAAATAGCCACTGTAGGGCGTACAATGCCGCCGTGTGGTTCCAAAGTCTCGGGGCAGAGAAGAGATCCATAGTCGACAGTAGAAGCCGCACCAAAACCAAGAAGAGAACATAGCCCCAAGATACCAGACCGGCGATAGCAGGAATAGTACCATGACGGCCCCAACCACCGGTCGACAGAATCACCACGTAGAGTGCGACTTGACCGACGAGTGCGGCAATCTCCAGCGCAACGACCACAATTTCTCCACGAGGGCGGTCCACCTCCAGTTTCAAGTGATCTAGTTCGGTTTGTGCGGCCTGGAACAGCATAGGATCGGAATCGGATTCCGGGCCATTGGGAACCTCATTTTCGGAGGCATCGTTTGAGAGGACCTTATAAGCGACACCTTTGTTGGAGACCACATAACGATAGGCTAATTGTGTGATGATAAAGAGCAGCGATACAATGCAGGCTGCGAGGGGAAGGGTGACTTGCAGAGTACTATATCAGATTTTCGACGATCAGTACTGGAACGGTCGGCTGCATTGGAACCAACACGTGAAACCAACGAGAAGTGACTGGAACATTACAACTCACTTGCGCTGGAAGCACCGCGACAGATCATCCACGGCCCAGAGCGGACCGGGACATTGTGGGAGCATAGTAGATATGGCGATACGATAGGAGAAACGAGGGGGAAAGCTCCTGGAGGGCCAGTGGCCGATTGTTGATCAATTCAGAGCTTTCTCAAGCTCTGCGACCGCGTAACTAGAATATATGCAATGCGCCCGATGATAGACCAGCGAGAGAAATGTCCACCCCAGAAAATTAGCGACAATACACGACTCGACAGCTAGACGAGGCTCGCATCGCAAAGTCGAACGAAAACGGAAAGGCGAGGTCGGATGGGAAAAGTCCGGAGCCGAGGGCCGTTGAGGGGTGTGAAAACAGCTCAAACGGCTCAAAGATACGGGGAAGATATACGCAAGACCCCCGTCAGTGTAGTTATAAAAACAACGAATTGAGGCACGAGGAAGAGAGAGGAAGAAGTAAGAGGCAAATGGGGTCTGGGCCAAAGCCGGCGGTGGAAAAAAACGGCCAACAGGGTGACATAAACCACTACATCAGGGTGGATCCAGGTACCACTACAGAGGTACCTACGTGCATCGAACCGAACCCGAAATGTGAACCCCCGAAACAATGCAATTATGTATAGATTAGTTTAGCCTGAGCTGACCAGAGTACTGTTCATAAGGTTGATATATTCAGTCACCCTCCGGAGTGAATTGCTCATCTGACTCCAAATGCCGATCGTTGCTTATCGCGCATGTTTGCCTTTTCCCCACCCGTTATCGGCTAAAGTAGAGATACTGCGATACCGTGTCTGATACTACAATATGACTCAAACAGAGTGAATAGAGTGAGCAAATATCCACGTGAACCAAATCCATGTAGACGTTGATCGCCACAGTTGTGTGACCGTTCGCCACGAGCCTGACTAAAACAGTTCCCCATTTTTTCCTTTTTTTGCGCTTCGACATCATCGATCCACTCTTCCCTTCTCCCCCTCTCAGGTTCTCCCGGTGGCCCACTCCAACGGGGACGCGTGGATTATCAGCGACGAGAAGCAGAAGAAAAACAGAAGCCCGAAAAGAAGCCAGTCAAGAAAAAGAAAAGGAGCTTTCATTAGTTATCTTTTGTCATCCCTTTCGCCATGTCGGAACGAATCCTCATGAATGAGTTTCGGGCATTATCGCGTGAGAAATGGTTGAACGTCGAGGTCAGTGCAACGCTTTCTACACAGTGAATTCTACATTTGTCAAGCGATATAAGCTTACCAGTGGCCTTGCATATTCATAGCTACACAGGGAGAACATCTACCAATGGGACGTTGCGCTCATCGTCTTAAACAAGGACTCCATTTACCATGGCGGCTATTTCAAAGCCCGAATGACTTTCCCTCAGAACTACCCTTATGCGCCTCCTGGTATTTTCCTTTCCCTTGTCTATACAGTTAATTCTGGATGATACTTATGACACGAAGACTGACGAAAATCTCACTTTAGAGTTTCGCTTCCTCCTGCCTCTTTACCACCCCAACATCTACACGGACGGCCGAGTGTGTATCTCCATCCTGCACCCGCCCGGCGAGGATGAGATGTCGGGTGAGCTGGCGGCAGAGCGTTGGTCTCCTGCCCAACGAGTGGAGTCTGTCCTGATCTCTATTCTCTCACTCCTAGACGACGCCGAGGTCTCATCTCCTGCCAATGTCGATGCGGCCGTGATGTTGCGACAGGATCCAGAGGAGTATAGTGTCCGGGTCAAGGCGAATGTCGAGGCCTCCAAAGAGATGGCCCCGCCTGGTTTCAAGATGCCGGACCAGGAAACAACTTGCGTGGAACTGGACAAGGACGATGCTGACTTCTGGGCTGACTCGGAAGTGGATAGTGACCCTTTTGGTGGCAGTGACTCTGAAGGTGACTCGGATATGGATCAATTGACCGCGAGTGACTTGGATGATGCCGACGAGGATGATGAAGACGAGGATGAGGAGGACGAGAAGAAGAGGAGTTCATGAGAGCCAGCAGATCGTGTTTTGCTTCAACGACCGACATGAAGCCACCACCATTTCTTTCAACACTGCATTCGGCGTCGGCATATTGGCTACAAATATATGGCAAAGATCGGCTTTTTATAACGCGGGTCGTTTTCCGGTTTACTATGGCGGGTGCATTTTACGGAGTCTCGGATATTTTGCTTAGTTGAACCTGCTTATCAGGGTTGACAAATTTGATCGCATCAAGAGATTAACATTATGGATTAAATTTTACAACCATGATACCGTTGTGCATGGCGTAGCCTTGAACAAGGCCACCAGTGCTTAAATCTACTGATACGTATAACCTTGAACTAGCGGTATATGGGTCTTGGCTGGTGATGTGCGACAACACTCGAGACACCGGGACCTTGAGAGACATCTGAGACAATTTGTACGCATGGATCTTTAGAAGACAGACTGCTTGCTCAGATGACAACCATGTTCCCAAGGTATCCGAACACAGTAGGCCGAGCTTCCATTTTGACCCGCGTACATGGTTCGTGCATTACCACTAAGATGGAAGTAGGCTCGGATCTAAGCTCCCACTGTACCTTCCTAGATTGCATCCATTTATTGCTCGTGCCATTTCTTAAAGTGGCAGTTTAAAAGGGAGCTCTTGTCCCTACTTGAAAAGAAACCCCACACTTTTGGGGTCGTTGCCGGTGCCGTCCTTGCCGTCCATCCTATTAAGCATTGATCGTTGATAGATATACTCCGCAGCTAAATCTCCTATATCGGAGGAATCATCAAACTTCACAATGAATGTTGCCCCCGCATGATTATTCTTAGGAGCTCATCAACTTCCACATCTCGACAAGCTCTGTGGATCAAACAAAATTGACCATCCAAAAATGGCCACACAAGCCCTCGCGAACTGGTCCGTGAACCTGACCTATGCTTCCCTACCATCCGAAGTCAAATCCGCCGCTGTCCGCAGCTTCTACAACTGGGCTGGCTGCACAGTGGGAGGAAGCGCCCACCCAGCCACAAGCATAGCCCGCAAAGCGCTTGCGCGGTTCACAGGACCAGCCACCTCCCGACTACTAGGTTCAGGAGGGGGGCATAGATGTTGACGCGATGCACGCTGCATTATTCAATGGCATCGCCTCCCATGTCCACGACTATGATGATACGCACCTAGATACTATCATCCACCCAACTGGGCCAGTAGCATCGGCATTGCTAGCGATAACCGAGTCACTGGATCGCCCAGTCACCGGGGAGGAATTTATTACTGCGCTTGTTGCGGGTGTGGAGGCGGAGTGTAAGGTTGGATTAGCGGTTTGGCCTAGCCACTACGATGTTGGATGGTATGTGCAATTCCCTGGGCTCGAGATCCATATTCCAATTGCGTAATTACGAATTGAAACATGATATTGCAATACTAAAGATGGCTTCTAGGCATATCACAAGCTCAACGGGCGCGATAGGCGCTGCCGTAGCCGTCTCAAAGCTCCTTGGCTTAAACGCTACCCAAACAGCACATGCAATCGGCCTTGCTGCAACACAGGTCACAGGACTACGAGAGATGTTTGGCTCGCACACGAAATCTTTCCATCCGGGCCGAGCCGCTCAGAATGGGCTTGTAGCTGCCGTTCTTGCAGAAGAAGACTATACTAGTTCTACGCAGGCACTCGAAGCGGAACGTGGCTGGGCAAACGTGGTTAGTAGCTCCCATGAACTCGATGTGCAGATCGGCAGTCTTGCACCCAGTGGACGGTGGGAGATTGTGCATAATGCATTTAAGCCATTCCCCTGTGGGATTGTGGTGCATCCCGTGATTGATGGGTGTATCTTGCTACATGAAGAGCTAGAACGCTCTGGGTTGTCGATTGATCAGATTGTTGAAGTTCAGGCGGAGGTTCATCCCCTCGTTCTTGAGCTGACTGGTAAAACAGCGCCCAAGGATGGGCTGGAGGGGAAATTCAGTGTCTATCATGGTGGAGCGGTCGGACTATTGTTCGGGAAAGCTACGCCGGCCCAGTACGAGGATGGGGTCGTTACTGATTCGCGGGTTGTGGGGGTGAGAAACCGGATTAAAGCTAAGATTAACGAGAATTTCAAGGCTGATGAGTGTCATCTTACTGCTTTGCTGAGGAAAGAAAGTGGGGAGAATGTCACGATTGAGAAGCATGTGAGTCATGCGGTGTGGAGCTTGGAACGACCCATGACGGATGCTCAATTAGTCCAGAAATTCGTCGATCAGTGCATTCCTGTACTTGGTCAAGAAAAGACTGGGAAAGCCAGTCAATGGTGTTGGGGTTTAGAAAAACAGTGCGACGTCCGCGGTATCAAGGCAGTGCTGTAAAAACGATAGCTACATCCACTACATTGGCCAAAGGTTTACACGAAGCGAATGAAGAAGAATTGTTGAAACACTTGTATAAACCCTAAACACATTCTAGATGGTGTCGGAATTGTATCGTTGTAGCGAAAAGATATACTACGGTAATGATGTCAAGCAAACGGGGAGCGACAGTTGGGAAGGGATTGATGCCCCGCGGTGTTGGACCACCCCAAGGGGAAAACCGAAAAAGGAAATAATTGAAAACAAGAAACAAAGCCAAATGAAACAATCTGCGCCAGTGTGTTAATCCATCCATCCATATGCCCATGTAAAGAGTCCCGTCACAGACGGCTCTATTGGTTGTTTACTCTAAACAGTAATAGCGTCCTTGATCTCGCTGTAGATAGCACCCATCTCCTGGTGGAGAGTCTTCTCGGCGTGACCAAGCAGTTCCTTGAGGCGCTCTTCAACACCAGCCTCGGAGGCGGCCTCGTAACCACCCTCAGAAACAATCTCAGAGTAGTTGGACGAACCACCACCGTTCCAGGCGAGGAGCTATTAGACAAGTCAGTATAGAGTTCTTTACTAAGCGGATTAGAATGACTTACGTTAGGAGTGTCTTCGGGAATATCTGAGAGAGCGCCGGCAGTGGCGACAGTGATCAAAGCCTCCTTGAGCTTCTTGGGAGTGATCTCGGCAACGGCATAGGCCGAGTCAGAGGAGGGCTGCAGGGAGACGTAGTAGGCCAGCAGACCAGCAATGTGGGGGGAGGCCATGGAGGTTCCCGAGATGGTGTTAACAGCGTACTCGCTGCCAATCCAAGTAGACAGGATGTTCAGACCGGGGGCGAAAATGTCAGTGCACTTTCCGTAGTTGGAGAAGTAGGCACGTTCATCAGTCAGGGTGGAGGCACCGACGGTGACGGCGTTCTCGGCAGCGGCAGGGGAGTAGTTGCAAGCATCAGCATTGTCATTACCAGCAGCCACAGCAAAGTGAATTCCAGCCTCAACAGCGGCATTGACAGCAAGGTCCAAAGTGCGCGAGCTACCACCACCCAGGGACATATTGGCAACGCTGCCCTTGAAGCCCTTGGCCTTGCCCGCCTTAGCAGCCTTGGTCTTCTTGATGTGAGCCTCGGCAGCCCACTCAACACCCTTCACGACATCAGACATGGTACCAGAGCCACTGGAGCGCAGGACCTTCACGCCATAAACATTGGCCTTCTTGGCAACACCGTACTTCTTACCGGCAATAGTACCAGAGCAGTGAGTGCCGTGACCATTGCCATCCGCGTCCTCATCACCCTGGGGGATGGTCTTGCCCCAAGTGGCACGACCCTCGAAGTCAACGTGATCAACGTAGGTACCAGTGTCAATAACGTAAGCATCAACACCCTCACCACCATCCTCGGCGTACAGGTACTTGTTGAAGGTACCAAAGGAAAGGCTGTCACGGTGAGAGATACGAGCCAAACCCCAGGGGGCGTTCTTCTCAAGGGCAGGCTCCTCGTTGATGCGGACCTCGGAGTCCTTCTCGATGTAATCAACCTATATAAATAGCAATCGGATTAACGAAGGAAGTCTATAATGGGGATCAAGGCAAAGTACTTACATCCGGGTGACGGCGGACCTGCTCGATGACATCCTCGTGGAAGTGACCAGCATATCCCATGAGCGAACCAGCGACGTGGAAAGTGTGCTTTAGACCCAGGAACGCATCATCATTGAAGCCAAAGAGCGAACGCTTCTTCAGCTCCATACGCTGCTGGCTGGAGTGGATGTCCTGCACCCAGTCGTGGTGAGCGGCAGCGACCGAGGAATCGACATGATTCTTGAACACAACGATGTATGAGTCTGGAATCTCCTCAGAGTTTACAGAAGACAGGATAGGGGCGGCCTCGTTGTGGATGGAGCCTACTCCCATGGGTGACGCAGCTGCCAGCAGTGGCAGCAGCGATAAGCCGAGGAAGCCTTTCATGATGGGGGGATCGACTTGAACGACAGAAATAAACAAAAGAAGATTGGAGAGAATAAACAAGAATAACAGACACTGTTAGGTGAATGGGAAGGATGGATATAGGTTGGTTGGAAGGAAGGTTGAAGGAGAAAGGGAAGAGGATGAGGAGGTGAGGAGAAATGAGGAGGTAAGTCAGTGACCTTATCTAGGGGACCCGGAAGATGATGCAAGCGGGCGATTACATTACAGATACGGGGGCAGATGACTTGTCGATTTGGCGCTGGCTGTCGATCCTGGGTGGGGAGCGAGGCCGGGGGAAGGCGTTACGGTAATGTATTGTAACGAGCTTCGCAGCTTTCCCCAGTAACACACGACCAGCAGGCAGAAAGGCAGATAAACCCGGGAATGCTCTTATCGCACCATATCACATCATCCTCGTCATACATACACTATCTCTAATCCATACTTGGACGGCCAGACGGCCAAACGGCCTTGGAACTCAAGTCATAATTATATAGAAAACCAGGCCGACACATGAAGGGTCTTGTCGCACTCCTCCCGGGTACCTGGCAGGGGGTTGGCCAAGGTCGCACGGACTCTACAGCTATCGTGGCGAATCAAGGCAAACTGCAACCTCCGAAGTCGCGTGCTTTCACGAGGTGAATATCCGGGTGACGCGAGACATAGAAATGCATGGCCCACACAAATTCTGAAATGATAGTCCGTTGGGTCTTATGAATGCCATGATAATTCATCACAAGGGATCCCCCGGTCTCCACACCATCTGGATAACACTATCTTTTATCGCTCTTATCATCCGTAACTTTACAGCCCGATGAGGACTGATAATACTCGGAATTACAACAAAACTTGGCACACGCAGCTGCGCCCCAAAACGCCCCCAAAGTCACCTGATAGGCTCCCCGCCGTCGATAGAGCCTCTCCAAGGCTGTCGATCCATTTTTGTAGCCTATACAAGGCAATATCGGGGCTTGTTTGGTCCGGATCGTCCTAAATCAACTTTGGTGTTTCACTCCGCTTCGGTGTGTCAGTGTTCTCTGGTTCGATCCCCACCCACCACACCCCCCCCCCATACCAATGCAGACCGCTTCAATCGTCTCGTCAATCGTCCATTCACGGTCTCTGATGGTCTCCCGCCATCGGAACGGTCGTGGATAAGATTTGGTCATGGCTCCGCCGCCCCTCTCGCCCTCCCCCTCCGGATCGACTGAGCGACTTGCCGAAGAGCTGGCACCTGCGCTGAACCAGCTAAAGTCCCTTACGGTGGGCAACCCAATTACTTTCCCGCAGGCACTGACAGCTACTGAACCTCTCCTCCGCCTCCGCCATACCTTTATCGATGATGCCCGCCCGCGGACCGCCAAAGATGCATTCCGACAATTGTGGGGCTTCCAGACCCTGCTGAGTATAGCCGAACAGCTAGCAGAGCTGTATGACATCAATGCTTTATCCAAGGATGAGAGGAAAGATTTGCTAGCCATTTACAAGGATGTGCTGGGAGTCTTGGCCGAAGCATTGAAGAATCATTTTGGCAACAGACGGTATTTTGCGCGCAGGATCGCTGGAGGGGGTACGGCAGCCCTAGAACGGACTCTGAGTGTGCTTGTCGGAAAAATAGGTCAAGCTGAAAATGATGCGCACCAGATTTACGGTGCAGTTCTGGCCGCTTCGCTGTGCCAGGAGAGTGTTTCGGGTATCTTTGGAGCACTGGGTGCGAAATTCCTACGGAGTGAAAGCCCCCAATCTTCAGCACAGCTGCGGGATGCTGTGGACCAGTGCATGGGATCTGCTGAGACTGTAGAAGTGGCAGAGTTTCTGGGGCCATTACTTCGGGCCTGGGTGACCCAATCTGCCTCCCCAGGCAATGATACTCTACGACTTGCTATCCCCGCCTGTCTTTGCCAATTGGCTTCCCAGTCCTTGAGGAATATTGTAGCTTTGCATGCCACCGGGATGCTGACTTCTATTCTTTCGCTTCTATTTGACAGCGGCCGGCCTGAAAACGAGGCAGAAATTTACCAGGATTTGGCTCGGCTTCTCAGTGTTCAGGGAATGAGTAGCCTGGGTGACGCAGTTGCCCTGTACCGTCGAGCACACCAAAATCCACGAGTCTTGAAATTCCTTGTGTCAGCTCTCAAAGCTTCTAAAGAACCTCCTTCGATACAATTCGACATGTCCCTACATGGCTATTCTTCTGTGGAGTTCGCGACTTTGGCCCGGCCATTTCCTCCAAGTTCTTCAGCAGGCTATACTCTGGCAGCCTGGGTTCGGTTCGATGAATTTGATCGCAACACACATACGACAATATTTGGAGCATTCGATGCCAGCCAGACCTGCTTTGTGCTTGCTTATCTGGAGAAGGATACTCACAACTTTATCCTTCAAACTTCGATCCGTGGTCTCCGCCCTAGTGTTCGATTCAAGTCCGTTAAGTTTAAGCCTGGCCGCTGGTATCATATTTGCATGGTCCACAAACGGCCGAAGCCCACCTCATCATCACGAGCATTTCTGTTCGTTGATGGGGAATTTGTGGAGCAGTTAAAGATCGACTACCCCTCCGTTCCCACCAGTGACCACCCGAATAGACCACCCCACATCCAAGCATTTTTTGGCACGCCCCAGGATTTAGCAATGCGTCTTGGAAAGGGAGTTTCGACGTCCAGGTGGTCCTTGGCCAATGGAATCCTTCTCGACGAGGCCTTTAGTGATGATATGATAGCCGTCTTTTACAATCTCGGCCCCCGCTACTATGGCAACTTCCAGGATTGTCTTGGTTCTTTTCAGACCTACAAGGCTTCTGCAACCCTGAACCTACGCAACGAGCACCTTCATCCTGGAAAGGAAGAATCCTCGGATATTGTGACAGCCATCAGGAGACGGGCCAGTACTCTAGTCCGTGAGAATTCGATATTGATTAATGTTTCTCCTGTCGCTGTTCTTGACGACGACGATAGCAACAACGTTGATGAATCACAACTCATCAAATGTTTGTCAAGACAGGCAGCAAAAAGCTTGCAACAACTAACCAAGGCTGGTGGTAATGCCGTTGCAATCAACGGGGCGACTCCTGCAATCAACGATGGCTTGACTCAGCCGCAGGGAGTCGGAATATTAACGGGCGATCCGGTTGTTGCCGTCCCCTGGTCATTAGACGACGCCAGCTGGTGTCTTGGCGGCTGTGCTGCTGTACACCTGAGCCTGATACAATCTGCTCACTCTCCCGAAACCCTCCGACTGGCTGTCGAGGCTCTTTATGAAGCTATCCAAGACAATTGGAGAAACAGTGAGGCAATGGAAAGAGAAAACGGCTATGGAATTCTTGCAGCTCTTTTGCGGGAAAAATTAGGCTTTCAGCTAGGTAACTTCTCATCTAGTAAACCTGCCGTGGCCAACTCGAGTGCTGAGGAGCAAAACTCCCTTATCCTGGATCTTCTGCGCTTAACACTTCAATTCGTGGGATATGATTCTGAACATGCAAACCAGTCCATAATCACCAATCCTCTTGCCTATCGGGTCTTGTTGGTTGACATGGATATTTGGCGATATGGCGAAGCACCGGTTCTTGAGCTGTATTATAATCAATTTCGAGCCTTTGCTACTGACAGCAAATACCACCGTTTCAACGCAAAACGGCTGGGTCGTATGCGTGTCAGCAAGAAACTAATTGAGACGCTGAAGGGAGGTGAACTTACTTCTGAAACGCTCAACCCCTGTCTTTCTGCTTTTCGGTCTTTGATGGAGAGTGGCATGTCTCCCGATCTCCTGCGGTCTTTTGCTTTGTCCATCACATATACACTTCACATGCCAAAGCCCACTGCCAGTCTCCAGAAAAAGAAAAGTCTTCGATTTGTGGCGGCTCCTTCGCGACCTGGCTCTTCAAAGTCTCATTCTGAAAAGCACATATCGGCCACTGCACAAGGAACTGAAATGTTGCGATTGTATACAGATGTACTGTGCAATCCGCTAGATTCTACACCACTCAAGAAATTTGCCAAAGCGGTAACCAACAAGGTTTGTTAATAGTCACTCAGTGCTCGGGAACCCATTCTGACAAGGCTTGCAGTGGCTTCTTTATCTATCATGTGAAGACGAACCGGAAGTTGTGGTCCTCGCCACCAAGATACTAGCTCGATTGTTAGTTGTTCATGGTAGTGGGTATAGCAAGAAGTTCTCTGAGAAAAATGGCGGATACACGATCTTAGAGCACCACTTAAAAAGATGGTGGAACGTTCCTGTGCTGTGGACAATCTGCTTTTCTATTCTTTTTGGTCGAGATATTGCTCTTCTGAACCTTGACAGACCCTTTGACGGCCCTGGCCTCCTGAAACTATTTCTCAGTGACGGGGACCTTCGCATTGTGAATCCTGAGATGCTTCCAGTGATCACTGGAATGCTGAAGAGTGGATTGAAAAGCACCGTTTTGAAAAGTGAACTCGGTGCGCAAACCGGCACGGCGATGCGAAAATCAGACGCTCAGGGTTTCAAAATGTTATCGGTGAACCTCAATGGTATGTTCTAAAAAACGCTCCCAGATAGGACGTCTTGGCTCATTACTTTTGTCTCAACAGATATTCCTCTGGGAGACCGCGAGTCGCAGAAGGTTTCGCTCTTGTCCTCGGTGGTCGAATTTCTAGAGGAGGCGAGCACCATATCTCGAAACTTTCAAGAATTCACCATCCAGTCCACTTATGTACAGGAGCTCCTGGCTGTTCTGTATCCAGTAATCGTCAATTCAGATTCTATCAGTGCCAGCACCGAGCTGAACACCAGATATGGTGGCCTTTCCTTTGATGATAGCAATCTAGTCTTGCGACCCCGTTCGAGTGCTGTCAACACGTCGACTGTCTTGCAGACTACCACAGTCGATCTTCCCACAAGCCCCGATGAAAGCGCCGGCTCTGCTCGCCGTGGTTCCTTCATTCTCGTTTCTTCCGATAAATCGACGCACCAACCGTCCTCTGCACGTATCAGGCGTGTTGTACACCCTACTTTCTCGAGTGAAGAATCTTTCGTGGATCATCCACTTGTTCAGGCCATTTTTGGGCTGGCTCTCACTGTATTCGAGGATCAGCTCTTGGAACGCAAGGATTTCTCGGGATTCGGGCTTTATCACAAAACTCCTCCCGGCTTTTTGGAACACCAAGCATATTTCAATTCTTGGATCTTCAATCACGTGTTGTCAACACTCAAGACACTGCCCAACTGCAAACCTCGTCTCCTTCAAGAACCGCGTACTATTACCAACATTTCCAGATTCGCAACACATCTAGCCGAGGCAGTCTACGAGGGATGGTTTATTGATGGAGCTGCCACCACCTTGGAAAGTCTCGGATCAATTTTGGAGTATATTCAGCGACCGGACATCTCTATTCTGAAGAGCATAAGGCTGTGTAGCCAGGCGGTGGCAACAACCCATTCTACGTTATATCGTGTTGTCTTGTTACAATTATCAGAGGCTGATGAAAATGACACTTTGGCCGTTTTGAAACGTTTGAACTACTGGCAGGTGGTACTTCTCGGTGCATCAGAGACCGAGTCGAAACATCTCCAACTGCTCTGTTACCTTCTGTACACAAAGCTCATCAGCACAGATGAGGATATTCGACTGGCTGCTGCTAGTCTCTGGAGAATTATTTTGGTGCAAAAGCCTGATGAAATGAACAATATCCTTAGTCGTGGGCCTCCTACCCTGCAGGGTCGACTATCAGATGGCTTTGAAGCTCTGGCGGGCATGGAAGACGAAGCATTCTTGCATTGGATCGATGATGAGCGTGACGATCTTGACGCTTTGTTCCTAGGTATCCTAGGCCGAGCATGGGAAGCGTTCGTTCAGGATGAGAACACAAAAAGCGAAGAATCAGCTAAGAATCGGATCGCAAAGCGCAAGGAAAAGCTCAAGCAGTGGGTGCAGCTGGAGAAATTTGATGAAGAGGTGACTCGCAAACATAATGCCACCTTGCCTCATTGGATCTCAAATATCTCCGCGTCGGAAACTCTCAAGTCGCAGAGGTGTTTACAAGACCTTCAGGACAACTCATCTTTCATGTGGTCGGCCTTTTCTAACCTCTTGTTGGATCTTCGACGACCAGGTGGTCTGTTGTCGGAGGAGAAGGAAAGGAAATCTAGGCTCGACCAGACGGAAGGCCGCAGTCGGATGCGCTTACGCGTTGTCCCGGATGATTCAGGCGAACGCCAAGACTACCAACCCAAACGCAAGGCTTCTGAGCCCCCAGTCATGAAGATTGATACTCGAGTGCGTGCGCTGTCTGAAGGTGAGGCAATAGGGTCACCAACGAGCCTCACGGCGGAGCCAGAGACTGTTGATCCCGAGGTACAAGATGGCGAGCCCGAAGACCGCAGCATACTAGAAGAAAATTTCGAAATGATTGATGACCCCAAAGTGGAACTCGAAGACTACGAGGACAAAAATCGCAGAGTGATGCGATCGCTTCAACGAGGTGATCAGGTACAGAATGTCTGTAACCAGTCACGTATCATTGGTCTTGAGGCTGTAGAGGGTCTTCTGATCATTGGAAAGGACTGCATCTATATTCTGGATAACTTCTTTCAACGAGCTGATGGAGAAATTGTCAATGTTTGGCAAGCACCCTCTGAGGAGCGAGACCCCTACGTACGCATGATTGCTGGGCGAGAATCCAACGACCGCCGATCCCAGGATCATGAAACCAGAAGCTGGAAATGGTCTGATTTGGTCAGCGTCTCTAAACGACGCTTCCTCTTCCGGGACGTTGCGCTTGAGATCTTCTTTACCGATGGCACAAGCTATTTGCTGACTTTTCTCTCTGCGCGGGTCCGAGATGAACTGTGCAGTCAACTTGGCAACAAGGCTCCTCAAGTTACTGGAAGTGTAGGTCACTCGCGGCCGGAAGATATTTGGCGATTCGAGACTTTGCGCAGCCAAGAGGATGCTCCACAGTCTCTTGGGTCTAAGTTTGCCAGTGTCTTTGGTCATCTCCCATCTAGTCCAGCAACCCGAAAATGGGTCCGGGGCGAAATATCTAACTTTCATTATCTCATGTTGATCAATACCCTTGCTGGGCGCACATTCAATGATCTGACTCAGTATCCCGTATTTCCGTGGGTCCTGGCCGACTACACAAGCGAGGAGCTTGATCTCACCAACCCGAAGACTTTCCGCGACTTATCTAGGCCGATGGGCTGCCAAACACCAGATCGTGAAGCTGGTTTCCGTGAACGGTACAATGCCTTTGCAGAGATGGGTGACGATAACTCCCCACCTTTCCATTACGGAACACACTACTCTTCTGCCATGATTGTTTGCTCATACCTCATCCGTCTCCAGCCGTTCGTGAAGTCATATCTGCTCCTCCAGGGTGGCACTTTTGATCATGCAGATCGGCTTTTCTACTCTATCCGGAAAGCATGGGAGTCCGCATCTCGGGGAAACATGACCGATGTTCGCGAATTGACCCCTGAATTTTTCTATCTTCCAGAGTTCCTGATCAACTCCAACAAATACGACTTTGGGCTACTACAGAATATGACAACCACCATTGACTCAGTTGAGCTGCCACCATGGGCTAAGGGCGATCCTAAAATTTTCATTCAAAAGCATCGCGAGGCCCTCGAGAGTCCTTACGTGTCTGAAAATCTCCATCATTGGATCGATCTTGTGTTCGGCAGCAAGCAAAAAGGAGATGCAGCTGTGGAGTCTGTCAATGTATTCCACCACCTTTCCTACAAGGGCGCGAAAGACCTGGACGCCATTGACGATCCAATGGAAAGATTGGCCACAATTGGTATTATTCACAACTTTGGCCAGACGCCCCATCAAATCTTCCAGCGAACTCACCCCCAAAGAGAAGATGAACGACACCGTATTCCCCGGCTCGACACCCTCGCAGAATCGTTAACTCAGATGCCACTTTCGCTCCTTGATATTGAAGAGCGAGTGAATACTCTGTCTATGAAGCAGGATCGCCTTTTATGCACTGCTGCGCTCCGACTCAATGTTCCGCCAACGTATGACCAATATATGGAATGGGGCTTCTTCGATGGAAGCGTGCGCTTCTATTCCACCGACAGTCGCAAAGTATGAATTATTCCACCCTGGAATCCTCTTTGTATATCATAGCTAACTATCCATAGCTCCTCGGGCATTTTGAGCACCTCCATGTTGGTCAACTCTCCTATGCCAGCTTCGCAGACTCGCGCACACTCATCACCTGTGGAACGGACTGTACGATTTCCTTGTGGACAGTGACCTCGACCGCTCGGTCAATTGATCTACAACCTATTGGGTCATTGTTTGGTCATCGTGCCCCGGTTACCGTTCTCGCAGTTTCCCGTTCGTTTAGTTCTATGCTGTCAGCATCCAACGATGGTCAGATTATGCTATGGGATTTGAACCGCCGATGCTTCGTCCGGGCTCTTCCGGCCGATGGCACAGTTGATGTAAGTACTTCCTACGATGATTATTGTGGGTATTCGTTTCTCATTAACAAATTTTAGTGCGCTCGAATCAACGACGTAACAGGGGACATCATCGTCTGCCGTGGCAACCGTATCACCATGTACACGCTGAATGGAGATGTGCTGGTTGATCAGCCAGTTTGTGAATCCTCTGAGGATCACGTCCTGTCTTGTGTTTTTTACGAAGGTGTTCAGAATGAATGGCTCGAGCGTGAGCTCGTGTTGACTGGCCACAGTCGTGGTGTCGTTAACATTTGGGCCAAGAACATCCATGATGGACTCTTCGAGCTTGAGCTGATCCGACAGCTCCATCATACGGACAATAGTAGAGACAACGGTGCGAATATCTCCGCTGGAATCAGTTGTATCTTGGCTCTTCCCCAGGTTGTCTATACAGGGGACGAGGCAGGCCGAGTGGTGAGTAACTCTGTCCGGTGCAGTCCCCCCATATTATAGGAAATGTAAAACTAACAAGAATGTAGTACGAGTGGAATTGTGTCCAGCGGCGTTGAGACTCGGATATGAATTCCGTCCGGTGCGGCTATTGAAAGTGTTCGGAAGACTGTCCTCCCTGGTTGATACTAGAACTTTGAATCCACATAGACTGAGGTGACGTTAAAAAGCACGGGCGGTCTGTCCTCAAACCGGATAATTCCTGGTTTATTTTTGTTTTCTTTCCTGTTTTCATTTCCTAGTCGCAACCTCTGGACCATCGCCTAAATCCGGGGTTTTTTAGCGTTGCATATACATAGCGGGAATGGAAAGCATGCAGCACATATGGAACCCCGTAAATCGTGAGATTTAACCGGATCCCGGTGAGGCCTTGTGCAGGCCCCGTTGCAATCTAGTGGGCCGTTGGCCGGTCGACCATCCTCCGGATGGCGCTGCCGGAGCACTCTGCGCCGAATCATCGTTTCCCAAGGTCTTCTCCAGGCATAATGTAGTCTGCAATTGTATGTTACTGAGAGGTGAATGGGTCTCTGAATAATCGGTGGCAATCTAAGCCAGATATTTCTTGATGAATCATGTATGAGGCGACGTGTACCTGAATAAGTGTAGGATGGAGGGGCAACTGTAGCCAAAAGCGGGACAATCAATCCCAGTGATTTCATTGTGCAGCGTCATTTTGCCCCACTTCACATCCCACCTGGAATCATCCATCCGGTACTTCGCTTGACTATGATGATCCCATACTCAAGGGAAGTACCCGTAATAGCTCACCTGGTTCTAACCATGGACCTTCCCCCCGCCTCTAAATACTCTCCCCTCGCCACTTTTCCCTTCTTCTGTCTTCATCCTCTCCAATTCTTCTTCTTTAATTTTCATCCTATCTCTATACCATCATGACTTCTTCTCTTGAGCAGCTCAAGGCCACCGGCACTGTCGTGGTCTGCGACTCTGGTAAGTTCCACCCGACACATCCGGGATAAAGCATGCATTGAGCAATCCACTAACCTGCGCTATATAGGTGACTTTGCCAGTATGTAGCCCCTTCGTTCGCCACCAGGTGGCGCCCAACTTCCCTCTGCACTATCCTTCCTTTCAATCCAGATAAACTAATGTGTCACAGCCATCGGCAAGTACAAGCCCCAGGATGCCACCACCAACCCCTCCCTGATCCTGGCTGCCTCCAAGAAGCCCGAGTATGCTGCCCTCATCGACGCTGCCGTCGCCCACGGCAAGCAGGTCGGTAAGACCATCGACGAGCAGGTCGAGGCCACCCTGGACCGCCTGTTGGTCGAGTTCGGCAAGGAGATCTTGAAGATCATTCCCGGCAAGGTCTCGACTGAGGTCGATGCCAAGCTGTCCTTCGACACCGAGGGCTCCGTCAAGAAGGCCCTTGAGATCATCAAGGTATGCAACACACCCCATGCGGGAATTGGAAATTTACAGAATTAAAAACTTACAATGACATCAGCTGTACGAGGAGAACGGCATCTCCAAGGACCGTGTCCTGATCAAGATCGCCTCCACCTACGAGGGTATCAAGGCCGCTCACATTCTGCAGTCCAAGTACAACATCAACTGCAACCTCACCCTGATGTTCTCTCTCGTCCAGGCTATCGCCGCCGCTGAGGCCGGTGCCTTCCTCATCTCCCCCTTCGTTGGCCGCATCCTTGACTGGTTCAAGGCCGCCCACAAGCGCGACTACACTCCCCAGGAGGACCCCGGTGTCAAGTCCGTCGAGGCCATCTTCAACTACTACAAGAAGCACGGTTACAACACCATCGTCATGGGTGCCTCGTTCCGCAACGTTGGTGAGATCACCGAGCTTGCTGGCTGTGACTACCTGACCATCTCCCCCAACCTGCTGGAGGACCTGTACAACTCTACCGACGCTGTGCCCAAGAAGCTGGACTCTGCCAACGCTGCCAGCCTGGACATTCCCAAGCGCGAGTACCTCAACAACGAGGTCGACTTCCGCTTCGACTTCAACGAGGAGGCTATGGCTGTTGAGAAGCTCCGTGAGGGTATCTCCAAGTTCGCTGCTGATGCCATCACCCTGAAGGATCTCCTCAAGGCCAAGATTCAGGCTTAGATTGAGTGATTGTTTTCTTTTTCGATGTTACCCCCTCTTTCTACAGTTATGATTTGTAAATTGGCAATCCTCAAAATGCTGGAATCGGTAGATACGAATTGATGAATATGAAATTTTTTTTTTCTGTTATGATTGTGCATCATGAAACTTCAATCTACGATAGGCTGCGAACGTAGTAGGTTAATGTAGGCCAAAGGCAGTATCTTCGGTCTTCGGACAGAGCAGGCCCGACACATCCGAGGCCAATGGTTAAACCCCCCAAAGATCTGGACCAGGTCGGCTTATTCAGAATTTCTAATCCCAGACCTTCGAAATGAACCCCGCAGTTGTACACAGTGTGACATTGTATTACATTGAGAACTTTACTAAATATTTTAGTTTTCTGTATACAGTTATCTATATTCAATCTTTTGGTCTGACAATTGGATAGAGAATGCAATAGCAATCATGTTCTGATAGCTGTGTATAGCTGGTCCGGGTTGAGCTCGGCATTATGTCATTTCCCCTCGTCCCGCTTAGGAAGGTGGGGGAAGCTGTTTTGGTGCTGTAATCGGGTATTTGGTACAAGCAGTCACCCGCTTATTGAGCTGGTCACACTAAGTATCTGGTACCTGGATAGGTATGGAAGGTTCCCGGTAACGCAGTCACGTCAACATCATCCGCTTATTATTCTGCTGCTCCCACCTTTCTCTCCTCTTCTTCCTCCCCTCACAATTAACCTCCTTCCCCAAAGATTCAAATCAATTGAAATAATAAACGTCAAAATGGTCAAGGCTGGTGAGTGATACATAAATCTCTTCCTATATGGATCTGAGTTCTGTTATTGGATCTTCACCGTCTCCACGTCCGTGGCAAAGGACCTTGGGGTGAGCACATTTGAGCACCTTGGGGATCAGCCCGGACCTATCGGCTTTGCTCCCTGTAGCCTACATCTCTCCACCAGATCTTATGCTCCTGTACTCTCCAGGATACGCATCCTCTGATTTGCTGAAGAGGGCTGGAAGCTGTCCAGGTGGTTGCTTTTCGGATGCGGGAGCGGGAGCTCAGATCATTCCGAGCTTCCATAGGCTGGGGACATTCCACCTGCTTTCTGGAATATATAAGTCCAACTTAATTTGCATGCTAACAATCTGTATCAGTTGCTGTTATCCGTGGTGACTCGAAGATCGCCGGTACTGTCACCTTCGAGCAGGCCGACGAGTCTGTTCCCACCACCGTCACCTGGAACATTACTGGTAATGACGCCAACGCCGAGCGTGGTTTCCATATCCACCAGTTCGGTGACAACACCAACGGCTGCACCTCCGCCGGTCCCCACTGTAAGATCGACATATACCATATGCGTACCCTTTCCAAGGATTAAGGCTAATCATCCGCATAGTCAACCCCTTCGGCAAGACCCACGGTGCTCCCACTGATGCCGACCGTCACGTTGGTGACCTTGGTAACTTCAAGACCGATGCTGAGGGCAACGCCAACGGCTCCGTTCAGGACAAGCTTATCAAGCTGATCGGTGCCGAGAGTGTTCTGGGCGTAAGTTCTCCTCTGAGCCATTGCAATTGTAGATGACGTGACCGGGACTTGTACTGATAATCACAGCGTACTCTGGTCGTCCACGCCGGCACTGACGACCTCGGCAAGGGTGGCAACGAGGAGTCCAAGAAGACTGGTAACGCTGGAGCCCGCCCTGCCTGTGGTAAGTTTTGTTCCTTCATTTGGAAAGTTAAAGTGTGCCCCTTATTAATGAAAACTTCCAGGTGTCATCGGTATTGCCGCTTAAATATGATGAACTAGCTCTGGTATCCCTCCATCTTTATGTAAGATGAAAAGTTCAGGATATTTCCTGGCTAGGATGACATGATTTCAATGCCAATTATTCTTTGTTTTCCGAATTGATCAGTTGTAGTATGGGCATATTGCCGGGAAGTTCCTTATACTTCTCCGTACTCCCTAGTCTAAATCCTGTGGTGTCCAGACCGCTTTCCCCCACATAAACACCGGCCACGTTTCGCCTCCGAAGCTGGTCGCCCCCTTCTTGCTCAACTTCACTTTTGTTCTTCAATTCCCGCGTCATTTTTTTTTGTCATTGAATTTTCTTGTGCTACCTCTTTGTGGTAGTGGTGTTTCTTTCCCACCATGCCCTTCGAAGCTCGTGTCAAGTCCGTCCTGTCAGGCGATACGGTTGTGCTGTCGCATGTCACCAATCCTACACAAGACCGCATCCTAAGCTTGGCCTATGTATCAGCTCCTAGATTAAGGAGGGAAGGCGATGAGGTATGTGTTCCCTGGTCCCAATTGGGTACTTCAATGGGCGATCTCCGTCTTTGTTCAGGAGTCCCATAAAGTTAGAGCTGCTTGGAGATGCAGATTGCCGGCTCGCAGAGACGGAGCGAATGATGAACTGACATACTATTCCATTCCTTTAGGCATTCGGCTTTCAATCTCGTGAATTCCTCCGTGAACTCCTTGTCGGCAAGGTGATTCAATTCCAAGTCGTTTACACTATCCCCACCGGCGCCAAGCGTGAATATGGTATCATCAGGCTACCTGGCTTGAACGCTCAGCTGCCCGACATCTGTGTGCAAGAGGGTTGGGCCCGGGTCCGCGAGGAGGCAGGAAAGCGGAGTGATGACTCTCCTGAAACCATAGAGCTGTTGGGTCGCCTGCGTGCTCTGGAGTCTCTGGCTCAGGACGGGAATAAGGGTGTCTGGGCTGCTTCAGACGACGGCCTGATTGACACAAACAATGAAGTGTGGAGCAGTGCAGAGCTCGTGGAAAAGTTCAAGGGTCAGCAGATTGAGGGTATTATTGAGAAGGTGCTGAATGGTGACCGTGTGGTGCTGCGTCTGTTATTGTCGCCCAAGGAACACACACAGACTGTAGTTGCCGTTGCTGGTATCCGCGCCCCTGCCGCGAAGCGCACAACTGCTGAGGGCAAGGAGCAGGCCGCAGAGCCTTTTGGTGACGAGGCACAGCAGTTTGTTGAAGAGCGTTTGCTGCAGCGCAAGGTGATGGTTTCGTTGCTTGGTGTCACACCACAAGGTCAACTTGTTGCTACCCTTCTACACCCGAACGGAAATATCGCCCGGTTCATTCTGGAGGCTGGTCTCGCTCGTTGCCAGGATCATCACTCTACACTTCTCGGTGCTGACATGGCCCTTCTCCGCCAGGCGGAGAACACTGCCAAGGATGCTCGCAAGGGAATCTTCACAGGCCACGTTGGACCTAAGACCACCGGTGCCACTGCTGCAGACTACACTGTTACCCGCGTGCTGAATGCGGATACCATCTTCATTCGCAACAAGGCTGGTCAGGAGAAGAAAATCAGCCTTACCAGCATTCGCCAACCTAAGCCGTCTGACCCTAACCAGGCTTTATTCGCTGCTAATGCCAAGGAGTTCCTGCGCAAGCGTGTCATTGCTAAGAATGTCAAGGTTACAATTAACGGCAAGAAGCCTGCTACTGAGGGCTATGAAGCACGCGAGGTTGCTACAGTTGTCCAGGGCAGCACCAACATTGGTCTGGCCCTGGTCGAGGCCGGCTACGCTTCTGTCATCCGCCACCGTATGGACGATGATGATCGCTCCCCCGACTACGATGCTCTCCTTGCTGCCGAGGCTGAGGCGCAAAAGGACGGCCGTGGTATGTGGTCCCCCAAGCCACCTAAGTCCAAGCAGTACGTGGACTACTCCGAGAATGTCCAGAAGGCCAAGCTTGAGGTTGGTGTGCTGCAGCGCTCCAAGCGCATTCCCGCTGTTGTCGACTTTGTGAAGTCCGGCTCTCGTTTCACTGTCTTGGTCCCTCGTGAGAACGCCAAACTGACCCTTGTGCTTTCTGGTATTCGTGCTCCTCGATCTGCACGCGGCCCCAACGAGGCTGGTGAGCCATTTGGCCAAGAGGCTCACGATCTGGCTAACCGCCGCTGCATGCAGCGTGATGTTGAGATTGACGTTGAGACCATCGACAAGGTGGGTGGGTTCATTGGTACCCTGTACGTCAACAAGGAGAACTTCACCAAGGTTCTGCTGGAAGAGGGTCTAGCCACAGTGCACGCATACTCAGCCGAGCAGTCTGGTCACGCCACCGAGTATTTTGCCGCTGAGCAACGTGCCAAGGATGCTCGCAAGGGTCTGTGGCACGATTACGACCCGACCAAGGAAGCCGCTGAGGCCGAAGCCGCCGCAGAGGCCGCCAATGCCACCGCTACTGACAGCGATGCTGCCCCTGCCCAGCGTCGTAAGGACTACCGTGATGTCATGGTCACCTACATTGACCCCGAGACTGGCCGTCTGAAGGTGCAGCAGATTGGCAATGGAACCAGCGCTCTGACCGAGCTGATGTCCGCTTTCCGGTCCTTCCACATTAACAAGGCCAATGATACCCCTCTTGCAGGTCCCCCCAAGGCTGGTGATTGGGTTGCCGCTCAATTCACCGAGGACAACAACTGGTACCGCGCCAAGGTCCGCCGTAACGACCGCGAGAAGCAGACCGCCGAGGTGGTCTACGTTGACTTTGGAAACTCCGAGTCCTTGCCATGGTCTAGCCTGCGCCCACTCACCCAGCCACAGTTCTCAGTCCAGAAGCTCCGCCCCCAGGCCGTCGACGCTGTCCTCTCCTTCTGCCAGTTCCCCACTGCCCCTGACTACCTTGAGGACAGTGTGAACTTTACGGGTGACCAGGCCTTCGACCGCCAGCTTGTCGCCAATGTCGACTATGTGGACCCTGAGGGTGTCCTACACGTCACTCTCATGGACCCAGCTGTGTCTAAGAGCCTTGATCAGAGCATCAATGCTGACATCATCACTGAGGGTATGGCCATGGTGCCCCGCAAGCTGAAGGCCTGGGAGCGCGCCTCGGCTGACACCCTGGAGAAGCTGCGTGCTCTCGAGGACGAGGCCAAGGCTGAGCGCCGCGGCATGTGGGAGTACGGTGATCTGACCGAGGACTAAATCTTCTGCGCCTAGCTAGGAGATTCTTGCCTTGGAGTAACTCATTTTGTACAAAACTGGGATTCGGGCATGGGAAAAAGGGAAATTCTGTGCCATATGATATGCATCCTTCTGTAATTTGCTTTGTCTTGTTTTTATCCTGGGCTGGGTGGCCCTATGCAACTTCTTGATGGCACCTTTGCCGGTTTTTATTGCACGTCGACCTTCGATCGTGGATGGGGTTTTCATTTGAATAGTCATTGCAGCATTAAAGTGCAAATTCAAATATAATGAACGCAAAGTTCCCTCCTGATATCCTCAAATCTAACATTCTAACAAGTGGGCAGACTCACGGATATGAAGCTCGGAACTAAACTGTTGTATATTCCAAGGACCTAGCGGACTATTCCCAAAGCCACCTAACACTGTGATAACAGGGAAACAATGTTGCCATTCTCAACATCTTCCATCTCAGATTTGGTTACAAACCAAGGATTTGCTTCATATCGACCCCACCAAGCCTCAAGCTTATGAAATCCTTCAAAGAGCCGAATACCATAAATCTCCTCCATCGAAACCTTCGCCGCGGCGACTGTCACGTCTGCCGTCGTAGGCAACGCAGTCCTGACCAGACTAACATTTCCATTGTCATCTATCCATGACTCCAATCGTTTCAACATCCGAGCAATCTGAACCTTTGCATCTTCCGCAGCAGCTACACTTTGTTGTTCTTTTGTCATCCCGCTCCACAGCAGGCTAAAATCAGTCGAGTGACGGACTTGCACGTTGCACCATGTAAGCAACTCGTTCGTAAGTTGAACAATATCACGAACTTTTGCTTTCTGGATAATGTCGTCTCCTCGGAGGTTGTGGTAGCCCTGTAGATCTGGAAACAGATCTTCAAGGTACTCTAGTATGCTGGAGGATTCGGCAATGAATGTTTTCTTTTCTGAGTCGATGATACGAAGGACTGGAAGCGAGAATCCGGGTGGTCGTTTCTCATAGCCTGGGATAGCTTCAAGATTGAGTTCTTGGGACGTTGTATCGATGTGGCATGGGATCAGCCTTAGATTCTCTTTGTCCAAGTCGGCGGTGGATAGTCCTTTCACGCGAAGGTAGTATGCCACGCGGCGCGGGAAGATGCCGCTAGGCCAAATCCACAAAGTTTTGGAATTGGGTTGGGTGACTTGCTCGGACATAGTCATTTCCAGGAATCTTTAGTTGAATATAAAGTGTCGGGAAGAAGGCATTTGGTAGAATGTTGATCGTGGAATACATATGAGATTCTGGTGTCTAGTGGCCATATTTATAGTTTCTTTGAACAAGAACGAGGAGATTTTCTCGGGGATTTCACGCGATCATGCGCTTGAGCAGATATTTGCGCAAATTGACGTGCCTGTATTGCTAACCAATGGCGGGTTATCTTATAGAATGAGGCTATATGGAATGTCTCCGAGCTCTGTGAAAAGTCTCCGCATTCGGATTTTGCGAAGACCAAGCGTGGAGATTAGCCGTATGGGAGGATTCAGATCTGAGAAGCCATTTGAATAGGTTTCAGTCAAGGGTCATGCCTAGAAGAATATCCCCCGTGATTGGGTAGAATGGTCTCAGGCCAGAATAACGGGAAATTTACACCAGATCGTTGGACTGGCCTCTGTTGACAACCGTGAAGGAGGAACCTGTTTCAACTCTCTGTCCTTTTTCCACTTTCCTCGCAGAAATGACACACTTTTTGAAAATATATCCGATCGCCACTCGTCATAGATATGAAGAAGTTTCTCGGCGATTATCCGTTGATGTAGGTTGACAGTTGCGAAAAAACCTGCCACCACTAGTGGCCAGCTCAAGATGCTGTTTGATGGGGAATCTGAAGGAAGACGTTGCAGCTGATGGACAAAAGTCTCTACCAAAGAGGGGATCATTGAATCCTCATCAGCGGTGAATGGATCAAGGAGCTTTCTGACATGGATCCGACACGCTAAGCGATATAATTCAGATGTGATGGTATCATTCAGACATTCGATGTCCATATTGTGCTTGACGTTAAAGCTCATTTCACAGGAGACCAATTCCTGATCCAACAACAGTAACTCTTTTCTGGCCATAGATGCCTCGTCAGGCAATCGGGAATTCAGACGTTGAGACAGATTCGAGATGCGGAAAATGGTGATGAATAAGTGCTGTGAAGTCCCCATTATATTGCCGTGCTGAAGGTGACTAATGACCGATGGGGAACTGAAGATGTAATAGGCTTGATGAATTAATAGCTTGGGCCCAAGGGAAAATGCAGCCAGGGCGAAGAAATAACAAAACATCTCGAATACAAAGCCTTTTAGGATTGTGTTCTCACTTCCGCGGGAGATGCGATTCTGTAGAAGAAAGACAGCAGCATTAAGATGCGGGAGTATTCTCTCACTGTTGGTGAAGTTTTGTGTCTAGAATTGTCAATTTCAAGCTTCAAGAGAAAGGTTCAAGGGTTTTCACGAATAAGTTACCTCATGCAGACAAAGTAAAAGTACCGCGAGCGGGTTATAGTCTGTGAGGACGGATTAGCGAGGTGGCTCAGATATACTTTAGAAGGGGTAGAAGTGAAGCTCGCACCATTTAGATATGTGTCGGACGGAGAAGCAGCTATTTCGCTCTCAATTGCTACTCGAAGACTAGATACTGCCTGTCCATAGTATTCCACGGCAACGTGCCGGAGCTCTAGATCGTCACGGTGATATTTGAGTAGATCGGCAGAGGCAATTGTAAGAATGCAGTCCATAACTAGAGGGCTTTCTGATAACGCAGGAGATAACCACTTGAGATAATCAGTCCTTCGTGACCCCGTCCGAGTTGAAAGCCACTTTGGACTGGCATGAAGGAAATGACCGAGCAGGCGTTCGACCATGTCCGGCTTTAGAACGGTGAAGACATGCACCATTTCCCGTGCCTCCTTAGGCAAACTTTTTTCAGAAAGACGCGAATGTCGAAAGCGACGTCTAGGTACCAACAGTGAGGCACTGGATTCCCACTCGCATTCGATATTGTTACGTTGACAACCTGCACAAGAGGGACGAGTCTCGTCACACTTCTTTTTGCGACGCCGGCACGTTAAGCAGCCAGTTCGACATCGTGGGCGTGACTTGACTTGGGCATCATGGGATGTAAGCGCACTGTCTGTCATTTTGGTGTTGGATCATAGACGGGTGGGAGAGTAAAGGCAGGGACATCTATGCGGGGGCAATATCACGTGGCAACACGCCATGTGTGAGAAGTACTTTCTTGGCAGGAGTCACCAAGATTAAGGCTGAGCTAACGATCTGAGAAGTACTGGGTAATCTAGGCATCATGGTTTGACTGAAAGTACTATTTTTCATGGCTTCATTACTTCAAGAACCGTTAGTCGGGCCTTGCACACCGGCCTGGTCGTTTGGTCTACCACTGCGCTCAATCTTGCGAATTATTTTAGCAGGGTTCCCGGCCACAACATGACAGTCTGGGACATCCTAGATGCAATAAGACCTTAATATTAGCTTCGAAACATGGAACAACCGCTCTCAAAACAATGTGACCATTACCTTTGTGACCACGCTGCCTGCACCGATGGTGCATCCGTCGCCAATTGTTACTCCCGGTAGAATAATGACATTTCCGGCAATCCAGCAATCTTCGCCAACCGTGATAGGACACCCTAATTCTGGGCCATTGGTACCGTTGCGGAGGTCGGGATCTAAAGGGTGAGTGCCACTGAAGAAACACACATTGGGCCCGATGAGAGTGCGCGCTCCAATTGATACAAGGCACGTGTCGAGGATAGTGCAGTTGAAGTTGATGAAGACGTTACTGCCAACTTTGATGTTTGTTCCGTAATCGATGTTGATAGGTCGTTCAATCCACGGATACTCATGCAGGATTGCATCCTCTTCTTCGTCTGTCGCTCCGGGGGCGGCAGAGGCCGAGGATCCTTTGTTAGACTTTAATATATATTGCATTAGCGAGTCCAGCCAAGAAGCCCCTGCTCAATCCAACGGAGTAGAAAATACCAGGTCTTCCTGGATTAAGAATGTAAAGCTCAGGACATACTCTTTCCAGTACACTGCCAGTTCTCGCCGGGACAATTCCCCCGCACGGTTGAGTTGACCGACAATACGTCCACATCGTTTGCGCGCAGCGACCAGCTCCGGGGAGAAGGCGTAATAGAGCTCACCTCTCTCCATCCGGGCCAAATTATCTTTCTCGTCGATATTGGACAGCATTGTGGAGATTCTCACTTTGAAGTCTCTGAGAGGTATCCTTGAGAGGGAAATAAGGACAGTTGGAATTTAACAAGATGCCAAGTTCTGCAATAAGGTCAAGCCGAGATGCGTGGGGACCACCTATGAGATAATGTATAATTCAACGACCGGTATCATTTCGGAAATGTTGATCGAGAGAGAATCAATTCCCAGGGACTCGATCCATGTGGAGATAAGAATTGCCTATTTTGGGTAAATAGTAGCCGCGCGTGTGGATCAAGAGAGCCAATCGTGGGTCCGGAATTTCCCAAGTATGCGATAGTATGAAACGCATCTCAAAGTACAAGTACGTGCGCCTGTACTACTTGGAATGCTATGCATGTATGCAGATCCATATCGGTTCCCGTAATATTGTAGCCCTCAGGTCGAGTGCGTGTCTACAATACGTCTCACGTGTACATGGTCCGTGCCGATAGTATATACCCCGCAGGTTCATCACTTGGGCATGGGATTCAACCATGTTCAACCTGTTCATAGAGACTAAAAGATAAGCAAATTCTCAAAGTTTTACTGTATCTACGTTCCTCAAAAAAGTTTCATTTTGTTAAACATCTTGTTATGGTCCGATTAGAGCGGACTCAGCGTGATCCTAAAAATCTTCTCAACGAACGCCACCATGGATCTCGCCTTCTCTAAATGCGTGGGAAAATCTGATAAGATGGCAGGTCGGGCATGAGATCTCGTGCAACCTGATCTAGAGGTAGTCTAGAACAATGTAGATCCTTCAAATCAACCGCGGTCTACCCCTGGCTAAATTCCGATAGCATCCGGATTTGGGGAGGCGCGTTTCCAGGGTCTGGTAATGTACTCCGCAAATTCATTGCGGCTGACCGCCTCTTTTTCTCCCCGATCATCCTCCGCCACTCTCATTCCTTTGAACAGGGGACGATCCCATTTTCGAAAACAGGAAGACTCATCATCATGCTTTGGCGAACAAAGTCCAACCACAGCCAGGCGGAGGACCTCTCGCGCACCGCATCCGCGTCCAACAATGACCCTGCCGCCTCCGCCACCGCGGCCGCGGGCACAGCATGGCTTGCGGGTCACTTGAAACACCTGACACCGGAGCAAGAAGAGAAGCTTGTCGAGTTCAAGAAGGTCTGTGCTGAGCGTGGATACTACACCGTCGCTGTGGAATCAGCGGAGGGTGTAGAGGAGAAGCCTGCCAGTCATGATGATGCGACCTTGCTGTATGTTCTACTCCTGAGACATAAACCCCGTATTTGAATTGATGCTGATCATGTCTACAGGCGCTTTTTGCGCGCTCGGAAGTTTGATGTCGAGGGTGCGTGGGCTCAATTCAAGGATACAGAGGATTGGCGCAAAGAGAATGCTATTGAGGCGTTGTACGAGAACATCGGCGTGGACTCGTACGAGGCGGCTCGACGCATGGTTCGTAACTCACCTTTTGACTCAGCCCGATTTAGAAATGCGGTGCAACGGACTAACTCGTGGCCTCGCATCTGTACAGTATCCGCAATGGACTGGTCGTCGTGACCGTCGTGGTATCCCTATCTACGTCTTCGAGATCCGCCACCTCAACTCCAAGGAAATGGCCGCCTACAACTCCACCATGAGCACTGGTACCCCCGAGACTCATAAGTCGTCCTCTGTCCCGGCGCGCTTGCTCAACTTGTTCGCTCTGTATGAGAACCTTCTTGGGTTTGTCATGCCACTATGCTCGGCACTGTCTCGACCTAATCCCGAGACGCCGATCGTGACCTCCACCAATATTGTCGACGTGAGTGGAGTTGGGTTGAAGCAATTCTGGAACTTGAAGAGCCACATGCAGGATGCTAGTGTGTTGGCGACGGCTCATTATCCTGAGACGCTGGATCGTATCTTTGTGAGTTTAGTTCTCTTTTTCATCATTGAGTATCATGCTTACTGGTGAACAGATTGTGGGAGCTCCGGGTTTCTTCCCTACTGTTTGGGGCTGGATCAAGCGCTGGTTTGACCCAGGAACCACTTCTAAGATCTTTATCTTGTCCGCCGCCGAGGTGCAGCCTACTCTTGCATCTTTCATGGACCCCGCCAGCATCCCAAAGCAATACGGTGGCGAGTTGGAGTGGCAATGGGGCGACATGCCTAACCTGGACGAGCCGGCTAGCGCGTTGCTGCAGGGCGCTCAGGTTCAAGGCGAGGGCGATAAGAAGAGCCTTCTGAAGGGACCTATGCTGTTCAAGGGCGATCAGATCGAGGTGGTGGGCACCGAAAACGGCAAAGACCGCCGAAATACCATCCCCGTTCCCCAGACACAGCAGCAAAAGCCTACCTCGGAGACCAACGAAAATGCCGACAAGCCTCTCGAATCTGCGAGCGACGCTGAATCTACCCCCGTTCCGACGCAGAACGAGAAGGTAGCGGTCAACATTGATCAGGTGTCAGCCGAGGAGGCTCAGACTACCACCGCTGCGGCATAGACGCAGATAGAAGCGCAGTGGGATAATAGCCCAGGACCACAAGATGTCGATCGCCTACTAAACCGAGGCTCTCGTGTGAGGCCATTTGTATTCGTCTGCCTGGCTTGGAATTGTTTGATTATATCGATTTGCATGTGCATGTGCATTAGAGGGCCTTTGCGTCCCAACATTTCTCTTTTCATTTTCGGGGGGTTTTAAGGATCTTTTGTGGGCTGTTAGCCGGTGAGCCTGTTTTATGATTCGCCTACTTTTCTTGCTGCCTGACCATCGAAGATGATCCTTCGAGGATCTATTATCTCGTCTGGTTTAGGTCTTAATTCGATATCTGTTTATTCTCTTTTGGGTGTGCGATAGTAGATAGAATATATGTTTTGTTCGCTCGAATTGGATTATCAATCTCTCGTTTGTAACTTGATTTTCCATGTGAGTTTAACCTTTCCCCCTCGTTGTCCACTCATGTTAGAGTCCAACTTGACATTTCCACGACACAGGGTCCACTTGGCAAGACCCAGTTCCCACCCAAAACGTTCAGCATTATGACCTGCAAATATGGCCAACCTGTTGCCAGTTGACTGTCATTATTTGATCATTATAACTTTGTTCAACTTGCCACTTTGACATGTAGAAACCCTAGGCATAATCCACCAATGAGCAGTCGATCACATAATCCAGGGGTATGTCATGGTTCGGGACCTTTAGACGTAACAACGTGCGTGTTTCCGGTTCATCACATCGATGCATCGAACACATTTAAGGTTGAGTTACACTACTTTCATATGATTAGATCATCTGATATGTTCAGTAACCCTGGAACAACCTTATGTCATCATAACCCGAGCTTGAACATGATTGATGCAGGCAAACGCCCCAGCGCCCAAAGTGGTTATAAATCTCCGTGCATGATGCATGATCCATGGGTCCCACAGGCAGCCAAGTGTATAGCCAACTGGAATCTGGACCCGAACGAAAAATGTTGGGGAAGACACCATTCCAGAATCAGATGAGATCGACACCAGTCCGAGGCTCATTTTTGCGGAGAGTGGAGATTCACATGATGCCGAAGTGATTTAGTGGTTCAGGGGATCGACAGGTCAAAGTCCCCTTTTAATCATTTAAAAGCCCACGCTGCCCCCGTTTTCCCGGGGGAAAGTGGGAAATCGCTGCTTTTCGATACTCAAACTGCGCAGACAATTATATCTTACGCCATGGCCGAACGGAATCCCAAGGACTCCATGAAGTCCACTTGGCGCCGGCAGGCCCGCTCAGAGTGGACTCTGTTCCACTGGTTCTACGAACTACTCGGAATTCACCCGGAACATCTCGACCAGAACGTCCCCGTTCACCTGAAAGAGGACGCTGTCCCTTATGTCCCAAACTGGTCCACACATCGTTGGGTCATCACCCATGCTGTCATTCCACTGCTATTACAACACGCGTACGTCCAGTACACAGGTCGCAATCTCAGTACCCTCGCCGCCTTTATCTTTTACAGCATCAGCTTCAAGCTGATCGCTATTCACGAACTGCACGTCCTCCGCCGCCTGGGCCATATCCATGGTTTCCTAGATGGCGATAAGCACGCCCGCGACGGTGTCCCAGATATCGGCGTCGCAAAGGTCGTCCGCTCCCTTATGTCAACATCTACAATTCGACCCATGATGTCCGTCTTCCTCGCCTACCGCACCGCTGAAGCACCTTCATCCATGAACTTCCTTTGGCTGCCACTGGAAATCGGCCTGTACGGCATCATCCTCGACTTCTGGTTCTACTGGTACCACCGCCTCATGCACGATTTCGAACCACTATGGAAGTACCACCGCACTCACCACTTGACCAAGCACCCCAACCCGCTCCTCACCCTCTACGCAGACCTGGAGCAGGAGTTCTTCGATATTGCCGGTATCCCGCTTATGACATATTTCACTATGAAGTTCGTCGGGATGCCAATGGGCTTCTACGAGTGGTGGGTTTGTCACCAGTATGTTGTTTTTGCTGAGTTGGCGGGACACAGTGGACTTCGTGTTCACTCGAGCCCGCCTTCGACGCTGAACTGGTTACTTCGGTATTTCGACGCGGAGTTGGTGATTGAGGACCATGATCTGCATCACCGGAAGGGTTGGAAGAAGAGCCATAATTACGGGAAGCAGACTCGACTTTGGGATCGTATCTTCGGTACCTGCTGCGATCGGATCGAGTCGGTGGAGCATAATGTGGATTACGTGAACCAGTCGCCTATGCCGTTGTATTGATTTGGGACGAAATGTTTTGATTTAAAAATGATTCGGATTCTGTGCCCCTTGGTTCCTTTGTTTGAACATAAAGCTGGGTATACCGGCGAATCCTGGTGTGCTTTTTCCCTTTACTTTCCCGAGTCGATAATGTTTATATTTTTTGATACCATGCTAGAGTTTATGTCTATACCAATGATTGAATGAAGCCTTAAAGTTTTGATACTGAATTTTAATTATGCTAGTGGTCCCTTTCACGCACAGTGGAATAACATATGTAGGGTCATGGCTAACATGAAGTGCATTCGTTCTATTTGATAAGTTGTCTCTATTCTAATCTGAATAACTCTCAAGTTCATGCGAGCGGCAGGCTTAGGCCATCCGCTTGCGATATACAATTCCAATCCCATGATCTATTGTTTCCTCCATCATAATCCTGCCATGCCTTTCGAATCTTCCCCCTACAAATGCGAATGTACCCCAAGCACCGAGCTATCTCGAGCCGCCAGAGTTGCCTCTCAAACGCCTCTCTATCTTGCTGATGTATGCAACCAAGTCCGATGACGAAAAACGGTAAAAGTGAAACGGTTTGTAACTCAAATCCTTCCAATAATGACAGGCTAATGAGGCCTCTGGCGACCATGGTTTGGACCTTGTCCTTTGCAACATCGCCAGGATGTATGATCGACAAGACCCAAATAGATATAGCGGCAATGTAGGCTTCGTACATATGACGGAGGTCCGAGTCAAATTCAGGCACGGTCCACTCACTAACATCTTGCCAAATATTAACAGCTCGTGTTATAATCTCATGTCTGGGGACTGTAGAATCTGAAGTATCCAATTGTAGAGTATGGACGCGCGAGGTGATCTCAAGTAGTCCATGGTGCAGTCCTAGCATGTATTCGTGATCAAAATAATCGGTCTGGAAAGCTTGTAATGATATTAAACCATCCATTCTCTGACTTCGGTTGGAGCTTTTGTGGTTGTTGGTCACGCTTCCAAGAATGTCATGATATGAAAAGAACTGCATCAGAAATATATCGATTCCTAGGCACTCGAAGTCTTCACAGGAAAGTGTTTGAATTTCATCATTTTCTGACTCTGGTCGAGAACCCGATTCACTCGGACTTCGATGTTTCTGTAGCACGCCATACACAAACGATCTTGCATCATCTAATCGAGCTTTCCATGAGTGGTCCCCGGTGCCTTCTGAGATTTCGTACAGGTAAAGTAAAAGATAGGCCGTGAGGAGTGCCTCGTATTCCGCACTCTCGTCTGCCGTTGTTCCTTTTGGCGACCGTAGGGCGAGGACCCTTGTGGCTAGTTCTTGTTGCGCTCCCCTCAGGAGACTCTTTTTGCTTCCCATCAACCCTTTTACTTCGGATGATCCCGCTTGGAACTGATTGATCAGATGTGATGCCCCTAAGCACAGAATGGCATTCAGTACCATTGTGTCGTGTAAGGCCTTCGAGATGATGCCCGACATGATGGGGTCATAGCCTCCATCGAATGGCAGAGTCAACACATGACACGTGACGTTGACGAAATGACACCACAGACGTTTCTCACTGGGAGAGTGAATGCATCTCTCGGGCAGATTTGAAAGTTCAGAGGGCGCATTGGAATCGGATGACATGTCTTGAGCGTTTATTTAGATCATTGTTCTGCGTTGTATGATAAGGAGCTAGGGCACTTTCCCGAGATTGCGGGCGGGGGTTGTTATTTTGAGGAGTCTGAAGGAGAAAGAAGGGAAACGGAATTCTACGGAAGAATATAATGGGTCGTAGATAAGGCATGAGAATGTAAGATCGCGCGATTAGAACTGTTTTCTTTTGACGCGGCAACCGCGCCGCTGTGCAGGTGGGGTGGTGCGGGATACAGTCTGCCCATTTCACCTTTATTGACACCCTACCCTATAGATAGCTCCATGCTTGGGTCATCCTGGCCGAGAGCAGTTTCCCGAGGGCGGATTATTTGATTCTGGACTGCATAATCAGTGCTCATCTGGCAAAGACGGTGTGGACTGAATGTCGAGTATCACATTTCCATATCATGAATCTCGTCAGACTGGATAGATCATAAAGCCCAATGGTTGACTGAATTGTAGGTTACCTTGGTCGCATTAGTAATCGGGGCCCGCTTTGACCTTCCAAATGATATCTAGTATTTAGTATGAACCCTCTACCATCGAAAGTTCCTCGAATTTGCTCTAGCCAAAGGGATAAGAATTTTAGTCGTCGGTTGAAAGCGTTTGTGTGGGTAAATGGCAGTGAACATTTGGAAGGAATGCTACATGTGGCATTCCATTTCGTTAATCTTGAGTTCTACTAGAGAAATGCCCCCCCGAGCGACATAATACAAATGTGGACAGACCTGACGCACCATAATTTGCTTGGTGGTGCTGTATACACCGCTATGATGGTGAAATTGTAGGCTGAATAGGGAGTGAAGTTATGTGATATGAGCTGGGTGGAGAAAGAAGACAATCTACGTAAGGAGTAAGGGTATTCTGAGTGACCACTACCGTAACATATTCAACACTTCATAAATCTAGACGAATGATCTGATTTTCATTATAGAAACTTCACATTGAAATACAATGAGAAGTCCGGTCACGTTCGCTGTTTACCCTACTGAGATGATAGTAGCGCGGCGGGCCCTCTCAATGATGAGAAACATTTCTGCATGGGAGTATCGCTGATTGGGGGTGCACCAGTAAAAGAAACCATCGAGTGAGACCCCTGAAGATCTTCAAGTTCCACAAAAACACCTATATGTTGCAAAAGTACTTCAGCTTTGACCACACGTGCTGATACTCGTAGGTTCTGATAGATCGGGGGCGGGGTTAATCCGGCTAAATCTCAAACTCAATGAGCGCGGCTACTTATAGCTGGAAAAGGTATATAGTGGGTCTAATAGTCTAACTGTTCTACATGCCGTATTCCCAAGGCTGGCATTGGTGATAATTGGAAAGATTCTTTGAGAGACAGGTTGACACTTTGGCAAAGTGCCCGGATGGTACATCCGGGCTTCCTATCGCGAGTAAAATACCAGTATGATAGGAATACAGTAAGCATTCCTTCCGATATGGATTTATCATATCTTTTGTCTGCGGGTAGGTAGGTATCCAGATAAACCCCTCCAAGACGCCATCAATCAACCCTTGCTCCTTGTCTTGTAGGGCATTGTGTAACTAGGGGTCCGTTGGATTCTCCGGGTCAAATTGACCGCCCACTTCTGGAGAAAAGATTAGGATGTTTTTCATCCCGAGATCTTTTGCGTATTAAAGCACCATGCTTAGCGAACAGCGGCTCCTTTTAAGCTTTTCCACCCATCCCACTAAAGCCATGATGCCATGCCGCCATGTCCTTCTCTTCCCTTTAGAGCTCTGTATATTGCGTCGAGAAAGTTGACGAACTACAAGCTTTAACTCATTAAAAATTGACGGAACGTTTCTGAACTTCTTCCGAAACGTTACAGTATCCTAGTCACATGCCTCCGTATGGCATAGATGACCTCTCACCCCTTCAGACTTCCTTAAAAATCGACATTCCTTTCTACTGACCATGTGTCCTCATTCGAAGGAGGAAAGGAAAGCCCATTGATTGACCACACTCTTCAAGACAGGATACCGGCCACAGCTCTTACGACACCTGACCTGGGATACAAATTGTACTGCAAAGATGATGACTTCCGAGCCCAAGGCAAGCTAGAGCCTAACAACCACTCTCAGACTTTGATCTACACCTCAGCAAACAATGATGGATTAAACCAACCTTCAAGAGTTCACTTTCCTCTCGCAATGACGAGCCGGGGCAAAAAGGAAGACGGCGAACGAAGGAATGAACTTCTAGACTTTGTCAGGACTATTGACTTTCAGTCACTACTTCTTCTAGACGACACTGTCACTGAACTGATCTACAACGCAAATGAAGATAATAAGAGAATGAACGTACAAAAAAAAAAAAAAAAAAAAAAAAAAAAAAAAATCCAAAGTTGCCAAACAGCACCGCGAACCGAGTGATACTATTGGATCCACCAATCTCAAAAACCTTGCGTTTCAATACCAGGGAGGATCCTGATAAAGTAATCTGTCCACCACATTCCCAATTCTCATCATTCCAGGCTATGATCTGACATAGGAGAATGAGATAAGCGACGGGATAAAACACTATTGATATTTGACCAAGTTCAATAAATCGTGCTTCAACGTGATTTGCTCCTATTTGCATCAATACTAAGAAGTAATTCCGCGTTTTACACAAAAGCGGCCAAACACCACATATTCCTCAGGCGATCAACCACCCTTCCTAACAAGCGCGGTATACAGAACAATCAACAAGAACTAAAGAACTTTGAACAGTTCAAAGGCGTGATAAAGATCGTTCAGCTTCCTGGTATTGCAGTATCTATCAATCCATACGCCCATACGCCACCTCTCAAAACATTTAGATTTTGGTTGTAAAAGGTATTCTTTCAGAATACTATGGCGAATCCTGATGTACCACCGTACGTCGCCAAGAACTGGTATACCACAGGTATGACCAGGACTCAGAGGCGAAGGATATACAAGGACACTCTTTCATGTGCTTGGTTTGGTTCTTCGCGATTAATCCTACATTGTTACTTGGACATACCATTACGATAGTATCTTCGCTGTTTGACTTGTTGACAACCTATCCTATAATTAGGCTAGATCCTCCGAGACCTGACCTCATTGGCGCTCTACCTGAAGAACACTTTCAAGACTATTTTATAAACCCGAGCCGTGTAAGGCCTAGGTGACCAGGTTACGGTACGGTTGCAAGTACAAATCTGAAGACACGACCGTGGTAAGTATACCTGATACGAGACCAGCTCACCAGTTCGCAGGAGCAGTGCGTAAAAGATAGATCAAAGGGTCGTAACAAACAGTAACTACTATATCGAGAAGAATGCCAATGATTGCTATGCCGTCGGAGAGGCATAATGTATATGTCTCCCAGGCAAACTGCAGAGGGTTTCTTATACTAGGGGCACTTCAGGTTTGATACCCGAAATAGTGAAGGCCATATGGTTACTCCCAATAGAATAAAAGATGGAATGGAACTCACCGAGGCCCTCGATCTACCTTGAAAAGGTAGAAAGGGTTCGATATCAGTTTAAGATAGATACCTAGGTCTCGTATAATTCTAAGTAGCTTATGGCCTTCCATGAGGTATCACAGTGGGGAACTTCTAGAATCATCTTCCTAGCATCGGTACTACAATACCGAACGGAACCTGCCATCCATTAGCAATCCGAGAGTATAGATGTTGATTGGACAGTTATTGAGAAGAAGCTTCTTGAGGCGGATATCATGCTTTCTGGCAGCGGACTTCTGCTCAGGGTAATTGTTTACATAAATAAGCTGAGTTATAGCAGAAAAAGGACATGAAACAGACGTTTTTCTTCACTGCAGTAACGATGATCTGGATTTCCTTTACCGTATAGAGAGGTCACGTATGCTCTTAACTAACGTCTACATTGCCCAGTATGACGCCGTGGTGATTTTTATAAACTTCAATTGCCCTTCCGTGTCATTCCACGAATGGGTAACTCATACTAATTTCAGTGATTTGTAGACTACTTATTTCCTCCCTGTTCGCTGTATTATGTTACCCGAGAAAACACTGGGATAGCTAGTGGACCTAGCGCGCTATCTCCAAGTATCATTAACTTCCGCCGTGCCAATATCGCAACCCCTCGGGACAGCCATGCGCATATTGGGATCCATTTCCCAGGTGACCCCGCCATTCTGCTTTCGAATGTATTTGTATTCGAAATTCACGCCCGCTGGTAGATCCACGGATATATACCACAGATGATTGTTATCGGAGTACTTATCCGCCCTGAGCGCAACTGCGCGATTTGTGTCCCAGTTTCCGAGCTGGTCGATTGAGCCAACCAAGAAAATATCTTGACCCCTGGTTGTTGTAGCAATTACGTTAAATGAAAGGTCAACTGTGGTTGGAGTTGCACAGGCCGTTGTTGTTGTTGTTGATGATGATATCGTCGTTGTCGTCGCAGCTGAGGTCAAAGATGTAGTTGTAGTCTCCCTTCCACTAGTCATAGTGCAAGGCCATAGAGTCTTCGTCGGAGTACCGTAGGTTCCGGTAGCAGATGTAGCAGAGCACTCGGATGCCTTGTTGACGTTCTTCGCTCCCCAAGAGCGTGGCACGACGGAGTTGCGGCGTAGATTAGCGGTCAGGAGTGCAGCATAGGAGAGGGACAGATCGCGGGCAGATATCGGGGACCCGTCAACCTTGCTGAACTGTTCCGAGAGAGAACCGTCGGTTGGGGTGTAGGTTTTCTGGGTAAGCGAATTCATTTACAAATCAGTAAAAACAACCAGCGGGGACTGCTGACGGTATAGAATAAACGTGATAGATGCACATACGGATATATTCAAAAACCCATCCGCATAAGATTTGACAGCGCTGACAATGGATGTAAATGTTTCGTTGGAGGAAGAATAAGTTCCTATGAGGGCTGAAGGATAGACACCCCGGAAAAATGTCAATGAGGTCTGCGTTATGGTAATCGATCCGATTTTGTTCCACTGGTATACTGCATCATAGAGTTGCTCTGCCGCTGCCAACGTTGTCAGAAACCAAGGGTTACCGCTCCTGTACACATCTTCAGGATAGCGGCCAACAGCTACGGCACCGGAACCGGTCCCTGAGTTAATCTGATAAGCAGAGCGGAAGGTATCGGTGATAGCCAGGTGGTTTGCAAGTGCTCTTGGGGAGCATGGCTGGAAAGTAAGATCGTCGCACTCTGCCTCGGGATCGAAGCTGCGGATGCTTGCGAGGATTGTACTTGCATCCTTTCCCGAACGCACACTATCACCCGCGAAATTGGCCAGGATATGAGAGCCTGTCCAGAAGTCTTGCAGATGGCAGAGCACCTGTGGTGCTTGTGACTGGCACCAGGAGCAGGAGCGGCCAATACGACTGGCGAAGGTGTTTCCTTCGACAAGAGCGCGGTGCTGAGAAGCAACGGTGAAGAATGATGATCCAATGACATCACCCCAAATGTCTTTTTACGGTTAGTGTTTGATTTAACGTTCGCAGAGAGCCAGGGTGTGTCTACCATAACCAGTCTGATTCCAGAACTGGGCGACATACGAGAGATCGTTCTGAACGATTGGCCAGACATTGTCCTCCGCATAACTTGAGTAGCCATTGTCCTGATTTTCATTAGCCAAGCCAGTGAAAGAGATGGATACATACAATGAGCCAATGACCAAAGTTGATTAAGCTTGATGCTCGGAGAGCGGGCCCGTCACGCTGAGGTCGACCCCATGCGCCAGTGAACGCAGTCTGATCCACACCGAATTTGGGTTCTCCCAAGCCACCGGCAGATAAGGAACCGGCAGGATTGGAGATGGTCTGCAGATAGCCCTGTGAATTTGCATAAGTGGTGAGTGGGATCTGCAAGCTCGCATTGCCATTCTGGAACAATTCCACCAATGTCCCCGCCGTGAGAGCTGCGTCTCTGGTGAAAGTAAAGTAATCTGTAATTGTTTCAGTGGGTTTTCCTTGAGAGGAAAGCTTGGCGGTGGGTACCACTCACAGTCAGGATCTCGGCTAGAGATCACAACTCCCGCATCGGCAGATCTTGCATACTGCCCAGTGGAGCCAGTGTTCTTGAGGATACCCTCCAAAGCAAGGTTTGACTCAGAGGCCAGCCATTCATCCAAAGTTCCTGCTGCTGTTGCAATAGCAACTTTACCGATGGCTAATGCATGAAGCGCAAACACGAGAAGACGAGGCATCATCCAACGTAGATAAAACTGACCTGTACAGGAACTGATCGAATCGGATACTTGCAACTGGCATCAAAATCTATTGGAAGATCGTTGCCTTTTAAAGCCTTGTATCTCCCTGCGGGATAATTTGCTTTGAACTCGTATCAGTCCTTGATTGGTTAGATGTCCGGCTTGGGCACGTCTGGCCTTCTTCTCTTCGGTCGAAAACTTCGGAAATCAATAAAAATCACTTTGCTCCGAAAATGCAGCCGGAGAAGGGCCGGACACAGACGTTGGTGGCAATGCAAATGCGGGGAAAGTAAACTGGGGCATGTCAGGGGCACACAAACCGACCTGGGGTGCATGATTAACATGTGCTTCAGTCTTCAGGATTGTATCAGGCTTAACTTTCCCTCTTCTATTCATTCATGCGCATTTCGCTAACTTCCGATCTGTGGACGGAGAGGAGACACAGGGGTCTTTTCTTTGTCTGTTTTCAGCAACGTTGCTTGCAACTTATTACTCTGTGAATAAAGTGAACTTTAATTGAGACAAGAACAGATTTGACACAGAACAACAGTCACTCCTGATATCACCCTCGGCTCTACTTCGCTGATGGGCTCTCGGGTGTGGACTAGGTAATTTCCGAGGTCGAACGTGGAGTAGTAACTGAATCTCGGTGAAGCTAACAAGAGCCCGCCTGACTCTTCTCAATTCCGGAAATAAGTGCACAAACTCTCTCCGCTAGCCATGATATCAGGGAAGTGGCGAGTCTCTATTCGGGCGTATTTCGGACTTAATTGACTATGAAGAGTATTTAGCATTTGCGTGGGATGCGGGTGTTTATCGGAAATCAAGTCTCCAGGCGCCAGAGAAGGGAAAGGAAACTGTCAAGCTATAAGGAGAGCCATTGTGGTTAACCGCAGAACGGCTCAGCAACATCAGACCTATTCTTTCTCGGCTGAGCACATCTGAACGTGTACTTTATCTTTTTAATTACTCGTTGATATCATGTTTTGGCAGCACATAAGCTTAGCCATGTTGGCTAGCACTGCGCTGGCCATTCCCAAACCCGGTGTGAGGTGCCGCTCCATGAACTCCACCGTCACAACAGCGGACAGCAACGACTTGAAGTCGTGGTGGCACGAAGCAGGTGTGATCGATCCACACGGCCCCATCGCCGATGACAGCGTCCGTCAATCGCATCTATACTCGGTCCAGGTTGCTTCCGCCGGCAGCAACACCTTCTACGATTCTTTTGTCTACGAGACCATTCCCCGCAGCGGCAAAGGGAAGCTCTGTTACCCAGATAGGTCAGATATTTGTAATGAAGACGATCAGGTCAGCATCGAGGACGACATCGGTGTCACCATGGGATGGTCCCAGTTTCTCTATGGAAAGGACGCAGTCGTCAAAATCACTCGCACCGACGACAAGCCAATCCTTTCGGCCGATCACATTACGATCCGTCCCACCAACCGCGAGTTCGACGTGACGGTCTCCAATAACGCTGCTTTTATCAGGGTACCTTACAACCCCGAGACTAATGGTGCGCGCTTCTCGGTAGAGTTCGCAGACGACATTTTTGAGTATCGTATTAAGGAGAAGACCCAGCAATCGACCTACGTGCAAGACGTCAACCCATCGGGCGACTACTATGTTCAGTCTTACACAGACTCTATGCCGGTTGTGGGGCGCGAGCCACTCAATGCGCTCCTCATTTTCGCTAGCCCCTTTCCTTCCGGAGTTTTTGTCCCATCCACCCAGCAGGATATATATGAAGTTCAGCCTGGCCTTGTTGAGAGTCTCCAACAGGTGACCAAGTCGGTTGTTTCTTTTGGTCCTGGGGTTTACTGGTTCACAGGGAAGAATCGTGCTATTCTTCCATCTAGTGTGTCATGGGTCTACCTGGCCCCTGGTGCATATGTCAAGGGCGCCATCGAGTACAACAACCCCAACAGCCCGCAGCTTAAAGCCACTGGTTACGGTGTGCTCTCTGGAGAACAATATGTTTATCAAGCAAACCCTGCAGCAGGATATAGCAACACCAAGTCTGATCTGACGTCCTTGAAGATGTGGCGTGGTAATGGTGTCACTAGTGGGCAGACTTGGGTAATGAATGGTATTACCACCAGCGCTGCTCCTTTCAACGTCATGGACTTTTATGGAGACAATGACGGCGTGCCTCCTCCTGGTTTTGCTGTGGATATCACCGATTACAAGCAAGTCGGCGGTTACTTTGGCCAGACCGATGGCCTTGAGATGTACACCAATGGCCGTCTGCAGGATGTTTTCTATCATGTTGGCGATGATGGTATCAAGACATATTACTCAGGTGTCCACGCTCAGCGTATGATAGTTTGGAAGACCAATAATGCCCCTATTATTCAGATGGGCTGGTACCCACGCAATATTGAAGACATCCGTCTTGAGGACATCGATGTGATTCACTGCCGTTATTACTCGTGGCTGGACTTTGCCCCCCGAGCTCTGATCGGATCCTCCTCCAGCTATCTTGATATCAATTCTGATAGCACGGCCGATATCACTACCACCATTTCCAACTACACTGTGGCAAATATCCGAGCAGAGGGTATTTCTCCAGGTCTTATCAGTCTGAACATGTTGTCGAACATCGATGATTTCGTTATTGAAAATGCTTGGATTGAGGAGTTAACCCCCGTTCCTTCCCTCGACATCAGTGCTATTGTGGGATTCACGGATAAGAATCATAACAACCAAAAAGTCAGCCTTGGTGCCAATTCCGTCAATGGGGTCGGTTTGACCATCCGGGGCTTCCAGGTCGGAGATACCCCTATCAAATTCGATTCGGACAATTGGGATGTCAATTCCGCCGGTCGCATCAGCATTGACCCTGCCTTTGACAGCCACTACGTAGTGGAGTAAACACAATCTCAACCTTGTTGAAAAGGCTCAATGGTGTATGTGGAGTGATTTTGTAAGGATAGGACTGTACGAGGTATCCTTGGAGCTGTCTAACTGCCTATATTCTGTTCCGCCAATATGGCTGAATTCGTTGACTTAGCTCAGTATACTTATCCTTCGATTTCTATTCATATCGTTCAGCCTAGAGGCAGCTACCTAGCTAAGAATCAAATTCAATATGCTAAGATTGGCCTCGGTCCAGTGATATTCCGAGTTTGTAAATACTCTGATCGGTCTTTGGCTCGAATCTGGTATAATCCTTGCCGCTGTAATTCACTAGTGCCGGGGAAGATCCATTCCACAGTATAGCCAGCATGTATGAAGCCCATTCTCATTGGCTATAAGCATGCAGCCATTTGAATGGGGATTTACAATTGCGTAAACTGTACATCTCTTCGTCTAGTACTCTGGAGTAAGACCTACAGGGGCTCTCGGGTGCAAATACCATCCCTGTCAGAATAGCTGCAATGAACGCCCACTGCAATGCGAATGAGAGACGGTACGCCCATTCGGAATCTGTATCAACCAAAGCACGGATCACACCGACACCACAGGTCTGTCCTAGAACCCAGCAAAAATTGATATAACCGAGGAGTTGACCTCGGAGCGCCACCGGCATCACCTCGGCAGCATAAGAGACAAGGCAATGTCTGAAAAAGACCCCATGGGATCCCTTTGCGGGGTTAGAAGTGTGATTAGGTCCAATAATTTACATGCAGGATTTGAGAACACACCATATAGGATCTGTGCGGCGAGTAAAGTCTCAAAATCCCTCGCAAGGACTGCTAAAAAGACAAATGCGCCCAGGACAAAGAGGGCTGAGATCAAGGTATGCCGGTATCCAAAACGGTCGGCAAACAGACCATTACCAAGGAGGCCGATGATCACACTAGCCTGGGACCCATTGATCAAAGAAGCTTGCCAAATTGATGAAATATAAAATTCAGACAGCTCATCGCCAGTGGAAGTCCCGTAGGACCTTTGGTAGACGGGGAAGGTGAAGAAGCTGGTCAGGAGATTCATATCATAGCCATCCACGATGATGCTCGACGACAGAAGAATGGATCAGGGAATGGCTTTGGGGTATAGACGAAATGCTTGGGTTAAAGTCATTTTCTGTTCGGCTCGTGTTGCCGTCCGGGCACCGGAGGCGAGGTCGTAGAGAGCTGGAATTGTTGACGATAGGGGGTCGAAGATGTCGACATTGTCGTACAACAGCTGCTCTGGTGAGAGGCTTCGAGCGATACTGTCGCTGGAGGAGGTACTGTGAGCATGCGATAAAATTGTCTTTGCCTGGGCGGCACGCCTCGTAGGGACAGAAACGCGCATACGATTCATGCTCGCCTTATTGGACATTGCGAGGAAGAATAAGATGAAAGGTACAGTGCCTTTTCTTATCCAAAGGATTTAAAAGAGGCGACTTCCCATGTCTGGCTGTGGGAAGAGGCCAAAACGGACTCAATTTGCCTCGCCAGTTCCTCTTGCTTTCGGTCGCAGAATCGGTGTAGAATGGGCCGAGGACTGTGCATCCCGCCGGAGTGGAAAGGCCAGTGTGGAGAGAAATTGACTTCTCTAGGAGACCGATTGGACTGAGCTAAATTACTGAATTGGACTTGGAGTTACCCCGTAGAACGCCCGCAGGTGCTAACCCCAGCTTTCCGAATCTCTGAGTTTGATAAAAGGCGGACTTTACCGTTTCACCGACTACTTTGAGATTAAGATTGATAATCCAGATAGTATGCGACATGGCATTCCCCTTCTTCCCGGAAAGCCACCCGACCATGAGCGTGGCGAATTACGCTTACATGCGACAGCTCTGGGAACATCAAAAAGCCCTACCTGAGCACGGACAGGGGACGGCAGAGCACATAGAGCAAATGGCCCCGTCTTCAAGCGCGGGAAGACCATCATTTGAGCAGACAATCCCACTACTCGAGCGAGGTGAAAGTGGAAGTGGATCGCAGGGCGATAGGCGTCCTTTGAGACTAGCCCGAATATTTGTCCCTGCTAGACTTCGAAGGACAAAATCTCAAGACGATCAAAGTGGCCCAAACCATGATCACCATAGTGGCCATGACCCGCGCGTTTTACCCCCGTTCCTCTCCACGTCCACCTCAGCAGCGACTCGACCAGGCATATCAACAGCTATTACGACCTCAACGATGACCTCCACTGCTGATCCAGCAAAGCACATCTTTCGCTCATACTCCGCTCTCCTAACGAACCCTTTTTCTCCTCATTTCGAGCTAAATCCTCTCCTCCTCAACATTACTCAGCCTCTTCTATCTAAGCACCATCCGAGACGACGTAGCCTCAGGGTTCTTGACCTAGGCGGCATTGAAGGCAGTATATTCACCCCCAACCTCCGTTATGTTCGCTGCTCCTGCTTATTCCTGAAAAAACAGGCGTGTACACACAGGCGATCGCTACTTTACCAAAGGTCGCAGTATGTCAGCTCACACAGCCACAGTTATCTACCAATTACCCGCCCTATTTGACCTTCAAGTCAAACAGCTTCGATGTGGTCACTTCAAGAACGCTATATAAATTTCTCTCGAACCCTCATCGACCACCTACTCTAAGACCGGAGTCATGGATTCGAGAGATCCACCGCATTCTGGATAAGGGCGGTAATTTCGAATTTCTTTTCTTCGATTGTCATCTCAGCCATGCGGGACCGCTCACAAGGGAAATGCAGCCCAGTCTCTTCCAGGGCCATCCTTTTTGCATCTGCAGCCAGACTCTTGAGGCATGCTCCTGCTCTCCGGCAGCTTCAACCCCAGCGTCTATGACTGGAGTTCAGTTTCTCGAACTCCTTGCTAGCGAGGGATTCATTACGGAGATGAGCACAACACTCATGTTTCCTTTCTCCCTCCTTTCCTTAATCTTCACCCATGATGGACAGCACTTGAGAGTAAATCAAGAGGATTCTCGGAGTGGCCAGTCCAACGTGACTCCGCTGCTTGCTTCGCTCATGAAAACGATAGACGAGGAGTGTAGAGCATCTCAAACTGCGTGGAGATGCATTATAGGCTCTGCAAAAAAAAAAATAAAAATAAAAATAATACTGAGCTAGCATGAGAACAATGTATGTTATACCAAACAACGAGATATTGTTGAAGCGACTTTCCTTCACGCGAACTGTCTCGTTTTCGCTGATCAGTGGAACAAGACGGCTGTTCTTCGGTAGTGAACAAACCTAAATGTATCTCCGTGGCTCACACGGACGGGAATTTCTCCATGACGAGATTAACACACACGGGCCTTCTTCAAGATGAAATGAAAACAAGATCTTGAGACATTACTTTTAGATATCATGCTCGGCGGTGTTACATGGAGTCCCGTTGTGGACCGGGCCAGGGTCACCTGACCTTGGTTAGCTCAGCTAGCTCAGCTTAAATAGTGTTAGAGATAGCATAATAAGAGCCTAGCCTTTTCATACTCTATTAGGCGGTAACTGATTCCACCCCTCATTTCTGATGCGGGGGTATGGCTATAGTGAAGATGGTCAAATTGGGCATTATTTGACCGAGATAGTGCCGACATCACACGCACTGCGGTTTCTTGGCAATCTTCATATCGGCTTCATTCCTAGTGCAAGCCTTACGCTGCGATGCTACATTCTACATGCTCAGCACAGCTCTATTATAGATTCCAACAAGACATGGTTCTCCAGAAGGTAGTGCACGACGATCCTAGCGTATGAATAATTTCCCGTCTTATAGGTAGGCGAACCTTGTACTTGTTCGCAATAATCAAGGCCTTTGATAATGAACAAAAAAGAAGACAAAGTATCTCCATATGTCGTTCATAGCCATGTCTTTGGCATTGTGATCACTTTGTGATGTTACACTTTGAGATGGTATACTATTGAAGCATTTGCTGGGCGATCTGCCCTGCTTAACTTCCGGCAAACAAGGTGACACCGTTGTCCAGAGCTCGGGACGGAACGTAGTGGGACGGAAGCAGGCAGGCAATTTCTAAATCGTGACGAGCCTATAGTTTGTCTATATTAGTGCATGTGAAGCGAATCTATATGTGCGCAGTATTCCTACCTGCATATATTCCAACCATCTAGTCTCTTCGGAAAGGACATACTTCCAGCGGGTTGTGATGGAGCAACTTACAAGATCATAATGCCTATCCAACTGACTGGCCAACCTAAAAGGGTACGTCAAATTCTTGTTGATGCGGGTCAAGGGTTTGCAGATGCTGCAGACGGGGCTACCTCGGAAGCATGATTCACTCTACGCGACACATCGGAGATGTAAAGATGTAAACACAGTGAGGATCGAATATTACCTAAAGAAAACCCCCATGGCAAAATGAAAGGAAGAGGGCAGTGATCCTAAATCCACGCGCATCCTTTTCTACGCCCGGTGGTGGAATAAAAAAGATTTGTAAAACTGTCCAACTCCACCTATGATCTTGCTGATAAGTGTTGAGACTTGAAAAGTGGTCAAACTGTTGCGGCATTTTGCGCGCCAACTTCAACGTATATTCTTATTAATTCGATGCAAAACCGTATCGGACCTAGAAGAAAGATTTTGCAGTTGGGTGTTCAATCGTCACTGGCCGGGAAATATAGCAAATTCGAAGGAAGGGGACTCTTCGGAGTTTTAGAAATGGCAGGGAACACTGGTCACTAGGCTTAATACAAAATCAGTGAGGGTCCAGAATTTTCCACACAACCACTAATATCGTTAATTTTACACCCATGACATCTTTTCAAGCTCAATGAAAGGTATTTGGACAATTTTCAATACAAACCCCAACTTAGAGGCCAGAGTATCTAGATCTCTTCTAAATGGATGTTCGAAATGAAGGCCGAGCGCCTTCGTCTACAGTGAAACGCAGACTCTCCCCAGAAGCTCTCCAGAGCGTTGCAAGAGTTTTTATTGATTCTATTTACCCGACCATGCCCATTTTTGACCCTGGCAACATAATGGATGACTGTGCGATTCCGGAATTGCTATCATCTCGACGCTATGCGTTTCTCACCGCGTTATGTGCCTCGACGCAAACTCGGTTGGAGATAGATTCACCTTGGAACATAGAACTGAACTATTTGACACCATCTGCAAATGTCTTCATCGCCGAAGCCGCGCAGGCATGCCAGAGTTTTGATCCACTCGATGAACCGCATATTGACTCACTATATACCTCCTTTTTCCTGTTCGCGGCATACGAAAATCTCGGCAGACACAATCATGCATGGTTCTACTTGAGGCAGGGCATTTCATTTGTGTATCTTCTAGCTTTGAATCAAGAGCAAACATACGCAGCCTTAGATCTCAAGGAGGCTGAGTTGAGGCGAAGAACCTATTGGCTCCTCTTCATCACCGAGAGGCAAGCACTGACTCGACTCTTAATTCTACTTCAGCTAACACACAAGCTATAGGGTTTATGCTCTCCGGCAGGGCATGCCAGTTACGCTGCAAGGATGCATTCATGAACCAGTTATTCTCATGTCAGAGGCCCCAGGGCTAGCGCAAGGCTTTGTGAGGCTGATTCCTATTTTCAAAGGAGTTCCCGGCGAACATTACCAATGTGATCGCTAGAAGCAGAAAGTTCAGATCATCCAATACTTAGATTTGCTGTCTACCAGTTTGCGTCCGCTGTGATCCTTCTTTTGGCCGGACGTTGAAATGCAGTAATTTGATCTGGTTTTATCCCCATTGGCGTCATACTCGCTTGCAATGTCGATGATTAGCAGGCATTCAATTTAGCCTAGCTTTATTAGTAAACGTAGTTGAGGCTTATGCGCTGGCAGAAAGTTGATGTTATGTTCGCATCTGGAGGTGTAGACCCAATTGTTGAACCTAATTTAAGAATAACCAATATCCGTATCAAAAGTAGCCACAATAATGACCATTTTCTAGTACCATTGTCCTCATTGCCCTATTGTTCTCTTACTCTTTCCGTTGTGAAGATACTAGTGTGGTTGCCCTGCTGTAAGGCAGTCAGTCCGGTCAGGGTTTCCTCAGTCTTATGTACCTAGACAGGGTCTCAGCGGTGATAATCCGAGGGTATCAACAGTCCTCTTCCATATCATCCTATTTTCTTTATCATGTTTCCTTAAGAAAAGTTGGTTTGCATACATTCCATACAGAACTACCTTCAGAGGAAATAAACCTCATGTTTCGTACCTCTTTTGTCTTCCATCAACTCCACTCTAACAGAAGGAATGAGATACAGCCGACTCTAGTGAGCAACACCCCCCGCCATCCATCCAAATGATGTTGCACCACCCGAATGTGTGGGGGCATTGACTATGGAGAACTTTATGGAGAACTCGCATTTTAGCTCTAGCCCTGATTCCCTAAATGGGTTTAAATTCCGTCTGCAGTGTCTTCTCTTTCCTCACCATTATCTGTAACCTTGTATGTAGCCTCATCAAATCCTTAATAAGAACATATACACATCTGATACCCTTTCTCTGCTTGCAGCCCATATAGATGAAGCTCTACATACCCCTTGATCAGCTAATCGGTCGAAGTGTTCACTAGTGATATCCACCTCTACAGACTAAATATTACCATCACCAGTCTTGATGATGATGTCAGATAGATCAAGGTGGTTAAACATCTACCTTCTCGCCTAGCGGGTTAATTAAGATTTCACACGGAAAGATTCGTACTTATTTGATTCACTAGCTTTAAGGAACCTCATTGCAAAATACCCTTGATCCAGAATCTTCGGTATATAACGGTATGGCCAGTCACGGACCGTAGGTCCGTAACAAGGTGCATAATCCATGCAACGTAGAAGCTTTATTTATTTATCTTGTTTAGTGACCCTCTGTAGGTGAGTATAAGACTAGAACCGACCCGCGGGTAGAAGGTCAGGACCCGTAACCCGCATATTAGAGGGTCGCGGGTCACCCATTGCGGGTCACCCGCGGGTCATGGCGAGGTCTACGTGTAGCTAGCCTATTCTAGTATATCAGTCCGGTTTCTCGGTCTAGATTTAGGATAATCCGGGCCGGAATAGGCTAAGGCAAGTCTAGAGTAGCCCACTTCTAACTCTCAAGGCCAGACTACACCTCGCGAAGGGCATAGTTTAGATCCATCCACTCACGTGGGTCATTTACCCTATGTAGCTGGAAGTTAGATCTGATTGATCGGCGGATGATGACTAAGCTATCATAGAAAGGTAAAATTTTGCATCAATTCGAAAGGTGCAGCTTTGGCCTCTTATATATGGGAAAATCTAGAAAAGAGTCGAAAAGTGGGGCATCCATAGCATAGGACAAGGGGGCTGCTAACGATAAAGCGCAGCATCCCAAAGTGTTGCTTAGGAGATTCGACTGTATCTATATCCATAGAGTAGTTGCACCGATTCTAGTCGGATTGGGTGTCGTTGCGCTAGCCGGTGACTCCACCGAGAACTTCCAACCACATGGCAGCCCCTCCTCGGATGTTATATGCCTGGCTCCCCTAGCAGCCTTATACTAGAAAATTACATAGTTTGTCCTGACCGAAACAGGAAAGAGGGCAGCAGGGGCATATAACATCGTCGGAATTTTTTTTTCCCCATTCATTTGCAATTACTTTGCGCGATTACAACTGACCTGCCGGACTAGGCGGAAGAATAATATCGGAGTTTGGGTATTGCTGATGGAGTAAGACTTGCTCCGTCCTGAGCATGTGGGGCCGGGTTGCAGCTCCGGAGAAGGCCCGATCTCCTTGACCCGCAAATTGTCCCAATCCCCTCACTCCAGGAACTTGGACTAATGGCTAATTAACCAAGTGTTTCAAGACTAGCCACCAGCCTCCATCAATTGCAAATTTCTGGTCGTCACCATTATCTTGCACCAGTTCTAACAAATTATCCACGTGTGAGTCCATTTATAGATGTCTCTATGATAAGCAACATGACCCTAGTAACGTCATTTTATGAGGCTTGTACCGGCACATAGTATTCGTTCTTATCTCTTGGAAATTGGCCATTGCATGATCCCGGAATTAGGCATACTAGAGATCGGTTTCATAGGAAGTTCAGGCGTGAAATTATTTACTGATAGCTCCTACAAACACGATTATGAAGAGATGTAATAGGCATCAAACAATTTAGTTTTAGTGAGACTGTATACACGACTTCATTAACAGTGTTCTAACCCCTGATCGCAGTACCTTAAACTATTTCCAGTTTCAATCTCCCTTCCAGCTTACATCTTCCTTCCAAGATCATAATCAATAAACCAGGCAGTATAATTAGTCCAATACACTGATGTCGCATTTCATGGGTCGAGTTGAGCGTGTAGTGCCTCATTAGTTCTGCATACGGATTGCAAAAACAGAAAAATGGCGTAGATGGGTTTCAATGGTGTTTTCCGGAATCCCAACACTGTTGTCTACGTGCTTCACTATATTTAGCCCCCTTGAACCAAAGGGATGGGGTAACGTCATGCAATAGTAATAAGTTGCCGCGATTAACAGCTGAGGTAGCATAATGTGGCTCAAATTAGCCGGGGTTTTGCCTTCGGAACGGGCTAATGTCGGTGTTACTGCGGCATGTGCATCAGATGGGACGATCGTTTCTCGCAGCCCACCACGCCTTTATAGGTGCTCTCGCTTTTACATCCCACAAACTTACAACCCAATTTCATTTGACCCTTTTACTTGCTGTTTCTATTCACGCATCACTGGGTGTAGCATCGACATCAAAATGGGCTCAATTGCTGCCCCTCCGGATACCGACGAAGCCAACCATAGGCCGACAGCCAAGGCTTGGTGGAAAGAGTCGTCAGTGTATCAGATCTATCCAGCTTCATTCAAAGACAGCAATGGCGATGGGATTGGGGATATTCCCGGCATCATCTCCAAACTGGACTATGTCCATGGGCTTGGGGTGGATATTGTTTGGCTTAACCCCGTGTTCGAGTCTCCTCAAATCGATATGGGCTACGACATTTCGGACTATTACAAAATTCATCCCCCCTATGGTACTGTTCAGGATGTGGAGGAATTGATTTCCAAACTTCATGAGCGGAAAATGAAGCTGGTTATGGATCTTGTCGTCAATCACACCTCCGACCAGGTTCGTCTCAGTCTATCTACTGCTAGGAAGATATACTAATGAGAAACACAGCACCATTGGTTTCGCGAAGCGCGTTCTTCGATAGACAATCGTTATCGCGACTGGTATATTTGGAGAAAGCCGGTGTTTAGTGCGGACGGCAAGCCTCAACCGCCAAATAACTGGGTATCCTACTTCGGGGGTAAGCTTTTGTGCAGTGCATCCTCGGTACCTTGGGGTTAGCTAATGTCAGTGTAGGTAGCGCTTGGGAATATGATCAAGCGTCCGGTGAGTACTACCTGCATCTATTTGCGAAAGAGCAACCGGACCTGAACTGGGAAAATTCCCAAGTCCGAAGTGCCGTACACCAGATTATTCGGCACTGGTTGGATAAAGGGGTGGACGGCTTCCGAATGGACGTCATCAACTTCATCAGCAAAGACCCGTTATTTCCCGACGCACCTATCACTGACCCGGACTCAACGTGGCAAAGTGGTGCAAAGTACTATGCCTGTGGCCCGAAACTACATCACTACCTACGAGAGATTGGGGCCATCTTGAAAGCGTATGACGCATTCTCCGTGGGAGAGATGCCTGAAGTCAGCGACGTGCAGGAAATTTTGAATGCGGTAGGATATAACCGAGGGGAGCTAAACATGATTTTCCATTTCGAACTGTGAGTAGGGCCTTACGATGAGCTTGACCACTTCAACTAACTAGCCTAAAGCGTCAGTCTAGACCATGGGGAAGGAGGCAAGTTTACCCGCGGTCGGTGGAAAATGCAAGATCTGAAAGCTATCGTGTCCAAGTGGCAAACATCCATGCACCAAAATAACGGTTGGAACGCTTTATACCTTGAGAACCACGACCAGCCGCGAACAGTTTCGCGATTCGCATCTGACAAACTCAGTGACCGTGCTCTATCTGCAAAGATGCTTGCCACTTTCTTGGGCTTCCAGAGCGGCACAATTTTCATTTACCAGGGCCAAGAACTTGGCATGCCTAATGTGCCGCTTGGATGGACGATTGAAGAGTACAGGGATATTGAAACCCTGAACCACTGGCAAGAGTATGTGCTCTTTCATGAAAAGGTCCCACCGGCAACTGACGGATTTGTTAGGATTACAAGCACACAGGCAAAGGACAGTGCTCTGCAGTCAGCTAGTCTTGCCGAATATCGGATGAAGTCGAGAGACAATGGCCGGACTCCAATGCAATGGGACGCAACTGTGCATGCAGGCTTCTCCATTGCGAAGCCATGGATCTCCGTGCACGATGACTACCCATTATGGAATGCGGAGATCCAGGTGGAGAATAACGATAGCGTGTATCATTACTGGTCCAACGTGCTGCGCCTAAGAAAGAGATATCCGGAGATATTGGTGTACGGATCCTTTGATCTCATCTCTTCGGACCATCCAGACGTATTCGCTTACACACGCACATCTGAGACCGGCCGTGCGTTGGCTGTGATTAACTTCCGGGCTAGCGAGATTGAATGGACCGTTCCGGAAGAATTCAGAGAATCATGGTCCTCGGGGTCGACCATTCTGTCAAACTATTCTAGGAAACAACGAAGTAAGCTGGATAGCATGGTCTACTTGGCACCGTTCGAGGCATTCTTATGGTTAGCTGGAGTGAATTTATGGTAAGTAGAATTGACCGAGGACCCGACAATTCAGCGAATATTCCAAGAGATTGCTTCACGGGATGTTAGTTCATTATGAGAATTCTTGTTTGTTATTATCGAACCAATAGGTGCTTGACTTAGACAGCCCCGAAGAAGGCCCGTAATACCCGGCCTTGTCCGAGCACGGAGTTTTCGACCCTGGACGCAAAACATGCCAAGGAGTTACGAAGGCAAAAAGGAAATACACCATTACGTAATATAATACAGGTCGAAGTCGCCTTTTTTGGGGGTTTTGGCATAATGATATGGGCCACAACGCGCCATAATACGAAATCTAGCCTATACGAAGTGTCCAATACGAAGTTCGCTCCTTCATAGCTTGGAAGTGAGTATGATGCGTCACTGTCGGTGATTGCGGATTTGAATTGCGGGGCAATTAGATTTCCCCGCAATTAGATTTATTTTGTGGAGTAATGAAGGTACTTCACCTCGTAACAATATTAAAGCAGATGACTGCGCAAGCTGAGCTCGGCAACAATGGATGCCTTTCTTCAGGCCCCGAAACAGCACAGCCTAGCGTGCGAAAGTTGCCGTCGACGTAAAGTACGATGTGATCGCGAGCGACCCTGTGGAAAATGCAAAGATGTACTCTTGGATTGCCGATACCCCTCTGTCGCCCGACGGAAAGGTCCGAAAGGCCGTACAGCACCAGTGTTGAGTTCGCTACTCTCACCAGACGATCAATTATTACCAGAACCATCAAATTTCATACACATGACACCAACGATGCGCGCAGACGTTACTAGTACCACCTCGGGCTCCGATCTCGGAAATGATCAAACGTGCTTGCCAACGACAGAATGCCGAGAGAGAGACAGCGTGAATCCCATAAGCAAGAGTCCTACCTACTCTACTGTAGTGGGACAGAGGATATCTTCCGTATTGCTACAGGCTCATGTAGAGATCTTCCTCGAGCACCTTTATCCTATCATGCCAGTGTTCGATGCCGACGCAGTGATGGTGGACTGCGCGAACCCCGAAATACTACCACCGAGACGATATGCTTTCCTTGCTGCGATGTGCGCTGCCACCCATCTGCAGCTAAAACTTGATTTGCCTCATGGCGCCACTCACGGGGAGATTTCACCGTCGGGCAGAAGCCTCATCGATCAGGCTATACAAGCGCTGCGGGATTTCGATCCGGTTGACGAACCTCACATCGACTCGTTACTCACTTTCTTCTTTTTGTTTTCAGCATACGGCAACCTCGACCAACATGATCATGCATGGCATTACTTGAGCCAGAGCATATCATTCGCATTTTTGTTGAAACTTCACCAAGAGCAAACCTATTTACCACTAGACGCAGAAGTAGCCGAATTGAAAAGAAGGATTTACTGGCTGCTCTTTATAACCGAGAGGTAAGTACTACTTTCTGCGATATCTTATAGCGTACGATGGCCTAGCTAAGTAACTCCATCCACCAGAGCGTACGCTTTACAGCGCAGCATGCCGATCGTGCTACGAGCTTGCATCCAGAAGCCGTCTGTCTTCGCTTCCAAGTCGCCAGCAATTGCTTACGGATTCGTCAATTTGATTTCGGTCTTCGAGAAACTTCCCCTCATCTTTTTCGATTGGGATGCAAGCGCCGCCGAATCTCTGATTTTCTCTGACACGGCTAACTCCGTCTACCATTGTATGGCTATTTCGACCCCTTTGCTGGCTGAATACAATGAGACGCAAAGAGTAGACCTGGTCGTCACACAACAGTGGCTTCAAGCGCGTCTGTGGAAGGTTTACACTAAACAAGACAGCTCAAAGTGCAACCAGGGAACCGTTATACCGGTAGAACTCCTAGTCAATGCAGGAAAATCCGTGATGGCTCTTATGTCAACGGTATCACAAAAGTCAGCCGACGCCCATGGCATCGGTATTGTAAGTTTCCCTCGGTGAAACGTAAACCTAGTCTTACGAGAAATATAGGAACAAAAGCTGTACGACATTGGAGAGGCTATTTCGTTGCTTGCATATGCGTTGCTTCCCAGAACGAACGACAGCGCTGGGGAGCTATTTACTTGCACACAGGGGCTTTTATGCGGCATACTTCATCGTTTATCCAGTATTCGTGGGTCCCAATCATATCTCTTTGACCCCCTTCTCCAAAAATCCCACGAAATACTTGGCCTTGACAGCCTTCCGGCATCCCTCGCATTCCAGACGCAATTGATCCCTGACATCCCAACGGAGGACGGTTTGGAGGCAGCTGATTCTGGTGACTATGACTCATTACTATTGTGAGAAGTCTTTCAAATGGAAATGTCTAGCTTGATCATATGGTGACAATGAGGTGAGGCGCATCGCAAGGCCGTGCTCGAACCGTTCGTCTGGTGTGATAGACATGGAGGAAAAGGATATGCCACCCTCCGAACGATTTGCGTTGGTGTCCTTATAGCTTGCCCAAAATCCGGTTGTCTGTCCTTTGAGACACGGAAGAAAATCATTATAAGATGACTTGTACTAGCGTCAAAGATTGCACTAGTTCCTTTGTTTGACACGCCAGCCATTTGGCTTTTCAGGAATCTTACGCTCCGAAGATTAGCTGGGATCAAAACCCAGGCTAGTGGTCTTCCATCTATTCTCCTGCGTTTTGCCCAGTTTCCTGCTCGGTTGCTTCGAAGACGAGCTTGTCGCGCTAAGCGGGCTTTATGGTAGGGATTTTGTTACCTTCCTGACCGGCCGATCCTCGGTCGGGTCGTGCAGCTGCCTTTGCTGCTACCGGGTGTATTTAGAATAGACCGGATTCGCCACGCTTATAGCGCAGCGACTCCATGGGCAAAGAAAGTAAGGCCACTGTGACTGGGGCCATTTGAATGGATCGAAATACCCTTTGCGCTTCAGATCGGAAAAGCGAATCAACGTTCTCGGCTCAGGATTTCTACAGCCTGGAGAAAGTATAGTGGCAGCATATTTTGCCGGCCAGCGGGCGACGCTTCTAGAAAATCCCGCGCTTCGCCGTAGGATGGGGATATCCACTCGTAGCTCTACTCAATCTAGACAGGCATGACTGGTGGTCATTGGATTCCAAGTCTTGCCAAGAAGAGCCTCGGGGTTCTTCGTGGCAAGTTGGGGAAGGGGCGGAAAGTCTAATGATTGATTGCCTGCCTCTACTTGCCCTTTAAGGAGACTCAGTCGGCTGCGGTTCTGTTGCCTGTGCTGAACCTCGTAGGTTTGGGGCTACTAGCCCGGCGAAATTTGATCGATCCCACACACCACTACATGTCTGGGCAGCCTGGGGAGGACTTCTAGGTTTTGGAACTTGCATTCATACAAAGCTAAAAGAAGTACCCAGGTCTTATAGGGGGCCGGGTACCGAAAGTCTGGGCTAAGCTTCCAGCCCGTTGGAGGGTGAGAGCACCCCTGTCCTGCTGGTTTTTCCAAACGGCTATTCCTTCCCAACGTTATTTCTCGTCGGAAGACTCCATTGGCCCGATCGGTTCTGTTGGCTCAGGCTCAACGATGACCATTGTGTTCGAATAGAATCCGAATTGGCTGAAGTATTCGTCCTCCGGCCGGAATTCCCCTGCATCTAACTCTAGTCTGTCTCCCTCCAACTTAGCGGCCAGATCCCTCGTCGGGTCATGGGGTGGAAGATATCAGCATCGTCCCTAAGCGGCGTTTAGAGTGAAGATCTTTGAGAGATTGATTTAATTTAGCACTGGCTGCCGGGTTGAAAGAAGACAACCATAGTTTCACGGGAGGAGGGGTGTAAAGAAGACAGACGGTCGTCTCTCATACTGAATCATAGGCCATTTGGCGGTAGATTCATTCAGGGGTACCGCTTTCAGGGTTTCTTTCCTTTCCTTTGGGGAGGCTTCGCTCGGTGGAAGCTGCCGGGCCCGGGTACTCGCCCCATCGAGTCAGATCTAACCGGCTAGAGGTTCACACAAATCTTCAACATCGCGATTACGGTCGCAATCACCACCAAGCCCCGCAGAAAGGCCGCAGAAGCCCCGATGACTTACTATCACATGATTATTCCGCAAACTCAATCATCAAATGAAATGAAGTGCGCGACTACCCCAGTCCGTGGACCGTATTCTTCCCCGCCACGGCCCCTCCCATGAGGACAGTACTAGGAATTGATCCTGCCCGGACACGGACTGAAATACTGAGATCCAGTGACCTATCCGGCCGTAGTCCCATAAAATGGCCCGAGAAACCAATAAGCCACGAAGAATGACCGGTTCGGATGAGTTACCGAAGAAGGCCCGCATCTAGGTGCACCCATCTATCGAACCCTATCCCCGAATTGAGATAGCTCCGGACAGCACCGTCCGGGGTAGTTTCAGGGTAAAGTTCAAGAGGCCCTTCATTGAATTTGAACATATATTCTTTATGTTTGGGGAACCTGCCCTCTCCTGGCTTTCTTACAACTCTCAATCACATCTCACTTCCTTCTTTCTCTCGCCTAGCGTCGTAAGATATTTATTACCTTACAACCACATCCATGAAGGACATAAAACCGAGCGCCCAACATGTCGAGGACGATGTCGATGTGCACCTTGACATGGACAACGTCGTCCACGATGCCAAAATCGCGACCGAGAAGGAACATAATATGAGTCTGTGGAGGGGTTTGAAGCTCTACCCCAAGGCTGTTGGATGGTCGATTCTCATCTCCACTGCCATCATCATGGAAGGTTATGACGTTGTTCTGATGGGCTCTTTCTACGGGTACCCGGCGTTCAACAAGAAATATGGCCATCTCATGTCGAACGGTTCCTACGGTCTCTCTGCCGCGTGGCAGTCAGGCCTATCCAACGCCATGAACTGCGGACAGATCCTGGGCCTCTTTATAAACGGAATATTGTCGGAAAGGTTCGGATACCGCCGGACGATGATGGGATCGCTCATCGCTACTACCGCCTTTATCTTCATTCTTTTCTTTGCACACAATGTACAGACTCTCCTCGTCGGCGAGATCCTAATGGGCATTCCACTTGGTGTTTATCAAACCCTCAGTGTCACATATGCCTCGGAAGTCTGCCCGGTTGCTCTCCGTGCCTATCTCACGACCTACGTCAATCTCTGTTGGGTTATCGGTCAGCTTATTGCCTCTGGTATATTAAAAGGCCTGGCTGGACGGACAGACCAGTGGGCGTACCGTATCCCCTTTGCTATCCAGTGGATCTGGCCAGTGCCCATCTTTATTGGTGTCGTTCTAGCGCCAGAAAGCCCATGGTGGCTGGTTCGGAAGGGTCGAACTGAGGACGCTGTCAACGCCCTTATACGGCTGACCTCCAAGGTGGACGAGGATTTCGATGCGCGCGAGACAGTGGCAATGATGGTCCATACCAATGAAATGGAAAAAGAGATTACTTCTGGCACATCCTACTGGGACTGTTTCCGTGGTCATGATTTACGCCGTACGGAGGTATCATGCTTGATATGGGCAGCTCAGAACCTGTGTGGTTCTGGTTTGATGGCCTACTCTACAGTCTTCTATCAGCGCGCTGGACTTGCTGTGTCACAGTCCTTCAACATGTCTCTGGGGCAGTATGCAATTGGATGTGTCGGCACAGTTTTGTCTTGGGTTCTTATGTCATACTTCGGCCGCCGAACCTTGTACGTTTATGGCCTGGTCATACTGTGCACCCTACTCCTTATCGTGGGCTTTATATCCGTGGCTCCCGAGAGCTCTGCAACCTCATGGGCGACCGGCTCAATGTTGCTCGTATATACTTTCTTTTACGACTCGACCGTTGGACCGGTCTGCTACTCTTTAGTTTCCGAGATACCGACTACCCGGCTCCGTATCAAGACTGTTGTCCTCTCCCGGAATTTGTACAACTGCTTCAGCATTGTGAATGGCGTTATTATCCCGTATATGTTGAATGTTGATGCTTGGAACTGGCGCGGCAAGGCAGGATTCTTTTGGGGTGGCCTTGCTCTCATTTGCTGTGTTTGGTCCTACTTTCGAGTTCCTGAACCACGTGGCCGCACCTATGCTGAGATGGATGCTCTCTTCGAGCAGAAGGTGCCTGCGCGGAAGTTTGCATCTACAAATGTTGACCTATTCCACGATGACACGGCTGCGAATAAGGAAGTAAAGTCGACCTCACCGCGTCCGTGACATCTGGCGGTCTCAGCCAAACAGTATGATTGAGCGTCCGTACCTACCGCAAAGGGAAGAAGATAAGATATTTGATATGTGGTTGTACTTTGCTGCACGATGTTGATCAATCGCACGAAGGATATCATCAATGTAGGAATGGAGATCTCCAAGTACTGAAGTACGTGCCTTAATTCTATTCATATGCTACAACTTGGTGACGGTTGAGTTCCACAAAGCCGTGTACTGCCGCTGGGGTCTCGCATATAGGGATAGAAGGTCTCTGGATGCATCCTCGGAGAGTGACCGGCGTGTTATGCTGGAGGGCATAAGCTCCATAACTTCGGAGTCAGTAAAAGTAGGGCTAAGCGTTAAATGAAAGACGCGTCCTTGCCTTTTAGCGATAAAATGTAGCTAATATATTCTTCATTTAAATTTAGCTTCTTTCAGACCTCAAGGCGAATAATTTCGCTCTTGATTAAGATTTAAAATATAGGTAAACGAAATGCTCTGCCTCAGGTAATGCTATGCATGGTTATATCTATTGAGGTTTTCGTTTGCCGTAAACAGAAAAAAAGAAGTGAGTAGCAACTAAAAATGGGGTTCTTCGAAGGGATCAGACTCTTCGCGTGTCTGCACGGCTTCGGAGATAAGGAAGTCACTAGACGGAACAAAGTCGCTAGGTAGGTTCTGCGGAAATGAACCTATCTTCAACAAAAATTGAGCTGCGGCGCGTAACGCGATGAGAAAGCATAGCGTCGAGACGATAGCATTTCGGGCCTCGCGCAATCATCAATCACTGTATAGGTGTCGAATACTGGAATTGTAGGATAAAGATGATCAAGAAAAAACTCTAAAGTACTCTGGAGCGCTTACGCCTCCCTGCAACCGAATTTTCTCAATCTTTATTTCGAATACCCATATTGCAGATCTCTAGATAATCTGACCTTGGAGGACCTGGATTTTCTTTTCGTCAAAAGGGATGAAATGGCGTTGAAGGGGTTGGCAAAGATGCGGTGGGTCTATTGAGCTTGATTTGGAGGATTTAAAGAGAGAGATGTTTTCCCGAGATAGGGTTAAGCGAAGTTAGCATAAGTCCGTACGCTGTTGATGCCCATTCCCTACTGAAATTTCTAGCAAATGATTACCCGATGGGACCGGTCTTTGCGTCCGTGGCTACTTTCATTTGCCCGTTCAGTGTTTTGAGGCACTGCTTTCCACCGAAGTCATTGCGAGTGCCGACAGGCCGGAGTAGAATGACGCTTGCTAACTATCTGATGAGATTAGCACCCACTAAAGCTAAGCCATTCTTAGACAGCCTAGCTATGTTCAGATGATAAGAGGGCTTTCAGAAATGTATATACGAGCTTCGTCTGCTCGGGATTGAACATGTAGTAAATCATGTAGCTCTGTGTGGCCCCTGAACGTACTTTCATCAGGTTTCAAGAAAGATAGGCGCCTGCATAAATACATAGAAACCGATCTTACTAGAGACCGCTTAAGCGGCTGATAGGGGTCAAAAATGCCAGCTCTAATGGACTAAAAAGTCTCGTTTTCCTCCAACGTGCGTCACTGCTCGCCTTATTAGAATCGGGCAAAGTCAAAAAGGTGTTTAGAATTCTCACTCGTGTAATGAAAAATTCGTGCATTCTGAATCAAGTTCTCAAGACAATTAAATGCCTACGGACTGAAGTATACAATCCGTAGCATGGGGAAGTAAATTTTTGTAATATGATCCTTGTGTAGGCGGAACAAAACCACAAAATTTTGAAAAATTGTCGAGCCTATAGGGTGAATCAAAGATGAAGAGCCACTGACTCAATTTACAGTGAAGTGATGAATGTAGAAAAAGTATTGTTAGTTTAGCAGCGTATTGAGGATGCGCCGAAGTAGAAAACTGCTTCCCGGCAAGGTACCCTTTCGCCAATCAATCTGCCTGGCGGCGTGCCTACTCTGTAGCGGAATCCCGCCTCTCCCCTTGAAACCTGGAACACCTGCAGTCCCACAAATTCTGCTCTCGCAAGAATTCAATGATGACTAACCATACTAAGATGCTCAGTCTTTGGCTCTGAACGGGTACTTCTAGGTATTTCGAGCCGCATAGGTTCGTAAATTTCGTTACAAGTTTGTGTTTCTAACAGTTGCATGGCGATTGAGAGCGATAAGTAGCTTTCCGAAGGGACAAATAGAGATCGGCGAACTCGCGATGATGCGCCAAAATTAAGAAATAAACAAAGGTGATTCAATTAAGAGAAACATTGTTTAGGAAGAAAAACAACCACTTCTGACCGACACAGGCTTGAGATTGGCCACCTCGCTAAAACTTGTCTGCCTTGCATTCGCGCGATCTACACTCATTCCACTGTCAAATCGGGGCTCTTAGTCGCATGTAATAGTGCGCCACAGCGTCGGTGGACCCACCTTCAGCCAATCGTCATTAGCAGCTCTTTTTGACACGGTTATATGTACAGTGATCAAGTGCGCATGCAACAGGGAACAGGCCCCAATAAGGAAATTGCGGATCTGAGCTGCTGCTGCGTGTGGTTTCTACGGTCATAAGCCTTTTGGATTGTATTAGATCATTACGTATGTGCATGCATATGCAGGAGAGGCTAAACCGCCCCCAAGGCCGTGGATGTTACCTATATTAGCTCTAGAGCTGTCATTCCCCCCCCGGAAAACCATCCCCGCAGCGATGTTTGTTCACCAATCATCGCCTCACTCTACCTGCGTATTGAATCAGCTGAGCAGGACAGAACCTCCTCCCTCCACGTAGCCGAGATACTGTTCTCTTTGTTGCTGTGGTTAAAACTCCTTGGAATCCTTTCGTGTTGACTGATTTCTGATTAAATTTTTTGTTATTATTACTTTAGGTTTGACTTCCCCAATCATTCCCCAGTCATGGCTGCCCCCTCCACTGCCAATTACTTGCTGAAGCACGATCGAGTCGAAGCCTTAAGGTACGCATCTCTCAGCCCCAGAGTCGAGCCCCGAGTACATGCTAATCGGCCCGCACTGCACTCTACCCAGGCTTGGATCACAGCATCTCCTATGGCAACTACATACGAAACACATACTCCATCCTGATATCCCCATCAAAGATGGCATGGCAATCGCCGACATTGGAGCGGGCACAGGGTAGGCAGATATTTACCCATGACCATTCAGGACTCAGTGTCTAGTCTAATACACGTCATAAAACATACAGGATCTGGGCTGTCGAGCTAGCCGCTCAGCTTCCACCCTCCGCTCGAGTTGTGGCATATGATATCACCGACGCCCACTTCCCCAGCCCAGAATACTGGGCCTCAAATGTTAAATTCGACCACCTTGACGCTCTCAGTGATGTCCCAGAGTCTCTGATTGGTCAATTTGATGTGGTGCATTTACGCATGTTGGCGTTCATTATCCGCGAGAACGACCCTATTCCGCTGATCAAGAATGCCGCCAAATTGCTCAGTAGGTTTTCACGCGCGTCCCTTATGCGGTGGTCAATCAGAGCAATTAACGATTTTCATTACACAGAGCCTGGTGGCTACCTCCAGTGGGAGGATGCTCGATTCGGGAGCAGTGTGGTTAAAGGCGATGCTGCCATCCAGGTTCGGCAGATGATCGATCGTATGAGCAATGCATCGAATCATAATTTCCAGTAGGTCCTAGCACTGTATTTCATACCGTATCCCCCCCCCCCCCCCCCCCCAAAGATTCTTCTGTCCGCGGAGGAAGCAACATCGACTTACTTGGAACAAATTCAGGTGGCTCGATGAGCTTGATCAGCACGTGAAGCGCGCCGAAGCCGACTTGGATGTTGTGCACTGTCAGTACAAGTCGTGGTCAACTCAGCTGATTCCACTTTGTATGGATACCTTCTTGGCAGCTCTGGAGAATAGCAGTGCCGCTTTGCATCGTTTGAAGCAAGTTGCACCATTTGCCCCTAGCTCGGACGAGCTTATGAATGCTCTGGAGACTTTGCACAAAGAGATCCGCACCCCGGATGGCAGTCAACTTTATTGGCTTCCAGTTACGCTACTAGCTAAGAAAAATGATTGATAGCTGTGACGTTCTAGACAGGCCCCATTATGTGCAATGCAGCTCTCGGAATATTTGAAATAACATATATATTTGTATGTAGAACTGATGGGTGGCCCTGGGTGGGGTATAGATCCTGAGCGCGCGAGAAAGCATATTTTCTGTTTGAACCTAGTTTCTATTCAGTCTACCGACAGACCGATGGAAATATCTTCATTAAAGAAGCAGATTCAGATTAAGGCTCTAGAAATTCATGGCACCCGCGAGTGGCCCCCATCCCTCATATGAAGATCGGCGCCTCTTGGGCGGGGCTAGTGAGTCTCCATAAAACTGGGGACCCTACTGGCACTGCGGGCAGATCGATAAAAATAGCAGGCATTTGCTTTGAGACCATAGACACAACTTTCTTCCTTCTTCCTTCTTCCTTCTTCCTTCTTCCTTCTTCCTTCTTCAACCTTCCTTCTTCAACCTTCCTTTTTCAACAACCTCCATACTTCTTCCTTCTTCCTCCTTCAACCTTCCTTCTTGGTATGAGTTGGCTGTAGGTCGGGAGTTTGATTCCTTTCAGGGACGACCGCGGGATTGAGAGATGGCTCATTCGTCACACCCATAGACATAGCATCTATGTCTATTTCCTGGTCACCGGAGACCGTAGGGGGCTGATGGTTCTGTTCTGGGACTTGCGGCTTGGGCTTGGGCCTAGGCTGCACAAGTCGCCGAGTAATGAACCCTTCCTTATCCAAAGCAATCTGGTATTCGTCAAGGATGTTTAGTGGAATTGGACTGAGACATTGACACCTCGCCGCTCTGTAGAGATGCCTAGCGATGGGTTCCTGTCTTCCCGGAACGCCTTTGCTAATATTTGCCAGTCGTGAGATGATCTCATTGTTAATGGCCAACTGCGCTTGCTGGAACGTGAGGTGGAAAGTGACCATACTGCTGATTTGCTCAGCCACATGTCGACTTCTAATGTGCGACCATAATGCGACTTTCCATTGAAATAGTCTCTTCAGCCATTACATCTCGCTAGCAGAATACTCTGGGCGATAATCGCGGGTAGAGTGAACTTCTATGCGAGGGCTATAAATCACCGGTGCCTCCACAGATACGCAAAGCTTTGAACTCATCTTGAAGCCGTTTCGCCTCATGCAGAGTAAGCTGTCCAAGACCGAGTTCCTCTGCCCGGGTATGACTAGCCAGGTGGACTGGACATTACTGCCGAGATGTGCAACTCTATCAGTGGCCTTGCAAGTTAGGGGAGATTGGCCAAATTATCAGATTGTCGTGGTCGCTTGCGCGCAAGTTCATTGGATACCCCACTCACTTATCCGAAAACCTACTGCGTCTACAGGAAACTATGGTTACGGGTTGGGAAGAAAACCTTCCAGGCCCCGCAATCGTGGCGAATGAGAAAAAAGGGGCTTCTTCGGAAATGTAGACAATGTTAGGGAAATTTGTTCACTAAGCTGAACCCGAAATCAGTCGGGGTTTAGAATTTTCTATTTTGCACATAGGCTGGAAAAACTAAAAGTATTTCCATGCGGGAAATATGTCTTGTGCACATAATACCTCGTATTAGAAGGGTTTATTAGCCCGCCGCTTTTCATGCGCTGCGGGAGCAATGTTGATTCGGGCCTTCTTCGGACACACATTGTGGAGAAATTTATAGTTTCGTAGCGTAAGCGCTCAAAGCCCATGCGCTTATGCTTGAGATTTGCCTCAATCAAATGACGCGCATCGGACGAACATCCAGGGACAATGTTGAAAATTCTCCATGGGTCAGGCTTCAATCGTAAATTGTTGGCTGCTTCGCCAATGAACCCTTCATATTTCGACCCACTGGACGCCAATAATGGACTCGGTATCTCGCCGAAGTGGATAAAATGTTGTAACGACGGCTTGTTTCATGTTGGAGATAGCAAGGGACTTTGTCCGGTGCAAATCACCTATCGAGAAAGGCATCCCCCCAGAAAATGATGAAGAAGTAAATCACCGGCTGCATTTCGGATCGTAGGGTATGAGCGGTCATGGAACCGTGCGAGAGGGACCAGGGCTTGAAGTACCATGAAGTTTAAAGTTTTCCGGGGGCGGGAATTACAGGGCTACAGGGCCCACCAGCCAGGTTCCAATGCTTGGTTGACAGGCTAGAGCCATTATCGCAACCATGCGGTATTGTATGGCAACTCGAGTAATAATCCTACAATTGCAATCTTTGTGGGCTTTTCGTTGCACGGTGCTCGAGGTATAAAGACACATTGCCCCGACCGTTCCATCATGTTTTCCAACAAGCACGGAAGCTGAGCTTCATTCTTTCTATTTTCTGATTCTTCTACACACTCATTCCAAGAATATCATTTACCTTCACTTGGCCAACCCTTATTATTCTGGTCTAAGGAGCCCCTCAACTTCGCTCGACTGCCTAAAAATCTATTCAATTTCATTTTTGCCAAATCGTCCCCCTCAATGCAGATCTTTCACCAAGTTGGTCTCTTTGTACTGGCCAGCAGCCTCTTTCAGGCAACTGCGCTGGCAGTTCCCCATTATGCTCTCCACAAACGGGCGAGCAACAGCTCTGCTGCCCCGGCGAACGAAAAGGATCTCAGAACCTGGTGGCACGACACCGGTGTGGTCAACCCTTGGACGCCAGTCAGCGATGGAGATGTGCGACAGTCGCATAAATATTCGGTCCAGGTCTCTATCGACGGTAATGGAACATTCTTTGACTCTTTTGTCTATGAGAGCATTCCTCGCAGCGGAAAGGGGAAGCTCTGCTACCCGGATCAGCCGGATATATGCAATGACGATGACCAAATCACGATCGAAGCCGACATTGGTGTCACCATGGGCTGGTCTCAGTTTTTGTACGGTAGCGATGTCGTGGTGAAGGTAACCCGGCTGGATGGGAAGGCAGTGTCGGCTGACGACGTTACTATCCGTCCAACTAATCGCAAATTTACGGTCACGGCGACGAAAAACGCAGCCCTGATCACGGTGCCCTACACCCCTGACACAAATGGCGCCCGATTTTCGGTAGAGTTCGCCGATGATCTCTTCGAATATCATACGCGGGAGCTCGCGACCCAGTCCAGCTACGTCCAAGATGTCAACAAAACCGCGGCCAACTATGTTGAGTCTTACACGGACGCGATGCCCATTGTTGGGCGGGAACCTCTCAATGCTCTCCTGATCTTCGCCAGTCCTTTTCCGGCTTCTGACTTGGTCCCTTCAGACCAAGGTGATATCTACGATGTCAAACCCGGGCTAGTAGAGAGTCTAGAGAATGTGGATAAATCTGTTGTCTTCTTTGGACCTGGCGTTTACTGGTTTACCGGTAAGAACCGCGCCGTGCTGAGCTCTTCGGTATCTTGGGTCTACCTGGCCCCTGGTGCCTACGTGAAAGGAGCTATTGAGTACAACAATGGCCAATCAGACCTGAAAGCTTCTGGGTTTGGTGTCCTCTCGGGTGAACAGTATGTTTACCAGGCCAACACGGCCGACGGATACAGTAACAACAAGTCGGATCAAACCTCCCTCAAAATGTGGCGAGGCAATGGCGTTACGAGTAGCCAGACTTGGACCATGAATGGGATCACTACCAACGCACAGCCGTTTAATAGTATGGACTTCTACGACAGCAATGGAAATACTCCCCCCAACGGTTTCAGCGTTGATGTTTCCGACTATAAACAAGTCGGTGCTTTCTACGGCCAGACGGATGGCCTGGAGATGTATACCAACGGCTACTTGCGAGACATCTTCTATCACTCTGGGGATGATACGCTAAAGACCTATTACTCCGGGGTTACCGCCGAGCGACTCATTGTTTGGAAGACCGACAACGCGGCGGTCATTCAAATTGGGTGGTATCCTCGCACCCTGGCGAACATTCATCTCGACCAGATAGATGTGATCCATAGTCGATATTACTCCTTCCTGGACTATGCCCCGCGCGCTCTTATTGGTTGCTCCTCAAGCTATGTGAACACTGGTTCTACGGACACGGCCGATGTAACCACGACCATCTCCAATTACACGGTGTCAAACATTCGCTCAGAGGGCATATCTGCAGGCCTCATTAGTCTGAATATGTTGTCTAACTTTGACGAGTTCAAAATTGACACAGCGTGGATTGAAGAATTTTCCCTAGTTCCGCAACTGGGCACCAGCACCATTGTTGGCTTCACCGATGCTAGCCATAACAACGAAAAGGTGACGCTTGGCGCATCCAGCGGAACCGGTCTCACAATTACAGGTTACAAAGTCGGGGACGCCGTCATCAGCTTCCAAAACAATAATTGGGATGCCACGCAGGCTGGACGGCTCAATGTCGACCCAGCCTATGATGGCAAGTGGACCGTTCAGTAAACCCGATTGGGGGATTTGATTGCGCTGTGCGATGTGCAGTCGCCCGTACGAGATGTCAAGTACAATGGTAGTGGTTGAAGGAATTGTAACCACTGGAAAGCAGGCACCGTCCGCTCTTTTTTCATTCTCTTCTTTTTTACTTCTCACTTCTGATATGGCAAATTACCCGCTTATTACCTACTTTTTCACTTTTTGATACCGCTACATGCTCTTGGCGCACGTATAATTCCACTGTCAAACGTGGTGGCTGATTAATTTACCATCTTTGTTTCCACTTGGACGTGTAGTAGGTCTCGTCTTCTAGTGGTGACCAGTGGAACTTAAAGACCGCCACATAATCAGTACTTGCCACGGCTCTAGTCCCCCCGTTCAACTTGACATGGATACAGATTCCGATACAAGTCATATTACCAGAGGGACTGGAATAAGTTCTATAGTGTAAAGCAAATTCCAGGGAAGTCATTTCTCAATATCCTTTCGCTCCTTTGAGATATATTGCGGCCCAGACTCAAACCACTGCGGTCTTCGTTCCATATATTCACTTCCACAGGCCGCTTCAACACACCTGGCAAGACTTCCAAAGTAAAAACTCTTCCCAGTGAGGCCTGGGCCGTAATGAGCATATTTCCCCGAGTTAGTCATGATCGCATTTTGAGATTCAGGAATGGTTGGCTCGGTGATCATGCACCAACAGGTATCGGTGATGAATTGAACACCAAACGCCTCTAGCTCATCAGTCAAGCCAGACTTACAAGCCGAAGCATAAGTCACTCGGCCGCATGTTACCATGATGGCGATATCTTGGTTCTTAGTGCGGCCTCTGCAGAGGCTAGCAAGCTTTGTGATTTCAGTCAGTGAGAAGTGCGGATTTCCCAGAGACACCAGGTCAGTTGGTTGTTGGTCTGTGGCACTGTTAAGAGAGTTCCAGCATTCAATCAAATCATCCAGATGCACGTCGACAGAACGTACATCCGGTCCTTGACTTAGTATGGTCTCTAGGGTTGGTGCTTCGGGTGTCACACCGACCATGTGGAACATTGGAGCACTGGAGACCGTGGCAAAAGCCGCCCCGAAGGCTTTCAGGTCGTCTAGGGTCGGATTGAAAGACTCCAGCCCTACCACCACCGGGATCTGACTTGTCGCCAGATTACCTACTTGATACCCCAGAAGGGGATAGAAAGAATCATCAATATTGGCTTTCTGAATCTCTGGAGCTCTCACAATGACCGAGGCTAGCCTGTTGATGTGAACATGTGGTCCTCCTTTAGGTGCGCGACCAGTCAATGCAATTGAGATGTCAAGAAAGTCGGGATATTTCATAGTCCTAGCTCCAAGCACACTATTCGCGTAAACCACGGCATTGGACTCGGCCCAAGCAACTTGATCTCCGAGATTTGGTGCAGTCTCAAGTTGATATGGTGCGCAGGTAAAAGTTGGCCGCGCCCCCATGTCAGTATAAGCATCTGCCAGCTTTTCAGCCGCGATACTAAACTCTTGACTGACACCTTGGACTCGGCGAAAATTCTTGTCGACGGAGATAGAATTCAGTGACGTTGGGACCCGGACTTTGCCCCCACGATCCCGTAGATTTTCTGCAAAGGCGAGAGAGGCCGGTCCAGTGTAGACGCACCCATCCACATGGACTTGCGTGACGTCCATCAGCTCTGTGGCTCCGAGAATGCTTGCTAATCTCAGAACGATCCTCATTGCTGCACGGGAAGCGTCCCCATGGGCGCCTTCGAGAAGAGCCACATCCAATTCTGTGAGATTCATGTCGTTCACCGAAAGCGTTGGTTCAGTCCCGTGAATATTTGGCGAGATCTTGACCGCTACGTCAGGGAGCGGCTTCGTTGAGACTTGTCCATTGGCGATGTAAACAAGACGACCGTTGATTTTTAATAGTTCTCGGAAGTCATTTGGGTCGAGTGTCACCACGGGTATGGCCTTTCCAAAGATCTCTTCAGCAACGATTACTCCGAGCGTGAGAATGTCTTCTTTTCGCTCAAAAACTAGCGCCTTGGGAGCCTTGTCACAAAGAAGAAGCTCGAGCATGACTGTGCTTCCAGTACATGAGCCACGTCCACCTGGAATGGCCAGTATGGAGCCTTCTAGATGATTGCCACTCAATGGATGGTGGCGGTCAATAATTTCGCTGGTCCGAGGGCTGACACCACCCCAGAAGCTCAATTCCATGTTGCTGGCAATAAGCTTCCCTGAAGCCTTTCCCTGTACATATGGCGTGCCATGAAGGAAAGTCCCCTTGTCGACGTCGGTGATCGCCATGTCGATCCAAATATTGCCCTTAGGACCAATTGAAAGCGCTCACCCAGCACAAGTTTGGAAGATTGGCAAGTTGACGTTTTAGAACCTGCCTCAAAATAGGTAATATGTGTATCGTAGAGCTAGGGGGGGGGGGGTAGGTGTAGGCTGGTAAAAAGTGAATCTCTAATGTAGGTGTTCTTCAAATTGACAGGAGGAAGATACATGACCAGAACGGACCTGTTATAATTAGTCATGGCGAATCGGCTTGCCCTTCCGAGATTTTTTATCAAATCCGATTTGAGGATCAAAGGGAAGGTGGGGCTGATAGGAGAGAAGGACATTGCGGGGTTGGGGTTCGATGATTTGGGGATGTGGAGTCAACGTATTGAGTTCATCTACAACATCCTCTGATAATAACTATCGTCTGATGAGGTAATTTTTGTAATTTGGATCATGCAACTTCTACTATGAATGCGGTCCTGGCGAGGTCACTGTCCTTTCCAATTTCCCGACTGTCGAATTTTCGCCCTCATAGCAGATGGCTCAACTTTGATTGTATGATAATTTTAGTACACAAGTTCCTCACTAAAGTGGTCGTGGAGAAAGTACATCAAATGCCGTTAGAGGTAGCCTATATGACTAGGCAGGCAAAGTCTCATCCCAAATTCTCATATCATTTTCTGTGTGTTTTATCTTGCAATCCTGAAGGGCTAGATAGTAATTATATCCCTTTGCACTCGCGCCGAATACTCATAGCGAAAAAACCCGCTTCGTACTCGGTCCTTCGCCATTGTCCTCTGGGCCTCGGGGACGCTTACGAGTTTCCGTCAAGTCCTCTGGTTCCTTCTCCTCCTGCTGCTCCTTCTGCTCTTCAATGACAACATGACGAGTCATGTTGTTGATTCCCTGTCCGTGACGGCGTGAGTGGTAACGTGTATCTTTGGCCACCACGTCCAACTCCATCTCATTCCCCATTCCACTGCGATCACCACACCCTTCTTCTTGGCCCATCAAATCGCGGAAAAAACGATCACATAGATCTTCGATATCTCCATCTCTCTCGTCCTTCTCATTGATCGAAACTCCTTCTCGTGCTCTATTTTCCTGCCGGTGCCTCAGAACTGGCTCGAAAGCCTCTCTGTTCTGTGCAGCAATCTGACCTCGAAGTTTCGTCAAATTACGCCATTCCATCCAACGCTGAATCGTAGAATCCTGAAATAGATACCAAATTTTCTGTGGCTCTTTTTGGCCCAGGCGGTGCATTCTTCCGATGGCATGGAAAACTCGGTTATAGTTTATGGCCGATTCCATGAGAACAAGACGACTGCAATTGCTCTGCAAGTTGAGGCCAAAGGCCCCAAGCGTATATGTCGTGATGAACACCGAACAGTCATTGTTGGAGTCGTTGAAGCGATTTATAGCTTCCGTGCGGTCAGCTACGCTCATAGGTGAGGTTATAGCCGCAAATTCCAGTGATAGTGCATGTAGCAGCATCTGAACCAGCCAAACTGTCATAGGCCAATTGCAGAAGATCACGAAGCGAGGCTTGGCAGACGAGGGTGTAAGACCTTCTGCAAGAAAGATCTTGAGCAAATATTTCAAGCGAGGAGATTGGCAAAGTAGGTATCTTGCTCGATCGAATCTAATTCGGGGAGGCGGGTTGATTTTCCCTTCTACCGTCAGCTGCCAAAACAGTTCGAAGCACATATTGCCCTCTTTGGCAATATCCGCTACATGCTCAGTGTACTGATTTGAGATACCCTCGAGGTTTAGGAAAGTGTCGAGCTTTGCATGGAAGGCCAAGGCGCATAATCGCCGGAGTTTGCCACTGTTGACTCGCCCCCTTCCAAACAGTTGAGCCTCAGATAAAGTGGCAGATCGAAACTTGCCATTGTGAGCTCTCCCCTTCCCATTCAATTGAGCATCAGAAAACGTCTCAGGCGATGAATCATTTTCCTTTTTGACTAGACCCTTGATGATCTTGGAATACAGCAAATCATGCTCCCTCTGTTCAGCATCTGAGTAACAGAGTTCCACTGTCATAACACGCGCAGGGGGGATCTTTCCACCGATTTGGATTTTCTCTCCAGCTGGCATCTCAATATCATCGCCCATTTGTCTTTGTAGAATACAAAGGCGGAAGATGATGGGGATGAGCTTGCACGCCTGTCCGGGTGTTAATCGCCGACTTTGTAGATCGACCAACAGCTTGGGGTTCAGCAAACCCCAAGGAGCTGGAGTCGGCAATTTAGGCAGTCTTGACCATGCGCCATAAACATCAATCAAGTAATCAGCTCCTCCGCCTGATCTATGTCTCATGCCGGGTGCAAGTGGCAGATCAACTTCTTCCTCTTCCTCCTCGCCGTCGGCAGACGATCGCTTGTGCAACAAACTCAGAGGGCCATTGAGGTCTGTAAAGCTGTTTGACATTGGCGTGGCTGTCAAAAACCAGATGGCATCATACTCAAGGAGGGAAATACTCTGATGCTGCTTGCTCAGAATGTTCTTCACTCGGTGGGCCTCATCGCAAATGATTCTGCTAAACTTGAAAGCCTTCAATCGGCTCACATAGTTGATAGCGGTGCTCATATTATCACTTTGAACAACCCCGAGTCCTTGGATAGCACTGGCTGTTGTTTTAGAGCCTTGGCTACCCAGTGCATATCTCACTGATTGAGCAGGCCGTTGGTCTGATAGAATTGATCTAGGATCGTCCGTAGACTCCGTTTCCTCGATCGTATCTATGACATCAAGGTCAAGACACTCGTCGTCATTCCCAGCACTGGAAGTTAAATGAACTTCTGAGTGAGAATTTTCCGGGTCATTCTCATCATCACTTTCCAGATGAACAGGGTCTACCCCCCTTCCACCACTCTGGTGTGTTGTTCGAAAAGCAAATGTGTCATAAGTGCTGATTATGACAACTCGCAAAGTCTCAATACTGCTGGAATCCAGGGTTCGCAAATACTCCATCAAAACGTCATTATTGTTTATAACGCACTCCTCACGGTGGGTTTTGGGGCTTTTTGGCTGGGGTCCATAAAACACCTTGATCACGAAGGTATCTCCAAAATGTTCCATAGCCTCTGCATACCACATATCGAGCAGACTCTTTGGACATAGCACAAGCTGTGGATAGTATGTTCCGTTCTCAGAAGTCTTGGTAAGTGAACGTTCCATCAGGGTGTACGTTGTTCGCGTCTTCCCAAGTCCGCACCCATCAGCAAGAATGCCTCCGTGTAGTGGTGACTGCTCTTCCATGTCCATCATCCATGCCACGGCAGTAGCCTGCCAAGGCTCCAGAGAAACCGGCTTGCTAATTCTGTGAGAGTGGAGATACACACCATCCTTCGTCACGGTCAGCCCTGCTTTGTTGCAAGCATCTTGGAATTCTCTGGTTCTGGCAGACATGGTATAGTCTCTCCTTTCAACCACCGCGCAACCTACGTCGTCTGCCAAATCCATATTGTTGGCAGCTTCATGGTCATCTCCTTCATCGTTGGCTGTCATGATGGCCTCGCCGATAGATGCTACCAGGGCAACATGAGTGTCCAGGCTAGTCTGTCGTGGTTGCGTGTCAATTGGTTCGAAAAGAACACAATCTTTGGAAAAGTCCCTATCCTCATCCACGAAATAATTGTGCAGAACTCTGTATACATCGTCTGACATTGCAGGCTGTGGTCCAGGTCGAGGCCGAATAAGGGCACGTTGAATCGAATTCATTAGCTCCGCAACAGCCTTCTCATTCGCGGAAGGTGCATTGGGACCAAGTGCTTGGAGGTTGGCATAATCTTCAAATGGAGAATAAGCTTCCATCCCAAGCAAGCTTCTTCTGAGAGCGTCCAAATCTCCAGAGCTGGATGACTGCCCAGGAGAGATCGAAAGCAAAGCTGAGGCGGAAGCCGAAGCGGAAGCTGAATGATTTGTAGGTCTGGCTTCCACGTACACAGGGAGAATTCGGTTTTGATTGCGCTTATTCAAGATTTCCGCGTCGATATTTCTCCCTTTGAACGATCGATGACAGTTTGCAAGAAATATGCACATGTGCAACACGTCGTATGGATCCAGACTCAAGGGAGTGTCTTCGACTTTCGACTTCTCACAAAGACGTGGCACGGCCTTCATGCACTTCACGGCGTACCAGAGGGTGCTCATGGCAGCAAGGGCATCCGCGGTCACGTCATTTATGCCAATCTTTGGTGGACTGGCATCTTCGAGCACTTCTCTGCAGACTTTTTCGTTCAGGATCTTGTCGACCCAGTTGCCTCTCAAGGTCTTCGGAGCTTTCGATGGGTGTCCGAACTCTTTTTCACGGGCTTCGAGGTACTGGTTAACCCATGTTCTCATTGGGCTTTCCTTTGCCAGTGCTATGCTGTCAAATGTCCTGGTATCCGGCATATGAAGAGTGTTGACCTTTGCAAAACTGCCAACAAGAGCAGGCCAAGATCCATCAATTTTCTTCACCCAATCCTTGGTATAGCTCACACCAAGGATTCCACAAGGCTCAGAAGTCTTTTTCTTCGACATTTTGTTTCTGAAAACTCCACTAGTCAATAAATGTATGGTCAAAAGTGGTGGTAGAAAAAAGATGTGTGAATCAAAGTTGAAAAAGCTGTCGAAAATTGTGAAGGAGATAATGTATGAAGCGAATAGCAATCGGTGAGATCAAATAGGAAGAGGTATGTCGAAACAAATGTCATCGGAGAATGGATGCAAAGGCAAGTTTCAAGCAAGTGGAGCGTGTGAAGATTCGATGTGAAATCACATACCGAGACAGACAACTGGGCCAAGTATTCGAAAAGTGATCAAAGGTGTAGATGTTGTAAGTTGATGTAGAAGAATGAAAACGAGAAAAGAAGAGGTGGAGGTTTTAAAAATCTGATCAGATAATGAGAAGCAGACTTGTTGGAAACTTGTTGAGTGAATCAACGAGCAAATATATCACAAACGTCGAGAGACTAAATGTGAGATATAGTCGATGATCTGCTCTGATTATAGCAAGCTCAATGGTCTTGTGATCAAATATGCCGAGAGTGTATGAGGATGCGTCAAGGATGTGTCAAGAGGAGAAGTGGAAAGGCAAGGACTGGGTTAGATGAGTAAAGAGACCTCGAGATCAAGCAGTGTAAGAGTGTGAAAACACAAGTCTAGCCTTTAATCTCGAAGATGGTTGAAAACTTCGGTCGAAGGTTAATGGAGTGAGAAGCAAAAAGGTTGAATGATATGGTGTCTCCGAAGATATGTGGAGTATAGCACCTGGAGGTTGATATATAGTCAACTCTCACTTATAGTACGGCGGGTATTAGAACACTCCTGCTTATAGTATCATCCGCTTGGATGAACCCACTTTTCCGGGTTTTCCCATACAGAAATCTCACTTATAGAACACTCACCTTTGTACACTCCCATTTTGCTGAGTCATTCGCCTAGTCAGCTCAATCAACCTATCAGAATGCCTGAATACTCTCCCCCCCCCTGTTGAAGTACGTCAGTCTGGCCACCTAAGCCCCTACTACACCACCACCAAAGCTATATATAATGAAGTACCTAATTGATAATGTTCGTAATGATAATATAGTACTACTTGATCAATTTCTTAGACTTCATTCGAGGAAGATATCATAACCCGAGATAAAACCGATGGGTAAGATTTATGTATATAGAAAAAGCAATACGCACAGTACTTCTTTGCTGGAAAGGTACACAGTACACTTGTTTCAGGCTCTTAGAGTGATGAGAATAATCTCAGTCAAGTCCTACAACGGCATCACTACATCGATTCGGCATACCTATATGTGAAGATTTTCCACTCTCCAAGAGGCATGGTTCCATGGTTCCTAGAAATTGAGAAAGGATTCCCGACTAGCCTATGAATCCGGTGCACAGGAGGCAATCAGTAGATCAGTATCGACCTTGCTTGCTTGTTTCGGTGTAACCTTTGGACAATCATAAAAGGCGTGTTTGGCCTCTAGAGAAGCCAAGACCCTTCGACAATCCTTTCTGAGCTAGGATTCTGCCTGGGCCAGGGACTAGCAATGGTATCGCTGGAGCAATAGAGAGGAATCTAAACTGACCGATGAGAAATTGGAGCATACTCCACCCCTCCCCGCTTGCATCATTTCTATCGATCCTAGATTGACCACCGAAGCAGGGTGCTAGTCAGCTCTTGCCCAGCGGCGGTTGATAGTGAATAGCACATTGCGGGCAAGGATGGCGAGTTGAAGAACCCGAGGTGAGGTAAAATCAGGTTTGTTCAAAATGAGTGCTGAATATGACTGAGCTCGCCCACCTATCGCAAGTACACGCTCTTTCCGTACTAATTGCGCACCTGTTGAAGATCGGCATGCCTCCACCAATTTCATGCGTTGTGCAATGGCCTGAAGACTGCTAGGATAAAATCCAAATAATAATTGTGAGAAACTATAGATTACATTCTTAAAAACGCGCCATTTCAGATATATGCATGCATCTATGGGAGTGAGGAAACCACCATTTACTTAGTTAAGCTTTCCACAGCTGATTGACTTGCTTCTTTCGGACCTACAGATTGGGTGATTAGCAGATGCATCAGATATTATCGGGCAATGAGAAGAGACAAACTCACCATAGGGGCCAAGAAGGTGACACCGATCGACAACGCCACTACTGTCAGAACAAGCTGCAATTTAGAGAAGCTCTTGCCAAGAACATCGAAGGCTTGGCTAGGAGTAGCTCGTGTTCCGTAGATATCGCCACCAAAAGCGAAGACAAGACTGGTGCTCTCCAGTAAAGTAGGCCGTGACAGGACAGTCTTGATGCCCGAAACATCACGGACGTGAGTCAGGAACCATCTGCCATCAAACTCTAGGAATGGAGCGTAACGGAAAAGTCCTTCTTCCGCCTCGGAAGAGGTAGGGTCTCGGTCAACAGGGCGACGAGGGTCCAGCACGGGACGGGGGATACCCACGATAGAGCTAGACTCTGGCAGAGTGCAGAGGAGCTGGCGGGTAGTGATTCCTTGGCGAGTCTGGGTGACAGCCATGTGAGAGATAGGCTCAGGAATAACGAATGCCTGGGCGACGACATGAGGTGATGGGGGGCTATCACCATCGTTGCCGTGAAGGCTAGAAAAGTTTCCAGCCGAGTCCAAAGGTCCACGATCATTAGCAGCAGGTGATTCGTAGAGCTCGGAGATCACGAGCTGATATCCCTTGGCAGAGGATTCATCGACATCATCGCCAAAGAAGGAGTAAGCAAACCAGTTCTCACTTATGACTGACGCAATAGGTTGCGTCGGGTCAACACCGTTCTGGGTGGTGGCATATAGCACCTTGCCGGACACACCGTCCAGGAGGTAGAACCCGGCAGTGTTGTCCTTCTCGTTCACAGCGGTGATTAGCGCCAGATTGGGGTTCAGGTATTTGTACAGAACAGACCGGTTACCGAGAACCTTGCCAATCGATGCAATAGGATCGTGCACAGGACGAGATGTTGCATGCACGACCTTCTGGCCGGAAGGAGGCACAAATTCCCAAACTGGGGACTTGTTGTCCTGTCCGGACCAGCCAAGAACACGACCATCGGCGCTGGTCGTCACGAGAAACCCGATGCTATCGTCGAAAACAGCAGCCGGAGAACCATCTTCATTGATTCCAAGAATCGGATGATTCTCTAGGGAGACAATGGATTGCAGTTTGACGTTTGTAGGAGCAGTACGGGAAGTCACTTCACCGGTAGAGACGTTGACAGTTGCAGAGCTTCCGTCACTTGCATAAATTGTCGCCACCCCAGGACGGGTCACAATAGACTTCACATCCCATTGTGAAGTTTTTTCAACTTGAACACTCCATTCGACGGCGCCTTGCTTGCCAGTGTTCAAGGCATAAAGACGGCCACTCTTGGTGGCTACGATCACAGGCTTAGCCACACCAAAGTTATCAAGGTTAGTGACCTCATCAGTCAGCACGCTGCTCACAATACGCTGAGGGAGTTCTTTCAGCCAGTCTGGGAGATGCTGGATATCACGGATGTGGCGCTTCACCCGATGGATGTATGCGCCAATCAAGCTTTCGTGTCCCTCAACTTCTAGCTCATGAACCAGGTTCTCCTGGACTTCTTGTTCAACCCAGGTTGCAGCCACAGCATCAATCAAGGCTTCGTGCCTAGTCCATTCGGTTTGACCATTACGAACCAACTCCCAGGTTCCAGCTTCCCGCAGAACAACAGCACGCACAGCTACCGACTTTCCTTTGGAAATCACTTCTGACACAGCGTGCAGAGCACGTTCAGTAGAGGCGGCTTTCACATCCCAGCGTCCCAAAATTCCGTGCGATGCGGAAGAAACAATGGTAGCCTCAGAGTCAGTAATGCGGGTAAAGTAAACATTGGCATCAATGTTGCTAGTAGCCACCGCAGACTGTCCCTGCAGGTAGGGCAATTGATACGCCTTGGTCACAGCCGAAGTCTGCAAGTCCACATGATAAACTTCAGCCCATGCACCGGTCTCAGTCACGTAGTGGACCAAGAAGTGAGAGAGCGAGTTCAGTTTATGAGGAGCGTGAACCGTAATCTGTCGAATTTCCTGGCCGGAGGTATTTTCAATGTTGACTGTTTGGATTTGCTTTGTGCCAATGACATTGACCTTCAAAGTCTTATATGTCTTATCCGCCCAGACGATCAAGGGCGAGGCAACATTGGCGCCTACAAAGAGAACGGATTCTGGGGTCGCAATTTCATTCTCCGAATTTAAGACATACTGGCGAGTTTGGCGGCCATTCACGGGATCCAGTGCAGTGACCTTGAGCTTGTAACCCTTCAGCAAAGCTGACTGGAGCGAAATGTAGAAGACCTCCGTGGGAGAAGATGACACTTGGAACGCAACATCACCACTAGACCGATTAATCAGCAACAGCTTCAAGAAACGCGAGAGCATACTAACCTGGTGTCCTTCGATTCCCATTTCGTCTCTCCAGTGTTACCATCCAACCGTCTCACAATGCCGGCACTTTCGCTACCAACTAATGCCAGTGTATCTCTAGCACCGGATGTCGCGCTGGCCTCCGCCAGCTCCAGCAGCTCTACGTCCGCAACCACTCCATCTTGGAACTTGTTTTCCCAAATCAGTTTACCATCTTGGGCAGTCCAAGATGAGATGTAATTTCCAGCTGCGCCGACAACAGCATTATGTCCATCCGAGCCGCGCAGGATGCCGCCCCCGTTGGTAGGAGAGCCCGCCTGGGAGAGATCCTTACGCCAAATTAAAGCCCCGTCGCGAGGATTGATGGCACCCAAAATCGATTTGTCGGAGATTGTGTAGAGGAGAGATGCATTTGAGGCGGAGGAAGGCTTGAGGAAGAAGGTCGAGTCGGGGGAGGGGGTACCGATGAGGGCGTGGTGGAAATCAATGTGATTGACCTCATCGGGGTAAATAGCCGCTGCGGGCGACACGCACGCAGCGATAAAGAGGGCCACTTGGAGCCACATGTTGCTATCGCGCGAGCATTGATGAACCGACTTGAGTGAGGTGGTGTTTGTCGAGCTTCTGGCGAACCGCGGGCGGTGATCTCCCCCGGACCCAATCAAAGCGGACGTGACCTCTTTACTTTCTCCAAGTCCACCTTCGTACGCTTATTGGATAGCGACTAGTATCTTAGTTTGGTAGCAGTCAGTGTCTAACCAAACTACAATACTTCTAGTATCAAGGTTCTTAATTCTGTAGGTTGTTAACGAAAATTTGGGCTGGGGACTTGCATTACTCAATCCGTCCACGACATATACGTACTCGGCAATTGGGCTATGCGGGCCCGCTTGGAATCTTTACTCTCAATAATCTTGGACAGATCTCAAGGAAAGAGACTCCGTGGCTTTAATGTGAATTCAATTCTGTCCCTGATGCCAATATTCTAATATATAATCCATGATTTGGGATTCTTTTGAGAGCATTGATTTCCTGGTAGCTTGTTCAGGTGTACGTACACTTTCCAAGGTTCCAACTTACATTGAGAGAGAGAAAGAGAGAAGAAAGAAAGGAACATTGCCAGTAGCAGTTGAAGACCTCTGGGATGGAAATTTAGTCGACTTTCGAATGTTATCTCAATCAACCAAGTCGGCAACCGCATCAGCTTCAATCTCCACGAGCATACTATCATCAACAAACCCATTAGCCACAATCATCGTTGCAGCCGCCCCTATCTGCCCTCCGCGGTCTTTTCCCAAAATCTCTCGAAAAGCTTCCCCTACCTTGCCACAGTCCTCTTTCCTGCTGACGAACATACGGCATCTTACAATACTTTCAGCACCTCGGCCCCCCACGGCCTGAATGGCCTCAATGATCTCTTCCAGTATAAGACATGCTTGTCGCTTAGCGTCACCAGGAAAACGAACCCGTGGTGCTGATGGAGATGAGTTTGGATCTGCGGAGGTTGTTCCAGACACCCAGATCAGATCCCCGTGACGCACTGCCCGGTAGTAACCTATCCGAGCTTCCCAAGGGGAGGCGGTGCTGAAAAATCGCTTTTTAAGAGGCTGAGCGGAGGTCATAGTTGTTTTGGGTTGAGTCTGGATGATGAAGAGTCTCAAAGGCCCGAAATCAGCATTTATTCGGCCTCAAAGAGCTCACTAGATTGATTACCTTGACTTCCAGTCTCAAATGTCTGAAAGCTGCTGACTCAAGTGCGTTTGGATTCCAAATCCCGGATCTTTTGTACTCGGGCGCCACAGTGACTCATTTGTCCATTACGGTCTACTCAAAATCCACCTTTTTCCCCCCAAGCGGCTTCGATCAACTGGTGGGAATACCCGTAACTCAATAGTCACGAGCCTATTGACATACTCCGAAGTATTGTGAATGACCAGTTTGAACAAGGAGATCCATTGCCAACAACCAGTCTGTCTGTGAGACTACGACTGAGACATTTTAGAAATACCGAGATTTTTTTCGGGGCATTTCCAAGCCATTAGGCCTTGTTCGGTACAAAGAGCAGCAGGTTGTTGATTCTTGAGCCCCCACTGGTCAAAAAGAAGAAAATTGGCGTGGGGAAGTTCATATTCCGGGGAACACCCTTAGAAACCCGGAGCTGCCAATCCGAAACGGGTCACAAAGGCCGAGTCTTCAACTACAAATCGCACGCTAATGTCAACGGAAAATTTCTTGTAGCCACCCAGAGAGCCAAATTCTGCAAAAGGCGGATCTCCCAGTAAGTGTGTTATGGATAAATGTGTCTTAGCGTTGGATTCCGGCTATATCATCTTCCCTCAGTGCTTCATACTTTTTCCCAAATGCTGAATAGAATTAACTTTGACGTCAAATGCAGGCGAAAGCCACGATTTTCATACTCATTCAACGATTACTCCAACCAAAGTATAGACCCAATGACGTAGGTCAGCTCGACGACACTCTTATCAATGGAGAGGCATGTCAATTTTTGTGTGCTTTTCCGCATGGACTATGCCTCACACACTCCTTTCGTTCAATAGTAGCAAACACAAGGAAACTCCAGGTTTGTGGGGATTGTAATATAGAAGGCGGGGGAAACTTGTACTAGGCGAAAGAAAGCGTATTGGCGCAACAATCCGAGTGGCTGATGGTATTTACTCCACAAGGTAGCGGACAGGTACATGAAGCTTTTCACTAATGAGAAGAAAACCTAATTCCTTCTGGGCCTTAGCTGGATGCAAATGTCGGACGAGACTTCAGTCCCGAAGTGTAGAGCCTCGGACATAGCTCAAGCTTGTTTCTCTTGAAGTCCAGAACGTTGTGGTATAAATAGAGCAAATAACCTTCCCCAAGAACAGATTCATACATCAGTTTCAACCCAACTTTCTGCAGCAACAAAAAATTGAATCTTTGTCCTTCCTGCTACTTGGCCTCGTTACCTTACTTCGCTTGGAACAATGCTGTGCCTAAAGCAACTGGTTGGTCTCATCGCCTTGGCTAGGATGAGCACTGCTCTTCCGGCAACAATTGAATACAATGGTCAGTCAAAGTACTCTCCCGTCTCTACGTCACCTCAACTACTGAGTGATATTTTTTTGTTTAGTTCCATCGGAAGCCGGAAGTGTTCTCAACCTGAATGTTGCCCTCCGCAACGGTACCTATACTGTGAAAGCCAATGACACTATCTACACCATTGCCACCAAGCATGGTGTCGGTGCTTGCGACATTGCCCGAGTCAACGTTCTCGCCGACCCCAATTACCTTTACACAAATGAGTCATTGCTCATTCCTCAGATTGCAACATTCCCCGACGACACCTCTTGTTTCAGCACAAACAACACCGAAACAACTGCAACATGTATCTACGGTGGTCCTCACGTCTACACTATCCTTCCGGGTGATACGATTCAGAAAATTGCAAACGAGCGCTACAATATCACTGTTGAGTCGATCATGAACAACTCTCCCCAAACCGGGTATATTGCTGCTCTGAAGTTGGATACAATCACACGGATGCTACAGGTGTTCCTTTGGTTGTATTGGCTGATTGTGAGATCACGAACTGATTGCTACCTTACATTAGGAAAGGATTGCGATATAAATTGTGACTGTTCAAGGAAGAAAGGAGTGTCCCAGGCTACTACATCTTATTCCTTGGCTGATGTAGCTATTTCACAAGTTATTCCCCATAAATTATTGCTGTCATGATACATATATATTTAGTAAAAAGCGTATTACACCAAAAGAAAGTGCCATGAAGATAAGTTTTTATGCTGCCACCCATAAACAACTAGTACCAATAGCCTGTAAGCCCTTAGGTTTTGTCCAAAATAGAAGAATCACGCTGAACCTTCCCGAGTACCTACCATAGTGTCCGTTTGAGAAGCGATGCTTGCCATACCGAAGCCGAATACGCATATCGACATTTAAATAACGGGATTCGACAATTCACAGACATAGAGGCACAATGGGCAGAATCGACAGTCTTATAGGTGACTTGTATTGCCTATTTTGGAAAGCAATCCGCAGTAGTCGTCAGATGAGGTCATCATAACCGCCAGACTATGATGCTCGGAGTTACGCCGACTCGACGCAAATAGATATCAAGCCCTGAAAATAAAGTAGGCCCTAGTAATCTACGAGAACGACCTATATTCTGCAAAAACACTATGTCTAGCCTTATTCCGTCTTTCCTATGAGGCCGTGGTATCTCTAAAAGGTAACTTTGGCGAGCGAGTCCGTCTGCTCCACGGACGATCCAGTGGACCTCGGGAGGAAAATGAAGAAATGAAAAAGCCATGTATCGCAGCGACCCGTCAGATTGGCCAAAAGCAGCCAAGCAGACCCAGATATGAAGCCGAAAGAAGCACAGAGATCTCGGGCATTTTGCCGGCCTCGGCGAACCTTCTTGACAAAACATACTGCATACTACAGTAGTGGCGGTTAAATCCTCTGGTTCCCCCTCTTCTCCAAAACGGCTATAATACTCGCTCCAATAGAACCCGAAGTTCCACAAGGTCGTGTAAGCATATAAGAGACGTAGATTTTCGCGATGTTACTCTATCCTGCACGATTTTCACTTACCTGAAGGTTCCCCATACACGGCAATGGCAGTCTCAGTTCAAGGCAAAACAGCTATTATCACCGGTGCAGGTTCTGGTAAGCTATCCTAGTTAAAATCTTACAGCATCGCTTTTGTAGATATGCTCACCTTCCCATTAGGAATCAATCTGGCCTTTGCCAAATTGCTAGTGGAAAATGGATGCAACATTGTCATCGCCGACCTGGCTTTACGACCCGAGGCGCAGGTGCTAGTTGATAAACATACCTCTGGACCTGTACGAGCTGTGTTCCAGCAGACGGATGTCACAGACTGGATCCAACTTGAGCGGATGTTCGAGGTGGCCGAGAGAGAATTCGGCGCGATCGACATTGTTTGCCCGGGCGCGGGGATCTACGAGCCAGTATGTATTCATACCGCAAAGACTACTATAATCTACGATGCCGAGTGGTGAATGAAACCCCGCTAACAAATTCCTCACAGCACTGGACCAATTTCTGGCGTCCACCTGGCTCGACCGCAAGCAAAGATTCCCGCGACAGCGGCCGATACGCACTGGTGGACATCAACATCACCCACCCAATTCGTGTCACACAGTTGGCCATTGCGCATTTCCAGAAGCACCGCGATAACGGTCGCCTAAAGCATATCATCCACATCTCTAGCATTGCTGGACAGAACGAGTCGTTCTCGGCCCCAATTTACGTTGCCACGAAGCATGCCATCAACGGTCTGGTGCGATCGCTGGCTAAACTGGAGAGGATTGGCATTCGTGTCACGGCAGTGGCTCCGGGTGTTATCAAGACTCCCTTGTGGACAGACCATCCCGAAAAGATGAAAATGGTGATTGACAGCTCTGACTCCTGGGTGACGCCCGAGGAAGTGGGAGAGGTGATGCTGGCGATGGTACAGCAGGATCAGGTGAGCGAAATCATTGGAGATCGATCTGGTCGAGGAACGCAGTACAGGGTGAAAGGTGGGACGATTATTGAAGTGTCAAAGACGGTGCGGGAAGTTAAACAGTTTAACGATGAGGGCCCTGGAAATCGGCCAGGTAATACGGTCTCGGACAGCGAGGCGGTGGAGAACGAAAATTGGGCGCTTTTGTCACAAAAAGGATGGGGACTTTCAAAGTTGTAATTTAAGTCTGTAGAATCGTGATAACGAAGATTATGATGCCATATCTGTGAGCAAGCCACAATCGTTCAGCGGAGGAAGTGCGGAGAGACAAAGTCATGTGGGTGGGTCTAATCGGGGCCGAACTGATAAGAGGAGGCCAGCGCGCCGTTTCTTCTCTTTTGCATATCTCCCCAGCCTACCATCTTCTGCCCAGCTGTGCTGGACGCGGTTGCTATTAGGGCCTGTGCCTCCTTTTAATCAATCGGTATAACAGTTTCATTCTCATCACCATGGAGGAAGAGGCGGCCGTTGGTGGCCTTGCCGGTCCCTCTCAAAGCGGACTACGACGGTGAGTCAAGGCGTTATCTGCTTGTCAAGCGTCCTAAGAATACAATGACTAACGTTGATATCTGGATTAGGCGCATCGGTCGGGGCAAACGAAGTACAGGAGTCGTCGGTGAAGCTAGCTGGGCCAGTAGCGTGATCAATCTCGTCAACACAAGTGAGTTCGAACCAGGCGAATAATGGAGACACTAGATGGATGCTAATTGGAACCATCTCAGTCATCGGAGCCGGTGTCTTAGCGATGCCTCTGGCTATATCGCATTTTGGAATCGTGCTGGGCATATTCGTTATTTTGTGGTCGGCTGCAACTGCAGGATTTGGCCTCTATCTTCAATCTCGATGCGCGCAATATCTGGATCGAGGCAGTGCATCATTCTTTGCGCTTTCGCAGCTTACATACCCAAATGCTGCTGTGGTTTTTGATGCTGCTATCGCGATCAAATGTTTCGGCGTCGGGGTGAGTTATCTCATCATTATCGGCGATCTCATGCCAGGAGTGGTCCAAGGATTCGTGGGCGGCGACCCTTCATACGACTTCCTGGTAGATCGCCATTTCTGGGTGACTGCTTTCATGTATGTGCTTCTGTAGAGAATTCATTCTCATCCGACAATCATACTAACAATGTTGCTGGACAGGTTAATCGTAATCCCTCTCTCCTACCTGCGCCGATTGGACTCTTTGAAGTACACCAGCATTGCTGCTCTTATATCGATGGCCTACCTCGTTGTCCTGGTAGTCTATCATTTTATCAAGGGTGACACAATGGCTGATCGGGGTCCAATCCGCGTGGGCCATTGGGCAGGTCCCATTCCGACTTTGAGCAGTCTGCCTGTGATCATCTTTGCCTTCACATGTCACCAGAATGTAGGCTTTCAGCGATACCTTGCGTCCTCTTTCCTTGGAAGCTAATTTTTGATTAGATGTTTTCTATTCTCAACGAAATCGCCAACAACAGCCATTTCCGTACAACTAGCGTTGTCCTCGCCAGTGCCGGCAGTGCTGCTGCCACTTACATCCTTGTCGCTATCACTGGTTACCTCTCCTTTGGTAACAACGTCGGGGGCAACATTGTCGGCATGTACCCTCCAGGCGTTTACGCCACTATCGGGCGAGCAGCAATTGTCATGCTCGTCATTTTCTCCTACCCATTGCAATGCCACCCCTGCCGAGCTTCAGTTGATGCGGTGCTGAAATGGCGGCCTAACCCCAAATCCAGTGGTGCCGAAGGCGGCTCGCCCCATCGGCATCCGCTGTTGGGACCTCGCGGGACTCGTACACCAGAACCGATGAGTGACCTCCGCTTTTCGATCATCACCACTACGATCCTCATCCTGAGTTACCTCGTTGCTATGACCGTGTCATCCCTTGAAGCTGTCCTAGCCTATGTTGGCAGCACTGGTAGCACGAGTATCAGCTTTATCCTGCCGGGTTTGTTCTACTACAAGATTTCGGCGCCAGATTCGCCGGCCCATCGGGGCCTCCTGAAGGAAGATGACGAGGCTGCGGATGACATGTCTGATGAGGATGGGGAGGTCGAAGATGACGGGGAGGGCTCCTTGGCTCGATCCTTAACTGAGAGTGGCATCCTTCGTCGCCATACCCGCCACTGGCGCAAATCTTTGCTCCGTCGACTAAGCCTGGCCCTTGCCGGGTACGGCGTTGTGGTCATGGTGGTGTGTCTGATCACCAACACCTTCTTTATTGCCTCTCACTGAGGTCCTCTTTTTGCATAAATTCGCAATATACCGTCTAATTACAGATACTCCGATTTTCTAGTATTTTTGTTGCTTGCTGTCTACAGGCAGAAAACAGTCCTGCGTTTGCTTTCATGAATCTTCTAGATGTGAATTTTCACTCTGGGCTCGCTTCATTGCGTCGCCTTTTTACATTGGCCACAAACCATGGTCTCTTTATGGCATGCACTGTTTGGCGTTTAGAGCGTTGTATTGAGTAGCATTATTTTGCTTTTCCTTTTTTGGCTGTATTGTCATTCGCTTCGTGGTATGATTCGTTCGCCAAGTACGAATTGATTTTCATCTTGTACTACAGCCGGCTCGATTTTCGTTCCCCAGTATTTCTTGACACTTCAGGCCACTGTAAACCATCGTAAACTTCTGTGCTTCTATGATCCAAGGCTGGCCTGCTCCGATTGGCAACCATCACCTAGCGGCGTGGCAAAGATTTCGATTCGTAATTACGGGCACTCGACCTCAGTATAATGTTAGGACTGGGATTTCAGGTAGTATCTACCTAGGATTATTTGTTGAATCATTGATCTTATTTCCAAAACTCTGATTTCGAGGTTCCTTTCGTATATCATACAATTTGAAGCTTGTCATTCGGTCAACTGCATACCTAGATAAATTCACAGAAAAAGACAGAATCTGGGGTACATGTAAGCAAAGGCAAATATTTTTCTTTAGATCCGACTCTAGGATCTTGAAATAACGGAGTTCAAATGTCCTCGTATCATATCCGTTGGCTATCAGCAAGATAAAGAATCTCTTTCGCGGATCATAGAACAGCCTTGGGGAGATACAGCGGCATGGAATCTTCCCACATGGAGTCCGTCAGAGGTGTCTTTTTTGAACCATCCTTGTTCATAATCATGATCTGGTCATAGGGCTGGAAAGTATCGTCATATAATTCACATTCATACCGGAACCCATTCATGCCAGTCGACCACATAATGCGACCATCATGAGACCAGACAGCATGCGCATCATTGGCTCCGCTAGAGGTGAGAACCTTCAGATCGGTTCCATCGGGGCGAATAGTACACACATCGTAGTTGAAGCACTTGTTTTCCGGGTGAAGAGGATGAGTTCTCCATCCGGGGAGTATTCCGGAAGGTTATCCCATTCAGTAGTCAAGACTGTCATTTTTCTCGTCTCGAGATCGAGAATTCGAAGACCGATCTCAGACTTCTTGCCGTAGGTTGCAGTGTCAGCACCCCAGACACGGTATACGACCTTCTTGCCGTCGTGTGAAAAGCTAGGGTAGCCATTGTTGAGGGTAGTGCTGTTTGTGATGGAGTATGCACTGTCGACAAGGACCTCGGAGTAGAAGCCATTGGCGGTCGACTGCACAATCCAGCCACCGGATGCTTCGCGAGTCTCGAACCAGAATCCGACTCCGAATACAAGCCATTCGCCGTCGCGAGACCAGTTCGGGTTGTAAGCCGCAGCGCCGGAGGTTTGCGATGATGAGAGGAAATCAGCTGTGCTGGGGTCGTAGACTAGGTTCAGATCTCCTCCGGTGGTGTTCAGCGTCACGATGGAAGAGTTTCCAAGTTGCTTTTGAGTGATGCGATTCGCCCATCCACTCCGGAGTACTGGGGGAAGACGTCGGTGAAGCGGTAGTCCCATTCAGGGTCCCAGTTGTAAAGTTGCTTGTAACCATCACGAACCACCCAAGTGGTCTTCTCGTACACGACTTGCTTGCCATTGGGCGACCAGCAAGGTGAGCGCACGGTGCCAGTGAAATTGGTAAACGAACCAGAAGTGGTGTAGAAGCCTTCATTGGATCCGCCGCTCTTGAGCAAATAGGCAATGGTTCCGTTGTTGTCAATGTACTGAGGGAAAACTTTGATGCCAGCACCATCAGCTTCCACTTTTCGGTCTTTGCCTGTCGCAACATCCACCGAAACGATGGTGGAGTTTGCTGATGAGAGACTAAATGAACTGTGCGCGTTGTAGGTGTCCTCGCGTGTCATCTCGTAGTAGACAAGACGTTTGCCATCTTTGGACCACTTGGGAGATCCTAGGCAGTAGTAGGGCTTCGTAGCGATTTGGCGGAAGTCTGTTCCATCGAGACGGATCACATAGATTGAGAGCTCTTGCGTCGTCTCCCATTTAGTGAGACCCAGATAGTTTGGTTCTCCATGACCACTCCATTGCGTGTTCCGATCCGATGAAAATACAATCCATTCTCCATCAGGAGACCAAGCGGGGCGGAAGTAACCACTCATCAACGACGAGTTGGGATGATAACTGAGTCTTCAACTGCAGGAGTGGCCACCATTTTCTCCAGATCGGTGCCGTTTGGCCGGACGCGATAGATATCAGAGTTTCCATCGCCATTTTGTTCGGTCGTAAATGTGACACTCTCTATCGGGCGAAAATGAAGCATGGTACTCATATGCCGGGTCTGGGAGAAGTTGTCGCTCATTGGTACCATCTGCATTGGCAATATACAGGTTGGACGTTCCGGAAGCAATTCGGTTCATCATAGAGACACCCTTGCTGCCATCAGCGCTGCTGCTGGAAGTCGGGGCGGCAGAAGCAACGCTGGAAGAAGGAACGCTTCGGCGCATGTTGGCGTGGGCTTGAAGTTTTGCATGGTCGTCGGCATCTGATCTCTTGTCGAAGCCGTATGGACACCCAGCCAAAGCCGGACTGACAGCCAAGCCAGCCAACAGAGTCAATGATGCTCGCATAGTTGTTGAAATGGAAATGAATTGGCGTCAACACTACGAACACATTAAAGATACTGTGGGCGAATCAACCGGGTACTTATCCTAGTCTATTTTTCTCCCTATCCACGTATTGAGAGACTTTTATTCGTCTGCAAATCGCCTATTGGCATAGGATATATGAATCTGGGCCACGATGACACGTCGGACGTGCAACCCTCCACTCGAAATCGCTTGAATATCCACCAGGTATACCATCCTTCGGTCAATCGCCATCGTCATTGGTTGAATTTCCCAGATTGATATCAGCACCCCAGCCCTGAAGTATTAGGATCGACATAGTTTAAATCGGTTCAGTCCGAAATTCCCCCAAAGTAGTTTAGTTCGAAGTGGGTATGGTGGATGTCGGAGTGTGAATAACTTCCGACCCTGACGTCGACCATTTCACCGGGCGTTTCCACCTGGTTATGAATCGCCAAGAACGTGATATCAAGACGGAATTCACGGGGCTTAGCCTCGAGTATCAACACTTCTGCACCTCATAAAGATGGATGTCTTCCTTGACAGATTACCGGGTCCAGCGGTCCATTGTAAGAGGAATAATACCATGTCGATCCCAGCGTCCACAACTTTGACCCTCTATCCTGTAGAATATTAGTCCGGCTGGGCGATTACTGGCTGATTTCCTGGGCATGCGGTATAGCCTCCGAGAATCTTATCATATCCTTTCCCGATGCGATCACGCACAAGTGGTAAGCGAGTTCCATTTCATTAAATGGTATTACTTGTTTAGCGAGGAACCAAATATTGAGTCGTGTAAGGACATCTTGGCTCGAATCTTGTTTGTGAGCCTCTAGGGGATCGTAAACATGAAGATACATGCTGTGATACTATCCTACAGTCCCTCATGATTCATATTCATACGAATTATTCATCAAACTGAGTGTTTTGGCCAATAATCCGATGAGGATCCTGGGATCGACGCATGAAGCCTTGAATGATAATCCTTCGCTTCTGATTTTTTAGGATTTTAAATGAGCTGACGCGTTTCAAGAGTCAGCTGGGAATGAATGAAACTCCCAGTAGACTTCGGGCAACCGGAGAGTGAAGCCAGGTTACACTCACCCTTTCTTCATCAATCGGAATTGGTGTTCAAGCTGCATGTCAGACTATCCATGATTCTCGAAAGGAGCATCTTCTCATTGGAAAACTCTGCAGCCGAAATGCAAGGGTTGACCCAAACTTATCATTTGTCGTGTACTCGTTCGTGCTACCCGCTATGATGATAGTTCTAACCAGGCGAGATGTGTGTCTACATCACGCCCTTGACTGATCGTTGCCTTGTGATGCTATCTTTTCCCTCTGTTGCTTCTTTCCCCTCTTTTTTTTTCTGCTAGCTCGTTGTTTCTGTCTTTATTCTGTCCCCAGCACTCTTGAAGATGTAGCGCACCTAGTCACCACAAATGCTGGTCATGTTTGTGGTTCTAGGTGCTATATCTGGACTGGAACTGCATATAAATAACTCTCCGGAATCAAGCATATTCTACATAAGTATAGCTATTTTCAATTGGACCAATTCAATCATCTCCTACGTCAACGGGGGGCACCTCGGGGCCAATGACTGTCCCCATGTTTTGCAGAAGTAAGCGTAGGATGCTGATTGGGCAGATGTGCCTGGCTTCATGATGCATGAAACCACATCAAGCCCGAAGTCACTACGCGCTGCCCCGACCAATATTCGTTTATGGCTCTTCCAATGTTTTGTGCTCTCTGAATTGATTCTAGCTTAAAGCATAGAGTGAATAGGCTTTGAACATCTACAATCTCAAGACCGCTATTTATCTCATGGGCTTTTTTATGGTATCAATGAAGTTTGTGCGACTATGTATTCCTATGAACTGGAGAATGCAAACTATAAGATGTTTATCTGTCAAATTATGGAATGATTTGAAGGTTGCTAGGATAGGTACATGCCATGAGATTCGTTCTTGTTTTTTCAGGTTTGGGATGTTCCTTATTCGAGCGCGCGCACGAACTATCATTGAGACTCGGCAGGCCGAGGCTCCTATAGGCGTACATCGAGTTGCTGGAATCTTGATTATGTGGTAAGGTATTTAATGCTTATCGAAGCAAGGGAAGGTGTGATCAGGCAAAACCTGGCGGTAGTTGAAGCAAGGAAGCGAGAGCCGCAAGGGGAGAATATAGCAGCTGCCGGTGGCACTTACGGTCATCTCATCGAGTAATGAGAGCTAGAAATATGGGGTAGTGCCAATCTTAAAACGCGGCAAGCCGTCTGAACGGAAGTAGCGGGGAGAACTTGAGTGGGGTAAAATATTATGTATAGTTATTTCAACAGCAATCCAAAGAAACCCCTCTCGTGATATAGACCGAGGGAAATTGAGCCTCTTGTACAGCATGATGACGAACGAAATTTCAACCAAGAGTAAAACGATAGTAATATGTAAGATCTGACTTATGATAGAGAGGTGAATCAAAACAAGAAGGAAAAAGACAGACACTGGTTCTCATGATTCCAGCTCCGAGGAGCGTACTAATTCCAAACTAATTCTTATCATACCGTTGACTGTTCGTGATCTTCTTTGGAAATAGGTGTCAAATCCTGGCGCTATTTCTGAAGGCCTGCACCTAGTTGTTGTGCTGTCCGTTCAGGATACGGAGAATGGACATGAACAAGTTCAACACATCCAAGTAAAGCGAAATAGCCGCGGCGATCTCCTCTTCGACATGGTAGTGACGCATCACCAGCTGTGTGTCAACCAGGATATAGCCCGAGAATATCAAAGCTCCAAGCACGCCATACACAGTCTCCGTGGCGCTGCCGAATGGTAGGAACATCGCAACGAAACCGAAGAGGACCATGAACCACAACGCGCCGAATAGATACGGCATCCAGTTTGTAAAGTCATATTTTGTCTGGCATGCGAAGAGCGTCAAGGCGAGGAAGATGCCCAGAGTCAGGACGAGAGCTTGTACGACAACCCGTGCATCATAAAATGATGTCACCACGCTGATAGAGTAGGCTTCCGTTACTGTGAAGGCGGATAGGAAAAGCAGGTTGGACGGGTAAGACTTGCGCTTCCAGTAGGTTGCTAGCATAAATCCGAGGGCACCGAATATGGAGATTATCATCAACCAGAAGTTGGACTGGATCCATATGCGGTAGGAGTCGTTGAAAAAGGAGATGGAGCTGAGGATGGTTGTAAGGAGAATTTGAGCGGTGCTGGAGGAGATTTGAGGTTAGTTCAGAAATTCAGCTCCAATACTTTCGAAAGCTCCTGCACTTACAGGATCGAGTACACCTTGCGCACAAACTGCATCCTGATTTCAATGGTTCCCTCTGCCACAGTACCACCGAACTATATCAAGAGACCATGATCAGCATCTTTTGTTCTTGTCTTGTCATTGATGAGAGAATATATTCAGAATATTCTACATACCTTGAAATCATCGGGAAGGTTGTCATTTTCTGTGCGAGGCTCAAGTGGTTCAGCAGGCTCAGCAGTTGCCTGGTAAGATGGTGGCGCTTGAGTGTAGTGCTGGTCCTCAAAAGAGTCCCGCTGCGGGGCGGCCTGATACCGGGTGTTCGCAGCCATTTTGTCGGATTTCAATATTCTTTGATTTCGCGTCTCTTTCGACTCCTGGCTGGATGAAAGTATTGGAGAGAAGTGGATGGAAGGAAGCCTTGAGATCAGGATGACAATGGGGCGCGGGCCATGTGACGCTGGTATTGGGTCACGTGTAGATTTATCTCCCCGATAAGAGAATGCGGAGAGCTCCAACTATATCGATCTACAACATGCAGTATAGTAGAAGAAAACAACCTTTTTAAGGTTAATCTTGAAGCTGAATTACAGTAGGAAATAATTAGAAGCTTCTTCATCTCGTGAATATTGATAGTCCTCTACTAAAATAGTTGTGTTCAATGAGACAAAATGATATTGAAAGATATGTGCATTTCATCGAAAAGGAAGATCTAGCTAGCTATCATGAAATTCATAAAATGTTTTGTTCAAGCAAGTCGTACAATGGATTATTCAATAATCCGGTGCATCGCAGATCGCTGGTCGCCTGTCAGCTGCGCGTCAACGTGGTCGGTGCCACCGTCAACAGTCGAACCCGAGTCTTCATCGGTTGTTAACTCTTCGTCCTCATCAGAGGAATCTTCAGTACTGCGCAATGCGTCACGCGCAGCTCCCGTACTGGACAAGTAAGATGGAAGGCGTCGTCTCTCGAAGTCAGCAGCGTGGGCACCCGCAACCTTGTTACCAACGCGAGCGAAACTGGCCGAAGGACGTCGATTTCGAGCACGTTGGCTGGAGATAGATGCTGGTGTTCCATGTTCAGCATCGCCTGCAGACATGAAAGGAGTGTTTTGCTGTTCCTGAAGCTGGACATCGTCCACATTGGCACCATCGAGCGCTGGCGTTGCGGCAATTTCATATGGAAGGGGCGTGTCTCGTGACGCACGGAACAGGAGCACATTGGTGCAGTGCTCGTTCTCCACACGAAATATGGTCCAGACGCCTCGACGGAAGACTTCCGAGAGTGAGACGACAAAACTGAGGACGGCGGAATGCTGAATGTCATTGACAAATATGGCATAAAATATCCAGTTAAACCGAATGATGACATCCAAGACCATTGCGGCGTAGTACACCCAGACTCGTCGAAAAGCTAGCGTTTCACGCAACAAGGGATGTCTAGCGTAAGCATTACCCAAACTCCAATCCATTATCAAGTCCCATACTGATGTATAGACAGAGTTCAGGAGTGCGAACGTGATGAATGAGGCCTGGAAACGAGTGTGGCGGTCGATGCGATACATGCTAAGGGTGGCGTAGTAGAGAATGCTGAAGATATACTTCCCCAGATTCAAGAGATGAGGAAAAGCATTCTTTGTGTCGATATATCGCCTGATGCACTGAAAAGATCGCCATACTGCTGGAAGACAGGTGAAGAACCCAAGCAGCCTGGAGTGACTCGAGTTACACTGCGCAGGATTGCTCCAAGCGTTGGCATACAGACAGAAGAATAGCTCGATGTTCTAAAGGAAATTAGTGCAGTTTTAAACCGAAGGAATCAAAAGTCCTTACCCCCATAGCGTAACTCTGGGAACAGTACATGTCACCGAGAAAGAAATCTCTGAATTCGACAGGGTAAACACCAGCGAGTAAAAGACGCCACTGCATTTGTCAGAATGAAAAGATATAAACATCAGAATAGGCTGGACTCACATTCGAAAATGCCCACCACTTCCTGCTGCGGTGATACAGCACTCGGGCTGGCAAGAAGACGATAACCACGGTCAAAAATATGAGCACAACAGGCCAGTATATATACATTTCATTGACCCATGAAAAGTTGAGCCACATGAAAAGGCCCAGGGTGAACATAAAGAAGGCGGGAATCTGAGAATGCGTTAGATCAAATCAGTCAGCTGGTAAATGCATGCCGGGGTGTAAACATACTTCTAGAAATTGGCGCCACTCCAGCGTGTGCCTGGTATCATATTCGAAAACAAATGCATAGTTGATTTTTGACTTAGTCCAGATCATGCAGTCCAAGGAGAATAGCATGACGTGAAAGACAATCAGAAAATAGCCGCCATAAATCTAGGTCGAGTCAGCGATGGATGATTACACGAGGGTGATGCAAGGGAGCACAAACCTGCAATAAATAACTAGTGCGAACCCGCTCCATTGATTCAGCAGCGCGCAGATGCTGTGACGCATATACGAGCGCCTGTATAGCAAAAAGCAAGCCAGCCATAAGCAGGAGACCTGCTCGAAAAGTGCTGGGGGAATAATCCCCGGATCTATTGATGGTGTGGCGAAGCTTGGACACCGCAAGTTTGCGATTACCACGTTCAAAATATCGAGCATATAAATCTTCGACAGCTGAGATCAGGTTCTCGGTCTCTTCGCTCTGCACGAAGGATGCTTTGTTAACCCGTTCGGTCATGTACCGCAATAACGGGCGGGCGTTAACGGTTTTGTCGTATTTTTTGTTGATCTTGCGAAAGGCCTTCCGGTTAAGATAAGCATACCCCTTCAGGAGCTCGACCCCACGGTAAAACTCCTGCAGTGCGTGCTTGAGTTTGCGCTTCGCAGATCGATATGACACGTCATTATTTTGTGGATCCTGTCGACGCATAAAGTCCCGTCGGCTGGCAATGAATTCATGCTCTCGCTCAGGAATCCTCGGGGTCTCCATCGCTGCCAAAGCCTGAGTATTTTTCCCGATTCGAGTTTTTCCTGTAAATGTATCCTTGATTCGGGAGCCGTTGAGTTTGCCGAGCTTGTTGGTCCGGTGATTTTGGTCATCTTTCATCAGCTTTACGGCTCGTTTGGTCTCATACACTTCCTGGATGCGCTGATCTCGCATAACGTGCAGCTGCTGTCGAAGAGCCTTCAGTCGGCTATGGGCCTCCTGCTCCTTCATCCTATAGAAGGAGTCAATTTTGGCCAACTCGCTATCCAAGAATTCAAAGAATTCATCCTGACGTCTTTCAGCATCAAATGCAGAGTCCATCGCGGATTTCTTCCCTGCTCCCTCGCCTTCTGTATGAGAGAATACTCGCCGAAGGAGCTGCGACCCACGGTTTTGTGAGTTCGTCTTGCTCAAAGTTTCTCCTTGAAGACTAAGACTCTGAGAAGTAGGATGCGTTGCCAACGCCGAGGCCCTTTGATCTGCCGGACTGTATCCCCCTGCCTGAGCCGAAGGTGTGCCAAATGTAGCACGCCTGGTCATGACCGGGGAAGGGGTCCTGACTTCCCTGCGACGACCTGATTCCTGGTCGGTATCCTGCCCCGGCGACGCATACTCATCTGGGTCCATTATAGGATCCGGTAGCTCGAAAGATGCCCCGTCTGATCCTGCCTTTCCCTGAGGCTCAGGCGGCGTCGCTATAATGCTCCCATAGCTCCCTACAGTCTCCGAAAACCGCGATCCTGGAGTACGTAATGGCTGTCGCTCTTGCCCAGGCGAGGACTTAGATCGTGGGATGGGCTGGGAACTCGAACCCCGACGACGGGCACTTGGCGATGAGGGCTCATCTGGTGCCGTCCCATCAAGAGGCTTATCGGAGGTTGGTGTTTCGAAGGATGATTGTACCGCGGTATGGGAGGAGGGAGCATTTCGAAAGGATGGGGGGAGGGGACTTCGATTCCCCTTCTGGATTGCTCGTGTGATGGCCTTGAGCTTTTTCTTGCCCGTCTACAGAGAAAGCATGTTAGTCATAAATTTATCTTGATGACAGGGACCATGGACAGCTAGGTCACACCTTGTAATCGAGATATTTTGCCCGCCACTCAGGAACCAGTTCCTGTTCCAACTCTCTGTGGGATGTCAGCCATCGAAAGTGTTTTGCGTTGGGTAGGAGGGGTAGACAGACTTCGCGAATTTCATCCTGGCCAGCGAACCTCCGTCATGGCATACCTCTGGGTGGTTGGGTAGAAATGAAAAGTGAAAAAGTCAATTTATAGACTTGAGGTGAAGAATTCACTAGGATTGGGTAGCAGGCACCCCAGCGCAGATAAGCTGCAGGGCGCAACTTTCGGGGTCTAGTTGATAAGGTGAGAGAGAACAAAGAGGAAAGTATTCATCAAAAGCGAAAATATGCGTATTTTGTCGATCCAGGGCTATCCTGCAAGAACCAGGGACGAGAATTCTCGAACTCCTGTACCCCAAGATCTAAAGTCGCATCTCATGTACATCCACTTCAATCGCAACAATCAACGACGCTTGCTCGTGCACGTGCTGACGATGATTTCATTGAAACCTGGATTCTCAGGCGATAAGGCCCCGCAAATGGTCAGCCGCGCTTTCTAACTGGCTGAACAACCGCGCTCATCTTCCGCGCCTTGAGGATTCCATAGTTGATGCTGCTTGGCTTCGCAATCACTGCAGTTCATCCCATGCTGTATTGCTCAAGTGCACCAGCCCATGGGTCAATCATTGGACACGAATGGAACCATAGGCGAGGAAAACGCAGACGGACACTTATGATCGACGGGCTTAATGGAATGCGGTGTGGATCCGGAATGTCGCTCGGCGGGTTCTCATGGTGATGACTGGCCCGGGGGATAATCATGCAAAAACAAAGACCAAAAAAATCCGAGCCCTGCAACCCTGAACTGCAGCATGCGGGCTTTGATAAATTGTGCACAGTTCCCGAGCTACGTATGCCTACGTATGCCTACGTAGGGCACTAAACTTTATCTACTTAGCCACCCGACAGGGGAGAACTATGAAGGTGTATTCGCAACTTGAAGATTCCAGTAATTCTTTTAATTGCGTCTTCCTATACACAGACTGGGTGATAAGGAGCCCAGGATATCTCATGGAAACAAAATCATGTCTTCGTCCAATGTGCCTTCAAGGCTGCCTTTACCACTGGCGCTCGAAGCGCTCACGGCGCTCAAAGTGCTGGTGAGGCTCGTAGTGAGGGTGCCACTCGTCACCGCCGTGGCGGCCGTAATGCTCATCGTACATCGCCTCGGCGTGCTTCTTGCTCTCGTGGTGGGCCTTCTGTCTATCAATTGCGTCCATACCCTTGGTCTCGGCAAGCTTGTCAACCTCAGCACCGACCAGACCCACGAGAAGCTCCTTGGCAAAGGCGTGCTTCACAGGCTTGCCTGTGATAATGAGTCAGTAAGTTGCGCCGATCGCATGAACAGTTTAAACAGTGTTTAGTGGATGGTCAACATACCCTCCTTGCGCTGGTGGTCCTCCCAAGCCTTCATGCCCGCAAAGGAAGCGGCGCCAGCGATAGCCTCGTGCGAGAACTTGGCCTCGTGGTGATACTCCTGGCCTCTCTCATACACCTCGCGGTGAGATTCCTCGGCATGGTCTAGGTCACATGTTAGTTTCAGCTCATTACATTCTCCTGCGTTTAGGGGAAATGGTTGATTTGTGCCTTGCGGATATGGTTGACACAAGTAATATAGGTAATGCATGAAGTAGGTGTCTAAACATACCAAAGAAACCCATTTTGGTTATGGTGTTGGAGTATGTGTTTTATAAAATGGTTTATAAAGAGGCGTGGTGATGAAAAGAAAAAAAAGTACTAATCAGCAGGGGAGATCAGGGGGATCTTATACCCGAGCAACAGGGGACCGAATAATCGAGAAGTCTACAGAATACGTGTTCCTCTTAGTATAGTAGCTAAGAGCAGCTCCTTTCCTTTCCTATCTCAGCCTGAGCTGCCCCACCAATCTGTGGGCAGAGTGGCTGAGGTGAATTTCCTTTGGAGGGGTGCTATCTTGGGATAGTCGCAGGGAGATGGAGTAGGACCCTCCAAAATACTGTTGGACCATGGATTCCCACCGACCAACCGAGTGGTTGCCCTCCACAGTGGAGCTAATAGATCGCACCGCCTTCCTCAGCCTTCGTTACGTGTATGTCCGAGGGTTGGGCTGAGGGAGGGGCTAAATTGAAAAGTGACCCAGTGATATCAGTGCAGGGATCTTAGTGTCGATGGGAGGCCTATCATGATCTCCAGCTTGGGCTGCTGCATCGGACCTCAACTACGCCGAAACCCTAGGCTGGCCCTCGAGGACGATCACCTGCTAGCCAAGTCTTTTTTGTCGGGAATATTTGCTCATAAGCCACTGCGAAGGGCGAGTAAGTCGCTCTATATCCCGCACCGGTAACCGTACCATTCCGCAATTGATGACATTTACAACCTTCATACTATTAAACAACCCCTGACAGTGATGATCCTGGCTTTTAATGGGGGTCGTTTTGCTTGAATTGTTCCGAGTACTGAAACGAAACCGAAACAATATCCGAAAAAGGGTACGAGTACGTGTCCCACTCGGCCCAATCGCGCGCTGATCGGAGGGGGACAGGACCCATTCAGCCCTACTCCGCTTCCCGATAAACGAATTGAATCATTGTACACGCAACACTAGATTCAATCAGTCGTAGCGGTAAGTAGATGGGTCCTCCGGAATACGCGGTACCAGCTGAGGTGAGTATTTTGATGTGCAGTGCATGAAGCTGGCGTCTTCGGGCCAAGCTTCTCTCGGAGGCTTGTCCACGCCTTACAAGGAGAGTTCTTGGCATTGGATCAACCACGAAGACAAGCGGTGAACAGCCGACCAGTCTGTATGTGGTATTGGAGTTAATCCGCTGAATTGAGTTCCAGATAAAACTGTAGAACTCCGACTAATAATTTTTTGTGTCTCATTTTATGTTCTTCTTTCTCGGTGGGATAACTACCACAGTATGGTTCCTATTACGTACTCCTGCACCGCCCCATGTGGCAGTCAAGGACTGCCGCCACATCCGATTTACCCTTCTAGCTTGGTACTGTACATTGGAGTATAAACTACGGAGTAAGAGCCGTCTTAGGTTTCATGACTGGTATTGTGTCAATGGTCTATTCGGTATTAGCCTTCGTATTCATTCAATGGCAAGTATAAAGACGGATCGGTGATAACTCATCAGCGACCATGCACCATCATGGCTACGCAAGCTATGAGCAACTAGTCGAATGTCCTCATTCAACGACCCCAAAATGTAAATGATACCAGGATACTACATATTGGGATCGTAGCCAAATCACCGAAGGTCCTCCACTCGGAGAGTCTTGGCAGCGGGGATCAATCTACATACTCCCTAGGCAACGACAATACCACTATTTTCACCTCAATTTACACCGCAATACAGTACATACAGCCCCGCAACAATCGGTTCTCAACAATCCCTTCGAGGCAAGATCCTCGGCATAACGCCGCCGACATCAGCAAAGGGTTGCATTATCCATAATCGCCGGGCTTCAGCCACAATTGACGGCACTCGGAGACTCAGCCACAGGCAGCCACAATCTGCTACACCCGACAATAAGTTCGGATAGACCGAATTTGAGCTCTATTCTTAGAGCTTGAGAAGGTAGAGCAGAGCTCCCTATCCACAAATTCAGAGCACGAGGTGCTAAGCCACAAGCTTTCCAGCTGCACGAGCACCAATTGAAGTCCTGGACCACAAAAGAAAAAAAAAAAAGCACATTCACAATGCCCACCAAAACGCCAACCCAAGCCGATTTTCCCTCCAACCTTACCGTCACCATCACCCTCCCACCCAACCCCACCTCTAGCCCCTCCCCAAACATCCTTGTCCTGCTCCACGGCCTCGGTGACTCAGCCGCAGGCTTCACGTCCTTCGGCCGAGCCCTCCACCTCCCCGAAACAACAGTCCTCACGGTCCAAGCCCCCGCCCCAGTCCCCTTCGACCTGGGCGGTTTCCACTGGGGCGACGATGTCGCATTCGACAGCTCCACTGGTGGACTAGATATGGACGCCGGTTTCACGAGGAGCCCAGCGATACTCGCCAAGGACGTCGTGCGGGGGGTTCTAGTCCAGAAATGTGGTTACCGGCCGCGCGAGATCCTGGTGCTTGGATTTGGACAGGGCGGGATGGCTGGGTTGAGTCTTGCGCGGGAACTTGGGAAGGCTGGGGAGGGCGTCGATGGTGAGCCTCTAGCGGGTGTGATTTCAATTGGGGCGCCGTATCCGCTTTCTGGTTCACGAACGGGTTCCAAGAATCGCACTCCTGTGTTGTTGGTATTCGGGCGGGATTCAATTGTTGTCTCAGATGAGGCGGTGCGTAGGACTAAACAGGTTTTTGAGTTTGTTGAGGTCAGTCGGTATGCGCGAAAGGGGGACGGGATGCCATCTAATCGGGATGAGATGTTGCCTGTTATGCAATTCTTTGCTAGGCGTTTGAGGAGTAGACAGGGAGTTCCTGAGGGAAGCGTCGAGCTTGGTTGAGACTCCTAGGAAGGTTCTGGGATAACAAAATATTGGCATGGGTGGTGTTTGTAGGTAGTATTTGTATTTGTAGGTGCATGATATTCAATAGGTGCCATCGGTGGCGTTCGAATGTTTATGATATACTCATGTTCTTGAATCGGACCTTGGGAGCTACACAGAACTACATTTACTAGGATCGTGATGATAGAAATTCCGTTATATACGTGGTTGATTTATTGTTATTTAGGTATATTACACGTGCTCGGTGGCAGTGTTGATACAGTGACCAGCTTACCCACCTCATATATGTACGCATGGATATAACTCACAAAGAGAGGACCAACTTCTTCAACTTCTCGAAGTCAGGAGTACCCAGACCAGTCACCGGGTCCCATCCCTTGGTGGCATTCCAGTGAGCGCCGGGGATGACCAGTGCACCTGAGACTTCCTCATCACTCTGAGGATCGGTGCCAGTGCACCCATATGAGCTACCGTCAACAATATCGTTCAATGCCTTGTAGCCCTCCGAGTACAAGAAAGGGTTCAGGAAGCCTAGAGCAGGCTTTCCAGCACGCAGACGAGCATCATTCAAAAGACCAATGATGCCAGCGAAAATAGGCGCAGCAGCCGAAGTACCGCCAGAGAGAGACTCCTCGCCCTCGATAACAACCGCGATCCTGAGGATAATGATGTCAGAAATAGTCTTTTAGACCCGTGTCAGAGCGAAACATACCAGGGGTACAAGCTGTGGGCCGACACATCGGGGAATCCACGGCCCTCAAAGTCGGCGTACTTGGAGTAGTATTCCTTAGCCTCCTTGGTGACATGAGTGAGGTATTTCTCGACGGCAGACTCCTGATACCAAGCACGTTCAAAGAAGTTCGAGAAGCCGCCAGATGACGCGTTCCATGCGACCTCTGGGCTCACGGCTGAGGTACCACCAACAGCTGTAACGTAGGGGCAAGTTGCTGGGAAGATGGGGTTGAACTGAGGAGTTGTTCCATCAACAGCCTGGCAGGCCGAGCCGACACCTAGAGTTGTTAGCTCAATCACTATCTGGCAAACTGGTAATCTACTTACCCTCATCACCGGATGAGTGGATAATGGTCAGGCCACGGAGTGTGTTCAAGCCGATCAGATTGCAGACAGACTTGGCGTACTTCTCAGGAACGGTCTATAGGCAAAAGAGATTAGTGACCTAGTCACATCTGGTTTGAAATGGACTCTTACCTGTTCGTCATCACCGTACGATTGTGAGATCACCTGAGGAAGCTCAGAGTTTTTCTTGGAGAGCAGGTACTCGTAGTAGATGAGGTAGGGCTCGTTCTCATCATCTGACTCGGTGGGCTCATCTGCGTCAGGGATGAAGGGACTACATACGGTCAATTTTAAATCGTCAAGTAATCGAGGGGTACGTACGCAACACCACCGGTGATAAATTCGTGGATGGGCAGAGGATGAGAAATAGCACTGATCAGCTGCACATCCAGGTTGGCTTCTCCACGAGTCGTAGAATTCTGGTCGTTCGTACCACCGTTGAGGAGCTCAACGGTAAACGCTTGGGTGGGAATGTCGAAGAGCTTCTGATACTCAGCCAGATCGGATTCTGAGGCCGTCTCATTTAAGAAGCTGCCGAAACCAACAACACTCCCTGCCGAAACCTTAGGGGTGTAGTCACCCACGTTGTACATCTCTTTCAGACACGCGGGAGTGATGTAATCCTCGCATGAAGCAGAGACAGTTTTGCGAGCCTGCAATTTGTTCGACTTCCGAGGCATAGGAAGAGCCTTGCGGGTCTTTCCAAAGTAAACAGTGGGCGAGATGATATCGATGTAGTCGCTCAGCGCACTGGGAATTGAATACTCGGTAGTGCGAAGCTTCACCGACCCTTCACTCTCATAGTTGGCGAAGGTAGTGTTCAGAAGGCTGTTCATTGCCTTAACACTACCACTGAACTTGAGCAAAGCACCGTCGAGGGTGTAGGATGTAATGTTCGCACTCTTCAACCAGTTCACAACGGGAGTCTCAGACACCACAGGAAATTGGGAGTCTACATCGGCCTTCTCCAGCCATTGTCCATACTCCGACTCGCCGGGGGTTGAGACTTTGGTCAAAGTGGATTGCAGCTGGTCGATATTCTTGCGACTTAATGAAATGGCTAACGACATAGTCGAGTCGGAGGGAGTGTCGACAAGCGACCAACTGCTAGGAACACCTCCAGATAGACTTTCCCAGACCACGCCCATCGCAGGCGCGGCCAGAGTACAAAGCAGTCCAGTATAGATTGTGGAGTGCATAATGAATAGCCTAACCTCTGGGAATGGGAAGAAAAACACTATGGAGACAGGACATGGCAGGGATCGTCGGGACTACTTATGCCTCGTGCCCCTTGCAAGTACCCGAAATGCAGTTGAACAATGTCCTTGTGCGCAAATTATTGTTTCATCAGCCAGCCCCGCTCTTGCTCATCGAAGCATCAATAGGGTAGCTCGCTTCACCGCGATTCAACCGGCGGACATCCACGGCTCGGGTCAGGAACCAACGATACTTTGTCTATAGGTTACATCCTGTGGGGTTTGTTATCGGTGACGGGAGCTCTGCTATCTTCCCCGGGACAAGAGCAAAGTGGAGGCACAACTGTTTCCTCGGCGATGTAATCGATACTCCCCATGACAACGTCGTGTTGTTGGGGTTTGCAAATTTCTATAGGTAGAATCGCTCGTATTCATTTCCTCTGACTCAAATGTCTCACGACCAATCCATGAGTATTTTGGCTGAAAGAACAGCAATTGCTCCTCGGCAATCATAACGATCGGCAGGGGCTCCACTCGCTGCAGCAGATACCAAAAGCCGGAGTCCGCCGGGGCTGAAAGGAAGCCACTCTGCGAAGCTTGTCATTTCCAAGCTTCTGCCGAACTTTGAATGGCCCCACGCATATAACTCGGCTGCCTAAGCGACTTTACTCACGGGAGTTAGGCAATATCGTAATCGCCCATGCTCTGAGATTGCAAAAAGAGGGGGTTGCATGATGTGGGGATATGGGTCCGAGCTTCGATTGTTGATAACAACAAAACTTGCCTGTTGCCCTGGCATAATCAAGCCTTGGAAGATTGAAACATCGAATACATGCGTCGAACATAATTTGCACGAAACAGACCTTTGCAGAATATTCCATGGATCTAGACTGAGGCTCTAAGAGTATTTGCGTAATATGTCATTCAGGTGGAGGGTTGTTCTGTTCACCTGCTTTCTATTCAGTCTCTCTCCTGCAAAGTGGCACTGGAATGTTGCCCGAAAGACCTGGCCATTTTGTCCTTCATAACTGCAGTTATATCTTTTCAAGTCGTATGACTGAAAAACACCCACGTTTCCCGTTCATTATTTAGATTGGTTATGTCGTAATACCTACCTCGAAGGAGTTCTCAATGCCTGAAGGTCTGGTCCCTCTTGACATCTGCTTTCCCGGGCGGGCTTACCCTGAAACTTGCGAGAAGATACTTCTGCTTCTCTCCGCAAACTTGCTTCTGGTAAGATGTCACTTGCAGAGAGTGTCTAGAGTCGAAGCTGCAAAGACTTTCTGCATCAGTTGACGACAGATTTCCCGAATGAAATCAAAATTTCGCCAGGCTTACATATTCTTTAGGGCTACCGAGTGTGTTACGTTGTGTTGTCAAAAGACTGACTTGATTTCCGTCAAAGGCTTCCTAATCAGAGTAGCTGACTGCCAACCAGAAATACATGATGTGAAAGTCCCATGCAATTGTAGATCACCGTTCCTGATGAGCTACAACTCTGGGCACAGACAATATCAGTTCATCTCTGTACACGAGAATTTTCAGAACATTCTAATAAGGGCATTAATCTAGGATTCTAACGCCGCTGCAAAATATCATTTGTATCGAATTGATTTCGTTACAGAAAGAATGCAAAGGTTCCCGAAAAGATTGGGTCATCAAGTTCGACACAATAGCTTTGTTCCCTTGCCACCAAGGAAGCCCTGGTTGACCAACCAGATCAACCGCCACAAAACCAGGATCCATGGGACTGGACGAAAAGCGAGCTGTCAACGACAACTATTCCAGCCGTCTAACTGGGTTATAGGTTCCCGTATACGTCGTCCATCATCTGATCATCATCGAGCTTTATAAGAAGGCGATTCTTGGCAGTGCGAAACCCGGATTTTTCCCTACTAATGAATACTGAATACTATCTACCCATAATCCTCAGAATCACTTCACAGTGAAACATGTCCTCAGGATCCTTTAATAACTTTCAAACTCTCCTTGACCAACAGGTCGGGTCACTTCAAAAGCCTTCGTCGTGGCCGCCCATGCCAGGTAGGTAATCCTCTGAAGCCCGAAGGCGAGCTGATAAATACATATGCTAATGTCAAATAGTCGCATCAGATAACCGTAATAAGCAAAGACGCATACCAGCAAGTTCACTGCGTTTCCAAAGCGCTGCCTGGGTTACCGCTGGTGGCGGTATGGCTGCAACACTTGGTGGTGTCCGTAGGATTTTCCGAAACTTCCGTGGATTGAAGTATATTTGAAGCGACCGTCTTTCGAAATCTAAAAGTCGCACGACGTTGATGTTTTCATGAATTATCACCAGCCACGACGGCAGCAGAAACGAAGGTTCCGCAATTGATATTTCGCGCGATGTCTTGCCGTGCAAATGTTGAACCATGGATAACGTTTACTTTATTTAATGACAAGGCACTTTTCTATCATTTATGAAACCTAAGTAGAGGCCTTCTTATACCGGCATCTTAAATCCAAGCGAGGTCAGAGACCTGGTGCACAGGTTGTTTGATCCCGCTCCATACTGCATCTTTAGGTCCATAAAGTACATTAGACAACGGAGAAGAGAAATATACACATTGGTCGGGGTATTCATTCAGGACATCCGAAATCATACACAGGTATTGAACGTGATGACTGGATACATAATGCGAGTCTTGACTGAGTATCATCACCAAGATTTCTTCATCCCCTTCTCAACAGCCCAGGCCATAATATTCCCCCCGGACTCAGCTCAAGACCGTGTAGACCCAGACGCCGATCTTTCATCTTTCATCAACACACGCTCCCCAATTGCAAGGTCAAACGCATCTAATTTTATATTGCGAAACACTGATCAAAGGTCCACTGATATATACAAATCGTTCAAAAAGTCATGTCACATCATAACATCCACTCATCACTTCTTCAATCCAATAACAGCCAGGTTTCGCGGACTCTCGCTATAATCAAACACAGGCTCAACCCAGCACTCCTTGACTGAGTCATGTTCGCGCAGGTATTGCCACCTGTCCACAACGATAACAGTCTCAACAATCTGTGCGCTGAAAGCCATCAAGCTCCATACGACACTAAGATTCTTTCGCGCTTGCTGATACTCTGTATCATAACGCTGGAAGTCCTCGTCGGCCATGCTGCTAACTCTTTCTGTCACTTTGGCGCCGTGGTTTGGATCGCGGGCTAATTTGACTATCGCGGCACGCATATACGCGGTGAAAGACTTGAAGGCAGTCTTGCCCAGTGCACCGACAATCAGGGCTGTAGTTCCATTTGACTCCTCGTAAAGATCCTTGACTGCCCCGGGTTTCGGGACGACGCCGCGGTCGACGAGAATGCGCTGGAGGAGGGCACGGTAGTAATTACGGGTGAAAAACCCTTCGCTGTCGGCATAACCCCAATTGTAGGGGGCTTGAACGGCCATTGAGCGGGCAGTGATGTTCAGCTTCATGCCTTCTGCACCGGCGCTTTTATAGGTTTCGTAGAGCTTGGACATTGGGAAGCCATGTGGGTCGTATGAAGTTCCGGTCTCGTGGAGACGTGGATGTACCGACCGAAGGATGGGGAGTTTGTATGTAGCGGGACCGAGGCGCTCAGTCATCAAGTTGTAGCAACAGCCGATCATGGCGACAGCGGCGACTGATGGGTTCAAGATGAGAGAGCGAATGCCGTGATGAACCAGGTTTCCGCATGAATGCAGAGAGACAACCATGACTCGAGGATCAGTTCGGTCTTCTTTTGTCGGTTGTTCAGTTATCGGGGTCTCCTTAGGCTCATCGCCATTTTGAGTCTCTGCAGGCGATGGGTTCAACACATGGTCGATTATGGGCTCCAGATACCCGTCTTGAATCTCATGTTCAATGTAGCTGAGCGTGCCCCGAGCCTGAATCATTGGTTCCTGGGCCTTTTTTCGAGGCGCATTGGGAACGGTCGAACCCAGGAGCTCATCGGGTTCTAGGCTGATTTCTCCCAACAATTTGAAGATGGTGACATCTTCGATATTCTCCTCCACTTCTCGTGCCGGAGCGTCTCCATATTTGGCATCGGATTCTTCGGCTTGAAGAGTGTCCGCTCTCTCTGAATACGCTATATCCGGCGTCCCATCGCACGCATTGCAAGCCTTATTCTTTTTATTGTTGATCACGTACATCTGATCTTTCTTCTCCTTCTCTGCCAATTTAGCATAGACATCCATGTCCTTGGCTCCACTGATATACTGGTGCTTTCGCTCAATGGCAATAATATGCTTGTGGTAGGGTGAACTAGCCAACGCTCGTCCAAGATAGTTTTGCCCGGAGCCAAAATCCACAATGTGGGATACAGGTTCACCACGTCGCTGCTCAACGGTTTCCGACAGGGCAGCCACATAGCGTGAAAAGTGCTGCACCTCGTGGAGCTTCTTCTTCTTCATGCCCATTGCAACATGTTTGTTCAGTTTTGTATTCTTTCCCAGGTCGGGAGACTTGAACTGTCGCCGAAGGCTCAACCGACGAACGTTGTATATGTAGTCCAAGAGGGTCGCGGGAGGGAATGCGCCTCCATTCCAAGTGCGACTGCCATCGGCGTGTTCTCGCAGAGGTCCAATATCCTCTCTTAGAAGCAAGCGGATTATATCATGCGTGTCATGTTGCTCGAAGAATGCTATCCAGTCCTCCGGAAGTAGCGTCGTATATAGATCGGGCTCGCGCGTCAGGAAGTCGAGGATGTGGACGCCACCACATAGATTAATGAATAGCTCGTTCGAGGTTGCAAAGGAGAGGAGCGCCTCTATAAAGGAGTCGGGATCTTCCCACTCATCGGCGAGTGGAAGAGGGCGATTGCGATCCATTGAGCGAATTGATCCAACTGTCCCGCACAAAAATCCGTCGAATCTTCATCGTGGGGAAGCGTTATCTTTTTTTTTATCGGAGATCCGCTACGCGGCTGAGTAAGAGAAGAAACAAAATGCATTAAACCTGGCTGGCATCACTTCAATTGCTATATGGTGCAGGTCGAGGTCCTGCAAAAAATCAAATAATTTGAGATAATGTTGAAAGTCAAGGATAATTACGAATGGATTCTTATTCAATGCATCATGATTGTTGCTGTGCTACCAGTTATAGTTCCACCCGGTTTTTACACGTGATCCCCCGAGAAGCTGCCAGCTCCGCATCTATCACTCCGTCAGCCATCAATCAACAATCATCAATCTCGTTAGATTGCAGCAATGGAGAACGCCGATCCCTTCCTTCAAGTCCAAGTGTAAGTCACCTCTACTCGATTTGCAAAACATCTCCCAGAAGCCGAGGAAGAAACCTCCAAACTGACCTTGTTACCAGGGACGTCCTGTCCACACTGCAAGCCAGCCGCCCCCTCTTTTCCTCATACCTTCGCATCCGCTCTCTAGCGAAGAATCCAAACAATCCGGAGCTGAAGCAATCGCGCTCGGAGCTAGAAACCACATTAACAGAGCTCAGCGCCGACCTCGACGACCTAGTTGAGAGCGTGCGCGCCATCGAACAAGACCCCTACCGCTTCGGACTCGAGCTCGAAGAGGTGCAGCGACGGCGCAAGCTCGTCGACGATGTCGGAGCGGAAGTAGAGCAGATGCGCCAGGAGCTGCAGCAAACGGTGTCTCACTCTGCAACTGCCGAGGCGGCGACCGATTTGCCTAATCCAACGGAATTCGATGCGGCGCTAGAAGAGGAGGAGCGCCAGCGTGGGGGTGGCGGTGATGATTACTATGCTTCATTGGAGCAGCAGCGGCAGACGGAGCTCATGCATGAGCAAGACGAGCAGTTGGATGGAGTGTTTCGAACAGTTGGGAATCTACGGCAGCAAGCTAATGATATGGGGCGCGAGTTGGAGGATCAGGCTATCATGGTGGATGAGGTTGACACCTTGGCCGATCGAGTTGGTGGGAAATTGACAAATGGAATGTCGCGAATCAGACACATTGTTCGCCAAAATGAGGGTAAGATGTTACTGCTGCTACCAGGCGATAGACATGGAATATTGCTGTATGGGAATCACGTATTTCAAGCTAACATTTTTTCAAACCCTAGATACATGGTCCTCCTTTTGCATAGCGGCGCTCATTTTTGCGCTTGTGCTATTATTAATTCTTCTTATTGTCCTGTGATAGTACATCATCAATAACGGGGCCGACAAAAAAAAAAACAACCAGCATCACCCGGAGCTAAGGCGTATTATGACGTTGTTGAATGATTTAAGTGCGAACCTTCTTGCGGGGGTGGGAGTGGTCACACTCCTCATCGTGATCGTGATCGTGATCTTCATCCATCATGTCGGCCTCAAGCTCCTCCATGTCAAGGTCATCAAAGTCGTCACCCATTTCAAACGATTGAACTGTGGCAAGTTAGCGGGTGTACGCCTAGTTGTTTCTCTCGGTGATACATACCGTAGTATTTCATGGCATCGGTCCAGAGGTCCTCGGCAATGGAGATGGCAAGCTCCTCACCATCGCGGAAGGCCTCGGCCTCCTCAAGCTCGTCGATGAACTCGTCATCCTCATCATCATCATCCTCATCCTCATCTTCAACCTTCTCGCCCTTGGAGATTTTGGCCCAACGCTCTTCGTCCTCCTTGTTGGCTTCCTTGGACTGCTCAGCAGTAACATCATGGCCACGGTAACCGAACCAGTTGAAGAAGCTGATGCCAGCGGGGCTGGAGGACTCATCATCATCCTCCTCCTCATCCTCATTGTCCTCCTCGCCAAGCTGACCCTTGATGGCCTCAGCCTCCAGCTCGCTCAGCTTGTTGACGAGAGCCTCGAACTCGGGAAGCTTGGCGCGCTCGCCGCCCTTCTTCTTCTCGGCATCAAAGAGGTCACAAGTGGCATCGAGCAGACCCTTGGTGATATCCATGTCCTTCTTCCAGTTGATACGGACAGGCTCGGACACCAGGCCCTCCCAGGTGCGGCGCTTGCCGTTAGCAGTCCGGGTGATATGCTTACGCCAGTAGAACTCCTTAACGAGCTCCGAGTTCTCGAAGTAGGGGTTCTCATCGCCGGTGCTGAAGGTGAAGGTGAAACGCAAGCTGCGGGGCTCGCCCTGACCCTTCTCGTTCACCTCGAATCGCTCGACCTTCAGGTTCTTGAGGGTCTGACCGAGCACGGTGGCGTCGGAGGGCAGAATGTACTCATCGATCTCGGTAGGCGCGGAGGAAAACACGCGGATCCAGAAGTCATTCTTCACCTTAGGGTGGTTGATGATCTCATCGCGCTGCTTGAAGAGCGGGGCCAGAAGAGGGACTGATGCACGCACTGTTTAGAGTTAAGTCAGCATGATATGATCTTTCCTAGCATAATTAAACAATAGAACTTGGGCATTGCATCTTAGAGATTGGCATTCCAATTCCATACGGCAAAGCCACAGCAAAATAGAACTTCTTGCAGGCCAATCCAACCACATGAAGCAAGCACCCTCACGGGCGGTAGATAGGGAAACAACAATGCAATCACTTACGCTGCTCAACCTCTGCGCGAACGAACTGCTCCTGCAGGTGGGCAATCTTGGACTGAGCCTCGAGAGGAATAGTAGGGAACTCAATGCGCTCCTCGAGGGACTGATCGTTAGACATGATGTATGTGTGGTGGGGGTATAGATTGGTCGTAACAAATAGACAAAGTCAACAACGATTGATTCGACTTGAGATAAACAAAGCCGAAGACGTAAACAAAAAGTTTTTGAAGAGGGTAAGGGTATATGGAGAGACAGATGAAGAAGAATGAAAAAAAAAAAAAAGGGAAGAGGGGAATTAAGAAAAAAAAAAAATCTAAAAGTCTGGCAGATCAGCACAAGCTCGATGCGCGCATCAGAAACTTTGGGCGGAGAGCTCCATGTACCTCGAGTGACTGAAGAGTACCTTTGTTTCGGTGGAACTTTAGGTGATGGTATAAGTACCCCTAAGTAGTTATATGTAGACACGGTTGGTACACCAGGCAACGGGTGACGGATTCGTTGGCGGTAAGCTGTCAACGCCTTAGGGGTAAGGAATCCGTGAAAACTCGGTCGACGGAACCATATGACGAATTGTGAGGAATCGATTGGTGCGCATAGGAGCTTGTAGTAGCTTCTCTATGATTCGATTATTGCCACCCAGGATACAGTAAGAATCTGCAAATTTACGATTTGTGCTGTACTGTAGCTATTCGCTATTGAGCACAGTAGATGACGAGATCGGAACGAGCTCTCTCCAATTCCTAGATGCAGCTCTCCCCATTACAGTACATAGCTTTCCCCGGAAAAAACATCCAAAACCCCCCATTTGCAGCGCAATGGCTGATCTAGAAATTCTGAACCACCGAACCCATATATGGATCACCGTCTTCATCTATCAGGGATCCTTGTCCTCCCATCGCACCAACCAACCAGACCCCTCTTAGCAGCAAGGCTCTACGCTCAATTGGGAGAAAGTATTCAGCATATTGCTTTTTCCGACCCTCATTCTAGTCCACTGAAGCAAGCGGGCCCTGCAAAAGGTAAAAGGCAATTAGATGACTTTAATTCAACGGCATCTCATTATAGAATTCTTAGAATTCTGAAATTGCAGCCCTGGGAGGCACGATATTATAGTTATCTAAAAAAAAACACTTACTTTGGGGGCTCTTTCTATGCATTTCTATTTTAAAAACACTGCCACAATCCCGAAGCTTTGTTCCTTTCGTGCGCCGGTGGGCACGAGAAAAGGAGCGGTCTGCCCAAGTGCGCAGGGTGGTCATTGGTGGGATAAGCATCCCTACCATCAACATACTTCATGGTGCATACAACCGAGGTTATTGCAGGGTTGGCGATGTCAAAGCGTACTTCGGGTGATCTTATCTACAACCCGACCACAGACCACGAAAAAAGTGTAGGCTAGAGAATTGGTGAATGCGAGTACATATAACGGGCTGTGGAATTGGGAATTTTCGCCATTGGTAGGCAACTGGGAAACAGTCGTTGATATGTCATTTCAAGTCTTTTTTTATATAAAAAGAGAAGCCGGATGCTGTGCCGAAAATTGGATGTCTCCCCTGGCGATCAGACACCGGTTTCAAAAGCAACAGATAATAAAGAGAACTTTTTTTTCGTAAGGGAGATAATCAATCCCAATTGCCCCGGGGGCATCCGATTAAGAACGGTGGGTAAAAAGAAAGAGTCATGTCCCATGTAATTCCCATGCCCATTCGCCAATAATGCAATAATTAGAGCAAAGAAAAAAGCAACGTATAGCGCATGGCACGTCAACATGCACAGGCATCATCACCATGCACGTCTGCCGGGGGTTGAACAGTCGCCAAGAGGCGAGCGGGATAGACAACCCCCAAAAATCAATCCAATGTGGAATGGGGTTGCGATGTCATGAGCAAACCCACATTCCAGCCTGCGCGGGATTTCCCCTGTCGTGATAAGAAAAGAAATAGGAAAAAGAAAAGACAAAAATTTGAAACTTGTAGCTTCAAAGCATCCAATCCAGTCCATTGGCTTCCTCTTCTACCGGGAATACCTCACGCGCATACTCCTCCATGTCGCGCCAGCCCTGCCATAGATGCCGGGCCTCATCGGTTACGCGTTGTGAAACCACTCCACCAGGTCCCTGCATCATGCCAGCACCAGCACCCTTTCCACCTGCTGGGCCTATACCCTTGGGTGAACCTGCGGCTGGTTGTGAGAACTCAGGCTGCGGGAAGTAAGGAGCATTGAAGTCGCCGAACAGGACCTCTAAGGCTTCGAGCTGTTCCCGGTATCCGGCAGGCACGTTGACTTTGATTTCGATCTTAGGCACACGCACGTAGCGACATGGCCGGCCAAGTGCTCGCTCGAACGCGGCGCACACTTGATTGGGGGAGAGAGTTTCAAAAGTGAGCGCGATCCTGTAGAGAGAATGGTTTAGCTTGTTTTTTCCCATTGGATTTTCAACTCTCGGCGAAGCTCCAACTTACCGGTGCCCGTGCCACTTCTTTGGTCCATCTTTGAAGATCTGGAGAAGTGCGGGCCCTACGTCGTGCTCGGCGTCTAACCAGGGCAGAGGGGTTTCGGAATCAAACGGAGCGTGCCACTCAAAGGAGCCGTCTTCGAGGACCTCCATTTGGAAGAGCGGATATGGAAGACTGGTGAAGTTGTTGTTGTAGATACCGGCGTAGACAAAAGTTGCCGGAAGACCTAGCTGGCGCACGTAGTTCTCGACGGTGAACTTGGGGGCCCATTGTGGAACTGCGGGCCAAGGTCCGTGAACGGAGTGGTCCGGCATGCTGCTGTAGATGTAGTGTGTGATGGAACCGGCGCGTTTAGCAGCATCCGCGAGGGCGCGGCCGATGGCCACCTCGTCGCCAGATTGAGAGGTGGTATTGATGAATGCTAGGGATGCGCCTTGGAAGAGGGTATCCATCAGCTGGACATTGCCGAGCAATGGGCCCTGCAGGAGGGTCACATTGGGCAAGCTCTGAAGCTCATCTGCGATAAGGCCCTTGAGGGAATGGATCTGGGCGCGCACACTGTATCCGACAGCTGACGCGACTCGGATTAAAGACGCCGCTTGCCGCCCTGTCGCGTTGACGACGGCAATGGTCTTATGCGGTTGTGTCATTCGGGGTTCGGGGGAAGCCAACCGGTGGCTCGGGGGATAGGGTAAGTAAGGTAGGGGGAGGGGGTATCAGTGTAAGAAGTGGATCTGAAGTGATTTTGGAGGGCCAGGGCAGAGATAAAAAGGGAATCCGGAGTAAGAGCCTTGGCGAAAAAAAAATGGAGGTGAGGGCTTTGCGATAGTGGGGTACCTTGGGAGGGGAGCAAAAAGTTGTATGTAACAAGAATCGCGATCAGACGGCGGGGACGATCCACCTCCTCCGTAGATTAGGTGATGGAAACAGTCATAAAACAGGCGATCTGCAATAGAACAGAGACGTTGCGAAAAGGGGGCTCTCCCTTTGTGTCCCAAGGAAAGAAATTTCAACGATCCATCAAGGTTTGGTTCCGAGAAGGAAAAAACGCGGAGAGCATCAGGATAAGATAAGGCCCTAACTCCTATATAAAGGCACTTTCGCAGTAGTGGAGTGAGCTATATTTGAATTTTTCTAATTTATTAACTTTCAATTCCCCTTTGGGCCCTAGGACAATACATGGAAAATATGGAAAAACTCGCATTCCACGATGACACCATCACAACCTTTTGGTTTTTGGGGTTTTTCTTTACGTAAAAATCGGCTCCTAGTCGGCACCACGCCTTGGACGGGAGGATCCTGTACCGGCCACGCATCGGGACCCAGGCTTCGGCCCCATCCATTCAAAGCACTTGTTGCCTGGACGTGGGAGAGAATATGGGCAGGTCCGGTTAAGGGCTAAGCTAATGCCAAGCCGTGGATACCCATGTTCTAGACGACAGAGGCATTAAATAGCGCAAATGGTGAAGGGGAAGGTGGACGAGGTCACTAAAGGGGGCATTAGATGGAGAACGGAGTCAATCAGTCATAGTATATGCAAATACAAATGTCATAGGGCGTTCGTTCCACCAACAACCTGTCAGGGGCGCCCTCACGTGGTGCTGAGGGCGATTTCTGTCCACTCCAATTGGCTTTATCTTTCTAAACAAGGAATAAGTTCTCTTCATTATGGGGACGGAATTCGGAGCCTGAGAATAATCTCTGTTTGATCAGCTGGACATCGGAAGGCCAACGCACCCTTTTGGCCCGGCCTGGCCGAGCTCTGGAGGTCGGTATGGAACCTTGAAAGTACTGTACGAAGGGGCATCACCTCATGGGGGGGGTTCTTTTTCCGCTTTCGGGGCAGACCCCTCGCTGCTTTGATCCCGCGGGGTAATTTTGAGCACATCTGCTGAAGCAGCCCAATATACTGCATCATCACCTGACCCAAATTCGGATGTCAAGAGCAGGAAAAACATGAGCATCTCAGCCTAGGATTGCACTTTGGCTTGTTATTCAATTGAAGTTAATTCGGACATGATAAAGACTGAGTTCTATACGAGTCCACAGATTCTGCGATGCCTAAACACTGAAGTAGCTGTAAGGTACCGTATGACATTCTGGCACAGCCACCAGTTCATACGGCACGCCACAGTTCTTGATACAATTCGACAGGGGTCGTAATATACAATACCGATGCAAGGTAAATTCTCGCTCTCTCTCTCTCTTTCTCTTTCTCTTCCTCTTCCTCTTGATACATATATAAAGACTTCAGAGTTACTCCTACTGGTGGTATACATGCCTAGGGTCTTAGGTGTGTTGCAGCGTTTGCATCCATCCATACATATATAAAGACGGCTCTTCGGGAGCCTTTCTTCTCCCTCCATATCACTTCCTTGCACATATATCACTTCTACTATATTTGCTGCTTATGTATTGCTTTTTTGCAACTTGCACTATTCTTGCATTTCAAACAGGTTCCGGTCATGTTCATACTGCAAAAAGTCGGTTGTATTACGTGTCTGGAAGGTCTGGTTGATCACTCAAGAACGATTTTCAATAATCCGAACCAAGCAAGTGAAGCTCACATGGAGAATAAAAATCTAATCAAGGATCTGAATGTCGATTTCAACCTTCTGACTTTTCTTTTTTTCGAAAGAGTTCCCACGACTTACAGAGGAAATGGAAACAACAAATTGAATTGGGAAAGCGTCTATTGTCAGAGCAGCTGTCGAACTTGTTGCAGACACAAATAATGCAAGTCGTTGAAAATGGTGTCTACTTTGAATGGTTTATTCAACCCTTCCAACTCATAGGCAAAGCTCACATCGAATCAGTCTACAGTTCACGGAACTGAGAATTTTGGAAGTTCGACGAGCTGCAAGCTCAAGATTCATAACTTACCACACGCTGTCCTCTCCTCTTTCCAAGCTCACATTATCGTTTGTTCTCTCCTTCCTACCTGCAGCAACATATGCCATGGTGACCCCCTATACACTTGCAACATGCGTTGCTCTGGCTTTCTTCATCACCGCAACGGTACTTCATATGCTGGCAGCCCTGTCATCGACATCCCATCAGATGCCACTAGCCTTCCTGAAGTTGCTGAAGACCCGCACAGTATCAGTGACGTACACCACTCTGGTCATCTGGGTATCGCTGATGTTATGCCTTGTCGCCCTCTGTATTTGCGTGGTGTTGCTCGCATTTCTCAGGCATAGGCACCGCCATTCAAGGTATTAATTCCATGAAATGATTTCCTCGACGCTGATATACCGCTGCCATGGATTTTCGGTGAGTTACTGGAACCCTCAGCTAGCGGGGTTTATTATCTAGGAACGACCAGTATCGCTACAGGACGATCGGCTCGATGCTGCCACGGACATGGAGACCCACAGGGTGCCTATAAGTCGCTCCCAGAGAGCCATGGCTCACTAGTTAGAAAGTGGCAAGGGACAGAGTGGTCGAATGGTGTCAATGTGGGTTTACAACATTATGAAAGCTTGAAGACCAGACACATATGCCTCAATTTTTGACTCCTCGAAAATGTCGCTTGTCGCTCATCTTTTGCATATCTACTGGGAGTATTATGCATTAATTGCAGCCCTAAGGGCAGTAGACCATATAAGATATATGATTTAATACTATTTTTTGCCTAGACAATCATCTTCTGAATTCATAGATGACTTTTGGTTTCGTTTAGGTCCACTCATGTAATACCCAGGTTGAGAGGTGTTAATTATACAAAGCCTGGGCTTGTCCATTCACTCATTTCATCTTGCCTCATCGCCCTCAAGTCCATCATAGACAGGTCTGATTCTCGTGGCAGCCCAGCTCCCGGCTGGCTAAGCAAGTCGGTACTAAACCCCCTCGGGGAAGGGAGATTGATGAGACAATCTAGCATAATTAGCCTGTGGCGGACAAAGTGCTATGTAAATATATTATTAAATTTCTCACCTTGATAAGTTCCCCAGACCATTTGGTCAAAAGGTGTCATATTGCTTGGATATTCAAATTGTGTGGTAGCAGCATCTGGCTCAGCATTTCCATCGAAGAGCTGTGGCACAGGGGCTCCGGATCTTCCTTGTAGCCCTAACAGGATATCAAGGTGCTTCACTGCTTGCCGGGCCTCATGAGATACAGCACTTGAGCGCAACCAAATGGGATACGTGTCACGCAGCAGGGTGTATATTTTCGAGTATGTTTCCCGATCCGTTGAGATATCGGGTAGCGTTTTGCACATTTGCACATAGTAGCTGAGAATGCTCATGCCGTGCAGAAAAACAAACTGGCTGAGTGATGTCATCATCCAGCGGACATGATATAGCAATCCGTCCGGTCGTGTTTCCTCGTCTAGTAATTGTTGGCATTCGAGGATCTGTATGCCAGCTTGTAGACAAGAATTTCGTGAGTATTGGTATTCTGCCTGCTCGTAGGAAGAAAGAAGATATTTCCGATGTAGCCAGATTTTCAAGCGTGGAATAGCAAGTCGGAGCCACACACGCTGCATAATTATGTGCGGTGGCACCATCAGCGACTGGCTGAGAGGCTGCCATTTGAAGATTGGCGGCAAAGAGCCTTCGGCTTTCTGTAGTTTGCTGTCCAGAGCCATGATATCCGAGTAGGAATGCTCCCGGGTGTCAGCGAGAAGATTACTGACCAGCTCGGACATGTGGTCAATCCTATTTTTGGCGAGAATTGACAGTGTGGGTGTGAGTTCGGTCTCCGGTCTTGATGGGGGTAGCTCGGTTGTCGTCTCATCAAAGTCAGAGTCCAATAGATTTGAGGGCTCAGCTGTGTCACATTGTTGTAGCTTTAAGAGTCGCGGAAATCCCATCTGACTTGAGAGTCGCAGGTCCGTTTGCACCACAACAGCCCAGATGCGACGCCTCATTTCAGCTTGGAATGGCAGAATTCTGGGAAATTTTCGGGGATCCCGGTGATATCCTAAGCTCAGGGCGAGCTGTACAACTATACCTAATAAAAGCCAGACCCCAATGTCGGCGTCCTTACATAGGAGCACTTCGAGAGTCATGTGGTGAAGCAGCGTCTCTATCACATAGTCTTTGCCCCTGGTGAACTCGCCTAAGGCAAGACAATTGATTGTCCTTTCACGGAACATTTGAACCCGGGATATGGTTTCGGGGTCCGCTGGATCTTCTGTCAGTTGTTGATATTGCATTGTTAGAGCCATAATGCTGAATAAGAGGCCAATCCACAACAATGAGACTGAGGTTGGACTCTGCCAGAACCTTTCGTACTATACACGGGGCTGGGCGTCAGTCGCGCATGTAACAAAGAAGAAAATAACACATCATACCTCTGCGAGGAATTGTTTACTATGCAGTACGGGCAGCGGTGCAGTGTCTCGGATAAAAAAGTAGCGCGCTATCATGCGATCAACAACGGGACGGGCCGGTATTGACGCAAGAATTCCCGCCTCAGTGACGTTGACAGGCTGGTAGAATAGAAGAGGACCCGGGCTGCGGTATGGCATATGGTCATTGTTCCCCAGCATCCTGGCCTCTTCCTCTTCCTCGTAATGATCCTTGAGCTCGGATATGCTGTCTAGTACCGCAGCCCAATGGGCGCTCCCAACGTACTCAGCACCATGGGAGTGGGGACGCATACTGCCATATTCCGAAGATGCTGTAGATGGGCCGGCCGACAATTCATGGTCCTTATCGTTTGAAAGAGACGCATGACTCGGTAGTTGCATAGAGCCATCGTCAACCGAGAACAGTGGGGTGGCCGTCCCGCTCTGTGGTGGCTTGCTCGACCCAATTTGGGAAAAGCTATCAATCTGACCCTCCATGGCCACAATTTCTGAGCCCAAAGTCGGCATTTGTCGGGTCTGTTGCCCCTTTTTTTGAACCAAGGTACGCACCAACTTATCAAGTTGATCGATCCGGTCGCCAATGCTCATTTTGGTCTTGTCCTGATTGTTTGGCACATAAGTACATAAATGGCCAATTCCCTTGCCTAGACAAGTCTTGCATGGCATCTGACGATCGCATCGTATTCTGTTTTGCAGGTCAGGGCGAGAATGAAATGAATATTGGTGAATACTGAAGTGGGCATGGGTGTTTTACTTTCGAGTCCTACAAAAGGTACATGACAAGACTGATCTCTCCCTCCGACGGTCTCGCAGTCGCAGTGACAGGTCTACTGCAGCGCTGGTCTGTGATGGTGGAGTGTTCAGGGATTCTGGACCGACATGTTTCTGATAGGCTGCCGACAAGGGGTCCATCGTGGACGAAATCACAATCTTGGATGCTTGTTGCGAAAATGTTGAGTGGCTACAGGGCTTAATCTGAGAACTATGAAAGCTCAAGAAAGGTGCTAGATGGCACGTTCGACGCGTGAAACAGAATAGAGTATGATGTCGTTCTTTCATCGGAGCTAGTGACGGAGCAACTAACGGAGCAACTAACGGAGCAATTGGTGGAGTTAATCTCAACAAAAGGGGCCAAATTAAGGACCCGCTATCGACATTTGTCATCACCCTTTCGTTAACCAATTCATTTCTAGCGTACATTTAGCTGTGTTGTTCCTATGTTCTCATCGGCACAATAGTATATATTCGGGAATGCGATCGATAATTGAGGGGATGGTAACGAGAAGGCTGAAGAATGGAACAAGTATAGCAGTTCGAAAACTCTCAACACTCGCAATCAGTAATCTTTTACAGAGTAATAAATATACATCGGGCATCCATCACCCTAAATATTCTAGAGCACAAACGGAAAATGCTCGGCCGTGCTCTGAGCTCCTCAGCAAAAACGCAATCTAGTAGGTCCGGACAGTAGCGAACCACTCCTTGAACAGCTGGACCTTAGCCTTCGAGGCCACGGGGATAGGACCCCAGCCGTTACCAACGTGGTGCACAAGCTCATCGTCAGCAGTGACAGACCAGTGGGCCAGGCCCTTGCCATTGGGGTTGCCTGTCTTGATGAAGTTGGACCAGTATCCATTCATCTTCGCGGCGATCTCATAATCTTTCGCAGTCCAGGGCTTGTCGGTGCCGTAGAGATTGTTGAGAACGTAGTTGATCTCCGACTCGTGATAGGCACCCTGGTCCTGGCCAGGCGGCGCGTGGTCCCAGAAGTAGGTAAAAACATCCTTGGTGCTGGAGGTAGCCCAGAGCTGAGTCCACATCCAGGTGCCAACCTTGGATCAGTCGGTCCACATTGGATTGTAGGCGCCATCGGCACGGACATTGTTATCGGCGGGGTAGAGCTCAAGGGATCTCTTTGACCAGTTACCAGTAGTGAGTTACCAGTAGTGTACGTGTCACCCAGATCCGCAAGGTACTCAGCCACAGTGATGTTCGTGGCTTTCTCGGCGCCACTCTCATCCTTGGTGTTACCTGTGAGGACCGGTATGTTGTTGGCAGCACCCTCCTTTAGAGTCACGGCGTATTTAGCGGGCATAGCGTAGTAGTCCAAGGTAGCACCAAAGCTCCAGCCGTCCAGAACGTTGTCCTCCAGATCAGACATAGGCAACTTGCGCAGCTCAGCGATAGTGCTGACATTCATATCAGCAGTGTAGTTCAGACCCTGTGCCATAACATATGACTGGGTCTTGTATCCCTCGGGAAGGGAAGTGCACAGAGGGTCATGGGGGTCACGGACACCACTCTCAATTATAGCACCCTTGATAAGGCCCTTAATTAGGGGGCTGTTGAGGATGTGGTAGGTTGCGGCAGATCCAACAGACTGGCCCATGACAGTGATGTGCTCAGGGTTTCCACCAAAGTCAGCGATGTTCTCATGAATCCACTTTACCGCGGCAAACTGGTCGAGCACTCACCAGTAACCGGAGCTGTTATGGCAGTGGCCTTGTAGACCTCCTCATTCAGCTCGGGGTGTCCAAGCCAACCAAAGGATTCAGTTCGGTAGTTGTAGTTGACGAACAATACCCTTATCGGCCATGCCACCACCGTCAAATAAAGCACCAGCAGCCGTGGATTCAGCTGGGTAACTCCACATCACTACGGGAAGCTTGGCACCAGTGGACTTGGCGGGACTCCAAATGTTCTGTTTAGGCAGTCTTCGGAGATGGTGAGGTTGGTGTCGCTTGTGGCGGAAGGACAAACGTTGCCGTACGATTTCGCATCGAGCGTGGTGTTCCACGAGTTGACCGTCTGAGGAGGACGGAAGCGGTTCTCGCCTCCAGTATCGGCGGCAAATGGAATACCCTTCCAGACGGTGATATCCTTCCAATTGGTCAAGTTGCCAGTGGGCTCACTGGTGAAAGCAGGGTAAATCTGAACCTTGCCATACTTGGTCTCGATCACAGAGTTGTATAGCGGCGAGGAGCTAGGTGCCGCAGAGGCCAAACCAACCAGAAGACTTGCCGAAGCAAGAAGCTTCGAGATGGAGTGTTTTTCCATGATAGGGTGGCCAAGAAGATCTTGAATGAGGAGAATGAGAAATACCAGTGATGGGAAGCTTTTGATTCTTATGTCACATTGATAGACGCGTCATCTGAAGGTGAAGACGCCGAGTCGAGGGTAAAATGGGGAACCCCACAAAGCATCAGAAGTAGATGCTAAGGGTACTTAATCAGCCTTGGAAATCTGTTGACAAGAAACATCATCAGATCCACTATGTAGATGGCATTTCGTCGCATACCAGTCTATTTGCTGCAGACGCGTATAAGCCGGCCTCAACGTGAAAACTGGAAATTAGGGTGCAGATCTTTGATTTCGAGCGCCCAGTCCGCATCCGACCACGGATTCTGAGTTTCCGAATCACTTCATTTTTGGCATTTGTGGATTGATCCTACTCGTTTTGACTCCATCTCCGGCTCAATGTTCCGGTCTGCGCAATATCCTTCTGCGTTGCTTTGCGTATGTCATATATTTTGTTCCACCGGCTGTTTGGAATAGGTATTCTGTAACTCTCCACGGAGATCAAGGTCATGATCAAGTGGGGAACTGCAATTTTGTCCTCTGTCAATAGGGCTGGACTGATCTTCCAGTCAGCAATCGGACTTTATTTAGAATCCGATGATCTACGCGATAAAGTAACCGCCCAATCGAAAAAAGGGCTCTTCTTTCCCCACATACCTTCCACCGGGGTGCAGCGGTGCATCATGAAACTTGCACGATTCACCACAGCTCAATGCTCGCGCTAAACTTAATCAAGTACCGAGCACCGATTGCCGAACAAATAAGCAATTCAAGCCAAACCGCCAAGGTTACGCAGCTTCTCCACCTGGATCCACTTCAAATTCAATTGATCATTTTCGTCAGGTCAGATCTGCATCATAAGCCAGACTGCGTCAGAGGCGGAAAGGGAGCCAACTTGGGGAAGCCAGGGGATACAATTGTGAAGATAAGAAGCTATAATTACTCAGTAGTCCTTGGGGATAATTCACGCATCCTGACAATTGTTTATACCATGTTCCTTAAAACCCTAGCTGGCTGGGCTATATTGGCCTCAGTCGCTAATGCCACATACCCAGTCATTGACACTGCCCAGGGTAAAGTGAGAGGTACAGCCTCCGAGTATCGCTCGAATGTGACGGTATACAAAGGTATCCCCTTCGCCGCCCCGCCCACCGGAGAATTACGATTAAGCCCCCTACCTCACCAAAAAGCCACGATGGAGTCCTGAACGCAACCAAGCATGGACCCCAATGCAAGCAGGAGAGCTCTGGCTCTGCGGGCATTTTCTACACTGGCAGTGAACAGATGAGCGAGGATTGCTTGTATCTCAACATCTGGACTCCCACGTACGATAATGGCGAAGAACTTAAGTCTAAAAACCTGCCAGTCTACTACTGGATCTACGGTAGCCGTTATGAGATGGGCCCTGGTGACGTGAAGACTTATGATGGATCTGGTCTTGCGATCAAGGATATCATCGTAGTCACCGTCAATTACCGTGTCGGTGCCTTTGGCTACTTTGCCCATCCTGAGCTTTCGGCCGAGTCTGCTCACAATAGCTCGGGCAACTATGGTAGTCTTGATCAAATTGCTGGCCTCAAGGTAGATATCCCCTTTTGCTGTGTTGATCAGGACTTCCATGTTGACTTCTCTTTTTTTTTTTTTTTAGTGGGTTCATGAGAACATTGCCAACTTCGGTGGTAACCCGAACCAAATTGTCACTGGTGGACAGTCTGCTGGGTCAGCTAGTTCTCTGATCATGGCCTATAGCCCTCTGTCACGCGATTACGTTGCGGGAGCCATTTCAGAGAGTGGTGCTCTGTCCCCACACGACCCAAACACCGCCAGTATAGCTGTTAGCTACCGCGATAAGACCGAAGCTGAGGATTTCGGCTTGAAGCTCTCTAAGCAGCTCAACATCACCACCCCGGCCCAACTACGGAATTTGTCTGCGGAGGTTCTCAACAGCCTGGACTCTGAGAACGAGGACTTGCTCGCCGGAACTCAGTTCGTGAATCTGGATATGGAGCCCCCAGAGTGGCGCCCCGTCATTGATGGCTGGGTCCTAAAGCAGAAATACGGCCAGCTCCTCTGCGACAATGATCATGCTGATGTCCCCATTATGACTGGCTTTAACAAGGACGAGGGTATCTCGGACTACAATGCCACCTACTACAAGTCTCTTTATGGAGAGGTGTTCCAAAACTTCTCTACTGAGTTCTTCAAGCTCTATCCTGCTGATAACGACACCCAGGCGACTGACAGTTTCAACATCTGGAAGCGCGACATGTCCCGTGTCACGTCCTTGAAGTATGCCACGGATTGGGTTGCCGGTGGTGCGGGCACAAATGTGTACACCTACTTCTTCACTCGCGCTTCTCAGGAAGATCACTCTGGTGGTGCTTACCACGGTGCAGAGCTGTGGTACACTTTTAACAACATTCCTTACGCGGACTACACCGCCAACCTTACCTGGCCGGCAAAGGATTACGCTATTGCTGACCGTATGTCTGATTACTGGGTTAATTTCATCAAGTCTGGTAACCCCAACGGAGAGGGGTTGCCCAAGTGGGAGCCTTCAACCCAGGAGGCCAAGAAGATCACGTACCTTGGTAACACCTGGGGCATGAGGAGCATCGCCCCCGATGCTGTCATTGATTTCCTGATGGATTGGTTCAGCACTCTCGTCGAGTGGTGATCTAGTGCTTCATGCACGCCGAGGATGTCCTTTTGGGCACATAGGTAGGTCTCACCAGTTCAATGGAGAATCTTCCGTTACAGGAGAATATCGTTTATAGAGTGGACCATGGCTTTCTAAAGTTAGTTTCCGTTAATGTCGTGAAATATGCCGAGTCATTTCATATTCAAGCCCCTTCAGTCGTCTTCAGTGTTTTTTAGGGGGGAGACAATGCGGTGGTAATTCACCAAACTTTCAAAATCAACGCGTTGTCAAGTCACCTGGACAGTCTTTCCTGTATTTTAATTCTGCCTAACTCAACTTGTGTTCAATGGATCTGGACTAGGTAAATAGCTATGCCGTATGTGTTTAGCTAACCGCCATTTGATGAAAGGATAATGATTAGCAATTTTCCTTTCCACAAATGGCATACACCCGATGATGGAGCGAGAGAAGGACGACATATAGCGGTATTGGAAAACACGGGACCAGGAGCCTGACGCGCAAGATAAGAAAAGATGCAGGGTAACTAGGATACACGTGACCTCGCTTCAAAAAATAAGTGCGAAATAAGTAGATATCTCATATATCTAATCAGATTACCGTTGGCCGATAAAGCCCACTAGTGTCCCGTTACCCACAAGGCTGACTATTTCTGCAGCAGTTCGAGCCCCAATGCTCTGTGCGATTCGCAAGACATGAGACGGCTGAGGACACTTCAAGGTAAGCAGGCGGCACAATAAGTGTTTTTCTCGTTCTATCATGATTCATAGTGCGTTATTTTCCAAGTTTGACTCCGGATATTTCTCTTAAAAGAGCTAGCCTTCGCAAATAGTTCAGACACCCGTTCCAGGAGTTGCGCGTTTGAAGAACGGAACTTACTTTCAGTCCGACTTATAGAGATTCAGGGTTTTCGATTGATTGTGTTTTAATCTACCCATGGGTATTTGGTCCATAGCAGAAGTTCCAGATAGCGCGATGACGACAGACTAATCTGTATTTTGATAAGACGCATCCTCAGGCGCTACCATTATCCGCGGCATACGCGGCTGGAATAGCTTTGGTGTCTATGGTGCCCAACCCCTATAATCTGCCTTAGCTGCTACAGTCTTGGAAAATGCGCCGTACGCCTCTTTTCTTTCTCTTGATAATATATTTAGGCTGAGTATGGATTTTCCCAGTGCCATTGTATTAGAATTGTTTTCTACTAGAATTTTGTGTTATACATCATATATTCCAACTTGAATTCTATCAGGGGATTCGTTCATTTCCTTTATCCATGTACGCTCAAGATGACGTTGTTTGCTCCTCATGGCCGTTCTAGATGGACTATATACAATGGGGACCGTAAGTATTTCCCCAAGCGCGGGTCCGGTAGGGTCAACCCAACAACCAACTTTTGGGAAGGCATGTACCACTCAGTATTAAGAGGGCTCGCTTCAAAGAAGTATTAATTCAACCCATGACTACAGAAAAGTATTTTGAGAAGATAATTCGAAGATCCATCAAGCTTTAGTGACGATAGAGTGGTTTGAAAGTTAATGTATATATGTGGAGGATCCGCCGAGGTATTCACTAGGCTTTTAAACCCCTTCAACATTATCTATATGTTGTTAAAATAAGAGCTTCTTAGATTTTAACTAGAGCTTAAAATAGAGCAAGATATAAAATTATTTAATAGTACCTTCAGGGGTATATAGCAGAATTATGGTGAATAATAATATACTCAAAATTGATGTGTTAGTATAAAGGGTGGCGAGACAACTACTAGGGGTTGAAAAGCTAAGGGGGGGTTTTCATAAGAATCTTAAGCAATGTTTTTGTGCGTTAGACAAGTATTAATAACTTTGCGTAATTATATAGAATTTCAGTAAGATATGGTGGTGTGGTGAACTACTCAGTAAATATACGAAATTGATGGGGTAGGCCCGAAGACTGATTTGGGGAAATACTTTTGACTAGATAGTGTAGTTGAACAGCTCTTTACAATACCATACCACGGAGTTGAAACTTTAGAATTTGTGAGTGGCGGTGCTCGCTGCGTATTTTCGTGTAACGGTTTTTACAAGCTTGTATGAATTATCTGATTGTGCCTAAAGGGTGGGTGTTGGATGCTCACAGGCGCTCTCACTTATCTCATTTAAGTTTGATATCATGTTTGCGCTTAAATGTTACAGCTTCCCAAGCTATACTCCCTCCAAGATCAAGAGATCATCAACTCCCAGAAGAGCATCAACAAAGTCATGTACTTTAAAACACCCACGGCCTAGGATCAAGTACTTATCTTTCTTAAAGTGATGAAGCCTCTGTCATTTAAACCTACATTCAGTCTATAAGTGATTTGCTACAGTACAATGAAATCCAGTTAAAGGTTAGACTTTATTGTTCTGCGGACTGGGTGCTCAATAAAGAACTCCGATGATCACTAAGTGGGGGTTCAGACTGAGATATACGCGTAGAGATTTCAGTGTGCGGCGTTCACAAAAGCAGCGATAACTCACACAGGTACGCCCCACTTGCGACGTGCAGAAAAACGCAGCTCTATGTACGTATACGTACCTATGACTCTGTCCTGGAGAGGCTTTCCCTATTGGGCTATACAGAATGCAGGTATAGACTCCGCGGTGTGCATACAGTAGGCCCCCTGACCCCGCAAATTCAATCGCAGCCTGCGAAAATCGGAAAGGCTTCCGGGATTTGGCTCTACAGGTACGGCCTACTCCGAGGAGATAGCTATCCCACTAGCAGGGATCATGGATGGAACAGGGACAAGCCATGCAGCGCAGATGGAACCCATAAATATGTAGCTGGTGGAACGCGTCATTTCATGAGTCTGAACATCACTTTTCATTCTCTACACACTTGAAAAAAGCAAATTAAACCCAGTTCTAGGTGTGAGGAATGGCGTAAGGTTGGGACACAATGCGGTGACCCCAGGAAATTAGTGATATTCCTTGGCTTGGACCGGCGGCAAGGCCCGATGTCCCCTCTCCGCGGAGATCTCAGCCCAACCTTCGAGTGGTTCGATAACTTTCGGGCGTCATTGCGTATAGGACTGTGCACTTGTACCCCTGTACTACTGCAATAATGTGACCTACCTAAGATAACCTTCTTTAGCTCCACCCCGCCTTCTGGAAGAGAGGCGTGTGAGCAAGTCACAGCTTTACCCCTAAAGTCACTTGCCCCCTTTTCATGGAGCTGACCCGGCCATGGTCCGACTCCGCCCAGCGCCACTGTCTTCCTCGTCAAGTTCGCGTTGGTTATTTTCTCTAGGGTCAATGCCTGCTAAGCCCCAGACACCTGGTCTGCGACGAGCTAAGAGTTCCGCAGCCGGTCGCTCGTCCGAATGCAAGTGGGCTCCGGATTTCCGGAGGAGCAACACATGATCCGAGAGACCTGCGTTCGCGGCCAGGAATAGAGGTGTGCGACCGTTGCGATTGCGTAGATGGACGGATCCACCCTGTAAAAGAAGGAAGTGGAGTATAGAGATGGCGGGAGATGTGGCCGCCAAGTGCTGGTATCGATTAGCATGACAGAACAAAATAACACATACCGAACCAAATGGGGAAGGAAGTTGGAATCATAAACGCCATTATTGCGTTGACTTACAATAGGTGTATTCCCGGAATAGTCGGCGTCGTTCAGTAGCCAGTGTTGTTCCGTCTTCATGATTGTCTTGACTTTTTCGAGGTCGCCCTGTGCAATGGCGTAACCCAGCACGGTGAGCGTTTGCACGCGCTCGGGCAAAGCGCCGTCGGGATGTCGGAACATCGGAACCGAAGATTCGGTCAGCTCACCCCTGAGGGATAGCGACATGTTCTGCGCGACGGAATCCGGCGTAGAATCTGGCAGAGCCAGTAAGTAAGCGAGCTTGGTCAACGCAGCCTCTGTGGTCATGTCGAGACCAGCCACAACACCTGCTCGTGATAGGCTCATGCCCGTGGCATAGACAGGGCTGACACTGCCAGTAAGACCTACAACAACCACCCCGTGAGCCTCCTTCCAAATTTTTCATTGCTGACAGAGGGCAACTCACATTGAGTAACGTTAATAATGACAATTCCACGCTGAATGGCGCTGGCCAACACGTTGATCATGGCATTATCCTGCCCAGACGGCGCATTGCCAGCCCCAAATGTCTCCAAAATCAGCCCGCGAAGTCCATCCAGCTTCAAAACAGCATCCACCATCTCCGGCTTGATACCAGGGAAGATACGGAGACACGCAACATGAGTCGTGTCCAAATTTGTTTGGATACGGAAATGCGCCAGGCTCGTGGGTCGGTGCACCATGTTCCAATTCACATTGGTGCGCATGGACGTGGTCGTAGCCAACGGGGGACAATTCGGAGCATCAAAGGCCGCAAAGTCACTGGCAGAAACCTTGGTGGTCCGGTTACCCCGGAACAGCTTATTGTTGAAGTACAAGCACACTTCGGGGATCATGAAGTGGCCCGCTACGACAAGCGACCCAAGCAGATTATCTGTCGCGTCATTCTGGAGCTCCAGCATCGGTGCCTGCGATCCAGTGAGCACAACGGGCTTTCCGAGATTCTGGAGCATAAAGCTCAAAGCAGAGCAAGTGTATGCCAAGCTGTCTGTGCCGTGCAAAATCACGAAACCGTCGAATAGCGTGTAGTTCTGATAGATGGACTCCGCGATCTCAGCCCAGCCTTTCGCGTTAATGGAACTGCTGTCTAGCAGCTCTTCGAATTCATATACCGTGTACCGCACTTTGCGGCCGTATCTTGTCACTGGGGTACTCAGACTGGGATGAGCTACAATATCGCCCTTGGAGTTGGTGATGACGTCCATGGGAACCGATAACGAGCCATCGTTGAATGAGGGAACTCGCGCCATGCATTTTTCTTGGAATCCTCGGGCGGGAATAAAGCCATGCGGTGACTGCTGCATGCAAATAGTACCTCCAGTCATGATGATCAATACCCTGGATTCCAAGATGGCTTCCTCTGGCTTCTCATCCGCCAGCGTAGGGAGGTTCGCATCGTTGAGAGCCATTGTGATTCCCGAGGCCTGATAAGACATCAAGTAGAAAGGACACTTCACAAAACTGGAGTAAGTCCCTAGCGGTTCAATATCAGAGTCTTGAGACCGATAACACGAGTGACTTAGATGTCGATCCGTATCGCTCCAACGTTCAATGTGACGATCCTGTAAACCCCAATTACCCCTCTAAGTTGTTCGGATCAGTGGATCGCGGGGATGTGACGCTAGGGCAGAAAATTTTCCTTCCTTTTTTCGTAGCCAGACACGCGGTTAGAAGCCGAGACACGAATAAGGTATCGGGTCTCCAAGGCAGATCGTGATTGAATCATTTGGCCGAAATGTTGGTGGAAACCCCAAAATTACCCCGAATGCATTACGTACGGCGGTCTTATTGGAGAAAGATTTTCACCGATTTCCAACTTTAAACCGTCTCCACCCGGCCGGGACCAACAGCGCGACTCTGTTTTCGCGATTACCCCAATCATTGTGTAAGGCTATTTTCTAGACCTTGCTCATGGATCCAAAGCTATATTCTCGATGTCAAGCTTGCTATTTTGGTCTATCCACTTATATAATCAAAACCCTGGGCATTTGAGGCTTTCTACAATGGCAATTTCGCAGCCGGGTAGTGGAGTCATCATCGCGGAGATCGTCTGGGAATATGGCTAATTGACTGCGGTTTCAATTGCTGTGTCGTTTCTTTATTAAATATATGAAGATTCGACGCAGAATGTCCGTGGATATGCAGGCCCGAGAGCATCATGTAGATCATTATGTGGTCAGTGATGGCGAGGTCTGGAATATCGCCCAGTATACTGGGCTGACTGAAGCATGAAGATTGAGCTGCCATAAGAATCAGCATGATAATACGTTTCATTTCGCTCTCAGATGTTCGGATTGAACTGAACCAAATCCTCTTCCAAGAGCCCCATCATATACTGATTCCCAGAAAACCAGTTCCCCAATTGCGCCGTTTGCATCATCTCAGCTTCAGACATGGCCTCTTGACTCTGACCCTGGAGCTGCGTAGCGGGTCCAGCCAGCTCGGCCATACATGGCGCAGGTTCTGGGACTCCAGCCTGCGAGGTTAACATAGCATCAGGCTGAGAATAACCTTGGCCACTCGTGATCGCGCTACCGGGCGCTAGACCTAGGGCGCTAAGGTAAACGTCAAACTCCTGACCTACAGAAGCAAGGCCTGGATTCTCTCCAGCCTTGCTTCGAGTTTTGGCTTCGACGTACAGTCGTGCGACCGTGCCAAATACAGAACAGATGTTGTGAAGCCGATCGACAGATTGGGAGATTGAGCAGAGGGCCTGAAGGGAAGCGATGAAATCTTCTAGGAGGGCGAGATCTTCGCTGTCCGATGTTGCAATTATATGGCAAAAAATGACAATGAAAGGGACAAAGGGGGAGACGAGGATTGCCCTGTGCCATGTTAGAATTAATGGAAAATCTAATGTAAAAAAGCACTTACCAATGCATATAAGAACGTTGAAGGATCTTATTGTTCTCCCCTATAGCACCAAAGCACATTTGATGATGTTCAAGTGCAGCTCGAGCTGTCTCCACACATTCAGGTATGAATGTGCTGGATGACCCAGTTCTTGCTGGGGCAGGGATTGCACGGTATATCAATGTTAACATTGCTAGTCGACTGACCTTGTCACACTGAAGGTATAAAATATCCACTTCGCAAAGTCCCAGGTCGGAGGACATCATAAGCTGTACAAGAATCAGTAGCCACCTTAATTCAGTTTGTGAGCTCGACATACCTCAAACGGCTCGATAATGTTGGAATTCATCTCGGCAGCTAGGCTGCGGGCATGAGATACTCTCACACTTTCAGGCTGATTCAAAGCTGCAGGGCTGTATAAAGTCGTGTAAACTTTGTTCTGTAACATGGCCTGTCTGGTCCACAGGGCGTTTACATGACCCCAAACATTATCGCATGGGAAGGTCTCAAACGGTGAAGGCAGGCTGATGTCAAAGTCCTGTATCACAGATGCACGCCCAAGCCGCAAGGACATCATATTCAATATTGTGTATACAGACCAAAAGAGACATTGCTTTTCTTTCTGGACTCCTGGGGGATCGGACTCCATGGACGATATGCGATGATAGCCTAATGTTTGACACATATGGATGGCTGTGGAAGCAAGCGTCCAGCTTAGAGAGGGCTTTGCGATCTCAATCCCATGCATCGCCTAATATTTTCATTAGCCCTCATCGATATAGGGTAAGAGAAGAAGGAAAAATCAATTACCCCAAGGGTTAACGCCACAATATATTCATGTGTTGCAGGCATTAAGATGTTCAAGTTTGCCAGCGCTGCCTCGACGGCGTCCTTGCACATCTCCACATACCGGTGATATTCATTCCGGGTGGTTGGCTCTTTCTCAGAGAATGACAACTCAATAAAAATATTGTAAAGTCCAAGGTTCGCAACAATAAAAGCTGCATCAGAGTATTCATCCCTAGAAATGTAGACGTCTCGGCATTTTTCGATAAAGTAATCTATTCCGAAGAAGGGAATATAGCCACTGAATGATGAGGGTGGATTTTCTGAACAGCATATTGATTGGCAATGGTCTGCTAATTGACGGATCGGATCATACCTTTGATTGATTTAAGAATTGTCAAAACGGCAGTCAAAGGTGGTAGTTCTAGTTGGCGAACATCGCAACGGGCACCTACCCTGGTCTCTTGATTAGGGAACTGGGCCCTTTGGGGATCAATCTCTCGCTGCTTGTTTTGCATCTCAACAATATGTCGTAGTGAGGAAAGTGCCTCGTTGATTTTCGGGCTGGACAGAACTTCCGGTGTACTATGCGAAAAGGCAGACTCCAAAAACTCCCTTGCATAAGCCGAGTGTGCAGCAAGTGAGGAGTTCCCCTCGAACCCGGAACTTGGATCATGTTGCTCAATAGCAGGGTTAGATGTATAACCAGGACCCTTGAGGTTCGCCTGATCGGATTTTGCCACTGGAGAATCGACTTTACCACTCGACAAAGGCGAGGTCTGAGATGAACCATAGAATTTTGGTGGCCCTGGCCCATTTGATCGGGAATGAGTAACCAATTCTTGCAGAGCTTTTTCGATGCCTCCCAATCGGTCTTCAATCAGGTCTATCTTCCTCTCACTATCGATATATGTTACCACCTTGCTAAAGCTCTGTAGGGTTACAGAAGGATAGGAAGCTACATACTATTGACTAGAAATCAGCACTCGCCTTCTCTGTTGATGTGGCTTCTGACCCTCGCCGGTCGACCGGCATATAACGTTCGAACTGCGGCAATTCGAACATGGCGAACGTTTGTCACAGCGAATCTGCGAAACCCTCTGTCAATACCATGCATGTCTTTAATTCGTCCCAACTCACTTTCCGGGTACGGCACTGGTCGCACTGGACCAGAATATTAGCAAATTCCATGATAGTCATGACATGTATCTCCAACGGCTCGATCCACTAATGTACTGGATGTCGAGGTGGAGTACATTACATACCGCACGTCGGGATAGGCTATTGTTCGGCACCTCATATTCATCATGGTCAGATCCCTCGGGCTCCATGATAGGAATACGTCGATAATAGTTGTTGAACTTGTGGGATTGATGTCATCGGGTAAAAGCGGTGCTGCCTGGCAAAGTTGGAGTGTCGTTAGTGATCACGTGGGGCCTGATCCAAAGTTTAACATACATGTAAAATAGTCAACCTGTTGTCCTGTAAGCATCTGAATATATGAGGCTCCAATAAAGTTATCGAAGACGACAAGGTTCCTTCACTTTTGGAGCAGAGTTATGGAGCAAGGAGGATTGGATAACGTGCACTCCTCAGGGGGTGGGAGTGGGGGCAGAATGCGTTTAGCACTCGATGAAATGAAAATTTAGGGTCAAAGATTCGTATTCTATCAGAAAAGACGACAGAAGTCCAGATGAAATTTGAGAATGGTAAATCAGCAAGACCGCATATTAAGTAAGTGAGGGTCTCGGACATCAAGGCTGCCAATCAGCTGAACCCCTGCTTGACTACAGTCATGCAGCTTCGAAATGCAAGGGGATTTTTATAGTTCAGTGCAACGTTGATTCAGATGTGATGGGAGATTTTGGCATCTTTGTTTCCAAGACGGAGGCAATAAAGCCTTGGCCCTTGGGTACAATGTACAGTAAATAGCCCGGTCTCACCAATCTACAAGCTCTCGATGACTTCCAAGATAAGAAACGCCTCGCAGGATTCCACTCCAGTCTATCTTCCTTGTCTGGGCCCCTTAGACCAGCATCATCTACCTATCGGATTGCTTCTTGATTATCTAGTGGACCGCCGGGACCCAACGGCTTTGCTTATCAAGCACGCGAGTCGGCTTGTGCGGGGGTTAGGGGGAGTTCCGTGGGTCCTGGATGATTAGAAATAGACGTCTAGCGTCCTTTGGTGTTGTTTACTTTTTTGCTTTTCCTCCAGTTTTTATGTGCATTAATTCTCCGTGACACCTGCACGACCGTTGAGCCGCGATCAACATGGCAGTAACCGCCCCACACCCGATGGATTTGTCACACCACTACTCCTACACCACCAAAAACCGTCTTGCAAGTTTTGTCAAAAGCTATTACAAATACTACACGATTCCAGGACTGGCCAATTTTGCCGGGGGTACAGCCCCCCCAAATCCACTTTAGTGCAGCCGTGACTGATTGTATATTTACACAGGCTTGCCGCACCAATCATACTTTCCTTATGACACGCTCGAAGCAGACATCGCGCGACCAGATCGTCTGAAACCTATTAGTGCCGGGGACTCGAAATCAGAGCGCCTCATCGTCCCCAAACAATCCCCAGTCACCGATGTCCAACGACGGATCGACCTGACCACCGCTCTGCAGTATGGCACAGCGGAAGGTTATCCAGCACTGGTCTCATTTCTACGACAATTCACCCGTGATCACCTTCATCCCAATGTCCCATATGAAGGGGGCCCGGAAATCGTCTTGAGTTGTGGTAACACCGATGGCTTCTCCAAAGCTATTGAACTTTTGACCAATATCTGGAATCCCGATCGTGATTGGATTCGCCAGCGGGAAGGCGTGCTGTGTGAACGATTCGCCTACATGAATGCTATCCAGACGGTTAAACCAAGGGGATTGAATGTGGTTGGAGTGGCTATGGATGACCAGGGTATGTGTGCTTTCGGTGAGGGCGGTCTCGAAGACGTTTTGGAGAACTGGGACTTCCGACGTGGTCGTCGACCCCATGTTATGTACACTGTGACGTGAGTTGAACATTCTCACGGTCGCTTGAAAACTCTTAAATTGATAACAAAAACAGCATGGGTCAGAATCCTACCGGCGGAGTGTTACAGATCGAACGCAAAAGGGAAATATACGCCCTTTGCCAGAAATATGACGTGATTATTGTTGAGGATGAACCATATTGGAACTTACAGTTTCCATCTGCTTACGAGATGGAAGCCCAAGCTCGCGGCTTATCTATTCCACGTCCACGAAATTACAATGCGGGGGAAAAGTCGTCCGGCTATCCGTTTTTGGATGCATTGGCCCCCTCATATCTATCCATCGACACAGAGGGCCGAGTGATCAGACTAGACACCTTTTCCAAGTCCATCGCCCCCGGAAGTCGACTTGGCTGGATCACTGCACAGCCCGCTATCATCGAACGTCTGACTCGCATCACCGAATGTTCTACACAGCAGCCTAGTGGATTCGTGCAATCCATAGTAGCAGAAATGCTCATGGGCAAGCAAAACGAGGAAACGAAGGCTCGGGTCTTCAAACTGCAAGATTCCTTAGGCTGGCAGATGGATGGCTGGGTACGCTGGCTAGAGGGCCTGCGAGCAGGCTATGAGAAGCGTATGCAATCCATGTGTACTATTCTGGAGGATAACAAGTTCTTCCTCTCGGGATCTGCAGATCATGTTCAAGACTGGGAGGTAGTGGATCGTACTCAAATGTATGAATTTGTCTGGCCCAAAGCCGGTATGTTCACCTGGATCGAGGTGTACTTTGAGGCACATCCTCTTGCGTCTCAATATAGCCCCCAGCGATTATCCAGCGCATTTTGGATCCACCTTACGCAAAAGCCCGCTTTGTGCTTAATTGGCCCCGGCAGCATGTTTGCCGCAAGCCCAGAATCTATTGAACTGGCTTACAGATACTTTCGACTTTCTTTCGCCCCAATGAATGCCGACGATGTTGCACACTTCACTCAAAGACTTGTTGACGGAATCCGGTCCTTCTGGCAACGCAATAATCTTGATGGTTTAGAAGATACTGATACTTTGGACATGGGGATGCTACAGCTGAGCCCTGAGGCCAACTTCTTGGGCACTGGCTGCTAATTCGTTTCAAGATACAGTGATCAGTTGGTAGGATCTTTTTATGTTTTTCTTTGTTTTAATATCTTCTTGCTTAAAGAGGTCATTTAGATAGAGGACAATAATGTCTTGCTTCAGGAATGTGGGGATGCATGGTTGTGTTGGGTTTCTCGCCAATCTACATGCTCTTCATGTTTAATGCCATTTCAAACATACGAAGTCATGTGTTTAGAATCAATTTCGTTTTACTAGCACCAGATTATCTCCCAGTAGAGGCCGACCATATCCTGAGCTCCTGGAAATTCACTCTTTCACTACTACCATCCTCCTCCATGGCCTCCTCCTCCTCCTCCATGGCCTCCACCACCTCCTCCATGACCACCCCCTCCTCCTCCATGACCACCCCCTCCTCCTCCATGGCCTCCTCCTCCATGACCACCACCGCCGCCGCCCCAGCCTCCGCCTCCATGGCCTCCTCCACCTCCTCCTCTACCACCACCACCACCACCTCGGCCTCCACCTCCTCCACCCCAGCCTCCGCCTCCACCTCGACCTCCTCCACCAGGACGCCCTCTACCTTCATCTGCGGTTTCTTCATTAACCGCCTGTACCTCTTCAGCCCGTGGCACTATGTCCAGTGCTACAAAATCTTAGTTTTATATCTTGCACATCGATTCACAGATAATACAAACCAGGTTCTGGCTCAGGAATAGCAGCCGCTAAGGCGGTGCTTGTTAGCCCAAGCAAGGCAATAATCCAGGTGAAACGCATGTTGTTGGTTCGTTGGTTTGATTATACACTTTGAACTCTCATTAGACTTGATGCATATAGTAATTCCAAAAGATCTTACAAAAATATTTTGAGGAACGATGAGTTGACCAAAGATCATGCTTTTCCAACCTTTCTCTAGAGAACACTTTGTGCTTTATATAGACCCAGCGCTCCCTTACAGAAAGCAGGTTTCCAGTTTTACAGGCTGGAACAAGGTCTATGATCTTGATATTCCCCGAAGCTGCCACCATGAACTCCAGTCACCGTGTCTCCTCGCTTCCGTCTGAAGTTAAATCACTGGAAGGGTTTCCTTGTCCGACTGGCTCGGCGTGGCTTTGGGAAAGAAAGGTTGGTCTAGAATGTCTACCAGGTTGTTCGATTGGGGGAATTATCTCTAGCGGCCTTTTCGATGGGTTTAAGAGGTCACTCGAGCATGTTTCCTTTGCTTGGGCAGGGGATCTCCTGGTTATTCTTGATTGAACATGTAAGACGGTGATCAAGAAGGATGTCCCGGTCTGGCTTGTGTTGGGTAACAGCAGTAGAGGCAAAATGAGAGTGAAATCGCCGCTTTCAATTCTAGTCAAGGGCTTGTCCTGTTTACTGGCTCCGCGTCTTGCGTGTATCACATGAAGCTGTTCTTCTTGTCGTAACCTTTAGCTCTGATGATATATTGTACGGGCATCTGAGGGATGTATACTTTGGACCCGTGGACGGTCCTGGGGACAACTGGTGACACATTTCAAGGTTCTAAGGCTATGTCTCTCTTTTCAAGGTTAGCTTGATGCATTCGTGAGCTGTATCTTTGGTGTTTCTACTTTGCAACAGTACAGACTTTCCAGGCTTGAGGTATGACAAACATGTGGGGAAGCGCCATAAGCAGTTAAGCTTACGATGCTGACACGGAGTACTTCCCGGAAGATGGGCGGCATCTGTCGCACCAGACTAGCTTTTCGAGGTCAAACAAAGGTTTTGTATCACAAATCCTTAGATTGAGCTTTGAGGACTCCGTTCAAACTACTGGGGTTAGACAATGGTTAAACTTCTGGCCCTCTTCTGACGTCAATATTGACTTTATCCGTTATTCTCGGGGTATATTAAAGGTCACTCAGACATGTTCTAGTGTTTAGAGCTCAATTGAATAATTAAATGGGGGAGCGTCGCGGTATTTGCGAAGTGTCGTGGGACAATTGACTGCTACGAGTGTTGTCTGCAGTAGCATTTAGCCAATTATATGACTCGGTTGATGGAAAGCCATGATCTTGGAATATCTGCGACCTGAGATATTCATGGCTCACAACACTGTATTCCAGGAGCCCTTCGATCCCACCATGGGTAACGGTAAGAATATACAATGGCCAAATTTTTGGTTGTATCTCCCATTCGATCTAGAACAATTTATAGGTCACATGCATCATGCTATTATCCTGCGTGTAGAAAGGAATGGAAAATGAAATGTATAACTACTTTGTGTATGGATCAGACTAGACATATCTGTACCTCGTAAGATGACAGCTAGATTGACTTTATCTACTGGCCGTAGTGATTGGTCTGTTGGTGCCTTGTGGCCTGAGAAAGGATCTGCGGGCCAGAAGTTCTCCGCAGCCCACCAATCTGCCCCTCAAATTTATGCCAAAGAATGTCGCAACTAGACGATCTAGAAAATCGAGATTTGGCTGAAGAAATCGAAGCCATCAATGCCATTTACGAGCCCGATACCATCACGCTAGATCGGGCGGTTGCATCGTCCGCCCCGAGCAGCACTCTTGACTTGGGGAGTGCCGGGCCATCCAATGAGGATGTGCGAACCACAATAACACTTCAGCTTCCTGGCCAACCTCATCTCGCTTTTATAATTGGGTTCGGTGTGACCTACCCGGAGACTCGACCTGCGATCCTTGGGACCGCATCGACGGCTGCGCGCGGGGAAGGGAAAATCGCCGTGGATGTATTAGAAGATATCGTGCAACGGACTTGGCAACCTGGTGCTGTGTGTTTATTTGATGTGATTAGTGAAGCGGTCGAAGTGTTCCCTGAATTGAGTATTGGTGGAAGCAAAGACAGCGAGCAGACTAGAGCTACGGATTCAACACCTACCAATGGATCATCTCCCAGTCAAACAACAAAAGCCGATGACTCGAGCGCAGCAACTATACAGGTGACCGAGAACTTCGGATCTCTTTCGTTGCAAGATGCATTTGGACTTGACAGCCCACCGGATTGGATTCTCTCCGATGTTGTGACTGAAAAGAAATCCGTGTTTCTAGCCCGGGCAGCACGAGTGTCGAGCCTTGCACAGGCACAATCTTACCTGGACCATCTCACTGCTACCGATAAAAAAGTCGCAGTGGCAACGCACAATATAAGCGCATGGCGAATAAAGCAGAAGAAGGATGTTCCTGCAGGCGCAGATGCAGCCGAAACGCAAATCCAGGATTACGATGATGATGGGGAGACCGCGGCCGGGGGCCGCTTGCTTCATGTTATGCAACTAATGGATGTGTGGAATGTCCTCGTTGTGGTCTCGCGCTGGTATGGAGGAATTCACCTAGGACCGGCGAGATTTCGACTTATCAATGACGTTGGCCGCGATGCCTTGGTCAAAGGTGGTTTCGTCCGCGAAGAAAACCCTGGTCCTGAAAAGGGGAAGAAGAAGGGCAAGAAATGAGATGCGATTGTGAAGCGTTGGTCTCCAACATGGTGACTGGTGAAACACCTACCAGAGCTACTGGTATTAAGGTTTTGCGAAAGAAAATCCGACCTGTCATCATAGTGGTACGGAAGAGCCACATGTCAGCGAGACTTAATCGCGTTAGGGATTCACTCCTCTCATGGGGTCATCGCCAGTTTGGCCTTATAGTTAATCGGCATCCAAGAACAAAGGCGAGCGAGGCTGCCAATTGCTCAGGGCGACTGGGTTCGGAACGCTTGTCAGAAGAGAAAAAATCTCTCGAAGCATCTATATTAGCCATTGAATTAGAGGAAATATAGACCAGGCTAGAAGTCCTGATACTCACATCCGAAGAGATGTGTGCAGAGACCGATCCTGCATATTGACCAGTAGGCGGTCAAATCCAGAACAAGACCATCATCTGTGTGTGGACACAGCGTCAATCCTTCTGTGCTACCAATTGATGTGACCATGGGCCCAGAAAAGCCAACTGAAACCTTGCACGCATCAGACGCTAAGTCATTGGACTCAAAGGATGCTGCTCAAATCCCTTGAGTTATTTCCAGCAGCACCGAGCATCTCCGTAGTTGGATACCCACAGTTTCTGACAACTCATTTTGGTGATGGCATATCCACTTCCGACTCTTGCACCAAAAGGTCAGGGCCACGCGAAGCAATTAATCTAGACAGCCATCTAGCGGTACATTTGATTATGATGAACAGCCCAAAAAGATTTCACTGTCAGATAATGCGCGGACGAATAGCATAATAATAATGAGCTGACCCTGATTATGGAGAGTTAGTGCCTTAAATTTCATATCAAGCCAGAGCGAGCTACCGCCGTACCATGGTACGAGTAGCTCGATGAACGAGTCGGAATGGTTCTCGGTCGACCTCGCGATCGGCTTCTTGCGCATCGAAGCTATGAAAAGCTAGATCATTAGGGCGCATCCACTTTCTCTTGGTTTATAGTTAACCGAGATAGCGCCAAGACGCACGAAATTGCAGGGTCTGTCTATTAGAAGGTTATTAGGAGTTCTGTACTCCACATTCGAACAGCCGGGTTGACAAGTATCATATGGGGCAGCCATCAATCCGAAACGCCTTCCATGACCCCTATGGGATTGACGGGATTGGCGTTCGGGTGCGGAGAACTAGAACCATGGATTGAGGCGACATCAACATATTGCAGGGAAGTAAAACCCGCAACATCATAAAATGCAAGCGAATATACTTTTCATTCACGGTAGCTCTGTAGTGGATCTGTTTAATTTCCAGACTGTCGGTGACCAGGAGAAGACCCCTTGAATGACGTCTAAAAACGTGTGGCAGGACCCTGAAACAGAGTTCGGTTGATACCGTCCCTTTTCTTCGGGATATCCACAACGATCTCCATAGCGCTAAGCCGCATCATCCGGATGAATATTCCTGTCATTGCTGGAATCTGTGCATGATCGGTGGGTCAGTTTGTCCAGCAGGATTATCTGTTGGGGGGGGAACCCGATAGTTGCGGTCGGCATCTCGCTGATCTCATGCCAAAACCACAAAAAGGGCGTGTGTTTTTTGTAGTGTATGTGGATATGCAGGATGCTTCGGAAGGGCAAAAGCTGAGCTGAGCTGTCTACCGTTCTTGACACTGTAACTACGTCATGTTTGGCGCCTTTATGTTTGTGGCCAGTCGCAAGGGTGCGACCCGTACTCCATAAATGCATGGACATGCCAATTGTGGTCGCGGGACGCCGGAAGACGAAGACTCCTGCACAATGCCGAGTCTTTAGTGGAGCTGTCAATACCAGGGCAGAATGCTGAAACGCGGGCAACGTTCATGTCCATTGCAACCTTCAGTTTCAATTCCGTCGTGGCATATCGGCATCTTCCGTCAATTGATTGGCGCTCGACCCGCTGGCAAGAAACCATAGGCGCCAAGGGGTGACTCCCCGCAGCCAATCCCGCCGGTCGGAAGGACCAAACACATGGCATCCCTGGATCCAAAGATAGATGGTGCGACACGGTATGAGCCCTCTTCGAAGGGGGAGGCGTCTGGGGGGGTTAACCTTGCGCCGGTCTGTGCGGTGGTTGGCTCCTTCTACAGTAGCGGGCCAGTCTGGTTGGAACAAGCAGATCGCAAGCACTAGAGGGACCCCATTCTCGTCTCTGACTGGCTGGAGTCTACTATTTCTTCAGTACCACTCACCGTCCGATCTATGCGTTTACGAGTGAAAGGAGCAGATGTGAAACAATCCAGCTTTCTCGAAGTCCCGCTCCCCACTTGCGACCTGTCGTCGGATCTGGCAAAATGAGATCTTCCAGCATTTCCTCGGCTGGGCATGAAGAAGATCAGACACTAGGAGTATCCGATTGATTAGGAGACCCATCGAGTCCATTCAGGGTCTGCTAAAACAATGATGCATGACACACAGGGTCCTGTCGTATGAGGAGACTGAGCGAGATATATAAGACTCTTCAGCGCCTATTTTGCAGATTTCTTTTTTCTCCGTGCATCTCGATCTTCTTTGCTTCACATTCCGACACCTAGCAGGCTAGTCCTGTCTTTCTTTCCCTTCTTACAATTCTTGATCTGGAAGTCTTTGCCTGTGGCAGACTCCTACATTCCTTTTCTTGGATCAGAATTTGTGACATTCCTTTGGTTGGATACAGCCTGGAACAAAGACATTGACATTATTCACTTGGTTCAGTCTGTTGCTGTAAGGGTAGGTTGTTCTTTGTTCACATTCTTCACTGGTGTTTGGTCCCATTCTATTGAATGAACAATTCACTCGTTTGCCAACAGTACCTTTCTTGAGGGTGCATTCACTGGCTTTACTTTTGATCTCTTCTATTAAAACCCCCAATATTTCTTGATATCTTCCATTCCATCCATGTCTAATTTCTGGCGCAGGAAGCCCACACAGTCTTTTCTACATCCTCAAGACTACCAACTTTCAATCCTTTTTTCTGCTTGATTCTGTTCGTCTGGTACGAATCAGGTCATTCATTGCAATATTTCTGTCGAACCAAAACCCCCCACAATAAAGCTGATCTACAATATGTACGCCAAATCGATGCTTGTTGCCATGCTGGGGGCCTCCATGGCCAGTGCTCACATGATCATGACCAACCCTGTTCCTTATGGAATGGACACGCTTACCAACTCTCCTCTGGCAGCGGATGGCAGTGACTTTCCCTGCAAGTTGCGCTCGAACACCTACGAGGTTACTGAGGAGAACGTCATGGTCATCGGACAATCCCACAACTTGACCTTTCAGGGCAGTGCTACCCATGGTGGTGGATCATGCCAGATCAGTCTCACCACCGATCTGACGCCCTCCAAGGATACCGAATGGCAGGTCATCAAATCTTTTGAGGGTGGCTGCCCGGCCAATGTTGATGGCAACCTGTCCGGTGGTTCTACTATGGTTGATCCATACTCTTTCGATTTCGCCATTCCAGAGGGTATTTCTGCCGGCAAATATACTCTTGCCTGGACTTGGTTCAACCGTATCGGCAACCGTGAGATGTACATGAATTGCGCCCCAGTCACCGTGAAGAGTGCGAGTTCATCTAAGAGATCCGAGGAAGTTGAGGTCAAGGCTGTCGAGAAGCGTTCTTCCACCTTCCCGCCCATGTTTGTTGCCAACATCAATGGCTGCACTACCTCGGAGAATGTTGATATTCGTTTCCCTCAACCTGGTGACGTTGTCCAGTACCTCGGCGAGCCTTCTAACTTGGCCGAGGAGGGCGCCGCAGCTTGCACTGGCACTCCCACTTTTGGCAGCGCAGGTGACTCTGCCACTGGCACCAATTCCGGTTCGGGCTCCTCTGGTTCGAGCTCCTCTGGTTCTGGCTCTTCTGGTTCTGGCTCAGCAGCGGTAACTTCCACTTCGGCAGCCACTACCCCTGTATCAACCCAAGCCGCTGAGCCTGCTCCGGCCTCTACCTCGGTTCCATCTGCACCTGAACCCGCCGCACCTTCCGCTACCTCCGCGGCAAGTCCGGCTTCTCCCTCTTCCAGCTCCAGCTCCAGCTCCAGCTCCAGCTCCGGTTCTTCCAGCTCTTCCAGCTCGGGTGCCCTGAGTGGCTCATGCAGCGAGGAGGGTGAATGGAACTGCATTTCCGGTACTTCTTTCCAACGTTGTGCTTCCGGTGTGTGGACTGTCTCCCAGCAAATGGCTTCTGGAACCTCTTGCACTGCAGGTCAGAGTTCGGAATTAACGATTGTTGCCACCAAGCGAGCTCGTGCCATTTCAGAACTGCGTTTCCGCAAGCGCAGCATCGGTGAATCTCACCATGTTTAGATATGAACAATACCTGCTGGTTTCGGGTACTGACTTCACTCCTTTCCTTTCTCTTCGTTGCATATTATGCCCCCTTTATTTTTTTTCTTCGTTTCCGCTCCTAGATAGGCGCCCTAGGAGGGACCCTTTTCTTACCCTTCGATGCATCATTTTTGTCCTTCTCATCATGTACATTTCAGGATATGTAGCCTATATGTGAGATTGAACTTTTGGAGTACCAAAAGTTACAAAAAAAAAAACAATGTTTTATCAAGATTTTTCATATTCTCCATAATAATTGGTTCAACTTGGCATCCTGATTGAAGTCTCTGAAATAGCTTCATACCTAGAGATAGCGAAATATATACCTTAGTAAGTTGTCAGTTGAATCAAGCCATGCTTGGAGCTGATTAGCGTCGTGTTTGTTAATTCAAACTTCTGCTATCCTGTCGTGCCGCGGTCGCAGTTTACTGTGACATCCTTCCACTGATGTAGTACAAGAACAATACGAAAAGAAATAGTGGATCGAACCTGGTCCACGAGATCAGTAGATCAGGTGTCAACAAATCGAAAAGGGAAAGCGAAGTGGAGCGGGGATGATTACTTAATCCGATGTGGCCCCACTGGTCTTAATGTGGTTAATCAGGGCTTAGGGTTTTCTCCCGCACTGACTGGCGCAAGCTCACTAAGCGAAGAAATCCACAGGACAGCCCGACTGGGAAACTTTTGGTCTTCAACCTCACCAACGACACCGAACGACAACAATGGCCACTCGCCCGACCGTCTCGATCGCTACGGCTGAGGGTAAGCCCTCCGGGGCTACCCAGACCCTTCCCTCGGTCTTCTCTGCTCCTATCCGTCCGGATATTGTCCAGTACGACATCTCTGAAGAAAATTCGGTATCCGAGGCGAAATGCTGATGATTTCTCTACAGGCAGGTCCACACCGGCATGGCCAAGAACAAGCGTCAGCCCTACGCCGTCAGCGAGAAGGCTGGTGAGCAGACCTCTGCTGAGTCCTGGGGTACCGGTACGTGATTAAAATTTCAGTTTTCGATATGCGATTTGGATTTTACTGGGAGGCATCATGAAAAGTGGGGGTGGATGGAGGCCATTGAAAAATTTTCCGCTGGGAAACGCCCAATGAAGGAAGGAAACAAGTCACTGACGAGACAATCTTCAACTGAACAGGTCGTGCTGTCGCTCGTATTCCCCGTGTCTCTGGTGGTGGTACTCACCGTGCCGGTCAGGCTGCCTTCGGTAACATGTGCCGTTCCGGTCGTATGTTCGCTCCCACCAAGGTCTGGCGCAAGTGGCACCAGAAGATCAACGTGAACCAGAAGCGTTTCGCTACTGCTTCCGCCCTGGCTGCTTCTTCCGTCCCTGCCCTCCTCTTCGCCCGTGGTCACCGCGTCGCCAAGGTTCCCGAGGTTCCCCTCGTCGTTGAGTCCAAGACCTTCGCCGGTGCTGCCCTGACCAAGACCAAGGCTGCTATCGCCCTTCTCCAGGCTCTCGGTGCCGGTGAGGAGCTCGTCAAGGTCTCCAAGTCCCGCAAGCTCCGTGCCGGTAAGGGTAAGCTGCGTAACCGCCGCTTCCGCCAGCGCCGTGGTCCTCTCGTTATCTACAACCCCGAGACCGACGGCAAGGAGCTTGTCCGTGCTTTCCGCAACATCCCCGGTGTTGAGACTTCCTCCGTCTTCGCCCTCAACCTCCTCCAGCTCGCCCCTGGTGGTCACCTCGGTCGTTTCCTCGTCTGGACCTCCTCCGCTTTCGAGGCCCTTGACCAGGTTTACGGTACCACCACCACCCCCTCGGCTCTCAAGAAGGACTACCTCCTGCCCAGCAACCTTGTTGCCAACTCTGACATCACCCGTCTTATCAACTCCTCTGAAATCCAGGCTGTTGTCAAGGCTCCCAAGGGTGAGGCCCGCACCAAGCGCGTCAACGTCCAGAAGAAGAACCCTCTGCGCAACAAGCAGGTCATGCTCCGCCTCAACCCCTACGCCTCTGCTTACTCCAAGCAGAAGCTCGGTCAGCAGGCTGTTGAGGGTGGCAAGCCCGCTCGCGCTGGCGAGACTTTCCTCAACACTCTGTCTGAGGAGTAAACGTTGCCTCTCTTGATTTTTCACGGTTAAAAATGGTAGTGTCAGAGCAAAAATGAATTAATGCTTTTTTGCAATACCCATGGGTCCTGATTCGGAGTATAATATGACGGTTATGTTAATGATCCCATTATATCCCTTGCCGTAACATAGCGTTCCGAAGGTAAGTTGTAGATGTAAGAGCCGCAATCAACTTCGTCACTCTTATCTTCACCAAAGAAATCTTTTGAAGACATATCATCAATTGTACAAGGTAGTGGTCATTGTTAACATTCCTAGCGATGCGGCTCTGCCCGTTACGATCCTCAACTATGCTTGGAAGTCTTCCATTGCTTGTATCTAACTGCTATCACCTGAGCAGGATCAAATCCGGAGCAATTTTCTCCAGGGCTGTCTTCTACTATGGCATATTCAAGCTTCGCTATGATTTGGTCAAGACCTTCGAACCTACATTCGCCCGCGGGCCCGGGCTTACATGAGCTTGCTACTTTTTGATTTCTACATTACAGACAACCCTCATTACTTGAAATTTAGTCCATTGAATACTAGGTACCGCCTTCGGGTAGATTCTTGGCCTAACCTCGGGATTAGTCGCGAGGTTCACATGTACAGCCCCGGCAACAGTTTGCATTAGGTAAAGTTATGATTCTGTGTTCGGCGTTCAGTGTTCAATGTTCATGCTGGTCCATACATAGTTGTGGATATGCCTCTCTTTGCTCCCGATCACATCGATATTAATTTTCACCGTTGCAGGCAACAGCATTCGGATTTTGTTGCAAGTGTATTTGCAATTCCTGGATGTATTATATATTTCCCATGGACTGTATCATAAAAGCACTCGGGCAATTTTGACAACCCCTGACGGCAAAGCAAAATCTGCCACGTAATCTTCATTCGGCTCCTGTGAGGTGTTGAAGCTATGATACAAGAAATTAGCCGAACCTCCAGGGCGTTGAACATCGGGGCCTTGCGGCTCCACTCTTGACATGCAGGATGCTAATTCAAGAATAACGGCGAGAATTGCACGTGCCAAGATAAACTTTACATGAAAAATCAGTCCCAAGTGCTTCAAGCTCAAGTTTGAAAGCGGGACTGGCGGGAACTCGCCCGCATAGAAGGATCAAGCACCGGGGACTAGGGATGGAGGCGTCTACCTACCCAGACAGGCGCTAGTGTCAACATGGATATAGTATTATGCTTACGCGAATCCAAAAAGCCACTCTCGCAGAGCATACTGGATAGGCTAAGCAGGGGTTAGTATCGTGTCACATGCGCTAAGATGCGACCTAGGCATCGTGAAATTCAAACTATACCGCAATTTTAGATTCAAATGTACGTTGACCCGGGGGCTGTGTCGTATTTAGATTAAGGCAAACGTGCAGAATTAATGTAGCATTTGAATAACGTTCAGCTACGTCAGTAACGGACTCCGTTGACTTGATCCACTCGGGCATGGTACTACTGACTTGAATTTGCAACCTGTCAAAGTTGGCGATCTGGGGGAGATCATAATAACGTTGAGGCTGAAGACAGCAGTGCGATTATGTTTTAAAGTAATCTTTACAACTACACTGTGACATGATAATCTTATTTGATTCACATGTTATTCTTCTAGAAGGTCAATTTATTTAACTTTGGTCGGTAGGTGCCGATTTCCCCATAATAGTACGTGGATCGATTGGAGAAAAAAAAACCCGCCCCATTATACGCTAAGAGAAAAGGGAAGGAAAAAAGCCGGTATTTTGGGATCTTACTAGATCATGCTTTGGCGTTACTAGCAACGTATCTGTGCATTCACGGAACAGAAGAAAAAGCCGAGACAAATGAAAGGTCACGGATGAACGCTGGGATTCGGGCAAGTCGACCGAACGGTCTACTAGCGGTCCAAGCGATGAAGATCGCACGGGCGCCAAGCTTACATACCGTCAGGGTCCGCGGCTGATGGCTCCCAGCAGGGGAACTCAGTCAAAGTGGGGATAGATGTACGTCAGTCCTCGGGCGGCGCGGACTTTCCGTCTATCGTGCACGAAAAGAAGGTTGGTCCTCTTTGTTCAAGTGCCATAGCCGACCTCGGGAGTTCGGGATCGAAAAGCTCTACCGTGGAATTGAGTTTGGGGCTTGCTGTATGATGACACAGCGTTCGTGTTTGGTCATTTAGATTGTATCTCAATTTTGTTTTATTTTTTTAATAAAAATAATTAATACAACGATTCCTCCGATGCAAAGTTACACCGGGGCGGGATTCGCTAGCGAGCCCACTATTGAGTTAAAATATGCGGAAACGAGGCCCTAAGTTTCCGGAATAAATAAGAAGATCCACGAGAATGTAACGGGAATTGATTAAGCGAGATCATTCCTTCGAGACAAGTCGGGGATACTTTCTCTTCCGATCCGTTTGAGCAGGACTTTTGAGACAAATGCGGGTGGGAGCAACCGGATCAACCGATCTTGATTTAATTAAAATGGCCACTTGTACCTTGTATAGCCAATGCGGTGAAGTAGGTCAAGGTTGACAGAAAATTGGATCCATCCCAGATAGGTTAAGTCTCCATTTGCAGATCCCCGACGATTTGCCATGTATAAGACGCATGTCTCACCTAACACGAATCCGGGTCAGGGGCGGTCTGATTCCACGGGAATCAAGCCGACACGAATGCAAAACATATGCAGAGTAGAGTCGCAGTACAGTAGTGCCTTCGATAGTCCAGGAACCAAGGGAGCCTTTTGTGGTTAGTGGTTGTGTTAGAATTTTACTTTATATTAATCTGGATCGGTGTCTAATTTCTAATTTCTCTCTTTTTTATTTTTTTTTTCATTTTTTTTTTTAAAAAAAGACCTGGGGCTGATAGAAGGATTTGGCCCTAGTGGACGAGTGCATCGCGTGTCACCGTCCCCGTTTCCATGATCAGATTATTTTTTTACTGTACATCGAACGGGGCGTAAAAAAAAAATCAACACGTACATGTATACTCCACAGAACTGAGCAAATCCTATGACGTTTAATGCCGAAAAAGGATTTCATCACCGCAAGTGGATTATCTCAACTTTTTAATTTTCTCCTATTTCTTTTTCTTGTTCTTTTTCCTTTTAAATTTCTTTTATTTTTTATTTGAGCTTGAATAATTCCCCATACAATACTACAGATCCTCTAATCAGCGTCGTAGTCGGTATTTACTCGGAGGAAAATTGGGTCCATAAATTAGATGAGCCAATGGCGTGATTAGACCCTAACCATGGTGAAAGCGAGTTCGGGTGGAAATGCCAGATAGGACAGGCTCTATTAATTGCCGAGTTGGAGTAATAGATATACCCGGCTCTACCCTCCTTTCCTATGATTTCCACAATTACTTTGATTTTTGGTGATTTCAGTCCAGGGGCTTGAGACCGAATAGGCGACGATCCCGGATGACGGCGTGCAGATCAGATCGCCATGCTTTTGAGACACGATACGTGGTCAACTCCGGAGTGCACCACCGTTGGAGTAGCAAGTCCAGGAATCCATAGTGGGGTTGAGTTGTCCATGAAGGCCTATTGGTAGGAACGACCAGGGTTCCCGTAGAATGCCACATAGAAGGAAAATAATACCGTACGGGAATAATTCACTTCTAGAGGCTGCATATTCCTTGGCGAAGAAAGTAAAAATCGATATTTCGTGTCTTCATGTATAGCATGGCGAGACCGCAGAATCTGCACATGCCAACCTAGGTATTTTCCGCCGAGCATGCGAAAAGGGTGGGTTCACCATTACCCACTGCCATGAGACCCAATATTCAGCAATCAAATCAACCGAGAGGATCTCGGCTTTGACCCTCCATTGGGACGTTCAACCCAGAGGACTGTAAGTCATCCGTACGTATTATACAGTTGTGATATATAGAGAAACCAACCGAACCCAACCGAGGGCCCTGCGCAAAAATTGGAAATCGGTGGTCCACACGGTCCACCTGCACAACCACGCGATCCAGCGATCTTCGCAACTCCAAACGATAAGCCCTGTGGCTCCGACCCAAGGAGGATTTGCCTGACTAGGCATCTAGTCTTTCGCGCCACTTGTCGGCCGAAGACATGATCCACCATCAAGGATTTGCGCGTCGTTCCGGCCCCCCCAAACAAGCTCTCTCCAGTCAGAGAGCGTCGAGCTAAGAGCCAGCCGCCGAGCGTTTCTTCAGCCGATCGAAAGGTTCTGGCGCTTCGCTCCGACGAAAGGACTGTATGTAATCCTCCGTTTTCCCTCTGGACAGGTAAAAAAAAAAGGTCGAGACAACCAAATCCCGAAACGCGCGCCTTGGGTGCATAAGCAGGGAACAAGTCCTTTGGGCATGAGACTGGTCAATCCATGGCTCCATCTCCATCTACGGTAATACGGACAGTCCAAGCAATGGATTCCTAGTCCTTGTTGGGCTTACTGTAGTATATCCTTGATCCTGGAATTAATATAAAAGACTGGAGCTAGCTTTAGGGCATTTCGGATGAACCCAAGGGGCGTTCCGGTGTTTTCCATTACACTTCCCTTCGCTCTCCACCATTTGAGCATAACACCTGGTATCCATATTGCCTAGATGTTTGATAATCCTCTCCACTCTGTGCCTTTCTCCAACGGGTAGTGCCATGTAATTGCCGGCCCGGTCAAGGATTACGCCAGCTGTCCCCCATAATTGACTGATGTCCATGGCGAAAGACCGAAATGCCGAATAATGATCAGAGTGGACCAGATCCACTTGAGACTAATGTGTAGATGACCTATGCATTTCATTCTCATTTGGGATTTTTGAATTTACTTTATCCAGTCGATGGCCCTATAGGGAGGTAAGGTAAGAATCGAATCGGGCCTTCGTCTGCTATTGGCACATTCTCGGGCGTTGACCGCGTGTGGCGTTCACCAAGGAGAGCCTCCTGCAAGCCCATATCCGAAGAAAGCAAACGAGGGGTCCAGATGTCTCATTCTGGTATTGAATTTTTTGTGTTTTGGGTTTTGGGTTTGGGAGTTTTCGGGTTTTTGGGAATTTGCCTGCGCGGACGGGGCAGCCTAGAAGAGTATAGATCGATCCCATGTCGATCGTATGGTTGTCGTGACTTGTAAGTAGCTAAATTAAAATTCATCAAGTATCTGTACTTTTGGCCCGTAATTATCATGTACCCATAATACAAACGGTCTGTTTAGTCCTTTTCTGAAGCATCGTGAACCCCTCCTCCTTCCCTCCCCTTTTGATCTTATCTTCCTTTCTTCCTCTTCTTTCTCTCCTTTTTGGTTTTTTTTTCTTTTCTTTTCTTTTCTTTTCTTCCTTTCGGCTTGTGGCCCCCTTGACCCCGCGGTATTTGTGTGTTTAGTCTTCACCAGGGGAGGGGAAAGCTGCCAAGGGTATTCCCAAAGAAGAGCAAGCGTGCTGGCTCGCGGGGCAATCCAGTATCAATTTTTAGTGGATCAAATTCGTCGCGGAGGACGCTGCTTTAGCGCCTGAATACTTTCCAGGATTCCCTGCAATCGGCTTAGTGGCAAGCAGCACACACAACCAGGTTACTTTCCCAGTATAGTCGAGCCGAGGGCCACTGAGGACTTCGACTTGAGGATAATACCATAGAGGATCCCTCTATACACAAGTCTGCTGGACCGGATCAATCTGTTCTGCATATGTTGACTTCCTTATCTGCCTGGTTCCCGACGCCTCAGACCGGAAGCCGCAGATTCTTGCATAAACACGGCGTTCGGTGAGCATTAGGATCAAAAATCTCCGTGATATTCCACTCCAGCGATCGCGGATCTATTTCTATTTTTATTAATCGGCCCGGCTTCCGCGACTTCTGGGGTTAATTGATGTTTGCGACTCCCTGCTTCCTCGTCGCATCCTGTGCAGTCTATGCAAGTCACTGGGATCCCGCAGCCACCCTGGTATCATGAACATGCCCCCCCAACACTGCAACTGCTATGGCCATTTGTGAAATGCTATTCTAAATCAATCTCGACCTCTTAATCCAATCTCACCGCGCGTTACAAGCAACGGAGTTAACACCGCGTTCTGACCTCCACGGATTCGAGTTTGTTTAGCCACGGCCTTGGCAATCCTTTTGAACTATCGCAATTGAAGGCATTTCGACAATTTTAACCATTTAAAAGGTCTTGACTTAGAGAACCGGCCTTTGGACCGGGGTTGCCTCGATTGCCCGCTCAATTGACTTCCAAAGCCACCTTCATTCTTCTGCTCAATCACTTGACAGTAAAAAGGTAAGTGTAAAGCAGACTTACTCCAATACTGGAGTCGCAAAGACGATTATCTTTGCTGAGACACTCATTTCTTTAGACCATTCGATTTAGAGTCGCGGAATCTCGATCAACCATTCCGAGAAAGACCAAAGACCATCCCAAACCTGGAAGATCATATTCTAGATCAGTGTCACGATCTGCAATTGTTGAAGACTGGAGACGACGACATCCATGGTGCATACGAGTGTAAAGTAGATCTTGATCTCTCGCGCACTCCACATTCTATCATTCGATCCACACGCCTGTCATGTCAGGTTACTACGTTGGACCCTTCGGTCGTATGTTACCCGCCATCGACGGTCGATCAACCGAGCAGGATCCGGAGCACCCAGCTAATGAATCAGAATCTGGGGATAACCCATACCAGCTTCCACCCCCACGTGCACCAGCAAACTTGCAATTTGGATCAGACCCATTTTTACGACGAGGAGAAAATGCCGAGCCAGGGACAGGCCCACCGCCAGGGGAGTCTGCTTCACAGCCACAACCTCCAAGGACCGAGCAATTACCTTCTGTGCGACATTTGTTAACCCCTGCTGCCGGTCCGAACTCGCCACCTGCCTACCATCAGCCATTCGGGACTTCGACGCCTGGGACCGACCATCGTGAATACTCTTATCCGTTTCGTGGGCATGAGCCGGCACATGCTTCACAGATCACCCCAGTCTCTACACAAGACAGAGGACGCTCGGAATCATTCCCACATCCACAGACAGGTACCCTTCCGTCACTGTCACAGGTGGCTATGCATAGTCCTCGAGACATGACACATCATACGGCGACACGAAGTGAGCCGTCAGCGGTTTCCTTCCAGCACAGTCAATCACCTTTCCACGGAACCCTATATCACGAAAATCCTTCGAGTACAGGAGACATTTCATCTCCCGAGAGCGCGAGTCGAGTTTCAGGCCAGTCTACACTTCCGCTTGTAATTGACGAACGATACGTGGAAGGAGAGGGAATCTGCTATTTTTATGCAGATGGGTCGCACGTCCCGAAGCTTATTAATGGTGTCCTGGTGAACGCCAATTGGGGCATCACGAAGGCTGGGAAACCGAGGAAAAGACTAGCACAGGCCTGTCTTACCTGTCGGGAGAAGAAAATCAAATGCCAACCGAACCTACCGAAGTGTGATCAATGTCAGAAATCCGGACGTGAATGCAGGTTCGAGAGTGCGTACGTGATTTTTGCTACCAGAAAGTTTTTCAAATGGAACTCACGCTGACCATCTTTCAAGTCCCCGTGGGAGTCGTGGCTCCATGAGAGCATCAAACTCAACAGGGCCATCTAGTAGATATGACATGAGGGAAGGCTTTTCACCAGGCCCTCATGCGGCCTCCGACGTTTCCCCCTCGCTTTACAATATGCCTCGAGCTTCAAACAGTGCCACTTCGCTTCCCGGAACGAGCGGCCATTCACCAGGCTCCGAAGGTCCCTTGCCGTCCGCAACCGAAGGCACATACGATACAATGACAGATGCAGAGCGAGCATACCGGTCACGAATATACAGAACCCCGCGCCCCATTCCTGTGGGTGATGATACCGGCACAAGGGCTTCTGAACACACGGAGACGCTTCGGCCAGAATATTCCGATATTTTTGGAGATCTCAAGGACATCAATGCCGATGATCCCCTTGCTGGTTCCTGGAACGTTGATCCCTACGACAGTGATCCAGAAATGACAACACACTACGTCGAGTCCTACTTTACATCGGTTAATGAACTTTACCACATATTCCCACATGCTCGATTTGTCTTGTGGCTGAAGTCTTGTCATACAAAGTCGGCCGAAGACAAGATGTTACTATACTCAATGATGGCGTTGGGATCCATCTTCTCCGACCGGCCTGACAGAATCGGAGCACTACGACGATATTCCAGGATCGCACGTTTTGCTATTCAGAAAAGCCAGCATGCCCTGTCTTTGCAGCTTGTTCAAAGCCACCTTATTATGAGTCTTCTCTACTACGCCACTGGATCATTGGTAGGATCTTGGGATTCGATCGGCGCAGCCGGACGAGCGGCCAGTGGCCTGCGATACAACGTGGAGTCCGGGGGAGTCATTGTGGACCAGAATCAAGCCTGTGACTATGGACTTCACCCACAGGCATTGATTGAATGTCGCCGTCGGACGTACTGGGTCGCATTCATTTTGGATGTAAGGAACTCTTGAAAGTTTACAGCGACAGCACAAGCTAACAGGGTTATAGCGAATGTCAAGCTTCTTTTCCGCAACTTCCACCTTCATCTCGTCGGAAGCAGCTTTAATCCGACTTCCATGCCGCGAAGAGATATATGAGGCGCAGCAATACGCAACCGCACCTTACTTCCAAGCCGTTCTCAACCAGGCCACTGTCACAAATGATGACCTTTCAGCTCTCAGTCCTATGGCATTCTTAATCCAGATTATGTCAATCTGGGGAGACGTTTCTTTGAATGTGTTTCGCTTGGCACACGCTCCATCAGAGGGTTACGCTCAGCTTGCGGAAGAATTCCACGAGATAATCTCTCGCCGCACTGAAGACTGGATAAAACGGCTTCCTGAGCATATGGTTTTCTCCGCAGTCAATCTCGAGCGAGCCGCTCAAGTAAAGAAAGCAGACGCCTTCTTATCAATTCACATTTTTTACCACGCCACCTTGATGAAACTATACAGACACGCCAGATATTCGAGTCTGAGATCTGAGATACTGGTTCAGTATATCCACCGGGCTCGATTCCACGCAGTTGAAGCCCTAAGAATTGCCATGGCAATCATGCCCTGTGCCAACGCCGACACATCTGGGCCTAATGTGACTCTTCTCAGCCCATTGATAGGCTACGGGGTTCTATCAGCTGTGGATGTGCTCAGTGCAGCTGGCTTAATAGCAGAGCTACCAGACTGCATACCATTGATCAGAGGTGCTCTCAGTGTGATGCAGCTTTTTTGCCGGCATTGGGACAGTTCTTTGGACTTGGCCAATACCATACAAAGGCGTCTGGCACTAATGATTGAATGCTTAAATGACCGAACCCGATCTCAAGACAAGATCGGGTTTGCTGTGGACGGGTCATCTTTAGAGACCAAGGCTCGCACAGGTGCGCCTTCATCTCAACCACTAAGCGGTCTTGACGAGGACTTATTCTATGGCTCAATGCCAAGAGAGATGCTCCTCCATGCCATGCGAATCGACGATATTGCTATCTCGGAGAACAGCATCTCCTGGCTCAAAGACCGCTAAATAACTTATCTACATTTACATTCTGTTTGTTACAAAAGTGGACCATTTGCTGATTTGATATGTCTACCAAAATGGGCAACCACTTCATTCTGTGAGCGGCATAGAAAAGAAAAGCCTCATTTCATCTGCATTTTCTTTCCCAGTCCCGCTTGGAATCGTTCACTTAATCGGAACTTGGATAAGAGACACAAGACACCAATGACTGGATGTCGTACTCATTTTCTTCTTGAGTGTCCTTTTTTTTTTTTTTTACGACGTGATGGCCTTTTTATCTTCATGGTAGCTTGTTTCCATTTTGAAGTTCTGCAACCATTTGAGCAAGATTGAACTTGTCTTGTTTGGTTCTGAAATGTATAATACAATTTGATATTCTTTGTCCTCTTGCTTGTGCTCTGGTGTCCAATGAGCGCCTGCTTTGTATATTATATTGTCAGGCGAGATGCCTCGACCGTTCAACTAGAGGTAAAATCCTACATCACGGTGGCTGTCAGGCTGTAAAAATGCTTCCATCGCGCCGCATTCACATCTCAACTCTTTTGCTCCTATAGATATAATGACTGTTTATTTTCCAAGCATAAAAAAATTAAAGTGAAACCAAAACAACAAACAAAAAGTGAAACATGAGATGAGAAAGACCAAAGCCGATTAATAATCAAGTCTTTACATACGCCAGTTGCCAGATTGCTCATTCTAGACAACCCTTAACTACCAAGCGAACTCAGCCAGGAACCACTTAAGAATGAGCCGCTACCTAAGCCAGCAACTCAGGCTCAAGGTTATGGCAATAGGCACTATGTCTTGAATTCAAAGAAACAACTCACAATCCATTGCTTTTTTACATTCTAGTAGACTGACTTTCCTATGCATACGTTACCATCCCGAGTATTTCGAGGATGTTGCATCGGCATCATAAAAATCGGTTTCAGAGCTAAGAAAAAGAATATTACTTAAAACTCTTTTTTGGTCAATCCCATTCACTTGTATGGTACCGCCTAGCCCAAGCCACTGTTCCCATTGATGGATCCAAGATAGTAGCATAGTGCGTGGTTTCATTCAGGACAGGCACCGACGTCAGCCAGTCCACCACAGAACTCTTTGTAATGGCAATATCGGAGTCATCCTCGCTACTCAAAGCCGTGATCCGCTTCTGTTCTGCTTCTATCTCAATCTGCTCATCTTCTCTCATTTTTCGCAATCGCAATGATGATCTCGAACCTGATGGCTCAGCAAGGTTCCTGGATCGTTTCCTCGAGGAAAGTTTATCCGCTAATGCCTTTCGTTTTTCGACCTCATGGTTCCATTTTGATTGTATACAGTCGCGGCGCAAGTTGCTGTCCTCGATTAGATCTGCCATAACCTGCATTTCATCTGAAAATAAGCTTAGACCGATATGGTTCTTTCTTTTTGCCTCGGCCACCGATTCTGGTGATGCCGAACCGTCCTCTTGGTCATGATTTGTTGTGACAGTAAACGATGATGAGGAGCGCACAACTGCTGTTTGGTGATCTTTCTCCATAGTCACCGTTGATGACCCATCACTGAAGACCAAATAAGCGGCTGTTGTGGGAATGCCAGGAACATTGGCAACGATGTCAGCCAGAGTAGAGAATAATGATTTCTTGCCATGATCTTCAGATGTCGGAGGCAATATGCATTGTCGCAGAAGCGAAGAGATGGACTGTCGCAATCCGAGAAGTACGAAGAGATGGTTTGCATAGAATGCAAAATTCCGGGTAGTATCATGCACGGGTCTGAAATTGAGCGAGACACTCAAATCTTGCCTCACGCCCGTGAGCACACCAACAAAACCAACGTAAGTGATGCTAGTTGCAATCACTTTCTCCGGGTCCGTATCCTGAACGAATTCCAGCTGAACGATCAAATCGCGCAATGGATCCATGCCCCAATCTAAAGTCCGGAAATGCAGCATTTTCGTCCCAGATGTACTGCGCACTCGTACTGCGCCACTCGTGCAGCCCATGAGCAGGTCAAGTACTGTATTCAGGCAGATGAGCAGGTACATGTCGATATCGGTGGTGCGGCTGATTCCTCGCAGTTCCTCAGTTTCGTCCCTGGAGTGAAGCTTGCGCAGACAGAGCCAAGCAAGCTTGTGAATTAGTTGGAGTGGAATCTTCGGAGAGATGGATTTGATCAGCTCGTCGAATATGCCTCGCATGGCACGCATTTTGTCGCGGTACAACATTGCCAATGCGACATATCGTTCTGTTGGTGGGAGTGAAAGGTTGATTCTGAAGACTGGTAGCTTCTCGCCCATTTGAGTCAGATCTACTGACTGCTCCGTGTCATCCGCCATTGTTCTGGAGGTAAGAAGGATGGGTTGGTTTGGAGGACCTAGGGATGAAAGGTTGCCTGGAGTTGCGGGGATGAGGCTCTACTACTGGTCCCCACCGTGTCACCCCAGACCCGCATCTACTGCATAAGGCCAGCTAGGAAACGGGCTGGTCTTCCAAGCTACAGTGAGTCGAATGTGCGAATTCGATAACAATATCTGTGTAGCATATTGCATGGAGCAAGTTACATTCGAGTCACGAGACGAAGGTGATACCGTGACAAAGGACAGAATGCATGAGTTAAAAGGCCGAATGTCTCCAATGTAAAGTTGACAGATTCAAGCAGAACTGATTGGTGTTTAGACTAGAAACAGACCAATGTATGCCTCAGGCATCCACTGTGTCTTGGTTCATTCGGTTGTCGACGTACAGTTTTGACATTTTCTCACCAAAGCCTTGCATTTTATACACTACACTCCATATAGGGATTCCGCTCTAATATTTACAGCTATTAGTTGTTTGTTTCCTCTCAATTGACTTGGATAATCTCCAAACCTCATTCTAAGCCATATCGTCCTTTCAATTTGCGGGGCCTGCGGAGACCGGAAAGTTTCTCCGACGCGGTCTCAGCTTGGCTTTGTCGTACCACTGCCCTTCGCTCAAGACCAACGAGATTATGGAGCTTCGTCGCATGTGAAGTCTCATATACGATTTCGGTACATAAGAATCTTTGATGTCGTCTCCCTTCAGCAACACCGCGGCGGCCGCGGCGCGAGGCTTCGGCGCAAGTGTGGAGGATGACGGCCTTGACGCAGAGTACAGCATGGTCGCGGACGAATACCCCCACGAGGTCGACTATTATGCTCTACTAGGCCTATCTCAAAAACCACCTCCGACCGAGGCCGAAATCCGCTCCGCGTACCGCAACCTTTCCCTCAGCTTCCACCCAGACAAACAACCACCGCACCTCCGCGAAGCCGCCAAACGACATTTTACGCAGATACAGGAGGCATACGATACCCTTATTGACCCTCAGAAGCGCACGGTATATGATTTACTCGGAGCGGAGGGTGTCAAACAAGAATGGAGCACTCAGGGTGTCATGGGTCCTAGGGGAGAGGCGCAGACACAGGATGTTGGCGTAAAGGCCATGGCACCTGAAGAGTTTCGACAATGGTTCCTAAAGACAATGAAGAAGCGTGAACGGAAGGCTATTGAAAAGCTTGTGGCATCTAAGGTGTGTCTACAATGCTTGTGGTATCTTATTGTCTGGATCAACTTTCTTTTTGCTAATATGATTTGGCTGGCACTATAGGGCACAATTATTCTTGGGATCAATGCATCAGACACTATTAGAGTGGATAAGGCCACGGAAGATGTATCTATACACGTGCCATCGCCGAAGCTAAGTACTTTTGGTGCCGCATATCAGTTCAAGGCTCCCTTGCCTCTGCCTGGATTCCTTGCCAATGCTGAGGACAGTAATGAGGGCAAAGAAGAGAACCAAGACAAGGACCAGTCGACGGAGGCTGATGTAATGGAATCGGAGAATTTTGGCGAAGTGACACTGAATGCATCTGTCACCGGTGGTATGACTCGTCAAAAACAGCCCTACATTGTCGAATTCGAAGATGGAACAGAGCAGGAGATACAGGTCAGTTTCTCTCGATAATATGGGCCCAAGCTTCTCTTATTAACCATCATCTAGGTACCGGGTCCCCGCCTGTTAGTAGCCAAGGAGATACACCTTGGTGCCACCTTTGTCCCCAACCTCAGAAACTTGGCGAGTAATAAGGGAATTCTGACTTGGCGCCCTTTTTCATTTCTCAGAGACTCGGCAGTTTCTATCGAGGGTGTTCTACTTCCAGATCCATCCTTGAAAACTTCGATCTCTAGAAGTATCCAGCCAATCTCTGGTATTAGGCCGTTCTCAGTCACAGCCTCTAGCACTATCAAACACTCCCTGTTGGAGACTCCTCCTTCATTGGATATTCAAGTCAGCAAACAGGTTGCCCAGCGAAAGATAGCCTTCTGGTCATGGTCCAGTGGCTCATGGGGATGGGCTGAATTCCTCTTCCAGCGCTTCACATTTCTGGGGATGAGTCCCGAAACCCTTTTCGCTACGGAGGGGGAACACAGCAACTTCCAAATCGGCCTTATTTCGCTGCCCGAATCTAGTAGGAAGGTGCCTGATGATGTGGATGAGGAGGAAGACGACGAAGAGAACGAGTATCGCCAACTTTTACAGAAAACGCGGGCTGCCAGTCGTGCTGCAGAGACGTGGCAAACATTCCTGCAGGTTTCACCGGGTGGAGGTGCCATCGTCTTAAAATATGGGAGAAATTTGTTTTCTGGCAAGCCAACCGATGACCCTATTAAATCAGAGTGGAGCGGAGAGGGATATTTCCCTATGCCGAGGATGGAGGAAGCTCGCGCTGTGCGACTCGACGTTAGCAGTGTGATTTCTCACGATCTGAAGCCTAGCTGGACTGTCAAAGGAACCCGACGGATTGGTGAGTATACCACTGTTGGATTGGGCGTTGGTATTGCACACACTGGCGTGCACATGACTGTCTCATGGAGCCGCCTTGGGCAAGGCTTCAATATTCCCATCGTTCTCTGTCCTGCGAACGAGGCCAACCAGGATGCTGCTGTCCTCGCTACACTTGCCCCATGGTTAGCTTATTGTGCAATCGAATTCGGTTATATAAGGCCACGCGATCGAAAGAACCGACGACAAGCGGCGGCTCGTCGTCATAATGAGTTGAAGAAACTCATTCCTCAGAAGCGAGCAGAGAGCCTAGAAGCTATCGAGCTTATGACCGAGCAAGTACAAAGGCGACAAGCCCGAGAGGCGAAACAAGACGGCCTGGTTATCACCAAGGCTGAATACGGATATGTGCCCTCGACAAACAAAAAGCTGAGGGCTAAATTCCCAGAGTCTCGACTCATTGATGTGACGATCCCAGTGGCTGCGATGGTTGATCAGGGCCAACTAGGTATCCCTCAAAATACCGTCAAGGTGAGCCTTTCCCATCTATTTGACTTTTTATTTTAAGCTAATATGATTACTTTAGTTTCATATCATGGGTTTCCACGACCCTGCACCTTTGTTGCCAAAGCGACTACGGGTTTGGTACACGTTCCAGGGTCGCGATCATTTTGTGGATGTTGGTGATAAAGAGGGCGTTTCTTGCCCCATGCGCACGCACTTGGTACCGGCCTGAGCATTTTAATACCCTGCGGATATAAGCCTTTCGCATTTGGAGGTGTCTGCTTGTGTTGTATTTGTATTGCATTTTCTGCCTTTAGATAGTTGCCACACAACATTCTCTGCTCATGTTGTCATCTGCAAGAGCTTTCGGTGAACATAGGAAGACAACTCATAATGGTTTCTTGAAAACATATCTGAGCCATCGCAAACTTTGTAGAATTCATACATAACAAGTGAAAAAAGGCCTTGAATATCAAGGACAATTCGAGTACGAGGCGATTGCGGTAGGGCGGGCTTAATACACCTGTTGCGCAGCTCCCCCAAAGCCAAGCGCATCACTTCGAGATCTTCATCTCACTCAACCACCTTGACTTGACAGCTTCGCTTTGCTCTCAAGTCTCACAATGGCTTCTCTTGCGTCAGGGCTTTTCAAGTCCCTCCCCAAGCCCAAGTATACAGGCGAGGAGGAAGAGCTACCCAAGCATGCGCAACCCCGTGGTCCGCGTGTGGTTGGCGCCGACCAGCTCGACGAAACTCAAGTCGTTCTACGGGTGAGCCCCCACCGGGTCTATGTGAATTTCATGATAGAAGCTGACTTGGATTTTGTGTTTTACAGAAAACTGGCCCTCCGCCCTACGGAAACCGCACAGGATGGCGACCACGAGCTCCCGAGGATTTTGGCGACGGCGGCGCGTTCCCAGAAATTCTAGTGGCACAATACCCCCTCGATATGGGTCGGAAGGGAACGCCCTCGACATCGAATGCGCTTGCAGTTCAGGTAGACGCTGAAGGCAAAGTTAAGTACGATGCGATCGCCCGCCGCGGCCATAGTGATAATCACATTGTCCATGCCTCGTTCAAAGATTTGATCCCGCTACGGCAGCGGGTGGATATGGGAGAAATTTCTCTTGAGAGACCATCCGAAGAGGATGTTCAGGCACAAATGGAAAGGACGAAGAATGCACTGGCCAGCCTGGTGGATGGAGCTGTGTCCGCACAGAAGCCCAAGAACGTCAAGGGCGGAAGCAGAGCCGAGCCAACATTTGTCCGATACACGCCGGCGAACCAGATGGGTGATAATAACAGCAAGAATGACCGGATTATGAAGATCGTGGACCGACAGCAGGATCCCATGGAACCTCCCAAATTTAAGCACAAGAAGATTCCTCGTGGCCCGCCATCCCCTCCACCTCCCGTGATGCACTCGCCGACAAGGAAGCTCACTGCGGAGGATCAAGAAGCCTGGAAGATTCCTCCGCCTGTGTCGAACTGGAAGAACCCGAAGGGTTACACTGTTCCCTTGGATAAGCGTTTGGCTGCGGATGGTCGGGGACTACAGGATGTCTCAATTAACGACAAGTTCGCCCAGTTCGCTGAAGCTCTGTTCACGGCCGATCGCCATGCTCGTGAGGAAGTGCAACTTCGCGCTCAGATGCAGCAGAAGTTGGCGGAGAAGGAGAAGGCTCAGAAGGAGGAGCATCTCCGACAATTGGCACAGAAGGCCCGTGAGGAGCGTGCTGGGCCCAGTCGTCGTGACTCTCGAGCCCGATCTCGCTCCCGTAGCGCCAGTCGCAGTGTTTCCTCTTACTCTTCGAGGTCTGGTAGCCCGAGCGAAGATGAAAGTGCGGCCCGGGAGCGGGAGCGGGAGCGTCGTGAACGTCGGCAGGAGAATGAGCGTCAGCTTCGCCAATCCCGTATGGGTACGGAGCGTCGTATTCAGGCCATGGCGCGCGAGCAGAATCGTGATATCTCTGAGAAGGTGGCTCTCGGATTGGCCAAGCCAACCCAGAGCTCCGAGTCCATGTGGGATTCACGTCTGTTCAACCAAACTAGCGGCATGAATGCTGGTTTCAATGAAGACAATCCTTATGATAAGCCGCTGTTCGCTGCGCAGGACGCCATCAACAGTATTTATCGCCCCCGGGCTCAAGCTGATGCTGACGACCAGGAGGGTGATGAGGGCGAGATGAGTAAGATCCAGAAGACCAACCGTTTTGAGGTTCTGGGAAGGGCCAAGGAAGGTTTCCGTGGTGCTGCTGATGCCGAGGTGAGCAAATCTATTATCTTTCGAAGGGAATTTTTAGCTAATGAGTGGTTTTCAATAGGAGCGCCAGGGTCCTGTTCAGTTCGAAAAGGACACCGCTGACCCATTCGGCATTGACAGCATGATTGCCGATGTGACCACAGGTCAGAAGCGCTACGGAATCCAGGAGGCCGAGACAGACGATCGTGGATCTAAGCGCGCCCGAGTTGATGACGACTAAATCTTTGTATTATTGTTCCTTATACGACTTTCTAGTTTATTTCTGTGCCCTCTGTGTGAGGCACGCTGAGGGGCAGTCTTGCGTGCATTACGGGCGTTCGGCGATGCGATATCTACTCCATTTTCCAGTTCAGACAACCCAAAATTCAAGCGACTTAATTGAGATACCTCATGGATACACCTCTGATGGCCTCGGTTTTGATTTTCCTTCCGACAATCTACTCATAACCAGCTTCGATACGCAGTGAGTCTGAACCGTAGAAAAGACCATATAATCCAGATTCGCATTAACAAGAACAGAGACTATTAAAACCATTTATCGAAGTCCTCCCAATATCTACTCTAGTTCTTGACCTCCTTTTTGTTGGGAGAGAGCACCTCCTCCAGCCACTTGTAGGAGACTGGCAGACTGTTCGGGTATCCCATGTGCACCATGCCTTCAAAGAAGCGACCCTCCTTTGGTCCACCGTGATTGAAGAGTACATGGCAATCCTCAATTGGGACGACACCGTCGTTCACGCCCTGGAGTAAACGTCAGCTTGAAATTTTCTTTCCACTTACACACAGGGAAGACATACATTAAGCAACAGTAATCGGCAGTTGGGCTGATCAACAACACCAGTCTCGACAAGCGAGAACTTCTTCTGGGAGTTCTTGATGAAATCCTCCGTGCTAGAGTAACCATACTTCTCAGCCCAGCAATCCGTGATTCTAAATCCAAAAAGTCAGCTCCAAAATCTCGTTCATCCCATGAAAATAGCTCTTTACTCACGTAAACGGATACTCATGGTCATTCACCTTGGCCAACCACTCAGGACTGAGGAAATGATGCGATCCTGGCCCGTGAGCCACAGAGCCCACAAGCTGAGTCCGATGGGTACAAGCCGCCCGAATAGCATAGAAGCCACCAGCACTAAGACCCCAGGCCGCAACACGACTCATATCAAACTCAGGCTGCTGCGCCATATATTTCAGCACAGCAGTCCACTGCCGATCCGCCGACTCCGGGTCTGCAGGATCGGCCGGCGAGTCAGCCGTACCGGGAATCTCACAGATAACCGTCGCCCAGCCCCGGTTGATGATCTCATGCGTCCGCTGGCTATTGTCAGGCCGGTACCCGTCCAGCCCAGTCATAAGCAGGACGACAGGGACGGGGCTTGAGGCGCTCGCTTCGTTGGGAACGCGGATATACAGCGGGATGCTGGGTCCATCGTTTGCGGCGCGGTCCGTATGTGGGATAATCACCTCCTTGATGATCGGGTTCCAGAGAGATGCAGCCTTCAAGTAGAGATCTTTCTGGCGGTCGAAGGTTGCGCGCTTGATTGCGTTGTCTGGGCGCGTGGTTGGGCTAACGTAGGGGAAGCGGGCAATGCGGCAGACGACTGATGCGCGGCGGTAGAGGTCGGCGGCGCGATCGGGGTGGCCGTATTGGAGGGCCTGCGTAGCTTCTTTTTCGAGGCTGTCTACAATAGGTAGGAAAGTCTGGGTGTAGGCGTCTGTGAAAGGGTCGTTGATATTGCCCTGCTTTTGTTAGTTCTTTTCAAGTATAGTTTGGGGTACTATCATGTCACCGAGTTGTACTCACGGCAATCAGTTTCTCGAAGATAGGCTCAAAGTCCTCGAATGCTCCGTCGTGGAAAGGATAGATGGATTTCGAGCACTATATGCCATGCCAGATTAGCGCTGTTTAACGATGCCTGTATAGATAGGGCTGTGGCTACTCACACAAAACTTCCACTTTGTCTCCCAGAGAGCTTTGATGGAACCTTTGTGAGGATACACCGTATCAAAACGATCGCCCATCATCCATTTCGACATATTGAATACTGAGGTAGCAAGATATTGAATATCTAAGGAGAAATAGACAAATCAGGTAAACTGTGATTGGGATTTGCCAGGAAAAAGCAATTAGACTTAAAATTGAATCTTGAAAGACGGTAACATAGCAGAGTACCTTTAATTTATTCTATGTTCATCTAGCTAAGTCCCTGAGAACAGTGGTATCCGGATTGGGGTCTCAAGCGTGATGTAGACGGGTATGCCTGAAAACAGTAAGTGTGGAACGAGGGAAGACCCAGAAGACACAGTCGAGACCTTCGGTATTAATTGCCACATAGTCTGAAGGTTAAGATTGCAATGGGTGCAGGTCAATGGACTCGATATTTGCGCATGGCGGGGATGAACAAGGGGCTGCCGCATCCGGCGTCTCTAGGACAGTTCCTCGCGACGGTCTACACGCTGTGTTTCTCTGAATTTCATCAGCTCTATGTTCACACATTATTTTATGAGTATAAAACTGCTTCGTTGATGGCATATTTCAATTTGAATCGCAATTTCTGCGCATACTACATTCGATGTTTAAAGATCGCGGTGTTTGTGCTCCATAGTTGTGGAATGTTGTATCCACACGGCTTGCTGCATGCGGAAAGGGGAGATTGCCAAGATGGCACCCCTTCACTTTGCATTCTCCGGTCCTAAGAATCGAATTTGGGAAAGCGAGAGGACGGGGATGCTGCAAAGCTAGTTTCGTTTACAAGAGAGATGATGTGAATGATGTAAACGATTCGTACGTTGATGACATGAGAATTAAAAACTACCTCCAAAGTTTGGTCGACCAAATATTAGCGACATACAGCTTATGTACAAGCCTGTTTAACATGCAATGGGGTCCTCTATTGCTGATACTGTCCCCAGTACTGGAAGTCCTTGGGCAGGTCATTGGGACTGTAAAGAGATTAGAGATGTATGTGAAATAGAACGATGAGAAACTTACCCAGAGTCTGGGGCAGGATGAATGATCTGATTGCCAATCTGAACGTATTCGTTGTTCTTGTGAGGATAAGGCCAGAGACCCTTCGTATCATCAGTATGAGCGATGATAGGCTTGCCGTCGGGTCCGTCAGGAACTTGACCTTGAGACACGTCATTGTGAGGGTTAGGCCATGGACCCTTCGTGTCCTCAGTGTGCCCATATGTGGGTGGGCGACCATCTGATCCATCACCAATTTGGCCATGGTTCTGGTCAACGTGGGGCTCAGGCCACGGGCCCTCGGAGTCATGCTCGTGAGCATATATAGGTTCGTCGTGAGAGGGAGGGTATACGGGAACAACCTCAACAGGGCGAGGGGCAGGATATTCATGAGCCACGTGGGGAGCAGGAGCATGGGGAGCAGGAGCATGGGGAGCAGGAGCATGAGGAACAGGAGCATGAGGAGCAGGAGCATGGGCATGAGGAGCCGGAGCCTGGGCATGAGGAGCCGGGGCTTGGGCATGAGGAGCCGGGGCTTGGGCATGAGGAGCCGGGGCCTGAGCTTGAGGAGCTGGAGCTTGGGGAGCCGGGGCTGGGGGAGCGGGCTTCTGAGCTCCGGATCCCTGAGCCTTGGTAGTCTGGGAAGAAGGCGGTGCGGCCTTAGCTGGTTCGGGATACATAGCACCGTGGTCCTCAGTGGGAACTTTTGTATTGAAACCCGACGTATTGAGTCCCTTCTTACCAGCGGCGTTCCCGCTAGTGGGATTTGGGTACGCGGCGCACACCTTGTAGTGGCTCTTAGGGGGGAGGGCTCTCCGATTGAGGGAAAGTCTCGGGAGCCTCGATGATAGTTGCCATCAGACCAGCCTCGACGTGCCATTCGATGTGGCAATGCAGCAGCCAGACACCAGGGTTATCAGCACGGAATCGCAGCACAGTGTGTCCACGAGGTTGAAGCATGATTGTATCACGACGGATGGGTGTCTTTGAGACATTCTTGAAGTACTGCCCAGTGAAAAGGCCTTCATCGGATCGCTGCAGAACCTGGAACTGGTGGCCGTGCAAATGCCATGGGTGCAGGTTGTTGTGGTGATTATTGATAACGATCTCAACAACCTCATTGTGCTTCACAATAAAGGGGTTGACCTGACCATACACTGCGGGGTTAGAAGCAAACTCCGCACCCACCGTATTGGCTGTGTATAGAGTGGGCACATCCTGCGCGATGTAGGTCTTATTATTGACGGTGAAGCGAGGGATACCGTCGATCTCGGCAGAGGACGTATCCAAGATAATCTGGTGGTTCACCGGCTCAAGTAGGGCTTCGTGGTCGGCGGGAACGAAAGCAACATCGTCCACGAAGTCCAATTCGGCAATCACAGGTGCCGGGGGAAGAGGCTTTGCCTCATCGTAAACGAGCCATGCAGTGACATTGGGGTTGTAGTTTGCCGGGATGGGACGGTTCTCAAAGAAGAACAACATGTTGACATCCATGCTGTTCCAAATAGCAAAGTTCTTGCTAGTATCAGACTTGGTGTGGATAAGAACGCTCATACGCTGTCCAGTAGCAAGGCGAAGCTTCTTGTCACCGGTGGGATAAGGCTCAGTGTATATACCGTCTACTTCAACCACGGTCATCTCATGACCATCGAAGACCCAGGTGTGGCCTGGCCAGTTGCCAACGCAAACTATGTGCACCAAGTACGTTTTGTTTGGCTTGACTTTGATCTTGGTGTTGGTAGAATCGTTGATCAGTGCGGAATTGGGAAGTGGCTCACGACCGTGAAAAGCTGCCTCGTTTTCTTCCGATTCGTACTTGGCGAGCAGGTCCGGCATCTGGTCATGATACCAATCACTCAAGGTGATGGTGAACTCATCGTCGTATTGGAATGGTGGCTTGGGGTCGTGAACAATCAATGGCCCACGGAAGCCATCTGGATACTGACCCATGTTGTGGGAGTGGTACCAATATGTTCCAGTTTGGTTGATCTGGACCAAGCACGTTAGCATGATTTTAGCCTTTTTCCACGGGAGTATAATTGTTAACTAACATCGAAGTGATACTGCATGTGCTCCCCCGGGGCGATTCCGCACTGGGTAACAGATGTGGCTCCATCCATGACACCAGTACCATATTGGTGGAATCCATGCCAGTGAATGCCGGTAGACTGATTTCCTAGATGATTCTGCACGTCCACAATCAGACGATCACCAACGTCCACATCAATCTGCGGACACGGCCATTGACCGTTGATACCGATCACAGGACGCTCAAAGCCATCCGGAGAGGCATTGACCCAAGTGACGTTCCAGTCCAGGTAAACATCCTTGGCCGCAGCCAACTTGGCGGCCCAGCTGGCCAAAAGAAGGAAATTAAGCTTTGCCATCGCAGCTGTATAACGAGTGACTATCGAGCTTGCAATCAGAGAGATACCTAAATCCTCTGATCAAGCAATGCAAGCCGATTGAGGTGCGGAAAATTAAAATTAAAGATTAAAAACGAATGTCGGCGGCGTTGTTGATCGGAAAACTTCAGGGAATCTGAACGGGCTTGTCTTCCTTTAACAATGCTCCGATCGATCTGCACTAGGGAGAATTGTTGTTTGGATCCTCAATCCAGGGCCATGCTCGTTGTAATGCCAAATCTCCTCTGGCGTCATTCAAGGACCAAAATAAAGCCCTACATACGACCGCTCTGCGCCAAACAAGGCCTCGAGCTTGTCTTTTTCACCCCTAGGACATTCCAGTATTCGGCTGGCCGATGCGGTATGTTGAGAAATCACCCATTTCGGCCTTCCCTCTGAAATTGCAAGCAAGGGGTCGCATGCCGGGCCATTCACTTCGGGTAAATCGTAAACAGTCTTGGAAAACGTGTAGAGGCGCATATTATTGTTCTTGGTACTAATCTGAGCTCACATAAGGCTCTTGGAACGCGGTTAGAATCGTGGGGTTGCAATGGCGATTCCGCTCCATATGCTGGAGATTTATAACATCATCCACCTAGCAACATAGGTGTTGATTGATTAGGGTAAGTGAATCTGCCTCTTGGAACTTGTTGTATATTCTTCCACTCTGTGTTTGTCCCATGTTTTTTTGTAACTATCAGTGTCAATGGTCGCCAGGTGCCCTGTGGTGCGGGCCAGCAAAAACGCTGAACACTATGATGGCCACCACGTATCAGCGGGGGTATGAGCGGCCACTCATTTCACACATAGGCTCCACCCCGAATAACCCACGGTCCTTATCGCAGATCGTCGTTCCGGCCGGGAGCCAACCGCAATCGAGACCGTATCAGAGGGCAAAGCGGGGGCCTCATGCCCAAGGTTTGCCATAATCGGATGACAGAGACCGGTTGCCGTCGGCTGTCCAGGTGTAGAGATAGTACGGAGTAAAAGTGCCTAATTGCAGACACCTGCAGGATCAAGATAGATTTGTCCACAGTGGCCAGTGCTCCTTACCTGTCGATCAAGTGGACAGCGCGGGGCTGCAGATTGATAGATTGATCTTGTCTTATTGGGTGACAGAGGTTAAAGGTCCATGCATCATCACAGGTACCTACCATGTCGTCAGAGCTAGGGTTCATCTCCCCACAGGTCAGGTACCAAGCCAACTGCACGACATAGTCAAAAAAGGTCCGTGGGCAACCGGGCGCCTAGCGCGGGGTTGGATGATAAGAAGAGATAAAGAGGATTTTGCATGAAATTTGGTAAAGTTGAGCGATTAGGATCGAAAAGAAAAATTCGAGTCACGGGTTCTCCTTCTTTTTCAATCTCTTTTATCTTCTTTATCTTTGTCCTCTTTCCATTGACGCATTTGGATTCGCTATTTTCTTCTTTAAATCGGTTGCAACGGCCCGAGTCGATCCTTCTCAAATCCCCCACTGACGCAAACTCACTGCCGATGGCGTGTATCCCGTACTAGCTTTGTCGCTATATCAATGGCGTAATTTCTGGAAACGCCATGACACTGTGCAGAAAATGCCCACGGAAATTCAACGTACTGTGATACTCGATTTTCCCTTCTTTTCCCACAACTATCAACCTCTTTACGCCACTGGCCACCAGAAATGGATCAATCTTTGACTCTAATCGACGCCCAGGTCCACTTTGTGGTAAGTGGAGCCAAGCCCAATTCTCTAGCTCGTATATTTACCACATCTAACAGGAAGAGCGACTGGTACTCGTTCACATCCCACTGGAGCTGTACCCTTACTTTTTCAAGTCCGTCTTAAGATTGATCTACGATGAAATCGCTCCATTGGAAGAAGACCATCAGGACGACGATGGCTCTGCGGGCTTTGATGACGGCTCTGTGAAAGGTCCCGAGTATCGACCACCGGCATTCTTAAACGTGTCTATCACCCCAGTCGAGGTCTCAGTGATCTGCCCCAGAGCTCTAGTCGAGAAGTACTTCGACCCGACGTTCACCAAACTTGACCAGTTAGACATCCAACTTCGTTCGAGGTTGGTTGTAAGTGACAAAGACTACATTGCGATGCAAGTCCTGGGCCAGGGCCTTGTGGCTGGCAAACGCGTGCTAGAATTAACTAGTCCACTTGCGCTGGCGGGAATGTATGCTTATATACATCGCGAACATATGTCAAAGAGACTACCGTACTAACACTCACCCTAGTTCTATCTTCTTTATCTCAACCTACTTTTCCGATTACATCCTCGTACCTTTCCACAGCAAAGCAAGTGTTATATCCACCCTCGAGAACCGAGGCTTCCAATTCGAAAATGCCACGGCGGCCTTCATCAACAACCCTCTCAGTCCAACATCACCATGCACCGAAAAACAACTTGGCGAGCTGATCCCACCCATCACTCCACCCCCATCAACACTCGCCGAGCTCCAGACTCGCACCTTTGAGAACCTTCGCAAACGCCAAATCTCCCCAGTGGTAGACGAAACCCTACGCCTCGTCCAGTGTGCCGCCCACCATCAATACAATAGCGAAGAAAGCTCCATGTCCATTCTTCGAGACGCTCTCACCACCACCCTCTTAGTCGACAAACCACGATTTCTCTCTTTAACATTGGCGGCGCTCGACCCCGCCGCATCCCTCCTCCTAGAGAAGCGGCTACTGCCCCGCTTCGCGAGCCCGGCAGCCTCACATCAGAACTACGAAGACGGCTCGGGGCTTCTTCTAGGCTCGAAAGAAGATTGTCTTATCCCCATTATGCTCGACCTGCGTGACCTGTCACTTGAGGCATCTGGTATCGTTTGCGGCGTGGCAGGCCGGCTTGCAGAAGCAACTGACAGTCACGCTCCCCGCGCCCCGAACAACGAAAACTCGAGTCCTGCCAGCGGCAGCTCTAACAGTGTTATTGGATCTGTAACGGAGCTTTTTGATACATTTGGAACACGATTGGCACTCGGTGGTCTGGATAAGAATAAACGGCCCCCGCCACCCCAACTCCCTACGACTACACATCACCTGAAGCCGGATTTGGACTTGTCGGCGGATGCGGTGGAGATTAGTTTCTTGAGTACTGCGCGGGCGGGTACGATCATTGTCGGAGAGGATGAGTTACGCCGCGCGATTGATGCTTTGGACGCGGAGAAAATGCATGATGAGGTTGTAGGGGATGAGAATGTACCAGTGGAAGGCGAGAACCCTGACGAAACCGCGTAAGACAGTGCTCTCAACTCTCCCTCCGCCCTTTCTTCTTTTTGGTCAGTTGCATCAGGTTGGTGAGTTTCATTGGTCGTTCGCTCTCATCTTGTCTGTGATGAATGAGGTTAAAAGTGAATTTGTTATTTTGACTTGGATTTTTCACTTCTTGTATGCTGTTTGTAAAGCCATGTATGTATGATAACACGATTTCCCATGCCCCATTCAGCCCACAACAGACTGGTTCTCAAGGGCTGCTCTTATTACGCGAGGATTCCCTTATATGACTACATGATCCTCAATCTCGGTTGGGAGTGAGTAATTTAATTTATTGCTCCAAACGCCGCCCTGCGCTAGCTTTTGTATCCATTTGGCATATATATAAGGGTACGGGTCTCGACCCCTAGCGAGGTCTAAAATCAAGATAGGTCGTAGGAACATTTGACCTGTGCTCCCCACCTGGTTAGGTCTCAATAGATCCATCTACCTTGTAGATATCCGGATTTGCAATCTGGAGCACTTTGGAAGCATGTCCATGTATATAGTATATATTGTTCTGCCACGCAAGTACCTACTAGGTAATCGCGGTTCATATCATACCGCCTCATAAACATACAAGGTGGAATTGTGCTGATCAGGGAGACAATAAATCCTCAATTTGCCATCCACAACTGCAATATCGATGGGGTTCTCTGTCATAGATGTGCCGAGATCACTCGTCAAGGAAATAGGTACCTCCCAGAGTGGCAACATGGTCTGGATATCAACCAGAGCGATACCCCCCAGGTTAAATGACGACGAAGACGTCTCGATCGTAGCTACACCCCCACAGAACATGATTGCCCTTGTGGGATTCCATCCTCCGAACCTGGCTGACATAACATTCGGCAATGCATGATGACCAAGAAACTTGCAATCCTGATAGTCAACAAAGAATGAAGGGTCTGCCACAGACGACTTTGGCTCGGTAAAGTCGGAAAGAGGGGCAAATCCTTGGGGATAGTTTTTCATCGACCAGGTTGTGGCACTGCGACCACCCCAATTCAGCGTGACAATATCATCAGTGACTGTATCGTGCACTATTCCACCATTATGATCACGAGCGCGAAACAGGGCCTCTTTTTCCAATGTAAGTGGGTCGATGCGAACAATCGTGGCTGTAGTATTTGGCCGATACTGAGATAGTGTGTCCCAAATGTAGCGGCCGTCGTAATCGATACCGCCTGTATGGTATTCAATATCCCCTGGAGGTGTCAAAGTAGCATTGGCAATGAGCCTACCCTGACCATCGTATATGAGCATGTGTGCAAAGCCTGCGCCTGGGCTGCGGTCAGTGCCATTGATCGGGTTTGTATATTTCTGGGTCGCGACAGTCCATTGACCAGCCGAGATGAAGAATCGGTCATCACCGACACGGACCATGCCTTCTGGTTCGCCTGTGTCGCCTTCCAACTGGGTCTTCGAGATAAGTTTCCAAGTCGTGGAGCGGCCGAGGTTTGGGAAAAGCTGGACGATTGATGCGCCATCTGAAACGGCATGCGATGGTGGTAGTTCGTTGTCTGGAAGATATGGATCATTAGGTCGAAGAATGGTCACATTTGTGGCGAGGCTGAAGTTCAATACTGCGGCCACAGCAACAATAATGGAAGCCTTCATTTCGAAAGTAGATTGAAATACCGGATATTGTCCTTTCAACCTAGTAGCGGGATGCCGGCATGGATATTCTCTGGTTTAGAGCCATACAGGTGAACAAATTCATTGAACCAGCTCCCACTATTTAAGTGCCTAGGAGCGATTCAGATCCCCGAAATCGGAGATGATGTCGAGAATCATCAACGAAAATGGTTTAAATGCGGAGACCCGATTAGCCCACGTTGGGCGGCGGCGATCATTCGTTGGTTGAACAAAAGACTACCCAAAGACGCGAACAGTACCTGATCAGTAAGTCAGTGAAATTATCTTGCAGTTTTAGTCCAAACAGAGTCAAGTGACTTACCGTCTGAGCATCCCCCGGCCCAATGGCCACTTGGATTCCAGGCCACACAACTCACTACCTTGACTTTTTCGTCCATTGGTATTGTTGCAACGGCCTCTCCACTGAGTATATCCCAGGCAAAGACCGCGGCACCGAGGCCAGTTTCATTCTTTGGAGCTTCACTGCCACTGAGAACCACTCCATCGCCCTGCGCAAAAACAGAGCGGACTCGCAATTCAGCGTTGCGGTAAGTATGACGAGGCTTAGTAGAATGAGAAAAAGAGTCTTGCTCTTTTTCTGGGCCACCAAAAGCTGCAAGAAGGTTTCCATTCGAGCGATCCAGCATCCGGATGTAACTGTCCAGAGTAGAAGCAAGAAGTACATTCCCATCTGCCGAGCACCGAATACTCGTTACTGGGTGCGCGAGAACATCATCGGTTGTTCTACCCATACGGACATCGTATACTCGCACATGGCCGTCGTAGCTACCGCTGGCAATAGAATATGACGGCATATGAACGTGTAGGCATGAAACAGTGTCGCTTGCTTCGGTTAGGGACTGGATCGGCTTGTAGTCTTTGGAACGGGTGTCCCAGAGATTTACCGTAGTGTCTGCACTACCTGAGGATGACGAAAAAAAATGTGAGTAATCTCGATCAAGATTAGGACTGGGGACAGAACAATACCAGTGACAACCACCGAATCACCCTCGCCCGCGAATTGCACCGCCTCAACTCGACTATTATGCCCAGTCCACCGTCTGGTTGTACTCCCTTGTTCGACATCCCACAGGAAGACCTGACGGTCCCCTCCTACGCTGGCGAATCGCGCATTGTCTGCAGCAACAGCCACGTCGAGGACGGAGTAGCCATGTGCCTCGTAACGCTGAATCGGGGATATGGTTTCCACTGGCTGCGTGGAACTTTCAGCATTATTCGGGACAGCACGCGACAAGTGGATAGCGCGGTCGGAGGAGCCTGTGAGAATGTATGTGCCAGGGTAGCTGGAGAAGGTCACCGCGTTGACGGGGGCTGGTGAGAAAGATTGGCGTTAGTAATAGCTCAATCCATCAGGGTCCGACATAGAGCTGACCATTGTGTGTTTTCAAGGTATGCAGATGTCGAGATGGGAATTTCCTAGCGGGCATGACGAGCGAGTTCCAGAAAATAGCTGCTTAGGTGGTGGGGGGAAACTTGGAGAAAATGCGGATGCGCGTGGAGCTCGGCCAAATTGGGCCCGAGGTCCTTTCTCATACTTCATGTTAATTAACGTTTAGCCTTGAAAGTCTACATGAATGCTGTGCTACCTTATATTGGGGCACTAAAATTTTTGTTCATGTGCAAAATGAATGATTAACTCTGTATTTTCCCGCGCTACAGAAAACAGGAGGGGGTTATTATCAAGAATGTAGACACCATCGCTAGCTACCAGCGGTAAATGGATATAACAGAACAAAACGGACCAGCCTCTTGAGGCGAAGGTGCGCCCTCCCAAGCGCATAAACCGGCAAGACGCAGGGTACTCAAGAGAAGAAAAAGAACGAGGGAGCATGCACAGCCCGCTTACTCCCTTTTTGAACGACCAGGGCTGTTGCCCAACACAACATCTTAACGACGACCATGGCTGCGGGTGCTGGAGCCTTGCAGGTTCTCGATCTCGCCCTCGAGTTGTTTGATCCTAAAAGACGTTAGTATGGAATAATGTCAAGCGATAATCAGGTGTAGACAAAACATACGCTGCGTGAGTGGCCTCCAAATCCTTGTTGAGGCGGTCGCGCTCGGAGATGAGCTTCTGCTCCCACTGGCGGAAGCGCTGCTCCTCGACCTTGACCTGTTCGGTGAAACGCTTGCGCAGGTTCTCTTCCTCCTCTTTGAACTTGGGATTGTCGAGCTTGCGAGGCCGAGCTTCGCCAAACTTACGGGTCTCCATTTGCTGGGCACGGTAGGCCTCGTAGTGCTGCTCCTCGGTGGTGTGGATGAGGTCAAGCATGTGGGTGCGGATCAGGATCGATCGGAGCTTCTTGAAGTCGCAGTGATCCTCGTTCTCGACCTCAGCGACACCCCAGGCGTATTGACGGCCCTTGACAACACGGCCATCATTAGCCTTAACATCTTTCTCGGAACCAATGACGGCGAAGGGCATGGCAGCCATCAAGCTGCGGGCGTGAGTAGCAGCGTGCTCATCGTCCTCCTCGATAGGCGGTGTGTAAATCTTGATTCCCTGGGCCTCAATGACACGGCGAATCTAGAAATGAATCGTTAGTCTGTGTTTTTGTTGATTCCCTTGTCGTCTATTGGCCACCACTCACTCTGTCCTTGTAGCGAAGCAGGTCGGCGTGGCTCAAGGTATCGGCCTTGGCGACAACGGGGATCAAGTTGACACGCGAGCTGAGACGCTTCATGACCTCAATGTCGAGGGGCTTGAGAGTGTGTCCAGTGGGGCGAATGAAGTACAAGCAGGCGTGCACACGCATGTCGATCTTGTCTGTCCGACGGGGCTGCTGCTCCTGGAGCATGTAAGACTCGTGCTGGTCATCCAAGAATTCGATGATAGGTTGCCAGGAGTCACGGTTGTTGACATAGTCTCCGAAGCCGGGGGTGTCAATAACGGTCAGGCGGACTATACAATAGACAATGAATCAATAACTGTCAGTTATGGAATCTCTCCAGCCGTGGAACCCCACCTTTGAAGAACTTCTCCTCAAGCTCAGCCTTGGTGATCTCAATCTCAACAGTGCGGTCGACCTGCTTCTGGTGGCGGCGCTTGTGGTCGGCGTAATTCTTAATAGTGGTAGAGAAGAGGGTGTTGATGAAGGTAGTCTTTCCCAATCCCGACTCTCCAGCAACCTGTCAATAGCGGTGGTTAGTCGTCAATGAACCCCATTGTGGTATTGTAAGCTCCGACAAACCATAATTGTGAACGCCGCACCCCGCTTCGCGACAATCTTGTGTCTGGAGATTTATTAATTAGTATGTTCATCCTGGGCCATTTTTGAGCTATCGATGGGGTTCGATGGAGTACACACCGCTGGTTGGGGAGCTACATGGGGGCACATATATTGATTAGCGGCGAATTCGATTGAACTTCATTTGGAGATTGCGGGAAATAGCTTACATTGGCAATGCCAATAGGCGTGGCAGTCTCGGTTGTCGACATGGTGGGCTTAAAGGGGGAGGGATGAAGACAAGAAGCAGAGACTCCTCAAGTGAATACCTGAAGGGAAAAAGTGGAAAAATAAAACCCCCAAGAAAAGCGTTGGATTGTAAAAAGGGGAAGGCGTGAACTTGACTTTCGACCGGCGGTGCTCTTTCCCCCCTGAATCTCCTTTCTCGTTTTCTGGAGTAGAGCTGGCCCTTGCCTATCTGGGTTTAGCGCCTAACACTATGCCACTTCGGGGCCGGGGCCGGAGAAACTAAGGGTGCGACGCTTATCGCATGGATTCTGCTAATCAGCTTGAAATTTTGCATCGTGAAGCTGTCGCAAGTGGGAAAATGAAGACCGATTTTAAGGTAAGCATTGCCTTTCTGCACGAATCAATGCCAGGCGTGCAGTGTGTCTAACCATTGGAATCCAGTTCTCCAACCTTTTGGGGACGGTCTACCGTAAGGGCAATTTGCTCTTTACTCCAGATGGCACCTGTCTACTTTCGCCTGTAGGCAATCGGGTCACTGTCTTTGACCTCGTCCAGTAAGTGCGCTTACAATGATTTTAACATGGTCATTGACTTCAGAATATCCGGAAATCTTGGTCGCTAACTTTCTGTTCTTAGCAACACCTCTTATACCCTTCCATTTTCGCACCGTACCAACATCGATCGTCTGGATCTATCCCCGAAAGGGAATCTGCTGTTGACTGTCGATGAAACTGGCCGGGCAATTTTGACCAATTTCCAACGGCGCATTGCTATTCACCATTTCTCCTTCAAGGGGCGCGTCACTTCGCTCAAATTTTCCCCGTCGGGTCGGCATTTCGCAGTAGGCGTCGGAAGACGTTTGCAAATCTGGCAGACCCCATCTACCCCTGGAACCGAAACCAACGGCGAGATTGAGTTTGCTCCTTTTGTCTTACACCGCGACCTTGCCGCGCACTTTGACTCTGTTCAGAACATCGAGTGGTCGAGTGACTCTCGATTCTTACTGACCGCATCCCGAGATCTTACTGCGCGAGTTTGGAGTTTAAATCCGGAGGATGGTTTTGAGCCCACTACTCTTGCGGGCCACCGCCAGGGTGTGGTGACAGCACACTTTGATGCAAACCAGGAGTCCATCTACACCGTTAGCCAAGATGGAGCCCTTTTCCGCTGGGAATACGTGACCAAGAAAGACCCAGAGACTGATGAAGATATTGCGGAGGCCCAGTGGAGGATCACAAAAAAGAATTTTTTTATGCAGAATGATGCGAATGTCAACTGCGCTGCGTTCCACGCGCCCTCAAACCTGCTGGTGGTTGGCTTCTCCAACGGTCTCTTCGGGCTGTATGACTTGCCCGAGTTCAACATGATTCATTTGCTGAGGTATGTGGAAGTATAGTACTTTTGTGGTATCTTCGGTGTTGACTTATCATGGTTTTGTGTAGTGTCTCACAAAGCAACATTGACGTTGTGACAATTAATCAGTCTGGAGAGTGGCTTGCCTTCGGATCCTCCAAACACGGCCAGCTGCTGGTCTGGGAGTGGCAGTCTGAATCCTATATCCTGAAGCAGCAGGGCCATCTCGACTCCATGAACTCCCTGGTTTATTCCCCAGATGGACAGAAAATTGTTACCACCTCCGATGACGGCAAGGTCAAGGTGTGGGATGTAAAGTCAGGCTTCTGCATCGTGACTTTCACTGAACACACCAGCGGAGTGACCGCATGCCAATTTGCGAAGAAGGGAAGCGTTCTGTTTACAGCGTCCCTGGACGGTTCCATTCGAGCATGGGATTTGATTCGATACCGTAACTTCCGCACTTTCACTGCCCCTTCCCGACTGTCATTCTCTTCTCTGGCAGTAGACCCCAGTGGAGAGGTGATCTGTGCCGGGTCTCCGGACTCTTTCGATATCCATGTGTGGTCTGTACAGACCGGCCAATTGCTGGATCAGCTATCCGGCCACGAGGGTCCTGTGTCCGCCCTTGGCTTTGCTGCAGACGGTAACCATTTAGTCAGTGGCAGCTGGGATCATACTGTGCGGATCTGGAGTATCTTTGGCCGAACACAGACTAGCGAGCCTCTTCACCTCATGTCTGATGTCCTCAGCGTGGCTTTCCGACCCGATGGACAACAGGTTGCGGCCTCAACCCTGGATGGTCAGCTTTCATTCTGGTCAGTGGAGGATGCTGTTCAACAAGGTGGAGTCGATGGACGCCGCGATGTATCCGGTGGTCGCAAAGTATCCGATCGCACAACTGCCGCAAATGCGGCAGGGACCAAGTCCTTCAACCGTATCACCTACAGCGCAGACGGCAGTTGCATTTTGGCCGGTGGTAACAGCAAGTATATTTGCTTGTACGATGTTGGCACAGGCTCTTTGATCAAAAAATACACTGTCTCGGTGAATCTGTCTCTGGATGGCACTCAGGAATTCCTGAACAGCCGTAATCTCACCGAGGCTGGACCTCGCGCTCTGATTGATGAAACAGGAGAAGCCTCGGATAAGGAAGATCGTATTGACAGTACGCTCCCTGGTGCGAAGCGTGGTGATGCTGGTGCTCGCACTACTCGCCCTGAAGTACGAGTGACCTCGGTCGACTTTGCGCCAACTGGCCGCGCCTTCTGCGCTGCGTCTACTGAAGGCCTTCTCATCTACAGCTTGGATGATGACTTTGTCTTTGATCCCTTTGATCTTGACATCACAATCACTCCATCCAGTATTCTCGCCACGGTCGATGCTGCTAAGAACGCTGCAGCGGCTGGCACTGTTGATGAGGAAAACACCTTTCTCAAGGCGCTAGTCATGGCATTTCGCTTGAACGAATCTAAGATCATCCGTGCTGTATACGAGTCGATCCCGCCTTCGGATATTCCACACGTGGTTCGTGCCGTGCCTACGGTCTACTTGCCCCGTCTGCTGCGCTTTGTCGCACACGCAGCCGATGAAACCCCCCATCTTGAATTCAACTTGATGTGGATCGAGTCTCTACTCAGTTGCCACGGCCGATACTTCAA